AACCCTAAACCCTAAACCCTAAACCCTAAACCCTAAACCCTAAACCCTAAACCCTAAACCCTAAACCCCCTAAGATCCTCCAGCTCCCCGCAAATCACGAATGTTAGAAAACTACATTCTGCTAGTATGGCCTCACAAGCTCAAAATATCTATGATAATTCCGCTTTTTTCTTGGCTTACGGAACACTTCCTCGTTCGCAACATGGTCTACCAGCCGCGCCAGAATGGCCTGAGCTTCGACACATGGTAATCGACAGCAAATTGCCTTCGAGCAATTTGGCTCAGAGCCTAGAAGGACAGCGTGTTCTTGATTTAGGTTGCGGGTATGGTTGGTTCGCGCGATGGGCCCGGGACAATGGCGCTGCTTACGTCAAAGCAGTGGATATTTCCCACAAAATGATTTGTCGAGCAAAGCAATTCGAAACCGATATCAAGGAGAGTCCCTCTCATCTCGACTCGAGTTCTATCGAGGAAATCACCTTCGAAACAGGAGACATTGAGTCAATTACCTTTAGCGATAACCGAGAAATGGGGTCTTATAACCTTGTTTATAGTTCTCTAACATTCCATTATGTTGAGGATTTGGCAAGGCTGTATCGAGAGATCCATTGCTCTCTTCGACAACGCGGAAAACTTGTGTTTTCGGTCGAGCACCCTATATGTTCGGCGCCTATTCGCCCAGGACCAAGCTGGAAAACCCTCCAAGAAAACGACCAGGAACGGAAGATATGGCCATTGAATTGCTATAGTGACGAAGGGTGGCGGGTGACGAGCTGGCTCGGAGTTGGCGGTATTAGGAAATACCATCGAACTGTGGAAACATACGTGAATCTCCTCTTGGAGAGCGGCTTCACCTTGACTGGTTTCAAAGATTGGGCTCCCTCAGTAGAGGACGTGGCTAAGCACCCCGAGTGGACGGATGAGAGACATCGCCCTTATTTCTTGATTATCTCGGCAGAGAAAAACTGAAAATCTGTATATAAGCAGAACCATCTCTGGCATGCACATCCCGCTATAAGTGCCTGCGCACATTCTTGATCTACATTTGTCTTGATCTATATTCGCTGCTTTCAGATTGCGTCGGCCTTCTGCGGCGTGCTATGTGACTGGCTTGGTATCAGTTTCGGAGTAAATTATAGGTTTGAGATGTTTTGGTGGCCGTCGGAATACAGGAGATAGCCGACGAAGAGAGAGAAGTTGATTAGGAAACGCTGCACGGTCTTCTTCTAACCTTGAATCTATCCTTAAGGGTACACTCTGTCTAGCCTCTAGTTCGATTGAAAAAGGTGACTAAACCAGTGTGACTGATCTGTAAGCTACTAGTAAACCCTTCTCCGTACCATAGATTTCTACCTTCAGTAAATCATAGCTTTAGCGGGTATTAACATTAAGTCCAGTAATTTCTGGGAGTATATTGATATATATCTTGCCCTAATCCTCATCGGGCTGCTCTATATATAACCCCTGCTTATTCGGATTTCATTCAAAGAGTCATTGTAAAGTACTGCAAATCTCCAAGGAATCTGACAGAATGTTCTAGGCAGGTTGAAGACCTGGCGATCTGGGTTAAAACACCATTTCCCCCCACCAAATGACCTCTTTTAGACGGGTGCTAGAGAAATCGATACCATGCGCACTGCGGACAGGGCGTGCTCGGCTATGGCCAGCATTGAATTACTCAGCCGGCTCCGCCGTGGTCTGAAGAGCCTTGTGATGTTCCTGTCCATCTAAATCTCAGATACACGCCTCATCCTGAAGCCGAGTATTTTTGGAAATTCAGTAAAGTTCTTCGATGCATGTTCACGTAAGGGATCACGAAAGCTTTCGTCGAAATTGGTCTCTTCAAGTGCATCCACGGCGAGACCTGCCTGAAAGAACGGTGCAAAGAGCTGGTTTAAAGGCCGATGGAACAGGTACTACCGCGCGTTATTAGACTTGTTATTCCCTAACGGGACAGGAAGGGTTTCTGGTCACCTACCGGCGACTCGGTTTCCCCTCCAAAAACCAATTGCCTTGCGGGAGGAACATTCAAGTATTTGCTTATAACGATGGAGCGGTCGACAATTCGCTGGCCAGTCTCTGGTTCCTCATGGATTACTATCTGCCGAGCTGCTCCAGATGTGAAAAATAGCGGATGAAGCAAAGTAGCAACGAAGCTAGGAGATAGCTATTAGTTTGTACAAGCATTCAGAATCATGTTTGACGGAGGCAAAAAAGCTCAACGCTTACCAACCGTTCGGTTTGAGCAGTAGTCTTAGAGATCTTGCCAATGGCCCCAGATCCTGAATGTCCATGAGAGCCATATTCATTGTGACTACATCGAAACCGTCATCCTATTCAAGAGGTGCGTTAACATGAGAGGGGCAAGAAGTCTCTGTACAAGTCAGGTCGTGAACTGACCATGAGACAAGTATCGATCGCCATGAAAGTATCCCAAGATGACTGCTTTGTGACGTCGAGGCGGTTGAAGGAAATCCTATTTCCATATTGGGAAGTGTCCGTTCGCGCCTTTGCACGGTCTATCATCGATACTGCGCCGTCGGTTGCGATGACGGAAGCAGCTTTCTGAGCTAACCAGCGAGCCACAAGACCATTTCCCGTTGCTAGGTCTATAGCACGGCATCCTTCTAATCTACCAATCAGCTTCTCCAAAATGGGAAGTTCTAGAAAGCGGAAATAGTCATTTCCTTCGTCCCCCATTCCTTCATCCCAAGAATGGGCAAAATTCTCCCAGGATGCCAGTGGAAAATCGTTTGAAGCCATATCCAGCAAAAATTCAGATATTCGGGCAAGTAAAAGAGTGTAGACCACTTGTATGATGCGGCTCGATGGTGTTTTGGTTACGAGAAACACCTCCTTGGCAAATATGACTCATATAATTACGACTTACTGGTCTTAAATAGGGGGTTCAACTTTTGGAAACTTATTCGGTTATTTACGTCTGTCACTGTCACCTACCTCCAATAACTGCTAATAGTATAGGTAATTTATTAGGATAAAGGTGTATCCCATTATTTATAATATTGAGTATGTAGTATTCATAGTAGGTTTATTAATTCGACCGGTAGAGAGTATATTGCGAGTGAATTTGTAGGTTCAGGATGTTTTGTAGCCAAATATATATTTAACTCACTGCGGTCGCATCACTATTTCTATGTATCTTGGATCACAATTTCAATTCCATCCAGACTCAACAGTTTACTATTTTTATTCAGTTTTATTCTAACTGAATCCATTTATTATATATCCCTCTGCTCAAATAATATAAATACGTAGTATTATAGGATATTTACGTAGCTAACACATTGTGAAATTATGGAAATTTCATGAGAATGAAGTTATTCTTAGTAAGCGGCCCATGGGCGGCCATCAAATGCCCATGGGCCGACAGTCAAACGGCCCGCCCGCCCATGGGAAGTAGCCCAATGCGGGGCCCATGGGCCGTGGCGAGGTCTACACATCACGTTTCAACCAAAAGGGAAAGAACTGTTAATATTCTTTCATTACAACAATTTTTGCACGGCCACTGTGAGCACATGGCTTCAATAACTTGACTTTCCATCACGTTTGAGGATATATTGGTTTTCAAGGTGTTCAGAAAATGCTGTTACAATTGGACAGGTCAATTACATCCTTTTTCATAGCTGTCATTTTGATTTTACCTATGGGAAATATTAGTTGTATGGAGAATTAGTTGTATGGAGAATGGAAGATATCTCAGAGCCATCGTTACAGTGCGTTGGTTGAAAAACAGCTGGGAGCGTCTCCAGAGTACCAAGCACCGGATAGCATGATGGACACATCGTATGGGTCAATTCTCAAGCTGGTGCGTTAACAATTTTGTTCCTTGGGGGTATTGTGAGCTGGGCGCCTAGCTGCCAAGGTTCATGGCAGTTTGCAGAAAAATGGGGCGGATTTATACAAAGTCCGACCGACTTAGGAAACGGTCCGACGTTTTTGAAGGAGAAATGATATTTCGAATAATCTTGAGAATGGATGAGGCTAAATATGAGGTTGCTTCCTCAGCGGCGACACGGGACCGGGTTGTCCGGCCCTAAGATTGGGGTGTGTGGGAGATACAAATTCACTCAGAGGATGTTGTCCCATCGCCCTTGCGTACCGACCAAGCGCCATCAACGGAAAGTAGTGAGGGTAAAGTGAGTATCTGATATAGAAATGGTTCGGGAACCCGGTCCCGGTAAAATATTCCTCATGCCATGTCGCCCCTTGAAGGCCGGCCTTCGTCTGTGTTCGCAACAGATACTCTACCCCCTTGCTGACCACTCTTGTCGACGGTGGTAAGTAGGGGATCAGGCCCATAAGGGCCCAAGCTGTTTGTGATGCCGTTGATGGACCGGAGCCAGCTCGCAGAGGATCCTTATAGGAGTGCAGTGTCTCTCCCCAGCCACCGTCCTGGTTTTGTGTCGACTCCAACCATTGTATTGCATTATAAACACCATCATGGATGCTATTATGCGGTGTAAACTGCAGATCCAAGCATGCGAGAGGGTCGTGGTGTGAGCTGATTGGTTCTTTAATATATCGCAGTCGCAGATCGAGCGCCAGGTCGTAGAGCCGCAATCTTCAAATTCTCGAGTGTTTGTGGCAAAAAGACGAGCTGGGGTTCCTTCAGCTGTCCGAGTGGCCCCATTCGTATTGACCTACATTGGCCCTAGAGTTGGGTATGGATGCATTAGCCGTAGTATATGATGTGGGGATGAGGAACTGATGTACTGGCTAGTACTAAACATGTCCAATAGAATCAGATGATTGATTGGGGATGTTAAGATCGGTCTAACGATCTCAGGGGTCTCTTCAACTGAACTTCGGCGTGTTATGACACCGTAATTTCGAGTCTGCCCGTCATACCATACAAATCCTTCGGGGAACTGGGGGAACCATGAATAAGCCTGTCCCGAAGGGTCCTGGTGGTTTTTTGACCACTCCCTCAGTTCGTCGTATGAGCTTATTGCTCCAAAACACACGATACAAACAAAGGCTACACAGCCTCAGGCTTTTCTGCCTTGATGAAGCCGTTGTTCCTTGATTATGATGGTGGAGATGCCTTTACCCGGGTTCCAATGTCTTTACCAAGACCCTGATCGAGCTTCAGCCGTTTTCTTTCAGCCAGCAGCAGAACACGGTTGATCGCCATGTACGTCCATTGTGACCTTCTGCGTCTGAGGTATTGGACCTCTTTGATAGCTGTGACAGCTTGTGATCCAGGATTGCTTGGCGTCGCTAATCACGGTGCTGTATTGTCAATTTATCGAAGCAAAGGAAGGACATGAAAGCTTTTACCACGAGGGCAAACATGGCCTCTTAAATGTTGGATTTGTGTTGTGATATGTGGATAGTTGGATCGATAGATACCACATCCCCGATTGCCACATCTTACTTCTTATGCTCTAGGGTAAAGTTGACCCTGTTTTGCGCCTTGCACAGAGCCCTCAAATGTTGGCTGTGGGGGTAACATCGAAGCATCGACTAGACATCTCGAAGGGGATCTCAACTGCAAAACTATCTACATTGTAACCCAGACCGTTAGAAACTAGATCAGCATAGTTGATCAATCCCTCGCCAACGTGCATTGATCAAATTGATCCGTCTGTCTAGCTGCGGGAGCCACATTTGAGTTCTTACTCTAAATTCAAGGTTTCGGTCAACGTCCGAAATATGGATGGTTGTGCGCCGGGGCCTGAGCCTCGAACTCTAACTCTCATGTCTTAGCATGTTTTACTACTTTTGCTTTCTTCCTTTAGTATTGCTGGCCAAGATGTGCTGGGGGATTGTCCTCGTGGTTAAACTTCGCCTTTTTATGATTGAAAATCAATACAAGATTTATGCTCGAAAGGTGGCTGTACAACATTGAAATAGTTGTTCATTCTTCTGTTGCCTCGAAATTATTATAAATATGCTTTTATCTATGTATCAAGGCGATTGGCCGCGCAGCTTTATGCCTGACCAAAATTATATACACCAAACCCAAGCCACGAAGACTAATCCCCGCTGATGCGCCTTGCTTATGAGCTAAACTCCATCACCGGTCCATTGTAAACCTTTCTCGCACGCACAAAGTAATAGAAAAGACTGAGAACAATTGTACCCAAAGTCCCAACCACACTATAGTTCATCGTTTGAACATTCACCACCCAAGAGGTGGGCCAGAATGTAAAGAAGACAGCAATAGTCATGTAGATCAGAGCCCAGGCATTGATAGCAATGCCCCAGATTCCAGGCAGGTGGAAAGGTCCCCAGACAAGCTTCGCGCCGGCAGTATTGACGACAGCCGAGTCGCTGCTACGAACGGAGCTGATTCCACCCGTGCAGCGACGCCAAAGAAGAAGACTTCCAACAACCATGTATGATAGGTAAAGACCAGAGATAGACATGGAGCAAAGGTCGTTGAATGCGACAGGCGAGCCGATGTTGATGAGGGCGAGAAGACAGGCGATGACGGATGTCGCAAACACAGAATAAAGGGGGATAGCAGTACCCTCAGTGACCTGTTAATTCATGGTGAGTTTAGTGTTCTGATAAGGGTCAATTTATTGTTTTCATACCTTACTCCACACTCGCCAGCCAGGAATGCCTCGGTCTCTAGCGAAAGACCAGAACTGACGGGATGTGGACGCCAACATGCCAACTGATGTTGTGGCACCCATGGTAGTGACGATTGAGCCCATTACGGCAGTTCCAGCAATCGACCCTGTTGCCTGATAGAAAATCGACATAAAAGGGTACCCGGTTGGAGAATCCAAAGCTGAGCCTAGATCGCCGCTGCAGAAAAGCATGGCGATCAACATGCCGAAACCCAAGGATCCATTGATCAATACACTCAACATGATTGAGGTCGGAACTGCAACCGAAGCATTTGTGATCTCTTCGGACATCTAAAAAGAGGATACTTTTGTTAGCTTCTCTATTTCTGACCTCAGATGAGAATGGGGTAGACGCACATGAACCGCTGCATCACCACCGGCGAACGCAAAAATGCAGCCAACAGTTCCGACGAAGAAAGAGAGTCCTTGAGAAGGGAACTCTCCCAAGTTGAGGAACTCTGTAAAAACCTCTTTCGATGTTCCGTGATCCGCCATATAAGTCAGCGGGATAAGAATCGCGAAAAACCCCAGAATATGCAAAATCAGAATCATGCCCTCAAAACGAGGAAGAACTTTTCCTCCGACGCTGTTGATGCCGACAGAGAACACCACGATTGCCCAGAAGAGAAGAGTGCCATGCCAATTTTTGGGCTCGTAGGTATCGTTTGTGAGCACGACCAGGCCTTGAATCAATGTACCAACAAGATAGCAAGATGTAGCGAATGTAGCTTGCCATCCGATCACAGTAAGCCAGCCTGATATTGTGTTAGCACATTGCTGATGCATTTTATCAGTCCCGGTTACTCACCTGTGAGATAGCTCATCAATTTCATACAAGATCGTGGGGCTAGCATGGAGCACCAATGGTACTGTCCTCCCGAGGTTGGAGCCCTATTGACAAGTTAGTCTTCAGTTCGTACAGCGAACTTGCGGGGTATTGCATACATTGATGCCAATTCCGATAGAACCACAAATGTCGCTGCGACACCCGCCCAAACGAAGAGAAATCCATATACTGCTCCAGCTGGACCTCCACTATACCACCATCAGCACCTTTGCATCGACCTCGAGCATATTTCCGTTCCTTACTTCTGATAAGCCTGCAAGAAAAGCCTATTCACATTGTTAGCAATGATCAGGAAGCATTTTCGATGTCCAGGATCACTTACACCACAATACCTTCCCAAGTAATCAAAATTGTACAACTGAAACCCAGCATCGACATCAACCCAAAGTTGCGCTGTTTCACGTTAACCCCGATCACATAGAATATTCCACAACTCATTTACCTTCAAAACGGGACGCTTTCCCATACGCGCCAGATTGGCATCATCAATCTCCTTGCTTGACATATGACCAATCTCCTGCATACCCGGGGACATCTGCTTCGAATACTGAGACGGCATCATGAACGAGTGATTGCTACCGAAAAGGAAGAAGCAAAAAACGAACAGAAGAGCTGAACTTTTTGTCGGAAATTGGCGAAACTAGTGTAATCAATTCTGAACATACTTGCATGTGGTTGGGGGGCATCTCTATGCGCTAATGCGGGTACGAGCAGGGGGTATGAAGACCCACCAGACACGAATAATACATTCCGTTTCAATCATAAAGTCGACACTTGATTACACTTTGTTGTCGTAGTTCTGTGCCTTTTCTATGCGCTTTTTTTCAGGCCTTCTTAACGTTCCTTCGAGTCTCTTCCCAATCTTTAAACGTCAATTTAGAGCGGCTAATTATGCCCCAATATCGTTGTAGCTCCAGGGCGGCTGTTTTGTGGCGTGACTAATCGGCACAATTACTAGTTTCACCACGGTGTTCCGACACGATGCAACATAATAACGTGGCGAAAGCCAAATGGGGAATGCCAAGGAGAACAATGTAGTTATACTTTAGAAATGAAAGTAATTCTCTACTGTACTTCGGCCCCAAGCCCTGGCTTCCGGGGGCCGGACGGCCAGACCAAGCGCTAAAGTGGCACTAAATCCTGGCCCCCGTTAGCGTGGTGGGGATGATCCCTGCGCTTTATCCAATTGTTTTGAATTTCTGCTTCTGGAACATAGTTAGCTTCTGGGTATTGTTTGTGATTTTGAGTTTTTAGTCTGAAATATAAAATTATGTACAATATTGTACAAAAACAAACGAACGGTGGATCAAAAGATTGCTGATCCACGTTTCAAAATCCATAGTTCTAGCCCTTTTTGTTCAATCTCGCAATCCTTGAGTTACAGTCCAGGTCCTGGTCTCCATAATTATGTTAGAGTGACTAGACTGGCTTTCGGTGTCGTCGTCCGGCGCCGATGTGACTACAGTCCGATGGGTATTTTCCCGAGGCAACGAGACTAGCTCGTGGGTATCGCTTCGAGTGTCTTGGGTTCGACGGGACTTGAACGTGCTCACGCCATAGGTCTTGTGCTTGCTGCCGAAGCCGTCGGAGCTCGACATTCCAAGACCCATTCCTGATGACCGGAGATTGTCTAGGAAGGGCTTGAACTGGGGAGAACATGCGGTGACGATACTCAAGCCTTGGGCCATTTGTGTGGAGACTGCGACGGTCCAGGTGTCGAATGTGTAATCGGAAGATGAGGAAGTATGACTGGCGTAAGCAAGTTGGCAGATAATTGCGATAATGACCCTGCAAACAAGCCTGTTGTTAGTAGAATCTTTGTAGGAGGCATGATTCGTCGCATACACAACTCTGATCAAGAACACACTGGATAGACCGGCCTTTCTGCTCAAGTCTGTCTGAATGCGAACGATAACCAACAGGGCCTGGGCTATAATTCCACTTTCCGACAACATATTCGTGACGCCGAGATAATTCCACCAGGCAGTCTGTAATACCGTTAGCAAGGTCTCAATATCTGCAACGAAATGTTCCCATACTCGGTCAAAGCAAGTCCCATTGAGATAGTTCCATGTCTGCGGTAAATGGCACTGAAAAGAGGCAGTAAATATGCTGGCAATAGCCCATATCCCGATGAACGCTCCCAAGGTAAGCGCGACGCGGCGATCCAAGGATGCGGGGGTCAAGTTGCGGATAAAGATCAAGAGCGAGAGCTTGGAGCAGGCAATACTGGCGATGTACAGAATCGTTGCGGCGTATTCGGCCTGTATTCATTCCAAATTAGCATTGGTTGCGCTTTGGCCAGAGCATAGCTCATCCACACCTTCATCATACTCTCAATCATGAAGTCAGGCAACATATCTCGATGCTGTCCAAGCCCATTGGAAGTCGCCAGTGAGACTGCGATAGACTGCGCAATGCAGAGAACCATCGAAGCCGCAGCAAAGCCATCATCAATCGTAAACTTGCGAAAGAAGAAATACTTCGTCCCCAAACGAGTCAAGACGCTCAAAATGGCCGTCACCAGCATAAACCAAGTCAATACATTGATCGCAGGAGTCCATGTGTTTTTCAGTTCCGGGTGCATGATGTCGACAATCAAAGATTCGAAACGCTGTGCGCAGTTATCGCATATCGTAAGATTTTCTCAGCTCACCCGGATCCAAAAATCAGAGGTAGCTCCAAACACCGTAAAAGCCCAACTCCGGACCTGAACAAAAACGCCATGTTCTAAAACATTATTCGTTGTTTGGTAAAGCCAAAGCGCCACACCCCATGGATTGTCACAAATCGAACAGGGGGCGAAAACCTTGATCAATATGCGAGTTGTGTGACTTGTTTGAGACTAACTACCCACTGAGGGGGCCAGATCGCAGGTTCATGAAGTTGCGCATGAGGAAACACCAATGGGGCGATGCGCGATTTTCTTAGGGCAGTCAACCCCCCTGCTCGTACCCCTGCTAGTTAGACGTAACTATACAATGATCCGGGTCGTTTTGTTCATTTTTCCTGAACAATTTCTTTCCATTTAGATTTTCTCCTTGATCTATTGGGACATTATTATTAAAATATTAATTTAGTCCCATTATTCTCTAGAAGAGTTTGAGATAGTCACATTATTGTTGTTATGTTGCATTCGCCGGGGCCACGGCAAGCCGTAAAGCTCCGTGGTTAGAAAACGGAATTTAGCGACTGGATAGTCCAATACAATTGGTTGTATATTTTAGTAGGGATACATTCTGCAGAATATGCAGGTCTAATAACTAACAATGTCCTTCATGCAAAATTTTAATATAAAGATCATAATGCCGACCAATCATATATGTATTGTTCAGTGCACTTAATCCCGGTGTAGTGATCAAACGACGTAAGAGAATTTCTGTAAGGAAATGGTGAAACTGATTTCGATCCATCCTGTATGAAAAAGCCTGTACATGAATTAATGAGAAGCTCTCGTGAAGGTTTGAGAAGGATTCTCCGCGCTGAGCACGGCTTCTATTAATTATTATGGAGAACTATTACTGTATAAGCCACCAAGGTACGAGGCGGTTGGACCTGGAAAATATGGCATAAATTAAGCTAGGCACGGGTGAAAATAAATTTTAGCTGTAGATTTGGGGGGTGTCTGGGTATTAGGAAAAATGCGCCTGATTTGATGTGGAGACTGCTATCTACCCAATCATATTCAATAAACACCCTACTTCTTTAAAAACACAATGAATTAATTATAATTATAATTTTCTTTTCAACCCTCGCATTTCTGAGACAACCGATTGTTTAATCAACAACTGCAAGTTTGCTTGCCGTTGACCCTCATCTTTCACCACTATGGGCCTTGTACTACTCGTCGACGATGTCTTACAGACTATGTGTTTATTCTCGTTTATTCTACTGATTGTCGTGGAAAGCATCGTTGATGTTGATTGTGCTTTCGGTCAACTCCCAAATAACCGTTGGTTGCATGTTATTGTTCATCAACGTCATGTCTCTTCAAACAGGGTCTTTGCGCTTTGCCCGCGTTTTAATTTGCATTCCAAATATTAATTACCCAGACCAGATCCCGCTTTTTTATCTCGCGAGTGAGACCCTCACATTTCTGGGATCATATTCGATCCCAGGATCCATGGCATGGTTCCTAGGCACGCTCTTGCCCGCTCCCAGGAGGAATGGTCATGGTCCCAGAGGACCTATAGCTCCGGGGAACGAGAGGTGGTACCCTGGGAGCGTTGGTTACTACTTCTGGGAGCAATCAATAGCGTGCCTGGGAGCATGGAATCTGGGATCAGATATTATCTGGCACTGATTTAGACCTCCCTGAATTCTGAGATCAAGAAGGCGAGCCGAACGTCACCCTGTAGGAGTCGTAAGAACATATATGTACTTCGTCCTGAAACTTGTATAGAAATATGTTGGGTGCCTGGTTCTGCCTCAGGCAGCAGTCCCCACATGGGACAGATCCCCATAGTAGTAGATAGCCAGATAGCTCTCTCTCTCTCTCTCTCTTCTTCCTCTCCGTCCCTTTTGCTCCCAGTTGAATCTACTGCTCTGTTTCTCCATCTCTGGATCATCACATCGTAGATTCTCCATCAGGTTATGAGCGCCTTTCTTTTTGCTAGCTGGACCACTAGCACCCTCTTCCTTTGACGCTTCCTGGACCCACTTCCCGGCGATTACCCGCACTTTGCAGGATTTTCACCAATCGGATCACGATCCACATTCCTTCGAAGCCTCACGAAATATAGCCCGATCGATCCCATCATGACCGATACGGAGCTCGGGGATGGCAACCCCACACAACAGCCTCAGTTCTTGCCCATATATAGTGGTAACAACACCGGTACGTCGAACCTAGCGACTAACAATAACAATCAGTCAAACCTGTCTGATGAATTCGATGAAAACGATGACGAAATCACTTAAGGTGATGACTTGCCTAAAGCGACTCCCACTAAGATGATGAAGATAAAAGAGCTTGAATATGACTCGAAGAACCCCCGTGGATGGGCTATTCTAGTGGAATACGCTCTCGCTCCTCTATGTCTAGAGAAGGTTATCGAAAGCAGCATCTAGCGCCCCGTTAAGGGACACCCCAAATACACCAGATGGGTCTACTGGTCTCGTATGGTTGCTAGCTGGATATACACCTAGATTGACGAAACACTCTAAGAAAGGATCCAGAATATGGCACACCGTCCCTAGTATGCAGATGATATGATGGACGAGCTTATAACGATGGTTTAGGGTAGTGACAAAGCAGACAATACGATCAATAAAATCATGAAGTTCGATAAAATACGACGATCGAGTTTCAATACCGCCAAAGAATATATCACCGAATACTAAAAGTAGTACCACGTACTTACTAGATTCAAAATCGTACCTTACCCTTTCTATACTCTCACTTAGGTGCTTAAACAACTTGAGAAAGAGATGCTAAAAGTGCAATTCATTATTAAGGAGATCGGTAACACCGAACCGAAGAAGATTAACCTCGATAAGATGGAACAATATTGTAAGAACCTACAAACCGTCGCCGAGCGAGACACCGGATCCATCAATACTACTCAGTCAGCTAGCCGTAGTGGCAGAGGAAATAACCGTGGTCGCGGAAGTCGTAGCGGAAATCGAGGTGGTTGTGGAGGATATAGCAACGACAATGCTAATTAAGAAAAAGATAATAAAAGTTAAGATAACACCACTTCCAACGACAATAAGAAGAAGAAGAACTTCCGTAACCAGCCCCCTACTAGTAAAGACATATATGAATACGCTAAAGAGCGGCGCAACGGCATATAAAAGGATGATAGTGGTATATATGGATACTGTGGCTTTAGCCCTCACGCTGCTAGGAACTGTGTATACCTCTCACTAAATCCACCTTCTTCCTAGATTAGTAGTTCTAATGTGTGGAACTATTTAATTACGTCGAAGAATAAAGGATAAAGTAGTATAGCTATAGCTGCTATAGCACGCTTAGTTAATAGGCTAAATGACTGGCTTCTTGACACTAGCTCAGATAAGACACTAACCTACGATTTTGACGACTTCTATACGTACGAACTGGACTATCCCAGCACTACGTATGCATATAGAGACTATTCCGGAAAGAGAGTGGTCACACTGGGATATAGAGAGGTACTTGTTAAAGCTGGACTAGAAGATGGATCAACCTACACCTTCCTAACCACTAGTTACTATAGTCCTAGTGGTAATGGCAAGCTATTTGGTATATAGAAATTGCTAGAAGAGTAAGACATTTTATACGACACCCGCACAAAATAGCTCACTAACGGTAACGGCGTAGTTATTAGATATGCTGATACGTCTACTGGCGTCCTATACTTGATTGGACCCGATGAAGACCGTGCTATCACCGATCAAGATCTGTTCTACGACTCAGATAATAATTCAATCGAGGAATGCGGCTTTGTCAACAAAGTGACTATATATAAGATCCACCGACGTCTCGGTTATACTAGTAAAGCAAAGGTTATCTCCACCTTGAAGCATACTAAGTAGCTTGGTAACGATGAACAATACGGCACTGAGCACTTTGACTATAAAGCCTGTTTCTAGGGCAAGTCCAAACTGAAGATATCCCGTGAACCCTAATTCAGAGTTTAAGACGCTGGCTGGAAATTCTATATTGATACCTAGCTAATGAAGCCCACCGGTCCAAACGGTGAGAACTACTAGATACCAATTCTTAACGATGCTACTCGGCTTAATAAGGGTCCCACTCTTACAAACAAGGGTGAAGCTTTTTATAAGCTAGTTGAATACTATGAGCGCGTCAAACTACGCACCGGCCGCTACCCTAGCATTACACGCCTAGATAGTGGATCGGAATTCATAACTTTTCGTGAGTGGGGAACAAAGCGTGGTATGATTTTTGAAATCACCCCCCCTTATATAGCTAAGCCAAATGGCGCTATTAAGCGCTATAGCGGATATATCAATGACATCCAGCGTACGATGATTATCGACGTTAAACTGCTAGATAAGGAGAAGCTCTAGCCACTTGTAGTTGGAGCCGCTATCTACACTACCAACCGCCTAGTCAATCCGAAGACTAGCATTTCTCCGCTAACACACTAGAGATAAGAGCTCAATATTGAAAATCCTAAGCCTTCTCTAAAGCATTTGCGTGCTTGGGGATCAACTGTGTATGTCTATATCCTAAAGCCTAAGCGAGTATAGGCCAGGAAGTCAGCGCCTAGAGCCTAGAAAGGAGTACTTATTGGCTATAAGGGGGATAATGGCCATATATTCAAGGTGTGGAATCCTGACACTAAGAAGCTCACTATATCTCGCGATGTTAGCTTTCCCTAGCTAGGTGACAATGAAGATAATAACCTAGGTGCTAGCACAATCATTCAACTAAAGCCAACTAGCCCCCCTAGAGATAGTGATAACACCATTGAACTCCCTACTACTCTAGTAGAGAGTAAGCAACAGCCACAGAAAGAGATCGTCACTATTTATCAGCAAGCTCCAGTTACACCTTCTACAATTCAACTTCTAACAATCTATAGCAGTGTCTCCACAATGCTAGAAACACTAAAGATCGCTCGTTAACAACGGCTTCTTTATGCTCCCGCTCTAGTGAGACGAGGTAGTTCTTTCAGCTAGAGACTTCAAGATATTAGGGAGAGACCGCCTACTGCTAGATCTCAACCTACTACAAGTTTTCAAACCGCTACAAGATCTCAACCTACTACACCAAGAATCACTAAGATCGTTTAAGAAAATACACTTCCAGACCGTCTCCAGACGATTGAAGAAGAGCCTATTTCTACTCCAGCTACCTAGCGAGTTAAACAAACCACTCGGGAAGCCAAGAAGGCTGATTTTGAAAGAAGACTTAGAGAACTGTCTACACGGATAGATAACATACAAACTAGCATACAAGATATTCATAAATATACTAATTTAATTGAACAAAGCATCGCTAGAGAGACAGCAAGCACTTGGGAGGATACCCTATCCCTAGAACAATAGAGAGCTGAGTATCACTACCCTTTCTCTTCTCCAATTCAGTAAGAAACAATATAGCAAGCATTTATAGAGCAAGCTCCAACCGAGCAAGCTCCAGCTAAACAAGCTCCAACTAAACGAGCTATAACTAAGCAACCTCATATATAGCAAACTATGGCGTCACCAAGTCGTGAGATCACCCTAGTAACTACTAGATCGTAGATATCACCTAGTCGTGAGATTATCTCGATTTCTTCCTCTCCGGATCTAACTAGCGCACTATCCCTACCCCCACCCCGTCGTTCGAAACGAGCTAACATTGGCGTTCCCCCCGAACGGTACCACGATCCCACACGGAAGCTTCTCGCTATCGAAAAGAGAGCTGCTAAAAGAGCACGATCTATAGAACCAGGTGGTAACAACTTGACGGAGGGGGGAGGATAGGGGTCTACGGGACCTAGTGGAACTGGTAGCTCAATGGCTGTTATACCAGACGATCTAAAGACAGACAATTTAAAGACAACTAAAGTCGATATCAACATACCATTTATATATAATAGTAAACCGCTACTCGCCAAAGATATCGATCTTCCTACAACCTATAAGTAAGCTTAGAAATCACCTTTCTAGCCTTAATGGAAAGAAGTAATGGAGTAACAGCTGGAGGATTTACACGTTAAACGTACCTAGACTCTCACTTTGAAACCACGTAAGGCTAAGGTGCTTCCTAGCTAGTGGAGACTGACTGTTAAAACGAATATAAGAGACGAAGTCTACGGCTGGAAAGCCCGATGGGTCGTATATGGTAACTTCTAGGAGAAAGGTGACGGCGAAAGCTACGCCCTAGTTGTCTCTGAGATATTGATTAAGATCGTGCTTAGTCTTATTGCTATCTATGGCCTTAAATGGAGGTAGGTTGATTTCACCGCCGCCTATCTCAATGCTTCGAGAGATAACGCTGAAGTTGTCTATATAAGGTAACCCACTAGCTTCGAGTACTCTGATGCTGAAGGAAATTCCAATTAGTGGGTATATATGCTAAACCAGGCGTTATTCGGTCTTCGGGACTCTGTATATTTGTGGAATGAAGATATGGATTGTAAGCTACGCTAGATCGGTTTCCACCCACTTGAAGACGACCCCTATATCTATATTAAAGGCAAGGGCTCCCAGATGACTATTATAATGATCCACGTTGACGATTTTATCATCGCTGCTCCCACTAACGCTGAGATTGAGGAAGTGGTTAAACAACTACGTCAATTTTATGATATGAAAGATCTTAGAGAGCCGAAATAGTATCTCAACTATGCTCTCCACCGTGACTACGCTAATAAAACGATCACTATAACTTAGTTAGTATACGTATAGAAAGTGCTATGTGTGGTAGATATGATAGGCTTTAAGGATACTCCCTTACCTCCTAGCTAGAGAGAGGATGATACTAATGCTTCCACCGTACTCGACGACGATAGCTATGACCACTACTAAAAAGTGGTTGGTATGCTAAACTGGCTAGCTATCAAAATAAGACTAGATATCCGATTTGCTGTCACCAGACTATAATATAGGCTTGCCACACTAACAATTCACGATATGGAAGCAATGCAATATGTTGTTAAATACCTATAGGGAAATGAACACGGCCTCATCTTTGGACGATCAGATGAATTATAGTTCTCGGCATATGCTGATGCTTTATATGCTGACTGGTAAGATAGCAAGTCGACCGAGGGAGTGGTATGGTTCTTTGTAGGATCACCGGTTACTTAGTCCACTAAGAAGCAATCAATTACTACGAACTTAACCACTATCGTAGAGTGGTATGCTCTCGATCAACCATCCCGAGATGCTATGTGGCTGAATAAAATAGCCGACTCTCTATAACTACCGAGGCCAGATACCACCACGATCTACACTGACAACATCAATTCATAACTGCTTCTGTTAAAGAAGGGTGGTAAATCGGCTAATCGCTGGTTGACATTGAGATACTTCTTCGTGAGAGACGCGGTCGCCCAAGGCCATGTCAACATTCACCGAGTTGATACCAAGAGAAATATAGCTGACGGCTTCACCAAAGCACTTGCGAAAGAGCAGTTTAAAACCTTCATTGAGCTGCTTGGAATGATCTAATTCGACAAAGAAAAATGGAGTTTTTATAGTACAAACCAGAATTGATTCTCGCTTATTTTTTGATGGACTGGATTAGGATCTGTGAGGGGGATGTTGGGTGCCTGGTTCTGCCTCAGGCAGCAGTCCCCACATGGGACAGATCCCCATAGTAGTAGATAGCCAGATAGCTCTCTCTCTCTCTCTCTCTCTTCTTCCTCTCCGTCCCTTTTGCTCCCAGTTGAATCTACTGCTCTGTTTCTCCATCTCTGGATCATCACATCGTAGATTCTCCATCAAAATATGAAGTCCGACTTGTCATTTTTGCACAAACATGAGCTACTTACTTACAAGAGAAACATCTCAGGACGATTTACCACCCGAGAGGCATCTCTTGAATCTACATATGTAATGTATGGAGGGGTTTACTCTAAGCAGGCGATCACGATAATATAATCATGAGCTGCTCTCAAGAAATATGCTGACTCGAAAAGAACTAGATTAAAATATCCTTAATTCGATCGTTAGTGTACGTACCATAATTATAGGGATATATTGATATCTATAGTCCTCTTAGGAGCCGGTGCTAGTAATAGTAACCCGCAAAATCTCGATTATGGATATAGTGGGTATGACCGCTTCAGCCCTAAAGATTTAAAAGGTTATGATTATCCTCACGATCGATGCTCTCGTATCCTTCTTTTACCCTAATAACTTACTAGTATAACACTATCACTAGCGAAGCTAATTAATTATAAATAATCATAACCTATCATAGGGTTCAAAGAGGTCTAATACCCTAGTGTTACGCACTGCTAACTGGTCACAGTTAAGTTAGAAGGATTCGGTTATACTTGCCTTAAACTTCTCAGGTTTCTAACGTTAACGATCTGTTCTCTCAACCGTACTGTTGCCTAATAGGCCTTACTATAGGATGGGTCCTTTTAAGGTATCGAGGAACGATGCTAGGTAGAGCGCCGAGGAGATCTATACCGGGGTATTAGTCTACTCGTAGGTGTTGTCAAGTTATAATCAAGTAAGAGTCACTAAAGTTCTAAAGGTATATATAAGTAACAATGTATGATTGAAGACGAAGAACTATACTAAGTATATAAATGAGTGTCCTTATATATCCTTCGTGCCTACTCCCTAATCTACCCCCTAGGGGTAGATACTAGAGTCACGGTATACTCCTAGGTATACTCCTATAGGGTAGGTCCTAGAGTCACGCTTAGTTAGGCGTATCCTACGATCAACCTTTTCCTATAGAATACCGGGGTTATGCTTAGTCAAGCATATTCTACGGCTATCCTACGACTAGTCTCATCCTAGGATAAGTCTTATCCTACAATATATCTTAGTCACGTGTCCCGCTCACTAGGTCCCTAGGGCTCCTATAATGGTTACTATCGTGCGGTAGCTCATATCGTAGGATCCGTGGTTCCTTACAACATGGCTTTTCTTAGGTTCGCTAACACCGTGTGTTATTCTATATCATGGGGGTACAACGGAGAGACCATATATTTCCGTGGTGTATCACGTGACTTATTGATTGGTTGGCTCTCGGTGGCCCATCGGTGTGGCTTGTGGATCTCCACTGATTGGTGACGGGAGTGCCCGTAACACATTAGTTGAGATAGGAGGTCAGAGAAGGACGCATTTAGGTGAAATGGGTTCCAACGGCGAACATAGTTGCCGATAGACTCACCAAATTACTCTCTCGGCAGAAGCATAAGAGTTTCATACGGATGCTCAGGATGGTGGACATAGGCTATCTAATAGCCTAGGAAGATCAATATGCAGATCTACAGGGTCCAGCAATCCCATACTGGGATCGCTGAGGGGGTGTGTCGGCGCAGTTACGCCGGTATACCGGAGGATTTATTAATCCTACATGTTTTCGTAATTTATGTTATGTAATCGAGGCTCCATATAAATTGTGTAGAGAGCCGATACAGAAATACAGAGAGTTGAATACCATTGATTGGACCCTACATTTTACAATACGGAATCCACCGACAGTGGGGCACTGACTAAGGCACAGCCGCACAGGTACAAGCCTTTCTCTTCAGCCAAAGCACCTAAAGCTTAGCCTCTCTATTCTCATTCAACTTTGCTGGGAGAAGTCTTCTCAAAATCTTTCCAGTCGGAGTTTTTGGGAGGGTTTGCAAATGGAGGACACCACCTCTGAGCTTTTTGTATCCCGCAACCTGCCCATCTATCCAATCCTTGATCTCGTCAAGGACCTTCTGCTTCTCAGGGCTCGCCAGCTCCACTGTTCGTGGCGAGAGGCTAACATAGGCAAGTGGCACTTCAGTCGCTTGCGAGTCATCATAAACTGCACAAACTGCAGCGTCAGTAACTTCAGGGTGGCGTAGAAGAATGTCTTCCAGTTCTGAAGGGGCGATTTGGAATCTGATGAAGTAACGATTAGCCATCAGTGATTGAGTCAAAGATTGAAGATTTCTCAACAAACCCCTTGTATTTGATCATCTGATTGGTATTGGTCAGTTCTTTAATGCCTTGTATGGAGCCGTGACAAGAAATAAAATGTACCTCTTTAAAACGATCGGTGACCCAAAAGTTCTGATTCTTATCCATCTTCAAGATATCTCCCGATCGGATCCATCCGTCCGTGAAGGTTTTGACCGTTGCCACAGGGTCGTTAACATAACCCCTAGATGCGTATTTAGTGAAATCCATCTTATAAGCCAGACCTGCGCGTGGGAGCAGGTGGCATCTTCTTACATCATGACCAATGGCCCTCGTAGCCACAACTCTCCCTCGTTGCCGAGAGGAACGTCCTTGTGTGTCTTGGGGTCGACCAATCGACCTTCCCTATCATGACATTAACAGTGATCATCAACCTGAGAGAGCAGTAGGTGGAACATACATGCCAGCGAAAAGCTTGCCAACGCATCCGAACGCCTCCTCGTCTTCGTCGATTTGATGAATCACACCTCCCGTGCATTCAGTCAGCCCGTAACCTTTGCTTGAATTTCAGTAAGGTGCCATCAAAAATGGGGCCCGTCGCACTAACCTTGAACAACACTCGTATGGGGAAGGCGTTCTTTGAGCAAAAGTTGAACAGATTTCTGAAAGGCATACAGTGAGCATTTCATGTTTTCGCAATTTTCGGTAATGTCCATCGGCTAGCGTACTTTCAAAGGTGCCGCAGAAATGACAATTCTTTCCAACGATGCCAAGTCATACTTTTGAGCAACAGGCGATGTGGCAAGAAGAAGCGCTACAGGAGGCACAAGATGGAGATCGGTAACTTTCATCTCGCTCGACGTTTGACAGAATGCCTCGAGGTCAAAGGCAGGGAGACTGCAATAAAACCCTCCAGCCCACATGCCAGACATCACCACTAGAGAGAGTCCATAACAATGGCAGTCTGGGGATAAAAGTATTAACAAGGCCATAAGTCGAAAATTTCGGAGCAACTAACTTACACGGTGCAAAGAACACCTCGCGGACCCTTGAGTTGACCCGAATTGGCATAGTGGCACGCATGATAAGGGAGTTTATCACGAGATTATAATGGGAAAGCTGTACACCTTTCATCTTCCCAGTTGTGCCTGAGGAAAAGCAGATTGTGCTTGCCACATCCTTGGAATTTTTTCCTTGGAGGTCATAGGGGGGGATACTCTCTTTAGCTGTTCTGCCGATGATATCGTCCGGAAACTAGAAGATCAACACCTGAAACCACTTGCCCTGGAGATGGTACTACATACTTGAGGTAGATCCCCTACTTTGCAGCGGATAGTCCCGATCTTGATACTCGTTTCTGGCAAAGAAGCAAGCGCCGACTGGACCGTGCTAAGCTTCTCCTCGATAGTGACGATATGCGTTGGCTTGGTGATATTGATGACATGCGAAATATCATCCCGTGTTGCGGATGTATTGAGAGGCCTGGTAGTCTAATTAGTGGGATTACTGAGATCTCTCATTGAGAGGACTCACGCGAAAATAGCACCAGTCCACCATGTCGCATGAGCGAGGAGGACGAAGGCATTCTACATTCCCAATTAGAAAGCACAGGGAAGAGATTCACCGGATCCTCCCACCGAATTGTTGACCAATGCTAGCAAGGTATCACCTGGATGGAGCCCCAATTTCGTCTGCAAGCCCCAGCCAGCCCGCCCAGCCTGGTCGCGAAGGGAGCCATAGGTAATGGCCTCCTTAGAGAAAGTTTCCACATGGACGATCTTTGATCCGGATACTTGGTCGGGATTATATTGTGTCATGAACTGTGAGATCGACAGATTGGTCACATCATGAATTGGAATTACTGGTGACTTGTAGAGGGCCATGATGAAAGATAGTAGGATATGTGAGCTGTTGGCAAAGTAGGTTCAAATGTCTAGCGACGAAAAATTATAAACGATGAATGGATGTCTGTTAGGATCCGATAGGTGACTAAGAGCCTCCTAGCCATTCTAGTACGCGCTCCAACTAGTTAGCTTGCGAGGGGAATTGGGGGCGGTTGAGGACCTCCTGGTACACGCTAGGACTTAAGTAGTGCATGGCCCGGCCGTTTGGCCCGTGTTATCCGTTTGGCCCCTGGCCCCATATTGTTTTCCTTTTGGCCCTATGTCACCCTACACATGCAGTGCCAGGTTGATGGGTCTGCGGATGTTGGCCAAAACAGCATGGCTTGTTTTGAAGTGGCCCCACTTTTGAACCGAACACGAAACTCGATTTCCCCAAACCCAATGATTTGAGAAAATTCATTCGGACTGAGTCCCGAGGTTTCTACACATGTTTATACCGAAGTTTGGTTTTTTTTTTTTTTTTCTTTTTCTACGCGATTGTTGGTTTTTCAAACTGCTATAGTTCTAAATACTCCTTGTGCCCCAGTATTCAGATTTTCTCAACTCGGCTTATCAGCCGGACCGGTTCTTATGACAGAGAAGAAATTTCCGACGTTTTTTTTTTCACGTGCGTCTCAGATCAGGGAAGGGATGGGAATCCTTCCGAGAAAAAATGTACGGAGTGCGGATTTCCATTTGAAGATCCGCCGAACATAAGCAGCTAGCACAAGTTAGCGGTAATAGCGGTAATAGTCGTTCTCGATCGAATCCTTTTTCGCTTTGATTTACATTGTGTTCCGACCTTTTGAAACACCAAATCAAACTTTATTATGTAACCAGCGTTTTCCGTCTAATTATATACGCCAGCGTAACAATTCATGCATGTGGGATCTCACGATTATTGGGTTGAGATGGGTCACTCACGTTTCCGCCCCATTAGGCTCCTTTGAGGGCTCAATCATCGTCAGAATGCGACCTTAGACGAGTAATGGAGCTGATAGGCCATTTACTGCGCGATCCTTTTAGCCCAGGGGTCAAGCACTCGCATAGACACGCCGATCATGCATATGGGGCCAAAAGGGAGCTGCAGTGAATTTGCCAAGGTCAAAGGGGTCAAAGTGGTCAAAAGAGGTCGACCCGAAAGCAGGATTAGCACAATGCTCTGCTTCTCTTCATGTGTGGCTTCGGTTTCTTTCTAAATTGATGAATTCAGACTCACTCTGTATCTCATAAACTCAGAGTGTTCTTGCTGAGTGATTCACACCGTGGCTCGACTCTCAGTCACAGCATAATGCGATGTTTTCGACTTTGGGCTGCGTTACTGTCTCTTGTGGCACCTTTGCTTGCTGATCTCTCATACGCCGAAACGCAGTCCCTACCGTCGTGCGCTGTGAGATAAGGGCGAGATCCAATCACTCAATGAAAAGCTAACATCCTTTCCAGCAACTCTGCATTGCCGACCTTCTTCCCAAATCGTCTTGTGTTTCCACTAACCAGACATGCATTTGCACGAATGCCCCTCTCAACAAGGAATTGACCGCTTGCGTCTCGGCGAATTGCACCCTCAAAGAATCTCTCAGTGCGTGAGACTGAGCATATTCTGCTCTCACCATGCTAATGAATCGCATAGCTGCTGTCAACATCACTGATACAACATGCGGGTCGCCCATTCGAGACCAGACTTCCCCGAGTATCCTCGTGCCGGCGGTAGGCATGAGCATCTTCATTGTCCTCATTATTATGAGAATGTACACCCGCCTCGTGGTCGCCAAGTTGGAAGTGGGGTTAGATGACTGGGTAACAATTCTCCTTGGGGTAAGTCCACATGTCTTGCGCAGATATCATTGGGAACTTCCAGCTAAATTATCGCAGTGTCTCGCAGTGCCTGTTAATACGGATTCAATATTGCGTGAGTGGCATTGATCAATCCCTCTCCTTTCCATAAGTACAAAGTTGTTAACAATGGCTTCAGTTGGCAAGGCAGGTCTAGGTAAAGATATCTGGACTCTGAAATTCGACAGTATCACTCGAATCCTCTACGTAAGGTCGGCCAGTTTACGCATACTTTCACGCACTAACGACCTCGAAAAGCTGTTCTATATCCAAGAGCTCCTCTACATTTCATGTGTCTCGCTCGTCAAGATCGGCTTCCTCTTATTCTACCTACGAATCTTCCCGACCGACCGCATACGTCTCATTATTAAAATCTCTTGCATTGTGACAATTTGCTATTGGCTGGGCTTCCTATTTGCTTTCGCATTTCAATGTTCGCCTGTTAGTTATAACTGGACTATGTGGGATGGAGAACATCAAGGTACATGCGTGAAGACAAATGCAATGGTCGTCACCGCTGCCGCATTGAATATTGTCTTGGACGTATGGGTCATTGCCCTGCCTATTCCGAAGGTACTGAAGCTGCAAGCATCAATCACCACAAAGCTTCAAGTTCTCTTGATGTTTTCTATTGGATTCCTGTGAGTCAGATCTCATTTCCCGACAGATCAAAACTTCAGTATGAAACAGTAAATGGACTAATCGGTCCTGTTCGAATAGAATTACTGGAGTTGGTGTCTATCGCGCCGTAATGCTGAAGCTATTCGCCACCAGCACAAATCCCACATGTACGACCCCTCCCGATTATTGAAACTAACAGGCAACTAATGGGATTCTACTCCAGGGGACAATGCTCCAGGTGGCTACTGGTCCGTGATCGAAATCGATGTTGGCATTTTCTGTCTATGTATGCCGGCCTTGCGATCGTTGCTTGGTCGTCTACTCCCATCTATCTTCGGCGCAACAAAGGGAGCTAGCAGTGTGGGACAAAGTAGTAGCCAGAAAAAAATACGGACTGCTGGTACTAGTAGCGGCCCAAACACAAGCTTCGTCCAATTGATAGAGATGGATGACATGGGTAACATGAAAAGCCACTCTGATATCTAGTTTACCTACTATGAAAATTACACAAAAGTATGGGAGGTCCGCTTGAAGGATCAGATGCTCCAATTTTATTCATACACATACAAATGTCCGTATATGTGGGTTCTCGTGTCTTAGGGATAATAGAAACACTCCTGTCAAGCATTGAGAGAACTGGTCGATGCCTAGTTATAGAAATGGCTGATGACGATGATGAACTCATTTGCCCGATGTAGCTCGCTCTATATATATGCTGCTATGCGGGAGTGCTGTCAGGCCTGCTGACAGCTGGAAGGTGGTCGCCAGCCCACTGGGCGATCGTCTGGGAACTCGCCTTGCGAATTTCTGATCAATCGCCCTCGAATCGAAAGATGTAGACTAAACAAAAGAAATGCACGGATGCAAATATGATAAACACAAAGCCCAAATGAACGTCATTTACCCCCTGGTCGCGGGTAGGACCCGGGCCCCGCTTCAACACACACCCCACGCCCTCGATCCTGTACCACTTTTCACACACTCCTGTATAGCTTGGCGATATAAAACTGCTGTGTTGTGTAACCGTGCCAAGCGCCCAATACACCTGCCGTGTGTATTGGTGCGCCCCACCAAATGCAATTTTTTCACCAGATGCAAGATTTTCAATTTGTTAAACTATGAAAATACTATTTACATGTAACCACCATGACTATCTATATACCGATTCCCACCATTACTATCCCTTGCCACCATTGAAGCTTCATGCTCAGCTTCAGCTAATTCCCTAGCTTCCTAAGCTCGCTGCTGAGCTTCTAATTCCTTGGCATGCTTTGTCTGTAACCGCTTCAACTTCCTAGTCTTAGCATCCTGTCTTTTTTACTATCATCCTATTTGTATATATAGGTAATAGGACATTGGCTTTGGTCCTAAGAAGCGATTTCCCATTTTTTGGTGTATTTGCAGTTTATTTGTTAGACTGAGACTTCTTTAAAGCCGCCTTCACCAATTCAAGCCCTTGAGATAAAAGCGTATTTGTATCTATACTTCGTTAAATATGCCTTTATACGCTCCTAGATAGATGCTTAATTCTCTCTAGATTATTGATAAGCTTAGTATTAAGCTTTTTAACCTACTTAATTATATCTAGTGGCGAATTGGTGACTAAGCTTATAAAGTCTAGGGGGGGGGGGCTCATGGTCACTGGCCGAAGAGGTCGTGGTGGGAGTCTTAGTAGTCTCGGTCGAGCTGGAGGTCATCACGGTAGTCGTGATCTCAGCGGTGTTGGAAGTTGCGGTAGTCTTGGTGGGCTCATCATCATTCGCCTCACCAGAGACACAATACTCAGCGTTGTCATCGAATTTGGCGCAGTCCAGATCAGGATTGATGGACTTGAGCTCCTTGGTGGTTATGCCCCAGCTGTCAGCAAAGGTCTCACAAGTGTCTCCAGAACTGGCAGCTATCGTGAAGGTGCAGTCAACACTACGACGAGAAAAGGCATGTCCGACGGAGCGTGCAGCAATCAACTCTGACAAGAGAGCCAAGGCAAGAACGGACTTTCCGTACATAGTGACTATATTGTTGAATCCTAGTAATGGTTTTCAGGAACCAAGTCGATCTGAACCAGACTGGGCCGTAGCGTCAGTTAACTAGGTGCTTTTATATGCATTTTGAATGTCTTTCGACACAATTGGCCCCCAAGGACATGGTTGACTGGAATTCCTCCATCGTTTCTGGGAGACTCGTCGACCCTCATCCAAAATCACCGGCGCGATAGATACGAGTAGTGCTGTCTCAGTTCAATCCCAATCCATCATGGCAAAGGAAATTGCAGTGGGCTGCATCGAGGGTTGAACTATGCAAAGTGGGCCCTATTTCAGCTTTGATAGTCCCAAATAGGAAGGATGGGGGCTGGATTTACTCGTATACAACATATACAGCTTTTTCGCCTTACAGACTGTAATGTTGGAAGCACGCCAAGGCCCTAAAGACGCCCGAGGAACCAAGGGTCCCTCACAAACCCTGCACAAACCCTCCACAAGCCAGCCCAAGCTCAAAATTCAGGCTAGGCATCAGCCTATCGCAAATCTCGGCCCAGCTCCAAACTGCACTGACCTTGGAACCTGATTTCAAAACTGCCCTGTTCCTGGCCGGATCTCCACCTGCACTTCAGTCGTGATGTCCCGATTGGTGAGCCGGCCCGGGAACAGGGATAGGGGTCGGCAGAACTTTCATTCTTGATGTTAATTGGCCACATTTAGATTACCAGGGCTTGACCCACCTTCCACCCGAGTGTTCCGCCCGCAATGGCTTGAAGTCTACCGAGGATCGCCCCGTGGTGTATAATCTACGTAGCCCTATGGAACTATCATTATTTTTGCGTCCTCGTAAATGCAAAAATTTGTCGGAGACCATGCTGTCAAAGAGCTCAAGGCTTATTAAACGAAGTAATAATATAGGATTTAATAATACTTCGTTATTTATCCAAATTTGATATTAAAAGTGAGGAAACTAGGGAGGATTTCCAACCTAAGGCTACCTTAAATTAGGACGAAAGGACTAAGGGTGATAAGGTAAGGGAGGCGGGACTTCCTAAGTGTATACTAGAGGCAATTAGCGAGGGTGAGGACGGTGATAACTCAAATGAAGTAGGAGAGATTATTACCGATTAGGAGGCCGCTAAGGAGTTAGATGATGATTCGGCACTATATCTATTGCCTATCATCGATACTACAAGTTAGGCACGCCCCTAAAGAGATCGTAAGCGGCGTAGGGATAAAGATCTATACGAGTATACTAGATAGTTCAATCATAGGATACTATAATTACACTACTATTTGATAGGAATTAATCTAGAATCATTCAATGCTACCTCCCACTATAAGCTAAATACCCATTAATATAGGGCATTTCTGTATATCTTATAACCGTGACTAAGCATTCACCTACACCCGTACCCGTGTGTAGGTGAGCCAATGCCTATTCACAAACCAATGCCTATTCACAAAAAATTCAACCTTCAATTTTCAACCTTACTTTTTACCACCAAAACAATGCCGATTTCCTCCGAACAAGAAGAGATCCTTCTCTCAAATGCCCTCGAAGCCTATAAATCAGGCCAATTCAACAGTATTCAGGCCGCAGCCTCTCATTTTGGCGTGTCAAAGTGGAAGCTCCGGAGCCGGCAGCAGGGCAGGTCAAATGGAAAAGGCCGTACAGCCACCAATAAAGCACTAAATCAGTCGCAAGAGAAATCCCTGATTCGGTGGATCGAGCTACTTAATTCAGTATATACACCACCGACTGCTTTAGATATTGAGGGTGCTGTAAATCGCATTTTACAGCACTGCGGTTCCGACCGGCAGGTCAGCAAAATGTACGGCTACCAATTTATTGCACGCCTACCACCGCATATCACTCTCCGTACGCAAAAGCCTATGGAAAAAGCGAGAATCTAGGCTGAGTTACACGGTGAATTAGTTCATTGGTATGAGGTCTTCGGCCAATTCCTTAAAAAGAATAAAATTCAGGCCCACGAACTATATAACTGGGATGAAACTGGCTTTTAGCTAGGCATTGGAACTAAGGAAAACGTTGCTTCTACCCGTGAAAACGAGACTATCGCGACCGGTGGAATAGGCTAGAATATCACTGGCATTGAATGCATTTCGGCCGATGGCTGGGTTATGCATCCATGGTTTTTAATGCGTGGTTCTGAATAAATGGAAGATTGGTACGACGGCGATAATGACCCTTCCAATTACTAGGTTATTAAACCAACTACAAAAGGCTGGACGGACGATAAAACCGCGATTCAATGGCTATTGGATTTCTATTATGCCACTAAAAAGCGAGTTGCTAGAGGCAGACCTAGGGTATTGGTTATGGATAACCATGGTTCTTATGGAACCCCGGAATTCGAACATATTTGCTAAAGCTTCAATATCATACCTTGGTGGTTTATACCGAAATTGACACATCGATGCCAGCCTCTCGATGGCAAGCCATTCTTAGTTCTTAAACAGAAATTCCGAAAGAGGAATAATGAGATTGTACGATGGGGTGGAGATGTTGACGATAAACGGCACTTTCTTCAGATGATCAAAATAGTTCGTAAAGACACATTTAAATCACGAACTATTAAATCATCATTCTATGATACTGGCATTTGGCCTTGGAATCCATATATTGTCTGTGATTAAATTGATCCTGGCTGGGAAGATAAACTAGTGATTGAGATCTATGGTCATACACCTTCGCCGGAGGTAGAAATTCCTAGTTTAATCACCAATTCACCGCCTAATTTAGATCAAAGGTTCTCAAAAATTGAGAATAAGCTTCAAACGATATTCGAAAACGATGAACCAGACCTTCCGAAGGTTCAAAAGCATATAAAACGTGCGATTTAGGGCGGCAAGCAGGCCATCTAAGACCTAGCCCTTGCAAAACAGACGATCAAAAAGATGCAAAGCCACAAAATTCCTATCAAAAAGTCAAAGCGCATTATAAAAGGCGCTTCTAAGTCTCCGTTATCGTCAATTGCAGGTAATTCGAGGGTTCATCGGCGCTGTACGAAGGAATCTAGATTGGACATTCGGCATGAGAACGGAAACGCAAGGATTCGAGACTACTGGCTCCGCGCCAACCAAGCTCTTAAAGAAAAAGAAGAGGCATTAGGAGGTAGAGATTATCTCGATGCTGAAAATGAGCTATTTCAATTTATAGATCCAGATGGTATGGTGGTTGAAAAATAGGTCTGAAATTGAAAGGTTGGATTTTTTGTGAATAGGCATTGGTTTGTGAATAGGCATTGGCTCACCTACACACGGGTACGGGTGTAGGTGAATGCTTAGTCACGGTTACAGGTCACGTTTTTCTACGTGTTTACAGTGTTTACAGTCCCATAGGAGTCCCATCAAAGTCCCATGGGAGCGGACTGGCACCCCACTCCCATCTCTTGGCACTCCCATGGGACCAAATGATGGGAGTTGGCAAGGTCTACACTAGATTAAGTGATTTTAAAGCTTAATATCCGGCTTCGAACGCCTAACCCCCCTCCTAGCCGGGGTAGTGAATCAAGTCGAAACTTTACACTAAAAACGCTAGCTATAGAGAAAGAACTACGTCGGTAGGCTTTATCAATCAAAGCTTTACTTCGTATAAGATCTCGAAGTCCACCTAGCCCGTTAGATCGTGCATTAAACCAGCTTGTAAAAGGCTTCCGGCTTACAATACAAGGTGCTATCTTACTCGCGAAAGAAAACAAGGAATTACGCGCCGCTAACGAGAAGCAGAAGCAAAAGCGTACTCGATCCCAACAGCAGATACCAGCTGAAGTAGGGCTCACAGTTCAAGAAGCTTCTCAATTGATTACTAAGCCGGTGGAAGCAGATGAAGCACCTCCCTCCCCTCCACGAAGAAGCCCTTCGCCGGCTTTATAACCACGTACACGGGCGCCACCAAAGTGCAGTGGTTGTGGAGAAATAGGGCATAAAATCAATAGATGTTCAGCTAGATAGATGATTTTAGTGTATTTAATTTAATGGAGTTTTGGTTGAGATATATGCATTTAAAATTAGTAGGTTGGTTTGGGTGGACCACTCGTATATGAAATACGTTAGTATAAATACTACCTTTTCAATTTCTTACGGGCGGGGTGGACCTCACTTTCCGAAAAAGTGAACGTTGATTCATAAAGACTTTGTCAATTCAGCTTGGACGCGACCCTACATTGGCCCCATTCCTTGTATAAAAAATTATGTTGATACTGAAATCTCCAACTCTCGTTGTAGCAGTAATACTTCATACATGTAGAAAGCTCTAATACATCGGAAATATGAACAAGATCGCATCTAAATCAAGAGCGATCCCATAATCAATACACCAGCAGTCCACCATTTCAGCGAAGAAGCTATATCGGTGATAGCAGCCCCGCCGTTCTTAGCTGGGCAGCTCACAATAGGGTCAATACCCTTGCACTGAGCTGCGGTAATGGAAGCTGCTATGCTCGAGGCAACCGAAGGAACGATGCTGACCTTGCAAGGAGAAGGAGTAGGCGCCGGAGTCTCGAGCACGGCGCATTTATCGCCTTGAAGGTCGCCTGATTGAGCTATGAGAGTTTTCGTGACGTTGAACGCCATAGCGGAGATGTCATCGCACTTGTCATCGGCGGTGAGAGCGGTCAAATTGGGCTGACCTGCCCCTTTTTTCGTAGTGAAGCGGATGGAATGGCTATCGGACGGGCCGTTCAAGTTGACCTCGGGCTTGCCGTCAGAAGTGGTCCCATTCGCCGGTGTAGAGCAGTTTGTCCATTCAAGTCCCCAGACAAATTCCCATTCATTCTCGGTGTTCAGACTCTCGGGATGCAGAGTGCTTGGTATGCTACCCTTAAGGTATGACACTGGGTCCGTCGTATTGAGGTCCAACTCACCGTCATCGATATAGGCGGCCATTGTTTGATTCCCCCTTGGGAGATCCGCCGGCCACACACCGTACCTGAGGTATGGATAGAGTCCATCAATCACTTTGGGGTTCTGAAATGCGAAGATGACGGGCATGAGCACCATCGGCTCAAAGGTGCCATTTCGTGGGAAGATCAGATCGATCTCTCCGAAGCCCAAGTCATGCGTATTGGCCGCTCCTAGGGACACCATAAGGCCGAGGGCGAGAAGTTGCGCCTTGATGTTGAACATCCTGCGCGTTCGGCAATATTGGAGTGGAAAGGTCTGGTGTCGTGAAACAATGGATGACTTAGACAGTCTAAAAGAAAAAGCTGAAATGAATTGATATCGATCGTAAGGCTCTCAAGGTCAAGAGAGGAGATCGAAAGACAGGGAAGGTTTGATCCGGTAGGGCGAAGTACCCCAAATGTGTTAGTACTTTTTCCGGGCACAAACGGGACTACGCGCGCTAGGGAGACTAGAAGGTTTCGTAGTTTGGGGCCGCAGAAGAGGGTCCTTTTAAAGTGGACCACCTCAATACGGAATTACATACAGATACACAACTACTTCATACATCACATTATGTACATGCATTTGATAGCCCTAGTTTATGTCCATTGTACCTAGGTAGATCTGTTGGTGCAGTGGGTCGAGCCAGTGCTTGGGGGCTTTTGCTACTCTTGGCGGCCCCTGTATGATTCATACAAACGCTGCAATTGGGTGTCCTATACCTCTCCATGGCATTCTACGGAGATTATGGTGCATTTCTCTGAAACACCGGATGGATCCAGTTCTCGGACTCGAAGAAAGTATCCGCGTGGGTATGTCGTTCGTGATACAATCAAACCCGGAGGCCATACCAGATGGGTCTGCGGATCCAGTGCAGCCTTGGAGAGACTTGTACTTTGGAAGGATTCCATATCAAGTCTAAGATTGGGGGCGAGAAAAGATAGCATATTTATTTGCGCTGCTCCAGCACTGGATATTGTTTTCTCGGAATCAATATACCTCTCGACTTGGGGGGATTCTTGGGACTTAACCGTTCCCAACAGCCACTCGTTTTTTCATTTGTCTATACAGTCTTTTGGTCAATTTTCATCACTCTTTTCACATTTTAACATTACACTCTTTTCAACCTCCTCCACGAGGGGTCCAAAGCCATGGCGCCCCTTTTGAATGGTATGGCTGCAGGCATACTGTTATCAGCTGCGGTCGTCTCCGGTCAGGGAATTTCCAGACTGGGTGCCAGTCCAAGCTATCAAGGGTTTAACAACATCTGCCCCGAGCGATGCATTGTCACGGGACCCAACCCCTCCAATTGGTCGACGTACCACAATATGAAACAGCTCGAAAGGTGTGACCTGCCTCTGTTCTATGGCTTCAATATGTACGATGATATCGATGATACCGACACTTATCACCGTATCCTCGCTAGCACAGCATACGGCAATGACTGGAGAGAAAACAGTCAGGCCCATTTGCAACTTTCTCGCCCCGTGAAGGAGCACAAGGTCAACTATGAGATCGGCTGGTCGTCATATTCAGAAGGCACTGAATCCGAGTACCGCTCCTTAATCAGACAAATGCGTGATTATATTGCCCGCGGACACCTTACCCCCAGCAAGACAGCTATGCTATATTCTCGCTTTGGTGCCACTTCAGCTGGTATCTACATTGGCAACAGTCTATAAAGTAAAGATATTAGCGATGTGGCTCTGGAGTCTCTTATCGACGATTCCCACGATTTCGATGGACGTCGAGATAGTTTGGCTATGCAGCTCTGTGGACCGGACCACACTATGACTCTCAACACGTCTTTGGATTTCTGGCTCTGAGAAATGGCACCTTTAAAGCCATCCAGTCTGCCTTTGAATCCTGGTCCAATGCCGAGTGCCTTGACTTCGAACAAACCACGAACTTCACGGCTAGTGCCCACTTTATATCTCTTATGCTGTCTTCCATCAAGGCTGGAAATACGACCACAAGCAGCATAAAAGCCTCTGGTTCACTCCTACCTACCAAGTCATATACGCAATATAAGAGGAATCTGCTATTTTCTAGGGCGGAGTGCAAAATAGAGAAAGTCTAAGATAGTGATAGCTACGCCGCAATCGCCTCGAGGTGTGGTATCTCCGGGGCTGACTTCACTAAGTACAACTCTGCGAAAGGCTTCTACTCGAAGTTAAAGCCTGGTTAGCACGTTTTCTGCTCCTCTGGTACACTTCCCGACTTTAGCCTAACAAAGACGGATTATATGCCATAGCCACTGTTGGCGATAGCGAAAGTTGTTTAACGATTGGTGCGGCTAATGGTCTTACGGAGAAAGACATCGATGGTTTCAATCAAAAGACTTAGGCATGGACTGGGTGTAAGAATATCTTTAAAGATTCTATCATCTATATTAGTAAAGAATCTCCGCCTATACTAGCTGAGGTTTCTGATGCCTAGTGTGGTCCCTAGGTTCCTAGCACGAAGCCTCTAAAAGATATAAGCAATCTTGCCGATCTCAACCTATGCCTACTAAATGCTTACTATAATATATTTGGCTATATATGCCCCCTATCTGCTTTCCGCTATTACACTAAGCTCACTAATACTACCTATAGTGCGGAACCACAGCAGAATTCTGTACCGATACTAATATAGGTGCCCCTAGTACTACTAAAGCCGGCACTAACGGCTATATCTCACACTACGGTATGAAGATCGTGAAAGGAAATGTCCCTAGCGAGTTCCGTAGCATCGGATATTACGAAGGTTATCAGTTCAAACGTGATTGCTTATATCAAGATACGACACAAGTTGATCATTTAAAATATACTCACTTGCATTTTGGTTTTGCCGATATCTCCTCCGACTACGAAATCAGTATTAACGACAAATCGACCAACTATTAGTTCTTTAACTTCAAGTATATCTCTAGTCCTAAGAGGATTGTCAGTTTCGGTGGATAGGACTTCTCTACCTAAGTATCCACATACCAGATTTTGCGCCAAGGAACCAGCCCGGCTAATCGTAAGAAGCTTGCGATAAACATTGCGAAGTTCGTGAACGATAACGACCTTGATGGTGTCGACATTGACTGGGAATACCCAAGTGTACGTATAGCCCTATGCGCCATTTCTCTCTGAGGCCGAAGGAGTAATTAGTCACTAACAAAAACCTGGCACCTGATATTCCTGGAACCCCGCCTCGTGACAAGAGTGAAGGAGCCAACTATCTTGCTTTCCTTGTGATTCTGAAGAATCTTCTTAAAGAAAAATCTATTTCGATTGCCGCTCCTAGCTTATACTGGTACCTCAAGGGCTTCCCTATCGCGAAGATTAGTAAGGTTGTTGACTATATTGTCTTCATGACTTATGATTTGCACGGGCAATGGGATGCAGGTAACCCTAACGCCCAATAAGCTGTCTACGAAGCCATATCAATATAACGGAGACCCGAGAATCCCTTTCCCTAATCACTAAGGCTGGTGTGGACTTAGGGAAGGTAGTTGTCGGCGTTAGCAGCTACGGAAGATCTTTCAGGATAGCCGATGCAGACTGCGATGGACCGCTGTGCAAATTCACCGGAGGCCGACTAGATTCCAATGCCGATAAGGTAGAGTGCACTGATACCGCGGGCTATATCTCAAATGCTGAGATCAATCAACTCCTCAAGCACAACTCATCCCCCGTCAATAAACATTATATTGACGCCCACAGCAACAGCAACATCATGGTCTACGATAACACAAATTGGGTGGCCTACATGAGCCCCGAAATCAGGGCTCAGCGAGCCAAGATGTACGAATCCCTTGGTATGGGCGGCACAGTCAACTGGGCCACCGATTTAGAATAATTCAACGACGCACCTGAGGGATTCGATGGTTGGCCTGGTCTGATACTTGAAGCGAAGTCTGGCGTCATCACGCCCCGAGGCGCTGGTAACCGCAGGGGCAACTGGACTAAGATCGGCTATGACGACGAGTACTACAGGGAGACTCCCTATTAGTCCCCCATGACCCGCTGGGAAAAGCTTGGCGCCGCCGATGCCTGGAGTGATATAATTGCGGATTGGAAGGACTACCGAGACAAGTTTGATAAAGACATCAGTGATCGGTTCTCCTCACAGATTTTATACTTCCTTGGCAACTCCGATGGGGCAAAATGCCATCGTATTGAAGAGGACTCTAATTGCGTGCAGACTCGAAGCTACTCGGAATTCGAGGTTGAGACGAATAATAAGACAGGTGCTACGGCTGTGCTCATCTGGAACTCTATTGTCGCGATTCATCAGGTAATCACTATCTCTAACCCCCCGCGCAGTTCAAAAGGATCTAGTTAACAATAGATACGCCCAGATGTATGCCTAATTCAGGAGCGCACTTCTAGTTAACGCCGCACTTGTCATTAGCAACACTCTCCCTGATTTGGAGAACACATTTGCGCCTGTTCCTCTGAAGAAGGATGATTCGTGATTAAACACCATACTAGGTCTGATCGCCTTGGGTGTGCTAACAGTTGGCGGGAAATTCTTCGATGATGGTACTCTTTTCCTTATGAACTTTACCTAGTCAAATTCTTTAATTTACTAATTTACATTATAGTGCTGGCGGGAATACCTGCGATGGCCGCTAAGACCGACGCCTCGAGAGATCACCATAAGTCGGCCTTGAACGCCATCCTTACCAGTCCTATCACGATTACAACGAATCTGAAGGGCGATTCGGACGTGTGGGTCTTCCAAATTTAAGTTTGATATGGAACTACAGCTGACTACGATTCATCTTCAGAGATGACTGGACACCCGAAAAGCAAGCCGAGTTCTCTAAGTACATGGGTCAGAGTCTTAAAGCTTGGGAGTACATTTTTAAAACGGATCTCAAAAATCTATTCGATGGCTCTGATAAGTCATTGAAAGACTCACCACCATGATAGCGGACGGACGCCTGCTCGACGGTATTCCGGAAGACATCCCCTATCCGAAGAAGATAAAGCGTAAGGATAAGGGGATCGAAGCGTTAGATGCTTAGAAGAAGTCGGTGGAAGATGGTTTCCTAACTACCTTTTGGGCATACTCCATTCCCGCCGTTTGGTAGGCCTCGGGTCATCATCCTTTCATTATTGACACAGGTCGAAGCTACGATAATAAGGATGGCGACAAGTATACTAAGGACTTAAAGTCTACGTGTTATGAAAAAAGGCTGTACTAATTGGCGGATCCTAATGGCAAATCGCACCCTTGCGACAAGAATTACGGAATTCCGGGAGGCTATAAATGCCCCGATAGTGCATTCTCTTCGCCTAAAGGCGTTCAAGAGCTCGATAGCAAGGCCTAGAATGGAATTAAGGTCGACGATATTATTATTAGGTAAGTCTTCGCTTTCTCCACGTGTTTACTTTCATTCCTTATTATAGATTACTAATAAATGACCCTACCAGATCTATTAAAACGTATAAGCAGAACGGCAATAAGAACGGCGGAGGCAAGGCGAATCCAAAAGACTTAGGTACATTTGACGCCCTCAAGAAGATGGAAATCATGACTCCTAGATTCATACGCCTCCCCGTGTGCAGTGAGACTCTAGCCCGCAAATCATAGGAAAATGCCGACAAGACAGATGCCATAAGACATAAGGAAGGCTTCCCATATAATAACGATAATGGCAAGTCGTACTGCACCACATCGAAAACAACCTATATCGAAGAGACTACGAGTGGATCGCCACTTATCGATGATTGCCTGGTCATTGTCAAGAACATTCAAGGAACAAGTGGGTCATAGATCAAGCCGATCGAAATGCAGTTCGGAATTCTCAATTTTAGAACATGTACTTTCGGCATTGAGGGCAAAGGTCGTAAAGGAAATGTCGACGAATATGTCGGGGCCCAGGACGTCGTCGATATTATCCGATACACTTCGAAGCACTGGGGCCACGGAACCGGTAAAATGCAGGGCAAGGGAGTCATGCAGTGCGATGGTAACATCAAGATACGGGCCTGAGGTGGAAGCCCACTGCGGGTTAATGGGCCCCCAAATGGGCCCCAAACAGTACAAATATATTTTGTAGATATATATCCTGATGAGGTAAGATAACCCTTGGAAATAAGTGAACTCATAACTTTTTACACTGACGAGGTATGGTGAGGTTGACCTGTGTCCTGATCAAATAATGGCCTGTACAAATTTGGTTGGGGCCTGCCTAATCTCCTGGCACCTGCCTTTGCCAACTTCATGAAAACAAATCCCATGGTCGCCAAGCCGTAAATCAGTGCAATCAATTGACCTGTTGACATGATGTCCTTGACTCCTGTTATTGAATTCCACTGCAAAGTTAATTCGATGCCAACTATGGTATAGGCGAAGAGTGCAAGCAGTCCAATCATATATAGAGCCCTGTATCATATATCATGCTGAATTAGCCCCAGTAGTCTATCCCTAAAGCAAGAAACCCATTGCTTCTAATTACTCACTGGAGTAAAAGTTGATGTACTCTTTGCTCATCGAGGTTTCGTGGGGGGCTAGAGGCCCTAGAGCGTTCATATTTGCAGCAGAAAATCGGCAGAAGCAATTTTGCGAAGAGATCAAAGATGAAAGTGATCCAATATGGTATGGTTAAGAGAGATAGCACAAGGGCCAACCTGGGATGCCCGCGAGAATTAAAGATATATGCAGGGAAACTCAGGTACGGGGTTAGGGCAAGTGATATAGAGAGGAATGCCATAAATCCACTTATAGGTCGGAGGCCGGACTTGATTTTGCGAAAGAAAAAGAAGCAGGTTCCACCCGGTGTTGGTGTGAACAGGTCAGAATCATTTATACTTATTGATGTCCAGAACCAGCAGCTGAACAGCAGCATTGGTTGAACTAAAATGACAATTGCTGCAGGAAGTCCTGATTGCGAGTGGTGAGAGAATCTTCTCAACCTTTCTTCTTCCAAGATCTCGCGCCTTGCTGGCGATTGATCAACAGCGTCCGGCGTCCTAGGACCCGTCACTGTGGCAGCTGCATCGCTATAATCAGTTTTATTGCCTTCCCCATATTTCTCGATATTCGTCCCGGGAATCTGGCTGCCGGTGTGTGACGTGGCTGAATCTCTTCGATCGGAATGTATGGGTACACTGTTCATCGTAGTCTGAGGGCTTTGGGGAAGTGTATGGACTGTAGAAGGACCGGCCTCAGAGAAATTTTGAGGAAACTAGTTCCAAGGCTGAGCATTTTTCTTTGGACCATGTGGTTTGGATATGGATACCTTGGATAATTTCCCGTGTGGAAGTCTGTTTCCAATGCTACCACCCAATGTAGTTGTAGGTTGTCCAAAGACAACCTCGCCAACGGATAATCTCCGTACCGTCAAGTCTCCCCCTGGTAGTTCTCCCTCTGTTTCGGGGGTTCCATGCGAGTTGCGCCTGACTGTCATCAATTCGAGGTCAGAAACCTGATTTACCTCCTTTGAAAGCCTTCGCCGGCTTGTCAGACTAGAACGTCTCTCTGAGGCTGTGGAAGTTGTTATAGCTCCTCTCACATGTTGTAACTCGATCGCTGTTCCAAGTTGGGCACCTATTTTTTCCAAAGGAAAAAAAATTACCCCCGAACGAAACCGCGGAGCAAAGACCTGGGTAGACACAAACCATTCCTATCTGAGACTTGATGAGGTGGGGTCAGCCTGCTACCATGTGTATCACCGACATTTTCCCCTCCTAGCTGATCTAGATTCTCCTCCTGTCGTTCTTCTGGGCCGCGCAGTTTCCTGAGAGTTTTCACTCGAGCCTCTCCGACGGAATCAATCAGTAAAAAAAACTTCATTGGCACATTTTGGGGAATCTCATTGTTTGTCTCGAGGCGGTTTCCAGACCACCAGTCGCACAGGGGAGTAATTCCGTAGTAAATGCTATCATATAAGTGGATTGCGCCCCCGAGAGGTAACATAATATTAAAAACACCGCCAAAAAATATAAACAGAATAATAATTACTTCGGCATCAAACACGCACCCGGGGATGAATATCAGAACAATTAATGCCAGCTCAAAGGCTAACGAAAGAAATGCATAAGTTATTACCAGGTTCAACTGATCATCGGGCAATAGCACATTGGCTATAATAGATGCGGCCCACTGAAAATAAAAGCCAAGTCGAATTCCGAGGCCGTAAAAGTCCGGAATGCCAATAAATCCAGGCTGGCCGTCTGTTATTCGACTTGAACATGCCGACGGGCCGTTCCTCGTTTGGGCGTACAGAACCAAGGTGGTTATAAGAGTCGATGGGATGAAAATATACAGAAAGATTAAGTGTGAAAACACCCAAACCTTGGCACCATATACAGAGGCGTAGTAAAAGAATGAGTAAAAGGCGAAGGGAATTGCCTCAATAGTAGCTATAATACTTTTTAAGAAAGGCATAGGTAATTGTTGTATTCCAAGTGACCTGTTGAAAATCTTGTTTGATCATGGGGTATCTGGTGCATTTCTAGTTGAGACCAAGCATGGTTTATATCCCTAGGTATGATCAATGGAATAGTCGAGAACACAGGTCAGATGCCATGGTGGATGATACTCTTGATACTCTCCTTCTGGCTACAGGAAGTATTTCACAATATTATCTCCTTGACGCAATTTTCACACCTATATGCGGTACATCAAGAAAAGCTATAGGTTTTTATCTATGGATATTGGTCCCACCAATACTGGTAGGTGAATTGAAGTTCAAGTGTTAAAGGTCAACTGTCCATGTGATAACTGCAAAAAAACTAACATACCATGGTACCAAAACAATGGGAGCAGAATATTTTATCTAACCAGGAAAATAATTTTAGAGCAAAAAAAGAAAAAGGCAAAAATAATATTAGACAAATAAGCTCTGAAGTGACAGTCTCAGCTGATGCTATTAACTTTCGGGTTATAGCTTCTTCATATGTGTGGCCTGGGGCTCCACTGTCGTCACTGTTTGAGAAAGCGCCACTTCCAACCGACGTAATTCTAAGAACATAAATTATTCAAACTTTTGAGGAGTGTACCATTAGACCTTGCTATTCGTAATAACTTCTAGCCCCTATGGCGATTTTAATTTTACAAATAAAGTTCGATTAGGGTGTTCCAAATTAAGGCTCGGGAAACAAAATGTGAGTGTATGCGGGGGAATCTGTTTTCGGATATGACAGTATTGTAAAAGCCTAGTGCGCCTAGTCTCTAAGCCACAGGAAATGATCTTCCGGACCGTTCCGGACCGTTCCGGTATTGATGTCCCGTGCCATTTCACCCTATGCTTAACAAAAAAATGGACCCATATATTTTCGCAAAGTCTGGAGAGTAGGCGTGCGTGAGTGCTTAAGTTCTAGATTTTCGATGATGGAAGAGAGTTGAATCTTTGACTCTGCGAACTTCAACGGAAACTCAGCACATCTTGTGCACACTCTATCTTGTGCACTCTCTCGTCGAAGCCCATCTCTACCTAAGGCTTAGGTCATGATCCGACCGAATATTAACCCCGCACGGCTTCAGCTCCCCACTTTCCATTTTCTTCCTATTCTCTTGAATGATTTCCTTATTCTCCTCGTTACTCTTCTTAACCCATGCTTTCTCCTCTGCCGTTAGAGGTGGCGGCAATAACGATGGATCTGGGTTCCGCCACTGCTCCTGGGGCACTTTCGTTCCATCTGCTCCGCGAAACATGTCTTCTGTTTCCTGGTCAAATGCGAAGCGATCGAGATAAGCTTTGATCAGTCGAGTTGGAAGGCCGATGGCATCTACTATGTCGCGGTTGGTTTCCATAGATCGGAGGACGCCATCGGTGCCCATGACAATGGTAGCGGTGCCGTCTGAACCACAGTATAGTTTGCCGATGATGTTGGATAATTCTTCTTGGTCAGGGTGATAGTTCGGGTCGCCACCGTAGCGACTGTTGGCGGCCATTATTCCGTTTGTATTTGGAAGATAGAATTGGGACTATTGTCAAGATATCTTTTTTGAGATAGTCAGAATTGGTAATTAGATGAGGTGTTTTACTATTTATATAGAAAAGCAATGAGCCACATGACTACAGTATTTTCACGTTCAGGAAAATAGGGAGCTGAAGCCGTGCGGGGTTAACATTTGGTCGGATCATGATCTAAGCCTTAGGTAGAAATGGGCATTATAACGTCACAACGATATGGTACGGTTTAGTTAACCGATAGGTTTTGTTCTTTTACAATACAACTTGTTAAATGAAAATTAAACCAGATGCACCTATTTCGACTTCACGTTAACGACAGCATCCTTTCCACGACTCTTTAGACTTGATTGTCATCCCTTACAATTTTTATTCCCTGCTTTTGGCTTTTTCCTAATACAAATTTTCTCCGGGGCGGCGGTACTGATACTGTGTCTACTAAGGTGGGGCATTTTCTTTGTTATATCGAGGTAGCATCGCAGGCATACAATTAAATAATTGAGACATTTTCTCTATTGCCAATCGGCTTCCCTTACTGATTCATGCTATAGCAGCTAACTCACTATAGGAACGAACGAAAGATAGATTTGGAGCTTGAGTGATGTAACCAATAAGCTATGGGCGGGTGACGGAGAGGGCTATTCTCCGTCTGCTACATAGCACTTCAACGGCGTTCTGTATGAGGGAAGTGGCGTGGTGTTTAACTAACCCGGATAGAACGTAGCGTAGGGATCGTAGGGTGCTACTAAGATATATAACTTATCACATGAAAATAATCTAAAATTGCCTCTTATAACTCGCTATAAGAACGAAAGATAGATTGGGAGCTTGAGTGATATAACCAATAAGCTATAGGCGGGTGACGGGGAGGGCTATTCTCCGTCTGCTACCTAGCACTTCAACGGCATTCTGCATGAGGGAAGTGGTGTGGTGTTGAACTAACCCGGATATAACAGGGCGCAAGGATCAGATATATCGTTTCCTCGGCGATTATAGCTCCGTCTATTGGCTATTACGGCATTGAGGAGCAAAAATTGGAAGAGCTCAGGTCTACGTATAGAAGACTCTACCTTGTCTTCCCTTTGCTTATAAGTGCTTTGATGGAACTCTCAGTGCCATCTTCTTCGTTGCACTCCTCTATTTTCTCCCTCCTTGTTATAGCCTCTGGTTTCAACAGTCGACATAATCATGCGCCTCTCCGTTGGTCAAATCTTAGCCGCTCTTCTTGCAGTTGCCGCTGCTCCCTGCGCAGCTGCGCCAGTGAGTGCCCCTTTGCTGAATTCAAACTATGTTATACGTCTTCTAATGTCTCTCCTAGACAGAGGAACCATCCTGGATGGATTTATTGGCTTCTTTCGAAACAGCGAAACCCACGGACTTCTTTCACTTAGGTGACGACGGGGTTCTGAGACACTTCAACGAATCGGGCGCTGTTCTCGAATATGCACCGCTCAGCCCGCAGCAGATCAGCCAGGCACTTTCCGATACATCGTCGCTCAACACCGCGGAAGAAAAGGAACATCTTTCCTTAGTATTTGAAAACGTGGATGGTCGTGATGTCAAGGGTCTGGCGCTCCTAAATCCTCCGGCGTATATTTATCCAGCCGGTTTCCTCGCCAATCGAAAACCAGCAGAAACTTCGGAAGTTCCGCGGTCTGACCTCAGTCTAAACCCAAGGCAGCATTGTCCTTCTCGCCGTTGCTTTCCCGGGGAAAACTGTGGAAAATATCCAGGCTGCACACATTGCGTCGTTAAAGACAAGCTTAAGCAGGGGTCGTGTGTATAGATAGATTAGGCTGAGGACATGGTGTTCGTGCTTCTATGGAGTGTCGTGGGTTAAGGCGTTAGTCGAACAATACCACACCTCAAAATATCGCATAATTCGCATAGCTGCCTTAGTCCTGGCTAGACCTCGGCACAGCCCATAGGCGGGCCGTAAGGTACGAAGACGTATAGGGGCCAGGGTTCAAAACCCTTTTTTAGGGGGATTTTATGCCTTAATCGTGGCACCGCCTTTTACCACCACCTACCCGGTGTTGGTGGGCCCCACCGGATCCCATATTCTCACCGGATCCCAGATTTTCAATTTTGTATCAACTTCCTACCCATTTTATACCACCCCACGATGTCAGATCAAATTGAAGATATTGAAATGAGAACTCTACAGGCCGCAGAAGCCTATAAGAAAAGCAATAAGCCCAATTTAGCTAAATTGGCGCGGGAATTTGCGGTTCCAATTGATCGACTACGCGGTCGCGTTCACGGTCGGAAGTCCAATTCGACTATTGCTAGCCAAGGCAAGGCATTGAGTTTAATTCAAGAAAAAGCATTGATTTCTTGGATCCAAACCCTACGCCATTCATATACTACAAATAGCCCAGAGCGTATTGAGCGATCTGCAAACCAGCTTTTAAAGACTGCTGGTTCCGACCGGCAGGTTGGCCACAACTGGGTATACCGTTTCATCAAGCGCCTCCCACCAGACATCCCATATATTAGCCTAAAACCTACTGAAAAAGTAAGGTTTGAAAGCGAGAACTATGGTGAATTACTCCTTTGGTTTAATAGTCTTCGAAAGGTTATAGATTAATATGGTTTTCAAAAGAATGAGATCTTCAATTGGGATGAAACTGGCTACCAAATTGGCTAAGGAAAGCGTCAAAAGGTTATTGCTCCATGCGGTGTATATGCAAATCCTACCGGCGGTCAAAATGAGTCTATTACCGGCATTGAATGTATTGCTGCCGATGGTTGGGTTATGCTACCATGGTTCCTACCTAAGGGTAGTAACCATATAGCAGAGTGGTATAAAAATATCACTATCCCAGATTTTCGAATTAAGCCTACACCAAATGGCTGGATCAATAACGAAACTGCATTTCAATGGCTTTGTTCATTTCACGAAGCGTCAATTTCTCGTGTTAATAAAGGCAGGCCAAGGCTTCTTCTTATGGATAATCATGGTTCTCATACTACCATTGAATTTACTACCTTTTGTAAGGAGAAATTCATTATTCCATTTTACTTTCTACCCTATACAACACATCTCTGCCAGCCGCTAGATGGTCAAGCTTTTCAATGCTTAAAACATTACTTTCGTTCCGCCAATAACGAAGTTATGATGTGGGGTGGAAGTGTTACTAGAAAGGAAGACTTTTTCAGGATGATCCACGATATTCGGAAGAAAGCATTTACCAACCGGGTAATTCGATCTTCATTTGAATCTAGGGGTATTTACCCTTTCAATCCAGAGATTGTTCTTACTCCTTTACGCCGGGAAGATGAAGCAGAGGGTGGTATAATACGCATTATTACCCCCTCCCCCCGCCTGAGATCCTAAGCTCAGTCACCAATTCGCCCCCAGATACCATTCCTCGGGTTAATAAGCTTAATGCTAAGCTTATTAAGCATCTCAAATCTCAAAATCAGCAAGCGAGACGGCATATCCAGCGTAGTATGGATGCAAATACACTTCTATCCTAACAGCTGGATCTAGTAAAGGCATCTTTAAAGAAGTCTCAATCCCACCAGAAAGCTAGAAATCAACCGAGAAGTAGGAAATCGATTCTTGGAGCTTCTAATTCAGTCCTATCTCCTATATCTGCAAATAGGATGATAGCAAAAAGGGATGAGGCTGATACTAAGAAGCTCCAGAGGAAGCATGCCAAGCAAGCCAAGGAATTGGAAGATGAACAGCAGGCCCAAAAGGCAAGGGATTTAGCTGAGGCTGAGCATGAAGCATCAATGGCGGCAAGAGATAGTAATAGTGGAAATTGGTATATAGATAGTCATGGTGGTTATTTGTAAATAGTGTGTTGAATGCATTTTTAATTGAAAATCTGGGATCCGGTGAGAATATGGGATCCGGTGGGGCCCACCAACACCGGGTAGGTGGTGGTAAAAGGCGGTGCCACGATTAATGCCTTAATTCAGAACGGCAGAAAAATTAAAATACCTGAATTACTATTACATATGCCTTAGTAATCAGGGTACCCTGATTCTGCTGGCGTTTACAAGTCCGAAAAATGAAGTTTTTGTACACCATACAAATGCCGGTATCTCCATTATTTCTGGTGGTTGCAAGTCCAAAAATGAAGCTTTTGTTCATCATACAACTGCCGGTATCCCCATGTTTTGGACTTCCAAACCGCCCAGAAATATGGAGATACCTAAATTTGTATGGAGGTCAAAAGCTTCATCTAGGCAGGTTGATGTATTAACAATTTACAGTACACTATATTAGGGCGGTGTATAAAGCGGTTCAAAATTAAGGCATTCAGGCATAAAATCTCCCTAAAAGGGGGTTTTAAACCCTAGCCCCTATACGTCTTCGTATACGCGTAAAGAATGTATTATAAAGCCAACTCAGGCTCAATGGGCCGCCTCCCATAGGATAGGTACTTAAATGTGTGGATAGCGGATTATAGGATGAAAACTCTACACGAGAAGCCCTCGATTAGGGCTTATTGATGAGACCGTTTGTATATATGTGGGGTGACACCGTTTGTAGGTGATTGTAGGGGTGGCATGGCCAGTTGACGTCGATGGTGACGATGATGACGTCGAGGATGGTGATTGCTGTGGATGATAGCGATGTGCGTCGAAGAGAGACGCGCTTGGAGGATAAAGCTGAAGATAGTATAAAGAGAAAAGCCGAAGAAAGTATTAACCTATAACCTATAACCTATCAGGAGAGGACTACGTCGAAGTGCATAGTGGAATGTGAGATCCTTGATAAATTGAGTAGAGAGTTGTAGAAGCTAGGTTCTACGAGCTATGAAATCTGACAAAGACTCTCAATCTGACTCTGACTGCAGCTCTTCAACACTGGATCCATCAACCTTGTCGCCAGGTGTGCCGCTCACGATGGCCTCTTCTCACTCGAGACCACGTTGTTCCATAAACTGGCCCTCATCTTGCATAGAGGAGCGAACCCCTTCTAGGCCGGGAGCTCCCTTCTTGCGTCCGTTCTTACCGTCATGTCTGAGCTCGGTGCTGCTCTGGCCCTGTATGGGTCTGCCTAGGCCGCGGTTCATATCACCCGAGGTGGCTCCTTTTAATGTATCCACAGCTGGTGTGTAGGTGGCTTCGTCTTTTTGTCCCGCGCCCATATTGGGGTTGTTGCCTTGGACGGGGATTTCGGAAACGGTGTTGGGGGCATGGGATTTGCTTGCTGGGGCTGAACCGGAAGGGAATGCCTGGGCGTGGTATTCGGAGTGCTGCTCAGCCTCATTGACCTTACGCCCGAGTTGATGCTGTACGCTCAGTTAATGCAGGGTACTATCGTGAGTTCTAAAGTCAAACATACACCCTTGGTGGCGATTGTGTCTCCGCGAGGGGCTGAGGGCTTAAAAGCACCCTGTTTGGGGTTCGCGGCGTTATCTGCTTTCGAGGAGGTACTCATTATGGATATGTATTTCCTTTCCAGTCTGATAATTGGCATAGAATTGGACTATAGTTTATTGATTCTCAGCCGCTTTTTATGTTTCGAGGCCGATGATGTAACTATGTGGTATATTCCATATTGTAGCAAGACAGCACAATTCATATGACGTCAAGCTCATCGCCGGGCAAGGGGTAATATGGTTGACTCTCAGTCAGCTTGATTGAACTGATAACGAACCATGTAGCCGACTATGAAGGAAGTGGGAATCACATCAAAGTGTTACTTCAACTCGACAATTGCGACCCATCAGGATTTGTGTTATGAAAGTCTCCGAACGATTATCTAACAAAATACTTTTCCAAATATGGGGACATGTATTTGAGTCTTGTTTTAACTAGAACATACTGGGCCACTTTACTTCATTCGAAGAAACGCCAAGGAGCCATAGAGTTGAATATCTCGAGGTGCCTAGGCTTGACGGCATGAATCTCTGTACCCTAAAAGCCGACCCATCCTTCTAGTGGCATCTACCTGCGAATCAGGGTTTAATAGTTCAATTAGAACTGGAATCTGATCTTTCATGACGGCAAGACCGCCGATAGAAGATCTAAGAAGCTTCTTTCCGACAGAAAGGATAATGGAGCAAGATGGTTGTTATTTCTAAGGGCTAACCTTGGTGAAATCGTTTAAGGGATCGCTTTTTGCCGCTTAATTGATAACTAGCGCATGGAAGTTATAGCTTGCGTTGTTCAGTCACCAACGTGCAATTTCTCTTATTATGTGTCGTTGACTTCTAGGGTGTCTGGGTTGTGCGCCACCATTTTACCATCCTTATTCTCGAAGCGCACCTGTTCAAAGACAAGAGGTCCTTGGCATGATACATCCAATCACATTCCCGGATCATACCATTCTACTCACTTTTGGCGGATTTTTCACACCAACCTCTTCCGCTCGTTGCTGGTCCGTGATCATCTCTTCCACCTACGCGTATGAGCAATTAGTGCGCTCTATAAGCATAATAAAATTGTCCATAAGTTGCCATGGTTTACTAACATGTCCTTCATGCGTTCCGCCGCGGATTCTGGTACCAACATAGTCGCCAGGGTTTAATAACTTTACCATATTTATCGGTAACTTTGTTATCACCCATGATTAGGCGTTTCTGGCAAAGATGGAACAAGGAGGAAACAATTCGTATTGAATGAACTAGATACTACCTAGATATCGGTACTATGGCATCTCGCTACATATATTCGTTTGAGCGATGATTGCACTGTATGGAGTCACGATGATCTCATATGTACCTCATCCGTCTATCTAATTTGGCCGCCACTAATAGGTCCTAACCAGATCAATCTCGGTGATGGAGAACTTGTAACCATAGTGGCTAGCTGATCTGCTGATACGAACGGATTGATTAGGCACGTCCATGCGATATCGAAAAAGACATCAAGAAAGACATCAAAAGGGACACCAAAACGGACATCGGAGTGTTATCTTACATATAACGTCCCTCGTATCATAGTTAGCCAGACAGATAAGTTAGATTATTAAAGCCCTACGTGGTTATTGACAGATGCCGTATACAAAGCCGAATACTCTTAGAGAAAGACAGTCTCTTAGCCATCTGCTATCCTGAGACCACTGGGCTGAATCACTGGGCAATCATCCGATATCCAGCACCCATTTCAATACAAAGAAATTAGTGTTACGCCTTTCGCAATTTTTCCAATCCAGTTTTGACATCGATTTCTGAACCGGCCGCAATCCGAAACATGTTGTAGAGAAGGGAAACAATCTCAATATTTTTTTCGTTTTCCATCTATACCTTCGAGTTACGTACTAGGTTCTTCAAGTGTCAAGAATTCAAGCATTAAGAATGCATAGATTTAATAAAAATTGGATTATACAGTTACCAAGAATTCGACTATCGAGAATTGAGCTTGAATTTTGAACTTACATACGTACATATTGTAGAGAATTTGTGTGACATTGGTGTATTCGAATGTATAAAATACTCAAATTATAAAGTGTACTATGTACTGCAGGCAAAATCAGTTACGGCGCACTGGCGGTTAGAGACTGCCGTAGTATGCCCCTTTGATACTGATTGAACCCGTTGAGGGTCCCGGGTTCACAGAAGCATCAACTTGATTCGAGGATCTTTCCCTGTCCACATGGTTTATACTGGTGGGATAATCCGGCTGAATGAGAAATTAAAGATGTGGAGTTACAGGAGGTTCGGAATACCGAGGCTGAAACACTGTCTCACGGATGAAGACCCCATTCCGTTCGGAACTACTATAAACCAGACAGGGGCGCGCTAAGTCATTCACTTTCACCACCCACTTGGCATAATGATTACACCCCTGGTTTCTCAGTGTGAATTAGCCCTCGAGAAGTTGCCTGAAGAAATGGGGTATTAAAGAGAGCCCTGATCCGTCATTAAGCACGGCAAAACAGACAGCAACACCGACCACCCAAACATGCTTGGGACTTTCATTCTTTCTTTGCTTTCTGCGGCGCTGGGCGCCAGCGCTGCTGTTTCTCGGTCTAACCTTAAGACTCACGTCGATGTGCTGGCACTCGACTACGCCTTTGACCCCGTGAAGGCGGCGTACTGGACTGGATATCCTCACCACCGTCGTACTCCTTTTGCGGTGTCGCCCGATGGGAAATCAGCGTACATTGCCTATCTTGACTCCAGTGCCACGGATGTTCATGTACAGCAGCTGGATCCTACCACCTTTGCTGCTACTGGTACATCTGTGACCGTCTCTGGTGGAAAGGAAGGTGTGTTGCCCGCTCGCCCATAGCTAAAGAAAATGAGGGACCACTAATGCATGGTATAGCTGGAGGTCTTGTGGCTCACAATGATGGATTTGCCCTTCTCACCAACGAGGCGATGCCTTCTGGCACCACCAATGCACCACCGAGTGATACCCCTGTTCCTGTGCTCTACCGCTACACCTCAGGAAAACAGACATGGAAAACCTGGCTGGGTGGACCTGGTGTGCACGAGTCCGAAGGGCTTTCTGCCTCTCCCGACATGAACGGCGATCTCGTCTACTCCGAGAGTGCAGAGCTCTACGGCGCGTACTTCGTCGTTACTGATTACTCCGGCGACGCGTCGGGCCATTTCGGTGACAGCGTCGAGTACATCTCGGCCAGCGGAAAATTGGAAACAATAACTGGTGCTAGCAGTGCATGGGGTTGCAGCCACAACACCGGTATTGCATTCGAAGCAGCCGACGACGCCCCCTTCGCCGGTATATGCGCCGAGGATCAGGGCGCAATCTGGCTGAACACCAAGACGCAAGGAATGTCGAACAACGGAGTCAAAATTTCCAATGAGAACACTACGAACGGTGCGTCTGGTGAGCCTATGGGTGGCATGTCTGGTAGCTACAGTGCGTTGGCTCGGTTTGCCGATACCACCAAGTATATCTTCGCCTGGGTTTCCCGCGGCGCAATTGATGTAACAGAGAACGCCTGGATGGGAACTGGCTACACGAACGTGCAGAACCGCACAAACGGTCGCAATGTTGCTATTTCGCTTTTCTCTGACAAGTATACCAAGGTTGGAGCCCAGGCCACATCTGAGGTCGGCACCGAGGATGGAGATAGCCAGGTCAACTGGGTGACCTCTGGATCGAACGATTGCTCAAATGCTCACGCTGCCGCCTTTGGGAGTAGCAATGCCCTCGTCACCTGGGAGGAGATCTCAAACCCGACTTGTGACTTCATTGCCATGGGATGCCGTGGTACCTTTGCTGGAACTTACTTCCAGCAAGTTGACTCCACCGGTTCCAAGGTTGGTGAGGCTTTCAGCTCTGACGATGTTTACGTTGCTGGTGACATGGTCACTATGTCAGATGGTAGAATCTGCTGGCCCTATGTCAACATGACTTGGGACCTCTCACAGCCCATTGATGACTCCTCGTCCTCTGCGACTGGAAAAAAGATGAGCATTGCTTGCGTGGGCCTCGATGGTACAACCGATTCCTCCACGACCGCCGTCGCTAGTGTCACCACCGGCGCGACCGCAAAGGTCGCCGTTAGTGAGAGTGCGAGTGCAGTCGCCAAAGCTGCTTCGATTGAGACCACCGTCGAAGCCCCAAGCCAGACTACTGAAGCCGCAGCCGAGGCAACAAATGGGAGCATCCCCGCAATCGGAGGCGGACCTGGGAACGCATCTAGCCGTTCTATGATCGAAATCCCAATCTATGCTACCAGTGCCGCCGCCAGTGGTGTCGTGGATGCGACCGCAAGTGGACCAGAGAGTGGACCTCCGGCTGCCACTACCATTTATACTCCCAACACCCCCAGCGGGGTTCCCGTGGCGAGCGAAATCCCCACTGATACCTGGAGCGCAATTCCAAGCAGGGTTGTCAGTGCAATCCCGAGCGGCACTCCTACCGGAATAGCCAGGGGCCATGGGCGAAAACATGGCCATGGCTGGGGACACCACGGCACAGAACACCACAGTTCGGGACACCACAGTTCGAGATATGATGAGGTCCCTGACATCGAGCCTCAGGTCAGTGGGGCTTGCAAATAAAGCGTGCTGGTATAGCACTCTCGCTTGGTCGCATGCCTAGGCCGTAGTCCGCTCTACACTGGATTTATCAGACTCATTGACGAGGCTGAAATGCATGGATAGAACCAAACTTCCGATAGAGTGAAATGGAAAGGTTAAATGGAGATAGACAGTACAGGTATACTAACTACTATGGCCATATCAATGCTTGATTATATTTGTTTGTTTTTACTATCATTTGTGCAAGGAAAACCAACGAATGCTTACGTCGAGAATGGCAACGATCTACCATCTTCCATCAAAAGATATATTTACCCATTACTAGACCACCAAGTCGTCTGAATGCAGGGACTTTCCTACACTGTCTATTCCAATTATACATGGTAAAGCTCGATCTCGTACATGCACTTTGTTTATTATTCGGACCAAGAAGAATGGATATGATTGGTCTTTTACCTGAAGCCTTGCCTCGTTGTATTTGAATTCGCTGGTACTTTATAGGATTATGAAAACTTTCGGCTATAAGACATACAACTTCCCATACAAATCATCTACTTTCAGTATCGGCCTACTGCTCCTTTATTCACAGAAACATGGCTCAGGTACGGGCCATCTACGTTGCGTCTACATAGTATGCGAATTTTGAATTCAACTGACTGCTTGATACACCAGGCATCGACACCTTTTGTACTGGGGTCCTGAGACAGAGCTCTTTGCGCACTAGAACTAACCCTGAGGTCAACGGATTCGCAGGAAGGCAGAGATGAAGTCGTGACTTGCCATACGAAGACTCCATCTCCATCTCCATCACCCTTCCAACGATCAATCCAAATCACCTCCTCACTAGTTCCCGCCCACTACATAGAATGAGTTTGCGGTTCCCAACTGCCATTCAATATCTCATCGATGGATAATTCCCCGGTCGTGGTACTACCTGTGTGTACAATGATATTTCTCTATCTCCCATCGCCTCCGTAGTTGGCCCTCGGCAGCGAATTTCAAACTAATTGTGCTAGGGTTGAGAACCACTAGAAGGCCGAAATCTACCCATAAAGGGAAATTAAACACAAGACCTCTCAGACTAATAATCCTAGTCATCATCCCACGTCGTTGAACGAGCATATTATCTTCCAAATTGCAGTTCGTGATACCCGAGCCAGTGCGTGGCGGTAGCAGTGCTTATTCTGGCAAAGGTTTGACCGACCGAATTTCAAACTTTCTCTGAAATCAACGCCCTATGGGTGAATCATCTATCAATAGTCTACATTTCTGTGTAAAGAAACTTCGAAAGAAACAAAATCCCGAATCCCATTCATTACATAGGCTGTATATCCGGTATGCCTTCTAAGGTTGGTTACATCTCTTGCGCCACTATGTATAGTACAACATACGTGTGATAATACGCAGTCTAATATTCTCGGCTTAGCTGTATGGTCATCCTATGAAATACATGGCGTAGGGGCCTATAGTTTACTGTAACTGCATAGTATATTGTAAAGTGAATCTCTTTGCCAATCGGAGTACTCGGAGGACTCTGGACCCGTGTGGGACGATGGGGGCCGGATCAGATAACGGAGTCCGGCAAGACCCAAGACCCTTTAAGCCCGCTATGCCCCAATGCCGCGGCGGGCCAGGGGGGTTCTTGGTTTTGCTTGTTATATCTTACTACAGATAAACTAGGGAAAATCAGAGATTCAAGCAGGCGTTATATATTTCGTTCCCCAACTATTCTTGTTCTAGGCAACACAGAGCCCTCTTCTCCACTCCCCAAAAAGCACATAAGCACTATGTCCGTCCAATAGCTCTCAAGCGTGGTCCATAGACCCACAAAAGGATGGGGATAGGCAGGCCCACCGCCACAAAGATAAATCCCAGCACGCTATTCGCCCACCCGTACCCCAGGGACGCATACATGCTCGGCGCGAAGATAGGAAAGACAAAGCCCAGAATATTAGACAACATGCGTGCGGCCGCATTCGCGGAGGCTGCGTGCTCGAACTCGTCCAGCAGATAGGCCATCATGCCCTGGGCCAACATGAAGCTGCCCCAGACGAAGATGGCGGTGCCGACGTCAACGATGATCCAGGTGAGTCGTTTCTCCGCTGACCAGCCGTAGAGGAAGATGCCCACGGGAATAAGGATCACGCCGGGGATAAGGAACGGGACGCGGAACTCCGGGGTGGTTTCACCGTTGTGCCGCTCCTTCAAGGCGCGATAAATCCAGTCCATCAATGCCCCGCCCACCTGCGAGGCGGCGATGGTGCCGATGGCGATGGCAATATAATTGAGACTGCTGATGGTCTCGGACTCGCCGTATCGCTCGATCCAGAGGGTGGCGTAGGTGGAAAGCAGGAGGCAGTAGATGGCGAAGTTTAGGGCCATGATCAGCGCGATGACCTGGATGGCCGGGCGGTAGACAAGGAGCCAGAGCGGTCGGATGAGGTTGGCCCCCAGCCGGGTGCCGAGGTCTTGATAAAAGGCCTTGTCTAGCATGAATGTACGTTTACTCTGAGGAACAGCATTGCTATCATTGCGGCGCTGGAGGGCTGCCTTCTCCCGAAGCAGTGCCGGGCTGTAGCATCCTGGCAAAAAGCAAATGCCGACCAGCACAATGACTGCGTCGAACATGGAGAGAATCCAGAACAGCCAGCCCCACTGCAGATGCTGGGAGATACAGATACTAGTCAAATGTAGTTACCCACCCCACCCCACTATATTTGCCCAACAACCAATTCACGTTTTTCTTTTCCCTCCTACACCTCCCACATTGCTCCGATTTCAATGAAAATAGGACCGAAAATTAGCAAAAAGGCGCAACTTTCTACTGTACAAAGGTCAGCTATTATATATGCTCATAGTAATGGTGCAACGCAGGTTCAATTAGCTAATGATTTTGGCTGTACGCGCAAGACAATCTTCAATACGCTTAAGCGCTATTCGGAAGGCGAAAAGCTTGAAAATCGCGAAAAAAGCGGCCGTCCCTCACTTATTAGTGAGCGCGTGCCATCATCTCTATTTATAGGCACGTCGGCATCCGTTTTGGACCTATAAACAGCTAAGTGCTACTATAGCTTAGTATCCGTCACCCTCCACTATACGTCGAATTTTAAAGCGATTCGGACTCGGAAAACGGCGATCGAGACAGAAGATTCTAATTAAGCCTCCTCTTGCTAAGAAACGGCTAAGATTCGCAAGAAAATGGTAGCGGGAAAGCTTCTAATCGTGGATCTTTTCGGACGAGTGTTCGGTGCAACGAACCTCGAACTTTGGACCACAATAGTGCTTCCGTACGACCTCGGAGGGCCTTCGAAAATATCTTATAAATGTAAAGGTTCACGTTAAAGATATTTTATAAATGGTTTGGGCTGTAATCTAGCTTGGAGGTCGAATAGAATTAATAATTATAGAACGGGACGAAGACTCGCCTTCGGGGAGGGGTTATACTATAAAATCGTATATAGAAACGCTCGAAAAAGGTCTGCTACCATTCTACACACCCGGGATAGTATTTCAGCAAGATAACGCGAAGATTCATCTAGCGAAGGACACGAAAGTGTGGTTTGAAACTCACGGAGTATACGTCGAAGACTAGCCCGCATACTCACCCGATTTAAACCCGATTGAACCGGTCTAGCGCTGGTTAAAATAAAAACTCTTTGAGATCTTTCCAGAGCTTATTGACCAGGGAAGATCGAAGGCAGACTGGCTTAATTTTAAAAAATGCCTGGTGGTTGTATAGAACGCATTACCTCAGTCGAAGATAGATGCACTAATATTAAGTATGGGTAGACGTTTAAGGGCAGTACGGAAGGCTAGGGGTTATTATACAAAATATTAAGCGAAATTTTTATTGTGCTATTATTAAGCAAGCTTCAAATTTAATTATAATATTATAGACCATATAATGGTGGTGCTATATACTGTGAAAGTGATATATATATTTTGCATGGGGAGTCGAAAAAAGTGGAGTGGGTAACAACATATGGTAGGTGATGTACAACCGCCAATAATGGGTCCTAGGGCGGGACCCATATAGGGGATGAAAGTGGCCATTGCGAGAGAGCGCCCACGATGTTCCGGCCGATACATGTCCGCGAGAATGGGACCCGTGAGCTAACGGGCGTCAGTCTATTATTCCTAGTAGACAGTTCACAGTACACAGAATTAACCAAGGAACTGACCGTAATACCTGCACTGGCGCCTGATCCAGCCAGGAAACGCCCGACCGTCATGAGCCCGACCGAGGAATTGACCGGACAAATTGCATTCCACAAGATATAGAACAGATTGCTGGCAATCCATATTGATCGTCGCCCGTACATTTCAGAGAGAGCTTCAATTAAGAAAGGAGCAAAGGCGAGCCCTAGGATGAAGATGGAAAAAGTAATTTGAGTAGCTGTACTGCTTAGATGGAGGTCAGCTCCGATTTGAGTCAAGGCGGCGGCCATCATGCTGGTGGACATTAGGGTGACAAGTTGACCCAGCGAGACTATAAGAGCGACCGAAATCTTTCGAATGGAAGGCCAGTTGTAAGGATCGTGAGGGTCTTGGGGGGATTCCCAGGTCGCCTTTCAATTTTAGATATCAGCATTGACCAGTGAACGACATTCGAACGAGGATACAACTTACTCCATGCTCTTCGAGCAAGATGTTCGTCGGTGATGGCCGACACAGGTGAGGATTCAGTTACGCCTTTTTCTTCCGACATGTTTTTAGAAAGAGTACCGGAAAGGAATGAGATGAAGAATAAATAAAAAAGGGGAAACACGATCATATCTTTATGACTGACTCTTAATGGTTAATGGGACTAAGAATAAACGTCTACAAGGATTCTTAATGGTATGTGTTTTACCAAAAAGACCACTTGTGAGAATCGAGCGGTTGTTATATACCAGAAGTTTCATTTTATACCAAGCACGCCGATGCACCGATGCACTCCCACTAAGATTTTCACGATTGTGACAGAACCTGCATGTCGCCATTTTGCACTTGATTTGAGTTATCAGATTCACGGGCCCTGAAGTCAGAAATCCCTCGGAGTCCACCCAGGAAAATACTAATCAAGAGATCTAGTCCGTATGTCAAAACTGACTGTCTCGGCGATAATATCACCACCTCGCTATAGATTGAAATAGCAGAAGTCTCCCAGAAATCAGTGGAACTGCTTCTCGTTCAATATGAAACCAGTTGTGCACGCCGATCCCAACCTATTAGATATTTGGCCCCTACTGGGACATCCTACACCATCGCTCAGTCATAGCCCCGACCGAGCACGGGAGTGAGCCGTATCAGAACAAGCCCGCATCGCCGCACGTACCAACCGACATCTGCCACTGCGTGCTCCATCTCTTCAATTGCCTCAACTGCTTCCAGGTCATCGTAACCCAACCAGCCCCCGGACTCCACAGTCGAAAACTCCGTGTATACGAAAATGCCTGAGGGGGCTGGCAGCAGGTGCGCAACTAATCCGACCATCTGGGTTACCGTGTGGTCCTCGAGCAATTCATCGAGTTCGAGTGGACCCCAACCACTTGGTCCCAATATAGGTCTACAGCCTCGTCCCTTTGGATATAGACCACTAACAGCTCCGCGAATACCTTATGCACAGTCTAAGGTATAAATAACTTAAACCTCTTTTCGAGATCCACTCCTACTACCCGCCCGATACATTCGCCTACATCGAGTATCACCGGCGTTAAATTACCCACCGTAAGCAGTAACACCGATCGAGGGCTTCTCACCTACCTCCTTTAATTCCCTAGTTCTTCCCTCCTAGCGACGATACGCCCGTTACCTTTTATATTCCACTACGCTCTCATAGCTATCGGATGGCTGTACTAAGGACTGGGACGAGCTCGCTAAGGCCGGTGAAGGCCCCGACTTACTATACTTCAACCGCTACTTTTCTAATAATCGCAGCCATATTGATAAAATGCATAGGTCATCAAATTCTAAGGGGGATCTATCGCCGGAAGCTTTTGAATTGTCGACCGAGCGCGTCATATGTCAGATTGACCTCGGCTAGATCATAAACGATGTCTTTCTCAACGCTAGTCATCCCTCGCTTCAGTATTCGCTAAACGCGGACGAGGGCAATCCAACTAACCGAAAACTTTCACCAGAGGAGCACCTTCACGAACAGCTAGGTCAGGAAACGTCCGTAGGAGACTTCTCTCTTGATCCCGCATTCCAAGTATCCTAGGATGGGGATATCGTAACCATTACAAATACCCCGGAGGAAAATGACCCGGACATACAGTACCTCGTATACGTGCCGTTCCTCGCCTATCTCCCTAATAATTCCGGCTTATCCCTCCCCAAGAGCACCGCTTGGCTCTTCACAACTGCACTACTCTCCCACCTCCTAACAAATAAACCCTTATCCTGAAATTTTGCATCACACAATCCAACTCCTGGTCCGCGATCCGCCCCGCCCACACTGAAGCCCAGAGCCACCAACAAACCAACCTCCCAATCGGCGCCCTACACACCTTCCCCGTATGCGAGGATGAACCTCCCGCACCGCATCGCGTATCCCCGCAGTTAGCCAAAGAATCGCTGGACGCTACGCAGAGAATTCTCCGCACGCCCTTTCACGCGCTGGCGGTTGTGGTAGATCGAGCTAACCTCGTCAGCGAGGCGGGGGTTTGCTTCTACATGGCGGATCGGGATGCCTCGAATGATCCCAACCCGGACCTGGAGGTTTGTCCGGACGATATGCAGGTTTGGCGGGGATTTGGGATGAGCGATGTTGCCAGGCGATTAGCGATGTTGGATATTGTGGAGTAGTGATTTATTGGTTGGGGAGTATGTAACGTAGAAGGGAGATAGTGGCAATGACTGCTGTGAATCTTTCGAGCTTGATAATAATAGAGATAGATGGATCATTTGCGGAGTTAATGATGTTGAGATTGGAAGAATGCGAAGGTACAAAGTAGTAACGCATAAATTGTGTGCTGCTACGAGGGCCATACCTGTACAGTAGTTTATAAAGCGGGTAGGTAGTCTTAAAGCCATCAATACCACAAAGGAATAAAGTCAAGGTACGTATTTTAAGAAAGAATTGAGTAAAGGGATTACTATCAGTAGTCACCAGTGACATAATCTCGACCACTGCCCTCCTATATTCGAGAAAGTTCACCTAAAATATATATCGCTTCTTAATCAGGTCAGCCGATCTCTCGGCCACGGCATAAAGGGTGCTGGTCAAGTGACCACAAAGTTGGAAAGGCAGGACAGAAGCGTCAACCACTCGAACATTTTTAGTCCCGTAAACCCTAAGCTTGTAGTCGACAACGCCACCTTTATCCCGAGGCAGCATGCTGGCTGTGCCAACTGGGTGGAAGTTCGATCTATCTGAAGGGGGTCAGTAAATCCTCTCAAGCTCTAACTTGATGCGAAGAGACAATACAGACATCTTGACTTAACCCAATCCTCCCATATAGAGTCTGAGGCATTTTCTGGAACATCATTCTGTCCTGGTGCCAATTCTTCTCCCACAAGGTTGCTCAAGGGGGCGGTACTGAATGCCTTGCGGATATATCGACCCACATCAGCATGAGCTTTAAGATCCTGTCCAAACATAAAGTAATTGGGATTGATAGAAGGAGGTTGGGAGCCGTTTGTGGACTTTATGTGAACACTTCCTCTCGAGAAAGGAAGAAGAGGCCAGTATTCACTGTGAAATGAGTTTCCGATAGGAAGCAACACAATCTCCGCGTATGGAACTTGTGATTTGAATATTAGATCGTGCTGAAGTTGAAAAGCAGCTAGAACATTGGCTTCTTGGACGGCACCGTTGGAGCGTTCCGATACTTTCTTTGCATATTCTGCGAGGCTTGAGTTGACAAGAGATGCAACAGCAAGAATATTGTCACCAAATATGTGACCAGCTGATGGTAGAACAGAAAAGGTCGGCGAACCAAGCCAGAACTCGTTCCCTTCATAAGAGAACCCATTGTTGGTCTGATCCTGCAAGTTCTCACCAACAGCGGAAAGGTTGACTTGGATAGGAATGTCAAGCTGACGGAGAATTTCGGGATTTCCAATACCAGAGAGCTCCAGAAGCATAGGTGATTTGAGGGACCCAGCCGAGAGAATTACTTCCTTTGAAGCGTATATCGTCTCAACTCCATTGACCCCGGTAACTTCAACTCCAATTGCAACGGCCTCGCTGCTGGAATTGCTTGCCCATATGATCTTGTTCGCGGAAGTGTTTGATAACAGTTTGAGATTAGGACGATTTTGGTAGGGCCAATAGTAAGCTCTGGCTGCATCATGGCGAACATTGGCCTCGCTGTCAACGGTATTGGGATGGACCGTGAGTCCCACCATGCTACCACCATTACAATCCCTATTGTAGGGAAGGCCCAGTTGTTGGAACGTCTCATCAACATTAGGTAACGCGCTGCTGTTTGTCATCGCTCGAGGCCAGCCGACTTTGAGCGGGCCATGTTCCCCATGATAGGCGATGTAATAATCGGCGCCATGAGCAACTTGTTCTGATGTGGGGACCTGGAACTCTTCTGACTTCTTATAGTATGTGAAAAGGTTGTTCCAATTCCAACCCTTGTTTCCGACCCGTTCCCAGGCATCAATTTGAACTTTTTGCGCTCGAGTGTACGACATCCCTATGTGAAGCCAGAGTTAGCATAGGTGCAATAGATTTCCACGGATTCATTACATTGAACGTCCAGGATTGGGTGGTCAATTACCGTTTATAGTGCTTGTACCACCAATGGCTTTTCCAGCACGCATAATTTGCTTCGATCCTCCTGCATATGTTTGGTCTTCAGTTTGGTAGGCCCAGTCGATCTCTGTCCCAAATGCTTTCCCGTAGCCGGTTACGGTAGAAACGTTAACATTTTTGAGGACTGAATCTCCAGCTTCGATCACTGCCACGGTGAAACCACTCATCTCTGAAAGTCTATTAGCAACGACCAACCCGCTAGTACCTCCGCCAACAATAACAAAATCATATGAAGTTGAGCCGTCTTGGTTCTTCGCATCCACCGCACACAGCCAAATAATTGCAAACCCAATTGTTGAGAATAACATGGTGGCTGACTGAAAGAGAGACTCAAGTGATAAAAGGAGAGGGATACTTCCTTGCGGAAAGGAGACGTGGAGTTTATTTGTACAACGTACACAGATTACCAAGTAGGTACAATGTTTAGACAGCATTGGGCCGTCGGGAATCTGACATATTCAACCCCCCACTAGTGGCATGGGGGTTGCCTGGCAGGCAGTTGGAATGTTGGCTCCATTCTCCACGTGCAACACGTAGAAACAAAATACATCAGTAGAATATTGATGTGAAAAGTACACGATACGAAGGACGAACGCAAAGAATATGAAAAAAAAAAAAAGAATTAGGGAAGATTGAAACAAGAGAAAATTGTAAAGTAATTGTAAAACGAAAGCTATATGAACCAGATGCACCACGTACAGACCAGCTGTACAACACACCGAGGAGGTCGAACCCGTATGTGGCTAGCCCTATACAATCACGGCACTAGAGGCTGGTAGCCTTCGATCAGTCGGTCAGAATATATAGTATATTTGGCCAATAGAGCATCAACAATGCCTTCGCTTCTACTCATGAACAAACTGGGCCTTTATAGGCCCTACACGGGGCCTAAACAAACAAGCATCAGGCATTTCAACGAATACAAACAACCGCACAAACGCATGCTATATCCAATACCAGCTTCATGCTCTTTGGCCCTCTCTCTCCCTGGGCTTAAAACTTCCAGCTTTCCTCCGGAGAAGGACTTCGAGCTCCAGACAATTATTGAAAGAGTAAAACTGTCAGAGCTCCACAGAGTTGATGTAAAGGTCGAATCCAAGCCAAGATCCTAATCAAGGACCGAGAGGCTACCCATATGAATATTTCAAGATGGACAGTTGGATAGACAAGACGCGAGAGGCGAGGAGTAGCGTGGACACCTTGCTTAGATTGAATCTGGACCAGTTCGGAGATATTTTTCGGTGAGGAGAAACACTGTGTCGAACTGTAGCTGTGACCCTACTCAGGTCAACCCAGCCTGGGTTCACTTCTTGTGATAATTGACCAGGAAAGAGTGGCCAGTGTTAACCGATTCTTTGTTTCCGCCTCACCCAAACTTCTTGGTCCGTACTCCCAGGTGACGATGAGTCGCGCAGCTGCACCTCCCACACCTTGAGGGTGTAGTTGCCGCGATCAGCGCGTCCTGAGAATATATCAAATGACCAGCCATGCTTTGGACATGTGAGACCTGCGCTGAGCACGATGCCAAAGTCTTCAATATCAAAGAGATTGCCCCGTGAAAGCGGGAACGACGAGTGGGGGCATTGCTAGGGAGGATAAGCTCAATCCTTCTGACTGTAAGAAGCCTTTGACTCACATGATCAATAGCATGGAATTTGCCCTTGTATTTGAACACCAGCACTTGATCCTTCAGTTCTCCTGGTAGGTCAATGTCTTCGACTCGCTCTATGGCGCCGTTTGACTTGGGAATAGTGAAAGCCTTGCATCTTGGTACAACCCGGGCGTCATCGTCGATGCTTGGGAAGTCTGACGCAAGGCCAACCGGGTGCCAGGCTGCAGTTGCCCGTTTGAAGGGATTCATTGCTAGTGCAAGAGGTTGGTCTCGGTTGGTGTCGGGAGAAATCTCCCACTTCCGCCCCACCAATTTCGGTGGGGACTTTCACAACCCCCAATATTCAGGATACTATATACAAAGTACGGAGTAAATAAGAATAGGATGGGAAACTTAGCAGCTTGAATATAAGCGAAAGTGTTATGACTTCAAGGCTGTACTTCAGATTACGTTGGGCAATTTTTCACATGACATAGGGATGAAGTTTGGATTTTATCAATTCCTCTTTCTAGAGCTGGTGTTAGATGGCCTATTTTGCACCAGCCAAAGGAACATTTTTCATGTTTGGTTTATATGCTCTTTAGCTTTTTTTTCGCTATTTCGATTGTGATGAAACGTCACATCGAGTTCATCTTAACAGTAGGTGTGGATGATACAACGGGGGATAGAAGCCGGATAACAATCATCATCCGGGCCCATAGCACATTGGAAAGATAGGCATATGTAGCTTGAGCCAAATCATTTGACACTCATGAAACCGCAACCTTCGCGGGCACGCTCACAAGCCTTCTTGAGAGCCTGCTCCTCAACGTCGGTCCATTTGTATGTCAGCTCATCCCACGGCTTGCCAGACCGGAACTCCTCGCGGTGCTTCTTGTGGATGGATTGTAAACGGCCCACTTCACGTGGATCACCTGTTCCGGAATAAACCATGAAAAGTGTACAAAGGGGGAGAGAGTCATAAATGCGCGAAATGTTGGAGACGGTCCGGGAGACAGTGTCAGCCAAGACGTCAGGCTGTGGGAGAGCTGTCGAGTCCCCATTGCCAGCGGTTGTGGTCGGGGTAGTTTCTTCGGGAGGAGGGAAAAGGGTTGTGGATTCGTTGGCGTTGTTTGGGTCAGGGAGACGGCTGCACCAACCTCGAAGATATTCTAGATCACGAATGCGAGCCCACGCAAAGTCAACACCACCTCCAGGAATGGAGGGATTGGACTCGTCGCCATTGATTACCGCGGAGACGCCGCTGACGACTGCATCGTCATCCCGGCATCCAATGGAGACAGTTGCCTGGGCACCAAACCCACGTTCTGGGTTACCCCAGTCAACCACAGCTCCTGTTCGTTCCTCGCCGGGACGAGGAAGATGACTCGGCCGGGTAGAGCGCGAGAGTCGACGGAATATGCTCTCGTTGGAAACGTCACTAGTGCCCCATCGCTCGCCTTTCTCGCACTTCAACTTCACAAGTTCAAGAACCGCACGGGCATCCTCAATGGAGTCATGCCCAGCCATTCCGTTTTGTATCTGCTTGTTTTGGTATTTCTGGGTGAGCCATTTCAGACTACATTTGAGTGGCGGACCACGGGGGTGGGGGTAAATGATGCTGGTATCGACAATGAACGGGTGGACAAGTTTGAGTGCTGTAAGGTCGGAATTAAGGGAGTGTCCCACGAGTATCGCACGCGGCGTGAGAAGAGTCAAGAGCCGTTGCTGAATATCATGAAGGGTCGTGGTGACGGGCTCGAGCATCTCTGGTGTAATTCCAGAGTAACGTGTGAGATAGTTGATCACCGGCCGTGCTGGTTTGACCAGCTCATCAAGGACCACTTCGCCGTCCCAGCCGACCATGCTGATGCGTGTGAGTTCGGACTGACCCCCCTCCGTAATACACATCTCACAGTCAAGCGCAAAAACATCTCGACCAACAGTGACGCTGCCACTTTCAATTTCAGCATCAGGTGGTTGAGCAGAATCCAGGGTTGGAACTTGAGTATCTACCCATCCATCTTCCATCGAGTGCCCGCCTCGCTGACGAGCCTCCACCTGGGAGGATTTTTCGTCATCGGAAGAGAAGAAAACAGGATGCAAGATAAAGTCGTTTTCCAGTAGATCCTCGCGTGAAGTGACAAAGGCTGTGATTGGTGTTCGTTTCGGAACGAACCCTTTCTCGACTTTTGCGGGTCGTGCGCCCTTCGCACGGGAGTCATCATTTTTGGTCTTGGGGGGGGAGGACATGAGAATCGCTTGCAGCGGCGAATGGACCTTGTTGTATTTGTTGTCACCTGGCGCCTTGACAGGCCAAATATGGGGAAACATGTCGGCCAGGGGCTGAAGTGGTTCAGGGAGGTTTTCGCGTGTGAGAGATCGAGGATTAAAGCGATGCGAGCGGTCCGGCAATGGGAGGCCCTGTTTCCATCGCTCGTAATCAGCAGCGTGTTCGTCTTTGGGTACCTCCTCGGTGGCTCCCGGCGCATTCATCTGGGGCTCCTGTGTCTCTTGCTCCCCGGTGGGTGATTCTCGTTGCACAGAGATTGTCCCATCAAACATGCCCATCTCTAGGCCAGGTACCATCAGTACAACCACCTTGCGCACATGGCCAGAATGCTTCATGGAGATCCATTGGGGTGCAATGCCATCGGCGAAGCAATAGAGGAGCAACCCCTGGAGATCGGCGATTCGGATAGGTGACACTAATTTTCCATCGGCATATGTGAGGTCTGGGTATTTGACTTTCTCGCCATCAACTCTTTTGCGCTTCTTCGACGCATGGCTACCGTTCGAACCTTCGCTGCTCGGGTTATCGCTCTGCAGACGGGACAAGGTATCGGCCACACCAAATCCCTGAGGCGTGGGTTGACCAATTGGATCGTCCGGGCTGAGCTTTCTCTTCCTATCTTTTCCCATGTTGTCTTCGGATTTGTAGTTTCCTCGCTGGATTCACTAGAAATTCATGATGATACGATTATGCGATAAGGTCACGTGGAGAACGGAGAATATCTTACCCGGTATCGCAGACTTTTCCGGCTTATATAACAAACGGCACGCCACAGACGCCAGAGACGCCAAACGATCTGATAACCGGAAGATTGGAAATCTGGGATCGCCGTGCAGGGGGGCTTTTTGTTGGTATCCATCACGCCATTCCCCTGACACGTCTTCTTCGCTTCTCGACTTTGACCTCACCTTGACACTTGTTGGACCTTGTCTTCAAATAATACCTCTCATCGCCGATTCCGGGCTTTTCCATCAGTTCCAGTCGTCTCATCCTCCCTTCACACACACTCCACCATGTCGACACTCACCGAAATCACCACTGAGGCCGACTTCTCATCGCATCTCTCTTCCCTATCTCCTTCTGCATTGGTCGTCCTATACTTCCACACTCCATGGGCTGCCCCGTGCGCGCAGATGGGCGCAGTGCTTTCAGCCCTCGCTTCGCAATACCCCGCCACTGCCCCGCCCACGATTTCGTTTGTCAGCATCAACGCCGAGGAGCTACCTGATATCTCGGAGGAGTATGACGTCTCTGCTGTGCCCTTCGTTGTGTGTCTACGTAGCGGCCAAATTTTAGAGTCGATCAGTGGAAGTGACGCCGTCAAGGTTCGTGACGCTGTCGAGCGCCACGCTGGCCGAGGAAATGTTGCTGGTGCCGTCGGTCCGATGGACGGCGTGAAAGCCAACATTCCCCCGCCGCTGTCTGCTGTTCCTCGTGAGGATGGTCCCTTGACTGCTACTCAGGCACCCGTAACCACTTCTGAGCCCCCTTCTGCTGATGCGGCTAACGCAACCGCCGTCGCATCTGCCCCCGCCCTGACACCCGAACAATCCCGGGAGGCACTATTTGCCCGTCTCGAACAACTGGTCAAGGCAGCATCTGTCATGCTGTTCATGAAAGGAACCCCGAGCAGCCCACAATGCGGATTCAGTCGGCAGCTGGTGGGCATTCTACGCGAGCGTAGTGTCAAGTACGGTTTCTTCAATATCTTGGCCGATGAGGAGGTGCGCCAGGGTCTGAAGGAGTATGCTGAGTGGCCAACTTTCCCCCAGTTGTGGGTGAATGGAGAATTGGTCGGTGGCTTGGATATTGTACGTTTTTCCTCCCACTCTAGTCATTTGATTCGATTATTAACCTAATGGTACAGGTCCGCGAGGAAATCAACAGCGACCCCGATTTCCTCAATGATCACTCAGTCAGTAAGCCCACCGCGGCTGCTTGAGTGGTTAGTTGGTCGTTGCACGATACCCATGACCCCCCTGTCTCTGGGGCTAGATGCTAAAAGTCTTAACATAATGATAAACGTTTTTGTCTTGATACGGCTTATATGCATGTCTGATCATATCATATCCTTCGCATTGTTGCGGGACACGCCCTTGCTATAAATTGAAATAAGCAACATCGAATCAAACCAATCCATTGTCACAGATCATCCCTAACCATGACACATTCAACACATCCTATTCAAAAGCTTGCAGTGGTAGTTCAACCTACCTTGTACCCTAATGGCTGTGTTGAGTTATTGCATTAAAGCTTGGCTGGGGTTTCAAGAATACGAGTACATTATTTACTACCTTTGGTTGTACATATGTAGGCATGGATCATGGATCGAGAACTTGGGACACTCCAGACTAAAAATATACATATTGAAGAGGAGAACGCTCTAGGCAGTATGCTCTCTGGCATACGGGTCGATTCAGCACTCGTAATTCAGCGTCATATCAACCGGCGCATACAGAGAACTGGGACGTTAGTCCAAGAAGTGAATTCAGAGAGGTGTAGGAGTGTGTCTATTCTTAATCTGTAACTATCTGCTACTTATAACCTCCGTACATCAATGCTTACATAACAAACTGCAAAAAGAAAGGAAGGGCAGGCAAGGCTAATACGTAGTGAGGACTATGTCCCCCACTACAATATGTATCACATTCGTATATTCAATCAATTGCTATATTTCTTTCAATGAACCTTATGACCTAAGTTTAAATCGTTAAAAGCAGCATTTCTACAGAGATTAACGCCTTTTCGCCTAAAAACCTCGATATTTGATCATTCCATACAACACAAGCCGGGCTCATTCATGCCAATGAAACTAATTTCATCTGTAGTCTTTCTAAAATTGTTTTTAGTCTTTTCAAAAGCTTCTTAGATCTCTTCTCAAATATTATTTTTAGATGTCTTTTTTTATCTAGATATTTCCCCCATTTTTGGTGTTGTAGCTGAATATACCTAGGTAGTGAAAACGGCTTAAACAACCTCAAGCAAAGATATTGCAGGGGATTGTTTGTGCGGGTCATCACCAACACAGCCCTGGAGGTCTTATCAAGTGTTCATGTCTGGAACTCCGAGATTCACTTTAGACCGCAGTTTCGCCACCGACCTCGTTTCAGATGCATGTCTCATAGCGCTTGAAACAGTAGGGCTATGGAAAAAGATTGTTAGGGGAGGGTTTAATCAGCCGTTTTCGATATCGGATTCGTCACTGGGGGGCGTCAGCTTCTTAACCTGGCACGTGGGTTGGCGATAAATAGCTCAATCCTGGTATTGGACGAAGCAACCAGCAGACATGCCGAGATATCCGAGCATTTTATGGATGATGTTGTTGACTCTCGCCATATTCTACTGTGGACTGGGAAACAGAAGCCATGATGCAAGCCATAATTAAGCGGGAGTCTGCATATCTGACTGTCATCTCCGTTGCACATCGCTTGCGGTATATTGATCGAATTGACCGTGTCGCCTTGATGAAGCAGGGTGACCTTTTGGAATGTGACTAACCTCAGACATTATCAGCCACGCAATCTAAGTCTCTGACCTTCTATCATGCTAGGCGAGCTAAATGACGAGCCTTTCATGTGGGCAGTTGTGTAATAGGGAAACATTTCATTGATTATGATGAATGGTGTCTAATCATATATATGGGACTTCGAGACCATGGCAACAATTTGGGGGGGGGATGTATATTAAATGTGCATAATAAATACTTATACCTCTGCATGTGTTGAGACAAATGCGATGGGAGTTTCCAGCTGAATATTTGGCATTGTTATTGGAAGTCTGACCTGAGTTGCTTCCACGTCAAAGAGATCAGCTTGTTTGGTGCCCCCAACATCTTCTCTCTTACAACACTTCTCTCTCCCCACACCCCCCCCCCCCCCAAAATCCTCATTCCTATTTTTATCCTGACAGTTGTCAGTTCAATCCATCATGCGAGGCGAGGTATGTATGCTCTACAACTCTACCGGACTGCTGCCGTGTCTACGGTGTGGAACTGTCTATACACTTCCATCCCTACACCAGGCTACACTGTCTCTCATCCACTCGATACCCAAAACTAAACCAAACCAAGAAACGCTAATATTGACTTGAATCTACCAGATCTGTCATATACATATTGGCCAGGCTGGCACACAGCTTGGTAATGCCGCCTGGGAACTGTAGGTCTTTTCATTGTCTAGTATCCCCGACATCTCCTCTGATCAAGATGCATCACAGGTATCTACTTGAACACGGTCTGAAGCCTGATGGATTTATCAGTCCCGATGTTACCGACGAGGCCGCAACAAGCGGATCTTACGAGACTTTCTTTACTGAAACCTCCAGCGGCAAATATGTTCCCCGTTCCATCTTCGTCGATCTTGACCCATCGGTATGTGACGGACCACAAAGTTGTCAAAAGGCTCACCAGCTGAATGAACTGTGCTAGCCCATCGATAAGATTCGCACTGGCACCTACCGTGATCTTTTCCGTGCCCAGCAGCTGATCAGTGGAAATGAAGATGCTGCAAACAACTGTATGAACACTTCAACTTGCAGGTGAAAGCTGGTAACCGAGGAGCTAACCTAACATGTGGCAGATGCTCGGGGCCATTACACCATCGGGAGGGAGATTTCTGGAGCCGTGATTGACAGCATTCGTTACGTGGCCGGTAGGAACCTGCTAACTCGAGCCTTAACCCTGATGGCTCTTAGCTAATGTCTTCATAGAGAACTGTGATTCCCTGCAGGGCTTCTTGATTTTCCACTCCTTTGGTGGTGGCACAGGGTCTGGTTTTGGTTCACTGTTGTTGGATCATTTGACCAGCATGTATGGGCGCAAGTCCAAGCTGGAATTCTCAATCTACCCTTCTCCCCGTACCTCGACTGCCGTCGTAGAGCCCTACAATGCCGTCCTCTCAACCCACAGCACCATTGAGAACTCCGACTGTACCTTCCTAGTCGACAACGACGCCGTGTACGATATCTGCCGACGCAACCTGGATATTCCTCGTCCTGGATATGAGCATTTGAATCGTCTTATTGCTCAGGTAGTGAGCTCCATCACATCCAGCTTGCGGTTTGATGGTGCACTCAATGTCGATTTGGCTGAGTTCCAGACGAACCTTGTCCCATACCCCCGTATCCACTACCCATTGATTTCGTATGCTCCGGTGATCAGTAACAGGCGCAGCTCTCACGAGAGTTTCAAGGTCCAGGATCTCACCTTCCAGTGTTCGTGAATACTATTCTAATGGGGGGTGTGTTTCTTCTGACACTGTCATAGGTTTTGAACCCAACAATCAGATGGTGAACTGCGATCCACGAAAGGGCAAGTACATGGCTGTGGCTTTACTCTACAAGGGTGACGTTGTACCCCATGACTGCAGTAAGGCTGTCCACGCCCTCAAGACTAGGGGCACATTCAGTTTGGTTGAGTGGTGTCCTACCGGATTCAAGTTAGGCATCAACTACCAAAAGCCTGTGCGTCGCCCTGGCGATGAGCTTGCGTGTGTGGACCGTTCGGTTAGTATGCTCTCTAACACCACCGCCATTGCTGAGGCATGGAGTCGCCTGGATCACAACTTCGACCTTATGTACTCCAAGCGTGCGTTCGTCCACTGGTATGTTGGTGAAGGGATGGAAGAAGGCGAATTCTCTGAAGCCCGTGAGGATCTCGCGGCTCTTGAGAAAGACTACGAGGAGGTGGCCGAGGACAGCGGCCCTGAAGGGGTTGAGTACTGACGTAAGGACCCTGTACTTGTCTTGTTGATCCTTCCCGCACTCATCTTGAGGGAAGTCGGAAAAGGTTATGAAAACACGCCTGAAAAGAATCAAATCCAAAAAAAATGAAACCTAGTTTTATTGTAGTCGTTATAGATGTCTTTTTTAGAGGTCTTTTCAGATTGTCTTGTCTATGTGTAACCTTTGATTATATGACTTTTCGCCGTATTGTACAACCAACTTTTAAACCTTCTAGTGATAACACCATCAAATGATCCATGCAAAAATTACTAGTGATACAAGTTGAAGAGTCCCTTCAACTGTCAGCTGCGACATCAAGCTCTTGAAGGACTTTCAATGCGTGCTCATAGGTCCACATTGTCACCGCACTTGCTGGTGCGGCCTTGAGTAAACTGACTGTCAAGCCGCGGTACAAACCACGCACACCCTGGGTGCGGACAATCATGGCAATACTTTGGAGGACGCCCTTGTACTCCGGGATGTTGCGATGAACGTAGCGGGTCCTTGTTGGACCCTGTACCTGCAAGCGCTTACGCACGAGGTCTAGCGGGAAAACACCCGTCTTAGCCAAGACACTGGCCACCACACCGGCTGCGGCGTCCCCTGTGCCCAACGGTAGAGCATCCCAGGTCATGACTGGTCTAAGTGCCTCATATGTCGTGAAAAATAGTCCCATGTACGGCACAATTTGTGCCATAGCGGCAGAACACCCCCGGAAGAATCCTGGTACACCCTCATGTCGAGCGATCTCCACGATTGAGGCGCGCAGTGAGCCATACACACGGTCCGGGCCTTGTGCTGCGAATCTTGTGCGGAGAAGGTCAAGCGGGTATGTTACCCCCGTGGCACATCCGCCTGCCACTGCGCCCGAGAGGAAAGATTCGACAGGTTGGGGGAGTCGGTAAGAGCCGAGTTGAGCGAGGGCTTGGGTTGTACCTCGATACGCGGTGAATTGCATGGCGCCGTAGCAGACATACATAATTTCGGCAGGAATATTGCCCTTCCAAAGGCCCTGTGGGAAGAAATTCGTGTTAGGATATTGACATCAATATCGAGAAGTAAGGTAATCTTTTTCAACGTACGGTGATTCCCTCTTGCCTCATAATCGTCCGCATGGTGGACAATGTCCCCTTGTAAACAGGCCCATTTACACTGTGATGGGACGCAGGGTCTGACAACGAATGAATTTGCAACTGCAGCCTGATCTTAACAACGTCCAGTGGCGCAATACAGAACCGTGAGATCAGCCCTGCAATCCCGCCGGCCAATACGACCTGTCGCTTGGTGCCTTCATCTTTGAGATGCTCGCCTCCGGCCGACATGAGTTGAGAGTACTTTCTCTTACAGACTAGAGATGTCTGTACGGTGGTTGGGTTAAGTTAAGAAAATTGAAGCATGAAGATCCATGTTGATTTGTTGAGTCTGCCTTGGAATGATAAAAAAACAAAAACAACGTCAATGGCAATTTACGTAAGTTCCGGGATTGGCCCCGGGGAATGTCATCGATGCCAGGAAGAATGATATTCCTGCCTGGGGTGTCAATTGCGGCCTGAGGTGGCAATAACGGCCTAAGGTATTGAATTCATGCCTCAGGTGGGAGTAATGCCTTCAGGCATAAATAAATCACGTTAAAGCCGAGGTAACTTACAGCTCCCCTCCATTTGTCTCGCGTGCTCCTCGAGGCGAGGTAGATTTCCCCCACCTCTCTACGCTTTGACTGATCGTCTCTTCTTCTTAACTGGTTAACAGGCCCTTCATGTATCATTTCCGAACTTCAGCTACCCTCTGGCAATTGCCACGACTCTTGTCATACTCTATCCCGCGGCGTAACTTGACGTCCGCCCCTAGTAGGTTTAACAGCCATGTAGAGCCAGACTCTCACGACAAATTGGAACCTGTTGCCCCAAGAATCGACCATCCACTGCCTATACCAAAAGAATCCAGCAATTCCAAGGGCGATGTGCAAAATTCTACTCCTGACGTGGTTAGAAGAAAAGCCCGTGCGGATGGCATCCTAAAAGTGGGCAAAAAAGACTCGATCTGGGCTGGAAAAGAGGAATTGTACTTGCATATGGACAAAAGCAAAACGATCAAACTGCCATATACTTACCTGCGCGATTCATGCCAGTGTGTAGTGTGCAAGGATCAACACTCGAAGCAGCGCTCGTTCCGCACAAGTGACATCCCCAAGGACATTGCCCCAAGCTGGGTTAATTGGGATGGAAAAAAGCTTTCAATTAGGTGGGCTAACGACATTGGGGGGTCTGAGACTGCGCATGAATCAACCTGGGATCGTGATTTTCTAAAAAGCCCCATTTTCAACACTCATCGTCAGCATTGGAGCGCGAACTGCAACCCAATCCTGTGGGGACGGGCTCAAATGGACAAAAGGCAACATTGGGTGTCTTACCCGGACTATGTCGACGATAATTCCAAATTTGCCACAGCAATGCAACAGTTACAGCGTCTGGGCCTTATTTTTGTAAAGGGAGTTCCAGACTCACGATCGATGGTTGAAGCTATTGCAACCCGCATGGGACCACTACGAAACACCTTTTACGGATCAACATTCGACGTGCGCACTGTTCCACAGGCAACAAATGTCGCATATACGAACCAGTTCCTTGGGTTTCACATGGATTTGATGTATATGAACGAGCCACCGGGATACCAGCTCCTCCACTGCCTGGAGAACTCGTGTTCGGGGGCGAGTCGCTGTTCGCGGACACATTTTCGGCTGCGAAGCTCATGAATGAGCGATACCCAGAAGAGTATAAAGTGCTTCGCGAGCAGCGGCTGGGATACGAGTATAGGCACGAGAACCACATATACTACAACGAACGGCCCGTCTTTGAACATGATTCCGACACAGGCGAGCTGCGCCATGTCAATTATTCACCCCCTTTCAATCTCCCATCCCACCACGCGATGGGAAAGGCCATGATGCTGCGCCTGTGAACAAGCTACGAGACGCCCTGGCGAAGTTCACTTCAATGATTGATAATCAAAAGCACATCTTTGAGCTCAAGCTCAACCCAGGTGATTGCGTCATCTTTGATAACAGGCGAATCGTTCATGCCCGCCGCCAATTTAATGCCAGCGTGGGATCTCGCTGGTTAGCAGGCGCATATGTCGATACGGATGCTCTGCTATCCCGCTTTGCTGTCTGTAAGCATCAGCATCCATATGTTTGGACGAAAAAGGCCGAGAGGGACCTGGCGGCCAACAACGGAGACAATAACTAGGAAAGAAGCGGAGCATAAGAAGCAGGAGACTAAGAGAGTGGCTGAAGAGGAACGAATAGAGATTGAGGGGGAACCAGAGATTGATCAGGTTCACGAGACCAACTCAGAAGAAAGGACAGAAAAAGCACAAGGCAGTTCAAAAGACGAAGATTGATTAACCCAATATCTGAATCATGCGCAAGGGCCGGCATCATTTCCTTCTCTCTAGATGTAATGGATTTAAAAACAGGTAGAAAATGAAAGTTTTTATTGGCCAAGTCACCAAGACTGGACCTGAATGCGTATATATGATCAATAGGCCACCAGAAAATAATGAACAAGAGCTTCAAGGCCGATATGGGGATATATTTATGGTAGAAAGACAAGTTATAGTTCTGTTGTGACACGGTGCGTCACAATTGTATGAAAAGGGGAAAGAAAAGAAAAATATGACAGTAGTGTATGTTCAGTGAATGAATATGACATCAATAGACGAGATTGAAAATGATCGCATCACGAATCAATATGGGTGCTCCTTGGCACCAGAGACCGTGGCCGGCGGGGGAGGAGCAGGCTCATCAAAACGGCCCTGCTCCATCAAGTCGTCACGATCGTGACTCACGCTGCTGCGGTGTTGGAAAAACCGGTTGCGACTGAGCGATGACTGGCCACTACGGAAGCTGTGAGCGTCGGTCGACCGGCGACCGTCGGCATTATGGGAGGGAGCGCTCATGTTGGACGGGCGACGATGCCGGGAAGAAGATGTGCGGCTCCGGCGCTCCTCGTCGTCCTCGTTCTCTTCCTGGATGCGGCGCTCTGCAGCATCGCGGTTGGCGGTACGGACGACATCATCAACGACTACACCCCGATCTTCAAACACATCTCCCATAATATCGTTGGATGCCATGTTGGACATGCCCAAGGAGAAGTCGACGTGCTTGCGCTGTGAGACGGACGGGCCGCGGGCACGGGCGTTGGCAGTGTGCATACCCTTGCGGAGAATCGACGGGTGACGGGCTGCGCTGCCGCTGCTGGTTCCGGTATTCTCTGGCAGGTTGTGAGACACTTCTGAGATCGGGACCTCCTCGGCGTCGATAGGGACTTGCCGCTCGGCAGAGCGTGTATTGCCATGGTTGACATGGAAGGGAATGTCGAACTTGGCACCCTGGAGGTTCATGCGTGGGCCCTCGATGCCAATCTCCTGGAGAGCGACCATGAGCATGCAGATGAACTTGTTGCGACGCTGCAGACGTAGACCCTCGTTTTGCCAGTTGGACTTGTAAAAGAAGACGATGTTGAGTGTGAGCGAGAAGTTCTCGGTGACGGCACGCATTTCGGTGAGGATGTTGTTCTGGAAGTCGCGTTTCTCACTACGCACAAACTCCAAGAGGCGCTGTCGTAGGGAATCGAGTTGGTCGATGCTGGTGCCGTACTTGATAATGATTGGAACTGCCTCGGCAAGTGCGCCCGAACGGCGCTGATTGAGGATAAAAAGCCCATTGAGGTAGCTGTTTGGCGCCTGCACGACATGGCCTTGCATCTTCTTGAATTCGGTGTAAAGAAGAGTAATCTCCTTCACAAAGTAATCATCACCAAGACCGGAATCACCAGCGTTGCCGTAGATGGTCACACGGTCACCCACATCGAAGGGGTGCTTGACAAAGACGAATATAACAGACTGAAGGAACTCCTGGGCAGTAGCAGAGAACAACCAAGACAGGGCCAGAATAGCAGAGCCCGCGGAGGTGAGCACACCGGCGGCCGAGGTCGAGATGAGCGACAAGAACACAATCAGCACGATCACAAACACGAAAAACATGAACACATTATCCAATTTCGATACGACCGAATCCAAATCCTTGAGGGATGCGGTGATGGACTTGCGCTCACGGCCAATGTCAACGCAAACGGCCTCCAGCTCTTCCATGGAAATATCACCATTCATGTCGCGATCAAACATGGCGAAGGCAGCTTCGGCTTCCTCGCCGTCCTCAAATGCGGCCTTCAGGTCACCACCAAAAACCGTATCAAAGCCATCCCTCACAAAGGTGCGATACAGTCGACGCGCCAAGACCTGACAGCCTCCGGTAGTTCGCAAGAGCGCCAAAATGACCTGATAGGCATCGGTGCTGCGAGTCGCCGTGCGGCCAGTGACATCAGCCACTACTGCGCCTGCGACATCGCCAACGCGGTTTCCAACTTTGTTCAGGGCCCCCTTCGCCTTCCGCTGGGCCAGGCCAGCGTAGTGCAACGGAGTCTTGACTCCCGAAGGAGTCGGTTCCTCGTTCTTCTCCTCAAATGCATCATCTTTCTCAGTCAGAGTGGACCGAGACCATTCGTACAACTTGGTCAAACTGCCGATCTGGAATTTGTTGATTTCAATGCGATCCGCGTAGGTCCGCATATGGAAGCTGATTGCAATCAGCTGGATGAGGATCTTTTCGATGAAATTCAGGATAGTCCACACGAAGATGACAATGATGATTTTGTTGAGCGTGTCTTCCCAACTCCTGGTCCCTTTATTACCATCCACATGATGGTTTTTCATTGTTGGTAGGAAGGAGATCTCCACGCCGAGCCACCAGAAAAAGAGCGCCGCGTGAAGCTCGAGCTGTTTGGCCATGTCGCGCCACTTCTTCGCGTTATTGGTGAATATACTCGCAAAAAGACCAACAATCGGAGGCAAGCACTTGCCAACAAGCTAAAAAAATGATCAGTAAAGCGTCATGATGGGGATTGAGATTGGACCCACCCTTCCTGCCCAGAGAGTCAACCAGACAATTTCCAGCCAAATTGCAAACCACATCAATTCTACACCACCAACACTGGAATTGGGAAACTTGAGAGCGCCGACCAGCAACGGGATCAAGAGAATGAGGACAATGGGCGCAATGTAGGTCAAGTAGCGCACGAGGAAACTCGACTGGTGCAGCTTCTTCACAAAGACGGCAATCTGGGTGTTTGGTTTCTCCGGGGGTTTGTAAATTGCGGTCTTTTCGTGCAGAGGGTTTGTAGCTTCATCGAACTCATCCACGGCCTCCGAGCGACGCGAACGGGCGCGATTGATAGAATTGCGGTCATGCTCGTCATCTGGTGCGCCGGTCGAATGCGAGGTCATACGCTCGGCTTGCAGGAGCATCAAGTCATCGTCCAGACGAGTAGCCTGCTCCCGGCGGGCGGACGGCGTGCGCATGGGCGGATGCTCATCATCATCATCATCATAAGCATGACGTGTAGTGTCCACCCTTAAGCGACCCGCGTCGCGATCGGTGTCGGGCTCGGTCACATAGGTTCCATCATCGGAGGTGGGAGAGATGTCCGATTCCTTGCGCTTGTCCTTTGGTTCGATATACGCTTTTCGTTCCTCGACGGGGGATGACATAATGGCACCAGGCCAAGTATGATGAGGGGAATTCGGTCAAGGCGGGGAGGTTTGGACTGGAATGTGGTGAGGGGGATATATATTAGGGGTGTTTTCAATAAGACCGCAACCAAAATGAAAAGAATGAAAAGAAAAGGGAATGTAGATACAGAGAAAGAGAGGAAGAGGGAGAGAGACACACACACAGAGAGAGAGGGAGAGGGAGAGAGAGAGAGAGAGAGAGAAGAGAAATGATCAAGTGGAGTTGGAAGACCCATAACAGTGCAGAGTCTGGGCCTTGGACTGTTTCTGGATTAGTTGGATTTTATGATGATCTCGATTAGTTTATAAAACTATGGCTATTTATGGGAGATTAATTTCATTTTAATTTAAGAGAGAATAAGGGGTGTTTAGATATAGGCAGTACGGAGTATATAGGGGTGTTATACATAGTCTATAGTTAACATATAAGGTACTTTGTACACACACACCCTTTCCAACTTCTACAAAGTATTTCAACTTCGGTCAAGTACATAATCTCTGCATACGCAATGCAGACCAACTGCCAATTATCTTAGAGACACTCTGGCCCATCACGGCCCGCCAACGTTTTCCTGATCCACCAGGTGGCGACAATGAAAGGATTTATCGTGGACTCATTCGTCTTTGGTCTAAATTGTGCGCATAAAAGGAAAAATGGAATTACCCGTTAAAATATAATCATTATTAACTTTCATATTAGTATTACACTATTATTATACTAACACTACAACGTACATAGTAACTATGTATTATTAGAATGGCTTTATGCTTAGAGTGAGATATGGATAACGCCCAGAACGCCCAGAACGCCTCCGGGTATGTTGTACAGTCCCCCTGCGTCAGATAAACAACTAACTAGTTACTTGGGGCTAACTATACATGTACAAACATACATAGTAACTAACTAACTAACTATTGTACAGAACAGTATGAAATCGTCTAGAATGTCTACCTTCTACGGATGTACAATGTATTATTGACATCTGATACAACCATGACGTTATAAAAAACCAAATTCGATATATCCGAATCTATTATTTAAGTGACGTTGTAATTCTCATGTACGCACTGAATATGCACTGAATCGAGTGTCTCATCGCGACAGTTTGGCACTTGTTCTGTGCTCTGATAGAACAATTATTGGGTCGAGCTATAGTGCACATATGCACGGTTGCGATCATCATGTACCATGCATGAAAAGAAAACTGTAAACCTGGACATTTGACAGAATATCATTAACCGAGGTCTTGTCTAGGACTAGATCTTCGCGAGTAATTAGAGCCGTGTCCAATCCCAACTCTTTAATAGAATGATCATCGGGATTCCGTAAGTGGGAGGTGGCTGTGAAGCACTTATATATTGAAGAGGGGAACGCTCTAGGTAGTATGCTCTTTTGGCATACGGGTCGATTCAGCACTCGTAATTCAGCGTTATACTAGCTAGGGTATATAAAGAGATTTAGAATATACTCGCCTGTGATTCCTTAGAAGTTCTCTTCTCGGTCGGAGGTAAGATCAATTTGACTAGCACCGATCCTAATACTACCTATGAAAAGAGAGATCTAGTAATAATTCGCTAGGACTTGGGGCCTCACGGAAGCTATATTAAAAAGATATCCTTCCCTATTGTCGAAATATAGGTCGTAATGACGGATTCTTTAATCTATCTCTTAAAAGATTGCGAACTAGTAAGCTTTAGCCGCGGTGATTTGGAAGTGATTAATAAGTGTCGAATACTGCCCAGGTGGGTTGAATACATGCACATGTGGTTGAATACAGGGTATTTTACCCGGAAACACGCGGGACCGCCAAATGGGCAGATCCCATACAAAAGTGCATATTATCGTTACTAAGCATGTCCGTGGAAATTCCCCCGAGAATTCCAATCCTGTCATTTTAGTTAGAGATTTCAATATATCTTCATGATTTTGTCCATACATTGTCGTACTGCCAGATTTCTGCCAATAAGGGCTACCGCTAAGCTTCTAAGATAGATATCTAGAAATTCTTGTCTAACTACTCCCTATGCGATAATCGGGTCATAGAGAAAGTCATAACATTCCCCACATATATCGTCCCTCCTTTCCAGGTGCCCACCTAGGAACCGGGGAAATCCATTACTACATGGCGGATTAATCGGTGGGCCGGTATTAATTCGTTATAATGGGGCTTTACTACTGTACATATGTACCTTCCAAGGTTCCCAAAACCATGAATTTAGAATTTGGCTTTTCAATCCTAATCCGGTGTTTGATAATTCCCATCTCGTATTCACAACATCCGGTATGTGTATGTCGCCTATGAGGGTGTTTCTATCAACCCACTTGCAAATTTCTGGACAGCCCAATTATCATCATTGGTATGGCATGAGATACCAAGCAATAATAAGGCTACCCAGCCAGCTACTGATCTTAGGACAGTTGGCGATATACCATGGGCCAGTGAGTCGGTCTGGCATGCCTCATATCAAGCGCCCCATGGGCTAATCTTATTAGGGCCTCCAACATAATCATCATCATTTGAGACATGCTGCATGATTGAGTGTGTTTGGGCTTCCTGGTCAAATGTCTTCCCTCCTAGTCAAGATCCCCTAGATATCTAAACATCTAGTTTGAGTAACTAATGCTTACTACCAAGTTCAATTTTGACGGACTGAAATTGTAGCTCGAGAGCAAGCCAAGTGTTAAAGTTGATACCCATTCAGTGGAATCCTTCGCGAACAATAGGCACTCCCATTCCTTGTGGATCGACCGTGCCAATTTTTGTTTTTCTGCCACAAGCTATTGACAAGGGCGGTTATATTGAATTAATCGGTTTTTTGTTCTTTTCCGGATAATTGTTGTCAAAATACTTTACCCCTCCACAAAGTGACCAGTAAACTCGCGTCTATCACCTAGACCTGACAAGCAGATGATGAACACAGACGTAGCTACCTCGTTCATTGAATGGATGGTATTGATCGGCGAAAAAAGAGCTCGTGTCAAGAACTCAAGACCTCCAGTGTTGAGGTCATGAGTTAGGGACAACAATTTGCCATTGCTAGAACAGGTATTTGACCACCGGCTTGTGGTAGTTCTAGACTCGTCTCCTGTTTGTCTCTGGCATAAATAGTTACAAACTAAGTCAAAACTTGAGAACTTGTTGGCCCGCAACATACCCTGTTTTTCTAATCGAGATCTTTCAATAACTCAAGAGGCACGTGGAATGTCTTATCCCAACAATACGCAATCTCAAGTCACTAGTTGGCCTTGTACGACTAATTACACTGAATTTGACGACCTAATCCATCCACACTTTTCACCCCTGGGCTCGCAACAATTTACATCGCCCGAGAGTGAATCTTCGATTATCGATCCCATGCCGAGGTATTCCACACAGGGCACAAATAGAAGGTCATCAACTTTGTTGGAAAGTCGGGACACTCCTTACACCGACAACGTATGTCGGCACTATGCCATTCTACTTGGTAAAGCTAACTCATGCTTCTCAGGACCTCTGCTATGATGGGCTCCGACACACGCCTTTGGAAAATCATCCGCCTCCAATTGGCTTGCCGAGATCTGAATACGTAAAATCAAGCCACCACTATGGAGAAAGGCTTAGTAGTTATGAAGGGAACGTACCATTGACAAGCTCAGAAGACATGAAACAACCAATTCACCAACAGTTTCTTTCTGACTGTCATATCAACACCGAGAAGAATCTTTTGAAATCGCAGCATCTTCCACGTCCGTATTCTAGCCCGGAAAGTAAAGCAATCAGCGAGAAAGCGCGCCGAAAACGAGCCCACAATTTGATTGAAAAACGGTCCCGTGAAAATCTCAATCTCAAATTCCTTGAGTTAGAAAAGGTCCTAAGTCGTCACCGTGGCCCTGGTCAGAATAAGGACCTGACGCCGGACAATACGCCCAAACGAAAGAAACGATTGGCTATTCTCGATCGCGCCCACAATAATATTTTGGAACTCGAAGCGGAAGTGCAATCACTAAAACAAAAGATTAAAACTTTGCGGGACATTGCTTTTCCTGAGACATGCAGATTCACGCTCCCTGTTGACTGATATGGTCTTTTGTTTATGTAGTATTTTTTACCGCATTTATAAGACCTTCCGAAATCTTTATATGATTGCTCGATTTAGGTACCCCTAGGATATCCATAGAAGTCTTGGAATCGCATGTCGGTTCGAAATTAACTATCAAAAACTTTGGAATATGTAATTAAATTTTGAAAAGCTGGATTCTAGACGCGGAGTAATAGAAAGTGGTATCTTGGAAGACCTACAAGTATTCTGACGCCATCATCTCATTGTTGGTGGCAAAGTTAATATGCATGACCGTATTATATTCAGATCGCCCGCGGGAGCGGGGAAGCTTCGTACCCTGGTTATGTGTGTTCACAATAATCCGTGTTTGTATCTGATGGGCAAAAAGAGAGCTCGTGCCAATAACTTCAGTGTTGAGGTCATAAATTAGGCACAAGAATTGGCCATTGGCAGAAACCAGGTATTTGATCACCGGCTTGCGGTAATTCTACCTAGGTAGGCTCGAAAATTATACTTCGTGCGTCGCTACTATGGCGCCTGATTTGATCGACTACCTAACTACATGTAGGTAGAGTTGGATGCCCGGGTAGTCAAAATAATGTGAACCATGGCTCTTCTATATATTATATTATGTTGTAGATTTGCGAGACGATTTCTTACAAATAAGATTATCTTCTCTTCACAGGCTCCCAATCCTGTCCCACCATGTAGGTCATCAAACATAACACATAACGTATATATCAAGCAAAGGCAGTCCATTGCGTCCGACAAGCCGCAGCAACTTCTCGCGCCGGTCTACCAATCATCCCCTTCCAGAAGTACCAGAAGGAACGAGTTCTTCAATCTCCAAAGACAACAAAGCATCAAAAGTCCAATCATAGCATCGTCCAATTGAATCTCTAGGAGCAAGCTCCTTCTCGATAACCTTGATCACATTGTGTCGTTATTAAGACGTTAGATCGGCGATCTTATATATATCCAATAGCCGCTTTGTCCATGATCTTCGTGGCGTACCGAGGCGTAAATCCGTACCACAACCTATCTAAATGGATGGCCTCGACTTAGAAGAGATCGCCGAATTCTAGGTTCCCGGGCTTATTGATCATAAACCCCTAGTGGGATCGGTGTGGGGGGCTATCGCCGGGTCCGAAGATCTGTACCCTTAGTTACTCTGTACTGGTACAAGATAAACATCGGAATCCTCATCAAAAGAGGTATCCTATCAAACACAAAAAGAAAACAGCGTCAAGCTGATATTGCAATTTCAATCACATGGTCAAAAAGATGAAACAGAGACTACTGTCGCCAAAAAAAAAAAAAAAGAAAAGCAGACCATGGCGAGTAAAAAGAAAGACCGGAACACCTTGCTCCGAGAGTCACAAAGAAAACATTCAGACATAAGAGACGTGAGAGAGTGAATATGACAATGGATCCACGGGGTACAACAAGGTATCCCCGGAAGGAGTAGATAACACAGGAAAGTTTACAAGGAAGACAAGAGTAGGTATGCAACAATATGTAGAATAGAAAGATATCGCAAGATCTCTGAGAGAAAGCTTTTGCCGGAAAGAAGAGAACACGGCATCTATCTTTTGAATGCAAAGCTCAAGTCCGAGCGATGTCGCTCCGCTGGACGAGGTGTCTGCTCCGGATCAAGGTTGGGGGAAGGATGAAGAGGTCGTGGCGTAGCATCAGCGTCCGGTGTGGGACTAAAGTCGGCGTCCACACCTGAATCAGCGTCTCGGGTCAGCGCGCTGCCGGAGATCTTGACTTCAGGGGTGATTGGCGGGGCAGTGGGGTGGCAGATAGTGCTCTGGGGCAAGTCCCACGGGGGTGTGGTCTGGCCCTGACTCAACACTGCCGGGCTAGGCTTCGATGTAGTAGTACACTGGGAAAGTCCGGAGTAGATCGAGGTATCCTGATGCGCCAGAGACGGCCGGTGATACTGAGAGGCAGATGCTCCAAACCTTGGAGGGGACGTACGAGGACTGGGTGATTCTTCGCCTTCCGATTCTTCGGGGATGCTGAGGGCCTCGAAACGATCTTCTAGGCTCGTACTGGCCGGGGAACCCAAAGACCCATCGCTGTCTTCGTTATCGGCGGACTCTGCGGCTTGGTTCCGAAGAGCCTCCCTCTCCTTCTTCAAGAGTTCTTCACTGCCACTGACAACACTGCCCCGACTGTTGGTCCGCATCATCTCAATCCCCAGTTTAGAGCCGGGGCGGCGATTTCGAGAGGGTGGGCTGCGACGTGTTTGGGAATTGCCAAGCTCTTCATCTTCATCGTCACCCGATTCGGCCCCCTCATACCGCTTGTTCTCAAGGGATTCCTTTTTGGCACGAATTGCTTCGCTTGACCGTTGCCTCCGGGGTGTGAGCCCACCGGTTGCATCCATGGCCGCGGGTGCTGTGGCGGCATGGAGAAGGTGAGGCACAGGTACAGCGTTAGGACTTGGGCTCCCAGGGTGTTCCGCTGGCTCTTCGGATATCCCCAGTCCACCGTGGCCTTGATCCCAATCATCAGAATTTCGATTTATGATTACTGGGATCTCCCCCGGTTTAAAAGACTCCATATCTCCGAATACACTGCTGCTGAGCGAATCATTGCGGCTGGATCCTCGGTAAGAGCTGGGGGGATTGAGGACAAATCCAGAGGATACAGAACTAGGGCTGTCCTCGTTTGTCACGGCGGTTGACCGAGTACCAGAGCCCGGAACTGAAACAGGTTGGGAGGGAATGTAATCCGTTGGAGGAGGTTTCCACATGCACCACTGGTAAAGCGCCTCGGTGAGCTTGGGTAGGGTCGGAGGCTTCTGGATCAAGGCATCGAAGTTGTGATTCTCCGGAAGGTCTTTCAAGTAGCCTGTAACAGCAATTATCGGAGTATGCCTGTTCGCACTGCGCGTCTCCCGCACCATCCGAGCAAAATCAACCCCGTTGACTTGGGGAAGTCGATATTCAGTCATGATTATATCGAACTGAACCTCGCTGAGAGCGTATCTGACGGCTTCCGCGCCATTTGTAACGGTAATGGTTCGGCAGCGAAGTTTTTCGAACAGGCGTTCCATGACCAGCCGCGAGACGGGATGATCTTCACAAATGAGCACATCCAATGGCCGGAAAAAGGGCCCTTCTAGGATGTTGATTTGCGATAACCGTCGAGAGCTTTGTCGCCGACGTTGGACCTTCAAAAGTGCTTTTGTGCGTGGATCCTCATTGTCAGAGGATGAAGGTGAGATATCAAAGAGTTGACTCCGGCGCTTATGATGATGGGGCACAAACGGTTCTTTCGGGAACGAGGAAACATCTCCATCCTGAGAGCCAATAGTGTGCGATCGGGTACGGCTCGCTGGGACGCTGCCATGGCGTTGATTGTTGCCCGTCTTGTCGGGGGAATGAGCTGGAATTCGGTTGGATTTGACGGGAGAGGATGCCACTGAGCCCAGTCGAAAATTTGGCATGCGCCCCTGGTCGGCAGAGGAAGGCTGAAAGTTCCCACTCGATTGGTGGGAGGCTGATGAGGAGCCCGACGTCTTGCGCCGTTCCTGGTTAGTCCCAGTGCTGAACTGAACTAGGAGTGGAGAAGATGGCTGTGACGGCCTGCTAGGAGATGAGTTTGTTTGACTTAGGCCTGATGGGGAAGAAGGTCGATTATTGCCCTTGTTCTGTGACAAAGTTCGCTGGAGTGACATAGGTAGTGGGCTCCCTTCCAATGACGGCTGGGATGAAGTGACCGACGTCTGAGCGGCCGATGACGAACTGGGTTGTCGGTGCTGCGCCTGTAGAGCCTCCTGGCGCATCTTCTGGATCACATCTTTGTTGGCCTTCTCCAGCATCGGAAGATTCTTAAAGTTGAAGCTGCCAAAATCATCGGCCAAGGCCGGTTCACTTAGTCTCCGACTTCGTGAATCCCGAGCATCACGAACGTGAGGAGGAATGTGCAGCGGCATCAGAGGTCGTTTCGATGAATTGACTTGAGAGCGCACCTTGAACAGTGCATCATGAGGCCGGTCGGGGCCAGCGGAAGCTGACGGTTGTGGCGATTTCTCATCTTCTAACTCCTCGGCAAAGGATTGAAGAGTAGCGCCACGGGCATCAAAGTACTCTGTGTCCTCCGGGTTCTCGATGTTGGGAACGAATTGTGCTTTGTCTTCTAGCAGTGTATCCCAGTTAATATCAGACAACCAAGGATGACTACAAATCTCTGCGCCACCACTTGGAAACTTCTCTTCCACGTTGGCTCCAATTCTGTCACGAGGGTTGAGAGTCATGAGCTTGTTCATGAGATCCAACGACTCTGCTGAAGTGAACTCCTCTGGGTCGTCAGGCCAATTGATCCTGCGATGGAGAATGTTTTCGAAGACCTGATCCGGGGTATCCGCATTGAATGGTGGGTACCCAAAGATGAACTCAAACATGATGCATCCCAATGACCACCAGTCACTGATCTCATCTTGCCCAACGCCGTTGATAGTTTCCGGGGCTAGGTAGTCAGGAGTACCGACAAAACGGCGGTCGTGATCTTCAGGATCAAAAAGAGCCATCACTGGAGGCATCATACTCTGCTGGGGAGGTGTATTCTGCGCCATTGGATTGCTGAATGTTGGCTGCAGGGGTTGAAGGCGAGGAGACTCGCCAGCCTCGCTTTGGCCCTCTTCTTCAACCATGCTAGTTGAAAACATACTCGGCGATGAGGCAGGAGGTTCGTGGGAAGTATCATTAAGCGAGAATGTCCTGAACATTCCATTGAGACCATCACTGCCCATGCTATCGCTGCGGTATCCCGAAGCTCGACGAGAGCTTTGCCGACTCAAGCCACTCTGGTTGAGGCTGAAGTAGGATGGCTGAATGGCATTGGCAGACACTTCCGGGGTAATTAGTGGAGTGGAGCCGGGTGATGAGCTTGCCTGGAAGTCGAATGAGGCCGATCGAGAAGATGCAATCGATATCGCACGGGGGAATGAATTTTGCTTTAGCAGATCAGGAGCAGACTCATCAGGGTTCTTCAGCACCCGTTTCTGCCGACCGACCAACCCCATGCGTGAAAGTCCAAAGTCCGTGAGCTTCAAATGGCCCGTTTGGTCGATAAGGAGATTATCGGGCTTTAAATCGCGATGCACAATGCCTCGGCTGTGAAGGTGTTCCACTCCAAGCACCACCTCACCGATGTATTTCTTAGCCCAATCCTCGGGGAGACCCCCAAGAACCTTGACAAGTGATGAACAGTCACCTCCGTTGAGATATTCCATTACCAAGTAAAGATAATCCTTACTAGAAAATGTCCAATATAGCTTGGCAACGAAGTCACTCTCTCCTTGCCACATCATGATAGCACGTTCGGCTTTGACGTTGGTGACCTGATTCTTGGCAATCATGTCGGCCTTCTTCAGAACTTTCATCGCATAATATTCGCCAGTGGCCTTCTTTTTCACCAAGTAGACACTGCCGAAAGCACCTTTGCTAATTGGTTTGATGATTTCAAAATCGCGGATAGACAACGGAGCAGGTCGAGGCTGCTGCTGGCTCATCGAAGGTAGGCGTGGGGAGGGCGGTGGCTTCGTAACATCTGAAGAAGTTGCCGAGGATTGCCGGCGATGGTGGCGGCAGTGATGGAGAGCCAGTTCACTTGCGTATGCAGATGGAGATGCCATTGGGGACGGCAGGCTTTCACCTCCGCTAGACATACGGGGCTTCGGCATGCGCAACGGGGAATGCGGCCCTGAAACTCGAGCGGGAGAAGGCTGCCGTCGAGGAGAACTGGAAAGTCCGGGCAGGACCAGGCTCCGGCGCTTTCGATCGAAGCTCCTCTCGGATGAGGGTGAGTCTGTTCTTACAGCTCCCGGGAAGACAGAAGACGGCAAACTGCTGTCGCTACTGTCACCAGCATCAATGTCCCCTAGGGCAAGGCCCAGTCGAGAAGGTTGTGATGTACCCAGAAGTCCTGCAGCACTTTTATGGGATCGCGGGGTGGGGCATTCCAACGGGCTGTTAGAACCCGTGGATACTGCTGCCGAGGATGGTCTGCGTTCCGTTTGTGAGAGCAATGACCGATCTGGTGAATTGCGCATTGACAGAGTCAGCGCAGATGTCGGTCGCCTTGGGGAGGGTGCCGCTGGATACGGCTTTTGTTGCAATTCGTGGCTCATGGTTTGTGAGAGGGACTCTTCCTCGACTATACTGTTGCTATCGCTCAGAGGAACATTGCTGTCGACAGTGCTCTCGGGCGCCACTTCTTCATCGGATGAGCACGAGGAATCACTGAGCTGACCAGCAGCTATGCGCTCCGCTTTGCTTAACGCTGCCCCGATGCATTCCTCGACTAGCACTGTGTATTCGATGCGAATTCGCTCGGCGTATTCGACAATCTTGCGATGACGTACAACGGCATCAACTTTTGCCTTGGCAACTTGTTCGGTGTCCGCAGACAAAGCGGCCAGACCCTGTTCTTGTTCCAAGGTGTTGGAGCTGGGGGATTGCCACTGAAGAACCTGAGAGATCCGCGATTCAGATTGTGGTGACAACGTCCGGAAGTCCTCTGCGTCTGTCCGGGAAGATTCCTTGATCATCGGCATACTAATCTCCAGTGAAGTGTCGCACAGGTCAAGAACGAGTTCCACGATGCGAGCCAGTGGTCTCCGCACTGTGAATGAGCGGGGTCGGTTTGGAATAGCACCAGACGCAGAATGTTCTCGCGACCGGGACGGCGTGCCGGGCGCTGAATTACTGCTTGAAACAGGACCGGACGACGGAGCAGAGCTGGCAGACGAGGGGCCGATGGCTAATCCCTTGTACTCCGCTTGAGGGAGGGGCATTGGATTTCCATCGCTCCCGATGAAAGGTCTGCCTTGTCGGGCCTCTAAAGCATCCAAGACCTTGACAATGACGTGCCGATGCTCATTGAGGTTTTCCTGTGCCATTTGAACATCCATCTCCGCCCGATGTTCCTGCAGACACAAATCTGAGTGTTTCTCGAACCACCATGGCGTAATCTGGCGTTCACAGATGCGACAGAGAACGGGGGTCGGGGCGGGATGCTTGGAAGGATCGGGTTCTGTCGCTGCAGCCTCAGCCAATTCGGTCAAATAATTTGCCAACACCTCTGCTCCAACACCCAAAGACTCCACCAGCAGAGGCGGCAGATCGATTGTCACTTCTCTTGGCTCGGTCAGCGGTCGTAACATCCACATGGTCTGTAGTCAGAAGGTGTCAGCGGTATAAACGGTAGGCGTCAAAACATTGTTGAGGTACGCACATGGCCAGCTTCATCGTCTGTCCGGTCATAGACCATGATTCCCTGCCCCTCCATGTTAAGCACATTGTGGTTATGCTCTTCCTCCTGGGACTCCTCTGTCTTTTCGCCGAAGGCGAGGTTCTCCGTAGCCGCCGGGGGTAGTTCAGGAGCGTACTTCAGGACAGAATCCGGCCCCATCTGGAGGGCGAAGCGAATGAAACGACTCCGCGAATCATCCTGCTTCATGGATTCGATTGCATCGCGGAACACATCCTTGTTGCCCAACAGGATTTCCGATATCATATGGCCCTCAACTGACTCAGGGGATGATCCGACCACCTGCTTCCACGATGGGCTGACCCATTTGATGCAACCCTCCAGGTCCATATCCACAATGATGTTCAATGTCTGTTCGGCCGCTTCCTTCAAATCCTCACGTTCCTCTCGCATATTATCGCTCAATGTCCGAACCATCTTCGGATCGATATTCCGAGCCTCCTGCCGCAGCGCTGTCACGGCAGGAGGCGCGAGGAATTGTGGCTTGGGGGAATCATTGCTGGCCATACTGACTCGCTCGGGCGACCGAGCAGGCTTCGAGGTTCAGGGGGTAGGAAGACGACGGTGTGATGGATCAAGGTAAGTTGAATAAAACAAAAGATATTGTTCCAGCCAAGCAGAACCGTCTGCTGGGCAGCGCGGGTGCCCTTAATCGAGGTTATTGATTCATCCGTAGCATCAACCGTCCATAGCGAAGTCGTAAGACTCGGGAACAGCTCAATTCAATCGCTCCGGAGTGATGGCAGTCGACCACTCCACCGTTAAGTTTGTGTATTGAGAGGTGTAGAGACGACACACAGGCTGAAACACGAAACGTTAGACGGAGGATAACGGAAGCCGTGTCTCTGCGGGGGATGGCGCGACAGCGACGCGCTGGATCAACAACGTCAACCCCAGAGGAGGCTGACCCGATAAAGGGAACGAAACTTGATCAAAATTGAGACCTTAGGGTCACAGAAATGGGTAGAAGCGGATAAAGTCGAGAGAATGTTTTAAGAGGAAGAGTCGTGATGGGGGGGGGGAATCGAAGGAGTCGAGGGCGGTGATTGGTTGAGCTGTGCGTTTCCTGCACCACGTACTTCCCACCTCTCTCTCTCTCTCTCTCTTTTTTTTTTTTTTCTTTCAAGTTCACTTGTTCTTTATTTGATATCTTGAACATTTATTATGCATATATAGTATCTAGGGTCGAGATTTTGTGCTATGTTGATGACTTCTGCGGGAAGAGATTCGCTCCTTAATTGTATACATCCCATGTTTGCAACTCAACGTCATGACATTTGAAGTAAAGGGTGTTAAATGCATATGAATCTATCAATACTAGTATTAACCACATGTAGATAAGCACCGATTCTGGATTTGGTACTTTTGTCTACAAGCATCCAACCCATGTCCTGTGTACCTAGGGAGTTTATTTCCAGATCCCTTCATGCCAGACAGCCATATTTCTACCAAAAACAGCAAAATAGAAAAGGCCGGAAAAAGAAAAAAGAAAATATTCCTCCAATTTCATTGGACGCCACCGGATGTAGTTCCTAATTCCCCATATAATGAGAACTTGCATTCCCTCTCCAAGTGATATTGTGATATTATGAGAATTGATATATTGGACTAGGTATAGAACACTCGCTATATTACACCATCTGTTGCACCAGACGAACACTTGTTCCACAGACGTCTGGAAAAAAAAAACTGAAATCGTTGACTTATACATGTAGTCCCTTACTGGCGTAATAATCCATATCAACCTGGTTAAGGGAGCCAGTAATATAACATAGTTATCTCACCATTGGAGATTCTACAATCCAATTCTATACCCCTAAAAAATGAAATCCCAAAACGTCCTAGAATAGGCTCGGAATGTTCGGGGGCCACATTCGTTGCTCCGCCTTTTTTCTTCATCTTCCGGATCTGCGGGGTAGTCAGCTGACGGTTGACTTCATCGTTTTGGGGATGATCTTCCATTGATCTTCCATTGGTACTCTTCAATATCCAAGGAACTGCAGATATTAATTAGTGTCATTCATGGGATGGGCTTATCCACCACCATTTCACTGTCACCTTGGAGCTAACAGTAGATACTCCCCGAGTAAACTTTATACTTTCCCCTTCCCATGTAGCCACTGATCTGCTTCCTATGGGGTCATGTCTGTCTAGCATGAAACTCTACCTAGTCTATGACGAGAGGTAATTACGTACAGGGGTGTACACTACAACAATACAAAATAGACAAAAAAAAGGGGATCTCACTGAATTGTGAGGTTTTTCTAAGAAGTGAGTGCTATTATTCCCAAAATATATATCCACATCAGAAATTTGTATTTTCTCAGAAAGCAACTCACTTCCGTTAGACCAAATATAAGACCGCACTCGTTGAGTCTATTTGGCTATAGCTAAAATTTGTCGAAGAGTAGTGACAAGAATAATCGGGCGCTCATGCTACCTCTGTCCTTGACGACGTAAAACTTGAATAACCTGATATGGCCCAAGATGATATTAGGAACCTCATGTGTAAGAAAACCAACGTATTTTTGGAAGTCCTTTTTAGCAGACTCTTTGGGTGTCTTTTTAGATATATACCCAGGCACTATGCATAGCTAGGGATATCGGTTAACTACGTATGGAATATCCATAACTATAACTAACTATGTAGTCAACTAGTTAGTTAGTCAGTTATGATCAGATATTGTAGCCTGAATATTAAAAATTGCTGCCTTAATGCCTGAGGCAGTAAGGTGTGAAAGGGATGCTTTGTAATGTCAAGTTTCAATGGCAGCCTTCGAAAATCCATGGATTCCGTCCCAAATAGCTGAAGGGTTCTAATATTAAGGATATAGCACTGGAGTCTACTGGACAAAAGTAATTCCACCTGCTTTTGTGCATAATTCGCTATGCCCGCAGCACCGGATGAACCTGCTAGGCGCAAGCGACCGGTTAGAAAGTATACGTCCCGAGCCTGTGAAACATGTCGACAACGACGAGCTAAGGTAAGATGATACCTAGGTAGCGTTCCACAATTTATCACCTAAAGTCTGTGCTAATATCAAAACAGTGTGATGGCGCTCGACCGTCTTGCTCTCGCTGCCTTGATCGTGGTGTTCAATGCGAGTACTCCACAGCAGAGGACGGGCGGCAGCCAGCGCCCAAGTCCTATGTAGTCATGCTGCGCAATCGAATTGAACTCTTGGAGCGTGTAATACACACCCATGGCATTGATCCTGATGCTGCCATCCAATTGATGACGAAAAATGGCGAGCCTAACACTGAGTGGGTTCCGGCTTGCTCGAATGTTGATGACTTGTGTACTACGTTTGACGGTGCGCTGACGCTTGACGAGTCATTAAATTTCGATCAAGATGGCGAAGTGCGGTATTTTGGACCGACAAGTGGGCGATTGCTGTTTCGATCTTCATCAAAAGGCAAGCTGTAGTAGCCTTCCCCCCTTCTTCAGCTTAGAGGTTCGCTAACAATCTCTAGATTCGCCCAACGAAGAGGCATATCAGTCCGACGGCCCTCACAAGGGGACTGGTGAAACATTGCTGAATGGGAGTACAGACTCGTTGGAAGAAAGCTTGATACCAGAAGACGGGCTTCGATCTCACTTGATCGACCTGTATTTTGAGTGGGAACAGCCATGGCTTCAGATGGTGAACGAGCAACTGTTTCGAGATTCCATGAGACACGGCGGGCGATACTTTAGCCCTCTTCTTTTAAATTGCATCCTCGCTTTAGGGTCACGATACTGCGACCGCACTGACGTGAGATCAGACCCTAATGATTCCAACACAGCCGGCAAGATATTTCTCGAAAGGGCAGAAAAATTGCTTCAAAATGATCTCAGATGGCCCAAGATCACAACAATCCAGTCTTTGGCAATTATGGGCATGGCCTATATTGTAAGTCTTATATCACAGACTTTTACCCAAAGAGCCAATCAAATTAACTTATGACAGGCGATGGGATCTGACGCTGCTGGGTGGCTTCATCAAGGTATGGCCAATCGCCTGGCCCTGGATATGGGTTTCAACATGGATCCTTCGGTTCTTTCCGGAGCAGTTGCTCTTTCATCCATCGAAATTGAGCTGCGAAGGCAGATCTATTGGGCTTTGTATTGCCACGACAAACTATCAGCAAGCTACACAGGCAGGGTGTGCACGTTACTGGTATGCTATACCACAAAAACTTTTTTTTGCATCAAACTCACTTTGATTTGTCGCACAGGACTCCCAGGGTGTCGTCAACAAACCATTTCTTTTATGTGCCCCGGATGTCCATTTGCCTTCAGCAAATGGCAATGGACAATTGAGGGCCGCCTCTCAAAGAGACGTGGTACAGTTGCATATAGCAATGATCGACCTGTGTCGTATATTCGAGAAAGTCCTCCTTACATTGTGAGTCTATCGTATCATTTCTCACGTCTACCTCTCTCACTGACATATATCACCCAAGCTGGTCTCCAAAGCCACTCCTCCAACCCCAACAACGTTCTGCATTTTTAGACACCTGTGTGCTTGAACTCAAGACCTGGTACTACGATCTTTCCCCAGAGCTCAAAGTTGACCGTCCATCTGGTCCCTCCCGGTTTCCTCACACCTACACTTTATACATGGTATACCATACTGTGTGCATTTTACTTTGCGTGCCCTTTTTGAGCAACAACTCTGCCACTCAAGATGTTGGTGATCCCGCAGACCCACAGACGCAACAAAACAGGAGCCACACAAAATCGGAGCCTGCCTGTAAACAGAAAGTCATGATAATATGCAGTAACTCCGCCCGAGGAATGTGCATCGTGGCCCAGAAATACAGACAGACATTTGGCAGCTTCAAACTGAGCCCCATAACAGCCACACACTGCATGCTATCAGCGGCATCGATCATCATTGAAAAATGGTGTGTTGATCCCGCCATGAAACCTGATACAGGTAACCCGACCGTGCGAGGCCCGTCACCACAAGCAGCTGTGGGACTCTGCCTTCAGGTTCTGCAAGAACTCTCGACGTCCTGGGATATCGCAAAGCGTATCGGACGGAATTTGGAGAAATTGTATTGCCAACGACTGAACTGTGATATTGATCATATGCCGCCCGCCCCTTCATTCGAATGCAATGGCCTTTGGACAACTCCGTATCAACCAACAGACGCGGATCTCTATCTAGGCCCCGTGGCCCCGACTGAGCCACTCCAAAGTCTCCCCGACCCGAAAGACCTGCATGTTAAAAATACCCCTTTGCCCCCACCACTTCCAAACATCAATTGGTTTGATGTTCCTACTCCGAGCAACACTCACCCACATGATAACAACAGCTTGATTGGACCTGGAGCAGCCTCTGACCCAAACGAGCTGTTTATCAACAACCTCGGCTTTGCATTCTCTGCCAATTCTCTACCTAGCGACTACAATATGTTCGATACATTGAACCAAATGTATTTAGAAGATATATGGTGATATTAGAGAGACAATGATTTCCTAATTCCTGCTTCCTTCCCGAGGTCGTCATTGAAAAAGGCTTACTTACGTGCCACTCAGTGTTTCATACGTAGGTAAAAACAGGAATTCTCACTTTGAGGAAAGATACCGGCGGCAATCATTTTCGCTAGCATGTCTCGAGGCTCATCAGCTAATATAATCATCTAGGAACTGCGAAACTCACAAATCGCCGATTATTGAGAATGAGGGAATGTGCTCGCGTCAACAACTCGCAAGCCTGTAACCCGACACGCCCTTGCTCTACTATCAACAACAGCCATGTTGTCGTGTTGGATACTCATCTTGCAGGTACAAGTTGCATGATAAGTTGGCATCGTGGTTTTGATGATATTTAATATTTTATCATTGGTCTGATAGCCTGACCCAAGGGAATAATCCTGCCGGATGATCACAGAGGCCATTGCCCGAGAACGAAAAATATCACAAGCGTGCCTATACGCTGCGACTGCAACTTGTCGATCACTGTCTATCTCCAACTCGCTGTGGTGGAACTGGCACATCTGCCATATCAGCTGAACGAATAGTCATGTTTCCCGGTAAGCACCGAAAGGCTAGAGCAAGATAAGAATGGTGAATTCATCTAGTCTGACGCAAGCTATGAATCTACTTTGTACGCAGTAGGGATCATCACGTCAGGATCTGCCGACACCCTGAATGTCGGTCGCCCTCGACTGACGCGTCGCAAATAGGCTGGGTCGTAGACTAAGTACATGAAAGCAAAGTTTGAAGCAGAATAAAAGTCACCTCCGCCGTTATGCATCGCGAACAAGCCTTTTGCAAGGTGTTGTAAAAGCGCAGAGGTATTGTAACTCATGCATTGAAGATGTTGGTTTCATTTCTCTCGCTATCTGTGCATCTTAAGATAATCTTCCCGTTTCCGGCTGTACAGAACTGCACCTAGTCCACCCCTAGGGATCCCATGTCTTCGAAGAGACATACCACTGTTCAACTTTAGAGAAGCTTTCGCAGGAGCACTTGGAGGACCTTGTCCTGTTTGGCGATGTGACGACCAAAGAACTTGTTTTGCGCCTCGGTGTAAGTAGCAAGGGCCTTCTTGCTCTTAAACTGAGTAGGGGGGTAATCCGTGTTCCAAGAATCAAGAAGGTCAACAAGGTTGACATTCACACGTACCAGAGCCTACACTGGTAAGTCAGTGATAACAAATGGCCTAGGACAGTGACGTTACCTTCTTGCATTGGTTAATGGACGTGAATGAATCGGTGATGCCTACCTTGGCACACAGCTCCTGCCATGTCGCCAGGTTGGCTACACGGTAGCCAATCAGGCGGTCATATTCATCGCTCATGCAGGCGTTCCAGTTCTTTTTCCAGGTCTTGGAACTCGGCTTCCAGCCTCGCTGCAGGGTGACAAGTCCAAAGGCAGCGCTGATAGGAAGCTCTGGGTTGTAGGGGGCGCCAAGGCTTCGCAGATGCTTGTTGGGATGCAGCGGAGGAGCGATGGGGGGAGGAACCGGAGGAGCAACCGGGATACGCATGTTGGAAGTCGGCGGTTGTCTAAAGTCGACAACAAAGGTCAGCCTGGCCAATCAGTAGGAAGGGGATTTATCTTTACACCGTGGATAAAATGATGAAGAAAGTGATAGAGATGTTGATTTGATGTGGAGGGTGGTAAGAGGAGAGCAGTAGATGAAGGTGACATGTGAGGAAAAGGAGAAGTGAGAAAGAGAGACTGTCAGTTGAAGAAGAAAATGAGGTGAAAAATGAAAACGCTGGAATATCACCCAGGAAGAGATATTGAACCAACGTACCGTTGCGAGGGCCTACAACAATACATCCTATATATTCCATATGTACTATGTAGACTCATCTTTTACTTCGAGGTGGAATTACATCAAAGTTGGAGATGCAGGTTCAATATTTCAAATTGTCAGTTATTTCAGTCTCAAAAGCATCACTCCCCCAATCCATCGCTCACTGTGCATATCAAGGTTCCTGTAATTCTTGACGAATAAACCTTGGGATCATATATGTCCTCAAAGTGACATATTGCTGTACATATCGAAATAACGAGCCTCTTTAAAGAAGCTTGCGGAGAAGCACACGTAGGACTTTATCCCGCTTGGCGATGTCTCGACCGAAGAACTTCTTGCTGGCCTGAGTGTATGCCGCAAGCGCCTCCTTGTTCATAAAGCGAGTCGCAGTGGCATCAGTGTTCCAGGAATCCAGCAGGTCAACGATATTAACGTGGACACGCGCCAGTGCCTACATACACTAGTAAGCAAATGATATTAAGTTGTTCAAGACTTGGACCTTACCTTCTTGCACTGGTTGATCGAGGTAAAGGAATCTTTGATTCCCACCTTCGTGCACAGCTCCTGCCAGGTGGCTAGGCTGCTCCCACGGCCGCCGATAAGCCGGTCATACTCGCTGTTCATGCAAGTATTCCAGTTCTTCTTCCACTTTTTGGATCCTGGTTTCCAGCCACGCTGGACGGCGACCTGACGGAAGGCAAAGCTGACAGGAAGGTCCGGAGTGTGGGGAACGCCGAGCTTCCGTAGAAGCAGGTTAGGATGGTCCGAGGGAGCCAGCGGGACAAACATCGTGGCGCTCGTCTGATATTAACAACACGAGTTAGCCTGGCCAATCAGTAGGAAGTGTACATATGGAGGTATTGGTCTTCTTTTACCTTGATAGAGATGATATAAAGGTCGCAGGGGAAGAGGCGGAGAGATGAGAAGATGATAAGTGAAGAACGAGTAAGAAAAGAGTGACAGAAGAAGAAGAGAGAGAAAAGTGAGGAGGAAGAGAGAGAAAAGTGAGGAGAAAGTGAGAAATGAGAAAGGAGACTCTGATTTGAAGAAAGTGCGAAATCAAGTCTGAAAAAGGGTTTGTATTGGCCGGAGAGCAAACGCAAGGCCTGAAGCGTTTGAACATATGCTATGCGCGTCGACATCTGCGACATTGGAGCCGTCTACCTTTATAATGGATATATGTACTATGTGATAAGAGACAAAGAATACATATATAGGTTGTACTCAATGGGGTTGTGGCAAGTACCGGGCTTTATACTCAAGTATCAACAAGAAGCACGTTTCACATAATAATGACTGACTCTCAATAGGAATTTCCCTTCAAATTGCAGAGCAAGTTAAATACATATTGTTAAAAATATACTCCTGAGATTGTCCTCGGTTACTTTTATACTCCAAAGAAGCGGCGGGCTGGCACGTGGCCTGTGAACGTCACAACTACCCTCTTCTGTCAACCTTCATCAACACACTCAGAAAACCATCTCTCACTTCAACATCACTATGGCTCAACGACGAGAAGGCCAAAGCAGCGATGAATCGGGCAACTCAGAAGCCTCCATCGCACAGAACGCGAGAATTTCCCAATTTTTAGCAACAAATCTCGAACTCATGACAGACTCGACAATTCTCAAACGATCTCTTAGCTTGAATTCTGTCATTTTGACGGCATCTTCCTTCAGCCTTCGCTTTCAAAATGCGCGTTCTCGACCTGACTTGCAATGCCTCAACCAAATCGGAGCTGGTCTGCAGGGAGCCGTCTTTGAACAAGTCGGGAAGCCTCTGGCTTTGAAAAAAGAAAGCCCAGGAAATGAAAAGCTACGATCAAACCTCTATCATGAGTATACGATCCACTGTGGTGTTTCCGCCACATTCGAACATTACCAGTCCATCAATAGCGAAGTCCACATTCCGAAGCCTTTCAAATTTATCTCTAGGGAAGACAACAGCGCTTTCTGGGATGAAATCTTACCAAAAACCCCCCAGGTTTACCGCAGGCGCGGAGACCTTGTGATGATGGAACGGATTCTCCCATTACCGAAAGTTGTGCGAAAAGCCTTAATTTCCCAGTTTTGCGCTCCCGAACAACATCTTGATGCCACTGAAATCGAAGCCCTCCTCAATCACCCTGAAAATAAGCACTGCCTCGCCCGAGTTTACCTCGGTAAGGCGATTGGTACCATTGACCGTAAAACCCCGCTGAGAAACTTCCCTCTGTACCTTGAGCCGATGGAGCAGATTGGCATCGAGACTCTCCCGCTTGCAAATGCGATGGGAAAAGCCTACGCAACCATGCACTGGGGCGCGGCCATCAACGGTGATGATGTGGAGTTTGTGCTTGGAACATCGGCCACAGCGGCCCAGGGAACGGACCATGGGCCGGACTTTCAACACCGCGCTGTTCAGCTTTATCTCTTGGATTTTGGGCAATGCGAGGCGATAGAGCTGGCCCAGGATCTCGATGTTGTTTATCAAGCTTTCAAGGGGGCCATGGTGACAGGGGACAATCAACGTTTCATCCCACATTACTCGAGGAGCCCGGCCCTGTTTGCGACATTCCGACAAGGGTACATTGAAGCAGGCAATATTATTCTGTCAGACAAGGGGCTGAATAGCAACTTCAACATGGAGGACTTCATGCAGGAGTATGAAGAGTATGCTGAAGACTTTTTGTAATCGCTTCGTTGTGATGACTTGGGACTTGAAAGCTGAACTTGCTGTATTAACTTGATTGGGAAGGATCGCGCGGGTCATTGAGTCTATTCCTACCCACGATCTTAACCATGCAGCGGTAAGGGATATCGCCCGGCCACTGGAACTACGTAGCAACCACATAACGACTAAACGACGGGTCAATTTTCGCTTTCTAATGAACTTGCTTGCACCGTCCAGTTTGACGAACCTCACGTACATGTACGGCTTCGACGCACGTAGCGAAGGATGCGAAAGACGCGCGTTCCGCTTAACGTCAGAAGATGACCAGGGTGCAAAGCGGCGCAGGATTTCCTAGTCTCAAGCTATGGCCCATGAGGATATTCTCTTTTGCCTACCTCCTTTTTTAATCTTTTTTTTCTCTTACGCGAATGTGTAACAAATAATAATGAATATAATATATGTTATACCATATATAGATATTCGGGTCGAGACGACCGAAACGACAGGCCGAAAGGGGTGATCCGGGGGTTTCTTGGCAAAATGCGGAGAAGCTAACCTTGTACACCTTGGAACTGCCATGAATTTATAGACCATATGGAGCACTATGTATGGAGTACCAAAGTATGTAAATCGGCGAATTCCGGTATTAAAATGCCACATGGCATTTCTTATTTGTGTGGCATCTTCTTGGCTCAGATTAGGCCTCTGTTGATGTCTAATAGGCAGGACGTTCGGTGATATGGCGTGCTATGGCGTATCCGACATTATAGGTTGCGTGCTACATACATGTATGTATATCTCAACTCGTGGAATGCGGATCGGATAATCAAGCATTGGAGAGCTTAGATTTAAAAGCCTCGAGATGCGTCTTGATCTTTTTTTTCCTAACAAGGTTTCCCATTCTTGCTTTCCTCCGTGTCTTCGTAGTTTGTTCGTACTACGTCGCACAGCATGGGGTTACCAGGAACCAGGCTCGGAGCCTTCCGAGCGTATTTCTTTGGATTCTTCATCTGTACAGCCGGTTTCTTGTTTGGATATGATACTGGAATCGTTGGCAAGTGAAAAAAGATAGCCCGTTTGGTTAGTTATCATCACTAACAGTATTGATGGATAGGTGGTATCCTCGAGTTCAAGTCCTACATCGATGATTTTGGCTATAAGGACCAGACAACAGTGAGCGCTGTCATGGTAAGCTTGCAAAATGTAGGCGCATTCATTTCGGCCTTGGGTATCTTCTGGGTGTCCGAACGGTACGGGCGAAAGAAAACAGTCCAGGCAGCCATGACCGTGTTCTGCCTCGGGGTGGTTTTGCAGGTGGTACCATCACACTCACTCGTTTGTTTCTATATTGGGCGATTTATTGCTGGTCTCGGTCTCGGTGCAGGCACTGCGGTCGTTCCAGCATACAACGCCGAAATGGCACCCAGGGAAATCCGAGGCAAGCTCGGGTCAGGGATGCAATGGTTCTTTGCACTGGGTGTGATGCTGAGCTATTGGATTGACTATGCTGTGAAGCTCACACTGCCCGTCTCTTCAAAGCAGTGGCAGATTCCCGTTGGTCTCCAGATGGTGCCAGCTGGAGTTCTTGCACTGGGCCTCTGTGGTATGCCCGAAAGTGTACGCTGGTTGGCCAAGAAGGGTCGTTTTGACGAAGCATGGGAAAGCCTAAAATGGCTGCGAGCTAGTGAAAGTAAGGAGATCTCCCTCACAAAAGTGATAACGGGACACAGGGCTAACCAACAATCGATAGGCCCCGAAGTGAAGGCAGAATTCAACGAAATCCGAGTCGGACTTGAGGAAGAGTTGCGAGCAACTGAGGGCTTTAATAAGCGCGAACTTCTTGAGCCCGCAAGTCGGTACAGACTGCTCCTTGCCGTTTTCATATTCTGCGGTCAACAGTGCACTGGAATGACGGCACTGGCTTACTTCGGCCCGCAGTTCTTCAAACTGCTAGTCGGCAACAACACTAACCAGTCCCTTCTCATCACCGGTCTATTTGGTGCCGAGAAGTTCATCACAGTTGGCATTTATATTTTGTTCTTCTCCGAGATGTGGGGACGCAAGCCGACCCTTTGGATTTCAGCTCTGTTGATGGCCGGTTGCTTCATTATTGTCACAGTCGTCAAGGAAACCACCCCAGAGCCCGATGCAAAAGCCACCCCGGCTGGTATTGGTATGGTGGCTATGATTTTCCTTACCAACTCGATCTACCAATTCAGTTGGGGCCCCTTGCCGTGGCCATACACTGCCGAGGTAAGTAATACTCTGCTCGTCTATCACCAGTTCAACACTAATCATCATGCTAGATCTTCCCAACACGAATTCGGGAGATCGGAACCTCTGTCGCAGTATCAACACAGTGGCTTTTCAACTTCCTTTTCTCCCTGGTGACGCGCTACATGATGAATTCCTGGGGCAGTTATGTGTTTCTTTTCTACGCAATCCTGGATATTATCATGGCTATCATTGTCTTCTTCTTTGTCAAAGAGACAAAAGGGAAAAGTCTTGAAGAGATGGAAACTATATTCCACAGCAAGGCTGCATTTGATGTTGATGCTGTCCGACGCGAAACGCTTGATGCGGACGAAGTTAATGTACATAACAAGTCTGTAGACTACCCATGAGGGTATATCAGATGAAGAAGAAATTCAAACATCTAAAATAACTAGACGATTCGAACATTCTAAACAATAATGGCCTTTTGGCAGATAGCCTCAGATTGACCAATCAGAGATATCAGGATCGCTCTAGTCTAAAACGGGGCCGTGGATACGAGAAAAAAACCGACCACTTTGCACTTTCCCTTCTCTTTTATCTCTTCTTTGAATTTCCGAGAGGCAGTGTGCAGATAGTTTTGACTATCCAAATTGCTGATCAATTGGAAAAGAATGGGTAAGTGGAAAGCTATGTCACCCGGCGCAAAGCAAGCATGTGAATCCATGACTGACAACGGTGTGTAGGCTATTCTGAGGTACAGTTTTTTGCGTTAATAGGTAAACAAAATACCTGACAGTTTGCTAGTTCTACTGCCATCTTTGTGGTGTGAGCTTCAACATCATCTTTCGATTAAAGTCTGGGGAGCTGGACGTGCCTGGTCCCCAAGACCGCCAATGCGATGAGACGGACACGGGCCATTCTACAGATAATGACGACACGGCTCAAGATCCTGATTATCAATCCCAAAGAGATTATGAGGACAATGAGCCATATGAATATGACTCTGACTACGAATCGACCGACGGCATGGGCCTTGACGGAGAAGATGCGCATGACAGGGAAGACAGCGAAGACAGCAGTACTGATGCAAATAATGAATCCGAAGGTCAAATGTATTACGGCTGGGTATTGCAAACGTTTAATCCGTGGAGCGCCACGAGGGGAGATCCGGAACTGCGCGTTGGTTACTTTGATAGTCCAATGTCGGGCTACTCGGCTGATGCCATCTCACCGGAAGAGGCAAGAGGCTGTCGCACTGCCCAGTTCCTGATGCATAAAATCCCTCCGAGGGATCAATGGCAGGCTGACGAGATACATGCGCCCTGGGAGATCAATGGGGATTGGTCTTTATCCGGAATTTGTGATGGAACGCCATCGCGCGATACGGGCATCCCAACGGTGTGGCCCGCGCGAAATGGGATAGCAGATGTAGAGACGGACAATGTGAACTTTGGGGTAGGTTTATCTTTCAAATGCATCCCTGGACCCTCTCTGAGGCACAACCTGAGGCTGACACTTGCAAGGTGCAAGAGACAGCACCAAATGATATAGCCATGCCGTTCCATCCGTGGTGCTTTGATATCTTCTGCCGACAATCCAAAGTCCAGTTTCAGCGCGTCAACGTGTCAGGACTGATGAACTGGCGCAATGCCGAGTTTGACTGGGATGCCTTTGAATCATTTCCTCGAGCTAAAGATGTTAAACGTTCACAGCAGCAATGGTGGTCCCATGAGTCTGGTACCGAGTATCTGGTGGCCAATCCCCTTTACGTGCCTGGGCTACCAGAAATTCTTCTCGCCGCGGTGAAGGATGAAGGACTGTGTGCCTCATATGATCCATCTTGCGAGATTGAATCGTCTCAATCCCCCACGAACCGTCCTACCCCATCTCACAATAGCCAGGCCGACTTTCTCTTTGCCCTTCCCGCGGAAATTCGGCTCATGGTTATCGACTATTTAAGCTCTAGTGATATTACTAGTCTAAGTATTGCTTCTAAGGCATTCACTGAACTCCCCAACACTGTGTGGTACAGACTGGTACGCAGAGAAATGCCCTGGTTATGGGAAGCCTGGGATGAATCAGAATGCATACACAAACCTTTGCTCTGGACAAATGTAACAACAGCCGATATCAAGTCTGTAATCAGAGCACGAGATATCTATGCTAGGGCTTTGTGTGAAGATTTTCACACCGAGCATGCCGCCGAGAGAGTTGCCGAATACCGATTTCCCCTGTCAGTGATCATGCCGGAACAGGTGAAATTACCTAGAGTGAACACTGATTGGTGTCATGTACTTGTGCAAATCCAACTCAATTGGGATAAGCTCAAGGGGTTGCGGAATCGACAGCGGATCTGGATCGATGTGGAGGAGGTTGTGAGGCGTATTCGCAAGCTTGATGCATAGTACACTGGTGATTTTGTTCAGGTCTGCAATTTGGCAAATTTGGTATTTGCAACAGTACAATATAGGCACCAATGCTTATGTATACTTGTAAATTTGGAATAGAATACCTAATATGTAGGCAGATTGGCGGTTATACCCAAATAGGAAGGCCCGCCAGTTCTTGGCGTTCTCCACGTCAGCGGCGAATTGTCGGCAAATCACCCCCGCTTGGGGGGTCACGGAGGTCACCACGGTCCATATATATTGTGTTATCCTGGTCTATTCCATGATCCATGTTTTCTGATCTCAAATCGTTTATGCAAAATGGCTGCCACTGAGAAACGCCCTGAGATCATCGAGCTTGCTCGGGGACTGACAGGAGTGCCCTTCTGCGAGGACTATGAGCGTATGGTATCTGGAATGATGTATGTATCATTGACGATATATTTTACACCCTTACGGGATGGATTGTTGACTGTTTAGGTACAACCCTAACATCCCAAAATTGCAAGAGGCGCGGCATCTGTGCCGGGGACTTGCTGCAGACTTCAACAATCTGGACACAAAGACTGTGACATATGACAAGATCGGCGACAAGCGTCTTGAGTTATTGCGAAAACTAGTCGGCAAAGTTGGAGATGGAACATTCATCGAGCCACCATTTTTGCCAGACTACGGATGCAATACTATGATCGGAAAGGATTGCTTCTTCAACTGGAAGTGAGTCTCCCTTTCCCCCCATGTCGCATTGAAACTCACCAACAATTGCTAGCGTCACTATACTAGACACCAGCCTAGTTGTAATCGGTGACCGTGTACAGATTGGCACTGGAGTCAGTATCATCACCGCTGGCCATGATACCAGCATTCTTTCTCGCCGCAAGTTCGTCGAGTTCGGCCATCCGATTTTTATCGAAGATGACTGCTGGATTGGAAGCAATGTGATTATTCTTCCTGGTGTACGAATTGGCCAGGGCTCAACAATTGGAGCCGGATCGGTTGTCACCAAGGATATCCCGCCATTCTCTGTCGCCGTTGGCACTCCTTGCCGCGTGAAGAAGACAATTCCATCTGCGGAAGAGGAGGAGCAGGATCCCGGTAATCAGTACCGCGGTTTGGTTCGTGAGGACCGATAGAACTACCTAGGTTGGTTTAGAGTCGAATAGAATTAGAGAATAGTACCCATCTTCCTTGTTCTCGACCTGATACCAAAAACCGCTACTACCATATCGGAAGTTATGGTGAAATCGAACAAGTATTTACATACTTGGTATTGGGCCTATAGACTGACTGAGCGGGAAATTTTCTATCTCACCAATTAATGTTACTACCTCTTGGTATTCCGTATGAAAACCGACTGTATACTGTAAATACTCAGTACGCACTTCTTCTAGGAAGGAGACTCTTTTGGAAGCAAGGTGAATGGATAGATCAATGAAAGAAACATAATCAGCGAGGAAGAGATTGTAGAGTTCGAAGAGAGAAGATACACAAGTAGTGAGAAAATCCATTTATTATTCCACACTCCATACCTGCTCACATTCTTTTACTTCCCTCTCACTTGCACCTGTGCTCGTTCCTCTCTCCCCCACACGACCACCACAACTTGCACTTCCAAGGTTGTACATAACCCTTACTCACTCCACGTTCTCACGTGTGAGACATAGGCCTCATCGTCGAGGCACTGCAAAGAGCGCCACAATCAGATGAAATTGCCGCGCACAATCGCGTTTTGACCCATTTCCGTAATGCGACGCAACGACAGGCGAACAGCGTGACGTGGGTTCGAATGTACGATTCGCAGCGTGCCCACGCATACAGCTCAGCCGAGCACCCAGCTGGAGACAGATGACAGCAGCAACTAAGGTGACACGTCCTGATAAAGGAAGGATTGAGGGGGACACATCGTGTTTTGGGGATTATGGATCATGTACTCCGTACATACAGCACAGCTTCTACTATCCCAGTCGAGGTCGACCGACCCTCAGAGTGTCGGCAGATATGACCAGCCCGCTGCGTCCTGGGTGGAACCTGGGTCATATTTCCCTCTGTAGTAGATAGGCAGCATCAGATACAGACAATGCTATCTATCGTCTTATTCCTTTTCCAGTCTGGTAGTAACCTGATGCGCACAAGCGTGCTATCTGCCAACACCCCGAAATTTTGCAGCCTAGATGAGAGAAGAGAGAGCTCATTGCCAAGGTACGTTCCTTGAGCAGCACTGTTAAAAATGCCCAAGAGTTCTTTCCGGACTCCTATCAAAGGCACCAAGCAGTGAAACTTTGGAATAATCAATCGTTGAAAAAGCCTTCGAAACGTTAGTAACCCACACTTGACAGACTAGGGTGAATTATTTTGAGAAAAGACCTATACTTAAAGTCTATAGATAGATTCTAGTTTTACCACTAAGGGCTACACCCCGAATTATTTATTTTTTAGCTGGACACTACAGTCCTGACGTAGATGATGTTTGATTTCTTTCCTATTGGAAGGCCGTGAGTTGGCTTCCAAGTGCTAGATAGCTGCGCTGCAGCTATAGCTATAGCCGATGCATAATGCCAGCATCCTGGAAGGCTAGCCCGCAGACGGACTTAACCAGGTGCTTAAGGGAGACCCAATTGTGCTGTAAATGGCCTGGTCGGTTGATACTTCAAGAGAGAGGTGATCGAGGCTGAAGAACTCACTCGTACCAGGCGACTAACACCTAATTCCCGGTGTTGGTGCGTCCCAATGGATGATAATTCTTGACATTAGGTATCTTTTGTATTGCACACCCATAGAAAAGGTACAAGTGGTAGAAAAACTATAAACACCCATTTTTCTCAATCCTCGTATGTAGAAACTAAAGCTTTCTATCACTTCTAGTATACAAACTCATTATTTTCTTTTTCAAAAAAACCTCGAAGACAACGTGTATGATTTACAATTTCCCAGTTAGTTCGAGGGAAATGGATGTTACTTTTCTACCACTCGTACCATTTCTATAGGTGTGCCATACAGAAGATACCTAATGTCAAGAATTATCATCCAGTGGGATGCACTAACACCGGGAAGTAGGTGTTAGGCGGAAATTGATAGAACTTCCGAAGGCCCATAACCTGTTAATAACGGTCTACAGAGAGTGAGATATCTAATTGCGTGGTTGGGTTGAGAGCAATTGAATTGCTAAGGAAGCTAAGTTCCGGTGTTGTCTATGAAATCCTAACATGAGAGCACCTCGTACTTAAACAAGATACCTGAAACCCTTGCGCATACGTAGCGACTCGTCTGGGTGCTCGAGAATATCATTCTCAGTAGAATCCTCTCTACCAACATCAGCAAGCTCACCCTCCTCGAGCTGGTGGTTCAAGCCGAGCAGCATTGAGCGGAAATACCAGCATCCGCCGATTGTGACACCGAACATGGCCAGCACGATTCCGTAGCTGGAACGGTAGCCATTGGCTTCCAAGTCCCAGACGTACGAGCCAGCGACGTTGCCCAGTTGACTGAAGGCGTTGATCATGGCAATGGCGACGGCTCGCTTAGCGGGAGGACGGGGGAATGAAGAACTGATCCATGAGTAGAATACGATGAATCCTGCGTAGGAACCAGCCTGCAGGAATAGTGCGACATAGCGAGCGGCAACGTTGTGGGTGGTCATGCAGATGATGAAACCGACGGCTCCCATGCAGATCGGACCGATAATGTGCCAGACCTTTTCTTGTGTTTTGTCCGCGTGCCATGCGTTTATGACGGAGACAATGCATGAGAAAAGCCAGGGTGGAGCGCTCATCAGCAGAGTCGGGACATATGCGAATCCGAGAGTGCCAGTGAGGGTAGGCTATGCAGCAAGTCAGTAAAAAGTCCCAATTGGTTTTTTGATATGAAAAGACTTACGAAGAAAGCATTGAAGCTAAGGCCCACCACATAAGCGACAAAGGTAATCATCATCACATAAATCTTTTTGTCTTTCAAAGCCATGAGTAGTCCTCCAAAGGCACCAAGTTCTTCACTATCGGTGTCAGCCTCGCCGACATCCTCGAGCATGCGAAGTTGCGCAACTTGGCGCTCTTCCTCGGTGAAGCCACGCGCATTGTGCGGCAGGTCGGGCAAGATGAACGCAGCAAGGATGGCGAGGAACATAGTCACCGAGCCTTCGATCCAGAAGAGCCAGCGCCACGCGGCATGGCCCATAACGCCTTGCATATTGGATAGGACACCAGCACCAACGAGTGCAGAGAATGCATTGGAGATGAGGTTACCACAGAACAAGATGGCGTTCCGGGTAGTCAGTTCGCGGCGCGTGTACCACTTGGAGAGGATGAGCAGGGCACCGGGCAGGAAGGCTGCCTCGACGAAACCCAGTAGGAAACGGACAGCCACCATGTCACCAAAGCTCTTGGTATTGCCAGACAAGGTGGAGATAACGCCCCACAATAACATAGCCACGGCAATGTAGAGCGAGGGCCGGCTGATGCGGTTGATGAACATGTTGGAAGGGACCTGCATGATAATGTAGCCGACGTAGAGGATACTCAAGCATGTCGAGTACTCGGTGTTGGTCAGGTTCAGATCTTCCTGCAAACCCTTGAGACGAGCCGCAGCCATATTGTTTCTATCCAAGTAGTTCATGACTTTTTAAAAAGAATTAGTCACGTGAATCTTATATATACACCACCAAAGAGGGTACTCACCATAGATGGCGACAAAAAGACTGCACCGGGCATCGAGCTTGCGCTTAAGCTTCTTCTCGACGACTATCCGGCGTGCTGGATCCATTTGAGGCAGGCCATCTTGCTGTGGGGAGGCAATGTGTTCGACATTTTCAACCCGTTCCTTTTCGGTCTCGAGCTCTATCCGGTCACGGTTTTCCCGTGAGATATCGTCCCCCATTTTAGTGTGTATGTGAGAGAGATATCGAGCAATGCCAAATAATCCGGGGATCAGACAAGGGTACAAGAGCAGATTCTTGCATTTAAGAGGAAACAAAAACCCTTCTCATGGTTCATCCCGCGCTAGTATTTTTCCCCGGTACCCCCACGCCCACATCGTATGTGCATCGTACGCGGGGGGGTCGTAGTGGGGTTGGCCGACTCGGCATCCGAGAACAGCAAACGTTCCGAGGAAGCCATCTAATTGGATCGAATTGAAGGGGAATATGAGGGGGGAAACTTCACCCCGTGTTATATTCTCGGCACGGGAATTTCTTTTAGGGGTCACAGGGTCACGGGATGGATTTCACGGGGCTCTCGGGCTTCACTGGCCGTACACTGGCACGGGACACAAAGAAAAATACCGAAAACCCCACAAAAGACCAAGAAAAACGGAAGAAACCGGCCAACAAAAAGAAGCCAGAAAAGTCAGAAAAGTCAGTAAAAGCCGATATCCACACGGAATCCAAGTTCGGCATACGGCATATGGCCAATCCCCTACTTCCCCGCCTCTCCGCAGTTTTTTTCTCTCTCTTTTCTCTCACCGGAGTTTTTAATGAGATCATATCCCCGCAAAGCTATTGTAATTTGAGTCCAAAATAACGTGGGGAAAGACATACAGAATATGCAACATTCTATCTCAAACCGGGGCATACGGTTTGGTGTATCGCGGACGTCATCCGAGAAAAACCTTGACAAATCGATACTCGACCTTCTCTCCACTAGAGGATTTTTACATTCCAAGCTCAACCGGCATTCGTCCGGCACCCCACGTTCGGTCTGCCGATATTTTGCCGCTTTCCCAGTCTAGTGTCTAGTGCCTAGTTTCTAGTGGTTTACATGTGGTAGATGGACACCAGTGGCTTCGGCCTGCTCCGTCAGCTCAATTTCCTCCATGCCGTCATCCTCATGCCATCCCTCTCGATCATCCTTGACCAGTCGGACAAAGCAGACGTCAAGTATAAGTGCTACAGCACTGATGGCAACACCGAACAAAAGTGCCGCTCGATACCCCATGATTTGGCTACCCGAGCGGCGGGCAATTTGCACCTCAATGGTGGATGCAAACCCCAGTCCGAGACTGTTCCCGTATAGATTCAATGTGCCAATAACGGACGCGGCAATCCCCTGCTGATTTCGACGGACGGAGTTACTGGCAATGATCTGGCCAGCCGTGTACACGAAATCCGGGCAGAATGAGAAGAGAACCACGGAAGGGAAAATCTGGGGCCAGTATGATTGGTGAATTGGCACGGTCGCCATGAGCACATTGGAAATTAAGATTGTGACGGTTCCAATGGCCAGGATCCATTGTGCTGCCATTCGCGGAATCATCCATGCTGCGAGACAGGCCGCGCCCGTGGCGCAGATCACGAATGGGGTCCAGCCCACGGCAAATTGCAGGGGAGACCAGTGCCAGACCTTTTGGAGCCATAGTACCTGGTACCAGATCAAGGTTCCTACGGCCATATAATTGAGAAGCACGACTAAAAGTAGCATGAGGAAGGATGGAGCTTTGAAGATGTCGAGTGGCATGATCGGCTCCGCGGCGTAGTTCCTTTCCCAAAGCAAAAAGCCCCCGAATAATATGATTGAGCTGATCAGGAGAACTATCTCATAGGGGGTTGACCAACCGACACTCGGTGCTTGACTGTGGAAATGTTAATATGCAATGTATCGGATTGCTATCAACAACTTACTTCCAAACAAAGTTGAACAGGATCAACGAGCTTGTTCCAAGAGCAGATCCAATACAGTCGATCTTTCCATGTCGATCGACCGGTGGTTCTCGCGGACTCAGAGCCCAGAGAGGAGTGAATGTAATAACACCAAGGCAGGCACTGTGTTACCAAGGCATTATTAGTACTTCTGATCCGGGTCCACGGGATGTATCAACCTACATGAAGATGAAAAACCACTTCCATTCTGTCCGCTCTAGAAAAGCACCCAAAAACAAGGCCCCAAAATATCCTCCTACTGGTGCGGACGCACCAAAGAGACCCAGACTGAGATTTCGCACGCGACCGGGGGGTTGGTGCTGGATATCATAGCCACTGCGTTAGGCATGATCAATGCTCCTCCAAGACCAGCTAGAGCCCGCATCGTGACAAAGGCGAAGAAGTTGTTACAAAAGGCATTGGCTAGAGTACAGATGGTGAGCCAGACACCCCCAGCTAGAACGAGTTCTCGGTGGCCATAAACATCTCCCAATCGACCACTAACCAACACAAAGGTACCTTGGGTTAGACTACATTTATGTTAGTGAGGCAGTCTATTATGAATATCTCGATGTCTGTGCCTTACGCATAGCTAGCAGCAATCCACGAGGCGTAGGTGTCTTTCACACCTAATGACTCACTCAAGGCGCTTCCTCCAGCAATGCCTGCAAAATTGACTGTCATCTAGTACTGTCAGTATTGGGGGGTTTTCTGCTCTGAAGAAAGTTGATGATCCCGACTATACCTGTACAAGATTAGCCAGAACAAGCAATGCAGTAATGACCACTCGACGCGATTTGGTCGTCCGACTGGGCACCGCCCGTTCAAAGACAGGTTGCCCATCTCTGGGAGTGGAGTTGTCTTCTACAGAAACCTGCGTGGCTGGAACATGTTCGGCTGGGGTTGCAGGGGTCGGGTTAAGCTCGTGGGGTACAGTAGACGATGCGACGTGCTTGATGTCATGGTGAAGAGCATGTAAGAGCGACATGGTGTGATAGTAACAGATAAGAATGTTTCCTATTCTTTTTGAATGTTGGAAATAAACTGAATCGAAGAACCGGGGTAAACTAAGTAGACACCATCGTGCGGGGGACCCGGGTCCAAGCTACTAATCTGGCCGTAGACGTGACTCCTTTGACTCATTCTCGATGAGATCACAATCCAATTGGGTGTGCATTCATGTCTGCAACTCTGATTGATCAGCATGGCGGTGCTAGATCCGTGTGCGGAAATGCGGAAATTCAAATACAAATCTCCAATGTGCCTACACATCTATGTATACTTGGAGATGAACTTTCATATAGAGAAGAAATTGTCAGACAAGACTATGACTTAGAGGTAGAATACTGTATTACTTTCCAAAGAAATATATATTAGTAGTGAACCTGATATATATCGGTCAACTAAATTGCGGTAATACTTCGCCTTACATATCGACACGTACGTACATCCTAGCTACCTAAAGCGCCAGTGGATTGGGTTCCAGACATTGCACGATATACAATCGCGTGGATAACCAATGCCCTAGAAAACAACTGACATTGGACCAATCTGATCGGGTTCCTCGGCACGGTGGTGCAAGCAGCAACGAGATGCCATGTTGGTGATATCCAATGTATCAGCAGCATACGGTACGTGAAAGGGACAGATCTGAATTCCTTTGTTAAAAGCAACGGACGCGCTTGTCGAGTTTATACACTTCCCGATGAGAGAGTGATCGGAATCACTGACAGCCCACATACATTGTTCACCAACCGGAATTTTAGAATTGATATGCAGGGAGTATGTATGCCTTCTTTGATCAACATATTATTACGGGCCCACAGCTCCTTGATGACCCCCTTCATCACTTCCCTGACAAGTGGCTATGCAAGTGATTGACGACCCCGCTCGACTGGAGGGGGTTTGAACCCGAGGATAGGAAAAAGCACCTTGGTCCAAAGGGATTTGACAAATGGAGACTGAATTACCTGAAGAACGAGAACCTGCGACGGGGGAAGATTGAACAGGTTTGGGACCTGCGGAAGAAGGCGGGAACACTAAAATACAAGAGCTACATACTCTATCTATAGAAACAGAGAAGGTAGCCTACAGAATATCATACCACTATTGATCCATCTGTTCCACCCCACAGAGACTAATTCCCATCAATCTTAACCAAATTGAGGTGCTGCAGAGCCTTCGAAGGTTAAGTGACTGCACTATCTTATACCCCAAGAGTTGATCGAGGCTTCAAAAGGTACTACGACTCGGACTTTCTGCATGGGCTGTCCACGGGTATTGATAGATCCAACCCGGTCAGACTAAGCACAGCTGCCACTTGGTCATCCTCCACACATATAAAGTAATTCTATCCAGACGTGGAAAGTATTCATCAATTTGTCCACGAAACGCTATATAAGGAGGTTTGGGCATACTATAACTAGCATAATCCTGGCCATGTGGGTGGATTTCATGAGATGTTTATCATGAAAAATGGTGGATATGAGAGTACATATATGTATGTAAATTGCCATCCAATTCTCTTTGAAAGAGGCGAGGTGAAAGGCAATAGTCGCAATACCAGCGAAAAAACTGGATAAGGGCACTAGTCAGTAATGATACTCTGGGTTTACTTTCCACTCGGTAGCCCTTTGTGACCGGCCTCCACTCACCAATACCATTATTTCTTTACTTTTCCATTTGCATCTCCGTTTGCAACCTCCGGTATAGGGATTGGCCCTCCTGGAGAGTTCCCCAGTCTCGCCGTCAAAACCTCGACGCCTGTTTCCGTGACAAGCATGGTATGTTCTATCAATTTCAAGTTAGGATCTAGAGCCAGCAATAGGCCTCTGAAAGGTCTGTACGCACCGAATTGTGCCGTCCGTTTGCCGTCCACCGTAACGTTTGTCCAGTCATCTGGCCAATATACTTCTCGGTTGCCGCCCAAAGCTAGGATAGGTTCAATCGTGAATGTCATGCCAGGTTTACATGTTCCCACAGCCTTGTTCTTCGCGTAGTGGGGGATCCAAGGAGGAGGGTGAAATTCCGAGTTGATACCGTGGCCGCCCCAAGTCTTGACAACGACAAGGCCCCTAGAGGCCGCATGCTTCTCAATAATCTTGCCAAACTCTCGAATGGGTACACCTGGTTTGATTATCTCGATAGCCATGTCCAGGGCCTGCCGCGTTGTTTCGACAAGTCTGATCGAGTCCGGATCCGCTTTGGCCTTGTCACCAATATAGTAGGTCTCATTCACATCGGCATGATATCCACCGTGGTACAGAGAAATGTCGAGGTTGAGAATGTCGCCATCAAGAAGAACTCGCTGATCGGGGATTCCGTGGCACACAACCTCATTTGGAGATGTGCACAATGACTTGGGAAAGTGGTTGTAGTTAAGCGGAGAAGGATATGACTGCCTTATGTTTTAGCGAAAAACTTGAAATGTTTCACACAGGAGTGAAAGTAGACTCCACTCACCTCTCGCTCGACGCAGGCATTGTGGCAGATTTCATCCAGATAATCAGTGGTCACGCCAGGCTTCATCGCCGCAGCAGTTATGTCGAGTACTTCTCGAGCCAGCCTGCACACCTTGCGCATCGCCTCCTGACCCTTTACATCCAAGAGGTCGCATTTTGTCCTGCTCAAGCGCATCTCACGCTGTGGAATGCCAGTCTTGGCCCAGTCGGGATGCTTGATTGTTTTGGGCACAAGTCGTCGCGGGGAGAGTGGGTATACGGGTCTAACAGAGCCAGTGTATGGGTATCCCGGAAAGGGGTCGTAAAGTTGGCCAGCTATACCGCGATTAGAGAACAAAGCCATGAGTAATTGGTGCATGCCACCTAGATGAGGTAGCTACCATTTTGTGTTTTATGCATCACCTTATGGGTGGTCTGGATACGATCAATGTTAGATTTTTTTAGTTAGAAGAATGTCCACGCGGATGTAACCGACCCAATTCCTCTTGAAGCAGTCTTGATCGCAGAAGTAGCTGCCTTTGAGACCCAACTTCAGACACGTCGGGCATTGCAAGGTCCCAGCTTTATTGTTGCAATCGGTCCCAGAGCACTGTTTCTCGGGATCGGACATTGTTGCAATTTGAGATTTGAGCTCTGATGAGTCGCAGGGGGAGAGATACGAGGACTATAGGAGGACTGCTTGTAGTGAATCAGATTTTGCGAAATGTCTTGTTGGGTTGCAGCACTAGTACAACATCCATACAAGCCCGATCCACTTTCACGTGACCATCAACACTCCGAACCACATTTTTGACACAAAGCATGGAAAGGTGCCCAGGCTCGCCCCCCGGGGGCCATGGATCTGTGGCCCACTTTCCTATTCGATCACTCACGTGGATTGTGCAAAATGGAATTAATTCACCATTTATACAGGGCCTGAGGAGATCGAGGCTGATCTGGCGGGTTCAGGTGAGCGCATAGGGGCCAGCCAAGGGTAAGGACAAGTCGCCGTCGCCGCCCTTGAAACTCCGATGTCAATCGCCGATAGAGAGGGCCATCATGGTGGAGCTGAAAGCGATAGTAGTCTGAAGATGCAAGATTATACTGGAAAGCAGGGTCGATCTCATTAGGAGCGTGGCAGAGGACAGAGGATACCATGGACCGATTATCACAAAGGTGGTCATGAAAGGCGCTGACCTGTAGGGTGAGCTGGGCCCGATTCAGTTTCCTAAGGAGGTGGGCGGAGAGTTTTATAACGTGGTCCTGGTATTCGGGCTCCAAAGGGATCGCCGTCTCTAGTGTGCTGGTCTAAAGTTAGAGTCAATGGCCCATATTGGGCCGGTGCGACTGAATTTCTGACCTCGGTCAAAAAAGCGCAGTGCAGAGGACTTACCAGTAGAAGGGAGGTTGGGGGAAAGCAAAGAAACCTTGGAAGGTTTGAAGCAGGTGAGAAGTCGAATTTATACCTGTGGACTCAAAAGAGTACTATTTTTTGAATATTTTTGGGTGTCTTTTGATCTAGTTAGTGTTATAACTACCTAGGTAGAACTATAGCCAAGGGTATTAGGGGTTATCAAAATACTGAAAAGTTTCTAGTCTTGTCATGCTTTGAGGCAAACAGTCATATTAATACAGCATAAGATGCCCTTTTCAATCTCATGATCTAATTTCAAATTACAATGCCTTCTTTCCTGCGTCCGCTTGTTGCTGGGCAACAATGTATCCAACCGCACGGGCAATTCCCTCATCCAAGGGCACAACAGGCAAGTAAGCCAGGCGGTACTTGGCCTTCTCAGTCGAGTAGTAACGAGTCATGCATGAGTATCGCACTGTCCGGGCAGTGAGACGCGGGGTCTTGCCAAACAATCCCATGACAGTCTCAGCGAGACCACCCACAGTCTCAAGGAGACCCTCGGGCAGAGCCCAAACCTGTTCCGGCTCAACGACGCGGTTGATCAGAGCCCACATGGCACGGGTGACGTCCCAGAAATAGACGGGGGAATCGTTGGTGATGTTGAAAGCCTCGCCGTCCACGCGCTCGTAGTCAAGGGGCCCGCCCTTGCCAGCTGCGAGAAGGTCATAGCTCGCGAGAAGCCGGTGCGCAGCAAGCAGGTGGCCGTAAGCCACGTTGCCAACGTAGGTGAAATCGAACAGGTTGTTGTTCTCACCGAGCTGCATCCGTAGCACTCTGTCCGAAGCCTGGGATCCGTGCTCCAGGATCTTGTGTGTGACTGTTGTATCCTTCTCTCCATGGATTCCGGCCGGGCGGATAGCGGTTGTCAGCATCTCATTGGGGGACTTCTTGTTGTACTTCAGGACGAGTTCTTCGGCATCGGCCTTAATAGACGCAAGGGGTCTGATTAGTGATTGATCCCGATTTAACTCCGTTTAGAATAATAATAAAAACTCACCTTAGTCTCGGAGTAGTACTCCTTCTGCGCAGGACCCCGGATGTAGGGCCATTCCTCATTGACATTCTTCAAATCACTCTGTGTGTCGTGGACCACGGAGCTGGAGCTAGTGTAGACAAACGCCTTGCACTTACCACCCCAATCGCCATGCTCGCCACCAGCGACCTCAAGGAGCGTCCGTGTTCCCTCCACATTAACCTTGTGCAACAAGGGCTTGTTGCCCTCAATCATAGATGGCGACGCAGTGTGAATAACGAGATCGGGCTTGACAGCGCGGAAAACTTCCAACATGGAGTCGATGGAGGTGATATCGCCATCGTAGTACTTGGCGCCGGGAAGACGGTTGTTGGTGGTGCGCAAGTCAACGACAGAGACAGTCGAGTGGTAATCCGGGTAGCGCGATCCCAGAGTCGGGTACTCGAAGCGCGCATCGCCGACGGGCTTCGGCAGAGCGTAACTGGGGTCGGTCTCGGAGGGGAAATTCAGCAGGTGATCGACAATGTGCCACCCCAGGAAGCCGCAGCCTCCAACCACCAGGACATTGCCCAACTCTAACGTGCGCCTTTTTGCCGACATGATGTGATTTTTTTTCGTAGGGAGATGGGGAATGGTGGTTGAATGAAAAGGGGCCGGGGAAGTTGGCGGAGATAATCAGGTGATCCGTGCGGGCTATGCCTTGAACTTGGCACTCTTCTACTTCTTCTACTTCTTCTACTTCATCTACTAAATATTGACATGAAATATTTATCTTCTGTCTTGTAATGAGCAAACTAAGTCTTATGATGCAACGGAACTGACGGTTGGTTTGTCTTCGCTAGCTACTGGTAAAAGACAACATTTGCCAAAGCATGACAGAAACCAATAATCAAGAAAAGTTGATACTTATGTATTCTTTTCAAATTCTCCATGAGACTCACTGCTGGACCCTCCATTGAGCCTCATCTCCGGGCTTTGTTGGACCAAATCGCAAGTGCCATTGAACCCTCACACTATGTCCATCACTTTCCACTTAAATCGCGCCAATTCTTTGGCCAAAGTTTTCAGACTGCATGTGGGGAAATTTTGAATGGAAATGGTATTGAACACTGCTTCAGTGATAATATATAATGCGCAGAGTGACTGGAAGAGGATGGAATTCCTTGTCTCTACTTCATGTTGTTATGGGTTTTGCAGCTTTGGAAGGTTATACACCTGGGCATCTCAGGTTGACTATCCAGGAAGGAACGACTGGCTTCTGCCTTAACCTCTACTATTTTTCATTTGCCCCTTTGAGTTCAATTTTCATCTTCTCTATTCACATTCACATTCACATTCATCGGAATCTTAATACCTTCAATATTTCATCGCAACTCCTTCAATATTGCATCGAAACTCTTTCAACATGGAGAACCCGTGGAATCGAAAGTGGACATGGGATGACACTACAGTCACCTTCGGCGTCCCCCCCTCTCGGCCTCCCAAATGCCCATATGGTGGCCAAACAAGTTCCTACTGAGGATGCTCCGATGTCGCTCGTCAATAAACGGCTTGATACTCTGACAGCACAGCTTGACAACCACAGACACAGGCTTGATGGCCTGGAAACGGACTCCCGGTCTTCGAGACACGGCTCCTTCGATATGCCCTCCAAAGTCTCAAACAAGAGGTCAGATCACGCCGGCATCCTAACACAAGCACAAAGTCATATGACTCCAGGTGCGAACATCTTGGCCGATGCCAGGGTCATCGCGGAGGGTCGGGATGACCGTAGCAAAATTCGGCGCTTGAAAGGCATCTTCAGAGACCATTATTCCGTGTCCTGGGATGAATCTCAAGTGCTGAATGAGCTGGCAATGGCTGAAACTGGCATGATTGATATCTTCAATATTCGGGCAAATCTGCACACATTTCCCAAGTGGCAGAGGCCGAAACACCGCCCACAACGCCGACAGATTCAGAAAATTTGTGACTATTGGATTGACCTTTGGCGCCATGATCCTTTGATTTCTGTTCCAGCTGAGGCCTCACGTCAACTATGGGTACTCTACAATTCGTGATTGCTATCATGCTGTGAACGAGGTTCCTGGTATGGTTATCCCCACTCTCACTGTGTGTACTTTAGCTAACCTTGCAAAGTCAAGTTCCTTCCTTTCATCAGAGAGTCTACATGAGAGCCTCAGTATTACCCAAAATCCCCCAGTTTCATCAGACTACATGGACTTTGAACGGACCATATGATTACAGTCAAAAGATGGTGACCCGTTCATCTCACTCATCCTCGCTATGGAACTGTGTCTCATGTTGTCTTTCATTATTGTCTCATCCGCGTGCTTTATGAACTTAGCAGACAGGAGCTATGCTTTGTCACAAGACGTTACAAGGGTCCTTTTTGTGTATCTATGAATGCTGTTTCATATCAATATCGATTTTCCTGTGTTAAATGGCACTCAACACCACGCGCCCCACAATCCCCGGTCTCCCCGCCATCTCGAAGGATATCACTCAAGCAAGGTAAGACATAGTGATGGCAAGAAAATGATACAGTTCGAGCGAAATAGTGTTGATAATGATAGCCGAATACTGTCATGTAGCCTGCTGTATGACACATTGCTCAGCAAATATGCACATTCCGGGACAGTGAGCTATCTCACCTCAGGACTCCTCCAGAGATGCCCGAAGCTTCCGCCTGTAGAGCCTGCGATCTAGTTCCGAACCCCAGCACAGAGCGGTTGCCTCTGGGTTCACTGTCATGAGGGGGTTGTACGGAGGATTGTCGTCTTCCAGCGTGTTGATGATGCCCTCGATGTGTTGGCCGATCTCTTCAGCATGCGAAGGAAGGTACATCAACACACCCAGCTTCGAGACACGAATGTGATACAGGGGCGACTCGACAAAGACCCGAGGTTGTTCTTCTGGGTGTCGGGGACTGATGTAAATCTTGATTTTGATGATACCGCCTTCCAGTCTGGACTCATTGCGACCAACATAGGTGAGTCTCCAGACGAACGGGTTGTCATCAACCAGTGACAGATCGATGACTTGAGGACAAGCGTTCATTTCCGCAGCAATCTGTTCATGCTGACCCCTCAATTTGACTGCAATCCCAGCATCCTCCTTGACCAGAGCAAGACCCTCCACGGGCCAGCGGTGCGTCTCTTCCATCAATCGGCCTCGAAGAGCCAACAGACGGGCTTGCAAGTCGATGTAGTTCCATTCCCCGGACATGGCATTACCATAGCCTTCAAACGGCATCTGGATGAAGGGAGTTCCTTGCCTCCGTGCCTCGTCCGCGATACCTTTCTCAATAGCGTTCTGGTAGAACTCGAGGTACCACAGGAACCGTCGCTTGCAAAAGTCGTGAAATTTGCTTTGAGTGAGAAATCCGTGTTCGGCTTCGAGTTCGACATCAGTATCTTCTTCCGCGCTGGATTCCTGACCGACCCTTGGCGCCATTCGCCGGGGAGGGGACGAAGTTTGGAAGGCTTGTTCAAGAGGTGTGATGACTGCTAGTCGTATATTCTCATGACGGATCTGGTACAAATGTGAGCATTGTCAACCTTATTCAGGCAAGATAGCGATCTTTACCTTGGATTTGTAGATCTCCATATTTTCCGTGTCGTTCGCCCTTTCGTTGTCTTCAAACCCTGGCTCCAGCGTATACGGGTTGGATGATAACAGGCTCTGAATTGACAGCATAACGGATTCGAGTCCCTGTGCAGGCGACCATTGCTCACCCCGAGAACCATGCCAAGTTCTGTTGCGATGTTCAGCGAGGCTCCATAAAAGCCATCCATGCTGTTAGACAAGCTTACCCCAAGATCGACCTGGAAATTGTCAGTATCCGGCATTGCAGAAATTCAATAATCCTCGGGGCACACTTACAAACACACCTTCCCATTAGCATACAGATTAGGACCAAACCGAGTTCGGCCCTTGTTGGTCGTCCGGATTTTCACTGCTGGAGGATTTGCTGGGTAATCTATGACCCTGTGATTTAGCAAGTGCCTGCTACGAAAGAGAAGACCATGTTACCTGACGGAATTTTGATCGAGAACTGCCAGACGATTACAATTGGTTAGCCATAGTTCAAGAAGCGTGCTCGGGCCAGCCTTGGATGGCTGGGTGGACCCTACCTCATAATAACCCAGCTCGTATGGGGTGCCTGGGGGTCCGATGATGAGAGCCTGTATATCACGAATGTTGCTTTCTTCATAACGGACAGTGAAAGCTGTACCGAGGTCAGCATGTGAGTCTCCATGCAGAATGGCTTGAAGTGTCGAAGAGCCCGGGTACGGAGTACAGAGATCTCATACCAAGTTGCTCACTCCGCTCAACCTGTCTCAATTCCTGCGACAATGCGGAGATTAGTGATTGGTCCGGGTAATTTGTCCAAATGGATCATAGTTGGAAAGGCACGTACTCGGACGAGGCGCAGAGTGCACTGGTCACCCATCTTGCAACGACTGGGGTGAGCGGATCATGCGTCCACAGGTGTGTCGTAGGGGTCGAAGAGTAGGAGCAGCTTTCGAAAACACTGATGTTTCGCAAAAGCAAGAATGGTGTCTTTAAGGAGGATGAAGAGGAGGAGGTAAAGAAGGCAAAATTAAATCAACCGGACAAATTTGGACAGTTTGTCCCTTCAACCTTCATCTTTTATCTTTCTGTTGTTTTTTTCTTTTGTATTCTGTTCTTTTCTACCTTTTCTCTTTCTTCGATGAGTTTAATTTTTCTTATATTCAAGTTCATATATTTTCTTGTCTTTGTTGTTGATTTTGTTTACCCACGTCATCTTCCAGCCTCCCATTTTCCACTGTACGGGTAATCACATCGACACCCTATTACCAGTTCACCAATGTAATGGTCAGTCTGATGAGATGGTTATTCCATGGATCTCCCTGGAAACTTTGAAAGTTACACAGAACGAACACTTACAGACTACTATGTACTAGTATATATATAGATTAATACTGTCTATGTATGGAGTATGCATGTGTTATATTGAATCTTCCTGTTAAAATCTTCCTTTGTATTTGATGTATTTCATATCCTTGGAAGATATCAAACATGCCAAATAGCATACATCGTCAAAGGTTACATAGTACCAACAGAAAATCCCGCTATATATTAGACCTTTGATGCTATTTAAGGTTGCCTCTATTACGACTAGAACACGAGAGAGAGAGAGGGAAAAGACACATCCAAACAGACTATGAGACATGACTTCTTATAGTAAATTAATGCGAAAAAATAATAAAAAAAGTAATCTGCAGAATGTTCTATAAAAAGCACACTGATGGCATAGGGGCGGTACGGAGTACACAATAAGCCGTGTCTACATGCACACAGTACACAGTGCAATATTGATTTTTGCCAAATGGTCTGATCTAATCCAATCTGATTGAATCTCCTATATACTCCAATAATGTCCAGAGTATCCAGAAAATCTCAATAATCCCCCAATATGCCAGTAGAAATGGAAATTGTATAGACCACGTGACCCAGGGTCCCAAACTAATTAGGGGGGGGGCAACAAATGCCCAAGCCATCTCCATCTCCATTCCTCCCCAGCCCACTTCTTTCCCCCTCGCCCTTGCACCTTAATTTTTTTCCTATCTTGTTCTTGGAGTCCTGGAATTTGCTGTTCAATTTGGGATGATTGTCGCCCGATAATCCCCACCCTCTGTTGGTCTCACCTTGAAAGCTCCCAATCCCCTCGAAAACCGGCCCCCGCGTCCTCTAGCCCGCGCGCTTTCAGACCCTTCGTTCACAGCAACCTTCCTTATACCGCCTCCCCAATTCGATTCCAGTGATTTGCGCGCGCCCTATCTCCGTCACTACTACATCGGCCACCCCCGCGTGTCTTTACATGGCGTGAGGGTGAGTACACTCTGGGGAACAACAGTGACCCCGGTTAAACCAGCCAAGGCATGATCTAATTTAAGAATCAGACTCGAGACCGTACGCGCCCAGCCTACCTTCAATTTCCCGCCAATCTGTAACCGCGTTGCATCTTCGATTCGACCCTTCCGTAAATCTCGTTTACCTACCACGTCACCTCGCCCGTTCCTTACTCTCGATTCTTTGCATGCAGCATTCGGCGTGATTCAACCAAACAAATCCCACCATATTCCTGCTGACGGGGGACCAAGATGCCCCCCGGTGGACTCCCAGCGAGCCTGGTCGCAGGCAACCCCAGCGGCCGTCCCACCGTTGACACCTCTGGCTACGGGGCTAGTTATACGAAAAATACACCCACATCCCCTGAAGACAGTTTGATTCCATTCGATTCACCATCAACACGAACGGGAGGCCCAAGCCCAATCACTCCGGTGAACCAGGAGGATGGTGGGCGCTCAAGTCGTGGCCTGGGTCCTGACCAGGCCGGCTTCCGCGACCGCTCAACACCCCGAGATCGCTCGCGAGTGAACGGGCGTCAAAATAAGTCCCCCGGTGGATCATCGCGCCTATGTCAAAAGTGCGGTGAATCTCTCACTGGCCAGTTTGTTCGAGCGTTGGGCGGTACTTTTCATCTAGAGTGTTTCAAGTGCGAAGTAAGTTGCTTCTTCTAGTTGGCCCTTTGGAGGTTTTCTCTAACTTTCATACTTCTCACAGGACTGTGGCGAGATCGTTGCTTCAAAGTTTTTCCCCGTCGATTCAGAAGATTCAAGCTGCCAATTTCCGCTTTGTGAAACCGATTACTTTAGACGACTCAGCCTGCTATGCCATGAGTGCGGCGGCGCACTACGTGGATCATACATTACAGCGTTAGATCGGAAGTATCATATCGAACACTTTACCTGTTCCGTTTGTCCGACCGTCTTCGGTGCTCAGGACTCTTACTATGAACATGAGAGCAAGGTCTACTGCCACTTTCACTACTCAACACAGTTCGCCCAGCGGTGCCATGGATGTCACACTGCAATCTTAAAACAGTTTGTCGAGATCTTCCGCAACGGTCAAAATCAACACTGGCACCCCGAATGTTATATGATCCACAAGTTCTGGAATGTCCGGTTATCCCCTGCTGGTCAAACATGGGAGCCTCCGCCGGTGGATGAGGATGCTAGTGAAGATGAGCGCAAGCATATTCGCGACGAAGAAGATATCATGGAAGAGAAGGTCTTTAATATTTGGAACACCCTTTCTACCTTTGAAGAATCATCCGCCGCTTGCATTTCAGATATGCTGCTTCATGTGAGCAACGGCGCTTACATCGATGGTGTTCTCGTAGCCAAGCGCTTCATTGAACATGTGGAAATCCTCTTCGGTGCTGTCGATCAGTTGGCGGATTATATCAAGTCCCACGAGTTAAAAGGTAAGTCTCGCGCAGCTAGTTTCATATCGTTGGGAGCGATTGCTGATTCTTCCAAACCAGAACTTTCCTACGGCCGCGAAGCCAAACTTCTCTGCAAAAAGATTGTCGCTTTCTTCGCCCTTCTATCGAAAACCCAGGAAACCGGTGTACGCAAACTTGGCGTCACCCAGGAACTTCTGTCTCTGGTGACTGGTCTCGCTCATTACCTCAAACTCCTTATCCGCATCGGTCTACAAGGTGCACTCAAACTTGAACGCGAGAAGTCTGCGCCAGACGGTTTACAAAATTTCCTGGAGCGCCTCCGTGATTTGGAGTCGGTAGCCGAGCGCGAAGATGACGATACACCAGTCGACCTGATGGCTGGAGTGGAAGGTTTGGCCGATCAACTTTCAGATTGTTGCATTGCCTGCAAAGAACCAATTGACGACGAATGTGTTCAATGGGGACAAAATCGTTGGCACATCAAGCCGCCTCATCTTTCATGCAAATCATGTGAGAAGGACTTGACCACTGATCTCCAAGACGCATTATGGAGCGGCAGCGAGGAGCAAGTCTACTGCGGCGCTTGCGCCCATCAGATGAATCTTGGCCCCACTGTGAAGGGTGGTTTCACTTCGGTTTCAAAATTGCAGCAATTTGTTTTCTTACTGAAAGTGGCACTCGCACGGCTTCTCGCCGTACTTCGATCCGGGGGAACCTTGCCTCATACATCAGGTAGGACACTTTTACATTACCCCCATGCTGCCGGCAGTTTGTCTAACTTGATTCGTCCCAGACGACCCCAACCTTAATGATTATGACAACAAAGACGGCCATCGAGTCACACCCCAGGTTCGCCGGGCAAACACACGCTCCCAGTCATATGGCGGTGGCTCGCGAGATGGCTTTGAAGAAACATCTCTTGAGCAGACCGTCGGCGAGATGCGTCGGCTGCGATCTATTCGCAACGAGCGAACCCTATCCACAACATACAAACGGGCCCGCGCATCCAGAATCATCGATGGACCAGAAGGCAGAAGTGCCCGACCGGGGTCATCTGGCAATGATGGCAGTGACCCGAGGGGTCACGGCTTCCAGATTGTCGAAGAACGGGATGCCAATGGCGAAACCGTTACCGATCTGACTTTCGGGGCTCAGGATGCTTTGACGTTAGATGACATCCCCCGCATTGTTGCGGCTGAGCAAGCCAAGGAACAGCGACCTAATGCCTACAGGCATGCTGGCACGAAGCTCATCGGGGGGACAGAGCCGATGCCCAGGTACAACCATGGCCACCAGCGGGGGGTATCGAGTGGGAATTTGGAGGCCCTGATGGAGCCAACCCGAACCAAGCGGTACTTCTCAGAACTAACTGCTTTGGAATATTTCATCGTTCGCCACGTTGCCGTGCTACAGATGGAACCCTTGGTAGAGGGCTATTTCAGCATGGAGGAGCTGCTTTCTCTTATTGAGTCGCGCAAACCTACCATATGGAACATCTTTGGCCGTGCCTTCAAGGACAACAAGAAGGGCAATAAGAAGAAGGGTGTCTTTGGTGTTGGTCTAGACTATTTGGTCGAGAAGGAGGGCACAGAGTCAAGTCACGGTGTTGGCCCTGGTGCGCTCCGCATCCCGACTTTGGTCGATGATTCTGTTTGCGCTATGCGGCAGATGGACATGTCTGTGGAGGGTGTCTTCCGAAAGAACGGCAACATCCGCCGATTGAAGGATACCGCGGAACTAATCGACACCAAGTATGAGCAAGTTGATCTGGCAAAGGAAACTCCTGTGCAAATCGCAGCTCTCTTGAAGAAGTTCCTCCGCGAGATGCCCGATCCGCTCTTGACATTCAAGCTACACAAACTGTTTGTCATCTCACAAAGTAAGTTTTGATGTTGTGGTTGTCAGTCTATTCGTGCAATGCTAACCTGTGTCGCAGAAATGGAGGACGCGGAGAAACAGAGGCGACTACTTCATTTGACATGCTGTCTGCTCCCCAAGGCCCATCGTGATACGATGGAAGTCCTGTTTGCCTTCTTAAACTGGACATCATCCTTCTCGCATGTGGATGAAGAGTCTGGAAGCAAGATGGACATTCACAATCTTGCGACTGTCATCACGCCCAATATCCTCTACCCCAATGCCAAAAACAGCACAGTGGAGGAGAGCTTCTTGTCTATTGAGGCCGTCAATGCTCTAATTGCTTATAACGATGCATTCTGCGAGGTAAGTTTCCCAGGTTGAGGTCTTGCCAGACTCGTGCTAACTCTATCAACAGATTCCAGAAGACCTACAATCGGTCTTGGGTGATCCAACTCTTTTCAGGGAGAATGCCGAAGTGACAACCAAGGAAATCCTCAAACGATATGGCGATATTGCTCGAGGCAGCTTTTCACAGAAACCGGAGAACGGTGGCGAGACATTCACAATCACCACCCCCAACCGAAACAACAGCACTCCAACTTCCGCACGTATCGAAACCGATCCATCTCAGGATGCTGCCTGGCAGATGCAAAGTTCGGTTCGCCATGTGCCCGGTCCCAGCGGACACTCGCACTCGGCAAGCGCCAACGCCCAGGCTGGACTTGATTTCGGTCCTCCTCCCCCAGCAGCGTATCACCGTGACCGTAGCACCAGCAACAGTAGCCAGCCAATTGCAGGGGCACCTGATGGCCAACCATCAAATGTGGCGTATAGGCCGCGTCCGAGTGCAGGTGCCATGGGTGTTACTGGGTAGACTGGATCTCCTTATACTCCTCCTGCACAGCTGCAATACTGTGATACATCATCATCCGACCTCGACTTGCATCCATCCGTCTGATTCAATCTCTGTGGAGTGTTTTCGTTTCTCGTTTCTTGGGACCTTCTTAGCGTTCTTTTCTTTTTCTTTTTTGTCGAGTGACAGGGCTGGTTGACGGAGTTTTCCCTTTGCTTTTTTCCATGAAAATTCCCCAAAAGTGATCAACAAGCTGCTTGGTCGCTATTGATTGGTTTCTGTTTTCTCTCTATCTCTATAGTGGCTGGGATCCCTTACCCTTTTCTTTTCCTCTTTGTTCATTTGCATCTGATTCGAGGGATCAGCCATACCCATACCTGTCCCTCTGGGCATAAATGTCCTGTTTTTCCCTTCTCTCGCTTTTGATTTCTGAGCATGCTCATTCTTTTCTTTTTTGTGGGCCAGGCTACGGCTATACCTAGACCCTTTTTTTCCTTTCTTCTTTTCTGACTCTTCTCCTCTGGATCTTTTGCTTAACCAGGGCCAAGGGAGCTTTTATTTCCTTTCTTACTTGTTCAATCAACATGATTGCCACGATACCTGTGCTGTGTAGTTGCCTAATAGACAGTTATATTGTAGAACCTTGCATATTCGTGGGCAAGTCCTGAATAAAACAATTACTTTGTGCTTTTACGTTCTCTCAAAATCACCATTACCATCCGAGCAACACCTTCAGCCAGCCTACCCCATGCACTTTGGATTCTGCATGCAGCACAATTTGTACGAGTATTCTATATATCTGAACACACCTATATATCGCTTTTCAGATGCCTATTCTAGCTGCAATATCTAAATTCTGAACCTCTGTTATAAATTCTTGACATGAATCTCGAGAGTTCTATATAGTTCTCTATACTGATTTCCGATGCTTTAACTCTCTATTCAACCAACCATACGAGAACTGTATTTTATATAATCTAGTAAAAGTGTAAAATTAGAGAGCTTGGAGGTTTGCAGTAGGAAATAAAATACCGTCAAATCCTACTAAAGGAAGCTCAAGCTCAATCTATCATTCCTCCAACAAATCCTCCTGGAACAAATATGCATCATCCACAGAACCAAACAGCCAAGTCTTCAGCTCTCCAAAGGCATCCAGATCATTCTTCTCCAAGACAAGCCCATTCTCTGGATCATGCCACCCGCCCGTCTGTCCAGCTCCGCTAGTCTCCAATGATTCCCCTATCTTCCGACAACTCCCAAAATCAATATTTACCGAGACACCATGCTCATCAAACATGATATTGGACGGGTTGATATCATTATGCACAAGACCAAGAGAATGAAGGTGCTCGATTCCCTCTAGAATCGCATGGAAGTTGTGTTTGAGAGAATCATCGACTTGCTCACGACCACTAGCCCGGAACTTATTCTTGCTCAGCCATTCAGGATTGACCTTCCCCCACAAGGTTTCCTTGTATCGTTTGAAGCAAAGACCAGTAGCCCGGCCATTCTCCTCTCGACAGCCGTAGTAAGTGGCAATATTCGGATGCGGATGCCTGCGAAGCACTTCACACACTTCAAGCTCGCATTGAATATTGTCCTCCAGCTCTGAATAGAGGAAGTCGATTAAGTCTGGCGCCTTCAGGTAACAGTCTTCCTCTGAGGCCACAGCCCATGTTTCCTGGACTTTTGGACCTCTATCGTTTATCTTGACTGCTCTCAAGTTCTTTAACTGACTGATATCGGTAGGTTTCGATGATCGATCGTCCCATGACCCGTAGTATAGGATGCCGTTTTGTCGCACGAAGAAAGTCTTCCAACAAAACTTGCGTTTGCCGTTAACGGTTTTGAACGTAGTACTCTCTCGGATGATTTCCATTGTGAAGCATGGCCTGAGGAGATTGGTGCTCTTTGTCTGGTGAACCCCGTGTTATGATAGCTGGTGGGTAGGAGTTGACATGAACTCGCTGGAAGAGCGGTGTGATTGGCATAAAGCAGTCTAACTAATTAGCAGCAGGGTGACAGGGGTCTCGTATTTGCTCTGGGATGCTGTTTCAGCGGGTTACACACAGACGGATGAAGACTTATGATCTTTGTGCAGCAAAGTATTGGTTTGAAAGGAATTTGGGTGAGATACCCGGACAAAAGCCATGAATGTATACGGGACTGAAGAAGGAAAACACCTATTATGATATCACGCCGAATAACCAACAGGAAAGACAGCACCCAGGCTCAAATTGTTCATTGCAGAGTCTGCAATCACCCACGCTCAAATAAACATAATCCCAACCAACTCCAAGAAAAAGAAGACAAGTGTCTATGAGTTCATGTAAACAGTCCTAAATCCGCTTACGCAGCGCTCGAGTCCGAGTCGCAGTTTCAGTCGCAGCCGGAGCGGTAGTCTTGCGCATTGAAGCATTAGTGGGGGTATTCTTGACAGCCACTGATGCAGCCTGCACGCGCGAAGTTGGCTTCTTGGCAGCCGCAAGGGATGCTGTGGTGGCCTTTCTCGCGCCAGTACCAGTCCTTGTGGACTTGGTTACTGTTGTGCCCGAAGACGCAGTGGACCCTGTGCTGTTCTTGCGCTCGCCCTGTCGGGTCGCCGGGCGCGACAAAGGTGACCGAATAGTCTTGGGTCCTGTAGCGGCACGGGTGGCAGTCCTCTGGGCCTGCGAAGGAGGCCGCTGCTCCTTCACTGCAGACACAGTGGCACCGCGTGATCGCAACGGACTGGTCGGTTTTAACGGTGAGGTAGGGCGTGCCAGATATGAGGGTTGACCCTTCTCGGGTGATGCACGGAAGGGTGAGTGAGGGTAGGTTCGAGAATTGTTGGACTTGGGAGACAGAATCCTGTTCTCGTTGCCCCGTACTTCTTGGGATGCCATGCGGGAGGCCCCGCCTGGTCCGGCTGGCTTCACGCGACGCTTGGGGTTCTTGAGTTCGGGCTCGCGACCGGCAGGGGCATTCTCTTTGTCAGAGAAGTGGCCATCGTGACTACACATTCTGTCAGTCAGAGAAGCAAATTGGGCGTGTGGTATATCGCACCTTCCCCTCCGAGCTCTACCGTCGCGTGTGGTAGAGGTTTCTGGATCTACGGAGATGCTTGCGATATTACGCGACACCTTGACGGGCGAGTATTTCCGAGAAGGCGATGCAACCTGCTGTTTGTTTGTGGCGGCACTGTGCTTTTCGAGCAGCTCGCCGATGTTGGCCTTGCGTAGCGAGACTGGGATCCGATTGACGCGTCGCTCAATGCGCGCCCGGAGGTCATTTGCCTGAAGGGCATATTGAGCACGAAGCTTACGTGCCCGCTCAGTGACTGTTGTGAAATTAGTGCTGTGTTCACTCCGTAAATCCACAGTTCAACCCACTTTCAAGTTGTAGATTGTCCATCAGCGCCTGTTTCTGGTGCTGCGTCAAGCGCATCTTTTTAGTAGGACTGCCCGTAGGGGTGACGTCCATAGCGTCGGACTTCCGTTTAGTGGCAGGCATTGTCCAGAGTTCAAGGGATATAGACTTGGGATGTGTCGAAGTACAAGGGCTAAAGTTAAGGTGCGGAGCAAGGAGGACCACAACAAACAGCGTGACCCGGGCGGAGAACAGTGGCAGAATGCAGAGCTTCCACCTCGCCTTCGTCATCCGTCTTCATCTCCCATACGCCGATCTCCTATTCACTCGCTGTTTAGCCCTCCTTTACATCGTTAATTCCATTAGACTCCGCCATAATGACGCTGGAAGCTACTATGATCATGTCCGTCCTTGCCCATCCTCCGTATTAGCTTACCCTGCTGACTCCAAGCTACAGTGTCGACAACAGCGAAAGCAGTCGCAATGGAGACTACACGTGAGTACATCCGATGATACTATATTTGCCATTTGTGAATGGTATCTAATAGTTACAGATCAACCCGGTGGCAATCTCAAGTCGATGCTGTCAGCATCATCCACAATGCAAAGATGCGTGTAAACGCCCAGTCAGCTGTCGGCCTTATGAGCATGGGCGGCAAGGGCCCCGAGGTGTTGTCGACCTTCACACCCGAGTTTGGCGCAATCCTTGCAGGTCTGCACCGAACAAAGATCCACGGCACATCTCATCTCAGCTCGACCATCCAGGTTGCAGCGGTACGTTCTTCCAGCCAATCTCCGAAGCCGCAAGCTCTCCATAACTAATCTTGATGGAATTTTAGTTGGCACTCAAGCACCGTATGGAAAAATCCCAGCGTCAACGCATCATCGTATTCTCCTGCTCGCCCATCGAAGAAGATGAGAAGACCCTCGTGAAGCTCGCAAAGAAGATGAAGAAAAACAACGTGTCGATCGATGTGATAGCTTTCGGAGATTTGGAATCCGACCAGACCAAGAAGCTCGAGGCTTTCGTTGAGAATGTCAAGAGTGGCGATGGTTCCCACCTCGCCATCATCCCACCGGGACCCCATCTTCTCAGCGATCAGCTGCAGCTGACCCCGATCCTGGCTGGCGAGGATGCCGAGGTTGGCGGAGGCGGCGGCGAGGGCGAGGCTGGTGGATTTGGATTCGATGACGCCGCCGAGAATGACCCCGAGCTGGCATTCGCCCTGCGGTTATCGATGGAGGACGAGAAGAACCGACAGGAGAAGGAGAAGCGCGATCGGGAAGAACAGGAAGGCAAGACGCAACTGGGCAATATCCCCGAGGAGGGCCATGGCGAGTCCAGCGGTGACAAAGATAAGAAGAACGAGGACAAGATGGACACCGCGTAAGGTCCGGAGATTTGAATATGACTGTGATGCATACCCGGCGTTTGCTTCTGCTTTTGTCCTGTATTCTCGAGAGTCGACCTTCTTCGGGTACGTTCTACAGTGTGCAAGGGCAATATATTATGTGATTTGGTATTATACGAGACGGAGTGATATCCGGACACAAGTACAGGAACAAAACGTATCTAGTTCGTAAAGTCGTGATGTCTATCCCCTTTCTGCGTGATCCCATTGCCGCCGGTCGGGGCTATGCCCTCCCCCTCAACCACACCCCCAGATGCCGATCGAACGCCTCGCATCGCACTGGCATCTCAATTTGATAAAATGGATTCTTCATCACATAGTCCGCATAGAGCTCGTAGATCTTCTGTATGATTGTGTCCACGCTGCCAGTCAACGGATCCGTGAACAACAAGAATTTTGTTCCCGTCAGGGTCTGGAAACAGGTCAATCGAAACTTGTCGGTCTCGAGATAATCCAGGCCGGAGACTGGTACACCGGGGTTTGGGTATGAGTGACCGGACGCAGCAGGGGCGGCGGTGCCCGTTGAAGAGGTTGCGGGTGAGGGAGCTGGTTGGGAGATGGGGATTTTTGGTGTGATAGAGCGGGTGATTGCGTGGACGCTATAGAATCCAAGTCAAATGTGTATTCCAGGGGAAAGATGGTGTTGGCAGCTTACCCGTGAAAGGTGCCAGCTAGGACGAGGTAGTCATTTGTCGAGAGGTTGCGCAGGCCAGCCTGGAACTCGCGCTGGTAGATAAGACCGCCGGCTTTGTTGATAATGATCAGGGAGAAGACGCCCCTGGTATTGTCAGGCATGTTAGTTGCTGTGCGATTCAATGAGCAGATGGAGCGTACATGGTGAGTGTGGCGCTGGTACGGACAGCGTGGCCGGAGAAGCAAGGGGCGGAAAGCGCTATTGGTGTGCCTTGGGGTATTCCGGTGTAATTGTGTGGATGAGCTGTCTAATTGAAGTTGTTTAGATCACCAAAAGTAGGTGTTGGCATGAAGTTCGCGGGGATTGGAGGAGGTTGATTCCGCGTCGATAAGCGGGGACAGCCACCAACCCCATCCGGGTCGGTTTCTGTCTGTTTTATAGATATCTGGATTATTCAGTTCTAGTACAGATAAAAAAAGGAGTGTTATTTAACTGAATGGCTAAGTTGTACCGGGTGGGTGATATTAGGGCATATCTTGATGTTTTACTGAAAATATATACCGAGTGGATGGGCATGGATTTTAGCATTTCTGAAAGAAAATGTTGGAGAATGTGCTAAGACAACATAGGTAGTTTCGGATATTAACTTCTACCTGTTAGAATTCCTAAGATAAAGAAAAGCCCGTATAGAACCAATTGGAGAATCTATATGGTGGTTCTAGCTCAATATAAATCCAATATCAAGCCGATCGAATGAGTACAATTCCTAGCTTGTATCTTTAATCCATCTTATACAATATGTTCACTCATCGAACCATATCTTCAGCTAATCTGCTAGGCCACAGTTCACTCGAGTGCCACATCGGTGCTCACTTTGACGATGCGTTAAAGCATTCATTAGTCCCAAGTATCATAAAAACCCTAAGCCCTAGTAATACCGACAATCGTTAACAAAAGGAAGCATACAAAAGACGTCTGTGTATGTATGGAACTCACGATGGACAGCAGGTTATCTGGGTCTCAGTAATAGCCCCAATACTAACAAGCGATGATTTGGCTATTGAATAACCCGACGGACACACACCTGGTGAGTAGTAAAAAGCGGATGTCGCCTCATATCCTGAGGGGAAGCAGCTGCTCCAGTCCGTGGGCCCCTGGCTGAGATACCAGCCCTCAAGACTGTTTGGAATCGAAGTGGTGAAGTAGTACGTGCCTTTTACATACTCAATGAACCATGTGTCTGTGGTACATGCTGGTAGTGGTGAGAAAGTGGTGGTAAGGGCCAAGGGAGTGGTAGCTGTCGTGGTGGTAAGGGACAAGAGAGGGGTAGCTGCTGCTGCCATGGTGGTTGCCGAAGTTCAAAAACATTGAGAGGCTTGGGAGAAGAAGCGAAGCACTTGCGATGTGGGCGCAGCCTCAGTTAAAAATTGATAGGCCAAGGATATGCATTAACTGCGGTACCTCTGCGGGCTTCAGGGCTCATGCGAAGAGCAATTGATGTGATCAGATCGATGCTAAGTTTGATGCTACCTAAATGTCCCCCTATTTCTGTTTCTTTTGGAAATCTCTTGGTTGTTTGAGGGGCTGACCCCCCTGGAGTCTAATGTACTTTGTACAATTTCGGCCCCATTATTGGACAGGGAAGCCTCCATACTATTACTGCGAGGGTCAGAACATTCGGTATTCGGACTCATTTTAAAATCATCGGTTCGTCCGTTGATGCTTAAAGTGCTGGTCCAGTAAGGGACCGATGAAAGAACAAACGACCTTGAAATCTGCAATAGTTGGAACCATCGTTTTCACAAGCAGTCTGAGGACAAGAGCAACTTTACTGCGCATTTTCTTAGCCAATTTCGATATCATGTTGCTTTAGATGGAGCTCGAGAATGCTGGTTCCTAGAGGCGTAGTAGTTAACTACACGAGACCGCAATTATCTAGAAAATCGAGACCCTGAATTAGTGACCGTGGAGTTCATAACTATAACGATAGAGCCTTATTTCCTTCCAGTAATGGCTTGTGCAATATCGACCTCCACTTTATAGATATTATTACCGTAATCGGAACTACGGTCTAGCCCTGGCGCTCCGCTATTCCCCGAAGACCAGCAGCGATGATGCGAGAGGTGCTTGTTGTCTCATTGTAATCTGGCGTATTCAAGGTAGAGAGACACTTGGGCGCTTAACGAGATGAGAAGGACGATTCCGTACCCATGCCAACCGTTTGGAGGTGTACTTCTATGCGCTGGATTGTTATGGACCACTCATTAACAGCTAATACGAGTCAGCCCCACGGGTCAGCCTTATATAACGATAGGCATGGCATCCAGTGGCGTCTACACAGCACAGGCTGGAGCACCGTACTTTGGCTCCGTTACGATTAAGGGGTTCGAAGTATTTGAATCCTTTTGTATTGGGAAAGAATAGTTCTTTCGTATCCGGAGGCATGAGTACTCTTTTTGTATTCCATATACTGCAGAAAATAAAAACAAAAACAAAAACAAAAAAGAGAAATCTGTTCCATGCCTGAGTCCGGGCTTTAGTGTTAACCGCTAGGGCTCTTTGAAATTTGGCCCCATCTCGCAAACTGTGACGCTCATCGCCGATCATCTCGCGGCCCACCTGGCCCAATGGATTGAGTTCGATTCCCTCTTTCCTCCTCCTAGGCAGTCTTTAGGTCGCAATATCATGCTGCCCACTACCCGTCGAACTCGACAGTGGCTTATGACATTGTTCCAGTCGTCACAAGCCGGCATTATGGCTATCCTCGAGACTCTTCGGGCAGGACGCTGGGGTCAACACATTTCCCCGGGCCCATTGTCTGAGAGTTTGCCCCAGGACTCTTAGTGAGCTCATATATGACTGTATAAATATGTACGTAAGAGAACTGTCCCTCTCATCTCAAATAAGTATTTACTCGTCATTACCTAGCCTTAGATAGGCATCCTCGTGCGCGATATACCCTATAACTTCAGTGTCGACACGATAGCAGTACAACTCACTAAGCGGACGGACCTGACTCTGGAATTCGATATTGTGACGATAGAGCGAGTCGATGAGGTCATGAAAGACTTTATGAGTTGGACCTCTACTACGAGCATCTTGACAAAAACACAACAAGCAATCCTAATTGAAAAATGGGTGATTTTCAGCTTAGCCGGAGGAGTTGAAAAAGGAGATCAAGCCTCTCAAGAAACAAATGAAGAGAAGGCAACACCTTCTCCATCCCTATCAAACCTCAGACATCATATCCTAGACAAATGGTCAGGCCACCCACGCGATCCCAGCGAAGGTCAGACCGAAACGCAATTGCTCATTGATGGTGCGAAGGGGGAATATCCTCATGGGTATCAATGCCATTCCCCAAATATTCCAAGAAGAGACCTCGCGAGCAAGCAAATAGGAAGGGGCATTTGCTAGCTACTACGACATCCCCTGGTCCGATACTACAAACGAGGTCCACCTGACCCAGAATTCCCGCCTTGTCCGACTGTTTAACCTCCATGAAAATGTTCTATGCTTTGCGCCGCTTCAATCAGAAAAGGAACAGCCAATTCGAGAGGCAAATCGCTCAAAGGTTGCAAGGAGTGGATTGCAAAGTGGAAATCAGACAACAGCCCCGAAATCCCGGCAGACGTGATTCAAAAGTTGTACGACGGTGACAGAAAGGCCTCCTAATCGATTAGACGTGGCGCACCTCGATTACTCCACCTGCTGCTTTCCATGCCCAATTATTCACAAGTGTCTTGCAGGATACTACAATGACTCCCACACTAGAAGAACGGCGAAAGAACCTTTACTAGTTCTGCTCTCCTTAGCTTTTAAAAAAAGCACCCCTTTTTCCCTATCTCATTAAAACCTGCAGTTTTAACCTCACCTTTTCCCCCATAAACAGCAAGATAAGTCAGTCAGAGATAATTCATCCTTATGAATTAGCTCTCTACATTTAATATGCTGTTTTCAGATCCTCAAAAACTACATTTTTGGTGTACAAATTACACTAAGTTAAGTGGAACTAGACTTTAATAGGGTGGGGTTTCGGGGTGCGCAAATAGTATTTCTCATGATTAACAAGGAGCTGGAATATTTGCTTTTGACATGATGTGATAGTATTGAAACAGGTGCATTTGACCCCAAGCATAAACCCACTTCCGCCCCAACACCCTATTCTACTGTCCTAATATATTGCTATAAGTTCCTCCCCATACCAGTATCCATGCAAGCGGAGGATGAGTCCCATCTGAATCCGGTACCCGGTCATCATTGAATGGCATTGGGTCTCGTCGCCTCTCCTTTGAATCTTGATCGGAGGGTGCCTCGCGGCGTCACCACCGTTGTGGGTAAAGGCAGAAAACGTTATCTACGAGGAACGCGCCTGGATAGCAGGTAATGTTTGGCTGCATCGTCGAGACCAAGTGCAAGCGGTTTTTATAGTTGAATCCGGCCGTATGCAGGAGGTCAAGTCCATGTGAGATCGCGCCCATCAAGTATGGCTCCCCGATGATTTCATCACTTGGTTAGCTATTCTGACAATGAAGTCTTCAGATACAGATGTAAAGTTTGAACTGACCAGCGTTCTCCACTTCATACGCTATAAACAGTTGCAGTCCGCGGAAGTTTGGATCGTCTGCGCCTATATCGTCTGAGATAGCCTCTAAGATTTGGTAATACCTATCACTGGCGAAAGTGACAATACACAAGATTTCTTCAATCTCCTAAGGCTGAAAGCAGGATCCAAGTATATTGAGGATTGGATAGGGTGGAACACAGAGGTTGGTTCCCAGGATTGTTTATAAGAGCCGATACCGAAAAGGTTACAGCAAAGCTGCAAGCGATACAGGGCTCGTGTCACGAGTGCCTCTTCAGTCTCGCTTAATCTCAAGGCCTTGCTTGTCACTTGCTTCAATTGACGCGTCTCATTAGAAAGATTTTGCAGTGCGTATCTAGTATAGTGCTGCACCAGAGGTCGCACCGTGAAGAAGTGGAACTTCACCATAGCGATAACATCATCCACAGTCAGGTTTTCGTCGAAAATTGAATGGTGTGATAACGAGCGGTTCTGTACATAGACACAGAGTCATAGCTTCGCGTTTCGAAAAAGTCGATCGAGCCGGACCGACAAACGGCGCCTACTTCAATAATCGCACTCCGTAATGTTCTGTCGAGATATTTGAATAGAATCCATTTTCGATCTAACAAATATTGCTGATGGTATACTGGACACGCGTGAGTCAAGGCTTTGAGTCCCTCGTATTCCACCACGGAGAGGAGGTGACGCCGGATCCCAGCCGGGGGACTTTCTAACGAGGCGCTCATTTAAGTCAATTGACTTGGTTTTTTAGATATATGGAAATCTCTAACCAAAATGCAGGGAATTTCAACTGATATACTTAGTAACCATGCGAAACAGCCCTGAATCCATCCATGGATGGATGTAGGTATGAATTATGTAGTAATGGTGGCTTTCTAGATATGGTTTTCTTCAAGGCAGAATTACCCCTGTTGTCGTAGTGGTTGGATCCCCCGTACACGTGTGCATGTTACAAAATAATACAACATTGATTAACATAAGCTACATGTATCAGATACATTTGACAAGATAAGATTCTGTGCCAGGATCAAGAAAGCAAGAGAATATTTCCGATGAATGCCGAGTAGAAAGGAACCGAATCTCTCGGGAACAAAATCAACTGCAATAAACCATCCCCCACAACCCGAAGAAAGAAATATGACGAGCTTTCTAGGTCTCCTTGACCTCGCGCGACCAGTGCTTGGGGACACGGAAGACCCAGTAGAGGAAGAGAGCGGCGATAATATTGAACCCCACATAGGCAAACAGCAACCCGATATTGCGCCCAACATCCGAGTACGACATGTTGAGACTTTCGAGGAACTGATCTGTGCTCGACATTGGGCAGATCTTGCAATCCACCGTCGCCTCGGGATTGAGTAGTGCGCCGTGCATGGCCTTGATGTAAGGGTCCAGATACTTGCCGCAAGTCTGTCCATCTGGAGGCGAGACAGTGAGCCACTCAATGCTAGAACATTCCACCGAAGTTCCAGTCAGGCCCGTGGAGAGCACGGAAGACACAAAGTAAGTAAATGGCGATACGCGGTTCATGAAGACCCAGAAACTAGGCATATCAGAGGCTTTCGCGAGTACGCTACGACTCCAAGTCAGCATTATTATCAATTAACTCCCAAAAACCCGCAGATAACTTACCCGTTGAAGACCAAGCACAGCGAGAACATGAACTGAGCAATGTTGCTGCCAGTATCGGGCTCTTCAATTCCAGCAATCATCATGGAGCTGAAAGTCGACGTGAACATCATGAACTGCAAAATGAGCAGATACATGATGCCGCTTCGTTCGATGACTGCGTTCGTGGGCTCTGCATTGTGATAGAAGCCGATTGGGTAGTACCAGGCGAAAAAGATTGGCACCGACATCAGGATATTCCATACTAGCTCCGTGAGGATACTGGCCATCATGAATGCCTTCCACGAGTAGGCCTTCGAAGGCCGTTCGCGTACCTCATACAAAGCACGCTGCGTGACGAAGGACGGCATCATCTGCTGGACCAGACCCGGGAAGATGACGAGGAGCATGAAGATTGCAAACATCTGATTTTGCAGCCCTTGGAGGCTTGTAGGCATGTGCCAGAAGGTAAACCCGAGGAACAGTGGCTACACCTGTTAGTCTAAATAAATAAAAGGGAGGAAGATAACTGACCGAGGCAGTGCAGGTGAGGACTTTGGCGTATAGATACGACGGAGATCTCCAATACTGTTGGAACATGCGTTGGATGCAAACGAGGAACTGATACCAGATGGGCATGGCGAATTCACCAAACCCTGCAGCCCGTAGGGGTGCCGGCCTCCGGGGCAATTCCTTTTTCATTTCAACCAGCTCTCTGTGAACCTCTGCGCGCTCGGCACTGTTGGTCCATTGTTCGGCCCAATCTCTATCCGCATGAGAGCCTGGCGCAGCACCAATGACCTCGAGCATCCATTCAGCCGGGTTTGCGTTTTTTGGACACTTGGGTGACCCTTTGTCTTCGAAGTACTTGATCAATGTTTCCATGTTCGGGCCAAGGTCGCCAAAGTACACTGTGCGTCCTCCTTGAGCGAGAAATAATAGGCGGTCGAACTGCTGCATCAGCATTGACGAAGGTTGGTGAATGGTACACAGTACAGCCTGACCGTGGTCGGCCAAATTGCGCATCAGGGTACAAATTGACCAAGCGGTTTGACTATCCAGACCCGAAGTCGGTTCATCGAAGAACAGTAGCAAATCTGGCTTGGCTACCAGTTCCACGCCGATAGTCAACCGCTTACGCTGCTCCACATTAAGGCCTTCGCCGACAACTCCGACCACGGCATCTGCATATTCTTCCATACCAAGCATGTGAATGACCTCCTTGACGTATGCAATCTTTTCCTGGCGAGAAATGGTGGCAGGCTGGCGTAGGAGAGCGCTAAAAACCAGAGCTTCACGAACAGTACTAGTCTCCAGATGCAGATCCTGTTGCTGTACGTAACCCGTCTTCCGCTGGAAAGAATCGTCTCGTAGTCGGCCATCGACAAGCATCTCGCCGGAGACGACGCCAAGTGTGACACGATCGGCCAACACATCGAGCAAGGATGTCTTCCCTGCACCAGTGACACCCATCAAGGCCGTCAGAGTGCCGGGCTTGACCCAACCGTCCACACTATCGAGGATGCGTCGCTCGGTCCCCTTGATTTTGATGTCGTAACACACATTCTCCCAGTGGAAGATAGAAGTTTGGCGAACAATTGCTGCAGTTGAGTCCTGAGGTTCGCTAGCAACTGCACCTTTCTCTGATGCAATGACTTCCTCTGGGTCCTCCTTTCGAATATTCTTGGCAAACGCAGGCATCTTGCCGCGCGGGAACACCAGAACCTCACCTTTGGATGGTTTAGCCCGGATGAGCTCGCTGCAGAAGAGATACAGCATAAAGAAGGCAACGAAGAAAGCGCAGAGAATTCCGAAGTTTCGCCACAGATGCGCGCTGTAGTACCGGTAAGTTGTGTTGATGTATGTCTCTCCATCAATGAAATCATGGCCTGCCACAGCACCCTTCTGTGAGCAGATTTTGGAGGTGAGAGGCGCATCATTGTAAATTTCCGAGCCACCCGGGACAAAATTCGAGCACGGGAAGGACCGTCCACTGAACTCATTGATCATCAGCGCCTCAAAGGCGTACTATCTCGTGTTAGCATATTCTGGTGGGACCTAGAAAAAGTTACGTTATCATTTACAGCAATCGGGTTCACGTAGTTGAGCCACCGGAACCAAGGGTGCATATCGCGGACAGGAATGGTAAACCCGGTGTAAATGACCAAGATAAGCATGAAGACCGAGGCAGGAGGCATGGCCTGGGCCACAGACCGCGAGATTGAGCCGATAAACCGGAAGATATTGGACATCACAAGGGTCGTTGTTACCGAAAAGAGGAAAAAGATGAAGAAATTGCCCGGAGCTCGCCGAAGATGCGGCAGGAAATAGATGATCAAATTGAATACAACTGCTAGCAGGATCTTGGATGGAAGTTCCACAATGTACGCACTAATAGCTTCCGCTGAGGGATGGTATAGTGCGTACTTGCGATGTTTTTCCACGATCGGCCGCTGCTGCCACATGATCATGATTTCCAGGGAGCTAGAGAAAGCACTGATCATGATGGCAAAGAAAAGTAAAGATCCACGCTTGTAGAAGCTGTCGGTGTCATTCGGTGTGTCGTAGAAGAGACTGGAAATGATCAGAGACATACAGATATTTCCGACGAGCGTGGCAAGCGTCATAGCCAAGTCTGCCTTGAGCCGCAAGAACCCCCGCCAAAGACAGAGGCGGACTTGCATCGGATACGAGAGTGTGTATGGGGAGGCTGCACGAGTAAACCTGGGTTTGTCTGCTGCACGAGAGCGGCTGAATTGCTCAAACTTTGACTCTCCAACGGTGTTTCCAGCGGCGTTTGCTTCAATCTCAGCGAGAAGCCGCTTACGCTCCGGGCTATCCTTCCAGCGTGCGGCAAACTCATCGGGTGTGCGTGGAACGAGGTCTTCAAATCCGGGGCGAACAAGGCGTTCCGAAGGGCTGGTGAGGGAAGTGAGGAAGTCCGCAGTGGTTTGTCTCTCTGGGCAATGGAATCCCATCTTGATGAAGAAGCGACGTGCATTGCGCGCACTACCGAAATAGATTTGGCGGCCTTCGTAGAGCACAATCGCTTTGTCGAACAGGTCGTATATGGACTGACTTGCTTGATAGATCGCCACTATAGCGGTCGATCCAGTATAATCAGTGGAGAGGCGGATGTTCTTAACGAATTCAAGGGCCGTGGAGCTATCAAGTCCACGAGTGCTGTTGTCCCAACACTGTAGAGGACATCGACACAGAGTGGTTTCGGCGATACTGACCCTCTTTCTTTCCCCACCGGATACACCTCGAATGAACTCACTGCCGACCTTGGTGTTCATGGTATGGGTCAAGCCAAGCATCGTCATTACCACATCTCGCATATGCATTGCATATTGGTCGCGTGTAACACCGGGAAGTCGGTTACTCGGCGCTCGAGCGTGAGCGGCAAACAGCAGTGTATCACCGACTGTCAGCTGAGGGAAGTGAACTTCGTTTTCGGCTTGGAAGATGACCTCGCCGCGGAAACGACTGTGCATGTCCTCCCAGGACATGCCTTCATACTGCACCTCGGACCCTTTCTCTTTGTCAAGATAGAGGCCATGCGTTTCTCCCGCAATGGTTTTGAGGAAGGTAGAGCATCCACTGCTGGCAGTTAATGATTCGTCTTTTGCGGGTGCGTCAATTCACGTACCTTCCCGGGCGACCTAGCACAACCAGCATCTCACCACTGTGAACAATGCCTTCAAAGTCTCGCAGGATGTCAATGCGTACTTTCTTCTGGAAGCCAAGGATATTGCGGAACCACCCGGCGCCTTTGAGCCAGAAGTTGGCAAGGTTCATCTGATAATCTGCCGCGGTGCCATAGCCGAAAGCATTGAGATTGCGGAAGGAGACGCCTGCTGTGCGACGCGGGTACCGGTCTGGATCGCGAGAGGTCATCTGGATGATGTTCTTCACCCATTTGCGCGATTTAAACTGGCCACTGTTGGGATCTAGCTCTGGGTCACTGGTGGAGTCGAGAAAGGTGTTGATACCCTCTGAGGTTTCACCGGACCTGAGGCTGTTCTGTCGTGAGACTTGTGAGAGAGAACGTGCCAGAGTAGTGATTTGTCTGTCGCGATCATCCCCGGACTCAGATACTGGGGTCTCCGAGCCGGGGGTATCAACGGCACCATTGTCAGGCATGCTTTCCATCCGGTCTGGCGTGAGTGTAGTCGGCGAAAAGCCTAAAGAAGGAAGAAGGTGTGAAACCATGAAGGAGACACGCTAAGGGAGGTAAACGAGAGTTGTTGACAGAAGAAAAAACAAACGGTGAGACGTGACGGATGAGAGTTTTTATGGAAAGGAGGAAAGAGGAAGGAAGGAAGGAAGGAAGGAAGGAAGGAAGGAAGAGAGTAAGAGAGTAAGAGAGTAAGAAGGAAAGAACGGCAACCGGAAAGTAACAGATCCGAGAAGCTTCAAGAGTCAAATGTCCATGGATGGACCGTCTCAGCTCTTTCCGGAAATGGAGATAAATGGAGATTTTATGTACCACCTGGATGTCTCAATATTTGAATGTCTGAATATCTCACTTGAATGTGACATCAAAGGTTATACATAGAAAAGTCTGCACAATGTATGCTTTTTACAGCCTTCGTATACATCCAAGAAGCCATCCAAAAAGACTACCAAAAGGACTAGGTAAAAAGACTAGCTAAAGAGACCACTAAAAAAGACATCTAAATAGACTATTCTTCTCGAGACAACAATAACAGACTACGAAAAAAAATACTTGACAAGGCCGCATAAACGACTATCCTTGTAACCCATAACTATATTAAGGTGTTTTTCAACCTTTTGATTGGCTGCGTGTTAGCATCGTACCCCCTCACCCCCACGCCTTATCTTCATAGCAACTTCCCTTTTGGGTTAACGGATCTCAGATTCGGCCAATATATCAGAGTTGACTCGGAATAGTGAGGATCCGAGAGTCTAACGAGAACTTTACAACCTTGGAAAGGAACCGAAAACTCAAAGGTTACATAGACATCCGGACCTTAAAAGGTCAGGTAAAAGGATTATGAAATCATGTGACACTGCTTCAAGCTACATGAACTAACATATCTCTTCATACTACCTGTCACATCATTTCTCTTCATACTACCTGTCACATCAGCCCCTCACCCCATCTTATCCCACTCTCCATAGAACCTAGTACACAGACCTGTCTTCATCTATGCCTGCAAGATCAACTGTCTCCAAGAGTCACGATCCTCGGATCCCGCAGAAACACTGCCGTAAGGAAGCGCCGCGTCTTGGATATGAGCAACGCGAGTCGTAGTCAAGACACGACCACGAGCCGAGACAGCCTCAGCCGCCAGGCGTTGGTATGAGTGACCAGGCAGCGAGAAGGAAGTTTCGAACCCATCCCGTGTAGCCTCGCCCAAGAACTCCCGGGACCCAAATCCATCCGTAACGGCATAGAATCGCCAAACCGCCGTCTCGGTATCACCATTCCATGAAACAAAGACTTCGGTGCCCGAGGGTGTCTTCTCAGCCACAATGGCGGGATCTTCTGTTGGCAGGCCAGTCCAGTTGTACCGGAATGCCCGATAGTTCTGGACGCCCTCACCCAGAAGTCCTGAGTCCATGTAAGCGTGAAAGATCGGGGTACCGTCCGCCCGGAATTCGGTCATAGCTCCCTCAGAGCCCCAATTGACCAAGGCATTGCCGTTGGGTAGAAGCTGGGTGCTGCCTTGAGACTTGGCGAGGAGTCCATCGGGAGGCTGGAAGGCTTGAACAATCTTCGCAGTCCAGGTGGCAGTGTTGACAGAAATGACCTTGCCCTGCGAGAAAGGATGGGTGTGGACCTCTTTGCCACGGTGATTCTCTGTCCCATGAGCGGAGTTATCAAACAGCGAGATGGTTTCCTCGTCATCACCCTGCTCGACAAAGCGCGCGTGATGCTGGAAGCAGAAGTTGACGTTGGGACCGAGCTCAAAGTCTGAGCGTAGACCACCCAGCCGCCAGATGATTTCACCAGTGGTACCGTTGATCTTGTGGACCGCACAAGCATCCCGCGCGGAAATCAGGTAGTTGCCTTCGGCATCCTTGTCCACAGAGTTGATGTGGAAGTAGTCCCATGCGTCGGATGAGTTGTATCCTGCACCCGCTTGTCCCGGGTTGAGAGGGAGAACTGCCTCTGCATGATGTCAGACTATTCCATTATAAGCCTTGGAGGTAGTTAGTTGACTTACCATCAGGAGAGACATGCTCGAGGCTAGACCACTCAAATAGCAATTCCCCAGTCTGAAGGTCCAACTCTACTGCGAATTAGCATTAGCTCTTCATATTCGAGAACTCACATACCCTGGAAGATGGCATCGACAATCCATTGCTGCTCAGCACTGGCACCCCATCGAGACAGGTCCCTTGGCACAGGCTGGTAGACCTGAAGCAACGCAGTCTTCTCATCGACGACATGGAATTCATGTTTATCCATGAGCTTATGGTTGCCAGCGCGGAGCTCCCGAATAGTTTCATATCGCTGATTCAGAATAGTAGCATGACCATGACCATGTCCATAGGCCGGGTTATGATCACCTTCAAAGCTGAACAGCACATCCTGACCATTCCATCTGGCCTTCTGGAAGTTGGCGGCCCAGATGGAGAAGTAGGTATAACCCGACCAGACGAGCTTACCGTCATCGCGAACGATATACGGAGCTTCCTGACGCGGGCCGTGGAACTGTGGCTCAGCCCACTGGCCCGGGAAAGGCGCGATGAAGAGGTAACCCTTCTCGACATCCTTTGTGGCCGGGATGGTGATGTTCAGACGAGGCGGGGCCAGGTCGGTTCGGGATTTGAACTGCCAGTCTGCTGCGGCGAGCGGCAACAGCGCTGCGGTGCAAGCGATGGATTCAAGGAGCTTCATGATAAGTACTGGTCCAGCGATCAGTTTCCATGATGCTGGTCATTATGTGCATGATAGGGTACATTAACCTTAGATGGGTACTCTGCACTGAGTCTCTTTGACTTCTTTGGTTTGAATAGTTGTGTGAAATGAGAAGAACAGAAGAGAATCGCACATATCACATATCCTCTCGTTTAAATAACTAGTAGTTGATCATGTCACAGTGGAATATGATGTCGTGATTGGCACTTCCAAGGTTGGCGGGGAAGATAATCCGCTCGCATTTCCCGATCGAGTGCCCGCTTGTCTGAAATTTCTGAAATTTCCGAGATTCGGCCAGACTCTTCTTTCGTCAGCTTCTGAATCGCAAATTTGTAGTTTGAACGACATTTGGAATCAACAATGGCATTATTGGATCCTCAGAATGAAAGAGCCTCAGCAGGCGTGCTGTCGACACACGACAATGAAGCCGAAAGATCGTCCGCACAAGAAAGCGAAGAGCAACCTTTATTGCAATCTAATCCAGTTCCTGTGACTTGGAGCCCGCCGCCAGGGTTTCTACTGATTCAAATCGGTTAGTCAGATTAAAGTCCATACATGATCAAGCAGAATTTGACAATTTAACAGCAATCATGGCCAATGTATTTCTTGGCGGGTTTGACGGCACCATCACTGCCTCGACCTATGCTGTGATCAGCTCCGAGTTCAACGCCGCGAACACTGCTTCGTGGCTGACCACCTCGTACTTGATCACGAGCACGGCGTTCCAGCCTCTCTACGGCCGATTTTCGGATATCCTCGGTCGCCGGTCTTGTTTCTTCACTGCAACCATCACCTTCATGCTTGGTTGTCTGGGATGTGCCGTGGCCCGCGATGTAATCTTTTTGAACATCATGCGCGCCTTGACGGGCATCGGAGGCGGAGGATTGATGACTATGGGTAAGTCAATGATCTTTCAATTGACACATCAATCACTAACCAGTATCCTAGCAACAATCATCAACTCGGATATCATTCCCTTCCGCCAGCGGGGTATGTACCAGGCAATTCAGAACGTCTCATACGGCTTCGGAGCCATCTGTGGTGCTTCTTTCGGAGGTGCCATCGTTGACTCGATCGGATGGCGCTGGTGCTTCCTGCTGCAGGTTCCAGTCTCTTTGTTTGCTTTGGTCATGGGCTATATAGTTTTGAAGTTTCCATCACGCAACACTGAATCTTCCCCAAATGGCCGAAAGCAAGGAATTTGGCAGCAAATTGATGTACTGGGCGCTTGTCTGCTCATTCTGGCTCTCTCGGCTCAACTGGTGGGACTCAGCCTGGGTGGCAACATTCTCCCTTGGACTCACCTGTGGGTAATTCTGCCATTGGTCTCTAGTGTGGTATTGCTGGTCGCATTTGTCGCCGTTGAAGCGAAAACCACCGCCGCACCTTTGATTCCATTGAAGATGCTACGAGGACAGCTCGCTGTATCCACACAGATCGCCAACGTTTGTGTCGGAATGGCAGCATACGCAGTAAGCTCACCAGTTCCACCAGTTTTATTAGAATTACAACTAACGCAGTGTATTTAGTACCTCTTTACTCTGCCTCTTATGTTCCAGGTGATTCTCCTTGACTCACCCAGCAAGGCTGGTACCCGGCTGGTGATTCCTTGTCTATTCACCCCACTGGGCGGTCTCGCAGCGGGAATCATCATGTCACGCTGGGGCAAACTGGCCTCCATTGTGCGCGTCGGGGCAGCCCTAATGTTTGTGGGCAATCTGCTCGTCATGCTCCTTCGATTCAACGACTCGGGATGGAAGTATTTCGTCTATGTCATTCCCGCCAACCTGGGTCAGGGGATGGTGTACCCAGGAATTCTGTTCACATTCCTAGCGGCCTTCGACCACACCGGTAAGCTAAATTTCCTCTCATTCGCTGCCATTTGTCGCCAGGCCCATTACCCGAATCCGCGAGCGACCGAGCAGTTTGCCAACCGAGCCTGCTAACAATGTCGTATGTAGATCACGCCGTCTCGGCCTCAACTGTCTATCTCATCCGCTCCCTTGGAACCGTTTGGGGCGTCGCAGCGACCTCCACCATCATGCAGAATACACTTAACTCAGGCCTCGGGGAGGCCTTGAGTGGAATACCAGATAAATGGAAAGTACAATTCCTTCGCCGTTCGATGATAACGAGCCCTTGAATAAGCCTTGCTGACCAGAATACTCGCTTCCTCTTAGGTGATTGATGAGATTCGCCACTCAGTCTCGGCTATTTATGATCTTCCCCCGGATGTGCAAATGGCCGCTCGGCTGGTGTACTACCGCGGGATCAGACTGTCCTTCATGGCCTCTGCGATATTTGCATTTATTGCGACCGTCGCTGCCATCTTTACCCGTGGAAAGGGTCTAGAGCGCGCGGGCGGCAAGTAAAGAATCTCGACTTCGCACCCCCAAAGAATCCCCATGGGGGAGCATAGGGGATAGGCGTGGTGTTTATGGTGATGTCAACCCACGTCTCGCACAGACCCGATGGATTGATGCGCGGCCCCCAAATCCGTGCGGGTCGAACAAAAACTCCTCGTTGAAATACATCGAGGTAGTAACGGGCGGAAGTAGATTAAAAGGCGACCGCACAGTCAAGAGCGCCGATGCTCAACGCGATAGGTGGTAGATATTGGAAGGATATAGCTCAGAATATAGAAGTTGGCGAGTTGGAAATAGAAATGGTAAGGCTGATTCCTACAGTCTAACAAATATCTGATCCATCTATCCATGGATGTAGCAAAATACTCCATAGTAAGCTGTCAAGTCAAGAAATCACACTTGACTAGATCAGTGCTAGTGCTGATCCCACTGAAGGTAACCTGGATGATACCATCCAACCTCCCACTCTCCCTCCATTCCATTCTACCCTAATCAATACCGAGATACGGCAGTTCAAACACAATGCATACCGATACCTTCCACCTCTACTCATACTTCTGCTCCTCATGCTGTCAACGGATCATAATTGCCGCTCACCTGAAGGGTATCCCTCTTGAATACTCCTACATTGATCTCGGCACCAAAGAGCACACAACGGACGAATACAAACAATCAAACCCCAGCGCCAGCGTGCCCACTTTGGTAGTGACAAGTGCCAACGGTGAAAAGACCATCATCCGCCAATCCATGACAATCTTGGAATACTTCGAGGAAAGGTTCCCAGACACATCTCCGCTTCTCCCTCGCGGGTTACAGGACCGAGTGCAGGTGCGCGACCTTGTGAATATCATTGCGATCGATACACAACCTACCACCAACTCCCGTATCGTACAGCGGGTGAAGGCTATTCGTGAGAGTAGCGAGGATCGGGATGAATTCGTCAAACAGGCCTTTACCGATGGATTCCAAGCCTACGAGAGCCTGTTGGTGAAACAGGCCGGGGAGGGGACTTACTCCTTTGGAGATACTGTTTCTATGGCGGATGTGGTACTGGTCCCCACGGTTGACCAAGCTTTGTTGTACCGGATTGATTTGGATTTCGTACCTAACCTCAGGCGCATTCATTCCGCTCTCAAGGAATTGGACGCTTTCAAGGCTGCGGATTGGCGGAATCAGGGGGATACACCGGAGAAATTTCGGGTTCAGGATGCTTGAGGCTTGTCTGGTTTAGGTCTGGCGGGAGTGACGCGAGGACAGGGATTAAAGCGACGGGGATTGAAGGAACTATTTCCGAGACTCGGACGCAATATATTTGATTGTAGTAATGCCATGCATGCGCATGGCGTTCTAAAACTAATGCATACTATTTTCGATACATTACTAAGTAGAAAGCACCGCAATACTCAGATTCGGCAGCTTGAAAGAGAACTCGCCCTTCTTGCCAGCCTTGATCTGGGTAGTCTTGCTGTTGACGATGTTCGATCCGCCCACCTTATTTACCGCATTTGCGTCAGGCGCAGTCAGGATGGTCAAGTCCGCCTTAGTGCCACGGCCAACACCCTCGAATGTCAGTGATACGGGCACATCGGATGTACTGTTGTATACTGCTGCCTTGAAGATGTGCGAGTCTGTCTTGCTGTTTAGACCTGTCGCATAGTACAGAGGACCGAAGGCGTCGGAGGAGGTAGATGGGAGGGTGTTTGTCATGAGGTTATGGTTGAACAGCTATATTCGTGTCTCATATCAGTGGAGTGCTCTCTCGAGGTCTGAAAATAGTACAACATACGGTATACAGGTGCCAGCTAGTGGAGCGAGCTGTCTGGTCAGGGTCTGCGTTGAAGGAGAGGATGGTCGGGGACCATTGGTAGCTGTCTAGGTTCATCAAGAAGGGAGCCTATTCCTTTATCAGTTCTTGTCTAGTAGGGTGTAAGTCGAGAGAACTCACGTAGGTAGTTCCAATAATTGCGTCTGCGTTACGCTCGGCACCAAGAAGGAACACGGCCTCGGCAACGGAGCCGATCCACCAAGGATACAGACCGAAATGGGTGTTGGACCAGTCGATGCCAACTCCGTTGTTGGGCTCAGTAACAGCAATCTCACCTTGAGATGTATTAGTTTATGATCTCGCAGATGCCTAGGTATATCAAGTGACTTACCAAGCAGGATAGGATGCTCAGACGTATAACTATCAAACATGTCGAACTTGCTGACGAAGTTATCCGGGACATCATACAAATGATAATCACCACCTGCTTTTCCAGGAATGGTCATATCGATAGTAGACGTAAGGACCTGAATATCGGGGTACTTGGCAGTGATAGCCTTGTTGAATGTCGCGAACCGGTATGACTTGTACGTTTCCAGCCCGTTGCTCAACATATCCTCGTTTCCAACCTCGACATATCGAATCTTCCAAGGCTCTGGGTGTCCAACCTTGGCGCGTAGAGCACCATACTTCGTGTCCACAGAGCCGGTCAAGAACTCGATCTCGTTGAGGGCGTCTTGCACATAGAAATCAAGGTCGGCCTCGGGGACAACCTCTCCATTCAGAGCAAGTCCAGCCCAAACCGCCAGGACTAGACAGGGCGTGTCAGCTAGGCAAAACAAAGCGTGGCAAAATTATGCACTTACTGGGCTCCATGCCAAGATCGTCGCACCACTCCATATACTCAACCAAGCCCAATCCAAGGGTCTCTTGGTATTGCCAGGTGGTTGCACGACCAGGTCGGTCTGTGAGTGGTCCAATGGTCTCGTTCCACTTCCAGCGGCCGTCGATGCTATCACCTTCGAGGTTGTTTCCACCAGGGAAGCGAAGGAATTTCTATCAAGTTTATTAGCATCATGGATCTTGGGGTTTTCGGGGCAATAGGTGAACTTCAACTTACAGGACCCATATCAGCCATGGCTTGCATCAAGTCTTTCCGCATGCCATTGGGGCGATCATTCCATGTGGGTGGGAATAAGCTGATCAGATTAAAATCAAGCGAGCCACTCGATGCTTTCTAAAAAGAATTAGCCAAGGTGTGTGGCAAGTTCCATGTCGAATCTTACCGAGCTATCGAAGGTGATCGAGAACGTATTGTTGGAATTGGCAGCTTTTGCTTTGGGAGTAAGAACAAACTCATGTTGCACCCAATTGTTTGCAACACTCTTTGAGGCAATCTTCGCAGTGGCCAAAGCTTTTCCGCTGGAAGAAAGGAGAGAGGCTGTGAAGGAGCCTTTGTAAGAACCTTTCACATAGAATGACCCGGTATACTTCTGGGGGCGGACATCAATTCCCCAGAAGCCCGCATTAGTCAAACCAGCTGTGCCAGTACCCTTGACATTGACTGAAGTTGGAAGGGCAGTTGACAGTGGGTCAGTCAGGTTCTTCAGAGACAGCGATGAGCCCCCAACACCAGACCATGCCTCCAGTGACGAAGGGAACTTCGTACTCCCCTGGAAAGCTCTGTTGCGGATTAATTCGGCATAGAGACCTCCTTCGCCACAGTGATTGATTTCCTAGACCATGAATTAGATCCAATCCTGCAATAGACAAGAAGCTCAACATACCTCTTCCATGGCACCATACTGCAGACCTGATGTGGCATTGCCTCCGGATTTCGCTACCGAAATAGTGACAGCGGCACCATATGACGCCAAAAGCGGCAGAATAAGATATTTGTGCAGCATTTTGCTGTTTAGTCCGCAGCTGGCTGGTTCAACTCGCCAATGCTATTCGGAATGCAGGGAGTATGAGTAAAAGGCGCGCTGTTGTGGATATTTATATGCAAGCAGCTCAATCAACCAGCGCGCCATGCCGGATAATTAGTCGCGCTCCTCATTGTGTTCCAATTGACCCGGATGGATCGAGGTGACGGCTGAGGGGTTAGACGATCATAACACGATCTCTTCCTTTGTGCAGGAAAATCTGCCGACAGCGACCGTAATACCGATACTTCTTTCCCAATTAGGCAAATCTCCATGAGGGGCTGGACGAGCATAGCTTGGTCTCTTCCTTTGCATAGGACCTTTGCATACGATCATCTGCCGACGGCGACCGCAATGGTGACACTTCATTCCCAATTAGGCAAATCTCCATGAGGGGCGCATGTACCAAGAGGGAATGGAGTCCCTCCAAGTAAACACTGTCTGAGGAAACATTGGCATAAGCAAGGCCGACCTATGTTGTAATGGTCTACTCCTTGCGTGAGGTCATGCAACACTGTAGCAGCATCTTGGCAGGAGAAACGCCGAGGCTTATACCTGCAAGCAATTTCCGGTTCTTCATGTTGATTTGATAATGGGTGCCGCACAAGAGACGCGTCTCACTTGGCTGCGGTTGAGGGGTAGTTGATCAACGCCGTGACTGGGGATGTTGAGTTGTGATTGACGGGTAAATCCACGCCCCTTTCTCCGATCCTCCACTCTCCCCCGGACCGTGCCTGGCTCACCCCGGTTTTTTATTGCTCTGTACAAGACCTTTAAATTAGTTCTTCAAGATCTAATTTTATATCACTATACGTTTAGCCAGTGGTACAATTAAATAGGGAGTAAAGTATCGAGAGCTAGAATAGCCGCTTATACTTTGCTTAAGAAAATTGCAATGAAATTAGTGGGTAATACCAAAAGGCAAGGGCATCACCCTCCTTGGAAGGGCTCTTAACTCAAAGTCTGGATCATGAGCACGAAACGATGTTACATCCGATTCACATCCCACATTTCTATCTTTGATTTTTCTTTGCATATTTAGCACGTCGGGATTTCTTATCCGTATCGTGCGTATACTTATCAGTCGCAAACGGATGGAAACAATTCTTCAATTTTATATGTCCTGGTCGAGAACGAAAGCCATTGGAGAAACGCGGTGATCAAACCACAATAAATAATTTGGATTAGTAGACTAGGAGAGACGGTGAATTTTAAATCGTAAATGCGATTCTTATCTTGAGTATGATCTGTGCCGATATTCAAATTAAGTGATCCGTGATGATCAAAGAAACAAGCACGCAAAGCTTTTGATAGTACGCAGGAAACTGATCAAAGACTGGACCCTTATTTTGATTCAATTTTCTTCTAAGCTCTTTGTAAATTAGAAAATCAACTAGAGTTCTTGCTCCGACCATGATTTAACGATTGCTCCTTAGATTGTTACAGAGGCCGCTTATACACCAGTGCAAACATAGTAACCAGCCCAGAGGTTGCTGCACTGGGCATCAACAGTGGGGTTCCACTTGCGGAACTGGCTGAGGGTAATGCCAGCATCCTGGTTGATTTGATAACAGCCCTCGCCATCACCAACCTTGTGGTACTTCTTACATTTCTGATCGAGGCTGGGCATCTGCAGCATGGGTCCATGGGTGCTAGAAGCATTAGGAACATGGAAACAGACGAAAAGAACGAGAACGAGGTTGGAGCACTCTGTATAACACGTCAGTCAGTTACATTGATGGAAAAAGTAGGCTATACGTACTATCATCGATAGCAGGGTTCCAGCTGCGGAATTGCTTGTCGGTGATCTGATTGTTGGTCTCAATGGTATCACACTGGTCCCCAGAGATAGCCTTATGGTATTTGTCGCAGTCTTGGCAGTTCCAGCTAGCGTGGGGTGGCCATCGTCGGTGGGCTTGGGGTCCGCAGGGACGGTCTCGGCGCCGAGAACGTGGGTGCAGACGTAGTAGTAGTCCAGCCAAAGGTTGGAACATTCTACTCACGATTAGTGGATTTTGTCAAAGTCAAACGGCCATGCAGTGAAAACATACTATCATTGATGTAAGGGTTCCACTTGGAGAACTGCGCTTGGCTGATGCTAGCATCTTTCTGGATTTTTTCACAGCTATCGCCATCAACAACCAAGTGAGATTTGTCACATTTATCGGCCAGACCAGGCTGGGTAGGCTCGTGGTCGTTGGCAGTAGTGGTGCTAGGAGGCTGGGTGGACCCCATAGAGGTAGAAGTAGAGATGGTCTTGTCCACCTTGGAAGTTGTGGTGGTCTTGCTAGGCTCATCTTCCTCGACGGTGCCGAGCACACAGTACTCCTTGCTGCCATCGAAGTTGCTGCAGTCAAGGCCTGGGTTCAGGGACTTAAGCTCATCTACTGAAACACCCCAATTGCCGGCGAAGCTATCATACGTGTCGCCTGCGGTAGCACCCGTGGAGAGGCTGCAGCTCACACTGCGACGGGAATGGGCATTGGCAACAGAGCGAGCAGCCAGCAGCTCCGGGAGGAGGGCCAAGATGAGGGCAGACTTGGTGTGCATTGTATAGTAGAAAAAAGAGAGTCTTTGTTGATTTGAAGCGAAGAGAGCTGATCTGAACCAAAACCAGTCTTAGTGCCTTCCCTTGTTTTCCTTTATATGCCTATTCGGAGACATTTCCCTATGTCGGTGACCCGAACAAGAGCCTCAACGACGTTCTAGTTTCCTTTCTTTGCTTTTGCTAGCACCAAGTCTCGCGAGTCCGCTAGATAATGTCTCAGTTGAGACCGCGGGTGTCAAGGAAAGTAGTGTCCGTTAGACTTCACTGGACACTTACTAGTATCAAGTTCCTATTGTGTGATAGGACAATAGAGGCGAGCAGGTATCTAGATGCATACCTCGATGGCAAGCAAGATTACACCGGAAGTAGTTCGCAATATTCTTATGGACCACTGCAAGATTTAGTCCACCGTCATGGACCTTTCTGCGTTCATTATATTAAAGACCGAATAGGGCTAGATCATGGCTGTTGAGGCTTGCCGATCCGCCGAAGTTGGGGGCGGAAGGCGGCGGGTCGGACCTTGGCAGTCATATCTGACCAATCAAAGCCCCGTGGGAGATTTAGATCAGTAAGGAGCCATGGATGCATGTCTCAGATTGTTTCGCACATGTTCGGGCAAGGTACAGCAAGGTCATGGTGGGTGCCCGAGCCAAACTTCAGGGTCACATCTACTAACAAAATATGCTGCACAAAAGCCAGGCAGCAGCAGCGATCGACCATGCCGCCTGACCTAGACTGCGAACGGCCCCATCGGTTTTGGGCGGGCAGCTCACAGCAGGAGTCGCAGCGGTGCATTCATGACTAATCAAACTCGAGGAGATGCTCGAGGCCGCTTCGGGCGCCACGCTAGCTTTGCAAGGACTGGGAGTGGGTGCGGGGCTTGCGAGAAGAGCACATTTCGGGGCCCCCTCGTCGCTTTGACCAGGGAAAGTTTCTGTGGGGATGGTGAGGGTCTGGATTACATCAAAGGCAAACGCCGGAGTTTTGCCACACTCCTCGTCGGTAGTGAGGGTAGTCAGGTTCGCCTGACGGCCCCCTTTTTTGGTGGTGAAGATGATACTCTGATAGACGTTGTAGTATCGTTCATGGAAACCGGCTACATCATTTCGTGTATGGGCATTGTCGTAGTCGGTGCCGTTGTCGGATGTGGAGCAGTTAGACCAGCTCATTGACCATCCGAATTCCCAGGTGTTTTCCGTGTTGAATTGATTGGCGATACCAAAGTGCACGAACTGTGTCTCTGTTTTGTTGTCGACTAGATCATCCGTAGAAAGTGGCTGTAGGGGTAAAAAGGTGGAATTCTTCCCCTTTCCCCGGTGTAACAAGCCCGCCCTATATGTCATAGAAGGGTTTATCTGCTGAAAGGCCGGATTGTTCTTAACAGCGAAGACGATAGGCATGAGTTGCATGGGCTCAAACGTGTCGTTACGCGGAAACACGAGGTCGATTTCCGCGAGGCCCAACCCTGTCGCATTCACGGTCGCCAAGTTGACCACCAGGCTGAGTGCCAGCAGGCACGCCTTGAAACTGAACATGTTGAGCTGGTGGGGCAAGATCATAGGGAGGATCAATGCTGATAGCAAAGGGGCCAAAACAAAAGATTACCGAATGAAGTAAGGTAAGAAAGATGGCGAGTTGGGAGAATGAAAGAGCAATGAAGATTTTAAAAAATATCAAGGATCAAGGGCGTGGCTAAATAACCAATAGCGCCGGGAAGCGACATTGCTCCAGTAAGTGGGCACCCAAAAAAAAACAAAAAAAAACAAGACAAAAGCAGGGTCTAGCGGTCTCTTCGGGGCGGATCCAACACGGAGATCAGCCTAGGGGCTTAGCGGCTTTATCAACTACCCGCTAGTAGTAGTCAACACTTGGCAAAGTGATCTGATGAGAGCCTTCCAAACGACCCGGATGAGGAAGGTCCACCTGAAACACTCGGCCCCTCAAGCAGAGATTCATATTTCGTATTCACTAGCATTACCGGAGCACGGTGTGCGATCCGTGATAGTCTACTCTCGGTTGGATTCGGGCCGTAGCAGACAGGATACATTTATATTGCTGCTGTTGGGCCGTCTCTGTAGTTTGATTGTGGTCTTACGCTCTCTAACCGTCCTCGAGACTACTGGCCTCACAGTCCTCTCGAACCAGTCATTCTTTTGCAAATTTATAAACTTTTCTTTTTCAATTCGGATACACTCTTTGGATTTCCTTTTCGTTTGACAAGCCATAAATATGGCTCCTTTCTGGAGCGGCGCAGCGGTCAGCCTGCTGGTGTCCGCCGGAATTGTCTCTGGACCGACACCATCCAGGCTGGGCGCTAGTCCCGGCTATCAAGGATTCAACGCGGTCTGTCCTGAGCGATGTGTGGTCTCAGGACCCAATCCCTCCAAGTGGTCGGATTATCATAGCATGGACCAGCTTGCTAGTTGCAAGCAAAGTATACTCTACGCCTTCAACCTTTACGACAACGTGGATGATGCCGAGTCTCATCACCTCATCTTCGCCTGCACTTCCTATGGCGATGATCGGACCGACGAGGTGAAGGTCAAGGCTGCTTCATTGCATGCTGCAAAGGAGCACCCGGTCAACTACGAAATTGGCTGGAGGTCTTCTTCCTTAGAGGGCACCGAGTCCAACCACCGCTCTTTGGTCAGACAAATGCGCGACTATGTCGCCAACGGACACGCTTCACTTAGCAAGACCACCATGCTCTATACTGAGTTTGGCGGTGTTATAGCTAGTCTCTACATTAGCAATGGTCTGTAAAGCTAAGGTATTAGTTATGTTGCTCTTGAAGAACTTTAGGATGACTCGTATGGTTTTGATGGACGTCGCGACTCTCTGGCCATGTAGCTATGTGGTCCTGACTCTGACTCTCAGCATGTTTTTGGCTTCATGGCTTTGAGCAATGGGACCTTTAGAGCGATTCAAACCGCCTTAGAGTCTTGGTCTAATGCTGAGTGTCTTAAGTTTGGCCATGCCATCAACTTCACCGCCACTGCCCAATTCACGGCACCTCAGCTATCTTCCATCAAGGCTAGAAATGCCACTGCCTCTATATCCTCAATCGCCGCAGTCAAGTCTCGCGCTCTTAAGCGCTGGGTCAAGAGCATTCTATCCGATCGTGCTGAGTGCCGAACCGAGAAGGTTCAAGAAAACGATTCATGTGCTGTATTGGCCACAAGGTGCAGCATATCAGGTGCCGATTTCACCAAGTATAATTCCGACAAAGGATTCTGTTCTAAAGTGCAGCCTAGATAGCATGTCTGTTGCTCCTCTGGTACCATGCCCGATTTCCGTCCGAAACAAAACGATGATAGGTCTTATATTATAGCTACTATCGTCGAAGGCGAGAGCTATTCCACTATTAGCGCCGCTAATATTTTGACTAACGACGAAATCAGCTCATTTAATAAGAATACCTAGGGCTAGACTAGATGTAAGAATATATTTAAAGATATAGTCATCTATATCAGTAAGGGTACACCACCTATACCGGCCGAAGTTGCCGAAGTTGCCGATGCTAAGTTGTTGTTGTTGTTGTAGTAGTATTTAACGACCATCGAGACATGGGCGGAGCACGACCTCCCATGGGGTATGGGGACGTGCTAAGCTATGGTCCATGTGCGGTCCGCTGGCCATCATGGCAAACATCTGCAGAGTGAGACCCGATATGATGTGCGCCCTTGCTAGTAGACCACACAAAACTCGAGTCATTTTTTCGCTGTTGGCTATTGAGCTTTATCTGTTTCCGTCGAGACCGTGCACCAAGATTAGAGGAAGGTATTGTCGGAAATTGCCTGGGGTGATTGATACTATGTGTCCAGAAACATGAAACTCTTCTTGGAGAACCTAGGACATTCTTATATTTATTACATATGTATTGTTGGAAGAGGGTTGTTTTAGCGATGACAAACGCCAAGATGGAGCCCGGCTGGTCGCAGGGCTGAGTAGACTGCGCCTCGACCAGATCAGGTGGAGGATGGAAGAACACGAACGGTACGATATGCGCAGTCAGATATCCAACAGGACATCAATGCTGTCTTGTCCAATGATTCTTAGAAGACAGTCCCCTTGACCTGGGCGGTCTTCTTGAGATCAATATCTCGGATCAAGATGGTCCAGGCAATGGCCAGAGCCATGACACCCAAACCAGCCGAAAGCATACGGACTTCAGCATACCCATAAGCTTTCTGAATGGCCAGTCGTACCTCGCTCCCCATTGGATAGCTAGTCTGCCAAGTGATATCTTCGTAAATGTTCTCAAAGTTTGACATGGCTGATTCTGGGAGGTATTCCGCAAGAGCCTTGGGAAAGGTATTGGTCCAGATAGCTGTGCAAATAGTATAACCGGCGGAGTCGCCGATAGTACCAACGACGTTCAACAAAGCCAATGCAGCAGCAACGTGTTGGTGATCGACAGCGGCCAAAATGGCAATCTGCTCAACGATAATAAAGATCGAACCGCCGATCGAAATGAAAATCTGGCACATGATCTGGTATCCGACGCCCATACCAGGCTTACGGAAGTAGATCATCAATCCCTGAGCAAAGATATAAAGCGGAACAGAGATGTATAACAGCCACTTGAAACGACCGGTCTTTCGGATAGCCCAGCCAACGAAGAGAAGTAAAACACCTGACACGACATCGAATGTGTTGCTCACATATCCAGCCTCAGCAATTGTCAAGCCGTTAACCACCTGTAGGAATGAGGTGTAGTAATTGTTCCAGCAGTAGTAAGATAGCTGATAGGTAGCATCCAAAAGACAGGCACCAATAACGGTTCGGTCGGTGAGGAAGACAATATTGAGTAAAGGCGCCGGAGCCACCCACTTTTCGTATATAGCGAAGAGAAAGAGCATCGAGAATCCGACGACAAGCATGGCGATGATATAACCCGTGCCCCAGCCCTTGGGCGCTTCGCTCGCGATATCGAAAGGAAGTTCGAAAAGGACCAGTCCAGCGGTAAACAGAAAAACGCCGGGCACTATTCGAGATTAGTCTTTGTTTGAAGAACGAGAACCAAATGGTTTGAAGTTGGAAAGTCGTGCTGATAGTGTACAACTGACGTGACATATGTAGGACCAAGATAATAGAGAAAGGCGATACTCACAATCAAACTGCATAGTCCAATACCAGACACTTTGCAAAAATGTGCGACCACTCTTTTCCTGGATCCGATGACCTTCTCTTTCCGCTTTGCGAAGATTGGTCTTGAGCATGAAGTACAAAGGCGCCGCCACGATAGGGAAGATAATAGCCCAACAGCCCAAGCCCCATCGCCAGCTGACCTGATAGTAGAACTCATCTGCTACTTTCGCTCCGGCAAATGCGGTAATGATGTATGGTGAAGAGGTAAATGCAAATGCCAGTCCTCGGTTCTTCAATTTGGAGGCATCGGCCGTCATCACATCAATGGCATATTCCATACCACTGAATCCGATATTATAAAAGACCTAATCGAGATGTCAGAATTTTCAAAGCAAGATTGCTGGGGTGTTACGATGAGCACCGATGGTGGTCTTACGTATGCAGTGCAGTAGATGGCAAAGCTGTTGCAAGAGGCCAACAGAATCAATCCCAAGGTAGCGAAGCATGTCATCAGCAGGAATCCCTCCGCACGGCCCCAGGTGTCCATCATCTTTCCGACAGGGATATAAATTGCTGCTGCGAAAGCATCGGCAAGTGCAGTAGGCACACCGGACAGCGAGTGAGCCGTGAAAGAACTGGAGACATAGGGGCTCAAGCTGGAGAAAACCGAGGACTGGAAGGCGTTGACGAAGTATAGGAACCAGATACTATAATCAACTGTTTTAGCAATTGTTCAAGCCAATCACGGGTAAAAGGCTTACTTGATAAAAACCAGAATCAAGGTTCGCTTAGACCAGGTCATGGTGATGGCCTCGATATCCCTGACACCATGCTGGAGGTCTTCCGCCGGCACTTCCGGCTGTTGAACTTCACTATCGGATGCAGGATCTCTCTTGCTTTCCTCGACGGTTGTTCCACCCACTGCAGATGTTTCAACTGAGCTTCCAGCGTCAGGAGCCGCCATGCGGCTGAAGACTGTTCGGGCCCTTCGGACCAAAAGATGGACACCCATGTTCAAGACGAGGTAAAATCAAACAAGCGCTCAGTGCAGGCTCGGAAATAATGGGACCCCCATGGCACTTATAGTATACAAACTCCCGAGATCGGCACAGGTCGGATAGGAGACCAAAAAAGTCTTAAAAGACCACGCGGTGTTGTGATCCACATACCAAAATCGGGGGCTTTTCGCGGTCTCTAGCGGGGATTTTGTGAAATTATTGCATCCACTCATCATCAATGCCAGGGCTGCTAGCCTGGCGCTTGACCCACCGAGAAATATCAGCGAAAAGGTCAGATCTAATCAGATGTCGCCCTCATCTTATCTAGCGAGCACTAAGCCATAACAGGTAAGCGCCATCCACACTAAGCTTTGCAGCTTTGGTTTCAAGCTTCGCTTGGCCTCTTGGCTTCCAGAATTCTATATTAACTGTGGGTACTTCCTCGTCTTTCCGGTCATAAATCATGGAACTACCTCAATTGTCTCGCTTGTCGCGCAAGAAATCCAGATACTCGGATCGATTCCGGGAAAATTCTCTTGTTATATGATTTGGGCCGGACCCCGGGTATAATCAACCGAGATATTCGTCTGGTCAACCGGTGTTGTTTTGAGCTTGTTCTGAAGCTTGCTTGATTTCTAGAAGTGATAGTCGAGATTTAACTGTCATTGCTGCTTGTTGGTTCACCTTATGAACTAAGGAAATCTCTATCAATCAGAATTGAGATTCGCGCAAATCAAGGTTGATTCGGGTGCTCTACATGCCAACCCAATATAGCAAAGCGGGCGGTGCAGCCCTCGTTTAGGCAATAATTTCGGACCAGCTAACCACTTAAATCGTTTCGTCCGAGGGCTCGCGGGTGGAGATGCGGTCATGGCGAAATGTTCCGCAACGGGTCCAGATTACTCTATTGATTGTACTAATTCTTACTGATGGGCAATGATTTCTTTTGCCGTCAGTATTTGGAGACAATAAGTATGGTTATGGTGTGGGATACGCATGACTCAAGACCACCAAGTCACTAGACGTAAAAGCAACTCCTTGAAGGGCACTGTCAAAGATTGCTCGAAGGATTTTCTTCTTACCAATTGGAAGCATATTTCAATGACTAAATATATAGCTTGCTTCTTATTCGCATTCTTATCTTCAACTATATACAAAGTGAGGTTTAATTTGGACCAAAGTGAGAACGTCGCATGGAGAAAACCCCCAGCTTGGACCGATTTCCGCCCTCAAACAGATGATTGGGAGGGTTGTTGGAATGGTCCCGTCAAAGGATCTTTTTCGGCTGTCTGGCCATCAACTAGAGTGGCTGCACCATTCGAAACCTGTCTTTCTATGGTCAGACCTTCCACTGCTTCCTGGATTTCGCGAAGCAAGGGGTCACTTTTTGCCGGTCGCGAAACCCAGCGACCCAATACTTGGACTTTGGGATACCGGGCCCTCCGGTCTCTCATCATGTGCGCACGGCGGAAGTAAGTCCAATGCTTTATCATGAAGGAATTGAGTGTTCTTGTACAACCATGTCAGTACCTCATGTCCATAATTCCAATGCAGTAACGAGAAACTCACTTGGGGTTCATCAATTCCTCCAATTCTGTGCGATACATCTGGGTAACCCAGTGATCTGAACCATGCAATTGACTACTGATCCGAATACACTCTGTCTGCATGACAATGGCCTGTTTGTATTGACCCTGATACTCCCATGCCCTAGCTAGCAACATCATTGTCGAGATTGTTTCAGGATGTTCAGGCCCATATATGCGCTTAAGGATCTCAATTGCTTCTGTTATCAGCGCTTCGGCCTCTTTTAGCCGCCATTGCTCCATGTACATCCGAGCCATTCCGACTATAATCCCGACCGTTCGAGGATGGTCTGCCCCAAATACCTTTTTGTTGATATCCAATGATTGTAAAGATAATTCCGTCGCATCCGAGAACTGTCCATAGAAGATATAGGCCATGACCAGGATAAAGATCGCATCCATTGTCTCATCAGAGACTAGACCAAGGGCTTTGAGGAAGTGTGGGATGGCTTTCCTGCAAAGCTCTTGAGCTTTGTAATGATCACCATTCTCGCGGTATACGCACGATAAGCGGAGAATAGCACGAGTAGCTTCGAGGCTCTCAGAACCATGAAGCTTTGTCTTCTTTTCTAGTATCTCCTCGCATAGTTTGATCGCTTTCGCTGACTTGCCTTGAAGCGAGTAGCTACCAACCAGTCCGCTACCAACAGCTAGTGTAAATGGATTTTCAGGGCCATGAAGTGTCTCTGAAATTTCGAGAGCTTCACTGAAAAGCTTCTCACCTTCTCTGTATCTTCCGTCCTTGATGAGACATATGGCTACCGCGTTTAAAACATGGGCTCTGGCAGGAAGCTGATTTTCGCTCGCCGTGAGACTGAGTATCTGGAGAGCATGAGGTATTGCTGCTCGCCATTGACTCCGATTCGATTGGTCAACCAGGGGGAAGTGCGCAGCTAACCAATTCAATACATACAATTGCCACGCCCGCAGTGAGCCGATTGACTGTAGCCAGTTTCTTGTTGCAAGATGAACCAAACGATGCATATCGAGGCGAGATCCTTCATGCCTCACGCGTACGAAGGAATAAGAGCTGAGGACACCAATCGCTTTTTGCTGTTCGACGTTTGATGCTGGAGGAAAGAACGAGATCAAGATATCCTTCTCTTTAAGGCAGGCCATGAAGCAGAGATAGTCAGCAGCCAAGGGATTCTGCCTTTGAATTTGCTCAAAGGATGTAAGCCATGTAGTCGCAACAGGATTGCGAATGCTTTTGTATCGACCTTTGTCATCAAAATCTTCGCTCAACAGGTCGATGGCACTCTGCTCTTGCCCGTCCAAAAGCTCAACGTATTTTGTGAGGGTCATTCTGTTTTCGTTGATGAATGAAGCAGCCTGAACAATGGCCAAAGGGAGAAACGTTAACCGGCTGAGGAGCTTTTGGGTACTGTTGATGTCCTGCAGCAGGTTCTTTTCGACCAAAGAGTTTCGTAAAACGTCGGTCGCCTTGTGCTCATCCATCTCAGGAATCTCAATGATATCTGTATCTGCGAGGTACTGCGCGACTCTATTGCTTCTAGTCGTGAAGACAATGGCACCTTGGTTACTCGCAGGAAGGTATTCCTTGAGTCTGCCTGTTGTGAAATCTTTGCTTTCGATCCACATATTGATCTCATCAGCATTGTCAAAAATCAGCAGCCATCTTCCGGCACTTGGTTTGCTGAGGTGACTTTTCACCAGACTTTTCACATCCTCATTGGGGTCAGCAAGGACAATTCCAAGTTGATCCGCCACCGTCTGGTAAGCATGCTGAAGGCTTTCCATATCAACGGCAGGGATCCAGAAGATGGCACAATCTGGATACAACTCTCTTGTTTGATATGCAAGCTCCAAAGAAATCTGAGTCTTGCCAACTCCTCCAAGACCAAATATGGCAATCCTCTCCCATTTGTTGTTAATAAACAATCTTCTTTTTACTTTTCCCACCACCTCCCGGTCAACATATCGGGAGTTTCTCTCGAAAGGAACAACCCAGGATGGGACCCTGGTTGGAGCATGGTTGCTTAATGGATGTATTGTTTGCAAGATTCGATTGCGAACAACTCGAGATTGAAACTCCTGTCTACTGGTCAGTATCGGGTTGACGGAAGGTCTTGCTCAATAGGGGGCTCCTTGAGGCCTTACCCGCATGGTTGTTTCAAAGTCAACATCAGTCTTTCCTATAAGTTGTTAGTGTCGTCATTGACATGATGTACATATTATTCGAAATCAAGAATTACCCTCTTTGCCTGAAAGTTTCAGGATGCAATCACGGACCCAAGCTTTCTGGGAGGATTGATGCAGATAGGCATATGTCGCAGACTCAATGACGCTCTGCTTCTCAAACTCCGTCATGTGAACTTGCTGCAGTCCCTGCTCAACATTGAACCGAAAGTAACGTTTTTCCTTTACCTCATTGCTCCATCGAGCCATAAAGCGACGCTCGGTGCTCTCGGGTTTAGTTGCCATTCTGACCAATGTCTTTGAGAGAAACTTGAGCACATTGTCATCAATAGAGACTTGGGCAGGGTTTCCTGTGCCAATCGAAAGGAAACATTTTACCAATGGCTTCAGGTCTCGGCTTGTGGTACACCAAATATCAGCCGCTTCTTCCTCTACTTCTTCAATGGGATTGTTGGCGCCGAATGCACCATCAACAAATTGGCGATTTCCGATCGACACCGGGTCAAAATATCTTGTTGCAGCGGATGTTGCCAAGCCTGCTTCGCAAATGGTCGCCGGTAACGTGTTCTCATTCGGTACAGAATAGCTTCGAAGTCGTGTGACTTGTAATGTGTCTTTGGAGGTTGTGCAGACAAAAACTTTGGAGCGACGGGGCTTTCCATCATCCATCAGGTCGGCTGGAGATAGACCAACACGCCTAATGACATTTTCAATCGCTCTTTTGAGTTTCTTGCTGTCGTACTGTGACTTGATATTCCCAGACCAGTCAACTGGAACATTGTTCATTTTCTCGCTGAAGACCGATTCCATCAATTCAGTGTATGCAAGGATGCACTCGTCGATACCCATTTCCAGCCGTCCTAGCATTATAGCAATGAGTCTAAATATGTGTCATATGTCAGCCCAGCTTTTATTAATCTCTTCATAATACACACCCTCCTGTACTTGTACCTCCGATCAGGTCGAAGACATCACAAGGCTTTAGCAGTTGACCACCCTCACGCTCGGAGTTGAGTTGTGTCATAACATCCTTTAATATTAAGAGGCTTGACAGCCCTCTCACACCACCGCCATCCAGGGATAGGAGGCATAGTCCATTGGCGTTTAGTGGACTTGGTCCGATCGTGCTTTTCGTAGCCATAGGAATACTCATATATGTTAGGTTTTTTTCTTGATATAGAGGGAGAAAAATAAGGGTGAAATTAATGACCATTTAAACAGACTTTTCTGTTAAGGCCTTGTAGTTGCCAACATGGTGATGCGTAGAGCAAGGCGCTTAGCTACCTAGGTACAGGCTAGAGATTACCTGGCTGCCAATCACTAGTGAAGCTAGCTTTTCTAGTACCGTCTCCGAGCGATGCGCCTCGATTTCTATAAATAATTTGTTTCAAAATTATTCGAAGAATATAAGCAAGCAATTTATTTTGTCAAGCTCGATCTCTGATAGGAATTTAGTAAAGCTAAGATCTGCAGGGGCGTTAATGAAGAACATGTTCAGGGCCTGTACGAGCAAAAATGAGATGAAAACTCTCCCTTAGATCTGGTGTAACACTGATAAAGCTGATATTATTTTATCAGACGATTTTATTAGACTCGATTTTGCATTCATTTGACACACATAGATATATGTAATAAGCAAGACATGGGAATCTTTGCAAGCCAATACGAATCAAATTAACTCATGATTGCAATGAACAATGCTGAAGCTAGTTTGAGCCTGCCAAATAAATGTACCTTTTAGGGAAAAAAAAAAAGGCGTGAATAAACAGAGACAAAAAATTATCGTAATTCGAAGAGTGCAAGTCTGTCCCAGAACGTTGCGGCACGTATCGAGAAATCTAACGCCAGCAAGAAGAAAGGTATCGTCGATGTCATTGATCGTAGGGCTTAGCAGCACATCTCGCAGCAATCAACGCAACATTCACAACCCTCTTCGCACAAGAAGCAACAACACATCACGGCCAGACTGAAAGGAAAAAGCTCACATTAGCGTTTTTCCGACTTTCCATGACAACATGGATACTTACCAACTCATGAGACATCCCTTCTCAGATTTCTGCTCTTGTGGTGGTGGTGCAGTTTGTTGGGGTGCTTGTGGAGGGTAGTACCCCTATGAAACGGTTAGTATGGTATGTATATTGCGAGTGTTATCGATATCAAGACTAACCTGCTGCTGCGGGGGGTAGCCCTGCGGAGGATAGCCCTGCGGTGCGTAGCCCTGTTGAGGGGGGTAACCTTCCTGTGGGTATCCACCACCGTAACTGCATTTGAAGATTGATCAGAACCATGTTCGAAAGAGCAAGCAAGATTTGAGTTCGCTGTGGACCAGGCATCGATTTCCCGCGGTCGGAAAGCGCACATAAGCACATCTTGGGAAACTCGATATGATACAGTTGCCGCCGATCTCACGGGCAAAGGTGATCAGGATATGACTTACGCCGGTTGGGGATATCCGTGTTGTGGAGGCTGCTGCGCATAGGACATGGCGACGGGAGATAATCGTCTAAAATCGAGCCAGAACGAATTAGCGACTTGATAACAACCAACAGTATAGGGCCTTGCGGCGCCTTGATGTGATGAGACTAGGGTCAACAGTGGAGGAATGACCGCCACAACGGTTAAACCCACGTACCTGGGACAAGGCAAAGACGGAGATTGGTGGAAAGGGGGAGGCTGTGATGAGCCACCGGGATAAGCGAGTGAAGTGATGGAAAAGAGAAAAAGGAGGTGAGGTTGGTGAAGATGGGAGGTTAAGAGTGTCAGAAGGAAGGAGAAAAAGTTAGGTAACTCACTTTCTGGACGTTGTATTGCAGGTGAGAAGGAAATTATTGGGGTACTTGAGAGGTACTTTGCCGGTGCGCCCGATAGGAGAGTTTGTCTGCCAAGAATTCAGGGCTGAGGTACCTCCGAAGTACCTTTTCGTCTTTCCCCCTTTCTCCTCCTTCTCCACACCGGCCGAGTTTGTTAGTGAACATTGATTCTGGGCTTTTTTTACTTCTATTTTGGGGTATGAGTGATTATTTGCAAGCCAATACATTCATTTCATACTAACAAACCCTAGGAACAATTACATCTCAGTACCTCATAGTGGATGCTAGGAAAGAATGTAGGTACCCATCGAGTACTTAGGCCACAGTATGACCTACAAAGTTCTGTCAGCCACAGTTTGCCAGCCCTATCGCCGACTAACGCAGTCAGCCACAAATTGCATTCCTTGGGTGGCATTCCATTGGTTGGAGAGCCAGCCACCGGGTCACACTGGCCCCCACTTCCGGAGGTGGTCAGCCACTCACAGCATTGGTTCGCTGCCCAGGCCTCTTGGCAGTTGACCGCCTGTATTGTTGCTGCCTGGACAGTACCTGGTACATGGGCCCTCATACCATGGAACACTCTGATGCTTGTACCAACTACTCAGCTACAAGGCTGAATTCCGAACTTGAATGTCTCGGGTTTTTCTCATTGTAACATTGTGGCACGTTTCAAGTTCCATTATTATCGAAAGATTAGTTCGAGCTTCAAGCTTCTCATCACTGTCAGTACGCCCTAGTTCGTGAGTACTGGTCTCCACCGAACGCCATTATCTCACTCCCAAAATATATCCATGTCCAAAAGAAGATCCAATCCCCACATGGCACTAACCCCGGAAACTGACCATTACCCACATCCCAAAGTACAATACACGAACCCGATCAAACGGTGTTCTGGACAAACAGTCGCAAAAGAACACACAAAGAAGAGACAAAAGATGGAAACAGACTACGAGCGCTCACTTGACATACGAGTCAATATCAGGCATGCATGATGACTGTGAACCGGAGAATGGGGAACCCATCGACTCCTCAATGTCGAGGTCGAGATCAAGGTCCAGCTCAAAATCGAACTCAAACGGCGCATCAGGAAAATCGGGGAATTGGTCAGACTCCTTCAGCAGAGCTGACTGCACAACATAGGAAGGCTGACCGTCAACCAAGCGACAGGCAGCAACAGCAAGCTGATATCCAGGGTCCCTAGTCGAAACACGACTAGGATTCCGAATCAGAAGCCTCGAGTTGGAGCCACCGCCAGCCGCCTCATCGGTGACTTCCTCAGCGGCAATCATCCAATGTTTCAAGACATCCATGCCAGGCTGATTACCTCCCCCCTTCCCACCGCGCTTTTCACTATCTTTCCCACGCCCGCCACGGCCCCGCTCACAGGGATTGAAATGCGTACGGCGCAGATGCGCAGCAGCATTATAATTGGCGCCGTAGCGCTTCCCATTGCGACAAGCCTTGCAGTTCGCAAGGAAGTACTTGCCAGGCGAGATATCGTTGCAGACCCAGACTGTGCGGACGGAAGCGTGCACGCGCTCGATATGGCGGCGGAGCTCGTGCTCGCCGTGGAAGCCGTCTGGATGGTCCGTGCAGATGCGACAGTATGTCTTTGGTCGCGGGGGTCGCCGCACTGAAGCCTTTGGGATGGCGGCGACTTCCTTTGTTGTGCCGTCTGCTGAGGAGATGCGGAGCATCGTGTGGTTGTCGAGCTGGGACATGCTGCTTTCGATGGACTCGACTTTTGGGGCAATAGGGCGCGCAGCCTGTGCGATTTGCTCTTTGGTGCGGCGCGCGGCACGAGAGCGCTGTGTTGCCGGGTTATTGCTGTCGATGGAGTCGAAGGGTTTCATCTCCACTGAATCATAGTGGAGGTTACTGCGGGGCATTGGGTAGCGGAAGGAGGTGGTTGGGGGAGCGGATGCTGAGAATGACGGGTTGGAGAAGGGCGATTGGTGGGAGAATGGGGAAGACGATGTGGGATCTAGGTCAGGGTACACGGGGGGAGAAGAGGGTCTTGATACAGTAGGCCGGAGGTGGATGTTGGCACCCACTCTGGCGGGACGGAGCTGGTCGGTTCTTGATAGTGGGACGGTCCAGTTGAGTCGAAGCGGAACATGTTGATTCCGCCGATCAAGGAGTCGGTGGTCGTGCTACGGGACATCTCCGGCGCAGCTACTGGGGCCTGTTCGGTCCAGGGGGACGTCCGTTCAGGGTATTGCGGGAAGGATGGTCCAGTTTCTCCGTGATTTGCGAGTCCGAAAGTCAAAGCCGAGTCAAATGGTTGACTAGGAGAGGCGTCCAAATACTTCGCGTACTCGGACGGCGAAAATTCGTCGACATGGTCGAGGCGACGATGGGTCCGTACCGGGCCGAAGGATTGGCGTTCACCTATGGCGGCATTGGCTGGGTGGTGCTGGTGGGAGACCGGTACTTGCTGGCTCTGGGAGCGCACCATGGCCGTGTGTCGGTAGGAGCCTTGTCCCGAGAAGGCAGCGCCGTTCCGAGGTAGGTCGGGAGAGGAGGCGTGGGATAGGTCGCGGGTCAGGTCGACTGAGAGATCCGGGGTCTGCCAATTGTCAATCCAAGGACGAATGGCGGTTGAGATTAGGAGACGAGAGCGCAGGAGGGGCGGAGCAGAGTAGGCTGGAGCAAGTAACCAAGGTCACACATACGGTGGCTCTCCGTTTTGCCCGAGGAAGACCCGAATCAGAATATGGCAACGTCCGTGGTGTCGCATCCTGTCGAGTCCGTTTCCCCAGGCTCCCAGCGGGCTGCCAGTTGGTATCCCGGTCATTGGAGGCCGGGATGAACTGACTTAGCCGTTCAATCCAGAGCTGATTTCGTTCAGATTCCGAGAGGTGGGAGTGTTGGACCAAAAAAGCTTTGTGATATCCGGAGATGGCACTAGTGAACAGGTCGTCATCCAGATTGACAGTCATGGCGATTGGTTCCTCGTCACAATGGCCGGGGAAGTAACTGTCTATCAGTAATAAAATGGATGGAGAAAGGTGGGTTGTATTTCTGCGAATAGTCAGCGCATGCTTTGTGAGAATAGGTGAGAAAGACGTACGTAGATTTGGAGCGCAATAGTAAAATGGAGATTAAATCGAAGCTGATAGCAGGTGGAATAGGAGATCTTATCAATGCAATCAGGATGAGGAAGATCTGCGTTGAGATAGATTTACTTTGTATGGTAAAATCGGGGAAGAAAACGATTAGACAATAATATCACAAGTTGGGAGAAGAAGTAGATGCAGATTGGGCAGACGAGTAGATAAAAGAAAAGAAGACAAAAGTTCAAATCGACGATCAAGGACGCTCCCCACAAAGTGAGATACGAGTATTGGCACTTAGCAGAGACTACTATAGTTACTCCAAGAAACATGGAACAAACGTGGAAGTCGATCATCGGTCTGGACCCTTAGATGTTCGGGTAGTCATGTATTTCTCTTTTCGCTATTTTCTCTCCTATTTCTCTAATAATGTGGTTTCAAAGTTTATCCGGGTTGAGGTCAGCCATCAGTAAGCCATCTCCCCAAAGGCATACACCCGGGTGACAGAGCCGACTACTCCTAGAACGGAGAGCCAGTTGGCTGAGAAGCTGCAGACGGCCGAGAAAAAAAATAACTAAAAGTGAGGCAGCGAACCGGATCACCCCGAGCGTGACCCGAACCAGCAGATGTGTCCTTGCTTACGAAAAGGTGACCTGATACATGTAGACCCTGGGGTACATGGCACAATACATAAACAAGTCACTTTTCCCTCAAGTAGCAAGCGCCTACAGCGGGAGCCCGAAAGAAACCACAAAACCAGCCCATTTTTCCGTCTAGCACAGCCATACCCCCGAGACCCCCCTAGGATCCATTTACTCCATACTACGGTCGGACCAAGATCGCTCGGGCGCGTCGACGACTGCCACGTCGTCTGGTGTGGCAGCTGGGGCATCCTGCATACGGTGTTTGGCTCCCTAGTTCAGCGCCCAATGCCCGACCAGAGATGAATGGCAAACAATAATAGCACACTCATTAATGAGGTAATATAGAAATCCCCGAGGAAATAGAGTGGTTGTACAAGAACGGTTTGATTCACGTGTTACCGTGGGTCACTCCCGCAGCAGTCCCACGGTTCCCCTTTATGCTTGTGGCTGGTTGAGGATGGCCCCCTATAAAACAGTTCGCTCTTGTTTGTTAGGGGTTCCAAGGCCTGGAGTTATTTTCGGCTTACCCCTGGCCAATAATGGTCTCTTTCAACTCCTGACGGTCTGCGACGCACTAGTGATGGATCATCCCATCCACGTGACGGCCTGTACGGAGACTAGTTTGGATAAACGGGGATTACTGGTGCGATACTAGTACGGAGGCTCCACGGTCTTGAGTGGATCCGTCTCCTGATCGAATAATGGTTGGACATTTATTGCTCCATTATGATGATGATCCTGGGCGTTGGCGACTACTGACAGTAAATTCCTGAGAAGTGAGCGGCAATCTCGGGCTCATAAGAAAGAGACAAAGTACGGAGTACTCTACAACATATACCTAAACTACGTTGTAAGTCAGGGTGATCAATCACGTCAATCTTTGTTTCATAATAGACTTTCATGAGTGAACACATCATGGCCTACGAAGTACATTGTACGGGGTAGTCAATGGGGATCGCCGGGCTAGGAATTCTTGCATCTAACAGGGAACTCCTTCACTATGGTTGTCAATTTCGATGTACGATGTATCATTCTTCCCGTTCCGAGACAAGCGGGATAACACCCGTCGAATGGGCGAATTTTGGTTTGATGATCTATCGCTCGCAGGGTGGCCTAGGAGTCCTCCCAACATTCCACACGGATTTCGCTCTCGCCGTCAACTAGATTCTTGTCCCCTGGCATGTTTCGACAGACTTCATCATTGACGGGGAAAACAGATAAACAGGGTACGGGGTCCTTGCGTGTTGATTAACTGCACCATCCATGTCAAAAGCTCGTCTGGGTCTTCGGGCGTTACATGGTCGAGACGTTGATAAGTCTGCCCCTGCATTAATTCTCAGAGCTTCTGAGCTGATGCCTGCAGTTAGAGGTTGTCTTGGGTAGGATAGGTCACACGTGAGACCAGCAACCCATTGAAGATGAGCCACTTTAAGCCACCTTGGGTGATAGGCTGTAAATTCCTAGGGCGTGTGCACGGGCAGAAGTCATTCTAATGCATGGCACTGAAATGGGAAACCTATATTGATTTAATACAAGTATGCTCCTTATGCCTAAACCTCAGCTGATGGCATTGACTCCCCGAGCTCACAGACATATTGGGCTCGGGTCACAACGGCTTGAGAATCTGTACCTTCCAAGCCCGTTCGTATACTTCGGCAATACCTCGCAACCAAACTCCTGTCCTCCCCGCCGTTTAAATGCATAAATATGCAGCCTGCGTCCATATGTCGATCGCGTGACATAGGACAGCTCGGTCAATTTGCCGACAGGCGATAGAAGAAAGTGAGCTGGCCCCAACGGTAATAGATCCCAGACGCCGAGTCAGTTAAGCTGCAGTGTTTAATGACTCGGGGAAAGCACTTCAGCCCAGATCAAGATGCCATGCAAGTTCCATGGCCCAATTCCCAAGCAGGCAGGATGTTTGAGTCAGTAGGTTAATTTTCTTTGTCTACTCGCATGGCTGACTTGCTTGGCTATGCATATCGCTGCGCCTCCAGTATAGGACGCGTCCTTTGAGGCTCTTCGGACCTTCCTGTAGAGGGCCGTGGATATATATTCCTACTATAACACAGGGACACCTGGTGCTGACTTGATGTCTGTTCATTTCCGGCCAGTAGGATGATCTATCATAGACTCGTACTATATATCTTGAGTGCGTGTGATATCAGTATACCAACAAGCCCTATACAAAACACATCCGGCTGCTGGGTACTCTCAGGCAGTGAATAGGTTCTTCTTACTATACGATGCGAGGTAGGGTCTTTGTATGTCGGCAATTGTTTCGCCAAGATAGTTTTTAGTCCAAAACGTTATCAATAGCACTCCCATGATTAGATTATACAGACCTCGTGAACCACCTAATATATAATAGCTGATAGTGAAAGTGCCCAAAGCACTAGAAGCTCCTAAAGACCGTTTCTAGTTCACGTTACTAGAACCTACTTGTTACCCAACTCTTCACAAGTGCCAATACATACTAGGTAGCCATGCTGATCATGCACTCAGAGCTTAGCCCAGATGATCCTTGATAGTAAACATGTGACAGGTATAGCTAACTAACCAGTTAACCATGTGTGGCACATGTTCTTTAGGGATATTGGGTTATCGTTCACGGTATAGTACATAGTACATAGTACATATATCAATAGACCTGGTGTTCCAGACTGAAACCGAAGGGTGAAATCCACCAGAATATTCCAGGTTATCTATGATTCTGGATCTGACGTCAAGTTGCCACACTGGGGCCGGTTTTCCAGGGCAGATAGCGGCTGGACACATGGAACGGCTCGTTCTGTGGAGAGATTATACTTGGATGGAGGGATTGGTCTACATCATAGACTAAGGATAAGACATAATGATGCTATATAAGAGGGAGAATATTGCTGTGAAATCGACAAAGCATTAATCTGCACGTGATTCCCACCAAGCCACGTCATAAATCCTCCAGGGGTGAAATAATTTATTTTTCTCCTATAGATGCTCAACCAAAGAGGAAAGACAGGACTAACCCCTGAATGAATTGAAACCTCCTCCTACAAAGACCCTTTCCGTCATCCTCAACTCCCACTAATTCCACCTTCAACACCACACCACCATGCCTGACTCAACCCTCTACCTCTACACTTCCCTGACCGCGGGGTCATCGCACATCATCACCGCGACCTCCCGAATTGAGACAATCCTCAAAGCAAACAAACTTCCCTTCCGCGCCATTGATGTCGCCACCGACGAAGCTGCCCGAAAGCTCTGGGGCCGACGCTCCAAGGGCAAGAAGCTTCCAGGGTTGGTGAAATACGGCGATATTGTGGGAGTATGTGACAGCCCCCTTGCATGAATTCCAGCTTCCAAAGCAGTTCTGTTACACCAGGAGCACCGCTAACCCAACCAACTTGTAGGATCTAGAAGAGGTCGAAGAATGGAACGAGTTCGGTGAATTACGTATGGTAGTAAACAGCGTGCAGGACCTAGGTGGGATGCCCGCCACCAGCCATCCTGCCCCAGCAGCGACCGAGACCAAAACCGAGCCGAAACCTGCCACCCCCAAACCCTCCACGATCAAGATCCAAACCCCTCCCGTTACCAAGCCCGAAGACAAGAAGGATAATATGGCGGTGCTGGCCCTGCGCCAGGCTAGCTCGGAGGCTGCCACCAAGGCGAAGGCCAAGGCAGACGATAAGAAAGAACCGAAAGAACAGGCTACCGAGGTACCTGTCGCCAGCCGCGCACACCGTGGCTCAGTGGCCCCCGAATTGCCCGATATCGCTCCGGATTCACCAAAGTCCACGAAACGCCCGGCCCTAGTTCCCGAACAAGCGGCCGTATCATCGGCAAACTTCCACGCGGATAACGCAGAGATGCTCGGGTTGGTTGGACACCATCGCTCGTCCAGGGTGTCGACGCTCGAGAACGCGGATCAAGAAAAGGCGGTACATGAGATCAGGCAGTCCATCTCTGCGGAGCCTACGGGAAATATTGATGCTCTGCGCAAGGAGGCTGCGGAGAAAGCGAAGACCGAGTCTATTGAGGAGGCGCCGAGTCCGATTGTTGACGATGTGGCTGTCGAGAATAAGGAAGAGCTTATGGAACCCAATGAGCCTAAGGGTAATGCTATTGCTGAAATGATTGCGACGGCTGTGGCGCCCCAAGAGATCAAGTCAGAGCCTAAGGAGGAGGAGGCCGGTGCCAAGGAGACGGAAGATGCGAAGGATGATACCGAGGCAGGGCTGGCTCGCACACACAAGTCGGCGGAGTAGGCAACTACCTCCGTTAAGGACCGAGGGAGTCGCTGTTCACGAATTCGATGATTATGACATCTGTACATCAAGAATGCCTGAAAAGGTTATAATCGATTTTTTCGTACATGCAGTATGAAAATGTAAATAACTTCGAAACCAAGCGTGGACAGTTGACTCCCACATGTAAATGTCATTCCCAACTCGTGATTAAGAATGTATAATATAAAAAAAAATTAAAGAGACCACCCCTCAAATGAGGCCAAAGATAGAACACCCAAACCCCATTTTGTGCTATGTATCGGATACCTCTTTACAGCTCCGCGCCGCGACGCTTCTGGACAGCCTCGCGCAGCTTCGCGATGACGTCGCCGGGATCTTGCGCGCCGAAGATCGCTGAGCCGGCAACAATCACGTTCGCGCCTGCATCGGCAGCCTGTTCAATTGTACCGAGGCCGAGACCACCGTCAACTTCAATGTTCAGATCGGGGTACCGTTTGCGCAGGGCGGCGACCTTGGGGAGCTCGGAGGCCATGAATTTCTGACCTCCGAAACCAGGGTGCACGGTCATGACCAGAACCATCTGTGAAACGCAGTTAGTACAGTTGCGATTGGAAATCAACCGGTGTGTCAGAAATAAAAAAGCAATGACTCACGTCTGGTCGTTCCGCGGGGTCCTCGCTCTCAATAATATCCCACAGCACATCGACGGGGGTATCGGGCTTAATAGCAATACCAGCCTGCATACCCTCCTCATGAATATAGCGAATCAATTGCTTGGGGCTAGTGCGAGCGGTAGTTTCTTTATCGGTGGGATCGGTCGCCGCGACGGAGGAAACAGCAGCCTCATAGTGGAAGCAGTAGAGATCGCAACCGGCCTTCTTAAACTCGCCGACCCATTTATGGGGCTATAAGGAGGCAAAGTACAGTCAGCGGGGGAAAGCTCATGACGTGCCGGAATGACGCGGGTATATGCGAAGTTTATAACTCACCTCCATAATCATCATGTGGCAATCGAAAGTGCCACGACCGCAGGGTTCGGAGGGACGGTCGACGCAGCCGCGGATTTGAGATACAACGGGGCAGCCGATGGTCATATTTGGGACGAAGTGACCGTCCATAATGTCGACATGCAGCCAGTCTGCGCCCTGCTCCATCTTCCTGGAGCAGTCATGGCCCAGATCGGCGAAGTTGGCGCTGAGAATGGAGGGCGCGATGATAGCTGGAGGTGCCATAATGTGTATGTATGGGGGAAGGAGAGTGGGGGAGAAATTGGGGAGAATCTGGAGGGGTGGAGGGGTTATAAAGAAAAAAAAATAGAAATAGATCTGAAGCTCCTCCGCTGTTTACATCAGTGGCGAAGAGAGTGGATATGTCGGGTTCACCGTAAATCCAGAAATATACGGAGTACACTAACTTGTACTATCCAGTTCTCGTTTTTATCTTTTCATCTTTTTATCTTTTTACTGTTTGCTTCTTTAAAGTCCAGAACATCCTCGGGGCCTTCTCCTTCGAGATATTGTTGTGATGCAATTGATAAGGGCTCTGGCTCTCACGTGTTAAGCTCTCGATATACAATCTTAACCAAGGACACGTTCAATCTCATTCTCATAGACGATCGCAGCTTGTCGAAAAAAGGAGGATCGGCATCATTCAAGACCTTGCATTCTGGATAACCTATTTAGGTGATGCCGGGAGAAAAAAAGTAAAAATATCCTGCAAGTCTGCTGACCTTGATAGACAGGGGTTACTAGGATTATAGTCCGATCTAAGATCAGATAGGCATCGCCTGGAATCTGCGTCGAAGCCGCGGAATTGAGTGCTGCAGCCAATCAGGAAGTATTCTCTGCGCAGGCTCGCCTCTTCAACCTTCCAGGATTGGAATCCCGGTCTTAGCTATTCCTCACCAGTCTTGCATTGATGTATATTTCTTGAATTTTGACTTGGGTGACTACTTGTACCACATTATATATGTCTTATCCTATTGGCTTGATGATCAGTCGTCTACGGAGTATATGTACAACGCATTATAGCTAATCTCCCCTTCGCCGATCATCTTACAACACATAGTTCTAACTCGAAAATCGGGTACAAATACTCCAATCCAGTGCAACCCAGTATCTCAATAGCCGTTAGAATAACCGCTTCGTTGCCCAAAGAGATATGTCGTGCTTGGGAAAGTGGGCCATTGTCTGTGCTAGTAGCGGGGCACACTGCTCCGGAGTATCAACACTTTTTGTCTGTATAGACCCCCAACGTTTTTATGCTGATATCTCAGCTACAGGCTTGGATTATCATGCCCAGGTGATTCTTCAGTCTAGTTTAGTTGTTACCAAATTTTGATTTTGGTTGACATTATGGAAGAGTGTGTATACAACATATGGAGTAGACGAGAGCCATAGTGGGGTAGATCGCCGCAGTGAAGGACATGACTCGTCGTCATTTAGTCAATCTCATGTGCGATCAACACGGATGATAAATCCGCAAGATAGAGATAGACTCCTGGGGTCTTGGGCAGCCTTGGAACTGTCAATCTCTTTGGATCTCCTGAATTCTACCAGAGTCTGGAGTACTGTATCCACGTGCTTGCTCCAATCTAGATGCGGGGGAATCGCCGCTGTGTCCAGCTTTTACTTGGAACGTCCCGTCTCTAGTATTATTCTTAGTTTATAAAGGGTGCTAAAGTGCAAGCTACGTTAGCACTATAACTCTGGCGGGACCACGATGGTATAGAAACCCTGAAGGATCTATGCAAACTGAGCAAACTAGGCGTTGACAATCTGGCAACTTCTCTTCTCGCTTAAGTTAGGAGCAGCACTTTGTCAGCATCAGAAGGCGTGATTCCAAAGTTGTGATTTGTACCTGCAATCAACTGCTCTAGTTCCTGCCCCTATATTCACAAAATCACTACCGTAACAGAATGGAATCTATTCTATCTGCACATGAAATCGGTGAAGGACTTCTTGTTTTGATCATACATGGATGGCAGATGGAGGGAAGAGTCGAGGAGCTGGACTTTGAGCCGATCTTCAACAAAATACCGGGACTTCGCCGGATTTACGTGGACCTTCCCGGCATGGGCACAACACCCGCGAATAATGTCAAGGATCTGGACGATGTATACCTTCGCCTGGTGCGATTCATTGATTCTCGACTTGGGAGCTCAAGATTCTTACTTGTCGGCTCATCATGTGGGGGATACCTTGCACGTGCGATAGCTCAAAAATACATTGAGCAAGTCGATGGTTTACTATTACGCGTACCGCTTATTGAGCCAAAGGACAGCATGCGCGACCTCGATGCTTTTAAACCTTTGGTTGCAAACGAGCAACTCATGTCCAACATATCAGCCGAAGATAGGGCACTTCTTGGAAACGTTCTCGTTCAAACGCCTGCTTATGTTGAAACTTTAAAGGCAAAATACGAGGAGGTTTACCTTCCAGCGGAGAAAGCAGCAGACAATAAGGTGTTAGATGCGATCCGAGCAGATCCACATCGATATCAGTTATCTTTTTCGCTGGACAATGACAGTGCCAAGTTCTTTGCACCCACACTTGTTGTATGTGGTCGGCAAGACGAGAGCGTGGGCTATCGAGACAGCCTTCGCTTGCTGGAGCTCTATCCACGATCAACCTATGTTGTTCTAGATCGTGGTACGCATGGCCTTCCTATCGATGAGACTGGTGTTTTTGAAGCTCTTGTTCGTGATTGGATAATCCGGGTTCATGAATGGCGAGGTCGCACGGAAATATAAGAGCTGTCCATGTCAATGATCTCTTAGAAGGCGCATAGAACGCTCCCATTCAAACCGATATGAGATGCCCACGAGACTGCTTGGGAGTGTTTCAATTGTTGCGAGTGAGAGATTAAGCATAACAATCCACTGGTTTCCGTCTTTATGCTCTTCAAATCACTTGACGATCTTCTGTGCCTCCAGCCGTAGTCTCCTTATTCGTAAGAACAAATGAACCACGTGTCCTTGAGGTAGGCCAGACATGAGCGAGGGGCATGTCCGTATCGGACATTTTCGATGACCCTTACACAACCATATTTCAGAGACACCCTTAAAGGGCTTGATGTGGATATATATCTCTTGCATATTGTACCTACATCTCCGGGTTTATTTGGTCTATTTCTATAAATTCTGATCGCAAGATAACATTTGAATATAGAGAAGAAAAAAAGAGAAGATATTCAGACAATACCTAGTTGCTTTAGCTTAGTTTATAATAGAAGGTAGATAGGACTGTAAGGTAGGGTTTTACCTTCCTTGAGTTTAATTATATAGAGGCTTTCGAGATTTGTAGAGCGTGTACATTCTTATAGTTAAATATATCTAGGTATACCTCTAATTGAAAAGGTATCTATAATAGATTAAGATTTAGATAATCAGCTTGTGCATTTTTCCAAGGTCGTTGGGATACTTCTCCCACAATTTGGATAAGGATAGATTCCACATTCGCGGCTTTGCTACCGATACGCTCATCGAGACGCTTTCCGGTGTGGTTTGTTGTTGATCGCTACAGGGGCTCTCTCACTGCACTACCTGCGTCATTCCAGAGTTTTTAATCACATGCAGGCCTGCGTCGTATGTTAGGGTGTCCCGGACTGCACTCATGTCGTCTGTTCGAATTGCGCGGTATACAACCAGCAGCAACAGTGTCGGGTTTAGGTTCAAGAAGCCAGAATGTTTGGGAATTGACTCCATAATCCCCGTGGCATCCCCATTATCTTCAGGAAGTGATCCATCATCTGGGGATTCGCAGGCTGGTCGATGGTGGTCAACAAAACACACCAACGGACGTTGGGGGTACCGAAATACCACCCGCTGGTTATGTCGACGTGTCATAGTCTCAAGCAACTTTTGAACATTTGTCTCAGTCAGTTGTCCGGTCCGAAACGCCACGATAAGAATGGGATGGTCAGGTATAGCCCTTGAGGTACCTTCCTAATTAGGAGGATGGTAGAGTGGTTGACTGAAGGAAGGAACCAATCTGTTATATTTTATATTTTACATTGTGTTGGGTTTTATTGAAGAGATTTTAGACATTTTCAGACATAAAGCATTGATTACATTAATTGCAAGCCACCAGGGCCAGAGCTAAATACATATAGACCGATGTCCCTAGGTAGACCCAGCCTTAGCCAAAGAGACAGAACTCTTTCGCTTCGGCTTCATAGCCCATCCAGACAGGCAGGTCCAGCCCGCACCACTCTTCCTCCCTTCGTCAAACAGCGCACCAAGACCCTCCAGCAATATAGACCGCTCGCGACCCATCTCCACTCGCAATTTCAGTAACCACTGCTCCCACATCCATCCACCAATCAGCCCAGTCATACTGGCAATATCCGCCGTGCTACCAATCGGCCCCTGCACCGCCTCATAATCTTCAATTTGGCTCTGCACACGCGGTGCAGGAGTCTCGCGCATTGGCTCCTGCTCGATGTGCTCGGTGCCCATCGGGAGGAACATCCACGCGCGCTGCGTGTCGACAAATCCACTGTTGCGGAGACGACCGACGAAGCTCTTCGACGCTAGTGGGTCGTATCCGCGGTTGCGCAGGTTGAAGGCAAACTCCACTGACGTTGCGCTGCCGTACGGCCCCGCCCGCGAGATCTCGGCGTCGAGAACTTGGAACTCGAGGTAGCCGCCTGGCTTGAGGCATCGCATGCATTCCTTCAGAACGAGGTCATACTCGTCACGGTCCTTGCCTGCGGGACATTCCGTCTTCAACAGTGCGTGCAAGGAGCGGGCGGAGATGACATCGAACTGGTTGTTGCCAAAGGGGAGCTCCCAGAGGTTGGCCACAGTCACCTGGCGGTGGTTAGGAGGACCCTTGATGGCGTTGTTTACGGTCTGGTTCTTGGAGGCGACAGTGTAAACCTTGACATTTGGGAACTCGTGCGCGGCTTGCCACGCCCAGTCGCAGGAGGAGTGCCCACCAAGGTCCAGAATGCGGAAACTCCTCTTGCGTTGTCCTTGGGGGGCCTTGGGCTTTGATGAGGTTCGTGCGAGCACGCGCTGGGCAGGACTTGTGAGTAGATTTCCGCCGTTGAGAGACCGGAGAGCATCCATGGCCCACATGGGCTGGGACAGCTGAGCAAGAACCAGCTGTTCTTTCTCCACCTTATCAAATTGGGCCTTCTCGGCCAGCTCGGAGGTAATCATCGAGTTGCGGGGTGCCTTGGCGAAAGGACCCTTGTATGCAGGGCGCTCGGGGCGAACAAGCTCATACTTGCCTAGCAAGCAGTTGATGTGAACGTCGATCATCGCGAGGCGCATAGATTGCACGGCATCGAAGCGCATGTTTCTGTGCATGAACCCATCGGTCTTGGTTGATCGTTCCCGGATAGACTGGAAGCCTTGCCAGTAAATTGAATCCTTGCTAGCGAGGACTGGGGGCAAAGGACTGAGGGACTCGGGAACGCCTTCGACGAATCGCACCATTTTCTTGGAAGCATCTTCTGTGGTGTCTTTTGGTTCAGCCTCGACGGTATTAGACTCCTCGGATGATTCAACGGGCTCAATGTCATTCACGGGGTTTGTCTCATTAAGAGCGGACATGTAGGATGCTTGGGCAGACAACCAAATACTGGTCCGGTCGTGGCTCGCAACTGCACGCTCCTGCAGCTCTTGGTCATAGCACTCATCGTACTCATATCCGTTCCCAGAGCGGGGGATCTCTTGAACCTGAACTGCGTCAAAAGCAGCACTCATGGGGCTATCCTGGTAGATAGACCGACGAGTTGGTGTGTCACAGGGAAGGCGAATGGCAGTAAGCGGGGCTTCTTCATCACGAACCGCTGTGACTGGATCTTCGTCAACTGGGCGTTCAGGCCACTCAACTACATGCTCAACGACCTCTCCTTCATCCCGACGCCAAGGGAGATTGTAGAAGCCCTCTGCAGCCGCAGACGAAGGCTGGTAGTTGGTGTTGGGGATTGACCACGTGTGGCGCGCCCGGGGCGCCAAAGAGGCAAAGAAGCCACCGGGAGATGGAATGCTGAGGTCACTGAAACTGTATCCAGACAGCTCAGATGCGGGGGTGGCCCCGTCAGCACTCCTCGGGCGGCTGGGAGGCGGCTGGAGTTGCCACATCTCGCCCTTATCCTCCGAGGTCTCGGACCACGAGTCGGGTGTCTCGTCCAAATGAATGTGGTGTAGCATTGCCAGTGCTGAGTTGGGCAGAAAAGCGCCTTGGTCAATAGGCTGTGGGGCGTCGTACAAGTCATCATATTCCTGAACTGGCTCATTATTCAGATGAAAAGATGGCGCAGGCGACGGTGAGAGCGGGGGTGAATATGCATGGGCAGCGGTGGGAATCCGGGGGAAACTTCCCAGAACATGACGCCAGTCCTCATGCGGGTTCTCGATAGCAATTGGGACAGTCTGAATGTCGGAATTGGCATCATTGTCTAGGTCGCTTTCACTTCCGTCCAGATCTCGGCGAACATGGATATCATGTGCATCCCAGTTGGTGTCTGGCAGAGATTGAGAGTCTGGTGTAGCCAATGCACTGATGATTGATTCTTGGTCCGAAGTCATACTACCATCGAGCGAAGGCGGAGCATATGATGCAGGCACAGAACGACTGAGCATCGACAGCGCTGCTGGCGAGACTGGAATCTTGGATGGAGGCGTCGGCGGGACTGGAGAACCCTTGAGGGACCCATTAATTGACGGCCACAACGTAGACGAGGGAATCTCAAGTGTCAAGCGCTTTAGACTCCCAGTTGAGGTCATCGAGTTTCGAGTAATTGGTGTAATCAAGCTCGATGGCCGCGTATCGGGGGAAAAGCATGAATCGCTAATTTCGGTCTCATTGTCGTCAATACTGTCATCATCTGAGGCATCATACATGTTGTCGTATCCTCGAAATTCTTGCATCTGAGACTGCCATTCTGTATCTGAGCATGATGAGGTAGTCCCAGCTGAGAGGGGCGACATTAGGCGGGCGAGCCGGGCGTGTGTTGGTACTGCGAACCCGCTTGTCTGCAACTTCAACTTCGGGCTGATAGCTGCCGGTGTAAGTCTGGAAGGAACTGAGACTTTCGGACTGGTTTGAGCGAAATGAGATTCGCGCGTATCCTCCATTATAGTATTAAGCACCGTCCCTCGGGCCTGCCGAGGGGGCGGAAATCGTACAGTCGAGATGCGGAGTGTGTCGGTCATCTTGCACACCTGATCAAACTGTTGGATGTTGGTTTTGCGTGACTCGCTCACGGGAAATATCTATGGGTATCTCGACTCGTAGGAAATGGCGACACCGATCAACGGGTCTGTGAAGTGAAAGATAGAAAGCAAGATAACAAGATAACACTAAGAAAGAAAACAGATGCAAAAGCTACCAGAGCTATAGGCACCAAGCATAAGAGAATGAAGTCAACGAAACGAAGAACGCTAGCCTTCACAGAAGTTGTGGCAGTTGGGAAGGGTTTATAGTCAATTGGGCGCTTTCCACCAGCCACGGGGTATGTGCACCAGCCGATCCCTCTTCAGAAAGAGTCACTCCGTTACAGAGACTAATGCAGGATTGGGCACAATTAATCCAATCACCCTGGTCTGGAGTGTAGCCGACATTGATATTATTGGTGGAGAGGAAATGGGCGCGTCGCGCTGGACAGGGGGTTCGCCCGTGAGCAAAGAGCCAAGGCCATTTTTTGAGCAAGAGTCGAGTAAACGAGGACCAAATTTTCAAAAAGGAACGAATAAGGTTCGTAGATAGTGTGACGAACCGCCCGGGGGTGGGATGAGAGTGAGATGTAGTGTGAAGAGACTGGTGATTGGTCGAGTGTAGGCGCCGGGCTACTATCTTTAGTCAAATTAGTGACCTTCGGATGTGGATGGAACATCAATTATGCACCTTTCCAGCACCCAAACAGGCTAAAAATCATGATAATTAACATCATATGATGCAAAAGTCGGTAAGAAGAGGTGGCGATCGTCGGGCAGAGAAGAGAAAAAAGAGGGAAAAGGAGGGGAAATGGTTGCCAAGTCCAACACGCTGCATATGTAGTACACTATACTAATGCACGCTAGAGAAGTACAAGGTCTCTTAGCAAGGAATAATAATAGAAATTATGTGCTAATTGACCTCATTGTCACACTTTACCCCTCTTATCTTAGGTTAGTATATGTGATCAATGTACTATTGACATCTACACTGCTTACACGGATGTGACCCTAAAGGCGCGTAGATTTCCAACGTCCAGTTCAACGCATACAAATCATAGGGTCTTGCTCATGTTAGTATGAACCACTGTCATACACTTTCTCCTCTTACCGGGGTATTCTTTTCTGAAGTTGGCGCTACTGTAGGAGTTGAGAAGTCATCACTCAACGCCATGGGAACCCAACATCAACAACTCTATGAATATCCCATATCTCAGTTAAACGATAATTTCCACAGGAAGTACCTGTTTCTGGAGTAAAATTCTCCGTCCACAACTAGCCTAGAGTTGCGTCGGTCTTATGCTATTGCAACATATCTGACACTTCATCAGTACTATGCTTTACATATGTAGATAGCCAATCCATGGGATGCATGATGGATGATTCAGGTCATCCTCTGAGATTAAGAGTGACTTTACATACTTTGTACAAAGTCTACGGGTATGTACATATTCCACGGGTAGTTTCAAGAATTACGTTTCAGACTAACGACACAATATGCACTGTACTGAATGATAACCCACCCTCCTAAACCAAGTTGACTTTCGACTACTAGTAAACAGGGGTTCCTTACCCACAGATGTTGTAGAACTATGGTTATTCCAAGGTTGTCTCAGCTTGTATGATCCATCTGTAACGAGTAGAAGCGCCTTGAGGCCAAATCTGCAAGATCCGCTGGCCTCCAACATAACATTGGTTCCGCGTTCTTCTATAGTCCGACAAGAGAATTTGTTATAATACCCATTCCAGAATTTGAAACACACCAAATCAGTCATAGATCAATGTAAGTACATGTAGTGTGCTTTGAATGGGGAGCAACAAAAGAGAACGAAATGATGAAACTGATTTTGATCCATCCTACACCCAAGTACGTGGCCCGGAGCGTAAAGACAACGGAAACAGATTGGAGAAAATAGGTATCCTAAGTAACTGAAATTGATTCATCTCTGTGTATCTTGATGGACGCGACAATGAAATTAGTTCGACTGATTCATGGTAAACACTTCATGGCTCCATCAAAACGACCCCAATAATCGAAAACCCTAGTATTCCAACACATCACCAACTAAGACAATATCCTTAGGGGCCCTCAGACCGATTTCCTCGTTGAAATCGATGGCGCGCGCATCTGGGGTGAGAATATTGGTGGTGCGCAAGAACCCGAGGCCGATGCTCGAGATCTTGACATTCGGCGCCGAGGTCCAGATACCCTCCATGCCCTTTTTCCAAGTATCTCAATCGATCGCATTTGGTTCATTCTGATCCATCCGGAAGTTGTTGGTGTTCAGCTGCAAGTTAATCCCAAATGACTCGTCATCAACCGTGATGTCGATATCCATTTTGCGATGCTTGTCGAAATCTTTGGTATCGCAAAGCCTGAATGCCGCCTTAATGGAGCCAGCCTGGTTAGGAATGAACTGGTGGATTGCTTTCCACTTGATTTCCTGGTCGATCTTCCAGTATGCATAAACATCAGGGCTGCTAGCAGGGTTGGATTGAACGATAGTCATGTACATGGGGAAATCACGCATATTGATGGTAGGCCCTTCGACATGGAACTCGGAGTTCCCATAGTTGTGCTGCTGCTTTGGAAGTTGCCAAATAGCGCCACTCCGTGCTTGAATCTTGTTGTAAATCTCGTGGGATTTGGTGTCATTGCTCGCCTCCCAGTTGGACTTTCAGAAACCCGGTTGAAGCAACACCCGATGGATCATTTCAGAAGAAAGTATGAGACTGGCAGTAAAGCGGTCAGGAATAGGCTGTGTGTTGTTTTGTAACCACTGTGCTTGCCACATCGATTGTAGACCCTCGGTTTTCCCATCGACAAAGCCTCCATTGACATGAATGAAGATGGAGATGGTGCCCACATCCCCCTGCGAAAAGGTTGCAAACTGGAACTTAACGGGTTTTAGATCGATGTAACCGGGACGTTCGATATTGTTGACACTTGCAATCGAGTAGCCGAGAGCGGTCTTGCCGTTGTTGCCGGTGAAGAATTCCAAGAATCCTTCCTGGAATGAGGTTTTCATAAAACCAAGACTCTTGTCCTCAGGCTTCGAGGAATCTGGGGAGATCACTTTCACCTTGAGCTTGTCCTTGTTCAAGTGGAAGCCCAGAACAACGTGGCAATGCTCTTCCTCTGTGCTTTTGAAATGGATCGGCTTATCGCCAGGAACGATGTTTTCAACGCCCCCTTTGATTTCTCCGCCCTCGGACACCATACCACGAGCGGTAGCGAGCGGAATGTTGTTCAACTGAAGCTTCCAGCCGTCTGGGATAGGCTTTGGAGCCTTGTCATGGATTTGCTTTGTGCCCGAGACAATCTTCATCTGGATCGAGCGCATTGTTTCTCCCGTGGCGTGCGAATCAAACTGAAGCAGCGGGGCACCGAAATTCAGGTTGTAGGTGGTGGTGAAAGTTTCCTCTCCAATTGGATCCCAGTCCTCGGTGTTCAATATGAGATTTGAAAGCATGCCAGATCCTTTCTTTGAATGCCGAGTGCTGAGGAGGTTGTTGATTTGTTTGTCGGCGTATGAGGCGACGACGTCCCAACCCAGCGTGAAAGAGTTGTTGGTGGGCGGAATGGCAGGTTGGCATCATCTTGCCAATCATGGGAGCCACAGCATCCTTCTGCTCCTGGCTTGCAGTGGTGTAAGGCATGATGAGAAACAAACAAAGTAAGCGTTCGAAGATCAAGTGGTAGCTGTCCGAAGTGGTCTTCGAGTGTGTTGAGCTGGTGGAAATTATTTTCCCTCGACGGATGAGGTGTCTTTTATATTGATATAACGACGGCAACGCCGTCGAGGACTGAGCTCGCGACTCACTTTCAGTTGAGCCTGTGATCCATGATCCCATCAAACCCCAGAGTATTTCTTCTGAGGTTTCGATAGCCGAGCTCGTGAGCTCGTCGGACTGGATTTTCGAATGACCTTCAGCTTGCATCCTTCATCCCACTCGCCTATACTAGCCATTGTTGTAAGGCCCCGTACTTGACATAGCCGGATTGAGCTGATACTTTTCTTTTCGGTAGTGGAGACTCTTTACGATGTATGTTCCAAGGTTGTATACTTACCTGGCCCAAGAACCAATCAAATAGCAGTGTCTAGCGCCACAGCTACCGGCCAGGTGGAAGAAGAGACACCGGTCGGTATAATCGCCCAAAGGACAGATCTGAACCGGTTTAGGCTTTTCATTCGGATTGTTGATATAAAGCGATAGGCATTCGATAGATGGGCCCATGCCCCTGTTCATGTGTTCATACAAGCTCAGCCAGCCTGCTTTACGCAAAACATCCAACCAGGGAGCATATTTCCAGAGCTGTGAATATTCAAGTTCATTTGAGGACTAGATGGGTGTGATAGGGCTGAGGCTTGTTCAATGGGGAATGGGCCAAAGCATGTTTCGTGGCTGTGTAGCAGATGTTCTGTGTGAGAAATGGGAAATGATCAGAAAGTGAAGACATCGTAGAGCCATTTATTTCATGAGTATATGTGCTGGCTGATCTAAAATAAGCCTCTAACAGTTTCTGGGCTATGGTAATTCAAACTCGAGGGAATATGGCCGAGCGTTGGTTGTCTCTAAGAAGGTATCCGCTGCTTATATGGCGATGTGCACGTGACCACCTCCGACGGCTTCTCTTTTGCATCTCGCCTTACCAACTCTCGAGCGCCGTCGACATTCTTGTCTCTAAATCTCGTGATACTCATTGCCCAAGCTCTCACATCCAGCCCGCATCATCGTCCGACATCGGCAGAATACAAATCTCCGCTTTTCCAGCGCACCTCTCCTCATCCAAGCACCCCTCCAAGCTTTCCGATCCACCGCAACCATGCTTTTCTTTAGGTATGATATGGCGCGGAGCGCAAACTCATTTTCTATGGACAGGAACTAATAGCTTTGTCATTACAGCTTCTTCAAGACTCTGACCAACCAGACGGTCACCATTGAGCTCAAGAATGACATCCGCATTCGTGGAATCCTGAAATCGGTCGACCAATACCTAAACATCAAGCTCGACGATATCGAAGTGTTAGATCTGGCCAAGTACCCTCACCTGTCTTCGGTGAAGAACATGTTCATCCGAGGCAGTGTGGTGCGGTACGTGATGTTGCCTCGGTCGGAGGTTGACGTGGGGTTGTTGGAGGATGCCACACGGCGAGGTGAGTTGCGCATCGCTTCCCTAGCTGAGTTCTTGGGATCTGTCTATGCTCTCGTCTCCCTTGAAAGATCCACAAAGCTTGCGACCGGGATTGTCATTCGAATCAATACTAATAGACTTATCATACAGAGGCTGCCAACCAGGCTGGCAAAGCTCGGTAAACGATCATGGCCTCAATTTTACGACAAATCACGCATCGCGCTCTTCAATACCGTTGTTCCCACCAGGTGGTCTCCAGCAAATGAAATGACTATATGGCCAAAAGTATGGGGTTTCATGTGGCTCCCCAGTATTGAGATAACCCAATTGATGGCCGGGGAGACGGGTTCATGCAAAGAATGATGTTCGAAACTCCCATACCACTCGATGCATCCAAGAAACCAAATGGACCTTGGATCGCCGCTCATGAATCCTGCTGATACACCGCAAAAGCAATTTCGTCGGAGATTACCCGCCTATAGCTCATGCTGGCACCTGGGCTGCGTTGTTCATGATACCTCGTTAGACTTTTTTTTGCAATAATGAACAGCAACTTTTTTTGGCCATTTGATTATACAGGAATGCTCTAAACATACTAAAATCGAATGTAGCCCTCTAGGTTGGAGCCAAGTAATACCGACCACGTGACTTCGTGTCGCGATCCGGTTTCTTCGCGCCTGTCGAATCGACTGATCCTGGGCATTTTCACTGGCGATCGTGCACATATTATGGACATATTGTACATTTAACCATACTGTTTGCATTTTATCCGGCTTAAAACTACCTTGAAATAGCCGCGAATTCTGTTACACCCTCACCACGACTCGATTCTCGCCCACGGTGCAACCGACTTCCACCCCTCCGTGACCGAGCCACAATGGCCGGATCTTACGCGAAGAAGGGGGCCACGCCATCCAAGGGTTCTTCTGGGACAAGACAATCCTCAATAAAGCGCAATTCGAGCATCTTGAGTTTCTTCCAGAAGACCGACACGCCACCGGGCGCCACTTCTCGCCAGGCTCGTATCACCCAATTTGCAACGGCGACCTCACGTTCACCGAGCAGCGGCCGGGGTACTCCGACATTCCAGCATGGGAACAGTGCAAGAAACGAACCTGCTGGTGGGCTCTTTTTGGAGGATAGAAAGGGACTGTCAAAGATTGAACAAGCAGCGGTAACGAGTGAAAGAGAGCGTTCACTCACGCCTGACTTTTGGGGTGACGATGAAGAGTTCTTGAAGGCGGATGACGAGCGATATAATGAGACCGACACTGCGGTCAAGCGTCGGAGGGTTGACTCACCGGGCACCCCGGTCAACGAGACACAACAATCAGATCCCGAATTGAAGACTACAAAACCACCCGCAGCAACACCAGCACCCGCACCCGCAAAGACCCAGAAACGAAGCGGACCATTTATTGATGAGTCCGACAGCGAGGATGATATGGAAGCATATCGGGAGCTTCAAGAAACCACACCTGCCACCAGGGATGTGACGAACCAGATGTTACAAATGGATAAAATAGTGGCTACACAACGCACTTCCGAACCTACACCCCCGCCACTGGTAAGAGCCGCCACGAGTAATGCCGATAATGATGAATACGCGAATTTTGACGATATAGAAGAAGACGAGCTTATAGGGGAAGAGTTTCGAAATCGGCCTTGGGAGGGCGAGGAACAAGAGCAGGAGATCGACCTTGAGGTAGATCCTGACAAAGAAATAAGCGACTGTTCTGGTGTAGAAGATGTTGAAGGGGAAGTGAGCACATGCCCTATCTGCCAAATGGTGCTGAACGATCTTAATGAAACGGTAGGTGCCTATTACTGCCTTTTGGGTCTATTGAAATGCTGATTTCAAGCATAGGAAGTTGCAGTGCATGTCAACGACTGCCTCGATGGCAAAATCAACCCTATGCCGGCCACACCCGCTGCTAAGCCCATGGTGAACCTGACTCCCAAGCCAACCGACACCGACAAAGGGCTGACACGCGCAGAGCGCGCTGCCATTGCCCGACCTGCGCAAGGTGATCCTTACTCGCAGAAGAAACCCATTGGAGGTTCCGCATTCTCAAAGATGATGGCTGGGAACGCAGAAGATACTGCTTGGGCTACCGCAGCCACAAACGAGGTGTCTTCTCGCGGCAAACAAGCCTACCAGCGGACTTGTCCGTTTTACAAAATTCTTCCGGGGTTTTCCATCTGTGTCGATGCCTTCCGCTACGGGGCTGTCGAAGGGTGTAACGCCTACTTTCTCAGTCACTTTCACAGTGATCACTATATAGGGCTCAGCAAGTCCTGGTGCCATGGGCCCATTTACTGCAGTCGACCGACTGCCAATCTTGTCCGCCAGCAGCTCCGCGTCGATCCCAAGTGGATAGTTGACCTCGAGTTTGAATCTACCACCGAAGTACCGGAGACGGGAGGAGTGCGGGTCACTATGATACACGCAAATCATTGCCCCGGTAGCTCACTTTTTCTTTTCGAAAAAAGCTCTGGGAACGGGCCCAATGCCCATAACCAGCGGGTGCTACATTGTGGCGACTTCCGTGCATCTCCCGCTCAGGTGCAACATCCGCTTCTACGCCCTAATGTGAACAACCCGGTCACTGGTAAGCCAAGACAGCAACATATCGACAAATGTTACCTCGACACCACATACCTGAACCCAAAATATGGCTTCCCCGCTCAGGAGGATGTGATCACAGCGTGTTCGGAGCTATGTGTGCGCCTGAATGAAGAGGCTGGTGTTGGACCTGATACGGGGAAGAATGGTACAGGTGGTTTGATGAACAAATTTCTGTCCGCCACGACGGGGAACAACAAAGCACCTGACAAAGGCTCGCAAACTGGAGGTCGATTACTTGTAGTGATTGGCACTTACAGTATTGGCAAAGAACGGATATGCATGGGGATCGCCCGAGCACTTGGGTCAAAGATCTTCGCGACTCCACCGAAACAACGAATATGCGCCTGCTTGGAAGACCCCGAACTCTCCGCGATGCTGACCAGCAATCCTCACGAAGCACAAGTACATATGCAAACTCTCTTCGAGATCCGCGCCGACACACTGGCAGACTACCTCGATGGCCTCAAACCACACTTCTCCCGAGTGGTCGGTTTCCGCCCGACCGGCTGGACCTATCGCCCACCAGCCGGGCGACTGGTACAAAACCCACCAGTCTCCACTGTGTTGCACGGCGAGCACTGGAAGTCGCCATATACCACCCAAGACCTCACCCCGCAGCGCGGCAGCACGCGAGAAAGCGCCTGCTTTGGCGTGCCCTATAGCGAACACAGTTCGTTCCGCGAGTTGACCATGTTCTGCTGCGCTTTGCGTATCGGGCGGGTCATCCCGACGGTGAATGTCGCCAGCCAGAAGAGTCGGGACCAGATGAAAGTTTGGATGGAGCGGTGGGATGCCGAAAAAAAGAAAAATGGGTTGTTTCCTGTCACTGGCGATCGGTGGTGATCAACGGCCTGCATATACGACGTATGGATAACATGATTATACGGAGTAGATTTATCGCATTGGAATTTACTTTGTACATAGCGACTGCATGGATTTGTGTTTAATTTCGGCTTTGCACGGCTACTATTCTTCTCGCTTTCGTTCCGATCCTCTTTCTTGCATTCCTAGTGGTTTCCGACTCCATGGACTACTCCACTAAATGAAAGCCTAGGTCCTCGAACTTGGCAACGCTTGTAGATCGTTTCCTTGGATTTGAATATATATCGCAACAGCTGGATCTATATTCCCGCTAATCCACTTGTCAGGGGACTCTTTTTGCAAAGAACCCCTCCAACACTCCCCTAATAAGCTAAAAATTGGCCCTGGGGCTGTTGCATTCAAGATACTAATACCACGTAATACTATCGTACTATATCCCGACGATATATATCTCCAGTCCCAATTTTGAATATCACCTAGTTTCCCACTTGCATTCGAGTGATTATCTACAATATACATATGGAATACAATACATACAGCCAAGAAAAACCTGTGGTGATCCAACCTCGGCAGAGATCCGTGATCAGTGTTGGTTAAGTTCTCATTTTCAGGGCTCGGACCAAGTGGATCAGAAGGATGAGAGATCGTGAACGATAATTCGTTCCTATTTAGATTCGGATCGACAGTATGCAGCGAACACTGCGAACTTATACCTGTTTATCCCTTTCAGACGGAGGTATCAGATCAAATTTAATCGATGATTGGTGCATTCAGGCCTGGATTATATCAATTTTGAAGGACAAAATCGTCCAACGTTCAAGACACTTGCCCAGGGCTTAGCACCGGAGAACAACCTTTGATGGGCGTACACTATCGATCTATGCGTTAGTCGGGTTCCACTCCAATCGCAGCCCTTTTGACAAATCACTTGGGGCCGTTTTTTTGGAAATGGACTTGCCGCATTCTCTTATTTGTCGCAAGTGTACGGAGTAGCTTTCTGGAAACGCTATATAATGGAGGCAACCCCCTTTGCGCTTGTTCGAACTGAGTGCAGAAATATCACGCCCAAAATTCATCCACGATGCGTACTTCAACATTTGGACTTTGGACTTTGACGGCTGGTATCGCCGCTGCGAAGACCTGTTACAATGTAACAGTGGAGGTCCCTGTCACGGCTCGCAACGGCGTGTTTGACAATATCAGCACGCCCCAGACAAACTTTGACGCTACTTCCTTCGTCCTCTCCGCGACCAAACAGGGTAGAAATCTCTCAGAAACAGCCTTGTCAGGCTATGCTACCGTGTCGGGCCACTACAACATCTCGACTCAATACTGCATGCCGAAGAATGCCGGGAATTCGGCCTACACGCTTCAGATTCTCACACATGGAATGGGCTTTGACAAGTCGTGAGTCTCGAGATGTGATTGGTCGTTATATATTGTGGTTTAACATGGAAATACAGATACTGGGATCTGCCATACAACAACTACAACTACTCCTACGTGGATTACGTCTTGTCTCGAGGATATCACACACTCTCCTACGACCGACTGGGCCTCGGCAAATCTTCACATGGCGACGCAAAGAACGAGATCCAAGCATTCCTGGAGATTGAAGCCCTTGCTCAGCTGACCCGCATGGTGCGCAACGGCGAGATATCCAACATCAAGACCCCGGCCAAGGTCGTCCACGTCGGACATTCATTCGGGTCTGCCCAGACTGTTGCTCTATCCGCGATGTATCCAGAGCTTTCCGATGCGCTCGTGCTCACCGGGTATTCGACAAGCGCCGACTATATGCCAATGTTCCTCAGCGGCGCCAACTTCCAACAAGCCCGGCTCAACGGCAAAAACTCGGACTACACGGCTGGGTACTTGAAGAGTGCGGACATCGGCAGCAATGTATATCTCTTCTTCTACCCGCCCCATTTCGACACCGGTCTTCTGAAGTTTGCAGAAGACAACAAACAACCCATGACTATCGGTGAACTTCTGACTATCACTGGTCTGCCGGCGCAGAGCAAGTTCACAGGACCTGTATATGTTATTGACGGTGCGAACGATGTGCCATTTTGTGGAGGCGACTGTTTGCACACGGGTGGGAAACCGACTCCTATTCCTGCTGCTGCTAAGATGATCTTCCCCTCGGCCAGTGCTTTCTCTGCGTACGTCCATCCCAACACTGGCCATGCTATCAATCTGCACTATAATGCCACCGGGGCTTATAAGCAGATTAATGACTTCTTGGGCGCTCACGGGTTGATGAGCAAGAGTCATCTTCATGATCATGCCCGCCATCATTAGTGAAAGATAGGGAAGTAAGGAGCCCTGATTTTGATTCATGTACATTTATACATCTATATTTTGAACATTAATATGTACATCCTGCCTGCCTAGGTACATACTGATCGAGCTAAGCAAAGAGTCAGTTATAGTTAACTAGTTACCTGATATTATGTAAGTTGATGCCTGACTTGTAAGGCTGAAAATGACATAGTCTCTGGCCTCATAAACCAGGCATCAACCGCGATTCCCCCCGCATTCTTTTCCACAAATCAAGGACCAATGATTTACCCCAAACATGGAATGCAGGCAAAACATCATCAATATGCGACCGTTGATTTGCCTGAACTCCCCAAGCCAATAACCGAAACCGGGGGCGTCGGAGGTTCGGAGGCTTGAGACGGCACTCTCCACGGATCTTCGCCGCCAGTGTCTGAACTCCACACTACCGAAATTGCTTCCCGTTGCCTTGCCTTACCCTCGGGGATGATTTGATGACCACTCATCCCTCTTTTCATAAATAAGTTGGATTCTCGCGTTTGGTCATAAATCTGAGCTGATTCCTCTCATTTGAACATACCTATATTCATTGATTGGCATTATCGTTTTTGCATTGGGCCGGTACCTTTTTTTCCCCGAGCTGTTTTGTCCAACACTCCTATACAACACTTCACCATGTTTGTGACACTGGAGACCGTTCCGGTCATTCTTCTCGGCCTCGCCGTAGCCTATTACTTGGTCCCGTACGTGCAAAAGTCGCACTTGCGTGATATTCCCTCTGCCGGGTTTGCCGCGTTCACCAACGTTTGGTTACTGCTGCAGGCCCGTCAAGGTCAAAAGTACCTGACGATCGACGAGGCCCACAAGAAGCACGGAAAGCTTGTCCGCATTTCACCTACCCAAGTCTCTATTGCCGACGATGAAGCTATTCAGAGCGTCTATGGACACGGCAATGGTTTCTTGAAAGCGTACGTCAATGCTGCAGCCCAGAATAGCTGCACCGAAACTAACAATATCCCAGGGACTTCTACGATGCCTTTGTCTCTATCCGCCGTGGCTTGTTCAACACCCGTGACCGCGTCGAGCACTCCCGCAAGCGCAAGACCGTTTCCCACACTTTCAGTGCTAAGTCCATTGGCCAATTTGAGCAGTATATCCACGGCAACATTGAGGAGTTCGTGAAGCAATGGAACCGTCTGTCCGACCTTCAAGGTAACCCCAAGACTGGCTATGTAAGCATCGACGCCCTCAACTGGTTCAACTACCTGGCGTTCGATATCATCGGCGACTTGGCTTTCGGAGCTCCCTTCGGCATGCTCGAGAAGGGCCAGGATATTGCCGAGATGCGTCTGGACCCCAAGGACCCTCCCAAGTATGTCGCCGCTGTCGAAGTTCTGAACCGTCGTGGAGAGGTGTCCGCTACCCTGGGCTGCATGCCCTCTCTCATCCCCTTCGCCAAGTACATCCCGGACCGCTTCTTCTCCGAAGGTCTGCAAGCCGTTGAGAACCTTGCCGGTATCGCCATTGCCCGTGTCAACGAGCGTCTCAAGCCGGAGATTATGGCCAACAACACCCGTGTGGATCTGCTTGCCCGCCTTATGGAGGGCAAGGACGGAAACGGTAACCAGCTTGAACGCGCCGAATTGACCGCCGAGGCCCTCACCCAATTGATCGCCGGCTCTGACACCACCTCCAACACCACCTGTGCCATCCTCTACTGGTGCATGACCACCCCGCACGTTCTCCCCAAGCTCCACAAGACCCTGGACGAAGCCCTCCCCAAGGACATCGAAGTTCCCACGCACGCCATGGTCAAGGAAATCCCCTAGTAAGCCCCACTCCAACAATCCCACAAAATACATACCCCAAATTAACAAATCCATAGCCTCCAATGGGTGATCTGGGAAACGATGCGCATCCACAGCACATCCTCAATGGGTCTTCCTCGCGAGATCCCCGCTGGCTCCGCCCCCGTCGTGATCTGCGGACACACCTTCATAGCCGGCGACGTTCTCTCGGTACCCAGCTACACGATCCACCGCTCGAAAGAGATCTGGGGCGCCGACGCGGAACAATTTGTCCCAGAGCGATGGAGTCCCGAGCGTCTCAGCGCACGCCAAAAGGCCGCCTTCATCCCATTCAGCCACGGACCTCGCGCGTGTGTCGGTCGCAACGTCGCCGAGATGGAACTGCTCGTTATCTGCGCTACTGTGTTCCGACTCTTCGAGTTCGAGATGCACCAGGATGGACCCATGGAAACGCGTGAGGGATTCCTGCGCAAGCCGCTTGCTTTGCAGGTTGGTATGCGTCGTCGTCGAGTTTGAGTGTCTACGACTTTTGGAATATTGGACAGTTTACACAACTGTAAAAAAGGGATGTGTTGAGGATTGAAATAGTTTGGATCTAGGGTGGAATTGCAATGGGATCTTGGATTGTATTTGGATCACCATTTTGTCATGATTCGATGAGAATGACTGAGTTGGCTGTGCTAGCCTTGGGGCAAGTGTTTTACCGCGCAGTCGCTGATGACTTTCCTTTTTTGGCTTGTCGATTTCGATTTGGTTTTGGGTCTTGGTGGCCGTCAACCTTGGAAATATTGGGAATCTGATAAGCGTGTACATATGCTATATTTTATATATTTCTTTTGCGTTGAAACTATCTTCGGGTATTGAATAAACTACTACTTGGTGGTGTAAATAATAAAGGTGTTAAGGAAAGGAGTTCAAGATGGTACGAAGCGAGAAGAGATAGAATGTTCAGGAATTAGTTCCTTTGCTGTATTATACGATGCCCGTCGAGCCTCAGATGGATGAACTCGGTATATTAAATACAGGATGTTTGAAGAAACAAAAAATCAATGGTATGTACTATGATGTCGTGACTATTCGTGGCTGACGTGAACTGAACGGATACCCGAAGAATTGTAGTGTGCCCCGACTCCGACCGCAGTTGGCTCCAAGCAGGAAATAGGAACCAAAGTAACATGTAATGGGTCCGATTTTCTACCACTTGGCGGGACCAAAGGTCTGACCTTTAGCGACAGGGCTACGAATAGCGGAATCAGAGGTATCCATGGTGTCGGAGGCGATCTTGGTTCCCCACCATTCCGGGAAGCTGGTATCGGTCAAGTTGAGGGTCAAGAAGATGAGAATGGTGCACAGAGCCAGACCGACATCCAGGCCAGCGGACAGGACGTAGTTGTACTGCATCCACCACCCGCGCCAGCGGTCACGGATATACTTATTGAAGACGAATCCGACGATACCCCAGGAAAGATAGTTCAGAGGGGTAGCGGGAGGAATCAAACCGGCACCACCGAAGATAATGGGGGCACTGAGGTACTTAATAGGGCTCTTGGGGAAGTAGCGGGCGCCGATATAGATGAGGATGGGAAGGATGCCGCCGGCGAGGAAGAAGAACATCAGGGGCGAGTACAGCTGGCCGATAGAGAACATACGGGCGGGTCCGATGACACCCCAGATGACGGAGGCGTTGAAGAACACACGACCGTTGGGGCAGGTAAAGTGGTTAGGCTGGAACTGGTCACATACGCCCTTGATTGCGCCCAGAGCCCAGTTCATGGTGGCGATCTGCACCAGGGATGACCACAGACAAGCGACCATCTGGGCCGTAAAAGTCACGCGGGGAGGAATCTTCATGTAGTGACCTAATGGGATAGGTTAGTATAACAAATAGACACCAGATAGACACCGACGGGGACTTACCGATTTTCAAATCCTGTGTGAAGTACATTCCCTGGTACATGCTGATGTAACCGTAAGTCTTGAACAGCATCATGGCCATAGGTTTACCGGGCTGCATGTAACCGATGATGAACTCGGTGATGACATTGAGGCCGATGTCGATGTTGGTGGCAGCCTTGACGATGCCAATAGGAACAAACCAAACAGCGGAAATGAGCAGGGCAATGATGAACGACCACCAGCTCATGTGGGTAGGCCAGCCGAGGATAACACCAAAGCCGAGTGCGACCATGGTCAAAAACACACCCAAGTACCACCAGATCGGAACTTCAGCGTAGCGAGACATGAGACGGCCGTGGACATCTTCCTCCTCCTTTCCGACGCGACGGAATCGCGCCCAAATATCCGGGCCGTTGAAAAGACCGGTCTGAACGAGCACAGCGATGATACTGGCAAACGACAGCCCATAGGACAGCATGAATGTTGTCGACAGGAAGAGAGGGGAGTAGTTCGAGTATTTCACGTTGTCAAAGGTAAAGTCCGGAGTGAGAATCTTGGTGACATTATATACATGACCGGTGTTGTCGTAACTGCTGGAGTCACTCATGGGCAGGTATTGAGAGTAGAATAGATTAGAGTAGTGAATGGCGGGGGTGACAACCCAGAACCAGAGGAACATGCCGATCATCGTATTGGAGATAGCATACCAAGGAGCAATCAGGGGACTGAAGTTGAATCCAGAGATCTGAGTCCAGTCAAATGTCATTGGGATAAGCGAGAGGCCGGTCGCTCCACCAAAGAGCTGATTGACTATCACGTTCTGGGGCTTGATCCAGGTGACCCAGGCAAAGATACTTAGGAATGGCGCAATGTAGCCGGGGAACCAGTACCAGCAGAAAGAGCCAATCATAGCGTACAGGAACATCTGGTATTTGCCGATCCTCCAGCCAGCGACCTTGTTGGGATCCGGCTTGGTGCGATCGTGCAGCGCAGCGAAGAGGGAGGTATTGATCAGGGTCGAGGGCCAGATCATGGCGGAGGGCTGCACCAGGAAGCGGGTGAAGAAGCCGGCCATGCCAAAGCCAAGCATCTGAGTCGAGATACACATAAGGATCTCGAAACCCCATCCGAAGTGTTGTCCATAGAAGGCACGCTGAGCCAAGAGAACATCCGTCGCGTAGGCGGCGCCACCACCGAATGTGGCGTTTGCCATGATAACGACAATCGTGTGTTCCTTCTTGGTGAAAACACCTGGGTTCAGTTCGGCTTTATGGCCGAAGAAATTGAAGGTGTAATTGGGCATCCATGCTTCCCATGCCTTTCCCACTGGGTAAGCGACAACCTGTGCAATGTATGAGGGAATAACAATGTAGGGCTGACGCATGGAGAACAGCATGTTGAGGGAAGAACCGATGGTCGCAAATAGAAGACCAATCACCCAGGCGCGAATAGTGTTCACAGATCCACCCTCATCGATGTTGGGAACAGCAGACCGAACCTCGGGGTACGGGGAGTTCTCCAGGAGTTCCTGAGCGATGACCTCCTGGGTATGCTTGTCAGATGTGTGCAATGCCTCATCAAGTTCCTCAACGACATCCTCGGGCATGTTAGGATCCCAGTGGTGGTGGTTCTTGAGGTCACGGAGCTGCTTGAGCTTCTCATCAGGCGCAGTCTCGTCGACCATCGCACCGGTGGTGACGGCGATAGACTCGTCCTTCTCCATGTTGAAGTGTATGGAGCACAGATTTCAACTTCACAGGGAGATGAGTGAAGTAAGAAAAAGAATGCAGCAACAGCGGGATTTGAATATGATTTAAGGCTGGTCGAAGACCGAGACCGTCGGAAGTCCGCCTTATCGACCAAACAGGATATCTTAGGCTTATCCTGGAGTGGATGTAACCCACGAGCGGAGATGAAACTAAACGATGAGCTAGAGAGTTGATTCGATAGAAAGCCAAAAGTGGGGGAAGAGAGAGACAGGGGTGGAGAGAAGTGGGAGACGGTTAGACGAAAGACACGACACTTGAGTGGCTGGAAGAAGCAGGTGCTTTTGAGGCGGAAAGTGGCAATGTGCATATAGCAAGCGGACACTAGTATCGTCGCATGTTGTGATTTGGCCTTGTTTTGGTCTGATAGCTCACAGACCTCTTATGTTATACTGCGTATGTATAATCCGGAGAACATTCAGCGTATCTTGACCACCTAGATACTTGGTGGCGTTCCTTGGGTTACCTTCGACCCTGCTTCGTACGATTCAGTCCAACTTAGTTCATGATCTAGGGTACTTTTAGGATAAAGAAATAAGTATGAATCCACTGAGAAAATATCTAGGATGTTAGTACGAAGTATACATAGTATATTGTTTAGTATTGTTTTACAGAAAGTGATTCGGGATGGCGTTTGTAGAGTGTCTACTATGTACGGAGTATAACCGTACTATGTCCGTTTCCAAGAAACAGAAGCAATCTCCTGAGAGCTTGTTAGTGATAAGCCGACGCACGGAGGCAAAAGGGTCAGCCTGCCGTTATTGACTTAGCTTGACCGCTAATTTTGGAGCTAAAATGGTGGCCAACCAACCAGTGTCTCTGATGCAAGCCTGGTTGGTCCATCTCCGGAGCTAGTTGTCGGTTTAGGCGATAGGGCATGTATTCCCAATTGATACGGGGGAGTAACCCCTTGCAAATGATAAAAACAGCCGTTGGTAGCCTCTTATCTCTGGGTGTTAGTCGACATTAGTCGAATTTAGGCGATACACGGCCCGGGGTAACAGTGGAGTCCATATCAAATGTCCGACTTCATCTTGAGATTGAGGCCATCGGTGTCCCTCGGTGTCCCTCGGAGTCCCCAATGTGATTGTTAGCAGCTGATAAAGATAAAAATGGACAGCTCACATCGCACAAGACAAGCACAGTGGAACGACAGGCCGTATGGCTCAACAATGTGGGGAGACTTTTCAAGCGGACTTCCCTAGCTTGTATGGTTGACTGGATACCACCCGAAAGTGACAAGGTCGGTGCTTCGTTAGTGGCTTCGAGTCTAGCATGTCCCAAACCGGAGGCCCCACGGACTTGCAGGGGTGTTGGAATGGGCGCTTGCAATCGATGTCTCTCATTGGCTCACACAAACACCACAGATATGTCAAGTGATGGGAGATACATAGCGTGATAGGAGGAATGGTAATTGCCACCATGAGATTGCATTAAGATTATGTTATGTGAACACATGAATGGATCAATTTAGGGTAGGTGGTACGGGTGTGCGGCGGAGTACTCCATACCAACGTGCGTTTTGCTTCGAACTCTGAACACATGAGCTCCTTAACCTGGGGTAAATTGCACAAGGCCGCATATCCTGACCAATGGAAATAATTCGTGTGACAAATAGAGGATGAAGCAAAAGCTGGGGTAAGGCTTGAACGAGACAAGGGGTGAGCCGAGGCTAAAGCGGAATTTACGATGTGCCGTTGACCGCCTCCAATATAAACAGGCAATTCAAATGTGATGCTCAGCACATTGCACGAATTAGCTACCTAATTAGGTAGTCCATACATAGGTACGGAACATTCTAAGATCAGTTAATAATAGTGCTTTGTCAGAGGAAAAATACCCGACTCCCTAGTGGCTACTCCATATCTAATTCACCGGAGATCCCCCGAACCCAAGCTTCCTAGCCTGGTCGCATGCAAACAATCTCTCTATCAGCCAAGTGTAGTGCTAAAAAGGGCACAGAATCCATAACCCCGGACTGCAAGGCCACGCGTCCAACGCGATCTGCATGGGATTGCTCCCATGGTTGCTTGACCCAGTGGCTTAGACTTGCTGGTGAGATCTTTGTTTTAACATCTTAAGGCGGGATCTGCCGTTCGTGGGCGTGTCGGAAAGTCGCTGAAGTTTGGGGCATACGGAGGTAATTTTGCCGATGGTCCGAGACCGGCAATACCGAGGCTTGGAGTATATACTGGGGGCTGATGTTAGCTTCCATATGTAGCTAGTTGGGATCACAAAGGGCGTATGTATACCGCCCACCGACATACGCCCTTCGTGACCGGTGGCCCCGCCCTACAATGTCATCCCACTTCGAACGGAGGACGGAAATGCAAAGGTGAAATTCCTTGAGTATGGATTCTAAAGTCAATTTATGCGCTCATGGTAGGTTGTTCGCTAACGATGAATCTGGAGGAAATGAGAAAATTTCATCACTCAGCCACTCAAAGTTCGTGAAGTAATCCTCGTTGATCTGGAACTCTCCTTGCAGAGCACCAGCGTTCTGAAGAATCCCCCCGTGGGATCCCGAGCGGAATCTGTTCCCATTATAGCACGCCCGGTCTCGATCCCCGGAAGCATGGTAGTTCGGGAAGGACGGTCAACAGACTCTGTCCCTTGCATTCTAGGGCGCGCGTTAGGATCAAATTCATCACGCCACCACCAGACAGCATCCAAGATCTGACTGAGGATCAAACGACTGCGAATTCGAAGTCCCGTATATTCCGAGCCATCGGCTTTGCGGAATGCCTTGCTGCTATTCCAGAGTTGATTCAAGACAGTGATCATTTTAGCAGCTGTATCGCTTCTGTCCGTGGACATTTGCTTGGCCAAATTGATGGTCGCGAAGAAAGAGGCCCGGGCACGGCTTGTATCAAGCCCGCTGGAGGCATGATCGCTTTTGAGAATCCGCAACAGTGACATCGAAGCCAGGAGTAGACCGAAGCTTATTTGAACAGGCGCCATGAAGAGAGGTCCCATACGATCAGCTAAGGCTTGAACATAGTCTATCAAGTTGCAAGCGGTGACGATAAGACGTGGAAGGCACCCACTGCAGACGAGTGTTTGATTTTTGTAGAAATGGAAGCTTTGGATTGCCATACGGCAAAGGAGAAGGTGATACCTCTCGTCGTCTGCAATGAGGAAACAAGCATTAGTGGATGGACTATTGTCGAGGAGATCCATGTCAGAAACAAACCGACTACTGCCTGCAATGCAATATCATCTACCTCTCCTTCATACTTCCGCAACAAAATGTCCAAAGCCAGCTCCTGATCCAGAGTCATGGCACGAACTCCATTCTCCAGGACTGCTTCGCTGCATTTCCCAACGACCTCCTGGCATCTGAGTTTCTGAACCAGGTGTGGAGCAATCTTATCAAATAGCACCTGGCGTTGGATGGTATCCTGTGCTAAACTGACCAGATTTCGGGGAGACTGCCCTTTGATCACACAAGACCTACGATGAATCAGCACAGTAATTTCGCCTGGCCACACCTTGAAATAAAGAAACCCACCGTTGGTACACAAGGACACAATGAGCCCAGAGTTCCGAGCGTCGGACCATATCCAAGTCTGACGACGCCGGGATCTTTACTCGGGAAAATTCATGGCTCGACATCGGGATATGGAACCCATTTTGCATCGCTACATGCAAAAGCATTCCACTCAGAGGAAATGTCACATCTGGCTGATTCTCCTTGGGAAACGGCCACGTCAGCAGCAGCAACAGTCCCTGTATGGTGTGCCACGGCGCGCAGGTCGACAAGACTGACAGAAATGCCATCTCCGTGACTTCCTGGGCTAGCGCAGTCTGCAAAGTCGGGTTTCGGGAATATGATCTACTGGCAACACCGATGACGGCCCAGAATAGGAATGGAGACTGCGCGTAGTAAGCATTCGGCTTGCTCTGCACATCGAGGATCGGGAGGAATGAAGCATAGTGACGGAAGAATCTGGGAGATGTTAGAAACAGGCTGACCAGAAGCTTTTGGAAACATCTACAATTGGTATAGGTCATCAATCTCTCCTCCTGTTACGGTAACGCTCTTCAGCGAACGGGGTTTCGTGGAATCATTCCCTCCCATCATCGCACCCGGTGTGGAGCCCGCTGGTGCAAGATGATATTGAGGATAGGCCAGCGACAAACCCTGCGAATCGTTCAATTGAGCATCCGACTTCAGCACTGCCGGTACCCCCAGTTCCGTTCCCGCTGTGGATAACGAAATCGGCACGGAATCAGAGTTCAAATGCTGGGAGGTCTGTAGTTGTTGGCGCCACTGCTCATTCTCGTGTTCTAATGCGATGTATCGGCTTTGGAGAAATAAATGTAAGAAGTGGATTCCTTCCGTCTTACTCGGCGTTAGGCTCTTACCGACGCTTGTGCTCTCTTGTGAAGCTATCGTCTATGGTGCACTCGAGATTGCGTTTGCGGCATCGGGAACATGGTACACTCTCATCCCGCCAGACATCGCATCTAGCCTACTGGAAGTCAATACGGTTTTTGTAAAGGGAAAATCATTGGTACCTTTTGTTGGCGGCACATAGTACACGCCTTCTTTCCTTTTTTGGGTAATCTGTGTATGGTTACCTCAGCATGCTTCTTTAGAAGGAGAACAATGGATGCTCGTACGCTTCCATTTCTGAGCTTTAGGCGAACACAATCTGGTATTGGAGTTGGTAGGTGGCAAATAAAGCGGAAGATGTGATCAAACTCCCTGTTTATCGTCTTCACTTGGTTTTTTTGGATCATAGAACAGGGGAAAGGCAGAGTAGTAGCGCTCAATCCCGGTAACGGGATGATAGCGGGGTTGTGATTGGTCAAACGAGAAGGGTTGGGGACAGGGGTCATGTGATGCTCACCTGTAGAGCGACCACACCGCTTTCCACAGCTCATTACTGCCTCTGTGCCTCAGGTGTCAACTGATGGTATATCTCACGTGACTACATATAAACCACGGATTTTCCAGACCCTAATTCCTTTAGTAAAGGCCATGCCAATGTTGGGCTGGAACGAAATGAAATGAACCAAGGCGCACTGAGAACTTAAGTCAGCCGCATGTGTTTGCAAGAATGAAATAGATTTTGGAACCGACCAAGCAAGCCGAGCCCCACAACACAAAACGACGCCCACCAAGGCGACACACTTCTTGCCGAGACTCCTTTTAATGGGCCTCTACTCCGTACCTGGGTATGGCTTGGTGTATTGTGCCTTTTATTTCTTGGCATCATATTGACAGGCCTTTGGTTGTCATTTGGTGTGTCTCCTCTTCCCGAGTCTCGCTTCTTACGGCTTAGCAGATGCCGCTTGGAGCCGGGGTTGGGTATGGGGTCCGCATGGACTCTTCTACGTAGTTCTGGAACGGACTTTGAGTCCTGATCTGGCCCATTAGTGATTAATCTCTAGTCCCTTGTTATACATAGAAAAATCTTCTGTTTCAGATATTTTAAAGTCCTACGTCGTCAAGAATAGAGGCCGCATGCACGGCCGACCATCTCGTTCCGTAATATACTAGCAAACAATGGCATGGTGTGCAGGTTGACTACTGGCCCCTTCTTCACTACGTCCGAGTCCGGGAAATAGCGGTAGTAAAATTGCTGCTTTATCGTGTTGCTGATCTAGAACTGTATGTCCCCTGGCCGTTGTATCGAGCTGTTAAGGATAACTGAGGGAAGGTCATCTCTATATTGTTCGAACACGGCGTGGAGCCGTAAGTAAAAGCATCCAAGCTAGACTGAGTCTTTAGTGGTATATCTGCTTGATTGAAGATTGAAGATTTCGTAGTACGGATGTGCTAGACTCTATACTGCTGAAATGAAGGGCGGCTGGGACATCCTTTCATTTGCTGAAGTCTCGCTATTTAACTGGGCGGTAGTTGAGCTTAAGCTTCACTAAAGGAGTGATATCACCTTTTTGGTGACGCTTAGGGCCTTGTTAAAAATAATGTTAAAGCTTTTGTTCAAGTCCACGGGTCGAACTTCCTAATCCAACCGGTTTAATGTTGAACTTCAACAGCTAGTATAGCTTCCCACAATATTACATAACTCGAAATTCCCAAATAATTGATGAATATGAGTTCAATATAAGTATTTTTCTATAACTATTCTGGTTAGCATTAGTATATTCAGTAAAATTGGCGCGATGTTTGTTTATGAAACTTTTTCGGGCCCGAAGTTACGACGCCCAAAGAGTGGCATATACTCCAGATGGCCATTTCATCAAAACATACTCTTAGAATGAGACAAAAAAACGTACATCGTGGATTGAAACTTAGGAAATTACAAGACGTTTGGATTGACAATACGCTACCGTCTCATACGACAGATGGTCTCGTAACGGTCGCTATCTTATTAGGTGGAAATCTGAAAGTCCCTGAACCACTTCCTGAACCTTCAACAAGGGTACATTACCGTGACCTGAACTTGTAGCCATACATCTCGCACCACCCAGAGCATCAAACTTAATAGACATAGGGAGGCGTTCTTACTAGTGACAAGGGTCCAGTGCGCTATCATGCCATGTCACGCAACGTGGCACTCATCAGATCTCGTGGTTGGATATCCGGTTGCCGTCGTTCGGCCGGAGCGGTCGATGGCGACGCAGCATAGAAGCTGGCTAGTTCTGAGGATTCTCATTCGACACCTTTTCTTTCCTTTTTGGGTTTAATTGCGGTGGCACTGACAGGGGCAATCTGCAGCAGGACAACCATGAAACCGTGTTCAGAAGGTGCCCTACCCCGTTGCGAATGGGCCAACCACTAAAACATGACCAGTGAACGAGACAAGGGCAATCTATTCTGCCTTAGAGAACCCCAGATAATGTCTTCACTGCGTTGTACGAAATGTTCATGGTCATTAACTTTACTCCAGACATCGTTCCACGGGGTGATGCTGATTTGGAATGAGGTGGTAGGGGGGTCTTCCTCTAGGCGACATGGCAGATCAGGGTATCGCGCATCCCCCGCAAGTTCTGTTCGATCGAAGCGTCGAATAGTCTTTTCAAGTCTGGATAGACTGTCAACGCCCCCACCACTGACGAGGGAAGGCAAAGTTCGGTCGATTGATATGCCCTCACCGTGACATCACCGTTTCTGAAGCCGAAGTATATAGCACAACAACAAGATGTGCGATGAAGCCAAATACAGCAAGACACGTCATGAATTCGCGCCAAGTTATGAGTTTTGATATCCCTACCGTCGCCGAAATCCAGCTCGCTGCCGAGCGGGGGCAGCGCATCACCCAGGATGATGTTTCGGCAATCTCGCAGGCCGAGAGCGCGTTGACTGGACGCGGACCTTCTCGGGGTGGACCAGCTGGTGAGTATGAATTATATTCTATCTGTAAGCAACGTATGACTGATCGAATATAGCAACGGCCCAGAGTCTTTCTATGCGGCAAATGAATTTCGAAAATAAGGTCGCAGAAGTATCGCGGAAGCCATCAAGCGCAATCTCGCTGGAAGATGCTGAGGAAATTCAAGCTACAGAGGTCAGGGAATCCCCGTTAAAAGTTCAGCAGTGTCAAATAAAATCACTAACGCGAGGTTCCCATAGGGACGTGCATTCAACCAACCCCCGGAGTCGGCTACATCTCCGCCCAGGTTCGGTCGATCGCCGACAGTAACGATGCTTTGGGGCTTACAGCTGCGGCTGATGTGCCTGCATACATCACCAAGGATGATGCCCGTGACGCACAACATGCCGAGGCTACTGTTTATGGCGGTCAGAATCCTAGGGGAGGAATGGCCGCTCAGATGCAGGTAAGTACGTGTGGGTAGGTTGGGTTTGTGACGAGAATAGCTGACAGTGGCGTGTGCAGAGTGCAGCAGACAAGATCGACAATGCCCGACGAGGCAGTTATGGCAGCTTTTAACATTTGATACTGTCGTGTAAAGTAGCCATACCGCACATAACATATATATATTTTCCATCAACCAAAGTGAAAACATGCTGGCAAACATACCTCCTTTGCTCTGTATACAAAATATCACGGGAAGGCCCCAAAGCTCTATTTGAATTGGCCAATGAATATCCCTGGAGCCATCATCTATTTTTGGGGTTTTTGGGAGGCCAAATATGCCCTGACCCGCTATTCCGCTGTCGAATAGAGCGTGCTGTCAAGATATTCAACAAACTCTGTTTGAATTCTCGGGATTTCAGCTTCTTGGACATCCTGCACGAACTGACAAATATGAACCGGGTCACCGGGTCATAATCCCAGCTTGTTACTGATATTCAGCGCCTTTGTGTCGGTAGCGACTGATCACAATGCAGATCGCAGAATAGACTCTGGAGCCTCACGCTACTCCCTGCCTTAACCCACACACTAGGACGTCCAAAACTCTCACGATAATGGAGCCATGACTGAATCAAACTTGAGACGATCCACTATAAGCCGTGCTAACTGCTAGCAGACGTATCGCCTGATGAATTCCTCAAGGTTTGGTGTGAATAATTTGACCGATCACATTTTGCTCGCCAAGGCGTTTTCGTTCTCGGGACAGGCTTGAATAACACACCTCGTGGCCTTCAGACCCATTTTATCATCCGAATATTCCCATTTGGAATTCCAGTGCGTGCGATCCAATCGGAGAGGGTCAGAGAATCGGAGAATGAGCCGGCGCTGACAGATAAGGCGCAGCGGCCGCATCTCCGCAAAGGTAGGTTATTTGCGGAGTCCGATCTGCATTGCGCAAAAATTATCGAGTGACAGTCGATATGAGTGGCACGCTTAGCTGTTGAACCTTTGGAGGGGTAGCCCCAAGCCTTGCATGGAGCTCTGGCGGGGCACAATAATTTGTCATTGCCTTGCAGCTTTTGGGCGGGGCCCAATAATCAGCACTAGCAGATTTGAAATCCTAAAGGAACTGCTATTTGGAATTCGAATTGCCCGAATTGTCGATAATAGTCGATAATAGTTGAATCCGGTGGAGTTGTGTGAGGAAAAAAAGCTCAACAAAAACCCGGTAGTTATGACGTAGCTCGGTAGGTACTGGGTACCTGTGTCACCGGCCTTGGTGAAGAAGAGAAGAAAGTAGTCGGGACTTGACAAATTAATATGACCTCTAGACCAGTGTTGGGGCCAATTATCTATATAATACCCTTCCTTCCCTCTCCGAAGGTCCTCAATCTCAAGTACCTTGAAAGAATCAATATCAATACGATATCCGTACGCGATGCCTCTCTCCGGACACTGCCTCTGCAAAGCCGTCACGTACAGCGTGGACATTGACGCACCTCTGATTACTGCCTATGATCACTGCGATGACTGCCAACGTCAGACTGGTTCGACCTACTGTTAGTTGCGTGAATACCCCAGACGAAACACAATTATTGACTTTGTTATAGCGCTCGTCGCTGTCGTCCCTAAGGACAAGCTGACTATCAAGGGCCCCACCAAGAGCTGGGCGGGCAAGGGTTCCTCCGGCCTCGCTGTCCACCGCATCTTCTGCTCGGAGTGTGGTTCCCCCATCGCCCACGACCCTGATGCGGCTCCCGAGATCATTGCCCTCAAGGCCGGCACCCTGGATACTGAGTTCAAGAAGACCTTGAAGCCTGTAAGTGTCACAAGTTAGGGCTGAATTTAACCTTCACTGGAGTGTGACTGACCCCTCGCTCTATGTAGGACACCGAGATCTGGACCGTCAGCAAGCTTCCTTTCTGCCAGGAGTCCCTTGCCCATCCTTTCAAGCACATGCCGGAGTAAACGCTGGGCTCTGCGGGAGATTTTAAAGAAAAGAAAAACTTTTTATTGGTGCTTATAATGAGTGATAATGATGAATACGATGATTTAGTCTAATATGATTTGAATGGATCACCGATCAGAATGTCCACACTAGATCCGTGTTACAGGCCAATCACACAGAACCAATAGTACGGTATCTTTGTCGGCGAGTTCAGGTGAGACAACCTACCTACTTCATGCTCCAGGCACATTATTGTTCACGGTTTCAGGGGTCAACGACTATCGCAACAGAATTCTCTTGACTGAAGTTTCGGACGAGACTTCGACGCCAAAAATCATTTTTATTGTATTCTGCTCCAAAATGTCCACAGGCACTCTATTTATTCGCGACTCACGCACTAACGCGAACTATGAGATCCCCATTAACCGAAACGCAGTACGCGCGACCGACCTTCAGGGTATCTGGGCGCCTTCGCTCAATAGTAATCGCGCAGACCAAGTTGTCCATGGGTTGCGCGTCTATGATCCCGGATTGCAAAACACGGCCGTGACAGAATCAGCTATCAGTTTCTCGTGAGAATCTCGCAAAGTTGCCTGTGTTGTTTTGCTAATTCTTGTCTAGTGATCATGAGCACGGTCTACTTCTCTATCGAGGATTTACCCTGGACCAGCTTTGGGGATGCGACTTTGAAGAAATGTTCCATCTGCTGCTATGGGGGAGATATCCTACAGCAAGTCAATGCGAAGAGTTACGCCAGACGCTGGCACAGTACATGCAAGAAGTCCCTGATATTGTCCGCCAGACCATCTTTAATCTCCCGTATGATGGTTCTCTTGGTCGTGTATCAGCCATCTTGTTTCTAACTAGCATTGAAATACGCAGGAAGGAGACTAGCCCACTACCGCTGATCCTAGCCGGCCTTTCAGCCTACCTGGCCTGTATACCCGATGTGATCCCAGCAACCACAAATGCGACGATCCACCAAACAGACATCAAACGGGCCGACCAAATCATCCTACAAACTGTTGCCGCCTACGCTGTTGTATTCGGAGCCGTACGATCCCATCGGCTAGGCATTCCCTGGAGGTCTCCGTTTCTCCACCAGACCTACTACGAGAATCTATTCACCATGGTGGGTCTCGTAGACCCAGAGACAAACCGCCCGGATCCTACACGCGTATCCTGTTTTCGGCGCTTTGGCAACCTTAACGCCGAGCACGGAATGGCTTTAACAGTCTTCTCAACCCTAGTGACCGCCTCATCCCTGACTGACCCAGTGTCCTGTTTGATAGCTGCCGTAGCCGCCGCCCACGGACCCTTACACTTCGGGGCAACAGAGTCCGCCCAACGCGCTCTCCACGACATTGGTGAACCAAAGAACGTCCCCGCCTTCATTGAAGAAATAAAAGCCGGAAAGCGAAAATTATTCGGCTATGGCCATCGAACTTATAAGGGAATGGATCCACGCGTGCGTCCCATCCAAAGCATCCTGAAGGATTTAGCCGATGTCCATCAACCACTATTAAAAGTCGCCGAAGTGATCGAGGAGGCTGCTACGAAAGACGAGTACTTTCGTACACGGGGCTTGTATCCCAATGCGGACTTCTACGGTAACTTCGTGTTTACTGGAATGTAAGTACAGTGTGACATGTGTACTATAACCCCAGATTCCAATACACTGATTTAGTGGCTTTGAGCCTGATATGATTCCCGCGGCAATGCTTGCTCATCGCATTATGGGTATCATGGCGCACTGGAGAGAGTACATGGGTAAGGAAAATATTTATTTGGGGCTTAATACCTTGGCTGACGGGCTATCCATAGTCACCCGTGGCAAGCTGTTTAGACCTACTCATCTGTATACGGGTCATGCAGCGCCAACGTCAGACCCCAGGCCTAAAATATAGGAATTTGAAAATATAGCCAGGGTGTGGTTGTTTCAACCGATCTTGTTAGCTGCTTTCCGTATAAAAATGAATGAAGGCTCTTTATAATACGCAATTTATTGAGAATTAATGTCCTTGGCCTCTGTAAAAGCCCATTGGATACATATATAGTTGAAGAGTGATTGGCCCCTCACCGATGCAGTGATATTGGGTTCACGGCTAATTTAATGGCCAAAAGGACCGAGTATATATTCGCCATCTAGCCCACAAGAAATTCTGTGAAAGCTTTGTTTGGCCTTCTACTTTGAGCCAAAATGAGCAATCGAGATCGTCATCAACAAGTGCGGCAGCAGGACGACGATGTCGATGAACAAACGGCTTTGCTGCATCCTGCTCCTAGGACCGAGCCATATTCCGTGTTCACGCCGACCCAGAAACGCTTCATTATTCTGACAGCGGCACTGGCGTCGAGCTTTTCACCTCTATCTGCCAATATCTACTACCCGGCATTGAATTCGATTGCAAAGGACTTGCGAGTCAGTCCATCTCAAATGAATCTGACGATCACCACATATATGGTATGTTATACATTAGATCCTACAAGTTCTGCTCGAATATACTAACATTCCTCGGTCTGAAGATATGCCAGGGCCTCGCTCCAATGTTGACAGGATCATTGGCAGACCAAGCTGGTCGTAGACCCGCATACATTCTTTGCTTCGTGATATATATATTTGGAAACATTGCTCTTGCCCTGCAACATAGCTTTCTAGCGCTCCTAGCTCTTCGTGCCGTCCAAAGCTGTGGCAGTAGCGGCACCGTGGCCCTTGCATCCGCAGTGGCGGCCGACATTATCACATCAGCCGAGCGAGGTATGTACATGGGTTTTACCTCCTTAGGAAACATTCTTGCTCCATCTATTGGGCCGATTCTCGGAGGTGTTTTAAGTAACTATCTGGGCTGGGGAGCAATATTCTGGTTTCTCGCTATAGCAGCCGGTACTTTCTTCGTCCCGCTGTTGCTCTTCTTTCCCGAAACCTGCCGTGGGATTGTGGGAAATGGCTCGACTCCTGCAGTTGGATGGAATCGAGCCATTTGGAGTTACTTTCGGACCACCACCGAAGTGACCCCGCCTGCATCAAGTGTGCCGAGGAGGCGCATGAATGTCCCTAACCCAGGCTCGACCCTGCGTCTGCTTTCCCACCGACCTGTGGGACTGGTCCTTTTGGCAAATGGAGTTGTTTTCAGCAGCTACTATGCCGTCACAGCTGGAATTCCCGCACTTTTCCACAGAATCTATGATCTAGATGACTTGGATATTGGACTATGCTTTATTCCTGCAGGGCTGGGATCACTACTCAGTGCAACTGCCAACGGAGTATTAGTTGACTGGAACTACGGACGGGCTCGACGCACCGCCGGCCAGACGGTACACAAGAACCAAAAGCAGGACATCATTGGATTTCCCATCGAACAAGCGAGGTTGCAGATTGGCCTGCCAATGACAGTACATTGCCCTGAGACATCCTTGTGTTTGACCCTTTCGGTTGACTTTCATTTCCCCTTTTAGGTACTTGCAGCTGTCTCAATAGTCGTCTACGCGGTACTCATACCCTTGAAGCCACCACTCCTAGTCGCGCTTATGGTGGTGTTTGTAATTTGCTTTTGTATTACGGCGGTATACAACGTGATGAATATTCTCATTGTCGACTTGTACTACGAGACGCCTGCTACCGTGATGGCTGCTAACAACCTTGTGCGGTGTTTCCTTGGCGCTGGTGCAGCAGCGATGGTCAACCCTCTGATCAAGCGAATTGGTGTGCAATGGACATATTGTTTTGTCTCCGGCGCAATTGCTCTAGTCATTCCGGTTCTAGGCGTTGTTTACGTTCAGGGCTGGGAATGGCGCAAAAAACAAGCCGAGACTGATGCACAACTGCGAACTGTACACGAGAGACCGTAGTACCATTTAGGGCAAGCGGGTCTATAAATTGAATCACAAAGCCTAGTGGCGTTGATCTTGTTCTCGCATTTTGGATTGATATGCGATAGTTGAATTCTACTCGGTTGATTCCACGATAAGACAATAATATGATCCCACTAGTTACACTCCTCTTTGGTGTTCTAACGGAGATAGTCCAGATCTTCCCTTGGACGTCTGGTCAGCAACTGCAAATACGGTATCCTGGTGGGCCATGGATAACTCCTGGTATGGAGTTGGATATTCGAGGTGTGTGAATGGCGAAAGAATTAAATCGACCACTTTAACATCAGCCCAGAGACCAGCATGATTCCCGAGATCAGTAGCATGAACCTCCAATGCAACAAGAAATACCTTATTCTATTCATCGACCTTGACGCCATCCTACCAGGAACTCATATCCAATCTGTCATTCTACACTGGTACCAAGCAAACCTCATGATAGATTGCACAAAGCCGACACCTCCTTCCACAATCGTTCCTGGCAAGGACCACGGGGACAAATATAATCCGGCAGCTTCGTACATAGCTCCTCGTGCACCACCAAATACTCACCACCGTTACGTGTATCTCCTTTTTGCGCAGCCCCCAGCCTATCAATTCCCCTATTGCTTCTCACATGTGTTCCCGGAGACTATTAGAGCCCGCGCCGGATTCGATATCAGGAAGTTTGTGCAGGCAGCAGGGTTGGACCCTCCCATTGCCATGAACTATTTCATTGGTAGACATGAACCTACCGAGGGCGAGACAACCACGATGCCCCAGAGTGCGACAAAGACCTCGTTCCGTTCCGTAGATTGTCCCACGAGAACAGCCGGGTTGGTGTCATGAGCTAGGGACTGCATGGGGGAAATGGAAACTGTGGTTGGTTTATATTACGAGACTAGGAAATATGATCGATATTTATGAGACACGCTATTTTTGGAACCCTCCGTTATTTGGAATCATACATTTAATTAGGCTGCCCTAAAAGTAGTCCCCAAATTCACGAATCTGAAGTTTCCAATGTGAAAGGCTATTTAAATGTCTTGATTGATGTTTGTATTGCATTCGTTAAAGTGGGATTCGAATGTGGTTTCCATCACGCTTTGTGTTTATTATTTGCGATGCCATTATGGGATATCACATTGGTGGTACGGTATTGGAGTGATCCTCACGTTGAGGAGGGGATGAAGTGTGGTATACCCTCCAAGCAATCCAATGGAGCTTTGTATCTGGTTCCAACGGTGACCGGACAAGGGACTACTGGAGATAGTCCAGCTAGTCTGGTAGAAAAAGGGATGCGGGTGTTTATATGGCAAATCTGGATGTTAAATAGTTCTAGGACACCTGTAAACGGAAAATAGCTGTTTCAAATAGATGACAATCAGGCGAAGGGTCGTAAATCCGAAGTGGGCGTAAAGGCCGTGAGTCTAGCTTAGCTTTCCTGGCGCTTTGCTTTTATATTACCCTTAAGCTTGATAATATAAATTCCTGTGCTATACAGTGTAGGCTTAGGGAGGGATATAAATGGTAGTATATATTGGAAAGAAGCTAAATCGTCAACGGGGACAACTCAAACATTGGGATCGTTGAATTGCTTTTCGGTTGATGGCGCAGGAGATAGTAGATACAATCTGTACCGCAATCCTAATAACTATGCTCTCAACAAAACCCCATACATTTATCCGTTCATCCTAGTCTTCCCTTTCCGCAATAATTTCGCGAAGTTTTAGTGCAAAGAATCAAATCGCCGTGGCCCGAGCAATCACACAGCCACCTTGTTCGTACACGCTGGTAGCATTGGATGAAAATTCCCAAACGCTTCATCATGAGAAAATGAGTTTAAATCGACAGCCCCGAGTCTGGAGCATAGAAGGAAACGCAATTTGTATAGTGTATCGAAAAACCTTCGCTGGGTCGACGGTTGATCTAATACAACGACCATATTAGAAACAGCACATCCAGTTGCTAGGCGGTAATAACGGGCCAATGGTTATCTCTCGATAAGCATCATCAAGCAACTGTCCTATCAGGTGAATATATACTCCGGCTAAGAAGAGCATGGAAAGAAATTTCGACAGATTAATTGCTGGATGTCGCTGTTATGGGAGAGCTTCTCGGTCAAGTCAACGGGCAGACATTGTAGTCCGGTTTGATGTCCATTGTCTAATGATGGCCTTGTATTTTCATCTGATTTATCTCAATACGTCATCAACTCGAATAGGGCGTTGCTCTAGAAGGAAACATGTGCTTTTTATGTGCAACAACAATGGGCCGGAATCTTGCGTAAGCAAGCATACGAGCTCCCTGAAATGTGAATACCATACGACAGCATTACTGAAATCAATTAGCATCCAAAAACATCGTATACTGCACCACTGAAATTGTTCACTGATGGATGGCGAGATAAGGTTGACCCCCCCCCCTAGACTACAAGTGCGGTACTCGCACGCAGGTCCCAAGGAGGGTAGGACAAAACTATTTGTCATGAGTAAAGTTCACGATCCATGTAACTTTTCGTGCTTTCGGCAATTGCTGTCATGGAAGTTCATCGTGGTGTGGGTAAACAGTGTCGCCTTTCGTGATGAATGCAGGAGTGCAATCAAACGTGGTCCTGTGTTGTTGGACAGTAGAGATTCGGGGGAACTGAGCATGAGATGCAATATAAATACCTCGAGTTGACCCAAGAACAAGGAGAACCAAACTCGTTGATCATGGAGTTCAAGAGAACAGCAATTTAAACTTCTTTTTCACGATCTTCACATGGCTGAGAGCTCTACCAAGAGCTCTAACCAGTCTAACGGTCAACTGCTTCCCAATCAAAAGATGCGCACAACCTGCAACGCCTGTCAACAAGCGAAGATACGATGTAGCCACACCTACCCCTGTGACCGGTGCGAGAGTCACGGGTATGAGTGTGTCTATTCAATCTCGCAACCGCTGGGCCGGCCGACAAAGAAGAGGGTGAGTCGGCCAGCAGCAGCTGGGGCAGTCGTGAAGACGCGCAGGGGGGAGGCGGAGGTAGTTGACCGTCCGACTCGGCGAAGTGCGGCGAGGGCACCGAGGCCAACCCCAGCAGTGAGAGCGAAGAGGGCGCGCAGGGTCCCAAGTCGGGTCCCGAGTCCAACAACAGCATCGGGCTCGGGTCCTGGCTCAAGGGAAGAGTCGCACAAGAGCGACTCCAGGGCCGGCACTGAAGTCACACCACCGGAGGAAGACTTTCAGTGGCCGAGTTTCACAGAGTTGTTCTCGGAGCTTCCAGGTGAGCACAGACCTAGTTAATGGGGTATATAGGTATCGATAGATGACCGTTGGGATTCGCAGAAAACCACACAAATGGAGAAGGGGTCCAGAACCAGAATGTCGTTAGCGCAAACGAGGCCAATAACCACGCCATTCCAGGATTTGCCAATACCAGCCTGGACAGCTCGTTTGAGCGAGCTGACGGATTCGAAAGTTTTGGGGGTCCCCGTTTTCCTGAGCCGCGTGTTGACTATTCCACACAGTATTATACTCCCCAAATCGGTTTGATGATCGATGAACGTCCCATTGGAGGATTTCTCCACACCGCTGCGCCGGGTACCCAGTCCGGGTCACTCTTTCAGGGTGGTGCAATCTACCCCTTTAGCCTCGCACCGAACGCAATTCAGGTCTCCGGAACAGTACAGGACCCTGCCAGAATCATGGAATTGCCCTCCAATGATGTCTGGCAAGAACCCATCGATACTGAGTCCAGTCAATCTCTTTTACCAGAAGAGATTGACCTTGAGGCACTGCCGGAAGATGCTTTTTCCCTTCACTGCGATTGCTATTCCCAGGCATTCAGTGAAGTCGTGCGATCGGGGGAGGGAAATGGGTCAAATAGGATATTGCTCCACCTGGAAAGGGTGCAGCAACAGGGAGTGGTCATCCTTCAATGTCAAGTCTGCTTTACTTCAAATGCCAGGGCTAACATTCTCACTTTATTAGTCATGGCGATTGAGAAAGCGGCACGGGCGTTAAAGATGAGGGGCAAAATGGCCACTACCTCGGTGCAAGGGGGGGTTCATTCCGTGTGGGGAGAGGAGGACATCAGCCAGATGCGCCATTGTCTGTCACATCTATCAATTATCGTCCGTTTCATCCACCAAGATCTCCAGTGTGTCTCGCCTTCAAGATGGCACCTGGTGATGGCGGACGAGACAGATCGTCGGCTGCAGTCGATTATTCGAATCTTCGAGTGATTGCTGGTTGAAGTTGTGTATATAGTGTGGGACGCGGAATGGAGCCTGAGAACTCGTGAGGTTTTTTATTTTAAATTTTCGAAGACTCATATCAGTAATAATGAGAGGAGTGGTGATCGTTTAGATAGTTCCGCCGTAGCTGTATGGCTCGTTCTTGTAAGAAGTCAGAGAAATCGATAAATCACCCAGCATGCAGATACGCTTACATGGACAACAAAGTCTCCTGCAAATTATTCGATTATCATGAATGCATCTGACACCAGTGATCCGACTCAGAATATACAACGCCACCTCCCCGGCTCCCCGAGATGGGTTGACTTGCACTGGTAAAGGTCCTCGTGTCAGCTGGCTCGCACAGAAAACTTTAAGTAAACAAGAACTTATCACGATTGACCATTTTAGGACGCTTTTCGAGAGAAACATTCTCAAAAGAAATGATGCATGTGGAAGGAATGGTTTCTGGCGGTGGGTGTTTCCATCTTAATTCTTGTCTACAGTCAGGTTGAGTACTGGTAGTGGAACCTTTATTGCTGCTGAACGGTTAAATCTTTATGACACTCGGTGAGGATGCCTTATTCCCAGAATATGCCGAAAAGAAGCGTTTTATAGGAAGGTACAAGCTTTGGGTGGATTCCTGATAGCTATATAAAAGGAAACGGTCTATTTATAAACTACTATATTATTCTTCTCCCTAACCCGAAATAGCCCGCAATCTAATAGGCCTAGGCGTAAGCGAGTTTAGGCTTCCGCAGAGCCCATAAAGCTTAAAGCCCAACCTAGCCCAACCCACGAATGGGCTAGGCTTTTTTAAGGCCTACGGCCTATCGTGGGGGCCTATTAGGGGCCTATTCCTTAATAAATAGTGCAAATATACTATTTCTGTTACCAGCCAGTTCTTTAAACAAAATAGTGCATTTCAACTAAAATACGAAGTACAAAGAAGTAGACTTCCGCAAAGCTCGCAAAGCCCGAAACCCGACCCGACTCGACCCTTAAAAGGGTCGGGTTTCGAGCCCATTTCTAAAGCTCGTAGCGGGCTTCGGGCTTTTAGTTTGGCGTTCGTCTAACTAACCAGATCTACCAAATACCGGTAAAGAATGTATTATAATCCCGACTCAGGCTCGGTCGGCCTCCTCCCATGGGATAGGGATGATTCTATTCTTATACACGGATAAGGACATCCTCTTTATAGGAGAGGGGATAATTGTAACGGATAAAGATCCTTACAACTAGAATACCTAGAGCAGGTCGTATAAGTGATCTATCAATAGATCGGTATCGATTCGATATCGATCCCAGAGGGGTTCGTCAGGTGATATCAATGTCAGCATTAGCATGTTAGGTTCCATATAGTAGGGATCCCCTAAGGACCCTCTTAATTCTAGGAAGAATTAGTCTTAGCACACTCTACAATACATTGTGTTCCCCTCTCAGTCATAATGTCTTACCCGGTTGACAGGCCTTACACCTGAGAACAGTATACCATTACAAAGTGCCTTAGTTGAGTTAGACTTTTACCTCGCTTTTGTTATATAGACACTTGAAGCATATTGACATTTACACTTGACACCTGTCAGTTCTCAATTCACTTGTCGATAGTGGTCGAAGAAGTAAATGGACATTGTAGCTGATCATAATACCTCCACAGTGCCGTATTCGAAGCTGCATTGAGATGATTCAGCTGAGCAACAAGTTCATGTTTCTTGCTGTGCTCAAGCCGACCCCACATGGCTTCTTTCTATCACTGTCACTCCCTTGACCCCGGTGTGTGAGAATAGTCTAGACACTCGTTCGCCCTAGTCATATTACACTCCAATGGTTGCAGACATCTAGCAATCCAAACCTTTCTTCTTCTTTGACTCCTTGATCAGCTCGACGATGCTGGTGTTGCGATAAGCCATTGCGTACCACAGCGCCGTCTTTCCATTAGAATCCATCACGTCTATGTTGACCTGACCAGTCTTGAGAAGTCGTTTGACAACGGTGTCATGGCCGTTCTGTGCCGCATATGATAGCGCTGTCCGTCCAAGCTCGTTCTTCATATCTGGCTCGACTTTGCCAGTCTCGATAAGCCGTTTGACAACGGTGTCATGGCCGTTCTCTGCCGCATATGATAGCGCTGTCCGTCCAAGCTCGTTCTTCATATCTGGCTCGACTTTGCCAGTCTCGAGAAGCCGTTTGACAACGGTGTCATGACCGTTCTCTGCCGCATATGATAGCGCTGTCCCTCCATACCTGCTCTTTATGTCCGGCTCGACTTTGCCGATCTCGAGAAGCCATTTAACAACGGTGTCATGCCCGTTCTCTGCCGCATATGATAGCGCTGTCCGTCCATACCCGCTCTTCATATCTGGCTCGACTTTGCCGGTCTCGAGAAGCCATTTGACAACGGTGTCATGGCCGTTCTCTGCCGCATATGATAGCGCTGTCCGGACACCTTTCCCTTTCATGTCTGGCTCGACTTTACCGGTCTCGAGAAGCCGTTTGGCAACGGTGTCATGGCCGTTCTCTACCGCATATGATAGCGCTGTCCGTCCAAGCTCGTTCTTCATATCTGGCTTGACTTTGCCATTCTCGAGAAGCCGTTTGATAACGGTGTCATGGCCGTTCTGTGCCGCATATGATAGCGCTGTCCGTCCATACCCGCTCTTCATATCTGGCTCGACTTTGCCATTCTCGAGAAGCCATTTGACAACGGTGTCATGGCCGTTCTCTGCCGCATATGATAGCGCTGTCCGGTCACCTTTCCCTTTCGTCATATCTGGCTCGACTTTACCGGTCTCGAGAAGTCGTTTAACAACGGTATCGTAACCGTTCTCTGCCGCCCATGATAACGGCGTTCGTTGCTGAGCATCTCTTTGGTCTGGAGGGACACGAACATCTCTTAGCAACAGCTCAACTACTTCATGACAACCTGCTCCTGAGGCGTATGACAATGGTGTCCTTTGATGATGATCCTCCGAGTTTGGGAAACTTCCACATTTCATCAAGTCTTCCACAATGGTGATACTTCCACTTTCTGCCGCGTGTGACAGGGGTGTTCTGCCATTTGTGTCTCGAAAATCCGGTTCGCGACCTAATTCAAGCAACGCAAGTGCCACCTCCACCCATCCATGTTTCGCCGCTAAACAAAGGGCTTTTCCTTTTTGTTCTCTTTCTGTCTCGAATGCTGGATGGGTGACAAACAGTAGTGCAGTTTCCAAACAGTCCGTTTCTATATTAGCGAGGTCGGCGTCGCTGGCCTGATGTTGTGCTATCGTATTCGCAATATTGAAGTAGCGATTAATAACTTCGCGCGCGGACACCGATTGGTCACACTTCTGCTTATCGAGCCTAGAGATTCCGTCCTTGCCAAATGCCCTCGAGGACTCTTCTATTAAGGCCCACCGGTATAGCTCGCATAGAGCAATTGTCGCTTGCTTGGCGAGTGTCCCTTCCGATCCCGGTCCGTGATCTTCGTCTTTATCAATCACGTGTGTATAAGAATGCTGGGGTTGCCTGCAGATATTCCATGCCCATTGTAGCACCCTTTCTGCCTTCTTCCAATCCTTACGTTCTCGGTGCTGATTTGCGTTTTTCCTTGCTGCTGCTAAGGCACTCGCTGCAGAGGGCATCTCGAGTTGAGGCAACACTAATGGCATCACACAAAGTAGAGCTTCCAGTTTTGAGCCCAATCGCATCTCCGTAAAAAGTGTAACAATCTCAGACACTAGGCCGTTCTCAAGTCTAATCGATTCAGCATCCTTAATATGAATATCTCCAAAATTGTCCACAATGTCAAGAATGCTTGTGAGAAATGATGCAAAAATCTCCTGGGCACAGGATATCACAAGCGAACCTATCATCGGGGCGGACCAAAGGTCGAAGTCTTGGCTCTGCGACAGATTTGCAGTTTTCCAACCAAAGAAACGAAGAGGAGGTGGTTGAGTAAGCTGTACATCTGGTGCAAGCTCGCCGATAGGATACACATCCGTTACCTCCGGATTTGTCGACATTGTCCATACCGCACTCGCGTCGCGTAGTTCAGTGGACGCAGAGTGTAGAGCGGATTTCGTGATGGTTTTCATATCGTCGCCAAGCCATATCTCTAAGTCCGGTTTCATGACCTGGTCGGTTGGAATGATGCGTCGTGCCCCAATATCACTCGCCGTGGACCTTATGAAACCAGTCCATTGGTCCTTAGTCTCTATCCTCGGATCAGACTTCAACGACCAGACCCATAGACCGAGGATGCCTTCTAGCTCTCGTTTATTTTTAAGTACCCAGGGGCTTCCTAGAGCTGCGGAATCTTGGGTGAATTCCAGGTAAATTGTGTGCTCCTGGGGTATCGAGGGTTGGTTGGCTTGTTTGCCAAGAGCGCAATCGATGCCCCAGAACATAGATGAGGCTGTCTCCCACTTTTTCTTAATCTTGGCCTTCGAAAGAATTGTTTTAATAGTAGCCTCAATCAGCGCAGCTATCTGTCGACTCTCGCTTCGGACCTCCACCATTTCACTCCTGAATTCCCTAGCGGGGGCGGCAGACGACGTAGATAAATCCGTGAGCGACGCAAGTCGGGTTCGATATGCCAACAATATAGCAGCAGCATTCCAATAATCAGGAGACGGGTGCTCGATACTCATTTTGTTCGTCCCAGATGCACCACAGAGTCTCCAGAAGCGCCGATCTTGATCACCGGGGCTTACTAGAGTTGATGATGGGTTTTTGATGTCTTTTCCAAAAATATCACGGCCAATGCGTAAGGCGAGCCAGTCGAGTTCGTGGCCAACGACCTCGTCCGGAAATGTGGCGAAGCAATTATCCTTAGGCCTCAGTCGCTGCATACGGAGCATAGCTCGAGCTATACTCATAACCATAGTAACTCCTAACTGAGCGACGGAGACCGCTGAATATATACCTCTAAGGCCAGTAAATTGTAAGACAAAGCCAGAGATCGTGGTCCCAATAGCTGCCCAAACTCCAAGCTTCGATTCCTGTGACACGTTCTTTCTCTTAGAAGTTATGTATTTCTTAAGCTTCTTGTCATAGTCCGTGTGTGAGAAGGCATCAAAGGTTTGATCGCCGATGATTTGACCACCGGGCTGTATCCAATACATAGATGATTTATCGGTGACATTTTCTCGCCGGCGCCAGACATCCTCCTCAGTGCTCTGGCCAATTAGAAATGCGCAATGAAACATTCCGCCACAGACTAGGACAGTCCCGATGATAACAAGTGGGCATGCATAAGACTCTGGGGGCTTGTTATTGTTGCCCCATTTCAGGTAATACGTCGTAAAGCCGGCAAAAACCAAAACGCCAACTTGCAGAACCAGGCCAAGAAGAGCGATTACGTAGAAGACATGCTTCGATTTTTCTTTGATTCCAATATTGAGGGAGAGATTCGGAGCAAATGTCGTAAAGGGTGCATGCGATACATCGGGCGATTTAGGGGCTGACTCAGTGTCAGACTTCTTCTCCACTGCTGTTTTCGTTCTCCATAGCGACGTGACTTTACTTTTCCATAGTGTGACGCGGTTCTTAGGTGTTTCTTTTCGCCATAGGGCCTGGCCTTTATCTCGTTCAAGGTATTGCTGAAATGTGTATATACCGGCTGTGTCGTCTTTCGGATCGCTAAAATCATGATCCGGGTCGTGGACAATCTCGAGAATTTTTGGACGACCAAAGACGCGCGCGATGCCACCACTGTTATAGAGCTCACATACATCCCGGCTTGTCGAGGTGCATAGCTCCGCCTCCGCGTTGCCCGCTCCTTCTTGAGCTCTGCCGATGAAGGCGCGTAGTGACGGGGTTCCGCACACTCGAATTGCAGAGACGACCCCTGTCAAGATGCCTATCGGGGCCATGGCAAAAATGAAGTAATCGATTGCATTGACGCTCTCACTTAGGTACTGCTTCGTGATCTGTTCACCAAAGAGGGATAGAAATGGCGCGAGGTCGGTCGCGAGATTGTTCGAAAAGTCATCCCAGCCACCTGCATGGACCACTGGCAGGGCGATCAAGATCGTGAATAAAGTATATGTGAGCATTGTCTGTCAGTGCCTGTCGGGATCGGGGGCAGAGTTGCACAAGCAAAATCTGACTTTGCACCACTAACGTTACTTTGGACACGTTTTACACAGCCATGGGGCTGAACGATTGCCCTGGTGCCAAGAATATACGTGCAGGCTAATTGCGTGGAGCGTCTAGCTCTGTTTTCTTATTCGCCAGCTCAGAAGGCCCGATCGCACAAATGGATACAACAGACGAACTTGAAGGCGCTTTTCGAGTTTCTACATGTAGACTAGTTTTTAAGAAGCAAAAATTGTCATATATCGAAGGTACAATACCACAACTGATATTAATCGTACTTAAAGAGAACATAGGCAAAATCTGTCTTGCGGGTAATGATTGTCGGCTCGCCTGCCGGCCCGAACCGACCCAGATATCTCGTAGCTGCGTCTCTGGCCACCCTATCAACGTCTTTGACAAGAGGAAAAAGATATTATGGCACTTTGACTTAGATAGTCCCAGCCTATGATGATCCGCGATATGATCTGTAGCAGATCACTAACTATCAATGCCAACCTGCGAATATTTGCCGCCGTCCGAGCACCCCTAATCCCTAGCAGCCGTCCCCGATCATATATCTATACTCGAGTATTGCTTCGATGAAAATCTCGAAGAATATATCGAGTAACAGAACATATCGGCTCTTTTTACCGGAACGAGGCAAATGCCGCCAAGGGACTAGAAACGAACTCGGCACATCGAACAGAGCGCGTAGATAAAGGGCTGGGGCAGTTCTAGGATCTCATCCGCCGTAGAATGATAGAATTTGCAGTCCCGTTGGAGAGTGGGAGAAGGCTCCTGAATCCACGTTGGGCAATCCCTCCCACCATTATTAACATTTCATGGCAAGCCTCATGATTAACATGAAGCCATGTATGCAGTCGTTCATTGGTCGAAAAGGCTTTTCAGGGCCAGATGAGGAAAAAATTTGTAACTGCGCTCTGACATGAGATATTACCAACAGTATTTGAACTAGGCTGGGGTTCATGAGCTATTAGTGATGATTACACAAATTAGTTAGAAAATCCATAACAGATTTGAATAACGATGGCGAAAGCTATATTGTTATTAGGATTTTAGTTCCATAACGATACTTACATGACGGATCCCGGTGTATGTAAGGGAATGAAATACAGACACGCTGCCAAAGTACCTTGGGCCCATTTTTCAAACTCGACCCCCATGTTCGTCCCACGCTGCTTATGTTGATGTAAAGGAAATTGTGTTGATGACGATCTAGTTGGGCCAAGGCTTTTCAAAGGTGCCAGTCCACTGAGCCCATCCGATGACCTTGCCCGCCATAGCGCGCTTGATATCCTTCTTGGTCGCCTTCTCAGGAGCCTTGAACTTCAGTGACTCATTGAGGGCGATAATGGTGAAGACGTAGCGATGCTTTCCGTGACCGAGGGGTGCGCCAGCGCCGACATACGGCAATCCGCGTAAGTTGGGCACAAAACGCCAACCGGCAACAGTCAGGCGGGAAATCTTGGAGTGTTCATCCGGGTGGATATTAGCTGCTTCAGCCTTGGTAGTCGAGGCTGGAATTGCCCAGAGGAGACCGTGGTGGAATACTAGGAATGGGATCGGTGGATCGAGGTCTTCACAGAGGAGTACATACTCCCTAACCTCCTCGCGACAGTCTGGAGCGGTCCAGTGCAGCGCAGGAAGACAACCCTTGCCATCAAGGGCCTTGCAGGTACAGTGGAGAGGTAGCTTGGAGCCCGAGGGGCCAGCCTTGGGTGCCTCGAGGGTCATGTTGGGTTCCGGAAGATCTTTGAAGGCCGGGCAATGAATGATCTGGCCCGAGTCATGCCCACGGATTGGGTACAGGAGCCGGCCAATGATGAATTCAAGATAATGCAGGATCGCCATGGCACATAGATTTGATAGAACTGGGGAAATGAATTCTTTTTGTGTGAAGATGAAGGAAGAACAAAAGTCGCGATGTTGACTGTCGGGGAAGGGTAGGTGCGGCCCGATTGGGAAGCTGCCCTGTACCGGCCCGGAATCGGCAAGTGCGACTCTCATCTCTCGACGTTCTTGTGCGAAGTTCTGATGTTCCCAATTTGATAAGGCCCATGTCTACATGAATTTAAGCATTTAAATTCCAGGTTGTAATGCGCGAAGTCGGTTGGCGAGACGAAGAGGTGTTCTGCGCCAGAGCTTGCGCTCTCCTCTCTTCCAATCCGTATCACGGGGCAGTTATAGCTTACTGTTTGGAAGTCTTGCGGTAGTTCAAAGTACTCAAAAGAGGACAAAGTATGTGCTTGACCCTCATTACTCTAGTATTTGCGCTGAGGCAATGGCAAAATCTTTATCGGCGCGATGAGCTGACCAAAAAGGACATCAATGCAGATATTATCTCAGAGGAAAAGGCCTAGCGGTTGAGTGGTTCAAGTTACGACGCAACGACGCTCGCATAACCTGTAAACTCCCCGGCTTCCATCGCAATGATCGGAATCTCATCTTCAGCCAAGGAGGCAAGGGTCCCCTTCTCCAAGGGCGCCCACCCCAATTTCCGAAGTCGATTCGCCCTATTCCGTGCATTTGATCCGAGCACCATCCCAGAATAATCCCCGAACAGATCACCCCACTGTTCCTTCGGAATGGGTTTCGGCGTCGATTGAGCAATGCGGCCTGTATTCTTCAGTACACGGCCAATCTCGGCAGCACATTCACCCCAAGTCAACTCTTGGCCGTTTTCACAAAAGAAGTACGGATTCAGCGCAATCTCAGTGACAGGCGCACGCTCCATCCAGTGAACGAGAACCATATATCCCCTGGCAAGGTCTCTGACATGAATCTGATTCCAAACTGCGAGACCCTTCCCGATCTGACCCGCATAGCCATGTTTGATAGAGAACCGGATGAGTGTCGGCAATTGGATCGACAGGCGCTTCTCTCTAGCAGTCAGACCGTAGATAAGAGGCGGAATCATGATGGCTATTTTGGCGTGGGAGGCTAGTTCTCGGCCTGCCCGGATGATGGCCAAGTCGATTTGGCGATGAGATGCGGAATCGGGGAGAGCGTCAATCTCTCCGGGCTGTTCATCGTCAAATATGGTATCGCTCTTGTACTCGCCTTGCGCGGTATCAGAGAGCAAAGTTGCTCCGCTGTTGTGGATGTAGATTGTGCTTAGCCCTTGCGCCGCTCGTTGTCTGATGCCATCGATGATTGCTTGGACAGATGGCAAGTGGTCTGCAGTGGCGGTGTGGAAGACCATGTCACTAACTGCAACCTGATCCTTGATCAATGATGCATCATCCAGGTTACCAACCACTGTTTTGACGCCTAAATTGGCGTAATCTGCAACGGCTGATTCGCGACGGACAAGTGTTGTTACTTTTATAGTTTGATATGAGAAGGAGGTCTATGAGCTCTCCGCCGATAAAACCGGGACCAAGAAGGAAGACAGAAGCAGGCATTCTGGGTGACAGGTTGAATTAATCGCGAAATACGTACATTGTATCCTCGCCGGATTAAATATGGGTGACTGCAGGTTGACGTCGTCACGATTAGTAAGATCTTGCCTCACCTGGGCAGCCCTCCAGGGAGGATATCCATGGATTAGGTTGGATTTCAAATTGGAAATATAGCGTGAGTGAAGAGCCTCCTAGAGAACTCCCGCATTTGGCTTTAATTGAACTCATCGGAGTTCAGCCCGGCCAGGTCTTCTTCCTCTTTGGCTGTTTCTGCGTTACAATGCAACGAGCGAACACGAGAGAGCCCGAACAGCACGGCAATTTGCAACGTGTAAGGATCAGACTACGAGCGGGTGCAAGACGACTCAAGAATTCATAATGATGGGGTTCAATCAGGTAGTGCTAAGATACAAAAAGGGAAGGCACGATTGGCCAAGCAGAAGGTAGTTGCATTCTGCTGTTTCCGACCGCCAAGTCTAATCTTGCGGTCTCGCATGTGAGGAGAGCCTTTGGTCATTTTATAGAGCGTGTGTCTTCTAAATATAAGTTGTAATCCTGAATGGGATTGTTGCATCACACTAAATAGATGATTCGAACGTAAGTGTGATCCAATGTCCCGAAAATAGCGCCCCTAGACCCACCGATACTATCAAGTTGCCTCAGGGGCCCCATGGGTGAGTTCAGGCCTTGTTTTCCCTATGTACCCAGGGCAGTATAACGACGCGGTTTAATCCCCCTTTTTCAATTAATTTCTGTTGTACTAAGGTGCTTGGGCGTGAAGCAAATCCCACCCGAAGTCGGATGTGTTGAAATAGTACACTGAGGGACTATACAGCATGTAAAATGGATGGAGTATCTCTTGCAAAGATAAATGGAACTATGAATATAGTGCCAGAAATGGAATTGTAAAACTGTCTAATCTCTTCATACATAGAAAGAAGCCCATATTTATAGGCTTCTTCTTCCTCCCCTGGAATCCATCAATTTGTAATAGAAACAGAAAGAAAGAAGCTGAAAGGGCGGTGGTAGCACTGAAAGCAGCCTGAATTGAAATCACTTCCTGTGATATAACAAGCTGGCGGTTGTATACAGGAATTGGTGTTGTAGACGGCAAGCTGCATCGACTAACCTCGATTGGACCTCAAGCTCTTGGCATGGGGGTTGCATAGTGATTCGTAATGCATAAAGAATGCCGAATTAGGGTTAGCGTTGAAAGCTCCATGTTAATTACTGAGAATTAACCTGGATTCTCAACAGGATGCAGGCCACAATATATCAGCAGAGTGGCGGACAACGATGGAATCCCCTTGTTCCATTTTATGACACCGAAGATCTGTTCAAATTGATCGTGGGGAACCTACAACATCTCGGCCTCTCTGTGCATGAAGGTGGCAAGTTCCGAATAGTGTTACGAATGACGAAATTTTCTTACAACTCTGCAGTTTAAATACTCGATTGTAGATATATAAAGATGTGTTGTTGTTCCGTTCTAGGGAAACCCACTTCTGCGTTACCAACAACCATTTTGACACCCAAATAGACGTAATATACAGTTATATGCAATATGTTATCAAGAGGTTAATAATATTTTCACCGATGAAACTGGGATTAATGTGCAAACAAAATAGGAAATTCGCAAAGGAGTGAGTGCCGCCTGCAGTTTGGTATTGTAGTGGGCGAGAAGGGGCTAAATTTTTCTCCCATTTCCTGATCTAGCTCTGAGCGAGGACCTGATCAATCAGAGCCCGAATCTGGCCACCGTGCTTCTTTTGCTGTTAACGGAAGTTAGTAATGGACCTCATATCAAAAAAAAGAGGAAGTTCAACTCACCATCATGGTAAAATGATCGGCTTTCACCCTCTCAAGCAAGAAATCTGCACCCGGCAATAGCTTATCCCATCCATCAGGCCCAAACTCTTCTCTCCGCTTCAGCATGAAATGATCACGCCCCATCTTGAGTCCCAAATCAGGCGCATCGTTTGCATCCATCACCGTCTCAGATGCCCAGATCAACCCCACATTCGGCATTCTTCCCGCGTGAAGAGGCACAGCCTTATACGGCAGCATTGTCTCCATCGTTCTCAAGAAGTGCGGAATCAGCGACGCGGGTGGGATCTCGCTGCCGAAAAGGCCTCGTCGACCGCAGTACTCATAGAAGCCCGAAGGAAGAGTTCCTAGCTTGCGCGGGACTGGTGAATCAATGATGATTAGACTGTGGACCTCGGCGCCGGATTGGATGAGGTGGCTGGCGCAGGCGAATGCAAATGCACCGCCGGCGGACCAGCCGCCCAGGTGATATGGGCCAATGGGTTGGCGGCGTGTGATTTCGTCGCAAAAGCTGGAGACCATGGCAGCAGGCGTGCAGTTCAGGTCTTCTGGGCTGCGAACATAGGGGCAGTTCAGGCCGACTAGGGCAACATCCGCGGAAAGGCGGGGGATCTGGACGTAGGAGGTTGCAGAGCCAGAGCCATCAGGTAGGAGGAAAAGGGTTTTGGGCGCCAGCTTAGGGATACCTTGGAGAATGACTGAGGTTGCAGCGCGGCATTCGGAGGACAGGTTCTGGTATTGGAAGGCATGGTCGATGTCAGAATCAACGTCGCTGGCACTTTCGTCAGGAGTTGCCAGAGGGGATGTATCTGGGGAGTCGAAGGCGCTGGTGCTGTTGTCGGCATCAACATTCTCTGTGTTGGCTAGGAAGGTCTTCAGATCTGCAACTGTAGGACAGTTGATGAAGATTGAGAAGTCTGCATCCAAATCCACGGCGAGCTCTTCCCTCAGTCGACTCTGAATGACCATCGAGCACAGCGAGTCCACACCAATGTCAGCAAAGTTGCTGTCATCGGTCAAGTCCTCAAGGCTTAGGCCACTCTCGTCAGAGACAATTGCGATCGCATTCTGGACCAGCGTGCTCGCCATTGCCGCTTTTTTGGGCCTAGGTTCGGATCTGGGCTTCGATGAGCATGGTCAGCAAGCGCGGCGGAATGGAAATCTATATCGTACCTGACTGTTTCATCCACTGCTACTGCCATAGGAGCCTTCAGGTCTGGCCCAGATGAGAACGACGGGTTGTAGGATGGTACTTGAGTGCTTTCATGGTCGAATTGGGCTGTTGCGTTGGAGTCCCGCACCGAGGGGGCGAATGAGGAAGAAAAGGATGCCAGACGGGTGCTGTCGGTGGAGCTTGGGGTTGAGATCAAAACCGGTTCTTCCACAGGTTGAAGCTCGACATGTTGGACCTGAACAGACACCTCGCTCATCTCCTCGTCCGGTGCCCCTGAAGACTCAGAGCCCCCATCAAGCTCAATGAGGAAGTCCTTCAATTGCTTCACCGTAGGACAGTTGACGAAGATGGAGAAATCGGCGGCTAGATCCAAGTGTAGATCCTCGCGCAGCCGACTGCCAATCACCATCGAGCACAGCGAGTCGATACCGATGTCGGCGAAGTTACTATCATCGGTCAATTCGTCCTCAGAAATTCCGCTCTCTTCGGATACAATCGCCATGACCTGTGCGATAATCGGCGGGGCCGCCTTGCTGGCCTTTGGTCCAGAAGAGCGTACAGCGGGCGCTTTTGGGGCCGATAATTCAACCTGCTGAGATACAACGGGCTTCACAGCGGGTTTCGCTTGTTGTGGTGGTTGAACGGCCGCAGGAGTTGGAGCTGCAACCGGGCACTTTTGCACGGGCGCCTTCAACGGTGCAGCCGCCGGCTTGGGCGCGCCATTGTCGACCTTCTTAGTTGAGCCGCTCTTCTGGTGAAGCGATTGTGTGACAACCTTCTGATACTTGCGTAGCATGCGTTGGACCTAGAGAAAAGAAATCAGTTCAGCGCTTCACTAGCCCGTCAAAATCCGATCAAACTCACAGTAACACCCTTGAAGAAAGCCACCAGCTTGCCCTGATCCATGACAACGGTATCGCCACGATAGAACTCATGCCCATCAGCGTACATCTGCACGTAGACTTCATACTTTCTATCCGTCTTGAGCTCTTCATACAGCTGCAGGCCCTGCCATCCATGGCTGATGAAGACCTCCACATCCAGATCCATGCACTCTCGTGCATTGATAGCAAATCCACCCACTTGAGTGATGGCATCGACACAGCCTGGATGCGCCGCAAAGGATCCCCCAGGAGCGACAGTGGCAAAGTTGAGGATACCCGTAGCTTCCAGGGTGTTCTCATTCACAATGAGGTCGTCGAGTAGTTTATAGTCCGGTCCAAAGTCTGCGACGCGCGACATCAGGCGGTACCCACTCTTCTTGTTGTAGCGCATGAGGTCGTCCTCAGATACGCCGTTGCGTAGCCGCTGGATCCGAGACTGGTAGTCTGGGATGCTTGATTGAACGGTCTTCAAGAGAGAAGTGTCCGAAAAACGCAAGACACCGTAGCCGTGTCGGGAGGTGGTGTTTCCCTTCGCCTGTTGGGGATGGTTAGTCACATGTAATTGGCCGAAGAGCAAAACGAAAAAGAATTGGTAGTCAGCAGAGCAAACTTACATCAACACTGTAGAACTCAATTTTGCCTTCGCGCAGAGTGTTGGGCACATTGTCGGTAAACGGCGCAGTCAGAGAGACCCGAACTGGCTGGGCTCCGCGGGCATGCGGCACCAGCACCTTATCAGCCACAACATCGGCCACATCGATGATGATAGAACGATCGGGAGCAAAGCGTTGATGGGCGTACTTCCCAACAACGAGGGCCATGTCTGCAAACCATGAAGGAACGGTGAAGGGGATACCATTGACAATGTGACCTGCAGCCAGATCCTTGATATCAGCTCGACTGATATCTCCCTCGAAGACCAAGCGGATCTGGCCTCCAGTCGTGTTGTCCTCAACCATGCGATGAACGGTACTGGTTTGAGGGTGAGGCACGAGGGGTCGCGCCGCTTTCGGAGGAGTGGGTGTGTAGGCTTTATTAAGCGCTTTTGGTGCTGGTTCCTTGGATTCAGTGGCGGTGATGGGCCGGCCATGGGGCTTGTAGATACACCAGTCGTTCTCGTAATCAATCCAGTAGCTCTTCAGATCCCATCCGTATGCAGGGAGCTCAAGCACATTGTGCGCGGCGGAGAAGGGCGCGTGATAGACTCCCCAGTCCAGATCAGCGCCGGAATCGTACAAAGCCTGGACAGCAGCAGTCAAATTAGGCCAAACAGATGCACCGCGCTGGAGGATTGGGAGAGTACGCATCTCCTCTCCAAGTGTGGCTCGCACCATGCCGCATACCACGGGGTGCGGGCCAACCTCCACGGTGAAGGTCTTGGAATCAATGATCTTGGCGGACTGAGCTGCCAAGAGAGCTCCTGCCATGTCTACGGTCTCGCGGCAATGCCGAGCCAGGTATTGAACATCAAAGATGCCATCAGTCTGGATAACGGAGCCGGTCAGCGGACAAAGTACGGGTAGGGTGGGCGCATGGAATCGGGCCCCTGCTGCAGCGGCGGTAAAGGGAGCCAAGATCGGGTCAACCTGCGCTGAGTGGAAGGCGAAAGGAACCTTCAGCAAGGTAGAGGGGATCCGGTTCTGGGCCAAAATAGCCTTCGCAGCCTGGATCTGGGCGTTCGATCCACTGATCACCAAATCTTCTGGGCCGTTGACACAAGCAATCTCACATTGCTGGTTCGCCAATAGCTGAGTGATGGTATGCCGGGGAGCTTTCAAGGCCAGCATAGCATGGGTACCCTGCTGGCAGAACTCCTGTAATAACTGGGCTCTCCGACCGACCAGGAACAAAGTGTCAGCAATAGTGAGCACACCGGCCACTTGGAGCGCCGCGTAGAAACCGAGACTATGTCCGGTCACGGAATGCGGGCGGATGCCAAAGGCGATCAGAAGATTGGCCAAGGCCATCTGGATGGCGGTGATGGCTAACTGAACGGTGACAGGGGGGTACTGGTCAATGCTTCCATCCTTCTGAAGAAGGATTTGGATGAAAGATGGAAATCCGAGTCCCTGTGCCATGAAGTCAAAGTGTTCGACATCGGATCGGAAGCCTGGATAAGTCTCCAACAGCTGCTGGCCCATCGCCATATACTGCGCTCCCTGCCCAGTGAAGGCAAAGAGTACCTTGGGCTTAGACTTCGCACGCGTACTACCATCTCCGCGATCCAGGGCGATCTGCAATTTGTCTGCAATCTCGGTAAGACTAGTTCCGGTCGCACTGACACGGAAGACATGCTGTTGGCGACGTGCGGTAGTTGTCCAGGAGAGTTGTGCGAGCGAGAAGCTAGGGTTCTGTTCTTCCTTCCGGAGGTATGCTACCAAATTCTCCAAGTTGTTCTTGAGGGCGGCCGCCACATGCCCAGAGACAGTCACGATATGGCTGGTACGTGGATCCTGACCCTCTGGGGGACAACGGACGGGGGCATCTTCTAGAAGAAGGGCTGTGTTGCCACCTGCTGCGCTGAAGTTGTTGATGAGAGCCTTGCGAGTACTGGGCCCTCGTTCCCACGGCGTGGGTCCTAAGGCGATGTGGACATTACGTGCAGGTAAATCCGGATAATTGCGGTTGATGCGGCTGCCAGGTTTGATACCACAGTGGGGTGGAATTGTATTGTGCTTCATCATCAAGAGCACCTTGCAGAGACTGGAGATGCCGGAAACACCTTCGCCGTGTCCAATATTGGCTTTCACAGTACCCACATGAAGCGGGTTTTCCGGCGTCCGCGTTGCTTCGTCTTTAGCAAACACGCCCAAAACGGATGCCATCTCCACAGCGTCGCCAACCTGAGTTCCGGTTCCGTGCATCTCAACATAGCTGACTTCGGAGGGATCGACGTTCACCGTGGCTAGCACCGAGTTCATGTTGTCCACTTGGGCTTCGACATGTGGCCGGGTCATCGAGTCAGCCATAGAGGAATGGTTGGTCTTCACATCCAGGATGACGCCCAGGATGGGATCGTTCTCTGCGATCGCGTCTTCCAGTCGCTTGATGACTATTGTCGCTACAGCTTCACCTCGGCAGTAGCCATCCGCGGCATCATCAAACGGCTTGCAGTTACCGGTTCTTGACAGGAAGAAGCCCTTATCCAGCCCAGTGTGTCCATCCGGGTTGATACACATGTTTGTACCTCCTGCAATGGCTGTGTCACAGTCACCACGCCAGATCGAGTTACAAGCCAGATGGATAGCTGCCAGGCTGGACGAGCATGCAGTATCATTCGTGTAACTTGGCCCAGTGAACTCAAAGCAAAAGTTGATACGGCCCGGGATGAAGGCACGGTTGCCGCCGGTGATGAAATAAGTGTCGATGTACTGTCCACTGTTGCACTCCAGATAATCATTACTGGTCACGCCGTGGAAAACTCCGACCCGGTCCTGCTGACTGGAAGGCGTGGTATTGGACACAAAGCCGGCTCCCTGAAGCGCCTCGTACGTTGTCATGAGCGCCATGCGTTGCGCGGGATCCATCTGCGGTGCTTCCTTGGGCGAGATACTGAAGAATCTGGGGTCGAACTGGTCCGCGAAGTCCAGCCAGCATCCCCATTTCGTGCCACCCATATTGTGGCCCTTACCATCGGGGGTGACGTGAGTTCGCCAGTCCCACCGTTTCTGGGGAACCTCTTTACAGACATCCAGTCCCTCGTAGAGCATGTCCCAGAATGCCTCCGGTGTGGGGGACTCGGGGAATCGGCCAGACATACCCACAATAGCCAGCTTCGACTTGGCCCGGGGAGTCGATTGGAAACTGGTCTCCTGTAGTCCATCCAGTGGCTGGACCTGAATGTTGGCCAGCTCCTTCAGGCTGGCAGACAGATTCTGCTCTAGATTGGTAGCGATAGGCGTGATGGTGATAGCTTCCGCTCCACTGCCACCCACAATGGAGCGGAAATTGCCCACGACCTTGTCCCATCGGATAGGTTCCAGCAGGCAATCACCCAGGGCGCGTTCCAGGAGCGCGACGAATCCGCCCGCCCAGACCGGCATGCCGGTAGCGCCAGAAATGACTGGAAGTTTGGCATTGAAGCCGGACCACTGGGTTGGCACAGTGGTTTCGAGAATTGTTGCTACATCATTCTTGGAGAACAAGTGGCGACCGTGAGCCGGGAGGAAGATGGGTATGGGCTTCGACCGGTACTGAGAAAACACCGGGGCAGAGCGTAGATCTTCCAGCACGGTGGGGCTCCCGCTGATAGTCAGGGCTTTGCCCGCGTGGGCGCTCACAAAGGGGCGCGATAACTCCGACACACACTTTTGTATGGTCAGCGCAAAAGGTATCACAAAAACTGGGGGCAGGGAAAGTAATAGCTGACCTTTGTACGAATGAACTCCTGTAGAGCCGGAAGAGCGGTCTCTTCATCCAGCCCGAAGAACAGCATCGACCACTGATTCGGTTCGCCAGCCTCTGGGCGCCCAATGCGATCCCTCACATCCACTGCAAGCAGACCGAGGCGCAAGGCGATCTGAACAGTGTGAACCGCAGCCGGAAGCAATTCCGACAAAGAGCTGGACGAGGCAATAGCCGCCGCCGCGAGCGAGCCCGTGCAAAGGCCAATCAAGTAGGTTGACCCAGGAGAGGGATATACCGCGCCAGGCTCTTCATAATGACTGAATGCCACACTATCAGCTATGTTGCTCTGCAATTTTACGGAATTGTTCAAAAGACACTTACCAGATGAACGAGCCCAATTGAGTTAGAGCATGCAGAGACACTTGGAAGGCGGGGCTCAAGCTGCCTTCACAGTACTTCTGCAGCAGATGCGAGAGACTGGAACTCCGCGAGGCTTGTCGCTCAGCCGATGAGCACCAAAGGTTGCTCTGGGCGCGGATCACAAAGTGGGCCTGCTCGAGGAAGGCGGCCAGGATAGGCTTGCTCCTGCAGCTGAGCAGCCGACGAAGATCCGGCACGAAATCATAGGTTTGGTCGCCAAAAAGGAAAATGTGAGTCTCAGGCTTCATCATGGCGATATCTATAAATGGACTTGGGGATTTGGTTGGCTGGAGTTGGGTTGGTTGTCCTAAAAGCGTCCCCACAGCGTCGTTTAACGCACAAAGAGTCTAGATGAATGAATGAAGGAGTGGTTGATTGCTCAAATAATTCAAACAAGCAAGGACAGGCGTCACCATAAGTATATACAATACTTTCCCGGACATTGCCAGTATGCCCTAAGGTTGGAAATTGGCCGTAGCTATGCTAAGCTAAGCTAAGTGGCCGGAGACCGATTGGAGCTGACAGGAGCCCCCAACTGCTTTTCCTCCATGGCTGTCTGGGATTCCGCTGACTCGCTCTGCGAACACGCCATGCGACCGCTAAACTCTAGCCTCGGCCCTCCTCTCAGTCTTTTGTTGCTTTCTACAATTAATCTTCTTGGGTGATACTGGGTGATCATGCTGGCTCGCCGGACAACATTGGGTCGCTGGCGACTCCCCCAGTATCAACACGAATCACTCTTCATACGCGCATCGGTAGCCAGCCATTCATGCCCCAGCAAATAGCTCCAGTTGATCGAGCGGTCTTCTCTCGCTACTTCTCTGCCACAGCAGTCAAGCGTGTCACCATCGGCGGCGTCATGATTCCTCAGCTTTTTGTGCCGCCAGCTATGTTCGTCGGAATGCTCCTGACTCTGTGGGCCTGGAAATGCTTTTGGATCATTGTGATGCAAGACCGGCTCATGTACATGTCCTGGATGCCTCCATTCTCTCGCTCAGAGAATATGGACGATTATGAAATCGAGTGTCGCCCTGTGCAGTGGCAGGAGTCCTACTTCCGAAGTCTGGATGGCACGAAGTTGGCCATTTGCATCGGCACCATTCCCCAGAGGGTTTCTTCGCCTTCTCTTTTGCCTTCTCCTTCTCTAGAGCAGCGTAAGCGACATGTGGTGATCTGTTATTTTCAAGGCAATGGGGGTTCCATGCCCCCGCGGCTGCCGATTCTCTCCACAGTGCTGCGAGCGTTGACTTCCTCAACATTCTCCTCTTCTTCTTCCCCACCCACCGATTACACGTTGGTGGCTCTATCCTACCGTGGCTACTGGAAATCCTCCGGTCGCGCATCGCAAATTGGGCTTGAGCGGGACGGCCAAGCTCTCCTAGACTGGGTTACAGAAACCTACTCGGCCCCCGATACCGATCTCAAAGTTGTTCTCTGGGGTCACAGCCTAGGCTCCGCGGTCGTGAGCCATACTACAGCCACCTATCTCAACCGTTTAACCTCTAGCGAGGGAGACGGTCCAGATCACCCAGTCTCGGGGATTGTATTAGAAACCCCATCGACCAGCACTAAAGATATCCTGAAGAATCTGTACCCCCAACGATGGCTGCCCTATCGATACCTGTGGCCTTTTCTTTGGAACAATTGGAGTACCGCCGTGGCAATTACCCGGATTGCTCGCTGGCGGGACGATGCTCCAGAAGAACGGAGAGAACCCCCCGCGATCCTGTTGCTCATCGCGGACCAGGATGAGATGATTCCGTCCACGGCGGCGGATGAGTTGGAGCGGTTATGTCGACAGAATGGGTTGGAGGCCGAGCGGAAGAGTGTCGCGGGTGCGCTGCATACGGAGGCTTTATTGAAGCGTGAAGGGCGGGAAACTCTCCTGGCATTTATTCGCCGAGTGACACAAAAATAGATACTACCAATGAGTATACTATAGACTATAGACAAATCTCAGCGATTGATGTTATATCCCCCTCTCTCCTGTCCTAGATCGCCATGCCGATTCCCAGACGGGGTTTAGGGTGCACGGTTCTGTTATCCCCGAGTCATTCCAAGATTGCACAGGTGTTTAATGAAATTTTCTACGATTGTGCTCCGTAGTTTCCAAGGTTTAGTGGCGCCATTTAATAGGATGTCCTCGATAAAGTTTAACAAGCTCGATGAGCCTCACTGCTCATAGTTAACATTCAATATCTTTTTCACCAACGTAGAACCAAAATGGCACACCACAATGCTGCCCTGCTGCCTCGCTCAGGAGGCATTTTCGAACCATTATATTTAGCTTCTGTAAGCTGCCGTCTGAACAGGGATGTGTTTGCGATGGTCAGCACAACATCCCTGTCATCACGGCCCGCCGGGGGAACTTTGACGCCGCAGACCTAGATCTCGCTCTCCGAATATGCGCTCTGATTGGTCGATGGAGTGACGAAATCCACATCTATGGATCGCGATAGATTATATATGAACTTACAAGGTTGGAAAGTGAACGACCATAAATCTCTAGTTGTGGGCAGCCTTTGTTGACAGCTGTGTGATTGTGTTTGATCCGTCTCAAATTTATTTTCCACCTTGACCAGCATGGGCGTCGATGAGAGGACATCTGCGGAGGTGCTTCCTTCAAGGGACTCCGCAACCATGTTTTCCGACGAAGAAGACGAGTCTAAGGCCAATGTCCTGCCAATGGGGTGGCAGTTGGTGGGAATCATTGGCAGTCTCATGATGGCGGTCTTCTGCATGGCATTAGATAATACCATTATCTCAGTCGCAATCCCCAAGATCACCACGGAGTTTCACAATCTCAACGATGTGGGCTGGTATGCTTCGGCTTACCTGCTCCCAGGATGCGGTGCGCTTTCCTCCCCTCCCCTCTCACGACGTTTAAAGTATAGCAGCTGACAGCTTGACGCGACCTATAGCTTTCCAACTCCTCGCAGGCAAGCTATACACACACTTCAACATCCGCGAGGTTCTGTTCGGTGCGATCTTCGTCTTCGAAGTCGGTTCATTGGTATGCGGTGTGGCACCAACCTCGACCGCGCTGATTGTCGGCCGCGCCGTAGCCGGACTGGGTAGTGCTGGTATCTTCACTGGCGCACTGGTTTCCATCGCCCATGTGACCGCATTGGAGAAACGACCCCTATACTTCAGTCTGATTGGAGGTGTCTATGGCCTTGCCTCCGTTATTGGTCCTTTGGTAACTCTTCCTTGCCTCTCCACCTCATAGCTCTCCGCTAATACAGTCCACAGCTCGGCGGTGCCTTCACCGACAAAGTAACCTGGCGCTGGTGCTTTTATATCAACTTGCCTCTGGGTGCCGTTGCAGTCGTAGGTCTGCTGCTCTTCCTTCGAATGAAGCCCCGACAAGGCTCGCAGAAGCCTTGGAAACAGATTTTCTGGAGCTTGGATCCTTTCGGCACGCTTCTCTTCGTCCCATCCATCGTTTGTCTCCTCCTATCACTGGCATGGGGCGGCTCCACCTACGCCTGGTCGGATGGTCGCGTCATCGCCCTGTTCGTCGTCTTCGGCTTGACCCTGATCACTTTCTGCTACCTCCAATGGCACTTGAAGGAGAACGCGACAGTGCCGATTTCCATTGCTGGTCAGCGCACGATTGCTTGTGCATCGCTTTTTGAGTTCTGCCTTGGCGCTTCTTTCTTCATTTTTGTGTACTTTGTGCCGCTTTGGGTAAGTTCGCCGTCCCATTCCCCTTCAATGAGCATTTGACTTACCTCCCAACCTATAGTTCGAAGCGATCAAAAACACCTCAGCAGTCACCGCAGGTGTCAACCTTCTCCCCCTCATTCTCTCCGAGATCGTCGGAATCGCCATCTCCGGCGCTCTCGTAACTCATCTGGGCTACTTCAGCCCCTTCTTCATCTCCTCCTCCGTGGTAATGTCTATCGGTGCTGGTCTCTGTCTCCTCTTTGACGTAAATACCCCTACCTCCAAGTGGGTCGGATATCAATTCCTGTACGGCTTTGGAGTGGGTTTGGGATTTCAACAGGGTACTGTTGCTGCACAAGCCGTGTTGCCTTTCAATGACGTCGCCACTGGCACTGCGGTCGTGGTGTTCTTGCAAATTCTGGGTGGATCCATCTTTGTGTCTGTCGCGCAGAACCAGTTTACAACAAAGCTGGTCAGCAACTTGCTCGCACTCGATATTCCAGGGTTGAGCCCTCAGGGGATCGTGTCTGCGGGAGCCACAGGATTACGCGATTTGGTGTCGGCGGAGGATTTGCCAAGGGTTCTGGTTGCGTATAATGACGCGATTGTCAGTGCATTGATGGTGGGTGTCATCGTCGGCGCTATCAGTATCTTTGGCGCGCTTGGGGTGGAGTGGAAGAGTGTGAAGCAGCCGGAGGGGGAGGGGGAGGAAGGAGGGATGGTTGTGCCGACCGCGGCATAATGAGTGAATGAGCTTAGATTGGATATAAATTAGGGATAGAAACGGGCAAATTGGAATTTCCCCTCATAACGAATTATACATCAGACGATTGACTCAGCCTCTTGGGCACATGTACGTATTTAACGGCCTCCAGGTATCATAGTTTCAAATCACACTTTTATCGATCTCGTGCCCAATGCGTACAATCTAGCGGTTCTAGCCGTCTCATTCCCGAAGCTGTGAAGAGCTTTATACCTTCGGGCTTCTCACCTAAAAGCTTCTCACCTAAGGCTGATCCTCGCGTGTGTTGAGAATCCAGGTTAATTCTCGGTAATTAACATGGAGCTTTCAACGCTAACCCTAATTCGACATTCTTTATGCATTACGAATCACCATGCCTTTCTCGTATGCCAAGGACTTCGAAGTCCTACTGAATCGAGATTAGCGCCGTCGATGCAGTTTGCCGTCTACACCACCAATTCCTGTATACAACCGCGTTTGTTGTAGCACAGGAAGTCATTTTAATTCAGGCTGCATTCAGTCAATGGAATCCGGGAGAATCTAGCATTCGGCTCTTTCTTTTTGATTCCACCGCCCTGTTTCTATTACAAATTGATCAATTGAAGGATTCCAGGGGGAGAGAAAGAGAAGCCTATAAATATGGGCTTCTTTCTATGTATGAAGAGATTACTCCGTAGACAGTTTACAATTCCATTTCTGGCACTATACTCATAGTTCCATTTACTTTGCAAGACATACTCCTTCTTTTATTACATGTTATTTAGTTCCTCCGTGTACTATTTCAACAGCGTGTTCTTCTCTATTTTGTGGAGCAGATTAATTCATTACAATGGTTCTAAGTAATTAGTTTTCTGGTGTGGTCTCCTTTCGAATCCATCATCTTCATCATGTAGTTCAGCAGCCTTTGGGTCTTGTTTACTCCATGTATATATATATATATATATATTGGACCCACAACGTAGAGGCCGAAATAATTTTCCGAAAACAAACTTCAGTCTGCTTGATTTCATTAAGTTTGAGTAGAATTCCCATGATCCGATTAGAGAGGCTGAAAGAAACAACAGTACGTTTCACGAGAAGCAAGGGGCCGTGAAGAATCAAACGAGACCGGCCGAGAATCGAATTATTGCGCCACGCGGATGTCAAAGATTGGATTCAATATTTATTTGACTAGAGTTATGAGTGAACTGTTTGAAAATTCAAAGGTTCGAACTGGCTTTATACCATACGTAGGGGTCCAATCAATGGTATTCAACTCTGTCTTTCTGCATCGGCTCTCTACACAATTTATATGGAGCCTCGATTACATAACATAAATTACGAAAACATGTAGGATTAATAAATCCTCCGGTATACCGGCGTAACTGCGCCGACAGAAGGCGTATGCCTGATTGGTGCCTGGCATGTCCGTAACAATAGGCACATGTATCCTTTCAATTCAACAATAATAAAACTTCATCAGATCTATCCATGCTGAGACACTGACCGTTTGAAAACCGTTTTTGAGGCTTAAAGAGAAGGATGACTCACCAGAGTCGTTGAGTCAACGTACATAGCTTCTTAGCTCGTTTCAATCACGTGATGAAGTGGTGAGGTCCAATGAGCGCTCAGTTAGTGCTCAGTGAGTGCTTAGTGATTGTGATTGGCTGCTCACTGATTACTTACAGTAGAGATTGAGCTGAGATATCTACAGTATTGAGCACTCAAGCCGCTTTTAGTCCATACCCAAAGGAGCATATTGTCCCACAATACTATTTATTTTGTGTACTACTTTTAGATGGCTTTTATAACCCTTTTCTTGAGGTTCTCCATCCTCTGATCCCGCTCTTTCACAACTTCTTGATGGAACTCAAATTTCATTCATATTTTGTCCAATTTCAGGAAATAAAAGATGATTTCCACCAAGGATTTTCTATATTTTCAACACATTATTTCCCGAAAAGCATCTCGCGCACAATTTCCTTAGACAGAGAGATCTCGAGCATGCTTCCTGCGACTGACAATCCAACCAGAGGATCTTTTCTTCCAGGTTTGGGAGCCCCCATAAACTTGACCGTTCTATATCTCACCCAAAGTTTGGCCCTGATAGGATGGCAAAGCAGCGTCAGTCGCCATGGGTGCAGATGAGTTTTAAGGAGAGCTCTGGTCGGGAACAGACCCACAAGCCTGAGGCGCTGCAGCGAGGGTCGTCCAGGCTGGGGTGGAAGACACCGCGAGGGAAGACGTTCTAGTGGGGATGACGGAGGTATGCGTAGGTGTTGCACGCCTGCCATGGTAGAGGGCAGGGCCTGGAATCACATAAGTGCGAAGGTTGTTGAAGATATTGACCAGGATGCCGGGATCGGTCGGCTTGTAAAACTGGGTGGCTGGAATGCCTTTGGGAGTAGCAGTGCCACCCGCTGTCACCTTCAAGTTGATGCATTGCATGTAAGCTTGTGCACCATTGTCGCTCATTGCGTTATGCAATGCGATGATCTCATGTCGAAGGACATAGTTTCCTGCTGCGATATCGGAGGGGATGTTGACCGTCCAGGTATTGTTGGCAGCCATAAGCTCACCGCTGGCCCACCATCCGGGGGACTTGCTGCTGTCGAGAAGACCAGCCTCTTCAATTTTGAAAAACTCAAGCTTCGTCTTGTTCACAGAAGCGCAGCTTCCATTGCAGTTCGCAAGATAGCTAATGACCTACGTTATGTTAGCGTTCTGATTAGATTTAACCACTTCTGTCTCGGTTGTTGCCCGATCCTCTGATCACTTACCGGACCACGGTGATCTTCAAACCATCTGCTCCAGTGCAGCGTCACCTTGCCACCAGCAGCAACCTCCCCAGCGAGAGCACCAGGCTTAGCATCCTGGTGGCAGATAATATTCGGGTGGCTGTAATCGAAGGTTTGAATATAGGCGTCCTGAGTAGCCGCAGTTGACCACGCAATGAGTTCAGGGACGTTTGGTTGACCGGGGTATTGATCGACCAGGTATCCACCATAGGACTTGCCATCAATGTTGATACGATCGATGTGTCCATGAGCTGCGGCCAGACCAGCTGTGCCTAAGATGAGGCATGCAACTTTAGAAAGAGACATTGTACGTAAAGAGTGAACAGGGCAAAGGAAGAACAACTTCAGTCAATGAAGTAAAGGAAAGGAGTAAGAAGAAGGATGAGAGAATGAGAGAACGTGTTGCACAGGATGAGGAAGAGAAAAGACGACTTTGATGGGAAAAGAGAAGGACTTTATAGATGCCCAAAGTTGTTCAGGCTTGTATTCCAGATTCTAATATTGTAAATAAGACCATGCCTTGATACATTCAAGACATACAGCGGGGATGGCATACTGGCTATAGTTTCAGCTCAAACCTTGAAACCCCAATAGGCCTGGTGCATTAGCGACGGTTTCAGGCCTAAGCTTGGCACAAGTGCTTGTTCATTTAATAAATTGAATCCAAGGGTCCAATAGAAGTGCTAGCATCCATTTTTCCATATTTAGATCATATCTCAAATAAATGCCGACGGAGTCCCCATTCCTTATAGGTGTTTACCATGGGTCCTGTTTATGCATTTCTCATACTGAAGATGAAAAGAATAATTCTTATGATCCAACCTAAGTAAGTCACGACTCAGTACATGATTAACACTCAATATGAACTATCATATAAAGTTTATTTATTGGTTGTAACATACTATTCTGGAAGTATCCACTATAAGTGTCTTGGTTCCTTCTTAATGTGCATAACTAATATATTAAGTCTTTTACGTAACGAACTCATTTATCTGGACCCTGATGATCAGGAGAAAGAACCAGGATCTAAGGTTTCATATTAATTTGCTAGGCTGCAACCTCCTTCTAAGCGATCTCACAGACTCATGATTACACACAGTAAGAGCATCAGTAACCTGTTTACTACTAAAAAAAAAAAATTAATCATGACTTCATGATTAAGGCTGCTGTAGCATGAGAAGAAGAATATCTTCGTTTTCATATGGTAGATAGCTCAGACAATGATCCATCTACGTCTCTAAACAAATGCAACCTACTTAGCTGCTTTTAATTGTACTACCCGTTTCCCTTAGTTTATATCTCACTAGATGACTTTAACTAAACTCCGTAGGGGATGATAGAACATATATCATGAAACAACTAGTAAAGGAACCAACCCATAGAAGTTAGAAGTTCAAAGTTGAAGGCTTTTACTAAAGGAAGGTAACTGCCTATATGATTAATGTACATTTTTTAGCATAAGCACTTGAATCATTGCAAGATTCTGAAGAAAATGGACGATAATGCAATAATTGCAACATGTAATTCCAAGCTAAAAATTTCACCATCTAACTACCTACCTTTCTAGTAGAGTAGTATTATCATAATGACTGTAAACTCAGCTGTGCGATAAAGACGAGCATGTACCCCTAAGACCACTATGTTTGACTCTAACTGCTGCAGGTAGATTGTTTTACCCCAAGCTAGAGCAAAGCGGACTTTGAGGAAATGCGTCGCTTAGATGATAAAATGCGTCGCTTAGCAGTTACCTACGTAATATTAGTAAAGAATATGTAACGACGGTAAGTGAACCGATCACCTGCAGGTAGATTGTTTTACCCCAAGCTAGAGCAAAGCGGACTTTGATAAAATGCGTCGCTTAGATGACAAAATGCGTCGCTTAGCAGTTACCTACGTAATATTAGTAAAGAATATGTAACGGCGGTAAGCGAACCTCGGCTCGTTTGTTTGATCGGCTAGCACTAACCCTTTCCTATCTGGTAAAACAGCCTATGGAATTTCGATAATACCGTTAAGCAACGTTGTTACTAGCATAATCGCGAAATTCAATTAAATTGTACTGTATACTATTATTGAATTGCCGGTTCATGTGGCAGACTCTTTTGACGCTACTAAAACAAGATGTTCTTTCTTTGTACTACCGAATTTCAAGTGATTGAATGTTTTGCGACTCTTTCCGCTTTGTAAACCACAGCTCAGAGCTACACGTATCTCCGTCGTGTGTGGGAATAAGATGATCGAAGACGTTTGTTCTACATATTTAGGAACCTAGGCCACATTAAGATTGATTAATTTAAACGGTCCATTATTGACACTTTTGACTTCCTGGGTTCATTGAGGATTTCTATCGCGAATGCTGTGTATAGATACTGAATTAATCAACAGTTGTGTTTACGCCATGTTTAACCGCTCTGGTATTCTTTATTTGAGAATTCAAGCCATGTTTAACGGTAAAGACAAGAATGTCACGAAATACTGCAATTGAAATTTGACTCGAAAGTTCAAAAAATGATATGGTCAAATCGACTGAAATGAGGAATTACTCTGTCCTACATGGTCAATCATTATTTTCTATTCCAAAAGCGAGGCAAATGAGGATCAATGCTTACCTCTCAGACAGTCGTGCAGACTTCGCGATAGCCGTTGTGATAGGCTCTGCTCTTGTCTGAATGTTAGGTTCCCTCTCGTTGTGGGTCAGGTAGATCTTCGCAGCTTTAAAGAGAATCCGGAAGACCACCACGCTGCACATGGGAACCCACCACCACTTCGCGAGGAAGAGCAGAGAAGAGCCTAGACTCGCAGTGGCAGCGTCAAGAGGCGGCCCGGTCGAGTTGACTACGGCATTGATCACTGTTTCTCTCCCTCGTTTCAATGTGACCATAAGCTTGAACTTCTCCAACAGAGCTGCGCACGGATCAGACGAATCAATGATATAGCTCGCTGTGATCGGCGTGAAAGGCGAGACTTGTAGATCCTTGTCGAATTTTCCTTGAAAGAAGTAGGGGCCATTCCCGGGCACGCCCGCACGGCAATTTCGCGTGAGCCACAGCCTGCGCTCGCCATATGACGTCTGAAGCTGAACAATCATTGCCGTGAGCTCCTTTCTGTTGTTGTACAGGTACCAGAACGAAAGCGGATTATTCAATTGCCATGTGACACTTCGGGGTGCTAAAATGTATGCATACGGCCACTCCGTAGGATCCTCTCCCTGCAAAGAATTAGTCCATGGCTGGAATCAGCTCCTAACTGTAACCAACCTCGGATAGGAGAAACTCTTCCAACTTTTGAGTCATCGACAGGTTTACGTCGCCGTTGAAGGCGTGATCCTCGGGTCTGATACCGAACCAAGCTGTTTTGACGGGCAGCAAGGAACGAGGCCGAAAAGGTGGCTCCACTGTAACCAAGGGGCTATAGCTGGCACGTAGGCCGACTGGATACCCAACGTAAAGGTATGAATGGTGATAGTCGTCTTTGAAGCCAGACCGGCGCAGGTGACGAAGATCGCACGGAAACAGAAAAGACTTCTTGATCTGAGAATCGCCATTATTCTTCGGAACCCGAGCTTCTTGGGGTATGCAGTTCGAGGAGTCTTCGATTTGGTGACGAAATATTTGCACAGGGCATCCGCTATCCCAAATCTTGACTGGACAGCCACGTGGGGCTGCGTTCGAATGTGTGTCTTGCACCGAGTCACGATACTCTAATTGAGTTTTCAAGAAAGCGGATGTGACAAAGATTGCGGTAACAATGAGGACTGTTATCCAAGAGCGCTCTGCATACTGCGTAGAAACAATCAGCAACAAGTTTTCACCCAGAGCCAACGCGACTCTCCTCTCCAGCTGCAGACGAAACACAAGCGAGAGCAGGACAGGGGAAAGAATATGCCAGGGTGTCATTCTGTCTTTGCACAACTTGTGTGATGGAACAGAATATGTAGTCATTTACAACATTGAAGCTGTCCGAGAGGACGTAATGGCGGATATCTACCTACCTAGGTGCGGTACTCGGCTTAAATTTTATGTTAAATAAATATTAGAGCTTACTTTACAGCTGCTACTTTAATTATTGCTGTACCTACAGGTATTAAAATATTTAGTTGGTTAGCTACCTGTTATGGTGGATCTTTACATTTAACACACCGGCCCGTCCCGAGACCGGCGAGTGTTCGAGTCTCCTTATACTGATAACAGTTTAGATGCTCTATATTCCATGGTAGGGCACTCATCCAACATTTTGGACATAGAGATCTTGTCTCAAACGGAACTCAAGGTCTTCGAAGCTTAGTTCCCACTGCACCGTCAACGAAGTCTCTACAATCATCTCAAAGCTCGTTATAATGATGTTCATTGATTCGTAAGACTCCACGCATGCTAATATCTCAAAGACTCAATGAGTCGGACAGTGAAGGAAAACAGTCCTTTCGGTTGCTACAAAGTAATAAATTTTGGATCAAAAGAAACTTCTCGTTGAGCCACCAAATTTGGTGGAAGAGCGAAAATTGGGAAAAGTGAAAGATTCGAAAGACATGTGGTGACAGGGTAATGACATGGGTCTTTCTTCGACGACTGACTGTGTAGAGTCCAAGTGCTTGACTCAAGCTGATATCTCAACTGCCGAGCAGCAGCCCCTCGGGAGTAGAGGGAGTCATTTCGGTGCCATATTTAGTTCATAGCAAGTCTATGCTGGGGTTTGCAAAATACGCCGCCGATGCAGTCTCATTCCACCTAGACCTTTCTAGGCGGGACTTCTCTTTCGGTCTATGACTAGCATTGAGCTGTTGTCATCCAAATGAGAGAGACTCATACATTGCGAAGGATGGATTTGATCTCATCTCGTACGCCCTCGAATTGCCGGCGGACCTCAACCTCGAGCGGCAGGAAGACAAGATCGAACATCCTGTCGTGGATTCGGTTGTTGTCGTCATAAAAGTCAAAATCTGGCGGCGAGTGTGCAGCAGAAATTTGACCACTGGCCATTACCATGGGATCTATTGAATCTGGGAAGCCGAGTGGTTGAGGAGGGGTGGGTGAGCGACGCGGGCTGGTAATTGAGGAAGAAGAAGAGGGCCGTTGACGGCATTGGTGGAAGAGAATATCGATGAATTGAAGGACGCGGTGAAGCTCGCCGAAAACAAGGCTGGCGCGGGCTACCTGGTCCTCACTGCCCGCTGGGCCCGAGCCGGCCACGGCAGCATGTCGAGCTAAAACGTCCATGCCAGCAAAGACGAGCAGGTAGCGGAGCTGATAATTTGTTTGTAGACAAGGGCATTCCAACACTGAGGTCGCCACTTCTAAGATGTTTCGATTGCATCCCATGGCTATGTCCACCCCGGGAGCACTAGGGTCAAGCAACCAAGGTTTGTAATGAGTATCATTCTGCGCTCCCGAGAGCACAGTCAGCATTTTCTGTGCACAGCTGCTCTCGCCTATTAGGGTGCCGTTGCAGACACTGTTGATGGATGATGAAGATGATGTTCCCAAAATATCGAACTGGTTGGGTATCTCTCCTAATGCAGGCCATAATTTGTATGAGTCGATGTCGACCAGGGCTGATGCAGCTGATTTCATCTCATTGCCGCAAGAATTTCGCTCCGACGGGAGCACCCCGAGAAGATATGGAGAGAGGCCCTCCCCGGTGGGTATTTCCGTACCAGACAACGACAGAACATCTGGCAAATCCAGCCCGCACATTTGATCGATAGGATTCGGCAGTGAGGCCGCGAACTGAGCAGCAAAGTCTTCACTTTTGTCGCTCGGTGCAGCAGGGGGCGATGCGGTCGGAGTGGGCCTGGTGGATGTACTGATCCGATCTGCCGACAAGACACGCTCGGCAGCTGGGCGTCGACCGGCACGGTGGGAGACTTCATAGTTGCAACGGAGACCGCGAGCTTGGCAACGAGAACAGGTTGGCTTTTCCTTGCCGCACTTCACTTTGACAAAGGCACACTGGCTACAGCTCTCTTTAAATTTCCGGCGCGTTTGGCTACCGGGGGATCGTATGGTCACCATAGTGGAACGCTATAAAGAAGTTGAGTCTTAAACGGAGGAAGGTGGAGACGGAGACAAGGAAGGCTTTACAATTACATGACTGGTAGGTACTAACCTGTATCTATATACGTCTACGTCTTATTTGGGGGCCACTGGCTGTGGTCTGCCTTCGTCTGACAGGATTCGTCTCTCGTGGTGACTGCGACTCCCTTCTAGGGACTTAGCGTGATCTCGTATCTTATACTGATCCTTCCTATGAGGGTTGGGGAGTTCCCGTTGGTCAGGTAGGATGAGGTCCCAGGCAGTAAATGTCTCAATCCCTATTTCCTGCAGCCAGAGTGGCATGGGGCAGGGGGTCTGAACGTGCAGGTAAGCCTTATTGATCAAACCATACAGAGTACTCGCCACTGGATCCATAACAGCTTACCACGATACCGCCATTGGTGGGTCGGACGTGAGCATTCAGAGTCAAGGTTTAATTGGCGGGATAACGAACATTGGCAGCCAGGATGCACCAGCTAGATATACGAGCATTTAATAAATCTCCGTGAATATCGCTTCCCGTGAATGGCCCCACTTCCACGACGTGAATTGACCAGTTAAATCATGATAGAGAATATTGTGGGTTCTTTATTTGGGTCTAGGATGAAAGCTTAGAAGGTTCTCTAGCCTCGAACCGCCATAATTCGCCCTGCGTGCTCGAACAGAAGGTTCACAAGAATACATCAGCCAGTGGTTGTTGTCTACTCATACGCGTGGTTTCACAAGTTAATCACAGGTACTCTGTGGAGATCGCCTAAACCGGCAAATGGGTCGAGAGACCCGGCAAGTGAGTAAATGCTGGCGAAAGCACTAGATTGACGCGACGAATGGGAAAGGAAATTATCCGAGGGATAAGGCCCGACAAACAATAAGCCTAGATCCTTCATGCAGGTAGCTTGGTATAGGTAGGATTTACCAAAAGTATCTTAATCATAATGTGGCTAAATCCTCCTTTTGTCCGGGGCCGATGGTAGCCACAATATATTTGCCGGTCGCATGGAGGTATTGAAGAAGTACTTAAGAATAAAACGTGATTCAATTGAGCTGAGCTACGGAAGATGGATTGGTATACGGAGTAGTCACCGGGCCGATGGCACGATTCACCGATTTCTCCCCTGGGTGGCTTACGCCCGATTATTAGCCACCTGAAGCGTCGCGCGATGGCTACACGGACCCCCTTCTACACTTCGCGCCTCCAGGGCTTGACTGAACTCTATTTCTATTAAGGATTCCATTTCCTATACCGGGTCCTTCCCAAGAGGCCCAACACCCCTGTGGGTGTAGGGTTAGCACGGCCCGACGGAAACTCTCCTAAGGCTTGCTTAACGTCAATGTATCTTTTGCTAAGGATTGACACACAAGAGGTACATACGATAAACTGTCTGTTTCTCGATGCTCAAAACAGATTGGATAATTATACGTTGATTGTTAGAGTCTTAACCGTTTGGACAAATATATGTTCTGTAATAATTATCTCTAAAAAAGGCGTTTCGTATAGGTATAGCGTGAATAATTTTAGGAGGCATATAGACGGTGGCCACCCGGAGGGTTCCCGAGGTCACAGCCCATAAATTACTTAATTTATCAGAGCTCGCGGTCGCTGTGTGAAGCCCCTCTATACCCTTGCTATACGGAGTAGCATCATAATAACGCCAATTTTAGAAGTTGAAACAGGACTAGTATATATTTGAGTTCCCGCTTGGCCGTGCTTGTGTGTTGGGTCTCTTGGCAAGGGCTAGGTAGTGGGGAGGCATACGAATTGGTGGCATGTCATTCGGTTATCCATGGATATAGCCCTGGAGTAGTCGTTTAGCTAAACTTTGATAAATCCATGGTTTTCCAGATAAGCACCCGAAGTTTATCTGGTTTCAGCCCACCTGCCTTTAGAGGCCAATTTTACATGGGGGGCACCACTTATGAGCTGTTTTTGATACAGTTGAAATGTTGTAGTTCAATAGGTAAATAGGGGCTTCTGAGTTATCATCTTGAGGCCGTGGAACCACTGGGCTTACGTGTCTAAGGTGACTACGTATTTTACGAATCTGGGAAGCATGTACAGCCTCCCTGCGGATTCCTACTAGTTCCAGAAGAATCTTGCCACCCTGAACAATTATGTAATTTATATTTCATTGCAACCTTCCAAGGTTTGTTCTGCAGACGGGAGTGGCAATTCAATGTTGTTGTAATACGAGCCTGGTGCAGATCAGGACTAAAGTCGCACAAATGGAACTAATTCCCTAGGTGTCTATAAATGTCTACACGGAGAACCAAATTGATTCAGAATCAGCCTGAAGTTTGTGTTGTTTAAATAGCCCGAAAGATGGGGAATACCAGGTGTGCCATCCGGAGAGAGTTTTAGTAACCACCAATAGATGTAGGTTATGTAGGATTTGCTTTTTCTTTTCGAACGACCACATATCTCCAAGTTACAACTTCGTCATTTGACTCCTTGGAGGGCCAAGGCGCTATTCTAGCTGACAAGGGTTTCGGAATCGATGCAAGGATCAGTATCCAAATTGTTGAAATGAACCATTCCCGTTCCCGTTCCCGTTCCCATTCGCATAACTCTGATAGGCAACCTCAATGACGGAGAGCGCCGAGCCCGGCGACCTACGAACCTTCTGCACAGCCAGCCGTCCGGCCCCATCACTGGTGGCATCCAAAATTCGCTGGAATTCAGTCAAATCTCTCTCCTTCGTATTAAAAACTTGTCGCATGGTGAGATCCCGATATCTCTGAAGTGCATCATCCAGAACACCGACTTGACCTGGCTCTGGAATTACCGTGTCGATGATGAGCAGCCGGGCAGTCGGGTTTGAGCGCAGGGGTTGCACCAGGGGTGTGAGGATACGAATAGCGTTGTCATCCACATGGTTGTGAAGCACCATTCGTAGGAGATATACATTGGCATTCTGAATCGGCTGGGGACTATAGTGGTCGTAAACGGTTGTCTCGATCGCCGAGTGGATTGGCCCTGGCTGCGACTTCAAAAACGAGCGGCTCTGGTTGGTCTGCTCGGCGGTGTCTTGCACCACGAATCGCAGTCGAGGGAAGGCCTCGGCCAGCGCCACGCAGACGGTTCCTGGGGCACCGTCGATCTATTTTGCCATTTGTTAGATTTTTCCACGACCTTTCTGCTCGAATCAAGAATAAACTTACATGCACCACAAGCCCTTGATTCAGCTGAGCCCAGTCGTAATCTTCGAGTAGATGTCGTACAGCCGTACCCTCGCTCGCAGCCACTCCTTTCATATAGCCGCCGAATAGTTTGTTAAACTCTCGCGAGCGGGTGATGAAGGTAAAAGCAGACAAGGGTGTATTCATGGCCAAGTTGACCGCCGTTTCGGTAGGCTGCTCTGACTCGCCCCATTTCTCGGTTGCCTCCGCCATTTGGGCAGATACAGGCATATAGAAGTCGGTCATAAACCGAATCCAGCCTAGATAGGCCGGAAGAGTGACAAACTGCCTGGAGACAGGGTTGTGGGCGATTTCGCCGGGCTGGGGCTCACACAGACAGCCACTAGTGATGGCCATCCGAACTACGCTCTGTAATTGCCGCTCTGGCACGGAGCAGATGCTGGCCAGTTGTGAATACGGGACGGAGCCCGTCAAGGGCACCGCGGCGAAGACCTGGAAATGCGCCAACCATTTGATGCAGGCAATATATTGGTACTGGATATCTGATGTTAGTGACTAGATATTAATTTGGATGAGTGACAGATCAATGGGGCCTTACTTGAACGGCTAGCATTGGGAGGTATTCACTAGGCTCCGCTGCTACCTGAAGCGCCTCTTTCGCAGCAGAGAGGAGCTGCTGGCGGGCCTGTCGCACATATTCCGGGGCCGTGTGAGGAAGGACCACCGATGGGGCGTCCGGACTCAAAGACGGGTGTGGGCTCTCATCGAGGGTGCAATACCCACTAATGACCTTAGCGGCTGCGCTGATGGTTTCGGCCAAACCCTCCAGATGGCTAGAGGTACTCATAGTGGTTTGAAAGGATATCGTAAATGGTATCGTAAGGGATAACAGCCTTCGTTGGCGTCTATTGAAGCTCTATATCATGGAAGCTTTGTGGCAACCTTCTAAGATTGCGAAGGAGCGAAAATGAAAATCCATCCGGCTTCGCTGACCGAAGATGTTGGAGGTCGGTCAATGCAGGACGTGCAGATACCCTATTTGGTCTTTGTTATATTTAACGTACTTAGAAATGGGTTCTTGGGTCGCAAACCCTGCTAGTGCTCGTGTAGCTCTTGCTTCGTATCTGCGATGAGGTTTCTCTGTCTGCACGGCGCTGGAACTAGTGGTGCCATTTTCCGCGCACAAACCGGTATGTCCTTCTTCTCACGATTTACTCCGCATCGGGGCGGAGGTTCATCCGTCTAGGTAGACAGGGACCATACTAACCAGAGACGAGCACACCAGCCGCATTTCGAGAGAAATTGGACCCGGAAGATCACACATTTGACTTTATCGATGCCCCTCATCCATCCACGGCGGGCCCAGGTATCGCCGCGTTCTTTCCCGGGCCCTATTTCTCCTTTTGGCGCTCAACGGATTTGGAAGAAGTTGGCCAGACGCACCAGTGGGTACTCAGACATCTCCACAGCCAGGCCCAGCCATACGATGCACTACTCTGCTTTTCGCAAGGCTGTGCAGTTGCAGCCTCGCTGATTTTCGCCCATCAAAACGAGCAGCCTGAGGTTGAACTGCCGTTTCGCGCCGTCGTGTTCATTTGCGGTGGGCCGCCCCTTCCCATTCTTGCTGACTGGGGACTTCCTATTCCGACATCGGCCTGGGAAGTGAACGAACGGACGGGGCGAGAGCTCTGGGAGCAGGCAAATGCGAAGCAGGGCCTGTTGGTTGCTCGTCGGGCAAAAATCGAGCCATCACCCGGTCGAATGGCAACGTTTTTCCCGAATGCCGATGACCTGGAGAGCGAAGATCCGTATACACTGCCCGCTATTGACCCGCGAGATGTGTACGGACTCGACCTGACCCGGTTCCCTGAGAGCTGCCGGCTCCATCTCCCCACCGTGCATATTTACGGGCGGCAAGATCCTCGCTGTCCGAGCGCAAGGCAATTGGCCTTATTGTCCGAAGCCAATCAACGGTTGGTCTTCGATCATGGCGGCGGGCACGAGATCCCCCGAACGACGCGGGTGTCAGAAGCTATTGCAGGGGCGGTGGATTGGCTGGAGGATTGTCTAGCTTGAAATGAAATATGTGGAGCTGCGGGCGACTTTCGGGGGTTGCCCGCCTGGAGCTCAGCTTTAGCTTCTTTTTTTTCCCCCGTTTGCACCCGCTTCTTCCTCAGTTTATTGTTGTATTTTTGTTTTGTTTTCTAACTAGATGTCATTCGTGAAGGGCAATAGAAATTGGCATATTAAGACTTTCAATCCATATTATTGAAAGATACCTACTATTTGCACATCCCCAAATCGCTAAGTGCACACTTGTTTAAACTACTTCGGGGTTAGCGCCACCTGGGCAAAGTTAATCCCAATTATTGTCTACTCCGTACCCCGTACTGGGCGTTGGATTGCCAACACAGCTGACATCTTACTTATTACTAAGTATTGAAAGTCTCGTCTGCGTTGAGTATTCAGCCCGAAGGGGTAGCCCCAGGCGGGACGGCCCATCGTAAAACTAACGTGTACCTAGGCGAAACGAAGTAAAACTTAGGGCAACCTTGGGGGGAGCCTAAATTCTTACGTGCATAATAAGCGTGGGGGCGAAGGAACACTCACACCTAGACTTGTCGATTTTAGGATAATGTACGTATATCTCTTGTTTTGTTGACCTTTCTTGGCCTTTTTGGCCATTATTCTTCTTGGCAGCATGTACAGTAACCCGAAAAGGACAACTACCATCTAAACATAGAAACCGTTGGCCTTTAGCGATTGGATTATATTTTCCAGGGTCCCACCTCTCTTTATCTAATTCCTCTTGTACTCCGTAGACACGGCAGTTTTATATCTCGACTTCTCGGCAACGATTTCCTAGTGCAGCTATATTCCTGATTTGCACCAGCCTCATATCACAACGATTATAAACAATTTAATACATTCTTATATAATTCTAATCTGGAAGCGCATAAAATTAAACAGAAAGGAAATGACAGTTGCGGAGAATCCGACTTGATGAATACCAACACTCGCCAAGAAAAGACGATAAGATCGCATCTAGTCGTTCACTATCACAATCTCTTCCACATACTCATTCATATCTTTCATCATCACGTTCTGCTGGTCCTGGAGTGAAATGCTGCTCACCAATGGCGTGGACGCAGCACGCTGTGAGACTGCCACCGCAATGACAGTGTCATGCCCGTGAGAAATGCTGAGTAGCACGTTTGTAATGCCCGCGTCGCGAGCCGCGCGAAGAGAAAGGCCGTGCAGCTAAATGCAAAAAGAAATATTGTTAGCCATTACGCACGACGAAGGAAGAAGACAGGCCGAGAAGGAAAGTATGGAAGAGAAAAAGAGGGGTGTAATTACCTTAACACATGGCGAGCCATTTTCGTAGCTGCAGATCTCGATTGTATCCATGGCGGCGCCCGCACCTAGGGATTTCACACCCAGACTTTTGAATACGGCCTCTTTTGCGCACCAGCGGCTAACGTAGACACTGTGGGGATCACGGGAGCGAATTGCATGCTCGCGCTCTGCGCGCGTATAGTTCCGCGCGAGAAACGTAGGGTTCGCATCCGAACAAAACTCGGAGCTGGACTCAATGTCGATACCTACGGAGCCAATTGGAGAGGACATCACTCCAATGTCGCCCAGGAGGCGGTCGACAACGTCATATGCTTCCATGCTGAAGGAGAGGTCTCCGTACCGAGGCTCAGTAGGGGGCAAATCCAGTGCCTCAGGCGCTTCAGCTTGTTTGACAGTCGGGGCAACTTCGACAGGGTCGCCGTGAAGATGCGCTGGATCGAAATAGATCTCCTGGGTCTCTGGGTGGATGCGCGCACGTGCTAACGGATCAAGAAGCACCGTGGCTTCATCTTCCTTCCGGTACGGAGGGTGCTCATGAGCTTTGACAATCGAGTTTGACATCACCGCTTTTGCAAAGGCACGATTCGCCAGTTTGATCCGTTGGCTGTATTTTCGGGCATAGCCAGCGTAACAATCACTGCTCAAGGTTGCAAATAGATACTTCGGAGCCACTCCCACCATCTGGGCGCCCTTCTGGCCAAATCCGAAGGAATTCAAGAGGAAAGCTTTGACACCCGGAACCCGCATCGTCTCAGTTGGGAAGGCCAAATGTTCGAACCGTTGTAGGGCGGGATCGATATTGTCACAATTGAAGTTTCCTGGCACCAAGCCAGAATGCAAGACCTGAAGACATCCGTTAAGCATCCAAGCAGCGGCTGCAGCTTTTGGATGACCCGTGGTGGCTTTCTGACAGATGGCCAGAAGGGGAGGTCCCTTGCGACCCAAATGGGTCATCTGCGTGTTGATTGTTTCTGGTTCGTTGATATCATTGGCTTTGGTAGATGTCCCATGGAGCGAGACGATCCCGATATCATCGACAGTGAGTCCGAAGACAGCGAGTGAGGCCCTTAAAGGGGAAATCTCCGGATTCTGAACACGGAAGTGGTTTCCCCATTGTTTCCGAATCTGCTGAGTGAGGGTGGCATTAACATTCTGGGACGCAGTGGTGGAGGCGCCGGCTGATTGACGCTGGCGGATATCAGCCTGGGATGCGCGAGAGAGAGTGGCATGCAATGCTGCTCGTCTGTATTTGATGTCGAGCAATTGAGAATCGGCGGCCGCAGGTGTTTCTCGCGCGAATGTCAAGAGGCCTTTGCCAGGTGCAGGGACTGAGCGGCTGATTTTATCGGATGCCATGGTTGAGCCGGCCACCACAGCATAAATGGGCAATCCCATCTCGATGGCCATCTCAGCGTTGCAAATAAGTTGAACTCCGCAGCCTTGGGCTTCCAAAAAGCCGGCCCGGGTCTCCGCGGTAGGACGGGAGAATTCAGCTGGTTGTCGGCCCTCAGCAAACTGCTTGGCGGCGTCAACAGTAGCTTTCATGGTTGAGAAGGCATAGGATTCGTCTTCTTGGAGGTTGTCTGTACCGCCTACAAGACACATACGCGTCTTTCCGCTCGTAATGGAATCAATGCCCATATCCATAGATTCCAGACTGGTTGCACAGGCGCCGACGGGAGTCTTGATAGGCCCGCTTGAGCCGAGTAAGAGCATGTTCACCCAAGCAGCAGGCGTGTTCAAATTGGTTTCCTGAAGCACGTCACCCTGAACACGTTTGTCAAGGCGAACGTCATGAAACATCTCTCGATTTTTGTCAGTTCCACCCAAGGAACTTCCAATGAAGTTTCCAATCTCTGCCAAGTGGATTTTGGTGAAGACTTCGAGCGGGTTTTCGATACCCGCACTCAGGAACGCTTCAGCCACGCAACACAAGGTATACAGTGTCACATTATCCACCTGGCCAATGATGTCGTCTGGGATTCCGTATCGGGCGGCATTCCACCCGGTTGGCAACAGACCGGCCACCACGCTGGAGGCAAGCGGCACGATCTTTGGCACCCATAGGTGGGCCCCGGCTTTGATTTGCACACGAACTGTGTCTGATTCATCCAAGTGATGGATGGAGATGTGTTCCCCATGCTTCCTCTGGAAAGCATCTGCTGTGGCCCGGGTACATTCAAATGGATGAAGGTCTTCTTCCACTGCGATTTCTTGCAGGAATTCTTTCTTCATAGGGTCGTACCCGCCAAGAGTTTCAGGCTCAATTAGCCGAATTCCCGCGTGGTCTAGGATATTGGCGCGGTATCTTTCCGCAACCTGGTCGTCTGCAATGGGTTCTTCGTTTTTCGCATCGACCCAGCCGACAAAGTGCTCACCCGATTTGAGCTGGCCATCGAAATGCTTGATCAAACCCATAATCCAAGCCATTTCGATGTATCCGTCTTGAGCCAATTTCCGCTGGCTCTCCATCTGCCAGCGTGTCCGGGAATTACCCCAAGGCCCAAGCTCGGAAAACCCAACAATAACAACCACACTGCTCAGGTCCACCATGCCTTCAAGGTCAGAAAGACTTTTGAGATCTTGGTCGTAACTGGGTAACGTGGGGAATTTCAATTCAAGCCTGCTTCGCCGGTGGCGTGGCATGGCAGGCGATTCGAGCTTGGTGAGGTTCTGAGGAGGCCCACTGATCAAAGTGGACATTCGGGCGTCTTCTTCAAATACCGCCTTGTTGCATTGCTGCTGCTGGCGAATAGTTGTCCGTGCATCGGATGTGATCTTCTTTAACTCCTGAAGCTGTTGCAATCCGCCTCCAAAGTCGGCTAGGATAGCCTCATCTTCACAGAAAGTGGAAATTTCGGGAATGAGAAGGGAGAGGATATTCAGTGCCATTTCCTCCTGTGAAAATGACAGGACACCATGTGCTTCCACACTTTCCGCAAGGATGTCATTGGACTCCATTAGTCCTGTTCCACGGGTCCAGCCGATAATGACACCACAAACAGAGACCTTGTCGTTCCAGGTCTCGGAGGCGAAACGATTCAAGATACTTTCGAGTCCCAACTTCGATTCGGAGTAGAGACCGTCCCCTCCAAAAGTCCCATGGTTGGGGGAGAGGGGAACCAAGACCTGCGTGGGACGGAAATGAAGGCCTCGGTCTGTCTTTTGTTGTACGACATTTCCGACCAAGCGGAGAACATTCGTCAACATCAAGCGGTGAGCTACCTCCGACATAGGTCCCAATTGATCAATCTCAGCCCCGTCTTCAGCCATTGCAGCAAAAGGTATGAGGACATCTATATTGCGACCAAGACCAGACTCATTGTGAATGTAGTCGATCAGCTCTTTGCAGTCTTTCACGCTTGCCTGGTTGAAGGGTAGGACAAATAGCTCAGAGTCAAGGGCTCCAAAATCGCGATAAATCTTCTGGTAAAATCCTTGAGCGCGAGAGACTGCCCGACTGGTAGTCACTATCACGGTCGCTCCTCCCATCAGCAATTTTCTGACTAGCTCAGCTCCGATAGAGCCTAGTCCTGCTCCCGTTATGAGGGCCACCTTCTTGTGGAAAGACAGGCCGTCTTGCTGAGCCCGAGATATGGCTTCCCAATGGTAGGCGGTCAACTTGCGATTGATGTCCCAAGAACCGCCGGACTGAGTTTTCAGGGTTGTGTGCTGTCCCTCTTGGAGGACTTGGGCATATTGAGCTATCGATTCCGATCTCAGGCGTGGAACTTCCGAATAAGTGACTGACCCATCCGGATTGACTGTTGTTCGAGGTGCTGATGGCACGAATGCAAAGGACGCCCGTGGCGGGAGTGAGAGGTTATCCCGGATCATGTTTGTGAGGATCTTGCCAGTAACAGCAAAGAGAGCTTTGTCCTTTTGGGATGTAGAGGACTTTATCATATGGGAGATCAAGTCCAGAGTCTGCCCGTTTGATCTGTTTGCAATCTTTCGCAGGGAGTCCCAATTTGCTTGATCGGATGCTGCAGAAGACACCAAAGATTGCAGGCATTCGGGATCATGATAGAGACGGCATACATCCATCCGGGTTTGATTCCACCAGAAGTTGAAATGTCGCAGGTGGTTTCCGTTAAACGTTGGTTGGATAGCCTTCTCAAAGTCCGGCCCGTATTCAGACGTCCAGAGTGAAAGGCGATTTAGTTGAGTCTTAAACTGACTTTCCAGTTCTAGGAGTTTTCCCTTACTGATATCCTCAATGTCGAGGTAGCGCACTAGCGCCTGATGCTGCAGGGTTCCGAGACGCTTTTGGTCCTTTGTAAGCTTCTCTAGCGACTCGCTGTCCATAGTCATCGCTGCCGTTGAACGTTTCGTTGGGGCTGAAGTTTTCTGCAAATTTAGGCCACAGTAAGTTGCATATTTGGCTGTAGCATCATCGAGCATCGACTTCGCTACTCCAATAGAGGACAGACGAGACGTAGCGTCGGAAATACTTTTTGTCATTGCAAAGACAATGACAGACATCTGGCGTGATGAACCGAGACCCCATGTTACTTCGAGGTATCGCCGCATCGACTTCAAGCTGAATTTCGGTGGTAGTACAGACGAAATCCACCGCGCAATCATTTCAGAAAACGCTTGGCTGACTTGACCGGGGTTATGTGGCTCTAGAGCGTCCGCGAGGTTTGAAAGTGGCATGTCCTCTGCGCCGTCCGGAACAGAGCCAAATTGATCTGTGAGATCTCCCATGAGCTCATTTTGCAGTGTGGACTTCCCTATCCAATAATTAGCCCCGAATTGGAGTGTGTGCATATCTATTGGAGGGCAAAGCTTACCAGAGGATAGGTCCTTCAGGGATTGTCTAGCAGAAATCTTGTCCATTGACTTCCGTAGCTTGAAAGCCACTAACATCGTAATCAGCTGCAATGCGTGCATTGGTACATCGTCAATGCTAGCGGCTGGAACGATGTCCGATGACGATGGAGTTGTAGCATCAGTGGGTGGAGCTGGTTGCGTTGTTGTATGAACAATCTCGGGAGTCACATCTTCCTCGACTGCTTCCTCCTCTGCATTAGGTCTACTTTCATAGTGATAGCGAACCTGTGAGATATTCTCAACGCTCGAAAGGAATTCGCGATGAACGCCAAGCAATGAATCTAATGTCTCATAGCGAGATGCCCGTGTCTTCGAGGCCATGTTTGTTAAAGTGGCTGAAGGGCCCAGCTCCACAAATCGGGCGATCTGCCGCTCCTTCGCAAACAAGGCATCTTGCGTTTCGATCCTAGATCCCAATCAGTGAACCAACATTTATCAAATTCGGTAAACACCTTACCATCGAACAGGAAATGCGAATTGATGACTGCGCACTGTTAGAGAGAATTTAAAAATTGTAGGAGAGGGAGGACACGGACGCGAGCAGTTCGACAAGCAAGTGATACGCGATGTGTTGTTCTTCTGCTTCTGTTCGCGCGGACGGGACAATCACACGTGACACCATTTCGGCTGACACGAAGTTGAGCCTCTTCGACTTTCAGACGCTCGTTTGTACTTCGCTTGATCTCTCATTTATCTTCAAATATAACATCAAGATAAGAGATCGTTGCGAAAAGGAAGGTACAAGAGATCAAAAGCAGTCATCATCAATGCGGAATTCGGACTATTAACCATACTCTGTACGAGATCTGACATTTTTCGTGGGGTCCGGAAAGGCGCCCTAGTTCGGAGACCGAAACGTCGTTCAGGACAGCGGGATGATTCGCCTCAACGGAACGGGAATGATGGCCTGTGAAGCTTGTTGGCTCCCCGAGGCCGAATGAATGCCCTACTGGCTCATATTTGCTGGCAATGGAGACAATGAGGGCCGCAGCTCATGACCTCGAGGCCACATCAAAGTATCCCTCTTCTTGCATCCATTGCGCACTACCAGTGGAGGCCATTCATTCCTTGTTTTCCAGATGGAGCCATCAACATCGGCTGTTCCTCATTGGAGGATTGACGTCCCAGACGGCCTCCTTCACACCTTGCGTGCATGTCTATCACAGTTTTGGGACAATGTTACTACGCCAGAACTTGGCAATCTTCATCTCAGGGACGAAAATTGCATTCCTCTTACCGAAGCTGCCTCCTTTCTCGACCATCTGCACGAGGCCCAGGTTGATGACGAGCTGATTACGGTCGTTGTCGAGTCATTTCAACGCTGTCTTTTGTCAACCAGGGACATTCACACTCTAGCAACCAGACTCGACGGCACGTCTCGAGATAAGCTACTTGAAGCTTACTTCCGCATTCTTAAGAGTCCACAAGGCGAAACTAGCTCGGGTCTACTGAGTTCAGTAAAATACGGCGACTCCTCTCTTTTGGCTGTTTTTGGCGGCCAGGGAATCCACAACTCCACTGGGTTAGATGAGCTTCGCTCCCTGTACCGGACCTATAAGCCACTACTAGAGGACCTTATCACATCGGCTGCACAGGTCCTGAGAAAAATCACAGTCAGCTCCGATCCATCTCAGCACTTTGGTCCTCATGGATTTGACCTCATATCGTGGCTTCAACAACCGGAAACCGCGCCAAATGTGGAATTTCTCGCAACCGCTCCCGTCAGTTTTCCGATGAACGGTCTCATAAGCTTTGCCCACTATTGTGTGACTTGCCGTGTGCTAGGTTTACAGCCAGGGCAGTTCCGAGACATTCTGACAGGGGCCACCGGCCACTCCCAAGGAATAGTTGTCGCAGCCGCCGTGGCAGGATCCAAAACTTGGGCTGATTTGCTGAACGCGGTAGAGGATGCGATAGAACTTCTTTTCTGGCTGGGGTGGGAGAGTCATTATGGCACACCAAGCTCCACTTCCTCGATATCATCCCGGCCCATGGGAGACACACGTCTAAACTTTGCAACATCGATGCTCAGTGTGCGTGGAATGAAGAAGGAGGTTGTTGAAAGGATTTTGGAGGAATGTAACAACCATCTGGGTGACGATGAGAAGGCATACCTGGGGCTTGTCAACTCTTCAGATTCCCTTGTCATTTCCGGTCCAGAAAGGACACTCAATGGCGTTCGCAGCATCTTAGGGCGACATGGTGCTTCTTCTGACTCCAATCAGGATAAGATTACGTACCTGGATCGACGTCCACTTCTGGACTGTCAATTTCTACCAATATCTGCCGCTTTTCACTCTCCACACTTGGATGGGGCCTACCGCCGTATCATCGCGCGCATCGGCTCGGCTGGCTTATTCGATGGCCTTCACTTTACAATTCCAGTCTACCACACCTTCAGTGGAGAGGATATTCACCTCACTCTAAGTCGAGATCTCATTCCGATATTGGTTCGCGCGGTATTGTGCGAACCGGTTGATTGGCCCAAAACCTGCATGCAGACATTCACCACGCATATCCTGGATTTTGGCCCCGGCAGGACAAGTACCTTCTTGCACGACCAAATAAATGGATCAGGTCGCCGAATCATTATTGCCTCCGAATACATGGCTTCATCACACAGTGTGGGGGCCAAGCATGAGATATTTTCCTCTCAGCCACCCATTATTAATCCCAGCTGGGCCAAGGTCTACAGACCAACACTCCTCTCAGACAAAGCCAACGGTACCAGGCTAAGCACACGCATGAGCCGGGTCCTTGGGACTCCTCCAATCATGGTCGCAGGAATGACACCTACAACAGTCTCAACGGACTTTGTTTCTTGCGTCATGAACGCGGGGTATCACATTGAGCTCGCTTGCGGTGGGTACTCACGACCGCAGGACCTCGAACAGGCCATCAAGCAGCTCTCTTCGGCGATACCAAATGGCCGAGGCATCACTCTCAACGTGATATATGCCGCACCAAGAGCTATCTCATGGCAAATACCACTCATTCGCCGGCTTCGATCTGAGGGATATCCCATTGAAGGACTCTGTGTTGGTGCCGGCGTGCCCAGTCCAGACGTGGCTAAAGAATACATCGATACACTCGGATTGAAGCACATCGCCTTGAAGCCTTCCTCTGTGAATTCGATCATGCAGGTCCTTGAAATTGCCAAAATGAACCCCTCTATGCCAGTCTTGCTTCAATGGACTGGTGGGAGAGCCGGTGGCCACCATTCATATGACGACATGTATGACCCACTTATCAAGACGTACGGGTCCATCCGCAAGCACGCCAACGTGATCCTTGTTGTGGGGAGTGGTCTTGGAGACGCTCAAGGCATGATGCCGCTCTTAACTGGTGAATGGGCCGAGTCTCGTGGCTATCCCCGAATGCCCGTGGATGGAATCCTCATTGGCAGTCGCATGATGGTCGCCAAAGAAGCATCCACGTCCACCTCTGTTAAAAATCTAATCGCCCAAACACCTGGCGTCACCAATTCAGAATGGCACAAAACTTATGCCGGGCCAGCTGGTGGTGTTATTACAGTGCGATCCGAGATGGGTGAACCAATTCACAAGATTGCAAACCGAGCAGTGATGCTGTGGCACGACCTGGATAATACGCTATTCAACGTCAAAGATGCAGATAAGCGCATCCAACTCTTGCAAAAACGCCGCTTAGAGATCATCACCCGTCTTAATCAAGATTACGCCAAGCCGTGGTTCGCAATGAATTTTTCAGGAAAGCCTGTCAGACTCGAGGATATGACATATGCCGAGTGCCTTCAACGAATCACCACCTTAATGTATATGCATCAGCAACAGGAGTGGGTTCATGAGTCCTATCGAGTGTTTTTCCTTGATTTCGTGAACAGGGTTCAGGAGCGGTTTGATGTGGAACATGAACTCCCTCTGGATGCTAGCACAAGCCCATTTGACCTTCTTGAAAAGCTCTTCACTGTCTGTCCCGCTGCGATCACAGATATTCTATATCCCGAGGATGCTGCCTTCTTCTTGGGTTTATGCAAGCGAAGGGGTCAGAAACCTGTGAACTTCATCCCCATTCTTGACGCTGATTTCGAGATGTGGTTCAAGAAGGACTCTCTATGGCAGATGGAGAAATTGGAGGCTGTCATTGATCAGGATCCACAACGAGTTTGCATCATCCATGGCCCTGTGGCGGCTAGGTTTTCCACATCCATCGACGAGCCTGCGGAGGATATATTGAATAAGATTCATAACGACTTGATCAAGGCAGTCGGACTCACTACTCCGAATCGCGGCTTTGTCGATCTCGAAGAGGTGAAAGTTCAGACTGAGGTGCAGGCAGCTCGTTTCTCCGCTGATCTGGATTTTGTTGACTTGGTGACCTCCAAAACACAGTGGGGTACCCAAGTTGACTGTCGGTTCAAGCAACCACTACCCGACGGTGGGACACAGTTGTTCCTACAGAAGCTTGGTATCGGAGCTGAACATTGGCTGAGCGTCTGCTTGAACGACAAAACTCTGCTCGTCGGCCGTCACCGCAGACCTAATCGAGTTCACGGTGCATTTCAACCTCGCGCTGGAGATAGGCTGACCGTTGAATACCTGTCCTCCAAAAGGGAATCCTTGAATGCAGCTTTCTTTCTCAATCTTCCAGATCAGACTGATAATCAGGCTGCCTTCACAATTGGGTCAACCGACGGGAATGCAATTCGTTTCGACCTTGGTGGGTCTAGTCACCTGTTGTCAACGATAACCCTCAACTTGCAACTTCAGCGCAAGGCTGGCCAGCAGTCGCTACACGACATAACAAATCCGCAGGATACAAAGGTCAGAGAGTTCTATGCTTCCTGCTGGTCTCTCGATGGCGAGAATTTGAAAGAAGATGCAGTTGGCACCGAGTTCTCTACCGGACCTGTCATGCTGTCTTCCCAGCTTGTTAGTAACTTTGTCTCGCTGATTTCCAGGGCCAAAGGCAATCACGCAGGCTCACACGGCACCCTCACGCTAGCTCCCTTGGACCTTGCCATTGTTGTCGCCTGGAAAGCACTTTCAAGACCGCTCTTGGTTTCAGACTTGGGTGGCGACCTCTCCCGCTTGCTGCATCTCTCCAACGCTTTCGAAATGATGCCTGGCGCTGAGCCACTCCAAGTCGGTGATTATCTGGAGACGAAGTCACATATCACTGCAGTATCCATGAAGCCTCAAGGGAAACTGGTTGAGGTTACAGCGGCAATATATCGAAAGGGGGCGGAGGTCATGAGGATCACATCTGAGTTCCTCATGCAAGGACAGTTCCCCCAACAAGACCAGAACTTCCGGTTTTCCAGGTCCAATGACTGGAAGCTTTCATTGGATTCCCCCAAACTTGTGGCCCTACTTCAAAGCAGAAAGTGGTTCAATCCAGACCCAACATGTCCAGAACTCCTTGGAAACGTACTTCTGTTCCGAGTTACTTCTCACAGAGCATACATCCAATCGACCAATTTGTTCTCCTTGACCACTCGGGGTACTGTCTCCCTTGTTGCCAAGGAGGGCTCAGTCCCCTGTGTTGGAAATGTGTCTTTCTCCCACGAATCATGCTCTGGAGATCCTGTTGTTGATTTCCTCGAGCGCTACGGCTCTTCAACGCGTCAAATACAGTCGCTTGAACATCCTGGATGGCATAACTCGGAGCCCTTGCTACTTCGTGTGTGCGACTTTGGCTCTGAGTACTCGACTCTATCAACAGACCACAATCCGATTCACGTCTCGCCCTCCTTCGCAGGCTTTTCCGGCTTATCGGCACCCATTGTTCATGGAATGTATACATCTGCTGTTGTTCGCAGCAGAGTTGAAGAACATATGGCTGGAGTGAATTGCTCCGGGTTTCGTCGATGGTCGACAACATTTGAAGATGTTGTTCGCGGTAATGACGTCTTGCGCATCGACATTCATCACAGGGGGATGATTGGAGGCAACATTATTATTGACGTTCAAGTGTGGAATGACGAGACAAACACGAAGGTGTTGACCGCAGAGGCTGAGGTTGAGCAGGCTCGAACGGCCTATATGTTTTGTGGTCAAGGAAGTCAGAAAAAGGACATGGGCATGGCACTTTACGAAGCAGACGACTTTGCAAAATCTATATGGGACAAAGGAGATCGTTATCTCTTCAACCTTTACGGTAGGAACTTATCTCCAGAACCCTTCTCGAGCGCAGGGCACTAACATGACTCGGTAGGTTTCTCTTTGCTTGATATCGTGCGCAACAACCCGAAAGAAATCACCATTCATTTCGGCACCAAGAAAGGTCGACAAATTCGAGCCAACTATTTGGCTCTCACTCGAACTCAAGTCATCGGCAACCAAGAAGTCACAACACCTGTTATTGGAGGGCTTAGTGAGAAGTCCACTTCCATCACATTTGAGGAGCCTGACGGGTTGTTATTTTCAACGCAATTTGCGCAGCCATTGATCAGTCTTCTTAACGTAGCTGAGATGGGTGCTCTCAAATCTCGTGGTCTCGTTCAGGAGGGCTCGGCGTTTGCTGGGCATTCACTCGGCGAGTACAGTGCCTTGCTTGCCTGTGCTGACTTCATGACCTTGGAAAACCTCCTTGGTCTGACTTTCTACCGAGGGTTGGTAATGCAGTTTCAAATGAGCCAGGATGCAGCTGGTCGGACAGACTTTGGTATGGCAGCTGTGAACCCATCTAGGGTTGGGAACGGTAAGAATTGACATTGCATTATATTCATCAACTTTATGCTAAGTCCGGTCCGCAGGGTTTAACGAAGCTTCTTTGAAGATTCTTGTCGAGGCCATCAATCGCGCCACAGGCTTGTTGCTTGAAGTTGTGAACTACAATGTCGCTGGACAGCAGTATGTGTGCGCAGGTCATGTAAGTACTCCAGGCCTATCATTTCCAAGTTAACCTCACTAACGGGCACCTCAGCTCCGATCGCTCTGGCTACTTCAAAAGACATGCGATGACCTGTCATCGTCTGCACAGCGTGAATCACCCACCCCTGAAGAAATCCAGACTGTGATCAATCGGCACCTGGCGAATGCTACTGCGCTTCCGGAGCCAATTCAGCTGCAGCGTGGCCGGGCTACCATTCCACTGCCCGGTGTCAACGTGCCGTTCCATTCTAGCTATCTGCGGGGTGGCATCCCGGTATATCGCCGGTATCTGCAGAGCAAGATTAGGAAAGAGGATATTGTTGTGGATCGACTGGTCGGAAAGTACATTCCCAATCTCACGGGAAAGCCGTTTTCTATTAGTCGGGATTATGTTGAGGAAGTTGCACTGGCTACGGATAGCAAGGTTCTCAGCCAGTTGCTGGTGGAGTGGGCCAGGTAATTGTTTATGGATTCAATTCTGCTCATGTGTTTGATTTTTGCAATTAAGTGATCTTTATTCGAATATGGAGTTTTTATCGGGGCTGCGTCAATTATATATTTCTAGTCAATGTTTGATATTTGGACAAAATATATATATGAACTTCAATAGAAAGCCTTCCCGACCTGCTTGTGGCTTTAATCCTTGGGGCAATCGATTTTTTTTAAGAGAAACCGAAAAAGAAAGCAAGGCCTAAAATGACCTTATATGAGATGTATATGTAGAATGTTTATAGAAAATGAAGATATTCCCAAATGGGTGCAGACCCTGCCGATCCGATGACATCATCGGCAATGTTGACTGTTGGGGGCTTCCGCCCGCATCCGTGTCGGAGGACCTGGGTACCTGGGTCTCTAAATTTGTGGATTCCTTGGAGGAATTCCAACAACCTTCTTCCCCATGCTATCCTATATATCTGCTGCCTTCCAGTCCCCGTCGCCGGACGAAGGCGTACAGCAGCGATCTCCACGGTATGCCGGCGAAGATACCACCCCAACGAGCCGGCGGGAGATCCTAGGATGGTACTCGTATGGGATAGCAGCTGAAGTGTTCGCGGTCTGTGGTGTAGGTTCGTGAAGTCATATTTCCAATCAAAAAAGAATCAAAAAACTTATCGTACCAGGTTCTTTCCTACCCCTCACCTTGGAACAATTAGCCCGGGAGCGCGGCACCCTACAAACGAGCCGCCTTCCCTGTGTCGGACCATCCGCAGGGAACAGCACAAATGTTACCGAAAATGGCCAATGTGTGGTCCCGGTCTTTGGTCTAGAGATCAACACAGCCAGCTTCGCCATGTACACCTTCTCGCTGGCAGTACTTATCCAGGCGCTGACACTGATATCGTTCAGCGCGCTGGCCGATTATGGTATGGTTGCAGAACGCCGGACTGAGAATGTATAGTGCGAAAGAAAGGACATGAGTTAACGTCAGCTTTGTGCGATTGGATGTTTAGAGAACAACCGCAAGACATTGCTTATGGTATTCGGATTCGCCGGTGCGCTCGCCAGCATGTTGTTTGTATTCATTGCGCCGCCCGTCTTTATTCTCGGATCGATATTGGTCGTCGTCGGTGTGACCTGTCTCGGTTCGTCCTTCGTTGTGCTGAACTCTTACCTGCCTGTGCTCGTCGCCAATGACCCATCTCTGCAAGATGGGAAGGCGGATGATGGCGCGGAAATGTCGAACTTTGATAGAGACGGAGGTAATTCGGGATGGAACGCTTGGGGTAACGATGATGCCGACGATGATAGCTTAGATGGACTTCAGCCATCGGGCCAGCCACAGAGTTCCCTAGAAGGTGGAATGGGACCCAAGCCCCTGCCCTCGTCCTCACCGGAGCTGCAGCTATCCACCAAAATCTCCTCCAGGGGTATCGGTCTTGGATACTGTGCAGCGGTGTTTGTGCAAATCATCAGCATCATCATGCTGATCACATTATCCAAGACCTCACTTGCAAAAGTGTCTGCCACTCTTCCCATGCGCTTCGTATTACTCCTGGTCGGCATCTGGTGGGGCGCATTCACATTGGTCACTCGTAATTTGCTCAAAACACGACCAGGGCCTCGATTGGATACAGTCTCCACTAAAGGCGCGGGAAGATGGCGAGCCTGGCTGCGACTGGTCGGTTTTGCCTGGAAATCACTATGGGAGACCGTCAAAGTAGTCAGCAAACTGCGCGAAGTCCTCATCTTCCTCGTAGCATGGTTCTTACTCTCCGATGCAATGGCCACTGTATCCGGAACGGCCATCCTATTTGCGCGCACGGAACTCAAGCTGAGCACGCCACTGATTGGACTTCTCTCCATCACTGCCACGGTGTCTGGCATGACGGGTGCCTTCCTATGGCCACACGTGTCTCGGTATTTCGGCCTGCAGCCGAATCACACCATAATTTTGTGCATTGCGCTGTTTGAGTTGATCCCACTCTACGGGTTGCTCGCTTACATCCCCTTCATCAAAAACTGGGGTGTGTTCGGGTTACAACAGCCGTGGGAGATTTTCCCACTAGCCGTCGTTCACGGGGTAGTATCTGGCGGGCTAGCGTCATACTGCCGATCCTTCTTCGGACTCTTAATTCCCCCCGGTAGTGAGGCTGCGTTTTACGCTCTTTATGCTGCTACGGACAAGGGGAGTTCATTTATTGGACCAGCTATTGTGGGCATTCTTGTTGATGCGACCGGTCAAATCCGGAGTGGATTTTTCTTCATGGCGATTCTCATCCTTCTGCCTATCCCCCTCGTGTGGCTTGTTAACGCTGACAAGGGCCGGCGTGAAGGTTTGGCTATGGCTGAAACCCTGGGCAAGTCACATGGTGGGCCCGCAGAGTATGCTCAGGAGGCCGAAGGGCTTCTTGCTCGTGAGTAGACTAGTAGTCTACTAGACTACGGAGTACTCCGTACTAGACTGCATATACTAGACTGCATAGTAGAACATATGAGATATTTATGGCATCTAAATTATGAATATATATGGAGTTGGGAAGGGAAAGTGAGACTTGGAAAGAAGGTTTTCACCAAGCCTTCCGCATGCGGAGACTTGATTGGTCAGAAATCTAAGGGTCCACGGGTATTTTAACTGTTTTTCACATCTTTGAAAAGTTGTCTCAAGTTCAGGGTCCAAAATAGAAAAATAGATCAAAGACACGGCAGGGTCTATTCCACAGATTCCACAGTTTGCCTCTTTAAGTCAAGCCTTTTAGTAGGCAGTGCGGATATACCATGTGGGGATGAGCTTTTAATGTCCAATCAAACGTATCCATTTGAAAAGAAATCCTTGGTAACTCAACTCTCTACCAATGGAAACAGGTGAAATCGTCTAGCGTGGTCTAGCGTGGCCGTCAAGTGGGTCAATACCGATACCCTCGGTGCTTGGTTTGTTGGTGCCTAGAAAAAGGGACCCTTCTTGCGGAGGACCCTTGTTCGAATTCGGAGCCCGCGGAATTATGCTAGTTTAAAGGCGAATGAATGAAACATGGCCACCGGGGCCAAAGGCAGCAATAATATAAAGATTCACATCACTGTGAAAAAAAAAATGACAAAACCTGAGCGTTCTTTCACACTTTCATCCACCACAATTTTCATCATGCTCACTAGTGCTGTGTTTGCCTCTCTATTTGTACTAGCCAGTGCACAGTCATGGAAGCGGGGTCCATTTATCGAGGCCGTCACAGACTGCTCCCAGTTCCCATCATACAATAATGACACGAAAATGGCCGGGCCCTGGACACTCAAGGTCGATAGCTGCTACAATGCAACCGCGACTGCGGGGTTATGCAGCATCGAGGGCTTCGAGACTGGAAGTGACATCACACGACAACGAGAAGACACACCGAATACGATCGAGCATGGATTTGTAAGTTCTTACCCTAGGAATGGACTTTGTCCATCCACGAATCAACCTAAACACCAGTACAGAAGAACCAGTTTATTAACAGAGATATAGCTCACGATCGTAAGCGACAACAACAATATCAAAACCCAACTCCGCTGCAACGGCCTCCTAAACACAATCGAAGCAAACGTCCTCTCCGGCCCCGGCGCCGGCTCCCTGAACTGGCATGCCGTCGGGATAGACCACCACCCCAGCACAGGGCGACTGGTCTGGGGCAAACCCTACTCCGAGCCTGTACAGGCATACAGACGCTACCACCATGGTGTAGCCGCTGACGGCCTCTTCCTCGGATCGAACAATGAGACGAATTGGAGTGTGCACTCTGCTGGGCGGGATGTGAGCTTTACGGATATGAAGCCGTATTGGGTTATGCGATTGATGATTCCCGAGACGAAGATTCGGGAGAATGAGTTCAGGACATCCATTCGGATTGATGGCAGCTGACTTTGCTTTCCTTTGCGCTCATTATATGGGTGTGGCTCTTGTGTTTCCTGTTATTATACCCCCGTGCATGCATACTGGTGGTTGTGCTACGTCTATTTTGTACAATACCCTAGCAAATGTTCCTCAACGCTTCCCATTTTCATGGCATAAATTGACAGGTGTAAAAGTGTAGCAATTTGTAAGACAACAAGAAATGATCAAGTGCATCTCCGGTATCGATAGACATATCCATATATGAACCGTTTACAACAACAGAGAACCATGCCCTCGAGAAAGACCAATATTCACCTATACTCAGATATAGTGTCTTAGAAGTATGCCATCGTTTGTCCCAATGCATTACAGCACTGGAAACAAGATCTCCCCGACCGCACACAAAGCAACAGGTCCTGGGTGGAAACTTTTCATAGTGTCCTGGCTAGTGCCTACCCAAATAGCTAGTCCTATCCACCAAATCCCGCTATTTAAATCCATATCCTTTGGAACTCTAAGTGCAACGCGTAGAGCCGCAGTTCAAGGCTCTTTCATACTGGAGAACATCAACATTCGGAATATCTTCGGTGTTTTTCAAGCCTTTATCGACAATGTCTCTGGATTTCCATGTACACCTGGGTTGTAATGTCTTTGGTCTTGTCCCGCGGAAAATTTCTTATCACATGAATTACCTATACCGTAAACAAGCCTTGCTAAAAATGGAAATATCTTGGCGCCTAAAATACAAAAGAGGGCCATACCCATAGCATTCTTTCCCTCCCCCGACATATGGGACGATTTACGATGTATAGACCTACCACGAGAAATGAATGGTGGTTTTGTGGCCAACTTTTCGCGCAGGCCATTCTAAGCTTCGCGATTGCAATGTACGTTTGTTATTCAGCTCAAGTGCGTCTTTATGAAATCTTGCTCTAATAACAAACCAGATACATTCTCGTTGAATGGCAATCATGGGTCACACCACGTATAACCCAACTCACCATTTCCTACACGGTCCCAATCGGTCTAGGAATCCTTATATTCGCTGTTCTATTCACGCTCATCCTTTCGCTGGATGCAATTCATCACCAAAACAGCCCACTTCTCCTCGCCATCTGCGTCTGCAATTCCTGCACCTTGATCTTCTCCATTATGCGGTACAGGTCGATGCGCCACATAACGAACAAGCTTTATGCGCATCGTTATAACTTCCCAACTCTGGTGGATAAATCTAGGAATGTCTGGCCTCGCATTCAGCCAGCCGAATTCATTCTACCAGTGATCGTGGGTCTCAGCAATATGAGCTTGTGGCTCTGTGCATATTTCTTGCGCAAAGAGTTTTCATGGACCATCTACAAGAGTGTTCATGGCAGTAATAATCATGGCAGTCTCAAAACCAGGAAGCGCTACAGGGCATATGAGGTAATATGGCTTCCAAATCCTTCGTTGAGGGGAATCCTTAATCTCTCATCTTGCTAACCCTATCGATGTAGATATACATCGTCCTCATCAAGCTCATTTTTTTCTTCTTGACCGGCTTCATTATCCAATACAACCTGATCGACGTTCACTTCGACGAGCCCGAGTATAGCCTAACCATGGCTGTAATACCGGCTGCGTTTATTGTGATTATGCTCGGTATTTACTTCGTGAAACACGAGAGAACATACCCCATGATCCCTATCCTAGTGAGTTCTTTTCAAAACCTTATTCAGATCCTCGAGCTATACGAAGGACTGACACCGTGATCCAAAAAGGTATGCTACCTAGGCATGATCGCGTACCTCATCAGCCGCATAGTCATTCTATGCGGACATAAACGCCGCGCACATACCGCTGGAAAGGACATGATGCTACTATTTGCGATTGCAGCTTTAGTATCGACTGTGTCCACATTCCTTTGCGCCATTGTCTGCGTGCTTAATTTCAATAACGGTTTAATGGTGCTCGACAGATGGAGAAGAAACGTCGCGCGAGAGTCGTCCCTGTTTCGGAGTGGCTATCGCCGTGCGGATTTTGAACTACCGCCGTATCCACATGCACGGCAGGGAATATTGCTTGAATGAACGACATACTCCCGAGGCCCTTCCTTTAATTGATGATAGCAAATGAGCAAAGATTGTTATGGACCGAATTCAAAGCTTTTTTTCCAAACCTAGCTGTTATGGACGGATCGAGAAACGAAGCGTGAGTGTCTATGGGGGAAACTATTTCCGAAATCTACTCTATGAAAGTTGAACGTCTCGTAAATCCGGATTTTATTCCTTTGCTCTTCATCGAGCCACCTTCTTCGACGAACCCAGAGAAGCGAGAGCATGTTTGATGCTCGAAGTCGTGACTTGAACTAAACTCGTCCCACGAACAGATTGCTATCTTGTCGATATCTAATCCGGTTTTTTCGGGTAGACGGTCACAAAAGGGGTTGTGCGTCGTTGATGTCCGGCGCGAGTTAGGGGTTCCCTTACATTTCTGAACCGGCAAACCTCCCAATGTTGGTTGTTGCTGTGATTTTTAGGATTGAACGCTTACTAGTAGGCTCCCCTGAACCTTCTTTAGGGTATTATGTCTATACTTTTCTAACGAATGAGCGGATGTTGCGATGAGTATAGTAGGGCCGGGTGAACTTATCATCCTGGATGTAGTCCAGGTGTTCATGTTGTTTCCATTTCAGAATGCCTTCTCCCCGGAAGTATCTGGGATAGTCTTTGCGGACTGTGGGTCCAAAGTCCATCAGCGTGTGCAACTCAGCCTCGGTCAGCTTCCCATCCTTTCCCCGTTTGTTCCTGAGGATCACAGGTAACTGATCACTACTCTTCCATCCACTGTATCGGCGTGGAGTGTTGGGATCAGCCAACTCGCGAATGTACGCGGCTAACGGACGTCCCAGTTCCTTTCGATCAAGAACATCCATAATGGGCTTTTCTCAGCTATTGCGTTAGGGCGGAATTTCAGTTTCTTCAGCCTTGGAAGTAAGTCTGGTTCAAAGGGGCTAGCTGGTCGCTTAGGAACCTTGTATAGGATGAGCAATGGCTGGGGTCGTGATGACCCCGACTGCTGAGGTTGGAGCTTGCTTGTTGGCTTTGGAAGGTGGGTTGGGGATGGTTCGGGTTATTGGTCGAGGTATGTTTGGCTAGGTCGGGATGAACCTGACTTTAGTTGGGACGAGTTCTTGTTCGTTCGGGATCCTTTCTGGGGAGTGGCCGGGGCCGTGCGGTTCAGCCCCTGGGAGGGCGTTGGGATGGTTTTGCCGGTTCGTCCCGTTTTAGGAGCTTTATCGCTTCCTCGTTCCTTCAAAGCGTGCATCTCCCCTCGTAGCCGCTTTGCTTCCTCTTTCCAGTCGATAGTATCTTCGATTCTAAATACCTTTTCGAGTTATGTTAATCCATGGTGTTATCCCTAACGAACATTGAGTGCGGAAAATCGTGTTCGAAGGAAATTGGCGACTCTCCTTCGACTCCATGCTTTGGCCATTAACCCCATGGTCCAGGAGTAGTGTGCTTAAATACTTCGAACCACCATGTGTTGCTTATAGCCGTGATCGAGTTGTTCGATCGTCTGCAAGACTCGTTTTCCGTACTGGGCTTTATCAAGGTCTGGAGCCCATGGTGGACACAAAGCACCGGTCATAGGCAGGTGCTGAGATTTGGCACTGCTAAAAACGGTAGAATGTTAATATAGTATCCAAGAAAAAGAAGATTGGGGACTGACCTGATGGTCTATTAACCAATTGTCTTAAAATCGTATAGGGGCCCATATATATCAGATAGCCCGTTATAGAGCAGACAAAACCTCCTAATAACCTGGTTTGTGTTGGGCACCAGGAATGATCTTATATACAGCCTAGGCTTTGTGATATGGTGCGAAAAGCTGTTTACCATCATCCACAGAAGATATCTGGGACGCCCGAAAAGCTCTTGGACAGGGCTTGGTCAATGAATCGGGGTTGGAGATATCGAGGGCGTGGGTGTCATGTTGAGGATTTCTCTTCGAGGATGTCAAGGGCTGCGAGTAACTCCGTGAGTGGGGGCTGTCAGGACAGTCACATCAGACGGCACACCGAAATGGCCGGCACAGTGCCAAGAGTTTGGAGAGTTTGAGAAGGAGTGAGACGCGCCAAGTTGTCAAAGGCCGAAAGCGCCGACCCGATGATCGGTTGAGGAACTCGGCGTGTCTTTTAGGCAACCCGTAATCTGTCCTAGATAATGATGTGCGCTACGAGTGGGCGAGATTGAGGCTCCACCTTCGTGCAGGTGTTCTTGAGCCTGACGTTGCCCATGATGCGAGATGATCACCGGTAAGGGTAATCACGCCATGTGGGACATAGATCAGTGCAATCTCGTGTGTTTGAATCACCAGGACATAGAGAGAGGTCCTGTCATGGAGGGTCAAGAGAGAGTCCAAGGGGTTGGAGGAATGATGTTGTTGCCCATCGTGCCTTCCCTATCCCCTGTTGGAAGCCTTAGGCAGCGGAGGCAAAGTCCTGAATCAACTCAACCTATTCAGGGTTCACAACTGTCATTTAGTGTCCATCAATCATCATTTCTCTATACCATACAGCTATCCAATTCAGCCTATTCGCAGAACTTGCCAGAAACCCTGCCATGGGAGCTGTTACGTGCCAGATCAATGAACAAGAAAGAGTGCATTCAAACTAGAAAGCAAAGATGGGGAGAAGGAGAGAGAGAGCAAGTGGTAGATCCAGAGGATTAAATAGCAGAAGCTAACCCATAGTACAAACAAACCCCTTTCCCAATTAGGAATAGTAGCACTTCGAAGAACAAAGGAAACAAAGCAAACAAACGTTCTCTAGCATGTGATAACATGCAAATCATGACAGGGATATTCCTGGACAAAAAACTACAAAACTATGTATGCATCTACACCGGTATTACCCGTGAAAGCCCACTTGGTTTGGATCACCAAACGGGTATGATTGGCCACAAGACCGGAGATACTCCTCGGGAGATGCCCAAATCGAAAGGATTGAAGATTCAATATTCCGTATAAGGGAGTCGGCTGTTATAAGCGATAAGCGTGGATAGCCTCTTGGCGATCGAGGTGTAGCAAATTTTAAGTTGAAAGTGTGACACATATCCCTATCCAAATCAAGATTAACAGACTAAGCACCCTAGCAAGCGCAAGAAACCCCAGATTCTGCCCCAGATATCATTGGAGAGGAAAAACGGTTCCAACATCGGATGTCGGAATCCGGGGAGGTCGCCAAATTACCCGTTTGGAAAGTCAACAGGCCGGCCCGAAACACCGTGATCTATTCACCTAATATATTCTTTGCTCCAATGAGAGACATAGTCTTGACCGAGGCCTAGACTCTATTGTGACCGCTTTCTGCCCAAAATGTATGTGCGGCCAATTTGCCGTTACAGAAAGGGAATAGCTTCATTTTAGACATTCCGGGGGTTAGCGCTAACCGGCCACGTCCAATCAGATCGAATTCTCAGATTCCCCAAATCTCGCTTCCCCAGACACTAACCAACAACCACCACTGGCGGCTGAATTGATTCTTGGAATTCCCACCTGTCGCTATTTCTTCCTACCGATAGGTGTAGGTTTCAGCACACCATCACGTCCGACATTCCAGAGTTGGCCTAGACGCGCTGACAAGGACATTGTACTCTCCAGACCTGACTCTCCACACTCTACCCAACACCACAATTAGCCTAAATACCACATGGGCTGATCGCTGTCTGGGGATCCGGCAGCGAATTTTCCGTTCTTTCTCCACAACCTCAGATGCGCTAATGCAGAGTGGACGACCCTAATACTAGTATGTCGCGAGAATTAACGTATATAGACGACCGTTCCCCCCTCCTCTGGTCTGAGACTCAGTGGGATCCTGTATTACAACTACTCAGCATCAGTCCCTTTATTCACCATGGCGGCCACTGTTGATTCTGTGCTCGCGGTGGAAAAGACTGCCGCCAACCATGTCGAAGATACACTAGGCCAAGGCGCCATCACCGAGGCCAGACAGGCTACCGACGACGAGCACTCGCAGACGCTGATGCAGGCCCTGCGTGAGAACCGCAAGGCTGTTATGTGGTCTGTTTTGATCTCCATGTCCATTATTATGGAGGGATACGATACCATCCTGATGGGCAACTTCTTCGCCTACCCCACGTTCAATCAAAAGTATGGACAGGATTATGGTGGTGATATCGGATGGCAGGTATCTGCACCTTGGCAGACGGGCCTGAACATGGCCAGTACGGTTGGATGTATCTTCGGTGAGTTCTCTTGTCGATTGCCACCCCCCGGACAAGGCCTGACATGATCACAGGTGGTATCTTGAACGGATACTGTGCGTCCAAGTACGGTTATCGAATCGTCATGGTCGTCGCCCTTGGATTCCTCACTGCCTTGATCTTCATCACATTCTTCGCCAACTCCGCAGCAGTCCTCCTGACTGGCCAGGTCCTTTGCGGACTCTCATGGGGGGTGTTCGCGACCATCGGACCAGCCTATGCATCAGAAGTATGCCCCACCGTGCTGCGCGGCTACCTCACCATCTACGTCAACCTGTGCTGGGCCATCGGCCAGCTAATCGCTTCCGGTGTCCTGTACGGACTCGTCGACCGAAAGGATCAATGGGGCTACCGTATCCCCTTCGGCCTGCAGTGGATCTGGCCCGTTCCTTTGATGGTCATCTGCTGGCTCGCACCCGAGAGTCCCTGGTGGCTCGTCCGCCACGATCGCCTGGAAGACGCAAAGCGCAGCATCCGCCGACTGGGCGGCAGCAAGACCGAAGACCAGATCAACGGACAACTCGCAATGATGGTGCACACGATCAAGCTCGAATCCGAGATCGAAGCCGGCACCACCTACTACGACTGCTTCAAGGGAGTTGACCTGCGCCGCACGGAGATCTGCTGCATGGCTTTCGTCGGCCAGATTCTGTCCGGTAGTACATTCGCCTACTCACCTACCTATTTCTTCACCCAAGCCGGCCTGCCCGTAAATCGCTCCTTCCAGCTCGGCGTCGGATGCACCGCCATTGCCTTCGTGGGTACCTGTTTCTCCTGGTGGCTGATCACTGGATTCGGCCGCCGCACGCTGTACGTCTGGGGCCAGGGCATCCTCTGTGCAACCCTCTTCCTGATCGGTATCCTGGACGTGTCCTCATCCGCGAACGGCATTATGTGGGCGCAGGCCGGACTCTGCTTCTTCTGGCTCTTAACATATTCCCTGACCGTCGGCCCGATCGCATACGCCATTGTCTCAGAGACATCGTCTGTGCGTCTGCGCCCGCTGACAGTGTGCATCGCGCGCACAGCATACCAGATCATCAACGTGGTGTCACAGGTGCTAGAGCCATACTTCATGAACCCAACAGCGTGGAACGCGTCGGGTAAGACGGGATTCTTCTGGGGTGCGACTGCACTCGTTGCCTTCGTGTGGGCATTCTTCCGTCTTCCCGAGGCCAAGGGCCGCACCTACGCAGAGCTGGATATCCTGTTTGCCAGCAAGATCAAGGCGAGCAAGTTCGCGTCGGCTGTTGTCGATCCCTATGCGGTTCTGCCTGCTGAGTCGCAGGAGGGTCTTGTGCGTGAGAAGACGCAGGATACTAATTAGTGAATAATTAATAAAGAATGGGAACACTACCCCGGCGGTTGTGTATGATGCCATGTGTGAATTGACTTAGCATGTTTCAGCAAATATTGAATTTAATGACCGGTCGATTTCCAAGTATTTTTATACAATTGAATTACTATATTATGTTATTAAAAAGAATTGTTAATCTTTTTTGGTTTAATACCGGTGGGTAAAATACGAATGCGGTATTTAATTCTTACTACCAGGCAACTAAGATAACACCGATACGGATCGGTATCGGGGCCAGTATCAAAATCCGCCGGTCGCACCCCACCAAAAGAAAGGTCCAGATTTCAACTTCATTTTCACCCACCTTCCTGTACTCTGTTCGGTCCCAAATTGGCAAGCACCCTTGTACATCATCAGAATAGGACTTCGTGAATTCTCAGACCGATCAGAGCACGGAATTTCAGGTATTGCTGAAGCCCAAATACCTGAACCTGCCCCACTCTCCGGGAGCCAATCAGACCACCCCAAATCCACGTACGTACCTGGCAGGTAGTTATGTGGTCGGGAATAGAGTTAGGTGACCCGTTACGGCCAAACTATAGTTACTCTTCTTGTCCCTCTTGACTGCGCGAGGTCACCAATAAAATTCGGAAATATCTTGGAAGTGTTATCGAAGGTGAGATGATCTAAAACTCACAGCCTATCAAAGAAAATAGACTGATTATCAACGCAGGAAAACATAATTCTTCCCTCTCTCTGGTATCTCAAATATATAGATACAAAGACACGAGGATATATCCTGAAAACTACCTCTTGCACTGTTGTTTGATTAATACAGCCTCAGGCGTTCTAGGCAAGGAAGAGCAGTTAAATAATATTGAGGACTTCCAAGGATTTCAGAGATTCTATGAACACAGTTATTGGCTATTGCAAGTGTTTGCGAGTATTGGCTCTCGGCCGTCACTGTGAGACTCGTCGCGACAAGGCACAATAAATTGGCGCATGAGTTTCAGTGCATAAGTTTCCAATAGAAACGTAAAAATATCATTCCTAAAAACAAACGTATCCGATATGTGCTTTTCACCGTAACGGAAAGGGGAATGTTACAGTTACTCCTCCGAGAGCTTGGTCTTCAATGCCTCGATAGACGGGGTGAAGAAATATTCACCGCCTCGCTGATCAGTCCATGAAACGAATTTGAGTGGGAGCTTGCAGGGACGTTCATCGTCAGGCTTATCGTAAATACTGACATAACCCTCCGGATGGTCTGGTCGATTTCTCTGGCTAATGATAGGATCAACACCAGGGCCTCCTTCGATACCCGTGTTGGGAGCAAAGGTTCTGTTGCTTGCCCAGCCTGAAATAAAAAGGAAAAGGAACACTATTAGTTGACCTTGTCTTGCTGGGAGGTTGTGAAGTGGGGAAGGAAAGTCTTACGGGCCATCAGCTGGTTGAATCCATTGCGAATGTCACTCTGGTAACAGAGGAAGTAGATGCCGCGCTTCTTTTTCGTCTCGTGCGCCTCTTCAACTTCATCGACTTCGGGTCCAAACGTGATACTACGACGAAGGATAATGTTGGTGTTTGTCACCTTGTGGTTGGCGGAAACTTCTTCAGCGTCCATGTCATCCGGATGATCGTTTCCTACATAAAGGTCTGCCCTAGGACGCATCTTGCGAATGTGAGCTGCGAAGGGACACTTTGTGTTCTTCCGCTGAGTATGTCCTTTCTTAAAGTCAAAGTTGTTTGCAAAGACATATTCTGGCTTAGTGCCATCAGGGTCGAGCTCAACCGGGGAGCCTTCGAATGATCAGGTCTGTTAGTCCCTCGCTGCCGATACATAAAATCGCATAGACGGAGAAATATAATTCACATACCATTCTTCCATCTTCCCATCAAATAAGCTGCAAGCTTCTCACCCGTACCATCGTCAAAGGATGGTATTGTCCGGGAACTCTCTCTCACGTACCTGGACAGATATGTAAGCCCTGTGGTTTAGCTCATCGAGATGAATGTGATAATATCATACTTGTGGAACTCCGGGACCTTTTCCTCGATTTCACGGAAAACAAGAAAACTGCCTTCTGTGGCCCAGCGTGGTTGATTCGCTTTCTCACCATCAAGACCAGTGAATATCAAACTTTAAACCCCATCAGCAAATGACGTTGTCAAAAGATAGTTGATTCTTTCTTACCCTGGGGGAATACTCCTCTGTTCACCTTTTCCGGGCTCGGGGTCGAGGCCCCTGATCTGAGGCTGAGATATTTCATCCTCGAATCCAAAGCTGAGCGAGTGGTTAAAAGTTAGATATGAGGCGCACTTCAGTCCCTTTGGGGAAAATGGGAGAGAAAAAAATGAGAAGGAGAAACCAAGACTGGAGAATACTGACTGTTCTTTGCCATGGAGACTAACCGTGCCACCCTGGGCTTTCTCGGCTTTCCCATCAGCATTTCGGAGGTTACCCTCCTTCCGAAAAGCGATCGCAACACTGGCCGACGCCGTGCCGACATTGAAGCCGGTTTCAAGCTCCTTTATCTTCTCTTCCAGCTTGTCTTTGGTCTGAGCGGTGACAATAAACAGCCCATCGACTCTCCAGTCATCATTATCTCCACGATAGTCTTCGGGAGGTTTGTACTCAGGAGCCAAAAGGTGGGGATCATCGGGGCCTTCAAAGACCATGTCCTTATACATGCCCCTGATGTGCAATTCATCGTCAAGCCTATCATTCCGGCGTTGCATAACTAACTGCAATTTCCACGTTAGTATTACCGCGGGTGAGGAGAAAGGTATTGAGTCGGTTTTGATGGGGAGCTGATTTCTCACCTTTTCAATACCCTTGTAGCTGAAGGAAATGTTCACAGCCTCGAAGGGTTTGCGCTGCTCTGGAGGAGTGTCCGTCCTCGGCTTGCCCGGTGTGGCTTGAGGGAGGTCGTCCGTCTCCACGAAATATGCCTTGCATTTCGCACCGGTGGTGATCTTGTCGGCAAAGCTTCTGAGATGTGTCTTGAATGCATCCGTCTCCCTAATCTTGAAGAACAGGAACGTTTCGTAGTACTTTGGCAGACGGGGCCTGAGTGCACCCATTGTCAGCATTCACGTCTAGGGTTCGAAGTTATAATCTCGATATCTACTTACCAAATGCTACCCTGAATGTTTTCAATGTTAATCTTCGTTTCCTTATGCATTTCGACGATGAATCTCAGGACAAAAGAGTTTTGGTTAAACTGCCAAGTCCAATTGTCCAAGAAGCACTTTCGATATCTGAATAGGATGAATGGCTTCTTATAGGGATTCCACCCACCATGCCGTGATTGACGACCAGCTTCACCACCAATCAGTTACCTCTGTTTCTAATAGCTGAAACTTGCAGGAGTTCAAGTCACGAAAATGACATCATAATACATGACAAGATATGTAAAGACGGGACAATCATAGGCGAGTTTAACAGCTTTGTTATTACGAGTTGTTTAGTGGAAGTGATGATCTCTATCGCAAGGTCCTGATTTCCTAATAATTGGTTTTCCGAAGTCATCAGCTGGTCAATCATTCGCCCCAGTGCTACAGACATGTCATCCACTTTCCCTAGCCGATACATACTATGTTTAATAGTCGGTGCAGGAATCCTTCACAGCTGGAGTTGAAGTGGAGACCGTAGTGGAGCAGGCTCCGCATGGGCCTCAGCGAAGATCCTGGGATATCACCGACCACTGCACCCATTTTCATCCCTATGGCTCGAAACAGATGTCATAATCCGGGCAATAAGAGTATGAAATCGCGTTGCTCCGGCCATCGTCGCCCGATATATGGAGGGAGTCTATGATGTTGCAAATATCAGCCTGAGACCTACCACGTTTCTGGAGGCTGCGGGCCGGGACATCCCGCGACAGGAGGGGGCCACGTCAGGAAGGGGTCACATCTACGATAGTGCGAACTCTGATCGGCAAATTGGTTCGCTGGGACGGGCGAAGAGTCTGTGATCTGCACCGCGAACTAAAATATATGGAGATATATGGAGACAGAAGCGGATTTGATGGATCACGGCCCTTTCTTGGCAGCTACGCCCCCGAGGACGATCGATGTGGATAGAGATAGTAGCCAGAAATCGATGATGTCGTTGGGCCAGTTCACCTTCGCAGCGGCACAGATGAACAGGTGGCTGACTGGATGCGAGTTTCAGCTCGGATGGGGCCCTGTCCTGTGCAATTGCCTAGTGTCGTCACAATGCCGTTTGTCCGTGCTGGGAAATCACCCATGCTGGATCTGATATTTCCTCTTCAGCCCTCCCCGGGAATATTTTCTGTCTGTCTGTCTTCTCCAGACACCAGCGAACCCCAATAGTCACTTATCTTCAACGATGAAGCTCCAATGGGCCTCCGGCCTCCTTCTCGGAGCCGTCGTCAATTACGTTGACGCCTCTGCCGCTTCCCATCTTCCGCCCAATTTTTCTACGGATTCGAGTGATGTCGTTGTTCCCACGTACGGTGCCATTGACCCCGAGAAATACTGCTGGCAAGCAAAGCCTCGGGGTGGCAGCCGCCTCGACCGAACCAACTTCGCCGTGGAGTGCTCTAGTCAGGAAAATGATGACAATCAATGCAAGAATGTGTTGGACGGCCAGGTCCACACGTACTGGCGCAGCGAATCCAGCAATAAAACCCAAAATAACTGGATCATTATCGACCTTGGCTCGGAGCAAAAAGTGAACGGTCTCAGCATGCTGCCTCTCATGGACAAGGATGCTCGTGGACAGGTTGCCAAGCACGAGGTTTATCTCAGCAACGATAAACGCGATTGGAAAAGAGTCGCCTACGGGCTCTGGGGATGGAACAAGAGCTTGAAGCTCGCTGTCTTCGAACCCGAAGTTGCCAAATACGTGAAGCTCATTGCGAAGGGTGAAGCGCCTCTCGGCAAATCTCCCGATACCAAGTACCCGGAAACGTGGACCAGCATTGTCGACATCGCCATCTACGCCGTCGACTTCATTATCCCCCGGGACCCATCCCGAGGTACCTGGGGCCCAACACTCGACTTGCCCATTGTCCCCGTAGCTGGGGCCCATACTGCAGTTAACCGTGTGAACAACGGCGATATCATCCTCTGGTCTGCCTGGGCTGACAATCAATTCTTTGCTTCCCCTGGTGGCGAAACCTTCACAACTACCTGGGATCCTATCAAGGAGGATATTTTCCAGGCTAGTGTTGCCAACAATGAGCACGATATGTTCTGTCCTGGAATCTCCATGGACTTCGACGGACGAATTGTCGTGTCTGGTGGAGCCGACTCGGACAAGACCAGCATCTTCAACGGCACTGGCTGGGAGCGCGGTGAGAGCATGGCGCTCCACCGTGGATACCATTCCACTACTACCCTCTCCGATGGACGGATCTTTGCCATTGGTGGTTCGTGGAGCGGAGGGCCGAATAACCCCAAGGACGGCGAGCTCTACGATCCCTGGACGCGAACCTGGAAGAGGCTCTACAACCTCCAGCGTGAGATCATCGAAACTGATGACAGACCGCTCCGGGCCGATAATCACGCATGGCTGTTCGGCTGGAAGAACGGCAGTGTTTTCCATGCCGGTCCCAGCAACAAGATGCACTGGTTCAACACTCGCACAAAGGGAGGTAGTTATGTGCCTGCCGGTTATCGCCTTGACGACCAACACTCAATGTCTGGGAACAACGTCATGTTCGATGCCGTTCAGGGTAAGATTCTCACCTTCGGAGGCCAGGAGCGCTACGACGGATCTTTCGGTACCAGAAATGCCCACATCATCACCATCAGCGAGCCCTACAAGAAGCCCAAGGTGCAGGTGGCCGGTTTGAATGGAAGTAAGAGCGAGAACAACCCTGGCGGCATGTTTTATCAGCGTGTCTTCCATACCTCTGTTGTTCTCCCTGATGGATCTGTCTTCATCGCTGGTGGCGAGATCTGGGGCCAACCCTTCAATGAAGCTGAAAGGGATATCCAATTGACCCCGGAAATTTACTACCCGGACAGAGACATTTTCGCTCCCCTACAGAGGAACAACGTCGTTCGTGTCTACCACAGTCTCTCGATTCTCCTCCCTGACGCTACCGTGCTCAACGGAGGTGGCGGTCTTTGTGGTAACTGCACCGTGAACCACTACGACGCTCAGATCTTCCGGCCCCCATACCTATACAACAAAGACGGAACGCCAGCGACCCAGCCTAAGACCCCCTCCGTGAAGAACAGAAGCGGCAAGGTCACCGTGGGCAAAACACTTCGTTTCTTCGCTGACGCTGATATCAAGAGCGCATCTCTGGTCCGTCTCGGCACTGTCTCGCACACTGTCAACACCGACCAGAGACGCGTGCCCCTGGATAAATACAAGTGTGAAGATCCCGAGGACGGTTACAAATACTGCGAGGCCCAGATCTATCCGGACCCCGGCGTTGTTCTCCCCGGATACTACATGCTTTTCGTCATGAACTCCGCTGGCGTTCCTAGCAAGGCTGCGACCGTCAAAGTTGAGTTGGATTTCCCCTTGGGCCATTTCACCGAAGAGGATTACCTCATTGATGAGAAAGATGAAGAAGTGGAACACAAGAAAGACTGCGATATGGACGTTGCTGGTGGTAAGCAAGTCCAGGGAATGGTAGCTATGATATTTGCGGCTGCTCGCAAATTCTGGAACCCACCGCAGTCGACTCTCGTGACTCAGGGTTAAGAAATTTCTGATATCTTGGGTTGAGCATGCTGTATATGTGGTGCTTGCTTCGCGTCGCCGGCTCCCATAATATCCATTTTGTTCTGAACACGCATATTTTAAGTACTATTTATGCGTCAACCACCAGTGCATAGTATGATAGCATGGAGAATGTACCATTCAGAATGAGTAGAGGAACAACCGAGACAATGTGCTATGATGATGTAGACATTTGGGCGGATCAAAATTTAATCGCCGGCGACGCTATTCACTATGCTAAGCAATGCAAGAAGCGTACGGCAGGCTTGATTTACGGTGATTTTGGTAGAATATTGTGTTGAGATGGTGTTTTGCGTTGACCAGAGCGCCGCTGCCGTAAGTTGATCTATCTTTCGTATTGGCGGACTCCCCTGTAAATCTCGCTGTCCGTTGGTGTCTTTTTATTTGAATATTCTCCCGAAAAACACTGCAATTATTTCTTGCCAATACCAACAGCGTCCACAGGGTAAGATGAGGATCAGAAAATGGAGAAATTTATACAGCGCTCAATACGGACACTCCTTAAGAGGCAACGACAGGCCTCACCTCTCCATCAAACCCAAACCAAGCATTTGCAACGTCACCGCCGAGTCCTTTATTATTGCCTTTCCGGGTATCAATCCACCAGCCCGTAAATGGCCCCACGAGAGCTTATCCGTCCTTCTCCTGTTCCTCCCCAATGGTGCCATCCGAGTCTCCAATACTCGGAGACTCGAAATTCGATTTGGTGAGGTTCAACCCCATTTCTGCTGCGCGCTTCTCCAGATCGGCCCTCATTATACTTGAGAGTGGATACATGATCTCCTTCATCCCATCCCCAGAGTTTCATACCTACTTATATCGGACGATCGACTTAACCTGACAGTACTCGACCAGACCCATCAACCCATACTCAACACCCATCCCACTCTCCTTATGACCAGAAAATGGCACACGCGGATCAGGCCGACTAGGTCCATTGATAAAAACAGTCCCAACATCTAGTTGACTCGCAATTCTCTGCGCAGTATGAACGGAACCACACCACACGCTCGCACTCAGCCCCGTCGGTGTACCATTGACAGCTGCTATCACAGAATCTTCGTTTGAAAATGGCACACACGGGATTATAGGGCCTTGGCCGTCAGCGATACAGTTCACACAAATAGTAAACGAGGTCAAGTCAACATTTGACTCACCAAATTGCTCCTCCATGACCAGAGATGACTCGGCTGGCGGATCATCAACGATCATAGGCCAAAGGAAAAAGCCCGAGTCCAGGGACTGCCGGGCAAGATCGTTTCGTCCGCCCTCTGGTTCATCAAGAGCAAATATGTATCCATGCTCCCGACACTCCTCAATCAACCCCTTCAGCTTCACGAATTGCATTTCGTTCTGCACCGGGCCCATCACCGGACCTCCACCGGATCCACACCCCACAGAAATAGACTTTGTGAATTCGACGAGAGCTTTTAGAAAATCATCATAGATATCCTTGTGAATATAGAGACGTTTTGTCGCAATGCACGATTGGCCAGAATTCCACCATGCACCCATGGCGACTTCCGGGATAATTTTGTCGATTTCCACGTCTGGCATTATGATCGATGAGTCGTTTCCGCCTCTAGTTCTGTTAGCTATGTTTCATGCTTTCTGGATGAGTGAGTGACAGACAGCTCAAGTGTGACTTTCTTCATCGTTTTTGCTGCTGCTTCCATCACCTTCTTCCCAGTTGCCGTGGAGCCTGTGAATGAGATTTGTTGGATTCCCGGATGATTGACGAGATGTGGGCCTAAAGTGCCGTCGTCGGCGACAACTTGGAGAACTCCGGGAGGGAAGATAGATTGGGCTAATTCAATGAATTTCAGGGCTGTGTATGGGGTGAATGGCCTGTTTTGTTAGGCATGTTTAGTCTGAGGTGAGGGATTCCTACGATGGCTTGATAATGACGCAGTTTCCTACTGCAAGAGCAGGCGCGATTTTTCCGAATGCTTTTCGGAGTTAGATGGTATTATTTCACTCGGTGGAACGTATTTACATAGCATGATCGGGTCTGTAGAGCTGTGTGAGTCGACATGTAAATGCAGCGGGAGAGATGAGTCTCACAATTCCAAGGGCAGATCGCAGCTACAACGCCTCGAGCGTCATAATGAACAGTCACAACTTTGTCATCGTCCTCGAACACCTGGTGAGGAAGTGTATGCGATCCTGGAAAGGTCAACTTGGGGCACCCTTTAGTCCAAGGGCACCAGATATTACCTGGATAACGAAGCCAAAGAGGTGACCAGTGGACCTCAACCTGTGCAATACCTTCCTGAATTGGAATTAGTCTCGAGGAACAATAAACACCAGCTTTAATAGGCCACTGATTTTCTTTTGCTGGAATCAAGGTAATCTAACCGTTCGTCCAGTTTCTGCTTGGAGTAAAGCCGTGAATTGTGGAGCCAACTCCAAGAAAGCATCGGCGAATTGATCCAACAGCCTGACGCGTGCACTATACTCCAAGCTCGACCAGGCCGGGAAGGCCTTTCTGGAGGCATCAACTGCATCGTTGATATCCTCTACTGTTGCAACTGGAGCATTCCACAAGGGCTTGCCCGTAGTTGGGTCCACACCGCGATGAACCTTGCTGGATCCCCGAGGCTTGCCATCTATGATGTTGTGAAAAACATCGAACGATAGTTCGGATGATCCAGCCATAGTGATATTTGTCTAGAATCCGGAGCATCATGGTTCCGATGGCTCGACGCATTCATATAGTTGGCAATGGCACCGCGACCCTCAACATCGGCGAGTTTCGGGGGGTTCGGTGAACTCGTATCGGCAACCAAACTACCCAATCAAGGAGGGATGTTATCAATTGCATACCTCTAAACATATGATCTAGTAGGAAACATCGCTCATTGGACAGTATTTTGAAAAGAAATTAAAAACGTCCCATGTAATCTAAGCCTTGTGTGAGCCACGAGGGTGACGGGAACATATCGCCATCGGTTCTTGCACTATAAGTAGCAATGAAAAGAACATTAAAATGAGGCAAAAATATATACAGTCTTGAGTCATCTTCTAACTATATCTCGCTTCAAAATGAAAGTACCTGTTCATCTTTCACTGGGGATCCTGTCCCTACTCCTTGCAAGCACTGTGCTTGGCAGCAAAACGAAGAAGCATGCAAAAGCGACAACTACAAAAGTCTCAGTCCCCATGCAATCAAGCCACCTAGGCCCTCTCTTCAACATAACAATTGGCACACCGCCACAGCCCTTGACCGTCCTAAGTGACTGGACGTGGATGTCGCTTTTCGCACGTTCTGCAAACTGCGTGGGATCATATAATATTGCAAAGTGCATCCCATCAGGCCAAGAATACTTCAATGAGAAAAAGTCCACAACATTCATTACGACCAATCTTTCCGCCACTGGATGGGAAGGGACTAGCTTCCTACCCGGATACGAATTCGCCGTGACCTACAATCGGGACAAAGTCTGCATCGGGGACGTCTGTGACAACGGTGTTATTTTCCAACTTTCTGATTTCGATCTTGTCATTGACGAGGTGGTTCCATTTGGTGGCATATTTGGACTCTCTCCTGTGTTTCCTTCCGAAAATATAACATCCTATCCGGCTTCATATCAGGCTTACCTTGGGGGTCAGCTGGGTCCGCAAGTGGGATTCCATTCTTGCGCGGCATTGACCTCTAAAACCACATGCGGAGGAGGTGATATGCAGACTGTGTTTGGTGGCACGGCGGATAGGGAAGTTTTTGATCCCGCCGACGTTGTTCGTTTCGATGTGAACGTAGGGAGCTGCCTCTTTGAGAGTTCTCCGCTGAATGTCACTCCTTCTCGAAACAATTTCTGGGCGATTGAGTGGACAGGAATGTGGATTGGATCGGAGAAAGTGGAACTCAACCAGGAGACGGTACTCATCGGATGCGCCGATGGGAAACCTAGAGCTGTGTTTGATGAAGGTTCGGAGGGATATGGTGCTCCGGTTCCACTGAATGCACTTGCTAGCCTCCTGATTACGACAAATGCGACGGAGTCTGGTACAGGTTCAGAGGTATCATACCAGTTGTCAACAGTCGACAATCTTGAAAGGCTTCCGACTCTCACTTATGAGTTCCAAGGAAAGCAGAATTACACTATCTCACCCAGGACGTATGTGAGTTGCTCCGGTGAAAGCTGCACACTAAATATCAAGGCATGGGATTTTTACTCGAATGGCCCCATGGCACTTTTTGGACAAACTTTCCTCGAGACTCTTTACGTGATCTTGGACTTTGAAAGTCTTCAAGTGGGACTGGCACCTTTGAAACAGGGCTTACTAGCTTCGTGAGAATTAGGAGCTGTGCATGTAGCGCGAACTGGAAAGTGTGTTTCTGTATTGTATGATTGATATTCATGCAAGTGCTTCAGACACTAGAGAGAGAACTAGATAATAGAATATTTAAATTTTGACCAACTTAACGTAGATGAACGAGCACGCCACCTTCTCATTCCGATGCTCCCTGAGGAAGGTCTGTTTAGTCAAAGAGCTCCAAGCATCCAAGAAGTTATTTTGAACCACCGGATCATTCACTCCCGCGACATGCAATGCTTTAACGAAATAGCCGGAGATAACAGCCATCATCCAGTTCACCACGTTGTTGGTATAATCAATGCTTGCCCTGGCCCCATCAGAGCCAGGCTGCGTGGCAACAAGAGTCTCGTATGCAGGGTGGACAATTTCTTCTTCGAATAGATGCTCCACTGTCCAGAGATCTTGAAGATTTTCGAGCGAGTTCTCAACATCCTCCAACGTCCGATCGTACGTTGGAACTCGGAATGCCTTGGCCACTTCGGGCGGAATCTGGCCCTCCATCACAAGGCTTATCATGGCTTGTCGACAAGAGTCCACTAAACCGGGGTAATTAGGATTCCCTGTTGATGACTGGCCCACCAAAGATAGAACCAGAGTTCCATGCGATCGAAATTCCTCGGCTCTTAGATGGAGAAATTTGCACAGATCTTTGTCGGCTTGCTCTTTGAGCAGAGTCTGTTCCTCGTTTGATTCAGACCCTTCCTTCCCATCAGACACAGTAAGAGTCGGATAGCGTTCCAAGTGATGAAGCGTAGCCAGGGAGAATCCTAAATAGACAGAGTGTGTAGGAACGACCCTTTTGTAGAAGCTCTGCGCTACCATGGAGGTGAAAATCTTTGGACCGGGTCTAGTGGTTGGGAACCACTGGGTGTTATTTATCGTGTTTGCCACCGTGGTGAAGTCGTTCCCGACGCGATCGGTGAAAATTAGATTCACTTCGTCGCCAGTAGTGTCGGCGACTGGCCTTTGGAAATAATTTGTACTCAAGATACGCTGAAATGGCTCGATCCTTTTTCAAAATCAGTAACCCGGTGATAGAAGCTGTTTCACTGGACTTACGAGTTTACGCCTTGGGCGCATCCGTATTCTACCACTGAAAATACCCTTGGATTTGCGCCTTGTATTAAACTTGAATCAAATAATGGCAAAGCTCTCTGCATCGCGGCATACTGCAGATCTGAATTCTTGTTGTAAAATCCACCACCCTGCATAGGCACATCGTTGTCCAAAACCTCCAGACATTTCACCGAACAATCCGATGGATTTGCCACGGGGCGTAAGCCAATGGATTCTTTGAAAGCAATGGATAGCTCTTGAGGTAAAGACATGGTGATCTGATGGTGCGTAGGTGGCTGGGCATACATGTAGGTTTTCCGGGGATATCAGCTTGTATTTATATTCGGAGGGTTTCTACGCCAGTTCTCGACAATAGCAACTAAGATCACCAAAACTAAAATGAAACGAAAGAAATGTGCTGCAATTTCAAGTGGACACCATTTCGCGGATGATCAGCTCATAGGTGAATTGTGGAAAGTACAGCGGCCAGGAAACTCATCCATGCCGGCAAATCAGCAACAAAAACCCGAATACGATGAATGTCGATCCACCGCTGCAAATCCTTTGTGCTTTTTCCTTGAGACCGATTCTCCATAATATCGCGAATTGGATACGCGATAAGAGGCACGAACAAAAAGTGACAAGCAGTGAAGCCCAGGCCAGCCCAGTACCATCGCGAAGATCGGAGACGGTCCAGTACCGGACGATCAGTCAGCAGATTGCCGACCGTAGTGGAGATCGTGAGGGTGTTGAGACCGGCAACGATAAAGACACCCTGTTCGAAGAAGCGACGAAAGTAACTCGGGAGGATCGTCTCAGTTTCGGACTTGTGCTCTGAGCGCAGGAAGCCAGACAGATACCAGTGCTCATCCCAAGCAAAGAGTAGCGCTGATGTGGTGGTGAGAAGCGGGGCAACACGGAGGAGCTTGAGCGGGTCGAAGAAAAGCCCCGAAGCCATTTTGTTTCCGGCCTTATTCAATCTGAAATTCGGAGATGGTAATCCTGCGTGAATGGAGATTGCGGTATTCGGACTGGGAGTTGGCTGAATGAAGAGAAGAGAGGTTGAAAAGGTGCTACAAACAAGTGATGGCTGGAACGGGCCGGAACGGGCCGAACAAAACCCACCGAAACCCACCGAATCGATGCCGAAGTCCGAACTCTGGGGTGTTCAGTATTTATCAAGTACGGAATAGGCAGTCCGCCAGTCGGAAGGGATTGGTCTTACCGATCGTAATACGATGAAGATCGAGGAGAAATAATGTACTCAATTCGTATGGATGAAAAGAGGATAGAGAAGAAATGGAGAGAGAGAGAGAGAGAGAATAGGAAGCAAAATTTAACTATCTACTAACTAGCAAACAGGATCTGGCCCCATTGATGCCTGAGAGATCAAGCACCCAACAATTGGCCCCTACCGCCTCCAACCCGAGTCTCAGCCTCATTACAATCGAAATGGTCCTAAGCTTTTGATGCGGGTTGCTTTTCATCGCGCTCGTTGTTCTCCGTCATTCCAAACTCTGTGTTTAGCTCATCCCGGAGATGCAGTCCCTTGATCAAAAATGCCAAGGGGAAGCCGATTCCTGCAAATGGGAGTGCCACATACCAAATTAAGCGCAAACTGTCCACATAAACACGTATGATATCCATTTTGAGCGGCGAGCCATTGTAAGAGCGAATGAATGTGACAGTAGCATGTTCATAAGCTCCGCCGTTAACCATGAGTACTCTGGTAGCCGCATCGGGAATGGAGGCGACGAGATTGTTTACGTGTGAATTGAATATCGCCGAAGGGATAGCAGTACCCCATACAGACCCGAAGCTTCGCAGGAACGTCCACGTCGCTGTAGCCCTGGCCACTTCAGACTCGGGCAAGGCCGCGAGGATAGCCGGTAGACAACTGGTAAAAATAAAGCCGGCGCCAACTCCAAACAAAATCTGGAAGCCAATCCAGTCGCCCGCGGTCGAATGCTCATCAAGAAGACTGAAGAGTCCACATGCGATGGTCATCAGACCGAAGCCCAAGAAATGGAAAATGCGATAGTGGCCAGTGACGGTGATTAGAACTCCAGCCGCCACCCCAAATGGTGCGGTTGTTGTTGCGATTGGCAAGAGCATGATCCCTGATCGTGTGGGCGAAGCCTCTAGTACAGCTTGAAAATAGACCGGTAAGAAGTAGCACGCCCAGTACAGAATTATTCCATGCAAGAAGCTCAACAGGTATGTCGTGGCAGACGTGCGATTCGTGAATAGAGAAATCGGCATGGTGGCCTCCTTCACAGCCGGAGAAGCTTCATAAACCAAGAATCCAGCAAGACCGGCCAAGCCTAAAACCAATGGGACGATCGTGCGCCATGAAGACCAGGCATGCACAGTTCCACCCCAGGTTAGAGCCAGTAGAACGGATATCACGGCAAGGATAAGAATGGTATTGCCCAGATAGTCTACTCGCTTCAAGCGATCGATTATTGTACCTTCTCGGCGATAATTCAGACGTAGGAATGGAATCAAAAGTGCGAGAGCGGCACCCGACAAGGGAAGATTAATGTAGAATATCCAGCGCCAGGTGGTATGTTGAGACAAAGCGCCGCCGACAATGGGACCGACGACCGATCCAATTGCCCACATTGAGCCGATTATTCCAACATACTTTCCTCGTTCGCGGAGTGAGACAAGATCACAGACCACAATCTCAACCATGACATTGATGCCGCCTCCGCCAATGCCCTGAACGGTTCGTCCTCCTATCATCATCGCGGTGCTATTCGCACCACCAGCGATACCACTACCAAGAGCAAACAGAGCAACGGAAAGAAGTGTGAGGTCCCGCCGGCCGAAGATGTCAGCGGTCTGTCCGAAAAGCGGCTGGACGGCCGTCGAGGCGAGAAGGTAGGAAGTAATTGTCCAGACATAGAGAGCTTCCGAGTTGAGTGCTGCAGCGATAGTGGGCAGCGCGGTCGCGATGATGGCTGTATCGAGAGCTGCCAAAAATGTAGCCATACATAGAGCCGAGAAGATGGCCACAAAGCGCCAGCCTTTCTTGGGGCTGGAATCGGTGATGTCTGGCTCGGCCATGATGAAATGATGCAATGCCGAAATCTCCCCGTAAGAGAGAGAAAGTGGCATGGGCCAATATTTAGACACGAGAGTGAGTCGTATGAGAAAATAAGATCGGATGTGGAATCGGGCCGACGCATTCGGTGGATTATTTTGGCTGGCGAGACAAAGATCCTATGCGATATTAAGGAAATGATGCCCACGGCCCCGGGCCCAGTTAGATCTGGATCAACTTGTATTCACAATTGCATTTCAATTCTAGATGATGGCATTGGCTATGACATTTTGCAATGTTTCGTTGGCCATCGTTCTGTGCTTCTTCGTCCCCCGCATATGGAGGGTAAGCCTTACCACTAGTGCCTGTTCGGCGATATCAATACAAAGAAAAGTTGGACTGACTTCCCATATTCAGATCCTTGTCAACTCAACTTCAGTCCTCAATCGCATCCCTGGTTCTGTCAAACACAAGCTGTCCGAATGGCCGCTAGTAATCGCCATCACGAAAGGCAAAAGTCACATCACTATGGTGGATCTGCACCGACAATACGGCCCGATTGTTGTTCTGGCTCCTGGAATGATTGGAGTCTCAGATCCCGAGGCAATTCGCCGCATTATTGTGACCGAAGACTGGCCAAAGTCTCATGCGATCTACGCGAACTTTCGACAAGATCCCGAACGCCCGACACTATTGGCATTCACCGATAAAAAGGCCTACACTCAGCGCAAGCGATTGGTATCGTCTACTTTCGGCATTCGATATATTAGAGGAATGGAGCCAATTATGAGAGAATGTGTGGCCGTAGCCATTGATCAGATCTCGGCTACCTGTGACAACAACCAAGGCGAAGCAGTGATTGACATCCATCGACTTATTCGCGCATTGGCAGTGGACATCATTGGAGCCACTGTTTTTGGAGAAACCTTCAATGTTGTCAAGCAGGGAAGCCACCCGCTGCCTTCGACAATTGAGCACAGCTTGGTTCTCTCCGGTATTTTCCAGTTTCTTCCTTGGCTGAAGGGACTTCCCTGGTTTCCAGCACGCGACCCATACATTGACCAGTTCACCCTGGGAATTGTGAACCAAAGACGGGCTACCATGACAAAAGAACCTCGACAAGATCTTCTGCAGAAACTTGTTGAAGCTGTTGATGACCGACCTGGCTCTCTATTCCGTACGTCGGATCTACAAGATGAAGCTGTTGTCTTGTTGACCGCAGGAAGTGAAACTACAGCCAACGCAGAAATATTTTTATTGATGTTGCTGGCAAAGAACCCCGAAAAACTGGTGAAGTTGCACGCCGAGATTGACAAATGCTACCCGGATGTTCAGCAAGAAACTACTGCGGAATTGTCACTGGAGATGCCGTACCTGCAAGCATGTATCGATGAGACTATGCGACTATATGCTGCTATGGCAAGTGGCAGTCCACGAGAGACTGTCGATGACACAGAGATACTGGGATATCAAGTTCCCAAGGGGACTACAGTCTTCCCGACGACAGCCACACTCCATCTGGATCCTTCGATATGGACTGAGCCGGAAGAGTTCATTCCAGAGCGTTGGATTGAGTCGGGCCCTAATGACCCGAAACGGTCAATTATGCCATTTTACCCATTTTCCGCAGGTAGTCGAGTCTGCATTGGGAAGCATTTTGCTTTGCAGGAAATGTTTCTGTCTGTTGTGACGCTGCTAAGAAAGTTCACATTGGAGTATGTCGGCGGACAGGACGAATCGACCGTCTTCAGGGTCGCGTTACAGCTTCAGGCTGGAAAGTACATGATGAAGGTTCGGTATCGATAGATTTAAAGAAGAGTTTTGCGATTTTCAATGGTCAATCCGCTCTTCAATGAAAGTAGCTTCCTGGAAGACTGACTTCACATCCTCCCATGCAATAACCCGTTGATAAAATCGGGTAACAATCGGAAACTCATCACGCATCTTTGAATCAATGACCTGCATAAAGCCCCAGTAGCATGCACCAGCTAAAGTGAAATCTGCCAAGCTTGGCTCATCCTCAGTAGCCAACCACTCCCGCCCAACCAAGTAACATTCCAAGCAGCCCAACCCTCGGCGAAGAGTTGCCATGGCCTTCTCCTCAACAGATGCATTGAATGGCACCATTCCAACTCTCCACATTACCAATTCCATAACTGGACTCATGATTTCATGATCTGAAAATAAAATCCACTGCCGGATAGTGGCCTTCTCAAGGCCATCTTTACCTAGGAGCTTGTCACAGAAAGGGCCACTCTCAGCCACATACTGTGCAATTGCGTCAGATTCAAAAATCAGAGTACCGTCTGATCCTTCAAATGCTGGAACTTTGCCGAAGGGAAATTTGGCAAGGAACTCGGGGGATTGATTCGTGACGCCCATTTGAAACTCCCGTAGAACGCTGATTTGTAACCGGTTTACCTGGGCAGCTGCCAGTATCTACTTTAGTGTTAACAAAAATCACTTGTAGAAATTTGAGTATCGTGCGTGTACCTTAAGAGCCCGCGCATTGGGAGTATACGTGAATAGTGTACCGAATGGCATGGCTGACAAGGGTCAACGCGAATTAGGCCTATGCGTATTCTTTGACTTGAGAAGAATAATGGGTCTGATGATATCAACCAAATTGAAATAAGAATAGCTACAAGTAATCTGTGACTTGCAATGATCGGATCGGCGGGTTCCAGTCATCGGCGGATTCCTAACTTTTGATCCAACCACGCAAACATACGCTGCTGTTTCACGCCGATTGCACCGATCTTAGCTTGTTGGCCCCCAAACTCCACACCACTCGGCACCCAGAGTTCTTTCCGATCCTCGGGTAAATGGGTGAGACGGGTGAATATTCGGCGCGCATTCAGATCAGGCGTGAAGTACATGGTGTCCTGCGCCCCTGTAACCATAACGGCCCCATTGATATTGTGGAGAAACTCCGAACCATCTGGCTGCTTTAGAGTGAATTGTTGCATGGTGCGCATCACATCTGCGGGCGTGGCATCTCCATAGACCCACATGCTATGTCCGAACTCCCACGCCAGTTGGAAGCTTTGACGGGACAACATGGCCACAACCGAATTGAAGACCGAATCGCTCATCCATCCAGATATCCAACTATTGATGAACCAAGAAGGCATGCGCGTCCGCGTAACGTCGAACATGTCGTAGAATCCATCGCATGAAACGCACGCTTTGATCCGAGGGTCGGCTGCTCCCCGTAGAGCCAGATAACCACCCATTGATGCACCGAAGATAGCAATGCGATTCACATCGATTTGATGGGCTGGTGGGGTCACTGGAATAACGGCCTCAATCACATAGTCGAGAACACGTGAAATCACAATTTCCCAGTCAGGTCGAAAATGGCGTTTTTGCTGACGCAGAACGGCTCCCTGGCCCGGCCCATCAAATATGAGGACGGCATAACCCCGGTTAGTGGCCCCAGAAGCAACATAGAAGTAGAGTTCTTCGCCTATGGAATCAAATCCACCGGTGTGGATTATAAGTGGGGTACCATTAGGGAGTTGCTTGTGGGCCGGGGGCAGGAAGAGGTAGGCAGGCAAAACCATGTCTTCGAATGGAATTTCCAGAAGCAAAACTTCTCCATCGAGTAGCTTAATAGCCTTTCGGAAACTTGAAACGCTCTTTTCGAAGACCTCGCATATTTTCGGATCAGCGGGGTTGCAATGCAAGAAGAACTCGCTTGCTCTCCAGTAGTTTGAGGCTCGAAGAAAGGCCCACCGAGCTGCTTCATGATCTTTGGCTTCTAGAGCTTCGGCTCCCAGAGTGTCTGCCATTTGGCCGAACTTGACCCATGTTTTATGCCAGCTGTCAATATTGCCATCTTGGATGGAAGATTTTGCAGCTAGACATTCGCCCACCTCGGCCCCTTGGACGGGGGCTGTGCCGATGACTCGAAGGAACTCAAACTCAAAGAATTCGGATTGAAAGAACCAACCCATAGTGTCGGGTGTAAGAACTGGGGGTAAGAAGTAAGAACAATGATGTTGAGCAATGTTTCAACCAGAGTTGAGAAAGACTGGCTTGCTCCAGGGCCACTGTCAGAAAGAACGGCGTGCTGTGTTGATATTACCGGAGCAAAAAGTGGACTCGTAATTCGGTGGATTTACGGGCCATGAAGGCCGATCGAGCTAGATGGTGCCATTTCGCTGCTCTATACTACCTGTCATCGGATATTTCATTACAGGCTCTATCCATATATCGTTCTATTGGCTGTCTCTTGGGTACTTCATCGTGCTTTTCCTTGCACCTTTCATACCTTGTATTATACGGAAAGCAGCACAAACTCTAGTTCACCTGAAACATATCATGAAGCCGTCAGAATACCCTATGGAACCTATCGTGGTTGTCGGTGCTGGCTGCCGTTTCCCGGGAGGCATCAATAGCCCGTCTAAGCTATGGGATACCATTTGTTCACAACGCGACATTCTGTCGACAATCCCCTCTTCTCGGTTCAATCCAAAGGGCTTTTATCATTCTAATGGGGAGCGCCACGGAAGCACCAATGTCAGCAAAGCATATCTTCTCGAAGGAGATATCAGCGCTTTCGATGCCACATTCTTCGGCATCAACCCGCGCGAGGCTGAAGCAATTGACCCACAACACCGAATGCTTCTCGAGACAGTGTACGAGGCTATGGAGGATGCAGGCCTCACCATAAGCAACATGAAGGGCTCCGACACTGCGGTCTATGTTGGTCTGATGACTGGAGACTATCACGAATTGCAAATTCGCGACCCGGAAAGCATGCCCATGTATATGGCGACGGGCACAGCGCGCAGTATTCTCTCCAACCGATTATCATACTTTTTTGATTGGAAAGGTCCATCCATGACCATTGATACTGCATGTTCGTCGAGTCTGGTGGCGTTGCACCACGCCGTGCAATCACTTCGCGCTGGTGAGTGCCAGGTTGCTGTGGCTGCTGGTGCAAATCTCATCCTGGGACCTGAGATGATGATAGCCGAAGCAAACCTCCACATGTTATCACCCACAGGAAGGTCGCGTATGTGGGATGCTGCAGCTGATGGATATGCTCGTGGAGAAGGTTTCTCTGCGGTGATGCTGAAAACCCTTTCCCAAGCCATCGCCGATGAAGATCACATTGATTATATCATTCGCGAGACTGGTGTGAACCAGGATGGCCGAACCCAAGGAATTACCATGCCCAGCTCTTCATCACAGACAGCGCTGATTCGCCAAACTTACCAGAAGGCTGGTCTTGATTGCTCCCGTCTGGATGATCGGTGTCAGTTCTTTGAAGCTCATGGCACCGGAACCCCTCGAGGAGATCCGATAGAAGCCCAGGCTATCCATGATGCCTTTTTTGCATCTAAGTCATCGGAGAAGGGCGACTTCTATGTTGGCTCCGTCAAAACCGTGATTGGTCATTTGGAGGGGTGCGCTGGGTTGGCCGGCCTGCTCAAGGCAGGAGAAGCGGTTCGCAGAGGAGAAATTCCACCAAATATGCATTTCAATCACATGAACCCTGAAATCATTCCCATCTCCAATGATATGACGGTTCCAATTAAAGTTCTCCCATGGCCCACCTCAAGCGGTATTCGACGAGCCAGTGTGAACTCCTTTGGATTCGGAGGCACCAACGCCCATGCGATCATTGAGAGCTACGATCAGCCACCCAAGGAAACATCGACTCCAAACAATTGCTTACCATTGCCTTTCACATTCTCTACCTCCAATGAGAGCTCACTATCACCAATCATTCGCAACTGTGTGGAGCTCCTGGAATCAAATGATACTTTGGAGCTTAATGATGTTGCGTCGGCATTGTTGACCGAACGCTCCCAGCTCCCAGTCCGAGTTGCCTTCTCGGGGGCTTCCAAGGCGCTTTTAATTGAGAAAATGAGGGCTTCTCTGGAGGAAAATTCCCTAGGTGAACGTATGCAAAACAAGACCGGACCAGCCAAGATTCTTGGAGTCTTTACTGGCCAGGGTGCCCAGTGGTCTCGAATGGGAAGAGAACTTATCAAATCTTCGCCGCTGGCCCGGTGGACCGTGCAAAACATGCAGCAGTCTCTTGATTCCCTTCCTGATCGACCTTCTTGGTCAATCGAAGATAAGCTCGTCAACATGGAAGACCCATCGCAGATTCAAGAGGCCGCGTTATCTCAGCCACTGTGTACCGCTGTCCAGATCATGCTTGTGGAGCTATTGCGCGCTGCTGGAATATATTTCCACTCAGTCGTGGGTCACTCTTCCGGTGAGATTGGTGCTGCCTACGCTGCCAGGCTACTTTCCGCAGAGGATGCTATTCGCATTGCCTATTATCGAGGACTGTTTGCTAGATTGGCAGGCAGTGCAACCGGTGGATCTGGTAGCATGATGGCAGCTGCTTTGTCGTTGGACGAGGCCAAGATTTTCATTTCAGCAAATGGGCTCGAGGGACAGATTTCCATTGCGGCTAGCAATGCTCCTCAATCGGTGACACTTTCTGGCGATGAAGATGCCATCGCGAATGCCAAAGTCGTGCTGGACGAGCAGCAGACTTTCTGTCGCTTACTCAAAGTTGACACTGCTTACCATTCCCACCACATGAATCCTTGTCTTGAATCCTACTGTGAAGCACTTCGCGCTTGTAATATCTCTCCTCTGGCACTCACAGACGGATGTTCCTGGGTCTCCAGTGTTCATGGGCGTCTGATGACAGTCGCCGAGGAGCACCAATCTTTGAAAGAGACATACTGGCGGGATAATATGGCACAAACCGTCCTTTTTTCACAGGCTGTGCAAGCATCCCACGCAATTAATGGTCCCTTTGATATCGGACTGGAGGTCGGACCTCACCCAGCTTTGAAGGGACCCACCACCCAGACAATCAAGGCAGCGAGTAACCATGCCCTCCCTTATAGCGGGACCCTCTCGCGCTTCAGCAATGATGTTGAGGCAATGGCCGATTCTTTGGGCTTTATTTGGAAAGAATTAGGTACCCAAGCAGTCAATTTCGTTCACTATAGCCAAAGAGCATTCGACATATCCCCCGGCAAGCTGCCACGCCAGTCACTTCCTCGTTACTCTTGGGATCACAGCCAGAGATTCTGGAAAGAGTCAGTCAAGTCGCGAAACTATCGGCTACGGTCTCTTAATCGCCATGATATTCTTGGTGCTCGCTGCCCAGATGACCATGCTCACGATATGCGTTGGCGAAACACCATTCGCGTCTCTGAAGTGCCTTGGCTATCTGGACATAAGGTGCAAGGGCAAATCATTTTCCCGGCCGCTGGCTATTTCGTCATGGCTATGGAGGCCGCGAAGGAACTGTCGGACAACAAGCAAATCGCGATGGTCGAGCTTAAAAATGTTGAGATATCCAGAGCCATTATCCTGTCCGAGGATAGCGCCGTGGAGGTGATGTTCCATCTCAAGCCCGTCCTGGGCGCTTCTCCTCGAATGGCAGAATTTTCATGCTACTCGACAACGCCTGATGAGAATGGCGCAAAATGGCACCACAATGTGTCCGGGCATGTCACAGTGCACCTCTCCCATGAGGGACTGTTTGAACTTCCCCAGCAACAAAAGTCCCCCGCCTCCCTCGTTCCAGTCAACATGGAGCATTTCTACTCGTCCCTTGCTGATATCGGGTTAGAATATACCGGGATCTTCCAGCGTCTTAATAAGATCCGGCGACGCGCTGGTCGCGCAATTGGGTATGCTCAAGACATCCCCGATGATAGTGAAATGCCTGTTATGATCCACCCCGCTCTTCTTGATGCTTCATTCCAGGCCATCTTTGCTGCTTTTTGCTGGCCTGGAGACGGTAGTCTTCAAAGCCCATATGTCCCGACTTTCTTACAATCCCTCCGAGTGATTCCTACACCAATCGGCTCTTGCGCAGAAAACATGGTGGTTGACTGCACCATCACCGAGTCCATGGCCCAGGCAGTCACAGCGGATTTGGACATTTTCTCACCCAATCAGCCTCGTGTTCAGTTGGAAGGATTAACTTGTACCCTCCTTGGGCAGCCTGTCTCTTCCAATGACTGTGAGCTCTTTGCAAAAACCGTCTGGAAGGCTGATGTGGATTCTGGACTGGAAGATCTAGAGCTTCCCACGGATAGCACGAGTGATGTTGGCCTGGTTGATCTTTGCGAGCGGCTGTCATATTCCTATCTCCGAAAACTCAACTCCGTGGTCAATCGTGAAGACGTAAAGACATTCGTCTGGCATCACCAGCGGATCTTTGAATTCATAGATCACCTCTTTCCACTGATCGATAGTGGCAAACACCCCACAATCCGCAAGGAATGGGCCGACGATTCGCATGATTGGCTCTTGTCCGAGGTTGAGAAGCACCCTGGCCAAGTTGATCTTCAGCTCATCTCAGCTGTTGGCAAGAATCTTGCCGCTGTAGTTTGGGGCAAAACCACCATGCTAGAGCATATGATCGAAAATGATGTCCTTGATCGGTTCTACAAATACGGCCTCGGCTTCCAAAGAGCAAACGGTGCACTCAGCCGTCTCGCCCGCCAGATCTGTCATCGTTATCCAAGAATGAATGTTCTCGAGGTAGGTGCAGGTACTGGTGGTGCTACAACAGGAGTACTTGAACAGCTGTCAGGGACCTTTGCAAACTACACTTTCACCGACACTTCCACCGGTTTCTTTGAGAAAGCTCAAAAGCAGTTCCAGAAATGGGGTTCGAAGATGATCTACAAGCCGCTGAATATAGAAGGGGATGTTGCTGCACAAGGTTTCCAAGATGGCAGCTTTGATCTCGTCATTGCGTCCAACGTACTGCATGCTACCCAGAATCTGGAGTTCACGATGCAGAATGTGCGACGACTTCTGAAGCCTGGTGGCTATTTGCTGCTCTTGGAAGTGACAAGCGATATCTTGCGAGTGAAGTTGATGATGTCTGGCCTTCAGGGCTGGTGGCTAGGGGACTCGGACGGTCGTCGTTTTGCCCCTACCATTTCTGATACGCAATGGGATGATCTTCTGATGAAGACTGGATTCTCTGGAGTTCAGCAGCGCATCACGGATTTCGAAGATACCACCAAGCACATGACCTCGGTGATGTTATCCCAGGCTACCAGCGAAACCTTTTCCCAACTGAAGCATCCACTGGAACAAACAATTCCCTGCCTCCCTGTCAACCGGATCGCGGTCATTGGAGGTCAATCTCCAGCAACAAAAGCGCTCGCTGATGATGTCACGTCACTTCTCTCCCGATGGAGTATAATGTCGCCTCTGCATTTGAACACCTTTGAAGACACGTTCCGACATCCCAACGCTGGAATCACGTCCATTATATCCCTAGCGGACTTAGATGAGCCACTCCTTAGGAACATCTCCCAGGAAAGACTGAGTGGAATTCAGAGTGTCCTTGAAGGGTGTCGCCAAATTCTCTGGGTGACCTCTGGTGCACACGAGCAGAATCCGTACGCCAACATGACGATTGGCCTCGGTCGATCTCTGCTCTACGAGTATCCTCATATCCGGATGCAGTTTATGGACATTGCGCACGATACCCAGAATCAATCCGCGCACGTGGCCACCGCGCTTGCACGTCTTATTGTCGAGGACACACATGGCCTCCCTTCTTCGGAGATGCTTTGGAGTGTGGAGCCAGAAGTCACATTCCAAAATGGCAGGACCATGATTCCTCGATTACTCCCAAATGATCATTTGAACAGTCGTCTCAACGCAGGAACTAGGCAAATTACCGAGTCAACCTCCTCGACAAATTCCTCCATTCTGATATCTCGTGGCGATCACGGATTTTCTCTTCTTGCGAGAAAGAAGCCAACTTTCTCGACCTCAGACGCTATCTCGATCCGCGTAACATGTGCCCTGCTGCACGAGATCCAGATAACTAATACAACAAGATCATACATCGTCAATGGTGTCATTGAGCATCCAGGTTCCAGTAAAGCCTTCACTGCAGGTGACAATGTCCTCGCATTAGCAGAGTGCAGTGCTTCATATATCCAAGTATCTCCTGAGCAGGTCAGTCAGATTGACACCCTTAATCCGGGAAGACTGTTTCAAGTTGCCCTTTCTCTTGTTGCAAAAAGCGCTTTGAGTGCGGTCAAGCCGCGTGGCACTGTTATTTTGCTTGACCCAGATATCAGTTTGCAGCACACCATTGAGGCTGAGGCTGCTGAAACAGATATAGCTGTGATAGTGGCCTCCTCGGACTACCAAAATCCAAATGCTATTCACATTTCGCAATTTCTGACCCAGAGACAACTCGAAGCACTCTTTCCACCGAGTATTGATCTGGTTTTCAGCTGCTCTTCTCAAACGAGTCAGTCGGTCAGAAAGTTCTTTTCCCATTATCGCACAGTCACAATGGCGGAACTCTTCTCTTTACAGCCTGCTGTGACGCCAAATGCCCTCTTCGGAAACACGGCTTGCCACAAGAACTTGTTAAAGGCACGAAATGCGATCGGCAGTGACTTCTCTGGTATCGGGGATTGCGCTCATCTCATCCCATTGAATGATTTGACGAAGTTGTCGCTGAAGACTGCCAGCTGGCTGTCAGTCGTTGACTTTGTGTCTGCATCGGTTGTTCAAACAATAGTTGAGCCTATCCAACCTCGAGATCTGTTCCATCCAAACTCGTCCTATCTTCTTGTTGGCTGCACCGGCGGACTAGGGCAGTCACTCACTCGCTGGATGGTGAGGAATGGTGCTCGGTACATTGTGCTAACCAGCCGCCAAGTAAGCAAAGTTGATCGCGCATGGTTAGATGAATTGAGACAAATGGGTGCCGAGATACAGCTCCATGAGCTCGATATTTCCAACAAGCAAGCTCTCCTTGCTATGCATGCGAAGCTACAAAACTCATTTCCACCTATTGCGGGTGTTACAAATGCGGCCATGGTACTGTCTGATCGGTTGTTTAGTGACATGACTGTGGAACATTTGAACATGGTCTTGGAGCCCAAAGTCACGGGCACTGCCAATCTAGATGAATTATTCTCTACTCCAACCCTTGACTTCTTCGTTTTGTTCTCATCCCTGGCAAGCGTTGTTGGAAACCGTGGCCAGTCCAACTATGGTGCGGCCAACTTGTTCATGACTAGCCTGGCAGCTCAGCGTAAGCGCAAGGGCTTGGTTGGCTCCGTTCTAGACATTGGCATGGTTTTAGGTATTGGATACGTTTCACAAAACGACATTTACGAGACAACCCTTCGAAAGTTCAACTACATGCCAATCTCTGAGCCCAAGTTCCACGTCATGTTCACCGAAGCTATCTCTGCTGGTCGGCCGGAGAGCGAAACACAGGCTGAGATCACAACTGGTCTCCATCGAATTGCTGAATCTCGAGATAGTCATGAAAAGGCGTTCTGGGCAGGAAACCCCCGGTTCTCACACTACACTATCCAGGAGGGCCTGGGCCAGGAGCAATTGTCGACTACTGTTCTCCCCCTCCGAAAACAGTTGGCCGATGTGCAAGACCTGGAGCAGGCCTCGAAGATTGTTCTTGACGGCTTCCTCTCCAAGCTTGAGCGTGTTCTACAGGTGCCCGCGGCCAATATAAATCCAACCCAACCACTAGTCAATCTTGGAGTCGATTCCTTGATGGCTGTTGAGGTTCGGTCCTGGTTTGTCAAAGAGATCAACACTGACATCCCGGTTCTTCGCATCTTAGGAGGTGCATCCTCGGCTGAGCTGTGCACGGAGGCAGCTCAGACACATGTCACGACGAACTTGCCGGCGCCTCCAAATGATCGCCTAAGTGAAAGCAACTCATCTGCGTCTGTAGCCAGCTTCAGTCAAGAAAATGATCAGTCGCAAGCAATTAGCTCTGCTACTTCCGACACCGACTCAATCACCAAAGATTACCCGGACAAGGAAGAGGATCAACCGGTCAAGGAGGTCAAAGTCCAAAAGCTCATTCCTTCTGCTTCAAAGATCCATCGCATGTCTTTTGCGCAGGAGCGATTGTGGTTCCTTCACTTGTTTTTAGAGGACCCATCGGCCTACAATGTCACGATAATGTACCGCGTCCATGGTCCCAGCGCTATGGCTATGTGCAACGCAATGAACTTCGTTCTGACTCGACATCAATCTTTACGCACTGCATTCTTCTCCGACTCCCAAACTGGTCTTCCTAGTCAGTATGTGCTTCCGAGTGCAAGCACGTCTGTGAAACAGCAATCACTCAAGAATGACCGCGCTGCATACGAGGAGTTTGACCGGCTACGCCACTATACATACGACCTTGATAATGGAGAAACAGTGGCTGCCACTCTACTTTCAGAAGCAGACACTGATCATATACTCATCCTTGGTTTTCACCACATCGTGTTCGACGGCTTCAGTGCTCAAATCTTTGTCAAAGATTTTGCTTCTGTCATCGCAGGAAAACACCTACCTCCTCTGCAGCATCAGTACATCCAATTCGCCGACCGACAAAGGCAACTCGTGCAATCCACTATGGAGGCAGATTTGAAATTCTGGAAATCCCGGTTTTTGGAATTACCAAATTCATTGCCATTGTTTGATTTCTGTTTAGTGAAGTCGCGCAAGCCCCTGACTGCTTACAACATGCATGGTGCCCAGCACACAATCCCATCAAGTACAGCTTCAGTGTTCAAGTCCAAGATCCGGGGGCTCAACGTCACTCCTTTCTATGGCCATCTTGCAATTCTTCAAATTCTTCTCCATCGGTTCTTGAATGTTGATGACATATGCATTGGAATTACTGATGCCAACCGCACCGACACCGAATTTCTTGACACAATCGGCTTTTTTGTCAATCTACTTCCGTTACGTTTCGCTCTCGATGGCAACTTATCCTTTGAGGATTTACTGGGTCGGACACTCCAGGTTGCTTTCGAGGCGCTTGAACATTCTCGTGTGCCTTTCGACGTGCTGCTTGACTCTTTGAATCTGCCCCGATCTACAACGCAGAGTCCATTGTTCCAAGTTCTGTTGAACTACAAGATGGGATCAACAAGCAACATCACAATGACTGGCTTTGAAGCTCATTTGATGAAGTTTGAAGATGCCAGCAATCCATACGATTTGATCTTTGATATCGAAGAGCAACTAGATGGCACTACTCTAGTCGGTCTCAAGTCGCAGTCCTATCTTTACAGTCAGCGGGACCTGAGTATGATTCTGGGAGCTTACAGCTGTGTACTCGAGTCTTGTATCTCAAAGCCGGATCTTAGTATCAGTCAACATGAGCTCTATCACTTGGAAGATGCTCTGGCGGCAGTCTCCCTTGGGAAGGGACCTCGTTTAGACTTTGACGACTCAGTGACACTTTCTTCTCGGATTGAAGAAGTTGCGGCTCTCCATGGCAGTGAAGTTGCTATCAAGGACAGCGAGGGCTCCTGTATCAGCTACGAATCTATGAACAGGCGAGTCTACCATATTGCAGCAACCCTACAGGCCGACGGCATAGGCTCTGGGGATCATATTGCTGTATACTGCGAGCCATCCATCAACTCTGTCTGCTATCTCTTAGCAATCTGGCGACTGAATGCTGTTTACGTTCCTCTCGACCCGCAAAATCCAGTTGAGCGTTTGCAAACAATTTTGGATGATTGCAGACCGCTTGCAATCATTTATCACGAACGCACCAAGGACAACACCCAAAGGCTCAATCTTGGAGCGATTAAGCCGGTTAGCTTCTCGAACTTCGACTCTTTCTCTTCTGCTCCTATCACAAGCAGAGCCCAACCAGTCTCTCCGGCCTGTGTCTTGTATACAAGCGGTTCCACCGGAAAGCCTAAAGGCATCGTTCTAACCCACGCGAACCTCGACAATCAGATCATGGGTATCAAGAGGACCTTTGGTCTTGGAAAAGAGACTGTTCTTCAACAGAGCTCCCTTGGTTTCGACGTCTCCATCGATCAGATGATGCAGCCTTTGACTTCCGGTGGCACGCTCATCGTTGCATCTCGCCATCTTCGAGGTGATGCATTGGAACTCACACGCCTAATTGTCGCTGAAAATATTTCGTACACCTATGCAACACCTTCTGAGTATGCATCTTGGCTCCGCTATGGATCTCATAATCTCCATGAATTGACTTGTTGGAAGACTGCAATTGTTGGAGGCGAAGTTCTTCCCCCTCATTTGATCCGCCAATTCCAACAGCTAAGTCTACGTGGTCAACGCTTGATCAACAGATACGGCCCGACAGAAATCTCTGTTTCAAGCTCTTGTGTGGCATTCAATACGTCAGACCCTACCATTACCGATTTACCGGCTATCAGCATCGGGACGACACTCCCGAACTACTCGACCTACATTCTTGCTCCCGACGGATCCCCTCTCCCTGTCGGTTTTGTGGGAGAGATAGTTGTGGGAGGTAGTGGTGTCGCTTTGGGCTACCTTGGGCGAGATGAGCTGACTTGCCAACGTTTTGTACCCGACCCTTTTGCCAGCAAAGAAGACAACGACCGTGGGCTTACTACCATGTACCATACCGGAGATAAAGGTAGGTTGCTTTCAAATGGTGAGATTTTCTATCTTGGTCGCATGGATGGAGACAATCAGATAAAATTGCGAGGATTTCGCGTTGAGCTGGATGATATCGCCAGCAATATCTTGCGCCAAGCAAATGGTCGCATTACTGACGCTGTCGTCTCGGTCCGAGGGAAACACGATGAGGAGGGAGACCGGCGATACCTCGTTGCCTGGATTATACCCTCTCGGTTGACCTGCGACTCAGAAGATCTTGAAGAGTTTCTTTCTGCACTTCCTTCCCGTTTGCCTCTTCCTTCTTACATGATACCTCGGATCTATGTCACTGTGGAGGACTTCCCTCGAACCCCCAACGGGAAGCTCGATAGGCGGGTCTTGGACCAGCTAGAACTCCCCAAGGCTGAGGATCACGGTAGTAGCCTTGACTTCTCGGTAGAAGAGCAGGTTATGATCGAGATATGGAAGACCTGTCTAGGTGAATTTGCTCTTCTGACTACCTGGAGTCGTTCGACGGACTTCTTCCAAGTCGGTGGCAACTCACTGTTGATGATCCGATTAAAAGCGCTCATCCATGAGAAATTTGGATTTGTCCTTCCTTTGACTTCACTTTTCCAATCTTCTACTATCGAAGGAATGGCTGCGCAGTGCCTTTCTAAGACATCCAAGTTGCCTAAACCGATCATTGACTGGGCTACCGAAACGAGGCTTGGAGAAGAAGAGCGCAGATCAGCTTGCTCGAAAGCTTCCAAGGTGACACACAATACAGACGGCACGAAAGAACGCCTTGAAATACTTCTAACGGGGGCAACTGGGTTCTTGGGTTCGGCCATCTTACAACGGTTGGAGACCAACGATCGCATCTCGCGTATTCACTGTGTCGCGATCCGGTCATCGAAAAATGACGCCACTCCTCGAGATCTCGAAGTGAGGTCGGCAAAAATTATCCAGTATGCAGGTGATTTGACCTCGCCCAGGCTTGGGCTTGACCTCGAAAATTGGGAATTTCTTGGAAACACCGTTGATGCGATCATTCACAACGGTGCCGATGTCTCTTTCTTGAAATCATATCATTCTCTCCGAGCCGCCAACTTGCAGTCGACCCGTCAGCTGGCCTGTCTGGCACTTAAAAGATCCATTCCCCTTCACTTCGTCTCCACTGGCGGAGTTTCTCAGCTCGCACAAGTTGAAGCATTGCCACCACAATCCGTCTCCCATTTCTCGCCACCACTCGACGGTTCCAACGGATATGTTGCCTCAAAATGGGCGGCTGAGACATACCTGGAAGCCTGCGCGTCCCAGTTTAACCTCCCATCTACGATTCATCGACCATCCAACATCATTGGAGAGGGTATGCCAGCCACGGACCTCATTCAGAGCATTCTGAAAATCTCAGTTGACCGCGGAGCTGTACCAACCACCGATGGCTGGACGGGGGCTTTTGACTTTGTTCCAGTTGCAGACGTTGCTACGGGTATCTGCAATGCTATACTCAAGAGGGAGGATACCGTATCTGATCGATTACACTTCTTACACCACTGTGGAGATGAGAAAATCCATGTTGGGGATCTCAAAACTTTCCTTGAACATCGGTTTGGAGTCGAACTTCGAACAGTTGATGTGGATACCTGGATGAAAGAAGCCCGTCAAACAGATCTACCAGAGGTTCTGGAGAGTCTGATCGGGGCAACTCTCAGGAGCGAGAACGGGCAAGTAGTGCCTTACTTGTCTCGATCATGACATGCTCTTGGGAACTTCCTTTTTAATATCTGCTTCTGAATTTTTTGTATATATTTGACGTTCTTCAATGTATCCTGTTAAAACTTGAACTGCACGCTTTCATTGTTTGTCTTACCCTTCGGAGTAGAGGGCGGGTCGTTCAGCGGGTAGCGTCATTCCCACCCCGGAATTCGATACGTCGGGTATGGCTATTCCTATGGAGTAGACATATTGGATGTACGACGAAGCATCGCCCATTTTACTTTTATTTTTTTAGTCAAGTGGGAATATTCTCCTGCCTAATCGGTCCAATTTCTGCAAACGCAGAGCGCTAAAGTGGATAGTACGGGTGAGATCAGGCCACGCAACAATCATCTTGGCCCATTCGGATCCGAGGGGGTTTCATTTGCTTACGGTGCATGCAGCAATGTGGGCTGCCTCGCGGTATAGCCTCGCGATATCGTTGCAACGTTCAGTCGGGGACAGATGACCTTAAAGCAACTCAAAACGCTAAATTGGATCTAGCCCAATCATAATACGCTGATCTTAGAGTTCCCGAATCAGATCGCGTTACAACATGGCGATCATATGGGGTATTCGACTGTTAGATATTTCTTCAGCCGACGGAAATAACTCTTGCACCGGGCTCCGATTTAATTATTAGCATTATCTTGATGGGGCAATGGGGGCGAATCCTGGGCCCTGCGCTTGTAGGGTGGCAAGGTAGAGGTTGCAGATAAATATTTATAGTGTATTTACTAGTGGTGAACTATATTTTCCCATTATACTACCGGCAGGTTATCCCAGTATTATTTACCGTTTTTCTTTTTTTTTCGCTGGTGGGTAGGGTACAAAATCACCAGGAGGGTTAGTATTCTGTAATGTTGTAATAAGAAGGATTCCGTACTCCGTACCAGCACGTTTTATCTTATGTACCTGTTAAATTTACCCCACGACCTCTACCCTGCGATCCTGCGATCCTGCGACCCTGCATGGTATTCGGGATCCTTCCGTTTTTTCCCTGATTAAACAGCCACTTTCCAATGCCTGGACAGTAGATCCAGAATAGCTAGTTTGACAAGACGTACATATTACCGATTTAATTCCCGGTCGCGTCTATGTAAGTCCTGGTGCATCAGTCGTGGTTCTGTTTCGCATTTGCCAACCACCTTTCTTTTTCTATACAATGGATTCGACCGTTTCCTCCCAGGGTCAGCCAAGTAAGCGTTTAGCTTGCAACCGATGTCACCAGCAGAAACTACGCTGTCATCGAAATTTGCTCCCTGGGCGACCATGTGCTCGTTGTGAGAATGCAGGCACAGAATGCAGATTTGAGCCGCCCTTGCGTCCGGGTAGACCTAGTTCGCGATGCAAAGTACAGGGTCTGCAAAAATCTGCAAAAGACACCGAAACGGTAATTGCAAACAGCGATCAACTCAACTATGCTTCGAGGCATCACACCCCTTCTGTTGGGCGACAGGATATAGACGTGGACTTGGAAGGCTTGGGGGATTCAACTAGATGCGATAACGCGGAAACCGCAGGTTCGTTCTTACCATTGACCTTCGCCGCAGGCTACGTTTCATGCATTCTGACGCCAGCAGCGATCGATTCTATGAATCTTTTGTACGGCTCTCCATATCCTGATCCAGATGGCTCAACCGATCCAGCTCTACTCTTTGTCGATTTACCTACAAATCACGACTGGATGCAACTACCTATATCAGAGCCAACTATTCATCAAGTCGAACCACACTCCGTGCCTCAAGCCAGCCTGCAGCCTACGCCTCCATCTTCCGGCCCCTCAAGGGCATTGCCATCCCCGCCTCAGCCCACTACAGCAGCGACTGGTTGCGCAATATATCGTCTGGTGGAGCTCACCAAGACACTTTATGAGTGCTATTCAGCTCTACTACATCAATCACCGAATAATACAGGGTCTGCCAGGAGTACATATTTTGAGCAAGGAGGAGACCCGGCGCTCGTCGATCCGACGTCCCGAATCGACAAAATCTTTTCCCTGACCCAGTCATTAGCCGAGACTCTTAATGGCATTATTAATCATTGTCCCTACACCAGAGCCACAGATTTATCGGCGGCAAATCCTCCAGGGCCAGACACACCAACGATCCTCATGACACTCTCATGTTATGTCCGACTTTTGCACATCTACAACTCGCTTTTCAGGTCCGCTAAAACGTCGAAGATTCTCCAAACTCATCCAGGCAGCCAGTCCGCGTCCACTTCTTCTGAGTCAATTCAAAACCCCGTTCACTTCCAAATGGGAAGTTTTTCTACATCCGGCGCACCATCAATTTCTCTTTTAGCTTGCCTGAGTGCCCATCTCCTAGAAAATCTCGAAACAGCCCTCAGCAATTTGGCATCTTATGCAGCACATTCGTCAAAAGACCGAGGGGCACAATGGGAGATGGAAAGTGGACCAGCAGCAAGTGTCGCCATTCTTGCAAAGGCAGCTGTTTCAGAGGCGCGATCAGCGCAATTGGATCTACGACAGCAGTTACAGGCTGTGAGTAGTATAGCATTGGTTTCGCCTCCCGTTTCACACTGGGGTTGAGACAAAAATCACAGTAATATGGTCAAGTAGTCACTTGAATGCTACGCTTAAGCTTGACGTATAGAATGTTCATCCTCAGCGGAGGTCTGGGTTTAGGACGTATTATATCTTGCTTTGAATTATGGAATGTCTCTTGATTGCTGTATTGGAGTCCTATAGACATTGAAACTACATAAGGAACAGACTTCGAATAAACTGCAGCTGGGCCAACTACCTTGAAGCTATGCAAACAAAAAGATAGAGCTGCCTTAAAGGAAGCCTGTGCTGTTTGCCACTCTCCATCTGCCGGTACTTAAGTTCATCATCAAAAATACAATTTGAACCAGCTACATAAGGTAATTCCAGCTACCTGTGTACTCTATCAGGAATGGCAGTTAGTACACTTTGTGGTGTCGGGATGTATGTTGCTGTCGCACCTCAAAGTTGATGATTTCGAGTCTCTCGTCAAGAGCGTGACGCTTTCCTAATCGAGATAGCGCAGGGTGACGATTTTCTAGCGTCTGACTACAAAACGGGTTCCAGTTGGGGGAGGTTACGGAGATCGATCACAAAATTTGTGTATCATTATTTTAACGCTAGTATATAATTAGTCTTAGTATAGTAAGGTGGTTTTAAATAGTTGTTTCTATATAGTATTCATTCATAGTACTATACTATACTATACTATAATACCGAAACTAGTTAATTATACCTTTCGATTTAGATCGAGAGAGCTTACCGTTCCATATATTCTACTTCTATACCGGCTTCTTTCTAGGTTTTAACCTTCACTAGACCTCATTAAAAAACTTTAGAGTGCTGGAGATGCCGGCCCTCCGCCTAGGCTTCCGCAGAACCCATTTTGGGTCGAAACCTTCGACCCAAAACCTAACCCAGACTGGGTCTGGGTCGAGACCCCGTATGAGGGTTTCCTCTAACTTCCCTAATTTAGTAGGCGGTTAGGAACGGCAGAACTAAGGTTATTATATCTAGGTCGTGAGATATATATATAACACGTGAGATATATTTCAGCATAGCTACCCAAAACTAGAACATAATGTAGAACGACAGCTTTGAACAAGCGCGATGCGAAACCGTGGAATATAATTGCCATTCTCTGCTAAAAGTAGCAGCAGCTTTAAATGGAAACGAAGATTGTACATGGTAGGACCAAGATCGGCAATATTAGAAAATCTTAGCGATATAGAACAAGGATAGTACTTCGTGACCAAAAATAAAGAGAACAGGCAAAATCGTTAACCTTTTCGCCTTTGCTTTTGCCACAAGTATCAGCTCACTGGAAATTCAAATTTGCATTTCGCAGTAATTGACTCATTTTCCCTTTGAAAATATAGCCATCAGACGTCCCATGCCGGTGGCAATGGCAACAGAGGACTGGACGGTCTAATGAAGCAAAACAACCTTGAAAGTATTGAGTAGTCTCCGGTCACTTAATTTGGTGGCTCCTCCGAACGGCGTAAAGATGGGCTCGCTTAAGCGCATCGCGATCGGCTGTTGACCCCGCAATGGCTGGACACACGGACTACCCCTGCATGAGAAAATTTCACCTTTTACGCGGAGTGTTAGAAAGAAGGAACAATGGGCATTTGATCTTGGACCGAAATACTGAATTGTCATAAATATATACATGAGAAGATTACTATGAAGGATTATGTAGGGCCTGGGCCTGCCCAGGCGTCATCCATTGTGCACGGACACGCGAACAGACCTCTCAACCTTCCACGCGGGTGCATCGGGGTCGTTACTATATGCAGCCAGCTCCAGGTCCTCCTCGCTGGAAATGTCTTTCTGTTGGTTCGTGGAGATGGTGGTCGTAACACCTGGGTATTCGTCGCTCCCTCTGCCAGTCCAGAGCTGGTGCGAGTCGTCGCCTGATATCTGTTTCGATGGCGCGGAGCGGTGGAAGCCGCCGGCGGGCTTGTTGGATAGGGGAAACGACTTTGGTGTGCGGCTTGGGTCATCGGAGGAGGAGTCGCGGAAGAAGCGGATCAAGGGGCGGAGTGTTGTTAGGCAGCCCGCCGTGATGCCGAGTCCGGCTTCGACGTTGGACCATATAGAGAGTTGGTAAGTGGCGTCTGTTGGGTGTTAGTGGAAGTGTCTGCAATGAAACGAGGTTCGTTGAAATCGAGAAAGAGAAGGGTGGTGCGTACATAGGAACTCGGGATCTTTGTAGGTGGTGATGTAGGGAATACGAATGATAACCGCAGCGCTCGCACTGTAGGTATGTTAGCATTTGCCACTGTGTAGATTAAAGACGACTGCTTCGGAATCACGAACATGCAACCGATACCCAAAATAACGGCCACGGCACACTTAGCGCGGAGATTCATGCGCAAGTCCCAGATCAACGCCACCGGAAGCAATCCGATAGTCAAGTCGGTAATAGCGGCTCCGACACTGTACAAGTACGCGATGCCGGCGAGGGCATGTTTATTCATGCACGAGCCATGAGCGCTAGGCTGCGCCCGGTTCCAGAAATAGTCGACGGGGGAGCATTGGAAAATGGTGACGAAGAAAAATATGAGGCCAACGGCAGTGGCCAGCGCCATAGCGGTGTAGAGGATGTAGGCGTGGATGCGAGAGATAGTGATTCGGAGGAGGGCGATGATGATGGATATTTTGGCGACGACGCAGGTCAATACGTAGAAGAGTTGGCCTATCCACCAGAACTGTTGGAAGTATGTGAGCTTGCGATCGGGATGCTAGGGCTGGGATCGTACTAGTAATGCGCGGTGGAAGTTGTCCGGGTGTTCGGTGAAATAAGCCAATTTCATCCCGAGTCCGTATTTACATCCGATAATTCCGCAAACGACAAAGACCGTGTTGAGGGCCTGCAAGCGAAGGGTTTGGCATTAGTTGTTGTTCGCATTGTGGAAGAAACACAGTGGCTCACCATGGCTATAACCATAATTCCATCATCCCAGCCCCAAGCACGAACCATTTGTGTGCGAACGAAGCATCTTAGGATAACGCTTAATAGCGAAATACCGAAGAAAACAGAAGTGACGATCAGAATCGCCCTGTTTCGGCTGTCATCGAAGGTAACCGTCTCGGCGCCCTCGATTTTAGTATCCATTATAAACGAGCAGAGGGCATGGGGATCCCATCCGCACCTAGAGGAAGCAAATGCCAAAAAGAATCAAACAGAAATGGGGAAGTCCATTGTTATATTTGAAGATCCGCATGCCCGGCTATTCTAGCTTCAATAAACCTCGACTTGTTGGCTCTAGACCCCAAGTTTTCCATTTCCACCTATGTCGTAAAGTCCTGAAGTGGGCATCTGTGCTGGAAAAGGTCAGAGCCATCTCTTGAGACATCAATCAGTCAATAATATCTCGCTAGTGGGGGCATATGGGTACTGGATCTTCGGGATGGGGTCCATTTTCAATAGATCGCCACACGAGTTGACGCAAAAGGGCCCGCAAGTTTGGGATTACCAACACCACGACCCAGTGTGGTGCGGCCCGGTAAATAAAAATTCTCAAAAATCTAGAATTAGGTATATTTTGTATCACTTGCCCATACAAAGTATACCTCGGCACATATACGCATGACATAAATATTCTTGTCCGGTAGTTGAGTATTATATACTGATATAATTAATCCTAATATTAGATCAATTGAGTTAGGCTTGTACTATATATTAGTACTCTTTCTGTTTCTTTAACTACTTCAAGGGTGAAGAAAATTCACATAGTGCCTAAGTATCGTTTGTATGGGAAAGTCATACAAAGATACCTACCTAGGTAATTCTAGATTTTGCATTTTGTGAGAATTCTATCTCCCCTCGGCCGTACCAACACTGGGCAGTTGTTGGTACGCTCGGGCACGGTTACAACGGGGATTCTCTTTTCGAATCATGGAGATTATGGGGAGATGGTCGTGGTGGCACAAGGTGTTTCGGCGTGCCGGGTTCCCTCCTCTTTGGGACTTCGGAGCCGCCCGTCCTGTAACAGTCAAATATAACCATGGAACAGGCGGGGATATGTAGCCACGGTAGCAGGGTCTGTAACAGCTAGAAAGCCCGGCGAGCTTTGATTGGTGGGAGCTTTTACGCCCAACCTTATATTTCGGCAAACACAACGTGTTTGAGGGTCGATTACCGAGGCCCATGGACGGGGGCTGAACTCTAATTGTGTTTCCGCCAACTGGACAACCTTAGTTTATGCAGAATTTCAGGTTTCTGCAGCTTGACATTTAAACTTAATCGTCTATCATATGCGACAATCGATAAAGCCGAGGCAGCTTGCACACGGCAAATCGAGCTGATTTGTCCAAACATAAGGCTCCAGGGCTACCTAGAATACTACCACCCTAAAGATATGTACTATGACAAACGACCTGCCCCATTGAGCCAACCACCATGCACCCCATCTTGAGAAAAATGCGCGTTTGACACTGCCAATGATCCGCGTAAGGTGCAGATGCTTAGCCCAACAAACCGAAACAAAAACCTTGTTGTACTCCTGATTTCGATGATTTTGGCGATCTTCAAAATCTGCCCGTCCGTGCGCGTCTACCTATTTACGCGCCATGTCCACCACGACCACTTTTTGGCCCACTCAGGAGTCAATATTTATTCGTGTTCGGTGCAATTCCGTCAAGCCCTACCTCGCGCGCCGGAATTTGGTTACCCTTTTATAAGTCACAGTGGTCTTCCTCAGGAGGGAATGATAAGAAAAATTGACAAATGGAAAATGTCGGTATGAAATGTGCTTAACGGCCCTATATACAATATCTGACATAACAGAAGTGTTTTACTTACAGTGCCTAGCAAACAGATGCACTGCCAGATTTTCCGAGGCGGATGTTCACTTTCCCACGATGGAGCGACATAGCTGTCAAGTTCTCCGAAAGCCTGATTGAGTACATTTCCTCAAACAGAGACACTAGACGAAGGGGATGCACTAGGCATAGCGGTACCACTAGGAGCAGAGCCAGAGGCACCGGCACCACCACCACCACCGCTACCACCTCCAAACGAGCTATCAGAATTCTGGTAGCCACCATCAGCATAGTGGTAGGCGGCAATACTGTAGTAATCGTTATCAGTGTAATCGGCGGTAGTGTTGATTCCGATCTGAATCCAAGCGAACAATCCATCGTCCAGGCCCTCACCGAGGTAAAGGTACTCCGGGAAGGGATCGTAAGCGCTATCAGCCTGCGCGATACTCCACATATCCTCCGCGTTGGAGGTGACCGCCTGCGTGTTAGTAGTGTAGGGGTATGTGTCCTCGACCGCAGTGCGGAGCACCTCGTTCCAGAACAGCTGTCCGATGTGTGCAACGCTACCGGTGTCGGCCTTGATGGTCTTGTTGGGGAGGAGAGTTGCGTTCAGGTGGGTGAGGAGGTGGGTGTGCGTCGCTCGGCCATCGTAGTGACCTGGAATGATGCTTTCGAATGTTGCGACGCCGTCGCGGTCGGTCTGCTGGATGCCGCGGAGGTAGGTTGAGTCCCAGCCGTCTTCAGCGTAGTTGCCTGAAACTGAGATTCCACTGTTCATGGTAAGGGTGGTTAGATATGTGCTTCGGTTTCAATGGCGATTTTCAGACACGAGGATCGGCATTGGAAGCTCACCTGTAGACACCGGTGGCATTGGCTTGCCAAATATCGACGATCGCTCCAGGAACGGGCTTGCAGTTATTCACGTCGATGTACTGCACCTCGAGGAAGACATCCACACCGTCCGAGTACAGCTCCTCCTTGACGTTCTGACGCACGACCTCACCCCAGACATAGTAGGGACCGTCGGTGATAGTGGGCGACAGAACAAAGCTAGTGTTGGCACCGAAGACGACCGACTCCGGGGTCGCAGGGCTGTAATCGAGAACTCCAGTGCGGTTGTGGTCGATAGCCTCCCACTTCTCAAGCGCCGCAAGATCGCGGCGCCATTTCTGGGGAACTTGAAACACGCATTAGTGCGGGTCTTATAGGTGATATGATCAAGGACCTGGCTCACCAGCAGTGATTCCACGCTTCTGGCGGAGTTTCTGGACGGTATTCGAGCGACGGGTGATGCTACGCTTGTTCAACTCGCGGGCGTGGAAGGTATTCTCGCAACCACCCAGGGACCGCTTAGCATGAGCAGCCATGACATCCCGGGTATGGATCTCATGTTTCAGGACGTGAGGATCGTGGTGCTCTCCGGGGTGGGCGATGACAGGAGCCGCCAGGCATGCAGCCGCAACAGCGAGGAATTTGGAAAGCTGGACCATTTTGAACAAGGCAGGATTGTATTGGTGGTTTCTGGACGACTGGACCTCATGGCTGCGACGGCCTGGATTTATATATTTTCGCGATGTTTCATCATCTCCGGACGCGTGTCGCTTTGAAGAAATACGGCACGCACAGCGAGCGGGATTACCGGTGTTCCTGCATGTTCAATGCTTTAGACTTGAGTGGAAGCAAGTCGGGGGCGCCTTCGACACAAGCTTGCTTGGCGCCGCGTCAACGCCTGATGAAAGCTGGTAGTTGGCAATCTCTGCTCCACGAGCTTATTCGATTTAGGGAAGATCGCCCAGGTTTAACGAATCACTGTTCATCAATTGGAAACATATTTCGTTGCTTCCTAATATAGCCCTACGGGCGAAGCTGATGGCTGATTAAGCGGAGCGTCAGGCCCCGAGGCCCCCTGGCTCCGAGCTCTTCACCCTTAGACATAGGGCGAGGTTGAGTCCCAAATCGGGGAGATCTTTTCGCTTGACGTTTGAAGCCTTGCTTGAGCCTGGTGAGGTAGATGTTGTATCTTATTGGAAGGGAACTCTACCCATGGAATGGATCTTGAGTCGATACTGCGCGCCAAGAAAATATTATCACCTCCAACGCAATGGTTGTCTTGGCGCAACGAATCTTGTGGGGCTGAGATGAGCCTTTGAATATTGAGAGCAAATTTGCAGTAGGGACCAATATCTACTAACTACATTTAGGAGCCACAGTTGCTAAACTTCACATATAACGAACAGGGCATATGCCATCGCAGGCAATAACATAGCCAGATGTACGCATTTGGTCTATACTCGAAAATGTTCACACCTATCTACTGTGCCTAATCCTGGTCGGCCTACTATCTGCTTTCGTCTTGAATTGTACGATTATGTGATTCCCGGGTAACTTGATAAATTCTAACCGAGCATCTAGTCAAATGAAACCCATATACATTATTCCGTATCATTTTGTTTTATGTAGCCGCATTCAGTGGTGAAGCGTGTCCACCAAATCCGCTCTAACAAAGTGGTCTATCAATCTTCCGTCTTGTCCGAGGCCTGCTCCTTTTCCGGGTCAATCTCATCACCAGGGTCAAACATCGCCTCACGCATGAATGGGCTTTGCCGCCGGATAGCCGGCCCCTGAAGTACCAGCACGACAGGCACAACCGATAGGGCAAGTCCGACAAAGCCGAGCAACGACCCAGCCCAGCCATAACCCAGGGTTTCGAAAAGCTGGAAAGACGCAAGAGGCAGGAAAGCACCAAAGGTATTACGCCCCAATGAAGCAGCTGACAACGCCGAAGCAGCGTACTTCTCATATGCATCCGTCAGATAGTTGACGACGGCCATGTAGATAGAATATATTCCCACGCCCGTACAGCCAATTCCCAGGGTCGGCACTATCCAATGAACAGAACCGTCCCCAACACTAGCCCAACCGTACCAGAAGAGCCCGGCCGCGAACAACAGACTGCCAGGTATAGAAGTATACAACCGGGCTTCTGGGATAGGTTTACCTGGATGCTCACGATTTCGGTTCGCGGAGTCGAGGTAGATCCAATCTTGGATAGGGTTGAGAACTGTGCCAATCACAGCTCCGACCGATATGGCCAGCTGAACTAGACCGGTCTGGAATGTTCCCCAGCCATAGTTTGAACTAAAGGTCTGGGCAACGCTCGAGAAGAAGAGGAAGAGAATTCCCCACGCGAAGCTGACCCATAGGGTGAAAAATATGACCACAGGCTCCGTGAGGAGCATCCGTGTAGGGCGCTCGAATGAAATCTGCACAAGCTTCAAGACGCTGGTGGTATCCAAATCCGCTTCGGCGTATATAGGGCGGCCGGTCTCCGAGCGGAGCTTTTTGGCACGTCTTTTTAATATCACATCTGCACGGGTCTCACGAAGAATGAACCAGAAAACCGGGATTAATCCAGCGTTATAGATGATTTGAATGTAGAAAATCCTAGATCTTTATCAGCAGTGTTCCACATATTACCAGCCAGGGTTGACACCACAACTTACCATCTCCACGGACTGCTTTTATGGATCTGTTGAATCGCTGCTCCGATAAATGGACCCAAAGCTATCCCAACCACACTTGTAAATCCAAATAAAGACATTGGTAAGCTCCGAGCTTTGGGGCCATACCAAACATCACTGATGCTACCTCCCACAATGTTGATAGACACAGAAGACGCGCCACCTCCAAAGAATCGAGTAACGACTAGGGTGGCAAAGTTTTGCGCAAAGGCCGAAGGAAATAGTGATACGACCAGAATGAAATATGCAATAAAATACCCGGGCATGCGCCCCGAGGATTCGGTCAATGGAACAAATATCAGGGGCCAGAATGCAGCGCCCATATTCCAAGAAGCTGTAGCCCATGCGAGGTTTGGAAAGGGCTCATTTTGAACATGGAAGCGTTGTTCCATGTATTTGTTTCCAGCGCCGTATGATCCAGCCGGCAGACCTGTCAGGATGGAACTGCAATGGGTCAGTATTGTTTCAGCCAAATGGGACCCGATTGGATGCAACTGACATGAAACAAATAGTCAGAGTGAGCACCCATTTATATGTTTTGCTCCAATTGAATCTGAGTTGTCAGTAAAAACCCGCGGAGCATCATTTCCTCGCGTCTTACGGGTTATCTGGGTCATCTGGGCCCTCCCAGGTATGTATCTCGATGTCCAGGCTGTCACGCAAAGGATGACGACCGACATGACCTATGTGACTATCTCGTTGGAAGAAGGAATGGACTCTACAACATTGTCAGTTGAGTCCCAATTTCTATAGGTAAGCTACTTGCGCATACCTTGAGAAAAACGAATCTTCAAACTTGTTATGGTGTAGGGAACTCGCTGTGGACGATCGATGTATATGCCCACCTTCTTGGACGGGCTGAGTAGGAGGGATTCCTTCGGCTTGGCCTTCCATACTGGGAATGGACGCAAAAAAATATATGTGTTAAATTACAGCCATGGAAGTGGCCGGGGAACTTCTTTTGTTCCTGATGCATTAGTCAATGACTCGATGTTTCAATTCTCTGCGTCTTGTCGTTTCCGTCATGACTTTTTAGGGCTCGTTCGACAACGTTTCTTTTTACACTTTTCAGCTATAAGACCCCACAGCACTCCCGTGAACTACCATGAAGGATTTCCGTATTTTTCCACATGTTAAATGTGTGAGAGGGATTGAACTTGCTGCCAATTCTATACTCCTCCTTGGCGTGTTAAAGTGGGGCGATGCCCCGCGTCCAGAGCTGACGGATTGGACATGCTCTGATCGAGAACATCCGATGCCAACGAAGGTATCTTCTAGAATTATCTGGCATAATTTGCAAGTGTCCGATGCCAATGCCAATCTGAAACGTGATGATATCGAACTACCTTGGAAGTTGATGGATGGACTGATACCGGCTTGGAGGATCCCTGTTAAGGTCATGATGTCACTGCCCCGCCGCCATCCGTCTCCACCAGATAGTCATAATTGAAGTCATTCGATGTTATTACTGGATATGCCAAGTTGGCTGGAACAAAGGGGGCCACATAACCTGATCAAGCCAGGCGCAGGAGGTCCTAACCCGGATATCTCTAGCTAAGGTTCTCTGATGTCAGTACGAGGACAAACCAGCCATGAAGTCATGGGAGGGGGCTAGACGTATTTAAGCCACCTTCTTGCCCCATGCTGTTTTAATTCCTCAAATACTCTAATCCTCCATTAAAACATACCCCCTCTCTCGACCCCCAAACCATCAAACCAACACTACCATAATGCCTATCCCCGTCCCCAAAGCCAACCGCCTCCTCGACCTCCTTAGCCTCAAGGGCAAGGTTGTTGTTGTAACTGGAGCCTCCGGAGCTCGTGGCATGGGTATTGAAGCCGCCCGCGGCTGCGCCGAGATGGGCGCCGATCTGGCCATCACATACTCCTCCCGCCGGGAAGGTGGCGAGAAGAACGCCAAGGAACTCTCCGAAGAATACGGCGTGAAGGTCAAGCCGTACAAGTGCGACGTGGGCAACTGGCAGAGCGTGGAAACCCTCGTGAAAGACGTGATCAAAGAATTCGGCAAGATCGACGCCTTCATTGCCAATGCCGGGCGCACAGCCGACAGCGGCATCCTTGACGGATCAGTGGAGGACTGGAACGAAGTCATCAACACCGATTTGACCGGCACCTTCCACTGTGCTAAGGCTGTTGGCGCCCATTTCAAGGAGCGCGGAACCGGCAGCTTCGTCATTACTTCGTCGATGTCAGGCCACATTGCCAACTTCCCCCAGGAACAGACCTCATACAATGTCGCCAAGGCGGGCACAATTCACCTTGCCCGGTCGCTGGCCAACGAATGGCGCGACTTTGCTCGTGTTAACAGCATCTCGCCCGGCTACATTGACACCGGGTTGTCCGATTTCGTTGAGAAGGATGTTCAGGACCTTTGGAACTCTATGATCCCCATGGGTCGCAATGGTGATGCGAAGGAACTCAAGGGTGCTTATGTTTACCTGGTCAGCGATGCCAGCACTTACATGACGGGCAACGATTTGCTCATTGACGGTGGTTACACTGTGCGGTAAATTATTCATTTTTGTACAATTACGAATTTCCATGACAACATAGTTTATTATTACCCAAATTCCCGAGTTAGATATTCTAAGAGCTCTATATTTACCCCGTTTAACGTATGACGTCATCGGCAAATCCAAAATTTGGATTGTTTGACAAGTTTGTCATGTTTGCGAGCTGTTTGTCTTCAACTCGAGGGCTGATCCCATTATCAACCAAATCAACCAACCTCCAGGCGCATCACAAATAATATTGAAGTAAGTTATGTTTCACGCAGGGCCAGCAATACCAGCCGTGATGGGAGCCTTCTCCACAAAGATCCCAGACCAAAACCAATCCTCCGCAGCCGCATTCAAGCCCCCATTCTCGAGCCGCAACTCGCCGATATGCCAATCCGCAGAGTCCGTCGAAGTCGACGCGTTGACAGCCGACACAACCTGCTTTAGGTCATTGGGCCCATTCGACGCCCACAGCCCAACAGTTTTCGCGTCGAAATCGATATCGTAGGCGAAGTTGTACCACTGCCCTGCTTCCAAGTCAGTCTCCCAGTGCGAGACTCCACCGACGCACCAACGGAGCGTATTGTCTTCGCCCGAGGCGCCGCTCGCGGTGCCGTATTTGAGCTCTGTGAAATGGCTCTGCGGTTGGGATACTTGTCAGCTGTTTGTTTCTTCGATGCCTTGGAACTGGGGAGGAATACCTCGAAGAACGCGATCTGATGCTCGAAGCTTGCGTTCGGTGCATTTATCTCTTCTGTCTTCAGCGAGAAATGGTAGAAGAGATGCCCGCTCCCAAGATCCGCCTTTGTCTGGGGGATGATCTCGGATCGTTCCATGGTTTGTCCATTCCAGAACGACGTGCCATCCTGACAGTTATCAGCTTCTAGTCCCCCCCGACCTTGGAATATGACCTACAATTGTGATCCGAATACCCTGTTGATCACTGGTATCGGCCGGGTTCTTGTGGTCAGGCGAGAGACTCAGGTACTTTTCCGTCGAAGCACTCCCGTGAATATACCACTGCCAAGCCCCGACTTGGTTAGACCACGACCCTTCTTGTGTGTTAGTGTTGATCAGCAGCAACTGCCGAGAGGCACTTACATTTATCGAAGTCCGCAACGGTCGTGGAGGCATTGAATAACCCGCTCCACAGGACTTCGCCAGCTTCGGCCACTATGGGGAGGGAGAGGAGCCATGCAGAAGACCGCATTTTGCTCAGATGGTTGCAGGTTTGCGTTATACTCCGCGATTTAGAGGTGTGGTCTGGTTGTTTCCGAGCGACGATAATTCCCTTCCGAGTGCCGTTATATACTTGTACCCATAAACAAGACCGGCTGAGCCGGATATAACACGGAGACCATGGAGACCATGAAACCCGCCCGGGGTTATTTGAAGTAAGACATTGACTGCTGGCGACAATTCCTTTGCATCCCTTGAGCCAATTTCATAAGCCCCAGTTCGTGGGAGTTCCGCAGCCAAAAAGTAAACAACACGGGTCCCGGTGCATTGTCTTCATTGTCTTCATTTTATTCAACCTCATACCCGTATTGGCGCAATTGACATCCTCAAGTGATCGGCAGGGGCCTCTCCAAATAAGCCACGGAAATAAGGTCTACACGATGAAACTCTTCAGCATAGCTTGAAACGGCGCCAAGTATGAGTGAGACAAAGGTCGGATCATCGGACCGACATGCCACTGCGAACCTACGCATTCACCTCACGATATAAATGAAAACATAAAAATAATAGGCAACCAAAAAAATCCTTCGTTTCATAAATCCATAATGACCGGTCGCTCAAGGGACACGGTCGGGAATCTTATTTACATATCCCGATAAACCAGCGGGACCCTCATTTCATATATTCGTGAATAGTTTACACCTTGGGCTTCTCAGCCGTGGCATCATCGCCACTTCCAACATCCTTGGAATCGATACCGTGAACCTCTGCAACGTGCATTCGGGGAAGCGAGCGAGCAATGCGGGGCGGATCGAAGATACTACGCGACTGCAAGAAGATTTCATCGATTTCCTCGAGGGTGCGGCCGTTAGTCTCCGGGAAGAGGAAGTAGACAGTCGGCACGATGGCGGCGTTCAGCACGGCGAAGATAATATAGTATTGCCAGTCTATGGTAGCGAAGCCGATGGGCGTGACCTCAGCGAGGAGGAAGTTGAACGTCCAGACAGCGGCGGAGGAGATGGCGCTGATAGATGCTCGGCATTGGAGGGGAGCGACCTCTGTAGCGTATAGGAAGGTTAAGCCTGAGTAACCGACCGTGAAGATGAATTCAAAGACGAAAAGGAATACTACGGCGCAGACCAAGCTGCCGGTGTTGTTTTGGAGGGAAGTAGTGCCAGCTAGGATGGCCATCGACACCGACATGCCGGCAGCACTCCACAGCATGAGCACGCGGCGACCGAGACGATCAATGGTGAAATAGGCCAGTAAGCCACCCAGCGGCTGTGTTAGGCACATGGATGCGGCGAGAATACGAGACTGGACGGGATCGAGCTTGAGATATTGTTCGAAGATGGTCGTGGCGTAGAAGGTGATGAGATTGATTCCACACATCTGCTGGAACATTTGCCCCATACAGGCGAGAACAGTGCGGTGGAACAGTCGCTGCTCGCCCATCTTCAGCATATCCTTCCATGAACCGGTTCCGGAAAGGGCTAGGGAGGTCTCGATATCGCGAATATCGAGGGTGATCTGTTCCGACTGAGGGTCCACGTCGTCGAGCGCGGCCATGATCTCCCGTGCCTCTTCCGTGCGACCTCTTTTCACTAGCCACCGGGGCGATTCAGGGAAGAGCATCACAAAGCACATGACCATAAGCGAAAGGAGGACCTGAAAGACCAAGGGGAATCGCCAGGAAACAGAGTTGGTCTTAACGAAGTAGAAGCCGAAGTCGACCCAGAGAGAGAAGGTGATACCGGCGCCGATGAAGAGACCGTCAGTCACTACGTGAGCGCCACGTTTGTTGGGCTTCGAGATCTCGGATTGCCAGACAGGCACGGTAGCGACATAGCCACCAGTGCCATATCCGAGGACGAGTCGTGCGACGATAAATTGTGCAAGGGAGAAGGAAGTTGCCATCAAGATAGCGCCAATCATCGAGATGAAGGAGGTGAACAGGATGACCTTCCGGCGGCCGAGTCTGTCACCGAATTGAATGCATGACAGCGAACCAAATATTCCACCAACAGTATATAGTGCGACGACCGTGCCTGGAAGAGCGTAGCATGAGAAATGAGTCAAGCGCTGGAGATACCAAGCATCTGGGGCTAATCCGCGCCCTGACTATGGCGATTGGGCTTACCTTGAATCGTAGAGTTATAGGTCTTCTCTGCGTCGGTTGCAGTGAGAGTGTTCATTTGTGGGAAGGTCTCGGAGAAGGATTGCAGGGTCAACAGACCTCCCATCACACCTTGATTGTATCCATAAGTCACAAAGGCCGGGCACACGACCAACCACATGATAGCCCTATTCAGCGAAGGGCCGCGGAGACCAAAATACGGCGCCATGGTGCAAAATTGGTATTGAAAAGAGGCGAATTCAAGATCTAGAGTTTGGAGATCATGCCACACCAATTGCCCCGCCAAACTGATGTGAGGTTGGATATAAACATCATATATACACTCATCTGAGTGTTGGACGGCGAACGCCGTCTACCGGACGATCGTGAAAATGGTGGAACCGAGCAGTACGTGGGGCAGCATACCCCGGAGCAACGAAGCGCAACTCCTATTGGCGAGGGTGTGGAACCGAAGACATATCGGGTCAAGTCTTCAAGAAGAGTGGAGTAGCAGTGCTCGAGAGCCATCAAACGGGAACATAATATTAGCTAAAAGTCTTGGTTTCCCCAGATTCCTCCGTCGCGGGATGTGATGATGGGTAATTCAAGCTGCATGCGTTATCCCGGGAAGCTTGGCTAAACCCCTGGGGCTCTGGTGAAAAGCTGGGGTAAACTGCCGTCCATCAGGGGATTTGCCGGGGCGTGCAGCATGTATGTCGCTTGCACATACGCTACGGTTTGCTCCACATCGGACCTGGCCGATGGAGACTTCTGCGACCACCTGTGCCTCGGGCCACGATAACACGAAGTGCGTGTCATGCATATTTGTCTTTTGGCGGGATATGTATTCGAATCGCTAGCCGAGATCTGATGTAATGGCTCCATAACTGTGGTCATATCAATTGCATAAAAACTGGACGATAAACAGCAAGAGAGTGATAACTCCCCGCCCCCTGTTCTAGAACGAGCGCCTCATGCTAGGAATCCCAAGATGTTGTCAAATAAGGCTTGTCCACTTGATAATACCACATGGGCCTATATGAACATACTATGTTGGTTGAAATAACGAATAGAATATATCGGATGAAATTATCGCATGATCCCGCTTGGCCTCTGCTCCATGGGCCATGAATATGTCGCAACTTGACAGTCATTCTTCCTTCACAGTAAACTTACTCCATGATCGTATCTTTGGCCCATATATGAAAAACACAATGGGCACAGGGAACAACGCGGCAGTCAGACAACCTAGCAAGGTCATCGCCCAAGCGACGCCCAAATTGTGAAACTATATTGCATTGCGATCAGCCTAATTCTTGCAGCGCCAATAATGGGACAAAACACACCAATGCAGATGCGAACATCGGAAATCCAGCCCCCAGCCATGAACGAAAGAAAGAGTTGGCTGCCATCGCAGAGTTTGCATACATGGGATACACATCAACGATATAGTTAAGGCCCTGGCAATCACCGTGAGTATTTGTTTAGTGGCCTGGACATTCAAATGGGGGATAATAATACCTGCAAGAAAATCAATAGTACCCCGGACCCCAAGAAGCCCCCAGATACGACCTGCGGAACCCAAGTGATGTGCGGATTTGAAGTCCAGCCAAACCAAAACATGCCCGCGGGCAACAGGATACCTCCAATAACCATAGGAATCAACCGCTCCTCTGGCTGAACTCGGCCATTGCGAAGGATGAACGTTCTATACCGCGTCAATGAGAACGCAATGATAATTAAACAAGCGCAAAAGACACCACATATAACAGCGACAAACGGCAATGCTCCAACGCCATCATTCCATCCACGCTCTTCTTGGAACGAGATCGGGTAGGCCACGAAACATGTGTACAGAAATCCATAGATAAAACCCACGTACAGGGTAATAAGCAGAAGAATGGGTTCCTGCACAAGCATTTGAAACGGGCGCAGGAGATATTGTACCGCAATATTCTGGAAACTCACTATCTTCTCTTCTGCTTTTGCATGGAGAGCCCAGTTCTTGGTTTTGGTGCGCAGTCGCTTGGCGCGTTGCGTAAGCAACGTCCCCTCGAACGTCTCGGGGATTATCAGGACTCCGATTCCAGCGATGGCAAATGCCCAAATAGCTGTAATGTACTCCGTCCATCGCCAGCCCAGGTAGGACATTGTTACGAACCCCCCGATGATTGGTCCAGCAACCGGGCCGATGAAGGTTGCCGCGGCGAAGATGGCCATTGCAATCCCTCGCTCCACGGGCTCGAACATATCGGCCAAGATACCGGATACCTAAGCAAGGAACGGAATCCAATGAGCGAGATTCAATGCGTAGGTTGGGAACAATGCAGCAGACTCACAATGGCAAGAGGCGCGCTTGCAAAAAGCCCGCCCAGAAAGCGACATATGAAGATAGTCTGCAAGTTCTGGGCTACCGCGACGGGGATCTGAAATATTGCGAACACAAACATGCCCAGAAACATCGGTCGCTTCCGGCCGTACAGTTCAGACAGGGGACCGAAAATAATAGGGCCAAAGGCGAAACCCAGGACGAACAAACTGACAGCTAACACCATGACTTCTGGTGAGACGCCGAACTTTTTCGCCGTCGGTTTTGTTGCTGTGCTGAAGACCGAAGAGCCGAATGTAACGCAGATTGTCATCATTCCTAGCATTATCGTGATCACCCACTTTCTCCATGTGGGGAAATTCTTGGGCATATCCTAGAATCGTATTAGAGGAGCTGTACAAACTCGAAGTAGGGCAATCGGATGTCATGCCGGATCATCCGGGCCATCCCAGTCCACGATTTCACTTTCGTTCTCATTTGGAGATCTCTCGGGCTTGTTCTCTGCAGAGCCCCTGTTGCTTTCTAACGCATCGGCCACGTCGTATGTGTCGCCATCGTCGAACATGGTCCGCAGGCTAGTCGAATCATGTGCTGATTGACGGGTGTTGTGCGGGGACAGGGAGGTTTGGGTCTCTTTGTTGGCCATTATAGAGGCAATCTGGTTCGCGTTCAACGGAGAGTAATAGTTGATGACAGGTGGTTCGTTCGTGGTGTAGCAACTGTGAGCACTGAGTAGAAGCTCACCATGGGCCCGTTCATATATGCGTTGCAAGCAATACTGGAGATCTACACTGTTGAAATAGATCGCTTAACGCCATTTGTGTCCTTCTTGTACCCCACAACAACAGATTATTTGTGATCTTGCAAAACGTCATGGCATCCATCCATCGGCGATGAGCTGAGTCATGCATGATATTAACGACGACATGGTTACGTATTCTCGAACGAAAGTTGTCCGTATAATCAAGGGCGGTGTCTAGCCTAAAGCAAACGGTCCTGGGAATGTGGTTGCGTGGAGGTGGATATATATTATTCAGGTACATATTCGAACATTTGATTTAAATATAAATCGTATGCAGGCAAATAATGACCCTTGATGTTGACATTGTCGATATGAATTCAGCAAAAGGGACACCGATCTATGCTGAAAGTTTTGTACACCGAGACCTTGGGCCTCATCCACTTCTCGCAGCACACGAAAAGCTGGCACCACTTGAATCATCGTGAATTGCCTTACCAGACACCCAGAGACCCATGCCGCACTTTATGAAAATTAGCTTTTGATCAATGGCCCGGAATTGGCAGATTTGACATACCAAGCAAGCACCAATCCCCACAATCACCAGGTTGATAGCAGTCAGGGCCATCTTTTTCCAGGAAGCCCCATACTGGCCTCGATTCAGAAATAGCCAGAATATACCGCTCAGGCCATCTTTTATTCAGGTCAGCACTATAAACAGTCTGTTGTAGACTGAATATCACTCACAAGTAAACCAGCTAGCAAAAAGGGAAGTCTACTCGGTGGATGCATGTTAGTAGCTGTCCCACTTGCAATTCCCGGCGACACTCACGATCAGACTCAACAAAGTATTGAACACAGGGATTGCCTCGGAAATAATCCAGGCTATCACCCATAACACAAGCGTAATCGCAACCCAGGACCCGACCGAAAAGAATGTGCGCTTCTTCATGTGATCAGTGCCCCGGAACAGACGGACGTAAATATATTTTGACGCGACATGCCCGTTGATGACACCGGCTATGACAATCTACAGTATGAAGTTAGGAACTTTATATTCAAAGTAGAAACATGTGCCAGAAATCTCGCACCGTGGGAATAGCAATTCCATATGCAATCTTTGCTGTTATCGGCTTTGTCGAGCTCAGGGCTGGTGATTTCACATCATTCCCACCGTAGATGTATATAACAACAGCAGCTATAACATACATACTTGTATCGGTTATCTGGAGCATGTATAGTGTCTTGGGGTAATCTGTCGGAGTTTCCATCTCTGAAATAAAGCCAAAGAAAGCCACATGGCCAGCTAGATGCTAATTAGTGGGAAGGTCCGGCTAATCGATTGGTACTTACCATAAGCAAATACAATGTTTGTCACGGCCAGGAACCCCTTTGACAGACTGACTGATGTAGTCGCGTCTACCTTGCCGTCACCCGGGCGCTGGATAGCAATGGCGATCATAGTAATCAGTAGTGCAGCGAGGATACTTGCGAAGGCTATGGTAGTTAGCAAGAAGCTCATTGCGAAAAACGTGTCGATATACATACAAGCAAACGAGAACCAGGAGACCTTGCGAAGAGTTCGAGGCAAGGCAAAGATGAACGAGACGATCAAGCCAACGATCCCAAATACAATCGAACAGGTCCCATGATCTGTAATCGTATCCATCATGACACTGAAAGTCAAGATATGACTGCCCATGACGAAGATAAGAAAGAGCAGCTGAGCCGTTCCCAAGAGCTCTCTACCAAAGCGAGCTAGACCAAGGGGATGGAACATCACCTCCCCAGCGTCTCCCATACTATGTACTTGCGGGTGTCGGAGTTTGAATTGGCCGATCACATATCCAGTATAGGTAGCGACTATACCCAGTCCGACAATGAGAATGACTCCACTGGAAAGCTGTTAGTATATCGGTATGCTGAACGTTAGCTGGAAGTAGCAGAAAGCGTACGGAACAAGGCCTAGGACTGCCATAGCTGATGGAAGAGACAGAATACCGAGGGAGATGGTTTCTGCGATCATGATCATGCCGCACTGCCACCATTGTAACGTCCGATACTTGATTTCGGCAAATTCTTCATCCCCGAATGGGTCTGCAAGATGGGAGATCACATCTTCCGATCGATTCTCCTCCTTTTTTTCTATTGAATCACTCCTTCTGTCGATGTCACGACTTGAAGTAGCATCATGATTAGAATCTGCCATGGCAGTGGCCAGGGTCACTGTTTAGAGCTTCTTAGCGATCGCGACCACTGTCAGCTATGATTAAGAGAAGAGATAGATGTCCAATGCCTGGAAGTGATAGAATGCAATCACAATTTTGGACAATCACCTCGATTTTGGCTGTAGATTGGTGATGTCATACTGCGGGGAAAGCTTTACGGAGTTGGAATCCGAAGGATAGCAATTGGAGATGGACTTCTTTAGTGTAGCAGAGCAGGTAAAGATCTACATCTGAAATGAGTGCTCAGAAGAATGGTGTGCGCTAAAAAAAAAAGCCAAAGATCGAAGCAAACGCTTGGTTGCGCCACTTAATAGCCCAATATGGAGATCACACCTTGCGATGCTTTTCTGGTACAATCTCGTGTTAATGTGAACATGATTCGCTGCTGGAGTCATCAGAAATACTTCTGGAATTTCCTCTCGTCGGTTTTCACATGCGATACTTTCCGATTGTATCCGAAATTGGACCCAACGTACCTGAAGTGGATATATATCTGGTTGTCATGTCACCCCATACTGAAATGAGTGTTGATCCCACTCTACGCGCCAAGTTCACGACCATCACATCACGACCATCACAGCCTGAATACCATATTTATCCAAACCGTCCAGCCGACGAATACTGAGCACAGTGCGACGTTAATATTCCCTCTCAGGCGAATTCATTAAGTGTGTGGTCTTCCGAACCTTCCGTTAAGAGCGTCATCGTCTCTTCAAAAGCTCCACATCCTCGCGATCCACCGATATTTTAATGCTTTTCATGATGCGATCTTTTGCTGGAGAACAAACCGTCCGCGACCCCGGAGATTTCGCGTTCGCTCGGTCGGGGTGTAGTGTGGTTTTATGATTGATTCGTGACTTGGACGCGTGGTCGGTATAGGCCAGTCCGTTCTCATCCACATAGGCTGGCACGAATGGTTTCATCAATGGCGCCGTGAGCACCAGAAAGCCATAGTTTAATTTCTCGAGGAACTAGTAACAGAAATCTAAGAAACCGCGGTGAAGCCCTGGTACTCACCAGGATGAACAGACTTTCACTGATCCGCCAAAAGGCTGCCAAAGATAATGGCATATAGCCTTTTCGATGACCGACTGTGCTGCCCGGATTCGAAGGTACTTAGATGTAACTGAAGCAGTCAGAGGGACAAATTCGAATATTGGATCACTGTCACGGAGACGTTGGGACTGATCGATATCCTGTCAAAGGTAAGATATACGTTAAACGTGCCGGTGGGCATCAAATCTACAGAATCTTCTAGTGGAAGCTCTCCGAAATAGGCATATGCGATTGTCTTAAGGGCTTTGTGTATCTTGGATAAGTCCTCCTCGCTAAGGGCAGAGTCAGCAATTCCCAATTAAAGAAGCGTATAAGAGTTTGCTTACAACTCTGACAATGGGGAGACTTGAGTTTTGAACCTGGACTTAAGTTCCTTTTTTCTGGTCTTCCAGCTCTTTTGTATGGGCCTTGAATAGCGTCAGGGTTCCTTCTGTATCGTCCTTGGCATCTTTTTGAGCTGAGACTTGGCCCTGCAGTTGTCGAATCTTCTGTTCGCCCAATTCGAATTTCGCAGCCGTGACCTTCTCATTCTGCTTCATTAGTTCCTGTGACTCATCCTCTAGTTTCTTTTTCTCTGTTGCTATGGCTTTGTCATATCTAGCGATCGCCCTCGGCCTTGAATCGCTGCTTCTCCCCTTCCAATTGTTTGCTTTCTTGATCAAGCGTTTGGCGAGAATGCTCAAGAGAGGTCTTCTCGTCGTTGAGCTGATTTTGCAGCTCCACCAATCGACGCTGTTCTTCCTCAGCCATACGGACTCTTCATTCTTGGAATGCTCTAGTTCCCTAACTTTTGCGGAAAGGCGTTGTATCTTCTCGTCTTTCTGCAGCAGCTCTCCTTATTGTAGGACTCCAGGAACTTGATCAATGTGACTAGGCGTTCAATAGGTTCTCGAGGAACTCGCTGGTCAGCGCCTTTGTGGCTAGCTTCGTCACTACTGTCCTCAGTCACTTCGATATTACCGAGTCGTGCTTGACGTCGTCTCTGTCGGCGTAATTGCCGTGCCTTTCACTTTATCCCCCATATCGACTTAGGAGCTAATTTGCTCTCAAACATCGAGTGGGCCTGAGTTACTTGCACATCCTGCGATGACTCGGAATGACCGTTCATAGCGATAAGCGACTTCGTCAGACGCGCCAAAGGAGAATTTCTCTTGTGCGGAACCATGAAGTGGATATGAATGAATCCGCAGGGCGACTTCGACAAACCAGTTATCATGGAAGAGCTATGGCTTTATGTATTCTCTAATCGGTAGAAAATCAAATAAGTTCTTTATGTGTCAGTTTCGTCTCGATCAGCACTTCAAGAGGCAGGAGGGCATCCCACCTGCCTTCCGATACGCCTGATATTCTCGCGTTGATGGGGTTTTTCTTTACTTCTTGGATCTATGCATGTGATGTGCGAACCAATCATGCATTTAAACGTCCATGCTTTTGAAAGGCCAGGTGGGCATTTCGCTATTTCCCGTGCGGCTTATTTGTCACTCCTTGTCCGCGCCCGGGCGTTTCTGGATGATCGGCATACCATTCATCATTGGCTGCCTAATGATGTCACTCTCGGCACATGGCTATTGTTGCAACAGGACGGATGAATATACTGAGCCTCCTCGATCGTGATCGGGGTAGTTGTGTGACTCTAGTTCGGATTTCTGCTGCCTAGTTGTCACTCTTCGAAGTTTCCGATATTGCGACCATTCCGCACTTTCTTTCCTCGAACATAACGCAACCATCACATCACCCGTTCCAGCAGCGCAGCATAGTGACTGTTCATCCCCCAAACACTCAAAGACGCAAAAATCATTCCTTCAAGAGCCCTCACGCTCCGTCACCATGAACACCAGCATTCAAGAACTGACGTGCAAATCGGTCGAGCTCGACGGCTTCGGCTCTGCCGCCGACGACGCTTGGTTCGACCAACACACTGCACCTATGGACGGCGAGGAAGAGACTGGGGCGCATCCCCATCAAGCTGCGGCTCTCAAAGCTTACCTAAAAGGCGACCTCAAGCCATCCGAGACAGCTGCCGCCATGACCAAGCCTCATGACTCCGAGAAGAAGACCGACCTGCGCGGCCGCGTACTGGGCATAATCGAAGACGCGCTTTTTGAACTGCCCCAAAGCCACACGCCCGCCCTCGTTGACCTGCTAAGGGAACTTAGCCAGCTACCAGACGAAGAGGACGGCGGCCCAGTCTGGAAAAGTCTCAGGAGCCTCGGCAACTCGTGGTCAGATGGATGGAAGCAGAGCCACTGGCGCAAAGCGTTGGCGACACGGGATCCAGCCACAAGAGCGAAGAGGCGCGAGGCCCACGTGCACCTGGCTTTTGTGGAGGCATCTTGTGCAATGGCTGCTCCGGGACCGAATGCTGAAGATGGTCTCTTGCCACTGAGCTGGGGCTATGAGTGCATCTCCGAGGCGCTCGAATGCCAGGATGCAGTGTGGGATTTTGAGGTACCTGCTGCAGCGGTGTGGATCAAGGTAGCCGGGAAAAGACTCAGAGAGGGCGCGAAGAAAGGTGAGAAGTCCTGGGCGTTGGAGAGAGAGGGGAGGCTTTGGACGGCGGGATCGATGAGCATAGATCGGTGGAATTTCTGGTTGAAAAGACTCGAGCAGATTGAGAAGATTGGCAACGTCATCTCGACAACCGCGAGTGAAGGCGTGTGGGATGCTCGTGCCCAGGGTAAGGAATAGTTGATGGCTTAGCCTATAGACTTAGCGTTAGAGTAGCAGTAAGTCTGGATTGTAAGATTGCTTCTCGACGGCCTTGGTGGCAAATTGCACATGTGCTAGACTTCTCCCGTGAAACAATCGCTGATGAAGTCGGATTCTAGCTAACAAGCTAGAAGATACATTGTGAGATTTCTCATTGGCCAAACCATGCCTCTCGAGTAGCGCAGTAGATCGTTGTGGAGCGGGTTAACTCGCCTTTGAATCTATTGCCGGGCCCACCAGACTATCGAAAACTAGCAATCACTAGTATCATGAATTGAAACACTCAACAGCGTATATGTATAGCCGTGTGGATCATTCTATTCAACAATGATTGCATGGATGTTTTTTTTTTCAGCTCACCCTCCACTCTCCAAACCACTTCTTTGATCGTCAGATAGATATCAATAGTGCCGTAGATCATATTCCAGACCATTGGATTAGCTATTCACATGGGCATCAAGTCATTACGAGAAAGAACTCTTGTCAAACCCATAAATAGTCGCCTCTTATCCGACATCTGACTCGGAATGCCAGCAGATTACAACAATTGATACCTTTTATACTCAATCCATCAACATTCGTTGATCGCCATATCTCAATCACGTTTCCTATCTCTTGAAGTCACAATGAAGCTTTCAGCACTGCTCGCAGTTTCAGCGGTGCTTGCAGAGGGAGTTCTTGCAATCAATTGCAAGGATGGATTGAATTACTGTGGCAGGTCGATCAAGCTCAAGAACCCCGCATGTATGGAAGCGCATAAACTATTGAGTACATGTCCATCAAGGATCTTTGGATGTGCTAACTTTGAATCTCAGACGACGAAGAATATCATGACAGAGATCTTGTTCATTGCCAGAAAGCACCCGACAACCTCCGTCGTGTGGAGATATGCTATGGGGGATGCATCGAGGCCCCCGACGGTCAGAGTGACTACTGTGCGCGTAAGTCCCAAAATTTTGCCCCCTCCTTTCCTCTCATCTTTTCTTTGCGTAATTCCCTTTGCCGGACTTTTCCCTTATCCATCTACCCTGGCTAAAAGCTAATTTGACCACAGCATTCGGTGGATTCATCATGACCACTGCTACAGAAAACTGCGTCGAGTTAGCGGACGCCATTCATCGCGACCAAATTAAAGCGGCTGAGAAAAAATCAAAATCGGTAGCTAAAGTCTGGCGCCTGGAAGCTGATTTCGCGTTTTTCAATTCAATGACTATCTGCGTGCTTCTGTCAGGGGACGCAAACAAAGGCAGAAGCGAAGAGGCTGTTTGGGAGCAGGCATTCAATTTCTATAAGGATGCGACAGTGAGGCTCCAAAATGATTTGAAAGAGCTGAATAAGGAACAAAAGAACTAGTATGGGGCTTTTTTGAAATGAATACATGGTGTCTTAGCATACATTCGAGCTATGAAAGCTAATTCAGGCACCCATCTTCTGCTGTTCACCCCGAACTACTTCGTCTTATGCAGAAATAAGCAGACTATGAAACCTCGGTGCAAAATACTATAGAAACTATCTCCTGATGACAGTCTACATGTCTACATCTGAAGAATTGGATGCTATACATCAAGTAGAGCTCGTTAAACTTCAACGTGGCGTTATTGTGACTGCCAACCATTCGAACCGTGGGAATGCAGATCAATCCATTCCAAGTACTGCCATAAGCTGACGTTGAATATAGCAATTTTTGCATTGTATTACGAGCTCCCTAAAGCGGATGTCGCTCGCTCTTAGAGATGACTAATCCATCTCCTTAGTGACGGCATCCAAAAACGTTTGACGAGTGTTATGGTCTTCTATCCTGCTCTAAATGGCCCTCCAGATGTAGTCATTCCTTCCGAACTCCAGAGACCTCCTCTGACTGCCACCTTTCTATATACGATCACATAATAATTCATTAATAATCGAAAGATGCCCACCCTTGGCTGCTGATATCAAGGGGTCCTCGAGCCACCGATTCTTAAGGTTAGGATTGGTCTTCAGCACGACCCAGTAAAACCCAGACTGGGTTGGGTTTTGGGTCGAGCCCTTCGACCTAGTAATGGGTCTGGGGCCCCAAATTAGGTTATAAACTAAATACACATACTAAGGATAGACTACCCATACCAGCCTATATATAGCAGCCGGATACTTCTAGTCTAATACAAATCATGCGATCCTATCTGAATCACATCTGGTAGCATATCGGTTTAAGCCTTCTTCCATAGAGGCCTAGGGAAGGGTACGGCCTAGGGAAGGGTACGGAAGCACTATAACGGTTCCCTAGAAGGGTCCCTATAGGTGTATACTAGAGCATACATACCTATCCCTTTCTATACCCACGCCCAACACACGATCTAGCGGACCTATGTTTAAGCGAGGTTGTGAGGGAATTATACGGTCAGGAACGGACGGAATACCGCTTAAGAGGATCCGATCAGCTAACGACGTGCTAAGGCGTAGTCTCTAACGGATTAGGGGTGAAGTAGAACCGGACGGCTCCAACCACTAATCCTTAAGGTTACGTCCTGTCCCGTCACGACCCGTAAGTTACCCCTGAAACTCTTAGTCTCAGGAGGACGAGATAATCTGATCGGTATCCCTCCGTCATACAGTTTCTCGTAGACAATAGCAAAGTCCCTCTTCCCTTGCGATGTTTAATTTGAAAAAATATATAGAAAAAAATTTGGTTGCACGCGCCTCTGTCAGCATTAATTAGAGACATCAAGAATCGTCCAAAATCAGTTCGAAAGTAACAAGTTAGAGATGAGATCCCAAGTTACCACTTGATTATGAGAAGAAGATGCTGTCACATATTGGGCGCACGTGTAATCTCGCCCTCATTGAACGAGACGAAGAGATAGATCAGAAAAGAAAATGAGTGGACATTTCTCAAATTGGGGCTACCAATTAGTCGAAAAGGATAAAATAGTTGGAAAATCTTGGACTGGCAAAATAAATTGTGGGGTAAAAAGTCAGCATTCTGGTCAACGTCTGGGGATACGGTCAGGCTGCACTCTCGCTCGTTGCTGACCTATTCATTTTGGTTTCTATTCTTTGAAATCAACAAAGTGGCGTATTTTGACTGCTATGCAATTATTCGAACTGCATATAGAATACCACAATTACACTATAGACACCTCAGCTGATGTGGGGAAATAATCCTCGAAATCTTTCTTCCCGGGCCGACCCGGAGCCGTGATAATTGTGCTGAACCGTTTTTCGAGCTCGGATCACTTGATGTTCGATTGTATAGTCGAAAAATCAAGAATCGATCTAACATACGTGAAAATAATGGTCAAAGTCGCAATGTAGGACATGTTGGTCGAGTATTGGGAAATATTGGACAAATACAACTACTCTCTTTACCCATCCTAGTGCCACACTATGTACTTTAGGTTATTTCCACGGCTCTAAACTGATTTTAGTTTCTAGCACGCCCCCAAACCTCTACCGTAGCAATTATCACAACACACTCACCAAAACAATAGAAAATGTATGGAAAATATAAACCTAATGTGGCATGCACTGTACTCTTGTGTATGTGCTCTATCCCCTGGTCTCTAATTGCCCCTCCTTCTATGAAGAGCTATTCGAAGGTGCCAATTTGACGCTGTTGGTGTGACCAACATTTTCATTGGATTAAAATTGCGAACATAATCAATTCACGCAGTGGTCTGACCCTGACTAGGGCCAATATCAGCTCAGGGTTTTTTTGGGGGGTTTTAGCTCGTGCGAGTGACTGCGATCACTTAATCATCAGAGTTCATGACCGGTGACCGATAAGGTCGCCTAAGCGTACAATTCATGTTTTCAAAAGCCACCTTTCCTGGAACAGAGATCCATGTGGCACAACCTTGTAACTATAGAACGACTTGGGTGATGCCTGGTATGAGGAATTGCGCGTGATTTTGAGTGGAGATCCGGTTGAGCAATAAATTTGGGTTTTCCATTGCCAACCATGTTCGATTAAAATGCTGCCTCTCCGCTAGGATCAACGGCAAGCTATTCCTGTACTAGTGGAACAGACTTGTATAGAACCACTTCGGTGGTGCCTAGGTACAGTATTAGGAAATGAACGTGTTTTCGAGTGGAGGATCGGTTGAGTAGTAAATTTGGGTGTTTCATTGCCAATCATGTCCGATAAAAATGCTGCTTCTTCGCCATGTTCAACGGGAAGCTATTCATAATAGCGAATCAATCAATTCATGGTCCTCTTCGACCATGTTGTACTCGGCTTTCTGAAACATACGATTGTAGTCTAGCATCAATCATCCCTAATAAAGAACAATAATCATGAGAAACAGATACAACAGATAAAACAAATTGAGTATCTGGCGAGGGTTGGCTGCATCAGTTCGCGGCCATCCTGGCTTACTGTACTTGTCTATCTAATTAAACCAGTACTTGGCAGGCGGGGTCATAGCCAACCAAAAAAAGGAGTAGACAGGGGCAGTGACCAAATCTTACACGGTCTGAATGCTGACCATAACCGCCCCGTGATTATGCAAGAAATTCTGGGGTTACATCCATACCTGGGCATATTTTATGGGAATACGGGAGATCGCCCCAGCTGAAAGATGCAAACAACCTTGAGCTTTTTGTCATAAATGTGGAGCTAATTATGGCTATGAGGCTAATCATTGTGTAATCACGACACCCACAAAATTAGTTAACCATGAATTTGCAAGGAGAGTATGCGAAGTCTGCGGTAAAGTTATTTTTATTCTATGACTAGCCCGAGATCTGCCTTCCACGTAATATTCATTGCCTAGGTATCTAGCGAAATGAGCTGGAACATGAAGGTCACAATCATGAGAAAGCCCGGAGCAATTCCCTACTCAGGTTAATAGGTGGATTTCTCTTTCGTATAGAGTAAGCCCTAACAAGGTTTATATTATATGTAGCTAGGTGATTCGGTAAAATGGACAATTAATATAAAAACCAAAATGGGTGGATGATTCTGGGAGAGGTCTCTGATTGCCTTACATAAGAGATTCAGCGAGGAATAAATTGCGCAAATGTTCCCATATCATCTTGTTGATATATGGTTTGTGTCGCAGTTCAAACCATTAGAAAAGAGAGAAGAGCCAGTGGATTGCGAAAAAGTTTGAGAAAATGGAGCCATCTCTCGATTCCGAATCTTCCCAAACGGTAAACGCCTCGCATGCCGAGGTCTACCAAACCCTCAGCACCATTTTCGACTTTAAGAATGAGGATGAGAGACTGTGGTGGCACAGCACAGCGCCTATGTTTGCTCAGATGCTGCAGTTATCGAACCGTTACGATCCCCATTCCCAGTACAAATTCCTTGGCCTCTATAAGAAATTCGTCATTCCATACTTACGAGACTATCCTATACGCGGTCGGTCGCGTTGGATGAGTATCCTGACACGATATGGGACACCCTTTGAATTGAGTCTCAATTGCTCGGACTCCGTTGTGAGATTTACCTATGAGCCCATCAACAGCCTTACGGGTACCGAACATGATCCATTCAACACTCACGCTATCTGGGATGCCCTGCACCAGCTGCTGCCTCTTCAGAGAAATATCAACCTTGAATGGTTCCGCCATTTCAAAAGGGATCTGACCCTCAGCACAGCAGAGTCAGCTTTGCTGGAAGTTGGGATGATTGGAAATCAGATCAGGACACAAAACAAGTTGGCTCTGGACCTCCAGCCTGATGGGGGCTTCGTGCTGAAGACATACATCTATCCGGCCCTGAAGTCCCTCGTCACAGGCAAGTCTATCCATGATCTCATATTTGAGTCCACATACGAGCTATCGAAGGCGTGTCCTGGAATATCCGCCCCATTATCCACATTGGAGGAATATATCCGCTCACGTGGGCCCAACAGCACGGCCTCGCCCCGTCTCATATCCTGCGATCTAGTGGACTCCTCACAGTCCCGCATCAAGATATACTTACTGGAACAGATGGTCTCATTACCTGCCGTGGAAGACCTATGGACCCTGGGAGGACGACGCAGAGATTCTTCCACGCTCGCGGGGCTCGAGCTTCTGCGTGAACTCTGGGGCCTCATCAACCTTCCCACAGGTCTGCGCGACTACCCCACTGGATACCTGCCCTTAGGCGCGGAAATTGACGAGCAGCTGCCATTGATGGTAAATTTTACCCTACACCAAAATGACCCGATTCCTGAGCCACAGGTGTATTTGACTACCTTTGGAATGAACGATAAAGCCGTGGCAAATTCATTAATCAGCTTCTTCGCACGGCATGGCTGGGACGAGATGGCTCGATCGTACGCAGAGCAGATCCGCTCATACTAGTATGCTTTTCTCCCTGATGCTTACTACAACCTTCCTCGACACTGACCGAATCTTTTCCTTTTGCACAGCCCGAATGCCGACCACAGCACAGTCAATAATATCCACGCCTATATCTCGTTCTCTTACCGGAAAGGGAGGCCTTATTTGAGTGTCTATCTGCAGTCGTTTGAGACGGGGGAATGGTCTGCCTTTAGGTATTTGCCCTATTTCCTGTCTACGTGTTAGGAATGGTTGTTCTGATCATATTGTAGCAAATTTCACTCAAAATGAAACTTGTGAGCAATGACTTGGTTGGATATAAAGTGTCGGAGTCAAGAGCCACTAATCTCAAAACTTTGTCTTGGCATTGTGGACTGTGGAGCTTAAAAGGATCTGTCGAATACTAAGGTTGCATACATGGTGGAAACAGGGGTATTTTACCCAGAAAATCATGTGACTACTGGTACCAAGCATACCATACGAAAGTGCATATTACAGTTAGTCATCTATGTCCGCACAGATTGATAAAAACGCGGGTTTCTGTCATTTTAGTTAGAGATTTCAATACATCTGATTTTGTCCATACGTTGTCGTACCGCCGGATTTCTGTCAGGATCAACCATAAGATGCGGGAAATCATTGCCTCTGGTGGAAGTGATGGTGGAGCAGGTTCCCCAAGCCGTATGCCGCGGTATCCCGAAATCTCCGTCACCTTTCTTTGCTAACATTTTGCAAACATTCAAGTATATTTCCAAGCTTGGCAGCTACATACTAGATAAATCAGGTGCAGGATGCACCGACTCTATTTAACTAGAGTTGGAGCCCATCAGCATCTCATACTCTGCTTCGCATCATCCCTATTTTCCCATCCTTGATTCCTCGATCATCGTCGTCAACTATGGCTCCTCCCATCAGAGTCGTCGTCGTCGTCAATTATGGAGTAGATATAAAATCCAACCAATTTCATCGCAATGAGAATGAATACAGTTGCATCCAGTATTTTAGTTTCCTCTATATCGATAACACCTTGGTATATCTCACATACATCAATATCAGTCGACAATCTATGTAGTGCCGTGATCTTGCCCCTGCCCAATAAGACTTATTCTATATCATCCTCACTCTTTCCATTCCAGACCAACCACGCGCCAACAATCAATGACTTCAAAATCGCCGCAGTCCACAAAGCCCCCATCATCCCCACTGCGCTATGAGCCCAGAGACCCCCCAAGACCACCCCAAACAACAAGCACAAGACTGCGCCAATCCGCCGTATCTCCTCAGCATGACCGACCACCTTCGTCGATAGGAAATCAGGATGTGAAAATAAATCGCAATAAGTACTAGTAAGAACAACACTAGTCAAGCCACCAAAGTTCAAAACACGACTCGTCACAGCCTGCCCACTACTCTGGAATGCGATGAGCGCCACCGGGACGAGGACCAACCAACTCAAGGGAGCATTTCGAGCCGGCCGATAAATCGTAACGATCAAAGCGGCAATGGAAACACACAAGGTTTGAGCAAGGAACGAGGCACAGAGCACCCATCTCCGTCGAGCCGGAAAGACACGGTGGAAGGTGGCGAAGCACAGCGAGCCTAGACAGAACCCCGCAATAGAGACTCCGGACTTAATCCAGCGATCGTCTTCTGTGCCAACGAGACCCAGGCCGAAATATACAGTGTTGCCGGTTTGCATGCTCACGAAGGAGCCCCATATGAGTACCGCTGAGCTGTCCAGGAGACCGGTGATGACGTAACAGAATAGCAGGACCAGGTCGCCGTGCGTAGGGTCGAGGTCGCTGCGCAGGTGTTGGGATACTCTGGATAATCTAGACGGTTTCGAGCGTATGTGGTCGCCCAACAGGGCATCTGTCTCGCCAGACATTGATGGTGAGGTGGTCGATGGATTGAAGTGGAGGGAAGTTGTGTATTTTCTATGGATCCCTTGGCGTAGGAACTCAAAAGCGATTTCGGCAAGGAATGAGACTGCGTCATCCCCTTTTTGGAGATTATACAAGCGCACTTAAATATTAATCGGGAAACCTGTTGGAGTAAACAGTTGGAGACGGGATATGCGATCGGAATATGCGGAACGTCGTGACGTCGATGCGGAGAACAACATTTTCGCAGTTTACACATTTACTACCTTGGAATTTCTTATCTTTTCCTTTGTGTAACTAGTTAGTTTTCAAGCTCAGCATGCAGCTTACACGCCTTCTGTTAAACCTGGGATATCTCCAGGCTACATGGGCTATCCCTGCCCCGGATCACAGCCTACAGAGGCTACTCCAAGTACCAGCCGGCCATCCCGCATCATTATTCGGTCAACAGCCTATTTCCGGACAGCCGCCTTTCTCTCCGGGACATCGCGACCCGTATGATCACAAGGTCGATTCTGTTGGTGATGGCCGACAGCCACTGCCGTTCCGCAATGGAGATGGTGCTACGGTGATGGGACCGCGGAATAGAGACCGCGAACGCCAGAACCCCGATCTTGTCCGTCCACCGAGTACCGACCATGGCAGTATGCCTAATATGCGATGGAGTTTTGCGGATTCACATATTCGGATCGAGGTATGGTAATTCTAATATGTGGTGTGCATCGTTGATCTAAACATCTGTGTATAGGAAGGCGGATGGACGCGACAAACGACTATCCGCGAGCTACCCACTAGCCGTGAACTCGCGGGTGTGAATATGCGTCTAGATAAAGGGGTCATCCGCGAACTGCATTGGCACACGGAAGCTGAATGGGCGTATGTGCTTGCTGGAAAAGTACGAGTCACTGCCCTGGACTTAGAAGGTGCCACTTTTATGGACGACTTGGAGGCAGGAGATCTGTGGTATTTCCCTGCTGGACATCCACATTCGCTCCAGGGTCTAGGTGAAAATGGCACCGAGTTCCTTCTGATCTTTGATGATGGCAACTTCTCCGAAGAGTCCACCTTCGTTTTGACTGATTGGTTGGGTATGTTAACTTGTCCATGTCTCAACCTATAATATACAAATACTAACCTTGGTCTCCAGCTCACACACCCCAAGGCAGTTCTAGCAGAGAACTTCCGGATGTCACCAGAACAATTCGACAATATCCCGACATCCGAGAAGTACATATTCCAAGGCTCAAACCCGGGTAGCATTGACCAGGAAAAACCACCCACCTTCAAGAAGTCAAAGATAAACTTCACACACCATATGCACGCCCAAAAACCCCTTGAAACCAGCGGCGGTCGTGTCCGTATTACTGACTCCACCAACTTCCCAATTTCCAAAACAGTAGCAGCCGCCCATCTGGAGATTTCCCCGGGCGCACTACGCGAGATGCACTGGCACCCCAACGCGGACGAATGGACATATTTCAAGAAAGGTCGTGCGCGAGTTACGATATTTGCCGCGGAAGGAAACGCCAGAACATTCAACTACATGGCGGGTGATGTGGGCATCGTACCACGGAATATGGGCCACTTCATTGAGAACCTGAGTGACGATGAGCCGCTGGAGGTTTTGGAAATCTTCCGCGCGGATCGATTCCGGGATTTCTCTCTGTTCCAGTGGCTTGGTAGCTCACCTCGTCGAATGATTGCTGAGAACGTATTTCCCGACGATGCTAAGGCTGCAGAGACATTTTTGAAAAAGATCGAAGATGCCGAAAAGGATCCTATCAAGGATACGATCTGATTGCCATTTACATAGCTTGATGCCGGGATTCGGGGTTTTGCAGAAACATGAGGAAATCTGGGCTATTTGAATGTATGACATGGCAGGGTGATGATGAAGTTGCGGGCAGATGATAAGAGAGTTCTGCTTCGTATTTACTTCAAAACTCACGATGTATGACATTGCATGCCGAATAATCTAATTATGAAATTCGGACCTTGGAAGTGTCCACTGAGGTCACCAGTAGGAAGATTAGACTTATATGTACAAGAATAATGGGCTGCTTTTGCTGCCTTGTGATGTCAATTTATATCGGTCCAAGGACTTTGAGTTCGCGCAAATAACAAAAGTTTTCGAAAGGGGTCATCCTTGGGCCAGCTCCGCCGCAACCACAGCTTCCTTCCAGCCAATCCCATAATACACCAAGAAAGCAGATTCCCCTTAGGTGGCACGGCTTTATTCTTCTTAAAACATCAGCACAATAGCTTCGATGTCGAGTAAAATGCTGCCTCCATGTGCAAGGGTGTTTCTGTCTTGGACAAGGTCCTGGTTCCGACGTCGTCCCGTCCATTGATCTAACACATCCTGTCGAAGAATCAATGCTGGATTAACCAGGCGATCTGATTCGGCCATCCTTTTCTCAAATGCTTACGGAAGAGGGTGCCCTATCGCGGCCTCACGCTTCCTAGAAACGTTTAGCTATAGCCCCCTCCCCCCACTGGGCCCCCTCCCCCCACTAAAGCCCCACTACCTCCACTCATAACCCCTGAACGTACCTAAACCCTTCGATATAACCAACCTTCCCACCTTCGCCCTTTTTCTTCTTGTTTCCTCTCTCAAACACTCTCTTCATTATGCGGCAAGAAATTGCTCCATGGGGCGGGCTAGCTGTTGAACAATTTTTGATCGTACGTTCCATTATGTCTTTGAATCCTTGGAACTCGTTAACACTTTTCAACAGAGAAATTGGGATCCAGCCTCATCAGAATCACCCACTGAGCAACGCGTTCGGCTTATTTACGGATTCCTTGACTTGGACGAGATCCCCGATGAATTGAATATGGAATTACATGAAATCTCGCCGTCTCGACAGCCAACCTCAGAAGAAATAGAGAAAATTCTTCGGCTTTGGAGACCCGATAACCTTCGTTGGAAGGCTCAGTGGATGCATCATGGCGATAGCATACCTGTCCTTCTCCGAACCCACTACAGCTCCGACCGAGAAGACGACGAGACACTAAAAGCATGGACAGATGAAGAGACGTTCGAAGACGCCTCAGACTGGGCATGCCTCAACGACAAGAATATCTTCAATTTCGGCGATGACTGGCGGCGGATATTCGAGATCCTACCCGAGGTTGCTGGCCCAGTGCCACCAAGTGAGCAACGGTATACATCTCCCGATAGTTTACAGTTGTTTCGCAAGAAGTTTAAGGAGAATATCTCTAGCGTGAAGCAGAATTTCCCAGATGATTGGAAAGAAAAAGAAAGCCGGGATAAGATTATTGAGGATCACGGGAGTAGCCTACATAGGATCGTTACCGAGGTCTATCTTCTCATCGCGGATAAGGAAGCCTTCCAAACTAAGCAACTTCGGCTGCTCTATTTGGATGGTAAACGCAATATCGTCCGAGAGGCTCGTGTCGACCCCAATATTTGGCAGATGTACGACATTATCATGCAGCATTATACGAACCCCCTTGATCCTTATGAGTTTTCCACTGTTGGCGAAAAGTATCGGGTCGATGGGGAATTGGGAAAGGACTTGTATCAGTTGTCTGAGGAAGACCTTGGACCACATGGAGGGGTGGCTAGCTAAATCGGGACCGAACTTATCTCGAATAGCCTTGGAACAATCCTTAAGGATACAATATTCTGGTAGGTTGTCAGGGTCAAGAATGACCTAACCAAGCATGAGTTGAGGATTCAGGTTCTTCAGCTTGAGTGAGCCCTTCAGCAGTAAATGTCAGTACGGGAATGTTACCAGGCAAAAGGCTCGTCTAGTAGCCAGGGTGTTTCAGCAAGAAGAGGGCCTTGATTATGAGGAGACGTTTGCATCCGTGGTCAAGTCCGCTTCAAACCGCATCTTGCTCGCGTTGGTAGCGATTTGCCATTAGCACATCCACCAGGGGGATGTCAAGACGGCTTTCCTAAACAGCGGCTTGGACAAGCCAGTCTACATTAAACCCGCCAGTGATATACAATTAACTCGTGGATGCTGTTTGCTGCTTCTGAAGGCCCTTTATAGTTTAAAGCAATCACCTCGGGCGTGGTATCAGAAACTCCGGGACACCCTTGTCCGCTGGGGTTGGCAAATGTCCGCCTACGATCCATGGGTTTTTATCAATGATACGACCGGGCTCATCCTCAGACGACATAAACGTGATGGGCAAAATCATTCAGACAATCCTTGATTTCAAGGCACAGTTTTAGAAGGAATTTCCGATATCCGACGAGGGGGAGTGGTCCTGGTATTTAGGAATGCACATTGAGCAGAAGCCTGGAGAAATCCATCTCCATCAAAAACAATATGTCGACCAAATGGTCAACAAATATGGCTTCAAAGATGCAGTCCCTACCAAGACCCCCCTTGATGCGAAGATCAAGCTAGCGAAACAGGGCGACTACGTTACCAACACCAAATTCCGCAAAGAATATCAGTCGAAGGTAGGATCGCTCAATTTTAGCAGCAATCAGACAAGACCGGATATTGCTTTTGCTACCGGATATGTCGCTCGATACGCATCCAACCCAAACCGCGCCCATATGGATGCCGTGGATCGCATTTTTACATATCTGAAGAGCAACGCCAGAAGGGAATCGTCTATTCAGACAAACACGGTCTTCAGCTGCGGGGTTTCGTCGACACCAACTTTGCCGGATGTGAGGACTCGCGCAAGTCAACAACTGGATGGGTGTTCACGCTTGCTGGAAGCCCATATCGTAGTCATCCCAGAGACAAAATAACAGCGCAGGTATAGCTTAGCGTTTCTGTCGGCCACAAAGTCTCCAACCCATTAGTTCGGCATCTGTTAAAACACTTCACAACTTCATTATCACCAGAGGAAAATTCCATCTCCTCTTGTATCGAGCTTCTCTCTCTCCTGCAAAGCTCTGAGCGTCTCTTTCATCCGGGATGCCGCAAAATTGCAGTACTCATCCGTCCCGGGAGTAGGGCCAGCCTCCGTCTTCTTGAGATCTGCTTTTAGCCAAGGTACTTCTATTGTCCCCTGCAAGCTGGTAACCGCGTAACGAAGTCGAGCGATAGCTTCATCATCATATCCACCACCCAGAATGACTGCCTTGGGGGGTCGAGAATAACTCTTGGAACCCAAGCCACTTTCGTCTGATAATGGCAAGGACCCAGATAGGATAGGAGGAAGGTTGTGTACACCGTCCTCGATACTCGTTATGAAATGGATTACTTATATTTCGTAAGCTATCAAGCCAGACCACAGCACAAAATGTCGCGGATTACTGCTGACATACCTTCGTATTCAGGTTTCAGCTCTTCGATAATACGAGAGCCCACCTTTTCAAGTCGTCCGCAGAGAACAACCGGAAGAGACTCATGGCTTGCCATTGTATTGACTTATCAATCACGATATTTTATCGCCGGACTGGATAGGTGAATAAGCCGGTTTACTTGGAAAATTATCCATTTATATCTACTAGGACCATGTATTATTCGAGGGAAATTCTGAGTAATCCATCAGCCATTAGTAATGATAACCATTGGAGAGGCTTTTGCGGCACTGTAAACCTTAACCCCACTTTAATTTCTAAGCATACCCGTTTAACAAGGTTTCCCGGCTTAGGGTCGGACATGTCGAAGTCCGACTACCGATTTTGGTCTACCAGACTGTGGAAGAGGTGGGAGTACAAGTATCTCAACAACCTCAACTCAGCTGAGAAGGTCGTAGTACTCTCCAACTTAGTTTCGCGTAACTCAACAAACCTTTTACAATGCCTCTTCCCACTACTATTATCTTCGGCCCCACAGGCCACGTCGGCTCTGCCGCTGCCCGCACCGCTCAGCAGCTTGGCGCCAAGGTGGTTCTCGCTATGCGCGATCCTCAAAAGCCCATCAAAGGCCTCAGTTACGATCAAGAGAAGGAGGGAGGCTTCGAACGGGTCCAGGCCGACCTCACCAAGCCGGAAACCATCGGACATGCTGTGCGCACGACCGGAGCCAAGCATGCCTTCATATATCTCGCGTTCGGCACGACGGACCACATGAGAAGCACCATAGAGGCACTGAAGGCTGGCGGCATTGAGTTTGTCGTCTTCCTGAGCAGCATCAGTGTCGAAGGCGATATCAGGGAGATTCCACCCGCAGACTTCATATCATATGCTCATGCACAGATTGAGGTCAACCTCGACGAGGTCTTTGGCACCGATGGCTATATTGCGATTCGACCGGCGTACTTCAACACCAACGCGGGCGGGTGGGCGGGTATGATCCGTGAAGGGGAGGTTAAGATTGCGTATCCGGACGCTAAGCTTGACTGGATCTCGCCCGAAGATATTGGCAAGGCGGCTGGTACGCTGCTTGTCCAAGGGATACAGGCTACGAAAGGCGCTGAACAGCGTAACTCTATTCCCCTTTGTGGACCGAAGCTTGTGTCTCAGAGAGACGCTGTGGGTATATTTGGCAGGGCAGTTGGTAAAGATGTCAAGGTCACCGAGCTGGATGAGAAGGACGGTGTGAAAAACATGTTGGAGAATGGTGTGCCGGAGTTTGTGGCTGGGCCGCTGATGACGATGTTGAGAGCGTGGTACAGAGACGAGGAGGGTCTTGGCCCGTTCGAAGGAGAGGCGTACGAGAAGGCAGCCGCCAACCTTCGGAAGTACGCCGGAACGGTGACGAGCTTGGAGGAGTGGGCCGAGGCAAACAAGGGAATATTCAGTGTTTGAGCAGCACTATGAATATCACCGCCGACCTTATGGCCCTAAAGGTTGAAGTGCGGTGAAGATAGTGACAAGACCAGCTTTACCCGCTACCCGGCCACGGAAATTATGATATCGTTGCTTTGCCGTACCTTTGCATACATTGGATTTGAGAATGTTCAACAGTAGGTGAGCGACGAGATTCAGAGGCGGAGACTCAAATGAGATCAGTTCCTTTCCATATTCGATATCTTATAATGAGTTACACAAATCGATTATTTCTTTTTTTTGTGTGTACCATAGCCTTGCACGTGGGTTAGCTAGTGTTGTTCTATCTTTAAAATGGAGAATGGTATAGCGTTGAGACTGTCCCCTCACGGTAGAGAACCTGAGCAAGAGAGACTGAGATGGGATATTCAATGGCACCAAATTGATAAAAGGGCAGAGATAGCGAAGTTGTTAGGCTATACCTGACCTTGGCACTATCCACTTTCCATAAATATGCACGATAGATGAACTATGGTTTTCCTTTAATTTTCGGACTAGTTTTCCCACAAATATTATTTTCATTTTGATTTTGCCCAATAACGAAAGGGGATCAGACAAGATGTGATGATGATGAAGTCAGCGTAACCTTTACGTATAAATTTCAAGGTAGGTGACCGGGTCAATCGGGTCGCTGTCATCCTTGTAGAGGGAGTACATTGGATCCTCCGTATCGAAGGGGTCCGTACGAACCTCCAAAACGAAGTTCGAATTGCCAGAACCTTCGAATACACCACGCAATGTTGCACAAGCTTGGACGAACCCATCAGTCTGTTCGTCACAATTGCCATCTTCACAATGGTACATGACGCAAACGCTCTGCAAATCCAGGCCGAGTGCCTGGCAGTTCAATGATCTGCGGATGTTGTCCCGAAGCTGTGCTACAGTAGCAAACACTCGGGGATCCCAAAGTAATAGGAATTTTGACCCCGGCACGGCCGTCTTTCGGCTCTTAGCTTTCTTAATAGCAAGGACCGTCTCCCCGTACTCCACAACCTCTGGGTTGTGCACCCAATATACCTCGACCTCAATATGTGGTAGTTGGTTACTCGAGAATGATAGGCGCGCACTGGATAGTTCAGGAAGCACGTGCTATATCACCGTCTGCATCCATATCGGGGCATGGGAATCCTTCACAATGCTACCGTTTTTCATGTCGTCGGCAGTCGCAAACCTGTTCTTCCAGTTTGCTTTATAAATGCCACCGGCGATGTATCAGAGCACTTCCCAACAACGGCTGTAGCATTCAAGCCCATTCTCCCCTTTTCCTGTCAATGGGCCAAGCTCAGGGGACGGGAAATGGTCCATGTTCTCTGGGAAGGACAGGGAAATGCCCTGTTTGTTGGATGCGTGCCGGTACAAAAGCTCTTCCTGTTCTGTTTGAGTTCGTGACAGATTCTCTGCAACGCTCATATTTTTGTATTGCTTGACGTGCAATACCATGTTCCAAAGACACCACGCCACGATTTTTCTTTTTTGGGAGATGCGCTGCTGTGGAGAGTGGGAGGACGCGTTAGACAGGATCACCTAGGCTCCAAGGTAATCTTACCATAATGCCTATAAGAATAAGCTCCCGTAACCCACTCCAATGCGTCCCTTTGGACTTCCCCAATTTCTTGTCGCTTCACTTCAGATATCTCTCACTTCTGAAATAACTTTAGTAACTGCACATGTACCTTGTTAAGCTTCAATCTGGCTCACCAGAATGGTTAAGGGAGGAAACGAAGGGTGTAGCTCAGCTCGAGGCCAGAAGGAGCGTTTTAGGACCCGTAAACCAGGTCCCCGATTAGGCAAGGAAGTGGTGATCTAGAGAAGAGCGAAGCGTTAGTAAAGGTAATCAAAAGAGGCAAAGTCAAGGCTAGGTGACTCACTTGTGGTTGACAGTGTTGCCCACGGACAGTACTGTCAGGGACTTAGGGTCGTCGTGGGCTAGAGAATATCACAGGGTCAGTTGCCGACAGAGGAGAAGGTTTGAGATATCATGAACTGACATATAACCAGGGAGAAATGGTGTTCAAGAAGAACAAGGAAGATGTTGAAGGGAAGCCGTGAATGAAGAAGGATAAATATGTGGATGTTGTGGAGGGGAAAGTGATTGGAGAGTAAGGTAACCTGATACTATTATGGGTTGTTCTTCTCCAAGGTCACCATAACGGAAGGTACGTAGTTTGTCACTTCCGAATGACTACCTGACATTACACAAGACATCCCAGAAATCCTCCGATATAAAACCCCCTCAGGTCCCAGTCACGGTCATCCCAAATTCCCAGAACTTGCATCCGAGCCATCATCACCATAATACTACCAGACATGTCTTCAAAACCAACTCCTAAGGAATCAAGTGACCATTTGGAGCAGCGCAAGACTCTGATTGCGCTCGACACTGCCATCGAGGCTCTTGGAGTCCATACACATGAGGCGTCGCAACTCGATGAATTGAACATCAAGCGCCAGCCTATGACTCTCAACACAAACTCAGACCTTAAGCCCCGCTTCTTTGCGCCGAAGCCAAACCTCCCTCAACCTACCGACGAACTGACCCATGAACGTTCGAGTATCTAGAAGACAAAGATAATTTTACAGACCCCACCTCTCGAGCATATCACTTTGAAAAGGATTGGAGTTCTTATGCTTTATCAGAGACAAAGTTCGCATATCAAAACGAGCTATGGCGTTCGATGAGGTGAGCATTATCTATTATCATTCTGACATATGTTGTCCTATCGGTTCATATTGTCGAACGCTACTCGACAGTATTTGCGATTACAATCCTTTCAAGCATCTGTACAAGTATGACAAGCCCGATTTCGGCGTTTTCAGGACCATGGACGTCCCCGGAGAAGAATTCCCACATATGAAAGCAGTCATATACCACGGTTCGGAGACAGAGGGCAGAAGATTGTGCCGTGGAGAGCTACTGATTATAGCCTTACGAGTTCTCTGACCAGACAAGCACGTCCATGGTTTCCAAGGGCTTCGCGGAGTGGTATCTCGGAGACTCAGAGGGAGACACGCTCTAGATTGTGAATTCTTTTCTTTGAGTTGGGAAGGTGTTGAATGGGTTATGAATTGGTCTTTGGTCATACTCGGCTATGTTTTGATTCCGTCGGAGCTGGTTTCTTACGTTATTGATTCATATGACGTACTTATGTGTTTGTTGTTTTCAATGAAACAACTTCAAACTTTGTAAGTGTATCTCATGCGCCCTTGCAATATTAGATCCGACAGCCTTTTGTATTCGGAACACTGCTCAACCACTCAGCCATATATACATCCCTAAGAACACAGTCGACTCGAACGCGAGAACAAACCTCAAACTTGATTGGAAAGTCCGATTGGAGTGGAGGTTTACCACCGTGATAGTAACATTGAATATTGAAGCCGTAGGTGAAGGTTTCAAACGGATCTCGGGATGATCTATCTTGCACTTTCAATAACTTCATTATAAGTAGAATGGAAAGGAAAAACATGGTATCTGCTACAGCTCCATACCTTGGTACACAGGGTTTTATGTTATGGTCCGATTACGAGGGCGCTGAGTAGGCAAAAACAGTCATGGTGCATGACGTACACTACAAGAATAGGCAAGCACTAGGGATAAAAATTATTGATTGAATCTCATCGAGAAAGTCAGAAAGAGGAACCGAAGAACATATGGTCGGCATCCATCGCCCTTTTCTCAGTCCTTCTGTTCCAGCCAAACACCAGTTGAAGGTTTCTTACTCAGAGTCTTCGTCGGGTTGAACAAGGGCCTCCAGGATTTTCTTTCCCTCCTCAGCGTCATCTTGTTCCCAAGGCTTCAGGCCATAGCTTTGCATGAAGTGTGTCCAGCCGCCGTAGGATATAACAATGGCCCGCTCGGCGGGGGTAAGAGGCGGTTCTATTACAGTTGAATGTCAGTCACTTTGTATGGAATGGAACAACTGGAAATGAACGTACGAAGTGCGTCAGTGGCTGGCATTTTGGTGATGGATGAGAGTCTTCACTTTGCTCGTAGAGTCCAAGCAGGGGGTGCCTAGTCCAGGTGCAGGTGTTAGCTATTGGAAATGTGCCAAGATATATCAAGAAAGCTCACGATAAAATGGCTTGAGCCTTCGCGTGTGTCGAATGGGAAAATTGTGAAGAAGTGAGAATGGTAAAGCCAGAAAGTGTGGGGTCAACAAACCGATGAAATGTGGGAAGGTGCCGGCGACACCGTGACTATATGCCCAGGTGCCTATCATAAGCTACCGATGATCAATCAACCTTGGAATCAATTAGATACTATCGTAATCACCATTAATCCACCCTAATTCATAAGCGTATATTTAGCATGAATTTACAATTTACCTCAGATTGTGCAGCCAGTTTGACCCAAGTATCATTATTCTTCAGCGTCGAGCCTTATGAAGAGCCTAGGTCAAGTCAACTCCAACTCCTCATCGCGGAAACCTAACAGTCCCGAACACCTTGCGTATACCTATATCGGCACACAAGTGTAGTCGGCCGCATATGCGCCCTCTGTTCCTAACGACGAAGGAATTGAATGCGAAGGAAATAAATTGACACGGTAAGCTTCTAAATACATACGCCGCATGCCTGTGACATTTCTAGGAACTAGGGTTGGGGCTGTTGGGAATCGAAAATTCTCATAGGCACATTTCGTGGGGACTAGAAATGGATAACGGTGTTATTCTCCTGGCGGACGAATTGCAGGAAGTCATCCAAATCATTGTTCTTCGGCGTCCCAACGACGAAAACCGCGGGTTTCCCGTACGGTGCGGAGACGCGTGCAGTCTTGCCACCGTGGTACTTCTTGCCAGACCAAACGTGGGTGAAAATTTGATTCTTGCCGGGGAAGTAAACTTTCACGCTAGTGCGGCCGGGGTCCAGCACCGGTGCGACGTACAAATCAGAGCCGAGATAGAAGCTCTGGTAGCTTATTGCCTTGGCGACCTGGTCATCCGGGTGGTAAACGACGGGCATGCGAAGTAAAGGCCAGCCTAAGGTCTTGCTTTCGGTTTCCAAGATGCGGCGACGGTATTTCGCAAGACTGGCAAACATGCGCGCATTGTAACCGAACCATGAGTAGGTAGTTGAGTTGTTGTAGAATTGCGCGTTGACCTGGGGGACGTTGCCCTCGTGAGTACGGAAAACTACACTGGACACGGCAGCAAGTTCGCCCCATCGACCGAGCAATTCAGAAGAGCGGTTCACAACACCGTTATTATCCCAAGTAGTGGTATATCCACCAATCTCCATGTGGCCGTGAGCGTAGCCTGACAGACCCATGTGGCCTATGACGGTTACGGCAGCCTTGATGCCATCGTTGACGCCCCAATTTGTGTTTTGATCGCCTGCCCAGTATAGATTCATGTGCCGGTTTGCCGCCATAGATGATGAGCGGTGGAACAGGATGGCGTCTGAGAATGAAGACACATTCTTTCCAATCCACTGGTGGAGAGCAGCCCACTCGCGCGGATAGGCATTGTGGTAGAAGAAGGGATCAATGCTCCTGTTAGCGAACTGAGTGTCCGGATAGATAGGGGTGTATTCGCCAAAATCAGTCATAAATCCAGAGATATTGGCGCTCCAAACTTGATCCAGCATGACCTCCTTGAACCAGGATCGTCCAGCATAGTTGGTAAGATCAAGGATACCAGCTTCAAGGCCGGGGCCACTGGAAATAACAGATGTGCTATTAGTAGTCGAGTTCTGAATCATGTAACGACCCCGACTGGCCTCGTCGTAAAGGTTGGTGCGGTAGCCATTAGGCTTCGTGCTGACGTTTGCCAAAAATGGGTTGATGTATGCCAGAGTACGAACATTGTGCTGATCCCGCAGAGACTGCACGAACTCCTTCCATGTCGGGTAAAGTGTGGTATCAGATTCCCAGTTCCACCAAAGACGAGAGACATTCAGCGACATGTAGGACACGCTCTGCGAGTGTGTACCAGACCAATCCTGAAGCCAGACTGCAGCAATGGGACATTCAAGTTCAAGTCCTTGTTTGACAATCCTGTTCACCTTGGTCTGTCCGCCTTGAATAGCAAGCACGGCCCCGCTGTCAACCCACTCGGGCAACGCGACCATCTTGCCGGTATAATCGGTAAGCATGGAAATACCGTTAAGCATGTTCTCGGCTTGCATGAAGTAGCCGTTGACACTCATGGCATCATATCGCACGGTAACAGCAGTAGGATCGGTGAAATCGAATGTGGTGTAGGCAGAGCTCTCTTGTGTCAGGTGGAAGACCCGAGCTTTCGAGCTGATATACTGCGGTATGGCGGTGTAGGTTGTGAACTGATCTCCGCCGGCGAAGAAACTATCCTCGTTTTCAAGACGAGTTGTGGGCTGGTCACCACGACCAACACCTTGCTCGCGCGAGAATATGGGGACAGTCTGGTTTTTGAAAGAGGCGAACGATCCCTGGGCACCGAGTCCGTAGAAATCCTCAGATGGCGAAGAGCGGTATGTCAGGAACAGCTTCGTTGCCGCATTCGACGAAGCTCCAGGGTCGACATTGATGCTAAAAGCAACGCGGTCGGGGAACTGGGATGGGACCCAGAACGCGACAGAGAAATGAGGAGTGGTGTCACCGCAGCCGGTGAGCTGACCCCGAATAACTGCAGCATGATCATTCTCACTGCCGTGCCATGACTGGGCAGCAACATCGCTAATTTTCTGGCCGGTACACTTGTTTTGGTCTACTTCATTGATCTTGAAGTTACCATTGGCGGCGATTACCTCGTCATCTCCTGCGCTGGCACTGAGGAATGACTGGCCTGGCACAGTCTCCCAAATGGATCGACCACGGTGAGTAATAGACAATTGGTTGGTACTCTCGGTCACGGTGAGTTGAAAGCCATTTCCTAGGTTCCATGGGGTGTGAACCGCGGCACACGAGGCTGCGAGCGAGGCCCAAAGCCAAAACCCGGGGGTGCGCATCTTGGGGTGAGATTTTGATCGGGGTGAAAAGTGTCCATGTGGTGGAAGCCGAGCTTATAAAGCTGCGCAGTCTCCGTGCCATGGTCTGCAGAGTCTTTAGATGACATCTGAGGAAATTCTGTCCCACTTAGTGCAGTTGCAGCAATTGTTATCCGTCGGCGGTCTGTAGATTTGGGCCAATTAACGTTACTACCGTCCATTCTTCTAATGATGATCGGCCAATTTCAATCCCTTCGTTGGCCATGCTAAAAGCTGACGGAGAAATAGGCTCCACAGCCGACAGCCCGTCGGCTAATCGCGTAGCCCACCTTCGGCAACGAACATTGCAACGCATACCCCCGTGGTGAGATAAACTTCACGGATCATATTAGCCTCGGATGGTCGATAAATCAACCCAAGATATCTGCCATTGCACCTGCATACTGTGACATGTAGATATCGTTACTCCCGAGGGTGATTGGAAAAGAAAGGAACGGCTCGGCCCCGGGATACCCGGCCTCTGGGGGGAAGTGGAGCCGACTCCACACCTGCATGCTAGAATCACGTCTTAAACGCTAAAATGGTATATCGTACGGTCATTTTGCCTCGGAACAATGAGAAGGTTGATATACGCAGTAGTTGACTAATTCATGTATGCTATGGATTGCGCCTCTTGTTGGGTCACCTGGTCACATCTCTCATGCATTCCTCTTGGGCACCCTGACAAGCCGATGTGCCAGAGCACCATCATCCAATTTGAGAACCGTTTGCTCCCACTTGAATCCTTGGATTCTAGGGAGAAGCTTGATCCAGACATAATAGTAGACTCCGCAAAGCCCGATACTGTATTGATAGGTCGTCAAGTCAGCGATATATATCAAGGAGAATTAACCGAGAAAGAAGCAACTTACATTCCAAGAGCAACCGCGCAATATGTTGCATACCAGAAGCTCACATCGCCTCCATTGGCCCCAGTACTGGGCGGATACCACGGCATCACGACCATATATAGGTTAGAAAGAATTGCAAATGCCACTGTAACGTGCCAGGCCTTGTAGTCCGGTGGCGGGAGATTGAGGCGCGCACGACGAATTCGTGTGACCACTAGGCCTATTGTGAGTACCGAACCAAAGAAACTCGATGCGTAGACTCCAAGATCCACGACTATTTCCCAAAATTAGTCTTTTTTTAATTCCCGCGTAGTCATCACCCAGCAGGTCAGAAAGGAGACAAGGACGTACCGAAACTGAATGCATCACCAGCAGGCGGCGCCAGGATCATTATTACCGTGAAGCTCCATTTCACAAAGTAGGGACCGAGCGGTGTTCCAAACGGTCTCGTTGAAGTCCAAAATGAAGTGAAAGGCAAAACACCTTGTCTATATCCAACCGACGGGTTAGGAACACTTCCAAAATGTACACAATGTTTCACCACTAACCTTCCACATTCCCTCAGCATACGGGACTGTCCAATAAGCACGGCAAGGAGATTTCCAAAAGCACTCATGCAAATGAGGAAATTCAATGCCTTAGACGCACCACCAGTTCCAAATACCTTCTCGAAAAAAACGCCAGCGGCAACGACTTTCGACTTTAGAATTTCCTCCTTAGTCGCAGCGCTAAAATAGGCAATGTTTGCCAGGATATATAAAACTGCCGTTACTCCCAATGAGAGCGGAGCACTCCACTTCAAGGTTTTAGTGGGATTCTACTACTTATTAGCATAAGAGTTGTGACGATCATAGGAAGTACATACCCGGACTTCATTGACAACATTGAAAGCATTCTCATAGCCCGCAAAAGAGAACCAGACCTTGGTCAATGCATTGGTTGCTCCGTAGGCTGTCGCGCCGCTAGTACCCTCAAAGGCATTCCTAAAATTTGCTTTGGGGTCTTTGACTGAGGTATGGCCTCCAAGAACCACCAAGCCAGTTATCGCGATGCTAAGTTTGAGTTTGAGTCAGCTTTGCCGATTGAATATCTCTGCCTTGCAAGGATATCGCGGGTTGGCACCTACAAAATCAATGTAACGAGCTTGACCAGCCCAATGGCATTTGCCAGCCTCAAAGACCATCTGGTATGAAACGCTAGAACTGTGCCAATTTCATCAGCACATATCACACAGAAACAAGAATTACAACTCACCCAGTACTGCGACAGTATAGCAAGCCACAGCGACTCCCTTCAACTTCCATGGAGTAACTTCCGAACCCGCCAGTTTGAAGAGATACTGGGCCAGTACTAGATAAAGTCAGTACATCGTCACTTCACCATACACCAGCGAAGAAATCATACCAACGGCATTGCTGCTGCTAAACGAGAAAAGCACCGTCTGCATCGCAAAGACAGTAGGGAAGAAGTACTTGGGTCGGGGATAAGACTGTTCCAAGTAGACAACCTCCGAACCAGACCGACTGGGGAAAGACGATGCGAATTCCATGTAGACAGATAGAGAGCTTGATGCCATCAAATATCCAATGACCCAATAGATCAGCGAAAGACCAACCGAGCCGGCACCCTTGAGGACAGTCGATGCTATTGTATGTCAGTATATCTTCCAACCCAAACTCTGTTGGGGTACACGTACGCGTTGAAAAGACTCCCGTCCCGATCATCTTACTCAAATTCAAGAAAATCACAGTAACCCAACCGACCGAATACCCCAGCGGGGAATTAACCTCAACGGGCGCTCCCGATGCCTCTTGGTATGTGGCCTTGGAGGTGTTCCCACCGACTTCGGTGGTATATTTCAGGCTATCATTGTCGCTGCTGTCATACTGGGGGACTGACTCGGCATATTCCCGTACGGGAGATGGGAGACCCATTGTGGCAGGCAGGGGAGAAAGTTAAAGGGAATGAGATTCTTCGTGAAACACATGGCGCGACATCGCCATATACATATACTGTTGTTCAACTCGGACCCCCCCCACAATAACTGGGGCGCGGTCAGGGGTGCGGCAGGCCTCATCGGAAACTACTATGATGATGTGATAAGACGGAATGTCCGAAGGGAATTCTGGCCCTTGTGGCGTTCAAGTTAAATTCTAGCTTCGGTTAGTATTGCCCTGATGCGCGCTCTAGTCCTTGTTGGGAATTGTGCATGCTAACTTCCAGCGGACATCATGGGAATATGCTATCGCTAGGTTTCAATGAGAAAGCGTTGGAGTAATTTGCGACCAGTTAGAAACTTGATGGGGTTGAACTCTATCAATGGCCAAGGAATTGTGTGTTCATTGCGAGGCGGCATGTACTATGGCGCAATACTTTGCAACAGATCATGAGAATGAGGTGATGCAAAATCAATGAGGGGTTGGGAAAATCATTGGCAGCTCCAATTATACATTTGAATAAAACGCAAAGCGACATGGGTATGCTGAAGGATCAAGCTAGCAGGGAATTTGTGGCGATTGATGAATCCCGCAGCAAGCGAATGGATATAAGTAGGAAATCGATCTTGGAACAAAGTACTAGACCGACAGATTCTTACCCAAGATCTATCGCAACATAAGCCGACCGTTTAATTGGTTCGAATCCATGATAGCCATCTCCAGTTGGACTCTTCAGTCTTGGTCCCATTTCTCGGGTTCTTTTTGGATGTACTCCTAGTATCAAGTTTCCCATAAGGGGCGACTTCCCCAGGAAGTGGGCGTAGCACTCATCTCAAACTCGATTCTTGCGGCATGCACAAGCTGGCTGTGCTTCAAAATCGCGTCATTGATACGCTTCCCATCAACCTTCAAACCGGCAACATACGGCTTCGTGGATGCCCCCGGAGCGCTAATTTCAAGCCTCTTCCCTCTGCCATTGGTAACTCCGCCTGTGCTTGCGCCACTAGGCAATTGGATGAAAACCTCCTCAAAGAACGGTGTCCCGATAACATATTCATCACTGGCAGGGTTGACGGGATAGAATCCCAACGCGGAGAAGACATACCAAGCACTCATCTGTCCCAAGTCCTCATTTCCACTCAGTCCCCCACTGGTCGCGTTGTAGTTCTGCCAAGCAATGTCCCTGATTATCTCAGCTGCTTGGTTGGGATAACCGAGAGCAGAATACAAATACGGTACATGGTGACTTGGTTCGTTGGTATGGTCATTGTGACCACCTTGGAAATGTGCATCCAACTTATCGCGGAAGGCTTGACGGTTACCAAAAAGTCCAGCCAGTCCTTTCACGTCATGCATCACATCAAACGTGTAGATCCAGTCATCACCTTCGGTCCATCCAAAGGTGTTCTTAGCCCAGGTCCCGTTCGCGTTGCGGGACTGCATAAACTGAGTTTCGTTGTTCCAAAGGTACGCGTAGTTTCCGCTTCGCTTCTTGAGGGCTTCCACGGTGGCATTGCCCTCTCCCGCATGGACAGCAACAATTGAACAGGCGTAATCATTGAATGCATAGTCCAATGTGCGGCTACCGGCCTCAGCCCAGCCGTCATTGGACACCCAGCCCTGCTTCATGTATGATGTGAGTCCGGCGCGGGCTTCATATGAAGTGCCGGGCTCACGGTCATAGTACAGAGTATCAGTATCGTGATCAGGCGGAGTATATGCATCCTTCTTGACGGCTTCCCAAGCCATGTGAATATCGAAGCCCCTAAATCCTCGCTCTAGAGCGTTGGCAAGGACGACATCTGCATTCGTGGCGATCATAGTATTTGTCTCGACCAAGTTGGCCCACATCGGCAGCCAACCGGACCAATCAAAAATGCGTAGCAAGGAGCGCATCATACTGTTGACACGCTCCGGCGCGAAGAGAGTCAAGAGAGAGTGCTCGGCTCTGTATGTATCCCAGATTGACCACGACTGGTAGTATGAGTCGTTCTCAGTATGGACACTATCGGTGTAGCCCGAGTAGAAAACGCGCGGTGCACCATCCTGATTTGATGTTGGCTCGGAGAAGTCGTTTGGATACTGGAGCGCATGGAACAGGCCGGTATACCAGATAGTGCGGGGGTCGCTATGCGTATCGGTCTTGTTGATGCCCCTGATGGATACCCTACCCAACTTCTCAAGCCAGGCTGACTTCACTTTCTCAACGGTATCTTCGAATGTGTGCTCATCTGGAGTCTGGATTTCGAGGTTCTTTCTTGCCTGTGCAACGCTGACATACGAAACACCAGTGCGCACTTCGACGCGGGATGTCGAGTTAGCAAATTTCACATATGCACCAGTGAAATTCCCGTGTCGCTGAACTTCATCTTTTATGACTGAGCCTCCATTAGCCACACCAAATTCAGTAAATGGCTCAGAAAAGCGAGATACAAAGTAGCCCTTGAACGACGATGCTTTGTTCGGTCCGAGGAGGTATTCCTGACGCTCAGTGTTATAACCGTATATCTCCCGACTCTTCACATTAATATGAACTTCGCCTATCCAGTTGCGACGAGAAGCTTGAAGGAATACCCAAGGTTGGCCTTCGCCATCCACATTGGTAGGGCTGTGTTGGAAGTCAAATCGAAGATGGCCAACATGAGAATCTGCCGACATGGCAACCTGAAACCCATGAGCAAGCATTCACGGGGATCACAAAAAGAGTAGAAATACCTGGATCGACTGCTGATACTGATCACCATCTCCACTACGGAGCACAGACTCGGTGTGCCTTTTTCGTGTCCGCCCGTTGGCACCCTCCTTCACCTCATCCGGCACGGAACCCGTACCACCAGGAACAGGCCCATCACCTACAGCCTCGGCTGTCGCATTCCAGTCACGGTCCAAAAGTTGAGCAGCATCAACAAAGACCTCATAGACATATGGTGTACTCCTCTCGTCCTTCTTCCGGAACTGCAATCCCCGGTTCTGAAACAGCGGCTGAACTTCGCCAATTCCTGGTGTCAGTACAACCTGACCGGATTCGCCCATCCAAATAGCCGGCTGGTGCGTGGCTTGGAATCCATGGATGAGACGGTCGCTGTCGCCGTATGGAACTTGCGAGATGAAGTTCTCGCGGGTCTGCGGTGTCCAACGGGTCATGCCAAAGGGAGGGCTGACGGAGGGGATCATGCCGCCATTGCCATTTTGTGATGTTCCGTAGGTGCCAATGAGGGGGTTGACAAATTGGAGGACACCGGCATTCTCGTGGTAGGTTGTGTCTGTCTTTGTCTCTTTTGTTGGCTGGGAGTATGCACCGCCTGCAAGTCCTGCTAGGAGGACTGTGATCACGCCGAGCATGGTGATTGAGGAACGTTGGTAGGAGACAAGTTCTCCCCACATTGCACGGATCCCACTTCAGAGATCTGAGGCCTGAAAGTTGACTTGTCTATCGTGCAATGGTGAAGTTGACAATCCCAACCTCCTAAATGCGGGGTTCACTGGAAGGTAGTAGCGACATTCCTTTTCCATTGAATGTTTTTTTTTTTGAAGAACAACTATTTTTTAGACAACTATATCCCCTGGTTATTCATAGAAGGGTCCTCTGTACGATTTCCACTTTTTACCGTGTTCGTATATTGCACATATTAGAGTACTCCGTGTTATTATTTTCGGACATTATAACATTGACGGAGAATATCTGAAAAAGGACATTTGGTAAGACATCTAAAAAGATCATCAAAGTCCTTTTTACATATAAAGTCCCTTAAATGATCTTGAGCCCGATAAATCACATAAAACTTCTACCTAGGTACCTACGTACCTAGGTAGGTACGTCATTACCGGGGCAACCTTGGGCATCTGGTGGGGCACGGGCCGAGACCAGACAAGCAAAGCCCCACTCATTTTTTCGACCTTCACATCACTGTTTCAACAACTCAGTTGTCTCTTCAACTTTTGCGAGCGCGGAGCCTGCATAGAGCGCTCGTGTCTTGCCACTATTGAGCCACAATTTCGGCAAAGCAAACCCATCAGTACAGAACGATCGCGCCTCCCTCCGCCTGTATGCGATAGTGGGATTCATATGCTGAAGGCGCCTTCGACCTTTTCCAACAAACACCTATTATCCACGAGGTGGCTATCTACAATAAAAACAGGTCATGTCCCGTCGTAATAAACTAGGTCTCTCTAGAATTCGTGCGAAACGTACACGACCCAGTGATGAAAGCACTTGGGCCACTCCCAAACATGTTTCCCATGAGATTCGCAGATATCTAAGCAGTTATGCAAACAATATTGTTCAGTTTATTTTCGTTTTGTCAAGAGCGTATACCTAGGTACCTGACAGTGGTTATTTGATTGGGGAAATGAAGACGCCATGGACATGTCGTTCCTGATGCGCACTTGCAACTAAGTCGACCGAATACCTCTTATTATATTTAACCTCTAATTGGTATGCCTTTACTTATATTTTGCTTTTATTATTATGAAAACTAATAATGACTGGCTTAGAAGAAGTGGCAGTCTCGAGTTGAGTAGATGGTGTTTCGCTGGGGTGGGGACGGTCATCATGGTACATTCTATGGTAGGGCGCCATGGTGGATATCGAACGTGTGGAGATGAGCGGAAAGGGGAGTTAATAACTTGATCTTCAACAGGAAAAAGCTTGCTACTTAAAGAGGAAGGTTGACATGGACTAGCTGATTCAGTAAGCTTTGATCATAAAGACCTTTCGTGAAGTGAATTCAATCATGAATCTGCTATCTAAAAGCAAAGAGAAAGAAAGAAAGTGAATCAAAATGCAGAGTATCTCACATAATATGAGCAGCAAACGGGTAATCAGACCATGTACTATCCCGGGATCACAACTTTTGATTCATGGAAACAGTGGCCAGATACGCCTAAGCTGATGGCCAACTCGCTGGAAGTCCTTTTGATTGATCTCGTGGCGGGAAGCGACTTCAGTGAGTTTGTGATATTTGCTTGGGTTCACCACCTCGCGTACCAGGTTCCAGTGCCGTGCCTGGCAGACAAAGGCGGCAACTTTGAAAGATGACCATCGCGACGTGTATTTTGCCAACATGTACATGTAGATCGGGCTGGAGTGGAGGCCGGATAAGAAGGATTCCGTGTTGGAAACCCATCGTATTGGGCCCGGGTGATTGAGAAAAGAATATCTGAGGTCTCAGTAAGCTTTTGCCAACTTGTCTCTGCATGTTGACGCTCGCATAGTTCTTCTCGGAGTCGGTCTCGATGCCATGAGACGCACGACTGCCGTGGAAGATTCAACATCGTGAACCACCATCTTAATCTTGTACGCCCGAGGGACCTAATTTTGTCTTCGTATTTGGTGCAAAGCTGAGTGTCAAGCAAGACCGGTGGTTGAGATTGAATTGTGGGTGAATAGATAAAGAGCAGTCAAAAATGCAAGGTGTGTTTGTTAACATTTAACAGACTGAACGCAGCCTCACCACTTCACTATATATAACTCAGGACAGTTGGCAGGTACAACCCTCTTACATTGCATTTTCAGGTGATTGTATCTTTTATGTGAATCATATATCATATTAAATTCAGCAACTGCGAATGCGTTTGTAAAGAATAGCATATTTGATATTTTGATAGACGGTAGATGAAACCCTTCAGCCTAAAAGGCCAAGCCGCTAAAAATAGCCAAGGAAGATCAGCCACACAACAGCCACAAAATCAACAAGTGGCATGCGCGTCCCTATAGGGACGCGCGGATGATCTTTTTCCAGGGCTAATAATAGTTTACCATTAAATAATAACCTGCACTTCCGCTTCCTCAGCCATTTCAAACATCTGCATTTTTCCATTTCTCGATTTTCCGAGTCTGCTTATCGCTCATCATGCCAGCCTTATATGCAGCGCTAGCCCAAAGCGCGGTGGAAACGGCCCCGCACCAACTGGCCCGGCGTGGCCTGAGTGTCAACCACACCCAAGCCGTCACCTTAGGGGTGATGGCAGCCTATGTGGTGGTCATCGCGCTACTATGGAATCTACCATATGTCCGCTGGGTACTATGGCCCTTCAAGGTAAATACTCCTCGCCCTGTATTGACAGACTGCGACTAACTCCTTCGATAGATGCTGGTGATTGCCTTCCATGAATTCGGCCATGCGATTACTGCCTGCTGTACCGGTGGAAAAGTCAAGTCTATCTCGCTGGATCCGCATGAAGGTGGTGTCACCCACATGCAGGGCGGTATGAGTGCCATCACTCTGCCTGCCGGGTACCTGGGGTCGTCGATTATCGGCGCTCTGTTGATCTTCGCTGGATTCAATATTGTCGCCAGCAAGGTTGCCAGCATTATCCTCGGTGTCTGCTTTCTGCTTACCCTTTGGTGGGCACGGAGAGACTGGTTGACTATCGTGACTGTGCTTCTTGCGGTCGGGTTGTTGGTGGCATGCTGGTTCATTGCCCATGGTGAAGCCTTGCGCTGGGTCGTGGTATGTCTGATATTTTGATTCGTCCCGTTGCCGACTTATACTAATTTCGTTTCCCTACAGCTGTTCATTGGTGTCATGTCTGCTTTGTATAGTGTCTGGGATATTGTAAGTACCAGTTACACTCTGTTGATTTATGTCGCTAATAACCTGTGCTCTAGTGCGACGATCTCATCCTTCGCAAAGTAAACAGCTCTGATGCTAGTGTATTTGCGAAGAGGTACGGTGGATCTTCCCAGTGCTGGGGAGTCATCTGGTCTCTCATTTCTCTTGCTTTTATGGCTATTGGCATCATCGGTGGGATCGCAGCATTCCCCCAGTCATTCAGCCAACAACAGTCCGATTCCGAGAAATTTATTTCGACTCGCTAGTGACACTTGCAAGGTTGCTTTGGGACATCACAGACTGAGAATAATGATTTTTAATGAGATATGATAGTGCGTTAGGGCATATTCCCACATGAATAGGTTAGGAATCCAGTTTCCAATTACTCTACCCATATACTATGATTTTAAACAGATGGACACTTAATTTTGATGGGCAATCATGTTATTGTGGATGGCCCTGTGCTGTGAGGGTGATCTGTTATTGCCGAATAGCAGGTTTGTTCTTAGATGACCATGGCTGTGGCTACCAATACGTCAAGACAGCAACACCTCCTATCTCGAGGGAATAAACATTTTAAGGTTCTTGGTCTGTCTCCACGTAATCAAATTAGCTCTACCCGGTTCCTTCCTTCCCCAGCTCGATCACTTGAATCACTTTTCTCAACCTGGCACTTCTCTCCATCTGACACTTCTCCCAGCTCGATCACCTGGATTCCATCTCTCAACTTTACCACTTTCTACTATACTGTCAGGATGTCAGCTACAAGATGGTTTCTGAAGCCCGGTCGCGGCGGCACCCCCGGCGTACCGGGGGGACGCTGAAACCATCCAATTGCCCCCACTAAACTCCTCAGCACCAGTCCGCACGCAGTTGATCCGACCAGACGCCCGTGAAGGCGCTGGCAGGCTGCGGAATGTGGCCCTCAGATGAAGGGTCCAGACCCCGTGGACAACGCCGGCAAACGGCGGATCCCACGGGGCGGCTCCCTCCAGGAATCTGAGTTTCGGGTATGGCCAGCGGCCAGCGGCCATCGATCCAAAGACCCCAACGGTGCCGGGGGCCTTTAGGCCCCTGGGCTTCTGTCACCACAGGGGAGGCACCAGGAGTCCAGCGCGGCGAGGGCCCCCCATAAGAACCAGCCCGCGCGTCACAATGAAGTCCCACTACGCGGGGAGGAGGTTATGGGGGGGGGGGGGGGGGGGGGGATCAGGCGTTGCTGGGTCCCGGTAACACCACTGCGGTGGGTGATCTCCCCCAGCTCTGAGGTGCGGCGCGAGGCAGCAACCATCAGAACCGGAGTCGTCTCATAGAATAGATATAGTTATGTTCAAAGTTTATGCACACTAATAACTGAATATAATGATCTCTAAGCCTTCTTCATGCTGATGTTGACAACACAGGAGTTATAACACTACCCATCAGACTGCCATCTCTCGAAGTACTTCTGCAGAGTTCCAGAAGTCACATCTCCTAGCCAGTTCTTCATAGAAATTCTTGCCATGCCCAATTGCTTCAGCACCTTCGTTAGGGCCGCCGAGGACTCGAAGGTTATATTGACCCTGCGAACTTTGATTCATGGCGTCGTACCAGTTGAATATTGTCCCATGTCTTCCAGAAGGTTCTCCAAAAGCAGCGAAGGAAGCCCAGCTGCTGCTCATTTCTGTGGACAGCTTTCGATCCGCTGGTGAGGCCAGGAAAGAGTATCTGGTGTTCGCCAGATTAAAGACATAGGGAATATCACTGAAATGTGGAACGCCGAGATAGGGGGTCCCCGCCTCGGCGAACAGTGGAGCAAATAGGGTCTGATTCAAAACGTAGAGATAGTTCGAGGTCTTCTCGTCTGAGTATTTATGATTCATTCGCACCATATGCAGACTTGGGCAAGCATCCTGTGCATCTCGAATCATTCGGCTTGCACGGAAATACTGAGCCGAAATATTCTTGGCAGGCATGCCAGAGAAAGATGTAACAGGGTATAGAGAAAGAACCCTCTGAACATTCCTTTCTGAAAAGGCTGGAAACTGAGAGTAAATGAACTCAACAAGATCTGTGGTTGAGTTAAGCGTGGTTGGCGTAAAAAATGACTGATCGTCTTCAGTCCAGCCAGCGATAATGTCAATATCACGGGCAAATCGACCACTGGTTAAGAGTGTTGAAGGGCTGTCAGGAATAAAGGTCGACGGAGAGGTCGGTATAAAGGCATCGAACCCAGAACTTGTCACGCTGAACTCATATTCTACCGCAGCTGAGAGCAGTATGTTAAGCGGCAGCTTTCGCAGGCAAGCAAACTCGGCCTCACTGGCTGAGGATGTGCAGTTGACTTTCTTTATAAGCTCACCTGTACGCACTGCAGATATATTGCTGGCAGTGCCTAAGTCTGAAGCGGGGCTGCCTGATTGCATGATGGCCCTTTTGAATGGGGTCTTCTGAATATCACCGCCATATGCGGTTATCTGAAGGCCAACTCCAGTAGCTCCATCACTCTCTCCAAAGATAGTGACATTATCAGGGTCACCACCGAAAGCCGAAATGTGCTGCTGCACCCAAGAGAGACCGAGTCGCTGGTCAAGGAGGCCCACATTAAGAGAGTCCGTTGCGTTCAAAGCGGGTGAAGCAGCAAAGCCAAATACGCCGACGCGGTAGTTCATAGCCACATAAACCACAGGGAAACCCCGTTGAACGGCGTTGGAGATCAAGGGGCCTGGCTCGTATATTGAATCATAAATTTGGCCGATGGAATCTCCACCACCATAGATGTATGCCATAACAGGAAGCTTGGATGTACTTGATGTATTGGCTGGTCGATCGACACGTAGAGTGAGGCAGTCTTCTGAAATGTGTGTAACATTGTCAAAAAGCTCAAGTCCTTGGAGGGGAACTTTTTGCTGGGGGCAAGCTGCACCAGGCCGAGTGGCATTTATCACTGAGCCGTACGGATAGCTGTATGGTTCGGGGGGGGCAAAACGATTGCTGCCACCGGTATCCTTTGCGAAGCGTATGTTGAGGAACGACTCGATATTGCCGGCAGATGCTCCGTGAATGCGGACTTGATTGTCCAATTCAACGATGGCATGCTTTTTGTTAAGAGGACTTCCGTGGCTGCAAGCTGAAAGTAGAGAGAGAAAAATAATAGCGACAGTTGTAAGCGCCATGGTTTAGGGACAGGATACTCGGTAGTTTGGCTGTTTTCAGATTCTGAAGAAATTGAGAAGCATTCTCCAATGAAGGTTACGGCGATTTATATACGTTGGACCAGAAGCCAGGGCGCTGCCTGATAGTGTTCTTTCGCAACTAGAACTGAAATAAGATGATTTAGATACGCACTAAACCGAAAAGAGCAATCGTCGCGAAAGATCCTCAAAACATGGGAGGCCTAACCTAAGGTTGGCCTTTTGGCCCCACACGCCAGCCCAATACAGTAAAACCTATTTATAGTTAACGATATATTCTAGACAGAGCAAAAATATCGTTATATCCAGGTAATCGTTAAATCAAGGTGCCATAGATTAAATATATATTTCTGGTTTATATACAAATTTAGGCACTAGAAAAGCTCTCCTAATACCGCCCTGCTTCTGCCCTCCTATTTTCCTTACTTCAATTAGGCCTCTCCAGAACCCAATTGGACCCGGACCCAACCTAGTCCAAGGTTTGGCCCCAAGCTAGGTTTTAGGTTATACGAGGTATTTGGTGGAAAGATTCGTGCAATTACTTTTAGGTGTGACCGTCATATTCAATGATGGCTTTGTGGCGTGCTTCGAGAACGCCATGTCGATCGCATGAGTCAATTTCAGGAGTTCCATCAGCACCACGCTTACGTTTGCCCCGCTGGTGAGACTTTTGCGCTTTCGTCAGTTCCGAGGTCGTCTCCTCAATCCCTCTGCCTTTCTGCTGGGGTTCCTCGCTGTCGGAAATGTTCTTTGGGCGATTTTCATGTGGGCGAGACAAGCTCGGCTCGTGTTGGCAGCGCGCTTCGGAATATACGGCATGGTGGGGTGCGAGGGCATCAATGAGATCTGATACACGGGCAATCCAGGATAGAGCTTTAGTTTGAACGTAAGAGAAAGCTCCAAGCGTATCAACCAACACTGCCATGGATGCACCGACGTAGCTTTTCATATTCATTATAGGCTAAGGCTTCTGGTTTAACGGCTAGGACTAGCGTAGGCGTGCAGGCAGGCCAGAAACATAGATTATTTGATATACAACCAGACGTGCAATCCTATGCCTATCCGATCAACATAGTGAACAGATCTTTGTCACACGACCAACATAAGCTGAAAATCATCACCAGCTAGTAGTGCCTTTGTGCCCCGGTATCGTGTCTAACTTATTCGAGAGCATCACTGCATCGTCTAAACCATATCATCTCCTTAATAACAGGCTCTAGATCCAATCCCATCACCAGAGCTTTACCAGCTCCAAAAACAAAGTTCGCATTGACCAGACTGTCTGTAAGCTCCAGACTGTCCTTCAAATAGGCAATACACTCGGCCTGATTCTTGAAATCATCGAACGTCATAGTGAAACCCATCGAGCGATCTGTAGCGTCGATAAAAAGCCGCCCGTCTTTTATTAGAACAGTCAGGTTGTGATAACCTGCGTTCCAATAGCTCCCCACATAGGCTTCTAGAGACATTCCCTGAGGAAAATTTTTGCTGTCATTTTTCGGCCTTTCTCCCTGCTGTTGCCCGAATCTCCGTGGCGTTCCTTTGTCCTTTTCTTTCTTGTTCTTCCTCATTTCAGCCGTGTCATTCTGTTGTATAGATTGCGATTCCGATTGCTCCTTGGATTGCCCCAATCGCTCATCTTTCAGCAGGAAATCTTTCTGATACTTGGGCTTTATTTGGTTCTGGAGGCTTCTCGGCTCCTTATGTTTTGGACCAATGGCCATTTGTAACAGACGGTCTTCAAATGAAATTCCAAGCACCTCGTCCATCAGCGTTCTCATAATCGTCGTGGCTGCCGAACCAGCTCCGGTGGAATTTCCCATGACCACAGCACCAAATTTCTGGTCAGGCATAAATATGAAACGACTCGAAAATCCCGGAATATTACCATCATGTCCAATGACCATGTTCCCACGATAGAAATATAGCTCCATACCAGCCGTGTAGTTAGCGGGGGTAGTATGGGCCTTCAATCTCCTTGCATTCGGGTTCACAATCGAGCGCATCTTTGTAAGTCCCTGGTAAACCTTATCGTTGATCGGGTCTTCATGATGAAGCAAAGCTTTCACCCATTTGATGAAATCGTTAACACTCGAAATGATGGAGCCTGCACCCTGACCTTCAGGACATTCCTGCGGATCGAAGCCGCGCCACTCATTGTTTTCCCAGATGTAGCCCTTTGCCATTCGACTCCGCCAACCCTTAGCATGAGCACTTGAGGGCTGCAGGGTGGTTGATTTCATATTGAGTGGCGCGAAGATTCGTTCTTCTAGAAATTCGGAGAAGCTTTGTTTTGATATTTCCTCAACGAGATGTGAAGCCACAGTGTACATCTGGTTGCAGTACAGATATCGTGAGCGCACAGGGGCGGCAGCTTTGAGGTTTCGGAGGTTTCTTGTGATGGACTTGGCGTTATCGGGATGGATTGCGCTCGGTCCCATGCAGGAACTGTCATGGCTGTTCGAGCAATTAGATATTGCTGGAGTTCTTAAAAAATACAATCTTTCACCTAGCCATGCCAGTTCTGTGACTGAGAACATCTTCGACAGTGATACTATCAGTATACATCTTTTCTTGCATGACAAAGTCGTCTGGCAGGAGATCCGACATAAGCGCTTCGTATTGCACTTCAGGGTGTTTCTTGTCATCCACGAGCAAGGCCACGGAGGCAGCAGTCAGGGACTTTGAGGATGAGGCGATGTCAAACAGTGTATCCCCAGTGCAAGGTATGTTGTCTTCGCAACTCGCCACACCGTAACCTCCGGAGGCAATATCATTATTGTGAACGACAGCAATTGACAGACCGGGAATTTTGTACTGGTGTAGCAAGTCGGCTACAAATGACGTGAATTTGTTTGAATCTAGGAGTTCCATCTTACCAGAACCTTCAGGATATGTTTCGTTGATCGTGGCGAGCGAGCCAGCCTTGCGAGAGACAGGTGCGAGCGCGGGGATCCCTGCAAGTTTGCCAAGTTTTATTGGACCTTTAAGATCACTTTCAGGGAGCTTTCTTCGTAAAAATATTTCTCCGATGGAAGTGTGCCCTGAAACGTAGGCAACGAGAAGATGTCGGTATAGGCCGTATTGTCAAAATATAGGGGTCCAATCAATGGTGTTCAAAACTCTGTATTTCTGTATCGACGTTCCTAGCAATTTATAACGTATTTCACATGCGAGCGGCCCTACAAGCGAGTGGCCACCCCAAAAACAACAGCTTGATATCTCAACAACCACATTATTATTCCATTTCATTACTTGTCGATAGCAATTGATAAGAATCATTAATACTATATATCAATCTCAAGAAAATCAAAATGGTGCATTATCATAGCATTGAAAATTACGTTGCAAAAAGTTTGGAATATCAACGGATATATATCGGAATCACAAAGTCATAAAATTTCCTTAAAAGTCCCTAAAGAGGCTAGGTATCACCTAGAAAGCAGGAAGCTATAAGGAGAAGTCCCTATAACCAATATTGTTGAGCTGTCAAGTTGTAATATGTTTTTTTCGAACATGCTTACGGTCAATCTCGCAGGGCTGTGACTCCAGACTTGTAAAGTGCAATCTCTGGTGGCTAGATGGCCCTCAAGCTCCTCAGGAACGGTTGACGAAGTTGGTGAGAGCAGCGTGAGTGGCGTAAAACTCACTCTTGGGCTTGTAGCACTGGTCGAACATCAATGGCTTCGCGCCCTGCACCCAGGTGTAAGCGTGCTTATCTGTAAAGCCCCAGAAGCTAATGTCGGTGATTCCTGCGTCGAGAGCCTCGCTGACGACGGCGCCGTAAATATCGGTCTCGACCGCGTTGTCGAGCGTGTGAACATCCATTTCAGCGATTGCCACCTCCAATCCGAGCGCCTTGTAGGAGTTGACCATCTCCATGATCACGCCTGGTTTCGGGGCTACTTCAGTGATGTGCATCTGCAGGGCGATTCCATCAATTGGGACGCCCTTTGCCACAAACCTGGAGACCAGGTTGTAGAGTTCCTGGCGCTTGCCGGGAAGTGACTCGACGAGATTTTCGTTGATGAATAGCTTGGCGTTTGGGGCTGCTGCTCGGGCGATGCGGAAGGCATCTGCAATGTAGCCGGGTCCAAGAACTTGATAGAAAGTATTGTTGTTCAGGCCGCCTCCCTGGGTTTTCAGGGCTTCGGTGACCACGTCCCACCGATCTATCTTGCCGTCGTATCGATGCATGATCGCCTCAAAGTGAGTCTTCATCGCAGTATGAAAGGCCGTAGGGTGAGTGATGTTGAGCAGGAAATCAGGGTTACAGCAGCTCGAGATGAGCCCGTGTCCCTTGACCACCATGTTGTTGTCTTCCGCGAATTTCACGAGGCGATCGATCGTATCCCAGTTGTAGTGCCCTTTGGTAGGGTTAATGAACGACCATTTCATCTCATTTTCGGGAGAGAGGCTATTGAATTGATTGGCAAGGACAGCGGCGAACTCCGGATCATTGAGATACATCGGATTGATCGCTCCAGACCCGATAAGAATATCCTTCTTGCTTGCCTCGTTCCTCAGCGGTGTGGTACCAGTGCTCGGAAACGCGTAGACTCCTTCAGCAGCAACGATGAGCGCGGTGATGATTGTTGTGGCAAAGGTCTTCATGATTTTGTCTGGCGATGTATTCTCTGTCTCTTTGGTACTCAACTGTTTGTGAATTGTCAAGACTGTCGTGGCAGATCCAACGGCTTTATAGCTGGGGAAATGTTGACCAGGCAATGACATAACGACGGGACACATCGTGGGCTGATGCCTACCGCGGTGTCAGAGCAGGGTACGAACAAGCTAGTTCTATACGTAAACGAGTTCGTCCCTGGTTTAAGGAACCACTTAACTCCAACGCCCAGTGCATACAATAGGTGAAGAAGCGCGGCAGTGCGGGAGCCGCCTACGCCGATGCCGAAACGTATACGATTCCGGGATCTACGAGCAGACCCACTCGCCATTGATAGGAGGTTAAACCGACTAGGGATTGTTCTTATTCGTAAATCTTCTAGCCGGTGGCGGTGGATCGCCGAGGTAATTAAACGGACAGATCGCTTTTGAGGTTGCCTAGATTCGTCACTTGTTTCCAAGTTTCAAACACAAAAGATTTCCTCGCAATTGGTCGATAAAACTTCGTTGAACGTATACGAATACGCCCCACTTTTGGGGTTAAGCTTAAACTCAGGCTGGAATTCAACCAAATAAGTAAAGAAGCCGGGCCGTATTCGTTTATTTGAAGTGGATCAAAGTCTAATGTCGTAATTCAATGGTCAACCAGATGCGTCCAGTCTGCCTCGTTTTTACACTCGGTCATATTTTTTGGTTCTCAGGACTTCATCTTGTTCACTTAATCCATCTACGATAGGCGCCGCCGCTTTAGCGAAGATGGCTAGCAATGGCCGTTCGGGATGTGTTTTCGAGCTACCTGGTGAACCTATCATGGAGGCATCCACCACTAGTCCCTCGACTACTGGTGTGAGTGGTATCAATTTGAATGGTATGTTTACTTTTCTAAAGCCTTTTTATTTCCCGTGAGGGTGTCTTGATGCTGGGCTTGACGTTCGATTTATTGATATATGACCTGCGAGAAATAGATGCCGGTCGAGTTGATATCGACTGGGACTCAAAGGTTGTACGAAGTCTTTCGAAGCTCTACACTGGCCCTTTCTCGAGATCTCCTACACCGCCACCTGAATACTCTGAACTACCGACGCAAGATGTCGAGTCTACGACCGTTAGACCCGATCGCATGTCGGGACACTTCGGGCCAAGCCGGCAACCTGCAAAACGTTGGGTCCCCAAATTGAACATTGCGATCCAAGTAGTGGGAAGTCGGGGTGACGTTCAACCTTTCATTGCCCTCGGAACTGAACTTAAGCGATATGGTCATCGCGTGCGTCTAGCCACACATGATATGTTTGAAAGTTTCGTCAGGGAATCGGGGTTGGAGTTTTACCCAATTGGAGGCGATCCAAGAGAGCTAATGGCATACATGGTCAAGACCCCGGGGCTCATCCCAAGCATGGAGAGTTTTCGAGCAGGCGAGATTCGTCGCAAGCGCATCATGATACGGGAAATGCTGGATGGGTGTTGGGAATCATGTATCAAGCCGGATTTGGTAACAGGCCACCCATTCGTGGCGGACGCTATCATTGCCAACCCACCGAGCTTTGCACATGTTCACTGTGCTCAAGCTCTCAGCGTCCCGGTACATCTGATGTTCACCATGCCTTGGAGCAGTACCAAGTCTTTTCCACATCCCCTGGCCAACTTCAAGGCCGACGGTCCAGACCAGGGGTTCAAAAATTATGCCTCGTACGATCTTGTCAACTGGCTTACATGGCAAGGGTAAGGTTCCATTTGAAACAGAACACGTGTACACCGTACTAATCCATTCTATCAGGGTTGGGGATGTAGTCAATCGATGGCGGAAAGAGCTTGATCTAGACGAAGTGGCCATGTTTGAAGGTCCTCATCTTCCTGAAATACTGAAAGTCCCCTTCACATATTGTTGGTCTCCGGCTCTTGTACCCAAACCGTTGGATTGGCAGTCTTATATTGGTCAGTGCCTCACGAAGGAGTCCTCTAGTTATCGATAGACGCGGCTGACATGATATGTAGACGTCTGCGGCTTCTTCTTCCGTGACGTCCCAACATACGACCCTCCAACGGATCTTCAGGTCTTCCTATCGTCTGGTCCACCGCCGATATATATTGGCTTTGGAAGTATTGTGCTTGAAGATCCGATCAGGATCAATGCAGCCATTCTTGATGCGGTTAATGCTGCTGGTGTGAGGGTTATCATTTCTAAGGGTTGGTCGAATTTGTGCGGAAACCAAAGCGAGAACGTATATTTTATCGGAGATTGCCCTCATGAGTGGCTGTTCCAACACGTGGCGGCGGTGGTCCATCATGGAGGCGCTGGCACAACGGCTTGTGGCTTGCGGAATGCAAGACCTACAATTATTGTCCCGTTCTTCGGAGAGTGAGTGACTTGACCCCTAATGGTATTTCAAACGACCTCGAGACTTACTTTTTAGTCAACCGTTCTGGGGTGCTATGGTGGCTGCAGCGGGCGCTGGTCCTGTCCCCATCCCTCACCAAGAGCTAAATGCTGATATCTTAGCTGAAGGAATTCGATATTGCTTCACGGACCAAGCGATCACTGCAGCCTCTGCAATTGCGGTCAAAATGGCTTCTGAAACAGGAGTCCAAGCAGCCGTCTCTTCCTTCCATTCACATCTTCCATTAGAGCGCCTCTCCTGTGATATATGTCCAGGGGTACCAGCAGTGTGGTCTTATTCCACACGCGATATCAACGTAAAACTGTCAAAGGTCGCGGCAGCAACGCTAGTCGCACAAAATTTGATTAATCCAAAACGACTAAAATTGTACGTGAAGCTTCTGGTCCATGGAGCTACGAAACTAACCAATATTCAGACATGCAATCAAGCCCTTTGTGATCGAGAATCGTCGATGGGACCCTATCACAGGCGGAGCTTCTGCCGTTATGGGAACCACGACAGAACTCCTTGATTCCGTCTTGGGGTTGTTCTACAAACCCTTTGAGGAATATAAAGACTACCAAGTAAGCCACAGGGATCGGCCCTTGACGAGTGCCTCGAGTCAAGCTGTACATCGGCCTATAAGCAGCTCTACCGGAAACCGCTCCCTACAGACACAAGAGGGAGCTGACGATACAAAAAGTATGGTTTCCATGGAAGATACACCGTCAGCCTCTGAATATAATAGTGCTAGGCTTGCAGGGAGGATGGTCGGAGCTTCAGTGAAAAGTCTTGCCAAATTTGTGCCGACTGCGCTGAAAGGCATGACTGTCGACATCCCACTCGCCATGACGGAGGGAATGCGCAACGTCCCTCGATTATATGGCGAAAAGCCACAGCACGACGGTTCCGTTACTGGCATCAAAAGCGGATTCGCTCTTGGCGGCACAGGTTTCGCTCTGGGGATGGTGGAGGCAGTGAGCGATTTGGTCATGAAGCCGTATGAAGGCATCCGAAAGGATGGTGCAAAGGGCGCTGTGACGGGCATTGGCAAGGGCGTGGCAAATATGACGACTAAAGCGGGCTGCGCTATGTTCGGTGTTGTGGTATACCCTGGTGTTGGTATTGCGAAGAGCCTAAAATCGGCTGTCTACTTCAGGACAAAAACGAGCATAGTCAAGGCACGTCGCGCCGAGGGCGCATGGTTGTCGGAGCATTGTACACATGCGGACGTTGATAGCTACGCTATCAGCTACCAAAGGATGCTAAAGGGCAAGAACAGCTGATTTATTACAAGAAAGTTTGCCGGAACGGCAATATAAAATACATATTTGGCCCTTTTAATGACAACCAAGCGGTGTAATACAGTAGAAATATCATTATAGGATACAAGAGTTGTTGCTATGGCAAGTCTAGTGCATGCGTTTCCAGCCTAGCAACCACCTTTTTTTTGAGGTCCGTAGCTATGAGATCAGGACCTCTACGAGACAGTACTCGCCAAACACCTTGTCGAAGCCGAGAAGCGCATCTATAATGAACAGTGTGACCTGACCACCGCGAAGCTGGGAACAAAACGCCGAGAATGGACTTGGGGCGACCCCGATCCAGCCGAACTCAACCAGAAAATCAATCTACCTTCAAGAAAGAAGCCAACAAATACTATGTTGTAAACGAACACTGTTTACCTGGCTTTTCTTGGTGCCATGTGTAAAATACTGTACTTCCTGAAACGTCTGTCAAAGCAGCTCATCTCGTACCGAAATTCCTTATTGCACACGAAATTTCACACCTCTTCGGTGTCGACAAACCGATGTGTTTTTGATTGTTTCTTTTTAGATGCCCTTTTAGATGTATACGAATGCGGTAAAAAGCATAAACCGTACAGAGGACTTTTCTATGTATATGTAGGATTGAGGTGATTGACCAGAAACTACTCGCTGGTACCAATCGTTTTTAGTTGAAGCTTTGGTCATAATACAGATATGTATTGCTTATTTTCTATCTATTGTACAAGTATGTGAAGGAAAATCGCCGGCAATTTATCGTGCATTCTCGGCCTCCAAAGCCTCCTCGTGCTGTAAAGCCAACTTGGCCATGACGTCCCGCGCCGCGACCTTAGCTTTCCGCTTCTCATTCATAGCGGCCTCATCTCCCTCATCCTCTGGACCACCAGTTCGTTTTCCATTGGGAGAGCCAGTATTACGCTTGCTCTTTTTGTTGGGTGCTTGATGAGTCTCAGTAGGAGCATCGGTCGATTCTTGTGACTTCTGCTGGTCCTCCTGACTATGTATGTGGCTGGTATTTGGACCAACGGATTGTGCACGCAAGCTGCGACGAGATGTGCGACGTCGCACTGTGTTTTGTTGACCGTTTGATTCGACATCCCCCTGCGTGCTAGAAGGAGCGGTATTGGGTGAGTCGGTGGGATCCGGGATGGTGGGTTGGCTGATCGATTTCCTCGGTCTGCCGGGCGGTCTTTTCTGGGGAACAACTTGCTGCTGCGGAGGGGCTGCTTGAGGGCTATCTCCAGGTGGCGCACCTAGTCGTGGGCGTTTGGCTATGGTTTGCTGCAAGGTGTATGGTTGCGGTTGAAGGAAGCTAGAGGTATTCTGAGGCTCTCGGGCAGGCATCTGCACCTCTAGGGACCTCGGTTCCTCTCCTGCAAGTGGCCCATTGGTAATTGCAGGTTGGCGTTCGTCATTGAGAGGAACGCGAGAGCTGTACATCGGCGGATCTGATAACGACATTTCATCCACCATATCATCTTCGTCAAAGGAGTCCGCGATTACCTGACTGCGATCGCCCGAGAATGCGTCAGGCCAGTTACGTTTCCGGCCCGCTTGGAGCAAGCCGGGGCTCCGAACTTCGGGGAGGGAAGCGTTCATGTTCATTATCGACAATGACTCTTGTTGGTGTGGCAGGGTCACTCCCATGTAGCGATTCTTCAGTTTCAGGGCCTCAATCTCCAACTTCAGTTTCTCGATCTCGTCAGACTTGGACTTGAGCTCCTTCAGCACCATAGCAATCATGTCAAAGTCCTGGCCCTGAAGTACGGAACCTTCCCCCAGATTTCGGCCGGGGCCATTCAACTCAATTCGAAGCGCTGTAAATGAATGTTTGAGATCTGACATTGTGTCCTGGAGGTGGTTCACGGAGTTCGAAATCTGATCGATGCTTCTACCCTGGTGGAGCATTTGCCTTTGCATGGTTGGATCGAGGGTAGTTGGGTCTGTGCAGCCAGCTGGCACCAGTGCACTACCCTGTGCGAGATCGGGGTTTCGGCGCGGAGGTTCTTTTGGAGGACAAATCAGCCGTTCGAGGGCCCCCTGTTTGAATACAGGCTGCACCGTTCGCATGGTGACGATCTCCCTAAAAGCAACTTTTGACATTTTCCACAGAATATTCATCCTAAACAGGTTAGCTGCGAGAAACGCCGGTCTCTATACACAGCCACTTACCCGTTGTCAAGTGGACAAAGTACGCCCATCCGTTGCTGACAGAGTTTGCATGACACTTCCTGAATGACACGGCCACGCAGAAGGGTCATATCCGATGTGTGAGGAATTTGCTTCCGCTCCGAAGAAACGGCGATGCGATGAAGGTCAACACTGAGCCATGCTGTCGGGATTGAGTAGGCATTAGATAGTTTGGCCCATTCGTTCTCCAGTGCAGCCAGTGAGCTGGAGCACCGAGCACACTGACACAAGATGCCAGGCCGTGTGAGATGGGATAGATCCATCTTTGCGCGACCAGTGTAAGCAGTCAGAGAATCGGTAAGATTGTGCGGACTTGAACCGCTGAAGCGCATTGCCCGCCCGCGGCCAAGCAGAACGCTGAGTCAGCGGTCGAGGCCACCGTTTAATGCGCTAGTCCCAATTAGGTTATCGATAAGGACCATGTGCAGTGGCGTCATAGCCGCGGAGGTATCGAGTTACACATCAACACACTTTGATGTGTTCAACACAAGGTTTACATTATACCTGGACTGTGATGAATAGTACCCCTGCTTACCCTCCGATTATCCCTGCAACATGCTGCAAATCGATGATATCCATATCACCCGGTTCCACAATGTAGCGCGCTATCTGTCCTCGGATCACGTGTCGACTCCCCTCTTTCCCCAATTCCCTCTAGGCATTCGCGCTTACAGTCATAAAACTCATCCATGAATCGCTTGTTACATCCGATCTGTCGCTCTTCCTCGGCGCTTCGATTAACTGCCCCGCACGGTCGAAAAATCTTCCTTCCAATTGCTATGGCGCAACTCTCAACTGACGCCCTGGCTCGTGCCTCGGCAGTCATTGGCAGCAGTGACAAGAAGCCCACAGCCTGGCACGGGGCTGGAGCTGCTGAGTTTGACCTCCGAAGTATGACTCCATCGGGAAAGGGATGACAGAATTGAAACTGACCTGAGTCAGGCGATACAATGACGAAGCCTACACCGTCGATGCTCGAAGCGATCTGCCAAACGACTCTTCTGGATGATGTCTTCAATGAGGATCCAGTCACCAACGAGCTTCAAAGCTATGTCGCTGAGATCACCAAACATGAGGAAAGTCTGTTGGTCCTTTCCGGTACCATGGGAAACCAGGTGTCCATTCGTTCGCATCTTGCGCAGCCACCGCATTCAGTATTGTGTGATCATAGATCGCACATCATCTGTTATGAGGCCGGTGGCGTAAGCGCTTGGACTGGCGCCACCGTGACCCCTGTTATTCCCAAAAATGGGGTGCATTTGACTTTGGAAGATATCAAAAAGCATGCAGTTCTTGGTGATAATATTCATTATTGCCCGACCAAGTTGATCAGTTTGGAGAATACCCTCGATGGGATGATCATGCCGCTCGCTGAGGCGAAGCGGATTGTGGAATGGGCCCATGCTAATGACATCAAGGTTCACTTAGACGGTGCCCGGCTGTGGGAGGCCGTCGTGGCCGGTGCTGGGAGCTTGCCTGAATATACAAGCCTTTTCGATAGTGTTAGTCTTTGCTTCTCGAAGGGGCTGGGGGCACCCATTGGAAGTATCATTGTCGGCTCCCAAGAGTTTATAAAGAAAGCGCGCTGGTTCCGCAAATCTATCGGCGGCGGTGCCCGACAGACGGGCGTGATTGCAGCTGCGGCCCGCGTTGCGCTGACCGAAACTTTTGGCACGGACCCAAAAGGCCAGTCCGGAAAGCTTACAGCAACTCATAAAATGGCGAAACGGGTAGCCGATCTGTGGACCAGTCGCGGTGGCAAGCTGGAGTACCCTCTGCACACCAATATGGTTTGGTTGGACCTCGAGGCGTCAGGAGTGGGGCCGAATGACCTGGCAGAGATTGGAGAGCAAAAGGGGCTGAGATTGTTGGGTGGCCGCGTTGTGATCCATTACCGTAAGTGCTTCCTTAATCTGTCTCGGGGCTGACAATGCATGACTCAAAATCTGACCTGTCACAGAGGTATCGGACGAAGCTCTCGCACGGCTAGAACAAGTCTTCGATATTGCACTGAAGGGTGATTTCAAACGGAGCGAAGACATTAGCAAGCCATACGGAAGTAAATAGTTGAAGCAAATAATAACTCAATCTAGCATGCGTACATATGAAAACCTAGCTTCACGATGTAAATCGTACGTATCTCAGTCACCATATGGACCAGCCCACCGTTGAAGCAAAACATAGGAGACACTGTTGTTGCTAGAAAGTCAATTTGGAGGCACGGTTTCGGTGATAATCTAAACCGTTCTGAATCTCTCTTGATCTATCTACGCAAAGGAGTTTATAAACTGTTGCGAGGTCTAGTCGTGAAACCCCCGCCAATGATGATATCTAGAGTCAAATGATACAGCGACGGCGCCGCATGCTCGTACTTTCCATACTCACTTCGACTTCTCGCTTACTGATATCTTTTTGGGAGAATTTCAAGTGGGCAGCTGGGCCTTCGAAGCCAATCGATATTGTGGTACAGCCTTTGCAGCTCATTGCTAAAGGAACAGGCTAGGCCAGGATTCCAACGACAGAATGGGCGAGTGATCATCTTGTCCGCCATAATGAATTTTACGTGTAGGTTGTGAGATGCTTATAATCATTGCATTGGGATTGACGCAGAGATAGTATCTCTATGGCTACCTAGCCAGGCATATGCTCCACTTGTCAGCACTATGGAAATTCCAAGGCCTGGAGGTTCCATATTAACTCCGGAGAGCCAAGATGACACAGCCATGGCGGTCGTCTTCACCTCCTCACCCAGAAACGATTTAGGCCGAGACATAACCTTTCTTTTGATATCTGCCTGGCATTCTATGCTCTTGAAACCCGTAATATACCTATTAAACAGACTGGTTTGAGCTATATAGCCCATCAATCACTGTGAAATCGTATGCCCGACATCCAAAAGAGATCTAGAAGACCGCGCCATTGTGGGGCTGCCCAGGTTGATCTATAGACCCAAACAGGTTAGAGCGTCAGCAACTTGCATTAGCGCGGTTTTCTTATTCTACCTACCAATGAAATCGACCTGTCGAGCCAAGGATAGAAATGCCAAGATCACTCGATAATAGTGGACTCCGTACTCTGTACACTCGAATAGGAACCTCTCATGGAAGCTCGCTAGTTCGGACTAGAGAGTAAATGGCCCTACCAGGGGAAGAAACGGCTCAGCAAGAGTGACATGGCAGACGGAACTGTGCCTACAACTGCAAATGTCTCAACAACCCCGACTCTATCTTGTGGTTACCAGCGCTAGTGCAAGCTGAGTACAGTCCTTTATTAATCTAGACTAGTCGTATCAATTGGAGCCAGGATCCACTAGCGCTTGAACTACGGAGTACCAAACACCAAGGAAGCACGTTACTAATCGTGTCTTAGGTGTCTTAGCTTTTATTTACTGCGGAAACGATGCTCAGTAAACATCTCGGCTTCGCTGCATACCCAAATCAATCAGCTGAAAATGGGACACCTAATGTTCGTCGGAATTTTCCTCTTGGCTCTTTCTCTGTGGCATGGGCAAGCTATAGCTCTTCCGAAATCTGTGGGCATCCAATCGAATTCATCGGGAGGACTTTCTTTCGACCAACAACAGGGTCAACTTAAACTGGCGTCTTCTCCCCTCCAACAGAAGCTGTATAATGTGATTACAAACAATGGGAATTCAGGGAATTCACCACTCGACAGGCTTGGTATCGACCGCGCCAGAGATGATTGTGACCGCTGGATACAATCATACGACCCACCTTACATATCCTCGGGGACAATTTCCGAGATATGTGCCGCTAGAGACGAAGGCTCAACCCTGAAGAACGATATTCTCCAATGTCTCCAAGCGAGATTTGGAAACATTGAAATGATAAACGATGCCATCGAGCGAGATTGCTCTTATTCGCAGCGAATTTTGCCTCCAAGGTGAGGATTTCGCATGATCATTTCCACCGCAAATTTGATCCTTGACTTACCTGTCTTGATTAGCAGATATTTTCAAAGTTCGGATTATTTTCTCTTTTTCCAACTTTGTGTGGTCGGGACGATAGTATTCTACGGTTCTATGGTCATACGAGGACGGACGTAGAGGATAAACCAAATTATATTAACGAAAGCTTTCTTTGTTAGTTCACTGAAAACTATCCAAAAAGAGCATGCGGGATATAATAAAGTACCTATATAATCATTGTCTATCGGATCAATACATCAGCCTTGGAATCCGACACATGGCTTATGAATGCAATTCAAAAAGAGGTCTCACTTAGCCCGATCAGCAATATACCTCCAGGATCGAATTTTATTGGGGGAAAATCAACTGAATATAACCAGTATTAAACTTCTAGACTCAGTGCATTGTGCCGAGAGCTGTCTACAACTTTTTGGGAACATATTGCAATAGGCAAGAGTGGGCCATATTCGACCACTTGCGCATGAGCTCTTTGAGTGCTCAGATGTGCTGAAAGTCAATCAAGTTTTAGACAAGTACGCGCATAAGAAGTTGTTTTAGCCTCTTGCTATAGATTGGACCATCAAATTCTATCAGCCACCGCAGGGAAAATGACAGGTATTTGTCCCTTGACAATAATAAAGAAATACTAGCAAGTACGAGAACTGTGCACCTTTATATATATGTACTCATACGGAATAGTATTCGACCGACATTGCTTCATAGTAGGCAATTTGACGCGGACCAAGAATTGCATTGAAGCTGAGCGCACTGTTATATATTCAGAAGTAGGAACTGTGTCTGATTAAGTGGTTGATGGTTGAGGTTAAAGACGCTTCCAAGGTTGTTTTTTGGATGATCAGGTGATGGATGGGCTCCAGCCCTGGAGGGCTCAGTATGTTGATTACGTAATGGAACGTGATCACCTGGGCACCTCTAGTGCCCGGGTGCTTAGTTTTACATGGCGATCAAAAAGTGGCAAAAGGTGAACTAAAATGGAAGGGGAGAGGTTTCGAGCAAGGCAATATCTAGTACATAACATGTATTTTTCTCATAGATCGAACCCGGAGCTCATCCAAGGTCAGCCCCCCGGGGCCCGCTATATCCCGCCCGGCCAATCAACGGGCCTGTTGCCTGATGAGTAAGAAGTTTACGCGCCTCAGGAACGCGTTGTTGCCTCAGGTAAGTTACGATTGTTGCGGCTCGTTCTTGGTCTTGTTCCTCGGACGACGACCTTGCAAGGAGTGCGATTTTGCTTTTTCCCGGCGTCCCCATTTTTATTTGTCTACAGTTTCAATTTTACCAGCCGTGGACAGACTGATAGGGAATCTTTTCAGGCTGTGTGAGTTCATTCTCGATCTCGAAGTCGAGGCTAAACAAAAGCTGCTTCAAGCTTTCAAAAGACGTTTGCTAATTTGCTGGAACGAAATTTCACAGACATACTTCCTGGCCTATCCGAAATCGCTGAACCACAGTCCCTCCCTTAATTCGAGCATTGTTAATACGGAAACGCCATTGGGTAGCTTCTCAACAGCATCTTTGACAGTCCGGTATCACTCCACCGGTTGACACCTTCAAACCGAGAGTCTAGCTCTGTATTCTTATGGCCTGGGGACAAGGGTTGGATTGTCTCACTTCCATTTCATGGGCAGCATCGTCATCTGTGTTGATCAACACTGGCTTTGAGGAGAGTTGAAGAGGGACACCCCACTCTGCAAGGCACACGGTTCACTTATCGCTCATCCGTTGCCTATTCCATTCCTTGCAATCATCAAGCAAAAATTTCGTGGCCAATATTTGATCAGGCGACATACACCTTGGTGACTGTGTCATTGGTCCTGAAGCATACATATCATTATCTTGCCTAACTTTTGCCCGGGTGTGTCGTTCCTCGGCCCCAGTACCCAGTCCCCTCGAGGTATATATACAAACCCTCCCCGAACCTTCCTTGTTGGCGCAACCTCACTGATATTATATATCTCCAGTCTACGACGTTAATGACCTTTTTATGCACATTCCCTTTGCTGGCCTCGGATCACATATACCCTACCCCATCAGATCTGTACCCGTAGTTCATTTCTCTGTTCATTCCCCTAGCATCCTCATTTACACTTGCATTCATCCTCATAATGGAAGCCACTCAGGAATCCACCCAGCCATGTGCTGATCCCCGCCGAATGGGAATGAATAACTCTGGCATCCAAGATCAAGACCTGGCCGACATCATCTGTATCCTTCATCCGAACTCGCATGCTGCTCATGATGCTGTTGGTGCTACTGGAGGAATATGTGCTCAGCATATCCTCCAAAGGGACATACTGCAGCACGAATCCTCTCACACAGCAGCATTAGATTTGGCGTTGAGGCTCTCGTCAAAAGTTCACAATCTGGGACTTGGCTTTTGCTTTGGTCGCAATCGCTCCCGTTGTGATGTTCTTCTGAGTGTTGATGATGATGCTAAACGAGTGTCGAATACCCACTTTCGCATATTCCTAACCGAGGACGGTATTCTCATGCTTCAGGATACGTCGACAAATGGCACCATCGTGGACAATTGCCGCCTCCGAAAGTCCCAGAAGGATGGGAATAGTCGAATGCTCACAAACGGATCTGTCATCCAAGTCATCACCGGATCCCAAACCTCCGACGAGGTCCGCTTCGTGGTTCGAATTCCATCACGAGAAGGCTTCGCTGTCCAATATCACCAGAACTTGTTTCGTTATTTCGAACGAGTTCATGCACATACCCCGGCGCATAAAGAACGACAGGGACCAGGCCCGTCTGCTTTAGCGTGGTCATCCGCCAACGCTTATGGCATGCATTGGACCGGTGGTGCCGAGTACAACGTGACCGGACAGATTGGAAAGGGTGCTTTCGCTACTGTGTACAAGATTGCAACCAAGCAACATGGCGCCATCTATGCTGCAAAAGAACTCGACAAGCGCCGCTTCATGAAAAACGGCATCCTTGATCAAAAGGTTGACAATGAGATGAAGATCATGAGAGATCTCACACATGTAAGCAATGTTTTTCAGTTTGCATATCGACAATACAACTAACGCGTTGCAGCCGAATATCGTTCAATACATCGATCACCACGAGCATGATCGATGGATCTATATCATCATGGAGTATGTTCCAGGCGGCGAGCTGTCGACATACCTGCAGACCCAGGGAAGAATTGCCGAGGAGATGGTGAGAACGATCGCACGACAAGTGTTACGAGCGCTTCACTATTTGCATAAACGCCGCATTACCCATCGAGACATCAAACCGGACAACATCCTGATTGCCTCACTTGACCCGCTCAGAATCAAATTATCTGACTTTGGGTTGTCGAAAGTCGTGGAGCAGGAGACTTTTTTGAAGACTTTTTGTGGAACGCTTCTATACTGTGCGCCGGAGGTGTACCCGGACTATGATCAATACCGCCGTGGCGAGCTCCGAAAGAGGCGTCGCGTTGGTGACCCGTAAGTCGCTAACCTCTTTTTCGCTTGAGAAGCCTCTGCTGATATTGAAAGACCCCCCAAAACATCTCCGTACAGCCAATCTGTTGACATGTGGTCGCTAGGAGCAGTTCTTTTCCATATCCTGTCCGGCATTCCACCATATTCAGGACGTGCAGAAGATCGAGGTGTCCAGATGCTTCGCACCATTATGACAAGTGACGCTGATTTCGACGCCTTACGTAATGCAGGTGTGTCTGAGTCTGGCATCGACTTTGTCGCCCAGCTTCTCAACCGGGACCCTTTCTCTCGTCCGACAGAGAAGGAGTGTTTCCAGCACCCTTGGATCGCGGAGGTCCCTGATGTGGACGAGTATGAGGATGATGATGACTTGCTATCTGACCACCAAGATGGGCTTTCAATCATTGGCGAGGATGCAGAGGACGAGCTAGACGCTTCGCAATTGTCTATCGCTGACGGTATGGGCTACGTCCACGAAGCTGACGGCGAAGAGGGTAGCGGCAGTGAAGCAATCTCCAAACGGCCCCGCATCGAGTACATTCCCACCGATGTACGCTACCCCAGCCTTCCAAATATTGAGAGCTTCCAAGATGGGCAAGCGGTGGTGGACGATCATGCCAAACGTTTGTTTGGGGAAGTTTCCGCCTCAGCTCTGCGGAGCTCCCACGCACTTGGCAATCTGGATGCCTACGACGCCAACAATTTTCACGTTGACTTTCTCTCTTCCGGTGAGTCGATGATGAGCGACGATCCCAACGACTCGATTATTTCCCTCCCAGCGGTACCCTTCGGTGGCACTGCGCCCAGTTTGATGGGTGCAGAGAAACTCGTTGGGCAACTCAACATGAATTCCTTGAACCCCACTCTACAACTCAAGGGTGGCCCGGTTAACAGATCCTCCTTGCGGCAGACCACTCCTGGGCACATCAAGGACGCAATGCCAGCTAGTAACCTCCACATGGATTCTGTTCCGCCGACTTCGAGCCCTAAGGAACAACCTATCTCGAGTCCCCAGGAGCCAACCCCGAAAGCAAAGTTCACGCGTCGGATTGACCTTGCTCTTGCAATCCCCGACACAGCCAGTGAGGCATCTAGCGATAATAGTGCCCACAACAGTCGCCGTGACACTGCTCCCAACAACCCCTCTCGCCCCTCCAAATCAGAATACGACCTCGAGTTTGCTACTACCCTTGATGCGCAGACCGGCCAAGCTATCTTGGATCGCGTCCATGCAGAGGAATCAGACTCATCAGAACCGATTGTTCATCGACCCAACCCACCCCCGGTTCCTTCCACGCTCTCTGATCCCGACTTCGCCAAACCACCAAAGAGATATGGAAAACTGAAGAGTCTTCCCGGTTCGATATTCGACCTGACAATCTACCTTGAGGATAGACTCACCTCGTGGGGTCGAGGGCCATTGGCGACCGTCAAGCATGCGGACAGAATGGACACGAGAATCCCCGCCTATGCCGTAGAAGTCACATTCTGGACCCCAGGAATCGAGGCGAGAATCGCATCAGGTGAAAGCTGGCTCGACATTCCAGGGGTGATGGCTATCCTCTCCACCAAAGCGCGTCTTGGAATTTGGGTAAATGACACACCGCTACGCCGCGGCTCTATGACTGAGGATGGTCCCGAGGCTTTACAATTCGGGAAGCTTTACACGGGCGACGTCATCACTGTGTACCAAAACAAAGACAGATCGAAGTTCCTCAAGTTCCAGTGTGACTTTACTCATGGCGAGAGCGCCCAGCCCCGGCCCGGACACGAGGCCGGGTTCATGGTGCGACAGGCTCTAATGAGCAAGGCCGACGGGACAGCGAACCGAATGCCGATTCGGTCCGAATGCAAGGATCGGGATTAGATCGAGATCTGGCGTTATTAGTCTTTCCGCTTTGGACGTAGATTGATAGGAATTGCGTGGTCTGGTGGGAATTAAATGTTACTTTCGGTGGTCCACAATGGTCTTTGTCCGCAAGCAGTAGAGTAGGTGTAGCGAGATGTGGAGTCGATCTCCGCAAATCGATCCACGCTTGATTGAGTAGTTCATAGGTTAAATTAGGCTAAACTGTACTATGCCAACTATACAGCAAGTCAGGGATGTATACCATCAAGAATTTAGAGTATTGATGCTAATGCGAGATTAAAATCCAATTACCTCTTTAACCAAGGGAAGGATCTAAAGTTAGATCGCACCTGCCCCCAGAGGGTGGTATCAGCACAGACGTGCCGCATTCGGCCTCAAGTTCCTCGCATCTCCAATCCGGTACATAATGTCCACACGTTTTGATTAGGTTTTGTGTGTCTTAACTGCCAACTCGTTTCTCTTCTTAACTTCACGTCACTCGTTAAATCTGTCACTCTGACCTCACCAATCCATCCCTTCGCTCGAACGTTCTCTCCGGTCAACATCCCCAAGATTTCGCAACGATCACTCTCTAGCAATCCACTGTTTAGCGCCGACCACCGCGATGACCTTATCGCGATCACCCTCTCCCCACCCGGGCGGAGGGTGGTCCAGCCCGGGACTCGTTCCGGCAAGCGGGACCACATCGCCAAAAGGGCCATCACCCGGTTCATTATCACCAGGCATACCAGGAGGCATCTCGTGGGCTGCAGCTAAGGCAAAAAGTGACGAGGTGCGCGGGTATCCATCATTCTCAACACGCAATAGCGGCTTCCTCTCTCGACAACGACACAAGCTCTCGACTCGGTTTCCTAGCTTTCGAAGGCTTTCCTCGCGCGAATACGTCGATAAGGATGATTATAGACGGGAATGGAAGCCTGCGGGTGGCGCACGTGGCTTGCTAGGCGCATTACGCATACCAGTGCGCCGGAGTCGCTTCCGGCTGTTGTTTGCACTGTTGTTGGTGTGGATTGGGTATCTATTTTGCTGGTCGAGTAAGTGATTGCTGGTATAATGATTCCTTCGCCATACTATGCTAACAACATTCCAGCTATTGTCCAAACATACCGAAGATCACCTATAGGCGGCGGGAGCAAGTTCGTCATCATACTCGGATCGAACGTGGAGGGCGGCGTCATGGAGTTGAAGGGTGCACGGGAATGGGCCATTGAACGCAACAGCATATGGAACAAGAAGAAATATGCGGAAAAATGGGGGTACGAGCTAGAACTGGCTAATCTGCTGGCCAAGAAGCGATATTCACATGAATGGCGCGAGAGCTGGGAGAAGGGAGATGTGATCCGCGAAGCCATGCGCAAGTATCCAGACGCAGAGTGGTTTTGGTGGCTCGACGTGAACACCTGGGTTATGGAATACGATACATCACTCCAACACCATTTATTCAACGACCTTGAGTCGCACGTCTACCGCGATATCACCGTCTACAACCCTCTCAACCTCACCCATCCACTCCCCGAGTTCTGGTTGGACGAGCTAGGTCGTTCCCTCGAGGGGGACGGCCAAGCAGATTCATTGAATTTGCTTCTGACACAAGACTGCGCCGGATTCAACCTAGGATCTTTCTTTGTGCGACGGTCTCTTTGGACTGATCGCCTGCTCGATATCTGGTGGGATCCCGTCATGTACGAGCAGATGCATATGAATTGGCAACATAAAGAACAGGATGCTCTGGAGTACATTTATCAGAGTCAACCATGGATTCGGAGCAGTGTTGGATTTTTACCACAACGCAGCATCAATTCTTTCCCTCCTGGCGCATGTGGCGACGGAGATAATCCAGTCGTTCACTATCAACAGAACGCACATGATCTCGTCGTTAACATGGCTGGGTGCATGTTTGGTCGTGATTGCTGGTCTGAAATCTACTACTACCGCGAGCTGAGTAATTTGCTTGCCCGGTCGGGTTGGGAGCGATTCAGGAACGGTTTAGCTGATGTATACGACCGAGTGACGGGGAAGGATGGGGATGATTGATCCATACTGTTTATTGCTATTCACGTCAATTGTGTTTGTCCACGGCAGGTCTACATTGATGTGATCATTGCTCATTGCTTGCATCATGGGATGTTTTTCTGTTGAAATTTTTGCTCTGTATGTATATTGCTTCAGTGGTTTCGCATTATCTTGATCTGGGGTACGGCAGGTGGTGTGAACAACCATGGTCATTGAAAATATGATATTTTTGCTAGCACTCCCTTATTCCACACAATAATCTCAATTTACTCCACGCCACATGAAAAACCAATCTCGAGTTATCGAGCTTCGCTCACTGTCGGACCTACCGTTTTCGGATTGTATAGATGCACGTGACCATACAGATCTGCACAAAAGGCCCTCTCGGTCTCCCGCACTATCATACCCTGACCGCCCTCATTCCAACCAATCACAAACTAGGTAATCCAACCTTCAAGCCCTGGAGATCAACGTGCCCGACAACCGCATCAAGCAGCCTCCAAAAGACGACTCTCTCCCACCAACCCTTGCTGCCATTGTCCTGCGCCCGAGCAAGCAACAACCTCACCCCACCCGAACCTTAATCCAAACCACACAAACCAACCACCCACAATGCCAACCGCCGAGTCCGCCGCCTTCCTCGCCAAAAAGCCCACCGTCGCCCCGACCTACGAGGGCGTCGACTTCGAGGACAACGTCGCAGTCCACAACGCCCGCGATGCCATTATCCGCGAGCAGTGGGTCCGCAGCATGATGGCGCGTCTGGTTGGCGAGGAATTGGGCAAGTGCTATGCGCGCGAGGGCGTGAACCACCTCGAGAAGTGTGGTGTTTACCGAGGTGGGTTGTTTTCCGCATTTCCGTATCTGTCTATTCTGCATATCCAGGAGATTCAAGGTTCTGCGGGAGTTTTCTCTGAAATAACCGGATCCGACTGGATTGAGGGCTGTGCGGATTGGTTGTGATTGCGATGCATTGTACTGACCTATATATCTGCTGCAGAGAAGTACTTCGAGCTCCTTAAGGATAGCAAGATTAAGGGTTATCTCGGCCAGGAGAAGAACCGCTTTGGTGGAGAGTCGGCATAAATGTTTACGTCTTTTATTGCGTGTTCAGCTATGCGATTGCGTTTCGAGGCTCAGGTTTGATAACCGATATCAACTGCGGGGACTGGACAATTTTGATGCCGAGATGAAATGGTCGGCTTTGGTCTGAAACCCCGCGGTTTCCATTCGGTCCTGTCCAATCTTGACCTTATAGACACCCAGATCGGGTCTGTGTCGAAGGGGAGACGAAAAGATGGCAGAAGAGGGTCTGGAGATTACCCTCTGTGCTCTTGTCCGTTTGTACTGTACATAATATCACTTTGTTTGATCACTCTTCCTTTATTTTCCTACGATGTTGGAGTGCTGTTCAAAGAGGTCGTAGTAAACCACTTGACCCACACTCCGTCCTTGGATGCCAATGTATCCTTGCCGGGCCTTAGTGTTTGTCCTTAGATCGCGAAGTAAATGCTAACTTCAGTATAAACCACCATATCTCATGTTCTACATATGTACTTATGTCGGTATCTTTCAATAATAAACGCTCGAGGCTGTCGCACTTCGGTCCGGGAATGCACCCGGAGGTCCACGGCCATCAGGCTGTCCTGCATCGTCTTCACTATCGTCATCACTTCCAAATTGGATATCGTCTCTCTCATCTGGTGGAGCACGCATCCGCATGAGTTGATCCTCATCTAAAGAAGGGGGCTGGTATGGTGCCGGGGGAGAGTGAATATCTCGACCAGAAGGCAGATTAGACAGCAATGGTGCAGAGGGCGGAATGGGCTGTGTGTTCATCTGCAGTGAGTTAGTAAGCCATGAATATTGAGACCCTCCTAGACCACGAGGGACATAAAAAATCCGAACTTACTGTGTCATTCATTTTCATCCATTTCGTCTCAAGCATCGCAAGAACTCGTCCCTCCTCGTTACGACCAGCATCATCCCCCGCATCCAATGGACCTTTTTCGCTGCGGCTACCGCCAGCATCCTTAGTGACTCGACGCTCCTCGCGCCGCTCTGTCCACTCGCGCTTTAAACGGGACAGTCCGCCCTTTGCAGAACCTCCCGGGCCAGCAGCATCTTCCTGCGAAGACCCTGCTCCACGTAGCCCGAGCGGAGTGCGTGCAGCTCGCAACCACGCAACACCCTCACCAACTTTGCCTGATAGCTCAGCATCTACACCAAAGAATCGACAGGCGCGTGCGCGAGCAACGCGAGCCAAAACTCCTGTATAGCGGACCAAATCATCATCTACACGGCCTGCACGACCAGATGTAGATCCAACAGCACCTAGGCCTGCAGCCGCTTGTTCAGCATACTCTGCGGCGCGAACACAGAGTCTTGCGAATAGCAGAGCGCGCACTTTTGGGATCTCAGGTGCATGGACCATCCACTCTTTGTCATTCGGATTGCGCGACTGGATACACGCCGCAACATACGCATCATCCTTAAGGACAGCCAGTAAAGTAGCCTCTGCCATGGCTAGAGACGACAGAGCTGACTGTGTACCAGCCTCGAGCTCCGGTACTGTTGACACAGTAGCTGCGGTGAAAGTTGGCGATGACGCGAGCAGATTGTGCACCGAGCTAGCCTGTAGTAGATACTTCGTTGCGGTCTGCACAGCAGCAGTACGGACATCTGGGGACGGGGTAGACGATGCGTATAGCACAGCGACAACTCCCGCGCGTGCCATCCTACTCAGTACATACCCCAGAGTTGTGAGCGTAAACGCCAATTCGAAGTGGATTCCTCGGCCAGAGACTCTCCCATTCCGCGTGCGGATACCGTTTCCGCTTGTGGTATTTACACCGGGCCCAAAATTCAACCCGGTTGAGGATGACAACGTATATCTCCATGCTGACTCTATCTCCGCATGGATCGTGATGTCGACTATTTCGCCGGTGCGGAGATTCGTGCCGCCTGACGTATAGCCGTCTTGGGGAGCAGAGGAATATGTATCGGTTGTGACGGAGCGACCATTCAGTCCATTTGAGATTGCGAACAGGAAGGGAATGTATTCATTCAAGGCGCCCAGAACTGTGGGTAGGTGGGCATCCTGGCGCGGGCCGCGGGGTAAGCGCTTGTGGGCCTTAAGTGCGAGGCGCAGAGCATGGCGGGTAGTTGAGGCTGATTGGGGGAGAGATGGGTGAGTGTTAGAAGAGATGAATGATTGAAATGAGAGCGGCGAGGTAGTTGGGAGGATAAATGCGTAGACCATGGTGAACTGGGGAGTTGGAGAAGGGAGGACTCGGGGAATTGGAGCTGATGTCACTGCCAAGACCTTCCAAGATTGGAACAACAACACTTCATATACAAGAATAGTCGTCAAGCATTTTCTTAGAAGTCTTTTATATTAGTCTTCTCAGATCAGTCTTTTTGGATGTCCGATTTTATAGTCATTTTCTCTTCCTTCTCAATCCGCTAGGTACCACGGCGGAAAATGACTTTAATTGTGAAAATGACTTTTCTATGTATAAGTAGGTCTAGGAACTAGGAATATAACTACTTATTAATATTGCAGGTCTAATTTACACGATTAGACGAAACAGTTACACGATACAAAAGAATATAACAAGCAAACAGATAATTCTAAAGTTTAACCTATAAATCCAACATGCAAGACACATAACAGAACGCAGGAGATTCACCACATTGCACTTGAAGAAAAAACGACCTTGCCTATCAGGGAACTGCTCCTGCAGGTGCTGGAACTAGTCTATTGTCTGGTAACAGACTGGTCATTTGAAGTGCAGTTGGCACGGGCAGAACCATTGAAGATGGGGGCAAGTCGCTAAAATAGGTCCTCCACGAGCCATCGGGAACCGACGCTGAAAACATCCTGTGTCGTGGCCACGGACCATTCAATCGCAGCTTTGGTGCAGTGAGATCGTCATCGAGAACAACGACTTGGATTGGATGCCATGCGGGGGACAAGAAGGCATTGGTAGATTTATCCAACATGTTAACGTAAAGTCGGACGCAGATGTTATAATCGACTGCCCCATTAGCGAGGGTTAAGGCCACCGTTCCTAACATTGCTGGAGAAGGGGGCGTATTTCCAATGGGATCGGCATTGTAATTCACGAGTCGCTCCACGTCGCTTTTATTTAGTTGCATGAGACTAGCCCCCGTATCATCCAGGAAGATAAGTTCAACGGGCTTAGCTGGCCCTCTAGCCAGATCTTTAATTTTCACATGGATTTTCATCTTCAAATCAAGTTAGACACAAAAACATTGTTATAGGCATCTGTCCTTACCTCGCTTGTAAATGCTGTAAATTGCGTAGTTGCCCATGATACCATTTGGTTCACTGGTCCTGGTCCTTCAAGCTACGCATATTAGTTTCCGACTAGTTCGAGCATTTTTGAAGAGACATACCCCTTCTACCCAAAAGCCTGTGTGACCGGCATGTTCAGCATTGATGAGATCAAATTCATCCCACTTGAAAGGCCTCGGCTGGCAGAGTTGAACGCCTTTAGACCAGTAGGTAACAAGACCCGGATTCCATCTCAATTGACCCGATCTATATGCTGCCATAATGTTTGTCACATTTGCAACTAGCTCGTACTTGTCATCCTCGCTCTGAAGCCATTTTAAAGTGCCTCCGAGGGTTTGCAAGCGTTGGACGACAGGCCAACTCAGTCCAGCCGGCTCCAACGCCATCATCGCACTAATGATTTGAGTTAGACAAAAACAGTTGACGGAAAGATTCACAGGAATACTCACTCGCGACGTTTCTGCTGTTGCAATAAATCCTCCAGCTTGAATTGAAACTCCTGGCTCATGATATTATCACTGATCCGCTCATGGCATCTTGCAATCTGAGATTTCAAATCACTAAACAGAACATGTTAGTATCCACACATGCTGCTATAGCGGGAAAGACGTACTCAGGATGAAGATCCGGTTCATCGGAATTCCAACCTATTGGCGCATCCGTGATGTTGACAATTGGATTCGTTGCTGGCTGTTGCCATCTTTTCTGCCGTTTTGGCAGTGTCGGTTGTGGAATTTGGCCTTCATAGGATTGTTTCAAATCTAATGCAAGTGCGGCCGGATCCAAAGGTAGAGGCATAACGACAGGGATGGGAACAGGGACAGTATCAGGGGCAGGACCAGGGATATTCAAGCCCATTGCATCTGTCTCGGTATGATCCTTCCCTTTGCGCTGTTTCCGGGCCGAAGCAGTAGAACCGGGCTTTCTCTTTCCTATGGAAGAGGCCGGGGCATAGTGACCCTCTGGCTTTTTAGCAGCGGCTCGCCGAGGACGATTCATTTGGAAGAACGAGACGATAGGAACAGTATGAGATGCTCCAGGTGAGGAACCTTATTGCAAAATCAGATAATTCTGACATGTTTGGGGTCGAGTCTTGGGGGAGATATTTGTACTTCAGGACTACACTACCTACGTACATACAACCATGCCCAAACAAAGCAACTAGGATTGAAGAAAAGCCCGCGAGGTTCAAAAGCAACGGCGTAATAATACGACCTCAAAGAAATGGTTTGAAGGATAGTTGAGTTTATATGAAAGAAGATGGGGAATCCAGGTTCTTTGATCATCGGTGCCCTTGGCAGAACTAGCAAGCGTGTCCGTTTTTGGTAGTCCTTTTAGTCTTTTTAGGAGACTTTTTTAGATATTTCCCCCCTTGGTGTTCTTATTGAAAATGGCTTGTAACTTAAGTATATAGAGGATTGGTGCGATATTGGTGGATTCAGATGTATAAAATACTCATACTACAAACTGTAATGCAGGCAGAATCTGAACTGGTGCACTGCCGGTATTAGGCTGACGTAGACTGGCATAGACTGGCGTAGTGTCCGGATATGTTTGACAAAGAGCTTCAACTCGAAACCAAAACTACACTGTTCAAAGTAAAAGACGATCAAATCTCAATGTTTCTTTAAGCCATAGCATATCAAAGAACTTGAGCTTGTGGTTCTTTTCTTAGTTCCTCGCATTTCATTGAGATAATCCTGTGAGTCACCTCGGCCTTGCTTTCACATTACTTTTGAGAAGAAAAGCCGAGAGACCAGTCGGTTTATTCGGCGAGTGTCGTTCTCACTCAAGAGACTTTGAAGTGTTCGCACGAGAATAAATAACCAAAATTTCTTCTCTCAAATTAGGACACAGAGTTTCTCATGTGTATGTTCGAGCTTTCTTGCAAGATGTGGATGAACGAGGTTGACCTTATGGTAGCTGAGCCAAATGAGAGACAAAGAGATTAGTACTAGTGTGGAATGATATATTTAGCAAATGACCTTGGAGGGTCTTTGTGAGACTCAGCTTTATCCCCAAGAGACTGACTGGTTATGGTCGTGCTCTGATTGCAAGTATGATTCCCTAGTGGTATTGTTGATGGGGCTCCAAAATACATTTTCAATAATTCACCGATTCTTGGTCTATAATATACCATTAGGGGTAAATATTCATGATGTCGGCCTTAGCGGTTTATTTCTTTTTACATGGTATTTCTCCAAGTTGAAAAGGACACGAGATACGACACTTGAGCTACATGTGGATGGGCTTCTACATCACGAGCAATAGAGCAATGCCGTGTCTCCTTACTCACGCTCTCTGAACTGACATTTAACTCTAGGATACTCGATACGTTGCACTACTAACATTACATCCACAACAATGCCCCCGATCCCCGTGTTTGGACCGGGGCTTGAGGCGGACTACACCAAGATAGTCCAGATTGTGGGAACGCAGATTGACACTCTGACATACAAGGCATGGCGACACCAAGAAGTGATTGAAAAACTGGAAAGCCTATGTCACGACCTGGTATTTCAAGCAACCTGCGATGAACGCAAGTCTCGCAGCCATCTTCTTGGGTATGCCCAATTCCGACGTTTCTCCATGACACTCAGACTTTGGTTACCCGAGGCAATCCTCGTCCTCAGGAGTGACTGGACCAGTCGTCAGATAAGTAACCGGACCTTCGATTGGATGAGAGAGAATGTGATTGAATACAGGGCAACTTGTATTCTCAAGGAGGCACTTCTTGCCGTACAATCAACTGACTGGTATCTTTGAAATGGGTTGCTTGGAGGATCAATTGCTATAGAATGCATTGGAGAGTTAAATTTACTACTGAGTACTTCTGAAACATACATCTAAATGAAGTCTCGGATTGTAGATACTTCCATAAATGATTTATTTCGTGTACATTGTTCCCCCTCTAAGGAGTACGTCGAATCTACGTAGAAGAAATCCAACGCTGGTATGGCGCTTTTTGAAATCCTAGTGGGTGTTGAATTCAGATATTCATAGAGAGAGTTGAATACATTCTGGTAACTGCAAAGTATTCATGGATATGGGATCCATATCAAAACACCCGAGCCAAATATTCCTTGGACTATGCCCAAACACCGAGAAAGAACCCAATTCCTCATCTGAATAAATCCTACGATCAATGTCAGAAGGGGGAGATAGCCCGAACCAGGGGACAAGCGGAGTTGAAGGAGCTCGTCGCCGACAGTACCAGTGCTCGACTTGGACGTCGAACTAGCTGTGGTCACGGAGCTCGCTGCTGACGTCGAATTGGAACGCAAGACAGTGCTTTTGGGTTCAGCAGACGAGGTCGTGGGGAGGATGTTACCGGAACTGGAAGAAATGGTTGTACCACCGAAAAGCCCGGAGGACCAGAGCGAAGAGGAAACATCCATAGGGGAAGATACTGGTTGAAGTTCCTGACCTGGCCGCACTCGAAGTGACGGTTGAGGAGATAGAAATCTCATTTTGCGATGCCGAAGATGAGGCCGTAGTAGATAAAACCGTAGAAGACGAAGTCAATGAGGCAGTATCGGTAGTGGCTGAAGTACCGAAACTAGTCGAACTTGAAGTCTCGCCCGAGGAGACGCCACCATTTATCTCAATACTGTCCGCAGAGCCAGATTTGTCGGGATAGACATAGCTCTCCGCCGGGGTGTAGTTGACAATCTCGACCGACTTAACATACATCGTGAACGGTGCCTTGGAGAAATCAGTCTCGCCGCCAGCCCAGTCGATCGTGCCCTTGATTCTGTTCGGATCACCTCCAGCCCAGATACCAATTCGAACGCGCATCGGTGTTTGTGGGAAGCGAGTGCCTCCCTTCGCATCAGCATAGTCGACTGTCCGAACAACGGTGCCGTCAATCGCCCATGACATTTTTTCCTTGGACCAAATCCAAGTGTATTTATGGAGCACTTCTTGCGGGGTCATCACAGGTTGCCAGGTCCAGCGATTGTAATCCTCGCTGGTATCACCCTTGCCGAAATAATCTGTCTGTATTTTGTCGATAGAACCACCCAGTGCTTCCTATATAATCATCAGCAGATACATTCCCAGGGGGACGCAATGCAAGTTAGAGCTCACCCAGTCAATCTCATCGTTGTCGTCGGACAACATGTAAACGGAGCTGACAATGCCAGTACCTGGAGAGGCCTTCATCTCGACGGATACCTCGCCATAGAAGATGTAGTAGTCTGTTACGATTGTCGGGGCATCACCTTGCTTGTGGATCGTGAACTCTGCACCATCGGGTCCAGTGACTACCGCTCCACCAAGTGCTGTCCATTCATTCAAAGCCGAAGCCTGGGTCAAGTCGTAGTTGATATGACCTTTGGTGGTACCCTTGTTAGACGGGCAGGTTTTGTCGAAGGCATTACAGTCTGGGGCTTTCTGAGCAAGCACGAGGGAAATTGTGGCAGCCAGGGCTGCAAAGAGGAGGCGATACTGCATGATGGAGATGGATCAGTTGCTGTGTAGAACAGACGTGTCTCGTCGACAAGAGAGACGAGACGAGGAGTGACAAATTGGCGAGTGATAGGTAAACAAAGCAAGCGGATTAGGATTCGCGCACGAGAGAAAACCTAAAGGGGTTTCTTTTGGTGAGGGCTTCCCAGTTGATGCAAACACTGCACTTATGCCTACAGGCTCAGGTCTTGTTCTAGCATTTGCATTGAGACCGATGGGCTAACTATGCAGTTACGTAAATGTAGCCATTAACCTTGGAAAGGATCAAAGATCGAGCGGAGGAAAATTATGATTGAACTTCCATAAGAATATCGAGGTTGTCTCTATCCATATGCAATGCGCTCAAAGACAGGCCTAACGGGGCCTCAATATAGAGCGAGTCCAACTACTTTGGCAAGGACATCACTTGCCTGCCATTTCCTGGAGCCAACGGCCAAGACCTAGCTGCAGATGGACCAGGGAAATGAAGTGCTTGTCAAAGTAGTTGACCTCGATCTAAGTTGGTTCCCCTAGTACTAGGATGGTCCTATATTGCGCGAATATTGTCAGCAAAAGTACAATAATTGAATAGTGGATCCCATTGTCTTCATTTCATAGGAGATTGCACACGCCCCAAAATAAGCTTCCTCAGCAAAGGAGAAAATCACGAACGGAAGAGGAAGCCGAAGAGGCGAGCTGGTATTTTAAATACTCCCCAGGGCTATTTTGTGACTTTAATAATAATCCACTGCGTCTTTTTCGATTTTTCCTTTTCCACTTTTTAATTTCCTCGAGTTCTCTCTATCAACAGACATAGCCAATGATCGGATATTGTTCCTGATCTGTTCCTCGGAGCGGATGCTGGCGGGCTAAACATAGTAGCGTAGCCAATTGGCATCGTGAAAATAACCGGGTAATTACGCTGCCAGTGGGCCTTAAAATAACAAGCTAACGCAATACGGCAGTTTAATTTGCGCTAAGGAGCTAGCTAGTATATAGTGCAGAGTCAAGCTTCGTAAAAGCTTTCCTTCGGACTCGGAGATAGTGTCAGACTCCATAGCTTCAATCTCAACTGGATGAGTCCTCTGCGACACATTTTGGCGCTAAGCTCGACTAAGTATGGGCAAGGTTCTAATTACAGCTGGAATTGTTGATGCCTTTAGCCTGCTATCTCGCTTATTGACCTCCCTAATCTTGATTTTGCTAGCAGTCATGGCGGATTTTTCGGCCATTAAACTCACATCCACAGACTCCTTTATCTCCTTTTATGGACGATCTTCTTAGAGCCCGACTTCTGCACATCCATTCCTTCCTGCTAGCGTGAGACTTCCGCTACAGAAATTACGATATAAAGCGGCATTGTGCGGGCTAGGGTCGGACCGAGCATATTGCGTTGATACAGAACTCCGACATCATGAGGTCCTGGTTCTCATTCTCCCTTTTGGCCCTGACTACGATTGTCGGAGTCATCAATGCCAATGCCGAATATACCGGAACGGATTGCAACCCCCTCAACAAGACATGCAGTGCGGATCCCGCCCTCGGAACCGAGCACACATGGCTGTTCAACTCAACTCTTGACACCGAGCTCTGGGACATGAAAACCGGAACTCTGGACTACACATCTGAAGGAGCCGACTTCAGCATCAAAACCGAAAACGCGTCAACTCTCCTAGTGTCCAACTTCTACATTTTCTTCGGTGTGATGGAAGCGCACGTCAAGATGGCCAAGGGAGCCGGCATCATCAGCAGTGTTATTCTACAATCTGACGACCTGGACGAGATCGACTGGGAGTGGGTTGGGTATAACACGAGCGGAGTGCAATCTGATTTCTTTGGCAAGGGGAATACAACCACGAGTGATCGTGGCGGATATCATGCGGTTGCAAATGCAGATACCGAGTTCCACAACTACACCTCGTACTGGGATAAAGACCGTCTGGAATGGTGGATTGATGGCGACTTGGTGCGGACAGTGAACTATTCCGAGCCGTTGACTGTGTATGGCAAAAACTACCCCCAGACACCTTGTCAGGTCAAGATTAGCAATTGGCCGGTTGGAGTCAAGGGACAGTCGCAAGGCAATCTCGACTGGGGTGGTGGTTTGGTTGACTGGTCCAGTGTCCCGTTCACTATGACTGTATCAAAGATCCGTGTTCAGGATTTTTCCAGTGGAAAGGAGTACAAGTACAACGGAAATACGGGCACCCGTGAGAGTATTGAGGTGGTCAGGTGAGTTTTATTTTGGATCCAGAATTCAGCGATTTTGAGACTAACTTCAAATCGCAGTGGAAACTCAACCGCCGTAACACAAATCAACAAGGCACCAGCCAAGACACTATCCCAGAAATGGGATGATCTTGGCCAGGGGGCTCATATCGGTGTGTACTGCGGTGCAGGTGTTGCTGGTGCTCTTATCCTTGGCGCATTTATATTTTATTGTTTGAAGCAACGCCGGAGCGGCCGTCTACAACGCGCCTTGAACGATGGTGAATACAATGCAGAGCTCACGACGTTGGAGCAGTCAAAGTTGAGATGGAGGCAAAGTGAATTGCGTAGCAAAGGCAGCTACCAGCCGGTTCCTTAACCAGCTTCATTTGTGGATAATGTTTCGGTCATATTTATTAATTTAATGTCTCACATTCTTGTATATCCCGTGTAATGAGTTCGAAGCAGGACTTTATCGTCAATAACCGCAGTGTATCATACTATTTTACCTTGGGCGTTTTCTCTATACAATTGAGGGTATTGATTTCTATTCAAAGTATGAACAAAGAATGGCTTGGATATCAGGCACAACATACATATGCATGGATAGGGGGACTTCTGGACTATGAGAAAGTACCTAAACCACTGGGCACTTTCATCTTCCTACATAGAACATGGAAGAACCTTGGAATACTCGGCCGCTTGTGCGGCCTTGTGACGTCCTTTTTTATAGATATTTCCCACTTATTGGTGTTGTAACTAGAATATACGCGGTGAAAATGGATTAATTGGTGTTCAATACTACAGATGCTAAAAGGTTGCTGTTCGCCATTCAAAGATTTGATATTTCTTGAAGCATTTTTGAGCTACTATTCGATAGGGATAAGGACGTGTAGATCATATGGCGTACTTCTCGTGTTGCAGTTCCTAGGACAGGCAGAGAAATGCAATATCGGAATTCCACATTTGTGATCCACGCAGGATATGATATCCTCTCAAATGCTCGGGTGCAAACAGAAGTGAAATCAGCCAGATAATTGAGTCAGCAATGCATATCAGTCCATGATCAAACGAAATACTGGTAATTTGTAACCCCAGACCAGACTGAATCCACTTGCAACTCCACATCAACCTTTCATACCAATCCCATTAGATATTGTGGGATGTATGGGCATGGTTCTGGTGGTTGAGTTATCAAAAGAGATATGTCTGCTTCGGATAGTGAAGTGGGGGCGATGATCATGCCTCGAGTCAATTCGAAACAACGTCGGCGACCACTGGGGAGGACGGGATTTGATTGTCCCAGCAGATGGCGGTGGGGGGTGTTTGTGCTTCAAATACGGAAGTAGAGATGAAAGACAATGCAACCGGAAGGACAACCGGAAAGTGTGACATGTCGGCTCAGGTCTGGGCACATTTGTGAAGTAGAGATTCAAGCTTTGTGACTTCTTCAAAAGTCAAGAAATCCATGAGGCCGTGTCGAGCCTTTCACGCCCCCATCGCTTCATCATCTGAGAGATGACTCGGTGCGCTGCTCACACCTGAGCTGTCACTGTCCGTCGCCTCTGAAGCCCGGGCACGAACCTGCACACCCCAGTCTTGGATGCTGGGGGCACCCCCCTCAATGACGACAGGGTGTTCCTCGGCATGTTTTCCCAGGACAGTTCCAGCGTAACGGGATTCCTCGCCCGTCTTACTGTGTTTCTTCTTCAATGCGGTCAGGTAATCCTCCTTTTCAACAGCGTCAGGGTCCACCATGTCACCCTCGCTGGGCACAAAGCCGGCAACACGTCGGATTTCACGGTGGGCAGGGCCAGTGATCCAGCCAAGGAAGGCATCAAGACCACGCATATCTTCTTCTCCCTGCCATTCCTCTTCCCATTCGCGTAATTGTGGTCGTATGGCTCCTGCGTCCTGCAGAGCTTGGTAGATGTCTTCGAGGTCCGGAACTGGGTCGTATGGGTGTGCATTTGCGGCATGCTCGGCGGCAGATGAGGCGAGGATGATCAGATACCGCCCAGTCAGGTCCTGGATAGACTCTAAGACTGAGGGGCGTGTCGAGTGGAAGCCTTGAGCACGGAGGATTTGGATGATCGGAGGGCGGAGGAGAGCGTTGTGAAGGTTTGGGCCTGACATTATGGACAGGCAACAGCAGGACAAGCAACAGCAGAGGATTTTGTTGGGATGAAAACAAGGGCGATTAACATATCCTCGGTGAAGAGAGGTAGAGCAAGATGAGGGAAATGTGAAAGAAAAAAAACGTAAAGGAGTGTTGAAGAGAGCGGGTGTTTGGGCGGATCCAAGGCGGAGAATATGCCGAAAGCTAGGTTGATTCGTCAAGCCGTTGGGACGCCCAGACTTCAGCCGCCAGATTCTCCATGTCCTGATGACTTATGATAAAGTCAGTTTCGTTTGGCCCTTTAGGCCTCAGGTGGATTTGTTCAAATGGCAGTTTCATACTGCCTTGGATCTTTTCGGTCTTGGGTGCTGGGTCTTTCGTTATTTCAATTTTCTGAACCTGGACTGGACCCCGGGCACCACTCCTCCATTGCCGAATTAAAATCCTTCCGCGCTCACATATATTGATAGTGAGCACAATGTTCACCTGCCCATGACACTGGTTTAACCAGAACTCCACATCTTGTATCAGCTTCCACCCGGGCTCTGACCACGCGACTTCAACTGCGATGGTCGGCCATTTTCGATTAAGCCCTGGATGGGCCGGCGTCCAGGAGCAGTCTGCTTTCTTCTTCTTGTTCAAGCTACCTCTGAAGATATTCGTAGCTGTACTAACGAGGGGACGATTTGGATCAAAGGGTCCTCTCCACGTAAGGAATATTTGGGTGAAAGCAGCAGTTGCTGTTGCATGTGGTCCAGACTCCATTATTTTAACGAGAAGAAGTTTAATAGAAGGATCGTAGAACTCCCATGATTTTCGAAGCTCTCTCTCTTCGGAATTCTCAAAACAATCAAGGAAGGCACGCTCGTCAATAGTGAAAAAAACATATGGGAATGAATCCATGTTCTTTTCGTATTGCTCTTGTTTCTGATCTAATATCTGGAGACAATCCTGTATTCCCTTAAACTCGTATTTTGCGATAGAAGGAAGAACGTCTTTATAAGACATGATGCTGGTGACCAAGTTGGACGAAATTTTAGTGTAAAAGATGGCCAAACCATAAGAAATATATATTCTACCTATATATATATAGAAAATGTAGGCCTAAGTTCTCTAAGTGGCAATGACAAAATAAGATCATCATCTACCTAGGTAGCTCATCTCCTTACCTAGTGGTCCACAGGCACAACCAGCCCTGTATTAAGAAGATAAGCTAAATGATGATCTTATTTCGTCATTTTTGCCATTACATTTTTTATATATATATATATATATATAGGTAGATGCATATTTTTTATATACTAGTTTATCACCGGCATCATGTCCCCTTCTATCGCAAAATACGAGTTTAAGGGAATACAGGATTGTCTCCAGATTTTAGATCAGAAACATGAGCAATTTGAAAAGAATATGGATCCATTCCCATATGTTATTTTTACTATTGATAAGCGTTCCTTCCTCGATTGTTTTGAGAATACCGAAGAGACAAAGCTCAGAAACTCATGGGAGAGATATGATCCTTCTATCAATGAACTTCTTATCAAAATGCCGACCAGCCAGATTCATGAAGCAGCAGTTACTAGTTTCAGGTTCATATTCGAATCATGGAACACAACCTGTGACTCCAATTTTCCTCTTGACGAGACGGGTTCAACGATATTCAGAGGTAGTTCGGGGGTCAGTAAATCTGCAGATTGCTCTTGGACTCCAACACATTCAGTCTCAGGCCTAGATCGGGGAATGCCCACTATAGCAGTGGAGGTGGCCTGGTCGGAGCCACCAGGGAAGATAGTGGAAGACGTCAAGTTCTGGCTCACTCAATCTTCGGATAAAGTCAATGTTGTACTAACAATAAGAGTACACAAACGCGGTAGGATTTCTATCCAACAATGGAAGATGGATAGTCGTCAAAGGCCCTACCCAACACAGAAGATTGAGATCACCCCAGAGCCAGCACCAAATTGCAAGCAGGTGGAAGGGAGATTGAGCCTCCCTTTTGAACAAATACACCTGAGAGCCAAACGGAAGGGCGAAACTGACTTCATGATGAGTCAGCGTGATATGGTGAAGCTGGCCAATCGAGTCTGGCGTGCCCAGTCCCTGTCTCATCGTCCCTAAGACCGCCCAAACACCCGCACCTCCCATCCTGTCTTATCTCTTAGTCTTCTCGCACTCGCTACCTCTCAGGTACCTCTCATATTGGCATCATGCCTTTAAAGATCAAATTCTCAAGGAGGCCAGACCCCCCGCCAGCAGAAGAACCAGCGCCCGTACCTGCACCCGTGCCTGCGCCTGCACCCCCAGCCGAAACTCCTCAACCCCCGCGCAAAATCACGCTTAAGATCGCACGAAAATCACAACCCGACTCGAATGAAGAGAAACCAAAGAAGAAGAAATCGACAAAGAAGCGACCGGCCGAAAGTGTCGCGCTGCCCGAGCTCGAGCCCGAGCCCGAACCCGAGACGAGCCAACAAGGCCCCAAGCGAATAAAGCTGATCCCATCCAAGAAGCCTACCTTACAGTCGATCCGCATCAAAAACAAGGGAATCGTCCCCAACCGACCGGTGGGCGTTGGATATGACTCCGAAGCGTCGGACACCGAAAATGATCCTGCCATCGAAGAACAATTCATCTTACGAATGCTCCCAGGAGAGGACTGCGATATTGTGAGGAAAGCAATCACCGAAAGGACATTTAAGGGTGACATCGGGATCAAAGCCCTCACACGTGAGGGCCGGCGCTCCATCTTGAATGTTCGGGGCCGCCAATATGCGGCAGCGCTAGTGGATCTACCCTGCATCATCGAGGGTATGAAGAGTTGGGACCGACGAGGCTGGTACAAGTCGGCAGATATCTGTCAAATGCTCTTGGTGTTGGGACGCGTCAACAGTGACCAAGAAGCTTTGGAATACCCACTCCCCCCGGGCGTTGACTCCCCCGACGAAAAGACACTCCAATATGCACACGGCGTCGCACCACCCCTCCGCTGGGTTCGCAAGCGACGATTCCGCGACCGCGTTAGCACCCGCACAATCGAACAGGTTGAAAAGGCCGTGGAAGAACTCATGGCCCAGGACGAGACTTCGATTTTCCCTCCCAAGTTCGAGTTGGTGGACAGCACATCCCTGAATCGCGTCGAGGGCTTGGTGCAATCGGGACAATACGAAGATGAATACGACGACGAGCAGGATGCATACGGTGAAGCGGAAGAAGAGATGATGGACGACTTCGAGGACGCCCTTGCTGCCGAGATGGAAGCCGCATTGGCTGCCGGCGATGATGAGGCACCGGGTCCAGGACCAGGGCAGGTAAACACTCCGTCCATGCCTTTCACACCAGCCGGAGGACCGACCGAACGCGGTGACACCTCTGCCGATGAGAGCAATATATCCGACGAGGACGAGGAAGATGAGCTGGATGACGATCAAATCGAGCAGCAACAACAGCTCCAGCAACAGCGCGAGGAAGTCGCCGAGCTCGAAGCTCTTATCAGCACTGAGACCGCACAGTGGGAGAAGGTACAGAATCATATTCTGCGCAACAAGATGGGCCGACGTATCCAGGAACTGAAGAAGGACCTGCAACTGAAAAAGGTCTCTATGGGCATGCCAGCCGGGGACGATATCTGAGCTTCCATCCTCTTCACATCCTATGTTCCATGTTGGAATTTTTCGGCGTTACCGTTTCAATAATCATACCCAGTTTGTCTGACCGAGTGCGAGTCCGGTCTCTTTATGTTGATACAAGCAGCGCTTAGCTAGCTCGAAATACTTAATGAAAGTTATGTCCAAATCTCCCAAGGACCACATAGATCACGCCGCTTTCAACACCATCCCAAGATCAAATCCAAATCATTGCCGGGATAAGTACATTATCTATTTACCCACTACCGGATGACCAGTAGCCTGTTTAACCGTCCCCTCCACATCCAACCTCTCATCCCGCTCCACCGTACGTCGTCTAACAGCCTCCCTCTCAGCAACATCCCCCTCCGGCTCAGCCGGACTCCTCCCAACCCTATCACCAAGCATCCGATCATGCTCAACCCTCTTCGCCCCCAAATTCGCCGCCAAATCATCCGCTTCCCCGAAACCAGGATGCCCAGGCCCACCCGCGCTCCCAACAGGACCAGCATGAGCACCAGCCTGCGCACGCTGCATCCCCATCCCCTTACGCTGAACCGTATCCGCGATATACCCCTCAGCGGGCTGCTGCTCCACTCCGTATTCTAGGTCGACGTCGGGTGCATTGTGCAGTTCTTGTTCGTGTTCTTGGAGCTGTGCGCTCAGGCGAGCTCGTTCTTCGTCGCTTGAGGGTCGGGACTCTGCTGTCCGTTTAATTGCCCCGATTGTGTCGCCGTGGTGTCGGCCCGGTTCGGTGGTTGCTCGTTGCTCTTGTGGCGTGTGGGAGACGGGATTCGAGGACTGGGCGTAGGTGGCTTCTTTTGGGGGCTGGGAAGGTTGGTCTTGGGTTTGTGAGCGGGTTTGCATGGTGATTGAGGTGATGATCTAGATTTATATTTTAATAGGGGAGAATATGTTCAAGGAGTTTGAAGAGTGTAACTGAACGGCTGAAGAAAGTGACAGCTATGTACCCACTTGTGACGTCAGGGTCTCGACCAATGAGAGTAGAGTTGAAGTACAACAATGTTATGGGTTGGAATCCCTACTGTGCATAATGTTACCTTTTAGATAAGAGTACATACTTTGTAGTGAATAATATCCTCTCAGTACTTAGCCACGTACAGAGTCCCTACTAAATAAATGCGACCCATCAAGGCTACTAAAGCGTCCACTTTCCCAGTCAACAACGCCATGGTCCGCACAGATCGTCGTATTGACCCAAACTGTCGGGACTCCCAAACTCTCCCAAACTCTCCCAAACAACATCCCATCCCGTCTATCCCCGTCCAAGTGGCGCTACCAACTGATTGTAGACTAACTCGAACTGTAATCCCACAAATCAAATAGACCAGGGCCCGGGTATGTCACCCAACCCCCTAACCCAGTTGGACGAAGTCCGAGTCATTAGGGGAACCTTGTTCGACTCCACACACGGGCAGCTTCTCCCCACTCGCTTACTCGCGATGTTCTTCTCCCTATTTTTCACACAGGCAGAACAGAACAACCCATATATACTCTATGGCTAAACAACTCTACTATTTGCCTCGCGGCTCGCGGATCCTGGTGACTGGCGCTAATGGCTTCATTGGGAGTAATGTTGTCCACAGTCTGCTTGAACTGGGGTTCAAGGTTCGCGGGACTGTCCGCTCACCCAAACCATGGCTCGATGAGATGTTCCGGGGCAAGTTCGGGCGGGACTCGTATGAGTCTGTTATTCTTGCTAACTTTGAGAATGTGGATACGCTTGTTGAAGTTATGGATGGTGTATCCGGGGTTGCGCATGTGGTATGTTTTGGCCTGTTTGCCAGTGGAAATGGGATTTGAGGACGAGCATATGTGCTAACGAGAGGTTGGGATGTGTAGGCATCAGATGTCAGCTTCAGCTCGAATCCGGAAGAAGTTGTGCCGTGGGTGTTGAGAGCTATTCATAATTTGCTGGATGCTGCATCGAGACATCGTGATATTCAGCGGGTTGTCATGACCTCTTCTGCGATCACGGCGTTGGTTCCGGAGCCGAATAAGGAGGGTATTGTTGTTCGTGAGGGTGGGAGACCAGTTGCCAGAGAAGAGAATGAAAGGATGTATTGGCTAATCCTGTATCTAGATTCCTGGAATGACGAGGCTATCAAGCAAGCCTATAATCCGGATGTTCCAGAGCAAATGAAGGGTTTGTTCAGCTATGCTGCCTCCAAGACCGAGGGAGAGAAGGCAGCATGGCGATGGATGGAGAAGAACAAGCCAGACTTCCAATTCAATACCGTGTTGCCAGATTTTACCGTGAGTTCTTTCTATGCTGGGGTGGCAGACCATTCGAATCTGATGATATTGACTCCAATAGCTCGGGAGAATCCTACACGAAGAGATCCCCGGCTCGACAATGGGCTGGGTCTCTGGCCTAGCCAAGGGGGATAGACGTATTTTCGAGACATTTGTGCCGCGTAAGTTGACACGCTGTGGGATTGATATTTCACTATAGCTGATGTACAAGAAACAGAATACTTCTGCGATGTCATCGACATTGCACGTCTCCACGTAGCAGCCCTCCTCGACCCAAATACGGTCTCTCGGCGACTCTTCGGGTTCGCTACTCCCGTGAACCTCACTGATATGATCTCGGTCGTTCGAAAGCTCCGACCTAATAATACTTTGATTCCTGACCCTCCTGTTGACGAGGGACGTGATCTCAGTGAAGTTATCCCCGCCAAGGACGCAGAAAGGCTCCTGCGGGAATTCTGTGGGCGGAAAGGGTGGACTTCGTTGGAGGACAGCATTGCCCAAGGACTTGAGGTGTCTCGAAAGTCGTTGTCTTCGTTGTAGCGTTTCACCTTTCAGCTGACAGAGTCCATTAATCTCCCAAGTACATATGCACGAATAAGAAATGGCGTTGTTTTTCAAGCTCCTGCGAAACAGGTGACATTCTCTCATTTCGCAGTCTCCGAGTCCTTTCCACGAACTGCTGCCTTCTTGCTGGATTTCTTCACCGTAGGTGTTGAACCTTTATTTTGGGGTCTTTTTGAGCACCTTGACCGCGTGCAATACGCCTCACTGTTGACCTCGAAAGTCCCCCATCTACACTGGCCGCAATAGCAGCCCAACTGGGCCGATCATCTTTCCTCGCCAAGCGCGCAATGTATCGTGTAGTCTGGTCGCTCAACTCAGAAGGACGGCCTGATCTAGGCTTTGAGGTCATATCTTTGCGTTCTTGAAAGCGCGTTTTTGTGCAGTAAACAGTGGATCGCGCGACGCGTAGATCTTTTGCAATTTTGATGGCTGAATCGCCATTTTCAAGGGCTTTGACAATTGCTGCACGTGTGGTTGCAGATAACTCGGGGCTTGGAGCTGGCTTTGTGGCTTTTGTTGATTGAGCCATGGCTGGTGAAGTATCGTTGATTGTTGGAAAGATACAGGTTGGGGCCTTGAGATTTGCCGAGGGAATATTGATTGGCCAAAAATAAGTCACTCACCATCTTCGTACCATCATTTTAGGACAGTTTTCGGCAGCTTTGAAATTTGCAGACTTCACAGTTCGAAGATATCTTGCTACTACTGTACTATGGGAATGTTAAGTTACTGTGGCAAATTGACCACTGCTCTTCCCGTAATACCATCCTTCCTCAGCTTCTCTAACAAAGTCGGCACAGCCGAGAAATCAAAGACTTCGATCGATGGCACTATCTTCCCAGCAGCTGCCGCGTGCAGTAAGTCGGTCAACTGATCTTCAGTGCCCACAGACGACCCTATAAAGGTGAGACCTATCGTTCCGAGGGTTAGTATATGATTTTGGACAATTAGACCTCATCCAACAGTCGTCTTACCTCTCGCTGTGCAGAGCGTAGCCGAAAGAGGAATGTCCAAGTCATTCGGCGGCAAGCCAACATTGACAACAAAACCCATGTTTCGCACCAAGTTAGGTGCCATCTTCAATGCTTCCTTGGTCCCCGGCACAACGATTGTCGCATGCGCGCCCTCTCCAGTGACCTCACGCACTCGAGCAATGACATCTTCAGTCTTGTAATCGAAGAAAACCTCCGCTCCAGATTCCAAACTCAGCGCTCTCTTATCATCCCCACTATCAACAGCAATAACACGCAAGCCTTTCATCCTTGCGGCAATTTGCACACCAATATGGCCCAAACCCCCTCCAGACCCCGAAATAACAACAAAGTCCCCAGCCTGCAGCTCCTTATCAAGTTTCGACAAAGCCCCAACCATGGTAAGTCCAGCGCACAGCAAAGGTGCCGCAACTTCATCAGCCACACCCTCCGGGATCAGGGTTAGGAACCGTGCATCGGCGATAACATACTGCTGCAATGTTCCGGGGACATGACGACTTGTATTGAGCTGTTGCGCACAATGGTTCGGAAATCCCCGTTTGCAGACTGAGCATTCATTGCATGCATTGTAGAGCCATTTGATGCCGACGCGTTCGCCGACAAGGGATTCCGAGACTTCAGGGCCTGCTTTCACTACGGTTCCGACGCCTTCGTGGCCGATGATGGAGTTGTATGCGCCCCAGGCTAAAACGGCGCGGAGTTCTGAGCGGCTTTTTTTGGTGGGATTGAGTTAGTTTTTGGTGGGTTGAATTCATTTTCATGTAAGAGCTTACCATAGACCGGTGCATGTTAATTTAACGAGAACTTCATTTCGTCCGGGACTTGCGACAGGTATGTCGTTCTGAAGAGCAATTGTTGCATTTTCTCCGGGGTTTTGCACCACGGCGGCTTGTTGTAGAGTGGGTGTGGAATTTGCCATTGATGCGAGTAGTCTCAGATGACGTTGTTTATGTTACGGGGCGTTCAATCGGATGTCGTCAATATTCCCTATGGTCTGTTACACATTAACCCCGCCTTTTGCTTCTCCGATAGGAAGCACCGATGTTGAAGCCGGGTTTGGATGCAATTTGATCGAGCAGAGAACGATGTTCGGTTTGCCGAGGTAATTGATTCTCTTCGGTCAAGATATCGGCAAGTAGGTGACTGCTACTCCGTGATATTATTCCCATTGCTAGCGACATTTATATAGCTATCTAAGGATTATTCTTTTAGTTATGACACGGAGAAAGAATTTCCGGGAAAAAAAGGCATCTAAAAAGAACATCCAAAAAAGACATCGTAGGGTGATTTTATATATAACTAACGTGCCTAATATTATCTTAAGCCAAATAACTAAATCAGATCACTAAAGTCTTCGGGCACATATTCCTGTTTCTCTTCCCTTCCCTTTTGATCTTTCCAAAGACGCACTACTAAACAATCACCCGGACATTCGACAATTCTCGAATCGGCTATCTGTGCCTAGCTTTTACTCCCAAACCTATGTCCAGTCACTTTGGCAAGTTTACTGGCTTCCCATCCAGCACGTACGGGGTAGAGTGCCCCAGGGAAACTAAAGCCTTGGAGACTTGAACCCAGTCCTCCTGGTCCTTGACCGCTATCAGCCACTCAGGATCCGCCATAATCTTCTTGATGGTTTCCACATCGGGAAGTGTGTACTCGATGAAACAGTCGAAGTCAGCGAAATCCCAGCTCGGTCGGATCTGTCCAATTTCCTGCTGTAATGCGTCATTCATAGAAGGAGGTGTCACGAACTATATATCAGTAATCAGTCACAGTTGCACCTTAAAGTGGGGGCAATAACTACTTACGAGCGAGTATCCAAGGACCCCGTATTTAGTGAAGACGGGCATGGCAAGAGGTAGGTGCTCCTCGACCATCCACTTGATGAATGCCTCATGGGAGTGTTGTTCCTGGCGGTGGTGCGTAATTGTGAATTTTACAGGTCGGTTCTCTGGGACTTCACCCATCTTGATGGTCTTGCGTAGATAATAAGATGATGTCTGAAAAAAAGAAAAAAGAAGTTTGCCAACAATATATTGCTATGTGTGGCTTGCCGGTGGTACCCGGGGGCTCTCGGGAAGGCCTCATGCGGCAGCCAGACTTATCAGAGGTAATCCACAGATCCATGGTTTGGGAGCAAGTTTAATGCTTATGTAGGGTCGTGCTCAATGTTACTTAAAAAAGCAGCAAGGGATGAGCACCAAAACAGAAAGGGAAACTCATACCTCAGTCAAATAGAACATCTTCCCTATTCTAAGCTTATCCATACTCCACATGTAATACCTCTACAAGTGCCCACCTAAAGATTCGTGCAATTCCCATGATGCTTTTGATCATTTAAGATGGTCTCGTTTACGTCTTCAACATTTCAACCCCGATTTTATTACCCATAATAACATCCCTGCAGCAACTCAAAGTCGTCCGACACATCGTCATCTCCGGACCTTCAGGTGCCGGCAAAGGCACGCTGATCCAAAAGCTTTTAGACACCCCAATATATTTGGCCTCACCGTATCACGTACGACACGGAAGCCGCGACCAGGGGAAGTCAATGCCATCGATTACTTCTCTGACTCCCCCGCTGACTTCTCCTCCCTTCTCTCCCAAGGTGCTCTCGTGGAACACGCATGTTTTAGTGGCAAACACTACGGCACGAGCAAACAAACCATCAATGAGCAGGCCAGCAAAGGATTAGTTGTAGTGCTCGATATTGAGATACAGTGTGTTAAGCAGATGAAGGCAAATCCTAGCATAGATACGCGGTATGTTTTTATCAAACCACCGAGCTTTGGAGCTCTTGACGCGCGTCTTAGTGGCCGGGGTACTGAGAACGAAGAGGAGATTCAGCAGAGGCTCGCACGGGCTAAAGTCGAACTTGAATATGCCGACTCTTAGAGCAATGATAAGATCATTGTCAATGACAATGTGGAAAGGGCGTACCAGGAGCTTGATGGGTTTGTATTTGGGCTAGCATAACCTTTCTTTTTTTTTCTCAAAAATTAATCTTCAATCATACATTCCATTTCTTTTTATACTAGCTCGTACAATTTTTTTTAGCGCTGTTTACTACCTGTAACAGAAAAGGTGGGGTGGCGATCCGGGGAGATCAAGGTGTAAAGTGTAAACGTCTCCCAAGAGAAGCGTGAACTCCGAACTCCGGTACATTACCTCCAGCTCCTTGAACACAGACTGAAAATCTTCCGAGATAATCAAATATCACGAGCAATACTTTTTCCTCAATCAATTTGAATGGCTTCGTAGTCACGTGATGACATCATTGCAAGCATGTGATGCCGCCGCCGAGGTCTGATTAGTATTCAAGTCCCGAGGGAGAGCCGATCATATTTGAACAAGGTATCGTGTTTCCTCAACTTTCTTACTCCAAACATTCCCATCATGACGACTCTTTTCACCTTACCGATCAGCTCTACCGGAGGCTCGATCACCTGCACAAACCCTAGCACAGCGAAAGAGCATGAGACCATCTACGTGCTCACCTTTGTTTCACCCCCGGACAACCGACTGACACCCACTTTTATTGATGCTCTGCTGCTCGCCCTGGACATTGTCGAGCACCGCTACCCCAAGGGCGTCGTAGTCACTACTAGTGGAATTGCAAAGTTCTACAGCAATGGGCTCGATCTCGATATTCTCATGAAAACCGAAGGGTTCCTTGAGAAATGGCTGTGGAGATTGTTCCGACGCCTTTTGACGTATGTTTTGTTTGCACATCCTCAGTTTGAGAATCCAGTCTAGTCATGCATAATTTTCCAACAAGATAAAATACTGACATCCGCTCTAGATACCCCATGCCAACCGTGTGTCTACTGAATGGACATGCTTTTGCTGGCGGCTTCATGTTGGCCATGTACCATGATTACCGAATCATGAACCCGGACCGTGGTTTCCTCTGTGTCAACGAGCTGGAATTTGGCGTCCCGCTTCAGACACCCATGATGTCTATCTTCCGCGAGAAGCTGACGCCAGTCACTTTCAAAAGTGTGGTTCTAGAAGCTCATCGCTTTGGTGGACGCAGTGCCCTCCAGGCTGGTATCGTTGATGCTGTTGGTGGAGCCGAGGAAACGCTTGCGCTGATCCAGACCCGCAAGCTCCAGACTAAAGCCGCCACGGGTATCTACGGTACCATGAAAGAGGAGATGTACTCTCAGGTCTTGACCGGCTTGGATAATCATGCTGGAAACTTGCAGTGGCGCGAGAAAGTTGAAGATAAGAACCAAGCTGTTCAGCAAAGAGGGTTGGAGGCTGTACAAGAGTTTGAGAAGAATGGGAAAGCGAAGCTTTGAGTGGGTGGAATCTAGGGTTCCTGGATTATGTTGATATTATACTGGCGTGTGTACATAAACCTATCCTCGGTTCAAGCATTTAGACCAATGACTCGGCCTATTGTGTCGGTCCATGTATCTGAATTAAAGTAGGACTACTCTGGATTTTTAGTTTGATTTGAACCACGCTTGGGGCTCATAATTTGTATTGGTGGTACTTGACCAACATGAAATTACTAGCAAAAACACGTACTCAGGCTCATCCTGCAGCCTTCACGTTATAATGACTTATGGCTCAAACTATGACTGTCAAATACATATGCACATGGGTATTGCTATTCATCTCACAGCAAATCCTGCCGGAAACACGACAGCACATATTTTTCAACCATAGTCGCTTCACGATACCCTGAGACTTCGATCAGCGAGCCTTAAATCTGGTCTTAATTTTGCCCCACTAATGAATCACAAATCGAGTCACCCCTTGTGAAATTGCTCCAAGAGCTTCAGTTTGAGGTCAATCTATTCTGGACGAAGAATGAAGCCACCGAGCTCCGCCGCAAAACAGATGAAGAGGACCGAGAATACAAAGCGAAGCTGGCGGTTTGGCTGGATGAAAAAGCTCGAGAGCGAGGGATGAAGGCAACCGACAAAAGCTCTGACCGTGTGAGCAAAGAGTTGTCGGCCTTGGGACTAGACTTGGGGGAACAATACCAGGGACTTGAACGTTCAGCTCGCGAGGTTGGCTTGTCGGCTATGATGCTGCAATATTAGAAGCTCTTCACGCCGTGGGTTGCTAATAAAGCTGATAGACAAGGAACTCTGTTTTTTGTGATTTTAACTAGGAGAACTTCTAAAATGCCTATGGATAAATCACCTTAACTACAGCCCATAGAAAATTCAAAATCAATCGGAAAGAGAACTGATCGTAGTTTCCTTCCAAGGTTGTATTCAAGTCTTGGGCCCGCTTCCCGTTAGTATAGTGACTAGTAGATATAGCCATCGCTCCTTCTATACCTTCTATATGAGAGAAATTACTTGATATTATGCGATTGACACAGCCAGCACCATCATATGGTACCTTTTAGACTTCTCTCACTTTTTTATCACATCTCTGTCCTTCACGATTGACTTTTCAAAGGTTTCAGATCGTACAAACAATTGCTTGACATTTTCATTTCTTTCAACTACCGAGCTCATCTTCCAAGAAGTCAATATTGGAAGGAAACGCTTTCAGCCCTGCCAGAATTTGGACCTCTCACTCGGACTGAGTGTCCTTCCATTCCGCACACCCTCCTCACCACCGTTCCTAGTAAGTATTCTTCCTTTCCTCCCTTCCATATTCACCTTCATACATCTTAACCTTCATCCATCGTGGCCTTCATCCATCTGAGCTAACATTATCAAGACATCCCACTACCACTTACGGAAATGGAGGAATCCCACGATCACCCACTCTCCTTCGATGAGATTCTGGCCCTTCAGCACGCTGAGGGCCTTACTGACTACGCTGCCTGGAGACGAGCCATAATCCAGTACAACCAGCAGCGTGGTGAGCACGAAGCTACCACCCCCACTGCTGCCACAACCAGCCCTGAGATCCCCCTCGGCCAGAGCGTCTTGACCTCAAAGACCGCTATTCCACCCGGTGCCCCCAATGCAAGACACTTATTTTCCAGCTCCTCCCTCCCCAATCCTTTACTGACTTGGATAATCTAGGTCCACCTGAACCAGCTTCCCGTTAACGCGGCTGGTGAAAACCATATACTCGCGGCATGCAAGCCCGACGACGCCCACGCCAAGGAACGGGTCAGGGAGAACACCGAGCGCCTTGTAGACTCTGGTATAGCTAACAAACTGTGCAACGACCGCACCTTGGATGCCTCCCTCTTCGAGCGAACCGAAATCTCGGACATCCATGAGACCACCGAAACCAAGCGAAAGCGTGTTCATGAGGCCCATGCGCTCTACTGGGACGCAATGGCAGCAGCCGACAAGGTCATTGGAAAGCATTTCTAGGGGTCATAGACACTGCGGGCTATGTTTACCCACCGCTTCTTTACCAGGGGAGAATGATGGATCATATCTCAGTAAGAACTAAGTAGCCAACCTTTTCGTTTGTCTTGTATTTCGTGGTGGAACCCCCTTTTTGGTATTCTTCAGACACTCCTGTCAATAATATTTCGATTCGAACCCATTCCTGATAAGTTTGTCGAGAGATCCTTAGACAAAGTACAGGCCTATCAATTTGATAAAGTAAGAGGTCCTTACTCGTCCATGGAGGTAGACCCTGCCCAGCCCTCGAGGTGTACAACTTCTTTAACTTAAACTTTTATACATAGTGCCATGTGGGGCGGTAACGCAGATCAACCTTCCAAAGTTGGAGAGACCGCCCCGCACTACAGCTCCCCGGTACATGTCAATGGTCAATGTCCAAGCAACATGACAGGATGTTAGGATCAGACACTTCCAAATCAGGCTGCGTTGTCTTCGAGAACATTCGCGTTTGTGAGTGCAAGGGTCTCGGGCAGCCTCCCTCTATAGTTGTGGAATGTGGCAGATTCCGAGGCCCTTTTCAAAGAAGGCATACACTCTCGATGTTTTGTCCTGATGACTACTCTATTGGCGGGGATTTTGGCTTTTCCGTCAGGGCATGATTACGAAGGTGAGCAAGCTGATATGGCTCTTCGTAATGAACCTAACAAGATTTATTCGTGCATCGCGGAGTCCAGATTAGGTTTGGTGTGGTGGACTCGAATCTATGAGTCAGTACTATGAGGCCTACTGGTTTATTTGTGTAAAAGCACAGAGAAAAGATATTTCTATAGACCTTTCAAAGTCAAAGTCTGATTTCCCACGTTTACTGCAACATCTCGCTGCATCGTTGCATACTACCTATTTCCCGCATATGATTATTTCTCCACCCACCTCCATTGCGAATATCTATAACTCTTCCACAACACTTCCTGGCACATCCAATAATGGCCTCAAATACCTACCGGGCCATTCGAGCCAAACAAACCCCAAATACAATCACAGTGTACCAAGCCTATTCCCCTGAGATAGCCGAGCCAGCACTCAAAGCCCAAACATTCGTCTCTCCATTTTCACGAGAGAGAATGACATGGATCAAGCCCTCTTTCCTATGGATGGCATACCGATCAGGCTGGGCAAGAAAGTCCCGACAGGAGCGTGTTCTTGCTATAGAGATTACCCAGGAGGGATTCGAATGGGCATTGCGCCATTCCTGTTTGAGTCACTATACGCCTGACGAGGAGACAAGCCCGGAGGAGTGGCGTAAGAAATTGCGTGCCAGTCCAGTGCGCGTTCAGTGGGATCCGGAGCGGGATATTTCAATGCGGTCTTTGAGTTATCGAAGTATTCAGATCGGGTTGAGTGGAGAGGCTGTTGCGAAATATATTGATGAATGGATTGTTTCGGTTACTGATGTGACTGCGACTATGAGGCAGATCGATGGATATCTTAAGATTGGAGATATTCAAGCTGCCAAGGGTTGTTTGCCTGAAGAAACTCGGTTTGTTTTACCTGAAGATTTGCAGGAGCATCTTAGGATGAAATAAGCATGGGTGTTCTCTCTTTCCTCTATCTCTGCTAACCGATTGAAGCCCAGCTCTGTCCTTATAGTACACGATAAGAGTCAAACCTATGTCCTATTTGTACCTGGAGAAAAGCGTCTCTGCTCTAAATCACCTTTTTGAAGCTTGCCTAGGACCTCCGATAGCAAAGCACTCTTGAATAAGCTTGCCTTGACCCTATCTAAAATGTGGTTGGAACTTGGCATGTACATCAAACATGTGTATCAACGACCTAGCACCACGCGTCTATAGATGCTTTAAATTTGTCACCCCTATGTCCTCTACTGTTTCAACCCATCAGCGACTTTGCCCATCTATTTCCCTTCTCTGTCTTTTCTTTCAGCAAGTGCGCAAAACACAGCGCCAACCAACCCAAGCAATCATACGAAATAATCAATGAAACACACAAGTCCAGCTCTGTTCGTAAGGTGTAAAGTACATAACTTCGTAAAAGTCCATAAACCCATAATCATGAAAGCCACTTTGCGGGCTCAAGGCTTTTTCGCCTTGCTGGGGCGACCGAGTCTAGACGGACCCTCCAACTGATCTACCAACGGCCGATACGGCGACGCCAACACATGCTCCGGGGCGCGCGCTCGTCCGGGCTCCCCAGAGCTCGGTCGATGTAATTGCTCCTCATGCATGCGATCAAGCGGTTCTCCAACAACCTGGTACTTGGCCCAGTTGATTGGGGGCATACGGACGATATTCTGCGGAACAGGGATATGGCCAAAATTCGAAGCCGGTGAGCCGTCTGGGTTCGTGCGTTTTGAACTTTCTTCATCCTCTTCGTCATCCCTCGCATCGTCCTCGGAGAACTGGATCACAGCACCATGGTCCTCGGTCTTCAACCGACCTGCTGCCAGCTCGTGCGCAAACCCCTCTGGGTCAGCAGCGGCGGCCTCTTTCATGCGATCCAATGCCTGGATGTCGCGCAAACTTTGCTGCTTCTGCATTTGCAGGATTGAGATGGCGGAACGGAGCGCGATAGCATCTGGATTCTCGCTCTCGGAGATAGGTACAGGGGGCGGTTGGGGCTTGAAGACTGGTGGAGTGGGCGGAGGAGGCGGGGGGTGTGAATAACTAGGATATGTTTGTGGAGGGAGGTGTGATGTTGGAGAGGGAGATGCAGGTGGCGGTACGATTGATGGCTCATTGGAGGGGACTGGCGCGAGATGGGCAAACACGGGTGTCACCGGGGAATAAGGCGGACGAGGTGGAGTTCCCGGCTGATCTGGGGTTGGGGCTTCAGCCCCTTGTTGCTGCATAATGAGATTTGATGGAGTTGAAGAGGATCAAGCACGTCGGGGCTAAGTGGGGGGATAATCGAAGTCTTTCCGGTGATAAGGCGGGATATGCGGGTTATGACGACAGCGGTGCCTGGATTTGCCGCAATCACATGTGCGATGGCTTCGAAGATCAAAACAAAGAATGTGGCTGTTATAAAGGAACTTTTGCTATTTCAGATCCTAAAGATAAAGAAAAGAGAAGCAGGAGCTAGTTTTACATCGGATAGGGATGAGCGTCTCGGCTATGCGCCACTCACCTACGAGGAGAGATCAGGCCTCCTAGAATACAGGTGTTTGAAACGCAATATTGATTGAGATTTAAACTAGATTTAGATAGATTTAAACTAAAAATTTAAGACTTCTATAACAATAGACTAAACCTTAGTGAATTGTGATCTCCATCTTAGAGCTGGACAGGCAACACCAACACAGTTGACCGCCTCATCACGCGCCCTCACCGCCTGGAAAAATCTATGAAACATCAGACCACTCGCTGTTGAAGCTCCCATTCCTCTACAAACCTCAAAAATGAAGCGCAAGACAGACGCAAGGGCCTCCATCGATGGCAATGCCATGCCCCAGTCCAAGAAACGGGCTCTCTCCAGCGAGGAGGCTGCTGCCCGCTTCCGCGACGGCCTATTCGACACCGCGGAGCTGCAGAAGTACACCGGCGAATACGCCAAGTCTTCTCCGTATGTATACACAGAGAAATGGCCCAATGACAAAAGACTAACATTTCTGAATCTCTAGCTACCTCCACGGCGTCATTCACCCTCTGATCGAGCCCACTTTGCTCCGCTCCGTCCGCAATGAGATCGAAACCCAAGTGTCCTTCACCGAGAAGGAAACAGACATCTACAAGATCTTCCAGTCTGGCGATCTCGCCAACCTCGATGGACTGGATGACTCCTCCCTCTCGAAGCTGCCATCAGTACTGAAGCTGCGCGACGCGATGTACTCAGCACGGTTCCGCGAATACCTGTCCTCCGTGACTGGCTCCGGCAAGCTGAGCGGGCAAAAGACTGACATGGCCATCAACGTCTACACCGAGGGCTGCCACCTCCTGTGCCACGACGATGTCATCGGCAGCCGCCGCCTCAGTTACATCCTCTACCTGACCGACCCAGACACACCCTGGCAAGCCGAGTGGGGCGGTGCCCTACGCCTGTTCCCGACAACGACCGAGAAGGACGCCAACGGCGAGGATGTCAAGATTCCTAGCCCGGACTACAGCCTCTCCATCCCTCCCGCCTTCAACCAGCTGAGCTTCTTCACCGTCCAACCGGGCGAGAGCTTCCACGATGTCGAGGAAGTGTACCACCCACGCGAGGGCGAAGACAAGACGAAGAAGCGCGTGCGCATGGCGATCAGCGGCTGGTTCCACATCCCACAAGAAGGCGAAGACGGCTACGAAGAAGGGCTGGAAGAGAAGCTCGCCGAGCGCAGCAGTCTGGCACAGCTACAGGGTCGCGGCGATATCTACGACCTGCCGCAGCCGCAGCCGGTGTCCTGGGAGGAGCCCGAAGTCGAAGGCAAGGGCAAGGGCAAAGTGGAAGAGCAGACCGAGGGCGAGTTCACAGAGAGCGACCTAGCCTTCCTGCTTCAGTACATTGCGCCTTCGTACCTGACTCCCGATATCGCTGAGGAGATGTCAGATGCATTCTCGGCCGAGTCCTCGCTCAGCCTGGAGCATTTCCTGAGTGATAAGTTTGGATCGCGTGTGAGCGCATACATCGAGGATCAGGAGAGACAGGCTCTTCCTGCTTCTGCGGATGAGATCCAGGCGCAGCGCGGGTGGACGGTTGCTCGTCCTCCGCACAAGCATCGGTATTTGTACCAGCATGCTTCTGGCGAGAAGGATACCGATAACCCGATTCAGGAGTTGTTGAACGTGCTGTTCCCGTCACAGCCTTTCCGGAAGTGGCTTGGACTTGTTACTGGTGTGGACCACCTCACGAGCCACAATTTGCTTGCGAGACGGTTCCGTCGCGGGGCGGACTACACTCTTGCTAGTGCGTATGAAGGCGAGGAGCCTCGGCTTGAGTTCTCGCTCTGCCTTACCCCGAGCACGGGGTGGGAGAAACAGGAGGAGGAGGAAGATGATGATGAGGATGAGGATGAGGGTGAAGAAGCCAATGGCTCGTCTGCCAAGGCATCCAAGCCGAAGGAGAAGACAACCGACGACGCTGTGGAAGGTCCTGCTCTAGGCGGGTACGAAATCTACATGGCTGGCGATGAGGATGAAGATGATGATGAGGAGGAGGAAGATGCCGAGAACGCTGACCAAGTCCTGGGTCGGAAGAAGACCAAGGCCGATCCGGCTATCTACCGATCGGCGGGTGCAGATGAGGATGATGGTATTCTGTTCAGCACGCAGGCTGGATGGAACCGGCTCAGCATTGTGTTGCGGGATAGCGGCACTCTCAAGTTCGTCAAGTATGTCAGTGCTGCGGCTAAGGGTGATCGGTGGGATATCACTGGTGAGATTGGGGTCGAGTTTGAGGAGGAGGATGATGAAGATGAAGAAGATGGTAACGAGGACGAGGACAAGGACGAGGACGAAGAGTAAATGATAATCATTATGGCAGCATGACTGCAGTGCATATGTTTCAAAAAAAGATTGTAGATATTATATATGGCGCATATACGACTTGAATTGACTTGATGATATATTACTTACCTCCGAATACCGACCTTGCTTCTAAAGGTTATGTTATGCCCAGAGAGGTCGACATAGGCATGTATACCAGAAACTCTGGGCTGGGATCCCTACAACGTAACAATTAGTAGACGCAACACTAGCTCTTTTAGCCCGACTTTGATAAAAACAAACCCCCTTTCCAAATCCTTTTTTTCTCAACCACTCACGCGATCCTAACAATATCTCATTGATCTGCACTGCATTTTGCACCCATATATTCTAGTCCCAATATGAACTCCCATCGAGAACCGGTGACTGGTCGCTTACCAGAGCCTGGAACATCAGTCCAAAGACAGAAACAAAGCCAGCTTGCATCTTCTGAAGGCCCCGCCTCAGAAAGCAAGCTTATCAAGAAAGCCAAGTGCATGTTCACAGACTCAACGTGGTACGCATGGTATCTGGTGTGTGAAAGCCTATGTTGGCCCGAATATTCAAGTCTCATGGCCTACAAGCTTAACGAATCATATGTGTGCCGCGAGACAAATAAGGATTTGGCCAGTCTCTGCCTCGTCTCGAAAGCTATGAATGATCTGGCGACTTCTTTTTTATATCGTTCTCTCAGCTTCGAGATGTCAGAAGATACTCTGGTAGGGAATGCTGGCGGCCTTTTATATAGGCTGCTAGATACCTCACACGACTCACCGCGGTGTTTTGTTCGAGAAGTTACCATCTCACCCTATCGGAAGTACACTCCACAGTATACTACGAGGGGCCCATGGACGACGGATACAGACAAACAGCCTTTATCGCAGTTGATAGAGTGCCTCCCGAACCTGAGTCAAGTAAGGTATGAATGTTCATATCCATGTTTAGGTAGATTTTCTATGCCTAGAGTGACTAACACCTGTAACAGGCTCGGAGTGCCTTGCGATCTCAGCGACAACTATATGACAAGCATTGAGAAGCATCGTCAAAAGCCGGAACTTCACTTACTCGCAGGGGACGGAGAAAAGCCCTGTCTTCGCTCCCTCCCACGTGTGACCTTGATCAGTGTTGTGTGGGGTACCAAGTCTGACATCAACGGGCAGCATCCTCCACCACAGACTGACAACTTCCTAAATTACATCACTTCTTGTCCCAACCTGAAGTCTTGTTCTTGGGCGGCGAGACACCCGAATGAAACACTAATTGGTCGAACGCCCGACGACTTCGAGGGATCCGGCATTCACAAACCTTTTCCTTTTCTCGAGCATTTGGCCCTTTATCAATACTATATTGGTAGCCAGATGTGGCATGGTTGGCAAGATCGTTTCAATTGGTCAAATCTTTCGTCTCTCGAGATCGGCCAGGGGCTGTTTGCGCCTGAGAATCTTGAGGTCATGACAGACCGTCTAAATAATTTAAAGTGCTTCAGAATCACAGGGAGTGCCGTTCAAAATGAAGAGCTGTGCCGAAGCCTCGAAAGTTTCTTGGTTGCTTTTGACACACTGGTGGATCTGGAAATATTGAACTGCTTCGTTCCACTTCACGCCATTGCTCGGCATACCCGTTTGGTCAACCTCTGTGTTCATATTGGCGACACTTGGAATTGTCTAGACTCTCGCGCTGTATTTGGAAACGCGGACTTGATTTCTTTGGACACACTATGTCCCGAACTCGAAAATCTGGAACTGGATATTGAGCGCGAGACTGAGGCAGAGGATTGGGTATGAGTATCTCCTGGTCTCCTTGAAGAATGATCGACTGATTAGTCTCAGCCTCAAGATGTTCTAGACACTTTGGCCCGTGGCTTTTCACGGCTCAAAACAATAGCGCTCCATTCACGAGTTGGCAATTTGGTGCATGATCCTCTCCCCACCATGTGGGATGAGAGTTGTCATTCCTTTAAGCCCGAATTAACTTACAAGGCGGCAACAGAGATCGGTTCCAATTTCTTTGCCACCCGATATCGAGAATATAACGCAAGCTCCGTGTCCGCGGACATGTCAGAAGGATCTGGAAGACTCCAAAAATTGACATTGAAATCCGGACTAAGCAAACGAATGCCCTTTCAGCTTCCCGAGGGAATGTTACAAAGAGACGCCAAGTTCAATACCTTGACTTTTGACATGTCACCACCCAAGATTATAGGCGAAGAGCCTGAGCTGGTGCATTTGGAAAGGGAGCGCCAGGAGAAAGTGTGCTATAATTGCTTACATTCAACACCGCACCGCGCCTTAGAGCAGATTATATCGATTGCCGAGGATGGTCCACGCTTTGCTTTCAGACGTCGTACTGGCGGAAAGTCAAATTGCAGGGGCCTGTCCGAGCGTGGAGTCGAGCGTCGAGTACCAAGAGTTGGTACTCGTAAGTCAGAGAGGCTTGCACAAAGGCGGGAGATGGAGTCAACAGTGGATTGAAGTATCGGGATCCAGTTTGAGCAGGGTGCCATAAGTTTCAGCTTCGTGAAGCAGGTTGATTGCCGAATCATTTTTATACGTGTATGTACAGGCAGCAAATATTAACGAGAAGTTGGTTGAAAACATATGTACCGGATAATGCCTGCCGAGACCTTTCCCCTTCCATCTTAGTGTTCACCTCTTGCCCCTTTTTGATGGGGAGAATAAAATTGAGCAAGCCCTTTAAAGCCTCAGTCCGTATTAATTCTTCCCCTTACATCTATCTCCCTTGTCAACCCCCGCATCCCGAACCGTTATTCACAATGTCCATTTTGACTGTGTCGAACGAAGTCATACTCCTGATTTGGCAGCAATTGCAATCCCAAAAAGATCTTAACGCGCTGGTACAAATTAACCGCCGCTTTTATTACCTGCTAAAGCACCTGTTGTATCGATGTAACCTTCACCACCCGAACGGGGATGGCATTCTTCAGGCAGCCAAGTTGGGATCAACCCTTGCGGTAGCCCAATTTATCAAAGAGGGATACCGTGTGAGAGACCGACCCATCCATGCAGAACACCCACCAGAACCTGAATTAAGACACTATGCCCCATGTTCATGTCGTTTAGAGCACCCGATATTTTATGCTGCGGAACATGGGCATTCGGCGCTTGTCGAGTTTCTTCTGAACGCGGGCTTGGAACCAGACTTTGAGAACAACCTAGGTGAAACACCTATACATCTAGCGGCGAAAAACGGGTTTCTCTCAGTTATTAAGATCCTCATTAGCGGGTCGACCCTTCCCTTGGATAAGGACAACAGATTTACCTTAGCTCCTATCAAAGAGGCGACATTAAAAGGAAAAACGCAGGTCGTCAATATTTATTGTCTTCTTCTTCATGCCCCGGCGACGATGCTTCGTCATCTCTTCCATTTGCCGCTGTATCCTGTGATACAACCTTAGTATCAATGCTCCTTCGCCATGGGGCAGATATCAACTACAAGTACATTGAACGACATGCTCCTAGGAAACCTATAAATCCACGTGGAGGACCAGGGCACGAATCAACAGCATTATCAGTGGCAGCCGCATACGGCCATTTGACTCTGGTTAACCTTTTACTGGCAAATGGCTCCGACGTCAAAACGGTGTTCGCTGGTGTCTGGATGACTCCTTTATACTTGGCAGTTGAGAAAGGTCACGAAGAGGTTATCAAAGCGTTTTTAGCCCACGGTGCCGATGTCGATGATCGACATTTACGTGAAGCTGTTTCGCAACGTAACAAGAAAGCACTATAAATGCTCCTCGCCACGAGCGAAACCGAGAAATGCAAGTTGAATCTCTTGGGGCTTGCAGCAGAGATCGGCGAAGTGGAGATTTGCCAGGTGCTATTGGATAAAGGGTTTGATGGAGAAAAAGCCGTCTTGGAAGCAATCACACTCGGTCAAGAAGCAGTTGTCACCCTCTTCCTAGCACACGGAATAGATCCGGATTTACCAAACCACCGTGAAAGTGCAATTCGCGAAGCAATTACTTCTCATCAGAGCGGTATCATGGAAATATTGTTCCGCCATGGAGCTCACATATACCCTGAAGATCTTAAATTCGCGAATAATTTTGCCCCCAAGCACATTGCAACGTTAGCAAAAGTGTTCCCCGTGCATTCTACTAGCAAAAGGAATATGTACCCTTTGTATAATGCTTATAATGCCTGGGAGCCCGAGTGTCGAATGTCTGACACTGATTTTGGTTCAACCCAGAGGAGGCTTTGGTGAAAGCAACTGAGTACAGTCGGCAGAAAATTGTGACACCCCTTCTAGAATGAGGACAAATCCGAATTTATCAAGCATCTAAACATGAACGAGCCTTCGCCACTATTACTTTCACCTAAGTTACTATGTATAGTTATGTATATATACATTTAGCTAAAGATCGTAAAGTCTCTCTATAGACCCTCCGAGGTAAAGATACGCTTAGGTTCTACTACCTTTTAGATTTACTTCAACCTTTATATATTTTCTCACCGTAGCTAGGGAATACCTCGTTAGTCTAGGCTACTGACGTATAGTTGATATAGTACTCAATGAGCACGACCTGAGTGATTAGGTGAGCATAACCTGAATACCCTAAGCATCACTAAGTTAACCCGTGGACTATCTGCCTGCTTACTAAGTACAATTAAGTGAAGCTGGTCACTGAGTGACCACCCTGTGCTGTGAGATATTGAGTGAGCAGGACCCTGAGCGCCCTTATAAAGCGGCGGCACCCCGGTCGGGAAATTCGCATCCGCGGCCTAAAATCCGGTACATACGGCTACATACTATGTAGGCAGTGCTATGCAGTATACAATGTATCAGTTAACAATTGACCCACCGACATATTGCCCCCGATCAGCTGTCTGGGTATGCCGAGAAGAAGAAGAAGGCCCGAACCACGACAACTCTAAGGCTTAGATCGAGCCAGCTATGAGCGTTGTTCTTATGCCTCATAAATTACCAGTAATACGAGAACAGGGACTGCCGCTTTTGGAAATTCCCGGTGGTCTTGGTATCATGAAAATTACCCACTTTCCTAATTAGGGTGGCGGGGAGCCCAACTAAAAGGCTGTTTTGACTCTGGCTGCTGCCTGTCGCCTTGTAACGACAACAACTCCTTGCTTCTTTAATCACCCAACACAGTGTCTGTCAAAATGCCCACGAGCAGCATGGGTCAAACTCCGCTCCAAATGCCTGAACTACTTGCAAATGTACTTCAGCATGTCGACCACAAAACCTTATTCGCCGCTGCCCAAGTCAACTCCCTTTGGGCAAATGAGGCAACAAATGTACGCAAATGAAACCATTTCTATCTTTGTTTCCTCGCCGTTGTAATAGGCCTAATGCATACCTTCAGACGCTTTGGCGAAAATCATATCGCCGTGAAATTGAATCCTTATCCGCCCCATTGCAGGGTCTAGCTAAATGTTCACAAGAGCAACGAGATTGGTCAGCCTATTTGAAGATGCATTTGCATGGTTTAGGCATCCGTACTAACAATCACAAACAGGTACACAAGGAAAATTCGTCACTTGGACATCGAGAATGATTATGATTCAGATGTGTCATACTCAATTATCGATCTGCTTAGGGAGAAGAAATTCACCTTCCCGAATGTTCGGTCTGTCATTGTAGATTTGGGGAGTGGGAATATGAAGGAGACAGACATGGCCCAGTTCTTGTCGCCTAGTGTTGTTTCCTTGGAGCTCTTCGGTGGATATTACACCAGATGGTTTCTGAAACAAGTTCAGGTAAGCAAGCAGCGTCACAACTTGGGGCTCGGGTACTTGCTGACGACAATTTAGATGCATGCACCTATATTAAGATATTTCTTGTTGGATAATCGCCTGGTCGATGAAGAAGGGATGACCGAATCCCTAACTGCAAAGGATTTCATGGTCTTCTTGGAGAACATGCCATCAATCAGCCATCTCGAACTGCATCTTGGTTGGCAGCCGATAATAGACGAAGCTGTTCTATCAAACATCATGCTACGTCCAAATCTCGAGAAGCTCGGTCTTGGTCATAGCATACAACTACGCTGGGAGGTACTTGCCCGCATAATTGACGAGAGTCCTCAGGATATCCTATTTCCTATGCTGCGCTACCTCGAAATTGCAGCGGAGAAGAAAGCCCTTCAACTATTGCTACCAAATTTGCCTCATCTCCAGGGAGTCCGTCTCGTTCAAATCGACATCCCTTTGCACCCAGGAAATCACATACTCGGTTCCTTATCTTACTGTCCGCGCCTTGAAGATATTATCTTCGACAGCGAACACCCAACTCTCATTTCGCCCAAAGATCTCTTGAAGCTCGCCTCTGGCTGTCCTGAGCTTCGAAGACTGGAATTGGGAGATAACTTTCAGTGTGACGTTGGCTTTACGGATGAGTTGCTCGAGACTCTTGTATCCAAATGGAAACACCTGGCCGTCCTGTCCCTCCCATTTACGGTAGAGCTTTCCATTGTATCGCTTATATCCCTGGCTCGCCATTGTCCTTGTCTGTACGAACTGAAACTCATGACTGATCTAGAATTGACGCTTCTTGCCGATGAGTCTGAAAAAATCACATTTCCATCCTTGGATTTTATGCAGGTTGGGCAAATCACCAGTTCAAGGTTGGAAACTGAACAAGATGTTGACTTACTTCGAAGTCAACTAATCCAGCTTCTGGACAATCGGTTCCCCGCTCTAAATTCATTTTCCTTCAACCTTACGGTTGACAGCGACCGCAGCAGTGGACTCGCAAAGGCAATCAAGCGTCACCTGGGGAATACCAGAACATCCAACTTTGACTCAAGACCATTACCAGTTGATTTAATGTTGACTAGGCGACTGGTAGAGCCTATTCCAGGTAGTCGATACAATCCTAGCCTAAAGGCAGGATGGATATGGCCTGTGCAGTGACGAATTAGACTTGGCTCGTAATGGCCTCGTGCAGCTGCAGCCACCCTCGAGATGATGGCGGGGTGGATATCTCAGGGCCTGTCTACCAAGCTGTATAGCACTCACTCAGGGTTCAAATCCCATTTTAGTAGGGATTTGGTGCCTTAGTGCCTTACTTTAGAGAGGCCGAAAAATCAAAATAATTACCTGAATTGCTATTACACATGCCTTAATAGTCAAAGTACTCTGGCCGTAGTGTTGCAACAACATGAAGCTTTTCATACGTATACGTAGTGAGAGAGAGAGCTTGTCAACCACCTTGAAAAATAGAGATGTATAGATTTGTATGGGATCAAAAGCTTCATGTTGATGTATTAAGAATTTACATTACACTGTAACTAACTAGTTAACTATAGAGCGGTGCAAAAAGCGGTGCCAATCCAGGCATTCAGGCCACAAGGTTCCCCCCTAAAATGGGGTTTGAACCCTGAGTGCTATGCAGCTTCGTACACAGGTCCTCATATTCTAGTTGTAATCATCTCCGCGGCGTCTAGATGCGGAAGATTGCGGGCCCGTAGCGATATCCATCACAGAGACGAGGGTCGTCTTCGTCGCTCTCTGCACGATAGAGTCCCCGCTAAAGGACTTCCAGGGGTATGGTCTGCTCACAGGAGCGGAACCCGATCAGTGGGCGGCGTACGGTAAAAGGACGCCCATTTTCATCAATTGTTTCTGTTCGAAAATGCATAAACGGTCGATTAAAAAAGATAATAAGGACTAAGTATGTAGGGAATCCAGAGGAGGATACTGATGCTAGTGTCCACGGTCCCAGTCAAGCCGGAGCAACCAAACGCGCCAACGAAGATGAAGACCCCAGGCCGGTAGAAACTGTAGGGACGGTAGTAATTCACATTTGCTGGCTGTTGGAGAGATGATATGTCGGAGAGTGGGATCGGTTGGTTGGATATTATGAGAAGGAAGGAAGGATAGTCATAGGACCATAGATATTTGTTGCCGAGTTACTTGCCAGCGAGATCGTGCTAGTGTTGTTAAAGGGAAGTTGAGGTTGTTCGCTGAAAAGTTGGACGAAAGCACGTGCTAACTAAGCGGGCGATCAAGCCCTAACCTGCCCAGGTAGAAACAACAAAGAGAGAAGGAGCTCAATGAGTGAGACATTTTTGGAAAGGAAGGAACGGGGATTATGTCAAGTTTAGTTAGCTGACCATGTACTCCGTACATTCAATCTGATTTGTACTCCGTACTTCTCCCCATTATGATAACCATCCCACACCGCCCCGCCCCGCCCCAAGTTGGTGGAACAGCTCAGCCCTGTGACTCAATCGCTTTCGAGAGATATTAGTTGATTGAAAGATCCACCTAGTTATCATGAGGAGGTATGGTAGGGGGGTTCAAGAATCAATATCTCAATAGAGGCAAAATGGCTGTCTAATAACCCTCCGCGACACGAAATGGACCCTGCCAACCCACTCTCTCCATATATTGATAATAGAAGACCAGCTCTTCAACCAAGGATAGCATAAATGAGATGCAACAGAGATTTCAGCAAGAATTATGAGGTATATGTAGGAGGCCGGTGTAATATGCAAAGCCTACCTGGCATCCTCATTGCTAGCAACGATTGTTGTCGCCTAACTCATGTGCTATGGGGGGACCACCCGGGCAAGACCCGGGGCCGTGGAGTTCTAGCCTGCCCAGATGAAAACAAACGAATAAAGAGAAAACGAGGTCTATGGCATATGCATATCGTGTGTTGCCGCAGTAAAAATCACTGCTGACACAGTGTCTAACCCCCTTTGGGGTTCAACGCAGTCACCTGATGAGGGGTAGAACTGATGGGGTTCGTTCAGCCACATGGGTTCTTATTATAACAACCAGTCTTTCCCGTAAAGGCTGGTCATCTATGATGGCTTCAGCGGCATATTTCAATAGTGCAAACTGCGGAACTCAAGTAGGCTACAATAGCGGCCATATCACCAATAATATATATCACCCCCAAGGTTGGTTAAGAATGAAACCAATAAATTTTTGGTCGAGCTAACTAATACTCACTTCCTGCGTGTAGAACGACCAGAAATATCAGCAGATCAGACCTGTCTACGGGATCTACAAACGACCAACCCCCGCGATGACAAGACTCGCATTGAGAAAGCCAAGGGAGGACTCCTCAAAGATTCGTATCGCTGGGTGCTGCAGAACAATGATTTCCAAAAGTGGCGCTTGGATGAGGAGGTTCGTCTTCTCTGGATTCAAGGTGATCCTGGAAAAGGAAAGACTATGCTCCTCTGCGGCATTATCGATGCGTTAAGAAGCTCAATTGACAACCCTGCCATGAATATGTCGTACTTCTTCTGCCAGGCAACTGATGAGCGCACCAATAATGCCACTGCGGTTCTGCGCGGCTTAATATTCATGCTTGCTTGCGAGCAGCCTTCTGTTATCCACCATATCCGAAGACGGTACGATCAGACCGGAAAGCAACTATTCGAGGATGCAAATGCGTGGCAGACTTTGTCCGCCATCTTATCGAACATTCTAATGGACCCAACTTTGCAAGACACTTATTTCATCGTCGACGCGCTGGATGAATGTACCACAGACCTCTCTCTCCTCGTTGATCTCATAGCCCAGACATCGTCGCCTGGTAACGCACGCGTGAAATGGATTGTCTCTAGTCGAAACTGGCCGATCATCGAAGAGTATTTTGAGGTCGTAACTCAAAAAACAAGACTTTCGCTGGAGTTAAACGCGACCTCTATTTCTGAGGCCGTTACTATCTACATTCAGCATAAAGTTCAGCAATTGGCAGAGAAAAAGAGGTATACGGCTGCCGTTCGGGATGTCATCACTCGTCATCTCATGTTGAACGCCGAAGATACCTTTCTCTGGGTAGCATTGGTGTATGAAGTGCTAGCCAAGGCCAGGCCTTGGAACACTTCTAGACTACTGACTTCCTTTCCTCCCGGACTTGATTCCCTCTATAGGCGAATGCTGCAGCAGATTCGCGAGTCCGAGGATGCAGAGCTTTGCAACAGAATACTCAGTGTGGCTTCAACTGTCTACCGGCCTATCACATTGAATGAACTAGGAGCCTTGGTTGATATGCCCGACGAGATCTCGACAGAAGACGACGACCTCCCATCCGACGGCTTTCTCTCGGACATCATAAGACTGTGTGGCTCATTTCTGACATTACGAGAAAACACCGTCTTCTTTGTTCATCAGTCCGCAAGGGACTTTCTGACTATTAAGGCCCGGGATGAAGTGTTCCCAAGAGGTGTACCCGCCGAGCACCACGCAATCTTTTCACGCTCCATAGATATTATGACCACGTCACTTCGTCGTAATATCTATGAGATCACATTCCCAGGGCTACAAATTGACCAAGTTAGACAGCCGAGTCCGAACCCATTAGCAGCAGCACACTACTCTTGTCTTTATTGGGTTCATCATCTTCAAGATGGATATTGTAGTGAGAGCGCAGATCTTGAGCTCCACGATCTCCAGTCCGTGGACACCTTTCTACAGCAAAAATACCTTCACTGGATTGAAGCGCTTTGCCTAATAAGAAACGTTCCAAAGGGCATAGAGGCAATGCTTAAGCTTGAGGGTTTATTTAAGGTTCGGCGTCACCTTGACTTGGAATTGAGCATCTCATCTCACTAAATAAACCACAATATGATAAGAAGAACTGAAGCCATCAAATCTCTTTCAACGAGTCCACGACGCTTCTCGATTTATACGATACCACAAGGTGGGAATTGAGATCGGCCCGCTACAGGTATACAGTTCGTCTCTGATATTCAGCCCAGCCCAGAGCATGACCAAGCTTTGCTACCAAAAGAGAGAGTAGACTGGATTATCCACGAGCCAACAATCCAAGATGACTGGAGTGCATGCCTTCAAATTCTTGAAGGCCATGATAGAAAAGTCTACTGTATTGCCTGGTCCCAAGATGGCCGGCGCCTCGCATCGGGATCAGAAGATACAACTGCGAAAATCTGGGACACAGCCACAGGACAATGCATATCGGTTCTTCAAGGACACGAGGATGACCTGCAGAGTATTGCCTGGATACAACATGGTAAGAGACTCGCCACGGCATCAAGAGATATGACTATCCGAATTTGGGACCCAGTCACCGGCCAATGCATATCAACTCTCCGCGGACATGTCGAGCGAATATTGACAATTGCCTGGTCGCCAGATTTCATGCAACTTGCATCAGGATCAGCTGATAAAACAGTTAGAGTTTGGGACCCAAACACCGGACAATGCTTATCTATCTTTGAGGGACATGGAGGTTACGTTAGGTCGTTGGCTTGGTTGTCGCCTAGTAGGCGACTCGCCTCAGCGTCAGGGCATACTATCCAAATCTGGGATGCAGTCAGCTGTCAATGTATTTTAAATCTCCAGGGCGACAATAGTATGGTGTGGTACATTTCCTGGTCGCGAGACGCAAGTCGACTCGCTTCAGCGTCAAGGAATGGGACTGTGAGGGTCTGGGACCCAGACAATGGAGCTTGTCTGTCTATCCTGACCGGACATAGCGGCCCTGTTAGTCCAACTGTCTGGTCTCCAGATGGAAGCCGACTGGCATCAGCCGACCAAACGATCAAAATCTGGGACACGACGAATGGAAATTGTGTATCGGGCGTTGAGAAACATGATGGTTTTGTTGAACAAATTTCCTGGTCACCGGATGGAAACCTAGTTGCGACAAGTTCAGGAAGCCCGAAGGATAACACAATTCGAATCTGGGACACAGCTACTGGAGACTGTTCAACATTTTTTGACCTACAACGCTCATGGGTATACTCAGTTGCCTGGTCACCGGATGGAAGACATATCGCGTCAGCTGGGACAGGAATTGGAATCTGGGATCCAAGAATCAAAAATCCCAGATCAACGATTAGAAAATACGGCAAGTTTATAAAGGAAAAACTTGCCTGGTCACAAAATGGAACTTGGCTTGCATCGGTATATTTTGATGGAGTAAGAATCTGGGAGCCGATAACCGGCCGCACATCAATGCTCCCCGATAGCATGTACGAATTTTCAATTGCCTGGTTCCATAATAGCTACCGGCTCGCATCCGGGTCATACGGAAGAGTTCGGATCTGGGACCCGGTCACTGGGGAGCGCATATCAACTCTCGAGGGCCATGACGACGGACTAATCAATTGCTTGCTCTGGTCGCAGAGTGGAAGACTAGCGTCGGCGTCAGAAGAAGATCAGACAGTCAAGATTTGGAACCCGGAGACCAGGCAATGTACAGCAGTTCTGGGTGTGTATGATGGTGGAGTCATATCTATGTCCTGGTCTCTGGATGAACGTTGGCTCGCATTAATGATTAATGACAGCAGACGTAGAGATTATGTTGTCCAGGTCTGGGACTCAGCCACTGGACAATGCATCTCATCGATTGATGTTGAATTGCCTGCCGCGCAAGATTCCGATCAACAGTCTATCGATACTGTTGGTGAAGAAGTGCCCGATTTTCTCGAATTTGATAAAAAGACTCACAATCGCTTGCATACCATTGCTGGCATATTCGATTTGATCAATGATAATCTCGACTTGACCTCCTCTCCCAGGCTATCCTCTGCTGTGGAACAACAAATAGGATATGGCCTGAGTGATGACATGGCCTGGATAACATATCGAGGAGAAAATCTCATATGGCTGCCTTCAGAGTATCGCCCGGCCTTTCCATCTGTATTCGTTATATGCGAGACACAGGCAGGAGTTTGTGTGGGGATTCTCTGTTCGTCGGGTCGTGTTATAGCGTTGACGCTCTCTCAAGACATTGCAATCCAAAGTTGCGATTCAAGTCGCGTGATTGGATGAGACTAGCGTGTGATTATCGTATAAATTATTTATTTACATATTATTACTCCATCTTCATACCTCCCAAGGTCTCCGAGGGGATAAAAGAGGAGACGGAGAGTACGGAGAAGAGTAAAAGAATAAGGAAATGGTCGAGCTTTTCACCTAAAAAGTGAGTGTTCCGCTGGAGACGTACGCCCGGGGGCGGATGGGTTGCTAGGGAGCGAGGGATAATGACCAGCCGGGAGCGACGGCAATAGCAATCGACATTTATGGAAACTGTTCAATAGAGGAGTCAAAAATGGTCCCCTCGTCCTCGAGGGTAACAAGAACGGGCTAGTACTCGTAGCGGCTGTATCGCGATTGCTGCAATGTCGTTGGACCAATATTTCCGCAAATATATATTCGCGTTTCCAACCAATTCGTTGAGTTCAACATTCAACATTCAACCGGACTACAATATGCCTACGATGCATCAAATGTAAAAATCTCTACACCAGCGCCTAGCAACAGGGTCTAATCTCAATCTCGAATTCTCCAAACAACCACTGACATCATCCATAGCGGCAATTGAAACCCATAACAAGACACGCGGGACGATCGCGAGAGCCGGCGCGAATCGAAACAAGCACATGGCGGGGTAAATCGACCTCGGGAGGCGAAATGATCTGAGACACAGCAAGGAAGGAATAATTGGGTACTAATTAGGGACTGTTAAGGGCTATTTCCGATACTTTCGATGCAGAAAAAAAACCCCATAATTATTACACCCAAGTTGGGGGTAGTGGGGGAGGGAATCGACAAAAAATGTAAATCTAAAAGCACAAAATATGTACACAAGTGGATGATCTCAGCCATCTACAACATTATGTTGTAGTGCACATGTACGATGCATGTAACTATGTACTCCGTACCTCGACAGAGGAAAAGGGGGGGTGCACATGGCGCAGAACATAGCCAGTAAGGAGGTAACCCAAGAAGCGGCGATGATTCCCCGTGGAATTCTCGAGATGCAAGACAAGACATGTTTGGGAACCGGTACTCCACCAGGACTATGTATTGAGTTTACCCCTTCCTACAGGGTCTTTTGACATTTGACACGCGACAGTACCTAAACCGAGAAGAGGACGAATCCCCAGTGGAGTTTGTGGCAGGCAAGGGGTGTGCCACGATGATTTCAAGGGGAGGGAGATCGTGGAATGATCTGCCAATCATACCTGGTTATCGGGGGGTGAAGGTACGAAGTACAAACGGTAGGATCATCTAGGCATGGTCGGATGCATGTCCGAAGGCTTATGATCCAGCATAAAAAAGCGTGGATCATTGCATTTCTGGACTAAGGTATCTGATATGGCGAGTGGCGTAGGGCAGCAGGAGCCTCGCCTTCAATTAACGGTTAAATCGAAGGATTATGTCTTCGGTCGAGTTTTGATTCGCAGGGCTTGTGCTGGACGACCATTGTGGCGTGTCGTGGATCCTTTCCTATAATAGTAGATGGATTGAGCAGCATATTCCAGATTAGGGACCTCATCCGGAGGGATTCACCAAATGGAGTGGTCAGTTGCAAACCAAGTGGATTTAAGTAGCCAGATTATCGCGTCGATCCTGGGTGTTCTACGGAGTATTCCGTATGATGAACTTCTGTTCGACGGATGTACGCGGGCGGGATGGGCCGAGGTTGGGAAAAGTGGATGGATCCATTGACACCTTGGAGCCTGAGGCACTACCATAACATTGGGACTACGAGTTTAGGTACCAACAGGGTTGTTTTAGTCCCTCTAAATTCTCTAACTTATCCGTTACTAGCCTAATAGCCATTCTACGCTGTGGTGCTCATCTAGTCGTCCTGTTTAGCGCCCTGGGACCTCAACTTAAACGCGAAACACTGAACATTAGGCCAAACCAATGAACTACTCGGACTAAGCGCTATATGCAGAATAAGCGTCAAGACAATGAACGAGAAGGTGATTAGACTAAGAAAATGACATAAACCATGCTGTGTCTTTCCTTCATCCCACCATCACTACATCTAAACCATCACTTCTGCGATCCTAACACACGACTTCTACAATCAATCCGATATGCCAACAGCAGAGGACACCGGCCAGTCCGACATAGACACACCACATCTCACCTTCGACTCAACGGCCTCTACATTCTCCTATCAGACCGCGGCGATAAAAGCTACACATTCCACTGGCGCCTCTATCTACACCAGAGTCCAACATCAGGCTCCATCTACCATCTACTAAACGACATCGATCCAACCATCTGGCGCTTCCCACATCTACCCGACCAGACCGTCATCTATGATTCATCACTCCTCGGGGCCCTCAAGATAGGAGTGTTAGACCCAATCCTCCACGCGCATTTTCTCGAACGTCTTCACCAAATCCCACTCGTTGATTCGGTCCGATTCCGCGAGAGAATCACTTGCCGGGTGTGGCTCAAGGAAGCTCTCTTTGCGCTGGATGACGAGGGCTATATTATGCTCACTCGGAATGTGGATGATATCGAAGCTGAGGCGAGGAACTTCGCGCTTCGGAATAAGAGTTTGGGGAGGCGGTCGGTGTCGAGGAGTTGTGGGAGTCAGGCTTGAGATTATACGTGTTATATAGAAGATTGAAGTGGAGTATTGTGGTATCATGTGTAAGGAGGAGGGGGGGGGGGAGAGGGCATTTTATACTAAACAGACGAGGTTGGGCGATATTGGACAGAACCAATTTTGAACACAGGGAAGCCATTTTGGTATTATTTCAGTCACGGGTGGATGTAGAAACAACAGCATGTCAGATTAGAGCGCCAATATTGTTTTAGTGGAGTAGCTAACAATGCTTAATCCCCAGGTGGGTACAAAATATTTGTACTACGGAGGTGGTTGGGAGGCGACACGCCGGTGGAAGTTACGGATGGGCAAGATGGGATCTGGTCTCAATGGATATCTAGGACAATAATTGATTATTGGATCTGTGTTCACATTCTAGATGTAAATCCCGGTATGATATTTCCCAACCTTTTCTGCATGTAACCTCTAAGTTTTGGCTGTGCGCTCCCCAGCTTCGGGGAACGGGAGCCGGTGCGAGGATCGTCGGCAGAGCAGGATTTTGAGTTGGGAGGTACGGAGTACTCAGTTCAGTATTCTACACATACATATGCAAATAAGCAGGTATGTGCAATGTACTCCGTACGTTGTATACATATGTACGGAGTATAGCGAAGTAATAGGTAGTAGTGCATGCGCATTAAGGCACGGGATCGGATTACGTGCTGGAGACTTTTTCCGAAGACTGTGGAGACACTATTCAAATGAATTCATAGTCCAGTACATTATTTGCACGAAGGGGCTACTGCCATGCGAGGAATAGGAGCTGGAATTGGAATTAGAAGAGGCAAAAGCAAAAAAAACAAAATAGAAACGAGAAAAAAAGTACCTACATCCCTGGACGGTACGACCCGTCTGTCAAGACAGATTATTGGGAAAGGGCAGTAAGACACGGTCCATGACCACGGCCCCCAAAATAGGCGTGGACGCGGGAATGGGCAAGGGCCACGGTATTGCCATGATGGCTCCGAGCAGATGGAATGGGAGAGCATGGGGATTGCCATGGGCCATGAACCATGGGAGAGAGGAGGCATTCGCATGAGCCACGCACTATTGACATAACGAACTCTAAGCTCGCGCGACAGCTAGTGTGATCCCATCCCTTGACCGAGATTAGGCAGGCTGAGGGCGTACAACGTTGTAGAGATAGAGTCGTACTCAGAATTCCCGTTGTTGTTTTGGAGCAGTTTTTTTTTTCCCTGAGGACCAGGTGTTTGGCAGAGATACAGCTTGGAGTCTGTGATAAGATGTGTCCTTTTGTCAAGTATGGAGAAGTGCTACCGTGTCAGAGGTTCGAGGAATGTGCCGTAGATCGGGTGGCGATCTTCGAGACATTCTGCAAGGCGACGATGGTGCCATGTGGCATGCTGGAAGGGGAAGATGATGGACAGTAGTACTTGACATGCATATGTTTATTATTGTATTGAATGTGCCTAAATTACTTTGTCTCTGGACGTTGTGCAGTGCATGTGAATAGCGACGACGTGTTATTGCAGCCACAGTGTGGCGGTGTCGGCTAGACCGTCGGTTTGGGCCGATGCACCCGTGGACGGATTTAACTTGTTTTGGTTTTTAGTGGATTCTGTGTATTTTATATTTACACGGTACAAACGACTTAGCCTAGATCTATTTCTGGACGAACCAGCCGATCAAACGGAGTTGAGATCAAATCGATACACCCAAAAGCCACCCAGGCAACGCGATTTTTTTGATTGTAGTGGCGTAGGTGGCTACCCCCCTTGGGTACCTAGGTAAATACCCCATGCCTTAAGGTAATGACAATCTTCCCAAAAAGAAATAGACTATGAGACTATATTGTACTATAGAATAGTATCTGATACCTCTATGTACGTAGTTGAATCAATAAATAACTAGGGTAGATCCAGATCCAGAATCAAATCAAATAAGCTTGGTCATATTCGCCAAGACTCCAGGTCACACTGAACTGTTCGGAACCCGGGATATTACCCTCATAGCCCCGTGAATTTGAAGGTGAAAATAGCCGCGCGACATAGTACTCCGTACTACCCAAGTAGTCCACTCTGACAGGTCAACATGTGATGATTTGGGCGGCAGGGACGGGTGGTTGCATGGGGGTATGAAGCTCAAGCTCATGGAAGCGTGGGTGATCCGTGACACTTTTCGGCTTGTGTCCGAGGTGTTACAGACAGGAAATATGTAGGGGAGAAAGTGGATCATGTTTTAGCTAGTTAGAGGGTAATATATACATGAATACTAATTATAAGGTTAAGAATTATAACGATTGTTAGGATTATACGATTATAAGATTATAGGATAAAATATAATATATATCATAAGATATGGTGATCAAATATACCTTCGGTGAGTAAAGGACTAAAAGATATGCCATGTGTGGGACTGAAGAAAAGACATTTTCGCATGGAGGACAAGGATTAAACTGACAGGGATGGGCTTCCGTACTGGGTACTTCTGTACGTTGCCCAATCTCCCGAACAAACCGAAGCAGAAAATATGTATTTGCTACTATTTGCCCCCCGAGACTGCCGATCAACCCTGCATCCTCATGCCATGTGTCCAACGTCACTATGTTTCTTTTTTGTTATTCATAATACATAATATACATAATATATACTTGGGTACCTCCGTACTTCGTACAGTACTTAATCTCCCAAACGGGATTGTGCAGTTAGCCCCCGGTCGCGAATGCAGCTTGACTGGATGGAAAGAGAAGGAGACTCAATAAGTGGGAAGAGACTGCAAGGGAGAAGCCACGTGAAGGGGGTGTATTGTAACAATAGTATTCTATATATTCAATGTGGAAATCTTCCAAAGATGACGTGAAGACTCTCAATGCAACGAAACGTGTTCTCCTTGCTTTTCCCAGGGATCTTCCTTCAGGAATGCACTTATTAGTAGATTGTGTAGCATATATGTGTGGATATAGAGAGATACGTGGATATAATAGAGAGTACTGAGTATTAATAGAGAGAAAAAGACTAAGTTAATGGTGTTAATAAAGCTAATAAAACCAATAAGTAATAAGTATAGCATAACTATAGTCCTTACTCCCCAGGGTCAGCCTCGTGGCACACAGAGTTGCAGAAGAGCCTTGGCGGTAATACCAGTACATTCTTTTGGTTTTCTTTTTCTCTTTTCTCTTTTTCTCTTTTTCTATATATTTTATTTCTGTTATTTAATTTAATATTATTATCCTAAGAAAGGGGATGCCAAAAAAGAAGGTTAAAAAAAAAAGAAAAGAGGAGTTTCAGACGACTCGAGGCTTTCGGGTTTCGAGTCTCCAATTTTCTATTCTTTAATCTCTCCTCTCTACTCTCTCTACTCTTTCTCTCTCTACTCTTCACTCTTTACACACTCTCTACTTCCCTCTCTACTTCATAATATCCTATACCCTAATACTTTTATACTCCCGTGCCACGTTCCTTTCGGTAAGCTTGATCTGTGTTGCCTGGACGTCTTTACGTCTAACCTTCGATCTAGCCTTTTTACCTTGCGCGAACCTGGAAACTTTACACCCTCACTACGAAACGGTTTCACCGTGAATCGTTTCTCGAATTCAATTTCTACCCTGTCGATTTGGAATATGCGATAGTGTGGAAGGAAAAAAAAAGAGCGGGTTGATATTCGATTCTTCACTGTTTTCCCCGCCTGATTCAGACACTCCCACCATGGATCCTTCTGTCGCACATCGCCCATGGGAGGCAGTGTCAGGGCCTCAATCTACTGGAGGCTCAACGCAAACCCTCCCCTCCATCTCGACTCTCACCGCGAATATGCCTGGTACTGGAGCACCCTCGGAGAAATCCCCCGGGAATGGTTCACTGAACACGATTGAGCGTGACTCGGGGAATTGGTCAATGCCGCAAAGCACAAGTAGGAGACCCTCACCCAGTATGGAATGGGAGCGGCGCGGTGCTGACCATGTAGGATCGTCCACCTACTCCACGGCAACCAATGGCACCGGCAACAATTATCCCTCCCTCAGCTTCATATCCGCGTCGCAACCTTCGCCGAATCGCGGACACCCGGCTCTCGACCGCTCCCCTTACCCCCACGATCAATCCACCACCCCTTCCTCCGCTGGCACTCAACAACCCTCTCCAAACTTCAGCCAGCCGAATTCCACCCTCCCCTCCATCAACCAGAACTACGAAGCCCCCTCCCAACGGACGAGTGTGGCAGAAACCACTGAATCCCGGCGCAGCAGTGTCGACAGTCGCATGAACCAAGGAATCAGTTCTCTGGCCATTAACCCAGCCTCGCCCTACCACAGCACCAATGCCTCCCAATCGTCGATCGTCTCAAGTCTACAAAGGGAGCGAGGGATTCCGACCGACATGAATTCATACCGGGGACCTCGATACTCAGGAGGCAGCCAGCCACTCTCTCCGCTGGGCCCTCGCGCAACAGACCAACAGCGGAGTTTCGCAGCCGGTCGCACCGCGCCGGCCATTTCCTCGAATCCTCGGTCGGAGATTTACAACGCTGAAGCACCCACGGCGGGTATGGCATATGCCTTCCCCGATCCGGACATGGCGCGCTCAAGCTCTGTCTCCTCAAAGGGAGAGTCCAACCCCCCTGTCTCCCGAAAGGGCAGCATGGCGGAGTCTATGAACAGCATGTACTCGGAACGGATGCCACGCGGACAACACGGTAAGATGATCCAGCCAAAACAACACACTCCATGCGCAACAATACTAATAATCTTCCAGACCTACCCCACAATGTACACCACCACCACTCCCTCCAACACAAAGCTGTGCGAGAGTTAATCGGCGAAGAAGACGGCCCGCCCGGCAGCACCCCGTACAGCCGCACGCCCGAACTGCGCGTAACGCACAAACTCGCCGAGCGCAAACGGCGCAGCGAAATGAAAGACTGCTTCGAAGCACTCCGGCTGCGTCTACCACCGGGCCAAACCAACAAATCCAGCAAATGGGAAACGCTCACCCGGGCAATTGATTATATAGCGATGTTGGAGAAAACTGTTGCGCAATCGCAGCGCGACCGGGCCGTCATGCAGTCCGAGATGGATGAAATGCGCGCCCAGCTCAACCAGCAAGCCAATGGCGCCTCCCGGCCCCCATCCATCTTCGAGCACCACCAAATGAGCTCCAACCAGGTCAATAGCCAGGGCCCTGTGTTTAGTGGGTTCGGCAATGGCGTGACTCAGGAGCAGCCGCGTACGTTACCGCCCCTTATGAATGGCTCTAGTGCGCCTATGCAGGGCATTGAGTATGAGCGGCGGTAGCGGGTGTATGGTTGAGGTGCGAGGAAGGCTGAAGCTGTGTATGAGATATGACTAGTCACGCACAACCTATCATCAACGACTTTGTTTTTGACTTTGTTCTCTTGGTATCATATATCCCTTTTATAGATGCGATCCCTATTCGACTTTTTCGACTTGGAGGTCGGTTTATACTGATTTTTTTGTCCGATCTTATGGAGTGGTCTCTGCTTTTCTCATATCTTGTTATTCATACCCGCAATTGCTTTTTTTTTTTTTTTTTTTTTTTTTCTGTTGGGGCCACTCTACATGGAATACGATAGGAGAGAATACTCAATGAATATGGAATAGCTGAAATAGCTGGAATATGGATATTCATGTTCACTCTTCAAAATCTTTCCTATAGGCGATATAGTGTGGAGTATGAACGCACATACATGGGATGAGATAGACCTCATAGACCATGGACCAGAGAATAGAAACAGCACGAAAACAACTTGTTTTCAGAAACCCAGATCCTGCTTTAAATAAGTAACATGATATATTATAATCTCCCGATCTATTTCTGTCTCTCCACTAATTGGCCCCTCGAAGCGCCCGCCCCCCGGCCCGGCGCGTAGTGACCGGCCTCAGTCTGACATCTGCATCCAATCCATCACCTTCATTTCTCCTTCCCCTGGTGATCTCTCTGCCAGTCGTCCAATGACGGACCTTGAAGAAGCCGCACGGAGCTAGCTGCAGCGGGTTGTCTGGGATCGCTGCAGAAATTCACCAGCGACGATGATTATTGGCTGGTTTGTTTATAGCTCGAGCTTTGTCCTGTAGAGTGACCGGGCTGGACTCTGCTGCACTGTGATGATGCAGAGCAGAAATGTAGAAATAGAGCTTGTGGACTTAAATCTCGGGGCTTTTCTTATTTTCTTTGTCTTTTTGTCTTTCTTTTGTTTTGCATTGGACTCAATCGACTCTATTCAGGGCTATTGTGTATTGTTGCCTTTCCCATTGTTTCGCTCGCTATAATATTAATAGACGCCCTCTTTGTTTCGCTTCCCTGCACTTTCGTTCTTTCATGCTTTCCTGACACATGGTAGGAAGACATCGAATCCTCTCGTTTCTGCAGACTAACATCTCGACAGTCTACAGTCTATTGAAACATCATACATCATGCTCAAACGAAAACCCCAAGACCTCCAGGTCCCAGTACCAAACTTCCCATTATCATCGCCGATCAGCGAAGAAATCTCAAGTCCCTCATGCTCCTCGGAAGATCAGGAAGAACGAGACCGACCCTTTGCATTTCTATCCAAGGCAACGCGACAAAAGCTCGGGGCGAAGACCGCGAAAGATGGGAATCGCTCACCCATTTCCGCCCGCGAAGCCTCGAGACTAGGTATCCGCATCACCAAGAGACGTAAAAGCGTCGGGAAGCCAGTTGGTCTGAACCTCGTTACGGATTTCACCTTAGCGCCGGCGCCGAGGAAACAGTCCATCCCTGCAGAAACAAATGCGGCTGCGCCGTTCGTCGATCTGAATGATCTGAAGCTCCTCTCGAAAGTACGAGAGAAGGAACGCTCGGCTCAGAAATCGAAGGATACCTTCAAGAAGAGGGTTTCGAGAGGCTTTCAGCGGTTACCTGAGACGGTACAGGGTCAGAACCACGGCCAGAATGGAACTGCAGCCTCGTTTCTTACCGCCAGAGATGAAGATCCGTTCCACGATAGACACGAGCATGCAATTTCGCCCTCGGATCGCCATGTCATGATCGGACTCACTGTGCCTCGCAGTGAGTCAGTGGAAAGATCACAGGAGCTCGACAGCGCAGGCACGCCGCTCACACCATCGATTATCGTCACTCCAGCAGCACCATGGAACGCACACTCGAACTCCAGCACTGAGATGCTCCGACCAAGAGCAACATCAAGTATCTACTCGCAGCCAACACCCCGTCTCTGGCAATACGAAACAGACGTGCCACCCGTGCCAGCCATTCCCGCACAGCACTCAGCTGCTACCAAAACTCCCGCCCCAGAGACCGCATTCCAGAACACACTGGGCGTAGAAAGAAACGCGCGCGCCCTGTCAACAGCCTCAATCTGGGAAGACGACAGTCCACCCCGGACGCCAGAAACAGTGCGCCTAACCCCAAAGGCCCAGCAACAGGGCCGTCTCAGCGTCAACACCCAAGCAGAAGCAGACAGACCCCATTCCCAAGGCTGGTGGACATACCTCCTCTCCCCACTGCTGAGCCGATCCATAAAATCCCCCTTCAGCCCATCCTTCCCACAAGAGTCACCATCCACCCCGTCAACAACAACGACAACCCGCCCCAACGGGCGAAAAGAATGGATACAGCGCGAGAAAGAGATCTCCTGCTTCTCGCCAGATACACCAGAGACCGCAGCACCGATAGGCGAGAAGGCATTTGAGATATCCCGATCATTCGAACAAGACCAAGACCAGTACCAGCAAGATCCCGAACGCCATCAATCCCCGCCACCCGCATACGTCTCCAACGTCTCAAGTAGACAAAATACCATGTCCTTCATGTTCAGCAATAACCAGACAATCCAAGGTGAAGCAGCTGAGTACTACCAAGCCTGTGCGCACGAGCTATTCAGTAAGACGCCCTACTTCGAGTGCGTTAACCACGTTTGCTCGATAACGCCTGCCAACCCCATCGCTGTGCCAGCAGGAGCCATAAGCACGACCGCAGATGGGAATCGGGGGCTGGCGCTTGTTGCCGTTGAGGAGCCCGGAGTATCTGGTCTTGAAAAGATGCGCGAAAATGAAAACCAGGCCCCAGTTCCGTTGACGTCGACTAAGAATGCGGGGCTGCTTATTGATATCGACTCGCCCCGTCCCGAGACAACGGCGGAGACCATTCCGGCTGGGTATGCTGTTCGCGCGAAGGAGGTGCAGGTGCTGTCACCCGCGTCGGAGTTCAGTTCTCATTCGTGGGATTCGTCTGTTGTTGATGACGATGAGAAGGGTTCGGTGCCGGCGCATGGTGCTAGGGGTGGTGTTTCTGAATCTCGGTCTCAGCGTGCTGCTTCGCCTCCTGTTCCTGTTCCAGTTCCTGTTCCAGTTCCTGTTCCAGTTCCTGTTCCAGTTCCTGTTGTTGCGCCGCCTGTGGAGGTAGCTGATAGACAGGTTTGGGAACCCTCTGAACCTGCCCCTGTACCAGCTCATATTCCTATGCCTGAGCCAACTCCCGCTCCAGCTCCGCAGATAATCACTAATGTCTCGCCCCCGGTGACTAATTTCCATTACACTTCGCCTCCGCCGCAGCCTCAGGTACAGCCTTTGCAGCCGACAGTGCAATATGTGCCCGTCCTCGCTCCCAACGCTGCACAGCCAATGGAGCCGATAATGCAACAACCGCAACAGCAGGAGCTCTCACGAGAAATATCGGAACCGCCAGTACCTCAGCCAGCCCCTCAAGTGGCAACGCCAAGATCAGAATGGCCATGGGGAAAGCGAGGACAGCCACAAGAGCAACCCCAGGTTCAACAGCCAGCTACCCAAGCACACGTCTCCGGGTTCGAATGGGCATATGCACAACAAGGACATCCACAGGAACTTCCTGGTACACAAGGGCCGCCTCAAGCATCGCATGCACGACAGGCAACTTATGGCCATGCAACCCAGCCTCAAGGGCCGCTTGTGATCCAAGGACGGGAATCTGGCTCTGGGTGGCCATTTGGTCTCACCGCACATCCTCATTCAAATGCACCGCCTGTGCCGCCTCTGCCACAAACCCAGCCCACTGGATCGGAGGTTCAGCATCAACAAGAGCAATCCCAAGAATCCATGACTCAGAATCGGCAACCTGGATCTGAAGAGCCACAAGCAGAACGGGGACTACCTCAGGGCTCTGACCTTGCACCCCAAGGACATTTACAACCTTCTGAGCCTATTTCTCCGGGTTTCCAGCGCGCTGCTGGTGGACCTGGCTCGATCCCAATGTCGGATATGCAGGCACCGGCTCCTGTGTATACGCAATTTCCTCGAGATCCTGCTCTTCCTCCTCGTTATGATACCCAGCCACATTACGATCACGATCCTACAGCTGGAGTTTCGAGTGTCAACCCAAGCGGCGCGATAGGACCTCATGAGACCCGACGCCGCAGACTCGGAAAAGGAAGAAGTCACTGGCCGAAGAGTTTGCAATCTCTGGCGTGGCCGGGGTCCATTTAGCAAGAAGAGCGGACGTCCAGGACGCGAGGGTCGTACTCGACGCAGATGGTATTTCGTGATCTGCGTTTTCTTTTTCATCATCGTGATCCTAGCCACCATTCTTGCGATCACACTGACAAGGAAAGGGGACGAGACTCCCGTTCAATCGCAATGGCTGAACCTCACAGGCTATCCGCCTATGCCGACTGGAATTGCAACACTTGCTGGGACGCAGCCACAGCTTGAAAAATCGACTTGCATCACTCCTTCTTCGATGTGGAGTTGTGCTTTGCCCAAGGACCAGCAGGATGCCAATGGGCCATACAATGCGAACCAGCCCAATTTCCGTGTTTCCATCCGCTTCCGCAATGGCACATACGATAACAGCACAGCAGTTGGCTCGAAACTACGTATCAGGAGTGACGACCTTTTCAACTCATCGCCCGCAGCCCCAAGAGATACAGAGCAGAGCTTCCTCGGCCAATACACAGACAACAACACCGCACCCTACGCTGGCGAAGAAACACCCTTCTACATGTCCATCCTCTCACCAGTCTCCCTCTCTTCGGCAAGCATCTACCGCCGCTCAGACACCTCTAACGGCACCGCATACCCCAACATCTCCTCGATAATCCCGGCGCCAGAAGAAAACGCAGACGGAACCCCATCCGCAGCAATGCTCTATCCTCTCCCTTCATCCCAACCAATCCGCCTGTACAACCGCGGCCTCGCAACCGAGCACTACGGTTTCTACAGCTACTTCGACAAATCCATCTTCCTAACCTCGCAATCAAAATCCTCGCCCGCCGACACAAACGGCGGAACCTCAAAAGCGAACGCACACTACCGCTGCACATGGTCCCAAACACGTCTGCTAATCCAAATCTGGACCCAACCCGACAAAATCGGCCGCCACCTCCTCCCAAAATCCAACGACACAGCAACAAGCACCACCACCTCCTCATCCGCAACACCAACATCAACAAACGACTCTACATCCTCCTCCTCCGCAACAGACTTCTCGCGCCCAGGCTCATTCCCATACCCGGTAACAATAACGGTTGACCGCCACGGTGGCGCCGAGAAAAAGAAAATGGTCTACTGCTACCCGCTCGAAGATGACGGGCATTACAATATCACGGCTGTGCAGCTCCAGCTCGAGGACCGCGCTGTTGGCGGTGAGCTTGTTAATCCCGCTGCGGGGCTTTTTAAGGGTCTTGGTGACACGAAGAATGCTACGACTCAGGAGGATGGCGGTGTTGATGGTGGGTCTGGCGGGTGTGGGTGTCAGTGGACGAATTGGATTTCGAGTGTGTAGAGACGAGACAGAAACTGGACTGGGTTGCATGGATGGTGTTTATGTTTAGAAGGGTGGCATTTATGATTTTTCTTTTTCTTTACGTCTTGTTTATGTGCGTTGCATTGCGTTTTCTTCTGGTGTTTGGGGGTGGGCTTTCTGCTTCATTTTCTTGCGAAGGATGACGAAGCTCATAAAAGAGTTTATGTATACATTTCATTTTTATAGCACTATGTATCTTGTCAGTCTAAAATTCAAAATCGTTGTTACATTTCGAATTTCGGATTGCTTATAATCCAGCGCACCTACCTACAACCACTGCAGGATCTATTGATATCTCGTAATATGAAGAAAATAATAACCCTGGAACCATGGATAACTTCCACAGCCCCACGAACCTTGGAAGCAAAGCTCACGTTGCATCAAGGACGCAGAAGTCAATATGAAACCTTAATCAAGTCATCATCTATATATTCAAACCCTAAAGTCAAGTCAATAGTTTGGTAAACGGCTAGCAGACGTCCGCCACCCGACCCTGCAGGCACGTCTCCACTGCGTGGCTTTCTGGGTATTGGTCTTCTATTATTAGGTGTATGACTCGGGTTACATTTTTGCCACTGGGGGATTAGACTTTGGTCTATGACTATCTGAGTTTTATTTTTATGAAGTACGTGGGAGGTACAGTAGGATGTAGGATCGTAGCTAGTTGATACTATATCCAGCTCATCTTGACATTTTCATGTATTCAAATTCATTGAGGTATTATTCATAAAACATTCCTTTTGAATTAGAATTAAAGTACCCATATTATACCAAATAACTAATAAACTCCAAAAAACGAAAATTCCAATCATCATATCTTCCAACGCCTCTGGAAATCCCAGTCCACCCTCTATATGAATTAAGGTCTCTAGCCACTAGCCAGTTCCAAGATCAGATATCAGAAAGAAACAAAGAGATAGCCAGCAATCAAAATCAACAAAACAAAACACCGGCATTAAGAGAAAGCTGCGCGAACATCAAGTAACTGCGAGACGTTTATGCAAGCAGCATAACGGCACCGTAGACAATGCTGCCAATAACAGCGCCAACGGCTCCAACCTGGGGTGCGGTGACCTTGGAACCAGGGCTGGAGGGGGTGAAACCGGTCGAGCTGGGGGATGCGCCGGAGGCAGCGTGGGAGCCGGCAGCACCGCCAGCGCCGCCAGCACCACCGCCAACGCCACCAGCACCACCGGAGGGAGTAGCGCCGCCAACACCGCCAGCACCACCGCCAACGCCACCGGCACCACCGGAGGGATTAGCGCCGCCAACGCCGCCAGCACCACCGCCGACGCCACCAGCTCCACCGGAGGGAGTAGCGCCGGTAGACTGGGTAGGGACGGTGACAGGAATGGTTGAGCTACCGACGATGCCAGTACCAGTGCCGATGGGCTGGTTGCCAGTTTGGGTACTGGTACCGTTGTTGGGGGTGCCGGTGACGATGGGGTGAGTACCAGTCTGGACAGCGGTACCAGTCTGAACAGCGGTACCAGTCATACCGGTAGCTTGGTGCTTGCCAATGCTCTTTAAGCTGACGACGGGGGGCTCTTGCTGTTTGGCGCCAGCGGCCTGGACACCGGCTGCGAGAGCCAGCAAGGCGATGGAGGGGGCAGTGAAGTGCATTTTTATTGGAAAGAAAAGCGATTGGATTAAGAAGTGAGATGTGGCTTGCTGTCTTAACGAATGACGAAGCTGGGATTGGAGTTAGGATATGTTCTTGAGACTGTGTGCTAGTACCAGCAGGTATTGGGTAGCTTCAGGACTTACCTACCTAAGGTGATAATGCTGATGCGATTGGGATGGAAATCGAGCAGGGTTTTGAGGCGAAGAGGACGGCATTCTTATAGATCTGTCGAGTGGTCCAAATCCGGCCTACAGATTCATTAAGGTTAATTGGTGATGACATTAACTATTAGAAGGAAAAATTTTCAAATTAGAATATGTGCCTCTCGGTGTTCCTCTTGCCCTCGATGTTCCTCTCTGCCCTCGATGTGACCCTTGGTAAAGTGGAAACAAGATTTGGCAATTTCCGCATCCGGGGCGAATGTCACACTGCTCGGATCAAGACCCCACATTGGAACCCTGGTACGATCGGTTGAGCCCGACTCCGATATCGTCATGATCTTCCAAACTTGGTGTTCGTGCGAACGGTGGAGACCCGGCTCGGTTGGGCATGGTCACGTGATATTGCGTCCCAATTAGGAAGGTGATGCTCTTGCAAGCGGCCATCCACACCGAACACCCCACCAACGTGGAATTCCACCGCGATCCACTTCAGAGCTGTCACAATGAGTGTTAAAGTGGATTTTCTTTGTTAGTGACCTGCTTTCATGGTTATACGCCGAAGACACGTTGTCTGAAGGGATGGAATGGAGTCTTGGGAGACAATGGGTGGAGAGCCTCTTTAGCTCTCTGGATGCGCAGAGTACCCGGAAAGAGGAGCCCATGGGGTAGTGGACAGCTGCCCGTAACACTCCACGTAATTACTGTTGGATCTTGACGCTCACTGCTTACTTGAGCTGTAAGAAAGGTGAATGGCCCTTTATATCCAGTGGAGCGCACTTGGTCTCTATAATCAGTCACAAAAAATATTTGAGAATAATCTGCTGTGTTCCTTCTGTAATAGCACTGTAGGAGTCATCAGCAGTTATCAGCACACCGAAAATCCTCAAGGCCGCTCCCTGTGTAGGGCTGATCGCCCGGTCGATTTCCCGGAAACTGCATCCGGGATCTAATGAGTTTGCATCAACGCAGCTTAACTACCATCAGAGATTCCACTTGGGTATGCTCAAGCATCTGTCGATTATAATCCCGCGCTTCTCTGTGTTCAGAAAACGTCAACGGCGTTCACGTCAAGTCCATAATCTCTGATCTTTGACATTTCCGACCAATCTGAGGAATGCGGCTACACGCTCTGGCTGTGGAATGTGTGTGTTCCTCCAGAACTGATGGTATCCCCACAAGCTTTGTTTGCAGGGTCCAATAAAGGGGAGTGGAAAAGTGAGAAAGTTGATCCCGGTTATTGAGTAACATAGGGAGATATTTCTCGTGGATCCCGGGTTCGATTGTCTCAATATTGAATTCGTTTCAAATTGCATTCTCTGTTGTAAGAAAGAACTTGTGTGGAGTAGCAAACCGTCTTCAAGTCTAAAGGAACATGTGTCTACTACCCGGCAATTTTCAAGAATGGACTTGGAAAGAATGGACTTGGAAACAACAATAACTTGTAACCCAAATTTACGCCATCTTTGTACAGGACTGCAAACCTGTTCTTGAGGACTTTTCCGGTGGACTTAATTGAGAGCATGAAGACTTACCATAATTTGACAATCAGGAAATGGGAATGTCCCACTCTTACTTAGTGCTTCTAGATACCAGAACATGCTTCGTATAGAGTATGAGAGACGATGATGTACTAGCCAATTGAAAGAGTATAAACCATTCCCGAGCTTATTAAACTCTCAAGTATTTTTTAATGCTCTCATATAGACTATATATAGTTCGTGATGAAGATGTAGAAACTATGTACTTTTTAGCTGGGGGGTTGATCAGGCTTGTGAGAAGACAGCACCACCAATACCTCGCTTGCTTTGTACGCGATAAAAAGTTCACGATTGTTGCTTTCAAAATATACTCTTGGCATAAGATATTTCACACTAAAGCGCTTATTATTAAATATTGTCACTTACGGGGTGTGTATAATTGCGAACGACTATTGAGCCGTAATAGGCAAGCTGTACACAACCCCGCGAACAACACCTGGGCAAAGGATTATAGCTCCAACTAGATACATTGAGTTTAATGTATCTCTTCGACTTCTAAAACTACCTAGGCATCTCATTCTAATTATGCAATTGTCAAAATAACCAAAATAAACAACATGGACTTAACAATTCTCATAGATCGGGCTTATCGCAATCGCAATTGATTGCCGGGTCTTGGCAATCCACCGATCTCCCTTTCTCCATCTCAACTTGTTTTCCATGTCTTCATCAGGCTAGCAATGCGCCGCCCAGACCCTACTTCTTCCCTTCTTTCACCTGCCCATTACGACAACGATGCATCTTCGTTGCGGTCGCCCTCCGAGCAGGACTCCGATTCCGACGATGACGCCCTCCTCGATCAAAATCGCAGCACCTTGGAAATCGCAGAGCACGACCGGGCAGTGTTAGAGGATGAAGAGGAGCTCGAGAATCTTCTGATCCGCCGTGGCACTGGACAGGGTTTGCGGAGGATTTTCAGCCCAAATGGCAGCAGTGTGAAGATCGGAAAGACGAAAAAGGAGCGGCGACAGCGGAGGGGGTCACGTCGTGAGAGAGTCAGTGAAGACGGCGAGCTGATGTATGAGATGGAAGAGGGAATTGGTGACGATAATGCCTCCCTTTTGAGCGGATCATCATTGGATTTGGACGGGGAAAACGAATACACATATGAGCCGGTAAGACGTACCTTGGCTGGTTTCTACATCCCCTGCTAACACGTCCGCCGCTTAGCCTCCACGGCCTTCCTGGCGAAAAATCCTGTTTATAATTGTTTTGGTCGCCATTCTCTTCGCCATCCTGCTCCTCGGGGCGTATAAAGCCTCCAGCGGTTTCCGAGCTTCACGAGCACACCCTCTACCCTTACTCTCCAACGGCACGGCTCTCTTTGCGCCAACCACCATCGTCATCTCGCTCGACGGTTTCCGCGCCGACTTCCTTGACCGTGGCCTGACTCCTGCGCTGAACTCCCTCGTTGCTAATGGCGTTTCCCCACAATACATGAATCCCAGCTTCCCAAGCGTCACCTTCCCAAACCACTTCACACTTATGACTGGACTCTACCCCGAGAGTCATGGGATTGTAGGCAACACATTTTGGGACCCGAAAATGGAGGAGGAATTCTACTATACCCATCCAACTGTCAGCATGCAACCCAAGTGGTGGATGGCAGAACCGCTCTGGGTGACAGCAGAAAAGCAGCGTGTGAAGACCGCCATCCACATGTGGCCGGGGTCAGAGGCGCACATTGGCGACATGGAGCCGAGCTTTTTGGACAAATACAACGGGACGGAAGTCTTGTCTCGCAAGGTGGATCGGATCCTTGAGTTTTTGGATCTCCCAGGTCTTGAGGATGAATCGCAGATTGCACCTGAGCGGCCGCAGTTTATCGTCGCTTACGTCCCCGACGTCGACCGGGACGGGCATAAATTTGGCCCTAATAGCACTGAGATTCGAAAGACGATTTCCGAAGCGGATAGCATGGTTAGCAACATTATGACTGGTCTTGAGCAACGCAATCTCACCGAGGTGGTTAACATCGTGGTTGTCTCAGACCACGGCATGGCCACGACCTCTACAGAAAGGCTGATTCAGTTGGACGATCTGATTGATTATAATCTGATTGAACATATTGACGGGTGGCCATCTGCTGGTCTACGCCCCAAGCGTCCTGAGGATCTGAAGACCCTACGGAACCAATTGGAGAAGGTAGCTCCGGATTATGAGCATGCTTTTGAATTCTACACGCGGGAGACAATGCCTGAACGGTATCACTTCTCGAACAACGAACGCATTGCGCCGTTGTGGGTCATCCCTAAGACGGGGTGGGCTATCGTTAATCGGTCAGAGTTCGATGTCAAAAAGGCTTTGAATACAGGGGAGGAATACCACCCTCGGGGCATTCACGGATACGACCATGAACATCCATTGATGCGTGCAATCTTTATTGCGCGGGGCCCAGCCTTCCCGCATAAGCCAAACAGCCGGTTGGAAGTTTTCCGTAAGTACCTACTCCAACGCATGGATTGGTGTTCGACCTAACGAATTTGTATAGAAAACACCGAGGTATATAACATTGTCTGTGACTCTCTAGGCGTCGACCCCCTTCCAGGCAATGGCACACTACGACTCCCGCTGAAGCCAGTCGGCCTCCACTCGGATGAGAACACACCGGTCTTGGACACGCCTTCTGATCCCCCGGCTCAACCTTCAGCAACAGCAGGACCCCCGCCACCAGCATCCCCGCAGCCGTCACCCCCACAACCAAAACCAGCACAGCCAGCACCGAAACCCACACCAGCAGCTGAGGCACCACCCGCCACAGACCATCAAAGTGATGATGAAAAGGGCTCGACGTGGTGGGGTACACTTTGGCACAAATTCGACGACCTGAAGAACTGGGCTGGTGGTGTCGCCGATGCTGTTCAGGGCAAACACCCGGAGTCTGAGAGTTGATATTTTGCTCAATTTTGTTCATTTGGCTTTCCATTTCGATAGATACCTATACCCATTTCACGTTTGTAATGTTTAAATGCTCTTTATTTTCTCGAGATGACATGTTGGCTCAGTTAACATTACACCCATGACGTGTTATACAATCCTGTTGGCTCTGGCCATCTCATCATCTGCAACCTTTTCAACTTTCCGTGGCGTTAGAGGTCCTGCCTGTAGTTCTTGGTATGGAACTGCAAATTCACGCGCTAATGTAGCGACTAGGGATGTCGATGCAAGGTGCCCAGATAGTGTTAGGCGCTTGGCACGATTACCGCAGAAACCCCTCATCACTATTCCTAACCTCCCCTACTCGTAAGACTCGAGGGATCTCCAAAGTCATTCAATGTTATTTCATGGTTCCACTGCTTTGTACATCCAACCACAAACCCTCAAATACGTCATTCGCTCGATATATCTTCGCTTCTTTCCTCGCTTCTTTCCAGATGTCGAGAGTTCCCGACTGGGTTCTGGATTCTAAGCTTGAGACTCATTTCCTGCCTGGTAACAAACACGAGACGGTGCATACCTACTACGAACAGGAATCCCTTTCCCAGCGGCCAATCAAAAAATCAGAACACTGGGAACGGGAGAAGAAAATTGGCGATGGTGGGTTTGGAGAAGTGTGGCTGGAGAGATGCACAAAAGGAAAGAATCGTGGCCATGTCGTCCGTGCAACAAAGCAGATGGAGGTGCGCCGGCAGATAGACTACGGCCGTGAGCTCGAGGCTATTGCGAAGTTCTCACATCCAAAGGCTTGTCTTCCAGCTAGTCAACGTAATGAAAGCCACTGACAGATCAGCAGCACGAGCGATGTTTTGTCAAGTCTTTTGGGTGGTACCAGACCGAAGCCAGCTTATTTATTGCAATGGAATATCTTCAGCTAGGGGATCTACAAGGTTATCTGCACGACCAGAAGCAGCCGCTGCCGGAATTTGAGGCGCAGGGCATCATGTCCCAAATTCTTGAGGGCCTTTATTTGATGCACGACAATGGATTTGCACATCGTGACTTGAAACCCAATGTAAGTTGGTTATATAATGGAACCAATTACGTCAACCGATCGGTAGTTCTAATCCTATTTAGAATATCCTCTTGAAATCCTGTCCACCAGATGATTGGTGGGTAAAGATTGCGGACTTTGGGATCAGCAAACGTATCGAAGATGACCTTGGAAAATCAACAACCATGAAGGGCACCCCCGGATATATTGCTCCCGAGCTTTATGAATTCACCCAAAGCGACAGTCCATATGCCGTTGACATTTGGGCAGCTGGAGAGGTTATGTTCCAAATTTTGACGAAACAACCCACATTCAAGCATCCAGGATTGCTCTTCACCTATGTCCAAACGCCTGACATTTTCCCTTCCAATCAACTTTTGGCCAACGAGGTCAGTCAAGCTGGAGTTGAGTTTGTCTTGTGTCTTATGGATCCTACGCCGGCAGGCAGACTGTCAGCCAAAGATGCGTTACACCACAGGTGGATTGATCAGTCATTACCCTACAATCGCAACTCAGCTACACTTGCGTATAAAGAGGCACATACTACATCATCGCTTGACTCAATGACAGAAGAATTTGCGTCATGGAACACCTTCAAATCTCCAGAGGCATTCGAAACCTTCAGTCCGAGGAGAACAGAGGAATTGGGGACATCATCTCTCCAGACTTCTAGCAACGAAATTGTAAAGTTTCAGCCAGTGCAACAGAAAAGTGCCACAGCTGTCAGCATGATGCTTTCTAGAACGCTTAAGGGCCATTCTTCATGGGTGACTTCCGTGGCATTCTCACCCGATGGTAAATGGGTGGCATCTGGATCGAGGGACAACACAGTCAAGCTCTGGAATACTATTACGGGCGCTATATACAAAACGATCCCGGGCCATTCAAATACCGTCATATCCGTGGCATTCTCACCCGATGGTAAATTGGTGGCATCTGGATCGAGGGACAACACAATCAAACTCTGGAATACTATTACGGGCGCTATATACAAAACGATCCAGGGCCATTCAAATACCGTGACTTCCGTGGCATTCTCACCTGATGGTAAATGGGTGGCATCTGGATCGAGGGACCACACAATCAAACTCTGGAATACCATCACGGGCGATATACACAGAACGCTTAAAGGCCATTCTAACTGGGTGTATTCCGTGGCATTCTCACCCGATGGTAAATTGGTGGCATCTGGATCGAGGGACAACACAGTCAAGCTCTGGAATACTATTACGGGCGCTATATACAAAACGATCCCGGGCCATTCAAATACCGTCATATCCGTGGCATTCTCACCAGATGGTAAATTGGTGGCATCTGGATCGAGGGACAACACAGTCAAACTCTGGAATACTACCACGGGCGCTATACATAAAACGCTTAAGAGTGATTCTTCTATCGTCACCTCCGTGGCGTTCTCACCTGATAGTACATTCGTGGCATCTGGATCGAAGGACAACACAGTCATCTGGAATACCATCACGGGTGATATACACAGGACGCTTAAAGGCCATTCTAACTGGGTGTATTCCGTGGCATTCTCGCCCGATGGTAAATTGCTGGCATCTGCATGTGTTAACCACACAATCAAACTCTGGGATGCTGCCTTTTAAAGGCTTAACTGTATATAGTTCCCAATGCTGATAAAAGTATAGATAACAACCCGAGCACCGTTAGTTTGGCAACCGATTGTCCACCGCATCAAACCTTATGATGCCAGGATCCGATACCATGACCAGAGGGAACGAGACCATCTAGTAGGGTCGATATGGAAATGGTCAGAGGCATATAAAGACAGGGCTAATCATTTATATAGCAAACTACATCTCGCAACAGCCTCCGCCAAAGATATGGCCGGGTAGGGTTATGATTTGAAACCCCTGTCCTCGTCCTCGAGGCTCCGCATGTATTCCCTGTGAGCATGTTAGAGGAACGGAGACGATGTGAAATAGACACTACATTATTAACACTCTTCCCGACAGCGATATTAAAAAGTCTCGGCACTATTCTGCCTAGGATGGGTTCTTCCTCAGCTCAGACATTCTTTCCCACTAGGAATTGATCGCGATGTAAGACACTCTTTATGGGAATATGTGATATTTTGCCGATAACTGATAAAACTCCCGTTGACCAGCCTGTCGGACAGACCCTACACCCCTTGAAAGCCTGGAAGAGCTCATGGGTGGTGTTAAGGCTCTCAAAGAGGAAATTGAAGCCACCCAAACTGTCCTCGAAAAGCACGAAAGATTCTTGACCCAGCATATTTTTGTAATACGTGCTTCCATCCTGGACCAGTGGTCTGAATCTCGCTCAAACTATATAAAAGCCTTGAAACGTAACCAAGTTGCTCATGGCGGCAGTATCTTTGCAATATGAGCTCATTTATCCAAGCTCAAAAAGAACGCCTCATATAATTGTTGGAAGAGTGGGGTTGGATCCTACTATAGTGTGTTGTAGGACGAGTGTTATGCTCGTGGTGGTCTTGGTTCGATCAGCACTGATATAATTATGATATTTGATTTGTGTGTAAATTTTCACTGTATCCAAAGGGAGAGTATAGATTATTATATTGAGGGGAAGAGGCTATAGACTACATATAAGGCAGAGACAAAAAGCAGCCCAAGAATTGATAGAGCCAATGCAAACATCTAAGTTGGCAGTCACTTATCCTTCACTTCATCCTTCACTTCATCTTTCATCTCTATCCGTCATCTCGATCCCTTCTTCCATCAAACGCCACTCCTCCGACGCAGTGGCCTTTCTTTATCTCCTTCTCCATTTCCACTTCTCCTTTAATTCTATTTTTTAGTTTCTCTTTCATCATACCCAGCCTTGTGAGTCAGCTACGACAAGCGTCACCCGTCCTCATTCATAAACAATCATTTGGGACCAAAACAATGCTGACGATGACAGTCAGAGGTCCAGAAGTCTTAGGTCGGGATATCTCTTAGGCCATGCCGAATACGATGGCCCGGAAGCGCAGCTTCCAGGAGATCCTCGACGCAGACAATTGTGATCTTGATATTGACTTTGCCGAGAACCTTCCTACCACTGCGATCTTTCTATCTACACCCGACCCAACGGACACACTGTTGGAAACCTACAAGAAAGTGGATAGACTAGCTGCCCTAGTCAGAGAAGGCAAGAGCCTTGCCATTCACACAAATCACGCAAAGCCTCCGCGCGATGCTATTACCGAGGTAAAGAAAACCATGACCGTCCTCGAGACCGTCCAGTGCGAGGCCCACATTCGTGGTGCTATCATGCCCACTATTGACTGGACCCAAAGCCGGGGGCTCTACATGATTCTACGGGGCCCAGGAGTCGGTCGGTTCGATGAGCAATTACGTGCCATCAGAGAGATTTACCGGGACCCTCGAATTACCCCGAGAAACGCATCTTGGTTCATGACTCACTTTCCATATGCGATGCCTCTTGTTGATGCAGTTGCCAAGGTTCAGGCTACGCAACAGAAATATGTGGATGATCAACGTAACCGCACCGATATGGGGCTGGCGGAAGTGAATACAGCACGCGGCATCGTTAGTGTTGCCATAAACACCCTTGCTGAACGGCGTATGAGCGAGGAACAACGCAAGGTGGACCGACTGGCGGCCAGAATTCGCCTGGCCTGTGAGGTCATCCAGGACCATGTGGACGCCATTCAAGCCCAGGGAGGATATGGAGGGGCTGAGGAGCCTGAGATGTTGGATGATATCTTTTGGAATCTCTCTATCCAGTAGACGATCATCTGTCCTGTGGTTATCCCATTTAACCTTCACTCAACCTTTCATCTACCTTCCCACCTCTTCCCCTCTTAATACCGCACCCACACGGGTCATTCTCCTTGTTCTGTACCCTCACGCTCTCATTCGCACTCCCAAATCCGCTCTAGTTCTATGCTACAAATTTACGAGCTTGGCAAAGGGATTCTTGCCTTTCTCTTCGCTCGAGCAAGCTACAGGATTATCAGACGCGACCCAGATTGGGGATGGGCTCTTCGCAAAGAACTACCGGCTGCATGAACCAATTCAAACAGCTCAAGCGTGCACAGAACCGTCAAATGAGTGACTGTCGAGTACAAAGTGAGGATCAAGGTATATAACAACAATGCTAAGCACTTCCATTCTACAAAGGAAAACTAAACAAGAGAAATCGAAGACCAATGATCTCTACCCTCTTTAAAGTCCTTCTAAACCTGAGGGCCGTTGTAACCATATGGTTTAACAAGATTCTCTTTCTAAAGATAATTAAATGGCTAGAGCCAACTAGATTCGAGAACACCTTGTGGGTGTATGTTAACTACCAAAATTATTCTTGGTGTTATAGCTAGAAGGATGGTTGGAAACTGATAGCCGTACACTGTGGCATCTCTTGGTCGTTAGCGAAGACTGATGCATTGCAGTCGGGGGAGAAGGAGTTTTCTGACCTATACACCTATCGGTACCTAGATACTACAACCACTACAGGCAAGTTCCTCATTATGTAGTGTAAGAGATCTAGGTTGAAAAATTAGGATCTGTTTGGCCTGCGGGCGTTAGCCAACTGAGCCGCTATTTAAGCGCTACACACGGCACTCGTCGACCTCTGTATTATGGATTCCCGTCGATAATTTATGGCACGAAGTGCAGGAATACCACGATATTATCGATTATGACAAAGACGGGAACATGATCCTACCTCCTGAGAACGTCCGCTTGGTCGATCCCCCAGTTTTCTTCAGTGCGTCACAATCATTTAGCCTTTTGTTCATGGGGTTTGTCCATCATGAGAAAATCCCAGAGTCACAGAGCAGGTGGAATCGAAAGACAGTGACAGAACACAGGAACAACGGACCTAGCCCCCAAGGTACGAGCCGACATCCAACTATTCCTTAGCTCTGGCAACACCCATACCCTTGTTCCTCTCCTTGTATCGCAAAGCCTTCTCATGAATTGTGCTGACACGGAACTGGATAATCCCACAGGCTTCGCGGGTCAAGTCCATCACCCATTCCAGTGCCAGGTGTTTCTCCTGCAGGGTAGGATCCAATTCCACCCGGCGTTCTCTCTTCTGCAGGATATCCGTGGTAACCCCGATTATACCGCGGGCTGTTTCCAATTCTGCGAGCTCCATCTTGGTGAGACCTTCTTGCTCCGCGAGTTCCATCTCGGTGGGATCCTCTTCGTCGCGGACATACTCCTGCCGCACAAGCCGCACTATCGCGACTGCCTCAATAAGAGGGAGCACATATCGAAGGTTAGAAATGAACCAGTGTGCGTTTGTGCGAGAGATGCGCGGGTTCTGGTAAATTTCTCGGATCGCACGAACTTGCTGCTGAAAGTGAGCTTTCTCGTCCTTGGACAGCATAACCGTTTTGTGGCTGTTTTTCCAGTCGACGGTGGGCATAACGGCACCGGCAAGCCAGGCGTTGTACTGCTCGATCTCGATTGAGAGCATTCTTTTCATTGCCTCGGGGATTGGGTCGAGCTCTTTCTGTGGAGCCTTTGCGTAGTTAGTGTGGATGGCCAGGCTCTTGCCTTCTGTGACAAGTTCAACCAGTTTCTCCAGCTTCCTGTAAGTCTGCACTAGTTTATCCGTTGGCTCAGGCGTAGACAGGAACGTGGTGATGTCAGGGAGCTTCTCGGTGAAGTCAATTCCACAATCATCTGCGTCAATTGCACAATCATTTGTGCCGAACATCTCTTCGAAGCTGCGCTTGGGAGCTTTCGTACTAGGCATGGGCTGAGGAGAATCCTTATTCAAGGACATTTTGGGACGTCTGTTTTTCATAGTTAGGATTGTTTCTGTTCTGGCTGGTTTCTTTAATAAACTGGGATAGGTGACGATTGTCATGGCTAGCTAACTCACAAGGGTTAGGTATTAACAAAGAGAAAATGAAGATGAAGAAAGAGAGTGGTTGAGTGACAACTGCGTCAGATGGGTGGCTTGGGAAGTGATAACAGATAGTGATGGAGGATGAAGTGAAGGGCATAGTATACTCCGTGGCAGATTCATATATATACTTGTTTGCTTTCATGCCAGGTGAAAACCCCAAACAGCCCAAATAGGCAATCAAAGTCCCATTGTGCAGTGTGATACTATAACCCGCCGCGTTTGAATATTTTTGCCAGATTTATATCAATGATCACTTTCTCTGGCGGGACCAAGTGGGCTTTGAAGGTATATGGCCGGTAGATACGAAGAAAGTGAGGTTGATGTGACGAATGGACTTCGAACTAAAGAATATATATCGATATGGCTGCGATAGGTAAACACGTAGTTGCGATTACAATAAGGCAAAAATATGAACAGAAACATGAATAAAGTAAGAAATAAGAAAATGAATGCACATTTTATGAACTTGTTGAGGGGTGTATGCTGTAACTAGATGGTTTTCAAATTAGGGTTGTGTTGTTCGATTATAGAAGAGGTTATAGCGTTGGCTTATATAACCCAGATGGCCAAGTATTTCCATCAACCAACCAAGTGGCCGAGCAGTAACTCAGCCATCGCATCTTCCTTGGTCTAGTGGTGATGATTTCCGCTTGTCATTAATACCGATAAGCGCGGGAGACCGGGGTTCGATTCCCCGAGGGAGAGATTTCTTTTTTTTTTGCACTTTTTATTTTTTCATGGTTTTCATATTTATGTGATGCGGATGTAGCGCTTTAACATTGGGGACTCTTTTGGTTGATCTTGGGCCATGACGTGGAAGGTGTGGCACCGCGCAGCAACCTGCAGGGAATAATGAGTCAGGTCCAGGCAGACGCATCTAGGCAGAGCCCAACTGAATCCAATTCCATCCAATCCAATCAAACCCGATGAATCCTGTGAGGCAAAGTACGCATAGTCGAGGCGTGTCAGGTGCACCTCAGGCTCAGCTCAGCGCGTTCCTGTGTCCGAGCGGGACAGCCCAACACATGAGGCTCTTCAGGTAAGTTCCCCGGGCCTATAAAAGACTGCACTATGCTTTGATTTTGCTATTCAGGGTTCTTCTCCCTTTCCCTCCTATCCTATTACCTGGAACTCCGATCGAAAGAATTTTGGGATTTTGAGGTCTTTCGATCATGAATTCCAACCAAACCATCCCCACCACAACGGGGCCGTTGTCCACGACGGACACGGCCATGTTGGAGGTCCTAGTCCCCGGCTATGGCTTCATATCACGCATGTTGATGTCCTATCTCAATTTTGATGTCAGCGCCTACCTGCAAATCCTAGTCAGCCTCGCTGTCTTTGGCGCGACTGCTCGATACGCTTTGTTCGTCATTTGGGCGCACTTCAATGAGTTATTTGTGTCAAGAGCCGAGATTCGCCTGGATGATGAGATATTCCAATATCTGATGTTCTGGATCTCACGCCAGCCGCATATGAAAAATACAAATCGATTCGTCGCTGGTCTCAAAACCAACAGTTACTGGAACAATGAAGATGAAACCGACGAAGAGGACCTCGAAGACGACGAGGACAACGAGGATGAGACTGTCAACGGCAAGAGTAATGATTCCTTCGATTCGTACTGGGCCAAGGTCACCACCCGGGACAAGTACAAGAAGATGCAATTTACTCCCTCGGAAGGCTCCCATTACTTCTGGTACAAGAACCGCCCTCTCATGCTCGAGCGCGAACACCGGGACGGCGGTATGTGGTATGTAATGAACAACGAGCGGATCTACCTATCGTGTCTCGGTCGGAATCCTGCGATTTTGAAAACACTACTAGCCGAGGCACAGCAGGCGTATGTCGAGCGTGACAGGAACCGCACGGTAATCTATCGCGGCTCGCGGATTGCCGCTGGCCAATCTTTCAATTGGTATCGGTGTATGGCCCGCTTACCGCGTCCTCTTTCGACCGTTATTCTTGACCAAGATCAAAAGCAAGACTTCCTTGATGATATCAAGGAATACCTGCACCCCCGTACCCGGCGCTGGTACACCAACCGTGGAATCCCGTATCGGCGTGGATACCTTCTACACGGTCCTCCGGGGACTGGCAAGACGAGTCTGTGCTTTGCAGCGGCCGGAATCCTTGGATTGAAGCTCTACTTGCTTGACTTGAATTCCACAGCTTTGGACGAGGAGAGTTTGTCGTTACTGTTCTCGGAACTACCACGTCGATGCATTATCCTACTTGAAGATATCGACTCAGCAGGTATTACAAAGGCTCGGACCGCTGGATCTACATCTACATCCACTCCAGATACCCCCGTGAATGATGCCACCCCGAAGGACGGCAGCGCCGAAGCGGGTAGTGCAGCCGCCACAGAGAAGACGAAGAAAGGCGGAATTACGCTTTCAGGACTTCTGAACGTTATTGATGGTGTTGCCGCCAGTGAGGGCCGCATCCTCATTATGACTACCAATCACGTCGAGAAGCTTGATCCGGCTCTCCTCCGTCCTGGCCGTGTGGACATGAAGATCGCTTTCGGGTGCACAAGCGAAGCAGACATCAAGGAGCTCTTCACCTCGATCTATGGGACGAAGGCCAACGACATTTCCCGTAGTGGAGCCCCAACAACACACAGCAATGGTAGCAATGGTTCAGTCAAGTTTCCGACAGCCACCATTGTTGCTAATACTGCCAAGACAAACGGCAAGATTGTCCAAAACTCCGAGGAGAGTAACGGAGGGGTGGAAAAGGGCAAGGAAGAAGACCTGCAGGGTCTTGTATTCCTCCGATCCCGCATCTCAGACTTGGCGTCTGAGTTTGCTGCTGTTGTTCCGAGTGGCGAATTTACAGCTGCGGAGATCCAGGGATATCTTCTCAATCACAAGGAGACACCCGAGGTGGCAATTCAGGGTGCAGCGGAGTGGGTGCAAACGTCCCGGGATAAGAAGCGTGCTAGTGAGGGACCGGGAGAGACTGAGGAAGAGGCTAAGGCCGAGGGAGAGGAAAAGGATAAAGCTTAGGTGCATGCGGGCATGCCTAGAACGATACGACGATACGATACACCGAATTTCATCTCTAAATAATATAATTCTAGTACATTTATGTACAGATCAGAATGTTACATCCCCGAAGATTGACCAAAATTTGCTGTACCTAGTGTGTGTGCTTTTCTCACTCGACTTTTCAAATGACATTTTTTCCTATAGTTCTTTGGATCAAGGAACAACATCGTATTATGCTCTATACAATCCAAGAAGTATTTACACTTTTGAACTCGCAAAATAGTATATCATTGCTCTCACATGTCACATGCAATCTTCAAAACCCGGGGTATATATCATCCAAAGCGACCAGACTTCATCAAAGTCCGACGCAAAGCCAAAGCTGCAGTACAAATAATCAAATCGACCCAAAAGAAAGAAACAAACACACCAAATCCCTCAAGCAATCGATGCCGTCTTCCCATCAATAATCACATCGGCCACATACATACATCTACTAGTCCTCTCCTGAGTACAGAACCCATGGAACAACATCCGATCTCCACAACCACAAACATTTCCCCCACCAGGCGAAATAAGCCCCGTATTCGCAGAATTAATCATAGGAACATTGGTCTTAGTATACGGACCCGTAATACTCTCCGCCGTAGCATAGCGCACATCATAAGCAGGGTCGGTAAAGCAATGAGTAGAATAAAACAGAAAGTACGTATCACCATGGAGAATAAGGTTCGGCGCCTCAACAAGCGGGCCATCACCATCAGCAGTATTGCGATCGAGGATCTGCACCGCATCCCCGATGGGCGTGATACCATCGGCGCCAACCTTCTGCAGCAAGATCGGCGTGGAAACAAGCGGCTCGACACCGTTGTTGCAGTCTCCGCCGTTGCCGATGCTGTTACCGTCGACTTTGAAGACCACGTAGCGGCTGCCGTCTTTGTCTTTGAAGCCTGCTGGGTCAATTGACCCGCCCCGATCAAGCCGGCATGATAGAGGCGTGTTGCTTGGGACGTAGGGTCCTGCTGGATAGTCTGCTACGGCTGTGCCGACGCAGTGGTGTCTGAGGTCTGATTTTGCTTCGCCGGAGTAATACATAACGTACTTTCCGTCGTCCTGGGAAGTAATTAGTTATTTGTTTTGGTGATAGGGTAAGATTGGTTCAATGTTTGTTTTCTTTTTTTTTTTTTTCGGAAGCCGAGAAAACTTACTCTCATCACAACATCTGGTGCCCAGTGATCGTTCTCAGTTTCCCATGTTGATAATGTGGGGAGGGCTTCGACATCGAGAAGTGTCCATGTGTTGAAGTCGTCGGAGACGGCGACTTGGACCCGCTTCCCGTTACCGTTGGTGCCGAATGCGTACCATTTGTTATCAGCGGCTTTCATGAAGCTGGGATCTGGGAAGTTGGTGTTCAGGCCCAGCCAGGGACCCTTTGCTCGTTTTTCGAATAAAGGAGAGCCCAGGACCGCGGGAAGAAGGGATAGGGTTAGTAGAGCCCATGTGGAAGTAGATTTTATGAAAGAAGACCGCATATTGGACAAATGATCAGAAGAAGGAAGGCTGAAGGAATGAAGGCGCTTATCATGTAGATCTACATTAACCAAAGCAGGGGAGGAATGTCCTTCTTATATGTAGATTTGACCGCTATTGTCCGAATGTAGGGGAACAAGGTCCGCATTGGATTCAGGGTACCAAGAGAACGGAAGTAAGGCCACATGCTGGGCATCTGCTTGGCTCCGAGGGGGGCTTAATTACTCCGAAAAATGGAGGTGAAAGCCAGCGAAAGAAAAGTAACAGCCGCAACGCCTGATATGGAGATCCATCAGGTGGCATCGGGTGTCGGCGAAGAGTAATTTCGGCCATCCACTCATGCGCGAGCTTGTGCTGGCGCTTCGTGATGTTTTTTTCTTTTAATTTACTTCTTTTTTAGTGGAGCCCAATTATGGGGCTGCGCTATAGAGTACTCAAAAGCTAAAATGTATCGACCTCGGGAGGGAGGTGGGAGGCGTCTTGATGGCTTGCAAATGAAAGAATGGGTGCATACCTAGGGGACCATGAAAAGGAGCGAAAACAAAAGAAACAACAAAAAGGCAAGATGAAGCAACCTGAGACTTTAACAAGAACCTTGGAAACATAATTTTCATTCAAACCCCTCGCCTTCGAGGATATTGGTTCGCGAGGGCACAAAGGATATTGGGCTTATTTAGCCTTGGAACATTGTTTTGTTGTTCTGATTCCGAAAAGGACCGGGTATCCCTTGATAACTCAAAGATAACTGGGCGAATGCCATGCGTATCCACGTTGCTGGACTTGGTCTGGGACCAGTAAACTAGCCAATATGGCTGCATGCAATATGTATTAGACCCACCGTTGAAGTCAGCCCGGGTTCAGTTGTGTTGTAAAGTCATGATAAAGCGTAGATATTAGGCCGGAAGATCTTCTACGGGATGGAGTTAATCTTCATGTGGGGGTGACCGGGGACTGGAATATGTGGATCAAATCGCCAAGCTCGGCCAGATGCGGCAAGGTATTTTGGACTGGGGCTTATGGTCGTCGATCAAGGTCAAATCTTCAAAACTCTAGCCATATGACCAGTGTGCCATGAATTTGTGAATTTTATTATGGGGAAAGAAAAGACCAGAAAGGGGATGATGCAAGGGCGAGACAAGCGATAGCGCGACCTCAAGACGAGATAACAATCCGGAAACATACAGCCCAGACATGATACCTCAGACAATTTACCCCTAGCGGGTATATGTTTCTCCACAATGATAGGCCGGGAGAATAGAGAATAAGCCACAGGCCCCAGGGGGCTAAGTTGGGTCACACGAGGCACATGGTTTTCATGTGTTGGCACTCGTGTGGTCATATCGGGGGACACATGGCCTGTCCTATAGCCATACAACACGGATTTATTTGTATGATCTGAACTTATAGTCCACAAATGTCAGACTGTAGAAGAAAGAAATCTCAATGAAAAGACTATTTCAGAATGGAATCTCCCCGACATGTTGTGAACTCAACTAAAGAAAATAGAAGCAACTATAATATAGCGACTTAAAATCTCTTAGCAAAGTGCATCCGATCGACCGATCGTTTACCATTTCCGGACTGCAACCATCAACCTCAAATCGAAAAATGACCCCTCTCATTGGCAAAGTCAAGGGACACAACATCAAGCTTGTTCCGTTCTCCTTTCTACCCCGCATTTTGGCGGCTGAGATGGCCATGAGGGGTGCAACCAGTCGGTGAGGACTTTCCACTTCTGTTATGATGTCACCGGGGGGCCCTGCGTCGACTAGTTTCCATGATCGGCATCGGAAACCGGATAGGGATAGTGAGGGTGATACTAAGATCCCGGGTTTTCACGATACAGTGACAGAATATGCGGGAGAGAAATGTCTTCGGACACTTGTGGTAAGAGTGTGAGATATGAAATACGAAAGCGAGGACAGTGTGACTAGAATAAGGGAATGTGTTCTGCTTTGGAACTCCACAGTCCTTGAGAAACACCGCTTGCACATCATCCGGTTTCAAGGTTTTGCTAAGAGTTGACCTAGAATTGTGTCCTCTTAAGCCTATCAAGGTCGTGACATATTAGTAGATTGCAGTTTTATTGGTAGCAAGTTATATCCACACTTCGTTCTGCTTCGAATAGCCTGAGGTTGTATTCCCCCGCCGATGTTGCTCCTAGTACTCATTTACTAAACCAAGCGGATCAAAAGAGAGGATATCTGCACAAATCCAAGTCCCATTTTGGTATTGTGGACCCTATAGCCCCCTGAAGGTGGTCCAACACGCTCTGACTTGCTGATCCGGGTGCAATACCCAATAAAATCAGATTCCTCGCTGCGAAAATGCGAAAAGCAAACCGACTACCTCGCTTCAGCCATTCAAAAGCAAAGTTCCGGCACCGAGCATCCATCGGATCTACACAAGGACCATGACAGACCAAGACTGGTGATTAGGAGATAAAAACATTGAACATGAGAGTTTGAACGAGGATATCTAGACGTCAAAGAAAGTCATTTCAGATGGTCATGCACATGCCACCGTCATTTGCTAAATCATGCTTTGCCATAATTTCTTGCCTCTGACGTTGCGATATACCTGTTTCCAACTCGAGGTTGTCGCTGCATTCCTGCTGTCGTTTCGAGTACTCAACTCGAAGCCACCGTTCCGAATTGATCATAGACTTCAATCTCTGTCAGGTGCTCTTCGCTCGACATCGGATTATCCAAATTTGTCTTTATGAATCACTCGACCTCCTCGCTAAAGCGCAGGGACAAGAAATTATGGATTAGCACCATGTGACTGAGAACGGCGGCATCCCCGTGGTCCCCTACACCATGGCATGATCTGGATGCCTCACGCTACTGTTCACCCATTCCTCCTTGTTATACAGGTCCTTCATATTTGTAGCTCATTGATTCGTGGTTCTTCCTCTCGAATGCTTTGCTATTATAACAGGAGACGTGGATATTATGGCTCTCCATGTCTCTAGGAAAGGTATGGAGACTTATAATTGGAGTAATGTGTCTAGAGCGAGAAATAGTTAGCTCTACTGAGTGACAGTATATTATTTGAAACTAAAATTGCTCTCGGCACAGGTTCTGCCGCCTAAAGCATCGGTTTCGAGGGGTCGCTTTCCCCCTTGCCACAAAGAGAGTCGACTTGGTGCTATGTAGAAACATCTTTCAAAGTAGGACAGGATGGAGTGTCTAGGATATTTTCTTCTAAAACCAACAATACTTGATTACTATTATTAGGAATCGCCAACGAGATGGTCATACCAAAAATATCGAAGGCACTAGGCAAGAAACATGAGGGCGAGGTCTTTGCCGGCGCAAGCGGTGTCTGGGATTACCTTTCGCACGCGATCTTCCTATCCGAGGTTCTTCGTAGAGCAGTTTTCTGCCCGGAGGACATTCTTTCCAGAGTCTAGAGCCTGTGTATAACAGTTTGTTGTGGATGATGATAAATTGATAAGAGAGGAGAGAAGAGAAGACGGATCTGTGCCCTCCAAAAACAAACAGAGGCCAGCTAAATAGCCAGGGAAGCCCAACAAATAAGGAAAAATGCACAGGAAGCAAAGATCGCGATATATACACCATACGATAGGGAAAAGGCGAAAACACACAATAACATTGTCAATCCCCTAAGATGAAAGAGAATTCCGGAATATTATCAGAAATTTTGAATGGCGAGTAGAAATAATTCCTATGTTCATATGGCCTTGTAAATCATATTGCCTTGATAGGAGGTCATTTTCGTTCAGCTTCTATATTCACTACCATCGTTTCGATCAAGGTGGCAGCGGATAACACTGCAGCCGCAGCTGTTTGTACAAAGTGTCCCATAATGCCTGGATTTCAACAATCGCTTGCAATAAAGGTACGTGTATATATTGCTTCCCAAATATTTTGTAAACCGTCGAGTGCGAATGAAAATGTGTAAGATGCACCAACCACCGTCCTCACTGGGAGCTAGTGGGCAAATCGGAAGTCCAGTCTTTTGTTGCCCTCATCTTTCGTTGTGCTCAGGTAATGGTGTTTCTGCTCGGGACTCATAGCATTCCAAACCTGTTCACGTGTTTTGTTTCTCCGCGTATAGTAGAACTTGATGAATATGGTTACCAAAACGTTCCATGCCACAAGAGCCAGAAGAATCTTGTTTCCCTTTCGGTAGTAGGGTTTATCATCCGTTCGGTAGATCTGACGAGGAAGATGTGTAAGTCACAAACCCAACCAACGATATGAAAGGAGGCATTGGGGGCTCAGCAAACGTACGTTGGAAGAAATGATAGAACCGGCTTGGCAAATCATGTTGTATACGGCGCTGCCCACAGTGCGAGTGCGCACAGAACCGGCGTTCCGCGAGATCAAGCTGACTATAAGAGGAATGGCGTCAGATAATCCGAGATGTTGTTGGAAGAGATTAGTACTGACCGTTGATAGAATGGACATAGGGGAAACCAATAACTAGTACTGTAACTGCGTACCAACTCCAAGGACTTGAAGTCGCCGGCATCAGCTCTAGTGCCATCAAAAGAGGGAAAACCCAAAAGGAATAGAATAACACGATGGCCATGCGGTTGTTGATTTTTTCGGACACCCAAGACCAAAATATCAGTTGAATCAAGAACAACACGGTTGCAGGAATGGTTAGAAGATTGACCTCGAATGTATCAAAGCCAAGTGACTTCAAAAAGAGGGTCAGATATGCCGATTCGGGATTGGTAGGAACCAGCAGCGTGAGGCTGATCAGATACATTGGCCAAAGGTCGTAGTCCATGAGAGCGTCCCACAGAAGCTTCAGTGTTAGACCTTGACGATTATGCATGCAACCCTATGTTACGTCCACAATCAGTATGTGTCTGGGTAAATATCGAAAAGAAACACGTTTCATACGTACCTTTGCTGGATCATCTCGCAGGACCCGATTGACCATGATGACTTCTTCCCTCTCTGAGAACCAACCATCTTTCCCTCGGAACCAGCTTGCAGTCTGGGTCGGACTGGGAGGTAGATAAAACCAAGATATGATCCCAATAATCAAAGTCAAAGCACCCTCGAGAACAAACAGCCACCTCCAGCCTTCCCATCCGCCTATGGATCGCATGCGGAGAACTCCAAATGCCAAGAACGCTGCAATAATAGCAGTACCATTGGAGCAACAGTAGAAAAAGGCGACCCGCATTGGCAGCTCTTTATTCGTATAGAAGTAGGATAGGTAAAGGAGTGCATCGGGAATGAAGCCACCTTCTATCAGACCAAGCAGTGCGCGAGTAGCATAGAAGCTGTTTTCGCCGCTGATTAGGCCCTGGCAGATCCCGACTATACTCCAAAGAACCATTTGAATGGGAATCCATACATCGGGGCCAAGCTTTTTCGAGATCATTTGCGACGGCACCTCTGCACACAGGAAGCAAAGATAGAATATCGTCATGCCATAGTTATATTGGTTGGTGGATAACCCGAGGTCATCAAGCATTCCATCGGATAATGCTTGTCCGATATTACCCCGGTCAAGTTGAAGGGCAAAGAACATCAGACAGACCCAAGAACAGATTCTGTAGTCGAGCTATATTATCGTCAAATGTTAGTCGACTGATTCATAGTACGAGGATCCTGAGAAGGGTCTTCATTACCCTTCGGACCAATAGCTTCTCTTCCTTCTCCGTCCATTCAGCAAGTGGATCATATCGATGTTTCCCTTCGTACTCTGCGATGGGCTCATAGAATTCTAGTGAGCCACCCGCAGCCAACACTCCACTTGTTACATCGTACTTTTTAGTCGGGATCGGCGTCTGTTGAACAATTGTGACAGCTGGCTGCTTCGAATCAAGCGACAGGGAGCTTTTGCTCGACATCGTCGATTTTAAGTCTGGTTGATAATTTCCACGACTTGGATTGGGGTCTTTCTATATAGGATAGACATTGACACTCGTGCCCTACGCTGAGGATTGCGCAATGCTGGCAGCGAATGTCAAGCCAACACCATGCAGTTGTCCGCGGAGAAAATCCAACGGAACGTGTTGCTTAAAGGTGACATCTGCGCCTCTGATGATGAATTAAATGCCTAGTATGTGCTCGATCAGCATGGCAAGGGCAAATCCGGTTAGATGGAGGGGTCTATGCAAGATAACGTTAATGCTAAAACATCGCTTAGGAAAACCGCGGAGACTGCGCAACAGTAGTAATGCGCATAAGATTTAGTTAGGGCCGATCCTTGATTGAACAACATGTTGCCATTCAATGCGGGATCGCGTCACGAAATGGATAACATAATGACCTTGACCCCTCTGCTAGACACATTATTGTTAGCATATATAAAATAATAGAATTGAGTAAACAACGTCAAAATGTCCAAGTATCGGCTAATTTTCTCTAGAAAAAGCTACTAACCGGCATTTTCGTAAAAGAATGTAAGGAGTCAAAATGAACTATTTCGTAAATCAACAATGCAATGAGTGGACTTATCATATGATGACAATGAATTAAATTGGGAAGACCAAATGCGACATAAAGAACTGGTATGGTATATTTCTCTATATACTTCCCTGAAATTTTGCCTCCAATTGCAAATTAAACTGTTGTGATAGGCCGATCTGACGCCCATCTAAGATTTTCGTGGATGGCTGGTAGTGACCAAACCCAAGTTTCAAACGTTGTATAGATATCAGAGTAAGACGCGGAAAGACTTGTCTAGGCTGACGTCTAGTTGCAGAAAGTCCGCAAGACGTCCCAAATGATCAATCCCCCAGAAGCTTTCCTTTGCCCCCTGAGCGTCTATGCACTCAAACCAAGGCAAACCAAAGGCGCCAGAGGTGCAAACCTTTTGTGTGCTTCCATCCAACATGGCTTTCGCCTCAGAACCTTTGGACTATAAAACAACGTTAGAGAAGAAAAAACGTGTCATGTAGACTAGATGAAACCTACCTCATACAGAATCCGCTTGGCGGGCTCGGCGCCAAGCTCACTCTCAAATATATCAGAGAAACCGGCCTGAGTGAGAACATTCGAGTTCCCCTCTTCCCAGAACCCGCGATAAATCTTATCCGCGACGGGAACTAGCTTATCGGGACATTGTCTAGCCAGAAGGCAGAGAGCGAGCTGAACCTCCGAAGTAGATGCGGGAAATGCTTCTGGGAGGGCTTCGGACATGGGAACCTGGAAGCGACGAGCCCAGTAAATACGCTCTCGGTTTATCCATTGGGCCTTGTCTACAACGTGGAATTAGCATACTTCAAATATAGGGTACGTAATACATAGCGTTAGAGGAAGAAATAAGCAAAAGAAAGAGGAACCTACTCTTCACTGCTAAAGGAGGCATGTTTTTGCACAACTGAAACAGGTCACGCAGGGAGACGGGGACATAGTCAATGTCGCATTTTGCGAAGACAGGGGACGTCTATGGACAATCGTTAGCTAATTTTCCATTCATTGAATCCTTTGGAATATCGACTGACTCTCAAAGCATGGAAAGCAATGCAGGCGAAGGGACTGCCAACGTCGAAATAAAAGGTTATTTTAGGAGCAGCCATAATTGGAATAGTATTCTTTGACGATAGACTGGAAATACTACACCTAGATGAGGACGTGGGGTTTGTTGTTTATATCGTCGACAATATTATTTTATGATTATTCATATTCGGGCCCGGATTGAGTTGTACTCTTTTAAGGTACTCTTTTAAGGTGTTCCCAACAAATTTTTGGATCTCAAGATCAGGAACACCGATTTAATTTAGGTTCGGGTGGATTTCTGGAACCCGGAACTCAACCTTCAACGTTTTCAGGCTTGAATGTTGTTCTCCTTGTTAGGGGTATTTTTGATACCGGGGCATAATCAATTTGAATCTCACGAACCAAAATGTCTTGCAGGCAACAATTACAGATATTAGAAGACATGAATTATCTTGTTACCATATCTCGTATTGAAGGTTTTGGCTAAGCATGTGTCATACCAATGAATATAACTATTTACTACCACTCGTGATCATAAAACATGCCATGTACTTGGATTATATCGTCACTTAGTACTATTCTCCGCGGTCCCATATTTACTCAAAGCTCTCAATCTCTTTCCACTCATGAAAAAGACCCATGGAACAGGCAAAAGTGCCACTGCAATAAACCCAAGCAAGCTTGAGGCCCACTCCGTACCGAGCCTGGTGTACACTATAAGATACGTAAGGATATATATTTTGAGTGTCGTCATAGAAGGCAGATACTCACTTTGGACGGTAAACAGAGGGAACACAGCCCCGAGTCCATAACGAGCCAAACCATTGGCGCTCATGGCACTTGCGACAGTGAGACCATGATAAGTATCAACGAGGTACTGCGTCGTGCTCACGAAGACACATAGATTTCCCCATGCAAAAACGACGATTGCAACGACAGGACTTGCCCAGGATATTTCAGCTCTGGCAGTCCATGCAAACCAGAACAGTCCAATCGGCAGTCCAACACTACCTATTAGTGCTGGATAGAGGCGATATTCGGGTGGTACTTGCCCGTCTGGATGTTTTGGGACTTTCGGCAGGTAAAGGAAGACGTTGCATAATATGACTGTCACAGTTCCTAGTAGACATCCGACGACAATGGTCAAGAAGACAAGGCCGGAGGCCTCGATGTTGAAATGATAGATACCTTGGAAGATCAATGGGAAGGCTGCGAAGAACGAGAAGAGTGTCGCAAATTCACAGGCAATGTAAAGGCAAATGAAGCCAACGATTGGTTCGGTTAGGAGCATGTGGATAGGGCGGAGGAGGGAAATGGTTACAAATAGGCGTAACTTCGAAGAGAGAGGGGGTGATGGGGGAAGCTCTAATTCGAGTTCCTTAGCACGACGACGCTTGATGATAGGGTGGAAAGTCTCTTTGGCAATCGCAACTGTGATACAAGTGAAGATCGCAAAGAAGATCGTTGTCCACTGTGTCCAACGCCAGCCTTTCCGATTGACAATGAAACTTCCAATGACAGGCCTAGGAAATAGTCAGCAAGATTGAGAACTTGACAATAACGTTGATTCGAGAAATACTGACCCTAGACCAGGACCCAAAAAAGGCGTAAGAATAAAGATAGCCGAGGGAAGAGCGCGGTCGACTGGTTTGAAGGTCTCATTGAGAGTTCCGGCCGCAATTGCCAGAGTTGGTGCGTAGCAGAAACCAGCCAAGAAACGTAAAACACAAAGCCCAGAAAATGTGGGACAAAACCCAACACCTAGAGTAAATAAAGTGCCCAGAGTCATCGCCCCTATGTAGACTGGGTATCTCCCCACAGTTTCAGAAAGAGGTCCTCCAACGATAGGACCAAGGGCTAGGGCGAAAACGTAGAGCGACAAGGGTAATATAGCGACGGTGCTGCCAACACCAAATTCTTCCATAAACTGCGAGTGAGCAGGTGACAGTATAGATACTCCAACGGTTCTAGATTAAGTGTCAGATTTCAAGTCACCATCACATTACGTGGGAGGAATAACAAACGTTGTAAATGCCGCCCAACCAATCATCGCCACTTGCAGAACCTTTTGGCTTGTCGGCCAGTTGTAAGGATTGCTTGGATCATCATCCCAATTCCATGTTTCACTGCTTTGGGGCTTCTCTGCGGTGGTGCCGAGTGCATCTTCGAGCATATCGTCGGATGATGATTGTAAAACTTGCATGGTGCCGTGTATATAGGCCTCCGGGCTGTCCTCCAGTTGCACTATGTTGAAAATATCCTTGGAATGTGAGTAGGCGAGCGGAGAGGTACGTATCGTGACAAGGCTCTCTTATATCGAAGGAATGAATGTAACGATAGCGTAATCGGTAATCGGCGATTATTTCGCGAGCAGAGGTTACTTCTCCCTAACCATCCTACATACCCGAGGCCGAGGTTATATAGTTCCAAGGGTTTTCTGTTAAACTGCGTTCATCCCCCAACGGCAACCTTCAAAGGCCCTTTGAGGCGACCGACTAAAGCGGGGGCCGCCCGGGGATGATCAAAGGCCGGCCAACATGCCCCCAGATCGATGAGCATCTGATTGGTTGGGGAGGGTAGCGCTAATCTGCTTGCCCGAGGAATTTTTGATTATTCAACATTTGATTAATCAACATGTCATGCGTGTGTAATTTTTTAAAAAAACCAGTAAAGCGAGATTAGGTATAATGCATGTTGGGATTTATATTTGGCTTGTTGAGGGGGCGTTTATTGTGGTTAAATAGAAAGAATTTGAAGATTCGTGGCAGCAAGGAACAACCCAGCGTATCAGTGTTGTCTTGGTATCACCTGCCATCATCAAATAAACTTGTCCCATTACCTCAAAAAAGACTCCAGCTTGGGCATAGCTTTCTTATCACCTGCAGAGAAAAAGGAATCGATATCTTGCTGATCACCACCGGGCAGTACCTGCCAGCCGTGGGTTTTTAGCACCCCCAAAAGTTCCTTTATCACCTCCATTCCGCTCTCCATTCAGACAGCAGCTCCTTATTATCGGTAGAGCAAGAGATTCACAACAATTACGGAACCGGAGACAGAAGGAAAGCTACTCGCGCGGAGAGATAATCATCGAAGGATATTTCTTGCTTGTATTTCCGCCTCTTTGGGCAAGTTCAGCGATCTCGGTCAGCCCTATCTGAAGACTCCACGTTGGCGATGCTGGAAATCCCCCTAGGCTCTTTGATACGAGCCTATGCTATGCTGAACAAAAAAGCCCGTGAACCTTTCCACATGGAGATGGGAGATCTACACCGCCTGGGGTTTGTTTTGACACGGAGAGAGCCATGGTTCGCATGACCAAAAGAGATAAGATTGTTAGCCTAATTTCTGAGGCATCTACCTTCCCCAAAGGGTAATTATTTCCCCAAACATATGCTTTATGTCATCCTGTCTCATCACCCACCTGCGGGCATCCCGTATTTCCGGAAACATTCGGCCTTCGGCGCTGACATTTTCCCATCGGCCTTCGGGGTCCGATACTAATTCATTGACTAATTTTTCTGCTCAAAAGGTTCATTGCAGCTTTCTTCTACATATTGTGTGAAATTCTTATTATCGTTCTAAAGCTGCTACAGAGCAATTGCTCCAGCAGGTTACATGAAGTTCTACCCCAAAGCGCGAGAGCAGCGGCCTAGTATCCACCACCCATCTGTTCGGCCGCGTCGATTGGGTGTTCTAAAGGCAGCTACTGTCAATCTTCTGCTCCTTCAAATTCTATTCCTGGGTCTATTCTGTTACATATTCGGCGCCCTTTTCCAGCAGTCCGGACACATTCACAACATCAATGTTCTGTTCGTTGACTATGATGGCGGCGCGATAGGCGATGCGGCCCGTGTCGCCTTCCAGAAGCTCAAGGGACCTGGCTTTCCAACCTTTGTTGAGCGATCTGTCTCCATGTACCCTCAACCTGGCTTGATTGAAGGTGCAGTCTGCGACATCAAATACTGGGCAGCATTGTACACCACAGCAAATGCGTCCAACGCATTGAGTGCCGCATTTGTGGGTGGGTCGGCTGCCTCTTCGTACGACAAGACCGATGTTCTCACCATGGTGTGGAATGAAGCGCGGTACCCGACGGTCGTTGACTCAACCGTTGCAGACAGCATGAAATTGCTCTCGGAAACTGCGCGTGTTGCGTACTCGCAGGCCAACGGGAAAGTGGCTCTGCAGAGTGTCAATAGCTCCGATCCTGCTGCGCTTGCGGCGTTCTACGAACCTTGGACATTGACCAGCAACAATATTCAACCCACATCACAAGGCTCAAGGGCCATTTACAACACGCTAGTTATCATCTTGATCCTGATCCAGGAATTCTTCTATCTGGGTACTATCAATGGGTTATACGCTCAATTCAAACTCTACACATCGGTGACACCTCATCGCATGGTCATCGCGCGCCAAATCATGTCTTTAATCTACACTCTCTTCGGGGCCATGTGTACGGCCGGCGCAATCTGGGCATTTCGGAGTGGCTGGCATGTCAACGGAAACCAGTTTGCGCTCACTTGGCTGGCATTATGGCTCTTTGCACATTTGAACTTCCTCGTGCTGGACGTCTTCACCATCTGGCTTCCGCCTCCCTACGTACCGATGGCACTGATATCGTGGGTCATCTTGAATGTTACTTCCATTATTCTCCCATTCGAGCTCTCACCTGCTTTTTACAAAGTGGGCTATGCCTTACCAGCACATGCTGTCTTCCAGGTTCTCATCGACATTTGGTCTTCTGGCTGCAACCCCCAACTATATTTCGCGCTACCTGTTCTCTTCGTCTACGAGGTTCTTGGTATCAGCCTGAGCTCCATCGGTGTTTATCGAAGGGCTCATTACGCAAGTATCAAAGAAGAGATGGACGAAAAGGCGTTCCAAGAGCGGGTGGGGGCCGCACTCCTCGAGCAACAAGAGGCTCAACTGGCCAGACGGGAAACGACGCATGATGCCGAAGAAAGCGAAACATCGGACAGCGAGGACGTGGAAAGGGGTGCCATGCAAAGACAAGGCACAGTGACATCAACCAGAGATCAAGCGCAGTTGGTCAACATTATCAGCCGTGAGATGTCTCGGTCGAAGGTCGAAAAACCAGATACAGGCCGAGATAGCACCGGGCCGTCTTTTGCTTTGGCCTACAGATATTGAACGACCCCCGCTTGCGCCCAATGTTAAAATGCGATCTCAAAAGTGTAATACTATCTAGAAGCTACCGATTTATTAAGACTGTCTATATAATATTCTTTACATTTCTATCCACAATCCGAAAAGGTTTAAGACATGCAGATGACTTTTCAATATATAACTTTGGAATATAACTTTGGATACAATAACAAATATCGATTCAACTGAGCAGCACTATAGAGAGGACGATTCACGCGAGAGCTATTGTAAATTTATAATCACTTACCCGACGCCTTCTTCCGCCCATATGGCTCCTCAGCAAAATCAGCAATCGGTGTAGTCCAGCTCGGACCAAGGAGCAGGCGTGCAATATAGTCATCCTCGCTGGGATCCATCTCACCTTCGTATTCACTGCCGTCTGTAGCAGACACCCCAATTTCCCCATATGGCTCCTCCGGAAAATCAACTATCGGTTTAGCCCAGCTCGAACCAAGGAGCAATCGTGCGATATAGTTATCATCGCTGGAATCCATCTCACTTTCCTCTTCACTAGACTCTACACCAGCCTCCTGGTCAGCCACTTCGTCAACCTTCTCATCGGCTCTATTGACAACAGCGATAGAACGAGGAAACAAGGAAGATTCAAGAATCATTCGATCGAGAGCATCTGCAACTATAACGTTACAGTCTATGTCACTCTTGAGCAGACCGATTTGTCCGGGCATACCGCTCTGGATAGTGTTACAAAGCTGCGTAAAACGAGCATCCTTCCCGAACTGTGCACATATGCGTGCCAGACGAGAAATTGCGTTCAGCCTTGCAATTACCAGCGAGCGGTTCTCTGGGTGGGAGCGGAGATTGTGAATTTGGCGCCTGAGAGCTGTGAGCATACGCTGACGTTGCTCACTGTCATTGAGTGGCGGCATTGTCTGTAAAGTGTCCTAAAAGTGTTAGTATATGCAGTGATAAGGTAGTACTTACCTTCGCATGGTAGATGGATTCCAGGACGCGAGCGTTGATCAGAGATGGGGGTATCGGTGCTGATGATGCCCCGATGGTGTGGGGATATGGGCTATTTATCGCTTTCTGAATTTTTGTTAGTTCAAAGATGGACCATCAGAAAACAAAGGCCATTGTGGTAGATAAAGAAATGAATGAGTGATACAATGCTATTGTTGATGGCTTCTGCCATTCAAGAAACGTCCAACTGTTCCTACATAGAACAATACCAGCCTACAAATCTTGTTCGAACTTGAATGGAACGAAGAAAATATTTCGGACAAGACAATGGAACCATGGAGGTGAAATCGGATCCATTGGCCAGAGGACGCGTACTTTCAGAACGGTGGTCCTTGCAAACTGGCATTGGTTGGCAGAGTTATTATTTGGATGGAGCCAGAGCCATCATGATAGCCCTGGAGATATAAAGCTGTGAGATGTGGATAATTATATCTTGTTGAGTGTTGATTTTGGAAGATTTGATTTGATATGGCCACCTGGATTACCACGGTGGGGCCCAATTATGTATGCTATTCATAACGCGCTAGGAAGTGCTCCCTCGCATCGTTTGGCACATGCATATATGACATCTCATTGGCTTATGCTGGACGAATCGAGTTAACGCAGCACTTTTAATGAAACATACGCCTGCGGAGTGAGAACACGACATAGCAGATGAAGTGGTGGAATGACCTGTTTTCAAGATGCCATAGTTGGGCCACGAGAGGAAACATAGTTGTCATTTGTTTTACGCTCTGTGCTGGAGTTCCTCAGAGAATGTACACCGAAGAACATGCGCTTGGCAGGGGATGTTGGTCAGTGTCGATGGGGGAAGCGGATCCAAGTTGTTTATCATTCAGAGAGCTTGATCTGCCCACAAAGGACGACATCTTCACCAAATGGGTACCATTTGACATTTTTCAATCTCGCTGCGGAGATCGCATTTCCACCCTCGTCAAAGCGCCTAGCAGGGGAGACGACAACGCCACCTTCACCTAACCACGTGGGAGCAATAGTGACAATGACACTATCCAGTAAGGACATGTAGAGTGGGCTCAAAAGGGATTTAATGACCTGGCCACCACCCTCTATCATCACGCTCCCGAGACCGTTTGATTTCAGGGTGACGAGCAAATCTGGCCAGTCAATCTGATGCCCGCCGGTATGTGTTCTAATCATTTTGACAGAGATAAATTTTCCGCCGTACCTTTCCAGCAATGCTTGCTTGTCGGCGTTTGGGTTCTCGACTGCACTGATGATCCATGGGGCAAGGCCACGCCCCTCTCTGCAAAGTTGGAACAGCTTGCTGTCATCTGAAAACTCCCATCGAGCTGTCGGATCAATCACAACTGGTCTAGGCTGGCCAGCCAGGCCCTCCTGGCCATAACCCCCGACTCCTGTGATTCGACAGTTGAGACCGGGATCGTCTGCCACTGCCGTACCGACGCCGATGATAATTCCGTCATGACGGGATCGTAGATAGTGAGTCATCGCCTTGGACTGGGGACCTGAAAGTACCGTACGTGCACCAGGGGAAAGAGCCAGAGAAGAGTCAAGCGAGGTCGCGAATGTGAGTGTTGTGAAGGGGAGATCTGACTCGGGTACCGAGCCATCCTGGGGCGGTATATGGGACTCTAAGAAGCCCCTGTCTGACTCTGGAAACTCCAGTGCATCTCTAGGTGCTAGTGTCATCTTGATTGTTGCAGGTTTCAAACGGTTCACTCAATAGTTGCTGTTGGAGACACGAGGATGTGAAGCTCGGCCTTGGCGGTGAGAGATTCTTGTGTATATCGCTGCCTCAGGCGCAATACGCGCCGACCCCACTCCCCAGCAACATCGCCGAACCACGATTGGACAAAGACCAAAATGGCAGGTCCGCCAACAGAGGATCCTTGTGATGCATCTGAAATCCTGCAAGAGCGGGGGCTTTTACGCGACCCCCCCTGAAGTCCACACATCCTCCTGTCCTAGGTGTTCAACCGTCCATACCCAATCTCACACCCATTATGTCAGATCCACATTCCCTTTCGCCTAGGGACCAATCAACCTTGGTGATACGCGACAGGGAGAAGAAAAAGAGGACTAGTGCATCGAAGGTCCGCACGGGATGCGTGACCTGCAAGTAAGTCCCCAAAATTTAGTGCTAGGTGATTGCTCAGTGGACGAGGAGCTCCGCAGCGCGTAAACGCAATGCAGAGATCTACCCGGCCCTAGGATCGGACTTGGGTAGTAAGGCCGACGCTAACACCCGTTTAAAGATCTCGTCATAAGAAATGTGATGAAACTCGACCCGCTTGCCTTATGTGCACTCGTGCTGGACGCGAATGCCAAGGGTATACGGCGCCACCCGACAAGAGAACCCGTGAAGTCCGAGATTCGCACACCGCGAGGACAAATGGTGGTACTCTAAACATTGTGCATGTGGGTCAGCAACAAGCCCAATCTGCTGGTTTGGTCCACGTCGTTGATGGGAGTCAAATTGGCTTGTCGCGGATGGAACGTGACTATCTATATTCATTTCGTTCGTATACTGCTGGCCAGTGTGCTGGGTATCACTTCGACCCATTCTGGCAGGTTCTTGTCCATCAAGTGAGCGAATCTTGCCCCGTGGTCCGCCATGCAGCTATTGGTATCGGTGCCTTGCATCGTAGATTTACGAACCCTGGTTCCAGCCGGAATGACATTTTCCCAATCCGGCAGTCCACAAAGGCCATTGCTTGTCTTCGCAAGACTATGATGAAGGACGACCAATTGGATCCCTCGGCCACGGAGAAGGTCCTGGTAGCCTGTGTTGTATTAATTACATTCGCCCTATTCCAAGGCGATGTTGATGCCGTTCGCTGTCATCTGCGAGCTGGCACCAAACTCCTTTGGGAGTGGAGAAAGAAAAATACGAAGAGCCCTGTTGCTTCGGTTTTATTACATACATTCATACAACTCCATATCCACTGGGCAAGCGCTACGAGGCTCCAGGATTATCTGGGAGGAGGTTATCCCTATCTTCAAGAACTTATCCATGACAACCTTGTCGATATCTCTACATATGCCGATGAGCTATCAAAAGCGACTATGCTGGTGTCCGTCCAATCTTGGGCATTAACGTTAAGTGATCCTGTGTCGTTTGACCCGCAGACCACCAATCTGTCGCAAGGATTTACATGGGACACTCCCGCGAACAAAGTCCATCGATTTAAAACACAAGTGGAGGAGTGTGGCGCTCTTCACAGAAAGACTGCCTCTTCCACAAAGCTCCGTGCCTTCATGCTCCTCCAGATACAAACTGAGATGATGCAAATCATCCTCGCCTCAACAACATTCTCAGGCTCCGAGACAGAATGGGATCCTCTATTTCCCCATTTTCGGGGTATTGCCGATAAAGCGGAAGTCTTGTTGAGTAGCTTCAATCACTTGCCAGACCCTTTGTTTTCCGTCAAGGAAGGATTCCTAGGAACCCTCATGTTTTGTGGGCTCAAATGTCGGGACTGGACGGTTCGGCAGAAAGTGTTGGCTATCTGCCGAAAGTACAATCGCCGAGAGGGACTGTTTTCTACCGCAGAAGCTATTCTCCTCTTACAGCTTGTCTACGATGTTGAGTCTGCAGGGATTCCGCCGGGAGAGGAAATACCCGAGTCCGCTCGTATCCCCCTAGTGTACATCGCCGAATATCCAAACCATTCAAAATTCAACACCAAAACCCACATCAAATATTGTGATAGGGATGGAAATTGGTACAGTGAATGGCTGTCACCGTGATTCTTTGGGCAACTGTTTAAGAAATTAATGATTCACATGAGTTTTATGACCTACAACATAACTATTGAGTTCGGGATAGATTTATATAATCAGTTTTCAGACCGCCTGACACAACTATGGAGCAATGAAAAAATAGCGAAATCAAAAGCATTATTTATCCCTGGAGATCGTTGCGATCGGCCTTTCGCGCAGTTAGTAGATTTATTAATTCGCACTAAAAGAACAATCTCCATGCCTCATTCATGTAGCTTCGAGGAGTGGCTCGAGCGCTCTCAAGGCCCCTCCCTTGATAGAAGTGATATCTTCCTTGACAGTTTGAGAAGATGAATGATCAGCCCAAGATCTGACCACAATGCTCACAATATAGGTGGACGGCCAGGAAAGATTCACACTGGAGTACTTGTCAGATGTATCGGTGAGAACCTTTCCACCCCCGAACTTCCTGCACTGCTCGACCTAACCCGCGAACTGGGCTCCAAAATGACCGAAACATGCTCGAAAGCCGACCTTGACGGACTTGAAAGCAGATTAGAAGTCATGCAGAGCCTGATAATTAGCGCAAACCGTAATCTTGTTATACCCAGGGCGCATGAGGAGAATTCCCAGAAGACTGGGTCAGTCCTGTTGTCTTTTCCAATGGATATGCAAATACCTGGCGGGAGGCACGACAACGACCTCGCAGAAACATCTCGAATTCAGATTTTTCCTATCCATGGAGAGATTGACAGCGGCAATTCAGAATATCTACCCTCTACCAATTTCCTACAGCCGCACTTTCTCGCCGACCCTTTGCAAAGATACATTGACTCAACATTCCGACTCCTGCGCCATGATATTTTCGGCTCAGCCAAAAATGTCCTTAGAGATCTGCTGCAGCAGAATGATTTGACACTAAGTGCTTATCTTCGTCATTTTGCAGGCAAGGCTCTGGGCTTTTTCAAACCTCATGATTATCAGATTATCCCGTGGTGAATAAATTTTAGATCCAATCCAGTTTAATGCTGTTAGTCGGACTCTGAATTCGCTCTGGCTTCTTTATATTTCTATTAACGAACGTTGCAGACCGCATCATTGCTTCATTGTAAGTTATGCCGCAAACAAGATGTAACAGGGGTCTGCATAGAGTTGTTGGCAGTCAACTGATACCCTTCGTGGATGAATTCCGTGCTGTTGTCCTATGTTGGTAACTCGAAAAATCTCCCTGTCATTGCTGTACAAGCATTTGGCTGCTGCAGGGTCCGAAATCTGTGAACATACTCCAGCGGTGAAAATTAACAGAAAAAAAGGAATAAAAGAACAAGTTTTGGAATTGAATAGTCCAGCCACAATATAAATAGTTAAAACAGGACTTAGGAACTGGTTGCTTTGTCCACAATCGCTCGGTACTCCCGTTGTCTCAGGCACTGATCCAGGAAGACCTCGTATTTTGCCCTAAGAAGCGCCCTTTCACGCTCATTCTCGGTGGGATAGAACACTTTTCCTGGTTGGCTCATCTGATCAATAACATCCCACAAATCAACTGTGTGACCGTAGGCATCCACACTCGCCGCCTTGGCGCCCAGCATAGCAGCACCATGGCACACTGCGGCGTGGATGTAGCGTGGAACAACAACAGGCATATTGCAAGCCGAGGCGATCAAGTTGACCAATATCTCATTCTGACATTGCGATCCAGACATGAAAATGTGGGTGATGTGGTGCCCGGAGTCGTTCATCGTGTCCACAATCTGTTTGGTTTGCAATGCGATGAACTCGAGTGTGCCGTAATAATGAATGGCGAGGCTTTCAACCGATACGTCACTTGAAAGTCCGATCAGGGACCCTCTCATCCTGGAGTCCGCTAATGGAGACCGGTTTCCGAACAGGTCTCCGTAGAAGAAGAAGTGGCGTGCTAGGTCGGCCACGCAGGATACGCCTTTCTCGTTTGCTAAGTCGCGGAGTCGGTTGTTGAGGAACTTAAAGATGTTCACACCTTGAGTATCGGAATTTGACTGAGCCTGTTTGAAGGCTGGGTGTGTTTCAAGCACATGCTTGAGAAGCTGACCGGTAGCAGACTGGCCTCCTTCGGCCATCCAACAGTCTGGGAAAATGGTGTCCCGGTACGGCCCCCAAACGCCAGGGACAAAGACAGGCTCGGGCGACATAGCGATATGACATGATGAAGTTCCAGCCACCACAGCCAGGCGCGAGAAGGCTTCTGCCCTCCGACTCAAGGCTGAGTCCGAGCTGGGGTTGGATGTCGTGGATTTCATGTCAACCTTAGCACCGACAGTGCCAATCCACCCAGCATATGCATCGATTACTCCACTTCCAATTGCGATCCCAGGACAGAGACCCAGTTCGCTGGCCGCTTTCTCGGACAGAGTTCCAGCAAGCTCGCCTGCATTCAAATGTCGACCAGTCTAGTCATGTCATGTCACATCAGCTCTGTTCTGCGCCGGTGTTCTGTCTCAACGATTGTAGTTTAATATACGTACCTCGCCATTCACACCACCAATGCGGTCGAACCCCCGATCAGCCAACTCACCCAAACCAATCTCCGTCAGAAAATCCTGCTGCCAGCCTTGGTCACTTCCTTCAACGCCCTTGGGGAGATAGCCCTGCTTGCAGACCATGCTAGAGAAGTTCCGCGCATCTCCGCCTGTAGCGATATGAGTGAGAGCATCGGGAAGATCATAGAATTTGCATTGCGAAAAGGTCTCCTCGGGCATGTTATTCTTCAACCAGAGAATCTTGGGCATCTCCATCTCAAGGGACATTTTTCCACCCACATAGCGTAGAAGTTTGTGACCAGTTGCATTTATTGTGTCTGTTTCTTTTGATGCGCGGTGATCCAGCCAAAGAATGACGTTGCGCTCTGTGTTAAAATCGGGGCCGGTTACAGAGACGGGGTTATCGGATTCGGATGAGAAGACGCATAATGAGCAAGTCGCGTCGAATCCGATGCCGTGTACCTGTGAGGGCGAGACCTTTTGGTCATCCAGCGCACGCCGGACTACTAAGCAAATACATCGCCAGATATCCGATGTTGATTGCTCCTGGATGAACCACAGCTATTAGTCCCGATTCCAAAACAAAAGAGCAAACATCACAGGACCGAAGTATTGCATCTTCGAGTGCGAAACGTACATAATAGTCCTGTTCTGGCTGCCAAAGGCCGATGTTCTCCGAGGCTACGCTGAGGATTTCGCCAGTGTGATCAATCAGACAGGCGCGCGCACTGCCCGTTCCGACATCAATGCCAATGTAGTATCCTGTCTTAACTTGCATTATGATGAAGAGGCATAGGAATGACCGGAGAGGAGATGGGGGAAAGCCTGAGAAAGTTTCGAGCTATATACGATGTCAGTGTATTTATTGGAGACATTTCACCGGGAAACTTGAATAGAAAAATCCCATTCAGCCTATTGTTGGCGAATGCATCATCATGGAGTTGGAGAATTGGTCACACGGCGCGGGCTGTTCGCCGTTTTGTCCGCAGCTCCGCCCCACTTGTGGGACATGGCCCGTTAGGGGCCTAGGGCTTCTATTTGAGTCAAGCTGCATGGGGGTAAATAAAATTGTGGTCCATTAGGGCTGGATCCCACTGAATACCATTGAAAGAGAATTAGAATCAGGGCTAGTCTAAGTACATTTCTTTTATGCGGAATAGAAATAACGAGTCCATTTTTCAATGATTTTTATTTGGCTGCTTGATGCTCTTATTCTTCCACCCCCGCAATCAGGGTCTTGATGCCGGACCCTGCCTTCACTTGCTGGAAAGCCCGTTCAGCGTCCTCAAACTTAACAATATCCGTAATCAAATCCTGAACGTTAACCTTCTTTGCGGCAAGGAGCTCAATCGCAAGCTTGTAATCACCACTGGAATATCTGAAGCTTCCCTTGAAGTTCAATTCTTTCGTGCAAGCAGCAGTAATTGGGAAGTTAACCACATCACGTCCCATACCTCCTTGAACGTATGTGCCACCAGCCCGAAGAACGTGAACTCCAGTATTGATCGAGGCCTCCGCCCCAGACGCATCAATAACAACATCAGCCCCGTTGCCTAGCCCGTTTTCCAAACCCAAACGCGCAGCATTTTCTACAGCGGAGACGGGGCCCGGTAGGAAAGTTGACGTAGCCCCATGCTGTCTGGCAAATTCCAGTCTGTTAGACTGAATGTCCACAGCTATCAATTTACCTGCACCAAATGCATTGGCCACAGCGCAACACAACAATCCAACCGGTCCAGCGCCGAAAACAACGACTGACGCGCCCGGTGATACGTCAGCCCGTCGCACAAGATGCACTGCGACACTGAGCGGCTCCACGAGTGCGCCCTGCTCCAGGCTAATGCTGTCCGGCAGTCTATAGCAAAAATCCTCTGGGAGGCGATAGTATTTGGCCAGGGTGCCATCGTAGGGAGGGGTAGCGGCGAATGCCATCGCCGGACAGAGATTGTATGCCCCGACTTTGCATGCATCGCATCGGCGGCAGGGTTCACCAGGCTCCATGGTGACACGATCGCCAACTTTCAGTGTCGTGACTTTGCTGCCCACTTGTTCGACGATTCCTGAGGACTCGTGACCCAGCACCATGGGTTGCTCGACCTTGAAGTGCCCGATCTGTCCGGAATGCCAATAATGGACCTAGTAGATGTTTCCAGGTTAGTACTGGACTAGAAGAGGACTGGAAGTTGATTATCTTACATCGCTACCGCATATGCCGGTGAATTTCACCCTTACCAACACATCGTGAGGGTCCTGCAGCTGGGGGATTGGACGGTCCTCGAATTTCAGATTTTGAACACTTTCGAGAACGAAGGACAAGTTCTATATTATTCTGTTAGTTTGTTGCTCCTGGGATGAATGTAGTTGGACATATACGAACCTCTGTCTTTTGTTTTGTGGGGTTCATATTGTTTCTTGGCTTTCGACTGAATGATTTCACAGAAGGAGACCTGGAGCGCGAAGGTAAAAATATTTCAAGATATCTTAACAAGTTCTTCGGAAATCCAATCTTAAATATCGTCGAATCTATTGTTCCCATCGTGAGTAACGGAATTTACGGCGTCCTGGACTGGCTGCGACCCCACCCGGCGGTTCGTTCCTCCAGGCACGAGATGGACTGCTCCACATTTCGGACCATTGCAAAGGTGCTTGAATCCCCCTATGCCGAGCACGGGATACTCGGCGAGATACGTGTTAACTTGTTGGCCTGAATATTCTTTTATCCACCTGAAGGGCCCGAGCCCGAACCCATTCCGTGTACATGGATGGCTGGCCATTTTGAAAAAACAACGATGCAATAATGAAATTTTGTATTTCTTTATGCTTACTATTTACCAAAGTTCATGATAGGTAATGTTTCTGTCTGTTAGGCTACAGTAGTGTCCTTCTCAGAGACTTTCTTGGTCCACTGCCAGTCGTCAATGCCTTTCTCCCTAATCCCCTTGCTCGCAGCAAACACATTCCAGGTGTCGGTGTTGTCAAAGAAAACATCCATCTGCTCCAAACTGCGACCGGCAGTTTCCGGGTAGAGCAAGAAAAGGAATGGGATAACGAAGAAATTTAGTCCGGCAAGTAGTAGAAGCGTGCCGTATCCGATAGCCTGGAAGAGGAAAGGGGTGATCATTGTCACCACGCCATTTCCAATGGACCAGCCGACGACAGACCATGCGCCTCCCTTGGCACGCACGGTGAGTGGAAAAATCTAGTATTTCATAAGTAAGATGTACCTCAAAACATGAGGGAAGGAACAAACTTCTGTTGGGTAAAGCCAGGGCGTGGTCAACCATGTGGCGCCAAATGTGGCAGTATAGAAAAAGGTCATGGCTGCGACGCCGGCTCCGAACTTCATCTGATTTGGTCCGGCTTCTTGTGCGTACATATCCAGGACGCCTCCGATGAAAAGGGTTAAACCCATGACTACTGCGCCCCAGATCATGGTTTCTGCAAGAGTTAGTAGACGAAATTGAGAAGGTGGCATTGGCTGGGTAGTACATACGTCGTCGGCCGTAGCGATCCAAAGTGATCACCGCAAAAAAGACCGAGAACATGTAACTGATGTTGTTGAATCCAGCCAGAAGTTTAGACAGATTCTGGCTGAAACCTGCGGTGGAAAACAAGTCGACCGCATATACAGTGACGACACCAATGCCGACAAGCTGCTGCATGATCTGCAACCAGACAGCCAGGAAGACTCGCCAGCGCAGCTTTCGTGTATATTCATCGCGTGGGAATATCATCGCAAGATATTGGTTGGCTGACGATACCTTCAGCTCATACTGCACAGTCTGCATGATCTGCCGCGCCTCGGGTTCAATGTCGCCAGATCGTGTGGCCTGTAGGATATCACGCGCTTCTTCGTAGCGTCCCATCTTCATCAACCAACGAGGGGACTCTGGGAAGAAGTTTATTCCAATCCCGATGAAAATTATAAAGACTAGTTGGAGGGCTAGTGGTGTGCGCCAAGCCATCGCTTGATTGGGATTCAATGAGGCGAAATATTCAATCCAATATGCCATCGCCAACCCTCCAATGTTCTATGACAAGGCGTTAGTCTTATTCTTCTCAAAAAAGCCGGTTCACCTAAGTAAGAATTCAGAGAAAACATACCATAACAAACTCAAGAGCCAAAAACGCTCCTCGAGCCGAATGACTGCTGACTTCCGCCGACCAGACCGGAATCACACAGTCAATTGCGCCAACACCAATTCCAGCTAGATGAGGTCAGTCAATAAACCACGTTGTTTTTCATGTGCATAAGTATAATCACCAAGAACACGCCCAAAGCACATCCAGGTAATATCATACGCAGATGCTTGAAGTGCCGCGCCCAGAATAACCCAAAGACAGCCAAAGACAATGGCCTTCACACGCCCACATCGATCAGCCAAAGCCCCTGCCATGAGCGCGCCAATCATTGTGCCTCCATAGTATACGGCAACGATACCACCTTCCGCGGCCGTGTTCCTAGAGCTTTCTGAAGATGGAATCAGAGTCTGCTCCGTACCTCATGCTATTGGGAAACATACCTTCGAGGGGGAATATTCCCATGAGCTTCTGGTAATCCGGGTTAAGGTTGACCATTGACATGACACCTTGATCATATCCGTAAAAGCAAATCGCAACGCCTTCGAGAACAATCAGTCAAGAGTCAAAATAGTATGTAGGCATTCCAGAATTCCTTACCGGCGAAGAAGTTGATCACCTTATACATCGTCGATGGATTCTTGAATCGCAGCATTCTTGATTGACTGTATCCACCAGGGATCCAGTGCTCGAATCGCCATGGTTTGGGGTTGACGGTATGCGAATATTCGTCGCTTGGAGTGACATCTTCAAAATCTCCGCCTTTTTCGTTCTTATCTTGTGAAGGTATCCGAGTCTCATCTGAAATTTCTTCGACGTGGTCGGTCGCAGTATCCGCCATTGTTAGTACCATTTGATCGCTTTGCAGCAGTGTTTGATATGATTAGCACCGGTAAAAGCAACCGGAGGAAGGTCAAAACAGTCCCGATTTGATGAGCCTTGCCTAATTTAAGAAATGTGGCTTTCAGGTAAAACCTAGAAAGAGTAATATTTTCCCCAGTTCCACAGTTTCACATTGTCCCGCAATGAGTGGGAATGAGGTAGTGAACGGGGTAGAAGCGCCGCGGAGATTTCGCCGTTTTGCCCGTTCTCCACGACCCCAGCGACCATTCGACCCACATTATCAAACCTACCACGGTTCAGCACCTAGGCACGCTTGGGTCTAACCATCCTCCCATGACCTGCCCCTTCTGGTAGGACAGAAGCTATCTGCTTGGTTTTGTCTACACGTTCATGAGATCATGTACAATTATGCAGTCTCTAAACTCGAGGCAGCGTCCTCGCCTGTGGAGTAGTCCCCACATGCAATACGGATGAAGGTCCAGGCAGGACAAAAAGGAGCAAAAGCAGATGTAGTTGATCGGGGCCAGTTATAAGCTAGCCGATAAATCAGGAATGAAGCCCGGAGCTAAGAAAACAACAAAATGTTTATCCCGTCTTTGATTGAGTTCCAAGGTCTCAGAATATGCTCAACTAAATTGGGTGGCCGATTCTGCCATTTCTTTACACAGATCCGATGACCGTGGCTGTCTCTCAGCCACGCACGCTTGATAGAGTTGTCTCATCTGCTCCGGCGGAAGATGAGTGAGTCCACTAAGTGCGATGTTCACTTTGGTAGCCTGTTCACCACTTGTTGCACGGGTTCCTTCCACCGTAGTTCTCAGTCCGAAATGACACCTAATAACTTAAGCGGTGGTTGACGGTTGAATGACCTGATCACCTATGATAAGTTAACCTTTGCTACGTTCTTTTTCCTACTTGTGAGGTGAATTAGTTCGGTTTTCTCGGCGGCAGTTCAATTCGGATGTTCTCATTCTGGATCTTCGCGAGATTCTCCTCAGCCGTTCAGCCCGCGCGCCAGCGGAAGTAGTTGTCAATTCACACTAATGCTCCACCGTGGTAATGTATGGGCTGCCCGGCCAGGTCCGAGTTGAAAAAGGCGACGAGGATCGATGAGAGCGGCCACCCATGTGGGAGTCCGGTCGATCGATGCGGTGAAGATGTGGGTGATGGCCTTTCCAATCTATCTCTGTAACCGTTTCCATACCAGGGTTAGGACGCTATCCTCGCCAGGGACCGTAGTTGCCTTTGCCGTCTTCATCGATCATCCGATCTCAAATTGGTGTTCGGTTGCCAGGCGATCTCCGGTGGTGGCGATGCTATGGACATTATCTCTGGTTCCGCCATTTAGTTCGAGCGGTGGGAGTGAACCGTAGATAGCCTCACAAGAGGGGCATACTATCACGGTCAATTCACGAAATTGTGGTGAACTGGACTTCTATTCCTCTGCTTTAGGGATAAGAGCACCAGATAGGATAGAACATGGATAGTGAAGATATGTTTCCATGGACTCATAGAGATCAATTGCGACCACAACGCCCAAACTACACCGACATTCCAAATGACAAGGCATTTGAAAGAGTCAAACGTGAGTGTATAGTTGGTTATTGCACTTTTATACTTTGACATTGTCGCGTGTCACGTGAGCCTCCGATTCTCCGAGTTTTCACTCCCGATTAATGATTCGTGGAAGGCATTCGTACCTTTACTGGGGTTGAGAATTACTAGTAGCAGTTGCAACAGTACTGTTTCCTGGACCAAGAATAAATAATCCACAGGCATAATACCAACGGGGCGACTCGCTTTCCAACCACATTCTTTGCACTATCGATCCTCGTTAGCTCAATGACATCATGGATCCCGAGCTTGAATCCAGGTCATCGAGATCAGACGACCGTCAGCAGGAGGATAACCCGCCACCCACTAAGAAGATTAAAACAGGAACTGTTCGTCGAAAACCAGCCTGTCAAACATGTCGTCGACGTAAAGTTCGCTGTGACAATGCTCAACCGACATGTGGGTTTTGCCGCGCCAATGACACCAGATGTGTATATGTCCCCCCCGGGGATGATGGAAGTCAAAAGTACGTTGACCCCCTGTCAGATGATAGCGTCGACCCCACACCATACTGAATCCAGAGTAGGGAGCTAAATACAGTCTTGGAGCGATTGGACACATTGTCGCACACGGTCGAGAACATTCAGCGCCTCCTTAACTCGAAGGGTAAGTTAAGCCTGCTTTTCTGCAGAAAGCGTGACAAGGACTGACTCGCGTAGATACGCCACATTCTAACAGGCCTCCAGAGACGCGATTTTACGATCGCCAAGTTGGCCTTCCAATCAGAGCAGCAGATTGGCAGAAAGATTACTTGCAGATTCCTGCGGGTCGGGGTAGTGCTGATACCGTACTTACCTGGCCAATCTTCCAAGGCCAATTTAGAGACAGCTCCCTCATCACCACGCTCTTCCAGTACTCTAATGGAATAGGCGAAGACAGACCAACCGAGTGGACCCTCCCCGAGGGGCTTCAATTCACCCCAGACGAGCAGATCCCAACATTGGTGGATCGCTTTATTCAGAATGTTCACACGAAGAACCCGATCTTAGATCTAGAATCACTGATTCGGTCTGGAAGGAGTGCCGCCGAAATAGGTCTTCGGTGGGATGCTCAGTCTTGCCTTGTTCTCCTAGCTTGTGCTTTAGGCTGTATTTCGCAACCCTTCGCCTCTTCTACGCAAGGATACCAAACGTCGAGATCTTCCCACGACGAACTTGGGTGGCGCACTCCGGGAATAACGTCTAGCTCTGACACTCAGTTACGAGAAGGCGAGGCTTTTTTCATGATGGCCTGCAGAAGAATCGGTCTCCTGCGATACTCGGTCATCGGTTCCCAGTGCCACTTCTTTGCCGGAGGTACTTCGAACAAAACTCTTTTCCTTGCCAGGTGTGTTATTCGCTAATACTTGTTGCTTTGGTATTAGTGTACTTGATGTATACGTTTCGCTCGCTTTCCGCCTGGAATCATTTCTACCAAGCTTCTACATTCTACCGACTGCGCCTGAGACTGATTGATGGGCTGGATAATTCAGCCTACGTGGGCGAACAACAAGGAACCACTGTCGTTCAACGCCTTGAGCAGAGTCTTTATTGGTCATGTTTCAAATCCGAAGTCGAGATTCGTGTCGAGCTGCCTTTGCCCCAATCCGCTATAGCTGAATATGAGTACCCAGCTCTCTTCCCACGCCCCCAACCCTCCCAGAGGAGTACCCGAGACAAAGAGATCAAACCTCCGATTGGACCAACACTGAGTCCTTGCATAGATCACCTGATGTCGATCAGTCCGGCCTGACAGGTTGGGGGGTATGTAATCATATCTCAAAGCTATTCAATGAAGAGCAGAGTTGGTACTACTACCTCACAGAGCTAGCCTTGAGACGCATTGGAAATCGAGTCTTAAATGCGTTCTACAGAGACGAGCCTTCAACGTGGTCAAATATCAAGCCGCTGATCCCGATAGCTCTTGAGTTCGATTCTCAGATTAACACATGGTTCTCAAACCTGCCACCGACGATGCAATTCTACGAAAGCGATCCGCGTCTAGGCAATGATAGACAGGGCTATGCGGTACACACCCAAGAATCTATCTCCATGGAGCTGAGCTGGGCGCTGAGCAACCGGTTTCTTGAAATCCGCCTGTGGCTCTACCAGCCATTCCTGTTCTTTGCCGTTCACCACCCTACGAGTACCACTTCTACTTCCACGGATGTCCTTCCCTCCTCGCTGACTAGCGAGGAACTTGGCACTGTTCAGCGTCTTGTAGAATCCGGATTGGACTGTAGCATGAAGATCCTCCAAGCGCGGTGCCTTCGCCACCGACATCACGGCATTTGGTTCGATCTTCGGGCTTTGGTTACAGCATCATTGATATGCATTGCCCTGGCGCGGAGTGGAAATGTCAATCATCCCAATATCCATCCTGGGGGGCTGCGGAACCACTTGAACCGGACACTTGAAACCCTGGCCTACTGGGAAGACGAAGCCCCGGATATCAAAAAGGCGCGAGGCGTTTTGGAACAATTGCTTCGAGATTTACGCTAGCTGGGGAAATAGCGTTTATCGTATACCTTCCTTGATTCCCACGGGTATTTTGAGACTGACTTCTTTCTGCATGGACTATTGCACCACCAGCCGAACATTTACGTACACATTATCAAATTTAATTAAGAAATCACCAACTGTCTAAACTACTTCTATAGATCGTTAAGATACCCCGGGAACGAATCATGTGATAGAGCGTTCAAGAGAGGCTGTAAAGGAAGAGAAAGAAGATGATATTTTACAAATGGTCCACTCGTTCTTGAATTTCAGCACTCAGGGTTGATTGTGCGTTGGAGGGGTTCAATTCTCAAGTCGCCATGGTTCAGAATAGAATGTATACAAATATTCGTCGCTTGGGATCAAATCTTCATGACTGACGTGGTCCCCACCCTTGCCCTTACCATTGCCCTATGAAGGTGTCGAAGGGAGTGCCATCGCCATTGTTTGGGCGTTTTTGACTGTTATTGAATCTCGATGCCAGTGCTTCGGGGTTGAATTGTAGGTTTTCTGTTTGCTCAATATTGGTTGAGAGCTACCCAGGCGTGGTTTTCTGCAATCGTAATTAGCTGGGAATAATGCTGGAGGAATGATGCTCGAGGAGTAGTGGTTGGTGGGTGTTGTTCTCAAAGCGGCCAATCAGAGGGTCACCTGCTCAGTTCGAGTAATAACTATTGTATGAGATCGATCCACGTACATCTTGAGAGTAAATGTAATTTAATTTTATATCCACTATCTATTGATGGCTTATTCATTCATAACATGACTCAAAGGCAAATTACACTATCTCACATCACCGTCTCCTCCCATGTTCAGATCTCAGATGTGATCTACATGCTCCGCAGCCGTGGTATTGTTATCAGCCTTGGAGACAGGAGTGTCATGGATGACCTTTCCAGTCTCTGGATCCACCACACTGCCCCTGTGACTCGGAGCCTGGATCATGCCCGGGTTCTCCGTCTTGAGGCGCGCAAAGGTTTTCTCTGCGTCCCAGGCCCAGGGTGTCTTCGCCGCGAACAGCAGGTCCATATCTTCCAGTGTGCGCTGGTTACTCTCGGGGTAGAGAGCCCAAACCATGGGGATGGTGATTACGTTGCTGGCGGCGAAGATGTAGAGGGTCTTTGCACCAATGGCATCGAACATGACGGGGCATAAGAGAGTCTAGAAGGTATTCCTGTCAGTGTGTGTGCCCTCAAGAATTCAATTGCTCGATTTCATTTACCAGCCATCCGTTCCCGATACTCCATCCCACGACGCCCCAAGCATTTCCTTTGGCACGAACAGCCAAAGGGAAGATTTCGGCCGGGTAAAGCCACGGCACTGTCAACCAGGTGGCACCGAAAGTAGAGGTGAAAATGAAGATCATCGAAGCTGCGGCAGCACCATATGAGGATGCTTTGCCCATTTCCCCAGCTGCCTTGGCGTCAATTGCAAGTTGGGAAAAGCCACCTGCGAGGAACATGGCAATCCCTTGGACCACAGCGCCCCAGTACAGAGTCCATCGGCGACCGATGCGGTCGAGCGTAAAGACGCAGACCAGGGTAGAAAACTAGATATCCAAATTAGTATTTGACGGTTTCGGCTAGTCGTTGAAGCATACCATGTAGAAAACATTATTCAATCCACTAATCCACTGGCTCTTCGTCGAGTCAAACCCGGCAATACCAAAGATAGTCGGGGCATACACGGTAACACCTGCGATACCGACCCATTCCTGCATGATCTGCAGCCAGACGACTAGCTGCACGCGACGACCGATGTGAAGATCTCCAGACTTATAACCGAAAAGCATTGATAGGTACGAGTCGCCGTGAACATGGGTCTTTTCCAACTCGACGATACTTAGAATGTCCTGGAACTCTGCCTCCGCTCGGATAAGGTCCCCGCCGCTAGATCCACGTAGACGCTGTAGGATATAGCGAGCCTCTTCCTCCCGGCCAACCTTAACGAGCCATCGAGGGGACTCCGGGAAGAACCAGACGGCCGCGAAGAGGACTAGCAAGAAAACGACCTGGAATGCGATTGGAAATCTCCAACGGAAGGCTGAGGCTCCATTATCGATAAAAGATAGGCCACTGCCCTATGTTAGGTAGAGTTGCTATAGGGGGAAGACAGATACGTACAACTCCAGCCAGTAAGCTAAGACAACACCGAAAATGTTCAGAGTGAATTCAATCGCAATAAACTGTCCGCGCGAAGTGTGTTCAGCCGTCTCAGTGGCCCAGACAGGAACGATAGCGTTCAAAATGCCTGTTCCGATTCCATTAACAAAACGCGCTGCACATTTCAGTCAGTCCTAGATTCCTTATATATAATCTTCAGCGTCCTTACCGCAGATCATCCACTCGTGGTTCTGAGCCGAGCACTGCAGAGCCGCACCCAAAATAGCCCAAGCAGCTCCAACGGCGATAGTCTTGATTCGTCCTATGCGGTCTCCAAGCCAACCACCAAACAAGCCGCCACATAGCGTTCCAAGGTAGTAGATTGACACGATTCCACCTTGCAGCAGGGAGTTCGTGACCACCGGGGTTACCTCGCCGTCCACCTCCTCGGTATAACCGAATCCCATAAGGTCGATATAGTCCTTTGCGTTGTTGACACCGGCCATCATTCCTTGATCATATCCAAAGAATAGAATGGATAACGCAGCGATGCAGTTGATGGCGATGAGAAGCCCACGCTTCTCTAGCTTGTGGACGACATTCCATGGCGCAATTTTGTCACTCATTTTGGATGCAAACGAGAGCAACGATTTAATATAAAGTGTAGGCTTGGCGCATTACATATGTAAGTCGAAAGAATAAAAGAATCAGAGGCCTATCGGATGTAGTCTATAGCGTGAGAAGAAATGGTTAAAAAAAAATATAGACCCAAGATATTCAATCCGGCGGTGCGCCCATCGTATTTAAACCCTGTCGCAAGAACGGCACGAGTCCGAGTCAACATTCATTGAAGAGCAATTTCCCAAGTGACAAACAGGATCGCGTGTGAGCAGCATCGATAGTTTCTCCACAGGCAAACGCAAAGACGGGGAATACGGCGAAAACCCCGGTATGGAGAGTGAGGGAGGTATTTCGCGGCGGGGCTTGGCTTTGAGCATCCAATGGTCATTCGCTGGTTGTATTAGACTTCGGTAAGGTTCAGTCCGCCCAGGGCCAAGCGGGGAGACTCGGCGCGCGACGAGTGATCAGTGGCATCAAAGGCTGGTTCTGCCTTGCACCATCCTAGGTCGGCTAGGCTAAATGGGACTCCATCTTTCAATCGAGGGGGGCAGACTACTCTGAATGAAGGTTCTCTCTTTGGGTTTCTCTCGAGTGACCAATGACGGAATCGTCGAGTTATGTGGGGAGAACACGGGGTACACGGGGAAGGAGCAGAAACCCCTGACTCATCTGGCTCTGGACCCTCGGCGGGCCGGATTTATTTCATCGCGCACCACCATAATTATTATCCTTTCTTCTCCTCCACATTCGCCCAAACTATCTATCTCTTTCTGCGAGTAGCGACTGAAAGACTGCAGATCGGAGGTTGGCCGACCGAGCCCGCGGGAAAAAGTTCTTCGCCACGATTTGGACTTATTGCCATTTCCTTACATAGATCTGGTGACCGTGGCTGCGAGATAGCCCAGAAGTATTATTATAAGCTTAGTTCAACACAACTTCAGTCAGAATTAGTTTGCCTAGAGTGCTGGGTCATGTCTTGGGTTCTTTGGCAAGTCATGTCGTGGCAGGCACCGAATGTAATGCGTGGCGATTTGTTTCCGTTTTTCATTTGGAGGTCAAAGGACTGGGGAATTAAACAATGGGTTGCCTAGTATGCCTGAGGGTGTGCCTAGAGGAGATATAAAAATGGTACAAGAATTTTTGAGTTCAATGTCATTATATATCTCTCCACATTGTCAAATCGAAAGGCGCGAGGAGCTAACTACAGCACGTCCATAGAGCGTGGTATTTTCCAAATGAGGCCTCCCGTATGTACATGATGGATGTAATATCGTAATATATTTCAATCATACTTGCCAGACCATAAATGGCACGACTAATTCTAAATTTCTATTCATATCAGTTTGCCAAAACATCTACTATGAAGATCGAAATTATGTTCTAAGCTTATTTCCCCGAGAAGACACGACATACTGCATCGCATAATCTTAGAAAAGAACATGCATGCTTCCATATAATCGCTTGCACTGAGGCCCGTTGCTTAAGCACTTCTATAATGGCATCAACGAGTCGCTTAGTCCTTCTACCTGGTTGGCGGAAAGATTAGATGAATTTGAATTGGCATCTCAAAAATCTCTTTCCACTATCACTGACTTCGCACACTGACTCTCTTGTGTTTACATCTAGATTCCATCCACCCTTTGGGACGATGATTTCTAAATGACACGTCTATCATTAGTACCGAAATAGACAAGCTAAGAATATAGGGAAGAAAGTCTCTTTATTATCTCTTGCTCGGGCCATCCGAGCAACAAAGCCTCCTGGTTTCTCGGCCATCAGCATGGTTCCGTCTGCCAGTTTCGTCTGCTCACCCCCGCTACCGCGATGGGATATAGGGCTCTCAAATGGGCTCGTTACGAAACCGTTGATTCCATATATACGAGACTCGGATTCTAAGCTAATGCGAGGGCAGCTTTCTCGTAATGGCGTTGGCGGGTTTAAGAATCATCCCGTTCACGGCATCAGTCTTCGTGACACGCTCTTTACCCCATTCATGCACAGACTTGTAGTCCCGACAAAACTGATTGGTGTTGAAGTCAGGCCATGGATAGTCCTTTCCATCCACCCAATCATACGTAACCAGGTGCATGTCTGCAGAACACATGAGAATCTGGCGGAGCATTTCGACACAATGATCTATTTCTGTGTGATTAATAACTTCACTTCAACTCTATTTGGGGTGAGCCTACCAATATGTTCACGCACAGTCGGCTGTGCAAAGAAATCCGGCTCGTGAACGACATAGTATTCCAGATAGCTGGCTTTCCGGAGAACGTTAAGGCAGTGCATCTGGTGAAACCCACCGATGCTCGCCATATAACCGCCGTCGGGTAAAACGACAGAGCTGTTACGGAGCTTTTTGATCTTCTCAATCTCACTGCGAGGCACAGACATCGCCGAGTCTAAGGAGTATTCTGTTAGTACAGCTAGTGATCGAAAACTTGAATTAGACATACATACTGAGTTCTAAGCCTGCCCATGCGGCATCCACATCTGCATCCTTTCCCCCACGCCAAGCTGAATGTGCTTCAAATTCACCAGAGAGTTCAAGAGGAGCTTTTAAGCCGCAGGTTTGTACAGCGGTCGCTGCTTAGTCGGTTAGTACTGGATAATTTGAAGTTATAGCTGTATAATCTTTTCCATACCATATTCGAGAGTAAAAGCTGGCCCGACTGTCTGCGCCCTTGTTTGGATAGCCGCCAGCAGAAGTGTGGATGATATGCCCACAAGAATAATGTGAGCCATCCATGGAATTACTCGTCTTATATAACTCTTCTTTGGTAAGGTTTCTAGGCTTGTCTTTGTATCATCTTCGCTTTCTGGGTTCGAAGGGCCAAGCTTCAAATACTTGATCTTGGGCCACCTCTCTGGTAGCTGTAATTTCATTTTCGTACGGAGGGGAAAGAGTCGGCTAATAGAATGAGTAGCAGTGAAGCGCCTGGGAATTTTCCAGATGCTAAATACTAGAGATGGCACGATAAGGCGCTACATTATGACGGAATATAACCCCCAAATAACGCTGGATGCAACTTGGCCCCAACGCTGGCATTCTGTGGGACTGAAGCCAATCGCGATGGGGAGCCATATTGTTATCCATGCCGGTGCATGATCCCGCAAGTTCCACTTTGTTTCGTAATTGCGTGCAGTAATTGCGGGCAATGGTGATTCCAAGGTGCATGATAGTATGGTTGCAATCTTTGGGAAAGATATGGTCATTGAAGATTTGGACATAGGTACCATGATTTACCACAACTTGGAAAGGCTCAAAGATCTGAAGACCAACAATGTAAGCATTTGGTACATTAAGAATTATTTGGGGTTGAGATTATCATGTAACGGGTTAATCTCAAGGCTGTCATAATGAAAGGTGTAATATGCAAAGATCGAGAAGAATATGCAGCTTTCACCAGGTATTACAGCTTCGAAATCCTAGATCTGACCATGCCTATATCTCCCACTCATTGCATGAGGTTAAGACTCGGACATTTCCTATCAAAAAGACCACCTCGGGTCTAGAATTTAGATTACCTTTTAGATTACTTTCTGTGTGATCAACTACGACTGTAGGGGATATCAGAAGAAGAAGAAGAAAGATCGATGATCTATCTAAGCTGGCCAGCATGATGCCTACATAGATGCATCATGAGAGAGCGCGTGATCTATATATAGCTGGCAAACGGAATCATGCTATGTCCATCATACTGCAAAGAGTATGCCCTTTGAATCAATGATATATCGATGTCCAACGAGCATATTCTATTGCATCATATGATACGGCGTGTCCTTCTATTTGCCGTAGGCAGTGTCAAAGATGGCGGAAGCATCCTCGCCCTGGACATCACGTTTGCCATAGGCAGTGTCAAAGATGGCGGAAGCATCCTCGCCCTGGACATCACGTTTGCCATAGGCAGTGTCAAGGATGGCGGAAGCATCCTCGCCCTGGACATCACGTTTGCCATAGGCAGTGTCGAAAATAGCGGAAGCATCCTCGCCACGCTTGCCGTAGGCAGTGTCAAAGATGGCGGAAGCATCCTCGCCCTGGACATCACGTTTGCCATAGGCAGTGTCAAAGATGGCGGAAGCATCCTCGCCCTGGACATCACGTTTGCCATAGGCAGTGTCAAGGATGGCGGAAGCATCCTCGCCCTGGACATCACGTTTGCCATAGGCAGTGTCGAAAATAGCGGAAGCATCCTCGCCACGCTTGCCGTAGGCAGTGTCAAAAATAGCGGAAGCATCCTCACCACGCTTGCCGTAGGCAGTGTCAAAGATAGCGGAGGCGTCCTCGCCCTGGACATCACGTTTGCCGTAGGCAGTGTCGAAAATAGCGGAAGCATCCTCGCCACGCTTGCCGTAGGCAGTGTCAAAGATAGCGGAGGCGTCCTCGCCTGTTCAATAATCAGAGATTTGTTATAAGAGATTGGCTTATAGGCGGGACAACTTACCAGGCACAGGTGCCGCAAGGCCGAGGTTGGTGAGGCTCAACGCCAGAGCAATCTTCTGGAAGTGCATACTGATTGATTTGACGAAGTCAAGCTGGGCTACTTTTGTTGAGATATTGTGGAAATGATAAGTCAAAGGGAAAGTATCACAGTTGATGGTATATTATAACACGGACTACGGCGGTTCTTATATTGCTTTTTTTCTGCTGTTTTTCAGACTCATGTCTCCCGGCCCCGGACCTCGGGATCAGGAATCTAGTTTATCACGTCAATTCTAAGGAAAGATCTCACAGCTTTCGCGTCATGTTAAAAAAGTCCAATAGCAGTACTGGAAGGGTTGATAACGCCATTCAAAGGATCAAACCCTTGCAAATAGCACGTAGATTGTAGATTGGTTTTATTTTTGACAGACTGCAATCTGTCTTACATACCCCAACTCAGTCCCACTTATATGCAGACATTATGGCCCCCTACATATGGGATCATAATGGGTTCTGGTGAGCAAAGGCTGGCGCTACTTTCTAAGGATATTTGGGGATGACCAAGCAGCTTCTAGGTCCTGATCCCTGGCGAGTTTTGGCTCTTCATAACATTCCAAACTCTTTCATCTAAGAATTTTCATCAGCAACCAAAGTTCTTTCTGGTGACTGAGCAAGTCTCATTTACCCCGCCCTACCTTTTGCAACGATCTATTTTGAGTCGAGTACTGCATCTGCCGGTGATAAATTACTCTTGTCAGGCGTTTTGAACAACTTCAATCCAGCATGTACGAAGACGTGAACACAAGCCGAGACTACGTATCTCCTGAGCAAGAAGATGAGGAGCGGTCCAGCTTCAAGTTATCCGAAGAAGATGGCTTTTTATCTGACCGCAAAGTGGACAGGTCGCAACAACCGTGTTCAAGCTTCCTTTGGCGGGAATGGCGTGGATACGTGCTTTTCTCAGTCATATGGATAGTTCTGTTACTTATCTCAGTCGTTTTGTCGAGATATACCGTCACTGAAGCTAAAGTTAGCATTGCTAACGTTCTCCCTACTGAATTACGTGAGTGTAAAAGAAACCCCTATTAAAGTCCCTTCAAATTTGGTCATATCTTTGCCGTATTACTGAACCATTACTGAGCCCGACTAGAACCTTTACAATCAGTATTGAAGACCGAGAAAATCCGCTTTTCCGGTAGATTGGTATATGATGATAATGGAACTCTAGTTCAGGAATATTGGGATCCTGACAGCCCTAAATATACGGGTGAGCCGAGCGATGAGCTGGATCAGCGTTGGGATGATCTTTTCAGTGGTGAGCTAAAAGTCTGTTCTTGCCTAAAAACTTTACAACGTTTTATTAACACGGAATAGATGACGGGGTTGATCTCCGTGGCGATGAAGCGGATACAATCCGCGATCAGACTTTTGAAAAGCCTGGCGGGTGGTCAACCGTGGGAATTGATGTATTTCATCAGATACACTGCTTGGTAAGTTAGAACTCAAAGTTGGATTTTGTTCTTGGATCATTTACTGATTGATACTATAGAACATGCTGCGTAAAGGACTGCGTCGGGATTATTATACGAAGCACGACAAAGAGGAAACATACACAATCCACCTGAGTGAGTAACCATAACAGATTCGATGTCCTTACCTCTAACCTTGGAACCAAACTCTACAGATCATTGTTTGGATTATCTCAGACAAGTTGTTATGTGCAACGTGGATGTGACCCCTCGCCCTGTCCACTGGGACAATAACAAGAACCGGCCTATATCGGAATTTGAGGTGGAGCATACATGTAGAGACTTTTGGAGCGTAAGGGAGTGGGCTAGGGAGCGAAGTGGGCACAAGCACAAGTTCAAGGCTGATGGTTCCGTTTGAGACCCTGGTATCCCGGAGAAAAGGATCTTGTTGACTGTCAAAAAAATTTCAATCTCAGCATTATCAATGCAATGATCAAGTTTTGAAAAAGCTAGGGCAATTTGATTAGTTGTGTTATCTGATCCAATTTAGCTGGCTGGATCACATCCTCGTGTCAGCGAAGCAGGGATGAACCTGTGCCAAGAAGGTAGTTCACCCTGCTAAGGTAGGATAGGGAAGACGACTGGTAGTCTGTTCCCAAAATATCATGATACCTGCAGTTATCACGTCGGCATCTTGTTTGATGCTCATAATTTGATATTACCATAACACTTGGGATCACACCATCCGGACCCCACCAAACGCACCTCGACTTTGTCACATTTATATAGGAGGAAATAGCGGATCTAAAATACTGGCCCTGATAGATGGATCTAGTGGACAGAGGCCCCGGCCGGCCCCCGGCGGCCCTTGCGGGTCCAGCCTTACATCGGCCCCCTAAGGGGTGGAGACTGAAATTGACCAGTGAGATGGAACATCAAGGAAACGATTGATTTGCTTACTAGCACGACAGAGGTGCACCATGCACGTATCGTGTGCGTTCAAATTTTCTCGCAACTCACTCAGTTTAAGGGGCGGAGAGGGGGCCATATCGCGTTTGCGGACGCAGATAGCTAAGATAGCTAAGACATCTTGGCATCCAATTTAGAGGGTGCATGGGCCTCCCCTTCTTTGTCAGTTACCTTGAGTGGTAAAGGACCCTCGTCGATGCAGTTAGACTCAACCTAAGGCTCTCATAACTAGCAAATCCGATGCCAGAGGTTATAAAATACCCGGTGGGAACCCTTGCAGTCAAATGAAACCGAGGATTTACATAGGATAAAGGTTCTAGTCATAAAACCGCTCAAAATCCCATCGTGTACGGAGTATCTTCGGGGACACGGAAGGACCACAGATAACATAGTGGACATTGATTGAACTAAATTGATCAATAAATACTTGGAAAATGAAAACAAATATATCCCCAAACACCGTGACATCAATTGCTTCTGTCCAATTAGGGAGGCCTTAATCCAGATCAGACGCAGTTGAAGACTGGGGTTCATCTATATCATTGAGGTCTTGATGCCGGGAAGGCCCCAGAAACAATAATCCAGCTAGACAGAGTCCAGAAAATGCGGCCAAGCCATAGTATGGGAGCCCAAACCAAATCCCTCTGAGCTTCATACCCTGCGAAAAAAGCCATGCCAATGTCGACCCGGCAAACATAGAGCCGAATGTTTCAAAGATCCCAATCATCGCATTCATCTTTGACTTATCCTGTGCTTCCATGTAGCTCATAGCTATTGATCGGCATATCGCATTCAAGCCTGCGCCTGATGTCTGAAGTATTAATCCGAAAATTACAAGGCCAATGCGCGGGGCTCCCGTAAGAAGGCTCCCAAAAATCACTAAGCAAGCCGAGGCGCGTCCAAGAATCAGGTCCTTAACAGCTGGCCGCAAGTATTTTGAAAGTAGCTTTGATATCCCAGGGAATAAGACAAGTAAAATAAGCATCTGGCCAATCCCACGAGCTGCGAGAAGATAGCCAGCGTCTGCGAAAGTCCAGTCAAATCGCTTGCTTATATATTGCACGAGCAATGGTCCATAAGCCACATTCTCGGGATATACTCTGAGATAGGTGATCAAAATCAAAACAATTGAGAAGGAGCGAATACTCTGACATGATGTTTTGAGATCGGCCCAGGACTGGTAAAAGAATGTCTTAAGCGTACGAGGTGAAAGCTTCCCTAGTTCTGAGGCTGCTCTCTCGGAAGACTGGTCTCTCGGTGTGATCGTCTCGGGGAGCATAATCAACAAGCCCATACTGGCGGGAACAATCAAGGAGCCTATCAGCGTAGGGAACCAGGGTGAATATTGCTCTATCAGTTTGGAAGATATCGCCGGGCCAACCGAAGCCCCGGCCAAACTTCCAAAGGCCATCACGAAATAAGATATTGTTCTAGATTGATGAATGTCAGTGTACTTCAGACTACTTTCTATCAAACGCAACGTACATATCTGTGTCAGGTACCAGATCTGAAGCCAGGGAATATATGCAGGCGTTAATAACAGTGCTTCCACCGCCAACAACCGTGAGAAGCGGGCCCAAGAGGATGTATTCTATCGGCAAGAGATTGGAGAATTTCAGAATAGCCAGAACCCAAACAACGTAAAGCACGGATCCCGTGGTTGATAGATAGATAATTGGTTTGCGACCGAGCCTATAATTATTTAACGATTCACATCGCTGTCTCCTCCAGATCTTTTGTGGAACTCACTTATCAGCCAGCGCACTATATGGGAATGCAACAATGAGACCTGTTATGACACGTGAGCTCACTAGGACTCTCTGTCAAGGGACCAGTCATTATAATTGACATACTGGTCACGGACTCTATCACTCCGAGTAAAGCGTTCAGATATGCAAGCTTGGATTGAATCCCATCGTCTTTGCAAATTGCTCTGTCAGTGAAGGGGCCCTGCTGCCCGGTTTCACTCAAATATCGGTCGCACAAGTTGTCCTCCATCAACTGGGTCAATGGAACTTGAATCATGGCACTTCCTCCCGACAAGAAGAAGATACATAAGGATAAGAGAAAGGTCGCAAGGCGCGGTTTCTGGACAGGTGACGGAGTGAAGCTGGGCTCCAACAGCGGGGCGTTTTCGTTCTCCCTGTCATGATTCTTTATGCGCATGGTGTATAGAAGGAAGGGAATTAAAGAAAGCCACTAAGTGGCTATCAAAATTCAAATGAAGGTTTGGAAAAGGTAGGTACAACATTTTGGAAACTGTTGCGACTGAAGGGGCGACATGCAATATGATTTTGTGGGCCTTAGCGATGACAACTTTCCCGCTTCAAGTTGCGACATTGCGACAAAGAAGCACCCAGACCAGAATACTAGATTGTAGTCCTAATTAGACGTATCATCTATTCCGCTGTCTCAAAGACTCACGTCTCCTGGTCCCGGATCGGGAATCGATTTAATCACGTCAGTTCCAAGGAAAGATTTCACACCTTTGGCGCCATGTTATAGAAGGCCAATAGCAGCACTGGAAAGGTTATTAAGGTTGATAACGCCATTCAAAGGATCAAAACCCTGCAAGTACCACATATGCATTGTTGGAAGATCGCCATCTATTTTACCAAGCACAACTCATCACCACTTAGATGCAAACATTGCGACATTATGACCCACGACCTACTTGATCATAATGGGTCCCCTTCAGCAAAGCCTGATGCTGTTTTCTAAGGAAAGATATTTGGGGATGGTCAAGTAGCTTCTAAGTCCTGACATCTGCAGAGGTGTGGCCCTTCATAACATTCCGACATCTTTCATTTGGGAATTTTTATCAGTAAACAAAGTTCTTACAGATCTGGCGACTGAGTAACCCTCACATATCTCCCGCCATCTTTTGGAACGATATATTTTGAGTCCAGTACTGCATCTGCAGCTTTCCCATCAGGTTATGAGTCCTTGCTCGTCCCGAGCACCTCTTTTTATCGATTTCATCAAGATGGGTTGGCCTTCGGGCCGCTACCCCCGGCACCCCGGCTACCCCACAACAGGGGCCTCACCCGAGAGGTTAGGGAAACAGCATCTTTCTTTTCGCGCAGATCGCGCATTTTCATCAAATCTAAGTGCCACCGAGCACTATCCCACCAATTTCGAAATTTTTACGCCACCGTGCGTGAGACCGTCGTTGCGACCGAGTACCCTTCGCGCGACACAGCAACAACAATCATTTCTCGCCATACGAATCCTACGATCGTTACAAACCCTACGAGAATACCACACATACCAGGATAACAGCCAGAGCCAGAGCCAGAGCCAGTGCTAGTTCAACAACAACCAGAGCGTCCCACCGTGGACAAATCATTCGACCAACGACAAATTTTGTACGCCTTAAAAGATAACAGACTCATTGATTCATGCCTAACACAAATCGCTAATTCATCCGTGGCGTTCTGCTACAAGGCGCGTTGGGATAAATTGTGTCACTTCCCCATTCTCTAGCGCGCATACTTTTACTCCTTACTTCCAAGCAGTCGTTTAATCGACCCCAATCGCGATTTCTTCTCGCTCGTCTTCCCGGCCTTCACAATCTTACCCTTTCCCCTGTGAAGCTCCCGCAGCCGCCACAGCATCCCTAGAGCACTGGCTACCACGAGACTTTCTCCAACGGAGGTCTGACCAGCAGGAAGAAGCAGGAACCCCTCACTGTGCAGCAGCGCCAAGGAGTCGTCGAGCCCGATGTGGTAGTACACGGCCTGGATATCACCATTGCTGGGTTCCTGCTGCTCTTGCTGTGATGCAGGGCTGCGGACAAGTGTATACCGCAGGCGCCCGTTCCGGCGGGGGTGCATCTGCCATTGGAAGGTTGTTGATACACCGTCGGCATCGGGTACCTGGAAGGTGAAGTAGGGGTGTTTGACGATCCCGTTACGGGTTGATGAGGGGGTAATGGGGTATGTTACATCCAGGAATATCTCGGTTTCATCTGCGCTCTCTGTACTCAGGATGGCGGCTTCGTCCTCAGTGGTGGATATCTCCCTGTGGGTATGAGTATCATTTTCAGGGACGTGCAGAGAAAGTGCAACGTACAATTCTACCTCAGCGGGCGAAGATGACGGCGCTCGGCATTTCACCGATCCCAGGACGGCTTCTGCATCTTTTTGAACATCAAAATCCACATCGTACGAGACGGTGATCTCGTCTGGTCCATCGCTTTGCGGTTTCGGCATGACTCCTATGGCTACCGCGTACCGGGTGGACCCGATTGGGAGTGTGCCCTTAGCAGCTGCATACTGGGCGCTGATGTCATGGACGGCAAGGTGAGCTGTTTTTCTGTCGTGACGGGGGATATACAGCGCACGTGACAGGTGGGCGAGAGCCGCGGCATCGGGATGTCCGATTTGCGAAGCGGCAGAGCGGGTGACTTGGTCCTGCCAGGTATGCTGTTCCCAGCCGGGGACGCTACCACCTTCGGCCATGCTTGCTTATTGAAGAATCTCCTTGGATCAAAGAAACTGGGTTGGGATCTTGCTGAAGAGTTTATGCGATTCGTATGATCACTCCAGCATGGGGCAACGTGGGGAAATCCGGGGTATATATATTCCAGTACTATGTAGGCTGCGCAGGGCGCAGGTGATTAACGCCCGAGGCTGGTTATCTAGGTCAGCATCCATGGATTGTTTCCCAAGTGGCGGTTACACTAGCCGATAGGACAGGAGCAATTCAAGAATGGCCAGGTGGCTTCAGAAAGTGGCTTAGACTAGGCCGGGAAGAGGGGCTAACGTTATAACAATTCCGGGTAGATGTCATTCCCTGCAATTTCTATGTAATCCTGGAGCCCTTCAGCCCTGTAAATATCAACACAACAAGATAGATCTAGTTAAAAGAAAAGAAAACAACGAGAGGTCGTCAACCATCAGCTCGGATGCTGCTTAGTCCATTCCACCTCTGCCTCTTGTAGCATCGCCCAGGTCGATTGTTTCATTTGCCGAAACGACATCAGTTTCTTGCAACGATGATCCACTGCCTGGTGAGGATTCGCCCCGTGATCCAGCAGGGAGCGAATTAAGGCCTCACTTTCGCGGTAAACGGCATGAGTGAGCACAGGCTGTCCTGTCTCATCACTAGTCTCAGGATCTGCGCCACGCTCTAGTAGCAAATTCACGATCGCTTCCTGGGATTCGTGCACAGCCCAGAGCAGGGCACGGTCATAAGATTCCTCAATTCCGTAATCGAAGTGCTCGAAACATTGCACATTTACATCCGCCCCATAATCCAGGAGCAATTCCACGAGCTCTAGACTGTCCCTCTTCGCGGCAGCGAGAAAAGGCTGCACCCAGTCTTCGTCCTCGTCCCAGGATTTCGGTATCTCGGATGGGCAGAACTCAGGGGGTGCGCCTCTTTGAAGTAATATCTCGGCAAGTCGTACACTCCCGCGTGAAACTGCGAATGCCAAAGCTCTGGTGCGGTGGACGCTCGCCGTTCTGTTAACCAACATTCGGACAATGTCTTCGTGTCCTTCGATCACTGCGGCCGTTAAGGGTATATCTGACCGTCTTTTACCCACAGGCAAATCTGGACTCGCACCATACGCAAGAAGTAAGGATACCAAGTCGCCCATTCCGTTGGTCGCGGCAATACAAAGCGGAGTCCGTCCATCAAAGTGGAAGTTCATATTTACTCCATATGTGAATAATACCTTGACCACCGGGACCCACCCACCAAGAACCGCGGCGAACAAGGCCTCTGTCATCAGGTTGTCTTTGTCGGTCTTATCCCCCCTTTTTCTTCGGAGCCGACACAAGCATGTCAACCACATCTGCATGCCCTTGAAATGCCGCTAGCCACATAGGCCGGTGTCCTAACACGCTCCGGATCCCTTGCCGTGCTCCAACTTCCAGCAAATATTTTGCTAGAGAAGCATAGCCGTGGATAGCAGCCAGCGCCAGCAGCGTGAATCCATCCGGGTCACTCATATTGACAATCACGCCGCGGTCAATCATGTATCGGACGATATTTATATGACCGGCACTTGCCGCCAGTGAGATCGGATGCGGCGGAAACTTTCGAAAGCTGCGATAATATTTGCGACCGAATTGGGAGATGATCGGACCCGGCGTTTTCAATTTTCCCTTCACCTGCTTCTTCGCGAGAGGAGCGCCAGCGTCTAGCGCCTTTTGTAGTGTAGCCATCTGTCCGTTCTGCGCTGCCCAGTCCAAAGCGGAGCTGTTACCATGGAGCACATTGTATTGGTAAAGGTAGCGGTTGGAGATTCCATACAGACGGCGGCTTGACAAGGCCAAGGCAGCGAGATATGATTCAGATAACAAGAATGAGGCGATTAAGAGAATCAGCTCGGTCGGTAGGTTCCCGATCCTAGACATCTTTTGGGACAGGGGTAGAAGGGAAGAGGTGGACGGGAAAATCTGTTTTTCTCGCAGCATACTAAATATATATGTTGTAAGCTGCAGCGCAAACAATATTTGCACAAGACAAAGGGGCTTTGTTGGACTGCAAACTATCACAACAGAAGGATTGGCAATAACAAAGAAAGATCCACTCTATGAATTTGACAATTTTGATGGTTGAATTGGCAAAGATCTATCTAGGTTTCATTCTATCTCTCCAACGGTGATCCTTCGGAATACAAAAGACAAGAAAATGTTGTGCAGTCTTTGCCTCTTCGATGATTATTGGAATACCCAATTACTGGTCCCTGGTACCATGAAGAGGTGTCTATACATCGCTAGAGGGGTTGCCTTCTTACCCTCGTGGCACTCAGAGAAGCGAGGGAGCACCGCTTTTTTTTACATCGGTGGGTTCATGTCAGCGAAAGCCGTAGCCACGGTATTTTCCAAGCCTGTAGACAAAAGAGGACAATGTGATGGATTAGAGTATGAGGACCGAAGGTCGGCTTTCTTTTGGCTGGAAAACCACGCATTTCACGGAGGCGGGTCTTGTTCGGGTACGGCTTTGGTGAGATGAAGTCGGGGCTCTGTCTATAGTACCCGAAAGTGGCCATCGGCGCTTTCCCGCGTTGTTCTTTCAACCAAACAAAAACCAGCGAAATCCGCATTGATCTTTTTTTTTTTTTTGATTCGGCGGCAGCAAGTGATATTGCTGCCCACAGCCCATTAATGGGCCAAGAAACATGAGGGCGAACCTACTCTTCTATCGTGCACACACAATTGATAAGATAAAAACCGGGTCCTTATATCCCAGGTCGTCGACGTCTATCTGCCCCAGCCAGTTGCATCACCCGGGAATAGTTAGTTGTCTCTTCATCCCTATCCCCAAGAGCCCCCAAAAGCTTTTAAAACTCTTCTTTAGTCTTAGTCATCACTTCCAAAAAAAATTCGATCGGTCGATTCATTTTTATGGGGTGTACCTAGTAGCCATCGTCGACAAACAGTGCATCATTGAAGGAATGCCGAAAGGAAAATTTACGAATACAACAAGGTAAAGGAAAGTGCAGAGAAGACAAAGATCAACATACTAGCCCCTCGCGTAGCTTCGTCCCTGGTTTGATACGGTGACGATCTATATTGGAGATTGACAGGAAGAAGCGGCACAAAATCCACCAGTACAGGGCTTTCCTTTGCCAGCCCCATGGGAAGCCCCACCCCTGAAAGCTTTGAGGTCGTTAAATGTGAAAAAGAAAAGTTGGCCGAGGGCAGGACGCAAGAGTGACAATTGTAACTGAGCAGTTTGTTTATCAACGGGAAGGGGTTTAAAGCTGCCAGGCCATTTCAAATGGTATGTAGTTGAGATAGGTACCTGAATTTTCAGACCAGTAGCTCAAAAGGATTGATGGCTATGTGGTTAGATAGTTACGAGAGCTTGTCTCTTCTAAAAGGGACTTACAGGCTTAATAGATCAAAATCAAGGACATGGATTTTACCGAATGATAGCACTATTTTCGAAAGCGCTGCTCCCCATTAGGCTCATTTCCCGTTTTTTCGACTGTAAACTATCTATCATACGAGTAAAATTAAACCAAAACGGATCGCGCTACTGCAGTGACAGATACAATGGTGTGATGTGATCAATACCAAACAATTGGTTATACCTTACTACTGCATACTCTCTGGGGGGAAACCCGCTGGCGACATTAACTTGATTTGTCGCGCGCGCCGTGTACGGTCTCTTTTTGGTATAGATGGATGTCAGTTGCGTCTCACACTAACACTTACGCCATTCTTGTCTTTCAGATAATTGAATTTTCGTCCAGGCTACTGAGACCAACACTTGGCGTAAGCGAGATACACTCACACACTCCAGTCCACCTGAGATTCAAGTGGAGGTTACTCTATGAGGTAAGAAGAAGAATATCATCGAAGGGTTGCAGGTCTATTGCATTCGGAAGCATGGGTCAACGACGCGACGGTGTGGACCTTATGATAGTACCAGCTTTGCACCAGGATCCCTAGGTCAGCGAATAGATATTAAAAACAAGTCTCCCGCGAGGAATATGACCTTGAAACTTAAAAAGTTGGATATACACAGGTGGTGGATCTTTCAAAACAGCGTGCACAGGTTTGTGTAATACGTGGATACCTATGTAAGGGCCTTTCAAAGATGTAACATCAATATTACACGAGTTGACAGTTTGCAAAAACCCGAAAGTTTCATACAGCCCGGTACGTCGATCTGATAAAGCGGTAACTTTATGTTACCCGGGACCATTCCAACCTTGGAAGGTTCCGATCCGGGCGAGACCCCGGGACCCTGTTTATCTGATCAGACTTTTGTGGAGTTAACTGCGTCTAATCTCTAAGCTCCAAGTCCGACGAAATCGAGTGCTCTAACACAATGCGCGATTTGCAGCTGAATCCTCACCTAGCGACTTCGACTGTATCAAACCAATAGACCGAGAAGCTAGAGAAAATTATAACGCGTTCTTCGGATTATATACATATGGGTCTTTGATCCCGGAACTTTTCCGGTTATTTTAATCTATGTAGGTAACAGGAACTTTGAATTCCTTGGCAGGGTTATGAGTGCGCCCTCAATAGCTTAGTTATGATGCCACTTGCCGCTTGAGACTACATACAGTATATTGCCAAGCATTGGGACAATGCGCCAAGAATTAGATGTGGCACCCCTACGGAGTATGTAGGATGTTTTTGCTCGGCATAAGGGGGCTTAACGGACCGAGGTGTTGCGGTACTTTGTAAAAATTATGTCATTATCTCTTAAAAAGCCGTCAACAGTCCGATTCAAAGTGAAAAGCTAGAATTTTCCTGTCGGGATGAACGATTCCAAAGGTGAAAACCGCCATATTCCAGCTGGATTTGAACTTTCATGGCTGGTATCAAGCATTCCCGAGTGATTTAAACCACGAAGCTTTTTTGGGTTTCGAAAAGTACCTAAGCAATTCTATCTTCATAAGTTACCGGTCCACTCCGAAATGGCCCCCATTGTGGCTTGAGACATAAAGTGGGTCCAATCTGATAAGGGTCGTGGTATTTTATTGTGGGGCATGATTTTGATTTTGTACTTGGTCAATGTACAGTTGTAAAATACAGATGAACAATGCAACCTTGGAGCTCCTCAAGTTTCCACTGTGACTGTGTGGGATCTAGTGGTTCAGCAGCGGGAGGGTTTCACGGGCAAGGCTCCTACGTACCTTGAGCAAAATCCTCATTTGCTTTCTTTTCGTGAAAAACACTTTATATACTCACGGAAGCCTCGAGAAATCGTCATGCAGACCTCGGAGACTTCTGATGGCGATAGACCAGACAAAAAGACGGTGATTCAACCAGGACAGTGGCTTGTACGAGCATCATCTACATATTCCAAAGCAACTCCGATACTGACTCATTTTACAACAGACCAAGCATGTCTCCAAGTTCGTTTTCAAGCTGAAGGAGTTGAAAACAGCGTTTTCATTCGTCCGCCTTCTGTTTTCGTTGAATTATACCGGTGTTGATATCTTACTAATTACCGTGGGAACATTCTTCGCCATTGCTGCAGGCGTCCCTGAGCCATTACTTGGTGTCGTGCTCGGTCAACTTATCAACGAACTCAACGAAGTCGCCTGTTCCGCTACGGTGTACAATCCTTCCTCCGTTCGAACGAAAGTCCTCTACCTCATTTACATTACTATCTTCAACTTCGCAAGCATCTACATCTATGCGTCATGCTGGGCTCTTGTGAGCGAACGACTAGTCCGTCGTTATCGCAAAGCTTACTTCCGCAGTGTGATTCGCCAGGAAGCAGCATTCCATGATAGTCTACCCTCTGGTCAGGTCATCTCGAGACTGGTCAGTGATATTGAAACATTGCAATCGGGGACTTCGGAAAAAGTTGGCATCTATATTGCTACGTTATCATACTTCGTCACGGCGTATATTGTGGCCTTCATCAAGGTGCCCATCATTGCAGGCATCCTGATTGCGGTGATTCCATGCTTTTTTGCCATGGCTCTTGTCGGAGGCCGTCTTGCTTCACGATACGGTACCCGTGTGGGCAAGCATGTCGATCTCGCCACTTCAATTGCGTCGTCCAGTCTCTCTCACCTGAAGATCGTACATGCATTCAATGCCCAAAAACGCCTAGAAGACCTATTTTCTTCTCATCTTGTTCAGTCTCGAAAGGACGCATTGAAAAAAGCGGCCGTGCACGCCACACAAATGGGAACGCTTTTCTTTATAGTCTACTCGTCAAACGCCTTGGCCTACTGGAAAGGTGCTCATTTGATAGCAGACTCAGTTGATGGCTTAAACTCCGGGGTTTCTGTTGGTGCAGTGTATACTGTGATCTTTATTCTCATCGATGGTAAGCTTCGTACCGACGTAATTACCTGACTCTCTTGGTTCACTGGCTGATACGAATAATAGCAACCTTCATCTTCAGCCAAGTCTCTCCTTATATGCACGTTTTTAGCGCTGCTACCAGCGCATCGAGGCGCTTGCTGGAGGTGATTCACCGGGACTCCAATATTGATGGAACATCACGTATTGGAGAGCAAAGTCTGAACTTGGGCGAACAAGAGATCCTCTTCAAGGATGTTCATTTCGCGTACCCTTCTCGGCCTGAGGTTCAAGTCTTGCAAGGGTTGAGCTTCTCCATCCCTCCAAAGCAACACACCGCGATTGTAGGTCCATCGGGAGGTGGAAAGTCCACCGTCGTTGCACTTCTGGAACGTTTCTATGACCCATCAAGTGGAAGCATTTGCATCGGGGACCAAGATTTACAAGACTTGAATGTGGCCAGCTTACGAAGCCAAATGGGATTTGTACAGCAAGAGTCCCAACTGTTGGACCGTTCCATTGTGGAAAACATCGCGTATGGACTGGTTGGATCTGCCGAGCACGAGGATCTGACTGAAGTTATCTTGGATATGAGCCTCGCTGATCTTGTGGCCAGAATCCAGGCTGGATGCTCTGAAGCGGAGGCATTGGAAAGTTGTGACCCCAGAATCGTTGAGATTTTCAAACAGGCCAAGTTGGCAGCTAGCAGAGCCAATGCGCTCTCGTTCATCGAGTCTCTAGCGTTTGGCCTAGCTAGTCCAGTTGGGACTGCTGGTGGCCAGCTCAGTGGAGGCCAACGGCAGCGCATTGCCCTTGCAACAGCTCTTGTTCGTGAACCCAAACTGCTTGTTTTGGATGAGGCAACTGCTGCACTCGATTCAATGAGTGAGCAGTTAATCCAGGCTGCTTTGCTCACACTGTCTGGAACTACCACGATAGTATCTATTGCCCATCGTCTAGCAGCCGTCAGGGATGCAGATCAAGTTCTTGTCATCCAGAATGGCCGCTTGGTGGAAGGCGGCTCTCCTCAAATTTTGTTGGAGAGCGGCGGGGTGTACGCGGCAATGATCAATCAACAGAAACTTGCCAACACTGGGATTGATACCTCACAAGACGTATTGAGTGAGGCCAAAGGCTCTCCCACTTTCTACGACCAAGACCCGATCTTGGCCGAGGCCATCTTGGACAAAGAGCAGAGCATCTATCTAGCCGAAGAGGAACAGACGACTGAGGACAAGGCAGAGTCCAATACTGTGATGTCGAAGAAACGACCGAACCAATCAAAGCGGCTCACAGCAAAAATATGTTTCGCCTTCATCCGTCCCAATATCCTTCTTGTCGTTCTGGGCTTGGCAATGTCAATAATTATTGGAGCCAGCTACAGCTCGAACGCGATTTTGTTTGGTAATACCGTTGGAGGGCTCAGTCCATGCAAGGGTACTGCAAACATCCGGCACAGTGGAAACCTGTTCGGCCTTATGTTTTTTGTCGTGGGAGTTGTTGAACTTTTCGCAAATGTCATTGGCGGGTGTGCCTATGGATGGGCGGCAGACCAGACACTATACCGGATTCGCATGAACTCACTTCGATCGCTCCTTAGCCAAACCATGACATGGCACAGCGCTGATGGAAGAAGCCCTGGTGTCCTCATTGCCTACATTACAGGTGATGCATCAGCCATTAGTGGCCTTACTGGAACCACTATCGGCCTTCTTCTCGCGACTGGGGTTAATCTTTTCGCGGGCATCATCATTGCATTTATCGCGGCATGGAAGATTTCAATTGTTCTGGTCCCGACAATACCAATTCTCCTCCTAGCTGGAGTCATGAAGTTACGGTCTCAGAGCCAATTTGCGGAGCGACATAAGAAAGCATTCACTCACGCCACGGAGATCACAGTTGAGGCTTTGGGGAATTTGCGTTTCGTTGCAGGTTTTTCACTCGAGAATCAGCTCTATCGGGAGTTCCTGTCATCAATCCAGAAGCCATATAAGGACACCACAAAAGCGATCGCCTGGGGAAACTTCTGGCTAGCGTGGGCCTTCAGCGTCAGTAATCTAATCAGTGCCCTCGCGTACTGGTGGGGATCCAAGCAAATTGCCTCAGGGCTATACTCCCAAACGCAGTTCTTTATTGTCTTACCAGCTCTTCTATTCAGCACACAATCGTGCGGTCAGATGCTTGCCTTGGCACCTGATCTTTCGAAAGCTGGACAGGCTGCTTCGCGTATTGTTGATCTTGTGAAAACAAACTCTGCTGAGGAGGAACACGGTGGCGGTGGTGGCAATTACACGAAGCAAATGATGAAGATGGAAGTGTCAAATACCGATCCTGAAGCCAACATGTCTTCTGAAGCAGGCTCTTCTGAAAATTCCCAGAGACCAGTAGGTGCAAAACTACATCAGGTGTGCTTTTCATACCCCAAATCACCTCAGATCTCCGTGCTCAATGGATTGAACATCGATTTCAAACCAGGAAAGTTCTACGCACTGGTGGGCCCCAGCGGCTCAGGGAAATCAACCATCTTCAACATGCTGGAAAGGTTCTATCAACCGTCGTCTGGATTTGTCACAATCAATGAGCAAAACATCAACCGTATCTTGTCAACAGAATTCAGGGACGACATTGCGCTTGTTCCACAAGAGAACGTTTTATTCGAGGGAACCCTGGCCTTTAACATAGCTCTCGGGGCAAGACCTGGATATACGGCCACACAAATAGATATTGAGGAAGCTTGTAAGCTAGCTCAGATCCATGATGTGATCATGAATTTGCCTGATGGCTACGATACATTCTGCACGCACGATGGAAAGCAGTTTTCTGGCGGTCAACGCCAGCGTCTATCCATCGCAAGGGCCTTGATCAGAAAGCCAGGTCTCCTACTTCTCGATGAGTCTACGAGTGCTCTCGATGGTGAATCTGAACGAAAGATTCAGGAAGCCTTGTCTGATCTCTCGGGAAAAACTACGATCATCGCAATTGCGCATCGGCTGAAGACAATATATCGAGCGGATCAGATATTCCTCATTCAGGATGGTCATTGCGTTGACCACGGCACTCATACAGAGCTTGTTGATCGGAGTGAGATGTATCGGGAGAGTGTGCTGCATCAATCACTAGCCACCTGATGTCGAATCAAGTGTTAGAGAGGTGTCTTCGGCCTGCGGTCGGATATGTTTCTCTTGGAAGTAGAAATGTTTCCAAGAAGGTTCAGAATAGACGTATTGCGGAATATGCATTTTGTTGTTATTGAAATTATTCCAATGTTAAGTTCATACTTATGTACTTCACGTTGTATATTCCCAGGAACCCAAACTAGACCTAGGTACTCAAATAATAAATGAATCCATTTACATGTTACTATGGAGGAATATTGCTAACTACTGTATAACGGAGACGTTCAGTTGTATTCGCTTCGAGTGCAATTGAAACATAAAGAAAAAGAAAGAGAACTAAAAGCCACAAGCAAGGCAAGATTATGACATTAGTCCAAATCCTAATATTAAGTCTTAAACGAACAGAACAACGATATACTAGATACAGAAAAAGTTCGCCATTTCGGGGAACGATGGCGCTGTCCGAATAAATACCGACAACGGTCATGGCAGGCTGTCAGAAATTGATCGGGTCTAAAGGACAGTGCCGGGGACCTGCTTCTTGTCGACATTCACATTTCTCCAGATAGCAATACAAGGCAAACCCAGTGCCACGACAGCAGTGGTTGCAATACAGCTATACTTTTGGCTATCGCCCCAGGCAAGATTTATAGCGGTCCGAGTGTCTGATCCCATGGGATACTTCATCTGCTTTAAATACCCTCCAAGGTATATATCTGACCAATCAGCCTGTGCCTCTGCCGGTAAGTTAGCCAACAAGGTACTTGGAAAAACGTTGGTGTAGATGGCAGAGGCAATGGTGTTTCCCGCAGCTCCACCCAGACTGGCGAAAAGTCCAAGGATAGAAAGCATCATTGGCACCCCGTCATGATCCGCTGCACTCATCACCGCCATGTCCTGTCCAATGACCAACATGCCACCAGCAAAAGCGATGAAGATTTGACACATGACAATATATCCAATACCATCATCTTGACCACGGAAGTGAATCATCAACCCTGAGCCAAGAATCATCAAGGGAAGACCGAAGAAAAGACAAGCATTTTTGAAATGTCTTGTTTGTCGGATGTAAATACCAAACACGGGTGCAACGAAACAAGATCCAACGTTGTATATCTGGTTCATATAGCCTGCATCCGACACACTGAGGTCGTACACCACCATGACAAAATTGACGAAATAGAGATCCCAAGCAGCGTAGCCGAGGTTGAGCACCGCGGATAGTACACAGGCACCGAGAACAGTCCGCTGCTTCAGCAAATCGTATTGAATAAATTGCTTGCGAGCACAGAACTTTTCCCAAGCCACAAAGACAAAGAACAGACAGAAGCCAACAACTAGCATAGCGATGAAGGTGGCAGATCCGTAATCGGCTCGTCCATAGGTTGCAAGACTAAACGGCAGTAGTAGCAAAATAAATGTTGCCATCAGCAGAGCGGCGCCGACGGCTATTCACAGTTAGTGATTGAGCGCAAATTACTTTTCAAGGGGGAAGGGGACCTACCGTCGAACTCATCGATATAATGTACAACGGATTGAGACCAGGTGCGGTTGCTTTCCGTTTTGTGATACAAACCCAATTTCCTAGCCTTGATCTCGTAGAACTTGAACACAATAGCGAGGGGGAGAAAGACAAATGGGAAAATGATTGCAAATGCTCCGTACGCCCAGCGCCATGTTGTCATACCTAAAAAGGACTGGGCAGCCAATGGACCGGTGAACGCCGTGCAAATGAAGGGCGTACTGGAAAAAGCAAACGCAAATGCCCGGTTTCTCAACCCCGATGTATCAGCAATGAAGACATCAAGGATCAGGTAGATTGCGTTGTAGCCAACCCAATACAGAACATATCCCGCTGCAAATCCATTCGGCCCATCGCATGACGCCAAAATTATTGTCCCCAGCAAAAACAGTCCCGTAAAGATAGTGAGTGCCTCAGCTCGACCCCAGATATTCAGGATTTTAGCGATGGGAAGCTTCACTACACCACCTACAACGGTGGCTAGGATCGCTGCGGTCGAAATTTGAGGGGCGGTATTGAAATTGGCGTAGGCATTGAAAATCACGTTGGTACCGATCGATGAATGGAACGCCAACATGAAAAAACAGACCCAAATCCTAAAGTGAGACGTTAGTATTATCTTCCTGATTCATGTACGATATCGTTAAGGGAGCGGAAGGTGGTCGCATACCAAGCGTAGATGGCCCACACGGTGTTTTTGCTCCATGCAAGCACAACCGCTTCGGCTTTCTGAACTCCAGTTGCCCCATTCTCGATAATCCCATCGGTCCTTTCTCGAGGTTCCTTCTCATTTGGGAGCGACAGTTCAGCCTTTCCGGGGTCTGTTGCAGACATCGTACCGGTTTGACCGGGAGATAAATGCGCGCCCAATTTAGAAGGATTGGATGCAGGCTGGCTCATCATGACAGAAAGCAGCTTAGGCAGCCAAGTAATTAGGCTGAAAAGGAGGAGTGAATGGAGAAGGGGAGAGAAGTTGCAGAGCTTGATCGATGCGGTTATCAGAGGGTCCTAACCGAAGCAATAAATATCACAATAAAAATCAGTTGATGATCTAGCCACATCAGTCTGCCTATAGGTGCAGACGCCACTTTTCTCCCACCGACCTTGGCATTCGTTACAAGGATGCGAAAAAAATCTCTAGCAGGAGCCTAGAGTTAGCGCTTGTGACAAGGCTGAACATCAATTGGTCAACAGCGAAAATCAATTTGAGGTTAGCAAGAGATTACCACCCAAATCCAAATCCCGGACATGAGTCCTCTCCGGGAATAGTGGCATGATTCGGTCTTGTGCAATCCGGTACTTGCGTTTACATTTCTATCATGTCAATTGAACTAGGCAAGAAAGTGCCGGCATATAAAAATTAGAAGGAAAGGGTTCAGCGCGAGGGACCTCACTCCAACCAGGCAACTCAATCACCTTTCAGCTACGTTTGTTAATCATTGCGTGGTGCAATTCCACGGTAAACTGCTGGCTGCATGGTGTGGATATAATAAAAATCATCATTATAATCAAGTTCGATACATATTCTAGTGTGGAACATATCCTTGATATTGAGATTGATAAACATCACTATTTTCGCCAAGTCTTACTTCCGATACAGCTAGGGAGATGTCACCCTACTCCATTATTAACCACACTAGTTAGTCAAACTATAGTTTCCATATGGATTCCCTGTAAATCTAGATCAAATGTCACCTGCGGGTTTTCAGTTATTCTCGCCGGCACAAGTTACCGGTCAGACCCTAGTATCTCTTATTTTCCGCAACGAGTAAAGGAACTGGAAGGCTTCAGGGTCGATATATAAATATTTCATATCCCAAACAGCCAGGTCAAGCCCAAATGATAGCCAGCTTGGTAAACAGCGCAGTAGTTTGAGATTAACATACATATTCCAACATCCGTTTATAATCCATGATATACGTAGATGCCCTTAAAGAATTTCCATTTTCATCAGGGGCAAAAAGAAGTTCGATGTCTCAAATTACAAAGGAAACACTTGCTAGATCCTCCACTTCATGATACAAGTTGTTTCAAGCGTTGGAGCGTTGTTCCCGGTTTCCGTGCTTTGAAAAATACAAGTGTGGGGGCCGTGCATTATGGTACGGAAGGGTTCAAGTTGTTTGAGCGTGACGGTACCAAACGGCAACATGTATTAACGGTTATAGAAGCATAGTAACATTGTAGATCTTTTTTTGGTTTTCACTCTTAGACATTAAAGCAACGCCAGAGCTTCTTACAGCAACTGAGAGTTTGACCTCATCAAGGAATACAAGATGTCAACTCCAAGCAAGCCATGGAAGTGCTCTCTGCAGCCGTCAACTCACTTGGAAGGAAGAAGTATCCCAACCACTGCATTCCCATTGCAGACCGAGACAAGTCAATCTTTGAGTCTACGGAGTGCACAATTTGACGTTGGTTATTTGCAGGAGTTGGGAAAATCGAATGGTATCAATTCCTTGATTCATGGATATGCCCGTTGGATTATGTCCATGAGTGATCAAAGTCACATCGCGTTTTGGATCATAGGAGAAGACCGAGAATCAACTGTGAAATGCGCAGTCGTGATAGCGCAGCAGACAGCTGAGCATGACGCGCTCACGTGGGAGGCTTACGAGACTCCTTTCGAAGGAACAGATAACGTGGAATTCGGAATGCGTCTCATGGAGACTGCAGACATGGAAGTGGATTTGCCGATTTTAGTAAGACAGAGCAGGACAGTGTTGCATGAAGAATTAATGGCTAACAGTTCACGTCATACTTGACAGATTCGAGTGCTATTGTGCATTGATTTGCAATCGTTGCGTGGTAATCTCACCTACCGAGGGGCTTTGGAGCAGGGAATGAATATATCGGGCTTTGATCTCTTGGAATTCTATATGCAACAGCCAGAGGCCAAATATGATAGCGCCACCTTTTGGAGAAAGGAGCTGGCGGAGTTTGTCGATTGTGCCGAGAGAAATTTTCCTACGATATCCTGTGACCGTTTGGTGGCCTCTACCGGTAACACCCAAGTGCTGACGCAAACCCTCCCCCTGGGTGTGTCGTGGGAACAGCTGCAGCGCCTGGCCGAGGAATTGCATCTGAGATCACCCGTCTCAGTGATTCGTGCGGCATTTGCGTGTATCCTGGCTGAGTATCTCGAGTCAGACCGGGTGATCCTAGGTGACCGGCCATTGGCGAATCTCAAAGATGGCGGTTCTGTAGCCCTAGTCCCAATCTCTATTTTCGCGGACAATACTGCCAATGACTTGCTTTGTCGAATCGATTCGTTCACTGCAAGAGCAGCCACGTTCCCAACCCTGCCTATGGAAGAGCTCCGTGAGATTCTCCGGGTTCCTTCAAACGGTATCCCATACAATGCGCTCTTCACGCATCAGTCTACCACTTTAACTTGTCAGAACTCGGAAATGACATCACACGAGACACTCATGGTATGCTACGGTGCTCCCATGCAGTTTAACTTCCAACGATCAGAGCAGGGTGTGCCCATCTGTACATTGTCTGTCAGAGCTGATTTGATAGATGTACCCCATTTGGAGCTGGTGCTACGGCAGGTCAATGCCATCACTGTTGTCATGTTATCTCGACAAGCCCAATCAGTTCGAGATCTCACACAATCCTTTCCCAATGACCTGCTCTCGGTCCACTCGCCGTCGGCTAGTGACGAACTTCAACGAGCCCCCTCCTATCCCCTGCACGTTGGGTCGATCATTGGGCATCCACCAATTCCACATGGAGTGCCCTAGAGATAATAGAGAAGATCAGCGAGGATGAGACAGTCTCCCACACATGGACGTACGACGAACTATCTCAAACTTCCAATCAGCTCTGCGCATGGCTGAAAGCTCGTGGATGGCGCAATGAGTCCATTGCAGTTTGTCTTAGTCGATCTTTCATGGCCTATGCACTTGTTCTAGCAATTTGGAAAAGTGGAAATTGCTATGTGCCTGTGGCAGAAGATCTCCCGGAAGCGCGTCAGATTTTTCTTCTCGCAGACAGCGGTGCTATGGCATTTTTCACAGACAAGAGTGTCGCCAAGACAATCGTTCCTCCTGAGAATTGCCTAGTGATTGATATTGAAGACCCAGAGCTCCTCGAAGATTCCTGGATAATCGAACCAGGCACTGAATTCGACCCTAAACCCACTGATAACTGTTATCTTCTTTACACCTCTGGGTCAACAGGGACACCCAAAGGCGTTCTTGTCAGTCGGGGAAATCTCTCTGCCTTCACCGAAGCGCAGTCAGAATATATCTGTCGGGATGTCCCAGATACCCTGAAATTGAAAGGCAAAGGAAGTTATCTTGCGCATGCCAGTCGGGCCTTCGATGTACACATCTGTGAGATGGTGTTGGGCTGGCGACATGGCCTTCGTCTGGTAACAGGTCCTCGGACCATGCTTCTGGACAATTTGTTTCTGGTTCTCAGTCGACTGAGGATCACTCATGCCGGATTTGTTCCTTCACTCCTCGAGCATGCCGGTATTAGTGCTGAGCAGCTGCCGGATCTGCGGTATCTTGGCGTCGGAGGGGAGAAGATCTCAGAGACAATCATCGAGCGCTTCGTCGGCAAACCATCCATTGCGCTCGTGAACGCATACGGCCCGACTGAGGTGACAATTGGTATGACAAGCCACACAGTAACGCCTTCGTCTACTGTGCGCAATATTGGTACCGCTGTCGGTAACATAACAATCCACGTTTTGGAGCCCGACACCACGAGATATGTCAAGCGAGGCCAGGCGGGAGAGCTCTGCGTGACGGGTGATTTGGTCGCCAATGGGTACCATCGCAGACCTGACGCAAGCGGCTTTACTGATTTGAATGGGCGACAAATGTACCGCACTGGAGATATTGTGCGCTTGATGGCCAACGACTGCATTGAGTACCTGGGCCGGCAAGATAGCCAGGCTAAAATACGTGGTCAACGTCTCGAGCTCGAAGAAGTTTCAGTCGCGGTGCGTCGGTGTACGGACTTTCCAGTCAATGTCACCTCAATAGTGACACCCTCCCCAATCACCAAACGCCCTCAGTTAGTTTCCTTCATCAGTCTTTCCAGTAACCGACCGGAAGATATTGGAACACAGCCCACTTTCCTAAAGGAGCGATACCAGACATGGGTGCCAAGTATTTTGGCGCGCTGCCGCATTGAACTACCTGCGTACATGGTACCCAGTGTCTTGCTCACTGTCAGTTCGATTCCTATTCAGATCTCAGGAAAGGCAGATAATCGCCGTCTGGTGGCGCTATATGAAAGTATCCGTGTGTCAGATCTGCTCCTGAATTCCGAAGAAGTTGCCACTCAGCTTCCTGAGACGATCATAAAGCCAGATACCACGGATTTGACAACGAACGAGGAGCAGGTTCGTGATATATTATGCTCTCAGATGCAGGTGGAACGAAACAGTATCACCGCAGCTACGAACATATTTCAGTTGGGAATTGATAGCCTCGCTTCTTTCGGTGTGGCTGCCAAGATGCGTAAGGCGGGCTATGTTTGCGCGGCGGGCGATGTTCTTTCCAACCCTACAGTCGCACAGCTCGCACGTTTGCCACGAACCCATGAAGGCTCTGGCCAAGGACCAAGAGGAGAAATATTCTCAGACCAACCAGATGAAGCCTCACAGAAAATGGAACAACTTGACCAAGTATTTCGAATGTCCCAGAGACAATTCGCAGGCTCCTCCATTTCTGTGGTTCGGCCATGTCTGCCGCTACAGGAGAGTATTGTCTCCAATTCCGTGGGTAGCCGGATTCCCTTGTACGTCAATCACATCATGTGCCGTTTGGGACCGGGTATCACGCTTCCTGCCCTGAGAATGGCCTTTGAAGACTTAATACAGGAGAGCGAGATTTTGCGCACCTGCTTCCATGTAGCAGACGATAGGATAGTACAAGTTGTGTTGAAGCCTCGTGCTGTTAGCATCCCATGGACTGAGGTCCCTGTATCGGATGAAGGCGCCGCTCGTGATCTGTTCAACAGCCTTCAAACTGGGGTTGCAACGAACATCATCCGCCAAATCGAGATCAAGCCTCCACTACATCTTCTTGCCGCCAGCGCAGCAAACGAGGAAGGGTCTGGGTGGTTGATGCTGTCCATCCATCATTCTATCTTCGATGGCGCCAGTATGAATGTCTTCCTCAGCCGGCTTCACCAACACTACACTGGAAAGACACCCATGATCCCAGTCGATCTCACTCCACTTTATCGTCATTTTGCCACAAATGACGAGAGGCAAGCCGAGCGATTCTGGACTCACTATCTTTCTGATTGCATTCCAAGTATCATCACCGGTCATGGAGGAAATGATGCTTCGTATGAGATAGTTGAGAAGAAGTTAGCCTTCACATTATCCAAAATCTCCAAATTCGCCGCCAAACATTCCACCACCGCGCCAATGGTTTTGGAAACGGCTTGGGCGATTACATTGGCAAGGCACCTGGACCAAACGGACATCATCTATGGCCGAGTAATGAACGGCAGAGCGATCCCAGTAGGGTCAGTGGAATCAATGCTAATTCCCCTCGTCACAACTATTCCTGGTCGGTTCCAGCTTCCTTCTGGTAAATCCAGGGTGGTTGACCAGATAAAGACTCACACTGTGGCCATAATCCAATCCTTACCATACCAACACACACCACTTCGCGATGTTCAGCGGTACGCTGGTGCGCCGGGTCCACTTTTCAACTCGATGTTTTCATATATTGCGTCTGGTCCTCGATCACCGGCAGACAATATGTTGTTGGAAATAGATAGTGCTATGTCAGTGGACTACCCCCTTGCACTAGAAATTAAGGCGGAGGCCGATCACGACACAGTCACTTTGCGCTTGAGAATTGCCAGTGATCATTCGTCCACTGAGCATGGCCATGCGTTGATGGCCGCAATTTCCACTCTTATTCAAGACTTACTCTCTGATGGAGATGTAATCATTGATGCTGGAGCGATCTCTCAACAACAGCGAAAGCAGCAGCCCAAATGGGACGAGACGCAATGGACCGAAACTGAAACCACTCTTCGCCGAGTTGTGGCTGAGATAACAGGTATTCCTGGATTACAGGTTTCGAAGAATACATCATTCTTTACTTTGGGAATCGATTCTGTCATTTCAATTCATCTTGCTCGGCGCTTACAGGAGAATGGACTTCAAGTGTCTTCCAGTGATATTCTGAGATATCCATCTATTGGCGCTCTTCACGACTCTTTGGATAATGCCAATCCCGTCTCCGACATACCACTCATTGATGAGACTACCCTTGATCGTAGCTTATCCGTTGATCCATTTGACACGGACGACTCAGTTGTTGAAACTTATCCTTGCACGCCCTTGCAAACAGCAATGATCGGCCAATGTTTGAGCTCTGAGGGTAAAGAATATGTTCACCACCACGCGGTCGATCTTGCAAGCACAGTCGACTTCGAGAAATTGGTCAGTGCCTGGCAAAACGTGGTAGAACAGGTCGATATCCTTCGCACCTCATTTCACCGGCCCCATGCAAGTCGCAAATTCCATGCTGCAGTCCGTCGATCTGTTTCCATACAGTGGTCACATTATGAAGCTGATGAATCACTTCCTGTGGCTGTTGAGAAAATATCCCAGCGAGTCGCTTACCCGAACATCGAAAGCTTTCGCAGACCCCCATGGCAGATCACCTTTCTCACTGGAGCTTCCCAGCGACTTATGGTCGTCACTATGCATCACTGTCTTTATGATGGCTTTTCTCTTCCCATGCTCTTTGCTTGTCTGGAGAAACATTACCATGGTCATCGAAGCCATGTTGACTCGTTCGCACCTGTAGCACGCAGGATTGCATCCACCCAAGAATCGTCTGTCCAATTCTGGACTAATGCAGTAGCGGGATACCAATCCCCACAACTGCAGTCTCCTCTGGCCTCTACCCCGACAACCAGCGTCCAGTGGGCAGAGACCAAGGTTAGGAGCCCAGTAACCACATTGCAACGCCAATGCGGCTCACTCGACGTTACCTTACAGACTGTGGCGCTGCTTGCTTTTGGGAGATCGTTGGCATTGCGTCTTGGTCAGCGAGACGTGGTTTTTGGCCACGTAGTATCAGGACGAGGATTTGATGTTGATCCTACGGCTTCAGTTATTGGCCCCCTCTTCAATACCGTACCCTTCCGCCTAAAGCTTGATTCTGCTTCGCAAAGCATCCGATCGGCCTTGCGAGATATCCAAATATTTTGCATCGATTCTCAACCTCATCATCATGTACCATTGAGTCTCATTCAAAAGAGATGGCGTCTGGCCACTAGCGGAGACAACTCTTCATTATTCGATGCCATTTTCACCTTCAACAAATCAAAGGCTCCAAATCAAGATTCAATTTTCCAACTCTACGAGTTTGCTCGCAAGCCAGATGTTCCCCACCACCGACTGAATGTGGAATTTGACCAGACTGAGGAATCACTTGTGATCCGGGCAACCAGTCGGGATTTCCTGACCAACAACGAGCTGCATACTTGGATGCAGAATCTTGCCCGGGGTATTGAGAATATCGTTTTATCTGAAAATGAGACAGTTCTCGATTTCCCTTCTGGCCTCAGCGCGTTGCCCTTGGTCGCCACGAGTCCGCATCAGGATGCTGAGCAGCCTTTAGACACATCTGTCCTCGGCGAAAATGTGCAAATACTTAAGACAGTCCTTTCAGACGTTACCCAAATATCGATGGACACGATTCAGGAGGGCAACAGTATCTTCGCCCTTGGCATCGACTCAATCTTGGCGCTAGATGTTAGTAGTCGTTGCCGCGAGGCTGGACTGATGGTCTCAGTGAGCGATATCCTTCAAGGACGGACAATTCGGGGAATCGCGATGCTCGTTGCCGATAAGCCCACTCAATCCCTTGGCTCTGCAAAGATTGTCAAACCCGATAATTTCTCCGTCAATTCGGATCCAAAAATCAAAGCATTGGATGTTCTGGGTCTAGCTGAAGATAATGTTGAAGCAGTCATGCCTTGCCTTAGTGGCCAGCTATTCTATATATCTGCATGGCTCCGGAGCCAGCGACAACTGTGGGAATTCACATTTTCGTTTCGCAGTCGTATTAAGCTTGATCCGGAACAAGTCCAAGGGGCCTGGCTACAGCTACAGAGGAGAAACGGAATCCTCCGCACATCGTTCGCAGCCGTGTCTTCAAATGAAGTCTTGCAGGTTGTACAGAAAGCGAGCAAAGCCAATGGAGAAGTTCAGGTGTATAACGAGCAATCCACTGGAGACTTGAATATGTTGACTCAAGACCTGGTTCATCGTATTGCTCGTAACCCGTCTGATCTCTTCACACCCCCTGCCCGGCTACACCTAATCCAGCACCCTGACTCGGACGTTCTTATCTTTACCTTGCACCATGCTTTGTATGACGCGTGGACGATTCCGATTCTTGTCAGGGAGCTAGAATCCCTGTACCAGGGAGAGAACCTAGCACCTACGTGCGAGTTCCCTGCTTTCGTACTCAGCACCCTTCAAGCTGCGAACTCCGAGTGCGCACAAAGCTACTGGGAAGGAGCACTCAAAATGGGCCAGCGGACTATCCTCGGACATGGTTTCGCTAGCCATAATGGCACTCTTCACGTGCGATCCTCCGAGCGGGTCTTCTCTCAGAAGCTCCACGAAATGCAAGTTCAATGCCGCAAGCTTGAAGTTTCTGTGCCGTCTTTGATACTCCTGGCAGTGGGTCGCAGCCTTGCGCATACCGCAGGCATTGCTCATCCAACATTTGGCCTTTTCCAATCTGGGCGCTCAAGCGAGTATCCGAAGATCCAGGATATGGCAGGTCCTACCGTCAACATGCTACCACTGGTAGTTCCAAACGCTCTCACGTCCCCCACCCCACAGGCTCTGGTCGCCATGCAGCATGAGTTAATTCAGCGCAACCTGCATGATCAGACCGATCTTCGGACTCTCTGCCAGAAAATGAAAGCATTTGGGAATGAGCTGCAATTCAATGTTATTGTCAATATTGTTTGGGGTCAACTCAATGAGTATGCTGCTGAACAAGACAACGACTCCATTTTCACCCCGTTTCCCATAGACTCTCGAGGTGATTCTGAGTTTGGAGAACCACCGGTTGGGAGAACATCTGTTGATAAATTTGACTGGAAAGGTCTGCCCGGCATTGGTGGTATTTATTTGGAGGTGAGCTCCAACGAGCGAGATGATGCGCTACAGTTGAGAGTTGACTATGCATCGGATTCGATCTCAAATGATCAAGCTGAGCTGTTTTTAAACGCCCTGGAAAAGGAGATGAGCAATATTGGATGAGAGGCTTGAGTTGGAGAATTGTCTTGCTTTCCAAACTCGTTGTCTGCTACCCGTTGAGGTCTCTGTCCTTGCTCCGAAAGCCATGTTCGCACGAGAATAATGAGGGTTGATAGAGGAACAATAGACATGCATACCTCACTTCGCCTTTGAAGGTCAATTATGTAATTGGTGTTGATATTGGTAACGTATTTCACAAGCGAGTGGCCACTACAAGCGAGTGGCCACCCCAACCAAAACGCGTCAGTTAATTTAAACCCTGCTTCTTCAACCACCCACCATGCCACCAATTCGCTCTCAATCCTCTAGAAATTCAATAGAGCAAGAGGGTAGGCTTTTGTTAGCTATCCAGGCTTTTAAAAATGGAGATATCAGCTCTATTTCTCTTGCTGCGCGTACCTTTAACGTCCCGCGTACAACTCTCCGCAACCGAATTAATGGAATGCAACACCGCGCGATTTCTCGCGCCAATTCACATAAATTGACTACAACTGAAGAGGAATCACTTCAAAAATGGATACTCTCTATGGATTCTCGTGGATCAGCGCCCCGGCCTTCTATGGTTCGAGAGATGGCCAATCTTCTTCTTCAATAACGTGGAACCACCCCGGTTACTTCGGTCGGCGAAAATTGGGTTACGAATTTTGTTAAAAGGCACCCTCTTCTCTCCTCCCGATTCTCGAAACGGTATAACTACGAGCGCGCGAAATGTGAAGACCCGAAAATCATTAGGGAGTGGTTTGATTTAGTTCAAAAAACAATCCTTCAATTTAGGATCGACCCCGATGATGTTTATAACTTTGACGAGACTAGTTTTGCTTTGGGATTAACGACACCTACGAGGGTTATTACGAGGAGTGAATACTCCGGGCGGAGAGCACTTAAACAACCTAGAAATCGAGAGTGGGTGACGGTGATTGAATGTACGAATGCTTCTGGCTGGGTGCTTCCTCCGTGTGTGATTTTTAAAGGAAAGGTCTTCCTTAAATCCTGGTTTACCGGCCTTCCTAACGATTGGCGTTTTGAAGTGAGTCCTAATGGTTGGACTTCGGATGAAATTGGACTTCGCTGGCTTGAAAAGCTCTTTATTCCTACTACTTCTTTACGTACGAAGGGGGGGTATCGGCTTTTAATACTTGACGGATATAGAAGTCATTTAACGCCGAAATTTGATCAAATTTGCGAGTAAAATAAGGTGATACCAATTTGTATGCCTGCTTATTCATCCTATCTTTTACAACCTCTCGATGTCGGCTGTTTTACGGTCTTAAAACGGTCTTATAGTCGGGCGGTTGAAACGAAGATGCGGAACGGGATCAACCATATTGAGAAACTTGACTTTCTTAAAGTATACCTAAAGGCACGAATTGAAGCTTTTAAACCGAAGACAATTAAAAGCAGCTTCCGAGCTACCGGTTTAGTGCTATTTGCACTAGATTAAGTGATTTTAAGGCTTAATATCCGGCTTCGAACGCCTACCCCCCTCCTAGCCGTGGTAGTGAATCAAGTCGAAATTTTACACTAAAAACGCTAGCTACAGAGAAAGAACTACGTCGGCAGACTTCATCAATCAAAGCTTTACTTCGTATAAGATCTCGAAGTCCACCTAGCCCGTCAGATCGTGCATTAAACCAGCTTATAAAAGGCTTCCGTCTTACAATATAAGGTGCTATCTTACTCGCGAAAGAAAATAAGGAATTACGCGCCGCCAACGAGAAGCAGAAGCAAAAGCGTACTCGATCCCGACAGCAGATACCAGCTGAAGCAGGGCTCATAGTTCAAGAAGCTTCTCAATTGATTACTGAGCCGGTGGAAGCAGATAAAGCACCTCCCTCCCCTCCACGAAGAAGCCCTTCGCCGGCTTTACAACCACGTACACGGGCGCCACCAAAGTGCAGTGGTTGTGGAGAAATAGGGCATAAGATCAATAGATGCCCAGCTAGATAGATGAATTTAGTGTATTTAATTTAATGGAGTTTTGGTTGAGGTATATGCATTTGAAATTAATATATTTGGTTGGGGTGGCCACTCGCTTGTAGTGGCCACTCGCTTGTGAAATACGTTAACTTACTAGTTAGTTAACTAACTAGTTAATGCGTGAACCCAATTACATAATTAGGAGTATCTGGAACAAGAGTGGGAGTGTCCCTATCAATTCCTGCCTAATGATCCTAGATAGCGTAAGATTCTACTGGACATTGGGGTTGCGCACTGCTGAGCGGCCAGTTGAGCCCCAGTACGAAGTGAGACACCGAGGATTTCCGACGCTGACATACCTTGATCGGCAAAGAGATCAGCAAAACTAGATCGACCCACCTGACTACCGAGGGATTATTGAAAGCCATTCCTTATAGATGTTACGCAAGGATGGAGCTCGTAGGCGATCTCAACACAGTACTTATCCGTCACAGGGGAGATCAATTGTGGCCCAACTCAAGGAAGGTCTCCTATGTGAGAAGTATGGGTTAGATTGAGCAAGCGAATCTGGGGAGTGACTCATGCAGCCCAGAAATACATGTAAAAATCTACAATGGGTCCCACAAAAAGGGTTCTAGTGCAGATCTTCGAAGAAACTGTTATGTTACTGCCAAGAGCCCAAGTAAGGGGCTATCTTGCAAAGCCGATCCACAAAGCCCAAACCGTGCTAGTAACTCCCAAAGGCTCCATTTGCAACTATAAAAACAAGTTTTCCGTAACTAATCGAATTTCCGCTCCAACCTTTAGATACTGAACTGTCTGCCACACACTTGTAAGTTGTTATGCTGCCAGTCATTATCCATCTAATACATCTAATTTTCAAACATATAGGACTGAGATCACTGAATATGCGTTTCAGCCTTCGCTCTATCGTTTTTGTGTTTTTGGGCGCAACCCAAGCGGCCACCTCGCCTACGAATCAACTCTGTGGCTCGAAGGAAGAATGTGAAACCAATTGTGAGAATGGGACATATCACACCGAATCTTTCAGAGATTCGACCTATCTTGCTTGCACCTTGGACAGACCTGTGAAGTATGATCTCGGTTCGTGTGTTCAACCACAAGGAACAGAGCACGAACCAGGTCATCGTCCGACGCGGCAGGGTTTACGGGCTCTCTGTGAATCTGTGAACGGCCAGCTTTGCACCCCGCAGTCGTGTATTTTCATCCAAAGCGAGTCGAATGTCAAAACTTATAGGCATGGATGCTCCATCGATAACGACGGAGGAAGCACTCTCACAAAAGACGTGGATTATGAGAAATTTCAGAGCAAATGCAAGCGATTGTGAGGTTGGCGGCTGTTCCAAGGTTACATACGTCACCAGGGAGAATCGTGGGGAAAGCGCAGAATGCCACAGGCGACAGAGAAGGATCCTCATCATGTAACATAATTAACCTCCATATCTCGGAATTCTTCGTGTCCTAATGGAATATTTAGGTCTTGTGTCTTGAACTTACCAACATAATCTGAAGCTACCCCATCGAGAGCCGCTTTTATCCAGCTAATATTTTCCGGCCGATTTTATATGTTTGGGCAAGCCCTGATCTCTGAAATAAATGTTGCCATAAACTTGGTGAAAGTAACGAACCTAACGGCTTATGAAGTTGAGGGCGAAATTGCTTTGGCCCAAAACTTTTAGATATTGAGTAGTAGCTGCTAGACAAATCGGTATAAACACGCTTACCCGAAGGCTGCGTGTGACGAGTAGACCAAGATGTAAGTGAATATATTGTTAAGATTTTCCCCTTGTTTGGTCTGTTTGCATGGAAGATTCAGTGACAGAATTTCTGACAGATTCTAAGGCAAAGTACGGTGTTATAATAATGAGTCATCCATCATTACCAGGGAATACAACATAATCTGGCAGGGATTACTGGGGAATAGCTAAAATTAGATTAGCATGTTTCGAGATAGGGTTCGAGAATTAAAGTCGAAGAGTGTGGAGGTAAATCTGATTTCGAATATTACAGCCTGACGGAAGACACTTTTCGCGATCGTCAGGGCCTAGATTTGCCCAGTTCAGCCGCTTGTCAAAATCCTTGAGCAGCCATAGTTCAGCCAACCATTCACTTGGCGGGGTGAAGACTGTCGTGAGTGGAAGAGGCGGTGTTGTTCCAGTTCTGGAGGCTGGCGTAGTTGTCATGGTGGAATGGGCCGCCCCCGACGGGTAACAACAAAGTGCCCACGAGATGAGAAACAGACGGAAGCCCAGGAAAAGGGGAAATAACAGATCGTCACTATCTCGAAGGATCTTTCTGCGCAGCTCGAGATTGGTGGTAATCCTTAGAGGTACTTGGCAAGGGGGCGTGAGCCTCCGTCCAGAATACCTTGTAGGGTTGTCACAGTGCATAGCGACCACTAGGGACTTTAGTCCTATTGGCTTGTATTGCTAGCAACAAATTGGCCATGTACGGATTTTCTAACTCATTATAGCGTGAAATTAATTGAATATGCAATTCTCGTTGTCAAGATATTATATATATCGAAAGCCGTTTGGTAGGAATTATACATTATATCCCATTCTGTTGTTGAAACCTATCATCCTGAAAAGAGATCTAAGAAGATATTATAAATACGTAGTAGTGGAAAGTAATCATAAAGGCTATGGGTTATATCAGTATAGAATAACTCGATATTCAAATTACGCCCTATATCATCAAGTGTAGAGGGCATATAATCGTATAAATCTATACAAACTTCTGATTAGGTCGATGTAACAATTAAAGTATAGAACTTACTTCGAAGACGGAGACACAATCGGTGAATCCTAAAATCCAATAGGACTAAAGTCCCCAGTGGTCGCTGTGCACTGCGATATAGGGCGTGGTGCCTCGCATGGCGCTGTGAGTGGGTTGCCTAGTAGAGAATACGTAGAGGGACCTTACTCCCAGCTAAAGGAGGTTCATCATCAGGTGGCTCCAGTGTACGGCGCATATGTGGACCCTATGGCGGGATCACCACGGCTACCCGCGGTCCCGGGAAGATCGACCAGAGCCCCAACACCTTTGCCAAGGAATATAAAGTGATATCTAGCTACGTATAGCTAGGCCAAAGTTCGCCTAAATCTACCAATTTCCCCTTGAGGCTTTTTCTGCTAAGCCTTTCGTGGATTATCCCCACACGACCCTGACCCCAAACTTTGCATGTGGAAGGTCCCGTCCCCTTTATTGTGGGACCTGAACCCCCAAATTTGTTTTTACTTCTTTATCACTTTCGTCCTTCCCTTCCAATCAAGAGCATTGTTTTTAATCACCCTCGCAACTATGCCCAGCATCACTATCACCGATGGGTACACTTTCAATAACTGGGGCCCGGTGACCACCACCTTCACCGCGCCAGCCAGCTGCGCAACTGCCAGCAATTTCTTGATAGGACACAACACATCGTTTCCTTTCTTTAACTTGGCGACGCAATGCTCCACAGATGGCGGTCATGGCTGTATCCCCACCGGCACCGTTTCCCCACCTCTTACTCTTGATCCCAATCCAAGCGTGATCTACGATTTTCCACATTACTCCCCGGGCTTATACTGTCCGTCCGGATGGGCCACCGTGGGAGTAGCCGCCCGCGACGGCGACAAGTCCCCCACCTCGTCGGGTGTTTTAAGTATCTCGAGTTCAACCATAACAGATTCGCGGCTCATCGAGGTCGACTTCGCCACATTCAAGAACCCCGCTACGATGTTACCGGAGCTTCTAGACCCAAGCGAGACTCTCGTGGTTTGTTGCCCTAGGTATGTGTGATGATGAAATATAGTCGCTTGAAAAGGGTTTTATAACTAATTCTATTTATTTTCCAGTTCCATGACGGCCAACATTAAACTCGGCTGTTACTCGGCTGTCTCCGATCTCGATGTGACCACGGCATGTCTTCGTATACTTGATGAGTCAGATATTGGCACATCGACAAAAACCTACGCTGTGAATGGGACCACCTCCACGGATCTCCTCATTGTCATGACTGCTTCGTATCCTGATATTGTCAGCACAACAACCTTCGCTTCTTCGGAATTGGATCGGCTTGGCGCAATCTCTGTTATGCCTATGCTTCCACTCGTGCACCATCAATCCGATATCAAGACAACTGGAACAGCTGGAGCGGCGTCCACAAAGGCTACGTCTACTTCCACCTCGGCGGCTACGTCGAACTTTGCGGTGAGACTTGCCCCAAATGTCAATTCGTGGGGTGGATTGGGTGGTATCCTCGGTTTATCACTCGCTGCGATTGTTTTGGGTGCTGCTATGGTCTTCCAATAATCCATATTCGTAGTTTGGGGGGTTACCCAGAGGCATTTTGGAACCTCATCTTACCGCTTCGAGATATTCGTTTCTCCAACATTGATTGATGTTCATTTACGTGTCTCGCTCGCAAATATTTCGTACAAATTAGATCTTTGGTCGCAGCAAAAGGCCAATAATCAAAATTTCAAGCAAAGTTTATTGAGTTTTGCCGGTCTCTGCGGGCTCTTTAGGTACTTCTGGTCCTATTGATGATATAAAGGTGCGAGTACATCTTTAGCTCTTGACATAGACCCTGCATATCGCTTAACTTCAGCAACGGCCAGTACAAACCCATTAGCCAGCCAACAACAGGCAACCCTTAGAATCCACGATACTCCGTCTATAATTCTTTGATCATCAGGTTTAGGGTTCTTCCAAGGCTTCAACATTTAACATTTCACGTTCTTCAAGTTCCTTTTGGCATATATCTCCGTCTCCTCTCTGCTGCATGCACTACATGCTTTGACCTTGGAACTGAAAAAGATGCGGGCTCCACATGCAGTTCTCGCAATAATCATGGATTGTGGATATGTACTTAGGTACTATATACGTATAGGACTATCGATGTCAACTATTTACTTGCTTTGAAATTGAGACATATCCTCACATGCATGAGGAACATTTTGTTTTCCGTGCTCTCAATACTAGTATAATATTCAATGTTCAAGGAAATTGAGAATCTGGAAGTGTGTCACAACGTACAGTCGGTGTGGTACATGTAAGATGTCTTATTCAAATGTTCCTAATATCGATGACATCCAAATGGACATCCCCACAACAGCTTCTCCATTTTTTTGCAGTCACAGTCCAACCTATTGAATGACCCGCTGTCCTTTCCTATCATATTGTCGAACCAATCCTCCATTTCTAGATTCTATCAGTAACCGCAGGGACTAAATCGGGAAGCACTACTAACCTTCGCGTTCCTTTAGGTCTAGAATGCGATATCCCGGACAGGAAGCCTCTGGCCTCAAATCGGAAATCCATTCTCTCAACAAAACACCAGCGCTGCGAATGTCAAAATCCACTCGGCCACTTTGTTCGATTCCATCGTTGACTCTTTTGAAATAATAATAATTGCCGTCACAGATAATATCTTCCAATGAGAGTATTTCTAGAGATAGCTCGTTCTGTAAAGTGTCCAAAAGGCTAGACACACAAGTCACCTTTTGTTCGTTGCGTTTCCATGCCATTTGGGTTTCCAAGGTCGGGCAGACTGAACCAGCAAATTCAGGTGAAGAATATGGGTGATAAATGGATGACCAGTTTGCTATTAGATATTCATTTGTCATTGGCTCAGATGATTCGGAAATCGAGGAATGTTGTGGGGATGGGGGAGCGCTTTCTGGCAGTTCCGGTTCGGCTGCTGGCGGAGCTGGTGTGTACGATGGCGATGTTGGTTGAAATGATGGCGACGTTGGTGAAAATAATGGCAGTGTTGGTACAAACGACGGCGATGTTGGTCCATACGATGGCGATGTTGGATGGAAGCCTGGTGAAGTGGGAACAAATCTAGGGCCGTCGGGTGTGTAGGTAGGCATTAACGGGGTAGAGCTTTGATTTTCTTGGTGATTGGGAGATTCCCTGTGTTGCGAAGCAGAATCATCTGCAGCTCTCAACTCCTCACTGCGTAATGTCACTCGCTTAAGTGTAAGAATGACCAGGTTTTTCTTTACACTAAGCAATAGTGATTTTAAAGTGTTGAAATAGACATCTATCTCATGAATATGAAGCTCCCGGAGTCGAGTGAAGTTAATTCCATGGAACATGTGCCCAACGTAGCTTTTTGCAGGATAGGCAGGCATCTCATCTTGTGAAAGATAGCTAGGCATATGATCTTGCGACAAAGTGAGTCTTTCCAACTGAGGTGCAAGGTTTGTGATAAGCTTCAGCCAGGCGGCCTCATTGAGATCAATACATAAATGAAGATTCTCTAGGCTGTTTAAAGCTGACAGTAGAGAGTCAAATTGTTCTTCAGAGAGGACAATTTTGGGGTCGATATCACCACAGAAATTAGAATCGCAGGTATATAGCTTTCGGGGTTTGCAGCTTGAGCCACATAACGCAAGAAAAAGCTTCGATAATGCCAAAGAGTTCAGTTTCCTTATCTGACTGTTTTTATTGGTGTGGGTTAAGGATTGCAGGCTGTAAACATCGAATCGAAAATCAAGTTGGCTCATTATGTGTTGCCTTCCCAGGAATGAAACCGTCTGCTGCCGTGGATCAAGCAAAAATTCCGTGCTGTAATGTGCGAGTCCTATTGTTTGGAGGTTTTGAAATCGATCCATGCATTCCCGAAGTCGAACACTGAATGTTTCTGATTCCAGCAGGTTGGAATTATCCGCGATCATCGCTTTGTGAACGGCATGTCGGATATTCAGCTCGTCGCCTTTCACTTGTCGGCAGCTTTTTGATGATATAGATACCATGCCGATGGGGTTTTCAGTGCCACTGAACACAGTTGGTATCATCCAAAGCTCTTGGACGTGCTCGCGGAGACCATTTGACTTGGATAGTTCTTCCAATTCGTGGAGACTTTCACTTGTCACAATGAAACGGATGTTTTTGTAATAGGTTTCCGCGAAATTCTCAAGTGAGTTCTCGTACAATGCGCGGCATGATAACCTCAGAGCGACCCATTGCTGGGGATCTAGATGGTTACATATCTTTGAGATCAATTCCACGGGAAGAGATGCAATGGACATTTTGGCTGCGTGTGTGGCGTTTTAAGGTTGAGAACAAGAACAATGGGAACCTTGAAGCTCAGTTTGTTATTTGCAGAGAGGGGTAGTAATCAGGCTCAATCTCCAGGGCTCCCGGTTCCCTTTGACGAGAAAGCGAAATCAAGACAAGTTTTCTGCGCTGAGAGACAGAGAGAAGAGTATTATTGTGCAGCGCTGGAGCGGCAGCCCCCGTTTATAGGAGACCCCGTGGACCTGGGCACCTGGGCAGCGGAGAAAACTGTATTCGAGGCCCGCAGAAAATTAAAATACCTGTAATAGCATATCAACAAGCTGGAGCCCTGATACTCGGTGAAGTAATAGATACGCTAATCGCATCTTGCTATTCCCAGTTCTCCGGCCTAAACGTTCAATGCCTATCCTTTGCTCTCATATAGTGATTCTCGAAATCGCCCTTGACCACTACACAGAGAAATTCTTTCCTGACCCCACTGCTAAGACCCTAGCGCGAAAATTAATTGGGCTGGCCACGCGCCGCTGTAATTTGCACCTTATCTGTGAAGGGGCCAGGGTAAAAGAAGTTATACGTATATACTGTACCTTGGGAAGTGACAAAAGATTGCTTGGAAAACCATGTGCTCCTCGGGATACATGAACAGAAAGCCTCTCTTCTCTACAGTAGCCGAAGGTGATGCATATCTCTACATTCAAATTTGCATTATGCTTATAGCACACATTGCGGGGTGTTGGCTGATGGGGCAACCGCCGAACGCATGTGGGTCCGCTAAGGAGAAATTAAGTTCACTTATGGCCCCCAGCGGCCCTGGAACCTAGCCAGTTAGAATAGGGCTCAAATAGGACTTCGATTCGGCCCACGCTCTTTTAGGCAGAGGCTGATAAAATATCTGAAAACCCCGCCTCGTAATTTCGTGGCGTTCGTTAAGGGGCTCCGGCGGTGGTCTAGTAGTTATTCTTGACACATCGATATCAACGCGTATAACCAGCGCGTATAACTCCGTGTCTCCTACTGTCCATTTCCTTTTCTCTTCACCACAACTCCAGAATCTCACCCAGCCCTATAAGGATATAATATCATACCAAACCGACAATTCCAACACAAAAATGGTCAAAACAACCCTTCCCACGGCCGCATCCCTGTTGATGCTGGCAACGACCGTCTTTGGAGCGTGCGAAAGTATCAGCTACACCACCTGCGCCGACAGAATCGTCCACTATTACGATCCGACAAACGGGGTAGTCTGCGATCCGCTCGATTGTGGCGGCGGCCGCGCTCCCGTGAAGTACGACGTCCCCTGCTGCGCTGCCTACAGGGGCACAGAGCCCTGCGTCTCAACAACCTCCACTCTCTCCTGCTGGTCACCTTCGACCGCCGCTGCTTCATCGACAATTGCGTCCGCTAGCTCTGCTGAAACCACATCTGGCTCTGCCTCTGCCACTGCCACAGCTTATACCAGTGTTCCATCTTCTACCTCTACTGGGGCGGCCGCGGAGACCTCCTCGCACAGTACTTCCGGCTCCACCACTGCTCCTTCGACTACGGAGGCTCCAACTCAGTCGACGAACTCGGCGACTTCTAAAACCGGCTCGGCTAGCTCGAGTGGCTCTGCTCAGCCAGTCTCGACCAATATTGCGGCGGGCTATGCTGGTCCATTGATGGCAGTTGCTGGAGCGGCGATTGGTGCTGTTATTCTTATCTAGGTGAAGGTCCGGAGACATGGACCATACCGCTCCAATGCCAGACCAAGTCGCATTGTCCGTTCTATGTAATATATCTGCAAAATATGATTTAATATGCGCAGTCATGGAACGCCCGCCGCCTGCGCATGTAGTTTGTCATAGGACGTGCGATGTTCCTTCTTGAACCCATTATTATTGTTATTTTCGAGGTGGATTGCTGATGGTCTATCGATACTGCCGTTCAAAGGAAAATAGAGGAAGATTGGACTCCAAATTCAACGTGGAAAAAGGATAGGTTGTGAGTCACCCCGGAGGCCAGATGCACAGACCCCCCCCCCCCCCCCCCGGGGGCCCGGACCCCCAGAAGGGCTCGGTTAAGGCTGCGAGGTCCAAACCCGGGTACCCCAATGGGCTAGCGCGTCTTAAATTAGTATGGTAAGCTTTTGATCGCGTTTTCATAAATAGGGGGCCATTTGGGGCTCTTTCGCCCCCTGTTCTTGTGATGAAAATATTTTCCGTCTAATCCGTCGCTCGCTTTTATCATTCGTTTCAAACTTCATATTGATCATGGCGCGATTTCCCGTTGTTTTTGTCCTCTTCGCCCTCCTGGCCGCTCCTCTAGTAACTGCATTCAACCAAACATTGGAATTAGAGAACTCGAATTGCGATGTGAGTAAATATTTCGCATTAGCATGCTTCACTTTCAAATAATCCTTCCAATAAGAGCTTGAAAACTAATATATTTATTTTACCAGAACAACTGCTACTTCGACAGCTTCCCCGGTGGATCCTGCACGAACGATGCGGCATGCATGTGTGACAAGCAGCAGTACCGCGAGGCGTACTTCTGCTGCATGAAAGATTGCAATCCCAATGTCATGCCTGGTAAGTTTGATGATTTTGATTTTGATTTTGATTCCCATTGTTTCTCATATTCGCCAACTGGATCAAAAATCACAGCTAATGAACTTCATAAATATAGATTCCATTACCCGGCAGCACAGGGAATGTAAAGCCAGAAACATGGATTTTACCTTCGATGCAGAAGCTCGTTGCGGTGTCAAGCTGACTAAATCCGACGGTTTCCTGGTAGCGGCTGCTACTACTACTTCTACTACTACTTCTACTACTACTGCCGGCGATCCTACCACCACTGGTGACTCCAAGTCCTCAACAGCGTCCGCTTCTACTACTTCAGCGGCCTCTTTGACGGCTAGCCAAGAGGCTTCTTCTACAGGAAGCCAAACCAGCTCAGGCAGTTCGACGCCTACTCCTACCAATGGCACGTCAGGAAAGGGAGCCATCTGCAACATTGCCATGATTATAGTTGCTGTAGCTGCTGTAGTATTGTTTTGAGACAATGTATTAAATACCATCCTGTGGGGAAACCTTTAATAATGACTTAGTGAAACTCTGCGTAGAACCCTCCCAAATTGAGTGCTCCAGCGGGACCAGTTGGTCTTTTAAATCTAGGGAATACAATCTAAGTGAACAAAGACTAGTATGCATTGACGCAGAGGATAAAGGACGACCAAAGAAGCAAGAAGGAAGGGTGGGAGAGCGAGATCGATTCCATCTACCTGGCCCCATTACGTCGATACCTCAGTCAACTTTCAGAATGTATCTCAAGATGGTACTTGTGTATCCTTATGACCCTCAGCGTAGCGTTACCAATATGCCGTTCCGCTCAAATGTTGAGCTCCCGATGAGCCTCAGTCTGATCCAGAAGGAAAAGAAAGTAGACCTTCTCCATACCGTCTGCCAGGTTAAGATAAGCATACACGAATGCAACAAAGAGCATGCAGGTTGGGTTGCCTTCGACGGCGCACATGAACTGAGGAAACTCTATCCTAGGAGTGATCTCAAAGCCTTAATCGAGCATGTCTTGCAACGCACCTCGGAAGCGGCGCACAAACGTTTCCTGGCTCTCGAGCCACAGGTTGACATAGCGCATGGCAATCCACTTACCCCACTGGTTGCTGAGGTTTCCAGGTGTTGTACCCTCGCAGTACATATCTTTTAGCTTGAGCCAAACGTCTCTCGCGTTGTGCATACCATCGATCTCACGGCCTGTGTCGGGATTGAGAGTACGGCGCAGATAGACTAGGACCCGTATATTGGTTTGTTCTATAGATCGTATACTAGTATAAATGTTAGTACTATCCTCAGTATCTTAAAAAATTATAGGATTAAAGACTAGGTCTTTATAATTATAAACTAATAATATATTAAATAACTAAATAATAGTTAATACTTTATAAGAATCTGTATCTAAAAACGTATATATATAATTTAGCTTAGTCTAAATAATGTACTTATTTATTAAGGCTTACCCGCTACGCCGCGAAAACAAACTTGTCTATCCTCGGAATGACGTATCATTTCACTCGGTGCTCCAGTGGGACCAGTTTGTCATTCCAATAAGTGTAGGAATGCAAGAGGCGAAGTTTGAAGGATCGGGACCTGCTCAAACAGTGGGTTAGCTAAGTTACGTTACCAACTCAACGGAAAGTTTCACCTTCACTTCTAGCCATCGTTGAATCTGATCTAGTGGTAGCCATAGTTGGGCTTTCAAAGGAGTGATTGGATGCAGAAGAGACTTTCTTGCCCGGCCACTAGTGAAGGACATGATAATAGGGAGATGTGAGGAAGGTTTAGGGGTAAAGAAAATGAGAAATGGGAAGTGAAAGTCAACAACAGGTGAAGGTGAGAGATGTAAAATGTCAAGATAGCTTGAAAAAAATCCCAACAGAGGACAACAAAGGAATTCGATATCACCGAACTCTCCTCCTTTGTAACTCAATAGGACCAAGTCTTATATAGTATTTAATATAAAGTAATATTTTACCGTTAATTATATAAGTTAGGGTAGGATATGACGAGGGAGAAGTGAAGAAGATGGAAGAAGGGGAAGAATGGAGGGTAAATCTCCATATTCTCAGCACTTGAACTTAGCTTCTTCATCCAATGCAATAAATAATTGAGTTGTGAGCGCCAAACAAGTGAGGATGTGTATTTTATGGGACTTTGGAGTAGCACGTGCCAGGTAATCATGGTTTGCTTTTGTTACATCCTTTTTTGAGGACGAAGCGACACGTCCACACGGTCACCTTCGACCACTCTCGTCTTCCACGGCTTTCACCTCACTGCTCTCATCCTGATTTTACTATACACAACCACCAGACGTCTCCCACTTGATAACCTGTGGATGTGTCTAATCTACCGCGAGTTTCATGATATCGAAGACATTCAAGCCATGACCACACAACTTTCCCAAATTGACAATCTTCTTGTCGACCCCGATCCCTCTAAGCGAATAATTGGAAACCCCGATGGTTAACTATACTTTCACGACTCGAGAAGCTTGAAGACCTAGTTGAATCGGAGAAAAAGAAGCGTGAAGAAGACAAGAAAAAGACCGATAAGAATATCTAAGTACTTGGGCAACAGGTTGCCAAGTCACAGCGGCTTGATATACTGAGAGGCAGTTGAAAGTTAGTAAAGCTGAAATCCCTATATCATTTTAGTCAAAGAGCTCACGCACCTGCACTATTGTCCGAACTACATTACCTATATGACCAAAATCATTTTTCATATCCTCTATGCTCGCCGATCGAACCCACGTGCCATGATCCCAACTATCGCTGAGTTTAAACAGGCCCATGTTTACTTATTTCGCACGCATGATCGGGTAGGTAACCACATAGCCACCTTCTCCCATGTACATGGTTGCATTGCGAGCGCGGCGCTCGCCGACAGCTTCAATCACAGTGCCAATATCTAGCATGGCCCGGTATACGTCCATACCACTATGCTGGAGCCGGATCTGCTCTCCCAGCAACATCCATTGTCTGACCCGTGAGTAAATGCCGTGGCAAACAATCACGACATTGGCGATTGTCGATGACCCATCTTCAACATGTAGACTAATGCCCTGGGCCGTCTCTTACGTCTCATCAGACTCTTGTCTCAGTGCACCTTTGCTGGTGGCAGGCAATCGATTAAGGCCCCAAGTGTCCATGACGCACGGATGTCTGTCCCAGGGCTTTTGCTTTGGGGTTTGTCATGACCTCACCACACTTGTCCGGGGTAGTTCAGACGAGCTCAAACCATGTCTGACAGAATTTTTCAAAGTCCGGGCTATCGTCGTGTGTGGTCACCAGGGCGTCATATGCTTTGCTGATGCTGGTGTCGATAAAGTAAAGGGCAAGGTGGGCGGCAGCATCCATCGAGATACCAACGCCGGTGCGCTTAACGGGAACATTGTTCCGGAGTAGGCCCAGAGCCAAGGTGAGCCCACCACTCCAGCCCCGGTGATGGTTATGCTGAACTGCCGGTTGGGGAAGTCGATCAAGCCCATTTCTCGTTAAACATATTCCTGGGAAGTGGGAGCAAAATGGGAGAGAGGGGAGAAATAATGTTTTCTGGACGCAGTGGATAATCCCAGAGGACGTATCTAGCGGGACTGGAAACTTTCAAAAAAAGAAAAGGAAAGAGTTGACGAGGCGATGGGCTGCAGAGTGAATGATCCACTTCAGCTGTCTTTGGGCACTATTGTGACACATCATCTTTTCTTGGTTTTGTCTGTATTTCAATTACCAAGTTTGAGGATCTACATTGCACCAGCTGCTAATACGACTGACATGTTCACAATACGAAATAATGTGGCCCCACTGGCCATCAGGGATCAGAGATGTCGATACGCTCATTCTGAGGATCTTGGTATGAACCATTGGCATTCCACACTGGCAATCCGCGCAACAGCTGCCGGTTGACCCCTTTAATTTCAGCATCTTTGGCATCTTTGTTTTTCACTCTGAACTTGACCACCATCCTCTACTCTGTTCCGCTCTCTTCCTGCCGTCCTTCTTGTGACAGCTAATCGTTTTCCCCGCTCTGATAACTCAAAACTACCATGGAACAGTCCATTGCCTCATGGGAGAGGTTTCTGGGGGAAAATGAAAAGGTTGAGTTTGTCTGGCTGCAGTTTCTTTCCTACACGTCGAATGCCCTCGTCCGCATTGTCCCCCGAACCAAATTTGGGGACATGCTCAATGAAGGACAGTTCCTTACCATGACCAAGTCTATCCTTCACCTCCTTCCTGGAGATCGCCTTGCCGAGGGGGCCAGTCCCTCCGGTAAGCTCCACCTTCGTCCCGATTTTAGCACGGCCTACTGCCAAGCTGGCTCGAATGGCAGTCGCGCGGTTGTTGCCGTGGATTGTGTAGACGAGAACGGGGTTCCAATCGCGGAATGTGCGCGGTCAAAATTACGGGAGCTACACCAGATCCTTAAGCGGGAGATGGGATGTGGCCTGTTGGTTGGGTTCGAGGTGGAGGTCATGTTTCTACGACCCAGACAGGAAGGTGGAGTCACCACCGACTACGAGCCCGTGAATTTGCAGCATGCGTTTACTAGCATGACTCCAGAAGATCGTACCTATCTCGGTCTGATCGAGGCCGTTGCCCGAGCCTTGTCCACAGTCGGCATCGCCTTGGAGCAGTTCCACGCCGAGGCAGGCCCTGGTCAATGGGAATTCGTGCTACCACCCGCAGAGCCACTGCGGGCGATTGACATATTGCTACGGGCTCGCGAGACTATCATGAATGTCGCCCAAACATTCGGATTACGAGCGACGGTCTCAACACAACCCATTCCTGAGCAAGCGTGCAACGGGGCCCACGTACATTTGTCCGTCAACGCGCTGACCAAAGACAACAGTCTTGGGTCTGAGGACTTGGTACAGAAGGCAGAGTCCTTTTTTGCAGGAATCGTGCGGCATCTGCCTGCCATCCTGGCCTTTTCACTGCCCAGCGACATCAGCTATGGGCGCATCGCAACTGGGATCTGGAGTGGAGGCGAGTATGCCGCGTGGGGCTGGGAAAATAAGGAGGTCGCGCTGCGGCGGATTCAGAACAACCGGTTCGAAATCAAATTGGTGGATGGCCTCGCGAACCCGTATTTGGTATTGTGTGCACTACTCAGCGCTGGGATTAGCGGGATGCGAGAAAAATTACCGCTCACAGGAGGAAACTGTGCCAAGGCCGCCGCTCGCTTGTCCGCCGAGGAGCGAGAGGCCCTAGGAGTCAAAGATCTGTTGCCCACCACGCTGGACGCAAGCATGGCGGCCCTAGAAGGAGATCGTCAGATGCAAGATGTGATGGGACCGGTCATTGTTTCGTCGTACCTCTCCTTGAAGAGAGGCGAGGCAGGGTTCCTTCGTGCGATGGATGACGATCAGCGAAGGATTTGGCTGATTGCAAGATACTAGCCCGTGTACCTTCAGACTAGCTTGGCATACTTACTAACTTAGCATGCTAGCTTAGCTGGCGCCGCCTGGAACTTTTCAAGTCGGGTCATTGATCATTGATGTGGAGAGTTGGCCTCCCGGTACCACAGATCCTCGTCGTGAGCCACCATACGCTATCCTCGTTGGGCTTGATGAATCTACTGGCCGTGGCGTTCGACCCCAAATCTCCCCAGCGGTCCCAGTTCTCTGCTCTACCTGTGAGCTTTTCATCGGCACTACGCAGTGTACCCGAACCCAGTTTTCCTTGGTACTGTCATATGCTATCACTATGCATAAGGCGCAGAGTATCAGCGTGGACCGGGCGGTCCTTAATATTTCTGAGAAGCCCCACTCTCCGGGGCTTTATTACGTGGCCGTGTCTCGTGTACCGACCCTAGACGGTATCCTCTTCGAGGAGACTTTCGGTTTTAACAGGATCCAACCCGAGAGGCCTACGCCCGCCAACAATGCTCCTACGTCTCACAGACCGTAACCGTTGCTTATAACAGAAAACATAAATAAAGTTGTTGAAACTCTACGAACCAAAAAGTTTCGACTCGACTCTGAGATGGTTGCCCTGACAGTAATGCCGTTTGGTATCCCCGATGAAGCAGCTTGCACACTTTGGACGGTCCGAGGCGGGTACGGCGATACAGTGGAGAAGATCGCCGGAGCTATCCGAAGCCAGTTCAGTGGGGCTAAGGAGGAGGAGGCCGAGGCCTTTTTCAGCACAGTGGCAGTTAAGAGTGTCTCCAGAATGATATTCCGAACGGACAATTTGTTGTCGATTTGAGAAGCCCCGTGGCTCGGACGTAGATGATTTTGTGCTTCTCCGCGTTGAAAACAAGTTTGCCGTGCATATCAATGACCTGGACCTTTCTTGACTATTGTTCGGTTCAACAGCTTGGAAGTTCCCATTAAGATATATACTTCGTACGCCAAGCTTAGTAGAGGACCAAATAAACAAACCCCAAACGTAAGATCAGATGATTTCTTTTTTATCTCCAACTCCGTTCATATGATTCATAGCACAATTTCAGCCATTCTATGAAGCTTGTATATCATGTTCAGTTCGCAATGACCAACAAAGCTGTGACATGCTTTTTTAGTATCTGTAGCTAGTTGCGGGATGCATTGTTGACAGTAAACACTGCCTTCCATTGAATTCTCCACCCTACCCTAGTTGTGCACATACGTAGTAGGTTCTATATTGTAGCCTTTCTCTATGCTTATCAGAAACTTAGTAGGCCAAAAACTACCAAAAAAAAAAGAGTCCAAAGATTTTTAGGGCTGGGATATCCCTAGGAATCCGAAGTCGGGGCATAAAAATGAATTGATTCCCGAAAAAGCAACTATCCAAGAGAAAGCTAATGAGCTAAAAGCCTGATGAACCGGATCATGAACAAAGTATCGGTACACATCTTTGCCCCATGGAAATTTAGCAGGTCCATAACAATAGCCCTTCCAACAAAACTTTGCCAAAACCAAGTGGACATTTAGCATGAAGCCACTGCAGGGCTTTCTCATGCTTAGGAAACAGTGATGGATGAAGATCCACTGCTCTGGTATCCCTCGGTGTTGACAATCTGGTAGTTGTGCGAGCCGAGACTCATTCCAAGAGAAGCCCAAGCGTTGAAGTGGTTGGCAGTGGTGACTGTTCCGCTGGTGCGCTTAGTCCGGCGGATGGACCAATACTGGTCGAAGGTCGCGGTTCCTGAGATGGAAGGCTGGTTTACCTGCTTGTGGGTATAGATATCGTAGACAGATCCATCACTAGTCACGGTTCCCTTGAAGGTCAAGCTGCTGCCGGGGTTGTAGGTGCCATAGCTTTCCAGGATGTAATATTCGACGAGGGGGCTAGTGGTCCACCCGTAGACAGCGAGGTAAGCATTACCGGAGGGATTGAAAGAGCCGGAAAAGTTGATGTTTCTAACACAGCGTACTTGTAAGTATATTAGCAAGAGAAAAATAGGTGGACTCGACTTACCGGGAGCTTCCAGTAGCCCAGCCCTTGCCAGAGGTGAAAGATCCGCAGTTGGTCCAGCTGACGCTGTATTGACCCGAAGCGCCGTTGGTGTAGGAGACACTGCCACCTCCATTGGTCCAGAAAGAATAGAAGTAGCCGTTGTTGGTTCCTTGCTCGCTCGTGGTAATCGCTCGCTTTTCCAGCTCACTGGGACGCGCAAAGGCAGTCACAGCAGCACAAGCAGCCACAAAGAGGCTTGAGAAAGAGACCATGATGAAGGGCTAGATGCCGTTTGTAGTTGAGGAAGACGAATGAATTGAAGTGTGTTGTTTTGTGAAAGAGAATTAGTTCCGGAGAAGACCTTCCTTTTATATTGACAGGAGGATGTGGGGCGTGTTTCCAAATAGTTTCATGTCCTGGATGTCCTGATTCAATTTAGCCAGCGACCCATTTATCCCGTACTCACCTGTCTCAATTGCACCCGTGGACTAATCATACTCCGTACACGGCCCATGTTTCCTTTCCTACCAAGTCTTAGCGGTAGCCCATCACATCATCAACTAGATCCCTGTATCGTTCAACCAGCCTAATATCTAATTTATCAGTGACTGAAGCTAAGGGGCTTACAGCCGGACACTTGAGGCGGCTAAACTTCGCCGCCAAAAGAAAACAAGAATGATGAAGAATTCAGCCACAGACACAGGTGCAAATGCGGGGAAATTCATCACGGCTGTAATGGGTGTAGCTTGGCTCAGCCCAGGCTAAACCTAAGATCAGGCAGTTCGAAAGCCGGCAAAACAAAGGTTACATGATCCTTTTTCCCGACAACTTCAATCATCAGCCCTGGAGAGCAGTCGACATAAAGCCAGCAAAAGCGTGACCAGCTGGCCGATCGATCCATGGATGGATCAGCGGATGTTTATTTCAACCGGATCTTGGCGAGTGGGTATCTTCCTCCAGGGCTGCGTAGCTGGTGTGGGTAGGTAGGTAAGCAGGCAGGTCTATATCTACCACGTCTGATGTTTGAAGCCAGCTCAACACAATTCGTGATCGAGACTTGGTTTGCTCAAAATATGTCTCGATAAAATGGCCCACTGTCGTCGCTAAATGCAATATCACGCGCGTCTGGAGTTCAGTCTGATGTTTCCGCCGTGATGATACGATTAATCAATCTACTAGCCGTTTGGTCCAGATCTGTGTCTTCCAACCCTCCTGTTAGTGTCAATTCTCAATTAATTTCTCGAAGGACCAAAGAACACGTGCCAAGAATGATCGAAGAATGGGGAAGGTCACGTGGGGTTTGGGCTTGGCAAGCAGAATTCAAAAGGGTATGCCAGACGCATTTATCGCAGATGCAGATGCCCCATCAGAACACTATCAATGTGCTGTTAAGTACAAGACCCCATGAGCTTGTTGAGTACTACCAGGAATATTTCCATCGCCGCTGATTAATATTAGCTCCCTATGTAGCACGATTATCTATGCCTTGCATCGGCGACCAGACCTACTCGGCCTGGGCTTAGGCTAGATTTTGATCTGTGTGGTACAGTACCCCACAAATAAGCCTCCCACCCGGCTTGCTTAAGGCTTGGAACTTATCTCATCTTCTGAGATATTTGGGATCACAAGACTCGCAAACTACAAGGGGGTTTGCAGTGTTTGGGGAAGTGTGAGCATGACCCTATTGGCACTCAAGTGATTTCACGCAACTTTTGCAGATGAGAAGGAATATTTCTCGAATGTTCTGGGCGAATTGGAGAGAGTGATGAGGTCATTCTAGCCTCGCGCCCAGTGCATGGTTGTCCTGCGCATGACGCATGACCATTTTTGTTGCTACACTGTTATAGAATGTTTCAAACCTCAGGCGTCAATATCAACAAACAGTTAGAGCTCAAGTCTGCATTTGGCTACATGTATGAACGAAGCATTCATGAAACTCAATTTCGAGTACCCAGTATCTCTCTGCCATTCACCATGTCATGTATTTAAACGTCATTGTGGAAATCCATAACTCAGGTTATAGGGGGTTTTCGCCTTCACACATAACTTCCGGTATGTCTCAGTGTGACCCACATTCTCGCGAGAAAAGGTTATATGCACAACCTAATCTGCTTCGAGATTGAATCAAGGCACCATTGCAGACCGTGAGCTTTGCCACGGGTACTCCGGAGCATCTGCCCATACTTGAGACTGTTGCAAGGGGCTACATGTATGTATGCTGCAATGCGCCCTTCTCGGCACCTCTGTCTCAACGATAACATGGCCCCACCCCACCGTGCCAATCCTTTCCTTGGACTAGCGAGTGCTTGGCATCATTTGTGGACTTCAGTGCACCGATACAGGCTAATCGTCACGCGAGCAATCCTCGGTACCCCAAAAGATGCTCTGGCCACATTCCACTCTGTCTGCAACATGACCGATATCAAGCGGCGAGACCTTGCGGCTCATTCTTGATTATTGATGAATCGAATATATTTTCCTCTATGGCTATTCCAAGGTTAAACTATATACAAATAAGCTTAACCAACTGTCTCGTGCCTGTTAACCAACCGTGGACCGATCGACGGTGGTAAAGGCTATTGTTAGCACGCAGAGATCACTATGTGCACGGTGGTCTAACCCCTTTGGGGATAATATCCCTTGGCACTCGCTTTTCAATACAAGTGCCATTTATTATTGTACCACTAGTAATGACACAGTGCTCGCTTCAAGCCTCATGCATTAACCTTACAAACACAATCATTAACATAGAGGTTTATTGTAGCAGTATCATGTGGCCTAGGCTATAAAGAAGACCATATAGTGATAATGTACCATCAATATAAATGGCAGTTGTATTGAAAAGTCCATGCCAAGTGATACTAACCCTAAAAGCGTTAGATTGGTGTGCCAATAGTGATTTCCGCTGTGCCAAATGGGTTTTGCCTTTCTCGCCATTTTGCTTGATATTTTTGCATCTATCAACATGAGGACAGCTCTTGTCAAGAAGGTGCTTGGCTTGCAAGATCCTCCCAATCTACACAATAAGAGTGCACTACCTCATGAGTCAGATCCAACTGTTCGAGAATGGTTAAGCGAAGGCATTCCCTCCAGACAGCAAACTGGACAATATTTTGTGAGGTTATTGCCCTTCATAAAATGGATTCAACACTATAACTTCCAATGGTTTCTGGGAGATTTGGTTGCAGGTAAGTGCCTTTGTTGACTTGAGTCCTGCCCCTGCTAATTGTCCTAGGAATAACGGTTGGGGCTGTCGTGGTCCCGCAGAGTATGGGATACGCCAAACTGGCGAATCTTCCTGTGCAATATGGACTCTATACTTCTTTCATCGGCGTTGTTATCTACTGGTTCTTTGCAACGTCCAAAGATATCACAATCGGAGTAAGCTACCCAGGTGGTGTCTTATCCGGTACTTGCATGGGCTAACAGATCAACTGGGCAGCCCGTAGCTACCATGTCAACAGTCCTCGGCGGCATTGTCAGCGATGTTCAAAAGGTCCACCCGGAGATCTCAGGTCCGGAAATCGCTTTATCAATCAGCATACTTTGCGGAGGCATAATCGCTTTTATGGGCTTTGCACGACTAGGTTTCATCATTGACTTTATCCCGGTTCCTGCAATCACAGCTTTCATGGTCGGCTCTGCTATAAGTATCTGTTCGGGACAAGTCAAGGGACTGCTGGGCCAGACAGGGGACTTTGCCACGAGCACTCCATCATATCGAATAATCATCGACACGCTGAGGTATCTTCCCACCGCGCAAGGATACGACGCTGCCATGGGTCTTACCGCGCTAGCGCTTTTATACTCCCTCCGATCAGGCTTCAACTATGGTGCTAGGAAGAAGCCACGCTTTGCCAAGGTCTTCTTCTTCCTTGGTGCTTTGCGCACAGTCTTCATCATCGCTCTTTATGCTCTTATCAGTCTTGGCGTGAACCACCATCGCCGCGACAGCCCCGCCTTTGCTTTGGTTGGAAACGTGCCGAAGGGTTTTGACCGAGCGGGTGTCCCGGTACTCAAAGGCGATGTAATCAAGCTATTCGTCTCCCAACTACCCGCATGCGTGATCTGTCTCCTCATCGAGCACATTGCAGTCGCGAAAACATTCGGCCGTGTCAATAACTACACGATCGACCCCTCGCAAGAGCTTATCGCCATCGGCATCACCAACCTTCTCGGTCCCTTCCTCGGCGCCTTCCCAGCGACAGGTGCTTTCTCGCGCTCGGCCATTCAATCCAAATCGGGGGCACGCTCCCCCTTCACCGGTATCATCACCGCCATAGTCGTCCTGATCGCCATGTACACTTTGACCTCCGGCCTCTACTATATCCCCAAAGCAACACTATCAGCCGTGATCATCCACGCAGTTGGAGATCTGATCGTTCCACCCAACACCATCTACCAATTCTGGCTCATCGCACCCCTAGATGCAGTGATCTTCGCCGTGGGTCTAATCGTGGCGTTGTTCAGCACAGTCCCAAACAGCATCTACGCAACCGTCTGCATCTCCGTGGCCGTCCTATTATTCCGGCACGCAAAGGCACCAGGCCAATTCCTAGGACAGGCCTGGATAAGCGACGAAAACAACCAAATCCCTCTCTTCCTACCCGTGGATGAACCAAAAGCAGACCCATCCATCAAAATCGAGAGACCGCGCCCAGGCGTCTTCCTCTACCGCTTCTCTGAAGGCTTCAACTACCCCAACGCAAGCCACTACTTCGACACCCTCGTCCAAACAATTTACCAGCACACCCGCGGGACGAATGCGGAGATATATGCGAAAAAGGGCGATCGTCCCTGGAATGAGCCGGTCTCTTCCAGCGCAGATGATTCCCATCTGCCGATACTCCGAGCTGTCATTCTTGACTTCTCGGCTGTCAATAATGTCGACGTGACCTGTATCCAGAGTTTGATGGATATACGCACCCAACTGGATCGTCGGTCTACGCCTGTTGTTGTGCAGTGGCATTTTGCCAATATCAAGAATCCATGGACAAAGCGTGCCCTAAATGCGGCGGGCTTTGGGTCTGCCCCGTTACATCAGGAGGGGATTGCGAGTGAGAAGGGCCCCGAAGAGCCAGGTTGTTCTGAAGGATCTTCTGATGGATCCTCGGACACAGAGAAGGGTGGTATGGAAATGTCTGTATCACCTGGGGCGGCGGATATTTCCTTCTCAACGCCTTTCCATCCTGATTTGACGACTGCGTTGCGAAGTGTGGACGTATATTTAGCCATGAATCCTTCGCTTTAAAAGACACTATAAAAATATAAGGAAACTTTGGTTGGTTCATAGAATAAAATGTGCATTTTGGTCAATCATAAACAGTCAATCCATATTTCATGTACAAATTCGGAAAACATCATCAGATCTGGGTGATCACCCTCAACGCCAACCGGGAATATCGCAAAAAGAAAAACACCAATATGCAATAAAAACACAATCGTAACAAGGCACCTGATTCAGAGTTCATCAACGCGTAAGTAGCCAAGTATCATATGAAACACCCCGAGGCTGAGTTTTCCCATCCCGGCCAGTCGAAAACAAGACCGGCTCGAAATCACAAGCTGCAGAGTACTGCCGAATCAACTGACGCCAATAGCACGACTCCGCAGCAGGAGTAAGGTACCGATCCCGGAAAGTGCGCACGGCATTATTAGCAATACGCTCCGCAATCTCCGGGTTATCAATCAGATAATCAATCTTGCGCGACAGATCGGACCAATCCCGATCAACCTCAATATAGTTCGCATCGGGGCCAGTTGATACCAGTGCCGCATGATGAGCCTCACGCCATTCAAGAGCATGCGATATAAAAACAGAACGACAATTCAGAAGATATTTCCCACGACCAGAGAAGCTCCTACCCTCGGTGTGCGCGAGGAACATGTACCGACAATGATCTTCAATAGGCAGGAGATTGAAGCGGATATCATCATGATCATCCCAGTCAATGACACGCACACTGGCCCAGCTACGACCCAACGCAGACTTGAGGAGCTTGCTCCGAACGGGCGGATTGGTCGCCAGACTGCCGCGCCACACGAGCTGCTTTTTCTTCTCCTTGAACTGCAGGCCCGGCACATGTGTACCATCTGCGGCAATTTCGCCGTCGTCAATTGCGGCAATGCGGCGACGCACTTCGTGGTACGGCCCGATCTGCACCTCTGGCCAGGCCCAGTAGCCGAAGTCGGGCATTAGCCAGACTGAGGTGTCTGAGTCGCGTTTCGAGTAGGCCCAGATGGGGCTTGGGGCTGTTGTGGCTTCTGCGAAGTCTTCTGTGGTGAAGATGAACTCGATACTAGGGAGGAGGTGGCGGTCTGGGAATGCTGTTAGGGGCGCGGTGGAGGGAGTTTAGCGTGGCGCGTGCTCGGGATGCTGTGACGGGCATGGGGGCGTAGTCGACGATATACAGCTAGATGGACTATGTTAGAATTAGATGCTCCAAAGTCCCCAAGAGCGAATGTTTCACCCACCTCTCCTCGATCAATAATTCCCCGCACCATTCCATCATCCACTGTCCTAGAATCAAGCTCTTTATAGGAAACAAGCTTATTTGCTCTCAGTGTAGAGGACTTGTCAATCTCAACAAATAACTTCGGAAAAGCAATGCGGCATTGGTCCTCGGAGAGACCGTGGTTGTTTCCATCGCGCTCAACAACAAACTCCCAACTCGCAGAAGAATTCACAGGCGGGACACAATATTGCTGTCGTGATTGTGTCTTTATATTAAATTGTGATGAGAGCGAGGGTGCACCGGTGCCGAGGACGAGGAATGCAAGGATAAACAGAGACACCACGGCGCCGGTGGCCAGGTAGCGGAATGAAGGGCGTTGGGTGAGCATTCTTTCTGGAACAATTCTAGTTTTGCCCTCTCAAATGTTTAAGGCTCAGTTTAAATTTCCATATGAGGTCTCAGCCTAAAAGAGATGAGGACCTTGTATTTCGTGGGTTGATGTCACTTGTGTCCTCTCTGATTGTTTCCACGGCAACGCTCGACATGCCCTATGTGGGATAGATGCTGAAGGTGCATGAATATTGATTCAAATTATAGTCGGTAATTAATGAAGAAAGAAAAACAGACTGATCAGTAGGCTCTACGGCTGGTTTGATTCATCTATATCGTTGGATGAACTATGGAATCCCGAGCTCTCAGGTAGAAATGCAGGCCAAACTTCATTAAAGCTCTTTACCAAGGCGAAAGAAACTGTGCAAAGTCGAATCTATAGTCCCAACTATATCGGATTATTATGTACATAAGAGGGAGAGTGCCATAGCGAGTCGATATATTCAAGGGGTATCTCAACAGGTCATGAAAGAAATCGGAAAACGAAAGAATAAAGTAGAAGGTAAAGGTAAAAGTAGCTTAGACCCGTAATATCATGAGACATGAAGCTGAAGATTGTTCACAGACATGTCCGCGCGCGACTAGTTGGGCATTCCAATAAGAATTATTAGTCGCCATTGGTGGGGGCTCTGGGGCTGTTGCTGTTGAAGTAGCTCTCGTCTATCTTCAAGATCCATTCCACCTTTTGGGCCTCGGTGCGAGTGGCAAAGAGGAAAGTGTTCTGGGTTCCGTAGACTGCGAATACATTCGGTCGGCCCTTGGCGGACAGCGAACGGTCGGATCCAGCTCCTGAACCGTCTAGTAGTCTTGCGAAGTCGGGCGCATGGTCGACACGCGCATTGCGGAGGTTGATCGCGTTGATCTCATCTCCCTCTGGGACTGAGTAGATGTGGAGGTACGGCCGGCGGAGCTCCACGAAACGACGCACCCAAACGTTGTTGGTATCATCGGGTGTAAGCACATACCCCGTTTTTAAGGCGTCGGGGGCTTTGGGAAGAGTTTGGATGGTAGCTGTGAAGCGAGGTTTGAGGGAAAGTTTGTCTGAGAGGCCGTTGGTATCCGAATTTTTGATGTGCGCCGCTCCGTCCGAAGGGGGTTCGGTATTACTCCGGATGAGGATCGCCTCTGTTGGGTCCTGCTTGAGCGACCAGAGATCAAGATACTTCCGTAGAAGTTTGGATTTGCGCTCATTGAGATCTGCGCCCCGCATTGGAGTTGACCTTCCACTACGAGCCAGCGATGGAATCAGACAGCCCGCGCTAAGAGCGCCTCGGGCAGCGTGAAGCTCTGCCACACGCTGCCGGCGCTTGCGGTTGGCAATGTAGTCTCGTACCAGAGAAACTTTTCGAGGAGCCCAAGTGTTCAAGAGTTCCTCGCCCTTCACGTAGTCGTTTTGTGTGTTCATACGCCACAGATCAGCAGCACGCTTAGCTGAAACGGGCCGAATAACCAACGAGTACATGCGAGTCGTCGAGTGCACAACACGAATCGAGTTCCAGAATTGCTTGAACATCGACTGTTGACGGACATAGGTACGGCCTTGGATCTGAATTGTCTGATCTGCCTCGAAAACAACCGGGTTCTGCAAACGACTGGATACAAGATCCCAACGGACGGTCACTTGGACACGGTATTTTTCTGCCGTCACTCGGTCAAGCAACAGAGATCCATGTAAACTTGAGTCCCACTGGCCGACAATTGTGACATGAGAGGTTCCGTCGGCATTCTCCCTAACTGTTGGTTCTTGGACAAACTTCAAGGGGACGTCCGGAGTCTGGAAGTCCTGATCTGGGATCTTACCCCAGGGATCGAGGAGGCGGACAGAACCAACGCGGATGTTGTTGATATCATCCCATGGAAGACTTTCCGTTGAGCTGTACGTGATGTTGACAGAGATGCGGCGCTGCAATCCTTGATGAAGCTGGGATGTCCCGGCATCGAGACTGCTGCTCTGAACAACCTCCACGGGAAGGTATTCACCAGATTCTGCCATTTCGAGTATTTGAATTCTCGCAAAGACATCATGACGTTCTTCTGAGTAAAACTCTGATTCCGCGATCCGAGGAGCAGTTCGCTTTTGCGGCAATGGCTCGGCTGAGTCACGCATATCATCCCAACTAAGGAGCTTGTCGAGATGAACCGATGTCACACCAGCATAAACACAAACCTTCAATGTGGCTGTCCGTGGACTTGACAGCGGCAAGCTCATGCTATGCACACTTTCAAATCGAACCGGACCATCCTCAAATCCTTTAATCATTTGCGTTGTAGTTGCGCCTCCTTCCTCTGAGATACCTGGAACAAATAACTGTGCATGTACATCAGACCCTTCCCACTCCGCGAACCCGATCATGTCCCGCATGACAACATTAAATTTCAGGGTTGAAGAGGGCGCCTGCGCAGAGGATGGTTCGAGGGAGAGACGCACGATTCCGATGACACTCTGGGTATATGGCGAGGTTATCTCAACGGAGAAGTCTTGCACACGGGTTTCAAAAACAGCCGTTAAGGGGATGTCGGCATCACCGATGAGAGAATACTGGGGTGAGCAAGGTTCGGAGAATGGATTGTCGAGTTTGAAGTGTTGGATGTAGTCGGGACGGTCGATGTATTGGTGCAATTGCCGCATGGCTTGCACGCGGCGCTGGAGCTTTTCAATTGACCACAAGTGAATCACACACTGCTTGAAGTCGATGACTCGAACACCGACACAAGGCTTCTTGGCCTCATCAAGCAGGATGTCTTCATCGCCGGAAATTCCGTTCAGCACGAGATCATAAGACGATTCCATGTTGTGACCATGGTCGACAATAGCGAACTGGAAGACCACATGCTTGTCCATGATATGGCTCATGATTTGTGCCTCTTTCAGAAGAGAGGCATGCTGCAAAATCTTCTCGGCCATTCGGACGTAATTTCGCTGGGACCAGTGCTTGTACACTGAGCGCGCCACCTCGAGTTCACGTTCATCCAACTTGGCGAAGCCATTTTCGAAGATTTGAGGAACTGGCTTACCCATATCTCGGATGTGGGTTTCAAAAGACTCCTTTTGTTTGCGCAGTTGCTCTTCGAATTCCTCCTTGGCTGTTCGCAGGGCATACTCCATTCGCTCTTTCTCGGTGCGTAGCTCCGGCGAGTCTGGATCAGACGAAGCCCCCACGGTCTTAAGTTTTTCTTGGAATTCTTCCTTGCGGCGATCCAGCTGCCGCTGCATATCTTGACGAGCCTGGTTGAGTGATGCAACGCCATTGACTTCATCGTCGTCGTTCTGGCGGGGTGTGCTTGGCATGGTTATAGCGGTGTCTAAGGAAAAGTTGTCAAGGGTCCCGTTCGACATGTACTTGTCCCTAATCGGGAAGGAGCTAATAGAGTCGGAATCTTCCTCTTCCGGCAGTCCACGCCGCCCAGCTCGGACCTTCTGCACATCCTCCAACAGTGTGTCCAGTTCATCATCAGGCAAATTAGAGATCTGGTCGGGTCCAACCATAGCACTGACAGCTTCTCTGCGTGCTAAGAACCAGTCTGACTCACGACTACGCTGTGAAGGCATAGGTGAATCCGCCCTGGATGAATCCCCATCGATGTCAGATCCTGCTTTGCTCAGATTTCGATCATGGGTTTTATTTGGCGCCGGCGACCCAAGCTGGCTTGTAGTCACTGAATGGCGGAGTAAGCTCTGTTCGACCCGTTCGGCTCTAGCCTCTTGGGGATGGTTGAACCGGAAAATATGAAAATCGCCAAGGATGATTCGGAAACCACTCTTGAGTCGTGTGGGCTTGTCCACCCGCATGCCGTTCACCATGATAGCGGCACCTTCGGCGGGTACAATGGTCACAACGTTATCCGCATTCTCAAAAGTGCAGTGCTTCTCGAGGATCTTGGATCCATTCAATCGGATCTCGACGGTTTGATTTTGATCCATATGACCAACCGTGGTGGTGCCAGGTTTGATGTTGTAGACCAAACATTCCGCAAGAAGGGGATCGTCGCTGAGGTTGACCAAATGGGGCATTTTCTTTGGTGTGCTCATTCCAATGAAGCCCTTTTCGATGTTGATTCCCAATTCCTCCAAAGCTGCTTCACGCTCCTTGTGGATAAGTTCTGTATTCTGCAGCTTCTCTTCCCAAGTCTGGTTGAGATCTTTGTAGAGCTTCTCACTCTGATTGAGTTGTTCTACAATCTCTGCCTTGCTGACCTGAGTGACACTTCCGTCCGGCTGTTGGATGGAGACCATCTGTTTCTCTAACGGTGTATCCGGGGGATAATATTCCTGGGGAAGAGCACCTCCTATGGCACCAGCTGCTCCTCCGGGTGCTACTCCCCCTCCAAGTTTTGATCGGAGCTGTGCTAGTTCCTCCTTGAGTTCGCGAATCATGCGTGCATTCGGATCTTCGTTCACAACAGCATGGTTCTTGATTCGTTTCGCTGAGTCGGCGTATCGCAGAGTACCAAGAGTTTCGTCAAAGTTGATATCTGCAGGAGAAATTGCAGCAATCATGGAGGTCATGGAATTTCCACCCAGAGAATCCTTCAGCAACCATGTTAGAATTGAATCACGATATGGTACCATGGATGCATTCTTCTTCTTGCCGGCAGTGGTCTTGCCAGCAGAGACATCAGCGAGTGCAGCAATGACACGGCCAAGCGTTGACAGTGAGCGATTGATCTCCGCACCCTCCTTTAATCGTGCGCCGGTGGCTCCAGTCGAGTTGGCTCTTTCTGAACCAGCCAAATCAACCAAACTGATTTTCGACACCTTCTCAGTATCCATTGAAGTCTCTTTGTCGTGTCTCTTTTGTGTCAGAGTCAAGGTGAAAACGGCATGTGATCGACTTGAGGTTTCGTTCATGTTAGTCGCGGCAACCGTTCGGGCTTTGTTACCCTCGTCCATCAGGCTCTCGATTTCTTCGAAAGAGCTGACGACAAGTTTGGCCAGATCCTCGACATAAGGACCCGTTGAGGGATGCTCACGAACTTTGAGGTTGCCCTTGTTTGACGGGTTGAGCAAATCGCGTACCCGCTCGTTGTAGATTTCGAGGTATGACACCTCAACAGTGCAATTTAATAACTTGTCCGCCTGGATCGCGGTTATACGCTCGAACATCGACCGGCAAATCCGTGGAATGACACCGTATTCTTTGCCATAACCCATCATGGAATATGACTTTCCCGAACCGGTCTGGCCATAAGCGAAGATACAATTGTTGTAACCCCCAAAGGCATTGTCCAGAAGCGGAGAACCCAAATCGTCGAAGAGGTCATTTTGGTCGGCGAAGTTTGATGATTTCTTATCAAAGGACCAATATGATCGGTCAAACGCAAAGACCTTGTTCCCTTCAACAGCGCCCTTCCCACCCTTCCGTGATTTGTCCTCTGCGCCAGGTGGAGGAGTGAGCACGGTCTGGGAGCCTTTCATTGACACAATACATTTTGCGCCTCGCTCGATCTCTGTACAAAGACAGACTTGGTTAGCTTCAGGTCCAAGGGAGACCACCCCCTCGATATCCACTCACCTCGACTATTGAAAGGCCGCACCCGCACCACCACCTTAATATTTCCACCGCCGCCTGGAGCCATCTTTGCTCTCTAACCCATGCACGGGAGATGTTCGTCAACAATGAACGTGTATAGAAGCCGGAGTCCGGACGTGGGATGCAAGTGGTGACAGGGGTACACCGATGCGCGAACTCCGCGAGGAGCGCGGCTTGAAGGTCTGTCGCAGGGGAATGAGCGCGGAGTTGGGTGTAGCTAAATCGCTTGTGATCGTTTGAGAGTGGTTCGTAGCGAGATTCGAAACCGTGGGTGTCAACAAAGACGTCATGTATCGGTCCAATGTTGATGTTGCGCGTCTGTGATGTTTTTTTTGTGGGGGGGTTTTGCTGATGTGCGGGGAGCCTGGATCTTGCGACGTTGGAAGTTAGCCACCGAGGAAAACCAGCCACAGTGTCTGTTTTCTCGAGGCAAGCAAAACAAAATGCGATTGGGGTCTCGAGTCAACAACGATGCGGAAAAGCCACTTTGGTCCGGGGGGTGATGCTGAGTAAGCGCTCCACCGCCACCCGTGGACTGCAAGGGGGCCTCCCGAGGTCTGTCCTTGAATTTTTGGACGTTCTTTTTAGATGACTTTTTAGATGTTTTTTAGGTGTCTTTTTAGATGTCTTTTCAGATGTTTTCTTAGATGTATACGAAAACGGTTAAAGCATAGATCGTACAGAGGACTTTTTAAGTATAACCGGGGATCGTGGCTTGTAGATATATCACTACTTCTAGGGTAACTATGTATGCTATAGCTACGTGCTCATTGACTGTTGTTCTGTCGATTATACTTTGAACCAACCACAGCATATATAAAACCTCATACTTCTTTGGCTCATGTTTACATCAACGTGGGCGAGAATAGAGTTATGAAGAGGTCCGGGCCATATTTGGATGCGGCATTCTAAGTTTTCTTCCATGACATGTAAACGTTCATGGATGATCTCACCAATATGCTTTCCCGTCCTTCTTTACTAGATTCATCTTGTCAGATAATTCTGTACCAACTTTCGAATTGCCGCATCGATCATTTCACTACAAAATGGGTGGTGTCTTCTCCAAATATGACCTTGATTCATCCATAGAAACCCTGTGGTCGTGGTGCTGGAGATCGGAAAATGACATCAAGGCGATCAATTCGAGGACAAACCAAGGCAACAATGCACAAGATACAGGATCGAGCGCAGACGTCCAATCTCTTTCCAAAAAGGTTGATGATGTTGACGCAGAGAACGGTCACCTGCGCGAAAATATAGCCGCTCTTTCTACAAAGACCGATCAGAATATTGCAGAGATCAGTCACTGGAAAGCAGAAGTTGAAGCTCTACCTACCAAGTTTCATGATGTCCTCTACTCAGAGGTCAATACTATGAACGCAAAGTACCAGGCCCTTTCTACAAAGGTTGACAATGGTTTCAACGACAGTCCACTAGCTGTCAACCGGGGGCTTGCTATTGGGTTATCTCTTGGCCTCGGGATTCCTCTTACCATAGCTGTGGTTTTCTTGTGTGCCATGTGGATTCGTCGCAAGTATGATTTCCACAGGCTTTCGCCTACAAAAGACGGCTAACACATCACATCCTATTAGATATCCATATATACCGCAACACATGAACAACGAAGCAGCTGAAAACTATATCAAAATACACAAGGCGACACGACAAAGTGAGGTCTCTGTGAATTCAAGTCACCTACCTATGGTTATCTTCTGACTAATGTAATTTTCAGAATCTCTCTCTAAGAAGATCTGCGATATCTTTGAGGCCCTTGGTTTCAAAAAGAAGCAAGTGGTTCCGGAAGGGGAAGACTATGTCATGGGCAACACACCCACGAAGTAACCACTATCACCGCACATGATGGATCTTTGGCTCAGAATGGAAGGTATTAATAAGCGCGTGAGTTATCAGGATCATAATAAAGCTTGGAGTGAAGGACTTGTTGCTTGGTCGCCTAGCTATGCAGCTAGATCTATATAGATCCAGTCAGTGAAAAATATATTGCTTCTCGCCTAAAAGTTCTATACTCCCACCTTCAACATATCCTATCTTGTAATTCTGCGCTTTTCTTTTTCTACGGAAATATTAGCATGATTTGTGTACTAGCTACGTAACCTTGGCTATATTATACCCTAATTGTTCTAACTAGGTTCCGGGGCACAACCTTATCTCCCTATTCGGACGCGGCCTTGTCTTTCTATACTTTTTAATGTGGTATCATCGATTTTTTTTTCGACTTAATCCTGCATACTATTCTATTCTTCTTCTTTTCGGTCTACTAAAACTACTCACACGTATCCCTAAACCGAGTCAAATCGAGGTATTCAGAAACTACTTTCATCCTAAAATTACTAAAAGTTTTCACAAGCCCCAAAAAATGGCAGTCAACATAGGCCTAGCTGTTGGCCTTTCTATTGGGCTAGTAATCCCTCTCACCATCGCTTTGATAATATTGGCTGTGACCTATAGCCATCGCAGGTAATTATCTGAAGTGCTCTTTTTCATAGAGCTTACTAACAATAGCTGTCCATTTAGACACCCAAAATTGCCTCAGCCTGATGCTTGCCAAACTAAGAATACAGAAAACTGGCTCAATCTATACCACGCAACCCGTCCACGTATTAACCACCCTCCTAAGCTATTTTTTTATCTGTTATTGTTAACGAAAGCCTTACAGTTTCCCTAACTGAGAAGACCCGAAGTATCTTGGAGGTGCTGAGGCTGGTCAGGAAGCCTATAGTCCAGGAGGTATATGTGATGGAAAACGGGACCAAAGTCTCGAAGTGATACTACGGCCACAAGGGTTGGACGCTTTGCTGGATAAAAGGGCAAACAGGTATGGAGCATATGTAGTACGCATAGGCGACCTTGGCGTTTTGATAAAACCCTGGTGGAGGACTTTTTGCTTTTTTATGTAGCCACTAGCTCACTATTGATATCCTTGTTGTGGTCAGCATCCCTGCTATACATCCTAAGCGCGTTGGTACTCTATATTTATCGCATGCCAGTAAGCGAATAGCTCCTGCTGTTGTTTTGAAGTTGGATTGCCCTCATGGTCTGTCTAGTATTTACCCGAAACTGTCGCGGATTGTAGCAAATAGTCTGGCCACTTAAGATGAGGCCAAAGTCTCAGAATGATAGGACGGCCACACTTGAGTGCACTCTCTCTACACAAGGGACTCTCTAAGATTTCCCGTGGCTAGTATTAGATGTAATGTAGGATAGTTGATTTGTTACTATATATAATTTGCAAGATAATATGTGTTTCAATCCTTGTTGATGGGGTACGTGACGATTAGATATATATATTTTAAAGGAATGAGCACGAAGGCCACGAATATCGGTCGAAATCAGATAAAATAAAGAATCTATCAATAATAGTATATAAGCATATTTTACCCATGTAAAACATCTGTACAAATAGAAACTCGAAGTTGAAGATCCGAAGTCAAGCGGTCAACCTTCTCACACGTGGGTGGGGTTTCGTGGTCCGGAGATCGGACCCATCCGTACCTGCGAATCGGGATTATCGCCTACGCTGAATGGCCCATGGGAAGCTACTAAAGTTGACTATAATGCACGTGGGGATTCATTCGGGAGTATAGAAAGCATAGAAGTATATAAGAGTATAACGATTTCTCGTTTGAATTATCTAGTAATTATTGAGCTCGAGACGAGACGATTGGGAAAATATATCCGAATACGTAGCAGCAATACGAGGTGGGGATATTTGAGTCGGAGATGAATCTACGGTGAGCAGAATTGTTTCGACCGCCAGTTTGGATGTTCAATAATAGTAACAGTCCACTACAACAACGGTCTCCGTATATTAACATGTACTCCGTACCTATATTGTAGAAGATACGAACTCGATTAATTGGATTGCGTCATGAGCTGGAACAAACACTTTAATGCGCCAAGCGAGTACTCGTGTTTCCCAGTGAAAATCTAGTTACATGATACTCAGACATTCCTAATTCGCGCCAGATGGACAGCCTTGTGTGTCAAATAACGCCGTCACTCCCGCCTGAATTACAATGTTGCCGCCCCGGGGGGATGATTCCATTGCCGCTACGTAAGAGATCTCATCACACTCCCGTGAGGACCGGAAGTGCCGAGAATGACAGGCCGCACTAGAATAAACCCTGTCTTTTGTGAAGCTCTTTTTTCCCCGGAGTACATCGCACACGAGCTTTGATGCAAGGATTATGGATGAGATGGGACATTAGGTGGAGGAGACTTTCCTAAATAGGGCACACGGCCGAGGTAAGCCATGTCCCAATGTGAGTTGGAAAAAGCAAAGAAATTAGGAGCACATCATTTTGGGTATTAGAAGTGATAATCATGATCGGAAGAAGGCAAGCTGACGAAAAAGGGCCAAAAAAGAAAGGAGGCGATTATTAAAATGAGGCGAGTGATAGCGTGGGCAGACATGCAGATGCAGCTGAAAGTGCGGTATGATTCAATGCCCGGGTTTGGGTTTCAATAGTGAAGTAAGATCTAAAAGGGATAGTTAGTGTGAGTATATTCAATGTTGTTATATAGTAGATGGCTATATTAACAAAATGAGATCAATTAAGAATGAAAGACTAAGAAAGAAAGGAAGGTATACTCCGTACTCCAAAGGGCCATGCGTCATAGTCTCGGGTCGCACATGACGAGAGCTCGGGACCGCCGGATTTGTTTTGATTACTGTATGGTCATGTAGATACCATTGGGGGCCAGTTGGGCGGGTATAGAAGGGATGAACCAGTAATGATGTGTATTGTTCTGTAATTCTGTGTAATATCGCAGAAAAGGCGGCCTCAGCAGCGGGGAGCAAGGCGGTCGCTCAGTCGGCAGCCAGTCAATCTCCTACAAAACTGCCCCATCCGCCCTTTTTCCTCGCCTTTCTTCCCTCTGCCTCTTCTCGTTGGTTGCCCGCCCTCTCCAGTTCATCCTCCAATCGCACAGTATCATCTCCCCCCTTTTTACATCATTATTGGTGAAACCCTGCCTTTGCATAAGGTCATTCCTTCTCTATTGGTCTCGATACCATTAACTGGGGTAAGTTTATATACAATTTGCTTTGAATACTGCACAGTACTGAATTTACTGAATAACTGTTTTTCTTTCCTTTATTGCGTTTCTTTGTTTGACCTTTTCATTTTGATCACATTTTCCTTCATTCCTGGGTAAACACGTCACAATTCACTTTTTTATTTCCTGTTTTATTCTGCATTTTACCCATTTGAACTACAATTGTATCCCTATATACCTCCTGTATTGCTTGTGCTGCGTGTACTGCCTTACTGCCGGTTTCCATACTTGCGGAACTGCCCGGCTTGACATCAGTGGCTCCGGTTGCGCACAGAACCACCGCCTTCTCTCTCGTTGGCACGATTCCCTCGATCTCCCCCCTCTTCCCTCTGGTCAAATCATCTTCTACCCTGGGATCCCTTGATTGCTTGGGATTGGAAAGTCACCTTATACCCCGGAGATTATCCTTTCTATATTCTGCCGTGCCTATTAAGGTAATCGCTAAGCTCCAATCCCACGTTGCGCGCGCTTTTGCTTATCTCGTGGCAAAACAACGCGTGCTAAGCCAAAACACCCTCATTTCCACTGCAATTTACCTGTTGCTATTCCTTCTATCATTGGCTCTTTTCATTTTACCTATGCGCGCGATCACGTTTCATGTTTCTTTTCGTCCAATCTGCACGCGTCCCTAGCATTTACATCTTCCCTCGTGGGTATCCAGTTGCATCTAACATTTGACATCTAGTCGCGCAAAGTGATTCGTTCCTTGACTTTGGCTAGTTTTAGCTATCCCCTCCAACTCTTCACTTTGTCTGCTCTGCAGAATTCGATCGACAAGGTAGGTTCACCAGCTGCAGCTCAACTCCCGCCTTGCCAACGCATACATTCTCCCCTCTCAACCTTGACCGGTCTAACCCGCCCCGGATTCCCAAACCCCTCCACTTGAACACTCTGTATTGACAGCGCATTGGTCGTTGGTTCATCGCGATGATTGGCTAGGATGTTAAAAATGCTAATTCTGGCCCATAGTGTTAGTGCGTGGAGCCTTAGAGAGGCGCATTCTGACATCAACGCCCAGGCGTTATCTGTCGCAAGTCGAGGCTGTTAGCACCGCCCGAATTCTACGCTGGACGTGGCAGAGCAAGTCTCAGAATTGCGTGAATGAGGTAGCCTGCCGACCGTGCTTGAAATATACTGCGTAGTCTCCACACCTGTCATCATCAGGTCTGTTCTGACTTGACAACGCATCAAGCCGACATCTAGTTGAGGCACCCCGGCACCGCTGCATCACAGCCCAACCACGTTACACCCGACAGTGGGCGTAAACAATCTTGCACAAAAGAGCCAAAACCCTCCGCGAATCGAGATTATTCTCGACACACAAGAGGTCGAGAGTTTCTATTGACGAAACACAAAACAATATTGGCTCAGAACGCGCCTGCAATTTAAGGTACGTGCCTGGTTCCGGTGTTCTTTTGGTTCCCCATACCCCCCACGCGCCAATCCAGTGACCGCTCGGCGATGCGCTCTGCTGACGCGACGCCCCGAGCCTGCAGACTATTCGTCGAATCATCAGTCGCCTACCCCAGCACTTGTGGTGACTCTTGTCCCTCATTGCGCGCACTCTGCGATATCGGTTTATTACATCTACCAAACAGACGTCGCCATCAACTTTTGACATATTTGACCTACCACCCTAAATCAATCCTTTAGGTCTGATTGGTGATCTCAATATAAAGTCGCCACTTTCAGATCGATCCACTGAATTGGCGCTGCGTCCTATAGTGTGACAAAGATCCACTTATCACAACTCGCCATGGAATACCCTCCTCAATATCAACAAGCCCACGGGCAACATCCACATGCTCCCTCTCACATCCCTGGTCCTTATCAAACTGGGCCACCAAACGCCGGTCCTCCTGTTGGGTCGATGGCCTCGCCCACCAACGCCCAGGCACCCATCCAACCTCATTCAACCCACCAATCCTCTCCCATCGTTCCGTCGCAACCTCATTATCAACAAGCACAGAATGGACCCGGAGCTGTTCACCAACAAATGAACTTTCCCCAAGGCTATGGTGTTCCCGCGCCTATGGCCCAGGGTTACGGCATCTCGCCAACGCAGGCTGCCGCGATGGCCACTGCAGCTGCGTCTGGGCAGTTCTACCCCCTTCACCAGGACTCCATGGGCGGCCAGATGCCCCAGGGTTCTCGAGCCTCGCCGCGCATGGCGAGCATGCAAATGAAGCAGGACCGTGACCCCCGATCGCCACCACAGATGCAGAACCAGATGCCTCCGATGGGATCGCAGGTTCAGATGCCGCCAAACCAGCAACTTTCCCAGCGTCGCATGAGCCATGTCGGCAGCCCCAATGTCCAGACTGCACAGCCCGTCATGAGCCACGTCGGCCGGGCCCCCATCGCTGCCCCACTTCCCCAGGCTCCCGTACAACAGAACCAGCCCTCACCCGACATGGTACCTGGCGGCAACCAAGAAGAGTCGCCACTGTATGTGAACGCCAAGCAGTTCCACAGGATTTTGAAGCGCCGTGTAGCGCGACAGAAGCTGGAGGAGCAGCTGCGTTTGACATCGAAGGGTCGCAAGCCTTATCTTCACGAGTCACGACACAACCACGCTATGCGAAGACCGCGTGGGCCCGGTGGACGTTTCCTGACTGCAGATGAAGTGGCTGCCATGGAGAAACGAGAAGCGGTAACGGGTCAGCCTGTTACCTTCGAGGATCTTAGCAAGCCGTTGCCAACCGAGAATGGTGGCGGGCAGAAGCGCAAGTCAAGTGAAGTCCACGGCGATGGCTTGAGCTCTTCCAAGAAAACGAAGACTAACGCCAGCGCCGATGGAAGCGAGGGGGACTCCGCCTCGCCCTCGGATGAGGACGGCTAATCGCCCTCATTTTCATTTGTTTCGCCCACCAGACAGTGAACACAACATGTCCTGCTGAGGTGACTTGCGGTATTGAATTTTCTTTGTTTTTCTTTTGTCGTCACGGCTTTATGGATGGATGTCTTGGACCTTTTCTCTAGCGAGCGATGTGTATGGATCCCCCCTTTCTATGCTCTATGCCCCATTTGATGTGCTTTTGTGTGGTATGCTTTTGTCTCATGTGCTTTCGTCTGATCTGTTTTTTGTTTTGATCTATCTTACCCCCATTTGCCTCTGATGTCTGTTTATATTCGCTATGCTGGGACGATTTATTTCTTCTTCATTCCCCCTCTCGCCTATTTTATATCCTCGATCCTCTTCAATGGTGGCTCCCTCAGTTCGTGGGAGATACCTTGTACAAGAATCACCGTTTCAAGCATCTACACTTTCACCCTTGAAAGTGATATGTGAGACTGGAGATATAGCATGCTCTGCTTTACTCTGCCTCGAAATTGTCTTGCCTGCCGGCCCTCATATTACATGTAGGGTCTTCAAGGGCAGCACATGGTTGTACTTGATATGCCACCTCATAATCTTCGGCAGTTAGCAATTGGCTAAATATTCGATCTTCACCCGGATGTGTTATCTCTATCTCCGCCTTTCTGTCCCCATGCTTATATCCACTTTCATGTTTCTATTATGAATATTCTTCTGGCAATCTCTTTCATCTCCTTCTTTTCCTATTACATCCCCCATTTCCTTCTTTTCTTCTTTCATTCTGCTTCGGTGTCTCGTGTTGCGGGTTTATGGGTCTCCGGCTGGGAATTTAGAGAGGGTCTCCATCACTGGAAAAACAGATCGGGATATCGGTTTTCGAAAGACTGGTTTGTGTTATGAATATCATTTGAATTTTAGTATTGATGTTTCCTTTTGTTTTTTTGTTTTTTTCTTTGGCTTCTTTTTGTGTTTCGGTTAGGATATAGCAAGGCGATGCAGGGCAAGGATGGAAATTGGATTGTAGATTTTGAAACTATGGATATATTGTGCAGATACTTATTTATATGTGCACTTGTCTTGTTGTCTTTTCTGATCTTTGTCTGTATCAGTAGTCTTTGGTATATGCATATTGTAAGACTTGGGAGATTCGTCTTCCTCTGAGGTGGGTAAGGAGAAATTATGGTTGACAGGAAGCTATGAGCGCATATGTAGTCTGTCTTGGAAGAGCAACTTTCACCGCAATACTACCCTACCCACCATGAATTGGGTTCTGTGGAGTAAGATGCATTGATCGTCACTGGCGCATATGCGCAACATATCCTTCTTAATGAATGGAACATGACCATGTGGGTCGGGGGCACTTCGGCGGAGGAATAAAGGAATATCAAACCTACAGAGCCTGCCAGAGATAATATCTGATTGATTGGGCGTTGCATGAATCTAGAGGTCTAGCGATAGTTAAGCGGCTCAACCATGATTATTGATTGCTTTCTGCTATTTGCTATCTTGCTAACCGATGCTCATTCCGTCCTCTTCTGGCTATTAACAGGATGATCTACCTGTACGATCGAGTTATTGAGAGTGCTGTTTCATCTGAACTTTTATTTGGTTTACTGGTTCGGAATTGTGCACTCTCCAAAGTAGTCTCTTTATATTTTAACCCGAGCCTTGGTTCTTCATACATCATTCATAATAGATGGCATATAGGCCACTCAGACTTTGGATGCCCCAAATGCCGTGGATGCCCCGAATGCACTTAGAACCACGTTATAAGATAAAGGCCAAGAGGAGTGCGAGCATAGGGAGGGCCGTGAGTATACCGGAGTATTCTGGTCTGCCAAACTCTACTTTGTTACGATAGAGGGGTGGGAGATGCAAGGTGTGACAAAAAGGGGTATATGGAATTGAGAGAGGAGTATATGGAAAAAGATAACAATCGGAGAAAATGAGTATATCAGAGTGGTGGGGATCAGAGGTGCTGAGATTCTTGCTTCCACCTGGAAAAGCTGGATGTGGTCTTTGACTGTAACATGAAACGAAGAAAATTGTCAAGGAGGAAAGAATTCCTTCCTATTGGTGCTCCGGGGCTAACTGATGAAGCTTTTCATGTTGCTCGAACATGTTGCCTTTGAATGTGGTCCCGTAAATCCAGGAAACCTTGCCATCAAGCACAGTAACGAGAGCAAATGTCAAGTGCAAGATACGTCGACAACGGGATCTGGGAGACACAAAGTCATGACTGGGCCAGGTGCAGTGTTAATAGGGATCTGCATAGCCATGAAAGCCTCCACCTGGTTATCAAACCATGCAAATATCAGACTTTGACACTGGCTGCCAGCAACATATACGTCCATAACACCGCTGTATGAACGCCGGCCATGAATTTTGCAGTTTGCAGCTCTCATACAGCTTCCCAATCCATGGCATCGACCATGAACCCCCAGTCCGCCTCAGTGTTTGCCCCCTCTCCAGTGATCTCATCCGGGCGGATGCACTTGTCAACATGCTCTTTTGCCCGAACATATGATTCTTCTAGACCACCAAAGATATCAGAGATGATGCCCTCAAAGTCAAAGCTTGCAAGCGTCACAATGTCCTTTCTTTCGCCTTGCTTTTCCCTCTCTTCCGTAGTCAGATCGGCAGTTTTCCACCTATTACGCAGCTCCTTGGCCTTTTGCAACTGCAAATAAACAGGACCACCGCCAAGAACTGGGGATAGTGGGGTTGATTGCTCCCGCAAGGCCTCTAGCACATTGGCATGGTATCGATGAATACCAACAGGCCGACCGATGCCGTTTCCATTATCTGGTGGCCCTCGAGGCGACGATGTAACGGAGATATTGAATACCGCCAGTAAATGGACAATGGCACGTTCAAGCAGAGCATAATATTCATGGAAATCGATCTTGAACATTATTTCAGCGTGAGCGACATCGTCTGCCGATACGACATCGCTCATTTCCAGTGTTGCAAGGCGGTATCCTTCAGCTAAAAATGGGAGTTTCCATCGCAGCCTGGCGACAATTTTCATAAATCGTGCTAATTCCTCGGCCGGCGGCAGCAAGCGACCATCTTGGGATGTGATAGTCGCCGGGCGGATGCTGCTGTTGTTACCACCGGAATTAGAGTTGTTGGAGGGCCAGTGCCGGGGAGCATTTGGACTCGCCGGGTATCGTTGCTTTCCCCCAGTTCCGGGTGCCCAGCGAGAGTTGAATAGACCCGACATGGTCGTTCGATCGGAGGTAAAATGTGGCGTGTTATGCTGGTGTGATATGGCGGGCGTGGTGGTCCTGGTCAACCAATCAGCGGTCAGCATGGACCTATTAAATATTGTGCTCGTGAAAGACCTGTGGGGAATGAGTTGAGCTCTCACAACGGGTTTTGTCTTCTTCTTGCTTACTTTTGTACGTGTCATATGTCAAGATTGAGGTGGATGTATACCTATACATCGTACTGCGTATATATTACCACATTGTTTCTCCTGTTCTTCTTGAGCCTTGAGCAGACTGGTGCAGTTCAGCATGTGATTGAGTATCATACCTAAATTCCCTCTGCAACTGCGTTTTATGTCCAAAGGTGTAAGTGGTAGGTTTACGACGAGGGGAGGTTGGCCCCTAGTGAACCGACTTTGTTTGATAACGACTAAGCAGTAGGCTCTAAGTCTCTAACCAATATTGTTTCAAGATTGAATATCATCTACTCCGTAGGTGTTTTTTCCAAACTTAACCTCGCACTAAAGAATATGAGTCTCTTAGGGATCTATAACGAGAAGACCAGCGATTGCCGGGAATTATACAGAAGTGGTCTTTTTGCTATACATGTTGACCTTTCAATTGGAATGTTTGAGTATGGAGTATGGAGCACTCCGTATACAATATGGCCATACAACAACTACGTACATATCCTAAACAAGCCAAATATAAAGCGCCATATTTCGATTGCTCCATTACTAGGCACCCATGCATGGATGTATCACTTCGTTTGCCGGCGCTAGCTATGTAGTCAAGCGAAAGTGACCTGGCAGCCAACATCAGGGGGCTAAGAAAAACCAAGAGGTTGATAGGCGGTTGAGCGAAAGCAAGTCGCACAACACCGAAGCAGACTTCCATGAAGTAAATTATCAATTCGTGAAGTAAATTATCGACACGATTGAAGTATCCGGGCCTCCTCACTGTTCCAGGGAAGTTATACTTCGTTCATATTGGACAGGCTAACGCGGAACCACACTTTTTCCACATTAATTAACCTCTCTTCCCCTTCTTCTTCTCATTTTATTCCGGACTTGAAAATTACAGACTCAACTTATCGCCAAGTTAGGGCAGACAATTATCATCTGGACTTGTCCCTGATTTCCCGCCAATCAGCGGATGCCAGTGATCCCCGTGACGCCATACCCCTTTCGGCTAAGCGCCCAGCTCTCTCCAGCTTCGTCCGCCTCCTCGGCTTCTTCCTTTCATCACCAACTGTCGCGTTTCGCTCGAGGCTTCTTGTAGGTGGCCCTCTTCTTTCTCCAATTCGGTTTCTGTTTATTCTTTGGCTTTGTCCCTTGCCCTTTCTCTTTCTATCATCCTCCGCTCCTCTGACCCTGATTTTCCATTCCCCTGCTTCATCTTCTTTTCTTCCTTTCTAAGCCGTGGCGCCAGCTGCGCATTGCTGGATTTTGTGGGCTATGGCTCCTTGAATGCATAAAAGCATTGGCTCTGGCCAGCAGCCTTCTTCATACTCTCTCTTTGCTATCCGAAATCACCTGCTGCAAACATGTTCCAACCCCCTGCCAAGTTCCAGGGCCGACATGTCGCCAGCAGCAGTGTGTTCTTGTCTCTTTATTTTCCCTGAACCCCTACCTCTGTTATTCCGTGAACTTCCCAGCCGCCACCATCGCTATTTCGCTCTATGACGTTGCTTGGTCTAATGTTGACGATACCAAATCTTAGCTCACCCTGCGGTTCCCGACTCCCTCATCGATCAACGCAGACTGTTCCGTTTGCAACTGATCTACCTTGGCTGAGTCCTTGGCTCTATCGATACCTTGGTCGCAGTGAAGGCGATAGAATATACCTATCTCGCAAGGTATAGAACAATGGATTCCTACGATGGTTATGGGTCTCCCGGAAGGAATCGCGAGTCGGATTCTTTTACGGGACGAGCCACGGGGGAATCATACAGACGTCGGTCACCCGGTAAGTCTATCATTGAATATTATTGGAGAGAGGTGGGCGAAATTGACTCTTGACCAGCCTCCCAAGATCGAAGACGTGCACGGCCGCGCTCCCGCTCGCCCGTGATTGACCGGTACGAGCCTTCGGAGCGTCGTGCTCACCGCGACGACTTTTACAACGGTTCTCGGGATCATGCTGCCCGAGAGCGCGAGGACCGCCGACGCGCCCCCTCGCCAACTGTGGCAAACATCGACCGCTATGTGCCCGGACAAGACGGCGGTGGTGGTGGTGGTGGTGGTGGCAAGCGCCCTATCCCGACCAACCCGATGCCCAACCCCCTTACACTCGATTTCCAAGTGGGATTCAATTGGTTCGCTGAGTGGTGGAGATTGGAGGAATCCGTGAACGAGGAGAAAGAGCGCGCCAAGAACGGCGGTCGTCGAGTCAAGGGAGAACGCGAGGCGCGCGAAGATCGCGAAAAGGAACGCGCGCAAATTCAGGCGGCTTATGATACATACAAGGTTGATCTGCAAATTCGACTGGCCAGGCTGTTTGTTCAGCAGCACCGGAACGAGGAGTGGTTCAAAGAACGCTATCTTCCTGAAGTCAGAGATCCTCTTCGCACCCGCCTCATGGCGGTTCGACAAGGTGCATATGAGCAGTGGGAGCATGATATTGAAAACAACCTTTTCAAGGAATTTACCCTTGAAGGCATATACAAGAGCGATAGCGACGGTGCCGGTGGTGTGGTTGAAAAGGAGGAAGGCGAGACTACGGCTACCGCTGAGACCATGGGAGTGCTTGACCTACTTCCAGTCCGTGGCGGAGACCTTCGTGACGAAGCTCTTGGCCAGCCCGCGCTCCTCATAAAAACTCTCGCACCAAACGTCAGCCGCAGCAAGATCGAAGAGTTTTGCAAGGAGCATCTTGGCGAGGAAGATGGAGGTTTCAAGGGGCTCAGCCTCAGTGACCCGAATCCCTCCAAGAAGTTCCATCGCATGGGATGGATCATGTTGTATCCTTCCGCAAACACCAGCACGGTTGAGCGGGGAGATGGACGCGATGAAGACTTCGAAGATATGGACAATGATGGAGGTGCCAACGGAGGTGTCATTACCAACCCGGCCGAGAAAGCTCTCGAGGCTGTTAATGACAAGACCATCCATGATTCCGTCCACGGTGACTTCGTTTGCCACGTGGGAGTCCATGTTCCCCCTGCTCAGCCGCGAAAGAAGGCTCTTTGGGATCTGTTCTCCGCGCCCGAGCGAATTGATCGTGATCTCGAGCTGGCCAAACGTTTGACTTCCAAGTTGGACTCTGAGATGAATATCACCGTGGATGGTTTCACCAAGATCGAAGAGTATGTTGACGACTTGCGCGGCAAAGGAGAGCTCCAGCCCCCTGCTACGGGACCAGTCAGCGCGAAGAAGCAGAGAAACGGGTATAGCGATGAAGGGGACGAAGGGGAGATTGAGGAAGGTGAAGAGAAGGAGACTCCAGAAGAAGAAGATGTGGATGATGAGGAACTTGCAGTTAAGAAGAAAAAGCTGGACTTGGTTGTCGAATACCTGCGCCGGGTTTACAACTTCTGCTTCTTCTGTGTCTTTGAAAGTGACTCGGTCCATGAGCTTGGCCGCAAGTGCCCTGGTGGACACCTTCGCCGTCCACGCACCGGACTTTCCATCCAGGCCAAGGAGGTGGCCCGAGCCAGCGCTCTTGGCCAGCCGTTCCCAGCCAAAAAGAAGGAACCTAGCGAGGAAGGCGAAGATCTCTCCTCGCCTGTCCAGGACAAGCGCGGACAGCGCCATGGTTCCAAGTCTGAGCAGCAACTGCAGCGTGCCTACAACTGGGTGAAGACTTTTGAAGACAAGTTGCTCCAGATCCTGGAGCCAGAGAACGTCGATCTCAGCAAGCTTGGTGGCAAGCCCGTTGACCTGGCGCTTGAGGATGAGCTTCTGAAGTACATGAAGCAAGAGGACGACTCCAAGTACCGATGCAAGGCGCCTGAATGTACCAAGCTTTTCAAGGCCGAGGCCTTCTGGCGCAAGCATATCGAGAAGCGCCATGCAGAGTGGTTTGATGGCATTAAAAAGGATGTAAGTGTGCAATTATCCAGCAATGACCCCTGATTCCCAGTATTAACAATTATCATAGCTCGCATTAGTGAACGCCTATGTCTTGGACCCAGCACGCATTGCCCCATCCCGATCCGATGCCAACAGCAATGGTCACTTCCCCCTTGGCTCCGGACAAGGCCACACCGGCACTCCTCGTGGATTCACCCTTGCCAGCATGCCCTACGCTCCCAATGGAAACATGCCTACCTTCCCCCCAAGTGGAATGCCCGGCATGATGGGTGCACACGCTGGCGGCTGGAATGGAAACGCAATGGGACACGACGGCGGTCTACACCAGCCCGGACCCATGCGCCGTGGCCAGAACCGCAACAACCGACCCGGTCCGTACGACCGTCGCCGATTCAACGGCAATGGCCGACTGAGCCCTCCCCGCGGCATGCCAGGCATGTATGGCGGTGGTCGCCTCCCACCTCCTGGTGTCAGCGTTCCAGCTGGCCACCCCGCAGCCAACATGGCCGCCGCCAATCCATTCCCAGACTCTTCCAGCGGAGGCCCCATGGCGCCGCGCGAAGCTGTCCAGGGTCGCAGCCTGAAGAGCTACGAGGATCTGGATGCAGTCGACGCATCTGGCAGTGGCGAACTGCAGTACTAGTTGCATCCGCTGATTTGATCACACTTTCAGCTCTTGTGTTTCCCTCTTATCCTTTTTTTTTTCTTTCCTCCAATTGGCGACCTGGCGCATCGGAAGGACCGTCGGAGAATCGCTGACTCCAACTTGCTCATTTATTGAATTCAATCATTTCCGTTGATTTTTACTCGCGAAAACATGGCTTTTATTTTTATCTCCTTGTTGTTTATTATCATCCCCAACGGAATTTCCTTCTTTTTCTTTTTTCCAGCATGTACAATAACCTTTCTTCTATCAAAATATGAAATTGAAGATTCAAAAATGTAAATGATATTATTGCAAAGCAATGCGTATAGGGGTATAATGTTACAGGATGTATCGAAATTAGTTTTACCACGTTGCTCTCATGCAATCTTTCCCGAACCCTATTACGAAACACGCTAGGCCACATCGGTATTATCTGAGTTCCAAATACTGAACCGTATTGAAAGTTAGTATCACTTTGACAGAAGGTTTTATAAATTACTTGTAATATCCTTTCCGAGAATAATAGCCTATTGCAGGCCCTAGGCTTCCCATATTGACGACTCTGTTTGCCCTCATTCTCTTGGCAGCTATTTTCACGAAAGTGGTAGGTCAACTTCTTTCGAATACTGCGCACCAAGTCAATCTATGGTGGATAGGAAGGAACATTTTCTGGGCCCTCCGTTTCCCATGCCAGCAATGTTCCAGAATAAGATAGTAAGACCGTCCTCGCCGAGCGCAGTCGGCGAGGACGGTCTTTCCACGTTGGTCTGAAAACGGCCTCTGGAAGGATCTCGGAAACATCAACACCTGGATCTTCGCGTCGTCGATCGAAGTAGGTTACCACCCACAGCGATGGAGAAGTGCGCGATTTGTAATCTTACGGAAGACTGTGGTCCCATGTAAATCGGATATAGTTCTACATTGGCAAGGTGAAATAACGCACAGTGGCTTAAACTCGACAACCATGAGGTTTAGCGAGCGTTCCTCGTAGCAGGTTGGCCACTCCCTCGTGGTTTCTTCGAGATGCCCAGATGAGTGGCGTCTCACCGTTGATATCCTGCGGGTTCGGATCGACATCCCCGCGGTGGACCAATTGCCTCACGATGCTTTCATGACCTCCCATTGCCGCCCAGAGAAGGGCAGTCCGACCCAGCTGGTCTCTCGCATCTGCTTCTACCTCCTTTCGGTCTGCTAATAGTTTGAACACTGCCTCATGTCCTCCTCTGGCTGCGCAAAGCAGAGCTGTCTGGCCTCGCTTGTCCCGTCCGTCTATTTCCGCACCACCACGTTCCACCAAAAGTTTCACTATTCCGGGGCGCCCTTCCACCGCTGCCAATATGAGTGGCGTCTGCCCATCATTGTCCCGATGAGACAGAATCAGGTCTGTTCGAGTGAATAGGTACTCAATCGCCTTTCTATGTCCATTTACCGCGGCCCATGAAAGCGCAGTTCGACCAAGGTGGTCTATAGAGTTCACATTCACATCCTTTCTCAGCGCCAAGAGCTTCACTACCATACTGTGGCCTTCCTTTGCCGCCCAGATTAGGGGTGATCCACCGAAACTGTCCTTGAAGTCAGCATCGATGCCTGTTTGACGCAACAGCAGCTCGACCACTTCGTCATGACCTGCATAAGCGGCGCGTGAGAGTGGCGTCCACCCGTCATGGTCACGACAATTCACGGTCACACCACTTCGTATCAAGAACAGTTCTAACAAGGCCTTGTGACCGCTGTGAGATGCCTCTAACAGAAGTGTGTTGCCAAACACGTCGATAGGGTTGGCATTGACATCCTCTCGCGCGAGTAACAGTTTTACAATATGCTCTTGTCCGGCCACTGTGGCATGATAAAGCGGTGTCCGATCATTTTCGTCCTTTGTGTCAACTTCAACGTTCTCCCGCATCAATAGCTGCTTGACGATATCCTCAGATCCCGCAGCAGCGGCCCAGGAAAACGGAGTTCGACCAAATTTATCTTTAGAATTCACCTTCACTTTGTTTTGCTCTAACAAGAGCTTCACCACTGCATATTGTCCTTCCTTGGCTGCCCACGTTAGTGCTGTTTGGCCAAACATGTCTTTGGCATCAGGTTTCACATTCGGGGAGGCCAGTAACTGCTTCACCACTTCGACGTGTCCTGCTTTTGCTGCCCATAACAGCGGTGTCCAGCCGTCTCGCGTCGTAGAACCGGGGTCGACGTCATCTCGTTCCAATAACAGTTTAACCACTTCTTCATGGCCTCCCTGCGATGCCCATGAGAGTGGTGTTCGTCGAAATCTATCTTTAGCGTCTGCATTAATAGCGTCCGCTTTAACAGGTTCGGTTGGCTTTGGGGACGTTGTCGCCGCGGTATAGATGCCCTCTGACGTAGAAAAGAGTGAACAGAACCCATAATCACACGTCTCGTCGTTCCTAGCATCTGTGCTGAGGAGTCGTCTCAGAACGATGCTGTGGCCTTGTGACGCGGCGAGGTGCAAAGGCGTTCGCTCACACGAGTCTCTGGCCATGGGCCGTGCTCCCTTATCGAGCAGTAGGTTCACCAGCACAATGTGACCTCGATGTGCAGCCCAGTGTAAGGCGGTTGCGAAGTACTTAGTGCTGGTGTTGACGTCGAGGCTGTCGCCTATAAGTCGATTGATAAGTGATAAATCGTCGTCATAGGCGGCTGCTACTAGAGCGCCGGCACAATCCTCGTTTTCGGAGATGTCGTCAGTGCCATTATCGTGTATCAACTGTTCGACAGTGTTGTATTTCCCCAGGTTCGACACAGTGACACAGCAGAGGATATGCCAGTATTTTTCACTAAGCGTGTTTCCATTATGCGAGCTATCTTGGAGCAAGCGCACGGTAAATTGGGCAGTTCTGAGTATAACAGCTACCAGAGCGTTCTCGCTCTTAGCACCAGCCTTCACAATCTCAAAGAGTAACCGAGTAACCATTTGGTCATTCATACAGACAGTCTGCTGCAAGACGCCGTGATCAATGTCAAGTTTACTAAAAGCGTAGAGCCGGATATTACGATCAAAATATCCTAGAAAAATCGAGCTAAGTTATTGGCTCTTACTATATAAATTTCCGGCATTCGAACCCTCCCGTGAAATAGGACCAGGGAGAGCGGGGACTCTTACTGCAAACAAGCCTAAGATTGAGTTTGCTGCGTCTATGGGGAGACAGCAGCCAATCGTGGCAGAAAACAAATCCCAGGACCTGCTGAAGGAGCTCTGCAGGGAGACTGTCAAGGCCCATGTTGACAGCAATTGAGAAACACAATTCAGTCTTTCAATACAAAAAGCATTTAGGAATCAAGTAGGAGACATAGTTGATATAGGATGTAAAAGGCGGCTAATAGAAGTTTCGGATGTTTCGGATGTTTCGGATTACATTTCGGATTTCGGATTTACTCCCATCCCGCCTCAGCCAATTTTAACCCATATTCAAAAGAAGACTGCTGCACATCTCAGATCACGTGTACCTCGTGGTTTAGACTCGCCAAAGACTAGAAGCAATCAGACCATACATGCTTAATACGGAAGCTATTTTTATGATTTTATTTGCAGCTGTACTGGAATACCGCCCAGAAAGGGGCCAGGGGTAGTGTAAACTACGTTAGGTATAGTGTAGTTGCGAAGGAGGGTTTGAGAAAGAAACTCTGTGTGCAAGTGGTGAAACTGATTTCGATCTATCCTGTATAAGTTTACAATTTGAACCAAATATTCAGGACGCTCTCGCCCAATCCACCTAAGGAATGACCATGTCCTACGGCATCTGAATAACAACCTCCTCCCGCGAATCCCGCCACTGAACACCCATCCCACGAATCCGCCGCTCACTCGCCAAGAAGAGCAGAAGGTAGACGTGCATAGCGACTTCACCCCACACATAGACTTTAAGAGAGACGTGCGTGTCAGACGAGAGCGTTGACGGGGCCGGCGCAGCTTCGAGAATACACCAGACGCCCCAGCCCGCACGGCCGTCTTTGCCTACGAAGTCCGAGAGGAAGGACCAGAAGGTGTGGAAGAGTGGGTAAGGCCAGGTGCGTGTGTTCTCTTTTGACTTTGGCTTCAGGGTTTGGTTTTGAGTGGAATTAGTAGCTCCAGACTTGGGATTTAGGTTTGGATCTGGGAGAAGATCGGCTGGATCTCGGTCTCGGTTTTGGGGTTGTTCAATAGCGAGGTGCACGAGCCAGTAGCCCCGTTCTAGGGGGTCGAGGGGACGGGTTTGAGTGGATGGTTTGTATGTTCGTGTTGGGTTTAGACGCCCTGCGAGCATGGATAGGGTTGGGGTTATGTGTGTAGTGAAAGGGGCAGTGGAGATTGGGGGTCTTGGGGGGTGGATTTCGAGAGGGAGGGAGGATAGATTGATGAGATTAGGGGTTGGGGTGTTGGCCGGAATGTGATGTGAGTGTGTGGTAGGGTGAGTGATGGCGCAGTCTGGGCCTTCTTCTGGATCTGAGCTGGATATTTGGATGGGGATTTGGGGGGAACCACTGGGGAGGAGATATTCTTCGTTCTCGATGGGGATCACCCTGTGAGATGCAGCGGGCTGGTCCGATGCAGGAGAGTCAGCAATTAAAATCGGTTGAGCCGGATCAGGGGAAGCCGGGGCTGTGCGACGTCTTTTAGGAGGTGGAGCGAGCTGCGATGGAGACGATAGTTCTGCACGAGATTGCTCGGCGTGGACTAGTTCGTCGGCGATCTCAGGTTGGGAGTCTGGGATGACGCTGATGAGACTCTCTAGCGAGTCTGGATGATTTGAGATGATGGGATGGCGTGGAGACGCGCCATCCCTCTCACGGATCAAGCGACGATCCGAGGATAAGGTCGCGTATGCGGGCCGGGGCGCCTCCCGCAATATTGGCGAGGCCTCGTGTTCAGTCGTCGAGGGCACCGAGGAATGCACCGCGGCACCGGCAGAGAAGGGATGCGCGGTGTTTGGATCGGTGGGAGGTGAGGACTTGTCCGTCTCCATCAGTGGCTGGCGTGAGGCACACTGAAATTCCAGGATAGCGGCAACTTGTGCCCTATACCGGGCATCATCTTGTGCGGTGCTGGCGGCGGCGATGTGCACTAGAATCTGAGTCTCGGGGATCATTTTTCCATTTCTGGAGCGCCCATTATGATATTCGAGCGCACTAGTGGGAGAAAACCGGGGATCATAGTATTTGTCAATGCTGAGCATATCCCCGATCTCGATACTCTCAATATGGGAAAACTATTGGATGTGACTTGGAGGACTCCAGGGCTGTTGGGCGAATGATTGGTCAGCCCGTTGGACTGATCACACTAAACTTCGCACGTACCCGGTACCTGCAAGGTACTTCTGTTGTAGTGTAAGAATGGCTGTTAAAGGTAGTACCGTTTATGTATCGGGAGTTTCTCATGACTCCAATAACGCGGCGAGTATGCAAAGTGTCGAGTATTTCCTCTCTGTTTCAATTTATTTCTTTTATTCCAGTCTATTCATACCAGGTTATACCCAGTTCAACGAGTTTCTCCCAGTTCTAGATCTATTACTCTGTACTCCGTACGAGTCAGGTCTCACGGCCGTTTGATTATAGGTGGAGCCCTAAGATAGATCGAACGCCTTATTAGTATTTTCATTTGCATAAAATCAGTTTAATAAGAACATAGAAAACTAATTATAAAATAAGAAACTAATAAACTAATAAAACAAAGTCCAAAAAAAAAGGAGTTGTACAAAGATCGGCTCCATCACACTTTTCCTCCTTATACTCTCCAATCTCCACTCCATACCTTCTCCATACCTTCTCGACTCATTCTCCGAACCTTCTCCCTTGTCTCTCCCTTCCAAACTCTCATAATGGCTGTCAGTGGTGGGGTTTACCCCATGGATCATGCGATGGGGTATTCTGGTGAGTTCATGTCTTCAGTTTTCCTTTATCTGCTTGGTTTCGCGATCGGGGGGTATCCAGCATCCACAGCTCCACAACGTACAAATCACCACAGCTGGAATGCACGGGTCCAATTGACTCTGGTCCCTCGACCGCAGGCGTGCAAGCTGGTGAAGCTGGTGAAGCTGTTGAAGGCTGGGGTTCCGGAATCGAAGCGGGTCTTCCCGGTTCTCGCCACACAGAAAGCTATCCAGAGCTGACCCCTCCCCGACCAACCTGAGCTTTCCCCAACCAGAAGCAAATATCCACTGCTTTATCGCATTTCGATGGTAGTTGCTGACATTGTGGCGCCAATGTCTCTCCGGCTCGGCCCACAGCCCCGGAGTGCACGGTGCAGGACATGGTAGAAGAACCACAGACCCCATCGAACAAAGGCTTCGGAGCCGAAATATTCAAGATCTTCGGAGGAGGTGGCAGTGGCAGCGCCGCTAGTGGTAATGGGCCGAAACAGACCACACGAGGTGAGTGGTCCCAGTCGCTCGATCAGACCACAACTAAGCCTTTCCAGATGGCCAGCAGCCCAAACGTCGCGGCCCCAAGCCGGATAGCAAGCCTGCACTCACCAGGCGACAGGAACTGAACCGTCAGGCCCAGAGGTACACATTCCACGGATTCGATCACCATCGGGCTGGACTGATCCACACAGGACACATCGCGAGCGAAAGGAACAATACATGAGAGCACTGGAGACCGAGGTATCGCGGTTACGGGAGGCCTACACCACAGAGATTGCAGAGGCGAACGCATCCATTCAACAACACAAAGAGTTGATGCATTCGATTCGAGAGGAAAACGAAATCCTGAAGGAAATTCTCATAGCGAGCGGAATTCAATACGAAGCGGATCTAGAGCGCCGCCGGGCGGAGCGCCCACCGATGATGGCCTTCCAATCTAGCCCTGTTACCGTCGCTGGCAGCAGCACTGCGTCGCAGACTGCCCCTCTCGCCCACTCGGCCAGCAACCACAACACAACCCCTGCAACTACGATCTCATCCGGCATGAGTCCCCGAGCCAACGGCATGGATCACTCCGAGGTCTCACCCCCGATCGGATATGCGTCCCACCAGCAAGTATACCACACGAGTGTCGGCGAGCATTCTATGAGCATGGATCATTCATCGTGCGCGCCCGTTGATACTATGCAGCCCATGCCAGCTACGCGGGGAGGTGTCTTCGAGACGGACCCCCAGTTGCAGGTTGACTTTATCCTAACGTGAGGCCCATTCTAATCCAATAGCAAACCCACGAGCTAACGAATACATCCCTACAGCCTCGAAGGCCCCTGCCGCGAACACACAGACTACCTCTGCCGGCGGTCGGTCACAGAAGCCGACGACGAAGACATGCCGTTTTCCGGACACGCCCTGATGGCAACGTGCCCACCGCCCAGCTACATTGCGAAAACAACACATGAACAACCATACCCGCACAAGGCGCCGGACCTCCCACACGCAAACCTCAGCACGCTCCTCAACCTCAGCCGACAGCTAGTGACAGAAGGACAAATCACGCCCATCATGGCGCTACAGTGTCTCAAAAACCACGAGCTGTACCCGACACTGCAGCGCGACGATATCAAGATCATCATCGACACGCTCAACACCAAGGTCCGCTGCTACGGCTTCGGTGCTGTCGTCGAGGACTTCGAGTTGATAGATTGTCTGAGCAGCGTGCTCGGCACCAAGGTCGATCTCGGCATGTCCGGCACAGCCGATGACTCGATGTATGGTTGAGTGGGTCGAATGCAATGAAAATGATTATGACCTGATGTCTGGAAAATCCTGTTTGTCTGTGTTGGCTACTGCCACGGAGTGACTTGGCGCCCTTGCTTGCTGCCTTTCGGTTTTGATTGCGCCTGTGAACTAATTTTCGATTCTTACTATCCTTTTTTCTTTCTTTTGTCTTTGTCTTCGATACTCCCGCTGAGAGGGTTGTATATAAGTGAAATCACCGCAGGTACAGATGACATGTACCTGCAAATTATCTTCCTTTTCTTTCTCGTTGCTCTCTAGGAACGATTGATTACATGGCTTTCAATCTTGCTTCCAATTCACCACTCTACTCTAACAACAGTTGGGTTTATACGATAACCAAATATCAGCAAACAACAGCGTTCTAGATATGCGTATTCACATCCAAAGAAGGATTATATACAAACAAGCTGTAGAGTCGCCGAGGTAAGAAACCCTCGGCGACGCATAGAACTGCGAAAGCCCAGAAAATCACCGAGAAGGCACCCAAGACGTTCCTTGTGTTCCCCCGAGACAGTCCACGGGTTGTACAACAAATGGTCACTCGTCCACGGGTATTACTTGACGCTATAGACATCTCCTTTCGAGATCTTTGCATCCCTAGGCAACCCATAATGGAACCGCATGACTAAAATCAGAGTCTGTAGGTAGAATCACCCGCGTAACAGGCTTCTACATGCCAAACAGCAAGGCTAATTCCCCTCAGAACGTAGAATTCTACTGTTATTGTAGTTGGGAGTGAAGAGTGAGAGTCAAGTTGTTATGGTGAAACGAAGTTTGAATAGATTATTGGTCAGACTCTATAATCAAGAGTATAAAAGCATCACATTTTAGGTCGAGTACGTATGCACATTGAAGGAGGAACATAAGTCATCAGAAAAAAATCTACTCATCAGCCTCATCGGACTTCTCACCCTCATTCTCCTCCTCAATCTCCTCATCATCCTCCTCGAAAGTAGTAGCAGGAACGCTGTACAGACGCAGGACAGACTTGTTAGGGTCCTTGATGAGAACGTACTTCTTAACCTTCTCGGCGGGCTCGTCAGAGTCGAGAGCACGGATACGGTCAACAATAGTACGGACAATACCCCAACCGTTACCGAGGTTAAGGTTCATCTGGCTAGCGAACTCGCGGGGCTTGTAGCCGGCAACGCCGAGAACGACGTGGGCAGCCGCAGAGCGGGGGTTGACACGGGACACGAAGCCGAGCTTCATGCCGTCAGCCTTGGCCAGGATAGCCTGGGTAGTCCAGCGGGCGAGCTTGGCGCTGTTGTTCTTCATCTCAGTAGCGAGGACGGCACCACGCTGGGAGTTGAGCTTGCTGCGCCAGTCGAGGGCACCGCCGGAGCCTTGGGCCTTGGGGTCGAACTCGTTCAGGGCCTTGATGATGAGCTGCTGGTCCTCGGTTCCGGTGGGGCCGCCCTTCATGACGGCGTCGACCTCTGTACGGACGACCATGGAGACGGGCTCCTCGTCGCGCTCCAGGGAGATGTCGAAGCGGCGGTACTTGTAGCCCTTGGAGGCGAGGGGCTCGGTCTCCTCGGTCTCGTCGTAGAAGGGGTTGGGCTTGGCGAAGGAAACCTTGGACTTCTCGGACTCGATCAGAGTCTGCAGGGCGAAGTTGTGGTTGATGATGGTGGCCTCCATGGCGAGGGCGTTGGGGGTGTTAATCTGCTCCTGCTTGCCGGCAGCCTCGGCGGCCTCGAGGGGCGCATCGATGGCGTTCTCGTTGACGCTGATCATGTCGAAGGAGGCACCGTCGCGCTTGTCGAAGAAGATCTTGTCGCCCTGGTGGACGATGACGATATCCCACGAGTAGACACTGCGGGTGGCGCACATCAGCATGGACAGGATATCGGAGGTAGCGAAGACGGTAGCGGCGTTCTTCTCGGAGAGCTCGTTGATGACGGGATCCTGGGAGGTGGTAACGTTGTAGGCAGCACGGTCGAGGGCCTGCATTCTGCGCTCGGCGTTCTTGACGGGGGGCTTGTCGTAGGACTTGTCGTAGTAGTGGAGGAAACCGTAGGTCTCGAGGTCCTCGCCCTCGGGAGCATCGAGGTTCAGCTTAGACAGACGGGTGAAGTCAACCTCCTCGAGCATCTTCCAGTCAGGACGAATGTTGACAGAGGCCTCACGAATGCGCTGGGGCTTGTCGTAGTCTCTCCAGCCGCCACGACGGCCACCACGGCCACCACGGCCACCGCCACGGTCGCTGAATTGGTAGCCGCTCTGCTGACCGCGGCTAAGATTAGGACCAGCACGCTGGAAGCCACCACGTCCACCGCGCTGGTTGGCAGCGCCGCGCTGACCACCACGGCCACGGAAAACGGTGCCACCGCCACGGCCGAAACCGCGCTTCTGGACGCGAGTGTTATCAACGACGGAGAATGAGGACTCGTCCTCGGCGGCTGCGACGGTGAAGAGGTTGGAGGTACCGGCGCCGTACACCTGCTGGTCTATTTAGACTGTTAGCCATTGCAATTCGACTGAAAGAGCAAGTTGGTGGGGACAAAGAAAAAGTGAAAGGAACATACCTCTGAAACCACGGTTGTACTGGGGACGCTGGTTCTGACGCTCTTTGGTCTCAGCAGTCCAGTCGGCCATGCGGCCCAGCTTGTCGCCCTTGGAAAAAGGAGCGTATGGCACACCCGAAAGCATGTTATCGGCAGAGGTGGAGGGGCCCCAGGTGTCCTCCAAGGGGAGGGTGGCCACCAGGTCGGCGAGAGAAGTGGAAGGCATTTTTATTATGATCTATGGGCAATTTGCGCTGGGCAACTGCTCAAAAATCAAAAAGGTAGAGGGGTTGATTGATCGATAACCCCGGGGAATGTGGTGTGGATTAATTGAGGCGGGAAGTTTTTTGTGTCGCGAGGGTGTGGCGGTGTTGGCCACACCGCCACAGATACACCGCCACATGTTTCCATCCGCCGCCCTGGTCACTTTGTGTTCATCTTCGTGATGACCAGCATAGGTTTTTATCTGAATTTCAGGAGATTTTGGAGAGACATTGCAGGCCGGTGACAATATTGACTATGGCTAACAATGATCGATTATATCGGACTCCAAAATCTCCCATGATAATGCCTTACTTTTCCTGGTTTCTAACACAGGATCAGAAACTAAACTTGGAACCCCTAGGCTAACAAAGTTTTTCAGCGATTTGAAGATGAAAGTCCCAGTGGTTGTTCGGCTGCGAGGTACAAATGAGGAACCGGGACAGAAAATGGTAGACATTTACATTTCGCTGTTGGATATATAGTCACTAATTTGGATAATTTTAGATCGCGGAGAGTGGCCTTCCACTGCATGCCTTTGATGGGTTTGAGGAGGCAGCGAAGAAGGTCATTGCATTGGCCAAAGGCGAATATATCTAGATCATAATCTATTAGCATATAGTATACCACTTTATATCAAATGAGATCAATATGTATAGCATCTTTTTCTATTCTACAACACTGTTCACTAATCTCAGTTGCAAGGGATTTGCGAATGAAGTGATCAACTAACCCTGTTCCCCGGTGCCCTCCAGCTCTCATCCACAAATATTGACCTATACTAAGCAGTAATCCATCTTCCCATCCATTCTCGTGTGATTTGTTTCGCCTCATCCACTAAACCAAGCTCTGTAAAAGAAATTCCAGTCAGTCTTTGATTGTTCGTCAGCCTGAGAGGAAACCAAAATACCTAGCAAAAGTTGAACTGTTCCACGAACAGACGATTCCAAAGCCGAGGAAACTGAAGTTATTCATTAGCCCGAATTTCATATAGGGGAGCCCGATGATAATTTACTCCATGAGTGTGTATACGAAGTGTGTTCGCCAATGAAAACGATCTAGTCCCAATTAATGCACGATCTCACCACGAGCTTCCGTCTTCGTGAAGCAAATATGCTCCCCCGGAATAGACTCACGTTATTCTCCGTCTTGAAGTACGATGGAATATAAAGTTGATGCTGACCAACTGTCGGCAAAGCCCAAGAACCACCAGCGTTGGATTCTTCTTCCAACCAACAAACACGCTTGAAATTGCCAGTATATTGTTCATAAGCGATCTCACCGTGTAACTGGAAGATACCGTCGAGAACATGTTGGGCGTGTTCTTTCTCTGGGGTGGAGACCCAACGCTCACCATAGTCGTCGTTGTTGTAACTGGTAAGCATCACGGCTGGCCCGGAGCTATTCACGTTATAACCGGGGTAGCAGATATTGCCCATTCCCGGAATATCAGTTACCGTATTGCAGCTGCCAAATATCGGGCGCTCCAAGTGCTCCCAGAATCGGGATTTGAACTGCAGTGCCATCTGAAAAAAAAAGGTTTAGCAGCTGATTATGGTTGGTTTAGAATGAGGTAGTACCTTGCAAGCCGATTGGTAACCTAGGCGAGAAATTGCATTGCTCAGAGTGTGAGAGAATTCTTGATTTTATGTTCAGCATCAAATCTCATAGCAGCACTGGGCATGAAATACGTACCTGGTAGTTTCCATTTGCGGACCACAGTAAACGGCACCGCAACAAAGGTATAGTCATAGGTTGCTGTTTGGAAATGACGATCTGCATAGTGATTTTTCCAAGAAACTTGGACTTTTTTATCTTCTTCAAGATAGTGCACTTCTTGGATCTTTCGGTTGTATTTGAGATCTTTCCCGATTAAGGGTTTGAAAGCATTTGGTAGTCGACTCATCCCTAGGAAGGTTAGTCAGTTGCAATCAATGGTGAGGAAGCGAAACAAACCTTTATCGATAGTTTTCCATTCTTTGGATGAAAAGAACAGGTTGTCATACCTGCAGCGAGTTCAATCATATCAGCAAGTGGTTAACAAACATCAGATCCTATTTCAACTCACAGGCTGACCCAGAAAGGAGCAGCAAGCGTGACTAGCTCACCGGCTAGGTCTGTCGTATTTAGATCATAGCCCAACGCATTATGGACGTAGCCTGTCTGTGACCACTCATCTCCTCCTCCATTCAGACCGACATCTATTGTAATGGTGAGCAAACACATCTAGACTGGTAAATGAGTATAGTCGGTGTCTTACTCAGGAACTTCTTGTGAGCTTCATAAATGTTGCTGGCAATCAATTTCATATCTTCTGGATTATACATCAATGCATTCAACTTCGCGGTCAGACTATCCAGATTTGGGGTGTGCAGAGCAGATGCACCGAGTGAGCTATTCTTTGCCACGTCGCCAACCGTAGGAATCGAGCCGTCTGTGTTTCTTTTGTTTCCTATCAGGGAGAGAGCATTGTCGCTATTCTGAAGGAATGGAATCCAATCAATGTTAAGTGATTTGTCATAACCGTTGATTTTGTTGAGCGCTTCTGCCAGCTGGAACACGATTTGGTGGCTGGTGAAGTTCAATGTCAGACTTTCGTTGCCTAGTGGAAAGGTTGCGGTAATCGGGATGCGCATAGCGCCCATCTCTTGATACTGATACTTGGACTCTGGTTCCTCGAAGTATTCTGTCCAGATGCGACTGACTAAGTTAGCAAGATCACTTTGGATTTCCTTGCAGACAACATACCCTCCAACGCGATCTGTGGACTCAGAAATTTCAAGGTTCTTAAAACCAACGCTGTGAAGGAGATACTAGGATACATCAGCTATTGACCAAGCATAATTGTTAAGGTGGAGAGGTATACATATGTCATCATGCCGGATATTCCACCACCAATAATACCGATTGCTAGTTCATTTTGTCAGGCAACCTTCCAGGGAGGGCTTCAAGGTTGGGATACTCACATTTGCTTTTGGCTGCCTTCACATCCACTGCCCCGATCTCCTTGATCTTGATGGTATCCACACCATTAAACCAAGGCCCTTCGGCGTCAATGCCAGACTCATTGGACATCATAATGCGATCCCTCTTGAAGAGAGTAGTTTTCAAGATCTCACCAAAAGTAAGAGGCTGGCTCTGCCCAATCATCACACTGTTCTGCTCCCAGGCGAAGATACATCCATGATTTTTAGCATCCTCGGGAACAACCCAGACCAGTCGAGTATGATCGCCACCAAAATCACCTCCTGGGATATGCGCAATGGTGTGATGAGCATCAGTGAGGTTCAGGGTGTTGCAATCACTGTAAACGAATACATGATCCTTCAAAGTAGTGCGTGGGTAATCCAAGTAAACATTGACAGCTTGCGAGTCTGTTGCATCTTTGACGGAAATTTGAATCGTGTGATTGAAAGGGGCTGCCACAGCAAGCGGGATTAGGGCCGACACCCAAAATGTCCAGTGCATTTTGTCGTAGATCTGACCTGAAGTCTAGTGGATTGTGTGCCTTTCTATTGAGTATCTGGCTCTCTTTATATGAGATATGTGCCAATATTACTGTAAGCTTTATTACCTATCATAATAACATACTTGCTTTGAAAAAGGCACTCGGCCGTAGCCAAACCAGGTCCGGGGATGGAGAAAGATCTCCGAAATTAAGACCAACGATCTATTCCATCAAGATTTCTGATCTTATTGTGGAATTAAAATGTATTTCAGCCTACGGAGTTACCTGGTATCAGGTTGTTATTGGCTGACAATGCATACGGCCGTAACCTCTCTTGCCAGGATACTTCACCGATCTGCACAAGAAACATCGACGCGACAGCTAAGAAGATCCGAGTTTGTGTTCTTCAGTAATATTCAGGGGTTCCTCCGAATTTATTCAGTCTAGGGGCCTCGGAGGCTCTCGCGGATTGTGTTAGTATCATACCAGGCATACAAAACACCCAAAAACGCTCCAATCACCGCATCATGATAGTTAAATTTTCTATTTCTGGATTGAAGGGGTAGCAAAAAAACACGATAGTGCCACACAATTTGTCCAATTTTTTTTGCAAGTTGGGCGTGGTTCAAAGTAAACTCAGACTCCTGAAACAAACCCATTATTGTGGATGAAAAGAACAGATTTGTTATTTGGCAGTCAAATACAGCAAAATCCATATCAGTATCGTTGAGATGGTTACAAATTCAAAATCAACGATTGTTTTTATTAAGTCAAACTGGGCTAAAACTCATTTCGCGATAAAATTTCAAAGCATATTCAAAGCATAATCTCTCAACTTGACTCATCCAGGGCTTCTTCCACTTCTTCCCCTTGATCCACCTGAAAATAACCTCATTACCACTCATTAAACTAAATACAGATCTTCCAGACAAAGCATATCTACCGGAGGCAAGATATCTTCTTCGTTGCATCCCCTTAAACTATTGTCCGCTCTTCACGTTTTGCTTCCATCAAGGGAGATGCTTCCGCGGATTTTGGGGCGTAGTCTCCACGCATTTGGGGGAATAAATATCCGGGGTGCGCAATAGAGAGGGCTATCACGGCTGCAGCACACATTCTAAGATTTTTCGATTATGTTAGCTTTAGTCGACAACCAATCTCAGCATCTTTGCACTTACGCAGATTCAAGAATAATGAAGCTAAGTTCATCTTGCATGATAGGATTTCTCCATCCACCCCCCATCTCCGCAATACTAAAAGGCCAGATCAGCATCTATTCATTTTCGATGTGTAACTTGAATATCCTTACCGATAAACGCAACGAGCATAAGTTGTCATAAATGCCACAAATATACCCCAAAAGAACATCCAAAAGTTGCGGCTATTCCAAACCTTTTGGGCCTCAACGGTAAGTTGATATTTTGGTGCGTTCTTGATTCGAAGAAGGAAGTAGACCGACATCAATCCAAACATCGTCAATGTAATGACCTGCCAGACAATGCCAGCCATCATGACATTGCTACCTACAGCACTGGCATCTTGGGTCTTTGCCGTTGCTGCGAGGCCACCTCCGGCGCCCTGAAGGATCAACGAGATGATATCACATGAGACAAAGATATAAGGGTACCATTTCGCTCTCAGTGGTGAATACTGTTGCCCAAAAACATTGACTTCATGCTTCAGTGTCAAGTATATCGCCGCTGACCAAAAGGCAGGCGCCAATGTCAACGTACAGATTTGCGTTTCAAATCCGCCTGATGAGTATGGGTTCTGATTGAGTAGTATACGGCCAATATAACCTATTTTCCGGGTCAGCTATTTCCAAACTACTCGTTCGGTGGATCTTTTGAAGTTAGGGTTTGCGTACCGATCACTTCTGTCGAAGAACCAAGAAGCACAGCAATTCCGAAAGACCACAAGCGCCATCTTATCATTTGGACGAGATGCACCAAAGAACACAGTCCAAATATAGCACAAAATGTAATTGTCGCGGCAAAGCCAGGCTTATACCCATATATCGTCCCCTCAACAGGGCATTGAGGAGTCACCTCCGTGCAAACAATGGGTGCATCTCGGCTGGCCAACATACTCTTGGTATAGAAAAAGCTCGATGAAATGAAATGCGTAGAGCGTAGCAAGGCACTCTTAAAATGTGCTTTGTTTATCTTCTATATTCTTGACCTAGCGGTCAGACCAAAGATATAAATACTTGGTCTAAAAATATGTATCTCGTTAACTCCACGCCACATCTGAGACGATTCGTATAATGATAGAGCCTACCCACAAGCCCGAGGCTGTGCCCGGTTATATCCACCTTGTCTTCACGGTCGGGATGTAGACCCTATGGGCCATTATATCGCTCAATTCCGATCTAGTGCTGACTTTTCATGTCCGCACCAGACTTATCGAAGGCTAGAGTTGGCGAAATTAAAGATCCCGTGGGTTAAACCCGGTGGAGATATGCCGCCGCGGTATAATCATACACCGCAGAAAGCCTAATTTGCGATTTAGTATCAGATCTCAACTTCGAGGGTGTGCAAATGAGCTAGCGAGTGATTGGTCTTTCAAATCCGAGTCTAAATGGGATTGGGTGGGCCGGATTTACCAGTTGGTCTTACGGCCGTAAGTCCTCCGGGGTTGAAGTTCCCACCTTTGAATTTCTCTCCGCCGATATTTATGTACTTAAACGACAGCATTACGGCCGTTTCAACACTCAAAGTCTGAGAGCTGTTCAAAATATGAATGATGTGCAATTGAATAATATAAAAGCAATGCGATTCAGAGACCTTCTGCTTCTAGACCAGACAATTTTCCCAAAGCAATTTACTCCACCTGCACCAATTTCTTAAAATATCCTTCATACTCTTCTTTTCTTAATACTTTTGAGATATGGCCAATCGTGACTACTACGGCGATAGTGTTCCGGCTCACCTGGATGCAAGGAAAGAGCCACAGACTCATAATTTTGAGGCAGGTCAATCTTCTCAGGTAAAGTACCGGAGCTTCATTCATCGTTAGAGAAAGGCACTAAGCTTTTCTATCAGGAACCATGGAAGGGCGCTCTGGCAAACAAGGGGGAAGAACTAGTCAGTCAAAAGACGCAGTGGAATGATGCAAATCAGATGAATGCCTTTGGTGACAGCGCCGAGGGCGAGAGAGGGCTGGGCGCAACAGTACTTGGAGGTGCAGGAGTAAGTGCAACTCTCCTGTTATCTGATGTGTGTCATTTCTCTAACACTATCTGCTAAAGGGTGCCTTTGTCGGCCACAAAGTCGGAAAGAAGTCCGATCATGGGAAGTTGGGGGCCGTAGGAGGTGCTTTGGCTGGAGCGGTAGTTGCAAACCTGGCGGAAAATCTAGTCAAAGGACATCGCAATGGGCATCGTGGCTCGGGCCATGATCGTCGTCGAGAAAGGCTGGAGAGGAGATTGGATAGACTTGGGTAGTGCTTTAATCGGGAGTTTGTATCGAGATTGTAGTTTTCTGTTGATTGTGCGAATTGAATTCATACGGTGAAGCATATGTGATATCTTTTTATTACCTAAAAAGTCCGAAATCAGCTTGGTTTAAAGCCATTCCGTTTCAACGATAAGAGGGGATAATTAGCCACTGTATCTGCACGATTGAAAAAGGATTGGTAAGATGTTGACACCTGTAAGAGGGATCAGTGGAGACAAGCATATGAAGCGTATGGAAAGGTCAACATAAATTGATATTTGCGGGTATCGGCAGGCTACATAGACGGACTGTACTCTAAAATGTCGGATCAAAGGTAGCTTGTGACATCCATGAATAATGATCCGTAAGATCCAAATTTCCACCATTCACTTGAGGGGGGGAAGATTGAATCCCAAAGATCCTGTTCATATTCAGTCAGCAAGTGCAAATAGCTAGGAAAGGGGTCAAGTTATTGATGCAAGACCACTTACCCAATCAATCTCCAGCATCTGTGAATCGACACCCTCAGGATGTTGTACCTGCGGATAGGTAGATGATGAACTCTCGTTTGCGGTTATACTTGAGGCAACACTACCATGGATGCCCAAATTTGGCCAGGCGCTCCCATTTCCATCTAGCCCAGCCTCTTCGTATTTAACTCATGGAGGGAACTCCCCGGCGGACACCCAAGCACTGGGGGCATTATTCAAAGTTTGACTGGACGGAAAAGAGAGTTGAGTTTTGAGCCAAAAAGGTATGTTTAACTCGCCCTGCTTCTTGTATGATGAAATTGGCCTATGGTGATTTTGACACGTGCTTTGGTGCATATTTATAGTCCGCTATGCCTATAATCGATGGAAATGTAGTAATATTCTTTGTTCTCACGAAAAATGCACTTCTAAGATAAATGCATAGATACCTAGTAATCCATAAAAGAAGATTGCCTATGTACTTGATTCCCTCTGCCACTTCTTGGCCTTCCCTTTCAGTTTTAGTGCCCAGGCCTTGCCGCCTTTTGCCCACTGAATACAACTGAGCACGCCTCTGAGCGCTCTGACCTGCTCACTGAGCATGCTGTAATTGTCCTGAGCCCTCTGATCCGCTCACTGAGTCTGAGCTGAGCCTAGGGGTGGGCGGCCTGAGTAAGCTGTATCAATAAAATGCAATGAGATTCTGATTCTGTATGGATCGTATAGTTTCTATTAGATAGTACTAGTTACTAGCTAGTTATACCTAGGTATAGAGAATCTATTATATAATCGCTAAGCACTCGCTTAGCCCTAATATAAAGCTTTTATTATACACTCACCAAGGCCTAGTAGTAGTGATACGCTACCTACCTAGGTAGGTATATCATAGTCAGGTGATTTCGTTGCTAACTAGGTCTCGTGTACCAGCCCTCGTCGCTATATCACGCACCGAGCCTCTCAAGTAAGGACTGTATGTTCTGCCGACTTACCGGTTTTATCAGGAATGAATCGATTCCAGATGCAAATGCCTCCTGCTGAGCATCATCACTATCCAACCCTGTCAAAGCCGCAATGGTAACTGGGTACCAGGATGGCTTTGGAGAAAGAGTTGAGTCGAAATATTCCCTTTCAGACTGCCGAATCTTTTGACTGGCTTCAAAGCCATCCATGACAGGCATCGAGATGTCTGATCTTGTTAGATATGGTTTGGAAAACAAGGAGATATTGACATACCTAAGATAACCAATCCAAACTTCCCAGGATGAGCTCGGAATTTCTGTACGGCCTCCAGTCCATTCGTTGCTGTTGTGCAGTCCCAACCTTCTTTCTTCATGAAGGCAACGAGGATATTCAGGTTGATAGGGTTGTCTTCGACCAGTAATACCGACGGACGACAGCTGCCTGGGCTCTTTTCTGAAACATTCCCCGAAGACAAAACTCTCTGTGGGGCGGAAACATCCTTCTGGATTCGACCTTTAGAAGAGGTGTTCGAATTTTCGCTATCCTGGTTCACTATGGGCTCTGCCGTAGGTCGTTTGCTGATTTTCATTCTGTCGCCGGGTGCGTTTCTTGGTCCAATGTCAAGCGGCAGATAAGAAGATTCTGGCAGTTCAACCCATCGAGTCTCTTCAGCGTTATTGGATTCTTGACCATCCAGTCGACGAATGCATAACTCCAAAGCCTTCACAAGTTTGCGGGGTCCACAAGGCTGGCTTATAAACTCAACAACGGAATCTTGGCTTCGGCTCATGGCACGCGCAAACATGTTGTGCGCGGCCTCGGGAGACTGACAGACGACCACCAGCGGAGATAACTTACTCGCCTGGTCAAGGTTCAGTAGCTGGCTGTCTTCCGCGTCTGGACTATCAAGATCGCTATGCACCATCAGATAGAAGTCACAGGGGGTGATGTCGCCCTGAAGAGACACATTCTTGACCGTGAGATGGAACCAGTCATGGCACAGCCGCTCCAAAGAATTGTAGAGAGTGGCATCTCGCTCGAATGCAAGCGATGAGCCAAATCCAACAAGACCGATGGTTTTTCCTTGAGCTTGATTCCTTATTAAATCGAATGCTGCGCTGGGTGAAAATCCATCAGACGGATCTGGTGTGGTGGCATGACTCATAGGAACTTCAATTGATATCTTCGTTCCTCGATTTCTCTGAGAACTGACTTCAATAGAACCGTGGAGAGAACCAAGCGCTTGGTGAACAATGCTCAATCCCAGTCCACTCCCAGGGACCAGGGTATTCTCTTGTGAGAAGGGTGTGAATAAGCCATTTCGCAGGTAATCAGCATCAATGCCCCGGCCAGTGTCCTTGACAGTCAAGGTGACCATATATTGGATATTGGGACCTTGAGGTCCATTGGAGTCGTGGCTTCCTTGACGAGGTACTTCGGCGGCCTTCAGCCCCACATATATGAAACCTGAAGTTGTATACTTCAGTGCATTGGCGAAGACGTTCATCAAAATGCGGCGCCAACAACCAGCCTGTGTGAAGAATTTCCATTCTGTGGCCTCATGGATGTCTAAAATGATGGTCACTTGTTTAGATGGAAGGACAACTTTTTCCGATACACCGTTGTTCACTTGTCGGGGTTGTGCACGAGGGTGATGGTAGAAGCTATGACCAGCAAAGACGCTCTCTACCACTTCCTCTAGGACAGAATCCAGCTGGACGGCCGCACAGCCATTCTCGCTGCTGCCCGGCGGATTGTCCTTAAGTTTTACTTGATCCTGACCTGGATCCTCGAGTTGCTTTGCATGGCGGCCATGTCTATGCGTTGAATCATGCTTGTTCTTGAACTTATCAATGTAAGTGAAGTCCAGCAGATTATTTATAGTATCAAGGAGGGTGCGTCCACAAGATTCGATCGTATGAACCATTCCTTGTTGAAGTGCATTCATGGCTGTGTCGCTCAATATGTCTGAGGTTCCGAGAATGCCATGCAGGGGGCTTCTCAGTTCATGTGAAATGCTGCTGACCAAGTTCGTCTTGGCTTTTTCCGCCATCTCCACATCTAGTCGGTGAACCTCGGCCATGACGCTATTGCTGAAGGCACGAAGATACGCCAGTTCATTCTCAGGTGTAAAGACACGTTCGGGGGAATTAGTCCAGACAAGAATACCAGAAATCCATCTCGATTTGTGGGAATCCCACATAGGCAAGAATATAATGCTCCGGGCGCCCTCGAGCACTCTGATCAGATCATTGGCATCTTGTCTGTGGTTTGGCTTTCGTCTTCTCTTTTTGGATTTGGATCCCGATGTTTTTGTTGAGGTCTTGGAGGCATTGCCACTGCTGCTGTCATCGGACAACAACCCACTCTCGTTGTAGTTAAAGATTTTCCCATGAGGGTACCTATTCAAGATGGCTTTCAACACAGAACCCCGAATAGCATATTCGTGACCTGACTTCGGACCAAACTTTCCATCATCATTAATGGTGGAGGATTGTGAAGTTGAAGAACCCAGGGTCCGACAGATGGTGGTGTCTTCCTCAGAACTCGCAGTAGGAGGAGCCGGGATGCTTGGCGCACTCTCGTAGGTTCCTGAGTCCGTGCTGTCCTCACTACTTGCTGTCTCATCCCTTGCCCACGCTTCACGCGCTTTACCGTGTTCATTCCCAACGAGTCCACCGAAAGATTCAATTCTGGCATCGAGGAAGGCAGCGCCTTCCACTTCAATGGACTCTCGAATCAGGTTTGCCGCTCGAGAGAATACCTTCTGTAAAGCGACTGAAACGATATCGTCCGGCATGTTGTCGCTCGAAACAGAGCTTCGGAATGTCACCTTCTCTTGCTGATTCACATCCGTCTTCTTCTGTTCATTTTGTTCCACATCTAGTTGGTTGGTGCTGGAAGATGTGATCGCTGAATCGGGAGTTGTGGCATCCGAGGCGGGACTCTTCACGAAATCATGCGAAAAATGAACGTGCTGTGAATGACCTTTCCTAGAGGGGCGATAAGGAAGCTGTCGAGGTGGAGAGTGATCTTGTGCTTCTTGTAAATCTTGCTGTTTTTTATTCAACTGCCCCTCTACGGTCTCCCCGGATTGACCCGTTGTAGCATCTTGCTCGTTCGCCTCAAGCCATGAATCGCGGAGCGTACTCTTGCCTTCCACAAAACTCCCCAGGCCAAAAATCATTTTTTTAGCCTTAGTATGTTGATTTTTCAATTGCACCATATCCAAGTATTCCATGACAGTCGCGGCCATATTTTTCATGAACCTTATCGATGATTCGTCGAGCCCGGACTGCCGAGGTTCAGTGTCGAATATGCAGTATGATCCGATTGTAATCCCCCTAGGACCAACAATCGGCACCCCAGCGTAGAACTGTGCCTTAGAAAGACACTTTGTCAAGCTGGAGATTTTGATATGCTCACTCTCATTCATATCTGGTATCACGAGGGCGCTGCCCCCAACAATTGCAGGATCATCCGAAGGCTGCGACAGTGGGAGGTTTGCAACATCCTTACAGACACCATTCTCCTTAGGCAAGACACAGCATCCTAACCATAAGTTGTCGTGACCGTCTAAATCCGGTGATCCAGTACCCTCGGCTAGGATATATTGATGGGTGCGACCGAAGAGCGAGATCATTGCCCGTTGGGCACCTAGCCTCATAGCACCAATGTGGGCGAAGGAGGTTAAAGCATGGTCTTGCGAAGGTTGTGCAACAAAGGTATTCTGACTGGCATCATCAAATGGAGCGAAGGGATATACGGAATGGTCGCGCGGGAGATATCTTAGTGAGTCAGTAGGAAACGAAGGCCATTGATGGCACTGCCTACCTGTACAATTCACGCTCTTTTGCCAGATTAAAAGATGACTGCGCACTTGTCTGCTCGTTCAGAGTCATCGTGTTGGATATGTTGCAGAGGAAGAAGACCTCCAAATCATAGTGACCGAGTAAAAAGAAAGAATTAGGGCAACGACGTCATTCTCACACCTACGTCATTTCAGTTGCGATTTTGCGAAAAGTGGCTCCGCTTTGGCTAAGTTGACAAAAGGGACCCTGCATTCAATCCTCATTTTGCTTTTGTGTCGTGGGAATAGCACATCATCAACGTGATTCTCAATTCGAGATTTACTCAGTGCCAGGAAGACACTGAGTAAATCGAGGTGATTACTCGTTGGGAAGATGGAGTAACCGTTAGTCGTTGGAATGTTGTAGGACTTCGGCAGAAAATAGGGCATCCATGGCTCGCAACGGGTAGACTCATGTGACTTGGTGTATTCTGGACCAATCAAAGGTCAGGGACAAACCTCCTGGAATTTAACATCTCATCGAAGATACATGGGTAGATATAAGTCGAGCGGATATGGGGGCGAATTTGAAATATATTTGTAACCAGACTGAATTTCCCCCGAAACAGTGGCCTATGTACCAGGTTTGCAACGCAAATCATATTCTGCAGCGATCTCGGTTTGAATGAAAGGAGAATTCGTGCGTCTATCATTCCCATCTCGAACACGAAGAATATTGTGAAACGTACTCGGGACTGCGTATTTATAACGATGCACCAGATAGACTAGTCTGGCCGTAGTAGACCTTTTTGACCTCATGTGCCTCCTACTTTTTGCTCTTGAGACACTGGTCAACCTGCTTAGCAATATGCAAGCACTCTTCGTCACGCATGGTCGTGGTAAAGAGTTGAATAGAGCATGGCGCCCCTTCGAGTTGCTCAAAGTTGTCTAAAAAGGACATCAACCGGTCGGACTCAATAAATGAAAGGGTCTTTGTAGCTGTATACTCACATTCAGCCCCAAGCTGATTATCATTCAGTCCAAAGCTCTCCTTCGCATCCAGCTCGCCCACATGCCCAAATGGTAGGATACAGGATGGATACTATGATGAAAGTCACGGTCAATATGCACACTTCAAAACAACGGGGGTGGCAGGTAACCTACATCCAAAAGGTTCGTGAGAGTGGTATAAGGCGCCACACCAAACATGTCATGTGGCACTGCCGTCGTTTGAGCGGGGGGTGCAATGCAGATGTCAAGATTATATTGCAGCCACAGCTTTCGGTACACCTCACGGAGTTCTGCTCGGCGAGTGTTGAGTAATGCCACTTTGTCCAACCGATCAAGAGTGGTCATGTCTGGTAGTGAAGGTTTATAAAACTGTCTGAGTTTCTCACCCTGTTTCAACATGTAGAACATCGCAGGGACTGGGGGTTCTCCAGCTGATTCAAGATGCTTCTTGGAAGCTTGGTCCAGAGTGAAGAAATTCCAGGCAATCTCATTCGCTTCCATTACACGGCAGTCCTTTTCATCGAGATGAATGATGTGGTGGCCCTGCGCTTCCAACAAATGAACAGCCTCGGCTAGTACTCTTCGAATAGGCGGGTGAAGAGGGAAGATCGAAGACTCGGGGACAACTCCAATCCTCAGAGTCGGTTTGATGGGGACTTGTCTCCACGGGATATCGACGATAGTGGAGTCATAGCGGGCGGGTTGAGCGTCGAATACAGACCTGAAAAAAACTTCGATTCCATCGAGATCTGACGAAAGTGGACCAGCACAGGAAAGGATGAATTTCATGCCGCTAGTGGTGCAGACCCGCATCCCACCATTTGGCACTCGTGCAGCGCTGGGTCTGAATCCATAAAGTCCACAGCAATGCGCAGGAATCCGGACAGAACCTGCTATCGATCAGTAAGAGGGAAGTGTCTTTCTATATCAATCGAATTACCTCCAATATCAGTTCCCACGCCAAGTGGAGATCCCCGAAGAGCAATCAAGGCACCTTCACCGCCGCTGGAGCCACCAGGTCCCAAGGTGGTGTTCCAGGGGTTGAGGGTTCGGTCAAAAACATTGTTATGGGAGTCGGTAGTCTGGCAAGAAAGGAACTATCAGCCCGCAGTCGAGTGGGCAAAAAGCTGAATCAACATACCATCATTGTCTGGGGTATGTTTGTCTTCACATAAAGGACTGCCCCTAACCCAAGCAGGATATCCACAAGAGGTGAGTTGGCGGATGACTTCTCATCCAGGAAAGATATCATTCCAATGGTTGATTCCGTCCCCTTATAATGGAAATTATCCTTGATACTGACGGGAAGTCCATGAAGTGGACCTGCAAGCTTACCTTGAGCCCGGAGGTTGTCCAGATACTCGGCGCGTTCCTGTGCTTCTGGGAACATAGTTTCTGTCAGGCAAGACACCTATTCAAAATGAGTATCGAGTTGAATTGTTGACAAAGCGCAAGGGGAAACGCGGGTTAGACGTTGCAGTACATACCAACTGTTGAGCCAATGCAGCACGTTTGCAGTAAGCCAGCGTCACCTCTGCTGATGTCAGGGTTCCGTCTGCCAATGCAGAAATCAGGCTGGTAACCGTATAATCTTCAGTGATTCTTAGTTCCCGGTCGGTTAGAATCCCTGATTTGCGAATTGCTTCAGTTCGAATAAGGTCGTTTTTGTGTTCGGATAGTGGTGCTTGTAAACCCGCCAGGAACTGTTCTGAGACTTTCCATTCTTGTGGAAGTTTGCTGGCACATTCTTGTCGCTTCTTAGCAGCTTTTCCCTGCCAGGGAACTCTTTCATCAAGGGAGGCCATTTCTAGATGCAACTATTTGCTTTGTCGAAATCTCAGGATGCGCAAAGGGTGTGAGTGAATAGGAAGAACGGTCATTTTGGGGGCAAGGATTGCGATATTTATTATTGTATACTCCGGGGCCGAGGCCATTTTCGAGTGGGCGCTCGTTCCTAGCACGATATTTGATTACGCAAGAGAACAAATCAGCGGAATGTCTTCTTCTGGAAGTGAGTGCCAAGTGTCTCACAAGGTAATTAAACCGGCTCGCTTTCGCGTCTTATTGGTCGTTTCGGCTACATTTCGGCAGGCGGGTTAACCTTGGGAAGTCTGTGCTTAGATCCAAGTGCCCATGGCGGAAGCTAGGCTCATTGCGGAATAGCGTCTTTCTCATTGGTGTGCTTAGATCTTCGCTCTCTTTGATATAGCTGTCACTTGTACAGTTCAAGTTTTCCCCATGCCATCTGATCCTGCCTGTGATCGATGCCACTCCGTCAAGACCCGCTGTTTAGCGGGGCCTGGGGCGAGCTGTTATCGCTGCTATCGTTTGCATTACCCCTGCACACATTCCCGACGACGCGGTAGGCGAGGACCCAAACCAAGGGTAACCAGCAGGCATAGATCGCTCCCATCAACACCTGATATGCCAGACAATTCTCCTTCTACTGCATCAAACCAAGAACACACCGACCATGAATCCGACACGTCCACAAACGTGACTCTCATCACCACCATGTACCATGAGAATTCCCTTTCCCGAATATCTGATTATATGTCACTTCAAATATGCGCTTTCTTCTCATTTGGTCCTCTCCTCGGCATAGAGATGCGTCAAATGATCCAATCTCGACTCAGAGAGGCGCCGATCCTCCTCCTACATCCATACACTACTGTCGCTCGGGCGTTTCTCAGGAGTACAACCCACCAAGCTCCTTGTAGCGACTCCGACTGGTCCAATTGCGCCTCTGCATTACAAGTTCTCCGAAACGCACAGATCATTAAAAAAGATCATGTGGGCAGTTTTCTTTCTCTAGGATTGAGTTTGCTCACTTTCCACCGACTAATATCGGGATTCTCAGCGAGTACGATTTGCCGATATACGCTATCACTTGTGCGGCCATTATACTACTCTGGGGAGCTAGTCAACTCAGATACCAGGGAGCTTTTGTGTCTTATCTTTCTCGACACGACCCAATCGCTGTTCCGGGCCGAGGTCCCCGTGATTGAGTATCAAGTTCGAGATCCCTACATTGTCGACCATCATGCCGGGCTCTGTGGGCCACTCCTTCCACTTCTTTACCAAGTCTGTGTCCTAGGATCTGCTACTAGAACAAGAAAAGGGAACAGCTCACTCTCTTCCGATAATTTTGATAAGTTGATGGCTGAACTCGAAGCATGGGTTCCCAATATCTCGCAATCCGTTCTCGACCGATTCTCCGACGAAGAGATGCTTGTGCTTATATCACAAGCTAAAATCCATCGTACAGCCGCGATTCTGATTCTGCACAGACTACAATATCCATTCGGGGAACGAGACGCTGAAGCGGTATCATTTGCCACATCGATTGTCGCAGACATAACTCATTGCCTAGAGACGGCCGGGTATCATCCACCGAACATCACCCTGGCTATATTGGTGGCAGGAGCAGAGATAGCAAATGTGGCTGGCAGGAACTCAGTGCTCTCTTTGGTTTCAAGGATCCGTGGGGCGGCTTTCTACCCCTTTGTAGCCAACTTGCGCATGTTTCTCGCCCGGGTCTGGGCTGACAGAGACCAGGGAACAGCTCGGTATCTGTTCCGTATCTTTGAGGACAGACCTAGTCTTAGTGTCCCGCTTTGAGTGATATAGCATCAGATCCACTATCCGAGCAACCATTGGTTCATTTCTTGTTATCTTTGCAGTTGATCAATGCGCGACCCCGGTATTTATGCGTGTATTCTCGGGTATTGTTGGACCCGCCTTGGCTCCGCAATGCCATTTTGCCGGTCCAACACGGATAACGGTTGGTCGATGAGCATGTATAGTCACGTTTGGGCGTGTATCGGAGACCTCCCCCACACTCCACACCCGCAGATGAACAGCTCTGGGCATATCGCTTCCTGTCCCTGATCCCTGATCACGCCGTCACCGTTAGAATTGCCATAAAAAGATTCGTTCTCCCTAGCTAGGATGAAAGTATATAACAATCTCGGGCTAATGTCCTATCTTTTCTTGACCATCAATTCACCACCATGCAAGACCACTCCTCTTCAGATGAATTTCCCCCAGGTACCATCCTACTGATAGATCGTAAGCTGTCCGGCTCTTTCATTTGGATCCACATGCTCATGACGCTATAGGGAATACGCCAACCTCCGAGTTCATTCTCAGCCCCACTCCCTCGGATAATCCCGACGACCCTCTGGTAAGAGAGTCACGCCCACTCATCCAACTGCCGTGCGTGAGCTGATATAGGAACAGAATTGGTCTTCACTCAGAAAAGCGGTGAACTTCGGCCTCACTTGTCTCTACGTTCTGTTCACTTTTGTCCTGATTGACATCAACAGTCTGGCGTACCGCGGGTACATAGAAGAGTTGGGCTTGACTTACGCGACCTTCAATGATGCCAGCGGCTCCAATTTTGCGGGTCTCGCAGTTGGATGCCTTTTGCTGGTTCCATGCGTGCACAAATATGGTCGTCGCCCTCTTTATCTTATCAGCGCCACTGTCCAATTTGCGTGTGCTATCTGGTGGGCGAACCTTCACCATGGTGCAGAATTAATCGCAGTGAGCTTGCTGGCCGGTTTATCAGGCTCGATCAGTGAGGCCATTGTGATGATCACTGTTGTTGATCTATTCTTTGTTCATCAACATGCTCGCATGAATGGCATTTTCATCTTCATGCAGAGTCTCGGGGCCACGGGCGGCCCTATCGCTGCAGGGTATGTCATTACCTCCATGGGCTGGAGGTGGATGTGGTGGATGATTGCAATCTTTCTCGGTGTGAACCTACTTCTGGTCTTGTTCTTTTTCGAGGAATCAAAGTACATCCCAACCTTGTTAGGTCAGTCCACCCTTTCGAAGGATCCTGAAATTGTCAAGATCAAAGGAGACCACGAGATGAAAACAGAGCCACAGTCTGCTCCCACTCACTTATCAATCGACTCTCGACCTAGCCACAAGTCATACAGCCAGCGACTTGCTCTTGTGACAAAAACCGACCAGCCAATAATCCAGCATTTCTACCAACCTTTCATCGTTCTTTTCACTTTCCCTGCTGTTGCATTTACCGCTCTCAGCTATGGCTCCATTCTTGCTTGGTTTTCGGCAAACGCTTCGGCTGGCTCTTATTTTCTGATCTATGAGCCTTACAACTTCGGCCCTTCTGCAATCGGGCTATTCCACCTTGGAGGTTTTAGTGGTTGCATTATCGCTACGTTCACAGCCCCTTTCTTCAACGATTGGCTCATTATATGGTTAGCCCGACGGAATGAGGGTATCTTTGAACCGGAAATGCGTCTCTGGATGATGATTCCTGCTGCCTTACTCAACGCCATTGGCTTGCTGGTTTTTGGAATTGGTCTGGGTCGGGTGAGTTTAGGATACCCTTCATCCCGTACTGTGCTTCATTGATGATATTGACTGAACATTTCCGATATAGGGCTTCCACTGGATGATTCTTGCAGTCGGACAGGGGATCTTCGGCTTTGGTTTCATCGTTACTGCCGATGCCGCTTTGACTTATCTGAACGACTGCTATCCTGACGTATGTGCTACATCCCAACTTCGCTGGCTGTATTCATAGTCATAGTACCCCATTATGTCAAGCTAACCCAGAATAATCAGATCCTTGGGGATGCGCTCATTGCCGTCGTCTTCGTCCGGAATGGGCTTGCAATGGCCATCAGGTTCTCGTTTACCAGTTGGCTTGCTGGAATGGGTATCCAACACACCTTTATCCTCATTGGGGTGATTGCCTTCGCTACCATGATAATGCCTATTCTGTTGTTGGCCTATGGAAAAAAGGCAAGAGTTGGAACGGCTGCCAAATATAGGAAGTTTGCTTCGCGTCAACAAGTTAGAAGGTCGGTTTAATGAGACATATGCTGCTATGTAGGTTGGTTGTTGATTGGTTCACACCAACCTTGGAAATTGACAGAACGCAATCAAACACAATCTACGTCTAAAAATGTAGCTCTTGCCATATATTCAGACTGCGAGCCTGCGTGGTCAGTCCTTACGTCCCTCATCCACCTACTAGTGTCACCTACTGTTGTGATGCCTCAGGCATCAACCCCTCGTTTGCTTGCTAGCTAGGTAGATAGTTGGAAGCTCGCTTCTTCCTTTAGGAATCAACTCTCTCCCTCTCTCCCTTTGGCCCCTACATAGCGTAGTGCCCAAGACCTACTAGTGTCGCCTACAAAGCGGCTTGCAATACCTACCGCAACCCCTTTTTTGGTACAAGAATGCCGGATCTTGGTCTTCATGGATTTGTCCCAGATCTAGATCGTTGCTCAGCGTTACATCGCAAGCTAGCCGAAATTGAGCATCTAAAGTTTCGCTAAAGACATTGGTCTCTTGCTAGGCGCTGTATTCTCTCACTATCACGATCTAGGCAGCCGCCCCCACCCCTTTTGGTGCGTATTAAAGCAGAGACGTTATGTGGTGCTTTATTGCTCAGACAACCGGCGTTTTCTCATAACTTCGTCGAAACACATCGTCAACGTGGACAAGGTAGTAAGTACCTGGAGCCAGACTATCGACGCTTCCCACAGGGGTATAGCTCTTTTGCTGGTAGGCTTTCTCCCGGAGTTTGCACATCTATCATTGTTAGAAAATAATTGCATAGACAATATGCTCCTTAAGCAACCAACAAACAAAAAACGTACCTCGTTATAAAACTCCGGTGAGACCGCTGTGCGAGCTTCCAAGCGCTCATGCAACCGGACCTGCTGCACAATCCCAGAAGTATCACCCTTCACACGGAAACTAAATATAGTGCTAGCTAGGCCACTCCCGTAGCTGAACATGCCGATGCGCTTGTTCTGCAGTTCCTCACTAGGAACATTGCTCAGCAGGCTCACCAGCCCAGAGTATACATTAGCGGTGTACATGTTCCCGCAATTTGTGGGCGCTGTGATAGCTGGTTGGACACGCTCGGAGAACCTTTCCTTAGTCAACCTGATGCAAGTCTTCTCAACCACTTTGTCCGTTAGAGACGCAGTTTGCTCAATATCGCGGACCACTGCTGGAATGTCATCAAAGTGGTTGGGTTCCGTCCGGAGATCGTTGAACAACAGACGGCCGTAGGCCTTGGAGACAAGCTTGCAGGTAGGCGCATGGAAGACGAAATAATCGAAGGTATCCATGAAACTACCCTGAGACTTTGCAGATCCGTTCGTCAAGCCACCACTTTTAGCCACAGATTTAGTACGATACCGTTCGTAGCAGTTGTCCAATGCCTCAAGATAGCATGTGTTAGAGTAATGTCCATCGACAATGGGATACTCCGATTTGAAGTCCCCCTTGTAGAAGTCGTAGACGTGCTTCATGTACGATGCACGGAGAGGCTCCAGCACCAGGGGCGCATCGGCGCCAATTAGTATGGCCACACAGCCGGCGCCGCCGGTCGGACGGGCGGCTGGCTTGTCGTACAGAGCGATGTCGCCCGCCACGACAATGGCGTCGCGACCGTCCCATGTAGATGATTCGACCCAGTTGACTGCATTTAACAAGGCATTCGTTCCACCATAGCAGGCGTTGTAAGTGTCGACTCCCTCGATGTCCGTATTCTCTCCGAACAGTTGCATGAGCACCGACTTGCAAGACTTGGATTTGTCGAGCAACGTTTCCGTTCCCACTTCCAAACGGCCAATAGTCTTTGGGTCAATGTGGTACTTTTCCAGCAGGGACGAGACCACCGTGAGCGCCATGGAATATAGATCTATGATTATATTAGCATGACGCATGGAGCACAGGCAGTTAAGTTTGTCTGCATACCTTCACGGTCATCACAGAAGCTCATCTTCTGTTGGCCCAGGCCAATTGTAAATTTCCCAGCACTGACACCCAGATAGGTCTCGAGCTCGCTTTGAGGCATGTACTGTATATAAGGAATTATGTTAGTTTCCCAATGGTTTCAATTGCAGAGTGGAAACCAGATTATACGTACCCGGCTAGGGAAATAAATCTCTAGGGCCTTGATGCCCACGTTTTGGGCGTTGGAGGGCATAATCTTCACAACTGGAGCCAACCGAGACTGTGGGGAGATTATAGTTAGAAAAGGATATAAGAGAGAAAACTAGGAATGGTAGAAAGAGTTGATCAAAAAAGAAAAAGAAAAAGACTTGGGGGGCAGGTTAAAAACCCCAAATATTCACCACACTTATTCATTTGGCGATTGAGCTAGTCGAGTCGAGCTACAAAGTACAGCGTTGAGATGAGGATGAGGATGAGGATGAGGATACAGCGTATCACAGCCATCACTACCCATATCCACTATGGGGCCAAATGAAACAAAACCCGGCCACCTATAACTGTGACGGGTTCTACCGTGTACATCCGAGTATCATTTTTATTTGGCATGATCTGACACTCCAAGGCAACAACGGTATTTAAGTAATTCAGGTAACTCTCAGGGCCCGAGTGGCAAATTGTTTTCCATACTACATCCAGTACTTCGCATGGGATAGCGTCAATCGACATTAACTAGGCGACGACTGTCCAAACCAAGAGCAGGCGATATTTTCTTACAACTGGTGAAGCACTTTTAAGATGGCAACCTTGAAAAGGAGGAGCTGACTGCACACGTCTCCACTCTGGTGTACGCTCTTCTTTCCAATCCCATACACCATGGTGATGTATGAACAAGAGACACTGACTCAATTGTGACTACCTCTGCAATTGTAGGAGGTGAAACGGTTGCGACCTTTCTTAGCACTGTGACATATAATCTGCTCCAGTAGGAGGCCTGTCACGGGGAATTGAAAGAAGAGATTCAAGGGCATTTCGCCGAGTATATACTAGCGCGTGGACAGTCACCCACAGCGAAGAATACTTTTCGGAGCCAATGAAGTTCAAGCCTGAACGGTGGCTGGATCAGCCAGCCATTTTTGCTTGGTCCCTATGGGTGCTTAGGGCAAAATTCCGTAACCCCAGTTATGGTGATAAAGCTAATCTGAATATCCAGTTTCGCAATAATGGAGACCAGTCTGATCACAGCCAAGATTTTCTGGCCAGACGACCTAGAATTCTTAGAGCCGAATTTAGCTTGAGAAGACCAGAGCCATGTGGATGCTATTTGGTGCAAACCAGAGCTCCCAGTTTGCTTTGTTGAGAGATAAGTGTAGAGTGGAACCACTTGATTAGTGGGGGCGGACACAGCCTGTATGGTACATGTAAGCATGAACCGTTGTAGCCCTGGAGGGAAGGCCAGATGGGAAAGAAACTATAGGTTGGATTGAGCTAATGGCTGGGGGAAGAAGGGAGAGATCAGCTAGGTGGGGAGCAAGGTCCTATCTGCCTTAGGCAGTAAAGCTGCCTCAGAACCGTGGACCTCGGTACACTTGGTACTTGCGGAAGGCAGTGAAACACAGATATATATAGATATATACGTATTTATATTCCAAATACTGAATGGCTGAGCATGGTTCCTTCTTAGCCTAGACTAGAGGCGAATTTTCTCAAAGTTACGTACGTTAACCGAGCTACGCACTCCGGAACACAATAATAAATGTGATAAATTACAACTTGATATCTTAACAACCACTAATTTATGTTATTTCATTATGAGCCAATAATGTAGATAAATCTCTCGGCACTATATACCAACTACAAGAGAATTGAAAATTTGCATTGTTATGGTGTTTCGGACTGCGAATCATGAATCATCACAATGTCCATCCCCTTGGTGCGCACATGCCAGTTCGGCATCGTGCAATCAACGGTGCGAGACTTATCTCAAATGTAAATGACAAATTGTAAGCCAACTGCATAAAATTTTAGACTGCCGAGCCTGCCGATATCACTCCGGGGTACGGAGTACAGGTTTGCTTTTTATTCATCAATTGAGTTCTGTGCCTGGTCGATAGGTCGATCGGGTAACAGGGCTCCTTGCTGTGGATCGACATCTTGGCAATTCTGATTCGATGCCACAGGGCAGATCATCCCGGAAACCGGATCCACTGATAAGGAACTCCCCGATGAGAGACGGAGAGGGATTAACCGGGGGTTTGCCCCACTGGCTATTTATTTTGCGTACTTGGTATTGACTTGGAGCCAGTAAATGCAAGCCTTTCAATGATATTGAGCATGGACCAAGAGTGATCGACAGCCAAGACAGCTCGCTTGGAGCTCATCTGAATCAGAGATGTCCACATGATGAACTATGGTTGGATTCAATCTAAAGAATTGGTTCACTTTTCCAGTAATAGGAACTGCCGTTCCAGCATCCCTGTACCTCGGTTCATAGTCCAACACTCTCACTCGGCCTCTTATATTGGGGCCAAATGGTATCTAGAGTTTCGCAGATCTTCTTGTCCACCAAGATGTGAACTACTCGGGGAGTTCATTTTTACGATTCACAAATATGTGTTTCCACAATCCGAACCCGATGATAAGGATACTCAATTATTGGACATAGGGGCGGTTTCGGATGCAATTGATGCCTTGGATATCTTGTCGTGAATACTATTTAAAGACCAGGATATTCCACAGATCCTAAACATCATCCACAATCGCAATCCTCTCTTCATCACAACAACTACTTCTCTCTTCTTCAAACGACCAACTCCCAACTTGAAATCCTCCATCAAAATGAGACTCTTTATCCTCTCCGTTCTCTCTCTCGTTGGTGCCGGCATCGTGTCCGCCCTTCCCCAGGAGTCCAATCTCTCCGTGAAGCGCTCTGATACCTCGGAATGTGTCGGTCCCCTCCTCTGCTGTGGAACTCTCACCACTCCTCTCGACCCCCTTGTCGACCCTCTCTTGTTGACTCTCGGCATTGATGCTGCCAACCTCGTTGGATCCATTGGTCTTCTCTGTATGTTTGGACTCTCTTGTGATTTTACAAGATGGGAATTCTTCTAACATTTTCTATAGGTCACGGGTACGAGAAATCTAGCTGTGACACCAAGCCCCAGTGCTGCACTGAGGCCAACCTCCTGGTAAGTGATAATCTTCAACGCAGACTCTTTCGTGGAGAGTCCATGACTAACTAATCTCTAGGGTGGCACCCTTGCCCTCGGATGCGCGGATCTGAAGTAATCGGTCCAGTTTGTTGAAACTGTAGACAGGCATACATGAGTTTCTTTAAAGACGACTTGATACGCCTCCTTAACCACTGAGGATGTATATTCTTTTCTAGGGGATGAAGTCCCCTTCGACATATATTTATGTAATAGCAATGAACTTTTTTGAAATGATACCTGTCAGATTTGTAGACGTTTCAATGTCGACCAAAGCTTAGGGTCCACTTATCCACTTATGCATTTAGTCAATTTCGTTGCATACGCTGTGGAGTATAACAACATCCGGATTCGAGATCTAAAGAGAGGTTGCTTCGTTTAAGGGTAGGCTTTACCATAAATACATGTATTTTGTTGCCACTACATGGTACGACACTCTATTACGCCCAGTGCCAGTTCATATTCTGCCTATTCTAGTTTGGATCATGAATATTTTATACATCTGAATATACCAACCGCACTAGGGATTCTGAGCGGAAGCTGGTTATTCTTGAGTCCCTCCAATAGACGAACGGCCTCTTCCGTGACTGCCACCTCGACCAAGTCGGCACGTACAGTAATGCTGTCGTCCTAGAATACCTGGGCCTCCCGCACTACGACCGAGATCGAGAAGGACTAAACAGACGACAGGCACCAATGGCAGTATGTTAGTGATTGGCGATGACATCTCCTGGCCCTCCATGTCAACTGTTGAGCTCCGCTACTCAAGCTGGACCCAGGAAGTTCAGAAATCCACCTTTACTAGTATGGCGGAGATGATCTATGGCCCTCCAGCCGGCGGCTCGGCAGCGCCTCTTTCGCCAGCCACGTCCGGCGACAGCCCAGCGACTGTGAACTGGTTTATCTTCCGTATGTTATGCCACCTCGCCGTGTCCCGCAAGCTAGACTGGTTCCTCTAATATTCCCCCTCCAGTGTCCTATCGTCAGAGGTCTCGCGTTTCACCGAGCGTGGCAACGACCATAGATTTGGCTTTTCTGCTCTCGGACTTCAGAAGACCCCTCGGCCTCCCTGCCCACTAACCGGGTCGCTATGGCCCCCGCCTCGTTACCCTTTCCAATCCTTGTCCAGCAGGGTGTGTTTCGCTCCACTAGCCTCCAGCCACGGTTTCTCATCTTTGACCATTGGCCCCTAACCCTCTTGGCTAAGCCCGATGTTCCTTGGAACATTCCCTCTCGGTTTTGAGGTCATCCGTGCCGGAATGCCGACAAGTGTCCGATCCGCTGTCATTGCCCGCTTCCACGACGCTGATCCTTAGATATCTTGCTCAGCGCGGGTATCCTCATAATCCCAGTACACAGAAAACGCCTCGATATGGGAATAATGGGTTCCTCTTGCTTTGACTACCCTTCAAGTGTAGCCTTCAAGGAGGTACAGACACTTTGTTTGTGTTTGTCCTCACAGCGATTATGGATGGCGAGGTTGGGCGCGACGATGATGAGGTCGGCGAGGTGGGCGTGCTAGACCCAGGTGATGCCATGATGGTTTGGCAAGGAGAAGAGAGATGAGAGGCAAGTGAGACACGAATAAATAAAAGATTCTGGTGGTTCACAAGTAGAAGAGATATAAGAGGCACACAAGAGATCAATCAAGTGATTCTAGTCCACGGGTGGTTGGTAAGGAGAAGTTATCTGGTGAGAAGGTGTTGAAAGTTTTAAAAGGCAAACAGAATATATTCACAGCCTACTATGCCTATTCCATTCTATTAACTACATAAAACCCGGTATTATATCTTGCAGATAGCTATTTTAAACCTTGAAGTGTACAGAGTCAGAATAAATTCCGATGCACATACTCTACATTTCTAATGAAGCAAGGAAGTGATCAACTGAGATAATGATAATTGCTGGTGATGATCTAACTACTGTCATGAAGCTCTTTAAATGGCTTCATGGGGACAAAGGGACAAAGACATGAAAGGCACAATTGACATAGGAGCCCATATCCCAATCTGGTAAGAGAGAGCATCTGCATTGATGCTTGACAGATAAGGCATCAACCAGGCATAAACTAACTAACTAACTAGCTAGCCAGCTTCTGTTTATAGAGAATCCATCCTTCTTCTCTCATATTTTCTCTCGTCTCTTCTCTCCTGTCAAAACCTGCCAAGATCAATCCCTCCTTCTTCTATCCTCTTTGCTCTCATGTCAAAATCTGCTGACAATGACTGCCCAAGTCTCTTTCTTTAAGCTTCCTCTTGAACTGCTGGAGATGATATTCCAGCACCTGCGACAATCACCACATTCCCTTTCCAGTCTTGCGTTAACCTGTCGCCAATTCCACGCTGTCACAACCCCAGCCCTCTATTCCTCGATTTGTTTGAGAAATACGCTCAGCTCCGAACAGCTTGCACGGACTTTACAGCAAAACTTTTCGCTATCTTCTCTGGTCCTCGAGCTACAGGTTCACTTCCATAACACCCAAATGGATCCAACCTACGAGTCTCTCCTTGATGCTATCTGTGAAATGCATAACCTAGAACGCTTGAGCGTGCGCAGCATACCGCTCCAAGATATCTTCGAATCAACAAACCACAGGTTGCTCACTATGCTCGGGACAAACAAGAACAATGTCGAGATTGAGTCCCCCACTCAATATGCAGGACAGAGGCTACGGTCGTGTAAGTTCTAGAATCTGACTCGAGGGAGTAAGCAAAAGGCTAATATCCTCTAGTATATCTCGGGGCAGCCTTCACAGATCGGGATGAAGATAAATGGGTGCTTGGTTGCAACGAGATTGTTTTCTACATGGAGCAGCTTGAAAAGCTACACATCCAAGGCGCCGACATCGAATCCTTACACCCAAAGCACTTTGCTGCAAGTTTGCCTTCTAAGAAGACAGAACTCAAAGAGCTTGCCTTGCTCAACTGCGAGCTTTCACCAGATACACTTGGACGGATCCTCGCCTTTCCCGAGAGTTTTACCCACTTCACAATGAAAGGCACATGCCTGGACGTGAGCGGGGACTTCATTAGCTGTGGACACAGTAACCTGAACGGCGTCTCACTATACAAATTTGTTGGGCTACTAACTATGGGGAGAGAGAGGAAGAAGAATCATGATCTATTCAATCTATCTGAAGCAGGGGATTTATACCCTGCCAAACAAAGGAAGTCGTCTAACAAAGACAGGCTCAGTCTGGAAACAAATGGAGGCATCTATGAGATGACTAGACAAAGGCATCAATGGGATGACCGACATTGTCTAAGAAAATTCATTGAAAGAATCGAACAGAGTAGCTCGGCGGGTGTGGAGTATCTTGATTTCGGCCTATGATATGGAGAAGACCGGGCGCATTTCGACTACTTTGAACTGTTTGAAACACCTAACCATCTCCATACCCAACTATGAGCTCTTTGAATTGTTACTGGACGAATGGGATGTGTACGATCCTATTCCCTGTTTTCCTGTCAGTCTGGAGACCCTCACATTAAACGATTTCGACCTAGCGGATATGTGTTGAGTGTCTGATTCTGCCTTAGGCAGCTGCCCAACATGGGACAGATCCAGATAGTGATAGATAGATAGCTAGATAGCTCTCTCTTCTCTCCTTCTCTCTTTTCTTCCTCTCCCTCTCTCTTCTTCCTCTCCGTCCCTTTGCTCCCAGGCGAATCTCACAGTGTTGTTTCTCCATATCTGGATCTCCACTCTGTAGATTCTCCATCAATATGTCCTTCTGTAGCATTGCTGAAATGGTGGAGGCCGGCCAGCTTCCGAATTTGCGTGTGATCACATATAGGAAGTTCTATGAAAGGGACGAGGAAGAGATCGAGGTGGACTGGGAGAATGAAATTGGATCGTTGCGAGAATTGGGCGTGGAGCTTTCTATTGTCTTTCATCACGGTCCATCATTTTCCATGTCTGAGAACGACAACTGGCCATGTGAATGCTGGATCTATGATCTTACGGTGCCTGAGTTGTAGGCGAACAACCATACTGGATAAAAGCTTGAATGCTATGTACAATATGCTTCCAATTCATAACCCCTCTTCGACCTTTCATGTAAGTATAGAAGACCGCCTGCCCAGGTGTAGGCAACAGCTTTCCTCGCCGAGTGGCTTCGGACCGCTCGATGTACCTATGAGACCTAACTTGATAGGCGATGATACATGGAGAAGGGTACTCAAAACGGGATATATCCATTACTGATCGGATTCGAATCCGAAATTCGACAGATAGACAGAAGAAACATATGTAGCATATACATAATTATTTTCAATTTCCAGGTTCAAGGGAAGCAGCCTCTTCTGGACTGATGGGAGTGCATTTCTCACTGGGCGAGAACTCTTCATCCAATAACGAATTGTGGGCGGACACGGTGATGAGGTTGTAGTAGTCTTTACTGCCAGCTCCGAACTTCCCCCAATTACCATATTCATCCCATATCGTGAATCGACCATTAAAGCCGGCACCGATATCGCCGTATAATACAAGGCCCTTCAAGGTGAGACGGGTGAGACAGAGGGCACCGTGTCGTTGATTGACTGTGATATTGGCTGTTGCGTTTTGGTGCCCTGCCTGCTTTGTCTGTTGCGAGCCAATCGGCCACAAGTAGTGCAGGTAGGTTTGCTCCATGACGGCAAAGGACTGCTTCTTCGAGACTCGTACGTAAGAGTACTCAACCGGCGGAGGGCCCGAAAAATAACCGCCCGTCATCTGGACTTTTCTGAATCGGTAGACCTTGCTTGAAAGATAATAATTGTCCTGATCGAATGTGTGAGCCCCGCTCGTAGTCTTCCCATTTGCGGTATCCTCTCGGTCGAACCCGACATTACTCATGTTGTAATGGATTGAGGCTATACCACTAATGGTCACATGGGAATCGAAGCTGCCCGGACCACCGCCGCCGGTATGATAGACGGTCCGATCGGGAGCCTGGATGCTTGCCCCGATGTTCTTGTGCTCGACTCTCGAGGTCGAAACCCACCAGGTTTTCTTTTGCAACGCTGCAGTAGGACTGGACCCGTCCGTTTGGGGCGTCTCGTCGCTCGCTGTTGACGGCAACACATGGTGGAATTCGTTTTCCTGGCCCGAATAAGTCCAAGGGGCCGACAGTTGTGTAGGAGGACTGAAATAGTCCACAAGCTTGATCGTATTAAGCTCTGCCTCCCTTAGCGTGTGACCTGCACCGGTGGCCGGATCGATTGCCTTAATCGACACGAATACAGGTACCTGCATTTGGCCATTGGCGAAGAGGCTATCTCGGGTGTGATCACTTGGGCTGGTCTCAACCGTCATATCGGTGACTTCCCACTGTACAGCCATGATAAAGTATGTTGAGATTTGAATCAATCGATAGGATCTGGAATGAGAATGCAGATATTTGCTACCGAAAGAAGTGAACTTTTGAGAGATATCTTGAGGGGATATATATACGTTTTGTTCGACTCCCCATTTCAGCACGAGTCTCCCGACGATAACCTCTCTGAGATAGAAGTGATGTGTTGGCATGGATGACTCGGCGGCAACAGATCCCCTAGACGCTGTATGGTATATTGTCTCCACACACTGTTGTACTACCTCGTCCGCTTCTGACAATGCTGGACAGGAAACATACACCATCATGCTGCGGAATGCAATATTGACTTTGGGGCCTTTCTCTTCCTGCCTCATCTATGGGCGCCTTAGATGAGATCTTACCCAATAGAAAATATGCCTCATACAAATTAATCATATATAAATGCTCAAATACAGTTAGTATATGAGTGGTTCACGATGCATGCATATACCCATGTGAACACCCACCAACCATATCCGTACCGCCGCCGGTGGACCCTTAGCTGAAATAACGTAATCTTTCCTGCAGATTCCCCGCTGTTGAAATGTATCCATGGCCTCTTGGGTAGTAACAATGCCCAATAGAAAATATGTCTCATACGTATTACTCATATATAGATGCCCAAATGCAGTTTCAGCTGGGAGCTGAGCATGAATATGCATATGCACATGAGGACAACTCACCAACCATGGTCATTCCGGTACCCCCGATGAACCCTTGAATATTTTGATCTTCCCTGCACATTGCCCGCACTTGGAATGTAACTATACCCTCTTGGCACCGACGCCAGAGAATATTTCTGGCGGACACTGTGTTATCGGAAAATCGATGCGTACATTGTGCGTGTCAATTCGGAGTACGACAGGACAAAGCATATGGTTGACATACAATGTTCGATTGCCCAGTGGGAAAAATAAAAAATGTGATAAGTATATAAGGATCTCTAGTAGTTTGAGAGATGGTTCCATCACTGTCATCCTCAAGCTCTTCCTCATTTCCACATCATTCAGAAATTGTGTCAAGCGGGGAAAAAGAAAAGAAAATGTCCTCTAGTCAATCTCCATTTCACTCTCAGGGCTTTAATTTTGAAAGCTTCCTTCAGAAAGGGGTGGACCCTCGCACTGGACAATACTCCTGCTCGGTCGACATCTATGAAGCACCGGCCCAGACGCGCAATTGCCCCGAATTCAAGCTCACGCTCAGATATCATGCTCTCAACACCCAGGACGTCGGCTTCGGCACCGGCTGGTCCCTCAATCTCTCCTCATATGAGCACCGGCAACGGAAGACTCTGATGCTCTCGATAGGGGAGAACTACCAGGTCACCGAGACATCGAGTGTTTTCCTTGTCAAAGAACAAAAACTCAAAAGTTTCCAGGCCAGGAAGATCGAGTCGGGCTATGAGGTAGTCTATAAATCAGGCCAGACAGAAATTCTGTCTAATGCGAACGACACTTATGATCGATCCGTCCCGATTGCGCTGTACGGCTCCAATGGTCGCTCCCTCCGGTTCATCTGGGAACGATCGGGTTCACAGCCCCGGCTTAGCAAGATCCAGGATGGTGGCGACGATCTACTGGAGGTGAAGTATGAAACCTCCCGAGTAATTATCACACAGAACCCCGGCACCCCGGAAGCGAGCACCTTCACCCTCGTTCAAAGGAACAAACAGTTGGTGGAAATCCAGTTGCCAGTGAGCAAGACGCCACCTTGGGAGTTCTCGTACACGACATTGGGTCGGTTCACCGGCCTCTCGCGGGTGAAAAGTCCCATAGGATTGATTGAAGAAATAAACTATAAACGGGACGGACATCGCATGCCAGCCCGGGCGCCGTATGAGGCGATCCCTTATGTGATTTCGCATGTCTTGCGGCCGGGCCGCCAGCAGCCTGCGATCAGAACGTCATATAGTTATTCCTCGTATAACTTCCTGGGGTACAATGGTGGACGGGATTGGAGTGATACCGGAGATAATCTGTATCAAATGCGCTCGGAATATCAGTATACCTCAACTGTGGAGGTCGAAGGCGGAATGAAAACGACGTACGAGTACAACAAATTCCATCTTCCCGTCGTGACTCAGCAGCAGCAGGGCACGAAAAAGACCACGCAGACCATCGAATACTATGCATCTCCTGTTACATCATTTGATAACCAGCCTGCGCAATACCAGCTGCCAAAAGCCGTGACGATAGCCTATACAGACAGCCAAAGTCGGGCGGAGCGGAAGGAAATTACTAGATATGTGTTTGATGAATGGGGGAATCCGACGCAAGAAGTCAAACCCGACGGCGTGACGACTGATCGCACCTACTATCCGCCAGAAGGGGAAAAGCTGGCTGGGACTGGCCAGGTGCTGTGCCCGGCGGATCCTCATGGCTTTCAGCGCTACCAGAAGACTCAAACGCTGACACCGGCAACAACCCCGTACCCCACCCCCACCCGGAGTGAGCGCTTTACGTACCATGAACTTCCGACAGCAACTGATGCCCGGACAAAGGCTTTTGTCGCTATCAAGGACCGCGTCACCCACGCGGGGGCCCGGTTGCTGAGCAGCGCTGAGTTCGCGTATGTCAACCAGCCGGGGTCGAGGGACCATGGGCGCATCCAACAAGAGACCACATGGGTATCTCAAATCTATGCTACAGTACAGGCATCCGTCTATCAGTATCCAAGCAGCGTCGAATTCAAGCGGGCTCTGATCACTACCACCTTTGATGGCGTCATTGTCAGGGACGAGACAACCTTTTCTCTGTGCTCCGGCTTACCCGTACTCCAGACAGATGATGACGGTGTGCAGGATCGCTTTCAATATGACAAACTCGGCCGGATGATCAAAGCCACGACAGCACTGGGCACCCGGTATGAAGCAACGCGCCAGAATGAGTACTCCATCAATGAGGACGGAACCGGCTGGCTGTTGTCAATGACCGATGCCAAGGGCGTCCAATCGCGATATATTACCGACGGTCTGGAACGGATATGCCAGATGGAAAAACAGGACGATGATGGCACTTGGAATGAGACGACGGGAAAGTATAGCGGCACATTGCGCCTGGTACAGGAGCGGAGCTATAATGCCCAGGGGCAGTGTAGCAAAACGGCCGAGATTGATTGGCTGACCACAAAGGGCACTCTGGTGGAACAACGTAGTAGTCAGGAACTGGAATACGATGACTGGGGCCAGGTCTGGAGAACAACAGACAGCAGTGGCCTGATCACGGTCGTGCTCACAGATCCGATCAGCTTGACCCGGACAGAGAAGATCGAGGGTGAAGGACAAACAGCCACCCAGTTAAATGTTTCCCGGGCTCCAACCCTGACTACGCTGTTGCGAGGAGATGGAACCCAGTACAGCAAGGTCGAGTACCGCTACGATGGACTTGGTCGCCTGGTGGAGAAGGAAGATGTCTTGGGTCGCAAGACGCTGTACGAATCCGATACGTTTGATCGCGTAACGAAGACCACTTGGCCGGGTGGCCGGGTGGCCAACGTCGAATATGCGATCCAGAGTGCCGCCATGTTACCTACCGCAATCCAAGTCAATGGCATCACTCTGGCCGAGCAATCCCTGGATGGGTTGGATCGTGTCACGGAGATAAACATCGGCGAGCGAACCACGAAGCAAATGTATCAGAGCAGCATTCCACAACCAGCACAAATTACAATGCAAAAGGGTCATGAATCCAATCTCACCTATGAGCCGGGCTTAAGCCACGCAGTCACAAAAGTGACTGGCCCGGACGTTGAAGATGCGTACGGTTATGACCCACAGAGTGGGCTTCCAACATTGCTCAAGTCCTCCTATAGTACCCGGAACCTCCAATATTCTCCATCAGGGCACTTGAGCAACGAAATGATTCAGATCTCCCAAGGCGCAGGGTTCTCTGCACAGTCGACTTACTCGATGGCCGGGAAGTTGCTCGGTTACACGGATGTGCACGGACAAGAATATCAGGTAGCGTATGATGCTGCTGGTCGAATGAAATCGATGAGCCTGGAGAAACTGAAAGAGACACTAAAAGTCTCCTTCTCGTATGATAATTCAAGCCGTCTATCACACACAGAAGTGCAGGACAAAGCACGCAATGTTAGCCTAGCCTCGAGTCTCTCCTATGATGACTTCGGCCGGGAGGTCGAGCGGACTGTTTTCCAAGGGACCAAAAAGCTTCATCAGCTAACCCAATCGTATGGTGAGACAGGGCTAGTCACTGCGCGCCACCTCGAAGACGGAGATGGCAGGCTTTTACGAGATGAGGTCTTCGTGTACGATGTCCACAATCGTCTTGTTGAGTACAATTGCGAGGGAGGCCAGCTACCATCGCTTGAGCAGGGACGTCTTCGAAGCCAACACTTCAACTTCGACGAATATGACAATCTAGTGGAAGTAAAAACCCGCTTTGAGGATGGCAGTGGAAATATTTCGCGCTATTCGCACAGCCCAGCGGATCCAACCCAGCTCATCCGGATTACCAACACCCACCCGGATTTTAGGGCTCAAATCGACCTGGAGTATGATGCCAACGGCTGTCTGACCCGAGACGAGCAAGGTCGCACCCTAGAATACGACAGCGTGAACCGCTTGCAAGCAATCCGAGATGGAAGTGGTGCGGTCGTCAGTCAGTACCGCTACGACGCGTCTGGAAGGCTGATCTGTCAGATGATCCCCGAACAGCCAGACACCTATCTCTTTTACCGAGAGGACAAACTCATCGCCACGAAGGCAGGAAATCGACAGGTGAGCTATATATCTGATGGCAATGAATACTGGGGGCAGTCCATCCAACAAGGGGAAACCACACAAACACAACTGTGGGCTTCTGACGGCCATCAATCTGTTCTTACCTGGTTGGACGCCCATCAGCCTGGTCAGATTCACCATCAGCAATATACGCCACATGGCCACAGCGCCGCAGGGTCATCGCCCTCTATTGCCTTCAATGGGCAGTGGCGTGATCCTGTGACCGGATGGTACCACTTAGGCAATGGGTACCGCGTGTACAACCCAGTCATGATGCGGTTCCTTACGCCAGATTCATGGAGCCCCTTTACAACGGGCGAGTTCAATCCTTATGCTTACTGCTCCGGTGACCCAATCAACCGCATTGACCCCAGTGGTCACTTCAGTTTCTTCAAGAAGCTCTTCAAGAAGTTCAGTTGGAAGAACCTTATCACCACGGTGGCCGGACTGGCAGTCAGTATCGGAGTAGGCATTCTCACAGGTGGTGCAAGTCTGGCGATCCAAATCGGTGTCGGAATCGCGGCGGGGGTTGTGGCGGGGGTTGCAGCGGGTGCCTTGGGCGATCTGGCAGATGGAAGGACCCCAAGCTGGAAATCGGTGGCAGTAGATGCCTTCGGTGGACTGGTCGGAGGTGCTCTCGGGTCAGTTGGCGCGGGGGTCGTATCCGGCGCATTCAAGACCGCCATCCAAACCCAGCTGGGCCGAGCTGCATCCTATGCTCTTGTAAAAGAATCCTTCAAGACAGTGCTAAAGGGCGTCGTTAAAGAAGCTGTCGTTGGTGTGCTCATTGCCGAAGTGGCAGGACATGTGATTCCCTACGAAAAGGCCCTCTACCCATCCTCCGGGGCGAATGAGTCTCAATCTCAGAGCGATTCGAATGATCAATTGCCGGATCAGTCCTCTGGTGCTAGGGACCTCAGCAGACCACCTCCGGGGCAAGGCGAAGGTGCCTCGACCAACATGCCAGGTTCGAGTTACGGAATTAACTCGGGTGTGGGACAGTCTATTCCCGATCTGTTGAATCGGGAACTCACATGCACTTTCGGGCCAGTGGGCTTACCCCAGGGCAGGCCACAGTCCATGGGTAGTGGTGCTCTTGAGGCCCTCGAAAAGAGACGAAAGATGTATGCCGCTATGAGAAGCAGCATACGGAGACCACAAGGATCGACTGGGGGAAATCCTATGCCTGGCTCCGGAGCGTAGGAGTAAACGGAGCTAGAATGAATTGGAGCAAAACGCCCGCATAATTGATCAGACATCTTACAGGCCTGCGTTATTTTTGAAATCTTAAAAATGATCCTGCTCATACATACATTTGAATCTCTCAAAGGTCCGCAGGTGACTCGGTCGCATTGGGGGATCAGCAATAGCAGTTCAACCATACAGCTCAGTCTCCGCGGGGTGCCTCATGCAGATCAAGGCCCTTAGGTTCGGTCCTCTGCTGAGCCACAGGCAGCTCGTGTACCAAGGTCCCTGTCAGTAACCTGACTTGGAGGTGGATAATAGTAGCCCTAAACGAATTATCTTTGGACGGATATGCCTATCGCGGGAGTATACCAATTTAGATCCAACAAATGCCCAAAACCCCGAAGTATCAGCGGAAAAGATATACACCCGGCCAGTGTCCCTTATGCGTATGCCCAAACAAACATCGGCGCCGCACATCTTGCTATACTCGAAAGACTTCTTCAGCAGACTATATATCCGACGGTCTCGCTTCTGGCGGGTTGACTTTCTTAGCCTCGACTTCTCTGGCAGTTTCGAACGCGTCGTACCCGTCTTAGAATCAAGCATGGTTCCTCGCTTTCGCTGTATCCAGCTTACCTTACCCACCTTGGCAGGATGGTTCACCGCCTAACAGGTATTAGGCTGTCTCACATAACACAACTTTCCCAGATAACGCGACGGAAGTCTAGATTAGGGTAAAACAATATAAGGAAATCGTAGAGTGTATCTAGAGGCATATATTATTCAAGATATAGGGTTTTCTAGAGTCGAGAGTGAATTAGATATGGCCTACCCACGTAAGTCAACTGCGAAGCTAGCAATATCAAAAGAAAAAGGCCACAATAAAATGTCGGAGTATTCCGTATTGTAAAATGTAGGGTCCGATCAATGGTATTCAACTCTCTGTATTTCTGTATCGGCTCTCTACACAATTTATATGGAGCCTCGATTACATAACATAAATTACGAAAACATGTAGGATTAATAAATCCTCCGGTATGCCGGTGTTACTGCGCCGACATAAAAGCCCGCCGTAGGCGGTTAGAAGCGGAGTTCACCCGCCAACAGCCTTGACCAGCGGCCCTCCCGCGAAACTGGAAGCTATCTTCCTCACTGTGAGATTCTTCCGGAATCGTCAGTTTGTTACCATTTCCGTCTATCTTAGCTTGTGTCATACAAAACACATCCGCAGGACTTAGGATGTGGCCCGGGATGTGTAGGCGGGCACAATGTCTTGTCTTCTCTGTCTCACCCTGTCCTTCCCGTGTCCTCGACCCACAAAGATCGGCCTTATGTCGACACGAGGGCTGAAGACTTCTTCGGTTATGACTCTGATTCAATCATCTGGGACTAGATGGGTGATTCAGGGAGTCACCCATCAGGTCGAGGACCTGGCTGGTTGGGCTATTGACTCTTCGTGTTTCGCATGTCTCCTAAATCATCATCCGGGTGTGCCTAACAGTATTGTTGTATTCTAACTTTTCTCACTATTTCAAAGCCTGTCACGATGCCACCCGTGATGACACCGTGATATCATATCTTCGATAGACCGGGACTACCGCTTGCTTTTCCCAGCTCAGGGATGGACATGGCAAAGTCCCACGCATGTACATAGTACAGGTCAATGTAATCCGTCTTGAGGCGCTTCGGGCCGTCGTCTACAGCTAGGGCTTCGGTGTATCGCAGAGCAGGGAGTATAACTCCGTATTACTCAACTGATATTCACTTCCAAGGTTATGTTCCTGAAGTGGCGTCACCTGGGCATGCAAGGTCAGCTTACTGTGGGGCCTCGGAATAAGCAACGAAAGATAAGCAGCGAGGATCATTCACGTGGTAAGAATTGGGCGTAGAATGCTCAACTTGATGACTTGGCAGCCCTCTTAGTCTTTTTGACACTTTGGAATTGGATATAGAGAGGTAATGGGGGGCCAGGCATTAATCGAGAGATGTAGTTCTTGGCGCCGGTGGTTGCCCTTCTTACTTTTGATTGCGTGCTGTCGAATACTTTTACTAAACCATGAAGTTGAACCGCTGCCCGACTCTCAGTAATAACTAAATGATGACCTTGCAGCTATTACCAATCGGTCATAGTCACCACGTGAGGTAAACATATAAATACATGTTATGGTTCATGCCTCCCTCGCTTCGTGGGAACGTAGCTTCTGTCACAATTCCATCTCGCCTCTAGCAATCAGATCGATTTCCTTCCTCGAAATACAAGTTTTTGAATGCTAACCATGGCCCCAACTATTGTCCTCATCACCGGCGCCAACCGCGGCATCGGCAAAGGTATCCTGGAACTGTACCTGAAGAAGCCAAACCACACCGTGATCGCCGCGAACCGTGACCCGAGCCACCCAACCTCCAATGCTTTGGCTGATCTGCCTAAGGCTGAAGGCACTACTTTGGAGGTTATCAAGATCGATGCTCTCTCGCCCACTGATCCTGCTGCAGCGGTGAAGGCGTTAGCTGCTAAGGGAATTACCCACATCGATATCCTGGTCGCCAACGCCGGTATCGCTCTTTCTTGGCCAAAGGTGTCGGAGGTCAAGGTGGAGGATATCCAGAAGCACATTGACGTCAATATATACGGCTTCATCAATCTCTACCAGGCTTTCCGACCCGTCCTCAAGGAGTCCAAGGCCCCCAAGTGGGTAACAATCGGGTCCAGCTCCGCTTTCCTGACGGTAAGTCCCGTCAGTCTATTTCCTTTAACCTGGACCAGGCGCTGATATTTCTATAGTAAGTCTCCGGTGGATATTAGTCCACCTGACCTTATAGGCCCGGGCCTAAGTGAGTGTACTGACCATTCCTAGCAACTTTATCCCAATGCAAAATGCTGCATACGCTCCCACCAAAGGTGCTCAGCACTGGTATACCAAGGCAATCTCCGCAGAAGATTCTTGGTTAAATGCGTTCCCTGTGGACCCGGGGTACGTTATATGTGCAACCCCCCGAGTGTTCCTATGTGGTGGGCTGACAATTGCACGGAAAAATAGCTGGGTTCAGACTGATCTCGGTAACCGAGGTGCCGATGCTTTCGGGTTCGAGAAAGCCGCCGTTACCGTGGAAGACAGTGCTGCCGGCATAGTTAAGGTCATTAATGCGTCTACGCTGCAAACCCACAGTGGAAAGCTGTTTAAGTTTGACGGCAATGAGGAGCCTTGGTAGATACTGATGAATTGTTGTAATCGCTAGTGTTGGACAGATTCTCACGTATAGTGTCTCAAGCAATCACTCTTCCACCGATCTTTGAGTTTGCCTTGTAGTTTCCGTAGGGAGATGTGGTCTGTAGAAGGCGAAGTGGTCATAGTGAGTTTGATTGCAGTTTGTCTCGTAGGTATGTGGGGTCCCAGTTCATCCAGCTCCTGGACAAATGGATCGAATTCCGCTGCGATGGCAGACTCTGAGCTATCAGGTAGTGTAGTAAAGTAGTGTGAAAAGTTCACTAGTGTTTCCCAAGAAAGTTCTGGTTCCAAGGAGATTCATCGCTGTCTATCCATCATTGGCATGACCTTGCCTATATACGGACATTTGTGCGCCTTGGCGTTGATATCCGCGCCCTCCTGGAGGAGCATTAACACTCCAGCCTCGAAAGCTCTATCTACGGCCATATGTAATGGGGTCCAGCCGGTATTGTCGTACACATCAAGATCCAAACTGCGTTCGTACTTGGTGCGATGCTCGAGCAATAGCTGGAGTATATCCAGTCGCTGATGCAGCACAGCCCAGTGCAGTGCAGAGCGACCATCGCAATCATAAACGCCTATTCGAGCACCGTGGGATAGTAGTAAGCGAACTACACTATCGTGATTCTCAATGACCGCGTGTATCAAGGGTGTCCGACCGTCGCTATCTTGCTTATTTGCGTCCATGCTACCACGGAGCAAAAGAACTCGAACAATTCTCTCGTGGCCCTTCTGAGCGGCGATGTGAAGCGTGCTAATCCATCCCTTGTCGTTTCTGGCCGATGTAATGAGTTCCAACACCGTATCGTCGTTGTATGATTGCGGTAACTGGGGGGCTGGACTCTCCGGGAGAATATCAGAATAGGAAGTTCTGCGATATAATGTCAGGTTATGGTTGTCCCCGGGTCGAGAGTGCGACCTCGAATTATCGCTTGTTGTGGTATCGGAGGGTGCCTTGCGTAGAGCAGGACCGGGGGATTTATTTTTGGTGAAATTCGTTTGTGCCAAGCTTGACTGGACAGGCGATGGGTCGGACAAAGGGAAAGAGAAATCATTGTTGGTTTGGTACCAGAACTGGTCAATTGCATCGAGATCGAAGTTGACTACCGGCTCTGGCTCTGTGCTAGCGATTGGAATTTCGTTTGGAGATAAAGCTCCTGCTTGTGTGGGGAGCGCACTTGGGAATGAAGGCAATGAGCTAATTGGAAAATCCCCATTGATGCTGGCGGTTGATGTCGCTTGTGATAGTGCTCTGATGGCTCCGTTCGGGTTTTGAGACGTCTCCAGAACGGCATTTTCTGCCCCCTTCCGCTTCTTCTCTATCGTGACGATTCCGATCAGCAGGGAGATCGACACGGGGTATTGGATAGTGGCAATTCACCGCGGAACTTGCGCTGAGCTAGGCGATTTTGAGTACGTCGCCGCTCGACTGTATCGCGCATGAACTGGACATTGGCATCCATCGTTCAAACCAGTAGCAATCAGCAATAATGAGGATCTTCGAAGCGCGTTGGATGAAAAGCAGAGCCCCGCGTCATGATAACGGGCGGGGTCGCCGCAGGAGACCACCCTATTAATAGTTTCTGGGCCAATCGGCCAGCCGTGTCAAAGAGGGTCCTCATTCGTGTTGGCTAAGATTTCGTTGGCGCAGGCTGCACGACATCGAGTTTCCGCTAAATTCCCACTCGTCATGATTTGAACGATGGGCCTCCAATGGAGCGGTCGCTTTGTAAAAGTTTTTAAAATTCTATGTACTCAAGGGGGGGTCGAATAGGCTTTGATAAGTGCGTGACAAGGGTGCGTGGGCCTGAAGGGCTCGGCCCGTGGCCGTAGTTGAGACACTAACACTTGGAGGATACGGCCTAACCCGAAGTGGATGCGCCCGAGGTACGGCCATCTCTGTTTCGATTATGCAGCTGGGCTTCCCTTGCCCATAAATATAGGCTGAGAGCAGGTTAATGCGTATTTGCTGAAAATGGTCTCCATCGGTTCGCCTTTGCACACCACTGAAAAATCGGTCGTCTACACTTGATTCCACCGATGCAGGCTGAGCGTTATCTAGATAGGGACCATATAATAGAGGAAAGTGAGCTCTAGACCTTTGTTGAATTACCAAGAACTTCATCGAGACATGTGGTTTATGAAAATGGAGATATTCCACCTGAGAGGTAATCTAACTGCTAGGACCAGCTACAACAAATTGTTTCTCAGTCTTGAGGTTGTTCAGCATGTCCTCACTGAGGTTGAGTGTATCGGCAACGATTTGTTTCGGCGTGGACGCGATCCATTGACCAAGAGCCATATCTACTAACCGTTAGTATATGAAAACCCAAACATATGGCGAGGAAGAAAGAATACCTGTAAACTCAGGCGCCTGGAGCACCTCCACAAAGACCAAGTCTTCATCTCCCGTATTCTCAATATAATGGCTATTAGACTTTGGGAAGTAACCAACATCACCACCAGCAAAATCAAATGTAGTCGCAGCATTCGGGGCAGTGAAAAGCGTCGCGCGACCCTGTCCCGAAATAAAGAAAGTCCATTCGTCACTAGTTGGATGCCAGTGGATTTCACGCATGCCGCCTGGATGAACGGTAACAATAGCGGCGGAAAAGTTGCTAGCAATGGGGAAAGTGAGCGGGTCGACGATCTTGACTGAACCGCCCGCAACTTCGTGGGCCGGCTGCTCGGAGAAATGATATGAATAGCTCTGAGCGCGAGGTACGGGGCCAGCAGTTGTTGTCACGTTTTGTTTTTCAATGTCTGCTGGGGCGGGCGTGCCCTTGAAAATGTATAGTTCGTCGTCAGGGATCTTGTCAAAGGCTGAGATGTCAACTCCGAAGTTCTTTGAGAGGACCTCTTTCTGTCTGGGGGATTAGCAATTTGGATTTATTTTCAATTCAGGATTTGCTTCTCTTTACCGGGGTGTGGAGGAAAACCTCTGTTGCGAGGAATGTATTATCCTCGCTAAAGTCTCCGTCGTCGAACACCAGAAGGAACTCGACTCCATCGTCGAGAGCTTGAATAGAATGAGGCACGCCACTAACGGTCAAATCATCAGCATAAAATATTACTTACACATATCACAATACATACGGTGGGAAGAACCACACATCGCCGGCAGTAAGGTCGTCGACAAATGTCTCTCCGTTCTCGTTCACAGCCTGGGGTGTTGGTTAGTACTTATTGTAGTTAGTTCAAGACAAGCAAGAACAAGTACCTGAATTCGACACGATCCATTCAGCACCAATGACCATTCGGCAGCCACATGCCAGTGAAGTTCCCGGTAACCGGCAGGCGCCAGGCGCATATCGACACCGGCCATGAGTGTCGCATCCGGCATCACGTTGGTGTTCTCTTGGCGAGCCCAACCAGCTCCATCTATTCCAAGTCTTTGAAGGAAACATGAGTGTCTGCAATGACCTTGTTCGGGAATGAAAGATTACCTGTTGTGACTCAATCCTAGCATATAGTAAGCACATTGTACATTTCGCCACGGAAACTAGTGAACTTACCCATCGGCCATTGCGCATTGATGGTCTGTCCATGGTCAGTTCCGGGAGGTGCTAGCTTATCACTATTGATTCTGTCGTAGTAATAGTTTCCTGTAATAAGTGTCAGTGTACTCAGTATCCAGTCAAGTCGCGAGAGAGTGCATAGTATTGACGGCGCTCGTACTCGGACCAGGATCATCAGAACCCGTGGGACCACGGATCGGCTGCGGATTATCGGCTTTTTCAAAATCGAGATATGACCCGATTTTAGGATCTTCCTTCTGCCCAGGAACAAGAGTATATTTGATTTCAGGACGCGACTCGCCGCCGCCCTTATTGTCTGGCGAATATCCAACTAGCGAGTCGTTTCCACGAAGACCGGGGTTGGGGGTATCCCTGCGAGCAGGGGCACCATGCACCAGGGGTAACACGACAGGAAGTAGAGTAACAAAGAGTTGCAACTTCATATTGATATTCTCGAAAGGCTCGTGGGGAAACTGAGAAGAAAGTAGGTTGGACTAGAATAAAAGAGGCTCTACTATCACGTACCAGACGCCTTTTATATCTCTACGCAAAGCTTGAGATTGGTGGAAAAAGTTCCAACATTATCAATCAGAGGCTGTCGCATTGCATCATCACATCTCCCTAATCAGGTGGCGATTCTCCAAATATTCGCAGAATGGAGCTGGGGTTCCCCTCATGGCGACGCCAAACGATGCAAGGCAGCGGAACATCGGCTCGAAAGCACCTGGTATGAGTTATTATTATAAGCGAGGGGACATAGTCATAAGTGGGGAGACAGTATGGGTACGAGAGCGCAATGAGTCGGGGAGAGGGAGGCCTTAGTGTGAGACCACCCCTCACCTGCAGCGATCAGTACATGTTTTCAAGGTAATCCAGAACCCCCCTTCGGGATAGATTTAAAATTAGCCAAGAATGGTGGAGGCTCCGGGATCGGCTCTTGCTGCACGTCGCAATACCAACCCAAGCCGGAAACGGGATGTACTATCTATAGAAGCAATACCTGCGGGCGGTTGCAGGTGGCTTGAAACTCGGGTGTGCTGGCTAGTAAAAAAGGTCCTGCCGGCCTCGGGGCGTCGCAGGCTTACGGCGAGCCAATCCGGACGTTAACGTTATCAAAGCGAAACTCAAAATGGCTGCAGCCCTGTCGGGAGGACCCGCCCTTGTATGAGTAAGGACACGTTCCGGAAAAGCAAGGTTGTCGAACAATGCATTTAGGATCTAGGCTGCGTCGTTTTACCAACAAGGAGTGTGAACATGTCACGAAATTCTAATATGTTGCACAAGCGAGAAGGAGTATCGGACGGTAGCTGTCATTAGTAAGAGACAAATTAGACCCCGGTATATTAGAGATGTGCTAAGCATCTCAGCCAAGGATGCCGAGAAACGCTAAGAGACAGAAAATCCCCGTGTCCCCTCGGCTGTGTCGGTGACACGTGGAGTGGATACGCAATTTCCCCGCCCCCAACAGGTGGACGCTCGACTATCCTTCCAAAATTGTCACATCTCTATTTTCGGACTTGTATATCTGTCGAGTACCTTGCACTTGGTGTGAGGTATAAGTTAACAAGCGAATCACACAACAGTCTGTCCTGTCCAATCGGATTCGGCAACTGTCTCACCAGGGGGTTTGAACATTGATGTCAAAGTGGTGGGCGGTGGTCCATCAGCTAGTTGTTGGTAGTTCTTGGGCTTATTTTCTGCAACTAGATGCAGTAGATCTGGGCGTGAATAGCGACCCACTGGATCAGCGAGAGTCTTTGCGCGATCAATCACGTCGAGATCAATATCACAACAAACCAAACCGTCAAAGTTGGAATCGGTATCCTGGGTCAGCTTTCGTCCATTAGGGCCGAAAGCGCCAGTGGAACCCCTCCTTCTTCATTCCAGGCAAACGACTGGCCTGTGGCGGCATGGCATTCAGTGCTCTCTTTCATCTCCTCGGCAGAGATCGGCTGATTGGTCACCAGGACAAAGCCACCTTCAAGGGCATACATGCTACTGGCAGTCCAGGCAGTCATCTCATTGGCTTCATTGTAAACGGACCAGCGTTCGTCTCCCAACCCATCGCCGTATGGCCATGCAGCAAATATGGACTCCTCATCCTGAGCGTAGGTATTGTACTTCACTAGCGGCTGGAGATGCTGCCAACAGTTTAGCATCCTAATTATGCCCAGCTTCGTATTGGCCACAGTGGTTAGAGAGTCACCAGCGGCTCGGAAGAGCATTATCCAATATTCTCTGCCGAAAGAGGAATCACGCGTGCGGATAATGCTTATCCGGTGCGGACAATACTTGTGCCATATACATATTTAAGTACAGATAAAAAACCAAATACAATACATATACATATACAAAATTACGGCACTAACAATTTCTCATAATCCAAGTATTTTTGCAAGGTTCTGATACGTTGTTCGATCTTGAAAGCGTCTAAGTAATCCCATGGAGTCCTGACACTTGCTGCGATATGTTTATGTTATTGAAATTCCCTCTAACACGATGTCCGTATACTAAGCCTACTTGAATGTTTGAAGTACGAGCAATACGCGGGTTGTATCAAGTTTAGATCAGACATGGATTTCTACGAAGAAAGGGAAAGAAATAGGAAGAAAAAACCGAATAATCTATGGAGAAGACCAAGCAAATACAGGATACTTGTGCACCGGGAGAAAGGGCTGACGAACACAACCACCTAGTCTACTTAAAAGACTTAGTTAATAGATTTCCACAACAACCTTCCCGCGGAGTTGTCCTTTCTCCATCAGTTCGAAGACAGACTGCAGATTTTCCAACTTTTCGACTTGAACATGGGTCTGGATTAAACCACGACGGGCTAATTCCATGACCCCAACAGATTCTCCATAATTGTCAACGGACGAGCCAACAATACTTATGCGTTGGGACACGCATTTTCAATGGGTCTTTCCTTGCCCTCCTGTACTCCGACAACAACTAGGGCCCCATTGAACCGCAGAATGTCGAGAGCTTGAGAGTATGCACAGTCCCCTCCAGCGCAAACAAGAGCTGCCGCAGCGCCAAGATCGTTTGTCTCTGTCTTTACTGACTTCACAAGGCATTCGGTTTCTTCCAAAGCCAAGTATGTCTCCAACACGCAGCTTCACACAAGAGTTGCTTTTCCTTTGAAGTCGATTCCAATAACCCAGAGCGAAAAGACCCGCGCAGCCATCTCACAGACCAAGTGTCCAATCCCGCCACCAGCACCAAAAACAACCACCCAGCCGCCCGGACAAACCCGAGCTTTCTTCAATGCACTGTATGCAGTGAGTCCAGCACAGAGTAACGGAGCGGTCAGGTGAGATGGTACCTCATCTGGAATGGGAGTCACATAACATGCAGGTGCCAAGCAATACTCCTGGTATGTTCCGGGGACATAATACCCAGATACCTGTATATGTAGACAGCAACTTTCGGCGCCAGCCAAGCATGGGGGACATATTCTACATGCTTTGTGAACAATTTGATACCAACACCTAATCACCAAAGTAAGCAATCGTGGCCGATATTTGAGGCTCTTCCGGCGAGGACCGTACATGTTCCAACCGTAATGGTACTCCCTTCCAATCCAGTGCCCAACTGAACGACATGGCCAGCCTGAGCAGGGCGTGGATACCGATCCCACTGTATAAAGCAATATCCATTATAATAAATTGACCTCGCACCAACGACTGCGTGAACATATACCGCATTGGCCATCAAACCGTGGTCTGAATGGCAGACTCTACTATGGGTTCTTTCAGAAGTGTCAGCAAGAGGGACAGAGTGAACATATCATAACAATAGATACTAACAATTTAACCAGGACTTGTCCAGCTCCTGGCTCGGGTGTCTCTATCGAGACACATTTGATGGACATCTTGCCAGGCTGGTCGTAACTTATACCACCTTATATATATAGATAAATCTAGGTGTGATAAAAGGATTGGCTTCAGGCTAACTAGTTGGTCTCCACTAGGAGTGAAACCAGTTTAAGTGTCCAAATTCCATCGTGATCAGCGATATCAGATATTACCTACATATGCTTAAGATATCATTATTTTCTCTCGAGTATTCCAAGGCTCGACTAATACGTCCATCTTTAAGGATTTTATTAAACAACTACTCCGGCATTATAGGAAATGGCCTAAGCTAAAGTCTGTGCTAGTTATAGACAATGCATCATTTCACCACTCTAACCGAATAGAGCAGATATGTTTAGAAGCCGGTGTGAAGCTATTATACCTGCCTCCATAATCTCCAGGTTTAAATCCCATTGAAAAGTTCTTTGCTGAGCTAAAAGCCTTCATTCGGCGGTATTAGCAGTCGTACGAAGAAAATTCGGGTCATGGATTCGATTACTTCCTCGAATGGTGTGTTGACATGGTTTGTGCAAGGGTGGAAAGGGCAGAGGGGCTCTTCCGGCATTCAGGCCTAACCGTAGAGGAGATCTAGTGCAGCTACGCTGCAGCAAAGTTCGAAACTAATCTCACTACTTGTCTGAAGCGGGCTCTTTGGCATTTTCTGGATATTCTTGCCTGTGGTGAAAGGCAGCACTAGCAATTATATTAAGGGATACGCTTGAAGCCGCTATCGTACTGCCTACGGGATTGGGCTTATGTTTGTAAAGATGATCAGCTGGTATTTGAGGGAGTGCTATTGTAAAGAGCGAATAGGCCTGTCGACATGTATTATTATTCCACGCCGAACCTGAACGAATGACAACAACATGCAATCAATCAACAAGCCCAACAAAAATAAAGATAAATGGGACACAGTTTATCGACCGATAACGAACCGTTCTTTTCAAATGAAGGTCTATAGTGCTGGATGTTCAATCTCTGATACAGCGATATTCGAAAACAAATTCCCCTCACGATCTGTTTCTCGATTAGTCTACAAACAACCCTTGCCTAATTGTATTGTATCGAGTTTTATCCTCGAATGAGTCATTGTAACATACTGCAAGTCTCCAGATAATGTGTTAAATCGTCTGGGCAGGCTGAATCCCGACCGCGAGGGAAAAAGGGGGTGGAGTTTGGCGACCAGGCTTGATCCACGCCCATTATTCTTATGCAGTTGATTCGGAAGATAGAATCATTGACGGGGTTACTTGCATGGGAGCCACGCCAAGTGGTGACCGGCCAGTACATAGGCAGAACCTGTACTGCGTGAATCGGAAACGGCAGCGGGAACTACAAGTGCTGCACTCGGCTAGGATACGGAGCCGTTGGCTTCTGTATAGCTCCCCCCAACCGGACTTTCAGCCTTTTATGGGATGGCTCAAGGGTCGGAATTAATTAGTCGTAGACTTCATCCGGCGTGGAAGTTTGCCGTTCTTCTGACTCTTCCACGTATCAAGGAGCCCGACCGCACCCCGTTCGTCTGCCATACTCTAAGACAGGATAGTCCATAGGTGGCTATGAATTTAGCATCTAAGCTCAACCGTAGCTATTCTTGTCTGGGAGTACATACAATTACTGAGCGATGAGGCTATCTCTGATATAATAGTTGAGGACTAAGTATACAGTATTACCGACAAAGGCGGGACAAGAACCAAACTCCGACTCTTCGGTCTACCATCCAACCCTTCGATTGAGAAATCCCGATAAGCCTTTTTGTAGCAATGGGAGTATCCACTTGGCTGACTATTCATATAGGAAGCATTTATTTTTCAAGCCATATAGCCTGGGCAAAGTTCCTGGTGACCTTTTTTCATCATCATCATCAATGGATATGGAAGAAAGAATAATATACTTTGACGTCCCGCACCATTTTTTTTTTTTTTGGGAGGCCATTAGCGGATGGAAGTCCAGATAAAGTTGAAAACCTTACCCAGCGCGATGATTGACAAGCCTAAAATTAAAGTTTGCCTGGAACGGTCTCCTGCTACGAAAGGCAACAATAAAGTTTGAAATTATTAAGTAAAGCGATATTATATTCAAACAGTGTTCCTATACGTACTTATTTCTTTCGCTCTTGCGTCTGATACCATAATTGGTCTTTTGTGGCAATGTACGGGTTCTTTGACAAGTGAAAAATAAAAGAAGACACTGTATCTGCGTGACTGGTAATGAAGCAAGAGGGTATCATCATGATCACATATTTGCTAATTACTGATGCTTCAACTATCAATATGAACCTCTTCATTCTTATCCTTTTCTTCTAAATGTGCTTTGAAGGTACGTCATCCAATCACCGGACGATCATATAAACGAGTTGCAGGCATGTGATCTATGAAAATGTTCGCCCAAAGTTGACGGAATCTTAGCAATAACAAGCAGAGCATTGTGTACCAAAAGCCTTTGAGATAAGGTCATGCAGAAAGCATCCTAATTGACGTAGGGACCTTAATAATCAAGCATATAGGCTTAAGGGTTGGTGTTAGATGAGCATGAGAATATCCGTCAACAGCAACACGGGCAAGAATAGACTTTCCATCCCATATGTTAGTCACGAAGACGATATCAACCAACAAAATTGTACTGTAATGGGGGAGGTCTAATGAAGTGGTCAAATTCCTCCCCGTCAGGTTGGCGTTTTCGACAAGTCGCCACCCGAACCAGACATACCTCCCATATCTTTTGTTTATTTTTGATTAAGATGCATCATTGACTAGACTAGGCCAGCCTAGAATCGACAACTACCGTGCTGTAACGACATATAAATATGCTGGCAGTGCACGCTACATTCCAGCATTAATTTTTCATGACAGATTATTGGGACTGGATTCCAAAATAAAAAGTCCTTCAACACCAATTACAGCAGTCAAGCCTCAATTACGTCCCAATGCAAAATATCAAATACGAAGTCGAAGTTCACGGTATCGCAGTACAAGCGGACAAAAACTTGGACATCACACGCCAGGATGATTGCGCATCCATTACTCTAAGAAATGGAGAGCGGCAGCTTCGCTTTCCAGTTTCAACACCCACCGTTGTTAGTGGCCAGCGCCTCAAAGCTGGCAAGTTTTACATGCGTTTCACCACTTATGACTCGTCGCGGATCTACTTTGTCAAGATTACGGACGGAGACAAGAGGCTTGTGCTACAAACTGATCTTCCTAATTGGAGAGGCAAATTGATTGAGCGAAGCTTCGAATTCCCAGGAGCTCCTATAGATGTTGAATGGGGCCTCAACGTTACCGTTGGAGTGGATTCCGACACCGCTCCTGCTCGGGTTGATATCATTGGCCTAGGTGTTGTTCTTTACTGATGGGTGATGTGTTCCAGGAGAAAAAGTGATAATGTTGATAATTGCCATTCGGTCAAAGGTTTCTGTTACGATGTTTAATAATTTTACTCTTTATTGGGATTAGTGGCTGGCTCGAAATTGAAGCCTAATTAAAATTGAGATTTCACTACCATCCCCACCAAGGTTCGATTGCGTACATGTGTTCCTTTGATAAATACAGTTTTCAAAGGACCAGAACGCTACAGTGCGCTAGTGGTCAAATCACATATAAATTAGTCCCGTCCGATGCCATGGCCTCCATCTAAATTTTACATCCACGCAACCTGTACACTAGTTGTCAGTAAAGTTCGGGAAACAGTTCAAGAGTGTTTAGGGGTGACATCAGTTCCGGGAACAACTGCATCATATTACGAGTAAGGTGTAGCTTTGAGGGGGTAGTCTCGGTGCCATTCAGTAAAGTAGCCGTAGTAGAGTTAGCGAGACTAAAGGCCACCGGACTACGATAGTTACACTTATAACTATCTAGAGATATTAACTTTATTAATCTACGTATAAAAAGATACTACGACTAACAATATAAGGAGGGACCTAACCTAAATAGACTGCGCTAAAACCCGCAAACCCGAAAGAGCCTAACCCGCAAATGGGTTGGGTTTCGGGTTATATTAGGTAACCTATATGGGTTTGCGGGTTACCTATACGGGTTACTAAATAGTGTAAATATAGGAAGAGTCTAAGCTATATAAATTATCTAGTTTTCGATTATATTTTATTATATTTCCTTTTTATATAGTATACTTCAAATAGCTTTAAGTGTTATATTATAATTAAAATACCTTTAACTTTAAAGCTAATAATACTCCTATTTATTATTATCCTTTCTTATACGTTTCCAGGTTCTAACTAGACTTCGGCACAACCCACTCTAACCCGAACCCAACCCAACCCAACCCAACCCAACCCAAAATGGGTTTTGGGTCCATTGCTTCGACCCAACGATGGGTTTGGGGTTATTAGTTATAACCCAAAACCCATTGGGTAACCCATTGGGGCCCCAATATAGTGCAAACTAAACAAACTAAATTTTTATAGGCTTAAAATTCTAAAATTTAAATATATATATAAAGAGTATAGCAATTTAATTAAAAAACTAAAACTAAAACAAATATAAGTAAATAAGTATTTTATACGAACAAAAAAGTATCTTTAAAAATGCCAAGACTTATATTTTATGTATTTTATGAATTTTTATACAAAAATGGGTTCAAATGGGTTATTATTGGGTTATTAGGTTTAACCCATTAGGTTTTGGGTTGGGTTGGGTTTTGGGTCGGAGCCTCCGACCCAAAATGGGTTCTACCGAAGTCTAGTATATTCCACTATACCGGGGAACGCTGTAATAGCTGCCTATAAGAGGGGTAGCGTATGAAGCTCGCATCAGCCTGTTTAGCTGAAGCAGCTAATGATAATACTAACATTGGTCTTTCTTATAGGCTATAGGATAGGAATGAGTGATTTTGCAGTTTATCTAGACAACGGATACGGTTTAATCTCGGTACAATTTGTCTTTTGCGAGAGAGCGTGCCACTAGGCCTACGTGACTAGGATAAGTATGGTAAAACACCTCTTTAATATATAGAAGAGGCTATATTGTATCTAGATCGGTTTTCACCTAGGGGCAGACGGGAATCAACTCTAATGTTCTATTGAATGCTAACGGAGACTAAGAATGGTCCTAGTCGAATTCAATTCACTTCTTACTCTTAAACCTTCGTATAGTTTCACTAGTCATTACAGATATTGAGATGGATCTATACAGACTATAGCATGGAAGGCATGGCATCACTCACTCCACTTGTCATGTCGCTCGTGCGTGTGTAACGAGTGTAGACTATGGCGTCGTGTTTGCCGTTTTGCGTAGTAAAGTTTTACTATATTCCAAAGGAGACCCAGAAGAATCATTAACGCGGTCTTCAAATTCCTATTACCCTTTCTAATAAGCATGTGCGTTTTACTGAAAGTCCCATGAAATTTTCTACTATTCTCACCCACATTCCTTGTGTACCATAGCTGTCTGCAATGCTAGAATTGGAACATTTGCATTTGCATGAAGACCCAGGGAAACATAATCAAATATGAGAGGATCCAGGTCAAGGTTCATCCTTAATATTGCCTGCAATTCCTAACTTGCCACAGGCTATACTTAGTCACTACCGCCCCGCACTATCGATCGACCAGGTCCAACACCGTCTGCCTTTCTGGCCAGGGAGCCGATCAACTATATAGTAGATAGCCATAAAGCGTGCAAGAGGACTACTACTTACTGCACAGAAATACGCATCAAATTAGATAAAGCCTGCTAACTATTTAGAGAAGCTTCACTGACTGCCTTTAGCACATACGAGTGCAATATGTTAGCAACGCCAAGCCTGTTAATGTGTATCGAAGGACTTATCACTTACAGACTCCAGCACAAGTTTATTGCAGTGGGATTTTAATGCTTACCAACTGGGGCAATAACTAGGTAAGTATGGATCAATTTAGGTTCTCCGCATTATGAAAAAAATTAAATAAATATAAGCCTACAATCATTATGGTTCTGTCCACTTTGAGGTCCTTATTATTGCAAATTACCTGCCGTATTACCCCGCTGATATCCGATTGACCATTGCGATAACTATTTTTGCTTGCTTCTCATAGCCATGCTGCGTGCAGTTGTTCTTGCTTCCGTGTGTAGGACGTCCCATTTAGTGAAGATACTGTGCGTCTCTTTACCGAATACTAGACGTGCCGATGCGCCGCAATTTATAACGGAGGAAGTATTTAATAATCGCCACTACTAGTCTTTTCAAAATTCGACATAAATGTTGTGAATGTCATGATGTCAGAATTATTTGGGTGAAATTCATGAGACTAGATGTCTAGAAGCTAGAAGCTAGAAGAAAAGCTGTTTGCATACCTTCCACCCTTGGCATCCCGCTACATTCCGCGGATGATATGATCGCTGCGCAACGCTGCCGGTGGTCCAGGTATTGTGGGATTCAGCCAATGGCAACTGACATTCTCCCCCACCCCAAACCTCCAAAACCAAAAAAAAGGCAGAACCTCAGCAATTTCTGTGGACACCACCATGAATCTGACGTCATTTGGTCTGGACTGTACGATGTCTTTATTCTTTAGCGCCCTCATGTTATAAGATCGGGTGGGCTGACTCGCTCCATTCATATCAATATGGTCTTGCAAGGGTGGGATTGTGGAATTCTTAACCTAAATTTTGGAGAGATGGATCATTGATTCCTAGATTAATCTTAGTTTCATTCTTAGCAATTCGTCTTTGCTTATTAAAACATGAATTTTCTCAGAAGTTGTCATACGAGTTCTAGAGCCGGTTCGTGGAGCAACCTCGCAAGGCCTCTTATTGCCACAGCACCAACCACCTGGCATCCATGTTCTAGGCCATTTTTAACAAATATACAACAGCGACCCAAAATAGCCATTTTTGGGATATAGATTCTGATCCGGTATGGCTGAGATATTGTTTGAAATCCGTTGGTCTAGAACTCCCCGTATAGCATGAGGATTGGTCAATATAGGGACTTATTATCGGGGTCTAGATCGGTATAGGGGTTTAAATTAGAGGGGTGAATATCCTTAGGTAGTGTTAGGATGTTTAGCGTAGAAGGTCGTATACTATCGAGAAAGTCGACTTCCTCGTAGGCCTTGACAAGTCCCGCCGATTTGGTGCTGCCTTGGCGCCAAGTGAGCGCCAAGCCGCTAGTTTCAGTGCTGCCTTGGCATTAACATGTCGATCGCCTTCCAAGTGAATGCGAAAATACTTTGATGTTTTATGATTTAACTTTTTCTGGGTCATCTGCTGACACGAAAGTCTAGATTAGCTTTAGGCTCTTACCTCGCTCATCCTTTGAAAATTGAGTTTGCCCGCAACCGTTGCCAATACGTAACAATGTAGTCCTTTTCCGTTGGTGACGGTGGGTGAGCGATCGTAACACGCGGAAATATTATTGAACATCACGTCAAGTAGTAGTGGTGAACTCTCCGCCACTCGAAGTTCTACCTAGGTTGCGACCCGTGACTTACCATTTCACTCTAGATCGCGGCCAAAATAGGTATTGTCGCTCTAGATTCATACAGTCACTACCACAGCGGGCGCATTAGAGTTATATCGTATTGGCCTCGCCCCGATTTTGTGCACGAGACGCGAGCGTTATTATTCTCGGTTCATGGATTGTTGGCCCACCGGATGTTATAAATACAACGCAAAACATTCGCTTTAACTCTAGGTACGCTTACACCTAAAAGTCACTAGTGACAAGGCAATTCACTATTCTGGCTCAACTTCCTGAAAATTGGTGTGGCACGCCTTATCCAGGTTCAGTCATGGCCACAGACGCTCCAAGTACCCGGGAGGCCCTTCTCCAGTCGACTACAGACCAACTTGGACCCGAAGCTCTGGAAACTGTCGAGGAGTCCAGCATTTTGGAACCAGTGTCAACTGACACAGAGCCTCTCCCATTCTCTCCTGTATGTATCACGCAAGAGTCAGTTCCCCAGAACCTGAAGTCCGACCCAGCCGCTATCATGGTTGGATTGGAATCTGAAGTTCCACGTTGGGAGCCTGGTTCCGTGGTTAAATGGACTGCTTGGCAAAGGGGATATGACTCTCCAGCAGATGCGACGCATGCTGCAGCACATCTTAAGCAGGCCGCTGAAACGTGGAACAAGGCTGATGTTGGGGTTAATTTTGAATTTGTGCCCCTAGCAAAAGATGCAAACTTTGTCCTCTCCCATGGTGGTGATAAGGGAGGTGTACTTGCTAGTGCCTACTTCCCAAATCCCAAAGGTCTCAACTTCCTCTATGTCTATAGTCTTGCATTTCGACCAGATTTGAGAAAAGGCCTTTGGAAGGTGTTTACACATGAATTGGGACATGTTTTGGGACTCAGACATGAGTTTGCCATGGACCCTGGGCGTTTCGAAGGAAATGCGGTGCAAATTGGCAAGAAAAACCCACTTTCGGTGATGAACTATCGCAAAGAGCTACCAGAACTTCAGCAATCGGACATTGATGCTACGCAGCAATTTTATCGCCTGCCGGTAGGCACTCTACTGTCTACGACTCCTATTGTGGATTACCTACCTCAGTGACCACGGCAAATTTCAAGTTGATGCGCTGAGCTCGATTTATGCGCAAGATGTACGTCTTGATGTTGGGTTTCTGTGCTCTGTTTTGTTGTGTCCTTTCTGACAGAATATGATCGCAAAGTCTTCACGTACGTGTACATTTCTCCAATTTGAAGTTAACAAAGGCAAAGTATTTGGTGATTTTACTGTATCATTTACATCATCAAATCAGAATAGGGAAGTCAAAGTCCTACTTAATAACAATGCCTTGATTAAATTGATTCTCGTAGCCGTATCATAGAACTTACGCTAGTAAAGTTTGAGAGTACTGAAGTGAACAGATATACTCAAGCGATGGAACGTCGATGGTGGGAAAAATCGTTGTGATTGTGTGCCGAGCAGGAACCAAGCAAGGAACGGCAACGGACCATGCGCTGAAAAACGTTGATTTGACAACTGCGCCTCGAACCAGAAGGCAGACTCGCCTTAGCGATGGCCACACTATCGGAGCTCGATAAAGCCCCGAGGAGAGCAACGGACACGTCACGACCCGGGAGATCTGGGGACTGGTCGACAGCCTGAGGGAAGATATCTACGACCAAACTCGCGCAACCAAAAATAGCAGCAGCGCGACTTCTCCCCTCGACTTCTCTTGGTTGGAACTGGCTTCCACCGCACGACACAACCATGGTGGACGTTTTTCAGTCTTTCACGGCGGGAAAAATTCAGGAGTTGACGCTCTATTCGAACTCAGCCCTCAAGTTCACACTGATCTAGCTAGCTCGGATTACGAACTTACTCGATATCTTGAGAAACGTATGATATCTGATTCTTCACTCCCCTAGTATTAGCTAATACTAATAGCTTCCTTGGCGAAGAAAAATGTCGACCCTTTGTAGTTCTGGAAAGAATGCAAACAGGAATTCCCTATTCTTGCGAGTGTTGCTCGCGATATTCTCTGTATTCCAGCAACGGGCGCAGGAGTTGAGCGTCTTTCGATGCAGCGCGCGATGTCTGCCACTACCGGCGTGGGCAGTTAAATCCTGATACAATCCAGGATATCATGATGTTTCGTTGTAAAACCCGGTTTGATGTTGAACTTGAAGAACTGACAGAAGAGGGCCTTCGCCCGGATGCAGTACAAGAGGCAGACGATCAAAGAGACCCTGGACTTACCCCTGAATTGCCCGAAGCGATTAGTGAAGGAGAGGATTCTGATGACGATGATAACGATAAGAACGATCCTGTTAAACTAATAGAGGAGGAGTTTATCTTCGAGAGTCAGCATCATCCAACTTCTATAGTGTCAAGTGCGCGAAAGTGACAGCGGAGTGTGTCAGTTGATAGTGAAGATGAGACAAGTCTTCCGCTCCCTTCCAATGGAGATGAGTGTAGCACTCAAATGCGCCCAAGGGCCCATGGGCACCAATCTACCAAATAATGGTCATATTAGCTGCCATGGCTTCCGTTCGAAGCCGCTAGTCAGCTTGCAAAAGTCTGTGGCGTGTCGATGCAAACGACATATGGGACACAGTTATTATACCTTCTACAATGTCTAGCTCAAAGTGAATTCTATCATAAGGTGGTATTCGGTGACTTGGTGACGACGACGAGTGTATCGAAGCCATGCCAAACATGACTATATAAGACCTAGATCTTTCCAGATCTCAGCCCTCACCCAACATCAACGGTTGTCTCTACGTATCTACCACACACAAGACTTGTCATTACTATCTGTTCTCAATCTCCTTGGGCTACAGTGGAAATTCTTGTTCACTATGCCTTCTCCACCCACACCCCCCCCGGGAGTATACGCTCAGCATATACAGGTGCACATTCACATTCGTCTGAAGAAAAATAATATCCATGTTTCTGATGCTCAACTTGACTGGTGGGTACAGCTGCTCAAGTTTCTTTGGTCCCCGAGCTTCAATTCTAACAGATTATTCAGGGGCAAGTTTTACCAAGGTTCCAACAAAGACGATGAGATCTCTACTGAGTCTGTCAATAAAGTTGTCATTATTCCTGCGGGAGTAGAAGATATTAACTCCTGTGGACGTTCAAATGCGTCGTCTGGGACCGTGGGTTCGTACCGCCTCCATGATTACAACAGTAGTACCAAGACTTCTACCAAGATCTGCCTAGTATGGTGGTATTGTCCCTGTAGCGGTTCAAATGACTTCTAAATTAAAGAGTGGGACCCCGATACTTCTGACTATTCGGTCAGCCACGACCCGTGCAGCAAGGACGGCGCTATTGGCAATATGAACATCTATATTAGATAGGTTCGGGAGAGAAGAAGGAAGATGAATCTGTCGTTTCAGTTCTTACTTCATTTCTGCCGCCCATCAGTAGGGTTGGTTTCTATGTATGCCAATACTCAGCACCTGTCAACGGACTGCGAGCTATGCTCCCTATTCCTACTTCTTTGTAATGGTGAATAGCTTCTCAATGTCATATATCTACTCTCCCTGTTTGCTTACGAGACTATGGTGATAACACGGCTCCGCTTCCCATCCCTCTGCTTGAAGCCGAAATTATACCAGCATTTATCAGCATCCAAAGTCTTGAAGTTGCAATAACTTATTACTAATTCTAACGCACTGTAAGGTAACATCAGACTAGAACATATATGATAAACAAAGGCCCTAAGCAATTGGTCTGTAAGATCTGTACCAATGATTTTATTTTTGGAGTTCTCAGTTGGCTTTGGAAACAATATATACCTGGAGTTGATGATAAAAAATTAAATGATAATGCTGTCCCTTTCAGGGGACGCTCAACTCCACCGTTATGATGACCGATGACATCAATAATGGTAGAATTGCCTATGAAAATATTTATGTTGGGGTTGATGATGAGATCTTAACCTGCTCTACCCTCTCCTCTATTCCTAAGCATAAAACACTTACCACTTCCGTAAGAGTGATGATATCAGAGTGTGTTTGACTCTAGGATGAGGTCACAAAGGCTAATGCTCGAAAAAGCCATGATACTTTCACTTTCGTTTTGGAAGCTGGAGCCAATAGTTGGCTGATTCCCAGGACATATAACATGCTGGATTCACCCCTTACCTCCCTACCTAAATGCACTAAGGGAATTTGAATAAACAATCTAGCCTTCCTGGCCTTGGAGATATCAAACCTGTTGAATCCTCTTAATTATTCGTCGATATTAAATCACAATGCCAGGTCAAAACCGAGTTCCGTATATGCCAGATATGAACCTTGGCCAAGGGTGAGTGTTCTGTGGAGAACATGCAAGATACGAACATCAAAATGCTGAACATTGTCATCAGTTTCAATTCCTACCTCCAGGAATGCCGCCAGTCTGATGTAGTAAATATCAAGACCACGTCCGGTCCGGTGCCGCAGTTGGAAATTTTTTATGATTCTGAAGAAATCAGCACTTACGAGTAATACTCTCCATAAGTCCCATTGTTACAATTCTAATTATACATACAGAAAGCTTGTGGAAACTCTTGATATCAGTGCTGGTGCCGGCCTCTCCCACGGGCAACAAGACGGCCATATTGACACAGAGTATCTTGATAAGACAGAGGTTAGTATCTGTTTTATTCAGCGACTTTGGGAACACCTTTTATTAACGAGGTAAAAAAAAGTTTGAAAGAAGTTTTGCGACGTACGTAGTCCGGGTCGATGCTCAGCGCCAACCAAGTGGGGGACGCAACTACTCTTTCAATTTGGACAATTGGAAAAGGCCAGTGAATCCCAATCAAGCCTACGGTGATCGATTCATTTCTGGTAATGCTCCAATTCTTGAAACTCAGGCGTCTATAAGCCGTCTCTGACAGTGTTCCAGATTTTATCACTGGTGGAGGGCGCTCTTGGCCCGAGTCTCCTTTATTTCCGAGGATAGAATGAGTTCCCAGGAGCTACGGGCAAAGTACGATAAATAGAACACAAGGAATATGGTTTTCTAACAGACTTTAATCAGGATCAAAGGTGTCTTCAAGGTATATCAGGCCAATGTGCCCGTTTCGGCAGAAATTGGGAAAACCATGCAGCAGATTGCAAATCGCTGCCAGATCATAACTAAGTTGCACTATATCGGAGCTTCTCCAGAGCAACAGGAAAATAGCGAGGTGGAAAATGATGAATATCGTCTCAAATGGCTGAACGAAGTGGCGGACAATTTTTATAAAAAGTCCCAGAAACATGAGTACAAGAGATTGTGAGTTGCCTTGAGTCCATTGCGGAGTTTCTGATAAATTAATTTTTGAATAAGTGCACTTCTTGGTAAATATACCACTTTCGATATACCCAAGGAGTTCAAACCATTCGATTACGAATACGCAATGAAGGCGGTATGCAATCCTCCCGATAAATATCAACTCTGCCTGACTCTGGATAACTGATATAATTGCTCCAGAGCTGGGGGGTGTTCAATGCCTTTGCAGAGTATCTTGCTATTGAAGACTTGATCAAACATGCTATAACAATGCTACACTAAATTCATTTCATCGCAAACATCTGACTTGTCTAACTCCAGTCAAATCGGTCAATTTCAAAGATCGCACTTCACAGGAGAGCCTCCACGGCAAGGCAATTCAGGCGCAGAAGACCTTGCAAAATTGGGTATCGTTCAAAATATGAAGTCATGGTCGATCATTATGCTAAACTTCTATATCAGGTTGAGGATGTCAGCAATGACCCTACAAAGGTGGAAACGAAGCCACATTATGATCCAGATCAACTTCGAAAGGAAGTATTGGTGAGTGGGAACAAGCGGCAGTTAAAGTGTCATATAGCACTAACGCAAGTCTTATCGGGGAAGTCCGCGGTCCAGAGCAAGAATTATATCGCTCAAAGTCTACCCTTGGGGCATAAACAAACGGCTCATTGTACGAAAGACTCTCTTCTGATTCCCATTCTTCACTCACTGAAACTCGTCCTGCAATACAGTTATCGATGACAATTTGCACAGCGGGGCGACACGGCTTTGGCATTTTGATATCGGCGCCTACAGTTTTGGCGAGGTCAATAGCGCAGCCGAGGTTATCGGCACAGCTGAAATCCTTTTTAGAAAGAATACTCTGGGTAAGTATGAAAGTGTGGATGGACGTAAATTGACTCAAGGTTATAAGAGAGTCAGCCACTTTTGGGCTTTCGAAAGACAAGTGCCCGGTATCGCCGACCAAAGGGTAGGTGTGTATTTTCTGGACGAAGGTGGTTATGAAATTGTGCCCAAGGGCGAACAAGATGACTCAAAGTTGCTATTTGACTTCTATACGCTGAATGTCTGGGGAAAATGATCTCTCAAAATACCCTCCCTGGGTAGTAAAAACTAACAAAAAGTGATTGATTATGTAACCAGCGTGTTCATCACAAATTGATTGTCTGTACTGTCGGAAGTGAAAAATAATTCAAAATAGCTTACCCCTGATCAAACTGCACTTTGCTGTCAACGCTCCACTATCCCGCCACGAGCAGAAGCTCTACAACAGTATGCCACATGGCTCTCCCTGGTTTTGTGTGTATTGTTGAGTTCACATTCTGGTAATAAAGGAAGATAAGGAGCCAACCTCAAGGCTTGGGGACTTTGTGGTGGACCAACCTGTCCCCGTTCCTCTCTTCTTGGACCGCGTTTCCTTTGCATCTGGGGGTTTCACGAGGCCTCAAATTCAGCAATACTCGATCAATGAATAGGGAAATTGGTGCATCACCCATACATTAGTTTGACAGTTAAGGTTGGCTCCACCGGAGTTTAAAAGAAAGCTTGGCAATTCCGGGGAAAACGCTCCGGTGGGGGGCCAACTATTTTCCACTTTATATATTAGCTATTTAGCTATTGAACCATAAATGAGAATGAAAAGAAACATAGTTCGATTGAAACAATAGTTCCTTCCGACTCGAGCTATCTTGAAGTACCAGAAGAACCTGCTCGTGTTCTCTTGGATTCTTAGCAGACCAGGCGAGTCATATATCTGCGTGGACTAGGTGCAATTTAGGCGCCCTTTGATGAGACCTGGTGCTCTACTACGATGGTTAATTTCGCCGAGAAGATACCTGAGCCTATCATGTCTCACCCTTTTGCCAATGAAAAAGACACAGCATCGAGTGCAGCAACACCAGACTTATTACCCTACAGACAATCATTTCTCAAGGCTCTCATTACATAACATTCCCAAAGATTAATTTGTATTTACTCGCCTGCAAATATGAGCAGATACTCACATTGCCCCTGTCAAACCATCAGACCACCCGATAAGGAAATTCCGCACACGAAACACAAACGCGGGGTCGCCAAGCCCCCTAGACAGAACCTAACGCATGCACCCATCAGCAATGATATCATCCTACGGGCAACCCTAGCATAGTGACGACGCCCTGAGTAAGAGAAGAGATATGATAGGGCAGCAGGCTTTTTCCAAAGTGTCTGCCTGAGGTATCATGTATCGTGTATGGTGGAAGCGGGGGCCGAGCGCACTCCTGATTCCTTTGGGCGATGGCGAAGTGGAGCATCTCAGATTCTGGGGGTGGATTCTTCAGCCGAGTGGATCTGTCACTTCTCATTTTCTACTTCGAGTGACTTGCTTACTTGTACCGGTACATAATCTCAAATGCGAGGAGGGAAAGTACGTTGGGTATTCATACAGTGGACATTCGATGTGTGTACTCTGTTGAGAAAACATCTGGCTTTCGCTTTGTTTACACACCCCTGGTTTGCGAGTCATTCCATGGCTGGGGTTAGGCCTAGTATGACCTTCCTGCGTGTGCTTACCTAGACAGTCTGCCATTCAGTCATTACATTTGTAGTCATTATTGCCACGCGCTCTCCAAACCTTCATGGTCATCGCCGGCACCTTCGGCTGAGCGATGTGATTTTTACCATAACATGCGATAACTCTACGCAGAAAACGAGCGACAGCAAGCTGAGAAATTGAGGCAGATACATATCATATCTTTCAGACACGGGATTATTTGTAAAGTATTTGATTGTGATAGTATTGATATAGGGTAAAGTAGCCCTTGAAACAAAAGCGCCAGGGCTATCTTGCCATTCTATGGCTAAGATGCAAACGACCGACCGAACAAAAGAAAGAAAGACCCAACCTGGGACCTGAAGAGTTCCTCCGGTCGCACGCAACTACCGATCAGACACAGCTGTTATCGATAGATACATGGCGACGAGGGATAAAAGGGGTATGTTGCGAAGAGTTAGTGGAGGACATGCGTGTGAGTTGTAGAATCATGTAGTTGAGTCGAGTCCAGTAGGTAGCAGTGACTGGACTGACCCATCTACCGAGCAACACGCTTCAGATATCGCATTGTGAGGTACACAGCCGCCATGCTGGTGTACAGACCGCCAGCAGCTGTGATCCAAACGGGACGGTGAACTTTGAGGGAAGTGCGCAGGAGGTTGGCTTCCTTAGGCTGTCTCTCTCCTTTAGGTGGTGTTAGTATATCCGAATATCAGGAACAAGGTAAATGATACGGTCGGAAGACAAAAGGGAAGAACATACCCTGCTGGAAGATACGCTGGCGCAGGTTATTCAGACCCTGCCTTGAGCGGGCAGGGAGAGCCTGCAGTTGCTGCATAATAGGGCCCATGGCTGCCGACATCGTAAATGTAGTGTGTTGGATGAGGTTTTGATGGAAAGGTCAAGTTGATACTTCAAGTCTGATGAAAGTTGATGGATGGAAGTGATGGAAATTGATGGAAATTGATGGAGGGGAGAGTTTCTTAAAAAGCAGAGAAGTAGACAAGGGAGGGACATCCATGGATAACAGTAGGGCTTATATACAACATACACTGGCATCATCTGACTTAATGAATGCGGGGTTGGGAGTCAGTCAGGACTTGGTACTGAGTCAAAGGTGACATCGAGGACATCCCTGTTCGGTGGCAAGCCAATGGCCGCGATGCCTCACTTAACCTTGGAGTGTTGATTGAGTTTCAGGATCCATGTGTCCCCGGATGACTCAAGTTGTCTCGACTTGATATCTTGGTGATGATTCAATCATGTTGGTTTGTTCCATGGATTGTGATTTCTGTTTCTAAAAAGGGAACTGTGAACAGTGAACTTTGAAGAGAAATTGAAGAGACTCGACGGTAGGGTTATTAAAAGCAATAATAACCGCCCTTCCAATTGATAGTGGGAAGTGCCAGTCGATCATAATGGGGCCGCATTAGCCCTCTCCCCCACATTCTCTGTGTCGAAACGGTCTTGATTGGCCTTGAGTGTATGCGATTGGCCAGGTTCGGCGTCATAGATGGACCAAAAGTACACGGATACATGTATATTATGGCAGTGTAACCTTGGAAATACCTGTGTGCCCTCAACTACTCGCAACCGTGTACATTGTGACACAGACAAATAGGGGGCTGTCCTGGCGACATGATCATCCTGCTATAGGCGGGTTCCCCTGGAATGCGCCACAAAAAAGAGGCTAAATGAGAATATAATTGGATCTATGATTTTATACCTACCTTCATTATTTCTTATAAGTGTATAGATGTTACGATAACCCGATAAAAGTGGAATATGTCATGGTGGAGTCCGGAGGTTTGGGGCCGGTCCCACGCAAATCTGGGGGATTGCGGGGTTAGTGGGCCGCCTGGCTGAGCTTAGATTGACTTGAAGTCCTTCAAGGCTGGGCTGGACAGCTACGCTGGGTTGACTCCAGGGCTCTCGGGTTGGTAATATAGAAAGAGTTGCATCCCATATTTACCTTCGTGGAATATTTGCAAAGGTATACCTCATCATCCAATTCCTGGTGACAGGAAAACCTGAGGCAAATATACATTGTCACCTGACAAGTATCTGAACCTAACCAAAAGGAGTATTAGGGTAAGGGCAGTGTCATAGCTGACTCAACTTCAGATAGACGGGCATTCCAAGGTTAAAAAATTTGTAAACAAGATATATTTAAGAAAAAGATTATACAAAATCAGCTTCATTCAAAGTGTAAAAGGCGCCGAAAATGAAGCCTGTTAACTCTCAACAACTATTATACTTGATAAATGTAGTTCTTCCACTACATATCTAGAAGGTACCGGGGTCTTGGTATTGGGTTTCCTAGACCTTCAAAAAATCCATAGAAAAATACATTATATTCTAAATATGATTAATCCCATACAAGCGTCTCTTCCCGGGCAGTGAATGTTTGCACTTGGAATTAACAACGGTTTGGGAGAAAATTGATAACGACGAACCGAATGACTAGTACAGTGGGACCTCCGAAGTATTGGGCAGCATCTTTGTACCCTCACATACCGCCTTATATATGGGGGTACAAAATGCCGCCCAATACTTCAGAGGTCCTCGAAGGAGAAAGTAATCACGTTCACCAATGGTTGTTCATATCTTCAACAGTTTACAAAGTTCGCCTTGGGCAGAACTTGTCGCCAGCGCCGTAGATATTGTGCATTGTTCTGCCTTCTTCCTCCTATTTCCACTTTCGCAACAGATTGAAGCTGCCAAAATTGTCGCTACAGTACTCTAGAAGGGTGGCATTGATGGTTGGAAGGCAAAGTGGCAGTGTGAAGCCTGGAGAAGCTCCGGCTATCAAAGAAGGGACTACTAGCTTCAGGCATGATGCGAGCACTTTGGCGGAGATTTGGGATAGTGCTGGGGTTCAAAGGGCGACCAGATGGGAGGTGGAGTGCTCGCTTGACGAGGTTGGGGTTCAACCCAGAATCAAGAATGCTGTCGAAGATGAGAAATCCAGGAGATTGTTCCCTACTATCCCAGAGGAGGGATAGGAAGCCTGTCGAGACTCTCGTACATAAAGATCTTTTTTAAAAAGAAACATATTCAGTGGTAGTGGTTTTTATTAACTCCTCGAAGAGGATAGGGAGGTTAGTAAAGATTATTTTGAACTTCTTTTGATGTTTATGTAGTCAATTTATGGCAGGATACATATTGGGCTCTCATATACGCCAATAGTGGTCGTTCTGGTGGACATGGCTCCGCATTGTCATTCTATTTGCAGATGTTGGAGATCAATGTGATTCATTCAGATCAATGGAGCCTTGAAGTCAAGCTGTGTCGTGGTGAATATCCTTCAGTCGGGCCTATATGCCTGATAATGGGGAGCAACTGATGCTAGAAACCGAGAGCCAGAGACATATGATTAATAGTCTCACTAAAAGTCTACAGTAGTCTGGACTTTCCTGCGTTTTGACTCGCCTGAAGAGCAGCAGACAATCCGAACTGTGATTTGACCCCGTTGATACGGTGGGTTGAGTTCAGATTCTTCACTACCACAATCTGGAAACACGTCGCGCAGCCTTGACGAGATGCGATGACCGACCACGCCAGAAAGAGCTCCCAAATCTATGCAAGGTTAGACCAGGAAAGATACTTCGATAATGACTACTACTCACTCTGAACCAGCGCTCGCCATATTTGGCCTTGATTGTATCGCCGTTGCCAATCCAATTCCGATACCATCTCCAAAGTGTGCCAGAGTAATGTACCCCAACAGTATCGACACTAGAATGTGAATTTCAGCCCCGATATTCCGGAAACAAAAGGAATTCCGAAGACATACCTTTTGATCTCAAATCCAGCCCGTTCTAAGCACATCACATAATACCAAAGAGGAGTGGATGCGTCCGCGCCGCGGAATATATACTTGTTCAGGAAGAGACCCCAGATGAAATCTTCATACTGCCAAGCTTGACGGAGGCCAGAAAGTTGCACATACATAGCACCATCATCCTTAAGCATACCATAGCATTGGCGGAAGAAGGTTGTCAGTTTGCGAATACCAACATGCTCTCCCATTTCAAGCTGCGTGATTTTGTCGTACTGCATATGAGGAATGTCACGGTAATCCATACACAAGATACGGCTTTGAGACTGAGAAACCCCGGCCTGCTGGAGAGCATCATTGCCCCATGCCGTCTGGTGTCGCGCGATGGTAAGACCTGTGACCTTCGCTCCGTAGTTAAGACTCGCGAATTTTGCGAACGTTCCCCACCCACAGCCAATGTCCAGCATGGTCTCTCCTTCCTTGAGTGAGATCTTCTCGCAAACAATCGCCATCTTGTTATCCTGCATCTCTTCTAGTGTTTCTTCTCTCTCGGTATCGGAGATGATACCGGAGGTGTAGATCATGCGAGGACCGAGGAACCAGGCATAGTGATCATTGCCCCGGTCGTAGTTTGGGCGGATTTGTTCTTCGTCCTGGGACTTTGTGTGGAACAAGACATCTCTTGCGAAGGTCAAGAATATGTACTTGAACAAATCCCAGGTAAAACCGAAGTGCGCCCAATCATGCCGGAACTCCATGATATCGAGACAATCTCCGTTGAAGTCGACGGCACCATCGAGGTACATTTCGCAAAAGGTCTGTAGAGGGACTCGGTTTCTGCCTTGCCATTTTGAACGGTTGGCCTTGCTCTTGAAGGTCACGTACTCCTCTATGGGGCGACCGGGTAATTTGACCTTGTCGTTGATGCGAGGACTGCGTGTGGATGTCCATGCCCAGAATGACACTAGAATCGGCACCGTGGTAAGTAGACCGATGAAGATTCCCGTTTTGATTCCACCACCTAGTATATATGTCAGAGAGGCGGGAATGCCGAGTAAGCCGCTGAGCAACAGTGAATTGCTGAAGCTGATATTGCCGGCGCCCTCGGCGGGGAGGGGCGGATTGTGGATGGCCGGCGACTATGAAATAAATTAGTAGGTATCGACAGGGGAAGATCATGATAAACTAACCCCCGTAGAAGGAATTCCGCAATCTGCAGGGTTCCCAAATTTCGATGGCTTTGCTGCTGCGGTCTGGATAAACTCGATGTCACCATGAAGGTTGACATTTCCGATGCCGCCAGACGCCATTTTAAGTTGATGATGACTTTTCTTTCAGTGAAATTCGTGGATTCTCCCGTGAGACGTGAGATATATGCTGTTTATTTTCCAACGATGAGAGAAAAAAGGAACATCGTAATGGTCGCATTTCGATTTGAGTCCGTCTGTGGGCCCCAATTAGCTGTCGGTCAATCAGAAAACACCTCTGCCTATGCAAGCCCTGAAGGCAATTCCGATATGAAGATCAGCAAGGGGTGCAGCTGGAATATCCAATCACAACAGTCCAGAAGAACCTCAAAAGTGGCCTGAGTCGGCTGTTTGACTGCGATCCATCGTCCCCGGTCCCCGCGGGCCCCGAAGTACCTGGAGTTCGACCTACATATAGTCTCTCCGTAATATTATTTGACTATCATTGGTCATGTTTTTCTATGGCCAGTGCCTAGATTTGGGGCTAAAATGTCGTTTTTTAAAAGCGTGAGTTCACAAAAAACCTGCTGTCAATGTCTACAACTGACATTCATGAATACAGTTTTTCACGGCCTGGGTTGTGATTTCCTTGATATGGCTTTGCTTTACTCTTGTTATAACTATGCCCTAGCCTTAATACTATAATATAGCTATATGCGTACATCTTGATGCTCGCATACTGCCCGTCCTTAAAAGGTCTGTCCATCTTAGGCATAATTGGTGCTCAGGGCAACTTCCTCCTGCAAACTCAAATCGTTGCTGAATCTTTCGCAGCTCTTCTGCATCCTCGTATAGGCATCGCTCCCCAGAACTAGTCTAGAGATCTTGCCTGCCAGGGGACCGGCCATCCCAGTGCCCGTGACGGCCTCGAAGATGCGCTCGACCCCCTTCTGGGGATCGCCAGGCTGCTTTCCGTGGACAGTGAGGAACTTGCGCATCACTACGCCTACGGGGTCGTCATAGTGGGGAGCGACCGTGGCCGGGTCGGGACTTGCGTCAGCCAACTGTAACGCCAGTAAATTAGCACTGATGGCTTGTATCGAAGTTGCAAGGGCAAACAAATTCAAAAACTCACCGCGCCGACAAAGTTGGTGCGGAAATTGCCGGGCTCGACAATCAGCACGCGGATGTTATGAGGCGCGACCTCCTTAGCAAGCGACTCGGATGCAGCCTCCAGCGCGGCCTTAGAAGCACTGTACAAAGAGCATGCCGGCAGGGGGTCCTGGGCGGCACCACTGGAGATGTTGACAATGGTACCAGAGCGCTGGGCACGCATGACAGGGAGGACAGCCTGCAGGGTGTACAGGGGGCCGAAGAAGTTAGTAGTCATTTGGAGGGTTGCTTCTTTTTCACTACAACAAGTCAGAGGGACCAATCGTCCTTATCTTCTTCATGTTGGTCGCTACGTACGTAATGTCCTCGCAGGCGGCCAGGATGGAGTAGCCAGCAACATTGATCAGATAATCAATGCGACCAAGGGCGTGTATCTTGCTTGCAATGCTGGCCTGCGACTCTGTCATGTCCAACTCAATCACCGAGCCTCCAGCCTGCTCGATCTGCTCAACCGCAGTGGCAGCTTTGGTCTTACTGCGGACAGAGCCGATAACACGATGCCCCGCACGCAGAACGTGAAGGCACATTCCAAGGCCAAAGCCATTGGAAGCACCCGTGATGAGCCACACAGAAGATGACATGTTGTGCAGAGTGGATGTCAGTTGTGGAACGGAAGAATAATCTATTCAGGCGTGATATTGAGGAAGGAGAGGAAGGATAATAACAATTTCGAAGTTTGACTAAATCTTATGGCCTGTGCCCAGATTTCTTTTTTTACGCCTAGTGCAATGTGGACCCTATTTAATTCACGATCCTCACTGTTATCTGGAGAATCTATGTATGGAGGATGAATTCTTGTCATCCAAGTTACGTATCTAAGGCCTAAAAGTGGAGTCAGGTGGACGTTATGAGGTATATGAGCGCGATCCTGAAATCTTCCTGCACGAGGTAGTGGTATTGAGCAATACGCGGAGGGGGGCGGAAAAACCAGGCAATGGGGGCCGTTTCTGGCGCTTGCCCTCTGATAGAATACTATAAACTAGTTTATAATCTCGCTCTAGCTAGTTATCGTTTATAGATACATATAGTAGGCTATACCTAGGTAGATACATAGTTTCAATTTTACGATAAGGATCCGATAGAATTCGTCCTAGAATTGCGATATATCCTAGGGTCTTCGGTCCGAGACCGCAGAATCCGGCATCCTATTGATACCGAGGGAAAAATTAGAAACAGAGCGGTAAGGTGTGTCTCGGACTATCGGGATCTAACAGGGTCGCGCAGACGGAATAAAATAAATGTTCAAGATTTCATCCCGAAAACCCGTTAGTAGAAGACAGCTAAGAAAAGAATCCATAGAGACCACTCAGAAGCATCTAAAGGTAAAAATATAAATGAATAAAGCAGTCGACTACTATTATATGTTCGTGAACCAACTGAATGCGGTTCAGTGGTCTTGCCCTCAGTGCCTCTATAGGAATGAACATAAAGTGTTGTTGAGCCGAAATTGTTCTTTATAGAGTAAAATATATAAAAAATATCTATCCAAATAAAAGCTAACGTCTATCTACCATGTCTAGGTTCAAGCCGCGCGGAACACGACATATCTGACGTGCGTCATCAGAGATAGTTGTCCAAATAACCTGGTTGACCTCTCTGCCAACCTGATCGATCGCGTCGATAGCCCAAAGGACATCGAGATGCTCATATTCTTCAATGATCTTTGAATGAACAAGACTCACATGAGGCTCACGGCCGCTTTGGAAGCGATTCAGAAGCCGGCGACCATCAACAAGAGCATCGGAGCCTCCGATCCAGAATGCAAATGGGGGTGTTCTCCGGCCATACCAGGGGCTCGAGGCTGGAGTTCCCAAACATGAATCACCGGGATCGTCACCATGCTCAGAAACGGGGTCTCGCATATGCTGACTCGCGCTTGTCTCCTGGAGCAGCTCGTTGTCTGTGGACAAAATGCATTTATGTTTCGCGAAGCTGTCGCTTCCCAGCCACCAGCGCATCGACTCAGCGCTAACATACACAGGAGCGAACTGAAACATTCGATGGCGCAGGTCACGCTCCCAACGCGTGTCAGACCAGTCGAACAAAAAGGAGAACACCCAATATGCTAGGGTGCCATATATCCTAGGTGGGAGCAGACGTCGAGCGGTCATCATGGAAGGAATGAAAGAGTGGATTCCGAAGACGAGTCGGAACATCGCCGGAGAAAGAAAGCTCATGAATCGGAAATACGGTCTGTTCACAAGGGGGCCAGCATATGCAGCTGGTGCAAGCGCGCAGAAAACCGAGATGTATTCACCTAGCTCAGGACGATGTTCCTTGGCTAGAGCAACGAAGGTCTGTGTGGTTCCTTGGGAGTGGCACACGAGACCTAGCTTCTCGAACCCAGTCTCGTAGAGCACACGCGAAGTGAGTGCCGTAAGGTCCAGGGTCCCGAGATGTCGAATGTCCCAAGACCACATACGTGGGTCGTCGGTCGACAAAGTGGTGTGCTCTGGGTGTGACCCACAGCGGTTATTCCCTAACCAAACGTCATACCCGGACTTGCAGAGGTAAAATGCCAGACTATCCTCGTCGTTGGTACAGAATGCACCAGCGCTTTGCAGCAATCCATGGACTAGGAGAACAGGATACCGACGGTTAGAGTGTGGACGAGATGTATTCGGGATTCTCGGCTTGGTGAAAACATCTGGTCCACGCTCACGCCGCTCTTCTGGCGATAATGCTTCATACTCCCGGGGATTGTACACATGCCACAGGGTGATAATGAAACCGTCCTCGGTCTGGACACGAAATGTTTCCACATCGAGACCAACTCGACGGGCATAGTATGCGACGTCGGCAACCACAGGGTCCTTGCCTCCTTCCAACGACGGGCATTCTTGACATTCTTCGGGCCCCTGTTCCTCGTCCATATCCCTCTTCTGCTGGCGCAGAGCCCATCTCCGATCGGCGTCAGCCCGCGCCTTCCTGCGAGCCCGTTCCTCTGTATAGAACGACCTCCTCGTGTCTGGGTTGTGGCCGCTCCATCGCAGACGAGTTTCCGAAATTGCGACTCCGGCTGTGTGGATCAGGGCCCCGACAAATATGACCGCCAAAAAGCATAGCGACAAAAAGAACGAAGTGATGATGAACGCATAGTACTGGACCCTGCGCAATGCAGATGGGGGCCCATACGATGGCATTGGTGGGAAAAGCGGGTGTTCTGCAGTCAGGAAAGCAAGGCCGGACGAATGTTGTTTTTCTCTAAACGATGATGTCCCGGAGAACTCCATGGCTGACGCAGTCTTGCTATCACTGACCACCATCCCCACCTTCCCTTTCTTCTCGGGTTGTATTCCGTCTAATTGAACGTCTCGCATGGCTGCGCCGGCGTGACTCGTCTCCGCACGTGCGGTCGATATGAGGGGTTCGAGCGGAATCGTTGTGACCGACATTGTCATGAATTTCGCTCGTCACCCGGAGTCCAAAGGGGGCATTGTGATCTCTGTTTCTAAACCCCAGAAATGGCAGTAGAGTACGGATTATCAGAGGCCTAAAACATCATCACGTATCACTGTGGATTGCTACCAAGGCCATGCACGCCAAGCCCGTGGACCGAGTTATGCCACGTGATATTTCAGGGCCAGACATGTGAATGTGGGTCCAGTTGGCCAATCGGAGCTCACATTCGCGCTGTTCTATAAATAGAATGGCGATGTCGACTATGTTCGTGTACCTATTGAAGTTTCTGAAAATTTCACAGACGAGGACGGTCTTATCTTAAATGCTATAAAAGGCTAATATTATGTCTGAAGAAATAAAAACATAAGGGGTATCAAACGCGTCAGACCTCGACAGCTCTTTCATTTCCCTCTGCCGCCATTGCTTCTCTTTCATCAAGCGTAAACTCGCTCTTGGCCTCTCGGATTCGCACGAAAAAAGCGACAATAAGCATCCCCAGTATCGCTAGTCCAGTTTGGTACCAAAAGACAGCCTTGTAGCTGTCTCGAGTACCCAACTCAGAAGTCTGGGTCTGAACAATATCCGCGAAACCAAGCATCACGGCGATTCCCATGTGCAGAGTGCAGTTGATCAATGCACCAGCTAAGCCTTGTCTTGCTTTTGGAAGGTTTGTCGTGATAAAGACATTGGCAAGATTGAAGCTGATGTCAATGCCGACTGTGCCGCATATCATGGCCGGGAATACGAAAGCCCAGTAATTTCCCCCAAGAGGGATGACGGCAAAAAATAATCCAGAACCCACGTAGCCGAGACATGATATTAGCATCAATATCGTTCCTGGGACTTTGTGGAAGATCATTCCTCCTCCAACTGAGAGAATAAGACCGCCAACTCCCATAGGTGCAGCCCATGCCACGATTTGCATTGGCGAAGCACCCATTATCTCAGACATACTATAGATGTTGTCAGTAAAAGGTCTAGTCTGAACAAGACCAGCGGGATATAACTCACTAAAGAACGGCATAGAGTAGAAATATGCCCAATGTGCCATAAAGAAATAGCAAAGCAATGACCAGAGGCAGCATATACTTAACTCGAAAAACGTCACCAGGCAATAGAGGATTCTTCACGACCCATCCTTCCACATAAACCATGACTCCGAGGAGAATGAGCCCAAGAACGAGGAACAGAGGGATATATGGCGTTCTCCATCCTTGTGCCGCATATGAACTATCCGCAATGGCAAAAACAATGAGCACAGCCGCCGGGATAGAAAGACAAGCACCAGGCCAATCCATTTGGATGCCCAATTTTCGCTTCTCGGAATAATCGCGCGGAATAGAGAAGAGTGACAGAGCCGATGTGATAGCGGACAGAATCGCTCCGAAGAAGAAGTACCATCTCCAGGTGAGATATTCACCGGAGAGTCCGGAGAAGAAGATTCCCACGAAGAAGCCCAACGCCGCACATGCGCCATAGATACTGAAGACGATATTCTTCCTAGGTCCCGGTCTGTAGGTGCTACCAAGAACCATGATTCCCGATGGAAGAAAAGCGGCCAGAGCAAAGCCCTGCAACGCTCGGCAAATAATCAACATCAGCCATGTCTGGGAGACACCGCATAAGATCGAGGATATCGTGAGCCAAATAGCTCCCCCGCTGTAAATTATATATCCGCCGAACATATCGGTTAATCTGCCGAAGATGAGGAGCGTCGAGGTCACGACCAGCGATAATGCCGTAGACGGCCATATTGCCGAGGCTTCTGGAAGATCAAGCTCTTTGACGAGCGTTGGAAGGAGGACATTTGAGCCTGAGATGTAGTATTCCTAGTAAAATGTCAGAATCTTTCGTCGTGGCGTAGGATCATCGTCGATGACTTACTGCAAGAATTTGGGACATGAAAATCGAGAGACAAAAAGAAATCTCTGACCAAGGGCCATGGAAGCACTTTGGGCGCTCTCTTCCCAATCTTTCCAAATCGAGAGTCTCTTGATTTATCCTGGCCTGCTCCGGGTCATGTTGTATGGCCCCATCGCTCGGGCCAGGAGCTTCTGGCACGCCCATGATACTTTATCAGAAGCTTATGTCTTTTCTTGGTGTTTGATTACAAGTGAGTAGTGCACCATTACATGCGTGGTGTCGCAAAGACTTTTATAGCCATAGTGAATCGGTGGCCATTTCTAAGCAATGACGACCCAACAACTATAGACTAATAGACCCAGTAAAATAGTGCTCTGATTAATATTGTCCGTTTCCAGAAGACTACTAGAAATTTTAGCACGAGGGAAGCAAGATGATTTGTGGACGAAAATGGATTCCGGGGTGCTAAAATCTCCGCGCCAAGACTTCTACTTTGAACTTCCTTTTTAGGAAGTTGTGAGGAGTGGGGCTGACGAAATCGGAGACGACGTTGAGCATCGGCCTCATTCAGGAGCTTCTCAGATTGGACGTTCGTCTTCTAATGTTCGGATTAAAAAAATCTTGTGTAATGTCTTGTTGTGAGCGCATATTCTGCGAAGATCTTGGGCTCGATATTTCGCTGCAGAGCCAAGTTTGTTTTAACATCTTCCAACAGCCGAATAGTTTCTTCTCTCTCCCACAATAAACTACTATTTATACTCTAGTTCGGGCTCCAAAATAGCAGATAGAAATCGAAGGTCCTAAAGTTTTGGAGCTCACCGAAACAAAGTGACTGGACTGAGATTACCCCACAGCTGCCATGTGGCTTGCTCCGAGCTATAACACGTGGAGGAACTGGTTCTGCACTCTATTGTTCCGAAAATGATATATCATATGCGCCATGTGCCTCTACCCCGCAGAATATGGAGCTGCCATGTTGGAAAAGATACCTCATTAAAAAAGGATCGGGCGAGATGAGCACCACGGCTATCGAATGTTCCGCCAGAGTCTAAAAATACGAAATTACTTAAAATGCATTTGACGCGAGATTTCTCTCATTTGCTACACTAAGGATCTCTTTCGTCGCATCACACCATTTAAATTTTAGCTCCCGTAGGGCGATCCCCGATCCTCCTACTTACGTGCAGTAAATCGTGCCAAGAGTCAGGCAGGGTTTTTGACACTGGTCACAGCTCGACTGCATCCGCCGATTTCGCATTACGAGTGTTCTCTCCGAGGTGTAGCATGTATCGCCCAGTCAGTAGAGTGGACTGCCATAATGCCATTTTCAAGGTTTTCTCGGCGACATTTTGAAGTATTAAACCACTACCTGTAGTGCTGTTTGGTTAAAAATATTCCAGTAAAGTGAGTGGCGAGCGACAGACTTACACCCTGAATCTGGCAAACAAGCGCTCACTCTGCAAGCAAACAAGGCCTGTAGAAACAGGCGTCTATGGGAGATGGGATCATCTAACAAGTATTATCATACCTAGTAATATATCTTGTCAATTATGGAGAGCGTGGTTAGGACATAGAAGAACAACCCTCACCCGTGGAGGGTAAGTCAGAGGCCTAGTTGCGGCTCAATGCATAACGGGCTTCAAAGTACCCTTCTTTAACTTGCAAATGGCAATTTGATCGACTCTGACAGCTTAGCAGACATAGCCGTTTGGAGGAATCCGGGGTGCACATTGTGAAGACGCACTTGCGGGTTTTCGACCGCGAAGGACTGTAAGACCTTAACGGCAGCCATCTTACTGCTCACATAGGCGCCCATACCGGCGAATGGGGGAAATATAATGCCGGCCGTGGTTAGATTGATTAAAGTGACTGTCTTGTCCTCATTAGGGCTGACTGTCTTGTTCGCCAGGACGACAGCCTGTGCCGTCACCAGTGAACCGACAACGGTAGTCTTATATCCGTCCAGAAAAGTAGCTGGATCGGCTTCTAGAAGCGGAACAACGGGGGCTAGGACGCCGGCACAGTGGATGAGGATGTCGATGCCGCCAAACTCGGCAGCCACCTTATTCATAGCATGGCGGACGCTCGAAGCATCGCACAGCTCAGCCTCGTGAGTTTGGATCGTTACCTCTGCGTGGCTAGTTTGGACAATAGTGGCGGTTTCCGCCAGGGCGTCGGCGCGTCGACCAAGAAGGATGAGGGCTCGGGGACCCGACGCAGCAAAAGATGAGGCTGTGGCCCGGCCAATGCCGCCAGATGCGCCAGTGATCAACACAACCTTGCCTGCAGTGGAGAGGCCGGGCTGAGTTGGATTGATGCCAGCATATGTGGCGGAGTGAATGACCTTGGTGTACGAGGGCGGTAGTGGTGCCATTGTGTCAAATGTATGTTGATATGTTGCAGTGAATATGCAAGATAGGGCAAACAGTGTGAAAACAAAGGTGGAGGCGAAGAGTATGGCCGGTCAAAATGTGGTGGAGGAAAGATTAAATAGTCAGGCGTGTCACGGCCAAGGGAGAAGGTGGGCGGGGAAGCCTCCTGGAAAACATCCATTCATACAATGTATTGTCAGCAAAATCCAATCATCCTGCTCACTATACATTCCATGGATAGTACTCTACTCGTGTCTAGGCGGCAACCTTGGAAGCCGGAGCCTCGAGGCTCCAAAGTGGAACCGATAATGAACGGCCCGTTCCCCGCACGGACGCATCGGGAGTTTTTGCTTAAGGTCAGGTACGGACTCCGAGGGTACATACGCGGCCGATCCTTAATCCACACACCATTCGTCGCAAGGCTTAGCCACAAGCAGATCCTTCGGAAGGTTAGAACCCATTCATTTCCCCAAATGGACATGAAAACCTGAAAACCCCCCGAAGAGACTAATGATAATGGCGCAACTGCTCGTAGCTCAGCCTTTAAGAATTCCACAGTCGTAGGCCAATCGGACATCCGCAAGTTCGCAGTTATGGATACCCGCGCGCCTCCACATTAGGCTAACATGAACAAATAAGAGGGCACGCAAAATATGACTCGTAATCAACCATAAGGGATTAAATGTGAACCCCTCGGCAAACCAATAGGTACGGAGTATAACAGGTCATACTGTAATGGTAGCGGCGGCTACATATTTCCATACACCGGTGAAGCATGACGCGCATAGGGGGGCCCTCAGGCCCAGTTGGGGTGCAATCAATTCCTCTCTGGAGGCCGCGCAGGATCAGGGCGATTTATTTACTAACCACACCCAGAAAGATTCCAGTGAACGGAGACGACTGTGAGGAGGAGTGTCAATGAGAAAGGTCAGCATGTTGTTAATAATAAGACGTCGATAAGCTGGTTGAGAAGTAATATTCGTCTCGGTACCTACAAGGTATGCCAAGGAACACCACAAAGCTAGGGGCATATACGGAGTACGGCATGCTTGGATGATATATTCACAAGTAGGGCAACCTTCAGACGATAAGTAAGTAAATACTTCAGTCGAGATATTCTTTGTGTCGTCGTCGAGGTGACCCAGAGTACTATATTAGGTCCTGCACGTGATTTACACATGTACTTATGTAGTTGCCTGATCTGTTCCAAGGTTGACACCTCTAATGCCGAGGAACCAACAAACAACCACATACAACACGTACGAGCACCTTGTTCTTTTTTTGTCTAACGCTGAGCATCCATCCTCTGTCCGGGATTTGAAGTCAATCCCCAGCTGCTTTACTGCACCCACCATTAGGACATGGCGCCGGTCATGTCACGCACAAACAGAATGTGGTCTCGGAGAGAAATCGAGGGATTGATAGCAGATGGGCGAAAGATAATCATATTTCGTGGTCAGGTACTGAAGGCCGACGCGTGGATACCATATCACCCAGGTGGTGATAAATCAATATTGCACATGGTCGGTCGGGATGGGACGGACGAAATCACAGCATTGCACTCAGAGGAAGCACAAACATATATGCAAAAATATGTGATAGGAAGAGTACATGGAAGATGGGAAAATCTCTTGCCTCCGATACAGGGAGGAATATTCAGAACGCTGGTATCGAAGGACGAGGACGAAGCCGAAGATGTCAGCTCATCTGGACAATCGACACCACCATCACTCGTCTTTGATACTGAAGAAACAGGAGACGAAGTTCGTCTGAGGCGTATAGGCAATGATACACCTATTTCTCAAGCTTCATTATCAGAGCCAGAATCGGAGCTATTCAAATCTGCGGAAGCGTCAACAGCTCACGCGATATCATCAGACTTTTCAAAATATCCTCGTCTTGATCAAATGTCACAAGATGAGGTCATCTCGAAGTACCGTCACCTCGATGAAAAATTGCGATCCGAGGGACTCTACCAGTGCCCATATAGCTCCTACGCTGTCGAATTTATCCGATACTCGACTCTTTTTGTTCTCTTCTTGACATGTCTTCACTATTCCTATTACGTTCTTTCGAGCCTTTTCCTTGGGTTACTCTGGCACCTGCTTTCATTCCTCGTTCACGACGCCGGTCATCTAAGCATAACACATGGGTTCCACACGGACAGCTGTATTGGGATTTTTGTTGCAGATTTTATTGGTGGTCTTTCAGTTGGTTGGTGGAAACGGAATCACAACGTGCATCATATAGCAACCAACTCGCCCGAGCATGATCCGGATATCCAGCATATGCCATTTTTTGCCATTTCTTCTCGATTCTTTGGCTCCCTACGCTCGACCTACTATGACCGCGATATGCCTTTCGACGCGGCATCACGATGGTTTATCAAGCACCAACATTATCTCTACTATCCCATACTTCTAATGGGTCGTTTCAACCTATACCGCCTAGCATGGTCATACCTACTAGATCCGAAGCAATCGCCTCGCAAAGGCTCAGCATGGTGGCATCGCTACCTTGAAATGACCGGCCAGGTGTTTTTTTGGTACTGGTACGGCTACCGAACGCTTTACCTCTCGATACCCACGTGGTCGTCCCGCATCGCGTTCCTGTTCATCTCTCATATGGTCACCGCTCCGTTACACGTCCAACTCACGCTTAGTCACTTTGCCATGTCGAGCGCCGATGGGGGCGTCCACGAGTCTTTTGCTCAGAAGATGGTGCGGACAACGATGGACGTTGATTGCCCGCCTTGGTTGGACTTTATACATGGCGGTCTCAATTTCCAAGTCGTGCACCATTTATTCCCTCGTCTCCCAAGACATAACCTACGCCGTGCGCAGAAGTATGTCAAGGAGTTCTGTGATGACGTTGGAATACCCTACGTAATATTCACTTTTACACGCGGGAACAAGGAAGTCATTAGCAGACTGGGTGAGGTTGCTGAGCAATTGAGGGTGATGGAGGAATGCAGAAAAGTTGCTGCGAAGGATTTGATTGACGGTCACCACAGTCATTGACTGTTTCGTTTGGTTTTGTTCTTTTATTTTAGAGTATATAGCCAAAATAAATAAACATGATGCTGTTGAGCTGAGTTCGTGCACGGCTTTATCCCTCATCAAAAGTTATAGTTATACATGGAAAAGTCATTTTGCACATTTTGAGCCGTTTTTACACTTATACTCTAGCTACAACACCAATAAGGGGCAGAAAACATTTTAAAAGGACATCTAAAAAGCCATCTAAAAATACTGCCAAGAATACTACCAAAAATATATGGCAAGGCCGCATAAGCGGCCGACTATTTCTGTAGTCGTGATGCGATATCCAACCTTTCGTGTGTTTGCCGTTGTAATATCCCGGAATATTGTTATCTCACGGAACATTGTTTCTGTTCTTCTCTTATCCTAAGTGTGATGGTGACAATGTTGACCAGTTTTTAGGTGTGATCTATTTGTATCGGTGTGCCATAAAGAAAACATGGCAGCTAGTCGCCTCCGTACAAGTCCTTCGCAAGTCCCCAGGGCCAGATAAAGTGCTTACTCATGGAAATATGATTTCCCACCTGCAGATTGGAACCTTGGAACCTTGCCTGGTGGGCTCTTATTCAAAACCATAAAGAAACCGCACTTGAGATTCTGAGCACTGAGATAGAATCCCAGATACTCAAATCCCACTACTGTCTTTCAAAACATCGCTTATGTATGTATTTTTTCACTTCCTTGTATTTTTTCTATGTTGGCTGAGAGATATACCTGACTTACTCCATAGCTCAATCTATGGCTACTTGAAACATACGGTTTAGGTAGTCATTCTACACAAAAGTGTAGACTAAGGGATCTTAACAAGCCTGTTTTGAGAATTTCTATCCTGATGAAGAAGGTGACCTGAAGCAATCAATTTGTATACTACAAATCCCGAGGATATCTCGGCTGTCAGATAGTAACCTCACATGCGGGGGTTCCCCTTCTAGGAACCTTCAATGACGATCAACCTTATCGATGTAACATCCCTCGCGACCTCAACAATTTCCCCACCAATTTAGGAACAATCTGGACAATCTAAAGCAATCACAACATAAATGGGAGTTCCCAAAGTGTTCATAAACCGCGAGAGATGCTATATAGGCAATGATAACCACGGATTGGACAGTTTAAACAGTCTACAATCAAAATGAAGTTCTCCACACAACTCCTTTTTCCTTTCTTCCTCGCTCTTGCGCCTTCAGCTTCGGCTGCTTCCCCAAGCGATCTTCAAGCGCAAATTGGACATCATGTCATCTTCTCTTACCCCGGCCTCGAGCCACCAGCCTATCTCCTCGACCTGATCAAGGAAGGCAAAGTCGGGGGTATCATCCTCTTCGGCGAAAACGTCAGTGACAACCTCACAGCCACAATAGACAACTTCCAGGAGACCTATAAGCAGAGTCCATACTATTCAGGCAATCCTTTGTTCATCATGACGGACCAAGAAGGCGGAAAAGTGCGTCGATTGGCCGGTGGACCAGTAGAGAGCGCTAAACAAATCGGCCAAGCCCCCGATCCGAAAGCGGCAGCGACACAGATGGGCAAAGATGCTGCGAGCACCCTCGAGGCATTTAAGAACAATGTCAATCTAGCACCTGTACTGGATGTGTATCGCGAGGCCGGGGACTTCGCCGATGCCTCCCAACGCTCTTTCAGCAACTCATCCCGCATCGTTGGAACATGCGGGTCCGCATTTATCAGCGCGCAGCAAGCGGCCGGTGTCATCGCATCCGCTAAGCACTTCCCTGGCCTTGGTGCAGCAGGCGCAGGCGAGAATACGGATCTGCAGCCCGTCACCATTGACTTGACCCTCAAAGAGCTGCGTAAGGTGGATATGGCGCCGTATACCCAGGCCATCGCGGCAGGTGTGGACATGGTTATGACTTCGTGGGCTATCTATCCTGCTCTGGACCCGACCTACCCCTCCGGGCTGAGCAAGACTATTATCCAAAATGAGTTGCGGGGTAGACTTGGTTTCAAGGGTGTCACTATCACCGATGCCGTTGAGGCAGGAGCGCTAGAGGCGTTCGGCGATCAGGCTACTCGTGGATTGTTGGCTGCACAAGCTGGTATTGATATCTTGCTTGCGGCTAAGAGGGATGTCACGCAGGGAGAAGATATATATAACGCTCTGGTTGCCGCGTTAGAAGATGGGTCGTTGGACCAGGATTCATTTTCTGCTGCGACACAGAGAATCCTAGACGTTCGGAAGAAGCTTGTTTAGATAGATGACAGGTTGTGTGTTATTGGATAGACCGAAGCTGCATTGTCCCTTAGATGAACAAAGAAATTCTCTCATAGATTTCGTATTCCGTGTGTTAGTGAAATCTCGAAGTAACGTCGAGAATGGTGGGTCAGTTCTGAGCGCTGTCCGAGCTATACATAGGGCTTTGAATGCCTCCGCGCGCAGATCTTGACCTGTCCATGTCAGGGACCAAGGAATTTATTCTCACTCCAATAACGCCAATGCTACCTAACATATTGTATGGCTAGCTCTATCATACCACATGTAAATTAATACTTGTCTGTCCAACTTATCTGAACTATTTCATGATCAAAAGAAAAATCGTACTCCACTATCCCAGCCTTGTTGGTGCACGTTGGTGAGAGCATATCCGCTATAGCCCGTCGTCAAATATTCCAAGGTGAGGCACGCCACTTGCCGACGTATATAATGGACGCACAAAAATTAACCGAAATTTTCCCCGTATCACCAGACAATTGTTGACTGTAAAACTTCACCAATTACCAAAAAGCAAGTGATATGGGCAAAAAGCAAAAATATTATGATAAGAGTGGGATTCGAACCCACGCCTCTTGCGAGACCAGGAAACTATTGCTAGTTATGGAGTCAAGGTATACCTTAACCTGGCGCCTTAGACCAACTCGGCCATCTTACCAAGAACGATGGATGAAGAATGAGAATATAGCTATATGAACGGAAGCTAACTTTAGAGCAAAAGAATGTCAAGGAAGTGTATGAATTGAAATGTAACTGTGAAAAAGTCCATGTTCGTGGGCCCACATTCCAACCCTTAATTGCGTTAGATCCGACAGAAAGAAAACAAACTGGCATTCATACTCGAAGAAGCGCGTTTTCCTCGAGAATGTAGGTCTCATAAGTGGATTGGCCTGAACGGCAATACCTTCAGTCTAGATCACTTTCATGCAGTTTGTGTCGTTGATAACGATGAAGAGCATAGTAGGAATAATAGGTCCTAGTTATATTCTCATGATACAGTACAGAGGAAATTTAGCTATCATTAGAGATCATCCTTCTGTACAGAATGCCTTGACGCGATCAACCCATTTCTACTCCGTGCGTAAGAAAAGGTTATACGAAAGTTGGGTTGGTTTCAAAATACTTTTTATATTTATCTATCTATTTGTTTGGAATCTCTTGATGAATGGAAGATATTACGGCAGCCTCATATGCCACTTGATAGAGAGACCAACCAACCCGACGGTTTTTACCAAAAAATGATCCCAAAACCAAAAAAATAGTGACCGACGCAGGGATCGAACCTGCAATCTCTTGATTCGTAGTCAAGCGCCTTGCCATTGGGCCAGCCGGCCGTGCTGTTATATACACATGGCCAAATGTGCGCTATAAACGGAAACGAAGTGGGACCCACTCTCGATGCGTCTTCAGTCTCCTTAAGGACATCTATCATCGTCACAATTGGTCTATATTTGCTTTTAAATAGGTAAGAAATTATTGAATAGTAATATATATTGCTTCTTTTGCCTTGGTTGATATCAGTGTCGCCATTTTACACATATATTATAATGTTGCAATACCTAGGACCATTATATATCTTGGCATCCGGCTGCTAAATAAAACGTCCACTACCAGCTAAATTGACGTGTAAATCATCCAATATTTATTTGATGTTGCCTACAACCCCGTGGGTCTGCCGCAACGCCTGTAAAAGGTCAATGGACGCTGAGATATTTCTTAGTCAAGTTACGCAGATGAATCAGCGTTGTATGGAAAGTGAAATGTATACCAAGTACTCGGTAGGAACCAGTAGGTTAGTCTTTCCACCTAGAACGCTGGTACAGTGATGATTGGCGTTCTCATACATGTAATGAATCTGGCAGTCCACATAGTTTGCCAATAGTGTGAAATAGCTTGTGTGACTAGGTTTGTGACAGAGACATGAAACCCTGGAACACTAGCTTCATCACATGCCAACATATATTTGTTTGCTTCTGCAATACTACGTAGTAACCAAGGGGAATTATATAGATATAGTGTTGGAGACCAAACACGATCTGCGCTGCAATGTACAAACCAGACCGACGTTGTTCTGGTGTGAATAATAATATGTGAATACTTGCCTTGAACATGAGGACTGCTTTATTTGGCCCCCATTATTTTAGGTTTCATATTGCAAAAAGGGCTGTACGGAACGTGTGTGCCGATAGAATAGCGCTAAAGCAACTAGGATGTAGAGAAAACCGTGACTTAGGGCTTTAAGTTGTGCGATAGCCCGGTATCGAGGTTTCCTAAGAGTTTAGCAAAGTGAGTGCGGAGGACGGAGTAGGACCCTACGAGTTAGCTGTATAAGTACACATATAGGTATTATTGAGAGAATAGACGAATAAAAGCATACCTATAACACCCGTAGTGCAGCCGCAGTGATCAGTCACAAAGTAACCAGTTGGTTTCATAATAATTTCCGGTGTGGCACCACTCCGTACAGATATCCCATGCAGCTATTCCAATGGGTCATTTCACAGAGCTCAAAGGACACCGATACACCCACATATTATTGTATCAACAGTATATATCAGCCCTGGAGGATTGGAGGATAGGAAGGGCTTGACTCGGGATTGGATCGGAACCCGTAACGATGAAAATAATGAAGCTCCGGTTCAATGGGAGATTTTCCACAGGGCTAGGTCGATCATGGACACGGGAGGTGGGCCCGGAGGTCTTTGGGATCAAGCTGCAAAGATTCGAAATAAGCAAAAGTGGCTCTAAATCGAAGCAAATCTCTTCGAGACATTTTAATGCGAAATTGACGGTATTAAGAACAAAGGTCAAACTACAACATAGCTGACGCCACCACGGACCAGACCGGAGGTGTTTCCGCCCTGGCCGTTTTAGCTTTGCGTCAGCGGGTCTTTGATCATCTCCGGTGCCTTTATTTTTCGTCCTTTCAACCCCTCCTCTGTCTAACTCCCTTCATTCCCTTCTCCCTCATATTTCCATTACAGATTTCCTGTATCCTACGGCTGATTAGAAACCTACCCTTTTTATTCTGTGGAGCTCTGACTGAGCGCGCCGCAAACCTCAAGCCACCATCATGGGGCTGTCCAAAACGAACAGGATCTTGATCCTGCTGGTCATCGATACAGCATTTTTCTTGCTCGAATTAATTACTGGTTCGTATTTTGACACCTTGATCGCACGCGACCAAGTTCTGACAATGGTTTTTTTAGGTTATGCCGTGCACTCCCTTGCCCTTGTCGCCGATTCCTTCCACATGGTACGCCACCATCTACGATCTTGCTCTTCAGCTGAAACTAACCAGAATAGCTGAACGATGTCTTATCCTTGTGCGTCGGATTATGGGCCGTGAAGGTCGCAAACCGGGAGACCACCTCCAACACTTACACCTATGGCGTAAGTTGATTGTCAATACCAGCCCCGAAGGACGATCTGACAATTAGATTTCTCTATGCAGTGGCAACGAGCGGAGACACTTGGTGCCTTGGTCAATGGCGTGTTCCTAGTCGCTCTATGCATGTCGATTTTCTTGGAGGCGACTCAACGATTGTTTGAACCCCAGGAAGTGCAAAACCCCCGATTTGTATGCATTGTTGGCTGCTTCGGCCTCGCTTCCAATATCATTGGATTGGCGCTATTCCATGACCATTCACACGGACCCGGCGGCGGCCATGACCACGGCCACGATGACGATGAGCACGACCATGATCATGACATCGAGGCTGTTGATCATGATCACGATCACACACCGATCGCCGAGGAGAGTGAGAGCACGGCGGGGGCTACTGCTGGTTTTGGCAAACCCGCAAGCTTGCCTCAAAACTCTCTCACCCACTCTAGCACGGAGCCATCCCGAAAACGGCGCGACACCCTGACCCGCGGCCCAAGGAGATACAGCACTTCGGCAGGACGCGGATTCGTGAGCCCCGAAGATATTCCCGTGCTTCCAGAGAGACTGAGACAAGGGATTATCGCGGCCAGTCAATACCGGAATGAACAATCATGGGATTCGGAGAATGGCCATGACGAGGATGAGCTCCCATCTGAGACTTCAGGTCTTCTGAGTCACCGCGATCGCGCCACCAACTACACCGATGAGGAGGGAGCTCCGGTCAAGGTCCATGACCACCGCGATGAAGATGTCCACAAATCTCACAACCATGCTCAACCCAAGCCGAAGGACAGTAAGAAGGGTCACAGTCACGACCTCAACATGCGTGGTGTCTTCCTCCATGTTATGGGAGACGCCCTCGGAAACATTGGTGTGATCGTTTCCGCGCTTATTATCTGGTTGACGGACTACAAATGGCGCTTTTACGTCGACCCGGGTATTTCCCTCGTTATCACATTGATCATTCTTGCATCCGCCATTCCGTTGTGCAAAGCCGCCTCGCGTATTCTTCTTCAGGCCGTGCCCCCCGGTATGAGCATTGATCATATTAAGGAGGACATTGAGGGCCTTCCCGGTGTCATTGGCTCACACCACCTGCACGTTTGGCAACTCAGCGACACCAAGATTGTGGCTTCGATTCATCTTCAAGTGGACACTGAGATCAAGGGCGAAGGCTCGGAGAGGTACATGCGTCTGGCTAGACAGGTGAGACGCTGTCTCCATGCCTACGGTATTCACTCCTCGACTATCCAACCCGAGTTCGCACCGGAAAGTGATGTCGAAGACAATGGACGAGGATCATCCTCTAACACCGATGAGCACGTTCCCAGTCGTGCTGCCAGTGTTCGGGAGGGTGACCCTCAAGCATGCCTTCTGGAGTGTGATACAAACTGCGCCAGAGGAGGCCAGTGTTGCCCCAAAAAGTGAACTTAATTCCCTCATGTGGTGACTTTCCACACACTTTCGTTTCTCATTGGGTACCATGACCCCCAAACATCTCACCCCTACGGTGTTTTTCTATCCAGATACCCTATCTTTTATCTTCACCTCTTTGTTCGGGTAGATTCACAGAGACTTGCCCTACTCATGCCCTATATTAATTGTCTGGTTTTCTTAGAAGTGGTAACCGGTTTTTGGGAAATGCATGGCAAAGCATGCCGTGCAATGTCATCCTATCTGCTGACGTAGTTCCTCTGAGCCGCTGTATCCTTTGCACTGCATTTGTTATGTACTTCTACTATCTCTAATTTAAGACTTGCGAATCAACCTTGGAAATGTACCTAGATTAATTATGTAGTCAACAATTATGCTTGTTAAAGGTCCAGCACGTGACCGCCCCATGTCTGGCGATCGACACATCTCGACCCGAAGCTTAAAACAATTGCCTGTTCCCGCAAATCCCCCTGTCTTCAAGTCGAACACCATGTCATGAACCTTTTCCTTTTTTGATCCTTCACCATTCATTCCTTTTGGTTCTTTTCAGTCGTATGCCCAGAGCATGACCAGTCATTCATTTCCTTGAACATCAGCCCCGTCCTGTCCGGGGTCGAGCCACCCTGTCACTTAATTTAGCCTTGCTGTCAAGCTAAACCAAACATGACATTCGCCTACCCACGCAACACGGGCGCTTCTTCCCTTCCCTCCTTCAAGCAAAATCAATCACCGAGATCGCAAAATTTCGTCAGTCGCGTGTGGGACTGCATCCCCCCAGCAGCAAAACAATGGCTTCCCGGGAGTGTCAGCCGGGGAATTGGTAGAAATCGGGAGAGTAAGGGTATTAAGACAACGGCTATCAACCTTGTCAAACGTATCTTTACGATTCCCAATGCCATTATTTTGCTGTGGATGTTCTCAATTCGGTGGGGTGAACGGACGGTATTTCAGGACAGCATCAATAACTGCCTTTGGGACAGCTGGGAGGAATGGGTAAGTTGACAGTGGCACACCTGTCGCGATTCGGTTTACTTGCCTTAGCCGGTACTAACTGCTGGATGTTTCTAGCCTCAAGATGCCACGCCACACCACATTGCCTTCATCGCCGACCCCCAACTTGTTGATCCCCACACTTACCCCGGTCGACCATGGCCTGTGTCGACGTTGACGGTCAAATACACTGACCAATATATGCGACGGTCATTTTCCTTGATACAAGATCACCTCGAGCCGGACTCAGTGCTGTTTCTTGGCGACCTTTTCGATGGCGGCAGAGAATGGGCCACGGCTACAAGTAGCAGCCCCGAACCGCGGTGGAAGAAGTATGCAGACTCCTTTTGGAAGAAGGAGTACGGGCGATTTATTAAAATTTTCCTGGACCCGTGGGAGAAATTAGTGAAGCCACCTGTCGATGGACGAGGGCGCAGAATGATTGCTAGTCTACCTGGCAATCATGATCTTGGGTTCGGTAACGGCATCCAGGAACCCGTCCGTGATCGCTTCGAGTCCTTTTTTGGAAACCCCAACCGCGTCGATGTTATTGGGAATCATACTTTTGTTTCAGTGGACACTCCCTCCCTGAGCGCGATGGACCAGCCCGACCCATTGACGGGCAGCTCTCCGACAGCTAGCGATGAAAACCGTACTCTCCGTCCGATCTGGAAAGACGCAGATGACTTCTTGGATAAGATGGCTATCCACAAGGCCAAGGCGGAGACGGACGAGCTGCGAATGCTGCAAAACAAAACCGAGGGGCATAATATATTCGATTATCGTGTTGTCGACGCTGTCGAACCCGCCATCCATGAAAAGCCCCAGCCAACAGGCGTCGGCCTTCCCACTATTATTCTCACACATGTCCCTCTCTACCGCAAGCCAGCCACTCCCTGTGGTCCTCTCCGCGAACGATACCCGCCCTCTTCATTGGACGAGGAATTGGCAGAGGACGAGCCTAACTCTCTGAGAATTGCCGGAGGCTATCAGTACCAGAATGTCCTAACGCAGACCGTTTCCACCGAATTGGTTTCCAAGGCAGGACCCAACGTCGTCCAGGTGTATTCCGGCGACGACCATGACTACTGTGAAGTGTCCCATCGGGAATTCAACGGCTCGCCCAACGAAATAACAGTCAAAAGCATTTCCTGGGCGATGGGAGTCCGCCACCCAGGATTCGTACTCACCAGTCTGTGGAATCCAATCGACCCCAAGACAGGCAAAACCATCCAAGACGGATCACCACCCACTATCCAAAACCACCTCTGTCTCCTCCCAGATCAGTTGGGAATCTTCTTCTATTACCTCACCATCCTAGGCCTCAGCGTCTGCATCCTCCTCCTTCGTTCCATCTACCGCGTCCTCTACACCCCAGAACCATCCCCAACCGGCGCCCTTCTCCCCCTCTCCGAGCGCCGCTCTCTCCCACACCACCAGTACCACACCTCCGGTGCGTCCAGCTCTACTCTCTCACCGGGTGGTTTAGCCAGCCGCAGTGGCATGGCAGCCTCCATCCGCTACCCCGGAACTAAATCCCCGCAAGAAGCTTATCGGGGTACAGACGATGATCTCGGACCCGTTGCCTCAAAGGACAAGGCTGCATGGCGCCCCGCCTCGGCTACCCGCTCCCGATCAACGGTGTCCCTCATTGTCCGGGATCTGTACCATTCCGTCAAGTTTGTGGCGCTAGTGGTGCTGACCGTGTATTTCATCCTGATCTGGCGCTGGTAGCTAGTCCGGCCAGTCTTTTTTTTTCTTTTTCAGCGAGCATAAACATAATAGACAAGCATTTCGCCTGAACGTGCCGAATTGGCGTAGTCTAGTTTCTGATGTGATCGTGTGATCGTGTGTTCTATTCCCAGCACTAACCTTGTGATACATAAAAAATAGAGAAAAAAGTAGAATGGGCTAGAGCTAACGCTACCTTAGTTCCCGGCTGCGCCACTTTTCGGCCAAAACCACCGGCATTGGCCGACACGTGTTTATTATCCGAGTCCAACACCGATCTAGCCACAGGCCACGGGTGTCTCCGATAATTCCCCAAGAGTGACTACTACGTCGGGATAGCTTCGGGTAGTCTGTCCAATCCGCGACTCGGGAAAAATAGCGCAATGCACGGGACAAGCCATTCGTTTAATTAATTTTTCCCCGGCAATTTTCGCACTTGCATGACTTTGGAAAAATGAAACCTCGGAACGGGGAAATTAATCTGTTCATACTTTTTTCTTCCCAATCTGGCTCCGGTGAACAGTGATCAGATCATCAACATCTTCGATTATTGGTCCTGAAAATCTCGGGCCCCTACTCCGTACAGGTCTGGGGAAATTTGCGTCTGGGGATGAGGGGAAAAGATGGGGGAAAATTTTTCGAACAATTTGAAATATCTCAAAAGACCTTCTCATATTTCAAGTAAGTGTGCAATCTAATATAATCCACTCTACAACTATACAGAAGACCAAACCAAATTAAGATCCCGTAAAAATTACAAAATTATGTAAAAGTAAATCCAAGGCCGTTGCCTTTCACCCGATGCGGGACGCCGATACCGATCGGCATTGGCTCAACCCGGTCCCCCTGTTTTCGGTCTGTCATGTGGTATGCAAGGGCTATTTCCGTCCCATATTCCCAAGACATATTTTTTACACAACGGAATAGCCGAAATCCATACAATGCAATGCAATACTATGTACTCCGTACATTCCATATCCCCAACGTGCAGTTTCGCCGATCTTACTGTGCAAGGCAAGTGCAGAGCAAATGCAACGTAAGGTTCAGGGCAAAAAACCTTGGAAAAAAAAACAAACCTTGGAACTCGGGTCGGCGTCGAGCCAATATTTGTTGGGCCAATAAGCAGTCCGGTAGGAGTCCGGGGGCTGAGCCACTAAACCGAATTAGATTCTCCAGTTTCGGTCTAAACTCTATCCCCAGGCCCAAAACATCCATCAACCCGTGGGAATGGGGAAAATGCTATTCTGGGATTGGACGAGACTCAGACTTTCGCCTTCCAATTTTGGTTCCACCCCGCTGTTTTCGGTGTTTGTTGATTGCAAATTTCCCCGGGCTTCCAAGGTCGGGCCATGTGGTTGAGAATCGACGGACTGGGGAAGTACAAATAGAGGGGATTGACCTCCAGGTTTTTCTTTTCCTTTTTTGTTTATACAATTCACTCTACTTTCTCCAACCTTTCTGCCCTATTTTGCTCTTCTATACCGGATCTTCTCCATACTCACACAACTTATATACCTACTTCGATTGAACTTGCTTCTCTCTGATCACACTCACAATGGGCTTCGCTTTGAAGAGGCCAGATGATGCCGTGGGCTCTGCTGCCCCGGCTATCCTGATTGGATTGTTTGTTGCATTCGGTGGTGTTCTCTTTGGGTATGTGCCACTCCAAACTGCTATACTCCTATCCTCAAAGACAGGTCTAACAGCCATCTAGATATGACACAGGTACTATCAGCGGTATCCTCGCCATGCATAAGTGGCGAGAGATGTTCTCAACCGGCTACATCAACCCGAAGGATAATCTCCCCGATGTCACATCCGGACAATCATCAATGATTGTCTCTCTGCTCTCGGCAGGCACTTTCTTCGGTGCCCTCGGTGCCGCCCCTATCGCCGATAAATTCGGTCGACGGATGGGCATGGTTATGGAGACCGTCGTCTTCGTCTTCGGAGTCATCCTCCAAACCATCTCAACCTCCATTCCTCTCTTCGTAGCCGGCCGTTTCTTCGCCGGTCTGGGCGTTGGTCTCCTCTCCGCAACAATCCCCCTCTACCAATCCGAGACTGCGCCCAAATGGATTCGTGGCACAATCGTCGGCGCCTACCAACTCGCCATCACACTCGGTCTTCTTCTCGCCGCCATCGTCAACAACTCCACCAAGGACCGCGACGACACCGGCTCCTACCGTATCCCCGTCGCTGTCCAATTCGCCTGGGCCATCATCCTCGTCGTCGGCATGCTGATCCTCCCAGAAACACCTCGTTTCCTGATCAAGCAAGACCGCTACGAAGAAGCCACCAAGGCCCTCGCTCGCCTCCGCCGCATGGACGTGAACGACCCCGCCCTTGTCGCTGAGCTCTCTGACATCCAAGCCAACCACGAATACGAAATGAGTCTCGGAAAGGCTACCTACCTCGAGATCGTCCGCGGATCCCTCGGAAAGCGTCTCGCAACCGGCTGCGCAGTTCAGGGTCTGCAGCAACTCGCTGGTGTCAACTTCATCTGTATGTTCCCATTCTCCCAACTCCATCACTCGTTCCACACATAACTAACAAAATCCACAGTCTACTACGGCACCACCTTCTTCCAGAACTCTGGAATCAAAAACTCCTTCACAATCACCCTTATCACCAACATCATCAACGTCATCTCCACCTTCCCCGGTCTCTACATGGTTGAGAAATGGGGTCGTCGCCCTCTCCTCATGTTCGGTGCCGTGGGAATGTGCGTCTCGCAACTCATCGTCGCGATCGTGGGCACAGCCATCAACTCCGAGGTGTCGAACAAGGTCCTCATCGCCTTCGTGTGCATCTACATCTTCTTCTTCGCCAGTTCCTGGGGTCCGGTCGCCTGGGTCGTGACGGGTGAATTGTTCCCCCTCAAGGCCCGTGCCAAGTGTCTCTCCATCACCACTGCCACCAACTGGCTGCTTAACTGGGCTATTGCCTACGCCACCCCGTACATGGTGAACAGCGGGGCTGGAAATGCCAATCTCGGCTCTAAGGTTTTCTTCATCTGGGGTGGATTCTGCTTTATTTGTGGTGTGTTTGTTTACACCTGCATTTATGAGACCAAGGGCCTTTCCCTTGAGCAGGTTGATGAGCTCTATGCCAAGGTTCCCCGCGCTTGGAACTCGGTTGGCTGGGTTCCTTCCGTGAACTACACTGAGCAGCTTGAGATTGATGCTGGGGAGAAGAGGGCTGAGGCTGCTACCCACCACGAGAGTGTTGGCGCTAAGACTGAGGCTTGATTTTGATGTTCTTTTACGATTTTCTTTTTTGTTGTTTTGTGGATACTTTTTGAGCGTGGCTTTTATTTGAACTCGATGATTCTGTGTACTAGATAGATCTTTTATTATCATTGCGATATCTATAGTCTTCTGATATGAGTTGGTATATGATTAGATTTTTATTTTCAATATTGTTTCAATTCTCCATTCGTAAATCTTAGACTACGAGAAATGCCGGATAGATAGTTGACTAATGCTAGGGCATATAGGCCAGGATGATAGACATAAAAAAGGGTGAATTTGTATGGAAACGAGCAACAAGGGATCGAAAATCTGTAGATCTATCAACAGCGAAGGCTTATAAGGCAAACAAGAGCCCCGGAAACGTCAGATGATCCTACGAAACCCCTTTCTGCCTCTTTTACCTTACCTACATTTCGCGAGACCATCTCAGCTACATATTCGGTCAAAATAGCCAATTACTTATTTCCTGTTTTTGTAACTCGGCATGTTGTCGATTTCGCCGAATGAGTCCAGCAGCATCAATGAGCTTACGTAATGACCACTGGTATCCTGGGAGTTGTTACACACACAGCAGCTTTTGTTAGCCGCACAGCAAATTATGTAATATCCGCATCACATAATCATTTTTACCCAAGATCGTTACCATACATTACCACAGCAACTGCATTACTTACTACTATAGCAACTACATTCTATCTACTACTACTATAAAGAACTCGCTCTCTGCCAGTTAATCTTCCTTCATTTCATATCTATTATACCCTACAGGAACGAATTGTATGGCCAATTTCTCCACAATTTGAACACTTTGATGGCGCTTTCTTCTTTATGATCCTTTGGTCTGATGTCTTGTTGTTTCGATCTGATATGTTGTCTTGGTTTAATCTTATTAGTGGCAGTGGTAATAGAGGATCTAGTATTGGCAGATACTCCGATAACTCATTACTAAGGCCAAGCCTCCAAAATTGATGGATATCGCTTAGTGGAATTGGCTGATATGTTGATATTAAACTAGCGATTCGGTGGGCACATGGAAGGCCTATTGTCCTAGTGAATATATTAGTACAGTTAGCTAAAGGGGCTTCGGGAGTAGCTCTCTTAGCTATAGAAGCTTGCTTATAGATCTGGCGAAGTGAATATCGTGATGTTCTCTTTACAATATTCGAATAGAGAAAGTGGGAGCAGAAATTTGGCGTTTTAATCTGATCTTCTGCAAGATCAGATGAAAGGGTATAGTGCTGAGCTTCTAAGGCATTATTAATTCGTTCAAAAACAAAGAGTATATCACCTGTTGATGCCCCTATATGCTTTTTTAAAATTGCATGAGAGCCTTCCACTCGTGAGGTTGCCCAATTACCAAGATGAAGGTATTGCCCTATCCAAGCCCTAATAAACATCTCTTTATAGGTTAGCCAAGTTTGTTTCATATATCGAAGAGCAGCCGGAGTAAGACTAAATTTAGTCTCAAACTTAGCTAGTTGATCGTTATATTCAACTATAGTAGATGAATTGATAAGCTCTTTCCAAGATTGTATAAAGGCCTCAAATTCCTCATTTAAAGAGAAATATTGCTTTGTCTTTGCAAGCACATTCTTATTAATATGCCAAATATATAGTAAATGTGGGCTTTTTGGACAAATAGACTTTATTGCGCCTACTAAAGCAAGGTCTCTGTCAGTATAAAGGACGGGGGGAAGGGTAAGGGGTCAAGCCATGAAAAAAAGGTCTGTAGAGTCCATTTATAGCTTTCTTCCTACTCATTTTGCATAAAGCAGAAAGCAATACTATAGGATGAATTCGATGGTGAGAGACTAATAATATGTAAAAGAGGCATCTTATATCGATTCGTCTTATAGGTGCAGTCTAATAAAAAGACCCTATTATATTGATTAGCATATATAATTGATTTAGGGTGAGCAAATATAAAGAAAAGGATATGGCCTTCAGTATCCTGCTTAAATGCATATCTCCAACCATCATTTTGAAGTGTCTCTCTTAGAAATTCAAGCGGTGTAGAATTCCCGAGTTTCTTTCGTCTTAATTCTATTCGAATATTGTAGATATCTCTTGGTTTAATTAAGATCTTAGGATCTTTTCGCATTACACCAAGGATTTGCTGTGGCTTTGATCCGACATCAGAAAGATACTGGATAGTTTGGTTTTGATCTTCGGTAAACTGTCGACGTCGTGCTATAGGATGACCAATCATATTATCATCAGCTTCATGGTTATGAATAGGGTTTCTAACCTGGATTTCCCACTGATCATTCCTAAGCTTCTTCGCATAGAGACGAAAAGGACAGCCAATTCGTTTTGTACTAGTTTTCCGGCGCTTCGCCCTATCTGGGGCATTAATCTGATCGTGATAGTAACCACCTCTATCGCAACCAAGAGTGATATTTCTATCTCTACTTGATGAGACGGTAGTTATAGCATAGCCATAAGCAAGGGCATGCTGTTGGATAGAAGTAAGTAGCTGCTCTTTAGTCTCGAAGACTTGCTCAGTTGGTGGCTCCATGATTGGATGAAGGACAATAGATATGAAATGAAGGAAGATTAACTGGCAGAGAGCGAGTTCTTTATAGTAGTAGTAGATAGAATGTAGTTGCTATAGTAGTAAGTAATGCAGTTGCTGTGGTAATGTATGGTAACGATCTTGGGTAAAAATGATTATGTGATGCGGATATTACATAATTTGCTGTGCGGCTAACAAAAGCTGCTGTGTGTGTAACAACTCCCTGGTATCCTCAGTGCGCTAAGTGACATACTCAGATGTCATTCACCGTCGACTATGGCATATTTTCATAATCGCAGATTATGCAGAAAACTAAACAGTTACTGTCTCACGCACGGGATCACTGGGATTGAGCCAATTATAGCCAGTCAGATTAAGCTTCTTCCACGGATAAGCCAAAACAAGACGAAGTGGGCAGGTTACCATGGTATACGACCCTTTACGCATGGTGTCTCTATTATGCTCATACATCATATAGGATCTTTGCAGATAGATAGAGCCAAGCCGAGCTTGCGAGTCATGCCGCTAGGCGGCTCTGTCACTTACGGCTCCGAGTCTACTGACGGTAATGGCTACAGGAGAATTCTTCAAGAGATTCTCGTGTCAGATGGCTACATTGTGGACATGGTCGGGTCTCGCAAATCTGGTTCGATGCAGAACAACGACAATGAAGGTTGGCGGGGATTCAGGATCGAACAAGTTACCAACAAAGCCAAAGGATCAGTTCCTAGCCTTCTGCCAAACCTCTTCACCGTCAACGTTGGCTCAAATGATTGTGTCCAGGACTTTGAAATTGAGACTGCCGGCAAGCGAATGAGTGACATGCTCGAATACCTCTGGACGGCGTCTGCTGGCTCAACAGTCGTCCTTTCTACTCTACTCCCAAACTTGGACGGAAAGATTGAATCACGAGTCCTACGCGTCAACGAGCAATTTTGGAAAATAGCAAAAGCGAAAACAGTCGAAGGAAAAAAAGTTATCATCGTGGATATGCATGGCTCCGATGGGCCCCAGATCAGTGATCTGGCAGATGGGACACACCCAAACGATGTGGGCTATGCGAAGATGGCAACGATTTGGCGGAGAGGCATTCATGAAGCCGTACACAAAGACTTTATCCAGGAGCCACTATGATCATGCCGGGCCCCGGGGATATTGCATACTTAGTTAACACGATGGCATGGATTGTTGGGTGTGTTCGCCGGCTGTAAAATAACTTTACAATCGAAGACTTTAGCAAATAATTCTTCGACCTTTCTAGATACAATCCTGCGTCAGTCCTGCGAGTTCTTTGCACGCCAGGCAGCAATGTTTATGTAGTCCATGGTGTGGCCATTAATCCGCCATCTATACATAGATGGATTCATCTTGGCAACTATTAGTCAAGCGCTTCCCATCTTGCATCATATCCAAGCGCGGCATATCGCCAACAATAATATACAGCAAGGCTTCCGTGGGCGCTTGCACACCGAGCTGTAAGTTCGAGCCGATGATTGTGGGTTGTATATAGAGGAAGTCTCCAGCGCGATGTCTCGGGAACCATTTCGCAGCGTCGACGTGTAGTAGGGCGAGGATTAGTTTCTTCAATTCCTCCGACGGAGCAGGGGGTAGGGAGATGCGCTCCGCGGACATTTGCAGACCCGCGCCGTTGCGGTCTGGGCGGAAGAGTCGAAGTTTACCATCATCGCCGCTGTAGGCCTTTAGGCCCTCGAAGCACTCGTATGCATAGTAACAGGACACTGTCGGGAGGAGGGTTTGAGCTCTAGGGTAGACCATCCGATATCTTTCTTCCAGCGCGCGATGATCATGTGGTGGGTGCAAATGGTGTCGTTGCTTTTGGCGGCGGTCGCTTCGTCGGGTACATCGCGCGGATCGGTGGTGTAAGAGTAAATCAGCTTCGATGCGTCCATGGGCTGGGTGGCAGGGGGTGCAGTAAATGAGGTCATGTTTGAGATAGTGTAGAGAGTACTGATCATTACAAACATCGGTTCTTATTCATATAATTACATTATAAGGTTGTGACTCAAAATTCGGTTATACTAGGCGTAAGGCGTGTATGGTAGGGCGTGCACGATAGTAAGGTGTGTTGGCCCACGCTAATCATTACGATCGCCCCGAGTTTGTTGATCAGAGATTTTCGCGAGATGTCTACAATTTTGCTGGAAGCTGTTAAGAGTGTCCAAGACAAATCCACAATGATAATCGAAGGTATTGCTACTGGGATGTCATCTACTAGCGACTTATTCTTGATTTAAGGAAGCCACAAGCAGGAATCATGCGCAATAAAGTTCCCGAGATTTGACAAGATATGTAAACACAAAAATACAACGACTAAGTGCGCAGATACATATCTAACTAAAAGAATGAATTCCTCTTGCAAGATTTCGCAAGAGTATCAATATGCTCATCATCCGTGCCACAGCAACCCCCTACCACTTTCAGTTCCGGCAAGATATTCAAAAGCCCATTGAACTCTCGAACCCACACCGAAATATCGCCCCGATCTAGCTCCAGCGAGTCGTCAAGCTCATCGTGACACTTAAGACTTGAATTGCCTCGAATCGACCCGATCCTCGGCCTCAAATCCTCAGGGACACTCCGTACTGCTGTCATAATATGACGTGGATGAGCACAATTCACCCCGAAATACGTTGTATAATTCTCGGTCAAACGGTCGACTTCTCGAATCGCATCACCAAGGGTTCTTCCTCCTAGCAGCCGTCCATCCGTCTCGATGCTAAACGAGACGTGAATTGGGAGGTTATACTCACGCGCCACACTTACTGCTGCGGTGGCCTCAACGAGACTCGTTACGGTCATGATACATAACATGTCTACACCTTCTTCGGCGAAAGCGTGAATTTGGGCGGCATAATACTCCCGTGCCTGAGAGAAGGAAGCCGTGTCAGTGGAAGCCTTGTAGGCATCTTGAAGAGTTCCAATGGCCCCACTGATGACGATAGGAGTGGATGGAGTCTCATTCTTGTTCCTGAGATCATGGAGGATCTTCACTGCCGTGCGGTTCAGATCGAGGATCTGTGGGACGGAGAGGCCAATTTCGGAAGACCATGAAGGAGAGCCGCGCCAAGTTCGAGTTTCGAGGACGATACCGGTTGAGTGGGCCAGGGCAATATTTATATAGCCTTGGTAGATGGAGGAGATAATCTTTCTGCCCTCTTCCAGACCGAGAAATGGAAGAGTGGAGAAGCTCGGGAGATCGATATTCATTTTGTAGATGAGAGTTGTCTCGATTCCGCCTTCAGTGATGAAGAGCTTGGACGAAGCCAATTGCGGGAGGATCTTCGAATGCGAACCCATTTTCTAGACTTGTTATTGCGAATTTTTACAATCGATGGCGACATACCCTTGGATATAAATAAGTTATAGTTAGTTAAACAAGCCTGCCGGTTTGCTACCTACGTAGGTATGTTCACGGCCCCAGGTGTTGCGCCCCTGGTCTCATTAGGTATCAAGGAGCAAGCCAGCGCTGCGGGCGACGAAGTGTGCGACCTGGGAATTTCGTCGTATTGGCTATTACTGCTGGAAAAGATAATCTGGGTAGTATTCACCCCCCCCTTGTATATTTGAGGACTCATGTGCCGGGGCACCAGGGCCCCGGGTGTGAGTCAATCAATCAATCAATCAATCAAAGTTCAATTAACCTGTTGAAGTCTAACTAGTTGCGTATAACTATGCAGGCGCTTCATCCAACTGAAGCAAGAACTCTAAGCCAAACGCCGAGTTGGGATCACTCCCAGGAGTATACAGATGCTGATCGAAAGAGCATGGAATCAGCCCATTCCTGTAACCCGTAAACCCACAAACCCATACCCATACATAAGAAACAAACATATAATGACTGCCATGGAGTGCACCCTCCATCTTCCATCCCTCACTTCTCACTTCTCACTCCCCTCTCGATCTTCATCTCTACAACCTCCCCCTGCCTCAGTTTCAATTGATGGTGTTGTTGTCCTGGCCAGTTGATTGGCCTGTTTGTCGACTCTGGCTGAGTTTCTCGTTTCACAGCATCATTTATCGTCATTGGCTAATACCCATCGTCTTCCCCACCTAGATCCATGGCCGCAAGGCCTGTTCGTTCGTCGTCATCGTCGTCCTCGAGCGCGACATGCTGGAACTGTTGGAGGAGACCTGTCCGGTGCATGAAGTTGACCACGTAGCGGGTGGCCTGCGGGTTTGACATGATCTTGTCGTAATCAATTTCCTTGATACCAACTGCCCACAACTGCTTCCACCATTTTGTACGCGGAATGATATGTCGTAGGCACTGCATAAGAACTCCCGGGTGTGAGCTCTACCTGCATATGTAGCAGTATGTATCGGACTTTAGGAGGATATAATTTTCCCGATCGGGGTGCCGCCGCAGGTGGCTTAGGGTCCTGCTCACTTTCCGGCCTAAAATAAAGGTAGAGGTAGGACAATTTAGCCATGTGATATATCGATCATTTATTAACCATTTATTTCATGATGCTAGTGCCAGCAACTAAAAATTTATAACATTGACCATCATTTTTGTTGATTGCCCCTCCCTTAGGAAAGTTATTCGCTAATATGGCCTCTGAAAATTGATGACATATGAAAATACATGGCTTATGCCTTTTACCCAATCCCGGCCATGGCTAGGATGGTTTTAATAAGGTACTCAAACATCTAGTTGCTCTATAAATATAGCGAAATTTCCTATGCGTAGTAAAACTTCACAAGCGCTCTTTCACATCAGTCGTAAATCCGTGCTGCATAAGATACTCATTGAGCTCCTTATCTTCTTTCTCCAAATCCAAATCTCTACTTTCAGGTAACAAGTAGTAGACCATCATGCCGAGGATAGCGACGCCACCAGCCAAGTAAAAGGTGGAGCTGTTACCAGCACGGTCCTGCAGGGGAGTAAAGCACCGAGTGCCAACAGCAGCACCCGTTCTACCGAAGGCTGTCGCGACACCATATCCCATGGACCGCATGGCAGTGGGGAAAGACTCTGAAGATATAAGTCCAATGGTAGCACCGGGTCCCATATGACCAAATGCTTGCAACAGACCATACAGGACAACGAAGGCTGCAATGTTTTGAGAAAGCTTCGAGTATGTGCCACCGATAACGAAACCAAGAACAACATATCCAGCGAAGCCCAGAATTCCGGTCCAGCGACGTCCGATCGCATTGGTAAGCCAGGCCCCCAACACAACACCGGGAACTGGCAAGACCGCCAAAATGACCTGCCAAATAGCTGTCGTCCGGACATTGTGATCTGTAACCAAAGAGGAGATGATCGTGCTGGACATGATACTGTTGGGGAAATTGATGAAATCATACAAAAAGAAGGCCAGCGATGTAGTCAATAGCCTCCACCAATAACGCCGTGCAAGAAGGAGGCAAAGGCGCCACGACTTCCGCTGCCGCTTGAAATTGGAGTAGTGGAACAGAGACGAGTCCGCCATGAACAGTCTCAAAACTATGATTGACACTGGGAGAAGAGTGGCAATGGAGTAAATGGCGTGGAAGGCGATAACAAGGTTGTTGTCCGTAGCAATGAGTGTGATTAAATAGATCACCATCAAAATTGGACCCGCGAGTGTGGCCATCAAAGTCGTAAAGGACACAAACATTGGTCCTCTGTATTTGCGCATAATCTAAAACTCATGAGAATAGATCCAACTGAGGGAGCGGCTAAATGCTTACCCAGTCCGATTCTTCAATGCCAGCAGCGGCACTAGGAGGGTATTCACCTCCAACACCAAACCCAGCAATTCCACGAACTACAACAAAATACCACAGCATATTGCTCGAGAGATGCACCTGTAGAGCCAGTGCCGCCATCAAGGTACCGATTGCGACCAGGGAGGACGTGAAGAGCAATCCGGCGCGTCGTGAAAACATATCAGAAGTGTATCCAAAAACAACAACACCAAGGATCGCTCCGACGATGACTGAGTTGCTCATGCGAGTCTTCATATCGGAAGGAAACCCATCAGATCCAAGCACCTGCTTGAAAATAACATTTGTCGGATTGGCGAGGGTGTTTTGAAAGCCATCGCTAAAGTTGGCGATGTACTGGGCGAGTTAGCAGGTGAAGCTCGAGTCTGTCAATATCATACTCACACAACTGATGATGGTGATATTACTCTGCCATCTGCTTGGACGATATGAGTGTGTCAATTCCTCAACATCCCTGCTGACAACAGTGTTGGCATTTTTCGCCTCATCTTGTGGGGGGTTGCACAGTGTCCCACTTTCAGCGACCGCCATCTTTTAATTTGTGAGGGGTAACCAATGATTTCACACTACTTGAATGCAAAAGGAAACATGCCAATCTTTATAGTTGATGTTGCCAACGCAATCATAGAAGATAAAACAGATCTTCGGTCAACGTCCGAATCTAGCCCGATCTTGTTGATTCTTTTTGTCCGCGGAGATAAGCATTGTGGATTTGTGTCGGGCTTTGATAATATCGTGATATACTTAGCGCCCGTGAATAGCATTAGAAGATTGGACCCGCAGCTACTCAGATGCTTAGGAGTTTAATACTCATGTAAGACTCAAGGCGTCCACGCTCGGTTTTACTCGAGCAAAAAGCGGCAAGGGTTGAGCACTAAAGCGGAAAGGAAAGGCCAACCCACAGGGCCTAAAATCCGGTGTATATGCCCAGGTGTACCTATGTAGTTATATAATTGTACCACCTACGTTAGGAATCGAACCCACTTATTGACCCTGAAAGTATTATCAAATGCTTTTTTTTACCTAATCTATACGAAATAGAATTTCTTTTAATTAATTGATAGATCCTGGCGCCCCGGATGTGAGCTCTACCTACCTATTGTAGTGTGGGAAGGGGGGGGGGAGGAGGGGGGGCATGGCCCTCACTACGTACTAGCCTTGCCTGCCCTCCCTTTCCTTTTGCAGTTTTGTTATGTAAGCATTGATGTACAGAGCTTACAAGTAGCAGATAGTTACAGATTGACAATACACACTCCTACACCTCTCTGAATGCACTTCTTGGACTGGCGTCCCGGTTCTCTTTGTATACCCCGGTTAGTATGACACTGAATTACGAGTGCTGAATCGACCCGTATGCCAAAAGAGCATTCTGCCTAGATCGTTCCCCTCTTCACTATGTACATATGAAGTTAATAATTGTACCACCTACGTCGGGAATCGATCCCACTTATCGACCTTAAAGTATAACAAAATGCTTTTTTTTACCTAATCTATACGCAATAAAATGTCTTTTGGTTAATTGATAGAGTATATATACACTCTACAATTATAGAATACCTTCCAAAAAATTAAATAAGTGATAGCTCATATCTCATCGTTGTACATCGAGAAAACCGACATGGATATGCATAAGTGAATTTAAAAGGACAAGCAGTACATAGATCAGTATTGACCAATACGACCAAAGTCTCGCCTGGCACACTTCGTCGCCCGTAGTGGGGGATTCATGGAGAAAAATGGGGTTGACACCAGACAAAAGTTGATATTCTTTGCCTTTTTTCATTCACATTCGACGCCAATTTTGTGTCTGATAACGACTTGATCGGATATCGACCTGGCCTGGGTCGAGTGAAACTTGAGCTTTCGCTTAAATGGGTTTGACGAAAGGCGATCGGGAAATTCTCCAAATGCGAGCCGTTTAGCGAACATATGCTTTTGCGAGGCTGTTTTTGCCATTTGCGCAGCTAAGAAGCCAAGGAAGAAACAACCAGGGCTTACAAGGTTAGTAAGTCCCGCCCACTGGAGTTAAAAGCTAATATAATCGATCCATTGATTTGCCCTCGGCACATCGGACTCTCTACGTAGTTACATAAAAACTAAAATGCCTGCGCCGAAAGGCGAAGAAAGGGCGACAAGAGACTAGTGGGGGCAAACATCTTAACAGGCCGTCTTCGCAATGTTTATCACGTTGGTGATGAAGAGTGGCCTCGTTTAACTGATATAAGTATACATAGTTCCAAGGTTGACAATTTCGGCTCGATTGTTACACCAGCGCAGATTGCAAGCTGATCTCTCTCGTCGAACGTCTTTACATTCTCCTCTCCAAGTACATTGAGATCGCTTGAATCAACATGAGTCAAATTCTCTTCAAGGCTCCAAAAGTGTTGGGCCGCCACTATCAGATCCGGTTTCTATCGGCCCAACTCGGGAAGCTTACAAGGCATCCGACATCCATCTCCCCATCACAAGATGAGATCAAGCATGCACGCCTTTCTGATCAGAATCTAGAGGTTGCAATGCGCAGCCTCCATCGGGATGGCCTTGTGGTTGTTGAAAATGTTATCCCCCATGACTGCCTCAATCGACTGAACAAAAAGATGATTGAAGATGCCTACTATCTTCGATCCAAGAAAGGAGACACTCCATTCAACTACAACCCCGGAAATATCCAGCAAGACGCTCCTCCGGTAAGAGAGTATTTCGAGCCCAGTATCTTCATGAGTGAGTCCGCAAAGCCGCAACTGCACCTTCCGTCCACAGGTTCTAATTGTTACCCAGATCCCATCGCCACTCAAATCACCTCGTCAGCACTAGGACCCCGCCCAAAATGGACGTTTTGCTCGGGCAATACCGCAATGCCTCCAACTACAGAGAGCCCTCCGATGTCTCAGCCTGTCCATTCAGACGCAGACTTTGCTCATCCAACTCATCCTTTTGCATACGTTATCAATGTTCCCCTCATCACCATGACCCCAGAGAATGGCTCCACCGAGGTATGGCTGGGAACACACACTGAAGCGGGCCTACACGTTCAAGAAGGGGCACATGGCGAGCGTGCTAGTGGCCGCGTCAAGCTTGATGAGCTAGAGAAGCGCCGTCTCGACCGTCCACCATGTCAACCCATGGTGCCAAAGGGCTCTCTCGTCGTTAGAGACCTTCGCCTTTGGCATGCTGGAGTTGGTAACCAGACCGAGGACCCTCGAGTCATGTTGGCAATGAGTAAGTTTAAGTTATTTTTCCGGCTGTTATCCCAGAAAGTACCTCTAACATGGACAAGTCCACTTTGCTCCGTGGTATAGGAACCCTATGAAACTTGAATTTGCGGATGATCTGAAGCCCATAATTGAGGGCCAGACCGAGCTGGATGTTCCAGTGGACTGGGTGAGTAAGTCGGAAGCACTTTCGCGCTATCTGAACCGTGGCTTTGGCAATGCCTACGACTTCAACCAGCACCCTTGAGTCTTTTCCAATCATGGCGGTCATAGTTTCGGAATTATCTTGACCTAATCTCCTTGTACGTAGTCAGTCAAACAAGAAGAATGGAATGAAACACATATCGACCTTTTGGATATGAATATCATAAACCGTTGTCAAAGGTTTCAGCTGGAGCTTCTTTCACTACCATTCTACAGAACCTCACTCGCTCAATATAAAAAAGCATGATTGATTAATATATCTAAAGTCCCGTCATCGGAGTCGTGTTCGGGGTCGTGTTTGAAGGCGGAGAAAGAGCGTCTGCTATAATGGAAACCGGCCATCCAGTCACCTTCCCCCACTTTTCCAACTCTTCTGCCATTTCCACGCGCTTCTGGCTATCACGAATCCAAGGGCAACCTATACATAAAATTCATCAGTAGAAATCGCCCGAGAAAGCGTTCGAAAAGACTCACAGAATGCAATTGGGCCAAAAGCATTGACCCAGACCGGTGCCGAGTCGCTTGAAAGAGACAGGGCACATATTTCAGTCGCGTGGTATTCCAACTTCCGCTGTAGAGATTCCATATCGTCGATGCGTTGTAGAGCCTTCAGGGGTTGAGCTACAGGCTGGGCCATCCATAGAATTCCCATCGCAGTATGGTAGTAATGAAGAGTCGACACTTTATGAGGTTAGAGGTTGAAGGAAACATAGATCGAGTATTCTCACCATGCCAGCTTCGTAGTGTCCAAATAGATGGGAAATTACTCTGTTTCCCGAGCCCAGGGGTTTGTATCGTGTCGAACGATGACGGAAGCGATGATTTCCACTTGTCTAGATCGGCCTTCATAGCTTCCCATTCGAGGGGGTCCAATGCAGGTGAATTGACTGATAGACACCGGTTGATAATCTTCCCGAGCAAGAATGTGATGTAATTAGCAAAGTCCGCATCCTCTGTTGGTTCTGGCGGGGCATTTTGATTGGAAAGAGTGATCATTAAACCACGTTGCTCTATGAGAGCGACTGTGATGTCTTCTCGTAGGTAGTTCCAATAGCCTGCGCTGAGCAGGTCTGCCGTGAGATTAATCTGCCGACTTGCCAGTAGAGAATAGCATCCTTGCAAGTGACTCTGAGAGCTAACGTTCTCTAAAGTTGTTACTAAGCTGTTAGCGTCTGTCGTTTCTAGAACGAGCTTTAGGAAGAAGGAGTGTCGGCAAACTACTGACGTGTGATGATTTCATAAGATCGCAAAAGGCAAATGGCGGCAAGTGTTTCACCAAGTGGAATGCTATCAACATTCTTAGTGAGAGAGATCAATCTCCGCACGCTATCATAGTGGTAGAATTCAGCAATCTCCAGATACCCGTCTTCCTCAAGGGTGCGATGCTGGTTGGCAGCAGCAAAGGCGAGAATGGCACTGAGCAATAGTGGATTATATCGAGCCCTAACCGGAACGACATCTTTGAAATGCCGCTTGCTGTCATTGAGATCATACCATGCAGCCAAGGTTCCTATATAGCGACGGAATAACTTGGCAACTTGCGGGTCCTGTAAGGCATATTCAGGATGCTCCGTGGAGGGATATTCAGTTTCATGGTGAGTAGCTGAACTCAAAGGGCTCGATTGGTAGGCTGAAACCCCCGGCGCTGCTATCGTGCCTCCCTCTTGAATCCAATGACAGTTACGGGCAATGCGTTGACATGGTGAGCATTTGGGTCGTTTTCCGTCGCCTTTGGTTATATCACAATGAGCCCGCGGTCAGTGACTGATAGCATTAAAACAGTCGACGTATGCAAGACTAACATTTGACCCGCCGTGACCTGCACGTTTGGCTGAGTCGTCATGAATTAGTAATAGATTTCAAGGCCCGCGGACAGGGCCCCTAGGCAACTAGTAGTGAAAAGCGAGGTGGTACGGTCTAAAGGGCTCGAAAGGCCAACAATAACTAGGAAACGCGTTGATTGACTCACCAGCCTAGAGATCAAACGAACACCGCATTAATTTCAGAGACCCAAAGCCGCTCGACTAGGCTAGTATGGACTTACGATTGCGCTCAAGTGGCCTTGGCATTTACGTTTCGCGAGGCCTAGCAATACCTTGTTCGACTTTAAAAGTATGTGTGGGGAATAAGACACTCGATTGTTGCTTCCTATCGAGGGGCTCGTGAGGCATGATGTTTTGGGAGCCTTGTAAAACTCCCCTTCGCTTTTGCCATTTTCACCCCACTTTATTACCAGCTGATCGCTCGGCAATGTTGTATGGTCGTGGCTATGACATCACCTCGTGCGGGAACCGCCACGTACTCCGTAGTAGTTTAGGTAGATGAAAGTCTGGTGTCATGGGAACCCAATTGACTAGTCTGATGGAGTCAAAAACAAATAACGAAAGGCGAATAACGAAAGGCGAATAACGAAAGGCGAGATAGGTCAAGCTCGAAATCACTCTTTGATTCCTTTTAAAAATCACCCCGCAGGATGCTATGCCTGTCTTGGCTGATTTACCACAAATCGTTGCTCTTGGCGGTAATTTGATTCGGCACTGCTCAATAGGCTAAACCTACTGAGGGCTGCAGTGGATACGAACAATATTTTAGGAGAACCAATAAGATAAGAACACAGGCCGTGAAACGGATTTCGATCCATATTGTATCGGACGTTCAAAATACCGAGTCAGGGATATTACTGAAATAGTATGTCCGCAAGCACAAGGTCAAACAAGACTGAGGACATTTCAAGGCTCCACTGACGGATGTTTATTCACAAACGAACAACAATTGTAGACGCCCAAGGGTTGCAACGGTCCAACGGGCCACCAGACAGCATACTTGTCAGGTTTGGCAGGGGATATTGAAGTCAGTGGACCAATTTATCCCCCTTCGTGTCCACAGCCAAAGATCGAATACTGCTTTCCGGCGACGTCGAATTTCACTGGCACTCACAGGACGGCCCCGAGCCTGTGAAACTGCGCTGCGTATTAATTGCCGAAATCTCCTTTGATAATCTGTGTTCCGCGTGACAAGACAAGATTCGGTAGCTTGTATCATAATCTCGCAGGCGTTGAGAATGTCCTCGCTGGACTTATCTTGAAGACGCTCTACAATCAACAGTGCCGGAAAGCTCCCTTGAAGTAGCTGAATGCCAAAGAAGTAGGACATGAAGCTGATATCTGGGTCAAGCTGCAAGATCTGCCCCAACCAAGAAGTCGCGTCTAATGAATGTGACATTGTGGATGTGAAGGCTGAAGAAGTCCAAAACTCTTTGTCCTCCAATAAGAATTGCCAATCCCACTTTCCCACTAGTGATATATGGAGAACGTGGACTAGGTATGACGAGTAAGCAACAGCAGTTTGTGTTTGCCAAGCATAATCCTGGAATGCCTTCACATCGATATGTCGGTCCGACACTTCGGAGTCAACAGTTGAATATGCCGAAGATGCCGCAAAAGCGGACAAACTGGTCTGATAGATCTCGAGATGCCGTATTACTTCAGCCTCTTTAACTTCGTAGGCCTCATTGCCTTGAAGCCGCAGTTGATTGAGCCCCATCACCTCTCCGGTGATCGTCATAAGCGGAAGGAAAAATCCAAAAATGGAGGAATCGCGACAGCGAAAATCAGGGAAGACCTGACGTTCGTGCTGGTGTGCTGAATCAAGGCATTTAGGCCTCTGCTGATGAAAACTGTTGCTGTGAACAATACCGCGCTGCCATGAGGTTTCATCCAGTGGAAGTAGCAGATTTTCACACTCTGCATCAAGGAAATCCGGCGGATGGTTGTAACACAAGGCGAGATGGCGATCAATAGTGTAAAGCAGCCACCATGTGCGCCTTCGCTCTTCGCGGTGGTCCTCCGCCAAGACAGGATGGCTTTGATTATGGATTTGCTCACATACGCAATTGGGACTTGGCTGTCTCCCATCAGAATGGAAAACGTCTGGGTTGTTTGGCCAGTCTGATAGCCCGTCATTGAAGGATTGACGCGATCCCTTGGTTCCCTTATCAAAGTCTGGGACTATTTTCGCCTCCTGATTTAGTTTGAGATGTCGGGCTAAAGCAAAGGCCGCTGTCCACCTAATAAAGAATCAGGAAACAGGCTATCAGAGATGGACAGAGCTTAACATACCATCCCATGCTTGCAGCGTTCTGTTCGGTAGAGACAATCAAGGCAATATGGATATAAGTGATTACGTGGTCCAGGTGAACAGTATGGTCCATCAGGCGATGGACTGCCGTAGGTGAGCAATGCAGCCCCACCAGCGAAAACTCCTGGTTCTTGGGCGAGACATTGTCTGAAGATCTCAATAACCCTCTCGTCAGATCCTCGAGGCACTGGCAAATATTTCGTTTTTGTGAGGGTGAGATAGATAAAGAGGTCCCATAATCAATAGCAGCCATCCAAAGCATACTCGTTAAAAGCGCAGGGCTGGTGACCCGGAAGTTATCGGCCAGAAAGGAGGACTTGCGCAGGATATTTGGAAATGGGCGGGTGAAATATAGTTCGAGCAAATGGCACACAAGTTGTGGAGGAAGGTCTGTTTCCAAAAAAGGCATCACCGTGTTTAGCACAGGGTATTTCATCGAGGGCCGTGAAATTGGTTCATGTTCTGGGACGAGAGAATTTGTTGCTGGTTGGGATGGTATCAGTGGATCATGGCCCTGGCTCGGAGTGTGAGGAGATATGTCGACCGGATTCCAGATGCCCGGCAGTGTTGACAGAGGCCTGCCGTCTTCTGCGCTCAACTCAGGGAAACCCTTGGACAGAAGGGTCGCTGGCAGCCATTCCTCTGTGATATTCAACCCTAATCCTGCCTGCAGCTGTGGAGCATCTGTCACAGAGCGATAGTCTTCCATGCACAAGGCCAAGAGAGCATCGATTTCGTCGGTTGCTGGGGGCCACGGTTGTGTGACTGAAGCCGGGGTGGTGGGACCCATGGGTGACACAGTCGGTTGTGACACAGGACTGCAGCTTTCGTCGGTCTGCCTTTCTTGTATACGACTTGGCGGTGCGCCTACCCCGCATGTCCCGTTCGAATTGGCTAGCTTGGCTCGTGCCATGCGACCTCGTTTCTGTCGCTTGCGTGTGAGTTCACAGTATATGCCCTTTCGCAGGCAGCGTGAGCACGGTAACGGGAATACCAGATCGCATCGCACACGGCGGATGTGGCACGCGTCACAGGCGACTTGATTTCGTCGCCATCGTCGCTCGCCGTTCGGGAGGTCAATCGGACCGGGGACTGGGAGTGAAGGCAGATTGTCTAAATGGAAGTTGATTTCAGGAGATATTGACATGTCGTGTGATGCAGTTGATCATGGGTTGACGGTTGCTAAAAACACTTCTGACCATTGATTTTTCAGAGTGTTAAATCACTCATAGTGGGACTGGACACTTTACCTGTCACTAACCCTTTCCAAATTTCCCCGTTATTCTTCTTCTGTTATGGACGTCTTGTTTGGGAAGAAAACTGGCTCTATAGGAACTGGCGGCTTTACTTACCCGTCAGCATCCCTTTTGAGTAAACTTCTCCGCGAAGCATACTTCGGCCCGTCATAATGTCTCCGGCCCAGCCGAAACGATGATTGGCTATCAGAAATAGGCCTAAACCTAGTTCGGCGCTAGTCCCTTTGGTACATTGATAGGTAGTCTTCGTTTGTTAATTGCGTCTCCGAAGAGATGGCTAAGACTGGCATCTGAAAAATCGTCGTCCTGGTCAATCCAACAAAAACATGCATTTAGCCACAGGAATGTGACCTCGCCACTGAACTCCCATATGTCAAGGCGTGGATGCTTTTGGGAGACCAATGTAGGACAGCAAGCAAGGCGCGATATCGTGGATTGGAATTCTCCGCCCAAGTTACCCAAAAAAAAGATTCTTTTGCCACAAACTTGGAAATTGAACACCGCGTCCCGTCTCCACTCTGTCTAAATCTGGGGTTAGGACCATATGTGGCCGGAATGTAAGGTTCCTGGGGTATTAGTTTCGGTTATCCCAAAGAATGGGGTATATAAAGCTGATTGCCAGTAGGCTTCCAACAACTACTCTCACAACAACTACTCTCACACTGTCCCATTACGTGGACTTCAGCCTTTTGTTATTACTGATTCCGTTGCGTCTCTCCATCGATAATGATGGCGTTTACGAAGAAGCCCTATTTCGGGCTTACCGGAGGATGGCTTACCTTTTGGCTCACGGTGGGTTGGTTACGTTTCCATACCTCGTCTTAGCTGGAGGAAAAATGCTAATGCAATTGAGGGGTCAGGTAGCATGTGCTACTGATATGATGCTATTTGGATATGATCAGGGTGTCTTCAGTATGTCGCCCTTCCCTTTTCACATCTATACCAATCCTCCTGGATACCAATGGCCTATTTCTTCAGGTGGCGTGGTGGTTACCCCTGACTTCTTGGAAGTTCACGATCTCGTTGGCCCTACCAAAACCAAAGTCCTTTCAACAGTTGCTGCCATTTATGACATTGGTTGTTTTTTCGGAGCCATACTTGCCTTTACGGTAGGCGAGCGACTGGGCCGCAAGAAATCCATTCTTTTAGGTAGTGCGATTATGGCCGTCGGTACCATTCTCCAGGCATCATCTTATAGCCTACCCCAAATGTTCATTGGTCGAATTGTTCTAGGGTGAGTGGGTCGCAGATCTCCATATGCTGTACCTAATCCTAATATATCCAGCCTTGGGAACGGAATTAACACTGCAACGGCACCTATTTGGCAAACGGAAACAGCACAGGCAAAATGGAGAGGAAAGCTGGTCATCCTGGATCTTGGGCTGAATGTCGGTGGGTACTGCATTGTCAACTGGATAAATTATGGACTTTCCTTCCGCGGGGGTGCCATTGCATGGCGCTTGCCGATCGCTCTACAGCTGATTTTCGTCGCTGTCTTGCTCGTCACAATCCCCTGGCTCCCGGAATCCCCAAGGTATGACACCAAATCCTTTTTGCGTTGAAGTTGAACATGGATTTGACAAGGACCTAGGTGGCTCATGACACAAGCCCGCGAAGATGAGGCGATGGAGGTACTTGCGTGTGTCGAGGCTACATCTACCGACGATCCAGTTATTATAACCCAGCGTGATGAGATTAAATTCAGTATCACATATGAACACGACAATGCTGTCCGATGGCGCGATCTTCTGCGCCGAAGCAAAGCCGATAATACCAAAACTCTTCGCCGGCTGCTTCTTGGTGCCGGAACACAGGCCATGCAGCAGTTCCAAGGTACCTTTCTGATCCAAACATCCCTGTTTTGTCTTAAGGTCTTCACATACTGATAAAAATGGTGCATCAAAGGCATCAACATCATGAGTTACTATCTCCCGCTAGTCCTCATGAACTCGGTCGGACTTTCAGATAAAATGGCCCGACTGCTGACAGCCTGCAATGCAACCTCATATTTCATTTTCTCCTGCGCCGCAGCCTCAATAGTCGAGCGAGTCGGCCGTCGAGGTTTGATGATGTTATCTGGTTTTGGCCAGTTCGTCTCCTTCCTGGTTATCACGATTCTCCTTTACTTAGCCGAGGATAATACAGTATACGCCACTGCTTCCGTTGCCTTTTTCTTTCTATATCATATCGCTTTTGGGATGGGTATGCTGGGTGTGCCATGGCTGTACCCCACTGAAATTAACTCACTCCCCATGAGAACGAAGGGTGTGGCAGTTTCGACCGCAACCAACTGGTAAGTTATTTAAGACACATCCTCACTGAACCAAACCGTAATACTCACGCTGTATATTTCCCAGGATCACCAATTTTGCCATAGTCGAGATTACACCTATCGGTATTCAAAGCATTGGGTGGAAATTCTGGATTGTGTGGACCGTCCTCAATGCGGCATTCCTGCCAATTATTTACTTCCTCTATCCAGAGACAGGTTAGTTCATCTCAAGATATTATGCTTTTATGATGTATATGCTAATATTTCCTAGCAAATCGGAACCTGGAAGACATTGATGCGTACTATCGCTCCAACCCACCACTCATCGTCACCGGTGATGGAGATGCCATTTCGACCAAAAGACCGCTTCAGTTCATATGCCATGAAGACGAGGAAGTGCAAAAAAATGCAAAGGAGGCTGCCTATGGTGCTGCAGAGTACAAGGAACATGTAAATTAGGGGGTATGACTAGCTTGTTGGGGTGATGATAAGCAGTTGTCATAGAGAATTATATGTGGCTTTTTCAAACTGGATAAATGCCTTCCGCCTCAGTTTGTTATAGGATTAATGTGTGTTTATTTTGGAGTGTATCCGTCTTTTAGGTAGCCATTGCTTACAAGAAGAACAACATTTATTTCAACATCAAGTGGGCGGGTCGGGGAAGAGCCACTCCTTCAGGCTCCATATTTGGGGATCCACATTTTGCACTAAGATCTTAGCGGGGTAAAGAAACCCCAAAAGACCTCTAAAAAGGCTCCCACAAAGACTTCCAAAAGGGTTCTCAATATAATCTCTTTAATATCATGAGCCATAGATCGGATTATAACATATAATAGAGGAATTGAAAGAGAGGCGGAGAGTGAGGCGGTAAATTCGTATGCTTAACCAAGCAAATGTCCGTTGTTCGATGTGCCGATGAATCCCGTACGGTGTGGTGTGTTATAGCCAATTACTACTCAGTTGCCAATGCTGCAAGGCAACTCCGGCAGGGGCTACGTATCTCGGGGGCTCCCCGGGGCCAGTCTCGCTTGGCCGATAAGACAGATCCGGCGCCTCCCGCAGGGGTCCGGGGCTGGGCAAGAATTATTTGTGGCACATGACTTTTCAAACCGTGACGTCCTCTCCCCACACCAAGTCCTCCCTACACTCATTCGTCAAACATTCGAACATGGGATTATCTTTGTTCGAGCAAAATAATCTTCTCTATACCCAGGAGTCATTGTCATGATACAAACTCGGGGGATACCACCCAGTCACCCTTGGAGACACCTTTAAGAATGGTCGCTACGAAATCCATCATTCCTTCATAAGTTAGTATATGGGGGCTTTTCTACTGTGTGGCTTGCGAAGGACAATGAGTCAGCTCTTAAACCGAACCTTATCTTTGCCAAGCCACGCCTAATATGACATATACTAGCCAAAACCAGTGGGTCTCGTTAAAGATCATGACCGCAAATTCGTTAAAATCGCTCGAACTGCAAAGCCTAAGGCTTCTTTCTTCGAAATATATTGTTCAGCTGCTTAATGACTTTACTTATGGCGGCCCTTATAGGGTTTGCCGATGTCTTATATTCGAATTACTTGGCCCTATAGTTTATATATGGTCCTTCCACATCATTCTAAGGGTAAAGATAAGCTCGAGCCGGAAGAACTACTTCGAATGTCCACGTAACTCCCAAAAGCTATCAGGTTTCTTTATAGTACTGGTATGTGCTATAGAAGTAAGAGCGTTCTTTCTTATATAGTTTTCGAAGGTAATTGTACTAAACTTATATCAGACACTAGCGGTAGGAATATCGCGTTTACTTACAATTAACTATTAAACACACCCGAGAGAGGCCTTTTCGATATTCTTAGCTCCATAGAAATCGAGAAATCGAGCCGCTAGCCTGTATTGATACGCCTTTAGGTAGCGGCTTGCCGATATAGTTACTTAAGGTAGTAGAATGGGTCGACTAGATAGATGAGAACGAGGAAGATATTCTGCTACTTGATTTTAGAGATAGTTTTCTCAAAGCGTAGCAGCTTAAGGGGCTAGCCCAAGCTAGTGATTTGGGAGACCTAAGAGGATTTTCATAAACCATTTAGACTACCACTTCGATATGGCGTGTAGGTGACATGATATGTCAATCCATCCCTTCTCCCTCAATCCTCTTATAGTTCATATGCTTATAGAAGAGTGAACTGGATTTATGCCTTATTTACGATCCATTTATGTTAGTATTTTAACGGGGACGAATACCTGATTTTCCAAATGATTGGGTTTGTGGAGAGGCTGCCAGTCGAATGAGAGTCTTAATGGAAAGAAATGCGGACGGGATCTAGCCTTAATCTGGAGATAAAAGAAGGTAAGCAGTTTGATATATCACAATACGAGACGTTTCTGCTAATTCCGCTCAAAGAATAATTCCGCTCAAAGACTGCGTCGAAGTTTGAACGCAATTTTACAGTGCACGATCCGGAGCTTCAACCTCTCTTACAAGTGGGTCAATGATTGATGCAATTCCTACCATCTAATCGCATTAATGAAGACAAGGAACTTGAAATGCTATGAAACAAAATGCAAGAAAGAAATAGAACTACATAACCTCTACAAATGGATTTCAAACAATGATATAAAATAGAAAAAGATCTACGGGAATAGTATTCTATTTCGGGATCTACCTTCAGAGGAAATATGCACCTCCAGGGCTCCAGGGCTTCAGCTGGGCATATTCGACCAATGACTAATCCACAAACTACCTCGGGACCATCGGGGGCTACCTGGTCCCGAGGTAAGTCAGCGATCCCGAGACCCACACTGGAAGGTTAGAAGCTCCCGAGGTCGGGACTACGGCACTCTAAAACCGCCAGTGAATATTTTCTTTTAGTTAAAATTTGACCGCCGGGCTCACCGCTGGCCTCTCATTAGTTTATTCAGATGCATGTATACCCGTGGATCTACATGTAGGTAAAATCTTCATATTACAAACTATACTGCCGGCAGAATCTGAGGCGCTCTCAAGGTAATAAACTTTCTGACATCATCGAGTACGATCACACCTGGGTTCTTTCTTGTTCTTTCTTAATATTAAGTCTGTAATCACATCAATTTTCATACATGAAAATACCTGTTGCTGCTTTAATTTAATCTAACATACGCTTATAACCTCCTTCCAATCTTGAATTGTGTCACTCTTGTTGGCCACATCAGGCCCGATCTCACGCGCAGAATGGCTTCACCAGCACAAGCTACGAGGCGCAGATCCAGCCGCTTCGGATCAATTCGATCGGAGGACTGGCCTGAGGAGGTCAACGTTTCGCTCTCCCCAAGCGGCGAGCGGAAGCATATCAATGGAGATGCACGAAACGCCGGGGTTAAAATCTTGAGTTCGTGATCAAGTGAAGCATTACAAACTGTTGCTAATGGTGACTCTTTTGTAGATGATGGCCGACTTGATATAAAGATCAACGAGCATATGCCACAGCTCGCGGGTCTATTAACTCGCATCCAAACCTCAACTGCGGCACAGGATCTAGAAGATCTAGAGGCCAAGGAGACCCCAGAACCAATACCAAAAGATAAGGGCAAAGACTTCCCACTGAAGATGAATATCGTCATTCAAGTCATCGGATCTCGGGGTGATATCCAACCGTTCCTTGCGCTGGGAAAAGAGTTGAAGGCATATGGACATCGTGTACGGCTAGCAACCCACCTCATTTTCCGGGAGTTTGTACTTGAGGGCGGCTTGGAGTTTTTCAACATCGGTGGTGACCCCGAGGAGCTGATGGCGTTCATGGTTCAAAATCCATCCCTACTCCCCGCATTCAGAACGATTCGCAGCGGTGCCATCCAGAAACGCCGGCGCGAAATGAAGGAAATTATATATGGCTGTTGGAAGTCATGTATAGAAACAGGTGACGGTACAGATCTGCATCAAATCAAGGAGGATCTCTGGAGTGACACGGTGGACTATCGTCGAAGGCCGTTTATTGCTGATGCAATAATCGCTAACCCGCCCAGTATGGGCCATATTCATTGCGCACAGAGGCTGGGGATTCCACTTCATATGATGTTCACGTGAGTTCATTTTTAGACATGAAATTAAGGGACGCACTAATGGAACCTTTCTAGAATGCCCTGGTCAGCTACCCAGTCATTTCCGCATCCTTTGGCAGTTCTCCACCCGCAGGATTGCAAGCCAACAGTTGCAAACCTCGTGTCTTATACAGTTGTAGATATGATGATTTGGGAGGGATTGGGAGATCTTGTCAACTCGTGGCGGAAGAAGTGCCTCGCACTCGATTCGTTAGATTCGATCACGGCGCCGAATTTGCCCTCGCGTCTCGGCGTTCCATTCTCATATCTGTGGTATGAGTTGACCTGAAGTCGGCGGATTTGAACGGTTTCACTAACTATCGTTTGCTTCAGGTCGCCCGCATTGTTACCAAAGCCACGCGATTGGGCTGACAACATCGATATTTGTGGGTTTAGTGTGCTTCCTACGAAGTCAGACTACAAACCCCCAAAAGAGATCGACGATTTTCTCAAAGCAGGGCCCACTCCACTCTACGTTGGATTCGGCTCGATTGTGGTAGAAAATCAAATCAAACTAACTCAAATCGTGTTCGAAGCGATAAAAAATGCCGGACAGCGTGCGATCATTTCAAAGGGCTGGGGAAATCTTGGAATCGACGATGTCGACGTGCCAGATAATATCCTCATCGTCGGCAGCGTACCACATGACTGGTTATTCCAGCACGTATCATGCGTGATTCACCATGGTGGTGCCGGTACCACTGCCGCAGGGCTTTCTCTTGGGCGTCCGACTGTTGTCGTTCCCTTTTTCGGAGATCAACAGTTCTGGGGAGGAATTGTTGCGATGGCTGGGGCTGGGCCGATGCCTGTACCTCACAAGCTACTCACAGTTGAGAAGTTGACGGAGGCAATCCAGACGGCATTGAAACCTTCAACTCAAGAGAAGGCGCAAGCAATTGCGGACAAGATGCGGAAAGAGTCTGGTGTGAAGGATGGGGTACGCAGCTTTCATCGGCATCTTAACTTGAAGACTTTGCGATGTGCAATATGTCCCACTCGCCCTGCTGTGTGGCACATTAAGCAAACTTCCATTGGGCTCAGTACTTTTGCTGCAGCCGTACTGGTAGAAGTAGGGGCTATCAAACCAGAGAATGTCACTTTGTAAGTTGACCTTCAGCAAAATCTGTTTCAGACCACTAACCGATTATTCAGGAACCGAGCATCGGAATACGACACATACCGGAATCCTGTAGGCCCTCTCAGTGCGGGAGCTCAGGTACTAGTTGGAGCCATTGCGAACCTCGTGACTGGAATGGGCGAGGTCCCTTATGACATTGTTTCGGATTTTGTCGACGCCGGTCGTGCAATTAATCATACTCGTGGACGCAGTAATACCTCATCAAGGTTTTCATGGAGAAAATCCCGCAGAAGTCAAGATTCGGACCTGGATAGTGATGAGGAGCAGTATCATGAATCTGCCGAGTATCATGAGCCTACCGAGTCCCAGGGACTTGGCCGGTCAAATTATGATAATAATGATGAGATAAGCCTCGACACGAATGACAACGAGAACGACAACGTGAGACACAACAGAATGAACGAAAATTTACCAGCTAGTGCCACTGGCCAGAGACAAGGCATGCCGATTGATCAGTCACAACTGTTGAGCTACATAGAGTCACCCAAGGGGCATGGAGTTATCTACGAAATACGCACTCACGGCAGTCGAATGTCGAAGAAGTTCCTGAAAACCATTCTTTGGCTTCCAACGGACGTGACTCTCAGCTTGTCCAAGGGGTTCCACAACGCGCCGATGCTGTACCACGACCGAATGGTCAAAGAAATGCCGAAGGTTATCGGTTTCCGGAGTGGACTCGGGGCAGCTGGAACGGTACGTCACCTGTCCTCGGTGATCAAAAGGTCCTAACTGACGTTTATATAGGAACTTCGAGATGGGTTTTACTACGGTATCACGGGCTTGGTCACCCAGCCTCAGTATGGTGCTAAGCACCAAGGAACGAAAGGAATGGTCAAGGGAATTGGAAAAGGGATTGGCGGTGTTTTCTTTAAGCCAACAGCAGGTATGCTAACCCTATTTATCACACAATCGTTATTTCGCCGTGCGCATCTCGTTCTGACTCAACTCCATCTAGGTCTCTGGGGGCTAATTGGATATCCTTTGGTTGGACTTCGCAGAAAGCTTCAAAAATCGTTAGGCAGGACCCAGGAGCTTTCTATTATTGCATCTCGGATAGCGCAAGGTATTGAAGACATGCGAGCAGCTACCGCCGATGAACGGGCGGAGGTTGTTCAAAAATGGCGCCTTCTTGAACAGGAGCTTCGTGTCTCTTACTGACGAGATCTTTCAAACAACAAACCACACTGCGCTCACTATAATTCTTCTGATACTAACGGCCACTCATGTATGATAACAGCGGAAGGATTGCACACACATGATATATATGCATCGTTTTAACTAATCAATAAACTACGAATTTTATGAATCAGATCGAATCATGTAACTGTTCCACTTTGAAAAAATTGTGTTATGCTCACAAATCGGATTGTCTCTGGTGCAGTCCGTGATGAACGAAGCACTAATAATTTGACATCCGTATCTCTCTCTTCTTGTTGAATCCGAGCTCCTTTCCCGGGTTGAGGAATGGTGCGGTTGAGATGTGCTCGTCGCCTTTGTGGTAGACATGCCAGATTGATAGGAGATCTCGGTTGCATAGTGCCTCGTTGCAGGTTGACATATTTGGGCGAATATTTGTTTGGACTTGGATGATTAGTGGTTGTGGTGTGTTGATAGGAACTTCCAATGTCAGTCTCGTGATAGATGGTTTTGCATGCATAAGAGATATTGTTGGTTGTCTGTTAGGGACGGGACTCATCTTGACAGACTTTGCCCCAGTCGGGCGCCCTGCCCTGTATTTGGTCCATCGGGCACGATAGGTGGACCAAGTCACAATCATCATCTGATTGGTTTTGACATATTGGAAACAAGTTGATAGAGCAGAGTGTGCGCATACCTCGTAGTGCTAAGGGGGCTGTGCAGCTACTCTCCACCTCAGTCGCAAACACCGTTCTTATCGAGTGAATCATGGCTCTCCGCTATGCAAAAACAATATAGATAGCCGTAAATCATTAGAATTATATTTACTTAGCCTAGCTGTAAGGCCGAGCTAAAATGCAGAGTTTCCAAGACATGATAGATACAAACTTATACCTCTTTGATCCGCTGCTACTACTCAACTACCCCATATTCGTCGAACAAATACAGACGGGTTTATATCAATCTCGACCATAATAGCAACGGACACAATCAACACCGTTAGAGATATCTGGCCAGTGTCAGTTTCATCTTCAAGACCAAAATGCATATGCACCACTCACACAACCCAGTAGTATCCCCACAGAGTTCAATTCCCAGCCTCCAGCATAGATCCTACCCCTAGAAATAGCATTCTGCTGCCGCCAAAATCGATACGCCCCAACCAAAGCGACAAGAATAGCCACACAGTAACACGCGACCGGAAGGGATCTACCGACCTGACGAAATCCGAGACGATCCGCCAACGCCTCCGACGCTTGCAGACGGAACAGCTGCGCAAGAAGTACGCCTTGCTGGGCAAAGACGAGGGAGGTCCGAATATACGCGAGAAATGTTCTCTCCAGAGCTGCGAGACAGTCAGTATTATGCAGATCGACAAGTCGCAGTCACAGTCGCAATCGCAGAATACACACCGAAGTAATCCCGACTGCTCTTATGTGGCACCGTCAAAGTAACATTATGCGTCCAGAACTGAGTGAGCTTGCCCCAAGTCCCCTTTCGTGCTTGCCGGCGGTGCTCTGCGTCGGCACGTGATGCGAGAGCGCGTGATGTGGTGCGACGCGTCACAACGCGATATTCATCACCGGATGATGCAGACGGCGTTGAGTAGTCCAGCTCGTTGTCCTCGTGTGCTTGGAGCTGTTGGAGCTCGAGCGCTTCGTGGGGATCCACATCGTGGTCGTTGTCGCGCGGTCGGGTGTTCCGCAAAATGACACCGGATGGTCGCCTAGGATGAGAAATTTGAGCAGTGACCTCTGTCATATTTGCATGAGTGATGTCAGCCCGGAGACGGCAGCATGGCTACGGCGTGGTGCGTGGCGCGCTTTTTGCCGTCGTCTAAGGGGTGAAGGGTCAAAGCAAGTTCTCCACGGATCGACGGTGCCCCCGCATTTTAACGGTGGCTCCTTAGCGAGCTCGACAGTATATCAACAACATCGAAGTTATACTAAAAAAGAATATAGACGCGAGCTATAGCAAGTTTACGAATGTGCTTAAAAATTGACCGATGATAAATTTTTGAGAAATTGCACTATCTCCAAGACAAGGCTAAAATATATCCTATCTTTGTATCGTACATTCTTTTTTAAAACATCACATCGATTCTAGCTTCGCATTGATATCATACTTGCTTTTCTCCCTGCTCAAGAGTTACCCACTGGTACTGTTTATTGGTAAAGATCTCAGCTGTAGGAGGGGAGATAGTGTCAAACAAGACAGCTTTCAGGAAGACTTTTCCAGGGGCCTTGGGGGTTCTGGTGTACACTGGGCTGTGATTGGAGTCAGCTATTATTCTCACTTCAATAATTTCACATACCTGCCACAGCTGGAACAGAAATGACGCTATTTTGGGGTTCAGATATTAGTCTTCCGTTCGAATGCGGTAATAGTGTATATATATTGACAAAGGAGTCATTCTTTTACCTTCACAGCATTACCACTGACAGACTTCTTGTCCTCGTGTATCTTCAACTTCGTATTCGGGTCGTCGACGGTTAATTCATCCTCATCGACAAAGTAGTTGATAGAGAATGCTAAGATAGTTGTAAGCAAAATATACACTCCTGCTCGGTCTTAGCGAATGTACTTACGACCACCGCCTGCTCGCTTGCAACAATCGCTGCGTTTGCAAACCCACTTTAGTATACAACCATCAAGATAAAAGATCCCAAGTTCCAAGAATATTTCATACCAATGGCAAACAGTTGAGCTCGGAGGTTGTGAGGGAAGAGTGACGCGAATACTCTCGCAATTGCAATGGCCTTGATACGACATGGTTTCTGATTCTTGATTGGCTAGTTGAGGTGAGCTTTTGTATATCTCAATATGCAGCAAACTTGTTATATCGGGCTGCCTAGTATATTTTTTGCAGGGATGGGGGTACTTTTGTCCAGTGAAAATTAGTGGAGCGCATGGGAGTTGTTCCGTCATTGCCGTACACCCGCTAGGTTGCCAACGTCATTGCGATGTTATGTCATGACTTTGTTTTTTTGAACATTTCGAGAAACAATGGAGTAAGTATGGGTGGTAGTTAGCTGAATGGAGGGCAAGCAGTAATGGCTTAATCCTGACAAACATATGTGATTATAGAGCCATCTCTGTATGTCTTAATCGGTTTGGTTAGTGAAACTTGTACAGCCCATACAAAGCTGCTCAGTTCGATATCACTATCAGTCTCTAATTATTGGAAAAGACAAATGTTCTAGAGCTTCCATTGTTCGGTCTGTGCATTCCTCGCAGGGCGCAGACATTCAAGTACCTCTACTCCGGTCCGATATCGGCCTCATTATACTACCTCCAACAACTGCCCACTCTACGGAGAAAACATATAATAGAGCCCATGAAACTTTCCAATTAACAGAAATCATTCAAAACTTCACAAGCACAACTCTTGAAACACTCTCACGTGTTGATTAACTATCATTTCCCTTATTTCTAAGTGACATTCCACGCCAAGACTACAACTTCCCCACTTCTCCATACTTTCATTCGTCAGATACACCATGGCGCCCAATACCGGGTGTCCTAAAGACCACTGGTCAGCCGAAGTAGGTATTCCTCACGATGATATGTGTATGTCATCATTAACAGAGTTTAGGCATATTCAGCCTCTGCATCTTTCGTGCACTCCGCGAAAATCACCGGAAAACTCCTCACCTCTCTGGACCCCAAGCCAACAGACAAAGTCCTTGATGTCGGTTGTGGCGATGGAAAGTTCACGGCGAACTTCCTCCCGGCCATAGAATCCGTCTTGGGCATTGACTCCTCTGCGTCAATGATCGAGTCTGCCAACAAAGACTACGCAAGTCCTCAGGCTAGCTTCCGCGTTGTGGATTGTCGGTACCTGGAGAAAGAAACCTCCATTGTGAATGGATCATGGGATAAAGTGTATGTTTTTAATTATAATACATTGTATACGAGCATGCAACTCGACTTCTAACACCCAGACAGAATCTCCAACGCAGCCCTCCACTGGATTTTACGCGATGAGTCGACGCGCATGTCGACACTTCGCGCGATCCACGGCTGTCTGAAGCCGGGCGGCACATATGTGTTTGAGATGGGCGGACATGGCAACGTTGCCGAGGTTAAGACGGCCCTTCTCTACACACTGGTGCAGCAGGGTATCACTATCGAACAGGCGAGAGAGACAAGCCCTTGGTTCTTCCCATCTGATACCTGGATGAGAAATGCTCTCGAGGAGATTGGGTTCAAGGTTGAAAACGTCGAGCTCGAGTACCGCCCAACAAAGCTCACCACTGACGCCAAAGGCGGCTTGGAGGGATGGGTTAGACTGATGGGAGCCCAGTTCTTGGAGGTGCTTCCTGAGGAAAAGCGGGATGCTGCAGTGCGGCAGGTTTGCGATGTGCTCCAGGACGTGGTTACTCGTGGTGAAGATGGGAGCCAGTGGCTGGGATATGTGCGACTGAGAGGTATTGCGAAGAAGATATAACGATTCAGATGATTTTCGTTGGAAAGGGTTTAGTTGGCAGATTTCTGCTGCTTCCGTCGCTCAATGAGAACACCAAGAGGAATATTTTCCTCGTCATAGAATTCTGCTTCCTCATCCACCCCAAAGTCGCGTAGTCGTTCTCCTTCGGCGTTTCGCCAGGACTCTTCACCCTCGTCTGAGTAACCTCCGGAGTCAGTTTCGGACTCATCGCTATCACTTTGAGCGTGGTCGCCTTTTTTGTACCGATCATGAAATGGCTTGCGACGTTGTACACCTGAGGTTTGTTGGAATCGCTTCATGTCTTCCTGTTTGCGGCGGTTGAAGGCATCAATCTCGTCCTGAATAGATGCGTATGTAGGCATGCTGATATTGCTTGGTGGCCTTGCACTAGCCGGCATCGGGATCCGATCTGGATCCGGGGGTGGCCATGACACACCAGAGTCTAAAAAAAGATGATAAGCAATGGAAAAGCTAGAATATAGATTTATCGACTCACCCTCAAAGCCATTGGTCTCGAATTCCCAGCCAGACCGACGATCAGGTGTTGCGGCCAGCGGCCAGAACCAGCTTATGAACTAGAGAGGCATTAGTTTACATATCTGGATTTTTTAGATCATAAATAAGCAAACTCACATTCGCGCTCCCGCCCATACTTTGCTTGATGTTGGCCCAAATCCCAATGTCGTATGGGTATTCCTGCTTTTTTATGTGAACTCGAATGCCTCCAGGACCCTCAAGATACCCGCCTAGCACACGGGCTCGACGGACAAGAGTAGCATGTCTCTCGATTTCCCAAGTTTCAATGGTGGTCGTGTTAGATCCAATTGCCCATAGACTCCTAAGTAGGAGGACAAAGAGACCGAAGGTTGTGAGACTATTTACCACAAGCAGAATAAACAAGTGGATGAGCTGCCCCAATGTGGGGCCGAGATACTATTCAACATTAGCGACATGAATGGTGAAATACTTGACTTACTTACGCTTGGCAGATGGCTGTTCTTCCATACAAACGAGGCACGCTGCCAGAGAAGACTCTCCAGGTAGGACATTCCAACAGTTGCATAAAACAGAAAGCGCATGAAATGCGGGAGGGTAAAATGTGAGACGCAGTTCGAGGTCCAGGGGCAATGATGATCCATTTTGGGAATGCATCTGGGCGAAGATCAGCAAAAGTCTCCACAGCAGGCATTCCTTATCGAACCTTTTACAGGTCTTGCAGTGGTGAGCGCGAGGCGGTTTGTAAGCTTCGCATCTACGACACCATCGCTGGCGACCAGCGAGTGCTTCACCTTCTTGCTCTTTGGGTTTCGGTCGCTCTTCGGCTTTGGGAAGTCGACCGGGATCTACAAAACAGGTTCGGTAATAGCATATCCAGATGCACAAGGCGAAGATATTGATCTTCCAAGTTTCGTCCCTTGTGAGTGGCACAGGCTCGAAGTGCAGAAAGAAGTACTGTGATGTGTAGGCGAGGAAGGCGATCAGCACACTGACGGCAGGGATCGCAAGTTTAGATATTGAAAAGTCCTCGCCCAACATTTCAGCGTCTTCAGCCGTTGAAGTGAGCAAGGCTGAGAAGCTGCAGAGGCGTGAAGTTAGACGTGTTGTTTATCGGGACCCGTGGACGCCCGGGGCCGGGTGTGGCTATGCTGACTAACGAGGCTGTGCCGGTCCAGGACATCCATATGGATGGAGAATAAAATTGACGCCAAAAATGAGTCTACCTTCTTATGTTGGGGGTGTGCAAATAGTGTTTCTCTATTTATGTTTATAACAACAAGAATATTCGGCTGATTATGCGGCCTTGTCAAGTATCTTTTAGTAGACTTTTATGGTAGTCTTCTCAGATAGTCGTTTTAGATGTCTTTTCAAATGTCTTTTTTGGTATTCTTGTCAGATTCTTCTCAATAGGTCTTATCAGTTTATCTTTTTAGACGTCTGTTTTCATAGATGTTTTCTTTCTCTTCTCAGTTTGTTAAGGAGGGAGCAGAAAAAAAAGGGTAAGAGGCTTGATTTGTGAAATGGACTTTTCTATGTATAACCTTTGACAATTCGGAAAACATTCATTACTAGATAGGTAAGAATAAACTAACCACAGAGAAACCCATGGTTTGCATCCCCACACCGTGCTTTGATAAAGAGGCACTGATGAAGGTGGTGTACGTCGAAGGAGAGGTACTATGTGGGGTGACCGTCAAGGTGCATGGCGAATGTGAGAGAATGACTGGATGGTTGAAGAAGCTAGGTCGCCAAGAGAGTATAAAAGTTGACAAAAGTGATTTAAAGATTTAAGTGATTAAGCCAGGTGAAGTATGTGAAGAAAGGAACTAAGCCTAATTCGATGTACCCGGCCCAAATGCTTGGCCCAACAACCCAATCGGGTTGTTAAAGGGGTTAGGGGCGAAAGCGAAGGGCCGAGTATGTGGGGACAGTTCCGGAACCTTACTACTTTAAGGCATCTGCGCCACGTGACTCCGGGTCCCAAAACAATCTCATCCTCCTTCGACATTTGCCGAGTTGACGTTCATCAAATATAAGCCATAGAAATAGTTCGCATGTTTTTTTCAGCTTACGTCAACTGGATGTGACGATTTGTGATGCTTTCGGAGATGAACAACTAATACCAGGCGTGCAGGATGCCGATTGAGGCTCTTCCTCAGAAAACAATCCGGGCGATTGGCTCCACATCTGTCATTTCGGATCCCTACTCTGTTGTCAAGGAACTTGTAGACAATGCCCTTGATGCTTCTGCTACGTCACTGCAGATCGAAATCTCCCAAAACAGTGTGGATGTCATACAGCTCAAGGACAATGGCCACGGAATCTCTACCGAGGACCAGCAACATGTCTGCAAACGAGCTTTTACCAGCAAGATCCAGACTTTAGATGATCTCAAAAATGTCGGTGGCTCATCATTGGGATTTCGCGGTGAAGCACTTGCCAGTGTCGCAGAGATGTCCGGGGTTCTCGCTGTCACCACTCGGGTTGAGGCCGAAGTTGTGGGGCGATCTTTGAAGTACGGACGAAACGGAGAGCTTACTGGGTATGCTGATCCCGCCAGGTTTTTGGCTTCTATGTCACTGCTAACCTTTCATCGCAGAACACAACGGACGTCACATCCCGTGGGGACAACTGTTCGTATCACTGACTTCCTCAAACACCTCCCTGTCCGCAGGCAGACTGCCTTAAAGGGTGCTACGAAAAGTCTCACGAGGATCAAAAAGCTTCTCCAGGCCTATGCTATAGCTCAACCATCCAAGAGACTCTCACTCAAAGTTCTCAAGGCAAAAAGTGAAAACAGCAATTGGGCCTACGTGCCAAGCGCAGACGCCTCGCTCTCAGATGCAGCTCTCAAGGTAGCCGGCACGGAAGTGTGTTCTTCTTGTGTCCTGAAACTACTTTCATCCCAGAGCATGGCTGGGAATGAACGAGGATTATCAGATCAGGAAGAGTATGAAGCCATCGCCTTTCTTCCAAAGACACAATTTGGTGAGCTCATCTTATTGAACATCCGGTGATGTGGTTACCAACAAAGTTAGATACCTCCAACATCAACAACGCAGGCCAATACATCAGTGTGGATGGCCGCCCGCTCTCCAGCAGCAGAGGGATTGGACATGAGATTGTCAAAATCTTCAAGCCATATGTCCGTGTCGCCGCATCCAAAAACCAATCCTCTAAATCGGTTAGCGATCCTTTTCTCTGTTTGCAAATTCGCTGTCCCCGAGGAACGTACGATGTCAACATCGAGCCAGCGAAAGATGATCTGCTTTTCGAAGACCGAGATGTAGTCTTGGCGATAGTAGATAATTTGTTTCGCGACCACTATGGGGAAATACATGGGACGGAGACTAAAACTTCCAACCAAGCCAAAGAGGATGCTTCCACATCCGATAAAACCTTGGGGGGATTTGAACTTTTGATGGCTAGGAAGCCAGTTACTGAACTTGGCACACAGCCTCGCGATCCTGAGAACCCCCTCAGTCAGGCTATACCTCACACGCCTCTCTCACAGAAGCCGCTTCGGTCTGAGAACGCCTTTTCGCCTGTAGTTCCTTCTAGCGGCAAAGACCCCGAAAGTCCTGATGAATCGGGCACAGTCAGAAGCAAAAGTTCCAGGTTTGTTAATCCGTGGTCTATCTCCAGAATTAATGCCTCATTTCAAACACCGCGACGGGCGAGCAATTCAGTCAGTCAAACAAGCCCCGTGGATCTATCTAGTGGTAGCCTGCATGGGCCAATCCGAAGGGAGAGTGAATCGCTAGTCTTCCAGCATTCGCCTAAGTCAGACTTGACAAGTCCTCTTACTTCTCGACTTGCATCTGGATCGCCAATGAGGCGCGGCCGACAGCCTCCGCAAGAATCGACTGGGCCCTCCCCTGAGACTAATCGCATTTCGAGCGCCCGACGCGCTGAGAGGGAACGTGATCGAGATCGGTATGGGAACGGAGCTCTAGACACTTGGTTTCAGAGAACCACACAAGTCTCGCTGCAGCAAAACCCTGTTGAGGAAGCACCAAATCAAGAACCGGACTCACCACTCTCTTTGCTTGCCCAGAACCGGTTTCTACTGCCCACAAACCTTTCGCCAAATATTGTGCATGTCGATACGCAGAACGATGGTTGTTCGGACAGTCAATCTAAGAATAGCATCACTCCAGGTGCTGCTTGTCATGTGCCTTCGCTACCCAAAGACCAAGGAGACCACATTCCAGAGTCAATGGATAGTGGTCGAGGATTTCCGGTCCTTGAAAGATGGGCCGCTCAACTTCACGAAGACGTCAGCCAAGAGGAACCGTCTGATCTGGAGAAAGCACTTGACTTCGAAAAGCGGAAGAAGGAAGCCATTCAGAATAGTCGCGCACGCTTCAAGACGAACGATAAACCATCCAGTTCACAGTCTGCTCCAGTATCGCATTCGCCTCATCGCAGTCGATATCTTGCCGCAAAAGCTGCGTTGACTTCATCGCAAACTTCGATCGGCGAACCGGTCTCTGCGACAACGCTCTCTCCTCACGATCCGCGAGCATATCTCATCCGCCAGGAAAGGGACCTTTCTACGGATGAACCTTCAACGAATGATGGAAAGTCCCGGAGAGTACTCACTAACCGACTTCCCTTCGAACGTATACCCGATGGCTCCGATATACATGATCTCGGTTTAACCTGCTCGGTTGACCTGTCGTCCGCCTCGAACTCGTTCAAGTGGAATATGTCAGAAGATCTATATACTGAGAGTGACAACGAAACTACCGCATTCTCGGGATCTGACCTTGAAACCTGCTTGCCGTTCTGGAATGAACAGTTGTTGCTTATCATGAAGGAAAAATACAAAAACAAGGATGAATCAAAGCCTTTGAGTATTCAAATCGATCTTGCCACCATTATTTCTCAGCATGTGCAAACAGCCCTGGACAACTAAGGCTGGCTATATCTACTCATAGAATACCTCTTCCAAGGAATTCTCCGCTGACCGCTATACTCCAAGATACTTCTGATATGTCTCATATTATTTATGTTCTTAAAGATTACCTCTTATTCCATAGATCAAATATCAGAGCTTTCAGACTTTATCATCCCCGGTTGCCATAGAAAACTTACCGATGTTCTGTGTTGAGAAGCCGCCCAATCATGCATGCACTATGCCATCGGGTCCAGTGCAAACAGCCCAGATTCAATTAGGTTTGCCTGCCCTAGACAACCCTAAATATACAGGCCATCACAGAAGACCAAAAAGAATATCCGTTGACCGCCATGCTACAGAGCCTCCCTGATTCACCTGTGTCTCATATCCAACCCAGCTGGGACAATGGTAGCGCGCGAGACTTCTGATCTCGAGGTTGTGGCTTTTCAATTCCGGGATAAAGACTACGAGTACAGTCAATTTTAAATTATTCAATGCAATAATTATCTTGAATTCAAGCAATAGAAATACAAACCCAGCTCGGGACCTCAGGATGCCCCCGGGGCCACTTGACCGTGACATGATCCTGACATCAACACCTGAGCAGCACCAAACGAGGTATAAAACAACCAACAAGTCACAATAAATTGATATTGTAACCCAACCCATCAAGAATTCAGGTCATGCCCCAGAATGGCATTTCTCATCCCCCCCTCAGCCCTAGAGAACCAGGCCTATAGCTCTCTCCACTCCCCACCCCTGAAAAACAACCTAACACCCGGCGACGTGGGAATCCTAAAATCAACTCTCCTACCTTCGTTCGGTCTGTATTCTACCCTCTCACTCGCAACATACGTTGCAGCCGAAGCAACAAACCGAGTCGATCTCAAAGACTGGCTCTGGCCATCCGCCCAAGTCCTCAATGCCTGGTGGACCGCCATCGGGCAACCGATGTGTAAACACGACATCTCATTCGGAACAGCTTGTGAGGCTCTATCATGGACCGAAAGGGTTCTTCTGAGCTGTGTTACTATCTGGGGTACGAGGTTTTTTGCCCGGATCGCGAGCCGGTCCTTATCCCGCGGGACAGATGATGCGCGGTACGACGCTATGAAAAAAGAGCCCGGTTTTTGGAAACGTGCATTTTTGAAGATCTTTTTACCGGAAGCTGTTGTGTTGAGTGTCATCTCTTTGCCGTTCACGGTTCCGTTCACTATGGGTGAAGCTACGCCCCCGATAGGCGATGATATGATCAATGTTATTCGGGCGCTTGGAGTTGGGCTATTTGGTGCTGGATTTGCGATGGAGGTTATGGCAGATACGCAGCTTGGATTACATCGACAAGAACGGACGGATTTGTGTCGACATGGTGTTTGGGGTTTGGTGCGGCACCCGAAGTAAGTTTTCGTGATATATATCTCACCCTTCGCATTAGATGACATGTGCTGATGATGTCTAGTTACCTCGGGGACACTTTGGTCCATTTCTCATTTGCGTTGCTTAACATGGCTGGTCCATTTAACCCAGTTGTGATACTGGGGCCTGTAACGAACTACCTGTTCCTTCGGTTTGTGGGTGGCGCCAAGGAGACTGAGGCTAGCCAGGAAGAGCGATATAAGTCTCAGGATGCACATAAGTATGGGCAACTTCGACAGTGGCAGAGAGAGAAAAACAGTTTCTGGCCTAATTTGCGGGACTTGGTGAATCCATCGGCATTGGCTGTTGCTGGTTGCGGTTTTATTGGTGTGGTGATTGAGGAGGGGTTTAGAGGTGCTTACGATATGTGATAACGTATATAGTAAGGAAAAGAGTATTGCATATGTTTAATTGACGTACCAAAATTGTCGAATTCCCGATCTATCCATTTGTGGGAAGTTGGATGATGGTTGTCTTTTTTTCTTTTCTTTTCGTTTATTTTTACTTGCATTATAAAAAGCAAAATACCCTCCAATGATCGACCTACACCTGCATATTCTCAAACCTCTCTTCGAACCCCCTTTTTTCTCATCATTCTTGATCATATCAATATGGAGACACCATCTGCACCAACACAACCGCAGGCTATAACGGGAGAAAACTACGCATACATATGCCACGGGTGCAATATTCTACTGAGACAAACAACAAGTCGGTTCCAAAAAGTTGAATATATGGGACCCGGTCGCTGCATCGGCTGCGAGTTTTATACAGAGGACGGATACTTGGCAAGTCTAATGTCTGTAATAGATTGCAGAAACAAGGCTAATAGTAGTGTAGATCGTACGCGAGGCGCAGGAGCATGTGGAAAAGCATCGCGAGTATAGAAAAAAGGAAGTGTTGTGGGACATAAGCCAGGACGCAGCGGCGACACGGCAACGACAGCGGGAGTTGGAGGGTTTACGCAGGCTCGCCAGTCAGTGAGAGACGGAAATGTATTTATTCACGAGAGCGAATGAAAATAAGAAAAAGAAAACTATAGTATAGAGTAAAATAATGTCGAATGAAGGGTGTCCGAGAATTTTGGTGGGGTAGGGTAACAATCTCCCAGCCTTAATACAACCAATGCCTACATGCGCAAGTCCTAATACCCTTTGCCCCGTTTATAAGAGTTAATCAACGGCTGACCCCGAGCGATGCGCCCCAGGTTTATCTCGAGGATATCAAGAGAGCGCGGGAAATACTCCACCCCAAGACCGCTGACATGTGGACTGATCTGAACATTGGACGCCTCCCATAGAGGATCATCCTTAGGAAGAGGTTCGGGGTCGGTTACATCAAGTGCGGCTCCACCCAAGACCCCGGAATTCAGTGCATCGACCAAAGCCTTCTGATCGATAACCTTGCCTCGCGAGATGTTGGTCACATAAGGCTTGCTCGCATGGTGATGAGAGTGGTTAGATAGAATGGCGAATTCCTCTGCACCGAGGAGACGGGTTGTTTGCGGGGTCAGCGGAAGTGAGACAACCAGATGATCGAGCCCGGTAGCCAAGAAAGAGCGGATTGATTCCCGGTCTGTTCCATGGTGCCACGATGCCGGGATTGAGCCATCTGGATCTCCGGTTCCGGGCACGATGTAGCCCCTGTCATGGCGGGATTCAGACGTTGGGCGTGGGGTAGCAGTGTATGCGTGGACGGTCATACCAAATGCCTGCGAGACGCGGGCAACTGCCGGTCGTCAGCTCGGGGTCCTCATTTTTATGAAATTCGCACCTCGTGGATATCGAGCGACAATGGGTGAAACGTACTTTGGCGCCCGATACTTCCATATCCTAGAATACCCACCTTTTTTCCCACTTGGTCATGAATACCTGACGCGTACGCGGTCTTATCCCATAGGTGGGATTTCTGTGCCTCGTAGCCCTTGACATATTTCCGGGATGCTACCAGCCAATTCATCACGGTCCATTCTGCTATCGGAGGACCGTGGATACCCGAGCTTGTAGTGATCGGGATATTAGTTTCTTGCAAAATTGGATGTTGCAAAAGATGATCCACGCCAGCAGAGAAGGTGTGAATTAGTTTAAGGCTACAATAATGGTTAATGCATGGTAACACTGATTGGGGTGGGAGCTTACTTCTTTGAGTCCTTGAGATCTGGAAGGTCGCTGAAAGTCGCGAGTATGGTAGCTCTTTGATATACTTCTGCGCAAGCTTTTAGTTTCGTGACCTCAGATCTTTAAGGGTGGTAGTCACTTACCAGGTGGCACAGGAACATCTGCCTGACGTTGGTGAATAGTGACCTCGGCATCGGAGAATTTGTGTCGGATAACCTCCTTCAGCTCTTCTGGCATCCCCTGATAGAAAATTACGAGCACATGCTCCGGTAAGAATGATGCGTCACCCATAATTGCAATGAAATCGTTTTTAAGATGCGTGCTGGACTGAAAAGAGCGTTGGGGATTTTAAGTGAGAAGTCCCACAGGGCGCGGGCAACGGTTTTCTTATCGAACTTCCCCGCCTCGGTGGCTTAAAAAGGCAGTTCGGCATCTCAAAGTGTAACACTTCCTTTTGAACGGGTCGGATGCTGGTTTCTTATTGGAACTGATCGCCATTTTTGGGGAGATGGTGGTGGTTTATGCGAGATGGCGTGGTATGGCGACACTTTGCTTAGAAATGGTCTCAGAGCACGTTAAATTAGTACCCTGCGGTAATGTGGGATGGGGTTTTATAATAAACCAAAGGAACTTTCTAGAGCACAGGATGACACCATCAACGGTAAAAGAATACTGTGATATTACTTTGCTTACTTGCAGATTTTACTCATTGCCCTGCTACTCACCATATTCAGCCCATCGGCCACAGATTTCTTTACTTTCCGCTTTCCAACACCCTCCTGGTTTAGGCTAACACGTGATGATGTTACCAGGCTCCTCATTGGGATATTCTACTTTGGAGGGATGAATTACACTCCTTTGGATGACGATTTTATTTATCGACCTGATCAATGGGGCCGGACACCCTTGTACGCCCTACCCCGATCATATGGGCCTTAAATCCATACCATTTGTCTGCGCTTCACCTAGCCGTGAGGAAATACTTGATAAACGTTAATTCCCCTTGCATCAAGCAGAGTCCGACGAACTGGGTTTGCCGACAGTTGAAGGGGAAGGACAGCACATACACGTAAGATTTACAATCATTCATTTTATGTCGGCCTTCAATACAACATATACAGCTAAGCCAGGGCTGTTCGAGTACGTAACCAGAACGGAATTAGATCGTTTCAATTAAGTGCCTAGAACAGGAATTGTAAGTGTGACTACATGTTTCTGGTCTTGACTCTGAATATAACAGCATTCGCTATAAAAATGAGCTTCGTTCGAGTGTCAAAGCTTATGTTCTACACCACCAGCAGATCTTCCAAATTTATAATGACTAGCTGCAAAGGTATTATTAGTGACAGCGGCAACTGTACTAATATCCAGAGCAAGAGCGAATGATGCGATTATCCCAGCCAAACGACCTTTGGACCCTGGGCCAGTGCATCCAAGAATCTCCAACGCCTCTCTCTGCGTCTCATAGATAGTACCTCCTCCGACGGTTCCAACTGGAAGACTCGAAAAATAGCTTGACACACAAATCTCCTCGGTTTCCCGATCGAATTCAACAGTCAATTGACTCCAGGCTGATTCTGCCACACTGGCAGCGTCTTGTCCACATGCGATGAACATTGCAGCCACAATATTGGCTTGATTGATACTATAGCCCAGCTGCCCGTTTCGTGTAGCAGCCTCCTTGCTATTCAGTATGAGTTGGTAAAGATCCCAAGTAGAACAGCCTAGGCTGCTTTGGCAAGCCTGTTTGGTGATATTTCCCCACGCTATGACAGACACGCCACGCGAGTGTAAGATATTTCCCCAGGATAAGCTTTTCTCTGAAGCAAGTTGCCCCTCGATAGAAACCTTTTGGAGTCTTTTTTCCTTAGCTGCACTGGATGCTGCGAATTGATCACATACCTTCTGTGTAGCAAATGTGACCATATTTTGGCCTGCAGCATCTCCACAAAAGTACTCAAATATGACGTGAACAGTACTCCCCACCAATTGAGGGCTTATCTTCACAAGCCGTGCATATTTGCTGGTAGATTGTGCAACATCTCGGAATTCGGAGAATAGTTGAGGTATCATGTCGTAAAATGATGCGGCATCCTCCACGCAGGAGAACCAGAAGACAGGAGCCCTCGTCATAGTGTCTCGGAGTAGTTTAAATTGGACTCCGCCACTGGAGGTGAAGAGCTTACTCCCACGGGAGCAACTCGCTACCAATGTAGCTTCGCAAGTTGCCAATGGGGCGTGGAAGACGCCATCGGTGCCATCGGTGCCTCTGATCCTCAGAGGGCCAGCAAGGCCCACGGGGATCTTGACTGAGCCAATGCAGTTTTCGATTTTGGCATTCTTGATTGCGTTTTCGTCCGCAACAATGTATTTGAGCGTAGATATGATCCCGCTCTGTGAGTCCATGTTCGGAATCGGTAATTCGTGCATAATGATAATTATGATTCAAACAAAATTCTCAGTGAATTAATGAGCAATCATTGAAGGCTGAATAATAAGGCTATATATATATGTTTTTCTACAAAATCAAATATGATTTCCTTCGAATGTTCACCTAACTTTAGTTACGCCATCATGAGCAAGATCTCAGACAGTTTTTCGACTGAACGGCATCCAGATCCTCAAGTGGCTAGTGCAGCCTGTAGTGTGGCTACACAGCAAAACTTACACCGAAGATCTGTTCCAATTACAGTCACACAGCAAAAGTTTTAGCACCCCGAATTCTGCCGGTCGAATATCCATCAATCAAAAATTAAACCACAACGGGCGGTAAACCGAATTAGGAAGGCGGCAGTGTAAGGGGTGCTAACACTTTTGCTGTGTCTCTGTACGTATACGATTACCACTCCCCTACAACCGGTGATCTCATTTTGCGCATCTCTTCAGCGATAGTTTGCGGTTTGCCCGATGAGCGGTGAGGCATATATTAGTGAAGAATATTATCACTTAGAACCCGGGGGATCGTTGCAGGGCGATTAGTTGAGGTATACGGATTGTTAAAAATCCAGGTTAATTCTCAGTAATTAACATGGAGCTTGCTTTCAACGCTAACCCTAATTCGGCACGCTTTATGCACCTTTCTCGCACGCCAAGAGCTTCGAAGTCCTACGGAATCGACATTAGCGCCGTCGATACGGTTTGTCGTCTACACCACCAATTCCTGTATACAACCGCCAGTTTGTTGTAGCACAGGAAACCATTTCAATTCAGGCTACATTCAGTCAATAGAACTTAGGAGAATCTAGTACTCAGTGCTATCACCGCTCATTCAGCTCTTTCTTTTTGATTCTACCACTCTATTTCTATTACAAATTGATCAATTGAGAGATTCAAGGGGGGGAGAAGGAGAAGCCTATAAATATGGGCTTCTTTCTATATATTAAGAGATTAGACAGTTTACAATTTCATTTCTGGCACTATACTCATAGTTCCATTTATCTTTGCAAGAGATACTCCCTTTATTTTACATGCTGTATAGTCCCTCAGTGTACTATTTCAACACGGATATATAGTGGTAGCCTTGAGTGATATGTTAGTCTCGTAAAGGGATAGTATGTTACAGAGGGCGGGGCCATACCAACCTATATGCCTCCCAATACTACCGGGGCCGTGATGCGGATGCGTTCCGTTATTCTTTACCATATTATTACCTGGCTGGCCTTTGCCAGTCTTAGTTCCCTCGCTGCAGTCTTTGCGAATGTTCTGCGAGACCTAGGAAAGTCTGATATTGTCCACCCAAACAGTGCTGTTTTGTACATCACATTACAACCCCTCGCGGCCAACGTCCTCGAGGGCAATTTTAGTTGTGGGCCTCATCTCCGCCTCATGTTTCATTCTCGGGATTGTCCTGTGGTATACCTGAGATAACTAGGAGAGAACTGCAAGGCTCGATTTTCTTCACGGCAGCTTTCAACTCGTCCGAAATTTGATTATTATTTCCTCCAGGAATTGTGCTGCCAGCTACATCCACGATTTCCAGGCATCCTTTTGAGGTTTTTAGCGTTGGAATTTACTTTCCGTATATGTACGATGTCCAAGATCATGTATTATGGGGCTGTTGGCCAGGCTTTCGGGTCACTAGTGGTCATCGTATCTCTCATCAGTTTTGTCGTACTCCAAGCCGACAAAATAGTCCAAGTAGTGGTTCAGAGTGCTTCCAGAGTGGGGCTGTGAAGGAATGAGACACGGAGCATTCCGAATGAAACAATCACAAATTCCATCATGAATTTTCGATGGATGAGGGAGGGAGGTGGAAATTAGAGAGATGCGACGGATAGTGTCATGTGTTTAATCGGGTGAAACCCGTTCAGTACGGTAATGAGAGCTCGCATTCAGAGAGAGAGGGGTATTCCTAATCTTGTAGAGACAGGGGTATGTACCCTTATCTAAGTGCATTACGCTCACTGATTGGACACTGAGCATCACTAAGTAATTAGAGAGCATCCAATGAGCACTTTCTGCACGTGACTGGACGTATGATCACTGATCTGAGTGCGTGCTGACATCTACTCCGTGAGCCTGACTGAGCACCCTCATGAGCAGATCAAATAGGAAATCCCCACCCGCCAGGGAAAATCCGGTACGTATAGGTGCATATAGCATATCCACGATTTGGTGGCCCGAGGATGATAGTTGGTGCCTGAATGCCTGAGTGCAAGTTACACCAGGCGGTCACCTAACTAGGTATCATCCTAATAACTGTGTACAACATATTATATCGATCTATATCCCCAGTCATTCCTTCGGGCACCACAGCAACAATTATCTAAAGCCATGATTGTTATGCATGCCACACGTTACTTGAAAACAGGCACACACTCTCAGGACCCCGAGCGATCGTTCTCTCGCACAATATTATCCAAGCCAAAGAGATGTGCATGAGACCGGACACACCGGTGGATTGCGCTCTTGTCTGGTATTCCTAGAGCTACAGAGGTACCACTGATTATCAAGATGCATGACATCTCTACTAACATTGCAATGTACGATCATTTCAAATCGATGTTTACAGCCTTTTCGAGTCCGATATTTCTTCCGGACCGATTATTTCTAAGTGATCGCCGTCAATGTAAATATTGGACGGGCTAGGCCCTCAGATCACGAGAATTCACAAGTGGAGGTACTTTATTTTTGCTTGCTATATAGATATAGACACATATTATGGCTCAGCTGAGACAAAATTGGACGTCCACTACGCGCGAGTGAAACGTGAAAACGCGAGTGGGATACCTTGCTGCGTTCTAATAGGGTCCGCAGTCCCGAATGTCATGCCGCAGCACTTTTAGCGCACCTGGGCAAAGTCAAAAGTAGAGGTACAGCGTGTCCGGTAAGCCCATCACGGCATATAATGTAATCCACGTCAGTCCCCATTTTCACTGGCTTCAGGGTTGCGCCTGTCATGCACAACTGGAAAATAGTCGTGGTTTTCGTCCAAGTCTCCAACTTTTACATGCACAGTCGATCGATAGTCCATCGATGGAGTTCCTCGAATAAGTGCTTGCCTCATTGAGCAAGTCACAGAGATCATACCCGTCTATGGCTGCACATGCCGCAGAATCGGCGTAGGGTATCCAGAACGGGGTATCCAGCACGGGGGGGACAGCATATAGGCCCAAACGCGTCGCGTTAAGTTTAACCGCTTTTCAACTCCTAACCATGGAAGTACGAACATCTTTAAATAGCCGCACGGATAAGGAGGTTATGCCTAATATCCGCGGTCAATATACCCACTACAAAGCACGAACCAGGCCTTACATCGAAATTGCCACGTGGTATATTATTCCCTCTTCCTCTATGCAATTATATATTGTCAGACCCGTTGCCTTTAACAAAGCGGCTGGTCAAATGATATCTTCATTCCTACATATATTGTAGAGCTGTTCTGGTACCACCTCAGAGCTTTCTTCGCCCCCACTCGGCATGACACCACAACCAAGATCTCCCAATTCCAAACTCGATCCAAAAATTCCAGTTCAACACACAACCTACCCCATTGGATATCGTATCACCACAGCACATTGTCACGCACAAACTTGAACTCCAACTCCCCGAAAATGTCACTAGAGGTCCACCCAGCGTCCCCCACCGACGCGCGCGAACTCGCGCAAGTCTTCTACGCCAGCTTCCGTAGCGACTTCGACACAACCATGTTCCCTAACACGCCAGACGTGACGGAATGGTGGGAAAAATATTTCACCGCCGGCATCACGCGCTCAATTGCAGGCGAGACCCACGATGTATTCCTCAAGGTGACGGAGGGGTCGGAGAGTGGCGGGATTGTCGCGTTCGCGAAATGGAAGTGTCCCGCGACGGCTGCAGATCGCGATCGGCACGAGGAACAGATCGTGTGGCCTCCTAGTAGTGATAAGGAACTTTGCGATCGGTTTTTCACTGGTACGGGGGCGCGGCATGAGAAGTGGATGGGGGAGAGACCTCATTATTGTACGTTTTTTTTTTTCTTCCTTTCTTTTTTCTTGACTCTTGCTTGGCGTCTTCGGGGTTTGATTTATGCTTGTTATATTCCTCGAACAAGTATGAAAGGAACAGCCACCACTAACCGCGACGTCTAGATCTGGATATGCTAGGTGTTCACGCTTCCTACCAGGGCAAGGGACTGGGCTCGAAGCTCCTCAAATGGGGTCTCACACGCGCTGATGCTGAAGGTTTGGAGGTTTATCTGTCTGCGTCTCCTGCAGGGCAACCCTTGTATGAGAAATATGGATTCCGGGTCGTTGATACCTTGTCGCCATACCCCGACTACACGCAGGTGGCGATGATACGCTCGCCCAATAACCAATAGAAATTACAGTCACTGAATATAATGTAACAGGATTCTATTTCATGAACGCTTATGAGGTCGCAGGCTAGAAGTTGAAAACCCGGGAATCTCTTCGAGGCTGGTTCTTTCTCGATCGATAACGGGGAATCCTCTGGGCGCATAAATTATACGGAAAGTCTTCGCTGGAAAGTAGGTTTTTCCATCATGGAAGATGACATGTGTATATAGAAATCCTAGCCCGTCATTAAAGCTCCACTGCTCCACCATGCCATGACATTTCATGTGGTGTTTTGGTATTGTGTGGCCATTAGGAAGGAACTTTCCGATTTGAACGACATTTCTTGTCTTAAGTAGGAGGAATATGTACCGACCTCCAAGTCTACCTCCTGCAGGCAAACTTGAACCAATAATGACGATGCAACCGCCACGGACATTTCCATTAAGGACCGTAAAAAGAACATTGCAGACAAGGCAACAAAATGCAGGGTATTTTCTGATGGGTTATGCCATCTAGAACGCAGAAGCAATGTAAATCTGCAAGTACAACATGGTGGTTGTCTACGCCGCCGATCTAGCTTGAGTTTCAACCGGCAGCGCCAACCACGCAGCAGCCATGACAATCCAAACCGCCCCGCAGAACCAAACTGGGCCCCCTCCCGAAACCGCAGTGCTATCAAAGGTGGTAATGATATAGGCAATCAAGCCAAACACCCTCCAGAAGAAGCCCATAGTACCTAGACTATATCCACGCACCGTAGTCGGCACTACCTCGACGGTATAAAGCGTGCCATGCCAGCAAAGCGAAGAAAGCTGATAATGCACTCGAACGCCAGCGCAGAATCCCAAGACCGGGCCAGAGTAGCGAGGAGCATGAACAACCCAGTCAAGACAGCAATGCCAGCTCCGGTGCGCTTCCGTCCCAGGCCCTTCACTTCGATCAAGATTGCCGCCACGAGCGGGCCGGGATTAGCGCACAGCGCAATATATAGGTACCGGCTGTAAAGGCAGGATCTCGAAGCTGTTGTTGCGTTGACCTTGGCTACACCATGCGCCGCGAGATAATTGCCGATATAAGTTTGGTGAAGGACGAAGGTTAACCCCATTACACTCCACAGCAGGATAAGGCACACTGTGCCATAAATATCGAGGGAAGAAACAAGGGCTTGCGAGCGAGATTTCGTGCGCAGTTCAGCGTCGGAAGCGTCCATTGTGGAATCCACGCGTGCAAATGATGCTTCGGTAAGCCATGTCTGGCGTTTGTTGTAGAGTGCAATATCCTTGAAGAGCTGTGTTGCTTCTGCGCATCGATAAATAGCAACCCTTGATAATCTAGTCTAGCGCGATCTTTGATGGTATTAGAGGACTATCTAACAGTTACTTCAGTAGTTGCTTGAGTGACGAAGCTTGCTTTTGAAGCTGAACGACAGTCTTTAGCGTTTTCGGGTGAATTGGCTTGATCTGCTGCTTAGTCGACTACTACGTGGTGAAGGGGCATTTGGAGTGAAATATTGAGCTTTGAAAGCACCCGTTCTGGGTTAATTAGAACAAGACTAACTGGTAGCAGCGAAGCTACTTTAGATAATATATAGTTGAAAGACCTCCGTACGCGCCCGAGGGCAATATACGAGGAAATGAGAACCTGGGCTTTGGATTCGATGAAGCATTTTCGTCATTTGGCTGGTCTTGAGATGCGTTTGGGTCCTCCTGTATAATACCAACATGACTGCATGTGCCATATCATGTCGAGAGAATGTGACTCTGCTCACATGCGTAATTTGAACTCACCGTCTTCGACCAAGAAACAGGGGTTCAGCATTATCAATATGTGATAAGTTGACCGGTGTCGATCACTCTTATTGCTAGGGTCTTTTAAGATATTTGATTTGTGACCGGATTCACCCAATACGATCCAACATTGCTGTTTGGGCAAGGTCCGAGTCCCAAAAAGGCCAGCAGGGCCGGCCGAGGTTTTATGGTAAGACCCCGCTACTGCCAATCGTGGATTGGATGAAACTGGTTTCTTTGCAAAGCCCCACCCCTGCCCGGAATATAAAGGAGAGCGGTCGTCCAACTGAATAAATTTGTAGGCTTTGCGTGCTTCAAAACAATAAATGACAAAATGGTGCGCCGTCATAACATAAGAAATTTTTTTGTTTCGGCAGATAGCTATTCCATCGTCTAGTCCGACCCAGTGCAGACTTGCCTTGGAGGTAAGCATGCAGCAAGGATGCGCACCTTCGGCCACTCATATGTTACCCCAAGGCACCATCACAGTATCCCTTTGCCCATATGATTATTTCCAGCTCTGTCCTGAATGATAAACTCATGACACAAGTCCCCGGCGCTAATTTTTAGCTCAGGGCCGGCTAGCCCCCCAAGAAGGCGGCCTGAAATCCAGAGCCTGCTGGGAAGTTGTGCGAAAGCTTTCTGAGAGAATGTCAGCCACTGGTATCTCTCACCACACAAGCCTAATGCAGCACTGCATGAAGTTTGTGCAGCCGATTATTTGAGCCAATCGCCCCCTGCCTCGTGATATGGGCACGGGACTCGACTTACTTGACATCTCATATATTGGGTTATTTCCCCTGAACTCCTTGAACGCATTCCAAATGTCCTCACTCTTCCAGTTCCAAGCATCGATCCTGCCACCACAGAACATCCAGCAATCGAAAACAAGTTCTCGAATGAGATTCTTGTCTTCCTTTGGAAATTCGACCTCGGATGACTTCTCGGCATTGTTGGCGACTTCTTCAGCAGCATGTTCCTGGAGTTCGTTGGCAAGATCCCTTTCTCGGTTTGTTGCTAACTCAGGTCCAGAGTGGTCTTCCAAAATGGAGGCAACCACCGTGAACTCGTGCTCCAATATTTCTGTCATCACCCAAGTATCAGCAGGTCTGCTTGAAAAAGTATAAATGAAAAAGGGTACGTTGGCTGTTCATTGTCTGACCTGCGGTTTCTCTGTGTTGGACTCGAATTTCGAGGTTTGCGGCCGGCAAAACCTCCATGTTTGAGTCGTGTGGAGTTGAGGTTGTTGTTGTCCTGTAAATTCTAAATACTGATGATGGATGGACAGATGAATGTGGGAGCTTGATGTTTCCCCCTGAATTTATCGCTCGATATCTCAGGATAAACAGGCGAGATTCTGTCTTGGCTTGACTCACTGTGGATTTCAGGCTTAAACGAATTGTCGGACTTTGCATTTGTTAGGCTTCGGAGCTAATGTGCACCGACAGGACCGTGGCTATGCCATCACCGCAGAGATTTCGACCTCTATTGCACCGCTCTGGCACTCAAAAGGCAGTTCCGCAAGCAATATGACGCGTCACTTTTTGGAGATCAGTTCACTTTGTTCAGCTTCTTCATGATATACATTACCATTTTTTCGTCAGTTTGTGGTGTCCTTTCGGAGCAATTCTGCCCCTGTTCTCCAATTCACAATGTCCAAATCTTCGGGGATTGTCAGGGGTGCTTTTGTTTAAAACGCCGCGATGATGTGCCACACGATTTTATTGGATCGCGGAAACCGGAAGCGCTGGCATCCCATCGATCCTATGTGATCTATCGATTTGTTTGGTCGGGAGCTCCAATGAATGCCGTAGAGGCGGAGGGAGCTTTTGGCGCTGGAGAGTTTCCGGGAGTTCGATTTACGATCATATTCAGACTTGGGACTTTTGATCTACTCATCATAACCTGTTTTGAGGTTATGAGTCAACACGGTGCGCCTTGTGATAGAGACTACGGCGTACTTGACTAACGAGGAAAATAAATATTTGAAATTGGCTAATTTGGGCTGGCATAGGATCATTCTGGGCCCAGAAAAAAAAAACACAAGACTATCGAAAGCAAAAGGAAAATCAAAACTTTTGGGCTTTTGCTCGTATTCCATCCATGCGCATGGTTCTTAAGATCGGAAATTTGGCGCTTCAAGCAATTCTTCGATGACTCTGTTCACTTCCTGTCTTTCGCGTACAACATCTCTGATCATCCCGCGGCTCGACATGGCGAAAGCTAGCTTGATTGGTCGCTGGTCATGATTTTCAAACAAGTTCCACAATTCATCAAGAATGGCTCTGTCATTTTCGTTTAAATCGCGTCCCTTTGTCAACATGCCCCGTTGGCGCGCCGCTGAGAGCCAACCGAGACCCTTCCTCGGACTTTTCTGGGATGGTGTACTGGCAAGCTTTATTTTCCATACCCATGAGGACCGAAGAATTTTACTCATCCACAAAATTGTGCTCATAATTATCTCCACTTTTCTTTTCGCGGGGACTGATTCTTTCTCCAGGATGGTCTCGTCTTGGCTGTTGTGACACAGCAGTACCCGATCGACCAGATAAAGCACAATGTTGAATTCCATAGGCCCATAAAGTCGTTTGACTTCTTCGTACTTGGAGCCGGGCCCGTCGCTAAAATCGTAACATTTGATGAGCTTATGCAAAGAGCCTGGGGTGTTTTTGTCGATCGATTCGAGGAGATGTTTCAACGCTTCAGAAGACGCACCCGTGTGATCGATGAAGTCTAGCCCGTAGTCCGCCTTGATAAGCTTTCGAAAACATGTTCCGACTTCATCATTGGTCTCGAACTTTCGGTTTCTTTTCTCCTCTTCGCGGAGGGCAAATTTTTGCATCTCGATTGTGACCGCTCTCACACTTTCCAAGCCCAAACGAAGATTTTTGAGCATCGACTGTTGACGATCACGGGATGGGCCTTCCGATTTGTATATGCAATGTGCATATCTTGCCCATATATCGTCCATGATAGATCTCACCTGTACCTCAATCATCGTACCAGCTGCGATATCTCGATCTGCGTCGGAGAGATCCTTAAAAAACTCTGACTTCACAAAACCACGGTAGTGGGTGCCAATATAATCGGGGAGGGGTAATTGATAGCCCCATTTATCGTTTGATTGATTTTGAGAAGGCTCTTGGCCACCCGAGTGAGATTTCACGTTTTGAATGTGAAAAAAGCTTTCCAGAAGCGCTTTGATTTTATGTTGATCCGCCGTATAATGAAAGATAATGCGAACACCGCAGATATCGACAATATCATCTTCGATATTCTTGACAGATGAATATAGAGCATCATCTTTACGCTGATCCAGCTTTTTCCGAAGGCTTTGATGGTCCTTAACCCGACTCTCTATGAAATGAGGTATTTCCCTTTCAGCCAGGGTATAGTGGCATTTATTCTCAACTGCCACAAGAAGATTTTTGTAGAATGGTATTTGCTCAATATATTGGTTGAAAAAAGAGCGGACTGCTGAATCGGCTTTTGATGCGCCGTCTATGTTGATATCTGGGCTCATCTTTCTGGAGGCCGTTTGAGAAAGTGAACCGAAATTGAGAGGAAATGGTTGAGGTTATGAATAGAGGCTTTATCTGGAAGAGAAGAATCTGATTTATCCCTATGTTGCAAAAAAGTGGCTTCGTGATACGGCGACATATTTATAACTTCACTTACTACTGGACATAGAGCCCAATATTCGACAATGTCAACCCGTTCTCGTCGCAAACAAAAGTCGGTGTAGTTTTGAGGTTGTCAAGAGCAGAATTCGCTGAAAGGTTTTCACTGATGGTGTGAAGTATAGCAAGGGTTAACATATCAATCGGGCAAGAGTATGAGAGGCTATTCGCTATCATGGATCTTCCCACGTTTGCCCGGGTTATAGAACTGCAGGTCAGCCGTAGATAATCGCATAATTTGGCGCCCGAGATTTTCCCCTTCTATCGTTGAATCGGTCCATGCATGCATCGGAGGAAGGATGCATATTTAGCGCTTATTCTCGAGACTATGCCATCCATGATTTGTCCGATGATGCTGCATGAACCGTCGTCCGCGCCCAAAACCGGGATACCCTGGTTCCTACCCGAGGCTATGGTGTGAACGATTGAACAGTTCGAGGGTTTCGATGAACTGTGGATCTGTATAGATGCTCGAATGTGATAGATCTTTTGATTACCAATACCTTAATTGCGCTTTAATCCAGACTTAACGCGTAACTATGGGTTATGATAGAAAGAGGCAGATAGACTCTGAGGGGGCACGCGGGGGCTGCGGATAAAGATGAAATTCTCAAGAAGCGGGGAAGAAGGTATCCATGTTAACCATAGGCACGTTCGATCTACGGTATAATGCTACTCTCATTTTGAGACGCCCCAAGCCCACCGCACCACGCCACGGGACATCGTCTCAAACGTGACGTGGTATCCAATAGATCATGTCGTGCATACAAACAAGGGTTCGGCCTGCCCTGATAGGACCCAGGGAGAAGGGGCAGGCGGCTGCCGTCACTATCATGGTCTTTGATAATGCCCTACTTTCACCCAAGTTTCACAGATAGGACAAACCTGCCGACAGGACAACAGTTGTCCAATAGAAGCAATCCATTGAGTGTCCGGTTGGCAATGGTGGCATGCATATATATCAGACGTAATTGCCTGACAACGGGTCGAAATTTCCACTTTGCAGCACAGCAGCAACCCTCCATTTGAAGCCCGCCTATCAGGGGGTTCTCTGTGTGAAAGCGTTGGCCACTTGTTAGTGCTGATTACCATAACCCTGGACAGGTGGTTCATCACTTACTCAAGATCTGCTCACCGCTTGAAATATTCTTAAAAGAAGGCACTGTGACAGTACTTAGAATGTGAGGCTCCAACCAATATATTTATCGTTAATTCCTGTTAATTTATAGGAATTAGCGGGGGATTCCGAGCGATTTTTAAGGCCGGTAAGGCGGTTCCGTAAGGAAGAGAAGGGTACGTTAAAACGGCCTGCCACTTCACGAATAGTGTTAATTTCTTGCTTCTTAATAGCCTAGATAGCTAATAAGATCCTACCCTCCTAGTCTATTGAATTCCGAGAATATCGAGAGCGTATTAGTGGCATAGTGGGTGGTTGAATTGACTAAGTGCTAATCTATAGATGCGTTTCGCGTTGGCTGATCCACTCGCTTGTGAAATATGTTATTGCGGTTTTGTCATTTTAGTTAGTTAGAGAATTCAATACCCCTGAGGTTACCCATACAATGTCGTACAGGCAGATTTCTGTCATTGTTTTTTGTTCATCATATACTCGAGAGCGAGCCCTAACTGCTATATGAAATGAGTAACGTTCAAAATAGAAGTACAATTTCTAGCCGTCGAATAATAACAGTCGCTGACAGTCGTTACACATCGCAAGGTTCAACGACGGAAGACTCAAGTGGTGGACGGATCCCCAAAGAAGATGTACTGCGAGCATCATACCTGTCATCGAATGTCACATCCTCAATCGAAACGTCAGCAGCCTCTCCCCCGGTAACTCTAGTAGGCGACCTCCGGTGTGATCTAGATTTGACGATAGAAGCCCACTGGGCTTTGAATATTGGGAGTACGGTTGATGTGTAGATAATTGCGTTCCAAAGCCCTTGAAGAGATAGAACCAATGCCCCGGCCAAGTTCAATCCGAAATTCGGTTTGCTGGGATTGATCAACCCGTAAATTCGATTCACAAATGACGGTAACTAGGACCCTTGTCAGTGACGGCTTGTGGGAGGATTCAGTAGAAAGGAGCATATAAATACCCAGGTAGCAAACATGGCTACGAAGAAGAGAAATGAGTATCTCAAATAGCTCCACATTGCATTGTGCTTGTTAGCTTGGATATCTGACCCGCTTCTAGTGTGTGAATGTTGGGATTTGATGGAGGTTGAATATAGCATGGCTGGGCGACTACCCGAGCCTTTAGCTGCAGTAGCGGTCACATCGAAAGAAACCGATCGGGTAACGCTCATTGCTCTGCTAACGGGTAGTTCATATTTGGCCGTTTTTAGAGCTCTATGCTTTCGATAGATCCGTGCGCCGACTGTGGCATAGATCGCAAAGGTTGCAATACTGATTACCCTGTGAAAGGAAATTAGATCGGAAGTTGGTAGAATATATTGTATGACCTACCAGACTGGACCATAGAAACACACCAAACGTAGAAATTGCCACGGTTTGGCGATTGAGCACCATATCTAATGAGGAGTCAGTTCTATGATGGGCATAGTTTGTAGGGCATAGTCTGCAGGGCTTTCGAGGAACCTACCAAGGCTGGACCGTAGATCCTGCCTCTTTCGGTGGTCTTGATGAGGCTCAATGCCGTCGCGAGGATGAGTGGTAACCCGTAACATAAAAGAAAGTACCACTTCTCAAGCTTCTTGAGGTCTTCTGCCGAGTATCTCCGGTAAAAAGTGAGATATATGTTAACCGCCATACAAAAAGACCATAAGGAGTCCGTTGGCATCCAACTTCAATTGCGACATTAGCTTCCAATTTCTTTCTGGCATTGATAATGGCCAACATACTATTGGATGAAAAATGCTTGGGCGAGACATAAAGCAGATTCCGGACCCGCTGTCACTCCATCTCTGCTCATCAAAGACGCAACGGCGGCGAAGGCATTCCCAAAAGACGCATAAAAGATGAGTCTATTGACTGGTTTGCGAAAAGTGTTTGAAGCACAATAAGTTGTCACAATGAACGCACATCCCAGGAGAGAAGCGCTACCTCCCACTCTTTCTGCTATTGTGATAGCCCGAAGTTGCCCGTCGGTCAAGGACATTGATTGGCGTAGGTGTAAATCTTAAGAACTTGCAACTCGACTTCGGCGAGCCTTATAGACCGTTATATCTTGTCAAAAGAGTCTAGATTGCCATGTGGATGAGAAGAGCACGTGGTGGCGATAAAGATAGAGTGAACCTGGAGAGTACGATCATTCGCCCAACCGGCCGCTGACATTTACGGACCATAAAGTAAAAATCTTGGCTGAATTCTAAATGTATGGTCTACAGAGATATGGAAAGCTTATTGATAGATTCTCCTCTAATTCCCCGCATAAATAAGGTTAGAAATATGTAGGCGTCATACCCCGCTCGGAGGAAATTTTCGGCATAAAGTTCCTCTATTGGTGGGGAAAATAGCGAATTGCTTTGATGGGTTTCTTATTAGTGCAGGATTAGCCTCAACCAAAGGGGAAAAGCCGAAAGAGCAAAGGCCAGAAGGGAGGCATAACAGAAAAGATGTAACAGCCTATATGAGCGAAATTTTCTCGAGTTGATGGGGAACTTAGTGATCGACTTTCTAGAAATCTTGTCCGCCCCCAAAGTATCCGAAGAAGCTCGTGAAGTTCTCAAAGAATATGAGTGCTTATTTGATCGAACTCGAATGATTAAAAGAAGTGTGTATCTTTACTAGCTTCACCACAATAAAACGAATTTTGTGTACTCCTTTGGGTCATTTTATGTTGCGCCTTTAGAATTTTGATGAACTCCGGTTCGTTGAAGCTTTTGAAAATTTTACAAAAATATATTGATACAAACGTCTTGATGTTGCGTATATTTTTTGACTTCATTTTGTGTTAACAATAAATATCTTGGGGACATATAGTATTCCTACTTTATCTTTCTGATTTAAGTGGTGATCTCGCCATAATTATATCAGCCTCAAAACTACAAATCTTAAGTAATTAGATAGGGACGTAGACTTTCCGGAAAACAAATAAAGACAAGCTAATCTAACCCGTTTAATCCTGAGGCTAGCCAGATTGGGACAATCAGAACCTACTAGGAGCCTGGAAGGTGATACCTAATAAAAGCCATTCATTTGTAAAAGAGACGGCTGGGCATGAAGCACAAAACGGTATTGTCTATTGCTTGGTTAAGTCTTTTTGCCAACTCTCACATACAAAAGATGCATATCTCTTCGTCCATCCAGCAGCTTACCTCGCTTGGTCTAAGACCGCGTAGCCAGTCGCTACAGGGCTCGTAACCGTGAGATGAAAATGTCTATTTTCCTTTAAGTAAAATATAGAACAGAAAAGCACGTGCAGAAAAAACTCGTACTTGAATTGTAAGTCGAAACACTTCTCAACTCGGCAATAAATGACCTAATTTGGGCCAACCGTGAAACCCTTCACGCAGGGTTCATGAGAAGCGCCATGCTGCCTCATGCTCCTAGTTAAACTGCCGTCACTAACTATTAAATATCACGCACGGGCGTCTTCTCTGAAACGTCCCGCCCAAGCCAAATCAGTTCTGGCTTGGTATTGTGTCCGCATGTGTCTAAAAAGGCCTTCTCCTTGATGATGAGATCGAAATTCAGATCCGCAAACACCATCCCCTCTTCGCAAGGAGATAGATCCTTGGATAGATGACGTCCATCTGGGCCAAAAATCTTTGCGTTGCCGCCGCCTGGGGCATTAAATACGGGAGCATTCTCCGTTCCCATCATGTCAATGGATGGCTGTGTGATAACCGTCGTTGAGTGCAGCGTAAAACATTGAGCTTGCATCGAGTAGACACGCGAAATAGATGCCACCGCTATCCAAAAATATTAGAAAAACCGGCCGAATCATAAGAATTCGTCTTACCTTCGTCTGACATAGAGTAAGGAGCTGGACCGCCAGGGTGTGGAGCTACGCAAGGCCAAGCTGCACAATGGATCTCCTCTCCTTGCGAATAGGTATTGAAATTTAGCAAAGGGTTGTAGTGATCCTGTGATATAATGTGTCAGGTACGGAAAATACGGCACTTGATCGGGAAGCTGGCCACATAGAAAGGGTCACACCACATCCACAACCTCGATAGATGGAGAAAACCGCAACCCATCCCTTGACATCCTCATTTTCGAGGCAGGAAGTGATCCCTCTAATAACCCCGACATACACTCTGTCCAGGGCATCTTTTCTCTGCTTGGTTCTAAACTCGACTGGATGTATACGACTGAGCCTCAGCCAAAGACTGGTAATCGTGTGCATGAGGTCCATGCTGGGAAGGCCTTAGGGGGAGGAAGCGTGAACAACTTCGGTGCCTGGAGTCGCGGTGATGCGACTGACTATAACGACTGGGCCAGAATAGTCGGAGACCAGCGATGGAGCTATGAAGGATTGCTCCCCTACTTTCGCAAGTCTGAGTCTTTCTTCGATTCTAAGGCAGATCCTAAGCAACACGGATTCGAGGGACCGATTCGTATCACCTCGGTCTCGGAGAGTGACCCCAACCGACGATACCCCCTTCGGGAGCCAATCAGGGAGGCCTGGAATGAGATTGGGGTTCAATATATCCCGGATGCCTGCTCCGGGAATTTGTCTGGCATCAGTGAATTCCTAGAGACTTGGTATGACGGAAAGCGTCAAACAACACAGCAAGCGTACAGCCTGGAAGGAGTAAATGTTATTACGGAGGCTACCGTCCATCGGGTCGAGTTTGCCGATGGCGATCAGAGCGAACAGAAGAGGGTTATTGCAGTGTTTCTGTCGGATGGTCGCCGCTTCAGTGCACGGAAGGAAGTCATCCTTGCGGCTGGTACCCTCCAGACACCCCAGGTCCTCATGCTATCTGGAATCGGACCGGGAAATACATTATCCCAGTATGGGATTTCAACGGTTATCGACGCGCCAGAGGTTGGCAAGAACCTGAACGATCATTTTGCGCTCTACCAGCTATACAAGTTGCGTAATCCCGAGCGCGGCCTGGCATTGGGCAGCCCTACCCTCTCAGATCCCGCATTCATAAAGGGCTTTCCGACAGATTGGGCGATCAATCAAGATGTGCCGAGGCATGTTTTGGAGGCAGCAGTGCACAATGACAACGCAAGATTCAGCTCTTCCATCAACGAATCCCTCCTGAAACCTGGCCGACCGCTTGTCGAGACATTGGTCCTCTATGCTCCAATTGGTGCCCCCGGCATCCCATTGGACGGCAGCTTTATCATGACTTCGGTCATGCTACTTGCTGCAACTTCTAGAGGAACCGTCAGTATTCGGTCGTCATCACCTACGGACTCTCCCCTGGTCGACTCCAACTATTTCCACACCGAGGCCGATCGTGTCACTCTCGTCCATGGCACTCGCCGCACAGTGCAGGCGTTGCTAGAGACGTCCGCGTTAGCGGATTATGTTGAGGCTGAGGTGCCTTTCTCTGGAATGTCGGCTTTATCCTCACAATCGTCGGACGACGAGTTCGAGGCCCGGATCCGCGCGGCTGGTATGGCCCATTACCATCCAGCTGGCACCGCTGCAATGGGCAAGGTAGTCGATCCGGACCTCCGCGTCTATGGGGTCCAGAACATTCGAGTTGCGGATGCAAGTATCCTGCCCTTGAGCATCGGGGGCCACCCGCAGGCGACTCTCTATACAGTTGCAGAGCAAGCTGCAGATATAATTCTTGGGGCCAAGGCTTAGGCAAGTACAAGTGCAATGATAGTATTGAATGGTATGTCAAAATTGTGGGGTGCTCGTGGAAAGAGCTCAGAAGGTTGTTTTTGACTTTCGGGCATCGAGTTTGGAAATTATGAATGGAAATACAATGCGGCACGAACAAAGATCACTCTTGAAGCTTCTGCTATGGAGATCGGGGAGAGAGAGGAAGAAGAAACTTTGTGTATTCAATCTATGAATAGTAGGGTATTTATACCCTGAATCTGGCAAACAAGCGCTCGGTCTGCAAGCAAGCAAGCCTGTAGAAATAGGCATCCATGGGAGATGGGATCATCTAACAGTTACCTCCGAACTACGGTATTTTTCAGTGTTCTACCAAGCTGGTAGACCAGGAGTCCACCTGGAATTAGCAGAAAAATACACATTGTAAGTGGGTCATGACAGCCAAGGTGCGGAACACGCGCCAAAATACCGAATGTTGTCCGCATGTCTTCCGCAGCACATCCGGGGAATACCTGCTGCATTTGATGATGTCTCTGCACTAAGGGCTACATCTGAGTCGCCACCCTCGTCAATCGTTTAACCATTACACCCCCATGAATACCGCTAAATCAATCAGATGAAGTCAAATTGTTCGGTTTAAGATTGAATTTATTCTTGGTATTTCCTCGCAGCCCTGTAACGGTCGTTTTTGTGATAGCGGAACCACAAACAAGTGGACAACCCTGACTTACTCTCTCTCCAACAGCCAACGCACATTGACTCCAGAATTGTTGGTAAAGGCTGTCCCCTACCTTATTCAACTGTCTGTAATAAATCTTGCGGTATCATTTGCGTAAAGAATAAATATCCAGGGCATCTAGAAAGGTCTGTATGGATCCCCCGAGTGGGTCATCTCTCAGTGCAAAACGTGTTGCTTTGGAAAATCTTATAAGACCCAAAAGATTTGCGTATTTTCCAAAACTGTAAATTAAAAATCGTATCCGTAGTGCAAAGTGTGACCCTACTAATAATCACGTAAACGTGTTATTCTGGGTATCCTCCGGCAGAGTCATATTTGTAATTTCGGTCTCGGCCTTCCTGATTACATCATCGATTATGCCCCCGGGGCCGCTAAGCCGCGACGCCGAGAGCGCCATTGCTAGTAGACATATATAGAAGTGTTGTCCACGAGATTGAAATGGAACTCAAGACATTTAAGATCTCGGATACCTATATTTCTAAATTACAGAGAGCCTTCAAGATGTCTTTCACCAATCATGACCAGATCTTCGCCGAAGCGTTCAACAACGCCAACAACCTCAGTATCAAACTGCCCGACATCGACATCAACAGCATTATCCAAGCGAACTACTCAGTGAACCCACCGAGCTTTTCTATGACCAAAACGCAACTCTGGGACATGGAATGTCGCAAAGCAGCTGCACCAGACAAATATATTCCAAATCAGGTCAGATCCGCTGAGAAATTTCCATCTTTGGTTGACGCCCATTTCGAGTATTTCACTCGGATTAGCGAACAGAAAACCTGGAAGGACCCGTCGACGACTGTCATGGTAATCGAAAATGTTAAAATCGATCATAAAAACCAGGTGGTGACATTTATCGGCGCTGAGAAGTTCACGACACCAGATGAGCGGCATATTGTTGCGGGAAGCGGTCAGCCCTTGTTCAATGTGGAACACGGAGTGGTCGGAGATGAAGAGAATCGGCCATTCAACACGTGGCGAATTACCCTCTTGGCCATGGGAGAGGATGATCCCAGGAAGTGGAAGGTTCTTACGGCTATGACTGAGAACAAGTATCTCCCTGAATATGTGGAGATTTATATCAGGGAAGTGTTGGGTGTTTCCTTGCTTAGGAGGGAGGATTGATATTATTGAAATGTAGCCTCCTATCAGCCCCCTACGCCGCTATCACGGGATATTGTGCTGTTGGAAAGCGGCCGGAGGTTGTATCCTGATTGGATGGTACCAGATTAATGCTTGAGTTGCCAGGCTAGAAATATTGATGCAAGTGTGTTATATGAATCTTGCTCCACCTATACTCTACGTACTGTCTTGCCGGGCTAGAGCCAGAGGTCGGTCTAGCATGCCTACAAGAGCCCTACATTAGTAGGGAATTCCGACACAGAGGATACCAGATATACTGGCCAGAGGCCGGTATCGTAGCAACGGCTATCCGACGGGATCCATTGATCATAATAGACCCAATTAACACGAGTGGTAGGTGAGACATACATACCACGGCCACTACATATACTCCGTATTAAAGACATTGCACTAGGTAGCGTTACATCCACCCCGTTACCCCGCTAATTTATTCACACTAGCTAGAGATTTGTTGATAATTCTCTATATGGAGCAAATGATGATTTTAGCGGTGTGGAGAAGCTACTGGAATCAAGGAATTCGTCGTTTTAAAATCGAAGATTTAACCTGTCTCTCCACTCCTAACTCGGGTCGCGGTACCGTCAAAGTCATCTATACGTACCCCACTTAAACACGATAGAGGATGATATACCCCACCAGACTCGGGGGTTTCTCCATATTAGATAAAGGGGAGCATATTAGTGGAACAATTTTCGACGCAGATGCATAGTGAGTGGTGGCTGTCATCATGTAAAGAATAGTTAAGGCTACAGGATGGTCAATTAACGCGTTTTTCTTTTGTTATCTTTCTTCATTATTCATTTCTCATAAACCGAATTCTCATTCCAAAATAGGCTCAACAAATTCGTCTATAATAAGGCTGAAACTAGGCACCAAAACGCAGCCTAGTGATAAAATTTCCTTCTTGTCTAGGAAATGTGGGCCACGTCGTCAGCTTCTGTTTCGATCTCTAGTTATATCGCAGAGCTATCCGCATCAAAGTCACTAGGGCTAAAGCTGGAACATTTGCTCGACAAAGTGCTACGTTGCGGATCTTGGCTTCTTTGATTGGCTCTGGTGGCGATCGTGATATTCCCCATCATCATCGGACCTGTAGATCCAGGAGCCCTGATGCATAATATGCCTACCATGACTCGCTTGATTTATCAACCTACCAACTTCCCGAAATCAATCCCCTTCATGATTGGATGGAATATCTTGAAGAAAACTTACCAGGATGCCATAATCCCTGAAGCCTCAACCAGTGATAGACAGGTCTTGGTTACAACAGGAACATATTCTAACGACGACAATTTGTTTCAAGCCAGAAATCCAGACGACTCTTCAAGATTGTCTACAGTTGAAGTACGCTGTACTTCACCAACTCTACTAGCCAAAAACTCTTTAGTTAGGGATTAGTGAGATGTGGGTGTTGAATACACCATTGACACTAGTAAGATTTCTGCTCCACTTTGACCGACAAGATGTAACCCTGCTTTAACGTATTTCACATGCGAGCTGCGCACACAAGCGAGCTGCGCAGTCCGATACACATACTAAATGAATACAACATACATGTCTATATGAGCTTTTCCTTATGGTCTAATGCTTATTATACAATATTTTGTCAATTGAGGGAGTTTCAGGAAACTTAAGAACTTGATGGAGATATATAGTTGCATATTCAGAGGCTTTAAAGATGTAATTTTTGATACCATCACAATGCACGCTTTCGATCTAGTCAAAATTGATATATACTACTAAAAATACTTATCAATGGCTATCGGTATTTTAAAAACATAATAAACAGACGTTGGTTGTTGAGATGTGAGTATAGCATATATCGCATTTACTATGGTATTTCAGCTGCGCAGCTCGGTTGTGTGCGCAGCTCGCATGTGAAATTCGTTATGTAAAGAGCACAGGGAATTTATACTCTCCCTGTTTTCCCTTAATTCTTTTTATCGTCTGAACGCTCCTTCACTCCGTCTCTTTTCCCGTTTCTCACCTGGGATTGACTTGGTTGGTCCTTTCATTGAAATGCTGTTCACTCCCATTGCTGCTGCATCGCTGCTAGCAGTACTCGGCACACTACCGGCGGGTGTGTTAGCTCAGGATGCCGAGGGCTGGTACAAGGCTCATCCAGGCATGGCGCGTATCAGCCAGGTGAACCAAGATACGCATCAGATCGTCGATGAATTCAACCGTACGCGGTTCTTCCACGGAACCAATGTCGTTATGAAGGAGCCGCCGTGGCATCGGCAGTTGGAGTGGGTGCCGGGTATCTCGTCGTTTGGCAAGCAAGATGTCCAAAATCTGCACGATTTGGGTCTGAACATCGTGCGATTGGGCCACAGCTGGGCCGGTGCAGAACCTGTGCGTGGGTCGTACAACCAGACATTTCTCGATATCATGAAGAAGCAGACCAAGATGGCCGAGGACCATGGCCTCTATGTTTTGGTGGACGTCCATCAGGACTGCCTGTCGCGGCAGTTTTGCGGCCAAGGCGTACCTGACGTGAGTAGAGATAATGGCATATTTGCACCGTTGATACTGACACGGCTTTATAGTGGTTTGTTAAGGAGGACTGGGTATCGAGCAGCAAGAAGTATCCGTTCCCCCTTAAGCTGACACCGTTCCCTGTGGATGCAAACGGCTTTCCATCGCCGGAGTCGATTTGTGATACTGTTGACTGGTCTCTGAGTTACACGTCTGTGGCGGTGGGCAATGCGTTTGGGCGGCTATACAACAACTACAACGGGCTTGGCGATGCGTTTGCGGCGTACTGGAAAACGCTGGCGTCAGAGTATGCCGAGACGACCAACGTGGTCGGCTATAACTTGTTAAATGAGCCATGGGTGGGCGACACGTGGGCTGATCCGACATTGCTAGTGCCAGGTGTTGCCGACCACAAGGCCCTGGAAGGGCTATGGAACCGCGCGACTAAGCAGATCCGTACCGTGGACAATGACAAGCTCATTTGGTTTGAAGGCGCCACCCTGGACGTCTTATCGGGTTTCAACAACGTCCCTCTCGGGGACGGCTCGAAGTCAGTGCATTCATTCCACTACTACAGCCCACCGCAGCTGGGCTCTATTTCCACCACTCTCAACAACCGCCACAAGGACAACGAGCGTCTTAGGACCGCTGGTGTGCTGACCGAGCTTACGTTCTGGATGGGTGATGATAAGCAGATGCAGGGCCTGACAGATGCCATGGCGGCGACTGACGCAAATATGGTTTCCTGGATTGGCTGGGCATACGAGAACCTGTACAATGGCACATCTGGACAACCTTATCCTGAACTGGCGAAGCACTACAGCCGTGCATACCCCTCCGCCATCGCTGGCACTCCTATCAGCTTCGGCTTTTCTGAGGGCTCGACCACTTTCAAGCTACAGTTTACGTCTGATCCCAATATTCACGCGCCCACCGAAATCATTCTGCCCCCATCCACCTTCCCCAACGGATATAGAGTCCAAGTCTCACCCGAGGGCAGTTTGCTGCAGTATGCACTCGACAAACGTACCCTGGCCTTGTTCACATCCACCAGCATCAAGAAAGCCACCGACATCTCTGTTACAGTTTCTGGTAATTAATCTCATCCCTAATTTACCTCCAAAATTACTACGCAGTTGTAGTTGTAGTAGTAGTAGTAGTAGTAGTAGTAGTAGTAGTAGTAGTAGTAGTAGTAGTAGTAGTAGTAGTAGTAGTAGTAGTAGTTGTTGTTGTTTCATCAAGTTAATTGTCTCTGCACCGGGCTATCTAGCTATGGCAGGCCATATTTCCTGGCTTCTATTAGTTCATAGGGCAAGCCTACTGTCCTATTCCCTCGGGAATGGTCCACCATTCAACGCTTTTCTACCGTACACCTAGAAATCATCACAACCGGTGCATGGGTAGGCAAAGCCCAACCGCACCCCCCAACCGCGCTAAATATCGTTAGCCAGAATTCCAACCGCACCGCACCACCAAGCCGCATGGTTAGGCCGCGTTTAGCCGCAGAGAAACCGCAAATACATAAGTACCTAACTAGGCTATTCTGAGACGCATAAAAGTGCTGACTGATATCAACTCAAACACTTGTTTACAACTATTTTGGTTTGCAAGGTCTAGCATGGCAGTTCCTGGCGAGATTCATATATCAAGTTAAGGAAATCTTATTTAACTTGATTGTATTATGTAGAATCTAGATCTAGGATTACATATTTATCAGCTTCTATACTATCCAAGTGTCGTGGTCTGTATACAATAGGTAAGCATTGATGTACAGAGGTTACAAGTAGCAGATAGTTACAGATTGACAATACACACTCCTACACCTCTCTGAATTCACTTCTTGGACTGACGTCCGAGTTCTCTTTGTGTGCCCCAGTTGGTATGATGCTGAATTATGAGTGCTGAATTGATCCATATGCCAAAGAGCATACTGCCTTAGAGCGTTCCCTCTTCAATATATAGTTAAGAAATAGAAACCAAAGCATCCAGCCAGGCCATGATTTCTTTCACTTGGTGTACAAGAGCAGGGGTAATAGTGGAATGATAAATATTCCCTCGTTTCGGTCGCAAATACCCCGTCTTTCTGCTTTATTGTTCAAATGATCGCCTCACACCTGGAGATAGCAATACGCCCGTTATGCAATTTGTATTGGAGAGAAAGAAAGAACTATTTGCTAACGATTTCAGAGTGTTTAACATCAAGATCCTTGCTATCCGCATATAGGTCATTGTCGACAGGTGCCGTGCTATTTTTATCAAAGATTGTCGCAATATCTTCAAGCGAGTATCCCTTAGTTCCAGGGTAGACAAAGTAATAGGTTTACATAAAATATAACCTAATTATTAAGAAACAACCTTAATATATATATAGTTAAATCTCTATTTTCTAACCTAATTAATAAGGCTAGTGGTCGATTGATTGCACTTCCTCTTGTTCTTTTTCGTTGACAAGATGCCCAGGTGGTGGGGGTAGTGGCCTGACTTTACCTCGGGGGTTACATTCGACGCCCAGGCGCTAAGCGAGTCATAAAGAGAATATTAAAGCCTGTGGAAGTTCCTGACCAATTCATGCACACACTTACAACATCATTGCAGGAACCATGCCCTACAATCCTCGTCCACCCAGTATCTTTCATGATGAGTCATGGCCTACGCCATGGCGTTCATCTGAATTCCCACCCGAAGAAACCTTCTTCGAACGAATCAATCGACAGCATGCGAAGCCAGAGTGGAAGTCTGTACCGCGCTTCTTAGAATTCGAGTCTAGTACGGGTGGAGGTTGGCCATGGGGATGGGCCATCTATCGCACCTCCTATCTAAACACTTCCGATCAAGACTGGGCTAGAACTATTGAAAAACTCGACGAGGCCTGTATGGCCGACCTAGAGTTTTACGAGCGCAGCTGGCATCGATTCGGCGCCACGTGTGTTGAAATGATCCGCGAGGGTTATCGGAATGTTATCTTTGAAGACCCCGCGTTAGAGGGGGCGTCGGAAGCCGTCATCCAACGTCGACATAAACAATGGGTCGAAAACCATGGCCTCTACGTGTATAGTAGTGTTCCTCGCCTTGGTTACGCACTTTTGTTAGATGATCGTTGTATACGATCAATCTTGGCTAGTGCGGCGCCTAGGAAACCATCTGCTATCGAACTAGGGCTACCATGGCCAAAGATTAGCGACAAACCGGGGGGGATGGTCGGTTATGTTAACTTTATCGACTCTCACTTCCGCCCCGAAGACCCGGAAAATGACTCTGGAGAGTACTACCGTGGATTGATCCGTGTTCATTTGGATTGTTTAGCCCAATTTGCTCTCTATTGCGAGGATCTTGAGACTGGAGAACAGGAATGGGGTGAATATGGGATGGACACACCTGATTATGTATTTTATACAGATGGCCATTGCTCAAACATTGAGTCGAGAGAAATGTTTCTTTCTTCCCCAGATAGGAACGTTAAGAGAACTGCGAGTGTAACTGAGCTCGAGTATATCGAGCGCCAGGATATGGAGAACTTAGCATTGAGCAATATGCCGGGTTCTGCCTAACACTGGAATGACACCAATACCAACGGCTTTATTGGTCCATACATGTTAGAATTTGAATTGTTTTGTGCGGAATGCTCGGAAAGAGGATGCATATGGTTATGGTGATGAAGACTTCGCAAAATTCCTTCTGGTTTTATATATGTATGTTTTCTCAATTTACACAATACACGCGGCGACTGACTTTTCTAGAACTGGGATCATGGCCATAAACGGACTGAGTACGCTGCCCGACGGGCGCATGTCAACGGACTTCAGCTGTATGTGGTTGAAACTGCAATGATTGACTTCAACGAATTGTCCGCCTAGGATTGTCCAAGAAAGATTAGCGAGTGCTATTATTATGGAAGACGATTTGGACTAGGATGTATCGATCAAAGTCTAGCTTCAGAGCTTCGCCCGCGTAGTCAAAGCCCTCCAGCTTCAGGATACCCAAAACAAGGGCACTATTGGGCTTGCAACAAAGGTCCCTTCTGGTAAGCAACTCTCACACTCTATGCAGCCAAACAAAGCTAAGTTGGACATACTATTAGCGGGCATCGGACTGGTGGCGTATCCCTTCCAAGGAATTACTAAAAGTATTGAGGCTACTTTTCGTTCACAAAGTCGTAAGGCCATTGTAAATGCACGGCTAAAGAGTGGGTATTATGAAACAACCAGGATGCAGATGACCGATGAAGAGCGGCGTGAGATTCTGCAGTCATTTGATAGATTTTTAAGGGCATGGGATACATAGATAGACTTGTTTCTCTATATTGCGTCAAGCCCGTTGTTGTACCATGCTCAATCGAGCTAGAACAATTTTCAAATTCTACACTTGCATGGTTTTAGGCGGAGTCGAATTAGTAATAGTGATTACGATGATGCTCAAGCTAGCAGAGCTACTATAGCCACCGTTAAACTCATGGAAAATACTGCGAACAGCTGGCTTTCTCTAAGAGCCAATACGAAGGGTTATCATTAAGAAAATGTGTTCATTGCAATCGTCAAAAATAAGGAAAATTACAACCAAACTGTGACAATAATCAGAGAATTTTCCCAATGTTCCACTCGTCACAGTATACCAACGCATGACCCCGGCCTTACAGAGCTATAATCGCCCCTTCCACGTGGTAAGGTAACAGGGCCTTCATTCAATAATGTGGGCCAAAATAGACACATCACATGTGAGGCTGTGCAGTTTGGCTTATTTAGCGCAGCCAATAGTATACCAAGGGTAATACATACCCGTATTTGTACTCACTGCCTATTTGGGAAATTTGAAATTGTCTGGGTTGGCAATTTAAATCTTTCTTGGGCCCTTTGATTATGATATGGGGGTTTACTAAATGCGACAAGGGTATTTAAGGCGAATAACAATACAGGCTGCATAGTCTCCAAGTAAATAATCATATAGACGTAGAGGAACGGTGTACATTGTCTCTTCTTTGAACTTAACTATCCATCAATGTTTCTGCAGCACCTCCAGTTTATATACCAAGCGCAAACGACAGGTAAGGTGTAATAAAAACCTCACCCACCAATCCATTAGGAACAATATCAGGCAAGTCCGAGCCCACTCGGGTAGTCAACAACGGAGGTGCACCCGACTCGGTAATCTTAGGGAAGATACTCCTCAGATAATTCCACATCGTAGTGGGAACGATAACCAGTAACTCGTTCTCGCCATCACGCAGATAGACTCCGATATCCGCAGTTCCTGTAGTTGGGTCAATAGGTGAGACCTTTTCACCGTTTACGAATAGTTGAACTGCGTGGAGGATACGAGAGAACGTAATGTAAGCTCCAATTCCGTTCGGGTAGTCTGGGTGCCAAGTGAATTGGGAACTGTAATACCCGATTCCAGAGGCGTTGACGAGGGCGGGGATCTGTGTCCAGGAAAGTAGAGAGGGGAGATGGTGCGTTGTGTTGCGGATTGATGCTTTCGTAGAGGCATTCTTCATGTTCGCGGGGGCTTCCCAGTGCTCTGCTGTGAGCGTCCAGTTTTGAATCAGGAATGGGCTTGGGATGGCTGATGTGGTTGGAACAGTTCTAGTCGAGTTGTCGGACAGTACGAACTCGTGAGCAGACTTGTTGGCAGTGTGAGCCAGTTGGGCAACGGCTCCACCTTCGTGGTCAAGGTGGTAGCCAAGGATAGAGTTGGGAGCAGACTCAATATGAACCGAGGGTGTGTAAATATCGTCCAAAATTTGGGCGCTGAATGCTAATATAGTGGTTTGATTGGCCTTCAGCGTCACGGGAATGACGATATCACCAGCCCGACGCTTGTACTGCGCCACTGGTTGGCGTTCTCCAGTCCAGGCATTAAAGAAGTGAGGGATCTTGTCAGTTGTGACTCTGATTTTGCCTTGAGAACCACCTCCATCACAGAAAATGAAGGCATAGTCCACTTGGGCTTCCTTGTCCTCGCGCCAAGTCGTATGCCAGGTACCATTTGTCTGGACTCTGACACGAGGAGTGACACCATGCGAGACGAGTGTTTTCGCGATATGACCGCTTCCTGTGGTCCGGACACTCGTTGAATTGGCCAGTTCTTGAAGACCTTTCCTGAATGCCTCGACTCCCCCATCATTAGAGATTGGGTAATACTGTGCGCTACCTCCGGAAAGAATGACGGGTAATCCCTTTGCCGCGTAGTCTTTCAGCCTCCGGATAGCTGAGACAGTTATGTTCGCGTCGTGCGTGATGACGATCGCTTTGATGCTAGGACCCTGTGAAGCCAACACGCCATTCTCGACAGAGGATTCTGGGAGTTCGAGGTTATCAGGAGAAAGGTATGTGTAGATATAACCTAGACAAGTATTAGTCAGTGGAGATGTAATTTGTAGTTGCAACAGCACTGCTTACCAGCGTCAAGAAGGTCATCCTGGCCGTATTTTGCAGCGAAATTGGGGTCTGTGGCGGAATCTTTGTTGATGAAAGCCACATCAAACTTAGGAATCCCCTGTCGCAGTATAAACTGAGCTCTGGAAATGTAGCCGATGGCCTCATCAAACCCATGCATCCATGAAGGCTGCTTTGGGGAATACATATCGGAGAATAGATATTGGAATGGCGTGGTCCCCGGCCAGGTAGTGCCGTACCAGTCCCCACTATATGGCTGGCCATGCAGAACAACCCTATTGATACCTCCAGCAAAAGCCTTGTTCACGCTTTGCAGGAGCTCTGGTATTGTCAGGGAGTATGCACGATAAATAACAGCCCCCATCTCGTTCGACACGACATTCTTCCCGGCTAGATATGCAGCACCTGTGAACTGCCGGTACCCGTCGATGTTGTCTTTCCACTGCAGGCTCTCGCACTCTGGGGCATCTGCCAATGGTATGTTCGCCAATGTGTCCAAAGGCAGGTTGTACGAGACCTGCGTTGAGTATTGGAGTCCAAGGTCCTGATTCAGCCATTCTCGCAACTCGGTCAAGTAACTCCCATACCCGTCTGCCAGCACGGAGCGATAGTCGTTGATATACTTGTCAGTGATCTGGTTGCCCTTGAAGACTGCTTTCACCAACCCCGGATTACTGGGTTGAGCCATTATATTGTTCTCGCCAAACATGAGGAGCGGGAGATATTTCCCTATGTGGTATCCAAACTTGTTGTAGAACGCATCCGGCAGCTTCGGTGTCCATGATATGTTGGACAGGAATTCCATGCTGTCCTCCCAGCCTAGATATCATGGTCAACGGGTCTTCTTTGTTTTATGGGTCCAGGAAACATACCGTAGTGTCCCACATTCCCCAGGAGTTGCCGTATGTCCTCCGTGAGGATGTGGTCATCCCAGTAATCGATCACTGTCCTGGCTCCTTCCTTGCTAAAATGGTCCACCACAAACGAGCCATTGGCCAGGATTGTATCCGTTCTGTTAGACTCCACCTCGAGCGCTTTATGCAGGGTTCTCTTCTGATAGAAGGAGAATACATAGAGATCGCGTGACGACTCTGATGACGGTATTGCTAAGATTCCGTCTGACGACACATTCTGTGTTATGTCTTGTAGGGACGTCTCGTCTAGGACAAACTCGAGGTATGAACTCTGGGCCGGCGTGGGGTCTAAGGAAAAGGAATCACCGGCTATGGACACGTTTGTTTTCCTGTCCACTGAGGCAAGGACACAGGCGACTAGTTCCCCTTCACCCCATCCTGGGATACGCTCACTAGTCTGACTAACTGGTAATATTTGGACGAATGGCACCTATCACGAACACAATTAGCCGATAAAAAGCAACAAGAACTAGGCTACACTGCACTCACCAAATCCCATTGAATCCCGTCAGCGTCCGAAGACGCAGGCACCCCCTGCCCTTGGTTCGGCCCTAGCGCAACATCCACAAGTACGCTATTCTCCTTAGCAGCTTCCAAAGCCGCCTGCAATATATGCTGGAACGGAGCACTGCCGAACCCATAAGTCACCCAGTCGGAGCCGGGCGGGTTGCCCCCAATGGCCCCTCCGTACCCGTAGTAAGCGAGGAACTCGATACCTCCGGCTCCAACCTCCGCAGCGGAGCAGATATCAGAGGCTACGACTGTCGGATCAACACTAGCGTCTGGTAGCCAGTACCGGAAGAATGGCCGGACTTGAGCAGAAGGGTTTGTGAAGGTTCCATAGCTATTGTTTGGGGTTGCGGCGGTTAAGACAATTGGTAGGGCAGCTACCACGGCCAAATACTGGAAGAGTGGCATTGCCATGATGCTTAGCCTTTATCGGTAGAAAGGAGGGATAGCATGGGAAGTTTTATAAGACTTCCTTCGCTTGAGATTTTGCCCTTAGTCCGAGTATGCTCTAGCAACTGACACGGCAGTAGGTGTGCATAGCCTCGTATTCGTATGTAGTTCCATTTACACGATCGGAAATCCCGGTGTGGGGAACAGTGTTTCCCCGCATTACATTCGGTACATTGTTGGCCGAGCTGTAGAGGCGTTTGGCAGGCAACTCTATTCACTAATAATAATGACCTCGGGAATACCCTTGGAACCCTAACTTTATTCCAACCTTGGAAGGTTCGGACGGATATCATACGAGCGGGGAGGGGTATTCATATTCGGAAGAATATTCGGCAAATGAGTATTCGTGTGCATCCCTACGTAGTTACCTCCCAACAGGAACAGTACAACAAGTTGTATAATTATTCGGGGATGTTAATTATCGGGAACAAAACTGGTTATGTCAGTCCTAGATATATTACATGAAGCATGCCTTGGGGATATTTATCCCATATATGCTGTCGAGGCTTTTTCAATTTACTTCAGGAACGATCTTCGACATGGGATATTTGCGACGATTATATCTAATAGTTTATTTCTCCTCATGGAGCCATACAATTTCAATTATGAACAGGCTTCTAAATTCAATAGTCTAGAACCGCTGGCGACATTTTAATTATGTCTTTTCAATTATCTTCCTATGTCTCTGATATATATTTTGATCAATACTCTTTCGTGTTTCTTTTATTATCTTTAGTAAACCCTTCCTAGCCCCTTGAAAGTACGAATATATAGTGGCTACTAGCTATATGACAGAAATAAGTGACCCATATTGTATAGGAACTAGAATGGTAATACCAAACTCACCAACTAATTGAAAATATGAAATTGACAACTTTGTAGGACACATTGAGAAAGAGTTATAACCAATCTGATGTGAGGAGTCAGATGCAGAGAGCAGGGCCCTAATCGCCCTCATAAAGCGGCGGTCCATATATGTGCGATGAAGCGAGAAAGCAAAAACAACAACGCCTCGACCAAATAGTAGGGACCAGCTGGCTAAAGCCGTCATTATATTATAAATCAAATATGATGTATATCTTCATCTCTAGGGCTCCCTGGCGCGGGCAAGATGGCAGCTTATAAATCAAATATTAGGCTGACTGCACAACTGCGGGGTTGATATATAAGAGAGAGAGATCAAAAGGTATCCCCCTTTTCCGATTGAAAAGCAATATCTAAAACGTGGAAAAGTTTTGTCTCTAAGGTTGGCTGACTCGATATATTTTGTGTGTTCTCAAGTATCCGACATTGCGGGGAACCTGTGACGTCGAGCCTCTCACTTTCAACCCCTTGAATATACACAAAATGACTAAATTGTTCATGTGAGAATCAGGCCTTACTTTATAAAACTCCGCTCTAATGACACCACAGAACCGGTGCAACGGGCTACATCGGCGGTGACTCCCTAGCCACGCTTGTCGCCAACCACCCAAAGTTCTCATATTCCGCCCTTGTTCGCAGCACGGAAAAGGCCGAACAGGTGAAGGCCCAGTACCCATTTGTTCGCATCGTAATCGGAGGCCTGGATGATTCAGCGTTGCTGGAGCGAGAAAGTGCCGCCGCGGACATCGTTCTGCGTAAGTATCCAACAAGACACTAATGCGAAAAGCACGATACTATCTGGGCCCAGCTTACCCCTGCGAAATAGACACTGCAGATGCGTCAGATCACATGGGAGCCGCAAAAGCCATCATTGCCGGTCTGGTAGCCGGCCACACCAAGGAAAACCCAGGCTACTTGCTACACACCGGAGGAACTGGCATCCTGACATGGGAGGATAGCGATAAGAACGAATACGGAAATAGAAGCGAGCATGTGTACAATGACTGGGGTGGAGTGGATGAATTACTCAATATGCCAGATCACGCATTTCATCGGAATGTCGACCAGCTCGTCCTTGATGCTGGAACCCAGCATGCCGATGTGCTTAAGACGGCCCTCGTTTGTCCACCTACGATCTACGGTACGCATTTACCAATATCAACGAATGAGAGCCCATTTACTCAATCTTCAGTAGGCAAAGGGCGAGGTCCAGTTAACCAGCATTCGCGTCAGGTATACGTATTAGCGAATATGACGCTCCGTCTTCAGAAGGGCCCGATAATCGGCGCCGGCCAGTCAATTTCGAACCACGTCCACATCCACGACCTAAGTGACGTATATGCTCTACTTGTCGACGCGGCGATTGCAGGCCGAACTGATGACGGCCTCTGGGGTCCTAAGGCCTACTACCTTACCGAAAATGGGGAACACTGCTGGGGTGAGCTAGCTAAAGCTACAGCAAAGGCAGCCGCGAAACTAGGGTACCTGCCCGAGGCAAAGACCGAGGAACTTGACCCCAAGAGCGCCCAGGAGTATGCAGGATATGAGTCTCTCAGTTGGGGGATGAACTCTCGTGGTCGCTCACAGCGGGCACGCGAGATCCTGGCATGGAATCCCTCACACCCCAGTCTGGTGGATGAACTACCGGAGATTGTTCGCGGCGAGTGGCAGCAACTGCAAAATGCTTCCTAGGATCTAACACGACTAGAGGTTGACATGTCTATTCATTTCGGGGCATGCAGTGATTGTTATTGATGGGTTTAATGTGAGAGAATGCGGGGTGCTTGGAGAGCTTTTGCTGGATCTTATACTCCCGATCAGCAGAGAAAGGGGAATTCGATGTGAGGTCTAGTTATTTAAATGCTGACCGAGGACATTTCAATCTGGCTAGATGCCAGATCTTCAGGATCAAGATATGTTTCAACCCTTGCTTGCGACAACCAAGCATTATGACCTGTTAGCGTGACACAAGTGTAAAGACGAGATATTTTGGAACTCATGGCTCAAATCGAGGCTCATTGTATTCAAAGTTCAGGCTCATAAGGTGTAGCAACATATTTCAGTCTCATGAAGTCAGCCGATGTAAGGATAGGGACGATTAAGATCCCACCAAATCAGCCTAGGCCATCAAAATCTCGACTAGAGGGCTACATGATCCCAAAAGAAGAAAGAGAATCCAACTTGATTAAATGACGCATAATCATGAAATTCATGCAATTACCCGGCCCCGACTGGTGAGACGGCGAGGAATTGTGCCGACTCTTGGCAAGCCAACTGGGCTGATGCGGCCGTATTCAAACCCCAACCAGGGTTATCGTGGAGACCCTTGAGATTAATCTCCCCGTGTAAAACATGAAAATTCAAGTCATACCCAGCGGAGTCGGGATTTTTGGATCACGACGGAGCAATATTTCGTCCTATTCTAAACTTTATATGGGTTCTTTCAAGGTTGTCAATTCCGCGTGGAGTGGACATGTATGATACTCGATGCTATTTATCTATCTACAATGCGAATCCTTATTTCATTTCCTTTTTTTTTCTTTCTTCTTTAATAGAAGCCCTATACCTAGTGGGCTCAATTCTTAACAATCTACCATCTTCCGACTGCTAGATTGTCATAGCCATCGTTGATCTTCGCCATGGCGGACTCGGATTTTCCATTCTATATACCCGGGAGGTCCGAATATGACGATAATAAGAGCAGAGCATCCACAGAGGTAAAACGGAGAAGAAAAGTCGACGAGGAGAAATTTGCTTTGGGTCGAAGGGGAATCCTAGTCTTCTTTACTTTGTCTGTTCTCACCTTGATGGCCGCTTTGGATGGGACATCGCTATCTGTTGCTCTACCTGTGAGTGCTTCAGCAAGACGATTTGATGTCTTGAAACTTACCAGACCCAGGAAATTGCAAAAGAACTCAACGGAACAGCCATCGAAGCATTCTGGAGTGGAACTTCGTTCCTGCTATGCTCGACAGGTAAGTGGTATTATCTTTCCACAACGATACGATCAACCCATTTACCATTGCCATAGTATTCCAACCAAGCTTCGCCTCCTTCTCAAATATTTTCGGCCGTCGACCAATGATCATCATCTCCCTCATATTCTTCTGTGTCGGTGCTGTAATCGCAGCAATTGCTAATAATTTCACCTACATGTTGATCGGCCGATCAATCCAAGGTGTCGGCGGAGGTGGCATTATATCCCTAAGTGAGGTCATCATAACTGATCTTGTCCCTCTACGATGGCGTGGTCAGTACTTCGGTATCCTGAGTGCAATGTGGAGTGTTGGATCCGTGACGGGGCCTATTCTTGGTGGTGGATTCTCCGAAAATGTGTCTTGGGTAATTTGGTCTGTGGTGAACCCGCAATTATCCATGCTAACTATGAGCAGAGATGGATTTTCTATATCAACTTCCCATTCATCGGAGTCGGCGGAATTCTCGTGATCCTATTCTTGAAGCTCAAGCTTGCTCCCAGTTCATTGGTCGAGAAGCTCCGTCGCATCGATTATTTCGGCACCGTCCTATTCGTCGGAAGCATGTCATCGTTCTTAATTCCACTCAGCTGGGGTGGTATTTCATACGACTGGAACTCGTGGCACACACTTGTACCTCTTTGTGTAGGAGGAGTCGGGCTGATCATTTTTGGATTCTACGAGACTTACTTCGCCATTGATCCAATTGTCCCGCCTGTAATATTCCAAAACCGCACGGCAATAGCTTCGTTCATTGGGAGTGTTTTGCAGGGTTTGATCTTATGGTGTGCCCTCTATTATCTCCCTCTGTATTATGAGGCAGTGAAGGAGTATAGTCCCATTATCTCGGGCGTTGCTCTCTTCCCCGAGACATTCACTGTGGCTCCGAGCGGGATGGTAGCTGGCATCCTGATTACGGTAACGGGCAGTTACCGATGGGCTATCTGGCTCGGATGGGCTTTGTCAACTATCGGACTGGGTTTGATGTGTCTGATCAAAGTGGACACCAGTATGCTTGGTTGGATCTTCCTCAATATCGTGCCCGGCCTTGGATTGGGTATACTTTTCCCATCTCTTGGTTATGCAGTGCAGGCCTCGGCGGACCCTGAGAACCTCGCTATTGCGGTTGCCATGTTTAGTTTCTTCCGTGCTCTTGGCCAAGCCATCGGTGTCGCTGTCGGTGGTGTTGTCTTCCAAAACCGCATGTTCACAAATATCTCGAGGTATTCTGCTCTGGCTCCTATGGCTGAGGCGTACAGCAAGGATGCCGCGGGGTTAGTCCAAGTCATCAAGTCGATGGCGGATGGCGCCGAAAAGGCCAATCTCAAGGAGGCGTACACGGACAGTCTACGGACAGTGTGGATAGTCTGCTGTGGGGTGTCTGCTGTGGCGATGGTGATTAGTCTGTTGACTGAACATTATGACCTTGACCGTGCATTGGAGACGAACCAAGGTCTTCGTGATGATAATGAGTCTATTAACAGTTTGAAGGACTTGGAGATGCGGACAGACCGGAGAATTGTTACAGAGCCTCGACCTTGGGCGTGGTAGTTGATGTTCTTTCTTGACATGATTGATGGAGGTTCTATAATGTACAAAGTAATGACATTTACTAATGTTGATAATTGAAGTCTTCACTCATATTAACAGACCGGTCTCTTGATCAAAGTCCAACTCGAATCAAAGTCTTGATATCTTCCCCTCTCTTCGCAGTCTCCCAGGCCTCGATGGCATCCCCAAAAGGCACGATCTTGGTGATGAGCGGCTTCAAATCAACCTTCCCCAACATCGCCATCTCCAATGCCAGCTTAAAATCCCCAGAGCAATACCTGAAACATTCCTTAACAGTAATCTCGTTCTCCAAGACTGTCGAAATAGCAAAATTGACATTCCCATTCCCCAACCCAGTCTGAACAAACGAGCCCCCAGCCCGAAGCGAATGAACCGCCGTCTGAAGGCACGGCTCGGCTCCAGCAGCCTCAATGGCAACATCAAACCCAGCGAGCCCAGCATCAGGTTCCGACACAGACCACTCAAGCTGCTTCCGCAACTCAGTAGCATTCTGTTCCACAGCCGATGATTCATGCGCAAGCTCAGTCGAGAACCGCACCTTGTCCGGCAACATCCAGTCCTCAGCAGAGGATGTTCTTAGGCCGTAGGGGGGAGGAATGGAACCTCGGAAGACATCCGACCAAGGCACAGCGAAGAAGCAGTACAATATTCGCTATTATTCCGGGTATAGAAAGGGGGTTTAAGCGTACGGGTTGCCAAGGTTGACAGTAACCACATGGAGCAGTGATATGAGACAGTGCAGGGCATGTACATTGCTGCAAGTATTCGAAAGAAACAAAAACAGTGTTGACCAAGGATTATCGACAACCTGGGATATTGGACTTCAAACATTCGTGATCTCGTTACACGAAAGTAAACATAAAGCATTACACCAGAAACAAAACAAGAGGTCGTGACATCATAAAGTGGACATGATAAATAGCAGAAAAGGAAGGCCAGATTCAATCAACGACCAAGTGCACGTAGCCGGTCTTTGAGTAGATCCATTTCTTTGTCGTATTCCATCTCAGCGGGAGCGCGCTTTGGCTCTCGGTCACTATCTTTGAGCATCATGGAGCGATAGTGACCATCGCCATCCGGTGCTCCGACAGTTACCCAGACAAACTTCGTTCCTGGGCTATTGGGCTGCGAACGCTCCTGCGTTCCTTGCCAGAACGCTTCATCGGGCATGGAATCATCAGCAGAAGAGGGGTCAATCGAGGGCGGACGACCCCCAAGTCGCCCGAACTTAATCCAAACTCTGAGGGTATCTTTGATGAAGGCGATTTTCTGAATGAAGGCGTTCGCATCCAGGATATCCCGGATACGGTCTTCGGTCGAATTGATAGAATCTCCGTTCGCAATGCTGAGGAATGTGGCAGCCTCGTCGGAGGCCACGGCCCGAGTGTCGAATCCTGCTGGGTGCATCTTGCCTTTTGCGGCGAAGAATCGAGCGGCGGAGGACGAGAGATGGTAGAAGTCGATCCAGGGGGATGAGCTACGGGTGCGGCCGGGCGATATCACTAGTTTTGTGTGGTCGGGGAAGTTGAACTGGAAGGCTCCGTCTCCAAAACCCCAGATGCCGACATTACCCAAGCGCTGGTAGAACTTGACAAACTGGGCACTGTTGTGTTCAGGCAGGTCTTCGTCCATGATACCTTCGTCGCCATGTCGACCAAGGGCTCCGATCATGTATTTACCAAACTGATCTACAAGCTTCATCCGCTTGATTTTCTCTGCATCGGCTCGTTCGAGCTCGGTTCCTGTGTTGGAGCGAATTCTCATCGCCTTAGAACTTTTGACATCGAAGAGTGAGGGCGGGATCAATGCTCGTCGGATGCCGCGACATCCTAGCAAATCATCGTCACGGTTCTCGTAGAACTCAACCGAGTTTCCAGTGCGAGGAACTAACTGATCAGCCTCGGAGTAGTAAATCGGTTGTTGTTTGCCATCTGCGACGCTACGCGCCTTTCGGCGGATGTGTCTCTCGCCATCTCGAACCACGACACTCGTCGCCGGCTGCCCGTTTTCTCCCTTGAAAACACATCCAACACTGCCATCATCGAGGACATACCCAATACCATAACGGTTGGTGTAATCGACCCATTTGATGACATAGGCATGAGGCTGTTTTCGCGCACCCCCTCTGCGCCTACTTGGTGCATGGTTGACCAGGTTGGTCAGCATGAGACGCAAGTCAGTGTTGACTTCGGTCAACGAAGTCCTGGGTAGAAGCTTGCAGGCATCTTCTGTGTGAAATAGAGGACTGAGCCCCAAACTAGAGCGTGCCCTGCCACCGGCCGTCTTGCTGTTAGACCGAGCAATACCATTGGAGTCTGATCGGCCAAGTACATTAGATTCAGCGGAAAACTTTGACTGTGCCAGTGAAGATCGAGCGGACTCTTCGATGGGGCTGTCTCTCCGTCTTTCGCCTCGTCCGACACTAGCGTTGAGGTCTGCTCTGGATGTAGACCGCAGGGATGTCTGGCGGGTGATCACGTTTCGCTCCTCAGGCCTGGCGGATGGTTGCCGTTCTCTGGTTGGAATGGAAGGCTGCATCAACTCCTGGTCAGCGGCTGCCAATCTGCGAGACTGAGAGCGTGTTTTGCCTACAGTCAAACCTGATGGCATGCTTGTGGATTTGGCTAATTGTGGAACAATATCCTTGTCCTTGCTACGCAGCGTCGTCGCTTGGGATGCAGATGCCATCCTTCGTGTCCGGATAGGACGCTCTGCCAGACCGCCAGTTGGTACGGCCACAGCGGAAAGAGGTTTTGGCTCGGCTTGTGGGATATCTCGATACGGCCTGGAGGATAGAACAGCGGGATCACTGATTCCAGGTGCCCTACGGGGAGAGATAGGGGGCACGCGGGCTTGCTGGCGTAGCGTTGCGGCATGGCTCTGGCCTTCCAATCGGCGCTGTTGAGCAGCGGCAAGGGCGGCATTGGTCCGTGATGCTGCCATAGGGTTGGGACGAATGGAAACACTCCGCTGTGACATAGTGCTGCTGTTAAGCATCGACTCCTCACTGCGGATGACCTTTCGGGAACTCTCCAGAAGACACCAGTCTCCTTCGAGATCATGGGGCCATCGGTAAACATAATCTGGCGATAAGGGTATTACGGGTCGTAGACCTCTGGAATCCTCCACATCACACTCAGAAAAGGCCGACTTCGAGCAGTTTCTCCCAACAGATTTCCGAGCCGTCCCGTCAGGCTTGCGTCCCACGCCGCAGAGTGAGTAGAAGGCGGCTTTGCAGGAATGATATCGCTGGGCGGGGTCGTCCACCTGGTACACATACGCGCGGAGCTTCTCATCAGAGTCCAAACCGTATCCACTTACCACAGAATCACCTTGAGGTGACGCATCCTTGAGCCATAGTGGCTTGTTGAATCGGCATGAGGGGTCCAGTTGACGAGGAATGCAACCATCGTACATGTTGAAGAATGGGTGCTCAACAATGTCGTCTGGGTCCGGTCGCTCCTCGTCCACTAGGTTCAAGCAACGGCTGACTAGGTCTTTTGCTTCCTCGGGGATGTAGTTGCTGGAGTCTGATTCCTTGGGCCAGACATATGTCAAGTTCTGGACTTTCTTGTAAACCTCATCTTGCGTCTTTGATTGGAAGGGTAAGTATCCGGCGAGCATGGCAAAGCTAGAATACTGGCATTAGTTCAACGACTTCGTCGTAATATCGCGGCGTTCTTACCATATTACACCCACGGACCAAATGTCAACTTTCTGTGTATGGCCACCTTTGCTCTTGTCCAAAACTTCGGGGGCGATATAGTTGGGTGTGCCGCATAGCGTATTCCGTCGCTTGGCATCCTTGTCGGACAAAATCATAGCCGCCAGACCAAAATCCCCAACCTTGATGTTCATGTTGTGATCGAGGAACAAATTTCCCATCTTCAGGTCACGATGAGCGACGAAACGTTTGTGTAGGTATTTCACCGCTGCGCAAAGCTGAATCATATACCGGCGGACTTCTGGCAAGCTGAGACAGCGTCGTTTCCGAAACATATCCATCACCGACCCATTCGGACATAACTCCAGGACCACATAGGTGCTAGATTCGAAAGCGAATGCGCGGTAGAACTGAACGATGAAAGGATGGCGCATTTTAGAGTGGATCTGGAGTTCGGTTCGAAACTGCGACAAGAATTTAGATACTGTCAAACGGTCTGTCTGTATCCGGAGGCTCGGCGTACCTTCTCCTCCATCTTTTTTTGGGGCATCTCTGACTTGACGACCTTCATGGCGTACACCCGGCCATTGCGAGCCAATGCACCCTCATAGCAAACAGCAAAACCGCCTTTCCCCAAGAATGCGCCTATTGAGTATCGCTCCCCGCCATCTTCAGGCTCTGAGACTATTGACGGTGGCGGATCGGCGTAGCTTTTGGACGTTGCAAGCTTTTGCTTGTTACTCGGAAGCACAGCATTTTTATCGAACGCTTTACGATCCATGGCCAGCTTCGGTTTGATCATCTGGTTCGTTGTGCGCGGGGAGAGGGCCTCCATTCTTGGCGAGTCGTCTTTTTATGGCAGGGAGGCGTGCAGCGGGGCGGGTATCGAGCGTGAAGATCATTAAAAACAGCGACCATGTGACGGTTTGCAAAAGGGTATCAAGTTCTGGCAATATTGGTATCCCTGCAACGATCAAGTCAGAATTCGCTCCACTGTCGGGAAGCCGAGGTCCCTCTCAGTTGAGAACAGAACATGGGAAATGAGAGATTGAACTTACCGAAATTCAAAGCGCTAAAGAAGCAAAACTGTACAGAGCTCGGAAAACAAATAACGGCGCCTCAATCGAGGGTTGGGGGAGGATGGAGAGTAGAAAGAGTCGGACCATAACAGTTTGCTCAAAACGGTAATCGATAAACACTGACCGTTGGCCCGTGAGGTCACGTGAGAGACGTTGGCCATCCCCATGCATTGTCCTTGATCGACACTTGTTTTCTGTATCAAATACCTACCCATGGACATCCTTTGTATGTAGCGTTATCTAATATGATTAAGATAAACCTTTTGGAAATAACTGTTCGGTTTCGATCTTGGTGCGTTGCTAGGGCTTTATATTTGGTTTATTGTGTTGCCGCGATATATTCCGGTTTGTTTACTCGACACCGAACCCTAAAAACTTATTTTGATAGTTGATATCTTGACAAACGTACCCTAGAAATGAATATGAAAGCTCAGTGTTCAGAAATTACTTCATATTCATAATACTCTTATGATTACCTACTCCTTAGAGATATATGTATGCAATTTCATAATGAGATTCGTGTGCCCGGGTGGGTATACTTGAGAGTGGATCCTACGGTAACCACTAAGGCAGCCACTTCATGTTGAGCGCCTTAGTTATGTTGTACGGAGTATACTTCGAGCGTAAGACCACTAGTCCTTGTTATTATCCGGGGATGTCTATATAAATCCCCTAAATAAATAAATAATAATTAGTACAAATAATCAAAAAGAAAAAAACAACTGACTTGAGCATTGCAATCATGTCATTTATATACGAGATGACAATATACTTGAGTTTGCAAGTATATATAGGATGGGATCCATGCGCTCCAGTCGTGAGATGTACTCAGGAACACTGTAAGCCAAAACAAAATGGCTGCGTAGAAATCATCTGCAAAGTACTGTTCATTGAGGTGGCTTCCTAACAGGGACTTCATATCTTCACCCAGGTGAGACCACATCCATGTCGCAATTTCGAAAGAATACTGGGTAGATCTCACTTCGATCTCACTTCGATCTCACTTCGATCTCACTGCTGGGCACATCGCAGTTCAGCTGGCTATGGTACGCAAGACGTTGTTATCTTTTGGTATATATATTCTCAGATTCACTTGATGGCAGCTCTGGAGGAGAGAAAATGAAAGAAGTGGAAAAGAAGAACCAGCGCGAGAGCTTGAAAAGACTCAAAAAAAAGCATGTGTAGTGCATGCTCGAGAGGTCAGCTCATCTGGCTACACAGTCTATATGTGCTTTGGCTGTGTCCTGCTTCGGGATTTGCATAACTGCATATATGTATAAAGGAATGCTTCCTTGATATTCTCATCTAATAACACATAGGCTTTCCACTAGAATGACGCCGAGCGCTAGTAGATATATGTGATAAAACTTGATAAGGGAGCGGAAAACAAGAGAGGAACCAAAATTGATTTCTGTCAAACGGGTTATACCCGCATGTACCTAGCAATTAAGGCCTGATATGGAGGGCACCAATGCAAGTAACCTGACACTGCATAGAGCCACGGAGGCAAAACAGAATGCCATGGATGTTGATATTATGTTAATTGAATATATTAGACTGGTTCAAGATCTATCACGTTTCATTATCTTGCCTCCAACTACAGAACCTCTCGAACAAAACAGGTAGTTTCCTATGGGTAGGAGGCATGTCAGCCCCAAAGAATATTCATCTTTGCCAATATGCTGTCTTTCTTGATCGGCACGTTATCTGGGTCATTGTTGGCTTCGTCTATCGCTTGTTGAACCGGTACCATCTTCAGAGGAAGAATCTCTGTCCGGCGGATCAACTTATAGCCTCCGTACGCAAAGAGGACGAGGGGAATGTCCCTAGTTCCAAGGTCAGTAGATTAAACTTAACGTCACAAAGAAGAAGACTCACAGATACGAAGAGACAAACGAGGCAGGGTCCCAATTTCCTGCCGTGAAAACTTCGAATCCTCCAGTCAGGAGAATCAGGACACAAGAGACCAACGCGAACCAGCTTGTGTATCCTTAATAATGTCAGTATTAGAATTTCTCAAGACTTGATCTGTTAAAACCAGACTGTGATACATACTGGTAATGCGATTATGCCACGGCAACTCCGTTGGTGATATGCCCTGTCTATCCAACGCTTGCAACAGACGAATATGGTTCAAAGCGATGGTGATCCACGAGACCAAGGTGCCAGCCGCGGTCAAGTCAACGAACCACCAGAAGACATTCATGGCGTTGTTGGAAACACACATGTAAGCCAGTAAGGAAAAGGCAACCTGCAGCAGCACACACATGTACGGCACTCCCCACTTGGAAGTGCGCAGGAATATCTTCGGAGCATGGCCCTTGATCGCAAGACCATATAAAGTTCTTGTTCCCGCCAGAATACTCTGGTTCGATGCAGACCACGCAGAAGTCAAGCATACGGCATTCACAACAGATGGAATAGCCTTGATACCTGCATCGCCGGCAGCAATGACGAACGGACTCGTAGCCGCAGTGCCAGAGTCTGAGCCAAGACGTTTATCGGCGCTGGAGACCAACATGCCAACAATCAGGACAGCGGCGACGTAGAAGATAGACACTCGTGCAAACACCCTTTTGCAGGCCTTGGGAATATTCTGTCGCGGGTTTTTTGTTTCAGCAGCAGCCATGGCCAAAGATTCCACACCTGCGAACGAGTAGACTGCATTGGTCATAACAGCCCAGAACCCGAGAAAGCGTCCCAAAGACCCAGTAGCAATATACTCAACGAACGGGCCGGGGTCTTTCCAGTAGTAGAAGCCCCGTCGGGGTACACCCGGCACACCACCGAGATCAATCACAAGTCCCAGAATGACCACGAAAATCACCAGCAGGATCTTGAGAATGGCGAAAATGAATTCGATCTCGCCATAGACGCGGATAAACGAGATGGCAACAACCACAGACACCACTATGAGGATAGTCACCCAGACGGCGGCATTGATATCCGTCCAGTACTGAATAAGGACCACGCTGGCGGAGATCTCACTCGGAACGCTGATAAAGCATCCATAAACAACATTCCAGCCGACCGCAAATGCCAGCGCGGGATCAACCAAAATCTCCGCGTGTCGCACAAAAGAACCAGTGACTGGTAGCAGGGCTGAGACTTCTCCCAGTGCAAATTGAATGCTGCAAACTACCAGGCCGATAAACAGGTAACCTAGCAAGGCACCCAGCGGACCACCGGTGGCGATTGAGCCACCCAGACCGAGGAAGAGACCTGTACCCTATATTAGGTCAGTCATAAAGTTACTGTCTTCACAAGGGTCTGCATACAATTGCACCCGCAATGGCAATCATCTGAATATGGCGCTGCCCCAGACCCCGGATCAAGCTTTGGCGTTCATACTGGGTAACGATCTGCCCGTCGTCGGCGATGGCAGCGCTCGATGGACCCGGCTGCGGGTTGAAGTGCTGATCTTCTACATCCTGAACATTTTGAACGATGTACCGACTGCCTGTCTTGGTAGAGCTCTCCTGGTCTTCGAATACCCCTGCCATGGCGTCGTTGCAGGAAAGGAAAAGCTACCAAACAGAAAATATTTCCGCGCTAGAGGGCCAAGTAGGCTAATCACACCATTTGAGTGGTCGATGAGGAGAGGCTAGTTTTTGCTTATCTGCCTAGGTGGGTTAAACCGAGCTTTCGCGTAACGAAAATTATATTAATGAGACATCGCTTCAGCCGAGGACCAAGTTGGGGGCCGCGGGGTATCAAGGGGTACCAAAGGGTTAAATGGAAATAACATAAGATGATTGGCTATTGGCTGCAGGATGTGACGATTTCAACGGAAAAGCAATATGTATCGGAAAGGGAAGGAAAGGCAATACAACCTTGGAATGTGTACTGTTTATTATTTTGCTTGGAAGGTTTCCGAGCTGTTACACACTTGGCTTTGACCATTGGCTGGAATGAGAACAAGGCTAGCCCTATATGAATGATTAGGCTTTTTCTGGCCCGGTACTATGTACTCCGTTCCGTCTATGGGCATATCGACATATGCCACTGGTGTAGCATATGGTGTATCTAAGCGTCAATTGTTATTCGCACGAACTTTTCTCCGACATAATTTGTGTGAAATATAGTTGGTGTCATGAAGACTAAGAAGCTATATAACTATATACCCCTACGTTCCCGTGCTACTCAACAGTTTTGTTTATCTCCCACATTGAAAGGATAGGGTATATGTAAAAATCGAATACTTCAACAACATGTAATTACACCAAACTCTATGAATCTTCAGTAACCGGGGTTGTTGCTGCCAAGCAAATATTGGAAATAAGCCTCCTATGATCGCTGTATTTGTTGTACCTCGTCGCGGGCGCGCATAGGATGCTGAGTAATCAACACGCGGCGCCCGGGGTCGACCACGGAGGTAAGAAAGTGACTCAAGCTTCCTGTGTTTACTCTCTCTATTTCCCAGCCATGTCGTTAACACTGAAGCTCTCCTCTTTGGCAATCAGGACCCTGTCCAAGCCCATCGCTGTAAGCTTGCATCTCGAGTTCAACCTTGCCAAAATCCATAGACTGACCCACGCAGTCTCAAATCAAAGCCCAGGCCCGTGAACATGAACGGTTTCGCAATGTCTGCGTCTCTATGGCCCAAGCTCTTCACCGATTCGATATGCGTCTCCGACTAGGCTCCCTCCGTGATACTGCCGCCTCACAACGTCAAGCTGCCGCCGCCGCCGAAGCTCGAAAACACAAGCTTTCAAGCCCCACCGTTCGAAACGCCGCCGACACGAAAGCCGCAGAGGACGCAGAGGCCAAGGCCAAGGCTGCGGCAGAAGAGGCAGCCAAACCCCACCACTATCGTATCCGTCCCCTTTCCGAGTCTAAAGCTATCGAGTCCGGTGCCAACTTCATCTCCGAATCCTTCCTCTTCCTTGTTGCTGGAGGCCTGATTCTCTTTGAGTCATGGCGGTCACGGAATAAGGAAAGCACACGGCGAGAAGGCGTGGAGGGAAGATTGGCAGATCTGGAACAATCCGAAAAGGCGGCACGTGAAGCTCTGGTGGCACTAGAAAAGGAGCTGCTCCAGCTAAGAGCGAAGCACGGCGACTTGCCCAAGTTGTCTACCAAGAGGATTCTGTCCCCTGAGATCTATGAACAAGACCCAGAGCCGGATATGCCAGAAGTCGCACAGGGGTGGCTCTCCCGCATTTCCTCGTACATTTCCTTCGGTCAAAGCGCCGAGAAGACGACCGAGTCTGCGCCGAATACCCAGCCCACAACAGAAAAGGCTGCGTCGACAACCCAGACCCAGGAACAGTCTGCTGCATCGGCTGGTCAGAGGCCATCATCTGCATCGACAAGCTCGTGATTGGTGGTTGATTGATATTCGTATCATACCTAGCGATATCCTATTATATAAGGTTAGGCGTGCATTTGCTTTTACATTCGGCCAAGATACCCCATTGAAAAGACCACTGGAAATATTACAAGGAGTTGTTTTGACTTCAAGAGTAGGGGTTGTAAGGCGGAGTCACTTGATGTTCTCTCCGCTCCTTCCCTGAAATGTACATACACACATCACGTCCATAGAGGCAACAACTCTTCTCTTTGGTTATCTTCTCTTTCATCAGTCCTTTGCGCCTGACGCTTCCATTTTCAATCGTTAGGTTTTACTGTTTCTCTCTTTGCTATGTCTGCTCAATCTTTTTCCTCTGACAACAGGCCTCCCTCTCCTTGCTCCGCTGCGAGTCCGCTCAATTCATCAGTGCCATTTATCCCCATATCTATGCTCGCTCCTCGAACAACAGACAGTGACACTCCTCAACCTATTTTAATGTCTACTGTTGCAATGACCACGCCTCCTCCAACGCTCGGTCTTCGCGGTGAATACAACCCAGAACTTCGCAACCGCAATGAATGGGCTAGGCTGGCTGCAACCCTCACTGCTCTGGGAACAATGAAAGAAGGTATAATACTCTCATTCATTTAGTCAACATTTGGCTAAACGTATCGTCTAGCTTCGACGGGGCCCCCGAAAAAAGACTTCAGTTGTAGGTCCCCTTGACTCTCACAAAAGATCCAGCCGTTGACTCTCCTTTAAGCTCTGTGGGCTGCTCGAGATGCCGATTTTAGCTTCGAGCTTGTCTACCAGAACCGAACTCTGTCAACTTTTGATGTCCTCCATCAGATACACTCCATCAAGCTCAATGCGCTATTGTTGACTCCTAGTCAGCTGAACGTAACTACGAGACATCATACTGCGACTGCAATCCAGAAGTTTACTGAAGCTAACAAGAGCTCATTGGGGGTGATTGTGTACTTAATGGATGCGAGCTCGTCGGGTAACGAACAGATCGAGGCAGTGCAGTCTCTCGGCGCACTACACCACGGCCTTTCGTTGGGCTTCGCAGAACCGCCCCCCGTCCTTGTTGTGTCTGATGCTTCCTACCTTCTGGATTGCATAGGCGCTTACATGAAGAGTGTCTCTCGGGCAAACCCTGTGGGTTATAGTGACAAGGCTTGCTTTGTGTTGGTCATTTGCTAATATATCATGATTAGATTCCAGCCAACACCCCTGGAGATAAACCATTGTGGTCTAAATCGCCTACGCCTGCGCCTACATCGTTTCCACCTACCTCGTTTCCGCCTACCTCGTTTCCGCCTACATCCTTTCCGCCTTCAAAAATTTCGTTTTCAGCCCAGGACAAAAAGTGAGGCTCTAGGTACATGCATTGCAGAAGACTGGTCGCTTTTCAAGAGAGAATGTCTTTGATCGTTGCACCTGGCAACGAAATGTTCTATGAACGAGGGATGAGCCTTTTTCTTGACTGAACATTTATGAATACCAATACCACCCAATCCACATCGTCATATTCTTTCATCGGCTTTGTTGGTGCTGTCTCCCACTGGATGTTTGTTCTGCTGCACCGGGGACCACACAAAACTAATCTGTTTCATTCTTCATGAGTTTCGTGGACGATGTTGAATCCTGATGTTGTGAGTCTTATTTTAACCAGTATGGATATAAATGTATGCTATTTTCATCCACAACTTTACTTCCACTCTATCACTATCATATGATTACCTTCAGGTCATTGCCATTGATTTGGCTTCCCTTCATACTATATCCCTTGTGTTCATGAAACACTGCTTCTCTGGATCATAGTAAGCGCATTGATTTACTCACCTACTAATTGTCCATTCACAACCGCGTGAAATGGGGAGACCCTTGTGACATCAGCGGACGACCTCCGCGGCACTCTCGAATCTACTAGGCTGCAAATCGATTTTCTTGTTGGATGGCTAAGAGAGCAAGTCTAATTCGCAGAATTTAAGCTACATAGTTGAAGAATGAACAGCGAAATTCCATGCCAAATCGAGAGTACAAGTCATAGATGATTTCATGGCTTCAAGTAATCTGTGGTGGTCTGGGCATGTCAATCAAAGTTGCGGTTAGGCAGGAGTATATTTGTCCCAAGGGTTATGCCCAATGACGTCGGTGCATCTATTCTTAACCGCACGAGCCACAAGCCTTGACGCGCGTGGCTGACCAAGAAGGCTAGAAAAAAAGAATTGCCATGGAACAAAAATTAAATCGAGCAATAAGAATGGCCCGTATCAAAAAGGATCATTCTTAGTAACCGGATAAATTGACCTTCAATTCGCCCCCTGAGGCAGCAACGGAACCAAAAGAAACCCTTTTGTGGCGCAGCTGTTTGCTTCGGTTTGACTTGTTGTACGTAAGTCCGCCCAGTCACTTCCCTCTTACAATTACCTAGAAGGACCTAGAATTGGTTACTATTTCCTATTCACTCTCAATTCCTGACTCCTAGCTTGTCACTAGAATTACCCCATTCGGTTGACAGGTCAGATTTCACATTTGTCGCCTGGGCGCAAGATCCCCGAGAGGTTGACACAAGATGGTAGGTGGCCTACTTGCGCAATGACCAGATAAGATCCAAACTGACCCTGTGATTGCGGTATAGGGCCAGTCACGACGCCCTGTTGGCGGAGAAAAGAAGAGCCGCTTTGGGCGCTCCAAAGCAGTCGCAGATGTCGGCGATGGCCGGCAAGCGGGGGGAAAGCCGCAGGTCAGGAAGGCCGCCTTCGAGAGCAGCAAGAAGAAGGAGATCGGCGTGTCAGATCTTACGCTACTCAGCAAGATTTCCAACGAGGCCATCAACGATAATCTGAAGCTCCGGTTCGAGCATGACGAGATTTATGTAAGGGATCGCTCTTGCACGCGGACTGCGGGGTTGTGCGCGAACACGAGTACAGGCTAACGGCAGACTACTAGACTTATATTGGCCATGTGTTGGTCTCAGTGAATCCTTTCCGAGACTGTAAGTTGCTCCGCGAAGAGAATTCGGTTTCCTGTTTGCTAACTGACTTGCGATCATCACAGTGGGCATCTACACAGATAATGTGCTCGATTCGTATCGAGGCAAGAACCGCCTCGAAGTCCCTCCCCATGTATTCGGAGTCGCCGAGTCCGCATACTACAACATGAAATCATACAAGGACAACCAGTGTGTCATCATTTCTGGAGAGTCCGGTGCCGGAAAGACCGAGGCCGCGAAGCGGATCATGCAATACATTGCCAGTGTTTCCGGCGGTGGTGATTCGTCTATTCAGCAGACCAAAGAAATGGTATTGGCGACGAACCCGTTGCTGGAATCATTCGGTAATGCGAAGACGCTGCGCAACAACAACTCGTCCCGATTCGGAAAGTACCTAGAATTGGAGTTCAATGCCAATGGTGAGCCGGTGGGAGCCAACATTACGAATTATCTGCTGGAGAAGTCACGAGTTGTGGGACAAATTGCGAATGAGCGAAATTTCCACATCTTCTACCAACTCACAAAGGGTGCCCCACAGAAGTACCGCGACAGCTTCGGTCTTCAGCAACCCCAGTCTTACCTCTATACGAGCCGTTCCAAGTGTTTCGATGTGCCCGGAATCGACGATGTTGCCGAGTTCAAGGATACACTGGATGCGATGAGGGTAATTGGAATGAGCGATTCCGAGCAGGACAATGTGTTCCGCATGCTGGCAGCTATTCTCTGGATTGGAAATGTCCAGTTCAGCGAGGACGACGATGGCAATGCTACTATTAGCGACCAGTCAGTTGTTGATTTCGTCGCCTACCTGCTGGAGGTGGATTCTGCGCAAGTGAACAAGGCTTTGACTATTCGTCTGATGGAGACTGCCCGAGGAGGGCGTAGGGGTTCCGTATACGAGGTGCCACTGAACAGGGTCCAAGCTTCAGCCGTTCGGGACGCTTTGGCCAAGGGAATTTACTTCAATCTGTTCGATTGGATTGTGGAGCGCGTCAACCAGTCACTGACTGCTCGAGGTTCCATCACTAATTCAATTGGTATCCTGGATATTTACGGATTCGAAATCTTCGAGAAGAACTCTTTCGAGCAGCTGTGTATCAACTATGTCAACGAGAAACTGCAGCAGATTTTCATTCAATTGACTCTCAAGGCAGAACAAGATGAGTATGCCCGCGAGCAGATCAAGTGGACCCCTATTGAGTACTTTGACAACAAGGTGGTGTGCTCGTTGATCGAGGACAAGCGCCCTCCTGGTGTTTTCGCCGCTTTGAACGATGCCTGTGCAACTGCCCATGCCGATTCCGGTGCGGCGGATCAGACTTTCGTTGGCAGGCTCAACTTCCTGTCCCAGAACCCCAACTTCGAAGGTCGCCAGGGTCAATTCATCATCAAGCACTACGCTGGTGATGTCAGCTACGCTGTGGAGGGAATGACAGATAAGAACAAGGATCAGCTGTTGAAGGACTTGTTGAACCTTGCCCAATCTAGCAGCAACGAATTCGTCCATTCGCTGTTCCCCGACCAGGTCAACCAGGATGACAAGCGTCGCCCACCTACCGCCGGTGACAAGATCAAGGCATCCGCGAATGACCTTGTGGCCACGCTCATGAAGGCGCAGCCATCTTATATCCGTACCATCAAACCCAACGATAACAAGGCCCCCAAGGAGTACAACGTCGGCAATGTTCTGCACCAGATCAAGTATCTGGGTCTCCAGGAAAACGTCCGCATTCGACGTGCTGGCTTCGCCTACCGTCAGACCTTCGACAAGTTCACCGAGCGATTCTACCTATTGTCCCCGAAGACTTCCTATGCTGGTGACTACACATGGACCGGTGATGTGGAATCCGGCGCGAAGCAAATCTTGAAGGATACCCGGATCCCTGCCGAGGAGTACCAGATGGGTATCACGAAAGTTTTCGTCAAGACTCCTGAGACACTGTTCGCACTAGAAGCCATGCGAGACAAATATTGGCACAACATGGCTATCCGCATCCAGCGTGCTTGGAGAAACTATCTCCGGTACCGCATTGAATGTGCGATCCGCATCCAGCGCTTCTGGCGCCGCATGACCGGTGGACTCGAATTCATCAAGATTCGTGATCAGGGACACCAAGTGCTCCAGGGCCGCAAGGAACGCCGGAGAATGAGTCTTCTCGGGTCTCGTCGCTTCCTGGGCGATTATCTTGGTGTCGGGAATACCGGTGGTCCCGGTGAAATGATCCGCAACGGTGCAGGCATCAGCGGTTCAGATGATGTTGTTTTCTCTTGTCGTGCCGAGCTTTTGGTGTCTAAGTTTGGTCGTTCTAGCAAACCTGTTCCCCGGATCCTTGTCTTGACGAGTCGACATGTCTATATCGTTGCACAGAGTATCGAAAACAACCAGCTTGTTATTTCGGCGGAACGAACCGTTCCGGTTGGAGCTATCAAGAGTGTCAGCACCTCGAATCTCAAGGACGACTGGTTCTCGCTGGTTATTGGGGCTCAGGAACCCGACCCGCTAATCAACTGTATCTTTAAAACCGAGTTCTTTACTCATCTCACCACTGTCCTGCGTGGCTCTCTGACTTTGAAGATTGGAGAAACCATCGAATACCATAAGAAGCCTGGCAAGCTGGCGACCGTCAAGGCAGTCAAAGATCCGGCTGCTGGAAACGTCGACAGCTACAAAAGCAGCACAATCCACACCAGTGCTGGTGAGCCTCCTAACTCTGTCTCCAAACCTACACCGCGAGCGAAGGCGGTTGCTGCTCGCCCGGTTACCAAGGGCAAGCTACTTCGACCTGGTGGCCCCGGTGGTGGCCCTTCGAAATTGTCTCAGGCTGCTCGCAGACCTGTCCCTGCCGCTCAGCCTCTGCCCCGGTCTACCCCACAGCCTGCCGCGGTACCGCAACCTGCTGCCCAGCCGCGCACTGTGCCTCAGCCACGCATCGTGCCCCAGCCTGTAGCTGCTGCCGCCGCTGTACACTCTCGCAACGAGTCTTATAGCTCCGTGAGGTCTTCTGGCTCCGTGAGGGCACCTCCCCCACCTCCCCCTGCAGCACCTCCTCCAGCCTCGAGAAAGCCCGCCGCAAAGGTCAAGTATGACTATAACAGCGATCGGGCCAATGAGCTTTCCATCATCAAGGGCGAAATTGTGGAGATTGTATCCAAGGAAGGAAATGGTACGTACCCATGGCATACTTCATTTTGATCATAACTAACTTGTTCTAGGATGGTGGCTATGTAAGAACACAACAACATCGGCGCAAGGATGGACACCCGAATCCTACCTTGAAGAAGTAGCAGTCGCTCCCGCGCCAAAGCCCATCCCACCCCCACCTCCCATGGCACCCCGCGCAACCCCCAGCCCTATTCCAAACGGCGTTGGAGCCGCTGCAGCCGCCAAGACCAAGCCCGCCCCGCCAGCACCCCCAGCCAAGCGTCCCAACATGGCCGGACGCAAACCCGCGCCCCCGCCCGCTCCACGGGATAGCGCCGTGAGCATGCAGTCGGGAGACTCATCAGGCGCCAGCGGCCGCGGCACGCCCAACAGCGCATCAAACGCCAGCCTGGCAGGTGGTTTGGCGGAGGCACTGCGGGCACGACAAAGCGCGATGCAGGGCAAACACGACGACGATGATGAGTGGTAGAGTTGAGAAGTGCATTGTTTATGGTCGGTCGCGGTGTTGGACATTTCTGCGCTTAGCGTTGACCTTTTGCGTTTGTTTTCGTTTGTGAGGGCCCGTGGCATGTGCATGTACAGGTCAGCGAGTCATTTTTTTTCTCCCCTTGTCATTACATTCTGCAGTAGAGCCGAGTTCAATATATACCGTTTCGCGCGAATCAAAATCATACGGAAGGTTATCATCATGTCGTTCTGGATGCTATTCATATCTCGCACTACAATAACATGCACATATGTTCCATGGTACATATAGTTATGCTAGCCTGCACATATATCACTGCGGCGAGTGGTGTGGGTAAATGATATCAACATCCAACCAATTCCGCACCTCCTTTCATGCCTTTAAACAGAACATCCATCTTGGCGTGTTGGGGCAAAACAGTAGTTTCCATACAGATCTAGCAACGATGATCAAAAATAAACAGCCAATTATCTTCAGAGCCCACAAGGGTGGCACGAAGCCCTCGTTCAGACTTGACAGATTGCCTAGCATTGTTCTCCGTATCAGTGAAGAAGAAAAAGCCTAGAGTAGTGGTAATTATTTACTCGATTTTCATACGTGGGGTGAAGGAGTAAAGCGAGGCGGGTTGGACTGACGTGAGGGGTGAACGATATGTACTGTTGCCAGTCTTATCTTACTCGTATGTTAGCTATATACATAACCTTGAAATATAATGTCTCTATAACTCTTACTATCTCCCTTCTGGTATAGTCCCCTCTCTTATATAATCACTCAGGTGTAGCGTAAGCCTTGGAGGTCCCTCGGATTTTCTCAAATCTAGAGCTTACACCCGTGGGAGTCATGTATTCCCTAGTCACATCAATTTAGGATGTATATGTAGCGAAGGCTCAACATATATATTGTTGTAAATAGACACATTCTCTCCATTCTCTCCCTTCTCCCTTCTCTCTCTCTTCAATAAAGCCACACGCCATCTTGTTCCAACTTCCCCTCAGCTTCAATCTTTTTCATACATGTCTTGATCCTCTGCACAACATGCTCCGCATACCCCGGCCCCAAAGGCGGCTTGGGCACACTCATATCCATTTTTAACCAAGGGATAGAACTGATCCCCTGGCATGTCTGGCGCATCTCGTCAATTTCCTCATCACCGTATAAAGCCCCTAAAAATACAGCCACGGGTGGTCTGGAATAGTCCATGGTGCCACGATTGGGCTCGTCAGCAGTAGGAGGGGCCTGCACTTGCAGCAAGAGGGGTATCTCGACTGCCCCGGTGGTGCTGCTGGTGACGTTGTGTATAACTACGGATGATGTTAGTTCTTGGTTTTAAGGAAGGGCTGTGTTTTCCCTACTTTCATACTCGGGTAAGTAGAGAGGTTTGACGGCGTTGAAAATTTGCGGGTTGGCGCCGCCACAGGCGATAACTGGTAGAGGTGACATGATGGGTTCGATTAATTTCCTATTGGAAGAGTGGACTGAAAAATAGACATTATCCAATGGGGATTACAGGTGTATATATACTCGTGAGCGAGTGGTTAGGTATACCCGTGGACACTGATGGTGGCTGGGCGGACCAAAGCTGAACTTTGCTGACGTGGTGGATTCAATCCCCACCTGGAAGACATTATCCTGCACATGTGTCTATATAGAGGCATGTACGGGGTAGAGTCTACCACTTCCTGAAAACAAAGAGCCTTGTGGAGGCCTGTGGCTTCAATGCCCTTGGAGTGATAGGTCAAAACCAGAGCAGGAAAAGCCAAGCAAAATTAAAAGCGCATAGAATGCAACAACAGAGTTGCGTAAGAGGCCCGAGCCCAAAAGAAATTCCGGAGAATACCGCCTGAAAACTTTAGAGCGGAGACGGGCTGTGCATGTAAATACGAGCCCCTGCTGTTTGACTGGTTCATTATACATCCTTGGAAAGCTTATACAGACTGACCCATTAGTATTTGGAATTGCAGGACTCATCCGCGAAGGAATACTAATTATGCTAACCAACCAAAAAAGGAGATTATATCTTCCTGCAAAATATATCTTACGTGAGACTGCCAAATGTTAAGGTCGAGAAGGTGACAGGACTACTCCGAACCGGATTCTGAGCCAGAGCTTGTTGAAGGGAATGCGACGTCGGCTTTCTTTCAAAGAAATGATGAGGAGGAAGAGCGACCATCATTGAACACTATTATAGATGCGAAGAACATTCCGGTACGAAGATTGAAAGTCTCAAAGGAGTGTGGAATGTTGTGGCTATACTATGCAAGACAGGATATGCTCCTACGTCAATGTCTGCTTCCAACCGATGGATAGAGATATAGAGTCGGATAAGCCAATTTCAAGATTCTTCTGAGCCATGTTTCTTTATTTTCTCGCCTCCAGCTGAACCATCAAATCGTGTTTCTCCCACAGAAAGAATGTTTTCTGTTTTTCCCAACCAATAGACTCAGGGAGAAGAGAAAGCTCAAAGTTATACAGCACCTTGGCCAGGATGAGACGCATTTCATGGTATGCCAGACTATTCGATCATTAGCTACTTTAGAACCAGCATTCGGAGAGCAGGATGAGGCCATACTTCTTTCCAAGGCAGTTGCGAGGACCGAATGAAAATGGTTGGAGTGCAGCTTTATCATCAGTGGCAAAGTCATCGCTAATCCAACGCTCAGGGATGAACTGATTGGGCAGCCTGAAATTTCGAGCGTTGTGATAGGTAGCCCAGTGATTAACCGAAAGCACGGTCTATTATATCATTCAAGTATTAGAAACGAACCATCGCAAATACGGACCAAAAGAAAGTAAATACCTTTCCTGGGATATGTTCTCCACAGACAAGCAATCCCTCATCAGGAACAACGCGAGGCAGACCAGCTGGAACTGGAGGGTAGATGCGCAACCCTTCCCCAATGCACGCATTGAGATATGTCATATGCTCCAGAGCTCTCATTTCAATATCAGAGTCTTTCTTAAAAGTCCCACGAACTTCCTCTACTAGGATCTTCATCTTTTCAGGCATCATCAGGAGGTGATAGAGCAAACCGCTTAGCGCAGTTGCAGTAGTTTCGGTACCTGCAGCCATGAATACATGTGAGTTGGCATACATCTCTGTGCGACTAATAAGGAGGTCCTCCTTTTGGCTCATGACAATGCCCCAGATATCAGGCTTTTGCAGCGTATGGTTGCCATCGATCCTTTTGTCAACGCGCTGCTGTGAGGCCTCACAATGAGCGAGGCTTTGCTGCTTCATTTTCTTCGGAATAAGCATTTGAGCAATGGGAGCGATCAAAGGGGCGTAGCGTCCAATTCTGCGAAAAGCGTTGGTTTTTATACTGCCGAAAACTGCGGACACCCAATTGCTGTTCCCAGTTCCAGCTAACAGATTCAAGGAGTCACCGAAGGTCAAATCTCCCATGATATCAAAAGTCGTTAGATTGAACATGCGGACCATATTGATTTTCACCTTGGGGTCCTCCTTGATCGTTTTATGGAGGTTATCAACTAAACTGTCCGCATATCCACAGATCAAAGACTGCTGTTCTCGAAGCGCCCGATCAGAAAAGGCGTGCGAGAAGTTGCGGCGAAAACGGGAGTGATCCGTTCCGATGCTCCGGAAGATGTCTGGGGCTCCGTTGAATGATGGACCGTAGAATCGAGGGTCTTTCTCTGTAACTGGTTTTCCTACTGCGGCATGGCCATAGATTCCCTTCCACGCCTCGCCAGTCGCATAGCTCAGCTCATCTGGGGAGACACGGACTACATCACCGTGTGTAGTATGTAGTCCATTGATCCACTCATGCAGGTCGCCTTTGAAGGTATGGTAGAGGTGAGGTATCCGTGATATAGCTGCGAACTTTGGTCCGGGATATTTGCTAAGATGGTTGACAAAGACTTGGTAGTATGCATAAGAAACTAATATCAGTAGAATCTAACCAGAAGATGTTAGCGACACAGGCTTAATAGAATCGAGTAAAGTAGAAGTAGTAAGCGTACCGAAATGGCGATGACCGAAATGTAGTGTTCATGATTCAAACTTGAAGCGGATTGAAGGAGCATCTTGGATTACGAGGATGTTCTTCTGGGCCAAAATGAATATTCTAGGATGGCAGGAAAGTAGAAAAGACTTGGAACATAATAGCGTATTTCACAAGCGAGTGGTCTATCCCACCGTGGGGTAGACCACTTGCTTGTGAAATATGATATATCAACAACTGGACTTTGTTCCCATTTTGATTCTGAAATGTGCAGGCTCTTTCCTGCATTGTTATTATCGCACTAACACTTGACACGTTTGTGCTTGCAAGGATGTATGCCGTAATTACAGCAGACTATGAGGGGGTAAATGCACATTTACAATTTCGGAATTGATCTACGTGTTGCCGATCTATGTTTACAATTGAGACGGGAGTGGCGTATCCCATTAATGCATAACTCTCCCCTTGAGATATTTTGAATGCACTCAATATAGAATATTGCTTACCCAGCGCTAATCATGCTGTTGGCCAGCGACTGGAGCTTTCGGTCTTTCGGGATTTCTCAAGGAACACATCAAGAGCAAGTCTCAATTTCAGGTAGATATGGCTTATGTACCTAGGAGATGCATTGATACTTGAAATCCATTGATGTTGCTTGTCCTTCTTCATGCGCTTCTCTTTTCTAAATAATTCAATCAAATCTCACCAGGATGGGGGAATCCAGTAATCCTCCCAGGCGCCATGATCTGCATCCTGGAACATATCGATCCCTCCCTCAACGCCATTTTCGCCCACTGTCCACACGCCACTTTCGATCAATTCAGTCCATCGATCAAACAGCCTCTCCAATCTCTGCGCCCGGTGCTCTCCGCCAAACGGGTGAAAAACGCCATGCTGGAAAAGCTGCGTGAATGAGCCAGATGGCACTAGAGTTCCATCACTCCGCCTAGCTCCATCCTCGTCGGCAAGATTCGGTCGTAGTGCGAATGGGAGTAGAAGGCAGAATCCAGTTTCTTCAGAATCGTATTCGAATCGATTGACCGTTGTACTATATAATCCCGTGGGAACAGGATCACCTTCGTTGAATGGCACATCATTTCTCGACCCAAAGAACAAACGATGAATTTCTTCGTTGAAACTGATCGTGCGGCTATCATCCGCAGATGCAAAGAGCAGGAATGACGGCACATCCCTGCCCTGACCTTCCGCGTTAAACATCTGACGCGCTGTGAAGGCTTCCTTGTCGTGCGGAACCTCCAGGCCAGGCGTGACTAGCTTAAAACGTGGGGTCCTCACTCGGGTCAGAAAAGAGCGAATAAAGCACACCTTTGGCACTAAAGCCGCATCGAGCTCTGCATCGGTAAAAAATGGGGCATCCCGGGATATTGGCAAAACAGACTGCATGCGTGATTCGATCGCTTCCGTGTAGCGGTCCATCGCAGCAACCGTACTATCAATTTGAGCAGCGCAGTATGGGTACCAACACCATAATCCAATTTGATGTCGCGAATTCGCTTCTTCATCGGACAAGTCTCTCTCGTTCCGTGGATCGGCCGTGATTTTTCCCATTCGGAGCATATGGATCCATTGGGTAAGAATCGTCTCTAGAGGAAACCACATATCCCAATGTTCAGCAACAGGCTCAATACTTTCTGAATTCTCCATGGTCAATGGGAATGAGGCACGATGGTTCAGCTGGTCGTAGAGAACACCAAGACAGTGGGAGCCTAGATAGGGAGTTGTGTCGTAAATGACCACAAACCGCTCTTTATCCTCGAAATCGTTGTCTTCGAGGGGGAAAGACTCGTCGGCAAGTTCCATTCGAAGCCTGCTGACCCAGTAGAAGAATCCCGGTGTGGGATTATAGATTGAATCAAGGAATGAGTTTAATGATGGGTCAAGCCGAGCGCGAATGGCATCAATATTCTCGTTCGGCTGGTTGAAGAACCATGACTCGCTGGCTAGGGCGTTGAGATCGGGCGTATTTGTTCCATTGCGGGCCATGTAGGCATATGCGACCAGGTAGTTGTGCAATCTAGCGCAGCGTTGAAAATCGAGTGTATCTTCATCGCGCGCTGGATTCTCGTCTGACACAAGAGCATCTTCGATGTCAAGGATCTGTTCTGGCGTGGTGTTCATGATGAGGGGTGAGGGGCAAGAAAACAGTCTGTGACAGTCGAGTATGGACGGATGTCTGGTTTTATAATTACGGATACACATAAGCAGTTAGACCGGTGTCTCCAAATGCCCGAAACATGGTATGGTATTGTAGGTACGGTATATCAGTACTAGCACAACATAGATCCCAAGTGCCAGACAGTATCTGGTACACATGCAATGACTAGAAACATTTACTTAAGGAACTTGCTTGCAAGACTCATAAGGCCACCAGCACCACCAGAGCCACCACCCTGGTTCTTCATATACATCTTAAGCGCCATCTCCGCTGCAGTGTTAACAGCAGACTGCTTATCACCCGACTAAAGCACCAATCATTAGCATCATCATCATCATCCCCAATCAAAAGAATAAAAACATACCACATTACCCCCAGACCCATTCTTCTCATCCCACAACTTCCCAGCCTGAGCCATAGCAAGCCCAATAAGCTTATTCTTATCCATACCACCATCACTGCTTCCACTGCTCCCGCTATTGCCACCAGAAAACATCTTCAAAGCCTGCATCGCAGCACCAGCACCAACAGTGTTGGAATCATGCTTCTGGTTCGACGAACTGCCGGAGCCGTACATGGCCTGGTGCGCATTAGCAGCCTGCTGCTCGTCGACGTCATCGCCGGAACTCTTGCGCTCCTTCAGGAAGTTCAGAGCGCTGCTGAATAGGGATTTGTCTTCGCTGCTGTGGTTTTCTGCGTGGGAGGCGGCGCTGCTGAAGTCATCGTCGTTGTTGGAAGAGTGGTGGTTGGTAGAGGAGTTGCCGTAGCCTCCGCTGCTGTGTTGGTTGTTGTTGTTACCGTAACCTCCACTGCCGTGGGATTCCTGATGGCCGCCGTAATTGCCTTGGTGTTGGTGCTGGTTCTGGTTCTGGTTCTGGTTGTTGTAGCCCTCGTTGGAGGAGTTGCCGTAGCCACCGCTGGATCCACCGTAGGAGTTGTTGTTGTTGTCGTTGTTGCCGTAGCCTCCGCTACCGTGGGATTCCTGACGGCCACCGTAGTTACCCTGGCCTTGGTTCTGGTTACCGTAGCCCTCGTTAGAAGAGTTGCCGTAACCACCGCTGGATCCACCGTAGGAGTTGTTATTGTTGTTATTGTTGTTATTGTTGTTGTTGCGGCCGGAGAAGTCCTCGTTGTTGTTGTAGTAGCTGTTGCTAGCGCCGCCGCCGCCGCCGCCGTATTGCTGATTATCGCCGTAAGACATGGTTGGATTTGGGTTGGGTTGGGTGATGGAGAGTAAGAGTGAGATATAGAGTAGTTTAAGAAGAAGGTGGAAATTGATGAAAGTCTGAAACTATGAATTTACAAAGAACAGAATGGAATGGAAGAGCTTCAGCTGAGGTCGGACGAGGAGGGGTTGCGGGGCCTTTTTGTTGATGCTGATTTGGGCGATTCGCTCTTCGATCGGATGGGGTGGATCGGAGCTGAGGTGGCCAATTAGTGACGAGCGGGCTTTTTATTGGATGTTTACAGAGGTTGACTATTGACTTTGGATTGTTTTTTGGGTGGTTTTAGTGAATTTTAGTGTGTTTTAGTGAGGTTTAGGCGATAGTTCGGAGTTTATATGGAGGAACTACGTGTAGATCGTACGAAGCTGAGCAGAAGAGGACTGGTGTAGCGATACAGCAAATAACATAAGTTGAAATAAATCCAACAATCAAAATACAATAAATGGACAAGAAGCACGATTTGCCCTTATTACTTGCTACACGTTATATGCTCATAGGCTCTAACGAGATGTCCACCTGGGTATCCATGCGCTGCCCAGGTGGATGTCAGTTCTTATAACATAATCGGATAATATATACCCGAGCGTTGGGGTCATGTGACTTGGGTCTTTGTCATCCGGGTGCCGGTCCTGCCCGAGTATACAGACGGGGTACTTGATCAGATAGCCAAGGACTTGGATTGGGTTAGCAAGACACCAGTACTGTCAAGTTGAGGGGAACTAAATATAACACATTATTGAAACGAGTCTACAACATAGCATCATGAATCCACATCCAATACTCTAAAACAAAAGAAACGAATATAAAGAACCTCCAACGCCGTAGCCCAGGGTATCAGATGCAGATGAAAAGGCGCAAAGAATACCAACCCAGAAGAAAAGAAATAAAAGAGAGAGACAGACAACAAAACAACATTCACCCAGATCAATGAATCAAATCAAAGAATCAATGAATCATGCTCCTCATCAGACAAATTCCTCAAGAACCTCATCCCGCGCTCCCTCTTACTCAAAACACACCTAGAATCCACCTCCAACTCCTCCTCGGTAACCCACTCACACGGCAAATCCGTCAACCCAACCCGCTGCCCCCACTGTCTCCGCTCATACTGCATGAACCCACCGAAATGGCGATCGGTATTAGCAACCCAGATCTCAGCGCCATCAGGCGCGTAATCAGCACCACCGATCTCACCAAAGAAATCATGCACCTGTCTCGAGCGGAAGAGCTGCGCATCGACAATAGAAATCCGATCCGCAGGCTCGGTGCAGAGGAGGGTGCGCGGGCCGCCACCGACGGGCGAGAACCGCAGCGAGCGGTAGCCCGCGACGTCGGAGTCGATAGTTTCAAGCGGACGCCAGGTGCGCGCATCCCAGATGATGACTGTTTTGTCTTGGTTGGAGGTTGCTATGTGGCGCATATCTGGTGACCAGGCGCAGGCGAAGCCGAAGTCGCGGTGACCGCGGAGGGGGTGGACTGGTCGGCCTGTGTCGGATTCTATGACCCATGCGTCTGGTGAGTCGCCGATTACGACGCGCAAACGGCTGTCGGGGGATGTGGCGGTGCAGTTTATTGGTTGGGAGAGTTCTTGGTCGGAGATAAAGATGTTTGTTTCTGTGTCGAGGATGCGGAGGTGTTTGTCGTTGGAGGCGAAGACGCCGATCGGGGAGGGGCCGGTGCGGTTTGGGATTATGTCGACGTGGTTGGTGATGCCGTCGTTGAAGTCGGGGGTTACCAGGCCCTTTATGCCGGGGCTGGATCCACTGGTGCTGCGTAGGGCGTATTCGCCGCAGAACCCGCCTGCAATTGTGAGGCCGTGGGCTGTTTTCATGGTGGAGATTTTGACTGGGCCGAGAAAGCCTGATTCTGGGTCTGGCTGGCTCATATCGATTATACAGCGTGCGTCGCCGGTTTTTGGGGTCCACGAAAACACCTTTGAGCGGGAGGCGAAATGGACGGTGTTAGATGCAGGAGTCGACATGAGATTGCGAAGCTGGAAGTGCTCAATAGACGCTTTGTGTGAAGTGTGCATGGAGCTCTCGCGGAAAAAGGTTTCATGTTGTGGAAGGCGCTTTGCATGGCCGAGGAGCGAGTAATCCAGGTTGTGATACGAAGTATACCAGGCGTCGCGCACGGCTCGTGCATCGGACCGTGTCACTCGTAAGGTTTCTGTCCATGGGATCTGCTGCAGATCATAGAAATCGCGTCTCCATCCAGACGGTCGAATTATCTCCTGTGGCGGTTTCCAGCTAATCATCTTTGAGAGTGGGCGGAGCTGCGGTGGAATTCGACTTTCGGAATGGAAGCCATGGGGAATGACGTTTATTGAGACCATCCAGCGCTGGATGAATTCATCAATAGTAAGATTTCGCTCATATGCTAGAGGACGATTAGCTAGGGTCTTGTCTCAAAAGTCATGTCGTCTTACTGGATGTGTGGATTATAGATGCGGGATGTGGTCCAGTGAATTCCATTTGATCGTCGGTGTGGTTCCCCAAAGGTTCCGCAACAGACAAAGCGATAGTTTGGGGGAGATCCACATCAATATCGTCATAACTGATACTGTTATAAAAATCATCCAGATCGCAGTCCGGCAGTTCGGCTTCATGCGTCGGGCGTTTCTTGCGCTGGTAATAATACTCCTCTTCGTCTGGATAGAATCGGAGAAAGTCTTCAAGCTCATCATCTGCCGTTGGTGAGGGCGACGGGTTGTCTTCCATGGTAGCTGACTCGTAATCCATAACCATGTCTTTCTGACCATCCTCGATGTCGCTGTCTGGTGCAATGGCGATATTTTGCCGGCCGGCGGTGCGGTGAATCAAGTCCCGGACAATCGTTTCCATATCCACGTCGCCACTCGGGTTCGCGCCAAAGACAAATTCCGGTCCTGCGGAAGGAGTACCTCCCATCCCGGATTGTTGAAAATGTCCCCGGTGTCCCGGCAGCAACGGACCGCCCGAGTCCAAATGTCGATAATCGGGAGGACTGCCAGCACTCGTAACAGCGTTGACGACTTCCGACACCACAAAAGAATCACCGTGCGCATTATCCACCGCACGCGGGTACTGGGACACAGCAGCCAGAGCCGCAATGCCCACGTCATGTAAACGGCGATCGATGTCGGAAGTCATATTTGTCAGCGGAGCAAAACGATCGGTGGAAAAAATATCCGAATCGAGAGTCGAGTTCAGGGCCGTCGCATCGTCTTCCCGACCAGACAGCCCAGTTCCAGAACGATGAGAAGGATTCATGACTCGGGGTTGAAGTGAAGCACCATCGATATCACATGACACATGGCGCGGCGATGCAGCGGGATCTCGCAAGCGGGCAGGGAAGTCGGAGGGATGATTCGCAGAGTTACAGTTGCTAGAATGAAGCATCGCCCGCCATGGACGTCCGACTCGAAAACCGATATGTTGTACCTCAAATCCCGAGTCTCAGTGTTCGTTGCCTTTTCTAGGCACCGTGCAGCAAGGCGGGCGGGACGGATGATCACGTCCGAAAAGGGTCAAATGGGCAGGGATGGGGTATGTAGAGGCGGTCGCGGTCGCAAAAGCGGAGGAAAACGATCCAGTAATCAATAAGCCAGTTACAGTGTACCTACAGTAACACTTTCCGGGATTCACACAGATGGTTTGCTTTGCTTGTGCAGCGATCGGTCTCGCAGCTGACTGCTGACTGCTGACTCGGAGAGTTCAACCCCACACTGCAGGCGTGGCGTTGGTTTCCAAGCCCGCGTGTATAACGCGAGCAGGGAAAAGGCGGAGAGCGGAAAGCGGGTGAGACGGAAATGCCGAGTTCAACCGCAGAGGTGGTAGGTAGGAGAAGCCGGGAAGAAAGATGGTAGAGATCAGAAATGCAGAGTAATCTTGTAATCGGCTATGGCTACTAGTGGGATATGAAACGCCGATAACTGTGGGCTGATCTAAAGGGAAATAGAGGGGGGGAAAGCGCAGGACAGTGCACGGTAGACTTTTCCGGAGGAGATGCAAGGAATGACAGAAAAGGAAGAAAGAGATATTAATTCTGACACTCTCATGCAGTCAGAACGTGGGGGGAGAAACGTGAGAGATGACACTGCTTTTTTCGGGATCTCGGGGAGAAGACATGAAATTTATTAAAAAAAGAAAAGAATAAAAATATGATACATCATACATAGAATGCAAGGATTTCTGATATAGAATCCAATATTCCTCGGAGCATTCGTTTCTATTTCGATCATGTAGAAGATCAGATATAACCGTGCCAAATGGCCAACACACTCTGTGTTGGTGCGCCCCAGTAGATCCCCAATTTTCACCAGATAGCCAATCTACAAATTAGGTATCTTTTGTATGACTTGCCCATATAAAGGATACAAGAATAGTCGGCTGCTTATGTGGCCTTGTCAAGTCTTTTTTGGTTGTCTTTTTTGATGGTCTTCTCAGACTCTTCTCAGTCTTTTTAGATGTCTGTTTTTATAGATATTTCCCTTCTCGGTTTGTTAGCTAGACGGCAGAAAAAGGCGGGAAAAGACTTAATTTGTATGTATAATCTTTGACTTGGGCATATGAATTTTCTCAACCTTGGAACTACCTAAAGTAAGAGAAAGAGTACAAATATACAATATGCGTCTAGCTTAATTAATTTAATACTAGTATTAATTCTTGACATCTAATGTGGAAGAAGGATAATAATTTTAAATAAACACTACTTATAACTAACTATATGAAGTTCTTAACCCCACACCCAAGGCAATGCCCCAGGCCACCCCCGTCTCGCTCGTTCCGCTCGTTCCGACTAGTATACGGATTTGACATCATACATTAGCCATGGTCATTTATAATAATTTACGATCTATGGATTAGGCGGCTGAGGTAACAAAAGTGGTGCTTAAATTGATGAGAGATTGCAACTCCTTGGAAACCTGACATTATTTAAAAGCGACTCTTCTCTAAAAAAGTAGTACTTTGAGCAGAGGCAATTTTACTGCAAGAACCACCCCCCAAATCCTCCAAAATGGCTATCCCACTGTCTTTTGAAGCCGCTACGGTCAAAGAGCCAAAAACGCAGAATACTATCTCTGGCCGCTTCTTGAACATAGTGGAATCGGACGAAGTTGGAATCAAAATCACCGCTACAGCCGTCAATCCGGTCGATTGGAAGATGCGCGACTACGACGCATTTCTCCCTGCGTACCCTGCCATACTGGGATCAGATGCTGCTGGAACTATCGCGGCCGTCGGAGCAAATGTGTCAGGTTTCGAAATTGGGGACCGCGTCTTCTTCCAAGGCATTATTGGCAACTACGACTCATCCACATTCCAACAATATTGCAAGATGCCAGCTGCCCTTGTCGCCAAGACTCCAAATAACATTAGCGACGACCAGGCCGCAGGTATTAGCCTCGCTACAATGGCTGCAGTCACTGCTTTTTACGACACTCAAGGACATGGGATGACGGCCCCGTGGGAGAAAGGGGGCGTGGTGGAAGGAAATGGCAAAGCCATTGTAATTATTGGAGGTGCTTCATCTGTTGGTCAATATGCCATCCAGCTAGCTCGATTGTCTGGTTTCGAGAGGATTATCACCAATGCAAGCGCAGTCAACCATGAGTTCCTGAAAGGGCTCGGCGCGCATGTTGTTTTAGATCGAAGCCAGTCCGGTCCAGATGATTTTGCCGCCGCAGTTGGCGGTCTTCCTCTCCTATTTGTCTTTGATGCCATCTCGATGAAGTCCACGCAGCTTTTGGGCGTTCAGATCCTTCAAGCCACAAAGACTGAAAACAGCCATCTGGTCACAGTGTATGTGGTCCGTCCAAAGGCGATCGATCAAGATGCTGCAGAGCTCGGTCGATCGAAAGAGCCTAAAGTAGGCATCAAACAAATCTTGGGTATCGGGAGCTCTCCGGCTTTGCGTTACTTGAGTGTGCCTCTTTTCAGGAATCTTGGCGGGGAAGATGGCTATATCGGCAAGGGTCTTTTCACACCGAACCGACCACGCCTAGTCTTGGGTGGATTGAGTGCAGTGGAAGAAGCGCTTGCATTGAATAAGCAGGGCGTGTCCGGGAAGAAGGTTGTTTTTCGCCCCTTTGGTTGAGCATGTATATGATCTTCTTTTTGTCTCTTTATTTCCGTTTGTCAATCTTTCCTTCAGAGTTTACAATGCTATTTAGTCCATGATCAAAATAGCTTCCGTATTTGACCCGTTTGGAAAAAATTGATATGTTTGTCAGTCCTGCTAGGACTATCAAAAGGTAATCGCATTCTTTGCAAGTTAGAGGGGCTGGGATTTGCTTGAATGAAGAGAGAGGCACTAATAATGAATTCCCTTCCTCTGCCGCTATTTAACGAGCACAGAACCAAGGACAGATGTCAAGCCAGCAGCGGATCAAATGGAGAGTGCTTAGGGTCATAAACACGGCCACCTAGTGAGTCGCATCATAGTCCGATATCTTCACATCGTACAATTGACGTTTGATCTTGTTGGCCTAATAGATACATGTAGTTTAGCAAGTAACTATTCTGTGCGTGCAACATTTCTAGGGCTATCATGTTAGTGAATTATTACATGGGCATGACCAAATGGAAATAATTGAAATAGAAGGCTATCTAGGGCTAAAACGTCATTGCTTGGAAAGATTCGCTTTGCTCAGCTTTCACTTTGATCTGTATTTCACTTTATGGCGGTTGGTTTTCAATTGTCCCACTCTCTTCCACCGAGTTTCGGCATGCCTTTACTATTCGTTCGATAGCAACTATTATTAAACTTAAGTCTTTGACTATATTCCTACTTTCGCAGTTATCGATGAGATTGAATAAAGCGAAAATTGATTGTTCGCTGTCCTACAAACTTAGTGCGGGACTATCCAGGTGCTTTTATAGTTTATTTCGGCCAATCAGGGAACAGTAGCCACACCCAGCCGAGATCGACGAGGTCTCGCCTCATGCACCAGGAGCGAATGCCGCTAGTCATTTCGTTTCGCTCGATTCGAGCGTTCCATTTGATTCGCTTCTTCCATAGCTTCATCCAGCGCACATATTTGTCATTCAATAAGATTGAAAATTGGCCCACCCCCCGGGCCAGCTTTCACCACGACCATCGTAACGAGCGTAATTAGCAAGCCGAGCCAAGCAGAATTGGGATATAATTCTGGATGGAGCCTGAAGTTCCCGGGCTGAAAGATTACTCATTCATCCGAAACCAATAATGAGCTTGGAAACTTGATCGACCATCTGCCACTTAAGCTCTACAAATTTTACTTGCTTGGAAATCAAACGATGATATGTTGAATTGTCCAAGTTGGATGATGTCGTGAGTGTAAGTAATTTAACTGCTAGTGGCGGAATTGCAGTCTACCTATATAAACCATGCCCCCTACAAGAACTGCCTGGTTCTTTTTTATTGTCACACGAGAAGAGCCTTCAATCTAACACCCACAAACGCCCCTCGAGAACTTTCAGAAGAAAACCTACTACCATGGCCGCCATTGCCAGTGAAAAATCAAAGCCCTACCTACCTCTGGCCGGCCTTGCCAACGACGGTTGGTCTAATGAGAATGAGGCGACAGCTACATGCTTTTGTGGCGCCGTACAACTGGCATTTGTAAGTCCGATAATTACCTCTGCCTATTATTGTTTAGAAAATTAGTGTATCCTTCACTTTGCTGCTTTTCCATCATTCGATAATTCAGTCTAATATCTGTTCGAAATGGCAGCCAGTCCAAGGTGCGGGTCTGATCGACACTTTCATTTGCAATTGTACCGATTGTCGCAAAATCACCGCTTCCATGTTCGCATCCAATGTCACTATCGCCGATTCGCATTTGCGACACCTACGTGGTCGGGAAACTCTGAAGGCATTCAGCCAATCACGGACAATCGCCTCTGGCAACAACATGACAAATTACTTTTGTTCCACATGCGGTACGCTTATGTACCGCGTCGGAGCGGCTTTCCCGGGAATGAGCATCCTGCGCATCGGCACGGTGGATGATTTCAATCTGCACGAGACCAAACTAAAACCCAGAGTGGAACAATTTGTTAAAGACCGCGTGGGGTGGATGCACGACGTGGAAGGCGTGGAGAAAGTTGAGGGCTCGGCGTATACCTGAAAACGGGCAATAACGTTCAACGTTGGTCAAGGTGATGCAGCATTTATTAGTCCACAAGACTGCTCTTTGCATAACATATACAAAGTGGCCAGAGCGAATTGGACAACGCATTTGATTAAGTTACCACAGGCTCCAGGGATCCTACCAATTGAAACATTCTGCTTGCTACGTACACTCGCTCGACGATTGCATAAGGTTTAGTGGATGTCTGAGTTCACTGCTGGATGTGTGAAAAACAGCTTCGTGTCTATACTCCTTTCCTGGTATTTTTTAATTGTGCGATTTTTATAAGGAAACAGGTCGAACCGGGGATTCTTAACCGTCCGCAGTTGCTTCTCTTTTTAAAAAGCTTATACAAATTCTTTAAGAATAATAAGAAGTAAGCTAGCGCAACAATTCGGTCCTTTAAGATTATCAACACAGGCGCATTTCATCCAAATCAACATTCATTCACCAGAATCAAATATCGGTAGCGTTCGACGGGCCTGAATAAATGCATGCTGTAAGCAGGGGCTGCTGGATTTCTGGTGGAAATATTTAATCTTGCCTAGGCACCTAGGTAGATTATCCGATCGCTAATTTCAGTAACAAAATGCAAGGGCCGGTTAGGCCCTTGTGCGGATCATGCTCTTTTCTATTCGTATTAATTCCGTGTTCTTCCAAAATAAGGTTTAAATTTGCCTGTATAGTACTATTGAAATATCCACTTGATGGGATCTATCAGATTGACTGAGAGCCGTCCTGCGGCCATGACGTGGGATAGGAGCCACGTAGCAGGCTCCACGCCTTGTGACGATCGGATCAATCCTTTGGATCTAGAAAACGGACCGTGGCTGTATGTCATAATTGCGGTCAATTAGAGAATTTTGGTGTCGCTCCACCTTGGTTATTGGCTTGGTTTATTTGTGCCGCTCTATAAATTCAGTCATCGACGACCGTGTTGACTGATCTCATTATCATAAGATCTCAGAAAGTTGTGTCATCTTCTTACAGCTGAAATGGAGGAAAATACTGTGATACTACGGGCTAATGGCCTTCTCAATGAGCTTCTCTCTACCTACGACGAAAAGTATCATCACACAACCATTGTCAGTAGTATTTATGATACAGCGTGGGTCTCAATGGTTAGGAAGCCTCAGACCTCTGACATCTCCGATTGGGCCTTCCCCATGTGTTTCGACTTCCTTTGTCAAAACCAGGCTGGGGATGGAGGATGGGGATGTCCCGTCTCGATAATGGATCGTATCACCTCTACCTTTATTTGCCTTTTGGCTATCAAGAAGCACCTCCGTGTGTCGGGAAATCTTTCGGTGAAGAGTCGGTTAAGCTTGCAGCACCAAGCAGCTCGGGCCATTGAATATATTCACTTGAATATTGGGTTCTGGGACCTTGGTTCATCCGATGCCCAGCTTCCAATTGGGTTCGAACTTTGGTTCCCTGTTGTGATTGAGAAATTGGAAGAAGAAGGAGTTGTGTTTGAAATCTCTGGCATAGATCGAATTCTCAAGTTGCGCCAGGAAAAGCTCTCCCGGTTTCCTCTAGAGGTTCTCTACAACCCCAGTGGCCTATTTCAGCCTTCGCCCTTGTACACACTCGAAGGATTCATTGGACTCCTCGACTTCAGCAAGCTCTCACATCATTTGAGATTTGGATCCATGTTTACCTCTCCGTCATCTACTGCGGTCTATTTGATGGAATCGTCTGTGTGGGACCCTGAGGCCGAGGCTTATTTGCAGCATGTTGTGGAACAGAGCATTGTCAAGCATGGGCGTTGCGTCCCTCAAATGTTTCCAACATCAACCTTCGACATTGATTGGGTATGCAATTTTTCTTCAGTCCAGTTCGCATTGCTAATTTTTCATTGAGGTTCTCAACTTGTTTGTTGATGGCGGACTCGATCTCAAGAAGCTCGATGCCAATTCAGTGAAAGAGTTGGGGAATATCATACTCCAGGGCGTGGAGAAGCAAGGAGGCATTATGGGAGCTGGTATCATCGACCTTCCTAAATCAGAAGCAACTGATTAACCTGCCCTTGTTCAGATCAACACGTTTGTCCCGACCCCGATTCAACTGCGATGGCCTACAAGACAATTTACCATGCCCTTGGGATTCACCACCCCGTTCAACCAATGATTGACGCATTTGAAGGCCCAAAGAACTATGTCACCTATCGTTCCGAGCGGGACCCTAGCATAAGTAGCAATGCGCATGTGTTGCAAGCTTTGAAACTTGGTCCAGATTCCCGAGAGAATACGTCCTCTATTGAGAAGTGCATCACGTATCTCTGCGAAACATGGTCTGACACCCATGGACTAGTCCAAGACAAATGGGTGAGTTAATCCCAAATTACTGAGAGTTTGCCCCTTTCTAAACGTCCTTCCCTAGAGCCTTTCGGAGTACTATGCCACTGTGGCCCTTACCCAGGCCCTATCGGACTATCTTGTTGCACTGAGTGAGGAACGTGTAGAGGCTGTGTCGGAAAAACTTCTCAAAGTCTATATTCCTCTAACACTACTCCAAGCGGTGGTCCGGATTCTTCTTCGTCAGAACGCAGATGGCTCTTGGGGATCGACAAGCATCCGTGAGGATACGCCCACGCAGTCATTATCCTAAAGACTACTTGGTCTCTTCCTTTCATTTCAGGAACCCTAGGTCAAGTGATTGACCAAGCTGTTCGAAAAAGTCAAGTTTTCTTAACTGCATGCCTCGATGCTCCATTCAATGACTACAGCTGGAATGGAAAGTGTGCTTATGGCTTGTTGTCCATTTCTAGGGCTGCAGCCTTGGCTGCAGTATTGGACGCCCGGCCGATAAGACGAAATTCTCAGACGATCGAAGCATTGTATCATCAGGTTGACATGAATCTGATAACCAAGCACAGTACGCTTCTGGGACACTTGGAATACTTCGCCGGAGTCCCCGGTTGGGTGATAGAGGCCAGCTGCCTTGAAGCGGCCTTTCTTGTGCACGAGGTGGCAGAGAGCACCAGACTTAAGAGGAGAAAAGATCTTGACAAAGCGTTCATATTGAGGCTAACGGCCATTCCCATCGCTGTCAACTATGCCACGAAAGCTTGCCTGGGTAAACATGTTGTGCTTGGTATGGTTGATATTTGTGAGTTTAATTATCATGTCGATCCTCTGATCGAGGGGATCAAAGATCGCTCCCCAGACACCATGCAACTGATCGAAAAGGTCATCTGTCAGATCTTCTCAGACAAAGATTCCTCTGGAGTTCTACAAAACAAGTCCGAGGGCGATGCAATTACTCTGGAAGCCTGTCAGGGCCACGAAGAGGTATATCAATTGGTCAAAGAACTGGAATACAGCGCGAAGCAATTCATAGAGCATCCGCATGTCCTTACTGCCGGTGACTATGAGCAGAGAAACCTTCGCATGGAAATTCGTGTCGGCTTGTTAGCTCAAGTCTCCAAAGTCGCTATGGCTATTCCAGATTCGTCCAGTGCACCAGATCTCAGCTTCTATCAATTTATTCAAAAAATCGGGGCGGATGATACGCTGAGCTCGATGGCTATAAAATCGATCATTTGTTTCATTCAGGGGCCCTCTGATGTTGTGTGCGCTACTCCCATAGAAAGGTATCTGCTGGAGGAATTCAATCGCCACGTTGCAATCTGGACTCGGATGTGGAATGACCATTCGAGCATTGAGCGGGATCGTGTCGACTCCAGCCTGAATGTAGTGGACTTCCCCGAGTTTCAATCTTGCATTGAAGATGCAGGGAAGAGGCGTTCTCTTGCTGATCTTATTCAACACGAAGAAGATCGGCTCAATGAGAGTTTGGAGAGATTCGCTAGCGCAGTGGCTTCGCGGCCCAAAGCCGGTTACGTTGTCACTGGTCTTCGTTGGTACTTGGGTATTCTCCATGTTTTTCGAGAGCAGTATAACGCCGGGGCTGTCTATGCATCTAAAATGATGTGATATGATGCATATTCTTCCAAGTTTCTGTCTGATGTGCAAGTGAAGAAGACTTGTTATTTGAAATCTTGAATTGACAATGCGTTGTTGCCTTAGCCAGAACGGAATCGTACCCGACTCCCTTAGTTCATCCACAAGATCGATAATCGGTCAGGTAGAAACCCACAGGTCCTTGGTCGCATATTCTGGAGTATCTCTCATGGATGTCGCAACCTTTAGCCACCGAAGAGTAGTCAAGTCACAGCACGCGATGTGATACAAGTAGACCTGGGCACCGCCCAGGGCGGCCCGCGGGCAACGAACCCCGAATCAGGCACACTTCATAGGTACTTGAAGTATCAAACTGAAGCTTGCACCTCACCAGGAGGCGGCAGAAGCCGTGACCCATTAATATGATCACGAAGTGCTCGGTCCATGTCGAAGTCCGCAAATTTTGACCGCCTCGCCCAATCGAGTGCAGCCTGTTGACACAGAAGCCAGTCCACGGATGACTCCGTTGTGATTGGCTTCTTGTCGTATATTTCGACTTCCGGCTCACACGCGTGCTCGCCGAAGTAGCATCTCCAGCGGGCATGTCCTAAAATTCGATACGTAGTCAGACGATCACTGCCAGTGTCGGCATCGAACGTGGAGTGAGCAAAATATGATGTGTAGTGCCGACCGTCTATTTCGGGAATCAGCTGGCATATGACACGGTTGGCTGGGTCAGGAAAACGCTCCATCAATGCTGGCGATTCACTCTGGCTGTACATCTCGAATGTGTGCAGACAATCGAGATTTGTCGCATAAGTATGTCCCTTGAGAACACCTTCTTGTTCGATAAGTGTGCACAGCTTTCCGATCCAGTGCAGCCATGATGGGCGGGGGCTGCAAAGACCCGTAACATGTAGCAAGGTCAGAAACCCAGCGTTGAGCGCTTCGCAAGGTACGTAGGAGTCTTCTGAATTTTTGACCTTGATAGCCCTATTGGCGTGTGTCGTTGCAAATCGCATTGCCTCGTAGAAGTAGAATTCGGCAGAAATCTGGTTTGCTTCCTTATTCTCATCGAGAAGACACAACGACCAATGCAAACGGGCCATATAGAAGCTGTAATGGGCCGCCGTGAGGCACGCGCTAGGCATAATGGACGAGTAACCCGGAGGGGGCATCGGGAATTTCTCCCATTTGTATCTAAGGAGGCTCTCTAGAGCAGAATTCGAGATAAGCTCTGGTAGATGATGCTCGTGGCGGCTCCTCCATTTGCAAAGTTGTTCTTGAAACCGATGAATCACGGCTGCTTGGATACGCCGAGTATATGCATTAATAGGGCACCATATTAGTTCTTCAATCTCAGCATCGGCGCACACGAGGTCGAGAAGTTCTCGGAGCGGAGGAAAGTTTACCGTCGATAGGTTGTGAGTCACGAAGCTAGATCGTGGAATAAAGTCGTGCGTTGGGAAGACTGCGAGTAGACGTGGAAATGGGACAGCAAGATGACACGTAAGTCTAAGAGAGTTCAAACAAGTCTCCAAGGGCGCCGTCAACTCCTTACTCATGCCCCCATTGATATTTGACCCGGTATTTGCTAGCACCAGAGACGTCATATAGTACTTGGCAGAATGTAAATGTCCCACAAACGCAGGTATGTTGCCGTTAAATGACTAAACAGATGTAAGTCTTTGCTGCCAGCGTGACAAGTCGGCGTATGGGAAGGCATTACCTCAAAGTAGGCCATCAAGCAGAGCACAGCAACAAGCAGTCTAGGCGTCTTTTTTGCCTCGTTCAATTGGATAGAAAGTTCCTTCAAGGCCTGTGTATAGACTTGGATGGTTGTGACTCTCAAATCAGTGCCGCCCTTCTGATCAATTTCCTCGGGCATTGACATCATGAGTACCGCGCGATGCATGCTACCTAATGCCGTCAGGGTCAAAAACATGTATTCGCAACCCCAAGCTTCTTCGCAAAGCTCGTCCCTCCAAAAGCAGAGATCCTCCAGAGGAAACAAAACTGGGAGTGTCCTGAATAGAATTGATGGTAGCCCAGGACACACCTTGCCTCGCGCCCAGGCCGATGTCCTGGCCGAGGGTTGTTGGGCAGTGCGACAAGAGGTATGTCATTCCCACGAGGCCGAGATAGCTTTGAATCTGCAACAGATGCAACAGCAGTTGGTGCACCGGCTACATGTGAAGAACAAGTACTGTGCGGTGAGGATGAAATGGTCCCCAGCGAAGTTTGCAGTGAAGAAGCATCCAACTGGGCTCCACGCGACCGTTGAAGCTGAACACGTCGCTTCTGCTGATACCCAGCACAGTCAATATTGGCAGTTTCACATCGCTTGCATGTGGGCTTGTGCTCATCGCACTTGATTCGACGGGCTCGGCAGCTAAGGCAGCCTGTGCGACTTCTTTTTTCGGTGGCCATCACCGCTTAAAGCTCCTTTCGGTGAGTCAGGCGCGATGTGTACTATAAGGCAGTGCGCAAACTTCCCGCACATCGGTAGGATTTACGAAATTTTCTTGCTTGGCCTGTAAGGTTTCTGAAGCTGGAGCTTGGGGATGTTGGCATGACGCCCTCCCCTCCCCCAGGGCCCCCCAAATCTTTGTCAGCAAAATCTTGGACCTCAAGAGAGCATCACCGACTAATCGGCCTGTTCGAAAGTCACCATTTATCGCGCCACCCAAAGAATAATTTCTTGCACCCTATATTACTTCTCGACCAATACCTACCACTAGAAAAGCTCAATCAAGACCTGAAACCAGTTACAGCAATATTCGAAAACAGATTCCCCGAGGGACACTAACGAATTGTTTATCGGCCCCGGTGACTTACGCTTTGATCCGGTTGGGCACAGCTGGGGCTGAAATGACCTGAAAAGGTAGCCTGGCAGAACCTATCTGACAGTTCATGTTGCTTTACAGGGTTCATCGCGCTATTTTGATTACATTTCGATTACGCTATGTCGATAGTATAGCGATTAGTATGATTTATTCAGTATCAACACAAGGGCGATGTGCCCGGTCCGAATAGCTGTACAAGCCAGAGCAAAATGCTTCGAATAAAGAGAGAGGAAAATCAAACAGAAAGAATCAAGTAAGATGTGAGCACACGTGAAATAATCAACTCGTCAGTCGTGCAACGCTCTGAACTATATTATAAGAATGTTTGAACGCCGGTATGTAAATGGTACAATAAATCACGTGCATCCGGGAGAAACATAGATAAAAACGAAGAATTGAGAACAAAAAAGAAACAAGCGCTATCGCTTTCGTTAATAATGTGAATATGTCTCCCCGTATTGCGATGGATAAGGATCCGTCGAAGCATGGGGCTGTGACCAGGCACTGCGTAGGCGGCGTTCTAGCAAGAATGTTAGAATCGACACATCCATCAAATGGTATTAAGAAGACAAAAGCATACCTTTTTCAAAATCACGCCACCTCTTCATCGTGATCTTCGTACTATCAAACTCACCCTCGGCATCACCATGTCCCTTATCCTTCTCACCCGCAGTCTTACGGGTATCACCCCAACTGAAATCATCGAACTTCCAGAACGCATACATGGGCAGGACGAAGTTCCAAATCGGAAGCGAGAGGAGGTAAATCAACATCCAGAGCACGTAGACGAATTTGTGTGCCGTGACGACGATCAAAACACCCGGTAGACCCAATACCAGGGCGAGGAGAACGAGCGGAATGACCTGGACGGGTTTCCTGACGATGGAGACAATGACCACGTAGATAGTGAATGAGATGGCGGCAGGTAGGACGAGGGTTCCGATAAGCTCGATGAAGATGACGAACTGCATGCTGAAACAGAAGGTGCCGCACAGGTCGCGCACGAGGACGAGTTCGAAGAGGTTGTGGACGGTACTGTTGATCCAGCGACGGCGCTGGGAGAGCAAGACGAGGAATGCGTCTGGCACGACGGTTTTGCAGACGGCCTGGGGGACGAAGATCTGTTTGCGTTTCGGGAAGGTTTTGAGCATCAGGGTGGTTAGGTAGCGATCTTCGCCGAGAAGGAGCAGGTTCTTTTTGTGTAGGGTGTCGACGACGTTTTCGGAGTAATGTTCGACGATATCTGGGTTGGCGAGAATGGGTACCCAGTAGTTCTGGCCGCCCTTGGGGGCTTTGATTCGGTACATGGTGAAACATCCAGGGAGACAGGTGACACCACCGAAGACGGATTCGAATGATTTGGCCTGGTGGTGAGAGATGAAGTACCTGTCGGAGAATTAGTTATTGTGCTGGTTACACCTTAAACGGTGGAGAACTTACTCGAAGACCTGAATCATCGTTACCCAGCTGTCGGTCTTGTTGGCGATCTTGGTTTCTCCACAGAGACCCATGATTTCTGGGTCCTTGACCATGGCCGAGACCATGTGTGTCAAGCTGTCTGGGAACACCTTTGTATCGGCGTCGACCATGAGAACAACTTCGTAGAAGTCCGGCGCGATGCCTGTGACATTCCACATGCCATTGAACATCTCGAACTCGAGTTCCGTCATGCGTTCGTCGAACATAACCTTCTGGAGGAAAGACATGAGAATGATCTGACTGTCTCGCTTGCCTCGGTTACCAGGCTTTGACTGGGTCGACTCCTGTGGAGTTCCGCACTTGACAATCACCATCATGGGAACACGCTGCTGCTTATCCGCTGGAATAACCGAAGTATCGCCGTAGTCGTAGAACCCAGTGTAGACCTTGGCCATGTTGTGTCGCTTGGAGCCAGTAGCCACAGCCACGTAGGAGTAGGGCTGGACCTCGTCCTTGGGAACAACAGGGTCCCTGAGCATACCCAATACAATATCTGGGGTGGAGAATTCCTCTCCCTTACCCTTGATAACTCCATCGCAAATGACCAAGATCGTTTTGTGGCTGTTCGGATAGTCGGTCATGGCTATGGAATCCAAAGTTGACCTAATACCCTCTTCACCTTCGGAGTAGCAAGTAATAAGGCAAAGACTGTGAGCTAGAGGGTAGCCGAACGGTTGCCATTCGGGTGGAGGCTGAGGAACAACAGCCTCGTGAATGAAACCAGCAGGACCCAAACCCTCGTGATCCGTCGATAGTGTGGCGTAGCCCGGATCTTGCTGAGCCTGACCGGGAGGAACCAAGCTAGTCCGACTGGCAGCAGCATTATGCCGAGAGTTGTCAGCACTCAGAGTGCCCCCACTGCCGCTGTGGCTTAACTTGTACATAGTGCCAGTGGAGCTGGGCATGAGACGAGAGGTCGAGTTCTGGCTAGCCATGGTGACATATAATGGCTTTTGCTTGCTACCAGTGCTGCTGTTCACATTGTACGGGCTTGAGAAACGGGAAGTGGTCGGGAGGAAACTGGCACGTTTGTTGAGGCGATCAGGAATGGTAGGTTCGGCGATTCGTGGAGCGGGCCTATAGATGTCGTTGGACCAGTCTTCGATCTGTTGATTGCGAGTCCTGGCGTCGGAGGCCATACTCGTGCTCTGCGCGGCGAACCTGGGTGCCAGGAACCACTGGAAGAGCAGGGCGAAAGCGAACTTGACACCAACGATTGAGAGAATGAAGATCAGAGACACGTAGAGCACGACTTTCGACGCGATACAGCCAACAGTATCAGTGTCGATGCTGCCGACTTTGATAATCTGTGCCAAGCACTTGCCAATCTTCTTCTCCTCCCCGCTTTGTAGGTAGTAGGTGAGATCAACACCGCGAACAGCAGGGTTCTTGCGGAGCTCGTCGAATTGTTTGGGGTAGGAGACCTGGCTGCGGTCGAACCAGGCGAGCAGATCGAGATCAAGCACATTTCCGGAGTATATGGCCAGATTTCGACTTTTGTTCTTCGTGTCCTCCCATGTGTAGTACACATCCCCATCACTCTTCAGCGAGTAGAAAGGCTCACGGGCCGCCTTGCTGGTGTGGCAAGCCCAGCCCGTGTAATGTTCGACGGTCAAATTCGGAGAGGACGAACCATCCTGGTTGAAGGGCGCACAGGGGAAGTACCATCCGAGATCTCCATCGGAGTTTGTTGGAATATCCCCATCAGGCTGGGCCGTAATCAGTCCCTTGCACGCACCGTTGACCTGCTGGAAGAAGAAGCTGCCGTCCTGCCCGCCATACTTGTGTGGTAAGTCGTAGATAACATTCTTACCAGCGGGGATACCAGTGACAGCGGGATGTTTGGAACCGGCCAAGTCATATGCCTGTCCGTGGAAGATCATGTAGTTGGAATTGACTTCGTTGACCTTCAACCGAATCGGGGGCGAGCTACAAACCGTAGCCGTGAAACCGAAAGTCAGGAAACCGACAAAAGCACCGATCATCAGAATAATGCTGATAAGGCCGATCTTCTCCCGCCAAGCAGTGCGCTGCTCTTTCTGTGGCATGCCGAAGCATTTCAGCACAAAGTCCGGGATGAAGAATGTGAGCACTGCACAATATGTAGGCCATAGCTCGGGCGGGCCACTCTGCTGAATAGCCTTCTGGCGTCTCTGTTCATCCGCGGCTCCCTTCGACGACCTCCGCGACCCTCTCTTCTTCTTCTTCGAGCGATGCCTGCTAGGAACCCGCTCCATGGGCTTGTTGACATTACCGCGCGCACCGTATAGACCATCCTTACTCTTCATATCCATGCTGCGCGAGCTATTGGTCTCCGCCTCGCCATCTCTGTTGTCCAGTAACGGATCGTTTCCCGTCGCCGAGGGGAAAGTGGGCATGTTGGTTGATCGCTGACGGTAGTGATAATTGGGTTGTTCACGGTCATCCTTCCTGCGCTCTGGTTTGACCATGCGCTTTTTGTGTCTTACATCCCCGCTCCGGTCCATGCGCTCTTCGTCCGTGTCCATTGCTCTTCGATGGCTGGAATGTCGGCGGCGGTGTCGGTGGGAGTGGGAAGTGGGGTCGTCGCTGTAAGTGCCTGAGTCGATATCGCGTCGACGGCGCTGAGAGGGTTCACGAAATGCGCGGGCTTCTTCGCGCCGAGGTGAGGGCTTGCCGGGCCTCTGCGGCAAAGACATCTCGCTCCTACGAAGGTCCCCGATGTCAGCCAATCCAAACTCGGAGGTTGCTTACTGTTGGATTTGAATTTGCAGTTGGCGCACTCACTTTGGTTATTTGCCGCTCATCAGCAACAGGTTGTGTGGAGAAGACTGTTCACAATATGGATCTGTCGTTTGCCGACTGAAACATGTCAAATGCGCAGACCCGGTCCTCGATAATGCAAGCTATGGGACTCGTGATTCCGTTCCGATCTTGAAATCTCTTTCAAGTTATCGATCTATTGACCAGCAACTAGAATTGCAAATTGGGGAGTTCTCGGCGAAAGTGGTACGGTCGGCCTGTGCAACGAGGTGGAGAATCAACAAAGTCCCCACCTATGCAAGAATGTCGAAAGGTCTAAAAACACAGAGAAGAGTGTAATAGCAGTGATAGTAATAAGTAGCAATGTGTTTAAAGTGAAAAGAGAACAGGAGACAAAGACCCTGTACACGGGACTCTCTCACGCTTAGCCTAGGAGAGGCTAGACTTGATTTACCATAGATTACAAAACAAAATAAATAATCTATTTCTTTGTCGCTAGGGGCAATACCCTCCAATCACATTAAACCAATAACCCTCATTTCCACGGTTAAACCAAGCGTCTTTCCAAGGTTCATAATTAAGAAAATGGGAAATGGGAACAACAGCCGAGGAAGAGGCAACCTTAGAATTCCCTTCTGATCACGGGGTCCCCTTTTTTTTCTATTTTGGGCTAAGACGGGTTTATGCTTAGTTCTGGCCTTAGTGGTTTAATGGTCTTAGTTAACTGCCACGCTGAATATCCAATTGCCACTTTGTTACACGGACTCTGATCTATCCTTAGAGCATAGATAATAGTCCAATGGACAAGAGAGAGAAAAAAAGGAAAGATTAAGCTTGCCCATCGCTAATTCATTCCCTAATCCCTGGGAAAACTGGCAAACCGCTTTATGATGCATCTATTTAAAGAGAGAGCTCATACCAAGAACAATATTGTGTTTTAAGTCGGTGTGATTTAGATTTAAAAACTTCAGGAAATAATAAAAGGTAATGCACGCCATAAATGTACGAATCCTTGAAAAAACACAAAGGATTTGTACTACCAGTCTAGATTCCAGCCAACAGAACGAATTATGTACATAGTACTTGAAACAAGTTCAAGATGGGTATTGTCTAGATATAAAAACCAGGATAGCCCTGTATTATCTACTCCGTACTCCATACCTCAATGCCAATCTGACCACCAATATGATCGACAACTGGCCGCCGATCATCACGGCAATCCCCCAGAGTCCATACAGCCCATGGGCCCCATAATGCATATGCACCATTCCGTTTCGAATTCGAAGACCCTATCTTTTTCCATGGACATTCTTGAACCACGAGGAAAGTAATATATCACATCCCTCCCCTTTTCAATTCGAATATAACCCAATTGAGAAACCGACTTGGTGTCGGATTTGCTGGGGATCTTTACGGTGGAGTCCGACATCCTTGTCGGCCCACGTTCTTCGACTCTCACTGGAATGCTGACGATATCTCTGCGCATTAGCAGACGTGGTACGGTAAGCTTCAACTTCGAGTACCAACTACCTAGTACCCAGTACTGCGAGGGATGTCTGGTAGGTTACTTTATGTGGTCATACAAGATGAGAGTTGCTTTTTGTCTTTGCTTTGACGGTGTGGTTGACTGCTGCAAGGAGTATACATTGACAGATATATATTATATATTATGTGCGAGAGGAATTGGATAAACTCAATTGTCAGTTTGTTAAGGAAGTAAGACTGGAAATAGGGATACTAAATTCGTCATTTCAGTTACGCTCAAGCCCCTCTGTTTCAAATAGGGGTTCTATGATAAAAGCTGACCGTCTCTTCTGATTAAGTTCCAGGTACGCGGAGCTACCGCTGAAAATGTCCGTATAGTGTCCACGGGTACTTCCACTTTCCAACCACATCTGCCACGCACAGAGTCCCCGGAAAGGTCGGGCACTAAAGACACTACTGAACTACTAAAGACAGACTAAAGACAACGAGGGAGCAAATACCAACACCGCTTAGAGTTGTGCTTGTCTCCACAATGAAAGAGGGGTTTTGACTGTTCAAAGTACTTAAACACTTCGCCCTAGAGGTATGTCTTATGCGCTGTTAGACCACCTGTTAGACTATGGCATGTCTTGGAAAGCCCTATTTTCAGACCCGATAGGCATCACCTTTTGATTCTTGGGTTTTTATGTTATACGAGAGAATGTGCCAGAGATATAATAATAGTTCATCCCCACTCGACCATATTAGGCAGAGCGCGTATGAAACATATAATAAAAGACAAAACAATAAAAGAAAAGAGAGAGTATTATTTGAGAGGAAGGAACTAGTATTGTTAGTCTTATTTTCTCTTCTTCCCCTCGCTTCGTGCTGATGTGCTTCGATGAAAATATCTCTAATAGTGTCGTGTCCACTCTTTTTTAACGCCATCGGCTGTTCTCCACACTCGGATTCCCCCATAAAGTACTAAATCAGTCGCTTTTCTTCATGGATCTGGAAATTCCGCTTTTTGACCTGCATCCTTAATACCCCCTCCCACTCCACCATGGCCAGTCCTGCCCCAGGACACCACCAGGCCCTGCCTTCTCCCCCATCAGCTTACCTCCGATCATCGCCTCCATTCACCCCGTCGCGTGAATCACCACGCACCATCCCTAACCGACCCCAGAGCTTGAACCTGAGCCGCAAACCAGTCCCCGCAGCATCGCAGTCCGAAACCTCTCCCATCCTTCAAAACTCGCCGCGCTCACCAGTCAAAATCGCACATGGCGCAGATATCCCAGATGCCTCGAGCGCGCGCATCGAAGGCGCATACAGTGGGCCCACCACACCGCAATTGGACCTCCCCGAGTTCACAGACATGTCGCTCGACGACCCTGTACAGCCGCCTCAGCAGAGCTGGAATCCTGCTCATCCCCCGCGGCGAGACTCAATACAGGCCCCGCACTACACACACAAGCATCCGTACGGTCACACCCCAGCGAGCAGTGGCTCATGGTCAGTGGTAGAGCCGCAGAAAGATGACGGACACGGAAACCCGAAAAAGAGCGGCTCCTCGTTAGAGCGCGAGGGTCAGAGCTATAACAGCTCTTCGCGAGGAAGCTTGGATAGCGTGGCGCAGGCGTCGGACAGCTACGAGCCTCTGACCTACCACCACCAGCAAGAACCGGCTGCGGCACCTGGAAGGAAACCCGCACCTAATGCTGGAGACAACCCATCCGCCTCGACGGATAAGTTGGCCGTTAGGCGATCAAGGCTTTCGCGGCCTCTTTCGGCATACTCCTCAAACTCAGATGGTGGTCACCGACGGAACCTCTCCGCGTCGCCATATCTACATGCGCGATCCTCCTCACGGAACTCGATTGGAACCCCGGAAAACAGGTCTCTATCATTCCTCGATTTGCTCAACACCTCATACCCGCAGCCAGGCCCAACAGCAGCGCAATTCGACAACTCGCGTCTCCAAGCCTCAGTCGGAAACAATGCCTCTCTCCTTAGCCACAAAGAGACATTCGAGATGTACCTCGCGAACGTAAAGAAAACTGACGAGCCAACAGTACTGTACGAATTCGCCGTGTTCATGGTAAACTCGATGCGCGAGATGCCAGCCGTGGACCTCGAAGACGCCAGCCCGATAACCCGCGCCCGTCTACTCCGCGAATCAAAATCCATCCTCCAGCGTCTCGCAGACCGCAGCTACCCCTTCGCACAGTACTACCTCGGCGACGGGTACGCGTCAGGTCTCTTCAGCAAAGGCGTCGAGGACCACGACCGGTCCTTCCCTCTCTTCGTCGCAGCCAGCAAACACGGCCACGTCGAAGCCTGCTACCGCACAGCGCTGTGCTACGAGTTCGGCTGGGGGTGTCGCATCGACGGCAGCCGCGCAGTCCAGTTCTACCGCCAGGCAGCGTCGAAAAATCACCCGGGCGCCATGATGCGCATGGCCAACGCCTGTATTGCTGGCGATATGGGACTGGGCAAGCGGTACCGCGAGGGTGTCAAGTGGCTGAAGCGCGCGACCGAGTCTGCAGACACGCAGTATAACTCCGGGCCGTACGAGCTCGGTGTGATGCACGAGAGGGGATTCGGCGAAGATGTCTTCCCCGATGCTACTTATGCAGCGCAGCTGTTCACCAAATCCGCGGAACTGGGCCATGTGGAGGCTTGTTATCGCCTTGGCGATGCATATGAGCATGGAAAATTGAATTGTCCGCGCGACCCGGCACTCAGCATCCATTTCTATACCAGTGCCGCGCAGAACGGGCATCCGCTGGCGATGATGGCGCTTTGTGCGTGGTATCTCGTTGGCGCGGAGCCTGTGCTCGAGAAGGATGAGAACGAGGCGTATGAGTGGGCTTTCCGCGCTGCGAATCTCGGCCTCGCCAAGGCTCAGTATGCTGTCGGCTACTTTACTGAAATGGGTATTGGCTGCCGTCGGGATCCTCTTGAGTCCAATGTATGGTATGTCAAGGCGGCAGACCAGGGCGATGAACGGGCTAAGCATCGAATCGCTACAATCCGAGCTGCGGCAGAGGGTGTACATCCAGCCGTAGCTGCGCGTAATGGAGCGACGCGCAGTGGAGGCCGGCTCAAGAAAGCCGAGCGCAAGGATCAGAGCCCAAGTCATGGCCAGGGTGAGTGAACAAGACCGGATTTGTATCCATGAACATTTTACTAACTACATATGAATTATCCAGAAACCGAAATTGAAAAGCCCGCTAAACAGAAACGATTCGTCATTTTCTAATCTCACTTTAAACCAAACCCATTTATGACCTGATCTGTTTCAACGATCTAAATCACACACTTCCAAGCATTCCCACCTCAAGCCCGGTTACCTTGCAACCCCCCAGCAAGCATTGAAATATAATGCAAGCTGAAACCCCGTCACGAGAACAGTCTACGAACGACAATACATACATAATCCCCATCCCAACCTCTACATACGCCCGCGCACAAGCAAAGCGCGATCATGAAAACCCTATCATTTTACAAGCGATCTGAATCTGAAACTTCCATTCACATGCCCATTATTGAAATTTTCGCTTTTCTCGAGTATTGAACTGATATCTGATATCTCGAATCTGTCTATACCACTCTCCTTTCGTATCTATTCTACATATTCCGTCTCATCTCTCATCCATCTGATCATCTATCTGCGTGGTGGTTTCCATCTGCATTCATTCCTTTACCCTCACTGTCATCTTCGCATGAATCTCCTTTTCGATGATTAACTGGATTGTTTGTTCTCGGAGGCGTTGTAAAATCCTTTTCTGCAAATCTATCATTACTACTGAGGATATCTATATGCATTTTTATCGTATTCTGGGATCTCTTGTGGATTCCCGAGCTGACTTAGCTTGTGTCACTTTTACTCGTGGTTTTTCTTATGAATATTCAGTAACTTATATCTTACTTGGGTTGATTTGTGTCAGTGAAGACGGACTCATGACTTAATATTCTGGATTTTTAGTAGGAAGCGGTTTCAATTGCTCGTACTCTACTCGAGTATTTGTAGGTAGCCCCTTTCCCCCTCTGTTGCCGTATATAAAGATGGGGTGGTTTTCGATGTGGTTGTTGGATCATGCCTGCATGCTTCAGTCATCTCATTGATGGCTTGTTTGCTTGCAGACTGAGCGTTTCTTTGGTAGTCAGGGTATAAATACCCTGCTTTTATTAGATTAAATACACAATAATTCTTCCCTCTCTCCACCCTTAGCTAGTAGCCACAAGAGTGGTCAAGGAGCCTAGTTTTTTAGTCTTTAGATACTTCTCCGTTGAAGCCTTTACCCAGTTTGGCAGATTCAAAAACTCGCAAGACTTGGATTGGAGATTCGCCAAGTCTGCATCTGCAACATTTTCCCTTTTCCATAGGATTCATCTATCCAGATGTTTCCCATCTCCAGTCCCACGTCGTCGCTCGAGGAAATGCTCGCGGCGAAAGATATCCGTTTGATCACGTTCTGTGAGGATGTCGTTCACACAGTAGTAACTCGCTGGGCAGTCATTCAGACTACATGTACATCGATGTTGCCTGCCACTCTAATGGCAGTTCGTGCACGTGAGGAATAAGCGAGGGATATCGCTCTTAATGACGACGCAAGTGTTGAAGATTTCCGTCCCCTCGAGGCAGTGCGTGCAAGAAACCGTGGGTGGTGGAAGGGGGCGGGTACCCTGGATGTGGGTGCATCTCGCTTCTACCTTGTGACGGTGCAGGGAGACGGTATGCGTGCTTGGTGTTATCCACGGATTTGAGAATGTTCAAGACGGGCTCCCTAACCGGTGGGTGAGAGACTGTCCATCTGCCAGGGAGCCTGTCCAGGTACTCCAGGAGGGGAAGTTGCTCTGGAGCTTGCACTGCTTCTTAAATATCATTTACAAGTCTTTTCAGTGGTCCTCTCAAATATCTCTCTCGTCTTTTCTATATATAACATGTTATAGATTATTCTCACTTATATCTTGCCAAAGTAGGGTAATGAATCTAGCTCTGCTATATGTCTGACTGTGGTCCTGTAAAACAATGCATTTTATCTTCTAATCATAGGATTTGACCATAAAATCACGTCTCTTTAGCCAAATTTGCTAAATGTACATCGATACCTTGAAAGGAACCTATTGGAAAAGATAGAAATGATATGAGAGATTATTCTTTCGGGAAGGGAGTGAAAAATATATAACGGACCTACCGCTTGATTGCGAATCAAAATACAAGTAAATATGTCCGATAAAGAGAATTTTAGTCACCATGATTTCAGGGACTTATAAAATCGTCAAGAAATGAAGAAAAGCGTTTGGGTTTAGGTAGGGTTGGTAGAAACCCGGATGTCCCCCGCATTTCCAGAAATTTAAAACAAGCTTAACTTTAGCTTTACCCAGTTCCAAGGTTACTCTTGATGTTAGAATATACGTGACAATAACCTCCTGGTGAATGGATTCGCCAAAATCAAGCTCGTGGTCTGACTGTTGTGCTCATTTGGGAGCCTTAGGTGGCCGACTCGGGAGCAGGAGGCTTTAGTTCGATAGTGCGCAGAACTGAGGGATTATTTATGAATCTTGCATGATCAGCCTATGGGCATGATGAAACGTAGTTTAATAGGCATAGAGATAGCCAAATACGTAGTTTTCACCTCGTATTTTGATGGCGCGCAACTGTTGATATATGGTCGTGTCATTGAGTAAGGACGTGAAGCTGGGTTGCCAAATTATACCTAGGTATGTGTGTGCAGTTAGATGGTGAACGTGGAGTAGACAAATTATTTGTCATTGACCTTTATGTAAGGAATGCAAAGTATAATAGAGACTTATCGTGAGCAACTACTAGACTTGATCCCCGTGTAAAGGGTTAGCCCGGAGCGCCAGTACATTATGACGTTCTTTGTATAGAACACCTCGAACAAACAATATTTTTCAAAACGGCTGTAAAATATACGGTGTTCCCAACCTTGTGGTATATCGATGCCTAGCCTGTTCAAAATCTGACGGGTGGGGGGCTTACATGGAGCTGGTTGAAGTGGATGAATATGAATACATGATTGATTAGATGCCTGATTTCAATACGAGCCAATAAATCCAATACATATATCATCGAAAGATATGCGTTGTCATGCGCAAAAGTGCATAATTGTGCTGACCGTCAGCCTTCTCAGCTGGCTGGGGTTCCCCGCCGGATGATCTTGAACCCCCGCCCTGAGAAAGCTGACACTGATCAGTAATCAAGCAGGTTAAAAGAACATGAGACAGCCGCAAGGGTTCCCGTCGGAGGATCTTTATGCCTCTGATCAGTAACCAAGTGGATTAAAAGTATCAACTCATTCTGGTCGACAATTTCCTCACAATCAAACTCATCAACCATGGGTGTTCATGTGGTTTCAAAGCTGGATAACCGCCAGCATGCGAGCTTCGACCTCGAAGTCGCTCCTCAGAGCGAACTATCCGAGTCCTCAGTAAGAATCCGCACGCAACTGATCAGTCTCTCTTCAAACAATTTGAGCTATGCCAGGATGGGTGGATTCTTACACTGGTATGTTCCCAATATCTACCAAAATTAGATACATAAGACTGTCGGAAACGACCTGAAGCGAGATTCTCATCAATTACTGGCAGGTGGGACACGTACCCCGTATCCGAAGACTATCCCGCACCATACAACGACTCCTCGGCATGGGGAATCGTTCCAGCCTGGGGCTATGCAACAGTGGAAGAGACGACCATTCCAGAATTATCCAAAGGAACACTCCTTTACGGATTCTGGCCCACGACCAGCACTCCAACCGATCTCAAGCTCAAACGCGGCTCACCAGAAGGCCACTGGATCGAGACCAGCGACCATCGCCAGAAACTGATGTCGCTGTACAACCGCTATACGGTAACTCCGACATCAAGCCCAATCTCCGAGCTGACCACGCTCAATACCCTTTCAGATTCTGCACGGGACGAGCTGGACCGCATGGCCTGGACCGCGCTATTCCTTGGCGGGGTGGCCGGGTTCGTTCTCAGCGAGTATGTTTTCTCGTCCAACCCAAACCAACCTCCCCTCCATCCAGTGGGAAACCAAGCTGGGTTGCAGTGGACCCTGTCCGACGGGGAATTGTCATCCGCGGTAGTAGTGAACCTGGCAGCGTCGACTAAAACGGCCCGTCTCTTCTCGTACTACCTGTCGCGAAAGCCGGATAGTTCGGCACCCCTTGGCTTGTTGCAGATTACATCAACTGTGTCGCGCATTGAGGAAGCGGATCGGAATCTACCTACGTCTGTTCCTTCTAAGGTGGTTAGATATAGGGATATTAATTCTAAGGAGTCTGCGGAATGGCTGGCTAGCCGCAAGGCTTCCAAGATTGTCATCGTCGACTTCGGTGGTCGTGCGAATGCTCTCAATGACACACTTTCCCTGATCAAGAGTCATGCTGAATTGCAATCTTGCAAGGTTGTCATTGTCCAGGTTGGCAATGAGCAGAAAGTATACTCGATGGAGGAAATGATTGCTGGAAGAGCAGCCATGGCGGAGCTTGGAAAGGTTCAATACAACACTTCTGGTGTTCAAGACATGATACTCGAGACTATTGGCCCGGAAGCCTACTTTGCAGCAAGAGGCGCACAATGGGAAAAATGGCTGGATGAGCGACACTTGAGCGAACCCGGGAAGCAGATTGTGTTTGGCAGCGGTGTCTCTGGTGCTGATGGTATCGAGGGAGGTTGGGATAGACTGTGCCATGGACAAGTAGGCGCTGAAGAGGGATTGGTCTACAAGATGCAATGAGACTTGGAGTTCGACATGGATTAGTTTGAATATATTATTTAACAGACAGAATGAGAAGGTATTCGTGAAAAGAGCCCTCAAGGCTCTGGACCTTATTCCGAAACCCATTGAAAGTGATCCAGCATTAACGCTGGGGTGGAAAAAAAGTAGACAAAAAAGGAGTCCAAACCCAAACAGACTATACGACCTCTTCATATCGAGGAGCAGGCTCCATGGTGTGAATACTCGCACTTTGCTCACTCGAAGACCGCGCAGAATTGATCTCCGCTAGCATCGAATGTTCACAAAGATCCAGTTGAGTAGCTGCCAACACCATTAAGTCCGAAAACCGATCACTGTAAGCTGGAGGAGGACTTTGGCTTCCCTGCATGAGTTGGATATCTTGCCCATGAATGGAGGCATTTTCTCCAACCACATTAGGTGTCATATGAATTTTAAATGGCATAACTTCCGTTATCTACTTCCCCGTCAGCTGCATGGTATAGATATTCGAATAGGTTATTTGCTTACCATAGCTGTCACATCCCCTGCCTCATCGCGGAACTCAGCATTAATAGAAAGCTCATGGGCAATCTTGATGTGTCTGGTCGAGATACTCTGCGAGCAGGCGTCGAGGCTCTGAGGCAGAGAGACGGATGTGGTAAAGCGCCATTCAACTTCCGAAAGATCATCTACTGAAGACTCATTCTCGTGAGAGAAATCAATGTTCTTGGAGAAAACAGTTTGAGTTTGTGCTGCAGTGATAAACCGCATGTTCTGTTGCACTGATTCCGCAGCAGTAGCTTCCACCCGTGCAGTCTGTTTCTCAATAACTTTGATCGTAACAGTGCTGAGCTTGGCATATTTCAACAGCGGAGCAAACCAGCATTCCACAGGAAATGTGCAACCAAAGGGAACGTTTCGGTCGGTGATGGAGAGGCAATACTGGATATTGTCCTTGGAGTGACCCTCGAGAGTCTAACTACTGTCAGTCATTTGCATGAAGCAAAACCTTTCCAATGCAATGGACTAACCAGCGGGCAATGTGGTCTTAGATAGCTTGTTTCCAAATCGGAAACCTGGTAAATCCTAACCGGTTGCGAGACCACGAAATCGCTTTTGAGACGTCGCTCGACAATGGCCTCTACGCGATATGTGTGATATTGATGGTTTGCACCAGTCACCGTGTCGAGAATCTTACTTGGAAGCGGAATATCGAATAAAAATGCGTGGTCTCCTGCCGGCATTTGGAAAGCGTTGAGGGTTTTCGAAGAAGCTAGCGGCTGTTCTCGCTCGAACGTGATTTGTTCACGGCTATCTGATCCCAATATTTTCTCAATAGGGCTATAGGCAGAAGTAAGAATATGTTCAATCACGAATTACGTAGTGGGAGTCCTCACATCGCAAATGTTCCCCTCAATCTCACTTTGATACTCTTGACCCAGACAACTTGTGCAAGAGAGAGGTTGAGTCTTCCAGTAACAGCCGCTGGATGCCGCTCTTCTGAAATAAGAATGCATGCCTGATCAAGACTAATGGAATATGTGTGTTAGGTCATTATAGAAAAGCTAACAGGAATAATCATACCTCAGCTCAGAGCTGGTAATGCGTTCGCGAAACATCGTCAAAGATCCAAGCAATGTTTAGGTGGATAAATTAGTAGTCAGGTTAATACTTCAATTGAATTTGAGCTGGCCAATTTATTGTGAGGGAATAATGGCACATTGTCTGTCTTTATACCGGTGTCTGCGCGACGGAGCGGACATTCCTAAACGGGGTCGGGTTTCAAGGACTCGAACTTTACAAGCGCAGCTCTTTGCCACGGAAGGAAATACCGACATTCTTATGATGCTTTCTGAATACGTATGTTACAATAAGTCGCGAAAAGCTTTCAAGGTCAGTCCTTGGAGACATTTTCTGGAGACTTTCCTAGGAGTATTTCTTGATCTATGACGGAAGATCTTCCCATTAAACTACTTCGGGTATGTTTCCCGATGGCCGCTGTTCTCAATCAGCCTATCACAATTATTAAATACCATAATTAATTATAAAAGCGTGGTTAGGAACAGCGGCCACCGGAAGACATACCCAAGGTGGTTTAGCGGGGGGTGTGTAGCCGCCCTGCTCTTCTTCATATCTCATGGGTTTCGTATTTACTCTGTAACACCATGATCAGACGACTTTATCCCCCATGCTATATTGAATACAAAAAGAACAGAACAAGTACACTCAAATCTGTATTCACACAAGATTTGCGATCGAGGTGTCTTCGCACCTTTATGCAATTTCCGTCAAGCTAGACCGCGATGAACAAATTCGAAGTCGGCCATGTCGAGATCTAACAATAATTGATCATTCGAGCAGTTTGGAAGACCGACATCAAGGAAATTTCCGAAAAAGGTATCAAAGTCCTCAATTTCAGTCCCTGTTGAAAATGGTATGCTGTTTACTTCGAAATTCGAAGGTTGGTCTGATCCCAGTCGATGATCAGCCAAAGGGTATGTGCTCTGAGATCCTGCATTAATCTGTCTCGCCACACACGGAATGTCGATAGCCGAGTGCGACTGCATATTATCAGTGGAAGCAAGTGGCTGTGAAGATATATGGCTCAATTCATGCTGAGAGTTTAGTCGGGTGATATTGATTTCTGGACCTGTGGAACGTTCCTGGTCTATGGTGGGTTGGATGTTGTTCAACACACGCTGGCCTAGACGAGCCATCACAGCGGCCGACCACCATTTGGTGCCCATTTTCTCGAGACATTGATGAAATAGCCGGATTTGGGAAATGGCTGTGTGGCGTGCACTTGGCAGTTTGCTTTCCCTCAGCTGTTTGTACGTGACCGAGAAGGCGAGCGCGATGGTGTAACCGATCATGGGAAACGGCAGAAAATTCCGAATATCATTATTGCAACTGAGCGACGCGATGGTAAGGATTGAATGACTTTGTCGGATCTTTGACGCTCGTGGCCGTGATCGGCCCTGCAACCCGCTGGAATATGTTGATAGAATAATCACTGAATGATAAGCAAGCTCGAGTGATTCTATCGGCCTAGGGGTTAGACAATATTGCAACTAAAGGCCGGAAGGTTTCATACCAAGCAGGTCTGGAGACATGTCCCAGGCTTCACAGTGCTGCACAATATCTTCAAAGGAGGGAAGATCGAGCTCACTTTGATCCATGCCTTTCACAATCGGTCGGTAAAAGTGAATCACTTGTCCGAGCTTATCGGCAATTCGAAGCCAAACACGAAACGGCGACTGGAACGTTGAAACAACGTCGTCCACCCCCTGGGTCCTGTCTCCGTCGTGTATCATTAGGGGCCTCCCATTCATAGCAGCGTTCCATCGGTCTAGACACCACAGACACCAGAAAAGACCCCTGGAAAATTTATCAGAGTGTTGGTCTGCCCTCAGCAAATGCAACCCCATAGTCTGGGCATGGTGAATAGCTTGGGCCAGATTCAAAGAACAATCCTCGGATCCAGTGGAGCCCCATTCGTGCAGCGACAGAAGCGCCAGGATTTGTATTGCAAGTACCTTTTTCTCAGCCCTTCTCGAGATGTTTTGCATAGCATCGGTGTAGAGCATGTTGCTGAATCTCTCCAGTGGGAGGGGTTTTGAATTGTGGCCAAGGCATAGGAAAGGCACCGCGCCTCGATCCTTCGCTGCAACAAGACAAATTGCTTGCACAAGCCGCGGAGGGAGACTACCCGCTTGGTGCTGTGTTCGGACTTTTTCTTCATCAAAAAGAGGCAGTAATGGGTGTATCCGACAAAAATATATGTCTATCAAGGCCTCTTGGCAGTCTTTCGAGGGCAGCCAGTCCGGGTGAACATGGGTCCCCAGTGCTATTCTTGAAGAGGAGCCAGGGGTTTCGCCCTGATCAATGGAGCTCTCCTCGGTACCCAACCATGCACCTACATCCCCTTTCTGGGATCGACCTCCCTGCAACCTTGACTGGTTCTGCTCTATGAGAGTCGCTATAGGGTTTGAGTCGCACGCAAAACGACGAGACTCTTGATCGACCTCTGCAGCTGTGCCTTCATCAGGGGCGACAAAAGATTCGGCCCCTTTCTCCACCAGATTTTGGAGTGAGGAGCCACTTGATCGCTCACCTCGGGGAGATGCAGATCTATTTCGGACAGCTGGATCCCGCCTTGAAGCCTGAGATTCAGGACTTTGGATACTTGTGAGACCAGAGATGCTGGGTGAAGAAGTTCCATCAGCTAATTGATCCTGGGAGGTGTTGTGATAACACCGTTTCTAGCAAAGTCAGCCTCCGATTCCGATTGTTGTAGGGCTATCAAAGACATAATGCGATACCTTTTTGTGACGACAAGAGTTACACGCACGCTGTGCATGTCCCCTCTTGGCATTTGTTCCATCTCGACTAATCAAGAAAGTTAGTTCCATTGTGAATGATTTTGATATGTCTCGTTCATCTTGTTGGCAGGTCGTTGCGGGGATCTTCCCTCTCGGGGGGCGGGAACAAGAAGTACGCCACCGGAGCGGCGACCGTGTCCCAAAACGGAAAGTCCGACTTATACGTAAAAGGTTCATTCGTACTGTGTGGACTCTATGCTACCTTCATACATTGTCATAGAGTCTACTCCGTGATATTATTCTCATTTCTGATGGTATTTATATAGCTAATTGTTATCCTACTCTGGTAATCAAACTAGGTATGGATTCAGGTTGAATAATATATGGCAGAGGCCGCAGGATGGCCGACTATTTTTGTTTTCACATCAATCTATAGCTGGTCTCCGCGCATTTGCGATATATCGAAGACAAGTAACCCGTTTCTCGCCGCCTCAATCCTTTCATTCTCCGAGCGAGCCCCATCCTCGGTCCGTCCAGCTCTTTTGAACTCCTCACTCAAGACTTCCCACTGGCGGTACCGTCGGGGACCCCACGGATCTTGCTGGCTGATGACTTCATCCTCCGCTTTTGTTCGCACAGTCCACCCCTTCAGCATATCACATATCATAATGCTGCCTTCTTCAAGGTCATATGGCTTTGCCCCAGGCATCGGAGGCAGTCCATTAGCAAACCGAATCCAACTACGCGCCATCTCCTCTCCTTGGCGGCGCAAGAAATGGTTACGGTGCGTAGGGAGACGCCCCGCGAGTGTCATAAATTGGTACATGAGTTCGACAAAATGATGTCCCGTCGTGTAGGAGAAAGGTGAGCCAGGAAAAGGGTTTTGCAGACCAAACTGCCAGCGATACAAACGCTTTTGACCATTGTGAGCCAGTGAGACGGCGGTTGAGTGCGTGGGTTCAGAGAGGATCATGTCTCCCATGATAACCATCGCATTCTGCCAGAAGAGGCCGTCATCCATACCCTCGTGTATCTCGTATGCGTCGAGCACGCGGCGGGCAGACTCGTCGCCGAGGATGGTACGAACTTTTGCAATGTACTGGCTAGCAGATAGGTCCTTGACCGGTAGCATGAGTCCAAGTCCTTCACATGAGTCGTCCCCAATCATGATCTCCTGGACCCATGGGCAGTTGGCCAGAATCTCGCCTTGAGTGGCCCAGAAGGGCTGTTGAGCAAATAACTCACTCTCTGGGCCAAGGTAGGGCTTCATCGTGCTGATATTGTTGTCACGAATAAAGTCAATTAAGCTCGACACTGGTACCTCACGGAGAGCTTTGAGCCGCTCTGTACGAGTCGCTCCTTCGATGCCCAGATATGACAACAGTCGGTGATAGTATGCATCGCTCTCATCAAGGGTCCAAATACCTACGACGCTGGGCGAACCACTCTGGATGATGACTCGGTTGAACAGAGGCACGTCTGAACAGGCGTGCATGAAGAGTGAGGCTGCTCCAGCCGACTCGCCGAAGGCCGTGATATTACCCGGGTCACCACCAAAGCCTGCGATATGTTTCTGGACCCAGAGGAAGCTGGTGCGTTGGTCTCGCAACCCATAATTGAATGCAGGCTCGCCATTCTCCCTGGCCTCCTCGAGTAGATCGTAGCAGGCGGTGAAACCCTGCCAGCTTAACCGATATCCTATCGACACGATCACCACATCCATGGACTCGTGAGCTGCCAGCTCAGCCATCTTTGTTGTGTCATGGAGGGCGCTGACATGGCCCTTGCCTTCGATGAAGCCACCGCCATGCACATAGACCAGAACTGGGAGGAGCCTTTTGGGTAGTGATGGGCCAGTCTCATCAAGAACATTCTTCACAGGTGCAGAAATAGTCAAGTTGAGACAGGCTTGCTCATCATAGGTGACGGGCTCCTCACCAGGCACGAACCCTCCTGTCGCGCCACCTATGCCTGTGGGCTGTGGCACTTGCGGACACGCAGCACCATACTGTGTAAAGTTGGCATGAGGACGATCATCAAAGTGGTCCGGGATATGATCGAGCAGGACGCTCTGACTGAAACGTGCTGGGATGGTGGCATAGGGGATGGAACGGAAATGCACGACAGGCTCAGTCACAGGCTGTCCATCAGCATGCTGGTGATCAATCAGGCGTCCAGTGAGTCTGCCGAGCTGTGGATGGTTCAGGGTGAAAGTGGGTGTAGTTGTCATGGTGGATGTCTTGAGATTTGAGTTATCTCTATAGCCCTGGTGAAAAGTGCAGTGTCGAAAAACATAGCCAGAAAACCCCCTGACCAACGGATAGCCGGATGTCAGAAATTAGCGCCATGGTAGTAGACTCCAGAACTGGGGAACTGGGGTATTACCCAGGTAGTTTATGCCAACTTTAGCCGGATTACTTATTAACCGTTGAGTAGTTGGTTTTCAGCCTCCATAGTGACCAATTGTGTCAATAAGATGACATTTTTCAGATGGAAGCTTGAAATTGGATTATATATACTACATATACAGCTACATAGTACTCCATACTCCTATACTCACACCTGGCCATAGCCAACCTGGATGGATCAACCGACTCTCGCCTTAATCTCCACAAAAAAGGGTGTGCTGCCTTGGTGTTGCCTGGCGCTAACCCAGGCAGCAGCCTCATTGTTGCCTGGTCCCTCAGGCCACACAGCTTGATCGAGCAACAAGCTCCGACTGGTGTTTTTCATTTAAAACGCGACTTGTCTCTTCCTGTTCTACTCAACTTATCTCTTCTTCTGTTCTACTTCCATCCATTGCGCTTGATTTTTGTTTGCTCCCACCTGGGCAGCTCTTTTGCTCTTCCCTACACCTCAACCTCGTACTCAACCTCGTACTCAACTCTCCCCCCATCAACCTCTACATTTTACATTCCTATTTTCTATTCTTGATACCCAGTCCTTTTTTTTACCATTGAGTTACATCATGCCAGCTCAAAGTTTCAAAAAGCTTGCCATCGCCGTGGGCGGGACCTTTCCCAACCTGAAACAGGGTATGAACCCCCTATTCGCACGGCGGTCTTTATTTAGCTCATCTCCACCACAATTTGTATGCTGACTATTCGATCACTCCTAGCTGACTTGAAAACGCTGATTGAGAAGAATGGAGCGACTTTCAGCACAGCGGTCACGGACGATTGTACCCATCTGGTGACCACTGACAAGGATGTGGAGAAGCAGACTACCAAATGTGAGTGCACCACCACAGGCCACGAAACCTCGAAAGTTTGAAACCCCTCTGCACTTCCTCCGTGGTTAATGTACTACCACCCCATTGCTCAAAACGGTGTCAGACCGCGTTGGGGATCATCACGACCATATTCGGGATGTTTTGGCCCCCTCAACATTTTCAAAAATCACAGGTTTAGACGATGTTTGAGGGCAAGAAGCGGTCGATGTTTCAAACTTTCGAGGTATCAATGTACAACCTTTGACTCTTTTATTGATCAATTGACTAGACAAACAAGCTTCCCAGCTCGCCAATTGTCACATTGTCCCACTTTCGTGGCTTCTCGAATCAGACGAGGCCAAGAAACCGTTGCCGGAGTCGAAATATTCCTTCGGCCAGGCCGATCAGGCGTCTCAGGTTGACGACAAAACACAGAAGAACACTGCGGACGGTAGCGCATCTGTTCCTACAGACAACAAGCGTACTACCAGGAAGCGAGGCGCGGATGCGGCTTCTGCTGAAAAGGATGCCGACAAAACGACAAATGACGCCCACAAGAATGGTGCAAATGTCAAAGCTGAACCCTCCGAGGATAAAAAGCCTGCAACCAAGAAACGAAGCGCTGATGAAGACCCTGTGAAAAATGGTTCCAACAAAAAGACAAAAGACATCCAGAAGACAGTCACAAAGGCGCTTAATATCCCAATTGACGAGGGCTTTGAGGCACTTGGTAAACTCAAGGGTAAGTCTGCGATGCGAGAACTCATGCGTGGAAGACAAACTGACACGCCTTGTCACAGACCCCAAGGTCTACATTGATAATGCAGGCCTCATCTGGGATGCCACCCTCAGCCAGACTGTGGCAGCAAACAATGCCAACAAGTTCTATCGTGTCCAGTTGTTGGTCGGTGCAAACTCAAAGTACTTTGCCTGGACGCGGTGGGGTCGAGTTGGAGAGCATGGGCAGTCAGCCTGTCTCGGGGACGGCGGCTTGGAAGCCGCGATGCAGCAGTATGAGAAGAAGTTCAAAGACAAGTCAGGCCTCAAGTGGGCTAATCGGCTCGATACACCTAAAAACGGAAAATACACGTTCCTTGAGCGCAACTATGAAGAGGATGACGAAGAGGAAGAGCCCGTGAAAAAGGAGAAAACAATCAAAGAAGAAGACGACGAGCCCGCGCCTGAGAGCGCCCTATCCAAAGGGCTTCAAAACCTCATGTCCTTCATTTTCAACAAACAAAATGTTCTCGACACTTTGGCCGCAATGTCCTACGACGCCAACAAACTGCCACTGGGAAAGCTGGGCGACAGAACTTTGAAGAGCGGGTTTTCGGTTCTGAAAGAGATATCCGAGCTGATGATTACACCAGCCCTGGCACATGAAAGATATGGCCAACCATATGGTGATGCCTTAGAGACATTGAGCAACCGATATTTCACCTTGATTCCACACGTCTTTGGCCGCCATCGGCCCCCAACCTTGAACACAAACGCGCAGATCAAGAAGGAAATCGATTTGTTGGAGGCACTGACTGATATGGACGTTGCGAATGAAATCATGGTATCTTCGAAGGAACACGATGACATCCACCCGCTGGATCGCCAATTCCAGGGTTTGGGTATGCAGGAGATGACCGAACGTGAGTATAAATCCCCAAATCTGCGATATCTCACCAAACTGACATCTACCAGTGGATCACAAATCATCCGAGTTCATAGAACTCGAGAATTACTTGCAGAACTCCCGCGGCGAGACACACAGCATGAGCTACAAGGTGGTGAACATCTTCCGCATCGAGCGCCGAGGCGAAAACGACCGCTTCAACGCCTCTCCCTACGCCAACATCCCAAACAGCGATCGCCGCCTCCTCTGGCACGGATCCCGCAGTACAAACTTCGGTGGTATCCTCAGCCAAGGTCTTCGCATCGCACCCCCGAAGCACCCGTCAACGGCTACATGTTCGGCAAGGGTGTGTATTTAGCGGATACATCAAGCAAATCCGCCAACTACTGTTGCCCCTACAACAGCCGGGGGATGGGGTTACTTCTTCTCTGCGATGCCGAGCTCGGTGCGCCCATGCTGGAGCTTGACGACAGCAACTACAATGCTGGCGAGGAAGCGCACAATGCTGGCAAGATTGCCACGCTCGGCAGGGGCTCCAACATTCCTGGTGGGTGGAAGGATGCTGGATGCTTGAGTCCGGCTTTGGGGGGTGTGACGATGCCTGATGTGGCTATTGGCAGCACCCAGGATAATAACGGCCGGGGTCTGTACTACAATGAGTACATTGTGTATGATGTTGCGCAGATCCGACAGCGTTATTTGTTCCAGGTCAAGATGAACTGAATTGTTGCTTTTGCATGTTATCGGAGTGTTGGGTTAGTGACGGGGGAGTTATTAAGCGACGGCTAGTTCTCTATGTGTTAGCTTATTTGCAACTTTAAAAGCGACTGTCATGTATGGTAGGGAGTCTAGTGCTTACTGGGATATCAAAATAATCCAAGTGTGAATGCCAAGAACAATGTTTACTATAAGCAGACCAGCTACATATCCAGGGCTCTGTACCAGATAAACTCTACTTCATGACCTGCCTGTTTGACAACCTGGAAGGTAAGCCATGTCGCTCAGCTACATGTCTCATGGGACACTTCCAGGGCTGCTACTGGGGGTGTTGGTAACAGCTAGTCGTGATGCCTACACCGCTGGGCCTGATATGGACCCCTGAATGGTCATATTGTTGCGACTTCTCCACGATTTGACTCTTTCCCAACTTTGCACTGAACACAACTCTTCTCTGCACCAGAGGCATGGAAGTACCCGAATGGGGTGCATTGCCTGTCGAGAAATACCTTATCGTGAGCAGTTCGTCGCCAGGCTTTTTCGATAACTAATTCTCTTAAAGAGACATTGGGACCATTCATCGGCTCAAACAGCTGTGCAGCAACACCTTCACCTAATCCATGAATTTCTTGAAATCAATCAGGTTCCAGATGACTGGTGTCCTAACCCAACAAAACCCACGCACGAGGAGATTGACACTATCCTCCGCCCCTGGCGACCGGACAACGTGCGGGCAAAGGCCGCAGCTATTTGGACTAATGATCAATTACCTCTCATTATCCGCACACATTACAACCCGGACGACGACGATAAGATGGCGGAATGGGTAGAAGCGGAAGAAGAATTCAGAGACAATGCCTACTGGGCTTGTATTGACGATGTGAACCATTTCGATTTCGGCTCCGACTGGAAAATGATCTATGACATTTTACCAGAGGTAGCCGGTCAGAAGAATGCACCCAGATATAAGATCCCGCCTGATAGTGCGGCGGAGGAGGCTCTCAGCCTAGCAATAAGGCGGTCACAGTTTAAGGATTACCTACGCGAGCTCAAGCAATCAGACCCAGCCAAATGGCGAGACGACCCCCACTATATGATTGAGTCCGCGGCTGTCGATCTCCAGTGTGATGTGTGTGCTCTTCGAATAATTATTATGGATCAGGAGGCTTTCGAGACTGAGCGCCCACTACTAGTCTCTGTGGACTATCGCCGTAACGTTATTCGCGAGACACGCTTTGAGCTTAATGACCAGTCAATGGTCGATATCTACACGAGTTGGTTAGATATTCAGACGCCTGATTGGATTTGGGCAGAGGCCAAAATTGGCGACAAATCTCGGGTGGATAGAGAAATCGGGAGGCAACTATATCAACTGACAGATGCTGATTTTGAGGGTCCGTGGTCTCTTTATTAGAATGGATGGGGACAATTTCTCTGACACTTCCAAACGGGACACTTATAGTTGGGGTGAATGGGAAGTTGAAAGTATGTGGACGTTGAAAGTGTTCTTTTGAAGTACCTGTTGACTATTCTTTAGGTATTGAATATGTGAAGGATGTGGACGATGCCGACATGGCTCGGTTATTGGAACCTGATCTGGATGGTTCTGAACACGAAGAAAATTTGCCTTGAACGTGAATGACATTTCATCTATTGAGTGAGCCCTGCAAGTTCTTCTGTTAATTGATACAGTTCCCTCCCCTAACTCTGCACTGGCTCGATACTTCTCCCCAACGGTAGAGTTTTGAAGAAAATCGTTGGTTTCCATCCATATACCAATCATATTAAAGACGTCATCATCCACAGGATCCATACGACCTTCGCGAACGATATTTCGGAAGCCATCCAAATAAAGCACCCGTAGACTCCTAGACCGGAAAGCCTCTTCGTCCGCAAGGATGAGATACGTCCGCGTAGCGACCTTTTGTAATGCCGTCGCGAAGTCCTCAAGGATTGTACCTCGGTCCGTGGCCTCACGCCAAGCTTCCGGGTCTCGTTCTTTCACTTCGGCTAGTTCCGTTTTCAGATGGGAATGGAGAAATTTAAATGATTCTGCTCTGGGAGCTCGCGGAACCCTCATTTCATCATCGACTTCGGGTGAAATTGGGCCCGCAAGTTCAGGAAGAACCTCGTACACACACCACCACTCCGAACCAAAGTTAAAGAGATCCTCATTATCGAGAACCGCCCACCAGTCTTCTGAATCCCAGGGATCGACCCACCGAGTCATTAGTTCGGCATGTCTAGCTGTCTCGCCTTCGTCGGTGCTGTAGTATGTGCGTAGTAAAACGGGAGATGTCTGGTCATGGAATATATTCATTGCGTGCCATCGGAGCTGGTCGCTACGGTAGGGTCGGAGAATTGTGTCCACTTCCTCTGTTGTAGGCTCACGAGGCCGGTCGACATCGGTTGGAAGGCTGTCCCAATCTTCCGTCCATTCAAGAGGAATGCATTCCATGTCGAGAAACTCGGCGACCAGCCTTTTTCGTTGCTGGTCAGGGGTTTCGGTTGAGGAGGGGTTCCAATTTGTCTACACAGGATTAGCATGGGAAATCAGAATTAAAAGGCGGGATATACGATGAAATATTGTTCAACAGCCAGTCTACCCCATGGAGGGGAAGGCCGAGTATTGATGTTAGTCATGATAAAATAGGGCTAGAAAGCTTGTGTATTCAATAGATTCCGGGGTAAAGCATGTGGCCTAGCGCGGCCACCTTCCTTGTTAGTCCGTGCGGTTCCTGCGCTAAGCCGTATTTGGTGAAATGGTAGGCAGGGCGAGCTAGCCTATTTGGGACAAACATAGCCTACGACTCCCACATCAGGCAACACGTGTAGGCTTCGGGACGTGGGGAGATGGAGCTATGACATGCCGAACGTCGAGATCCCGACCGAGCAAAAAATGAGAAAAGTCATGCGACGCGACATATATTGAAACAATTAAACCCTCTACATCCTTCAATTCAATTTAACCCGCAAAATCCCACCTGAAACCTCCTAAACATCCCGAACACTAGACCACCACAACCCACCAAAATGACCACCACAACCCCAACCCAGACCCCGCAATCCCCGAAAAAACCCCATATCAGCATAATCGGCTCCCTAAACATCGACTTCGTAACAGCAACCCCGCGCTGCCCAGGACCAGGCGAAACCCTCACAGCAACCTCCCTAACCGTCTCAGCTGGCGGCAAGGGCGGAAACCAAGCCGTCGCCTGCGGCCGCTCCTCCTTCACATCACAAACAACCCAAGATGTCTCCGTGAACATGATCGGCGCTGTCGGCGCCGAAGACCCATACTACACGACCCTTCTACAACCCGCGCTGGAGAAGTCAGGCGTCGACACAACATCCATCGAACAATCGACAGTCGTGCAGACGGGGTCCGCCAGCATTATCGTGGAAGAAGCTATTGGCGGCGAGAACAGGATTCTCGTTGTCCCTGGCGCAAACCATGCCGGACTGCTGAGTGATGTGGGAAATATCCTCACTGCGCTAAAGAGATACCCGTCTACACCCGATATCGTCGTGTTGCAGGGCGAGATCCCGCGCACCACGACGCTGGGCTTGTTGGAGTATTTCAACGATGTTTCCGCCGAGGAGCGCGCGAAAGTGGTGTTCAATCCCGCGCCGGTGTTTCCAGAGGGGGTTCCGCTCTCCGCGCTGCGTGGGACTGCTGTGCTTATTATGAATGAGACCGAGGTTGTGCAGATGGCGAGGTCGATTGAGGGTCTTCCTGTTGGGGATGTTGTTGAGGGGGATGATTTACGGCCTGAGGAGTTGGCACCGAAGTTCCATGAGCGGGCGGGCGTTGAGGTTGTTCTTATTACGCTAGGTGCGAAGGGTGTTTATTTCTCGACGAAGACGGGTCGGAGTGGTATTGTTGCTGGTGTGAAGGTTGCCAAGGTTCTTGATACTACTGCGGCGGGGGATACGTTTGTTGGGTATTTCGCGACTGCTGTGGCGCGGTTTTTGGCTACGGGACAGAGTATCGGGGCGTTTGATGATGAGATCGAGGGTGCGGTTTCGAAGGCGAATGCTGCTGCGGCTATGTGTGTCCAGCGACGAGGTGCTATGCAGAGTATTCCCTTTGCATACGATATGGAATGAAGGAATAAATGATGGAATGTAAATATAGGTATCCTTGATGACAAAGAAGAGTAATAGAAACAGGGATTTGGGTATAATTATGAAATCATAGCGTCAGCTTCATCGTCGAATTCCTCCTCGTACCGCGCCAAGTTCCACGCCGCTTGAAGCGCCTCGGTCTCTCGGTCCAGTTTGATGCCGGTTGTAGCTGTTATCCTGGAAAAACGGTCTAGGAGAACCGCTTGCTGGGATTCATGTGTCATCTCCTTAGCGATAATGAGAAGACTCGCAACTAATATCGGGTCCCATTGTTCAGGGGAGTCATTACTTGCTGCGATCCCGGCGATCGACTGCGCGTGCCAGATATGCGACGTGACGGATCTCGGCCCAGGCAGTGATTTCAGAAGCCGTGGCTTATGCGTGAGCAATAAGAGGGAGATCGTGTGGTAGACAGCGTTGGCGACCAGCGCCATTGGCGTCGTGTAGATAAGGATTGGGAATGAGGAGTCGTGGTCAGGGTCAATTTGATCGGCTTCGCCGCCGCGGATGTCCACTATCTGCTGCACGTTTACTGGTCGCTCGTTGTACCATTTCTGGCAGTCTGACCAGAGGAATGTCCATTGTGATAGGGAGTGCGATTGTCGTAGAGATGGGAATGCTGTCAGATTTGGTGATGTGATTGTGTGGGGAGAGGACATTTCTCGATCGCCGTGTATTAGGGCCAGGCAGTGTCCCAGAAGACACAATATGTGCTTGTATACGGAGTTGACGGTCTGAGGCCGCATCGATTGTGGGTGGTGTAATAAGGTGCCATCTCGTCGTAATAATGACCGAAAGGGCATAAGTGGTGGTTTTGAAGAGGATATTGACCCCGCCAGATCTGTACGGCGTACTGGTTAGTCTACTGTGTAGTTTGTTCGGGTTTTTAGAAGTTGACGTACCAAGTCGAAAGTAAAGCCAAAACAAAGCGTCCCCAACCTCTTCTCCCACTGCTCGTGACGCAAAGTCACTTATATGCTCTATTTTGGGAACCAGAAGGCTTCTCCACTGCTGCGGTCCAGCGGACAGAGCATCTTGAAGCATCAAGAGGGTATGGCCAGCATATCTAGCCAGATCATATTCAAGCACAAGAGTCTCTTCCGCTTCCTTTCGCAATTTCTGGCTGCTTTCTAAGTCCTTGCTATCTGGCGATGCCACGAGAAGTCGTTGACCTGCAGACAGTGCAAGGACTGCAGCTTGAAGAGCTCTGTTGGTTCGCGAGAGCAGAAGAACCTGGAGGCCAAATGGGAGCTCAGGGTCCCCGGTATCGATCCAAGGACCAACGTGGTACCGGAAATGTCGAAGCAGGTCGGTCTCATGACTGCCACTTGTAAGGATCCCTCGTCGTTCGACAGTTCTGCCGCTAGTGACAGATCGGTATCCGAAGTATGGAGCACTATTCATATATCGAGTACCCGCCGCACTTGGTTCACCGACAAACGGGATTGGAGGCTCAGAAAGGTTGACATTGGGACCCACCGATGACAATATGTTTTGGAATCCAAAGGCACGGCGCACATCCCCGGGATTATCTGGGCCGTCAGCCGAAGACTGCAATTCATCAAAAGAAAAACCAGTATTGCCATCGCTCTGAGAATCATCTGCAGGCTTCTGCAGGGCCTTTGATTTCTCCTTATTTGCAGCTGCAAGGGGTGAATCATCGACAAACTAGCCAAAATCAGCCTCGCATCAATATAACACCGTGAAGTGGACTCCAAATTCCAATCCACCGCGGAGTACTCACTGTAATACTGTTATATGCCTGTCTCGACGCACCGGAACCAACCCCCTCGCGGTGCGGCACGAATGCCAAATCAGAGCTATATTTACACGCGAGCCCCTTAATCTCACAGTTGGCACATCTCGGTTTCTGCTCATCACCTACAACGTGAAACCGTTAGTTCTGATCGCATAAAAAAGAGCAAACCACATGACGCGTACATTTTCTCCTCCTTTTCCGACAGGTCAGGCAACCAGTCCGAACCCGCTGCTTGGCCGCCGGTGTGGGTTTTCTGGGCATGGCGAGACGCGATATACAGCATTACCCCAGATGTTGCAGAAAAGAAGGATCGGAGGCTCCGCAGTCCCGATATGTGCTCGACTGCCGGAGTTGGCCGATATTTTGGGTCTGTGGGGCAAGTACCAATGGGGACGATCCGAAGGGGCTACGGTGGGCGATTGTGACGGGCGGGTCATTAACCTTCATATGAAATATTACATCGACTTGACTACTTTTTATTTAAAAGGCATTAGGAATAACTAAACGCTTTTATTATTACTGACAATAGAAGATGGGAGTACTGACATTTTACGATCCAGACAAAACATTGCATAATATAGCATCCATGAACCAGCGGCATTTCATAGGCAGCCTGCTTGACCAAAGGCACACCGTGTCCCCAGCTTGGTACTTAACGAGGTCTCACTCTTCCAGATGTTTCCCATTTCCCACCAGCGTTGCTCCGGGCCCGATTTCTTGTAATTGCTCATAAAGCCGTACATGCACCCAAGCTCACACTATACACGCCGGCGGGCGGTGACCGAAGTGACAAAGTCACGGATAACTGCCCGTAGGCTTTCGGCAACGGCGCGGAGGAGTTTACGCGGGTCAGCCGGGCCCGTGTGGGCCTAGAAGGTATTCGTGTACTGGATGAGAGCTAGTAGCTTATGCTACATATGCGCGCAGCCACCGGGGATCTATCATGTTAGCAGGTGAGCCTCGTGTGATAAGCAGCCGATACATACCGCATTAACTACGAGGTAGTCCTGGTCGTTCACTTGGTAGCGGTGATATCTAACGACCTTGAATGCAGAGTCCATATCCCATGACTCGAGCTGCTGTAATAGACAGGGGAGACAGCTCCCATCAAAACCTCCTATCTGATTGGGCTCTGATGCGGACCATCCAATGATGATCCAGACGTGGTGAAGGGTTAGACAGAATCTGAGATACACAAGTACATGGTCCGTAGCTCATTGAAGCCGCTGCGGTGCATGATCTTTGATGAAGCCGAATATCCGAATCCCACACATCATATTCCTTCAGATGCTTCTCCGTTGGATTCGTTTCTCAGTTGATGGATGGACGATATTCAAGCGTGGCCCTTGACTGAACCGGTTTTATTGGGGGCTTTAGCTCGTTTTGACTGGGGTGTCGCATTTTCTTTTATTAATTTTGGGTTTGTTGAGGGGTTGATGTACGAATTTTCCATCCTTGGGCAGGTCTAGATGGAGATGGAACTGAGTTCTCAAATTTCCTTCCCTCGGAACGCCTTCGTCAACGTCTTGCGCCCCTTATTTCCATACTTGAGCAAGATCTGAAGTTCCCCAGAGTTTGGAGGTTTCTCGTAGAGCTCCCATGTGCTTTGCTTGACAAAGTCATTTCGGTGCACACGAAGTGTTTGGACAGTCTGAACTGCGCCTCGACTCCATTTTCATCCCCAGATTCGTGACCACGAAGCAATCGAGTCTAGTTCGTTCGTTGCGAGATGATCCTTCCGTACCATGGTATGTGTGGCCCGGACAAGCCTAAATTTAGCCATAGGTAGAGAGGCAGGACCATTTTCTTGTCCGTTCTCATCCATCGGTTATGTATGCTCTCACTTTATTGGGTTGTTGTATTTAAAGTAAGATCTGTGTAGTATGGCATATTGACAGCATTACTGCGCAGCTCCAAAATGGGCTAGTTGTATTCATATATCCGCTTTCAGATTGACTCGCATTCATTGGCACATATTTGTTGTTGGTCGGACTTGAGACCTTAAAGCAGGCTGAGCGGTGTTACCTTGCTTTCCGTGGCTCACAAGGAAAAGAGTTTGTTTTGCTTGCAACATGCGGCTGAGGGCAAGTGTTCTCTGAAATGGAAACCGGTTGAAGACAAAGGATTGGGTCAATTGCTTGCTGAAACCGGCCCACTAAGGCCCGTTTCATCGGCGACGTGCACTGTCTCCCCATGAAGATCCCATATCTCGGTACCTCTCCAACATTATTTGTAGACCAGCATGGATTTACTGTTGTGGAATCCAGCCTTGTGATGATTCTTTTTCTCGAAATGTCCCTTGGTGATTAAGTGAGATGAGCGGGACTCAGAAGAACAGCATGAAAGCACCAAGTGGCACAGTTTGCTGTACGAGATAAGACAAAACAGTGCATTGAAATGGCTGGAGGATAGAAGCCATAGGCGATGGAGTGGCAGGTGGCAAGTGGCATCAGTCGTTGGAGGTATCAAGAGTTTGCCTTTCTTATCGAACGGCACGAGCACAACTAAAGGCTTTCCGGTGGTTGAAACCGTCGAGAACGATTAGTGATTTCCACTCGCTAGATGAAGCTTTCACTTCACACTCTATTCGGCTGTGTCTCAATCACGATGACTCCTGTTTCAAGCCTAACCTCTTGTTGCGGCTCGGGGATTTGGATTTGATGAAATATCTCCTGATTAGCTCCTGATCAGGCTGAATGACGTGCAGGGGAAGCGCCATACGCAGGGTAGATATGGCGTAACTGCCGAAACCAGGGACCATAGTTTGTAAGAAGCAGATCTTGCATTTCTGCTGTGAAATTTCTCCCACAACCTGAATGAGAATTGATTCAACATTTGCGGGAAGTCAGCAAACTTAGACTGCTTGGGGTGGGAAAGCCAGATGAAGACGATTGGAAATATGACTTTGGACAGATCTCAGCTTCTGGAGATGGGCTAGATTGACTGAAAATACCTGAGGGCACTTCCATGGGTATTGTGGTAAACCTATACCGGGTAGTGTCGAGAACCACCCGAAGACAGGCTAAGTAGAATATCCTTGGGTTATATATTTAGTGCTCATTGCACAATATGACAGGTAAAGTGAGGTACGATCTCGCGCTCTCCGATTGTCCACCTTCCAATGCAGGAAAAATGGATAACCAATAGACACAAAGTCTAGGATCTGCACCGTTCCGCAGCTCGCAACCGGATTTTCTGGTTCCGTTTCCAAAGAGGAAACGTTTGAGGAGACAAGAGAAAGGGGGAATTGTTTGGGACAAGAGAATTACTGATGTGTCTTGCTGCAGCGGAATAAAATGGTTGTAGATTAAAGTTGGTGTTTCGAAACGTAGACACCCGTCTCAGTGTCACTGTTGACTGTTGTGCACATGAGCACTTTTTCATGATTGGTAGGACGTTACAACCTCCAAAAAATCGTAGAGGTCTGTCCACGGCTAATGTGGTGGGGGTGGTGGTGGTGGTGGTGGTGGTTTCTTGATGAGTTGGATTTCCTTGTGGCTCTTTTGGCTTGCCCGGGGAGATGCTTATTGCAGCCCGGTTGTCTGTAGGGACATTACAGCCCCCAGGAAGTCGTAGAAGCCCATGCAATGAGCCAGTCGTCTGCCTCCACCATTACCTCTGTATCTCGAGTCGTCTGGTAATCTTGGAAGTCGCAAGTCACGGTCAAAGCATTTGATGAATTGGGATTAGGAAATGGTTTGAGGGCGGGTGGATTCCCCTCAAAATCGGAGACGGTGCCTTGCACATGGGAGGATGTAGGTAATTGTTGAGATAGTAATTTCAAGGAAGCCATCAGCCCTAGACGCGAGGGAGCGAGCCCCCTCTCCCCTCCCCATCAATACAAACATATAGGAGTCCTCCACCCTTTTTTGAGGCACCAGTTTCTGAGGCACACCCATGCCTAGGTTCATTCTTTGGATCTCGTCATTCCATCGAGTTAGCCACTGTAGGCCAGTGTTGGGGATATGAATGAAGAAGCAAGGACAAGGGGAGGAAAAGGATATTAGGAATAGAGTGAGAATGAAAATGAAAATGAAAAAGGAGAATAGGCAGAGTTTTATATATATATATGTAACCTTTATCTACTTGGGGAAGGTACCAACCCGGGAAGGTGCAGGCCGGCAGCTGAGTGGCTATGAGCTGGGCCTTTATATGCCAAACAGAGCGTTCTACAAGGCAGGTCTAAATAGATCTGTACATGAAAGAAATAACTTCATAAACGTTGAATAAATTATAAACTAAATGTGACATTGGGACCACGCATGGCCCATTTTCATAGAACCCGCTCAAACCTTCTCAATATACTGCGATCCCTGATTTTTCTCGAGATCACCCCCATTGCCCGACATACGCTCAAGGAACGAAGTCAATCCCACATCACGCTGCGCTTCACGGAGAAGCTCAGCATCTTGCTCGCCGGCGTGACTATTGAAAACCCGGTCCATATCTTCCAGAGACGCGCCCTTAGTTTCAGGAAGGAAGAACCAAACCCAGACGATGCCACAGGCAAGGAAACCAGCGAAGAAGATATAAGTACCCCATTCCCAATTCTTGAGCATAGGGGGAACAAAGAAGGCAATAGCGAAGTTATTGATCCAGTTACTGAAGGCGCCGATGGACGCACCCTTTGCGCGAATGGAGAGCGGGAAGATCTCGGAAACGAGGGTCCATGAGACAGGGCCCCAAGTGGCGCCGAAGCCTGCGATATACAACCAAATCAAGGCTAGAATTGTTATGTTAGCGATTAGAATATAAGCGGAGGAAGGGAAATTAGTAACTCACCAACTGCGGTCCAGCCGGCTGCCACATGGTTCGGCCAGTCGTGTTGGAACTTGGCGACAATCACGCCGACGATGACCATGCTGACGAGCATAACAAGCGATCCAACCAGAAGCATGGGCTTGCGGCCGAACTTGTCGATGACCAGCATTGCGGGGATGGTACTGATGAGGAAAACGACACCGGTCACACCAGTTGCCAGCAGAGCAATGGTACCGCCAGTCAGTCCAAGACTAACGAAAACATTGGAGGCGTAGTAAATAACTAGAAGGTAATGGTTAGCCAAAGATTCACAATATCTCTCAAATAAGTCAACTTACTAGCATCGACACCACTCCATTGCTGGAAGAACATAACCAACCAGGCAATGCAAACACGCTTGAAGTTATCCATAGACCGGAAGCAGTTGGTGTACTGCGCGATCTGGTTCATGAAGACACTCTTCTTCTCTTTATCAGCAAGCTTAGGCGAAGCCTTAGCAAACGCCCGCTCCTCAAACACAGCTTCAGCCTTGATCTCAAGGTACTCCATCTGGACAAGGTCATTATCAACAGTGAGCTTCCGCATCCAAGCAATGGTATCCTGCGCCTCTTGGTCGCGACCCTGCTTAACCAGCCAACGGGGCGAGAAAGGCATAAACCAAATTCCACAAGCAAGCGCAATAGCCGGAATACCCTGAATGATAGAAGGCAGACGCCAAGCAAGATCAGTCTGAGTAGCTCCGGTGCCACCGATATTGTTACTACCATAGCCAACCCAGAAAGAAATCATGATTCCGAGAATAGTAGCGAACTGGTAGAACGAGACGAGCAGACCACGCATTTCGGGTGCTGCCAGTTCTGCGTTATAGAGAGGCCCCACACCACTGAACAAGCCGACGCCAAGGCCGGTGAAGAATCGGCCCGCGTACAGCAGGGACGGGTTGCCGGCAGTCGCGCCGATGTACAGGTAGCTTCCGAGGATGACCCAGCAGCAGGCGAAGAACATTGTGTATTTGCGCGAGTAGACTTCGCCCAGGATACCGGCTGACAGGGAGCCGACGATACCGCCCAATTGCAGGACGGAGGTTAGCCACCCTGTTGCGGTGGATGAGGCCACTACTGTTGGGAAGTTCTCTGTGAAACGGGTCATGACCAGGGACTGGCCGAGGACACCTTGTTGGTAGCCATATTCGAAGCCACCGAATCTGGGCGATGTTAGTATTTGGTTTGGGGATTTCAATGTGAGGGGGTTTCTTACGAGGCGAAGAAGGCAATGGCTAGCACTTTGGGGTTGTCGAAGATAGACTGCCACATGGATTTCTTTGCGAGTTGGACTCGTGGGATAGATTCCACCTCAGTGGATGATCGGATTGTCATGTTGGGCAATATTGGAGAAGGGGAATTTCCAAAGTAGCGCTAGGAGATGAAATCTGGGGAATTGAAAACATGGGGGAAAGAGGGTCTCAATATATACGCCCGTTTCGTTGATCGATTTGATTCATTTGATTTAATTCTGTCATAGTCCGAGTGGCACCACGTGCAAAGAAAAAAAAAACTCTCATCTGGGAAAGTTCAACTTCTCCAGTTTCTCGTCTGATGGGCCAACAACCCCGGAACCCCGAATTTTGTGATTTTTTGTGGAGGCAAAATGGTGGAGGAACTGGTTGGCTAAACCCTTTGGGCGGTACGTAGCCTCCAATCTCCCAGAATGGCTCCGAAAGTGGAGACGGGAAAGAAGTGGAAATCCTCGGGATGAATCGGTCTGCTGTTTTGTCCTTCGGGCCCTGAGCGGGCTAGTCCGACTTAGGCTATAACTCGGCCTCGGTAAACTTTAGGTGTGGAGGTGTGACCCGTTCCTTTTCGGGAAAACAGAGCCACCGTCTTCGCTTAGGTTAAGATATTGACTTCAAACCAAATTGTTGTTCAAGGTTAGTATTCGGGACCGTTCATTCTTGGGGTATTCTAGGATTGAGATAGAATTTCGAATTTGTCTCAAAGTGTAAAGGTGATATAACGGTCTGACGTACTGATCTCATTTCCTCTTTAGCCGTACAATGCATTGGTCCACATCAGTTCTGCTGCTATGCAGCTAATTGCTCGCTTTCGTCACAAGCGGGCTTGCAGTACCCCATGTTCGGGATAAATACTAGTTACGCGATCATGGACAATAATTGGTGTACGGCAGAATTCGTGCCGTACCTAACAGCCCTAGATGGCGATATAGAAATTCTAGGCCTAGTCGCTAGTAGGATAGTAACCTGCGATGTAGATCGTACATTATCGCGATAATGTACAATGACGAAGTCCAAATCAAAGCTCAGGCGGGGCAACAGCTAGCAGCCCCAGGTGGAGCTTCACGCGGTCGCGACTTTGTAGGCTGGAAATACAAGTTGCATTCCAGTCTACCCGGGCGCAACATTGCCGCTGATCAACACGCTCAACCGGTTCCAGGAATGAGAGATGATAAACGGCAAGCTGCCCTGGGAGGGAGAATTTGCGCCGGAGACTAAGACTTCGGAACCCGAGAGCAACGAACCGACTTCCTTGATCCGAACCGTATCGTCAAGGAGGCTTTCAAGGAAGGCTTCTCCACGGGCCGACCGGAGAGCTCGACTTCGGCCGCGATCTTCATGGTGCAGATGGCCCACAATTATTCCGGGCATGTATCCATCTACTCCGCTGGAGCATTGACCAATATCGCGCTTGCTGTGCGTATAGATCGGCATTTCGCGTCATTTGCCAAGAATATGGTGGTGATTATGAGGGGATATGTTGATTTAAATATGATGGAGGCGACCGGTGGAACCACCCTGGTTGATTGCTAGTCGAATATGAGTCATTTTCCTGTGGTTTCATCTCAACGTTGGTCGGGAGGTGAACTATGTGTTTGAGGTTGATGCTGAAAAGCTCGAGGATCGAATCATGCACTCTCTGTAGTATCCCAAGAGTTGTGCGGGTTTGAAGTAGGACCCGTCCATGGGTTTTGATAGACGGATCTGTCTTGTGTTGCAAGTATTTTGGACTAGCTTGCACCCCGATAGGGGCCTCGGATGGGTGTATAGATCGGTTGCAATGTATATCACCAGTTTCACCCTTTGTGTGATCCTTCTTTCGCATTTTGCTCGCCGGTCGTTGAACTGCTGTTCGAACATCGTAGGGTCACAATCTCGTCGGAGTAAACGCAAGGCACTGAGCTATAACAGAATTGGAACTGTATCATTTTTGCCAAACCCCTCAAATCACACCGGAAATCTCCCCCGTTTCATACCCCCAAGCTCTCTCAAGATCCTTGAGTCGCCACAAAGCACCCCACCCAGTCGTGCGCTCAATAATCTTGAACAGCTTCGCAACCTCAACATGCTCACTATGATGGCTGAGTAACTTCCCCGCAATGTAAAGCGGCTGAATAGCATTGATCAAATTCCCGCTATGAGGATTTGTCAACGAAATTCCACAAACCCTGCGAGCATGCCAAATCGCCGAAAAATGCGGCTTGGAAGGAGGCGGTCCCCTCTCAACAGGCCTCATATCCAGCATCATAATAGATGCAGCATGATATAACTGATTCCCAGAAATAGCTGCCCAATGTGCAAACAAAATCTCCGGGAAGATCTGCCCACTGCCCATCCCCGTAGTCTTAATAGGCAGCATAGCAGGCGGGCGCTGCTCAAGCCAGTACTGCAGCTCTTCCCAAAGCCGACTCCACTGCTCTGAGAACGGGCGCGTATCATCAGTCGCCTCGCCCAACTCCAAGTACCGCGTTCGACGACAACAAAGGTCGCAAGCTTTCGCGCATAGATAAACCGCCCAATTTGCGTGCATATCAGCGGACGCACGCCCCTTCTCGCAGAACGAATCGCGGATGATATCTTCCTGTGCCTCCTTCGAAGAAGCCTGCGGCATAGCCGGGACCCATTTCTCCAGCGGGAGGACTGTACTCTCAACGCCGTTGGAGATGATCGCGCCGCACAACTCCATGCGCGCATAGCACCAGAACACGGCTTGCAGATGTCCGCCTGAGAGTCCGTTCACGTTGAACGAGTCGAAGAGCGCGGCGCAGCCTTCCACGTGCCGTCGCCAGTCGCGCGGACTGACGGACATTAGTTCCATCACGGCCAGGATGCATACTGTCACAAGGACGTTGGGGTCCTTTGCTTGGAGCAATGGTGCCAGGAGGCGGATGGACTCTTGGTACAGCTCGAGGCTGTCGTAGGCCTTGTCCAGGCAGGCTTTCCGCTCTGTTTGCCGCGCGGAGAAGGCGAGGATTGCGTAGAACAGGGCTGGTGAGCCTTGTGCTAGAATTGGAATGTGGACGCCGAAATGGCGCGCCTCATCGAATTTATCGAGGTAGGGCGCGCATTCTGTGATCCAATTCTTCAGGTAGAAGATTAGTCTGATTTTGGGAATTGAGAGGACCCGCGTGAAGTCTAGGCTTTGTCGTGGGGGTCGGGGCTGCGGTCCTTCCGTTGGTTCTAAGGGAGCTGGGGATGTGTAGGTTGCTGGCTCGAGGCTTGCTACTGCGGAAAAGAGTACGCAGCGGAGTTCTTCTTGTAATTCGAGGAATCTGGGGTTGGCGGCGTAGTCGTCTGCGCTGGAGAATGTTCCCGGCGATAAGAAGGCCTCTTCCTCGATAAGCGGGGTGGCGCTGTTGAAGGTGTCTGGCATTCTTGATTCAGGACGTAATGGGGGGACTGGTTCCTCCATGTTGAATGTTCATGGCAGAGTCTGGGGATTCTGGAGAGTCTGGGGGTTTCTGGGGTAGAAGGAAGAAAAAAAAGGCGGAGAACGTCCGAAGAAAAATGTCTCCCAACATTGGAAGGCGAAGCCACTTAGTCACGGAAACATTCGGATCCATTTCATTCAGATACGCAATTTTAGATGGATATCTCTTCTGATTTATTCCATTTTTGTTGAAAGGAATCAAATTTTGTACGATATATTTTGTTAGGGTGATCAACTATATATCCAACCAAGTCCGTGTGGAAACCCAAGCGGTGAACCCGCCACCAGACATCTCAATTTGTTGTAAATGCAGACTTCCTACGTGCTAAAACATGTCATCGAGCAGTGGATCATTCAAGATTTTCTATACTGTTGCTCAGGGACAATAATCGACAGCACCCACGTCGCCGCTCCACTCAAAATGAACAACATCTACAATATGCCTCAGCGTTGTCGGCTGTAACAAGCTCCGAGTAGCATCAGCAAGCCATGCGAGATGCCTTTCTGGAGATCCTTGGCAGAGACCGTAAGTCTTATCCATTTCAATCCTCTTCTTCGACACACGCGGTCCATCATTGCCAAGGGTACCGTAAGGCCTCAGCGCTTCGATCAGCCGTTCATATCGTAAGGTCTGGGACACTGACACATATTCACAGGCAGATTGTTTTTGAGCTGGTCGAATCCCCTTTAGTAACTCATAGACTTTGTGATGGGCCGACATGATAGCCCAGTTGCAATACCCCATAACAACCAGCGCTCCCAGTTCGCTCGACTCAATCACATCAGCCGCTGAATCCAAACACTTCCCAATCATATTATCGAGGTAGATGCACAAACTCCCTCGGATTCCACGGAGCACGACATTCTCACGCTGCTTGCGCATTGTATCACCACGAAGATCAACAAAATCGTTAATATAAACCGTTGCCTCGACGATCCGCGAATATTGCTCCTCAGTCACCTCCTGACCCGTCCCGAGCGACGCAGTCATAACTCCATGAAAAGCAGCAATATCGATGTGCCGATGCACCGCGAGACCTGTCATGCGACTTCCATAGATGCCATCCGGCAGACGAGAGCGGGTATGATCACGATAGTAGCCGAGGACCCGGCACTGCACGATATATGCAGAAAGGTTATCAAACTGCCAGTCCGTAACCCGGCCGGCCATATTGCACAGTTTTAAGAATGACATGGCCGCGGCACCGACCTGCTGGAGAAGCTCGAGTCCCTCTGCATCGGCAGCTTCGCAGTAGTCGCCGATCAGGATGTCGTTGCATGAGTCCGCCACAGCGCGAGCGAGACCTTCGTCACAGAGACTTCCGCCGCACGATATCACGCCAAAGTATTTTGCGTCTGCACAGATCTTGAGTTGTTCAGCGGTCGGGTAGAGTTGATTTCCGATTCGGGGGTTGCTGTCAACGGATGGGTTTGGGCGACGGTCTGGTGCTCGAATTCTTGGGGCGGAAGATACGATGTCTGTTCCCTGGCATGTCTTGGGAGACTCTTGAATATCGGTATTCGAGTTTACCAGTTCATCGACTGCGAGTCTGAGTTTCGTTGGTGTAAAGATACCGGTGCTATGCCATTCGTCTTTCCGCTCGATGACTGTTTCCATGACTTCTTTCATGCTTCGTATGGCATGGCATTTATGCTGCCCAGAGTTACACTCATTTTGTTGCAGGATGGTGGGCTCGATATCCTCGCATTTACACTCGACCTGGGGATTATATTGTTCGGAAAGCAGGTTCGTCTCTTGACATGAAGGGGGCCTTTGTCCGCCAAATGTGACTCGTCCATCCTTAAGGTGTTCTTTGAGTGAGTGGATGGCTTGCATCAAACGGGTATGATCGATCAACTGGTATATATTTTCTTCGTCGAAAAGAGAAGCCAGTTCGTCCAAGCTGATGAGATGCTTTGGTGCTGTGTCATGGCCGTTCAAGATAAAGAGCCAACCGTCCACCCATACAAGATATACCTGCAGGAGGTTTGGCTGAATCCATGGTGGCAGCACTTTCGAGATCATTGTTGAAGTCGATGATTATAGCGGTATAGATGAGAAGCAAAGGCAAAAAGCAGCGGTTATGAAGAGGTATTTATCTTCTCTTTCAGATCATCTCTCGTTCTCTTTATCATGCAGCACTTCAACTCGCTATCTTATTCCTGACCTTGGACCTTGGTTCAGCTCCACCTTCCTTCACCCGAGGGCATTCAACACGATGAGCCACATTTCGGTAAACCCACTATCAACCGGGCCAGGCTGAAGAATTTTAAAACCGTATAAAACAGGCGAAATATCGCATTTGATCTAGCCACATGTCGCTCACGTTACGGTCATTCCGAAAGGCTATTCTGTTTGGGGATGGGCTTGCATCGGCTAGTTTTCCCTATTGGCAGGATTTCTGGTTAGTATAGCCAGCACACTCTAATTAGTGCTATTTCGGTCTTCTCAAATCCCGAAATACTTGCTTTTCCTTATCACTCGCCTTATTTGTTGGTTATTGTAGCTGAGAATGTTGTTTGTGGCGCAGCTGTCCCTCTTGATTATTTTTCGCCAGTAAAGGTGGTGGCGTATCTTGGAATTACAGAGATCAGAATCTAAGGAGTCATTTAAATTATATGGAAGGATTAGAACGTGAAATTTTCAGTCTAAGCTCTGGCTAGATCGCTCGTTGGGTACCACTTCGGTTGGGGAACGAACTCTCTCCCAAACTGGAGGATGACATGAATACTCAGAACAAGAGTTGTTCGTAGGTTGTGAGCATACAAATTCTTGGATTTTCTAAACATTAGAGAGCTATGACGTTATTGCACGTCTTATTGGTTTCTTCTTTATTGAAAGGATCTCGGCTTAGCGCAACCCTACGAACGTCACTATAAGTTGTCAAAAGAAATATCACAGAAGCGCTCACCCTGATACATCAATGCCAACCGCCGAAGAGAGTCGTGGGCGATACTGCCAACAAAACCTAGCCATCACCTTTCAAGAGATATTCGGATAGACCTTGTTGCTCGCCACACTAGCACTTTCCAGCTTTTCCAGAAAACTCTTAGCCAGTCGCTCGATACGAAGTTTAAAGAATATCTCCGGGTCATGATTGCCAAGGTCAAGCCCCAACGGAGCCGCCACCTGCTTCAGGTGAGCAGATCGCGTACTTTCAATCTTCCAGTCCCGTGCAAATTGTTGGATCATGGTGTAAAACTCAGTAGGCGTGACTTCCCCATGGCCAATCCTGGTCTTGCGTACCTGTTCAACGGCTCCCTTTGGTGCGTGGCGGCGCAAGCGCTCGAGCAGTTCCCCAATTGTTCGAGAGACGTACAGGTCGGCACTGGCGTGGACTATACCCGTCGTTCCTTGGGTAACATGGGCTAGACAAGTGCGCGCCACGAGGTCAACTGGGATCTCATTGCAGGCTGCGTGTGAAGGCAGTGTCTGCTCGAGCTTCAGAGGCCCATATTCCGAGTCTCCTAGGAGTATCTGGAGGAAGGAATGTACGGGTATGGCGCCATCGCTGCCGTAGAGCGGGTAGGGCTCCTCAATGGCTGGTGATATGAGACAGGGTCGCACAATGAGGATGGGGAATTTGTGGTCACCACTCAGGAGCAAACATTCAGCCAGGTGCTTGGCCAATGCATAGGGAGCCGCGAATTGTTCCGTATAGGATGATTTACCTGTGACAAGGATCCTCCCTAGTTCCTCTACCGGGTCTTTGTATAGAGGATATATTTGCTCCTTCACCACGCCGTCAGGTAGAAAGCTGGAGACATATGTCGTTGATATGTGAAGGAAGTGCTGTAAGTGAGTGAAACTGTCTAGCAGAGAAGCCAGTGTCAGATGAGCAGCGCAATTGACTGGTATAGTCTCGGCGAGATCTCGAGATAGAGCAATATCACCAGCGGCATTTATCACCACTGTGGCCTCATTTTGGAGGCGTGATAGATTGTCGGGTGACAGACCGAGGTTAGGCTGGGTCATGTCACCAAGGAAGAACTGGATCTTGCAAGTGGCGATAATATCCTCTATTTGCTCTGGCATCGACTCCTCCCATGATTCAATTGCCTTTTGGACAGACCCTCGTACTAGCACGAATACTTTGGCGGTTGGAAGTTGAATGGCTAGCTTGTATAACAGACAGCCACCAAGATTCCCAGTTGCCCCCGTGAGGAAGACGACTTGTCCTCGAAACCATTCGCTGTCCATCTTGATCAAAAGTTGTCTGCTGCTCCTGGGTTAGGATTTATGAGCATCTTTACCGCATGAAACGTGTTCAATGTTGTACTAACAAAATCTCCTGGGACAATCTGAGAATTTAACTGGGTTGTTGCCAATCAGATTGCTGGATAAAAGTAATATTGGACAAGATTTATAGCCAGATATAATTTGCAGTTACCTACTTGTAATAATGTCTGTAAGCCGCGCTAATGTCTAGTGGTGATATTTTTCTCTTGATTTTGGGCCTCACTCTTCACGTCCAGTTCCGGCAATCTCGGCAAAGGTTAGAGTCGAAACAAATAGTCGACATCACCATAGCGCGTCTTGGTTCGAATAACGGAATGAACAGCCTAATCGGCGTGAAGAATTACCCCTCAAGCGATGTTGGGTTGTACTCGGTCATCGCTCATAGTATCTCTAGCACGAGGTACCTTTTGTGTGCCACACCAGAGCCCCAATACCTAGATGATGGTGGGTCACGTTGAACACCCGGAGGGTAGAAGATTGGGTTGGACATCCGGAGGGTTGTAAGCTCCTTTGGGCCGAACTTTCCTTCTGATTGTTCTAGACTTGTAATACTAGATCTTAGTGATGAAAACCACGACCAGAAGGGCTGATACATTCTATGCCCAGGCTGAGCTTTGCTTTGCGATGCAAGGTCAAGATCTCTAACAAGAACAAAATCCTCTAAGAAGACCGCTTTTTTGTTTCTTTAATGCATGTGCTTCAATATGGCAAGTAATATAAAGATAGCAGCTCGGTGGCTAGTTGTGTTGCAGTCACACATACGCGAAGTAGTCTAGGTTGGAGTAGGGTTGAACAACGTTAAGAAAGTAGTGTTTTCCGAGGCCAAGCTGGAACCTACTTGCGCATTTAGTTTCTTTGCAGTGTCCGGCAATCTGACCGGGGGCCTTTCAAGTACAGACCATTCCTCCGGTAGCGGAGGATTTCGGAGGAAATATGTTTCTTGCATCTTGCAGAACCTGGATATGTAGGTACATATTGTGTGTAGATTAGGCCTAATTGCCAATTTACTTGTGGATTTTATGGATAGTAAAAAACCATACATTGTGCTATCAGAGCTCAAACCCTAGTTCAACCTTTGTTTTGTCTGCTCTGCAGCCATCTTGATCCAGTCTCAAACTATCCATCATTCGACCGAAAATGGACTCAACAACTGGACAAGGACAATCATCATGCAGAAACCACGAGGAGGATTTGGGGGAGCCAATTGCTGTCATCGGTATGGCAATGCGGCTACCAGGCGGTGTTCGATGTGGAGATGAATTCTGGGAAATGCTCGTGAACAAACGAGACGGCTTTTGTGAAGCGCCTCCCTCGCGCTGCTCTAGAGAGGCGTCTAGCAGCTCTGATTGTGGGGATCTGAGCGAAACGAAAAAGGGATTCTTTTTGCAAGAAGATCCAGCTTGTTTTGACATTTCGTTCTTTTCCGTTCCTCCCCACGAGGCGGCGCGCCTGGACCCCCAGCAACGGCTCTTGCTAGAGGTGGTTTGGGAGTGCCTGGAGAACTCGGGGGAGACCAAGTGGCGCGGTGAGAAAATCGGTTGCTTTGTTGGTGTTTTTGGGGAGGATTGGCTAGAGATGTCGCATAAAGATCCCCAGCATCTGAATCAGATATATCCCATCGGCACCGGTGGTTTCGCGCTAGCAAACCAAGTGTCGTATCGGTTTGATCTCCTGGGTCCGAGGTGAGTGCGGTCCGCTGTCTTTATGTCAAAAATCTCTGACTCTTCGCAGCATGACCATCCAAACAGCTTGCTCTTCATCCCTGGTCTGCCTGCACGAGGCTTGTCAATCACTTAGATTTGGAGAGTGCTCAACAGCTCTAGTGGGTGGGACAAGCCTTATATGGGGCCCAACCATGACGGATGCCATGACCAAAAACATGGTTTTATCACCAAGTGGTATCTCTCATACATTTGATGCTGAGGCAGATGGCTATGGTCGTGGTGAAGGGATAAACTGCATATATCTCAAACCATTGCGGGACGCGCTTCGTGACAACGACGCTATCCGCGCCGTCATCCGATCCACAGTGACTAACCACGACGGCAAGACCCCTAACTTTTCTCAACCATGTCCTATATCTCAAGAAAGGTTGATCCGACACGCGTATCAGATTGCTGGGATCGACGCGATCCACGAAACACCTGTTTTTGAATGCCATGGGACTGGAACAGCCGTCGGCGATGTCATCGAAGCCTCAGTTGTTGCAAAGATGACCCATGGCGAAGCAACATATATCACGGCGGTTAGTATTATCTTTTGCAGTGCTGTCTATAACGAATCTCATCACTTAATGTTGTAGGTCAAACCCAATGTGGGTCACTCTGAAGGTGCCTCAGGCATTACAAGCATCATCAAATCCATTTTGTCACTTGAACACAAGATCATCGCACCCAATATCCATTTCAAAACGCCGAATCCACAAATTCCCTTCAACAAGGCAAATCTCCACGTGCCACTAGAACCGACCCCATGGCCTGCTGGCAGGCCTGAAAGGATCAGCGTAAATTCGTTCGGTATTGGGGGATCTAATGCCCACGCTATTCTGGAGTCCGCCTCTCCGATCTCTCTAAAGTTTCAAAACTCGTCGCTTGAAATTTCCAACCCGCAGCTCTTGGTCCTGTCTGCGCACAGTGCAGAGACTCTTCGCAAGCGCATTGGCCAGATCACCGACTATGTAAAGAGTCACCCAGACCGCCTGCATGATCTTTCGTACACTTTAGCTACCAGAAGATCGCATCTTGCCCACCGGGCTTTCGCCGTGGTGCAGCCGAGTAACCCTATACTAGATGACGCAGCATTTTCGATCTTTAACACCAGTTCACCAAATGTCACCTTTGTTTTCACCGGCCAGGGAGGTCAATGGCCCGGAATGGGGTCAAGGCTTTTGTCTACCTTCCCAACATTCAAGGAGGATATCAAAAGGATGGATGAAGCACTGCAGCAGCTACCTGATGCCCCAAATTGGTTATTATATGGTCAGATCGAGGGCCCTACCCTTGAAGTTGCGAGAATCCTTTGACTAACATACCTTCTAGATGAACTAAGCCAAGAGAGTTCAATTTCTCGCGTTCACGAAGCCGAGTTCTCTCAGCCTCTCTGTGTTGCGCTTCAAGTTGGTCTGGTAAACATTCTTTGGGGCTGGGGAATCGAGCCATCCACAGTTGTCGGGCATTCCAGTGGAGAGATTGTGTCCGCGTATGCTGCCCGGGCCATTCCGATGAGAACTGCTATCGTTATAGCATATTATCGAGGGAAAGTTGCAAAACCGCTTGAAGGCTTAGGTGCTATGGTGGCAGTTGGCCTTTCGCCGGGCGAAGTGGCACCGTACTTAACACCTGGAGTGGTTGTTGCCTGCCACAATAGTCCGCATAGTGTCACCTTATCAGGAGATAAAGACTCTATTGAAAGTGCGATCAAAAGCATCAAGACGGCAAATTCAGATACACTGTGCCGGAGGCTTACGGTTCAAATTGCTTATCATTCTGGTAAATCGCTCCCTTCTGCCCTGCGCTGGCTGCCTTATGCTTATATTACTTGCAGACCACATGAAACAGATTGGGCCTGAATATGAAGATTGCATCTCTAGTCATATCGAACATGAGGAGGCAATGGTTCCCTTCTGTTCCAGTGTGACTGGCGACACGATCACTGACCCTCGCAAACTAGATGCATCATACTGGCGACAGAATCTGGAATCACCGGTGCTGTTCACCGAGGCTATCCAGAGTCTACCTGCTGTTGGAACTCCGGTCTTCCTAGAAGTTGGGCCGCATTCGGCCCTCGCCGCCCCTCTCCGACAAATCTTCCGGACTCTGGCAGCGAGGTCACCAGTCTATATTCCCACATTATTTAGATATGACGAGGATGTCGAAAGCCAGCTACTCAGAACAGCGGGGCAGGCCTATGCGAATGGCGTGGGGGTCGATTTGTCACGCATAACCGAACCGGGGAACATATTGACAGACCTTCCACCTTATCCTTGGCAACATGATCGCGCCTACTGGAGTGAGAGTCGACTGAGTAGGGAGTGGAGGCAGCGCAAGTTTCCGCATCATGAAATCCTCGGTTCGCGGATCGTCGATACGACCGACCATGAGCCTTCTTGGCGCAATCTAGTCACGCTGGACAATGTGCCCTGGCTTATCGATCATGTCATCCAAGGCACCATCACATTCCCTGGCGCTGGATTTTTCGCTATGGTAGGCGAGGCGGTCCAGCAGCTACATCCCGACAACGACAGTTATTCAGTGCGTAATACGACATTTATATCGCCACTACTATTTTACGAGGGGGACCAGATCGAGTTGGTCACTAGCCTCAGTCCTGTAGAAGTGGCTGATAGGGTCCCATCCGGCTGGTATGGCTTCAAAATCATGGTTCATGACGGAGAACGATGGACCCTGCACTGCCAAGGTCAAGTAAGAGCCGGGTCCGATCACCCTCCAGAGCCATTCCCGATTTCTTCCTATAAGCGAGCTGTGCCATCTGAAGGTATGTACCGAGTGCTCCAAAGGAGCGGGATAGATTACGGTACTCAGTTCCAGGGCCTGGAGCAGATCACAGCAGATCCCACTGGGCCAAGGGCAACTGCGACTGTCTTGGGTAACCGCGGGCTGCCTGGGAGCAGGTATCCGCTGCATCCCACGGCGATTGATCAATGTCTCCAACTTATGGGTGTGGCCTGTTCTCAGGGCTTGTTGCGGCATCTCACAACAATTTATGTGCCAGCTATGATAGATTCTTTGTTCGTTGGCCCGGGGGGTCCACCTATGCCAGCAAGCGCCCGAACCAAGAACGGTACAAGGGACGGCCAGCTGGGCGATGCCATTGCCATGCTTGGTGATCAAGTGGTCCTCTCTATTCAAGGAGCTTACCTTTTTGCCTTGGAAAATGATCATATAGATTCTGGATCTGGAGCCGCGGGCTCGGTAAGCCAGCTTGAGTGGAAATCGGACATTGATTTCTTACCCTCAACAGCACTTCTGTCTACACCACCCCATTATACATCACAGGCCATGAACATCAAAGCCTTGGGCCAGCTATCCGCGCTGTTTGTTTTGGAGACGGCGGACCAAATTCGAGATGTCGAACAAGCATCATCACATTTCGCAAAATGGAGGAAATTCATTCTAGACGCAGCTTTCAATATCAAATCAAGTCGACAACAACCCATCTACCCAGAGTCATCTGAGTGGGCATTATTGAGTTCTGCAGATAGACAGGAAATGGCACAGAAGGTGTTCGCAGAGACCAAATTTACCTTTGATGCTCCACTTGCGGATTGCATACAGGTCGTCTTCGATAACTGCAAAGCGTTTATGTCTGGAGAAAGCAGCCCATTGGAGGTTCTCATGAAGGACAATTTGCTGCACCACTTCCATGCTGCGCACACACAGTATGCCGATTGGAAGCCGTTCCTACCGTTACTCTGCCATTCCAACCCGGGTCTACGAGTACTTGAGATCGGGGCAGGTACAGGTTCTGCAACCGCGATGGCTCTAGAACTTCTCAAGTCCACGAGTGGGGAACGTATGTATAGTCAGTATGTTTTTACTGATATCTCCTCGGGCTTCATGGCTGCGGCAACAGAGAGATTCGGACATGAGCAATGCATGGAATACAAAGTTCTTGATATTACCCTAGATCCTCTAGAACAAGGGTTCGATGCTCATAGTTTTGACTTAATCATCGCTTCTAATGTGAGTTTTTGATATTATGCCTCAGCCAACAGTGTTTAACTTACCTTCTCCACCAGGTTCTCCACGCTACCCCCATTCTTCGCTCCGCACTCTGCCATGTGCATCGTCTCTTAAAGCCCACAGGTCGCTTCTTACTCCATGAGATTAGCCCGGGTATGTCAAACCCCTCAAGCTTGGAGGACGAAACTAACTAGGATACAGAAATCTTACTTGCAAATTTCACAATGGTAGGTGTCGGCTTTGTCTTGTCCTAATATTTGTTTTGCTTATATATCTTATAGGGTGTATTCCCCGGCTGGTGGCTCGGTGAGGATGATGACCGATCATCGCAACCGTATATCTCACCCGAGCGATGGGATCGGGAGCTACGAGCTGCAGGTTTCACTGGAGCAGATGTAACGGCCTATGATCAAAAGCCGCCATATCATATATCCGCCAGCATATTGTCACGACCGGTTGACGAGATCTCAATTCCTACCGATATCTGGTTGCTGACAAGAAATTCTTCCCCATGCCAGTGGGCAAGCGATGTTGAATCGTTGTTCCGCGACGAAGGCTACACCACTAACTGGACTACCTTGCACCAAGCACCACCCAAAGGCAAATTTATGGTATCACTGCTGGATCTTGAAGGATCCCCAATAGGTTCCCTGCCGAAGGATGACTATGAGGTATTTCAACGCTACATAGAACAAGTGCAAGAATGCCAAATCCTGTGGGTCACGCAATCAACCTCCCACACCTGTTCCGACCCACTGTTTGGCTTTATCCATGGGCTCGCCCGCACTTTACGGGCGGAGCTGTTGCTTGATCTCTCAATTCTGGAGATTCCCACATGGGACGCGGCGGGCGCAAAGGCCGTAATCCAAGTGTGCGAGAAGATACAGAGATCCCGCGCACACTCCCTTCCTGATCCAGAGTATGAGTTTGCGTTGCATGAAGGGGAGATAAAGGTCGGCCGGTACCACTGGACACCTCTCGTCGAGCAACTCGCAAGTCCGCCCCAATCAGATGCGTCCCGAAAGCTAACTCTCACGACATACGGGCTATTGGATACACTACACTGGGCTGAGAAAGGTGCATGCTATGAATTGAACGATGGGGAGGTTGAAGTTGAGATGGACTATGTAGGACTGAACTTCAAAGTGGGCTCCCCTCATCCCATGCTAATATTGGACAGCTCGCTCATTAATATATTCTAGGATATGATGGTCGCAATGGGATTTTTCGGAAACAAAGAAGATCTCGGGCTCGAAGGCAGCGGTATTGTGCTTCAAGTTGGACCTGATGTCACGGATATTAGAGTGGGGGACCGCGTCGTCTTGATGCATTCCGGGGTTCTGGCCTCAAACGTTGTAGTGCCTCAAGAAGCTTGTATCAAGCTACCGCAGGGGCTGTCAATGGCAGATGCTGCTACGATGTTGACAGCCTATGTCACTGTTCTCTATTCACTGCTTGAGATTGGTGCTTTAACGAAGGGCCAGGCGAGTCACTATTTTATTCTTCGGCCAGTGATGGTAACTGACATAATAACAGTCCGTTCTTATTCATTCCGCGTGCGGCGGAGTCGGACTGGCTGCTCTTCAAGTGTGCCAGGCTGTCGGTACCGAGGTCAGCCCACTTACCCGTGAATTATATGGCTATAGGAGCTGATCATCAGTCAATATAGATATATGCCACTGTCGGCAATGACAAAAAGGTAGCACATTTGATGGAGCATTTTGGTCTACCTCGAGAACGGATCTTCAACTCTCGCAATACGTCCTTCCAACCAGACCTCATGCATGCCACCGATGGGCGGGGAGTTGATGTAGTGCTTAATTCGTTATCTGGTAACTTACTACACGCTTCGTGGGAATGCGTTGCTAAGTTCGGACGGATGGTTGAACTGGGAAAGCGTGACTTCATAAGTCATGGAATGCTTAATATGAGCCTTTTCGAAGCCAACCGAGCATTTTTCGGCGTTGACCTTGCCCAGGTTTGCAAGGAGACTCCAGAGATCCTCAAAAGGTTTGTTCCAGATGGATCTTCGGGGACTAAAGGCTAACTAAAACATCGCAGCACCCTGGCAACATTTTCAGACTGGTATCGCCAAGGAAAAATCGGACCTATCAAACCTGTTAAAATCTTTGATGCGGTCGATATTGTCAGTGCATTTAGGTATATGCAAGCAGGCACTCACCTAGGTAAGATTTTGGTGCGTATGCCAACCGCCGTGGAGAATTTGCCTCCCCCTGTTGTAAAGGCATTCCCGACATTCCGATCCGACGTCGCTTATCTGCTCATTGGCGGGCTCGGTGGTATTGGGCGATCCGTGTCAACATGGATGGTCGAGCAGAATGCGCGAGAGCTCGTCTTCCTCTCGCGGTCAGCTGGCAAATCTGAGGAGGATCAAGCATTTATTCGGGAACTTGAGGCGCAAGGTTGCCAAGTTATCTGTGTGCTAGGCAATGTGACGAATCTCAAGGATGTGAAGGAGGCTGTTGCCACATGCACGCGACCCCTCGCTGGTGTCCTCCAAATGGCAGTTGACTTGAACGTAAGACTTTTTCTCCCTTTCTCGCCCTAACGCCGTGCCGAACACAGCATATAATCTCTGACCTCATATTAGGATCGGCTCTTCTTGCAGATGAGCCACGAGGAGTGGGAGGCCGCGCTGGCTCCGAAAGTCACCGGAACCTGGAACCTGCATCATGCCACATGGGCACACTCACTTGATTTCTTCGTCGTGTTTGGCTCAATTGCCGGGGTATGTGGCAATACTGGCCAGGCAAATTATGCAGCCGCAACTACATTTTTGGAAGCATTTACCCGGTATCGACGGCAGCAAGGACTCCCTTCTTCTATCTTGCACCTTGGAGTGGTTGGAGATGTGGGTGCCGCAAGTCGCAACTCCCGGTTCCTCCAGAGAGTACAGTCAATCGCGCTGCATGTGCTCGATGAAGCTGAAGTGATTGACGGCCTCGCTGCAGCGATCAATATATCCCCGGTTAGTGGTTCTAACGCGAGCGGGGCAATGGCAATGGGACTTGCGCACACGAGGCGACGGGCTGATCTCCCCAAGGAGATCTTCCTCGGTGGACGCGACGCTCGATTTTCGATTTATCCCAACCTTGAGTCTACCAGTGCTGGGATTGGCGGGGATCCATCACCTCATACAAATGCCTTAAAGGCCTTGCTTGCTCAGATACAAGCAGATCCCTCGCTGACCAGCAAAAGAGAGACTGAGGTCGCGTTGATGAAGGAACTGGGCAGATTTATTAGCCATAACCTTACGGGACAGGAGCATGACCAAGGGTCAGATTCCGCAGATGACATTGAGGTATTGGCGGGCATGGCAGTGGACTCCCTCATGGCCATAGAGGTTAGGAATTGGCTACGGAGGTCTCTGGGCGTGGAAATTCCTACGGTGGAAATCAACCGAGCAGGTACATTAGGAGGCTTGGTGAAGGTCGTTTTGAAGGGACTTGGGGAGAAATATGATCAGCGTGCTACCTAAGAAGCTGCTGCAGGCCAGTTGCAATTAGATAGCTAGACATAATTTGGATATATAACCTTGCAAGGTGTTTCTAAGTTGGTCTGTTGCTCACGTCAGACCTACCTAAGTATACAGTCACATCAATATAACTCTACTAATTCCCAGTAAGATACTAGTAGAGACGATCCTCTTTGTCAAATATTCTTCCTTCCACTGTGACCCTTTGATCGAGTAGTTCGCACAAATTCCATGCTCTGCCTATTTTCTTCATATAACATTGCACGAGCTCTCACAAATATTCGTCGCAAGGCGTCCTGTTCGTTACATATCATTTGCTCTTTTGTCTGGACCAGATCTCTGAGCAATTCCGTTGATTTTTCGAGTTTATCCGTCTGCGCGATACGCCATTGCGAGAGCATACTGGGAGACCACTCGTTCATGGTGCGCCTTTTGCAATGTTCTCTCTTTCATCGTGGCGATATACTCGCTCAGCTCCACCGCCTTCTTCGTCTGTCCGTCTGCTGTATGTGTTCCTGACAAAGATAGTTGAGTTCTCGGTCCAGAGGGGTGTCCTTTATTGTAGCGGATTTGGTCCCCTTTGACTTGCTCGTCCAATAATCCCACAGTCTCTCTCGTCCTGCCATCATCTGTGAGGCAGGACGCAACCTTTGAGACGAGCTCATGCCTCTCGTCCATATCTCGTCCCTCGGTCTTTCGAAGAAGCTCAAGAGCATGCGATATGTACGCCCTCCTCATCTGTTCGTTGATCTGGCCCCCAGGCGGAAATGTCTTTACCATACGCTGCATGACTGTCTTGATTGTTTCGAATGCTTCGCCCTTTTGGTCAACCCATAATAGCATCGCTAGCTGGACTAGAGCATGAATGTCAAGCGTGGTTCCATCTTTTGTTTTCGTCACGAATGCATATCCACATAGCGTACTAATTGCGGATTCCGTTTGTGCTTCCGAACCGTAAGAGGAAAGGAGAGACCGTGGGATTCCTCTTGGCCCAATGCAAGACATAAACTGCAGTATCTCAGCGGCGATAGGATCTGACCTGTTGATCTTTTCGAATGATATACGCCATGTTTTGGCAATGGCATTCTGTAGCTGCGGATAGCGAGTATCATCAGGAAAATGCCAATTTATGAGAATTTCTCTGTCTTTGTCCGTGCCATGCATGAGATCGAGGTAACGTGAAATCGACACATCGGTAAAATTAATGTAGAAGGCCGCCTGCTTGATAGCTAAAGGCAGCCATCTGAGCTCTTCGAGTAGCTTTCCTGTCATCTTTCGATCGTGGACGAGGTCTTTTGCCACGAGTTTCTCGAAAAAATTAATCGCTTCGCCTTCTTCCATTTGCGAGAGTTGGATTGTATCTCTCGGTGGAGTGAAACCATGCGCCACCCGACTGAAGCGGGTGGTAAGCAAGAGGACACCAGTATTGCTAGCCGGGAAATATTTGCAAAGCTGACCTGGTGCACTATCGCTTCCGAAGACTAGGTCGAAATCGTCTGCGTTATCCACAACGAAGAGCCACGGCCCAGCTTCCTTGGAGCTAAGATACTGACAAACCAGCTCCATTTCATTTTCGTCCTCCTTGACCTGTTGAAGGCCAAGGTCCTTCACAATACCCGTACAGGCCTGCTTGAAGCTGGCTTCGCTAAACGCCGGGACCCAAAAGATCGAATACTGCGGCAGATTATTCTTTACCCAATAGGCAAGCTGCAAGGCGACTTGGGTTTTGCCGATGCCTCCCAGTCCATATAGGGCCACTTTGCGGGCAGTTCTTTGAAGAAAGAGCTTTTGTTGGAGCTTAGCTAGTACGATCTCACGTCCAGTGAAGCCAGGGTTTGCAATAAAAGGAATTATTTGGTGGACCTTCGGCTGGTCTACAGCCAAGTCAGCGGTTTGAATGAGGGTCGATCATAATAAGGATCTTCATAAACTGAAGAGAATCCTGCTCACCCGTTGCCGTGAATGTCTTCACAAATTTGTCAATTGCCCTAGACTTCTGGGAGAGATAATTGTTTGTATGTGCAGAGATCGTGCTATCCTGATCCCAATCCGACGAACTGATGTTCTCTAGACCACGCTCAACGTTGAATCGAAAATAATGGCCGCTGTCGCCATATTCATCGTCCAAGCTGGCAGCTACCTTGTTGGAGGATGTGGCCATCTTCTGTAGTGCGTCAATGATTGACGGGCGCGTATTAGTTATCTCTACCACGTTCCCAAGACCGGTTCCGATACTCAGAATCTGCAGGTTGTCCCGTCCAGGGAACGCGTTTCTAGCTTCTGTAATAAGCTTGTCGCATGGGTTATTATACCCAAATCCGGCATCGATATACTCGATCCCGTCTCGACCGAGTTTAATTGGCTTGAAAAACGTAGTCGCAGCTGAAGTAGCCCGAGCCACTTCCCAAATAGTGCAACCATTCAACGAAGTTGATTTGTCGTATGTCCGGAACGGGGTAGGTCCCGCGTCAACGTTGACCTTCGTGATAGCAAAAACGACTCTATTGTTTGTCAATACTAATCTAAACTCTTTAGGTAAAGGGCAACTTACGTTTTTGTGCACGCCTGCTCGCGGAAGGGGAGATCAGAGTGCTGGCACGGAGGTGTAGAAAAGCCATAGCGCCGACGGTTCACACATTCTCCGTCCGTACAGAACTCTCTTACTGTTTGTTTGATAGCTTCTTCAAATACCTGAGCAGAGAAAATTCCATTCGGTCGCACTGGGATAATTGCGTTTTGTTTCGGAATAAAAACACGCTGCGCAACTGTTCGGTACGCTCGAATGCATTCATCCACTGTCATTCCCAGCCGACCGAGCATAATAGCAATGATCCTTGTAGTATGTTAGTTGACTAACCCTTTATATAGGACATACAGACGTACCCTCCAGTGTCTGTACCCCCGATCAAGTCGAAATGCTCACACGGGCGTGGGACATGGTCAAGATGTTGAACATCGCGGATCTTTTCCATGATTCTTTCTAGAATCAGTAGACTCGAGATTCCCCGAATTCCACCACCATCTGGGTGCATGTTAATAACACTTGCTCGCTGCCCCGAGTGAATAGAGAAACCCACCAAGGGAGAGGATTCTGAGTGGCTCAGAGGTCCTTGGACGCATTGTGAGTTCCATGTTTGCTAAAATTCTTGTTGAACATGTGGTGATTGGACTGATAATCCCTGAGTAACAGTAGGCTTTCTAAGATAAAATTCTTGAGTAATAGTAGGTCTGTTGAGAAAAGGAACATGGTATCATAGTATATAGCAGATGGGGTGTTCGACTGTTAAGCGCCAGTTCAATCCGCCCCGCACTGGAACCCCTGCCACCCACACGAAAAGCTCCAATTGAACATGTTAACGCTGTGGACTAACCGCTTGAGGCTGGCCTGGTTTTATTATTAGGTCGTAGAAAGCAATATGTGGGTCCCAGTTATGCAGCAAGGCGATTCAGTAAGCCACCATATCGTTTAATAATTCGAGGCCAAACAATATCATTTTATATTTGGAGCTTTCAATAATTACTAATGGGCCCCAATGTATCTGAACTTCCAATGGCCAATTTGTAGAATGTCTCCAACCTAATACAGTAATCCATGTGCTAGAAGACTTGGGTGTGTGTAGCTGCTTATCCAAACTAAGCGTATTTTGACGCCTGAGAGGGCTTTAAGTACTTGGGAGATAGAGGTAAGAGCAAACTGAGCGTAATTGGGATATTGCTATCTTATTATCAGTAGATACTGTCCTGCCACTTCCTTCCTGTCCCTCATAATCTTCGCCTCCTTCAGTCTCCGCCCATGACAAACGCTGTCCACTACTGCAGAGGATCAACCCTTTTCTCTCCCATTTTACGAGGAAAACTTCACCTCTTCATCCATTTGATCACCACCATGAATCAACCAACTCATATCATCGATCCAGACGGTGAAGTGATCATAATATTGCGCAATGCAGACTCCCCTTTTGCATAAGCGCTTGAAGATACGTTAACTAGCATGGCCCTTCCACAATCCGCCCCTGATGCCCAAAGTCCTGCTGAAGTGATCAAAACTCCACAATCCCGTTCAGAGAAGCCGAGCGGAAAGAAAAAGCAAGAAGTATTGAGCGCCACTCGGACGTCTCCTGAACCAGCACCGTCTCATGAACCAGCCTCGATCGAAGAGCCCGCCGCCGAAGGGCCCGCCGCCGAAGAGCAAATCTATGAACCACTTGTCAAGAGTTGTTTTTACATTCAAGTCTCCGCGAAGCATTTGATATTTTCGTCTTCGGTATTCAAAAGCATACTCACCGGCGGTTGGAAGGAAAGCATTACTTATCTGCAAAAGGCTCCGTTGAAGTTACTGCAGAAAGCTGGGACATCGAAGCCTTCTTGATTCTTCTTCATGCTATTCATAACAAATACCACCACATACCGCGAAAGCTCACCCTTGAGATGCTCGCCAAAGTTGCTGTCATAGCGGAATACTATGAATGCAAAGAAGCTGTGTACATCATGACAGATGTATGGATCAATAATCTGGAGGAAAAGATTCCTACGACATATTCTCGGGATTTGATTTTGTGGTTATGGGTTTCCTGGTTTTTCCAGCTCCGTTCCCAGTTCAGAGAAATAACATCCACTGTTATGTCACGGAGTGGAAATTTGATTAGTGGTTGGGGGCTTCCGATCTCTGATAGGGTCATCGGTAAGGTCAAAAAGTTCTGAAGCTGCATAGTATCTAATGAAATCGCAGGATTAATGAACCAACGGAGACAGGAAGCTATCAATGACTTGGTTTTCCTCCTTCATCAAACACGCGAGGCCTTCCTGAGCGGCAGTCGAGGCTGTGGCTTTGAGTGCAGCTCAATCATGTATGGAGCTCTTACGATGGAGATGCAGTCAAATAATCTTCTTTCACCGAAGCCTGCGGCTCCTTTTCCGAATCTGAATTACAAATCTCTCACACGGAAGATATCGTTGTTTACATCACCAATATGGTCTGAGTCCTTCACTTCTTCGAAACGTAGGACCATCTACCCCCACGAATGTTCCGACTCAGACTTCGAATCCCTATTCCCGAACTTGCACGACTCGATTGAAGGTTTGGACCTAGATAGCCTTGATTACTTGTAGATAAGGGTGAATCTAGCTCCCCAATCCAAGATGATTTCAACCACGGAAATTGCGATAAAGAACATGTTGTTTTTGGCGTACGCAAGTCATATCAAATGCCGGGTATGACGGTGGAATCCCAGAACTTATGCAAGGGCGAGATTGAGCGGTAAAAACTCTGTGCTGGCGAACAAGCCCATTTATCATAACTACACTCATCAGAATAGTCTAGTGGGTACATATGAAAGAAATTCCGAGAGATCACGGAGGTATTCAGTAGTCCCTATTATTCTAGAGTTTGCTATTTGGGCGTCTATCAATTAGTCTTTTTGGCCAACAACTACGAGCGAAAGCCTTCGCCATACTTGTCATTGTTGCACTCCCATATTAGGATTTGGTGATTTATCTCAGCAGTAGATCGATTGAACGACACTTATATGTATTACTACTACTATTATCCCTCCTCCTTCAGCAAGTATTAGCATAATTATTTATTCTAGCTGGGAAAAGAAAAATGGAATATCACAAAGCCAGCCCACCTTGGGTATCATTTGTCTCGAAACTCAATTATACTACCAACTATAACCAATCTGTATCCAATCTCACGGTTCACCATCTTACAATGCACACATCTGTCACCAAATACACACACCATCTCTAGATCTCGAACTCAATTCCAGTTCAAGCCCACTTTCCAAGCAGAGCCATGATACCAGCACCAAGAATCATAGTCAGCACCATGAAAGTTAACCGCCTGTTATCCTGGGTGCGGTGGGGGTCAAACAAGAAGTCACGAGCAAGCAACTCAACCAGACCAGTGTATAGCAAGATTCCAGCGGAGATAGAGTCCAGCACACCGGAGACAACATTGGCAGTGAATGACCCAGGGTTATATGTCGTGCGCAGACCAAGACCAATAGCAATGGAAATGGGGGTCGTGAGGCCATAAGCAGAACACAAGAACCAAGGCAACCAGCTGCCCTTCTTGAATGGGATACTCGACATGCGGGCTCCAATACCAAGTCCCTCAAAGGACTGGTGGAAGACCAGAACAGGGTAAAGGGTAGCAAACTCATCACCCGCAACACCAAGATTCAGACCAATGATGACAGAGTGGAAGATAACGCCGAACTCCAAAATCAGCAGCGCGGCAATCTGCTGCTTGACCGAGCGCTCGATTGCCAGCTCGTTAGACTGCGACTCAATCTCTTTGACTTGCTTGTCGTCTGGGTGGCGTGCCGAAACACGCGAGTCCACACGCCGCACTTCACCTCCACTCGACATCATGGTCTCTGGGTCGTCGCGACAGATACCGTACTTGAGCTCGACCCAGCGCTCGGCACCGAAGTCCATGAGGAAGACGACCATGAGTGATGTCAATACAATTGCCGGACACCATGAGTAGTCTGCCCAATGGCCCGTCATTCCAACGCAGGAGCCGGCACCGATTTCGCCGTATGCGGGATCGAGGAGATGGATGAAGGCTGTTGCAATGATGACACCGGCACCGAAGTACTTTGCGAAGAGGTAGACGTAAATTGGGATGCGCAGGCGTGGTGCCCGTTGTGCGAGCACGGGGAAGAAGGTTGCTGCTGAAGAGACGACTAGGATCACGAAGATGGCCGAGATGCGCGCACCCATTTGGCCGTTATATTCGTTTCCCTCGGCATTAAGGTAACAGACAATTTGAGCCGCATCGGCTGTGTCAAGGTCAACATTGTGAGGATCGAAAGACATCTTGGCGGGTTATGTTGGTATATCGTGCCCCGACGTGGAAGGGAGAAGTCGAAGCTCGAAAGGCTCGAAGAATATGGAAATGAAAATGACGATCTTAACCTATGGATATGAGGGGAATTGTTTGACCGTTTTATATCGGAGAAAAAATCATGGGCTTCTTCGGGTCCTCCGTTGAGGTGAGGACCTTGGGGGGGTTCGGTTCCAGTTATATTTATTAGCTTGGTGATTAGCTTATATCTTCCGTCACCGGTTGCATTATTGGCCACGTTATTCAATCCTCTGTTGCTTCTAATGATGTTACCATGTCTACTTGATGTTCAAACTTCCCAATTTGCATGTTGTCCTGCGCTTGTGTTGAGAACTTAGGGTTTCCTCGCCCTTGCGGGATATCAAATGCCCAGGCGGGAGCAACCATCAGCCCTACGCATGTTTTTTTATAAAACCAAGGCTCGGATAATTTCTTGTCAAAGCTTGGAACGATGTAAGCCTTCCACGCAAGTCTTGTCAATGGACCAAATCTCGTGGTAGTGATTGGGTATTAGTGCCACAAGTTGCTCCCAAGGTCCTTCAACTAAGATTACGTGTGGGTCAAACCCTGGCATCGCGGTTTTTTATTGAGGGGATATTACTTCAAAGGGCAGTTGCTGCGCAATAGCTTGAACTTAGATGTCATTCCATCCTCACATATGTACATTTAGAAATATGGATAGTCCGTAATATCAACATGCTGATCGGATGTCTCCGATGCGCAGAGATACTTCCCTCGTCAAACGCGGAAAAAATGTGCCGCGCCGGCTAGAACCGAGCCAATAATGAATTAAACAATAGCAATTACATCGTAAGAGTAGTTCATATCGCGTGGTAAGATATCACACTGTCATCTCTTCGTCACATTCGTTAGCGCTGTAGCCAGCCATTTGTGGGTTCAGCACAAAATCACTCAGGCTAAAACAACCCTGCGAGTTTGGTCCGGAGTCTAGGCTTAGACTTCCAGGGCCTAGGAGCTGAAAATAAAAAGAAAACATTTGGAAACATGAAAAAGCAAGTTCATCCAGCCCGAAAGCACGAGATCATCCCATCCCATTTCCCCTCATAATGCCTGACACTGCCCCAGCCCAGATCGCTAAATAGTAACATACAACATAAAACATAGGTCATAAAACAAGTCATAATAAGCACAGTTGAATGCAATCGCCACATGCAAGGTTTCTTCATAACTCGTTTCGTTTCTCGTATCCCATACCCAAGATCTTATTCCATCTTGCAGAGAGGATCCCAGGTCTGTACACATAAACACATAATTCAGGTTCCCACCCTGTCGTTCGTATAATATAGTTCCCCTTCCATCAGTCAAAACAAGAAACAGAAACACGCTCCGAAGCCAATCGCTAAAAAATCATCACATCGCTAAACAAAGCCCCCTGTGCCCGAGTGAACCTGACCCTAGGACCGAACTCAAAAAAAGACATTGAAAAAGATACAGAAACAAGAAGAAGAATAAAAAGTGTTGCGTGATCTATCGTTGCACGCTAGTATTTCAAGGGCCATTGCTGGCCCGTATTTTTGAAAAAAAAGAAGAAAAGAAAAGGGCTAGATCAAGCAACAATCCCAAACAGGACGTCGCAAGAAATGCAAGAAAGGTAGAAGGAAAGCATCAGAAGAAATATTGTCGTGTTGAGAGTCGCAGGAATAATCCCGAAAGGAAAGCATCAAGAGTGGAAAATACCCTCTTCCTTGATGGGAGTATCATAACCATGACCCTGCACCATACGGCGGAAGTCCTGAACAACCTTTTCGGGTACACGGTCCCACATCAATGACCTGGAATACACATCTGAAGACAAAGCGGAGTGCATGCGACTCTGCTGCGCGGCAGTGTCACGCATCACAGCAAACGCCTGCTGCAGAGTGGATGGCTGCTGTGGCTTGAAGTCCCCGCTATCATCCTCGAATGTTGTCAGGGAGTTGAACTGGTCCGCATTCATTGAGAACACCTGTTCACGCTCCTGCTCCTCTGTCGGCATAACAAGCGTATTATGCAGCTGGTCTAAATTCGAGGGCACGGCTTGCACAGCGCTCATCTGCGCCATCTCCATGCCGCTGATTGTTGCCGGCGCAGGTCCGGTGGTTGTCCCGTGGTTGATGGAGTGGGGGTGGGTTAGCTCGTGGCCGGGTGACGAGGCTAGCACTGCTTTCAGCACGTTGGCTGACTCGGCCCGGTACTCTTCGGAGAGTTGAGGCAGGGAGCGGCCCGGTAGCGAGGTACTCTTGGAGGCGAAGAAGGCACCGACAAGCAGGAACATGTAGAAGGCGTTCCAGCTGATCGGCAGGTCTGATCCGTTGGTAGATTTCTCCGGGACCTTAACCTGCTGGCTAACCTGAGGACGAGGAGCTTGGACATATTCCGGTTGCAAGGGAGGTCCAGTGACCATTGAGAAGTCATCCCATGAGGGATTTTCCATGGCGGGGTTCTCGAAGCCCGCGAAGTCCCCAGACAGGCTTTCTTGAGCGGGCTTGACACCGCGCTCCAGCTGTTTAATTTTCTCCTCCAACATGCTGTTCCTCTTCAACAGATTGGCTGTCTCCCGCGTGTGCCTGAGGATAGTTTCATCTCGCTCCATGTCCTGGTGTTGGATGTGCTCTGTCAACTGCCTATTGTAGGCAGTCAACTGGTGATTCTCGTACTCCACCTCTTTTATTCTCATAATATGAGTCTTCTCATTCTCTTCATGTTGCTTGATGATTGCTTCCAGTTGCTTGACCATTGCTTCCAGTTGCTTATTCTTCTCAATATTACTCTCGGCTTCCTTCTTCTTGCGTTGACGAGATTGCAGCCTATTAAAATAAGGTTAGCATTTAATCCAACTCAGCACATTAATCTCAACTCACGCTGCATCCCGATTCCGCAGCAGTCGTTTGTTAGCCTTGAGATCCTTTTTCTTCTCCTCATCCACGCACTCCCTGATAGCCTGGTCGATATTGGCCAAGCTAAGTTCGGGGGAGATTTCAATGCGGGAATTCCTCTTCCGAATCCCATCTCCCCGCCTCAACGGAAATGCAACCCGGTAACTCGGACTCTTTTTCGAGTGCAACTCTGCCTCAGCTAGGTCCATAGGCGCCGGCATCCAGCCCTGGCTTGATTGCGGTGACATGGCGACACTGCCAGGAGTTGCAAACGCCATACCTCCACGGTACGACATGGGGTTCATAGGCATAGCGCCGACGGGTCCAACCGCACCACCAGAGAAAGGAGCGATAGCACTCTGGTCTCCATTAGCAGCATAATGATCATAGCCCGCGGTCGGGGTACATGAGCCTGAATCGGTGCGCGGCATGGGCCACGATGCCTGCGGGTAGGAAGCCGAGTGCGGGCCGTCGATGGGCATGAACGAGGCACCTGTTGAGTTCAGCATAGCGTGCCCGATTTGTGAGTGCGAGTTTGACTGCGACTGGCTGGAGCTGGTATTTGAGTAGTTGGACCAGACGGAATCCCGATGTGAGTAGGCATCTGGGGCGTCGTATGAGGCGCGGCGGTTGTCGGGATGGTCTTCGGAATTTGGGTCCAGGATCTTGTCGTCCAACACGCTCATCTCGTCGTCTTCCGGTGCCACGTCTAATGTTGATGGTGATTGTTGGTAGAATTCAGAGAAATATTGTGCCATCATGAAGAGGCGGTGTGTGTGAAAGAGAGGGGTGGGGCGGGGGAAGAGGATGATTTATAGAGAAATTGATATAGAAGTAAAATCACCAAAGAGGAAAAATAGTAGGTAAAAGTGTAGAAATGAATATGTAGATGACGATATAATTGTGAAGAGGGGGAAATATGCTGTGATCTAGTTCCGGGGGAAAGCAGGCTATGTATGAGCAGATGCAGTGCTCGTGCGGTTGACATTGTACCCACAGGTACCAAGTACCGATGTGGGTGATGGAGAATAGGCTGTCGATCAAGTACCCAGTACTCATTCAGCGGTCTGCGCGGGAGCGCAAGTGTGGCCCCCGGAACAGCATCTCCGTTATTGGCTGCATTGTTTTGCTTGGGCAGACCTGCATCTGTTGATGTTTGAGTATTTTGCTTGGTATTTTGGTTATTCGGCTTTAATTTTCTATTTGGAGTTTATTACATTTTCTATTTTATTGGAAGATTTTTCTATGTTTTAGTTTTATTTTTATAATCCAGTCTCGATGGTAATGCTGGCAGTTATTCGCTCGTTTACAGGTATGTAGTAATAACTGATTATGTATGCAACATTAGTACGAAGTATGTACACTGATGTTATATAGAGCATTTCCTCCTTTCTCTTCTGTATAATGTACTCCGTAAACCCGAAGCCATCACCAAAATGTTAAGTGGGGGAAATCAGACGCTGTGCTTATCGATAAACGATAGCCTATCGATTGATCCTCGTTCCGCCGGCTTGAGACAATCCCTGTCGTGGGGAGTATATGGTCTGTGCTATACCTTATTCACGGCGCTTAGGTAGAATACTAATTGCTACTTAGAACTTGACCTGCACATCTACTCGAAATAAGTGTTTTAAAGTATTCTTTCGTACCTTCTTTGTACTAAACTCATCACCCGTGAGTGGTCAGATGTCCAGTCTAGATGTCATCCTCCTTTCTATCCGCCGCTAACAGCCAATCATTCCCGAGTCAGTGTGACGATCCCTTTGGGCTGCGATCCATGGCGGTTTGATGTTTTGCTTTTTCTCTTTGTTTTGTTCCTTATTTTGGGATTCATTATTAGTATTCCAAGGTTTCCTTCTCCCATATGGTATTGGATGTTTCTCTATTGAATGAATCTTTGGGACGGGCTCGGCCCGCTGATCCACTGTTGGGCCGACCATGGATGAGAAAAGAAGAAGTAAAAAAAAAGAGGAAAAGCACGGATGTCATGCACTGATCACTTGTCCCATCCAGATGACGACCTCACCCCTCCAAAATCAAAATCCCTATATGGGACTACCCTGGAGGTTAGGGCTCTGCCTAGAGCGAGAGCTTGGGTCGAAAATCCCACACGCCTGATCTTGCTCAATCTTGCCGTGATCTACTTGCAGCTCTCTCTGCAGCTCCCATATGGCTGAAGCAGCCATCTTTCCAATCCTTCACAGGCTCACAGACCACATTTAATCCGTGATCTACTATGCGGAGTGCAGGGGACATGATGCCATCGTATTTGACGGGTGCCTTCCGGCTTGTCTCTATGCTGCGGGGTGCACACCCCTAATCTACCACCATTACTGCCCCAATATACCAGGATCTCCGAATTATCCAGGATTAAACTTGGGCTTTCACTCAGCTGCTTTTGCTTTTTTCTCTCCTACTTCCTCCATAGTTCAATAAGCCCCATATCGAGCCTTGCCGCCCAAAGCGCAGACCCGGTGCCTGTTCCTGTCAGTTCGTCTCGACAATTCCCCGGAGCACAAGCCCCTCGGCGGCAGCCGCTCAGTCTGTTCGCAGTCTATACATAGTACACAGCACAAGCCTGTGATAATGATAGGCCTGTCACCTGGGCGGCAAGTCCGCGGGTGGGCAAGTTAGCCCGGATAAGATCTGGCGGTGAAAAAGCCGAGTCTGTCCAATTGAGACCAAGTCTGCCATCGGTCACCCCGTCCACCCGTGGACGGGCTCATTGCTACATTAGTCATACACAGGCAATTATTTTCAGTGCAAGGTACCCCACGGCATTTTTATTTCTGCTCGCCAATAACGTTTCTACAACATAGTACAGTCATCTGAGAAGCTGGGATCAATACCATGGTAGTTGCTTCGTGTATAGACCGATATATTCAGCACCTCATGCATTCCCCAATGCAAGACTAACACTTACATCCTTCCTGCGGTGAAGCTGAAACCACTGTTTTGCCATATGACTCAGAATGAAACTGGCGATCTACCTTCTTTGAACGAGCTAGAAGGCCATGGCAGGTCCACCGCTCCACTTCCATTCTAATATTTATGTAGCCGATGGTCCACTCTCCCACGGCTCCATACAACTTCAATACACCGTACGCTGTATGTGCCCAAGGGTCTCTAAAACACCTCCCCGGTGTAAGCTAAGCCGCATACGATCTCAAAGCCTCACTTTGAACCGGTACCTGCCTGATATGCCGTGCACCGGGTACATTGGGCACATCATATGGGGGCAACCCAGTGCCTTGGATTGGATGTTACTGGGCCACTAGATACTCACTACTGGGCTCCTGATATGCTCCACATACCGGATCGGGAACTCGTTGACGTTTTTCGTGTCTGTGGCCTGCCTATCGGGGAATCCCTCTTTTCTTGGACCCGTCGGGGGAAGGACACTTGATCTCTCTGCCGGAAACCTTCCTTCACCGGTTTAATGACTCATTTGTAGCCGGGTGAGATATGCATGAGAGGTCTTGCGAGTTTCCGTCGCTTGCTGCGGTTATGTCCAGCTAACACGTCGTCAATGATCCAATATTTGGACAAAGAAGCTATTATTCAATATCTCAGACAGACTGAGTCACTATCTCCTTCTTCTGCTGCTCTCGTCCGAGAGACTTTCTTTTGTTTGATGACGTTCCTGGTCTTGATTTTGAGTAGACTTTCTGTCTGAACTAAGCGCAATAGCGCATTCGGACGTACGGAATAGTACAATGATTAATCCCATGATTCAATAAAGCTCAAGAGCCAAAACCAACGCAAGATAGTATTGATAGACAAGGGTCGATATGTGTGGCTTGACTTAGCCGCCGACACTTTCAAGTGTTGGTGATACACATAGTTTGTAGAGTTGTCAACAGCCCAGGATTATGTTCAACTATAGCCCACCAACAATATATCACTTGAATCCCAAGTAGTTACGTACTATTCATTCTGGCTAGACCTAGATTATGTTACCCATTTGGACGAGGTGCTTGACTTCATTCCGTAGTCACTCTCTCAATTTTCCCAATACAAGCCGTGGCGTTGATCACGATGGTAAATATTTGTACATGTTTTAAACATGAACTCCGACTTTTGTCTATGACTGTACTCTGTACTTTCAAGTTTAATATTTGAGGCCCAAACTCGCATCGTTGCTGCCTATATCACTAGGTGCTATTTGATATACCCCTCCATGTCTATACTTGGCAATTCCAGAGCCCTGATATATATACCAACCACACAGTAAAAATACTAGACATAACAACACTATAATTAACAAGTACACAAAATCATTCTAGGCCCTGGCTATGTCTTGAGCAGCCCGCTTCCAATATTGCCTCTGTGGCTTCAGCAAATTCCGCAGACCGAGGGTCATCCTCGTAGGTCTCGGAAGGATATCCTGGGGTGCGGTTTTCAATACTGCGCTTTCTACGACACGAGTCCATTTGGCTTTCAAACATCATGCAATAGTGAGGCTTATCCATACATTCGGTCACACAAGTTCCTACTTCATGTCACCAGTCAGCAGGACATGGACCCTGCAGTTGTTTCTATCTCTGTCACATGGCTCGGCATGGGTGGGTTGCCGAAGTATACCCAACAGCCTGTTAACATGTGCCACTACATATGATCAACAAATGTAGAATTTAAGGAACTAAGTACGCGCAGGAAGAAACTTCAAGTAAAATATTCAATTTCAGTTTCTTTTTCCATTTCTTTTCAACTGAATGCTATCGACATGTTTTCGGGGTATGGGCAAAGCAAACGAAAAGCAAGAAAGACAACTATCCAATCGACTACAAATGGCAGGATTTAGGATTTAGAAGCGGATAAAATCTTGCTGCTGCGACATCTCGCCGCTATCCACACCTTCGATCAGTTCTTCGGGAGTGTCATCGAACGCATCCGAGTCAACATCCTCCGAATCAATAGCATCGTAGTTCTCTTCCTCGCTAGACAGGTCAGAGTCATCCTCACCCAAATCAGCTTTACTAGCAGCAGTCGCAGCAGCTTTGCGGATCTGGCCTGCGCGGTCGACATGCGGCAGCTGGCAGCGCTTCTTGGGGCAGGCGCCGGTATTGGCATAGTCTGGGCACTCGTGGACGTGCTTCTCTTCGCACGTCTCGCCCTTTTCGCAGTATCCTAGTGTTGCAAACGCGCGGCAGACGGGGGCACCGGGTGTCACGCGGACGTGGGCGTAGCGACATTCCGGGTTGGCGCAGCGTCCTCTAAGGAAATGCATACAGGTGGGGGAGCGGTGGGGCGAGGGCTCATGGGATAGATCACAGCTACTACCTGCGGCACATTGGCCTGTCTGGAGGAAGTCCTTGCAGATAGCGACCTTACTAGGGTCGTGGACAAATTGGCAGCTCGGGCCTTTGTAGCATGTGCCTGGAGAAACAGATGTATTAGTTTTTGGACATGCTGATAGGGTGGAACATAGCAGTATGGCCCGTCGGAAAACAAAATACCGGTTGTTGTAAATCTTTTGCAAAGCTCATCGCGTTTCTTGACAGTATAATTCCTATGGCAAGGTCAGTATAAAGGTAACCATCGTTAAAATCAAAACCCACTTCTTCATAGCCACAGCACCGAGACGGTGCAGGTTTCCATTTTTGCTTCGCACAAAGGACACATCGGCGATTTTGACGCGTTTCGGGGTATTGTTGGCAGTACTGGGGTCATCTATGAAGGGTAAGCAAATTCGAGGTAGGGAGCGAAGAGAATACGCACTCGAAATACGAATCAGTTTGCTTCCGCCATTTGCAACCCTGAAAGCAACATCATTGACAAGAATCTGATGGCCAGCTGCAGGGTTTGCAGTGGTGGAAACCATTGCACCAGCACCTGGAGCCTGTGCATATCGAAGTACTTTCGCTTTTTCGTACTCGGTTTTTTTCTGTTCTCTAAGCTTGCGCGTTCGTTCCATATCCTTCGACCTGTCCTGTGTTTTCCGATCGTAGACGGCAGGGTTGATCAGCTGCATGTGGCGATCGTGCTTCACAACCCAACCATTGCCAGTCGAAGATGGTGTTGGAACCACTGCGCTGTCATTCGCACTTATCGGAGCAGGGGATGAGTTGGCGCTAGAATTTGAGCCAGCGCCCGCGGTGTTCAAAACAAGTGTGCGGTGCCGGTGCGGAGCAGCTGCTCCTCGACGTCCTCGACCGCGTCCCCTGTAGTATGGGGCCCATCCCGGGTGAGATGGGACATGGCGAGACACATATTGAGACTGGTGGTTAGCTGGCTGGGTCTCTTGCGTCTTGTGGCGGTTTATTTGGCCTTCGCGGGTTAGCTTTGTGTTGACGGTGAGCTGATATTGAGCGCACCTGCAAGCTGGCCGATCTTGGCCAGGAGATCGTCGTTTTCGCTCATGGTGACTATCTGGAGCTAAATAGGGTAAGTGGGTGGCAGATAAGAATATCTGAGTTTTTTTCAGATTAAAATCAAAAGCTGGGGGATATTTCAGAAGAAGTTCTGAGCCGGTGATGCGGAGGAAGCAGCAGGTGTGAACCCGAGAGGTTGGTTTGTAGTGTTTGCATGTCTTTGGTGCCTTAGGCGGTGAATACTAAGTGGCGAAGCGGTCCGTGCTCAGGTGGACGAGGACGTCACCAACCATCAGGCCAAACAGTACGCAGTAGGCTGGGACAGAAAAACGCCTCTTCGAGGCCTGTGCAGTTATATGAGGCCAAAGAAAGACTTGCTTCAGCATTAGTACCTAATTTTAATCTCACTGAAGAGCAGCTCCACCCCCGACTCAACAATCACCAACGGCATACTCCGTATCTCGCGTACAAGTACATAAAATGTACTTCAGGGTTGAGAAGAGTTAATTATTGTCATAATGGATTGAAAGGCTTGTCAATATACAATTGGGGCCTACACCAGCGATGAGCAAGGAATGTGCAAACTAAATTCTTGCTGAAAATCATCACCATGGAAGCGGACACGCTGCCGATATAGTTCGCAATATATAGAGATACTGCTTTATCACACATCTATCAGACGATCTAAAGCTCACAACGAAGCCTGTTGGTAAAAGCCGCTTCCAGGCCAACAATATGGGGCTCATGAATCGCCGGTTCGACGTGCTTAAGCCAATACTGAACAAGAAATGTCTACAATTCTGATGAAACCAGCTTTTGACTAGGCCAAGGAAATTCCTAAACAGTGATCACTGCGAATCCTACAGAGTTATAAGCTTCAAATATACCAATTGAAGGGACTATTGTTTGGCGTTGAGTCCAAGATTGTATGTAACTCATCCGTTCATTCCATTCTATGACTATTTTCCGAATTGAAACCAGACTCCAGGCCTTTCCTTGAAAGCCTTAACGCCAGGACCCTGCTTATGCAACATATCGAAGCCGTTATTTGTTTTTATTTGTTTAAACGTTCTCGAATTGAACGTCGTCCTGGTCCATTCCAGAAGCTGGATCATCCTCTGATTCGAAAGGATCGTCGGCCCCTGGTGGCAACTCTGCCTTTGCATTGTCCATCGCATTCGAGTACTGACTGTGGGTTGCCTCGGGCTTCAGTTCCCAAGTCATAGCGAAGTCACCAGCTTTGACAAGGTGTGCAACCATCTCCAAAGTCTGCTTGAGATAGGCCTCTGGCTGTGCCAATCGGGCCTTGAGTGTCTTAAAGGGCCAGTATTTGAATTCGCGGAAGCACTGGAAGATAAGATCCAGAAGCTCGTTTTGCGGCATGCGGGTGGACTTGTTCTCTTGGGCTTTTCCTTTGGAAGGTCGTGTGGCTTGCTGCGGACGAAGTGAGTAATTTAGCCTCAAAAAGGAAACAGAAATGCAAAAGACATACCACAAATTGACCCCGTTCGGTGGGAAGAGCATGGCGGGCCTGGATGATCTTCCCGGGAATCTTATCAATGAAGACAGTTTCCTTTCGGGGTTTCAGAGCTTCCAGCGCTCGCTTCTCGGAGATCCGTCGGAATTCTTCATTCTCCACGGGAAGGCAATTGAATTCTTCACTGACCGCGCCGGCGAGGGCAGTGTGTTCTAAGAATTGTGAGCAAATAGAACTCGCCATGTCTGCAATGGAACATACTTGGTATCGTCTTTCGCACATAAGGCTCCCATCTTTTGCCCTGTTCCCGCCGCTTCGCTTCACGTTTCTGAGCTTCGTACAGAACCGAGCGCGTTTCGCCAAATGTAGCCATGCGGTTTTCGACGCCGGGGATATCTTTCTCGGTAAAAAGATACGTATTGTGGGTGAGGTGTGATCCAGTGCCTGATGGGTCGACCGTCTGACGCTGGAGTGTGTAGTCCTTAGGAATTTCCCGATTATCTGGGCGATCATGTAGGCGCAAACTGACCTGAGAAACAGACGGATGTCAGAATCTGCCAGGCACGCTACATGCGCATGTCTTTCCACTTACCCTCTTGATGTCATTCGGTGTCCCCTCCACTCTCATGGTACCAAGCTCAATCTCTTCGTCATCGTCCAGATGGGCCCAGTGCTCCCACAGCGACCGGGGCAGACGGGAGAGCCACACATTCTGACCTGCTTGCGTGAAGTCTAGATCTCCAGCATCTTCGTACAGATCTTCTTCGTCGATGTCCCCAAGGACGATATCCTTGCTGTCAGGGTCTTGCTTGAAGTACGGGCGATCCGGGTCTTGCTTGACCTGCGCCATATTGGGTGCAGGATGGCTCGAGGACGGTCAGAATTCAGAGGAAGTGATGGTGTAGCAAATGCGACCGTCGATGCGCAACTGAATTTATCGAAAGACAGAATGGTGGATGTGGTGACAAGCGCGTTTGAGTGATGAAGTCCGCGCCACCCAAGTTTGGAGCTATTCACTCAACCCGATGTGGTAGGCGGTGAGAGCCAGCTCTCTTTGTATGTATGACGAAGTGCTTTTCAAATGACTCTTCACCACCATCCATGGATTAGGTGCATGACTAGTAATTTATCTGCTTAACTGTAATCCGATCCCGAATAGGACTACGGGACATAATTAACTGCATAGGTAGTATTCACCTGGGCATTCAACTGAGCGAAAACTTAGAACCTTTTCGAGTCATCCTCCAGTAACCTTTGTCTCTACAACTGTCATAACAATCATCATACCTTTGCCAACTGTGAGTAACATGTCATACCTTGCTATTCGCACACACTAATATCACCTATCAGTTCACCGTTCCCCAAGGTTGGACTACGAACCCGAACTCCCCCGAATACGAAGGAGACTGGGAGGGATCTGACTCAGAGGGTTAGACTGCTGCGCGGTGCTATGTCCTCGGACCAGGAAAGCCGATAATGGAGGATGTAGAAAGCTGGACAACAATTTTCCAATCGTGCGACAACTTCTATTTGTGGGCACGGATGAGCAACGATGTTGAAATAGTCTGCCACTATATCCGCGAGATTGCGAGTGTGATTGATCAACAAGGTCTTCGCCGGCCTCCGCAGGAGATCTCTCTCCCCATCTTCTGATCTTTCGCGTTGATTATAAAGCGGAGCAGTCGGCCGCGTATGCGGCCTCTGTCCTTGACGTTGTAGGACTTTGATCGTCTAATTTATCTGGCTCAAGATAATATTAGGATTTATGTAAGGTAACACACCGATGTCTTTTCTGGCTGTTCTTTTTAGATGTCTTTTTAGATGGATCCCGAGGTTATTGCCAGTGAATGAGATGATAACTGTATGTTGCCCGTATCCCACTAGTCAACCTATACTAAATACTCGGACTCTTGATGGTTGTTATATAGCGAAGTCAACAATCTGATATAAATATTGAGTGATTTTCACGACGCAAGAGGCATCGTGGACATGTGGCAGAGCAAAGCCTCCTGGGTACATTTCAGGATCTTTGTACGAGAACACAGTTGGTAGATTCGATTGATCTCACAACTGCTCAGGCCGACGAGCTGGCCATTGCCCAGAGCTCAGATGTATTGCTGCTTAGTTTCTCCTTTGCTATAAATCATTCGGTGCTTTTCTAATTCCTCATCTTGTGCCGAATTCGCGTTGGAAACGCGTCGTCGATAAGTTCTTGCTCACCCTCTTCCTCCACCCAAAATTATATCATCTGCAGAGTCCATAAAGCATAATGTGACATTTTTTTCCACGTGGTTCCAACGGCGCATCGAGGGCATTGTCTTTTTATTTGTGTCACTCGGGAATTCCTTCGTACCATTATTAGCTTTGTGCCCCCAAAAGGGTGTACAGCCTAACATAGAAAGATAATACCACTGCCGACTTGAGTAAAACTGATGCTCAATCGGCCGCATGGGTCATAAATCCCTAGCCAAGTGCCACTATATTAAGGAATGGAAGTCATCCAGCTGGAAAGAGTGCTAGTCAGTCTTTTGTGTTGCCGCAAGCCTAGTCAAGAGGCGAGGGATATCACGTTTGTTGGGTTCAATGTCTTGCTTATATATTGATTTGTGGAAGTTGATTGTGAAAAGGTTGAGGATACGGAGCAAGAGAGAGATATATGGAGAAGGAAGAAGGCTTGATAGCAAACAACAGAGATGATCGCTCACTCTGAAATCAGACTAGAAACCATTCATACAAACAGCAGGGATTGTAATCATCCAACAAAAGTGATTGTATATATACCATTACTATATCATCAGGGAACCTACTAAGTACCTGATTAAGAAGTAAGTGGTTATGTTTTTTTTTTTTTTTTGTTTTGTTTTTTTGTCTTTGAAATGCACAAAGCAGGAAACATGGAAAATTATGGATGTAGTTTACAGAGGTAAAGCATAAACATGATAGGCAAAATATCGAAGTCTCACTAATGATTACTTGGCTAGACATCCCGCAACAATACGCTGGAATTGATTGTCTAGGCCTGCGATCCCTGAGCCCAGGCTCTTGATATCATCCTTGCTCATGCCCCTCCGAGCTGTGCCCATGGCTGAGAACTCATCTGGATTACGCATACTACTAAATAGGAGTGTTTCCATAATAGTGAGCGGGGCCATCTTGGGGTCTTCAACAATGGCATAAATTGCGGTGGCACCCACCGCGGCATCGCCAAGCAGCGTAATAATCCGCGACAGCCCGACGAAGGCGTCTGCAACGAGGTCCAACTCGCCCAAAAACGGCACAACCAGGAGCACCCCCATCAGAATGTCGTTGATCATCTTCTTCTTCTGGGTCGCCTCGTACGAGTCGGCGACCTCAACCACTTCTTGCATGCTGGTCACAGCCTGGCTCAGCATGAAGACCGCCATGGACAGCGATTGCACGAGATCGTCCGTGCCGCCGAGCCATGACCCTAGTGCCAGCTCGATCTTCGCCACAGAGATAGTGGCTGTGAGGTTCTGTATGTTTGGCAAGGCCTTGGTCATAATATCTTTGGGGTTGGTCACAGTAATGGCGCTAGTAGGTGCCTCGACGGGATATCCCATATACTCGGCGTGGACCGCCACGCAGCCCGTCTTATCCATGACGGGCGAACACGTCTCGTCGAAATTGCGCTCCCCGAACTGCACCCATGACCGGTCGATGCCATAGTCAGCGGACAGGCTATCGTAGAACCCTTTCTCATCCATCAGCTCGTAGTAGACCGTGTAGGAGCCCGATTTAGTACCAATATCCCCGGGGCATGAACTCGTGGTACTATTCCGGCCAATATGGTTATAGGTGCACTGGAAGAACTGGTTCCCCGGGCCATAAGGCGCCTCGGAACGCATGAACGCGTCTAGCTGGTCGGGAATGACCTCTCTAATATATTCGATATATTCGTCAAATTTCTTGTCATAGCTGCTTGTTATTCCCGTGTAGTTGGTCAGGGTCTGCTGGAGCACAGTTTCCAGCCCATCCAGCGTGTAGAAGTCCACGCATGCGGGATCCAGGTTGTGCATCACGATCTCCAGCGCATCCATCGTGGCCTCCAGCATATCCAGCGTGGGGAAAGTCTTGGTGAAGTCGCAGACCTCGGGCTCGGCGCACGCGGGGTCCGACCCATCTTCATTCGCACAGCCGGCCGGAATATCTGTATTGTCAACACAAGTGGGACTGGGGCAGTAGCCCCGTGTGCAGGCAAAATTGCAGAGTCCACTGTCGCCACCGACGGTGGAAAGGCCAGTGATACTAGTGTTGGCGGCTGGGGGGACGTTCAAGGGACCCGTGGCTGTGCAGGTGCAGTTGTGGATAGGGCAATATCCCACATTGCACGCGTAGCTACACAGGCCGGCTAAGGCGCCCGACCCGGAGCCGGCCGTGCAGGTATCCGCGACGAAAGGTGACACCGTGGGCACGGTAAGCGGTACCTCAACAGTGCCACACACACCCGCAATGCAATTGCCGTAATTACAAGCAAAGGAACATAGACCGCTATAGCTAGCGCTCTCGCCCGAAGTGGGATATCCTTGAATGCCTGTGGCTATAGGCATCTTAGCCCGGGGTCCCATCTTCGAACACACGCAGGCGCCTATAGGACAGTACCCTAGGCTGCAGGTGAACTCACACAACCCGGCAAAGTTACCTTTGCCCCAGCCCTGAATGCAGACCTGATTGGCCAGCGAGGGAGACTTGACAGATATCGAGTTTCCAGCCATCTTACTACCGACCCAAGCGTTCCAGTTTTCGACGCCTAGGGTGTTATAACACCCACTAGAGATTGATTCTCCATCGAGGGAGACTAGGGTGCTTCCAGCACGAGTGATTGTGATCTCCACACCCCCGGAGTGGCCTGTGAAAGCTACACTACCGTGATAGATGCCCGCGTTGCCGCTAGGGGTATGAGTCCAAGTAGCGCCTAGGTCCACACCATCTATCGTGACGGTAACGTCGCCTGGGGAACCTAACAGCGCAGAGTAGAAGATCTTATCCTGAACGATATTCTTTACCTTATATTCTAGCTGTAGCTGGCTCACTGTATTCCCGGTCGTGCCACCATCGGACGCACAAGCTCCGGCCGCATTGAGCCGATACCATGCCGATAGGCCTTCCTCCGTAATTGTAGTGACGTTATTTTTATAATTGTCAATGAGGAAGGGGAGAAAGGCTCGCCAGCCGCTATGATCATAGGCTAGGGCGTAGTTGAAGGGCGAATCTCCGTATCCGTCGCCGAATGCCACGTAGGTGGCATTGGCTAGTTCGTTATGGCTGTCGTAACCCGGCCCAATATAATGGGACTCGCCATAATCGTTCCAGGAAATGATCTCCACAAATTCCGGCGCCAGATACATAACCTGCTGCCATCGATCATACCAGAGGTCGTCCCCGCGCCACATCCAATTTTTATCATATCCCGGCATATTGGTAAAGAACCAAGGTGAAACGGGCATCATATACGGCTTACCTCCTAGGAACTGCTGGTAGGAGGCATCCGTATAGGTATCCATGTCCGATGGTCCATATGGCCAGGCAGCCCAGTTGAAGAGACCATCCGCCACTCCATCGGCTTGCTCCATCGCAACCTTAGCTCCTAAGGATGACCAATCTGGCACAAAAAAGCAGTTTGTCTCCTTCTTAATGTCTGCCCAGTCGGCAGCATTGCCTGGTCCTTCAAATGTGGAGCATAGGGGTTGGTCGTTGTGATGCCAGTAGGTCAGCGAGGTGCCGGCGTAGGCATTGAGAAGTTCGATCACTTTCTCCTTGTCCCAGGGGCCATTCCCGGCGTAGTCAAACGAAAAGAACAGTCGGAACCCGATATTCTGGGCCGCCAGGAAAGCATTACCCAGGGAAGCCTCGGTAGTGCTCTCATCATTGGCAATGTTGAGGGCGAACGCATCAATATGCGCATGGATGGCCTCGGACATATGGTCCTCCCAATCTGCCACTTTATATCCAGCCGTATTGGAGACCTACTATAATCAGCTAGGTTTCTCGTAAAGAGCCATCAATGCCGGACTGAAGAAACATCACGAACCATAAAATGAGCAAACACTGCCCTTGTCTGGACTTGGCAAGCCAGGTAGCATGTTGCAGCAACCAGACTCCCAAGAAACTTCATTGTAACTCAAATAAAGAGAGTGGAACTGGAGGAAACAAGGAATGAACCCAGGAACGAGTTATATAAGTAGGACAGAAAAGAAGAAAAGGGAGTGAAAAGAAAGACAAGAACAGCGAACACCGGTCAAGAAGCAATAAAAGGATCAAAATGAAAGAAAAGAAGTTAATCGTCCGAAGGGCTTTGGCCCATGGTTTCCACTTGACAGGGGAGTTGACCAGCGTGCATACCCAGAGGGGATGTAGCCGAGAGAAAAAAATAATTAAAGACAAAAGATAGGAAATTGACACTAATACCTCGACTTCAATCTAGCAATCTCCGTGCCAGGCTAGTGAGGTAGTACTTATCCAAATAGAGGTATTAATTTCCGACACGTACCAGCTCGAATTGTCTCTAGGGCATATACTATCCTGGTTCGAGTAGGACGCGCTTACAGGAGCTATTGATATGCCTCTACTGGACTAGATTGCGAGATAATATAGTCGTGAATCCCTGAATTTAGTGAATCTTCTTCTCTACTGCTGTGAAATTCTTAACATTTTGCCTGTCCTTCCTGACCCACAAGCATCGACCATTCTCTATATAACCATTCTGTTTGAATCAGACTAAAATGAAGAGCATAGTGATATTTCTCGGAATCCTGACCTTGTTTTCGCGCACCGTTGTTGCGGTGGTCGGCGGGTCCATACTCGCGCACTGTTATGAAGCCATATATCTCTATTATGGTTATCTGGCCGACTTGGGAATCAATGGAGACAGCCGAACTCTCGGCACCGGGTGCCACCCCAGTAAGGGCACTGTTTGCACCGTGTGGGAGTTCATCGACAGCATTGAAACCAGGTTTGATGCCGCAAAGTTAGGGGATGGTGGCACGATAGGCGCTACCACTCGCCCTGGCGACCTAGAAGAACTCGCCGATACGATGGCCAAAAAAGGCTTCAATAGGTACAACGACTACGCCATGTTTGGTGGACCGGTTTTTCACAGCCAGGTTCTTCTCAAAGCCACCAAAATTCTCAACGACGCGCGCAACAACCACCCTAATGTTCTTCAAGGGGGGATTTTGGGTCAGGCCAAGAAGGCATTGCTGTATGCCCAGGGCGAGCGTGAGCAGGATACGCTAGCGTCTAAAAGGGCAGCCGTGCAGAAGGACTGGGGGAGGGAGGATCTGGTGATTGTGGAGAAGCAGGTGGTCTTGGAAGGCGGGGTCACATTTCAGGACATTGATTGGCGAGCAACTGCGGAGGCAAGTGCAATAAAATCAGGCAAAGAATTTCAACGTGTGTTAGCGGGCTTCGTGGATTTTTCTAGAACCATGAGTCGGGATGAGGATGTTGACGCTGAGCTCCGGAAACATCTCCGCATCGTGCAGAGTATTCGCACGCAGTCCGACTCTCTGGGCAGCTTGGCCGCCTGCAAGGCCCTTGAGTAACTACCGGATCTTTTTGGGGATGTGAATGTAACTAGATTGGTCGTCATTGTTATTGCAAGACACGGAGCTGAAGGCCTGATTAAGGAAATGTAGCCACGTTGATAGGGCTAATCTACATGGCACATATGTCGTTATAGTGTTAACTTACGTTGCACATCCAAAAGATGGATTTTGTGGAGATTACGGAGTAACTAGTGTTTGGGTGGATACCTACGGGATCAGGTCAGAACCTAACTAGCAGGTCTGCTAGGTCGTGTCATTTTCCACATTACAACTCCCTTCATTTCTCCCTGCCTTTTATGTCATTCGCTCTATATCTCCTCACCTAACCTCACTTCCCACCGATCCTTTGGAAGAGATCTAGGCACTCCAACACAACTATTATAGCATGACGACCCTTACTAACGCTGGCCATGGTCTGCTTCAAGTCCCTGGATTTGGCTCAATCCCCCTGACTTTTGAACTTCCCCCGGAGGCCTGCTTTGCTCATGGGCTGGTTGGATATCGCCACTCGCCTCGGTTGACCAAGCGAGAGATGGCTATGCTCCGACTCATGCAACGTATCACAGAGCATCCTGGGTGGGATCGCGCGATACTGGACTCGGATGAAACCAAGATTGCGCAGTGGTACCGGGACGCCACCGAAGGAACTGAAGGGTGTCTTATCAGTACCGCCACATGGAATTGGTGCCTCGCGGAATTACACGACAAAGCGGAGACATGGCAGGCAACGGGTCATCTCTTGGTTTTTGATAGCTCCTCAGCCGTGTGTCAGGCCGATTTGTCAATGATCGTCTTCCCGGAGGAAATCCAAAAGGGGGTGGCCCGACTAGGGTCACAAGGAAGCCATGATTCCCCCATTGTGGATCCGTCTCTATTTCCGCTAGTGTACGACCGCTCCCAAGTATTAGTCCAGGGTGGACATGTTTCCCTGGGTAATTTATGGGAACTAGCTGGGAAAGTCGCCAAAGAGCTGCCGATTGATCCTCTCGACCAAAGAATATGGCCCGAGGGTCATTTATCCCGCACTCCTGGATATGGAGGGCAGGAGAGCTGTTGGTCGAATCGCTTCCAATGGCTTCCCTGCGAAGTGCAGTTCAGTCCCGCGAGTTCTGAAATGCCCAACAGCACCCCCGATGTTCGGATTACGTCATATGTGAATAATCTCCACCCAGACTACAATACGGAGCTGTACAGACAGCTTGAGAGCCTAATCGCAGGCTCAGTTTCTTCCTGGAACGAGATTCTCTTCTACGGCAATACTCGTGGCCGCCATCCGCCACGCATCTTGACATATGGTTGTCAGGTTCACAACAACATGGAATATGACAAGATTTTTCACGAGGTGTTCCCAGTGCTCACCTGGTCTGGGCTACGTGATACCTATGAAGAGTGGCAGGAGCTGTGTAACGTCGCTCGCGAGTACATCACAGGTCCTGAGCCACCGAGATGGAAACAGGCATATTCTAGCAAGCATCAAATTCTATTACACGATGTCACACCAGAGCAGTGGGACTGTCCAAGAGATGTGCATCGTGCCCTCAAATCTAAACGGAGGCGCAGAGCCTGGTTCGACCATCCCGAGCCCGGCGCCTCATTTTCGTATGAACAATGGAGACAGGGTCAATTTACAGGACGCGCGATAAGCCCGCAGCGTGTTGGGCAGTTCCCGGATCCACTCCACCATGATCATATTCCCGTACGACTGGAGCAGAACTTTCAGCAGGATGGTCTCCAGGTCGTCGTGGAGATTACCCGCATCGAACTAACGCCGGAGAATCCCGTGTATTCCGGGGATACTCATTTCCACACCGAGGGGCTGCGCAATGACCATATTGTGGCCACCAGCCTATACGTGGTGGAAGCCAAGAATGTAACCCAGGCCCGCGTGGCGTTCGAGCATGAGGATAAAGTCCACGCGGGTGAGCTCGAGTGCAAGGTCCCGGAGGCGCTATCGACTGTCCTAGATGTGGATCACTGGGAAATATTTGAGGAGAGGCCTCCTCGGGCACTACATACCTTCGGGTCAGTTCGGATTACAGAGGGCCATCTTCTGAGCTGGCCTAATACTTATCGGTCGAAGCAAGAGTCATTTCGCTTAAGAGATCCCAGTCAGCCCGGAAATATGACCCTCGTCAAGCTTCGTCTAGTGGACCCACATTATCGCGTGTGCTCCACACGCAATGTACCTCCACAGCAGCATGACTGGTGGGCTGCTGCAGCGCGGCGGGCAGCGAATTTGGATAACCGCTTGCCCGGGGAGTTGGTACTTTCCGTCATGGAACAGGCAGACTGGTGGCCTATGTCCGCAGTTGAGGCGCGGCGCTTACGTGAAGAGTTCCACGATCATCACGAGCGTGCGCGAAAGGCCATTGAGGAGTGTGTGGGGCACCATGTGGTACTCTTTCTTCCTTACACTGAAGGGGCGGCCGGGGATGCGACGGAAGCGACTGCTGGTGCTGGTTACGAGTCTCCTTAATATCTCTTATCAAATATTTTATTTGCTCTAGACCCTGGGAGGCCACAGAACCTACCTTGTGCTAGCTCGGGCGAGAATGCACGCTAATGGACATACGCCACCGGTAATAACAATGGTATCCTTTCAAATGCATACAACTAATTAATTACAAAAAAGATCATGAATCACACACTGGTGATTGATTCATCATTATCATTGTTAATACCAACAAGCTACCCCCAGATAGGCTAATATATTGATATGCATTAGCGTCCCTTCTCGAACTGGCACGGCAGGGTATCGCGACTCCAGGTACGGAGTACTCCTAGTTTATCATTTTTCCCTGCTCAAATATGGCATCTTAGAATTAATATATGTCTATTTCTTCCAGTAGGCCCTCGGGTTTCACCGTGAGAGGTTCTCATCGTTTGGAGCGCTTGGACCAATCGAGGCAACTAAGAGGCTAACCGAAGACACCAGCGCTAGTATAGCTTCGCCAGTACCTTGTTTTAATTTCCGACTACTCCGTGCTCGGCACCACTTAAACTCCGTGCTGTGTCTCGAATCCTTTTTACCACATATGTTGTATACATCTTGTCGCTGAAGGTGGGAACTTAGGACTTCTACCTATCAACGTGATGTTTTGTCTTTGGGCCGTGAGTGCCCTTCTTGCCCTCAAGGTGACAGCAGCATTGACGGCTGGGTCCTCTTTGAGTTGCAAAGAATCAATGCAACACAACACAATATCGTTGTTCAGCCATGCCCCCTTGACCTTCTCCTACGAGGTCCCTAACAACCTTGCCTGTGCTGCGAAATGTGACGGGATATCTGGATGTCGCGCCTGGCTGTATTCCAGTTCTGGCCAGGAATGTCAACTATATCGCGAAGAGCCAGTATTCCAGGCACACAATCCGCATTTTATATCGGGTCTTTGTGACGGAGTCTCTATATCATCTTCTAAGGCCGCCGTTTCGTCATTGATATCAGCATCATCGAGTCAGCCTTCGGTAAGTTTCTAAAATCATCTGCTTTTTCTCATAACCCTCGTCTACTCTATACTGTTCTCTCATCTTTCCTCCTATGTTGCACTCAACGCACTCACTAATATCTACACTCACTAATCTCTACAGATCTATCAACAACAACCCGAGCCGAGTGTCCACGCAAAACGCGACTGGTCTGGTCGTCGCTCTCATTATCATGGTCATAGAAACAGCCATGAGCATCATGTGTAGCATGAATTTCTCCCTAGGGACACTTCCTGAATCATCGAGTAAAGGAAGCTTCGAGCGAGTGTTGTGGAAATTTATCCGAGAATGGCTGCACACCTGCCGCGAGGGCACACTATCCATAATTGCGGAGTAGAAATAATTTTACATCCATACTTCGTACACGAGCTTGGATTTACATTTGAATGGTGTCCCATTAGATGCAAACGGCCGTATCTTGCATCATTCATAAATATTGCATGGTTGTAACCCACCTAACTATTAATCTGCTCGCATGTGGTGTATGCTATTACTAGCCAGTTCTTTGAAAGAAAAGAGTGCATGTCATTCAAAATACCGGGAGATTCACGTCAGCGTATGTAGAGTGCAGTGGCTCCCCACCTACATCAGCAAATGGGTCGAAATTAGCCGGCAACCCACCCCACATACGAACAAGCTCTTCACAGTTGGCACACAGCCTCCGTACCGCGTTCCAAGTTCATCGCGAGGTACCATCTTCATACTTGCTGTGCAGCACCCCTTTCCGATGCACAGCTATTCCACACACAGCATCTGGGCTGGTATTACCCCTATCTGGTCAGCTTTAACACTACATATGTATGGATCCCAGGGATTGCAGGGGTGAACTTACTTCAACATATGTAGTAGAGGGTAGACCTCGGCGCAGTTTCCGAACCAAATCCGCTTTGCGGATGCAGGGCAGTCGATCATGGTATACCCCCTTAATGCCATATCCGCATCATTGATCAAAGAAAACCTTGCTTCTTTGACTGTCTGCGTCCATGAGGCATTTGCTTGCTTGTATCGTCCAAGCGATGCTCCTGAAAAGAAACGACCTCGGTCTTCACCCTCTGCTGTCCAGGTGCAATTGAACATTGTAGGACATGGTAGAGGATCTCCAAGCACTTTGCACCACCTTCCATACATATCCACGAGCGGGAGGTAGAAAGTGCGCGAATTTGCACCAGCTGGCGCAATACCCGTCGATAAGAGAAGCAATCCGGACGGTAGTCCAAGAAGTGAATTTAGAGAGGTGTAGGAGTGTGTATTGTCAATCTGTAACTATCTGCTACCTATAACCTCTATATATCAATGCTCATATAATACCTATAAAAAAAGAAAGGAAGGGTAGGTAAGGCTAATACGTAGTTATGACTATGTTCCCTACTATATATCACCCTACCCGAGATATCGACTATCCCTAGGCGATCGCGCGCTATAAAGAAGTATTAAAAAAGAGAATAGCCTTCTTAATATCTAATAGGGGGTGACGATGAGCGAAATGATAGCGATCAAGAAGAAATCAAGGCCCGAGAGCCATGCGAGACGGGTATCAGCGAGACGTGAGAGAATTCAAGACATAGAAAGAGAGTTCTAGTCCCTAGAATAGACTTGTATTAGCTTCTCTAAGTGATATGTCACAAAAGTACTTCATCACATTCATTCCAAATCGGGTTTGTATACGGAAGGGGTAGCTGAATACAAATTCAATAATCATGGGTACCACACATTTTGCCAGACAATCATCCAACCTTCTCGTACCTATATTGCCCTAAATACCTATCTCTCCAGGTTTCTATAGAAGGCCTCGCTTCGTTGATTCTCAGGGTTACTGTAAGTTCAGATAACAAAATTTCCTCATGCGCTCCCACATATCGAGTAGATGTCTTCTTTCACTGATGAAGTGACCCTCTCGAGGATAAGTCACCATGTCGACAGGCACGTTGTTGTGAACACACGCACGGTAGAATGCGATGGCCTGCTCTAAGGGCACACGCACGTCGTTCTCGCCATGAAGAATCAGGATGGGTGTCTTCACATGACGCATGTGCCATAATGCACTTGCCTTGCGACCATCTGCGTTACCAATCCATTGCTTCTCGAGGCTTGTCGAGTCTTCCCCGGGCTTTAAGCTCTTATCCACATCCCATGGAGCACCGCCGACCATTTCAGCTTGCATCGTATATGCATCGCTCATCATCGCCATAGAGGTCCATTCTGATATGCCTGCCCCACATATGGCTCCTCTGAATTGAAAATCCTCGCGGGTGACTCCAAAATAAGATAGAAATCCTCCCTGCGACCAACCACCGATTGCCACACGTGAAGGGTCTACCCAACCCTTGGCGATACTGTATCGCAGGACGTCAATACAGTCCGTGTAGTCGACTGTTCCAGCCCCTCCATGAGCGTAAGCCGCATGTCTTTCACCCCTACTGCTCCCACCACGGTAGTTGGGGCAAAGAACGGCATAGCCCATTGAGACTAATACCGGAGCCTCAAGACAATGGCAGACAGCAAAACCTTTGGTAATCCGCCAGTATGGCCCTCCGTGCGGAATGAGAATCGTTGCGAGTGGCCCATCCTCAGGGTTGTATGTGGAGGGAACATATATCATTCCGTCGAGATAGTATCCATCTGCCGCGCGAGTTGAAATTGACCACGACTTGGATATTTTCAGGGCGGCGATCGAGGAATTGTGAGCGGACAATCTGACTGTACCCGCAGGCTCTGAGACGGAAAAGACCTCCTCGGGATTTGACCCATCACCCTTCGTGATCGCAACGATAGCATTATCCGGAGTCTTGAGGAAGTCAAATGAGATCATCTCACACTCATCGCCATAGACCTTCGTACGAGTGCCATCACTGATCGAGTAGAACTCGTCAGCCAGGTACCTCTGGACACGGTAAGATAGGCAAGATAGATTCTTCCGAATTGTGATGCAACAGTGCTCCTCATCGCCATTTATATGCTCTGCATATGAGCTGTTTTTAATATCAAGTTCGTACAACGAAAGGGAGGTTAAGATGTGAGTTGGGACATGACCAGCAATGAAGTAAACACCACAGTCTCCCCATGCGATCTGGCTGATCATTCCGGGAAATTCGACGATTTTCTTCGGCTCCAGTCCGGACTTAGATGTCAGCCAGATCTCTGTACCGTAAAGCCAAGGAGAGTTGATATCTGGGTCTTTATGTGCAACAAAGCAAATCTCTCGTGAGTCAGGGCTCCAAGTGAAGTCATGCACGTGTCTGTTGCCACCAACGATGGTGTCAATTTGCCTTCTTGCTACATCAACAGTTCTCAGATGGTGGTATTCCTGGTCCTGGCCCCAAATTGTCGGCTCGTCTTTTGCTTTCTCCTTTGCAACCTGCTCGGTTGTCTTCTCATCCGCGCTCGTAAATGCGATACTTGTGCCGGTAGAATCCCATTGAAAGGCCACAATTGGCTTCTCAAAATCCACCGGCGTTACGGGGTATGCTTCGCCACCATTGATTGACAACAGATATATGGCAGAACTTTGCCCTGGCCGATGTCGATCCGATTTGAAGGCAACTATCATTCCCGCTGGAGACCAGTGGGGCTGTTCATCATTGAATAAACCCGGAGTAAGTTGGCGACTGCTGTTTTCTTCGCCAACTTTGGCGATCCAGATTGAGGAGGTGACATGTTCGCCCTTCTTGCTGTAAGCTCGCAGTGCATAGGCAATCTGGGTCCCGTCGGGAGAGATGGAAATATCACGAGGAACTTGAAGGTCGGCTAGAGCCTCCAAGCTCACCTCAGGCTTGTCATTTATATCAGTTTTCATTGTTCTTGTTTTGAGTGTTGGTGGGCAAGTCTGCAGGAGACGGAAATTCCAGACGGTAGGGAGTATAAGGTTCAAGGGATGATATTCATTGCCTTGGACGGTGGTGTTGGCTATCTCCGATCGCTTCGGTGGTGAAGACGGGCCGAGTAGACCTTATGAGGGCTCTCCTAAGCTAACCATACCTTAATAGACTTAGCGACTGCAATGCTCTCTTGTAATCCTCGTCGTACACTCAACCTGTTTTATCATGCAACCTCGGTTCTCCCAATTGTGTCGGCATAGCGGGGTAGAAGCAAAGATACTTTTTCCCCTGACTGCGCACTCTATATCCGGCAATAGAGCACAGGTCTCTATCAAGACACTAGAAAATACTCATTTGTCTTACAATAGTCGGTTGTTTACTGCTTCCCCTAATTGTGATGGTTGCTTGTCTCCAGTCAATGGCTTACTTCAGTCAAGAGTAAGCCGCCTGAATTAGGTTAGTAACAGACTAGTTATGCATTCTACCAGGAATGCCCTGTATAGCTTACGGGAATACACTGGATTTACAGGCCAACTGGAGCAACGGAATCAAAAAGGGGTAATACAAAGATGAGATTAACAGAGTGTTGATTCTGGTTCTCTACAACTGCTGGGGGTCGAGGGGATTGAAATACCCTCGCGAATACCTGTGATTCGGGGGTACATATCGTGAAAGGTGGCAAAAGTACGCGTAATCCCAATACTCAATACCATATCCTTGGAAGCCTCGAGAGGTACGTCGAATTTCTTTTGCAGCATCTAGATCGAGTCTAAACGGATTTGTGGTGCTGGTAAGCTTGAATATATCGGGTTTTCTTTTTACTTAATGGAGAGAAGCTGATCCGCATATCATTGAGTGTAATCCAAATATAAAGGCAACCCTACGCATATAATCACTTAGGTTGAGCATTAAATGTGCCGCCTTGACGCGATCTAGCCCTTTCGATTTCTCCTTCCCTTCTTCCTCTCCCTTCAACTCCTCTATTTTGCCCTCATCGCCGGGGAAAACGTTTGGCGTAGCGTCTCGGCGTTTTCTTGAGCTGCTATCTCTGAGGCCGATATTGACATGCAGGACGCTATTATCAGGCTATACGACGAGTTGATGAAACTTTTTCACGATTGAAACAGGTGGGTGGAAAGATTTAAGAGCAAGAACCTGCAACCATTATTAACACAGACACGGGAGTCTCCAGAGATATATAGCAAAATAGCTGCTGTGGATTTTGTCAAGGCGATGGCGAAAGCATCGATTAATAGAGGCACCAGGCATACAACCAGCAGATGAGAGAACCATCCAAGAGCTCAATGTGAGTACTAGTCGAGGGTATGCACCCATTCTGCGCGGCCCTTCAAGTTGGTTAAGATACCGACGGGAACACACGATCTAGAGCGTTTGAGACAGTGCTACATCAGACATTGAAACACATACACGCATCTCAGAAACAGATACACCTGTCAATGGAACAAGTAATAGAAGGAAACGGTACATAATGGCATGATGTTCATGTCTCTACGTATGCCGAAACCTTCATTTTCAACACCAAGATCACTATATAATTTAGATTTCACACTAGCTTCTCCACGGCAAATCCAACACACCTTAGGTCTAACGGAATTCGCGGCGTTATCATAGGATAACGCAGTCGCGCCTTTCCTGCTCCATGTCATTCGCTCATTATCTCTCGTCCCCCGACAAGTAATCCGAATCCCAGTACTGGGAAGCACCCTTTGACACGATCGACGATGTCTCCGATTCGTCCTCGTCGCTGTCCACCGTGTCTTCCCAATGTCCACTACTACAAGGGATCGTCAGTATCGTCTCTCCCAAGGGTCGAAGTCCGGATTGATGCACGCGCTCTGGTGAAGGGGAAATGGGACAAACCTGTACGACTCGTTCAGATCGTGCCAGTCTGGCGGTAGGTCGTCTGCGACATGAATGGTGCGGGCGTATTTTCTGACTTTTCGCCAGAAGTAATCTGTCTGTGGACGGTCACTTGGGCTTTTCTTAGGGAAGCGCTGTTTGATGATAACGGTTAGTGGTCGAGAGTTTGGGCTCGGCGAGGTGGTACATCTCTTACTTTGCTAGATATACAGAGCTGGATGAACGACACGACAAAGGCGATCCACCACTTTGTCCGGTTGGGGCCCCTGAGGCCGCGCCCGCCTCGAAACTCGACGGTGCCGGTACAGCGGTTGCCGGGGACGGTGTGCTCAAAATTCCACATCACGCGCCGGTCGTCTTGCATGAAGTCCTCCAACTCCCGCTCGTCGTCGACCCCCCAAATCTGTTCCATAGTCAGTCGGACATCGTTGTTGGAACCGTTCTCGTACCACACGCCGACCCTTGAAGTTTCCCAGTTCTTCTGGCAATACGCGTTGTTACGGCGGGGCGCGGGGAGCATGTCGTTCAGGTTGTTTGCGTAAAAGACGATGCCGCAGGCGATCTTCTTCAGCTCAGTTAGGGTGAAGCGCTTGTTGGGCCCAGGGGAGACGTGGATGTGGCTGCCGCATTTGGCAGAGCGGCGGGGAAGTTCGAAGACCCGGCCCCAGGAGGTCCAGAAGAGGTCGATTTCGGTTTCCCAGTGTTGGCTGGTGCTGAGGACTGGGGATACGGCTTCTATGGGAACTTTCGATTCGGCGTGTTAGTATGTTCTGGTTAGGACGGAGAGCGTTGTCCCCGGGATGAACAACAGTTCCTCACTGGCAGGGTGGGCTGGGTTGCCCAGCGATCCATCTTTTGTGAGGAACCATTTGTCGTAATGCTCGGAATGCTTGCGGTATCTGCCTTCCAGGGAATCTGCCATTGCATTAAGGCCATGGTTGCGGAGGGATGCAGCAAGCTTCTCGTAGTAAAACCTTCGGCCCTGTGAATGTCGGACCACGTGAGGCTCCGCAATGAGCTCGATCTCGACGCCGAAGTAGAAAGAGTCCCTTGCCATGAGGTTCGTTTCAAAGTAGTTTTCGTGAGCTCCTTAATATATATATATATATATATATGTATATTTGTCCGGCACTTCAAGGTAGGCGCTTGCTGCTACACACAAGGTCAGAAGTCTGATAATAAGTTGTCCATCACATCTTGGGTCTCTCAGCCTCATCGGCCGTCTCAGAGTCGATTTTTCGTATCCGATATTGCCGCTTTGCAGATTCTGGGCGTTGAAAACCCCCTCTGCCCATTAGGCTCCCCAACCGAGCAGGGAAAGGTCCCAATAGGAACCCCCCCGATGGGGGTGGCTGAGTCTGAGCGCTCAACCTCCCTCTCGTCTGTACGAGTAGGAGAGTAAATCGCCCGGACAGTATTAGGGGTAGAAGAGCCCAAAGCAGAAAGAGTCCGAGTAAGGAGCTGCAGGGCGAGAGACACCTGCATTACGGTAGCGCAGCCACCGACAAAGAGAAAACTGCAGCACGACGAGTATGGCCTCTACCCGCCTTGGCGGTATCAAGTAGCACAACGACTTTCCCTCTTGATTTTCCCACTACGCAGGAGCAATTCCAGTACAAATTGGAAGCGACTGGCCGACTTCCGCAATGAGGCTGAAAATTCCTGATAGAACCATTTGGGGCGCGGAACAAGCGCCTGGGGCTTATTGCATGATGCATGAAGCTCAAGGTATTTATCTGCAACTCTTGCTTCAGGCAGGTTCGAGAAGTGCACGTGCTGGGACGGAACGAAGTGGTTGATGTGAGAGAGCAGCGACGGAGAATGATGCCCTGTTGGGCTGGTGGGGCGGGTACCCATACTAAACTCGGGTAACCTCCGTCGGGCTGGTGGGCTAAGTTGTAAATACGCCCGGGCACCAATCACGCCGTGTTAAAAGCGAAGGCAGATTCCGCCTCACTGTGTCATGTACCATCTTGACACGTCATATGCAATCCTCCATCGCAGGCATTAGGCGCGTGGCTTGCGCTGTGATGAAGTTCTCAGCCTGATCGAAATCTGATCGTGGGAAAATAACACCATACTGTCGTTCACACAATCATTCCACTCAACACGGATTGCTTGGCACACGGTGTCTACGACTGACTCCTTCCGCTATTCCTTGCTTCGTGCTAGTGATTTGAGCCATCCGGGTCGTGGAATGCCTCTTAGCCCAAAATGTCGTCCAAGATATTTCACCGCCAATACTATTTCGCCTTTGGCAGCAACATGAGTTTGACACAAATGGCAGAACGTTGTCCCGGAAGCACTTTCATCGGGAAGGCCACACTGCGAGGATATAAATGGCAAATCAACCAGAGGCATGTGGCGAACATTGTCAAAATCACCGAAGACTTTTCAAGTGTACCAGCCGGTCAGGCTGATGTGGTCGAGGGTCTCGTGTTCTCCATTACCGATAAGGACCGTCGGACTCTAGATCGCAAGGAAGGCATCAAACTCGGTGCTTATGAACGAGTCGTGCTGAATGTTCTCCTGGAGCGACATCCAAATTTAGCCGAGAAAAAGACAGCGTTTGTTCGAGACAGGCTGCAAGATGAGTCTAATGCTATCGATCGACCGGCTAGTTACAAGGAGACACTTGTCGAGTCTCAACAAAAGTATCTTGCAATGCCCGATGGCCCTAACATTGGCAAAAATGCAGCGGATTTACAGCCCAAGCTGTCAGTCTTGTCCAAAAACCCGCCGTCCTCGGTAAGAAGTCCGGCAGCCGAGGTTGAAATAATTGAGGCGATCACATACCTGAGCACCAAGTATGCTGATAATGGACTGATACGACGCGAGTATGTTCAAAGGATGGAAAACGCAATAAGCGACGCCGTGAAGCTCGACGTGTCGCGGAATTTTGTGGAAAGGTGCCTCGAACCTTATATACATGGAGATGTGTATCAACCGGAAGAGGACGTCCAAGAAAAACCCTCGACTTCCAATCCGTCAGTCTCACAGACCGTCCTCGAAGAAAAGAAAAGGAAGGCAAACCGAGCTCATCACACCAAGAAAAAAAACCACGGCCCAAACTCTAAGAAACAGCCTCTCCGAGGCGAAGATAGAGAAAGCAAGAGAACCCACCCACAGATAGGCGAGGGAGGGCAAGTCTCAAGAAAGGAGCAAGACAAAGGACCAGCCGGCTTTTGGTCTTCCATGTCGTCGATGTTTGGCTCTGGTCAGAGTCAAGGAAGCGCAAAAGCTCCCCAGGATCGCTAATATAGGATGATGAACATCAAAATAATTAAGTTGATTTTGTTCTTCAATAAATTGAAACTGTTTACTTGTAAAATCAAACAAAACAAACATAATCAAAGAATTAAATTAGCAATGGGAGCCGATTCTGGCGTCCCGGTCGCCGTGTCCACGTATACTTCAATAGGGCGTACAACCCAGTCTAGGTTGTCTGCTTGTTATTATAGGAAATTCTATATTAGACAGGCGGTCACCCTAGTGGGAGGTGGAATTGGCTGAGGCTTACCGTTGCCGTGCTTTAACCCCAACACCCAACCTTGGTGAACCGCACTAGGACGAGGGGTAGGCACCCAAAAATTTCGAGGGTGACCAGAAGACATTTTGTCACTTTTGTTTCCTCGATCCTCAAAGCACACACGTCGAAGGGTCGCCTGAGGCAGGACGCACCCGTGTTACCAGTCCCTCTCGCAGCAACTGCAGCTGACTCGAGCCGTCCCCGATTGTTCGGCAGCGTCCAGCATGACAGACTCTGGCTGTTCCAGCGCCCCAAAATACTTTCTCACTACAGCACGTGTTGGCTTTCGTCTTTGGACTGACAATGATATCGGCTTGGCATTAGCATTGTGGGGCGACCCAGAAGTCTCTCGTTTCATTAACGCGCGTGGTGCCCTGAATGCGGCCGAGGTGAGGCAAAAGCTAAATGCTGAGTTGCAATCGCAAGCCGAGTACGGCATACAGTACTGGCCAATCTTCCTGAAAGAGAATGGTGAGCATGTTGGCTGCTGTGGAGTGCGTCCCAAGGATATTGCGAATGGCGTTATGGAGTTTGGAGTTCATTTGCGGCGTGATTATTGGGGTTCTGGGCTGGCTGCCGAAGCTGGCTGCGCCGCTATTGATTATGCATTCGCGCATCAGCATGCTACAGAACTGTTTGCAGGTCACAATCCACAAAACAAGGCTTCACGCCATCTACTGCAGAAGCTCGGGTTTGTCTACATTTGCGACGAGTTCTATCCACCGACTGGCCTGATGCATCCGTCTTATAACTTGAGACGGCCAACTACGACGACATAATCAATCTTAGATAAATTATAAAGAGATAACCATAATTGTGACGGGAGCCAAGCTAATAATGTAATATAAAATGATATATATAAATGTATGTAAATATAATCTTGTTATTTGCTACATTAATGAAAGATTAGTAGGAAATAAAGTAAGGGATCAACATCGGCAACCCTATGCATCGGCCGTGCAGAGCTGAAGTTGAGTGTTAATTACAACTCAGTGTCCGAAGTGCTGCCACTTTGAGGGACGAAGTTTGAATTCGGCGCATCAAATGGATAATCATCACCCGGGTCGTCAGCGATATCGGATCTGCAATTTCACACAAATTAAGTTACTGCATATATCCAAAGCAAAGGGCGAGAAACGCACCTGTTAGATTCGTTCATGGTCTTGAAGCTTTCCGGCAAGTGTTGGGCCATGCTCTCGGTAGCGGCGGCATTTCGGATCTTCTTCCAGAATTCCGACGAGGTGCTGGACGCGTAAGAGCTCTTGAGAGGCAGTTTGAACTGTGGCATGTCAGTACAAGTGTCACACTACGTCAAGCGTCGCACTTTGTGCGACACACCTCTTGGATTGCCAGAATCATAAATGCCACGGCAAAACTTATCCATCGCTTCGTCCTTACTGGGCCTCTGAGGCACCTCCCACCTCTGAATTCAACTGTGCCGATCGCCGGCTCCTCTGTAAAGGGCATACGCGTGACGTTGTGGAAGTTCCAGAGCACCGGGCGGTCCGTTTTCGACAAGCCCTGTACAATTTCGACGAGTTTCTCCTTGTTCTTTACGGCGTTGATTAACGCCGCTACTTCGCTTATGCTCTTCCCTTTTAGATATTGAGAATGTTTGTTGTTGGGCACACAGTAGTGGTAGTTTCTCCGGCTTTGAGGGAGAACTTGCTGAACTTGCTCGTCGTAAAAGACGACGGCAAAGGCGATTGCCTGCAGCTCTTTAAGGTAGAAGGAGCCTCTGCCGGGGGACACATGAACATGGCTACCGCATCTCAACACCCGTCGAGGTATGTGGAAGACGGCCCTCATAGCGCTCCAGTATGCATCAATTTCATCCTCCCACCGCTTGCGTGTTTCCAGCCTCGGCGATACAGCCTCGAAAGGTACTGGACACAAAATGTCAGCCGGTCTTAGTACGATTGAGTTGAAGCGCGAGATTCGACCTACCGCCGGGATGCTTGGGCCAGTCTGGAGTAATCAACGATCCATCCCACGTAATCCACCAATTAAGGTGGCGGTCGCTCGTCTCACGATACTGGGTCCTCCGGGATTCAGCAATTACTTTCAATGGTCGTTGGTCACTGCCCTTTCTGTTCCGCAGAGCTTTGGCGATCTTGTTGTACCAGAGGTCAAGGTCATTTTTCACGGGTGCCGGTACAGGCTGTTGTTTATTGTGCGGCTCGACGATGACCTCTATCTCGACGCCGAAGTAGTAGAAGGTCATATTGTCATAGATGACTATCACTGTTGGAATGTTGGAATCGTTCAGCTGGAGACCTAATCACATATATATCCAATGGAAAGGCTGTTACTATGCTGCAGTATGAGAGCCTCTGGCTCTGCCTTGGGCCATTACATATCCTAAAACGCCCGGGCATTGACAAAAGGCCACAGCCATTCGAAGCCACCAACAGATACATGTCAGGCGCACTTGGCTCCTACCTATTCTGCAAATTTGTCCATTACTGCCGTCCCTCGCCGGATAAGGAGGCTGCAGCGTCAGCATTTGGTGTTCCTAGATGCATGTGCGTGATCTGACACATTGCTCAAGAGACACCGAATACAGCCCCATTCCAACCGCAAGTATGTTCGCGGGGAGCCAATCCGTTCGCGCTGCAGCGGACGAGGCTTGTAATCTTTCTTCCATGACTGTGTCCCTATGTAGACTACTGTCATCGTGGAAGGTTGCTGCCTCGGGTTGGGCCATTGAGGTCAGTTCTTGCAAGCCACCTGGGCGTGTTGTTTGTGATAAAGGCTTCCAGCTGAGGCGTGACCCCTCGCTAGTTAGTGCTAGGACATCTTGGTAAGCCCAATAGCATTTACCCTGCCATGCCAGCTCGGGCGAGAAGGGACGCTAATGCGCATGTACTTGGTTGCCTTTTTTTGCTAGTAATACTAATACCAATAATTAATATTAATCAATTACTAGTATGTAGCCCACATCTTGTTCTGTGTTTAATTGGTTGTATGCATTTGAAAGAATATCATATTTATTACTCGTGGCCTGCATACATTAGCGTCTCTTCTCGCCCGAGCTGGCATGGCAGGGTATGCCTCACCACTAATCGTGTCCCACAGACCTTTTCTGTATTGCACCAAGTAGCCGTGCCAGCGCACACCAACGCCCCCGCCGCGCTGGGGGGGGCGGGGGCAAGGTTAGGGGCTACAACAATTAGGAATCAGCCAAAACCAGGCCAAATTAGTTCTAAAACACGGTGCTATCCAAAGAATACTAAAAAGCAAATCCATTAGGTACTTAGTTACTGATTAGTCAGCTGGTTCAAGTCACCTGGGCACTTGAATATTCATTTTGCCGTTGGGCTGACTTGTTTGCTATGATGTCTTGTCGGCTTACACCCCGGACTGCCTCTTGCTGAATATCAATATCTTGGAACTAGTGCACCACAACTCATACAGCGCGATCACTAAACTTTTGTTCAACTTTGGTTTTGACAGTCGTCGACAAAGTGGAAGTTCTTGTGGCTGCCAGCTATCTCGACGGTTTTTTCTTCCTCATCTCATCGCCATGGCTTCCAAATCGGTTCGAAGGCCGGATCGCTGGTACTATTTCGCATATGGTAGTAATATGAGCCTAAAGCAGATGGCAGAACGGTGCCCGTCATCTCTATTCATGGGAATGGGCAGAATTGATGGATATAGGTGGCAGATTAACCAGCGTGGTGTTGCAAATATTGTCCAATGCCGGGGAGACTTTGTCGAAGGTCTTGTTTACCAAATCGACGCCAAGGACAAACGACAACTAGACCGCAGTGAAGGCGTAGCGCTGGGTTTTTACAACGATGAGCATCTACACACTCAGTTCTTGGCCTTGCCGAACTGCGGAATCAAGACCTTCCATGTTGCGAAAGAACTCGAGATGGACGATCAACCTGATCTCAAAGAAAGAGAGCACCAACCATCCGCTCTAGGGCCCAAGAGGAGCAACATATCAGAGTCCACTTTTGTTGATCAAAACCCATCGCACCAACCACTATCGAGGTATCCGAGACAAGAGAGCTTAGAGATGTTTGAGGCTCTTGTCTATGTTAGCAAGGAATACAAGGATGACGGATTAATCAGATCAGAATATATTCCACGCATGGAGAAGGCAATCACGGATGGACGGAAGATGGGATTGTCAGATCAATTCTTGAATCACATCGATCGTACCATTCATCAAGGGGTACCACCGCGTCAGAATAACGATGCCTTCCGAACAAGGTACGGTCCTTACGAGAAAATGGAAAATGGTGGCACAAGCCATCAGCCGTACGAGATCTTAGAAAGCATTCGACCAAGTCAAGAACAGTACGAACGAGTGTCAACAATTCGGCCCAGCTATCCAAGGTACGCGAGGGTGATAACTGCTCGGCCAAGGTGTCAAGACTTCCACGATCTCGATGGCAATTTCAGATATGCAGATGAAAGACCCTATCGACCGACATTCGATACTGGGAGACAGTCAGAGACTCAAGAACGGGGCAGGGACAGGGACAGGTCTCCGACGAGTTCCTGGCAGAGTCGGGGCAGGGACGAACGGCGCGGTGCAGGATCAGTTACGCTTGTCACTTCACGTTACCATATTGGAGGTCATACTGAGCAGGTTGTTGAGTACCGCAGACGCGGTAGCTCTACTCCGTACTAAATTACATATGGATTAATGCATCCATATCATCAGCCCCTGCTTGTTAAGGAATAAGACATATAAATCCAGCCGCCGATCCTGTAACTCGCAGACGGAGACGATCTGATTCTCACAACTAAACACATTGTAACAATTCAAAGGCAAGCCCTGCAATCCGCACAAACCGTCTATCTTGTCAAAACCACTAACTATGGCTCGCCCCCTCGCTCCCCTGTTCCTTCTGTTCTATTCCATCATGGATAAGAACCACAACGGCGGCTCTGCTCGCACAGTCATTTCATCGCGCGTTGAATATCACGACAACAGCAGCCCTCAGCTTCATCGACCCCTCTTCCTCCTCTCGCGACAATATCATCACCAAAGACATTGCTCGCCCAGCTAGAGGCGCTGCAGATAGCCCGTCTCCCTGGCGTTCGATCCTCGGAACATATGGCAGGGACATACTTAGTCTTGCGCAAGACCCATTTTAGGTCGAAGGTCTCGACGTCTCAGAGTAATACTGGTAGGAATTTGATAGGGCGCTGCACAGTGTTTGTCCTTTTAGACTGCAGACTGTAGGTCTAAAAAGCGCATAGCGCCAAGTCGAGCAAGAAGCGGAACCTAACAGTCATGACTTGGCTCCCTGCCTCAGGTCTCCATTTCATTCAATACGATAAATACTATTCCCCCCGGCTCCATACAGGAATTCGAGCGATACTTTCAGGTGGTGCAATGTTGCGAAGCAAAATTCAAGAAATTTATTTCATCATTGCAAAGCATACCGGCTATTTTCATTCCCAATGATTCTATTTTTTTTTAGAAAAAAAAGAAGCATGTGGTGGACTTGGTCAGAGAGGCCGCAAGTGGACTGATGTATTAATTTCCGCTCTTCAGGCAAGAGTAGATGTCAATATGGTCGGTCGAGCTTCCTCCTATCGAGTTCCTTAACCAAGCACAGCATCGTCTTGATTATAGTACTTTACAATTTCGAGTTCTTCGCGATAGCGTCTCTGATAAATCGTCGCAAAATCTTCCCAGACTAGACAGTCCATCAAGTGTTATCATATGCCCTTGTAACTATTTGAGTAGCACGTACCGGAGCTTTGGGGATGGCGTCGGTGAAGACAACACCGCCTGTGAGTCTCTTAACCGTTGATACCTTGTTGTTGACGAATTGAATGATGTCGTCCACGGAAACGGAAGCTCCCGGCGCTGCCACAACATAGGCACGAGGGTACTCCTCGTCGTCTCTGTATCTGTTAGTCCATGGAACAACGCCCGTCTAAGAAAATTTTGTCAAGCCTCACTTTCTCACGCCGATGACGGCAGCATCATTGACAGCAGGGTGGCCGAGAAGGATTGCTTCGAGCTCAGCAGGCCACACCTGGACGCCTTTCACCTTGATCATTTCCTGTCACAAGATGTCAGCCGTTGTGGTCGGCTTTACTCACATGCCCTCCACGACTTGCCTTCTTCCGATCCACGACATAATACCACCCATTCTCGTCCTGGCGTGCCACATCTCCTGTCCTCAACCATCCATCTTGGGTAATAGTCTCATCGGTCGACTTTTTGTTTTGCCAGTAACCCTTCATAATGTTCGGACCACGGAACCATATTTCCCCGCTTTGTCCCGGCGCAACCTCATTCTCCTCATCATCCATCAACTTGATCTCACAGTTCGGCATAGGTTCTCCAACGGAGCCGGCTACTGCCGTTAGGGTAGGATCCCAACCGATAGTATTGCAGCAGGATCTGTGGGCAGAGTCAGTATAGGCCTCTACTCCAAGCCATGCTAAGTGGTATTTAGCGAAAGTGAGGAGACGAACTCAGTCGATGCAAGGCCCTGCTTAACATTTACGTGTCCCTGGGGCCAAAGTGACTCGTATTGGAAAGTCGGTTCTGGACCTAACGGTGCAGCACACGAGAAAGTCTTGGTGATGCTGCTGATGTTATACTTTCCACTCTTCACCGCAGAATGCTTGGTCATGGCCACGATGATGGGCGGCACAAGGTGCAGCTCCGTGATATGAAACCTCTGGATGTTTTCCAGCAAACGGTTGATCTCGTACTGCCGCATGATGTACGAGGGAACCCGTCTCGCTATGGAGATGGTGCAGAAATAGCACAGTGCCAGGCCATGGTAGAGGGGAATGGTACACAGCCACCTAGAATTTTTGGCCACCAGCTCTTTCGTGCAAAGGTTGGGATCAAGGCTCATCATAAAATCTGTCTGAACGCAGTTTGCGATAATGCCATAATGTGAAACCTCCGCTGCTTTGGGGAGACCAGTGGTTCTGTCAATCGTAATATTAGCATCGTTGGAGACATAAAAAATCCCAAAGTAACAAACCCAGATGTCATTATTGTATAGACGGTTGTGGACTTCGATTCTTCCGGAGTTAGCTTCTTCCAAACGAAGCGCCTGCCGACCTCTTTCTGCGCCAGTAAATGCTTCCAATGCTTCACTTCAGTTATAAAATTATCATCACCGCCGTCATCCTTGATGAGCGGAGCATCGTTAAACACGAAAACACGTTCCCGCCCCATGCCTACCATATTGGCGGCATCCAGAGCGCAGGCTAGAGTTGCTTCGCTCGCCAGCATGAAGCTCGGCGTGGTGAGGCTGAGCTGGTACGCCAACTCGCGGGCATTGGAGTGCGGATTCGCGGACTGGTATATGCCACTGGCCATGATAATGCCAAGGTTCACGACGGGGAATAGAACATCGTTGCCGCTGAGGATGACTACTCGATCGCCTTCTTTTAATCCCGCGGCTTGTAATCCTGCGGCTAACCGCTGGGACCAGAGACGGAGCTCAGTCCAGGTCATACACAGCGTCTCTGGGTCTTCAGCGTCAGCAAAGGCGAGAGCATCGCCTAGTGGAGCTGTAGGGGAGCCGAAAAGATAGGTAGGAATGTCCACCTCCGGAACAGAAACGCTCCATCGTGATTTCTGCGGCATGGCTAGGTATTTCGCGGGTACAGTGACGCTGATATAATGACGGATGAAGAGTCGAGAAAGTGAAGGAGTAGAAATGTCGCCCGTTCTAATTTGTCTTTCTAGGCTTACTATGTCGGGAGCCTTACATCACGTGGGCGCATATAGAATAGCGTTCTTCGAAATAGAGTTGGAGAAGGAATCGATGAGACATGCGATAGATAGCAGAAGCCATGGAGCTGAAAATGACATCTTTGCCTACCAGGGTTAGCTTTCTACAGCGTGAGCACAGCACTCTGCATTATGACTGGCTGGCGGGCGTATACGAAGGCTGCGCTGCATATAGGAAGAATGAGGGGAAAGGGGCAACACGGGACTGGCGGGAAGGAGGTTCGATTAACAAATATCAGCTACAAATCGATCTGGCCAATAAGAATGTATCCCATCTCTGGTTTCTATTACCCCTGGTTCTGGCAATGTATGGGGTGAAATATCTGACTAACAACGACAAAATGGTGCAAAAAATAGTGGATTCACCAGGAATTACCTCGACAACAAACATTACAGACCCCATTGACAGGGATACTCCAGAAAAACTACATATATACTAATGTAGACTAGCGTGTCTTGGCGATTAGGGTTCGAGAAACAATCGAAGAGTGTCTGGAGGTGGTGACACCAGTTACCGGAGGCACTGTCTGTGTGTTCAGGCGCGTGCTCAATTTTACTCTGAGATCAAAAAGCGGTAAGAGGTGAGCACTAAAATGGAAGGGGAAAGGCTTCGAGTGCCAGGCATTATCCAGTATGTATGCAAATCTATAACAGCCGCGCCATAAGAGTAGGCTAACATGGCAAATAGCAACAAGTCCACGACAGGCCTTACTAGGTGAGGCTCAAAGTTTACCGCTAAGTGAGGTTGGAACAATATCCGTGGGTCCTACAAACATGTATTTACATAGTTGCTGTAGCCTGCATATCTCTGGCGAGGTTGAAACCCTGGATTGAGGTACAAGTGTGAGAATCGAATTCAATGTATAAGAAAAGATCCATCTACCTGTAGTCACCTTCCTACTGCCTAGCGGAGTGGCTGCATGCTACGCAACCACACGAGTCTACACCTCCATATACGCCATGTGACCTGTGATACAACTCGCGAGAAGTGAAGGTGATTGAATTCACCACTACTCCTGTGATGAACAACTTGGATACAAAAATTTCTCCATAGAAAAACAAGTGTAAGACTAATCAGCCGATTTTCTTATTCTCTCACATTCAAAAATCTTTTGTGGTACATAATCAGTGAGTGAGCCGACTTTCCTCAATAACCTGTATGGCAAGAGCCGTAGTGAAACCACGATCGAAGATATGCTTTCCAACTATAGGGATAGAGTAAAGATAGCCAGGCTCCCATCCGCCGTCTTTGCATTGCATTTCAGTCAGCTTCTCCATGTCTTGGTAGTTGGCAACCCCCATTGCGTGGCATACGCTCAATCTCATTCCCAGAACGAGGCTGTCACCGGGGGCCCCAATACGCTCGTAAATTCTTTCTTTAAGAAGGGGGGCAAACTCTTTCTTAAGTTTTGCATCATAGGTCTGCTTTAGGAGTCGTGAGACATAAAAGAGAAACCATTCTGCAGTCTGATAGTAATACGTCCCGTCGACGTATGCTCTATTCAAAAGAATCTGGTAAATCCAGTCAACAGTTTTTTGAAGCTCATGCCCACGCCGATGAATATGAAATGCCAGCAAAATGTTCACGCAGGCGACTGGATCCACACGTGGTCTCTCGTGATCGAAATATACCTTCCAGTCAAATATAATTAGTCTCGGGTTTTTCAATTGAATGAAAGGGCTGTACCTGAATGAGCCCATCAGGGCTGAGATATTCAAGCATTTCATCAAGTAACATATGCACCTGTGTGTCTTTCTGTGGTACCAATTGCAGCGCTAGGGATGTAGTATCCAAGTCATTGGGTGGGTTCATGTTGGTGAATTTTGGCTGCTCTGTCAATTTTTAGTGTATTAGAGTGTAACTATAGTTTTTTTAACATTTATGAGTTAAAAGAGGTGGAATTCCGTACCTATATAGTAGTTCCAAGAAAGTCCCTTTGCATATTCTGGCTTCTTGTATACTACGAGTTCCCTGCAAAAAAATGTTAGAATGAACCCTTGCGGAATATGTGCAATGCAATAGTACTCATCGCCTGTAACTTCCAAAATTAGAAGCTGCACGTAATTATCCAAAAGAGGCGTGCCACAGTCCGTAAAAGGTTGCAAATTCTTGGCATTACGTTGGATGAATGCATTCCCTCGAGTCACTGGGTCACTGATAATGTTCAACAGAGTGCGCGATAGCTCCTGGGAACCGTTGAACATAATTCCGCGCATGCCCAATGAACGAGCCGCGACAATATCTCGAATATCGCTTCCGACAAACACTGCTTTAGTTGGATCTGTCTTGGTGGACGTCAAAAATTGATGGTAGAACCCAATATGAGGCATTCGTGCACCAGCTGCGAACGAAGTGAAGATATTATCAAAGTCGTCCAGAAATTCACTTCCCCATCGCTCGAAAATATAATCGTGGTCAGGTTTTGCAATATTCCAAACGGCTAGCATGTTTAAAAGACCCCCTGTATCACTTTTTATCTGATGGATTTCGGACACCAGGTTCTTATCATATTCAATCATCTCCCTAATCGTGGAGATAGCACCACTAAGTTCAGAAGCATCGAAACCAAATTGCTTGCCGAGCAGTTCATAGCATTGCTGCTCTTCTATCTCGTTGCACTGATAGCGCATCCAAGCAGAAGTAGATTGCAGTCGTTTGAGGGATGGAAGGAGAACAGGAATTGCTTTAATGGCCGAGTGAGGTAAATTCATAATCACACCCTCAACTTGGACGACAATGGTTGAAAAATTTGGGTTGGAAATATTGGGCATGGCTAACATATTGAGCAACCTAGTCCGAGATCGTGGTGATTGTGTAAGGTTAAAAGGTCAGTGAGTTTTAAGGCACATAGAAGTTCCGTTAACAGAATCCATAGACGAAGAAAGTAGGCTTTTATATCGTCTTTGATGTAGTCCAAGCGGGAGAGGATGACTCTTGCGATCTTGCGTTACAACCGGAATGGATATGCGTATTCATAAAGGATGCGGCAGCTGACGTGATGACTGAGTTGAACCCACACAAGCCCCTCTAAAGATAGGTGGGTGGAGTAAAGGAGAAGAAAACAAGGCCAATGCTACAGTGCCTAGTCGGATTCGAGCGGTAATGGATATAAATGTTTTGAGATCTAAACCGACTGCATGAGTAGTGCGTATCAGGATGACATAACAACATCGTCAAAACAGGTGCTTTCAACATCCGGGAATTCATGTTAGTCCCCGGGTGTGGTCGCCAATTTGATGATGATTTATTTGTTTTACGATTCAACATACAGATTTTCTTTGCTCACCGTCTTACGTCGACCCTCATTTTGACGAAGATCAACTATCTTCACCCCAAAAGACGGACGCGTCACCACACTGGATGAGACCATGGTGCAATCAATAAACCTGACAATTTGATGAACTATCAATCGAATACATGCCTCTCCGTAATCGTAGTCCCCTATAGCCTCAGTGTAGCTTCTCAAATACATCTTGATGCATTAAGTCTATATGATCGGCCGGTAGTGACGAATATGTTCGATACATATTCCACGAAGCGGTAAACGAAAGGAAAAAGTATAGATCCCTGATATTTGGTTATTATCCAAAAGAAGAGATCGCTACCTACGCGTCGACATCCTACATAAAGTAAAATGGTATGCAAGATATATTTTGTGTACGAGAATTGGATAGCTATAAGTGGTTGAAAAGTAAAAAAGCCGATAGCAAACCACCTCAGTTGCAAGGCCCAAGGCACCCGACAGTCCATTTCTAGCTCTATATCCTCACGGCTATGGAATCTTTGGAAGGCCTATTCTACTTATGTTATGACTAGATTAAATGAGTTCCATTCCAAGGTTGTTCTGTCTCTGTATACCTAGGTACCCGTCGGGTGGACATCCCAGCTCTTATCGATAACAGTAGCTCGGCTGTCCCCAGCACCACTCCACAGCAACTCTACCACCTCTCCTTCACCCAGTCGACCACCAGCATGGCCTCCCAAAAGATGACCAACGCCCTAGCGGGCATCGAAACGAACCCGCACCAACCAACAAAGCTACAGCAATACACCGATATCCTCAATGAGATGGTAACAACCTCCACCGGCCACGAACTCGCCCAAGATCTAGTCTACTACCTAGACTCAATCCTCAGCGAAGAAGTGAGCATCGTCGCTGCCCGGCCCCTCCTCGACGCCTTCATCACAGTCCTCCAATCCCTCACCCCGGAAACAAAAATAAAAGTTGGCCAGCACGCCATCACCCTCCTCCAGACACGCTCCGCCTCAGTCGAAGAACAAGACTCGCAGATCCGCGAGATCCTCGCAGACGCCTACGAATCCCAGGAAGAATACACAGCCGCCGCCCGCGCCCTACAGGGCATCCACATCGACAGCTCGCAGCGGCTAGTCTCAGACGCCGCCAAAGCGCGCCTCTGGATCCGCATCGTGCGCTACTACCTCGAAGACGACGACACCACCAACGCCGAAGCCTTCCTCAACCGCATCAAGAACCTCCCCTCCAAAATAGAGGACCACGATGCAAAGCTCTACTTCCAACTCTCACAGGCTCGGATCCTCGATGCCCGCCGCCGCTTCCTCGACGCCGCCCAGGAATACTTTAACGTGAGTCTCGCGCCGGGCGTCGACGAAGAAGACCGCCTGACGGCCCTATCCGCGGCGATCCGCTGCGCTGTCCTTGCGCCTGCTGGCCCACAGCGCTCCCGCTCCCTCGCCCGTCTATACAAAGACGACCGCACGCCCTCCGTTGAGGAATTCGGCATCCTGGAGAAGATGTTCTTAGACAGACTCCTGACGGCCGATGAAGTCGCCGCATTCGCGAATAAACTTGCGCCGCACCAGCTCGCTGTTACGGCGGATGGCACGACCGTTCTCGATAAGGCGGTTATCGAGCACAATCTCGTGGCGGCGAGCAAGCTGTATGAGAATATCCACGTTGATGACCTCGGCTCGATTCTGGGGTTGCAGTCTTCGGGTGATGTGTCTGCTGGTGAGAAGGCGGAGGCTTATGCAGCGCGCATGGTTGAGCAGGGACGGCTGCGTGGTCGGATTGATCAGATTGATGGGGTTATTTCGTTTGATGCTGATACTCTCGGCGGGTCCTCGGCTGGTGCTTCTAATGGGACGAAACTGAGGCAGTGGGATCTTGGTGTGCAGGATCTTGCGGAGGATGTAGAGCGGGTTGCGACTAGTATCTCTGATCAGTTCCCGGTATGTGCTGGCTTTCATTCTGTCTGGGGTCGTTTGTCTTGCTAATGTCTTTGTTCTAGGAATTTGCCACGAGCCAGATGGTGCATTGAATGGTCTGCTCTATCTCGTCTCTGTGTCCATCTGATGAAAGATCTACGAATTCATGCCTTCTACCTACTCTTGCATATCCTTTTAGCCAGCCTGAGAAATGAAAAATCAAGCTCCATTGCTGATATTTCTTGCCTCTGTATCTTCGAGGGACTATACTTAATTATAAATGCTGTTGAACAGCGACATTCATGGCTTCATAGACCTACAGGCTTCTGGGTGTTTTCAAGTAACCGGATGAATAGATATAATAATCTTATTGGACACGAAATCAAGTTAAACACAGCGTAAGAGGACGAAAACCAAAGTAGAAAATCAAATATATATAATACAAAGTTTCTGTCTAGTTCTTTGTAGCCAAAAAAACATTTTCGGTTCTAGTCTAATTTAGCAAAAAGATTGCAACGACGGTGCGCCCGCGAACGGAATTGATTTCTAGTCAATCGCCTTAGACCACTCGGCCAAACCGCCTTGATGAAATTTGTCTCCATATTGTGCATCATGAAGAAAAAGGACATATATACGAGTTTAGCACGGAGAATGGATTTCTTATGTGGGATAACAAAGCAAAACACATGCGATATTAGCAAAGCCGAAACTAAAGCAGGAAGCAGAGGAATTCGTAAAGCAGCACCATAGCAAATTTGACAGGCTCTCGACAATTAGAGCTCAGAAAATCACAAATTTGCAAATGATATGTTCAACCACAAAAGGTATAGCATGGATGGTATAGGCAAAGACAAAGAACGTTGGTATGTATATGGGCAAGCCATATACTAGTCTTCGGTGAAGCCGACTATCAATATCAAGAATGACAAGTGGTAAAGTTGATAAAATCGAATGCAAGAAATGCAGTGGCAAGTCGTATATGTATGAACACAAAGTGGAGGAAAGAATGTAGAAAATGGAGAGTGGATGGATGGAGTCGCTGGCGTCCAGGTGGCATACTGATATGCCCGCTCTGGGGTTGGAAGACCGTGCCTCTGTTGGTCCTATTATGGTTTCCAGTAGGCTGCTTCAATCCTGGCTATAGCATCAAGTGACCATAGCCGAAGCGTGTTTCAAACACCAGTGTCTGTTCTTTCTGCAAAAATTCAATCATCTTGAAGCAGATTCAGCCCTCTCTCGAAGGGAGTATAAGCCCCATTCACTCCAATACCTCGTCCCAAGAACAGAAGATAAAAGATATCATCACATCGTAACGGCGTAAATCAACAGCACACCACCTCATTGGTTCAGCCTACTAGTGGAGTCGTTGCCCGGAAGGATCGAAATATCCGTCTGGACATTAATAGTCTGCGGATGAAGATCATCACCAAGGTACCCGGGCGACCTGCTCTCGACCTGGGCATTGTACATCTTAACATACTCAAGGTCCGGCGAGCGGGGGCTAGACTTCGACAAGAACAAAGAATTCGTGTAGTCAGTGTTGATATACGCTGGACCTGTTCCATTGCGAGAGCTCTTCAACTTGAGCGCTGGGAACAGACCCCGGATGATCGGCAAATTAGAGCAAATCAAGCCAACGGCAGGCTCGATGTGCGTCCACAGTGTCGCCTGGTAGACGGTGAAGGTTGGGTCCGTCGGGCTGATGTAGAAGAGCACGACGATGCGGTAAATGCTAGCGAAACAGACGAAGGCGCCGAGGGCAAAGACACCGTTTAGCGCGAGCTTGTCTTGCCATGCGCGGTGGAGGTTCCAGATCATTGGGATGGGGAGGACGAGGATGACGAAGTCCATGAATACGTTGAAGGCTTGGTTGACGATGATGAATTCTTGGGCGTCGAAACATGTTCCTTCGATGCTGTGGTCCCAGTATGCCCGTAGAGGTCGACATTGTCCTGCGCACGCTAGGAAGATTCCTGTGCCCCAGGCGGCGATTAGGCAGTTTAGGCCGAAGGTGACTTTTTGGAAATTTGGGGTTGCGAAGAGTCGTCGGTAGAAGCAGATGATAGAGATCTTGATACAGGGGCAGAGTAGGAAGTAGGTGAATTGGTTGGCGAGGAAGATCTGGGTGGTGTTAGGTTGGGTGTTGTTGGATATTGGATATTTGCGGGGTGCATACCTTCCAGTAGTTCATGAGAGTTTCGGGAGATAGATCCGTGATATGGGCTCCATTACCTCCAATTGCACACCCTGTGATAGCTGTTAGTGTTGAAAGAAATCGCAATCCGGTCTGACCACTTACAAAGAATCAGCTCGACCAACATGGCAATGAGGAGCACCATGGAAACCATGCTCAGATAATCGTCGACACCGAACCCGACTCTCCTGCGAATGCGAGCGACGACTCGCAGCACGACCGAGATCAGGCATAGACTGACCAAGACCGAAATGGTCTCGATCATCTGCCAACCCTTCGTGCTTGGCGCCATTGCACTTTTCAACACGCGACCCAAATTAAAGGAGTGTGGGGTGTAACCGAACAGACAAAGGCAGAGTATGTATGAATAAAAAAGGAATGTGTATGAATAGAAAAGGAATGAATGGAGAACACACAATATCAGGGCCTTCGCCGATATAAAACATGTACCACGCGAACATCCAGATCGGCCCGGAGCCCTGGTACCCTAGGCCAGCTCAAAGTTCGATATTCCCACTATTTTATCCACTCACACACAACCCCTAGTGGCCGATCGTTGTCCCGATGGGGATCTCGGTTTATGTGGGATATACGCAGACATTCACGTGCATGATACGATGGGACCTATCATAAACGTTTGCTGGAGATTTTGGTGATATTAATAGCTGACCCCTCTTTCTGCTCTTTGGGCTTCTGACATGTATTGTGTCGTTAAACAGGACAATGGCATACAAAAGTATAGCTTCAAGCATCATTGTCTGCACATGTGGTAATGACAAATGCTTTCTTTACAAAATAGGCCAGTGGGTCCGAAGTTGGGGCTAGCCATATTGGGAAGGACATCCCTATGATCGCCATCTGATACCAGCTAAGAACGTAGACCGAGTCATGCAAGATTTGAGAAGATTAGAACCTTACAAAGATCGGCTATGGACTATTGCCTTTAGACTACTTCGTATCCATATTTCGTATCTTAAATCGTACTCAATATATTCTCAAGAACAACCTTTATATACCTAGGTAACCCCCACAAAACAACAAAATGGAAAAGCCATCCGCACCCGTGGACGCCACCACGGGTCTCACCCATGGTTCACTCCTCTCTCGGGATTCGGTTAAACGTGACATGCAGATCCCGAGTCAATAGCGTAGAAAATCCATGCTACTAAATTGCCAAGTAGAGGTTAACCAGAGTCAACATGCTACTGCGAACGCATCCAGATACAGAAGTTGGTATGGAGGGGTACAGAATACATCGTATATCATGCACAAAGTAGGCAAGCCATACCAGAGTGGGGGTTCGGATAACAGGTTAAAGCGCCCTTCTCTTGCAAGCCCAGTTTCATGAAGTGGGCCCCGGGGCTTCCAATGTTATTACCTTGTATTGACCGTCAAAGTCTTCAGTTACCTCATAACTTTGTCGATCACTGGATACCCCTGAAAGTGCCGGCTTGGTATATATCGATGTGCCGAAATTGGGCACATGGAAAACGAATCTTCATTGGTCCACAGTGGATGAAAAACCAGCATCAGCATTGAACCGTGGAAACCATAATCAAATAGTCGTCGCATAGCGTGGAATAGTGGCATTGCGCGACGCAGTTCCTGGTAAAGATCGTCCTCAATCAGATCCGAATTCTGTAAATTCAATTGTTGGTGGAACCGAGATGAATATAATGTACATAAAATAGTAAAAGATATTTATCCCGAGGCTCATTAGTGTTCTCTGGTTTCCCCTCACAACATAACATCAGACCTGCATACATCCTATACTCCATATCTCTCTATCTCTACCCCTCTACCAACCCCTCCACGATGACAACCCCAACAAACACCGGACTCACAGTCCCCCTCATAATAAACGGCCGCGAAGAAACAACCCCAAATACCTTCCCAGTAACAAGCCCCTACACCAACACAACCATCTGGACCGCCTCCGCCGCAACACCCCAAGATGCAACCCGCGCCGTCGAAGCCGCCGACGCCGCCTTCCCCTCATGGTCGCAGACAAAACCAACCGTGAGACGCGACATCCTGCTCAAAGCCGCCGATATCCTCGAGGCCCGCCTCGACACCAATGCCGAGTACATGCGCCAGGAAATGGGCGCGGACGTCGGCGCCTCAGCGGGCTTCGTGGTCCCGCTTGCTGTGCGCATGTTGCGCGAGGTTGCGAGCCGCATTACATCGATATGCGGCAGTGTTCCTGTCGTTGAGACGGAGGGGCAGAGTGCGATTGTCTTTAAGGAGGCGATGGGTGTTATTCTGGGGATTGTGCCGTGGTGAGTACCTACAGCTTGATTTGTCTTTTCGTGGTACTGGGGAAGTTTATTTTATATACATAGATCGCTAATTATTGGTTCTACAGGAACGCTCCCTACGTCTTCGGCATCCGCTCCGCGGCCTGTGCCCTCGCAGCTGGAAACACAACAGTCCTCAAATCTTCCGAACTAACTCCCCGTTGCTACTGGGCCATCGGCCGCGCCTTTGAAGATGCCGGCCTCCCAGCCGGCTGTTTGAATATCATCCACTGCGCCCCGCAAGATGCCCCCGAGGTCGTGAATGCCATGATCGAACACGACGCCGTGCGTAAGATCAATTTCACCGGTAGCACAGCTGTTGGTCGGAAGATCGCGCGCGCCTGCGGTCAGAACCTCAAGCCTTGCCTTATGGAGCTGGGCGGGAAGAATAGCTCGATTGTCTGCCAGGATGCTGATTTGCAGACTGCCGTGCAGGGAGTGTTGGCGGGTGCGTTTTTGAATGTGAGTTTGAGATACACAGCGCATGTCGCACGCCGCATATCTATATCCATATCTGTATCCTCCGAGTCAATAGCTAACCTATCTTTCTTTCCGTGCTAGTCCGGCCAGATCTGCATGGCAACAGACCGAATCCTCGTCCACACCTCCATCCTCCCAGCCTTCACAGAAGCCCTACAAAAGGCCCTCGCGGCCGGCGCCGCAGCCTCAGCCCTCCCCCCAACGCTAGTCAACACAGCTTCCAAGACCCGCGTCGAAGCCCTCATCGCCAGCGCCGTTTCAGCAGGTGCACACTTCATCTCCGGGTCTGCGGACAGTGTCCCCACTGACTCGGGGGTGCGGATGGCACCCGCCGTCCTAGGCGGCGTGAAGGAAGACATGGCGCTGTGGCAGGAGGAGTCCTTCGCGTCCGTTGCGGCGTGTATGCCCTTCGACAGCGAGGACGAGGCGATCCGTCTCGCGAATGGGAGTGGGTATGGACTTTCGGCATCTGTTTTCACGGAAGATCTGCGGAGGGGCCTGGCGATGGCTAGGCGCATTCAATCTGGGTATGTTGTCGAGTGTTCCAGACCCTGATTTCTTTTTTTGTTTTGATTTTGGGTGCATTCGGTGGATTTGTGGATCTGTTGTGCTGACTTGATTGTAGGGCGGTTCATATTAATAGCATGACGATCCATGATGAGCCGGCTCTTCCTCATGGCGGTGTGAAGAATAGTGGCTGGGGCCGGTTTAATACTGATGAGGGGTTGAATGAGTTTTTGGTTACGAAGAGTGTGACCTGGATGGATTAGGTTTCTTTTGGATCTGGCATAAGCGTTTTGATTTGGTCTTTAGCTGCACATTTGAATTGTAGGTTTCCTATCTGCTCCTACTGCCTACACTACCATGTGTTAGAGCATATGTACACCGTATCCATCAAGCATGTCCATTGTCATGCCTATAGCCCACTCTTCTCGTCCGAGAAACCCGCTTCGATGGTCTTCTCACCGGCGCGTGGACACCATACTTTCTCGGTGGGTATTGACCCGAGCGACCGCAGTGGAGATTCAGAACCGGCTAATGAGCTGTGGAGCTCAACGAGAACAAGGGCTGATGAGGTGCAACTCTAATGAAGCTTTTCTCCGAATTTATATACAGAATGCCAAAAAAAGGTCGGCATTTGAACGGGTGACACATGAGGTCATCAGGCCCACTGAGGCAATTTCCATCCCCGGATTAGGTCAGCTCCACATTATTCTTCCACCAATCAGAGATCTTGTATTCCTCATCTGGCAGCTGCTTTTGCCTTTTTCTGGTCATTTGTCCACGTTTTCCAGGTCGGTATTTCTGAACAAGATTGATTTCCAAAGTTGGATATAAAATCCGTAATATATATAAACACATATATGTATACCTTAGATACACCTGTGGGATTCAAGCATTCAAGCATTCAAATATTCGAATATCCAAGGTGGTACTTTCTCCTCATCATGCCATGCATAATTCGGAACCTTCGGACACCGCGATTGTTATTCCGAGGTTCACACTTCTTAGTTGTAAGGACCGAGGAAACCGGAATTCAATGTCTGTTTCTCTATTTCAGCATAATACACCTATGTAGGAGTATGCTCTAATTCCGTTGACTTTTCCGATGTACTTTCCGTCTTTTGGCCTGTTCCCTTCCCCTCAACTCCTTGAAAGGACTGGAATGTGACATGACATAAGATGCATGTGAAAATGAAAATGAAACATTCTAGACTGTTGAGTCTAATAAGATATAGTTAAATATCACATGCGATGTGATATCTTCCCCAGAGTGTAATAAAAACAGACAAACCAGAGGTGGCCAATTAGTATTACAAGCGGGTAACCCCATCTTTCCTCTCCCCACGTCTTCCATTATTTCGTGCCTCGGCCGATAGACCGTCGGCTTCTGACCTGCCCCGGAACCCTCTTTTTCTTTAAGATCCTTCATTCTCCTCTCTTTCTCCCTTCTTCCCCATATTTACCTTCACCTCTACACATAACATAATGGCTGCACCTCAAGTAATTGTGGTCGGTGGTGGCCGTAAGGATCCTTTCCCCGCATTCTCTCTCTATCCCAGCTGACCCTCTCCAGTCTCCGGCCTCAGCGCCGCACACACCATCTACCTCAACGGTGGCAACGTCGTCGTTTTGGACAAGCAGGCTTTCTTCGGTGGTAACTCTACCAAGGCCACCTCCGGTATCAACGGTGCCCTCACCCGCACCCAAACCGATCTCGGCATCCAGGACAGCGTCAAGCAGTTCTACGACGATACCCTCAAGTCGGCCCGTGACAAGGCCCGTCCCGACCTCATCAAGGTCCTGACCTACAAGTCTGCCTCCGCCGTCGAGTGGCTGCAGGATGTCTTCAACCTCGACCTCACCCTCGTCTCCCGTCTCGGAGGACACACTCACCCCCGCACACACCGTGGCCATGACGCCAAGTTCCCCGGTATGGCCATCACCTACGCCCTGATGCAGCGATTGGAAGACCTCGCCGAAAAGGAGCCCGGTCGTGTCCAGATCGTCAAGAAGGCCAACGTCACCTCCATCAACAAGTCTGGTAACAATGTCACCGGCGTTACCTACACCATCAACGGCGAGGAGAAGTCCATCGATGGTGTTGTCGTTCTTGCTACCGGTGGTTACGCCGCTGACTTCAGTGACACCTCTCTCCTCAAGAAGCACCGCCCCGACACCTTCAATCTGTCCTCCACCAACGGCACCCACGCTACCGGTGACGGCCAGAAGATGCTGATGGCCATCGGTGCTAACGGTATCGACATGGACAAGGTCCAGGTCCACCCCACTGGTCTGGTTGACCCCAAGGACCCAGACGCCAAGTTCAAGTTCCTGGCCGCCGAAGCCCTCCGCGGCGAAGGTGGTCTCCTCCTCAACGCTGACGGCCAGCGTTTCTCTGACGAGCTCGGCCACCGCGACTACGTCTCCGGCAAGATGTGGGAAGAAAAGGAGAAGGGCAAGTGGCCCATCCGTCTCGTCCTCAACAGCAAGGCTTCCACAGTCCTGGACTTCCACACCCGCCACTACTCCGGCCGCGGCCTGATGAAGAAGATGACCGGCGCCGAGCTCGTTGCTGAAATCGGCTGCGGCGAAGCAGCCCTCAAGAAGACCTTCGACGAGTACAACCTCATCGCTGACGGCAAGAAGAAGGACCCCTGGAACAAGCGCTTCTTCCACAACATGCCCTTCAAGCTCGACGACGAGTTCCACGTCGCTGTCATGGAGCCCGTCCTCCACTTCACCATGGGCGGTATCGAGATCGACGAGCACGCCCAGGTCCTCAACAGCGAGCAAAAGCCCTTCGACGGCCTCTACGCCTGCGGTGAACTCGCCGGCGGCGTCCACGGCGCCAACCGTCTCGGCGGCTCCTCCCTCCTCGGCTGTGTCGTCTACGGCCGTGTCGCAGGTGACTCCGCCACCCAGCACCTCTTGCGGAAGCTCATCAACACCGGCTCCACCACCGCCTCCCAGCGTCTCGGCCAGATCTCCCTCCACATCGACCCCAACACCCCAGGCAAGGTCTCTGTCGAGTGGGGCGGTGCCGCCACCGGCGGAAACCTGCCCGCTCTCGCTGCCCCCGCTGCGCCTGCTGCCGGCGTCGAGGCCCCCGCCTCCAAGCCTGATCCCGCGACCTTCAAGGTCCCAGAAACTGAGTACACCATGGAGGAAGTCGCCAAGCACAACTCCAAGGAGGACCTCTGGGTCGTGGTCAAGGGCATCATCCTCGATCTCACTAACTGGGTTGATGAGCACCCCGGCGGCGCAAACGCCCTCTACAACTTCATGGGTCGCGATGCTACCGAGGAGTTCGCTATGCTCCATGACGATGAGGTTATCCCCAAGTACGCCGCTCAGACTGTGATCGGTCGTGTCAAGGGCCAGACCCCCAGCTTGGAGCTGTAGAGGTTATATCAGACCCTTCTTCTTCCTTATGCCTCGTCTCCCTCACGACCGCTCTCCTCCCTCGATGAAATATGATCCTCCAGCGTGTGATCTCTCATACCCCTTCGTCTCTTTCTGCTATTTTTTGTCGTGCTAGCTTCGCACGCTTGCTTCTTCCTGTCCTCGGGATCCAAAATCCTTCTTGGTCAACTTTGGTTCTTGTGTAACATACATACATGGCTTATATTGGAATATATTCTTTGGAATCATAGATCTGTTTTGGATTTGATATAGTCGTAGCCATGGTGAGTTGTTCGATCCCTCTGCTCTAGGGCTTTGGGGGTCGCGCCTAAAAAGCCCTACCTGGTACCCAGCAAGCCAGTCTGAGTACCGATAATTGCCGAGGTAGAAAGGGTGCCGATATTTATCTGGCCATCATTGTACGGAGTACAATCAGCCAAATCCTCACTCGCTACTACCTCTCGTATATCTAGCCTAATATTTACATATACATGTACATGGTATATCGAAACCAAAACAAAGAGCCCTACCTACTACAAGAGCACGTAGAGCCTATAACCCCCAACCCTCCTACATACTCCGCAATATACATCCCAATACGGAGTACTCCATACAATCACCCCTTCATATGCATCAAAATCATCTTCAACCTCCTCACAGCAGGCCCATCCTCCCCAGCCCCCAAACCCTCCTCCCCAACCCCCTTCTCCTCAATCTCAGCTCTCGCATCCTCAAGCACAGGCTGCAAAAACCCCCAAACCTCATCATGATACCTCTCCTGCACACCAACCCAATCACCCGCACCAGGAAGGTTCGCTAGAACAGCATCGCGGAGGGAAGTAGAACTAGAACCCGTAACCGTAGCATTCCCCTCCCCAATCCCAATCCCACTCCCAACACCCTGACTCAAAAAGACATCAATATCAGGAACAAGACTCGCCCCCGTTAACCGTCCCCTCTCCTCGCTTCTCTCCTCATCTAACCCCAACCCCTTCCGGAAAGAATCAAGCGTCTCCCTCTCGGCTGCAGAAAGCGGGGCCGGCGCAGCGGCGAAATCAATCTCGGTATCCGGTACAGTCGTCGGATCCTCGAAATTCGGGTCGAAGTTTGCATCGGATAGCAGGGAGACGACGGCTGCACCGTCTGTGGCTGGGGTAGATGTTGTCTGCGGGTTGAGTTGGTCGTGCCATTGGCGCTGCCAGACGGTTTCGAATTGGTGTTGGGTTGGGTCGTGGGCGCGGGCTTTGCCTTTCCAGGTTGAGGAGGGGGTTTGGAGGTCTTCGTGGGGTTGGTTTGTAGTTGTGTCTGTAGTTGTTGTGGTGTTTGTGCGTAGCAGATCCGTCTCTCTCTCATTTGCCAGTCCTATCCCATCATACCCGTATACATTTCCCTGGAACTCGTCTTCCGTCAAGGCGGGTAGAGCGAATCCACCCGGTGTCGATGTATATGCATCGTGTTCCCGGAAGGCTTGCGCTGCAGATGCAGATCCGGAACCGGAACCGGGGGCTCCATGCTGCGGTGTTTGTGCGGAGATATCCCTGCTTGTCTGTGTGTTTGGGAGGGAGGATGGACCGGCTTGTTTGCTGCTCGTGCTTGATGCTAGGGTGTTGGCGAGGTCGGAGCTCGGTTGGAATGCGCCTTTTTGCTAGGCCTGTTGCGGAGGTTTGGATGCGGGTTGCTAGCGAGGGGGCGCGGGGTGCGCGGGGTTGGGAGGGGGTTGGTTGGAGGGGTTGATGTTTGAGGTTGAGGGTGATGGGGCTGGGGCTGGGGCTGGGGCTGGAGTGTTGGAGGTTTGGGTTTGGTTGGTGTTGGAGTTGGGATTGCCCCGCATGTTCTCTTGGTTGGTCATGGCTTTGGGTTGGGTTTTGGGATTGGGGATTGGGGATAAGAGAGGTGTAGGTATTGGAATATTCAGGATGGGGTAGCTCTTCCAAGGTTGTCGGCTTGGTGTTCGGCTTAATATGCCTAGGCCGGATGATGTAGGGAAGCATGTGAAGGTGACCTAGAATGAAGGATATAGGATGATATAGGCTGGAATAGAAGAGATTGTATACTACATAGTTGTTAGTAGGATAGCTAAATGTTTTTAGTTATAGAATCTTAAAATTAGGCTCAGAAATATGATAGAGCTCGGCATTCAGTCAAATATGTCGAATTGTCAAATATATACTTAAAGCACAATACTTATATGAATGAATTCTCGACATTGCCATATGGATGATCCGGATTCGAATGAATATCTTCAAATGCCCTTCATCCTCTGCTAGATAGCATCTGATATATGCCAATGCTTAATTTGGCGGAGACCTTGCTTGGGCCTCAAGGATGACGACAGAGGCGCATAGTACAGGTTCGGGCATATAGACGATTAAATACAGAGTTTGAAAGAGATATATTCTACTCAACCTAAGAAAATAGCTAGATATGTAGACAAAATTCCAATATTTCAATTGCTATTCTTGAACTTTAACCCGTTGTAGTCGTATACGGGTTTTGCAAGGCCGGAGGGGCGCAATGGGCGCAATGGGCAATGTTACAGTCGCTGGCAGTGTTGATGTCAGCATGTTGCAGATGCCCGACCTGAATTCTCTTCAAGATACAGAATATTCAATCTGAATCAAATTTATTATTATTATTCTCATTTCACCGGAGAATACTACATATGTAGGTTAATATTGATGGTGCCCAAGACTTGTCACTTCGGTATCTCCGTAACGAACACTCTCCCCACCACCGCCTCAACTCATCTGGGCAACTTCACCTCACAACTCTTTTCCTTGTCTTTCTTCATCGACTCCGGACCAAGTACGCAACCCCATCCCCTTTAGCTTTTTTATATTGTCGGAGTTTGTTCTAACGAAAAGACCCTTCCTCAATAGAAACTTTTCTCTTATGATCCCCTCTCAAGCTCTTCTGCTGCGGGTCCACTCATAACAAGCACATTCACTGTGTTCTATCATCAAGCTACGTTGCCATCTCATTCGGCAAGCTCTTCATATTCTTCAGCTCGTCTTTCCAACTTGGATCGTTCAAGCTGTTCCACCTTCTGCCCCTCTTTTCGCCTTACCGCCACCCGCCCTCCAAACCCCTCGCACACCATCTCCGGTGATCGACTGTTCTCTCAATTTCCGCTTTCTCCAATCGTTATTCCCATCCGACCGAATTCTTTCGTGTCGGCTATCGCGCCTACATCGCTTCAGTCCAAGTGATTCTTTGCATCGACGATAGAGCTCTCGGAGGCATTTGCCAACCCGCATTTCCCCGTCCCTCCTATCTTGGTCCTTGCCCTTGTCGCGTTCAAGGGCTAGCTAGAACGTGAAAATGGTAGACAGAGATCCAGGCACACCTACCTGGAAGTTTACACAGTATGTTTGCCCCGGATCATGCCTTTCAGACGTTCCCACCCTATGGTTTCTATTTTTCTCTTCCTTTTGGCCTGGCGCCATCGACCCAACGTCACCACAAAGAGTCATTGAATGGCAACTAACTTGGTCTCAGATGCTTCGGCGATAAAGGTGATGTAGAAGATATTACAGAAGGTAATGGGCAGCCTCCCTCGCACGACTTGGCCAAACCTGGTCAATTTCTACAGAGTGCATCGACTGACACGCGCTCTGCAGCGGACATCATCTCAACCGTCGAATTTGACCACACTGGTAACTATCTGGCCACTGGTGACAAGGGAGGAAGGGTGGTATTGTTCGAGCGAAACGAGACGGTAACCCACCCCCTCCGGTCCTTTTTTTTCAATTTTGTTTTTCCTGTTTTGCCTCGGGCTAATCACTTAACAACATAGAAAAAAACCTGCGAGTATAAGTTTCACACAGAGTTCCAGTCACACGAGCCGGAGTTCGATTATCTCAAGTCGCTAGAGATCGAAGAGAAGATCAACAAGATAAAATGGTGCCGACGACAGAATGCATCCCATTTCCTCCTTTCGACGAACGACAAGACGATAAAGCTTTGGAAGGTCTTCGACAAGTCGCTGAAAGTGGTCGCCGAGAACAACTTATCGAATGAACTCACTCCCGCGAACCCTGTTGGGGGTGGAGGTATGGCTCGCGCACCCCGCGTATCCTTCAAGGACCCCTCTGCCCTCAAGCTGCCTCGTCTGACACACCATGACACGGTTGTTGCCGCTGTTCCGCGGAGAACATACGCCAACGCTCACGCGTATCATATAAATAGCATATCCGTTAACAGCGATGGAGAAACCTTTATCAGCAGTGACGACCTCCGAGTGAACCTATGGAACCTCAACATCCAGGATCAGAGCTTCAACATCGTGGATATCAAGCCAGCGAATATGGAGGAACTCACAGAAGTCATTACTGCGGCCGAGTTCCACCCGGTTAGCTGTAACTGGTTCATGTATGCCAGCTCCAAGGGCACAATCAAGCTTGCGGATATGCGGCAACGGGCGTTGTGTGACGAACACGCCAAGCGTACGTACAACTAGGGAATTGGGTCAATTAACTTTACTGACTGTTCTATTGCAGAGTTCGAACAAGAAGAGGATGCCTCGTCCCGTTCCTTCTTCTCCGAGATTATCTCCTCCATCTCCGACGTGCGATTCTCCAATGACGGGCGGTACATTGTGTCGAGGGACTACTTGACAGTGAAGATTTGGGATGTCAACATGGAACGCCAGCCAATCAAGACCATCCCCATCCACGAGCACCTGCGCCCCCGCCTCTGCGATACGTACGAGAACGATAGCATCTTCGACAAATTCGAGGTGGTCTTCTCTGGTGACGCGGAGAACGTTATGACTGGAAGCTACAACAACAACTTCATGATCTACCCCACAGAAGAACAAAAGGATACGGAGATTGTGCTCCAGGCAGACAAGTCGGCATTCAAGGCAAAGAAGGTTGGTGTACCGACGCCGATGAGCAAGAGTAACGGAAAGAAGGCTGGTTCGCGATCCGGCAGCCCTGCCGGCCCCGGCAGTCGTATGAAGAAGGAGACCGATGCCGACCAGATCGACTTCAACAAGAAGATCTTGCACATGAGCTGGCATCCATTCGAAGACAGCATTGCAATTGCGGCGACAAACAACGTGAGTTTTTCTCTTTTTTGTCGCTGTCCAAATCATAACAATGCTAATTTCGAACACAGCTCTTTGTTTTCTCCGCTCTTTAATCGCACCAAGTACCATCGTACCGTCACAAGGCCATTAACATTTTCCATGGTCAGGTGCATCTGGGGTTTGGATCGGGTGGCTGGAGGGCCTTGGTGAACAGGCAAGATATGAAGAATGAAAACCAAGAAAATAATGATAGCAGCAAGCCACAGGTTCCATAATCACAGGACGTTCCCTCCCCCCCCTCCCAATTCCCTATCTCTGCTCTCATTGTGGAACTCATCTGTCTGAGTTTTGGAGACCTAGTTTCTTTACCTATGTCCGTCCCCTTTTACTCGTTTCCTACTATTGTGGTGGGGTTGCCAAAGGCGTTGTATGGTGGCCAGCTCATGATAGAGAATGTCATGCCTGTTTTGAGGCCCTTTCCATAGTTAGTACTGAAGGACCTCTATAGAATTGGTAGCTAACTTGTATTGAGATGTTATGAAGTCTTGAGTTCCAAGCAGAACAGTATAATTTTACGGTTTAGGCGTTTTTCTTGCTTTATCTGTTACCTTTTCTGTATAGATAGGAAAAAGACATCAAGAAAGGTACCTCGAAAATGTATTTTATAGAAAGGACATTGAAAAATATGCCGAAGAGAGGCCACGGCATTGTTAGCCAGCCCTTACCCTCCGCCCCTTTCCGAGGCTTGACAAGCGAGAGGTGCCCCCAGCCTTCAGAGCGAGCCTCATTATGCAGATTAATATAGGAGGTAGGCTATACAATGAACAATAAGCTGCAGCTCTATTCAAACCACTCCCCTCCATTCATAACTCATGCTATTCACATTGGTTCACCTGTCCACTCAATGCCAGTCATGTTTTTCTGCCGGCAATGGCGGGCGATGACGAAGGCGGACTGAAATTGACTTATCGCACAATACCATGCGTGACCAATATACCGCCTCCCATTGACGGAAATCCCGCCAATAGATACAAATAATACCGTATTGAATGAATTCTGAATACACTTCGGAGAATCGAATGTCCGATAAGCACCCACTAAGCCATAATAGGTTAGCCCCGACGAGGAAAGCCTCCACAGGAGCCCGCGATCGGTCGCGCGCAATTCCATCACCCCAGTCTGTGTCTCCTTCTTGCCTATCATACTTCTCTGCCGGTTCTTTCTTGCTGCGTGGAGTCGGTTTCTGTCTTCTTATCTGCAAGATTCCAGGTCATGCTGTGACCCTACTGCAACCTGAGCGTTGCCAGTCGATTCCTACCCACGAGACTACGAGCTCCAGCTCTTCGATTACCAGACCCTGTTACTTTTTCTCCCCTCCTCGACTCTTCTTATCCGTGAAAACTACCTTCCTACTTCTCTCCTACTGGGGTTCGTGCATACATCATGAACTCTGGAAACGATAACTGGCACTCCTCCAGTGGGCCGCCGTCGCATCCTGGCATCGATCAAATGAACCAGCAGCCTCGGCCCCTGGGGTCATTCAGGTACGAGCAGTCGTATATAATACAAGTGGCTTGTTACCTTGATATCAGAGACTAACACAATATTCTTGCGCTTCAACAGCCAGAATCCCTCTCAGCAACCCCAGGCCTCGCAGCCCTCGGGCCCAGTACTTCCCCCTCCAGGTGGTGAGTGCCTCTTTGTGAACTATGGATATCCATGTGGAAATCCAATGATAAAAAAACGGTTCAAACTAATCGATCATTCTATTATAGGACCCTACCACCCTAGTCAGTCGGGTGGCCATTCTCTTCCTGGACTGGCAGAATTAAGCCAGACCCACGGAAATCCGCACCAACCTTCCGCGTACGGCCAGCACCCAGCAGGCCCGTCGCATAACAGCGGCCATTCTCTTCCCGGAATCGGTCAAGCCATGCAACATGCTTCTCCCCAGCTCAACCGCGAGCGGGAGCGGGACTCCAGGGAGCGCGAGATCATCGAGCGTCAGCGCCACGAAGAAATGGCGCACCGCGAGCGTGAGCGTGAGCGCGAGCGCGATCACCGCGAACAAATTGAACGGCAGCTAGAACGCCGTGAACAACCCCACCACCCTGTCCAGAGCCACACTGGCTCGATCCCCCTCCATCAACCCGTGGCCAATAAAGTCCCCAACTCCATCCATGGCCCGGGCGGACTCCTCTCGACCCTTGGCGGAAATCCGCAGAACAGCCACCAGGGCGGGCCTCAGTCTGCTGCTGGCTTGTTTGGTCCTCAGATGCAGCACGGCGAAGGCACACCTCGCTCGTATATGCAGCACCCTGGCGGTCCACCAGGACAGCCTATGATGGCGTACAATGCCGCTGGGCAGCAAATTCCAGGAAATGTTGCAGCTCTTGCCCAGGGCCAGCAACCGATTCTAAACGATGCTCTCAGCTACCTCGACCAGGTCAAGGTACGCTTCGTTGACCAGCCAGATGTCTACAACCGTTTCTTGGATATCATGAAGGATTTCAAGAGCCAGGCTATCGATACGCCTGGAGTGATTCAACGTGTTTCGACACTTTTCAATGGTCATCCCGCTCTTATTCAAGGATTTAATACCTTTTTGCCCCCCGGCTACCGCATTGAGTGCGGTACCGAAGACAACCCTGATGCGATTCGGGTCACAACCCCGTCTGGCACAAATACACTCAGCATGCCACGTGCAGGACGTCCCTTTGAGACAATTACCAATGCACCTCCCTCCGGTGATCCACATGCTCGGTCTGACTTCTATCGTGACCAAGCTCGACCTGGCTGGCAACAAGGGCAGCAACAGGATCAGCAGCAAGGCCCCGCCTCTGGATCGTACTCTCCTGGCTCGAGAATGATGGGCGGCATGTATCAACAAGATGGACCAGGACCCGCTCAGGAGCACCACTATGGCTACCCCACTCAACAGGACCAACAAGCTGCATCCGCCATGACTCACCAGCAAGACCACCGTGGAGTGGCACAGCTGCAAGGCGCTGCCTCCGCAGCATCCGCTGGACTTGGCAGGTCGTCTCTCATGGGAGTTTCGGGTGCTGGACAGAACTCTAGTCTCACTCAGCCGATGAACAATCTGGCTGGCGTCGGGACTGGTATGCTCCAGGGTGCTCAGGATCTGAACAAGCGCGGTCCAGTGGAGTTCAACCACGCCATCAGTTATGTGAACAAGATCAAGAACCGCTTCTCAAGTGCGCCGGAGATCTACAAGCAGTTCCTCGAGATACTCCAGACTTACCAGCGGGAGTCAAAGCCTATTCAGGATGTCTATGGACAGGTTACTCAGTTGTTTAACACTGCCCCGGATCTCTTGGAGGACTTTAAACAGTTCCTGCCGGAATCCGCCGCGCATGCCAAACAAGTAGCTGCGCAGCGCCAAGCCGAAGAACAAGCTCCTCTTAGCAACCTCCGTGGCGAACCTGCAGGTTTCACCTCCCAGACTCCTAACCGTGACGTCAAGATGCCTCCTCTGGGCCAGTTCAATGTGAAGGACCCTAAGGAAAACAAGAAGCGACGTGGTGGCCCAGGTGGTGTTGGCTCTATCTCGGGGCCTGCCGGTGCCGAAGCTGCTCGCTTGTCTGAGGCAAGCAGAGGTGGCCAGAGTTCGCAATTCGGTAACGCGAGCAAGCGACCAAAATACCACCATGGAAAGCCTTCTGTTGACATGGCAAATGTCTCTCCCACTTTGATTCCTGCTCTCCCAGAGCCTCTTCCTCCCTCGGTCTCCATGACTCCTAGCCAGGAAGAAATCGCGTTCTTTGACCGCGTGAAGAAGTTCATCGCCAACAAGCAAGTGTTCAGCGACTTCCTGAAGCTTTGCAACCTGTACACAACAGATCTCCTCGACCGCCACATCCTGGTGAAGAGGGCCGAGGGATACATCGGGTCCAATGCTGAGCTCATGAGTTGGTTCAGACGTTTCATGAGTGCCGAAGAGCCTGAGGATAAAATCATCGACCCTAAGGCGAACCCGGAATCAGGTGTCGTCAACCTGGCTCACTGCCGGTCTCTGGGACCGAGTTATCGACTTCTTCCTAAGCGTGAGCGCCAAAAGCCCTGCAGTGGGCGCGATCCGCTTTGCAACGGTGTTCTTAATGACGATTGGGCCTCACATCCCACCTGGGCTTCGGAAGATTCTGGCTTTGTTGCGCACCGCAAGAACCAGTATGAAGACGCTTTGCACCGAATTGAAGAAGATCGCCACGATTACGATCACCACATCGAGGCTTGTACCCGTACCATCCAGCTGATTGAGCCCATTTGCCAGCAATTCCTTTACATGAGTGATGCGGAACGCATGGCATTCAAATTGCCACAAGGTCTCGGTGGCCAAAGCGAGGCAATTTACCAGCGTGTCATCAAGAAGATTTACGACCGTCAACGCGGCGAGAAGGTCATCCGAGACATGTTCCTTCGTCCATGCCACGTCCTTCCTATCGTTCTTTACCGCTTGAAGCAGAAGCTAGAGGAATGGAAGGCCTGCCAGCGCGAGTGGGACAAGGTCTGGCGCGAACAGATGCAGCGAGCATACTGGCGCAGTCTTGACCACCAAGCCATCGCAACCAAGCAGACTGACAAGAAGCTCTTTGTCGCCAAGAACATCCAGCAAGACCTGCAGACTAAGTTTGAGGATGGACAGGCTGGTCGCAAGAGCGGCCGGACCCCACTCAAGTTCCAGGCTGAGTTCCAGTTCAACGATACTCAGGTCCTCCTGGACGCTGTCTACTTGCTTTTCTTGTACTTTGACCGCAACACCAATGGCTTTGGCGCTGATCCTCAGCGGCTCATGAACTTTATCAGGGATTTCATTCCTACTTTCTTCGGCCTGGACCGTTACACCTTCAACCTGTACATGGACGAAGTCTACAACGCCATCAATGATGACGATGACACTTATGCCAATGAGGATGCCTCGAACGGGAGCCGCAAGGGGGCGGACTTGCAGAAGCTGGATCTTCTGCGTGATGCCCTTGAACGCGGAGACCAGACTGAGAAGCCCGTTAAAGTGGATGGTGTTCTGAACAACCATGACGAACCCCCTGTTATCCAAGTTTCTTCCACTGTCTCTGAGTCCGAGGATTCCTTTGATGTGGCTGAACTGCGCTGGATGGAACATCCCGGAAACGGCAACTTCAATCTTGAGCATGAATACACACTCAACGAGAAGTACAAAAAGAAGGAACACCACATGTACTGCAACCTGAACGTCTTCTGCTTCTTGCGTACCTTTGAGATCCTCTATTCGCGTCTCCTGCGCATCAAGGAGCAAGAGGAGTCAGCCCGCGAACAAGTACGACGCGGTGTTCTACCCAAGGCTGCCCACGAGTTGTGCTTGATCGACCGATTCCCTGGTGATTTCTTCTATGATGTCGCTCCCGAGGCCAACCTTTACAAGCAGATCGTGCGCATGTGCGAGGAGGTTATCAAGGGCGATATCGATCAGGTTCACCTGGAAGAGACCCTGCGTCGCTTCTACATGCAGAGCGGATACCTGCTCTACAACCTGGAACGTATCTTCTCCTCCATTTCCAAGTTCGTGTCGTCTATCTTCACCGGTGACTCCCGCGACCGCAGCTCGGATATTGTCAATCTTTTCTTCAAGGAACGGGAGAAGGAGGAGACTACCCACCACCAGGAGATCCAGTACCGCAAACAAGTCGAGCGACTGGTCAAGGATGGAGATATCTACCGTATTACTTTCGTGAGTTTTCCAATTTTCAAAAACTGGATCTGACAACAACTAACAAATCCTTCAGTACCCAACTGACCGCCGTGTCACCGTGCAAGTAATGACCAGCGAAGACGCAACCCTCAACAACGATGAACTCACCCCAGAAGAGCGCTGGTCTTACTACGTGACCGCCTACTCGATGCGCGACCCAACCGAAGGCGTGCAATTCTCCAAGATGCGCATGCCCCTACTGAAGCGCAACCTTCCTCCGAAACTCGAAGAAGACGAAGAGTACGAGCGCTACTACCGCAGCCTCCAGCACCACGACGGCCTGACCATCCGCATCTGCGCCAACAACTACACAATGCTGTACCAGCCACCCACCCACGACTGGTTCTGGCGCTCCAACGCCCCGATCCCGGAGAAAGACGCCGACGCCGACGCCATCCAGGCCCAGGTCGACGACCTCGCCAAGGAGAAGGCCGCGCTGCGCGAGAAGCGCCATGACCGCTTCGTGGAGAAGTTCGTCAACAACCCGTCCTGGGCCCGCGGCCTTAGCAAGGACCAGGTCGATGAGAGCAACCAGCGCTTCCGGTCTTGGGTTGATGGGACCCTCTCTGACAGTCCTGGTCCGGCCCGTGAGGGATCTGCGTCTGGTTCTGGCTCCGCGGCCCCCGCTAATGCGGAGGCGGAGAAGGATGATGGCGCAGATGTTGAGATGACCAATGCGGAGCCTACTGAGGCGTAGGTTGTGTTTGTGCTGGCGGTGTAACTTTTACGACGGGTCAGTCCCCCCTCGTTGGGGGGGGGCTGACATGCATTATTGTTGATTGTGGGAGGCGGCGTACACGATGAGGAAATTGCGATGAATAGTTTTCTTTTCTTTTTCTTTTTTCACGGGTTTCCGTAGTTTGTATTTGTATCTTTTTTTTTTCAAGTATCTCTTACTTTATTCTCACAAATGAAATGGCCATGAAGAGATTGGTCTGTTTATTGTTAATTTAATTTGATCTGTATGATTTCCCTCACATACTAATATTTTCCTCTATTTGTTGATAATGACTTGGATTCACCATAAAGGCTACTAACCCCAAACACCCGAAGTCGCCTAGTTTATATAACTTCATTCATATATAGATCTAGATTAGTTAGAGCTGGCATCTTGACAATACGAAGAAGCCTATAAGAAATAAAAAGAGAAACGAGGGATAGGTCTGAGTATACAGGCGAGAGTAAGACGGTAAAAAAAAAGGTGACTAAATTATATTGGCATCTAAGTAAGATCTGCCGTACCCTAATGCAGCGATCGACTCGAACTTCCGGGGTAACGAAAAATAGGATTCCTCCAGATCATCGGCTTCTCTTACTGAATCGGTACGACTAGCGGCAATATAGATCCAATGGTTTGAATTGGATTATCCAATTTGTATCAGTTGAAAATCTCCGTGTGGCCGAGCCTGCATAGCCGACACCATCCCGAGACGTGGATTCGGGGGAAACTCGGGGGTCCTCGGGGGGATTGACTCCGTATTATCTCCTTTTTTCTGTTTGGTGTTCTTGTATATTGGGATATATTTTGTATTCTGGTTATACTAGGGAAGGATATTAGACTGAGAAGATGTTCAATAATAACTGCTCTGTATAGGCAAGGAAACGTGGGAAAATCACAGCATATTGAAGGTCGACCAGGAGGAAAGTGGATTCGTAAAACCCGGGAGATGACCGAAGGCCGAGCGAAGGCCGGTTGACGTCATTATGAATTATTTTTATGAGCATCATCGAGGGGTGAATTCATGGGGTTTAATGGGGATTAAACAGGGAATTGAATAGAAATGGAAAGAGATATATGATTTCGATAGGAATTCAAGTAGAATTCAATTAGAATGAGCTATACAAATATACCAATATACAAAACACAGAATATCCCATATACAATGAGGTATACTTAGACAGCCCAAACTCCAAACTTCCATTCTCCCGGACCTGTCGGCCTTTCCTCTGTGGAGACCTCTGCCCGTGGGGTTAAAGAAATTACTTATACCCCCAGATCTCCTTTCCTCTTCTTCTTTTACACATTCTTGACACTCTCCCCTCTTCCCCTATCATGTCTGCTTCAGCCCTATTGAAGAGCCGTGTGCGGCGCCCATCGTATCTGAAGAAGCTCGCCAAACCTGAGGATCTCATTCATCACTTCCCCAATGGCACGTACATCGGCTGGTCCGGATTCACCGGTGTCGGTTACCCCAAGTATGTAACACAGACCATTGGATGTTGAGGGCAGAACGTTAACATCGATCCAGGATGGTTCCCATTGCTCTCGCAGACCACGTCGAGAAGAACAACCTCCAGGGACAGCTGAAGTATAATCTGTTTGTCGGTGCCTCCTCCGGCGCAGAGACCGAGAACCGTTGGGCCCGATTGAACATGATTGAGCGTCGCAGCCCTCACCAAGTCGGAAAGGAAATCGCCAAGGGAATCAACAACGGCCAGATCAAGTTCTTCGATAAGCATCTGAGCATGTTCCCCTCGGATTTGGTCTATGTGAGTTTTGGCATCTTCCAAGGGGGAAAAAGAAAAAGATCAACCCGCTAACCTTTCCGCTTCCATCAGGGTTGGTACACTCTGAACAAGCCCAAGCCCACAATCGACGTGGCAGTCATCGAGGCTTCTGCAATCACCGAGAACGGAGGCATCATCCCCGGTGCCTCTGTCGGTGCCTCGCCCGAACTGATCCAGATGGCCGACAAGGTCATCATCGAAGTCAACACCTCCATGCCCTCCTTCGAGGGTCTACACGACATCACCTGCTCAGACCTACCCCCGGGCCGCAAGCCCTACCTCATCATGGCCCCGGAGGACCGCATCGGAACCAACTACATCCCCATCGACCCGGAGAAGGTCGTCGCTATCGTCGAGTCCAACTACCCAGACCAGACCCTCCCCAACGCCCCCGAGGACGAAGGCTCGCAAGCCATCGCCTCGAACCTAATCGAGTTCCTCAAGCACGAAGTCAAGCACGGCCGCCTCCCACCCAACCTCCTCCCCATCCAATCGGGTATTGGCAACATCGCCAACGCAGTCGTAGGCGGACTCAGCAAAGGCGGCGCAGACTTCAAGAACCTAAAGGTCTGGACCGAAGTCCTGCAAGACTCCTTCTTAGACCTGTTCGACAGCGGAAACCTCGACTTCGCAACAGCAACCTCCATCCGCTTCTCCCCAGACGGCTTCAAGCGCTTCTACGATAACTGGGAGCGCTACGCGGGAAAGCTCCTCCTCCGCTCGCAACAAGTCTCCAACTCCCCCGAGATCATCCGTCGTCTCGGCTGCATTGGTATGAACACGCCCGTCGAAGTAGACATCTACGCACACGCAAACAGTACCTGCGTCATGGGCTCGCGCATGCTGAACGGACTCGGCGGATCGGCTGATTTCCTCCGTAACTCGAAGTACAGTATCATGCACACTCCGTCCGCGCGTCCTACCAAGACCGATCCTACCGGTGTGAGCTGTATTGTTCCGTTCGCGACGCACATCGATCAGACGGAACATGATCTCGATGTCGTTGTGACTGAGCAGGGTCTTGCTGATGTTCGTGGGTTGTCGCCTCGTGAGCGTGCCCGTGTTATTATTAAGAACTGCTCACACCCTGATTACACGCCTATTCTGACTGATTACCTTGACCGCGCGGAATTCGAGTGTCTGCGGAAGGGTATGGGTCATGAGCCGCATATGCTTTTCCAGGCTTTCAATATGCATAAGAATCTTCAGGAGAAGGGTACCATGAAGATTGACTCTTGGGAGTAAATTCCAAGGATTGAAGTGTGTGTGTGTGTGTGTGTGTGTGTGTGTGTGTGGGGGTTGAGGGCGATACCTTGTTTAAAACTTGGATACGCGCGGTTGGGGCGTTTGGTATATCTATTAGCGGTTTTTGTATATATAGTACTGGAATATAACCTTTTCCTCTGGATTAAATGTGTATACAAATCAGATGATACGTATGTATGCGAATGTATCGAATATGCCCAGACAAATAAATTGTATAGAAACCGAATCTTGCCACACCAGACAGAACTCCTATTAAGAAAAGGCATGGTATAATATCAAAGCAATGCTCAAACACAAGCAAAAACGCCAACTCCAAATGAAAAGACATGTAATCATCTCAATCTTAGTCTCCTTTTCGTCTCCACGTCTTATCACAAGAACGGACAGAGTCTAAGAATCGAATCGAATCCGAACCAGAGAACCCAGTAACCAATCTAAAAAGATCAAGTACAAGTGAGTCCATCAAAGTCCAGTAATTCTATATAAAAGTCAGCACAAATCCCCTAAACCCCTAAATCTAAACCATGAACATCATAGAGATAAACGTACCGACTCCAGAGCGTCCCGAGAATACCAGCCTGCGCAGGCTCAGACTTGCGTTGAGCCCAGCCGTGGTCAACGTTGTAGTGCTTCACATCTTGTAACCCGGCGAAGAGGCCCCGTCCAGCTGTTGCGCGCTTTGGGAATGTTAGTTAATGGATCTCAATGGTGAATTTCGGATAGTGGCAGTGGATGTGGATGGGATGTGGCAGCGGTATACGTACGCGATGCTGTTGAGCGGGATTGCGGACCCAGTAGTCTGCGCCGTAGTCGTTTTGCAGACGGGCGTGCTCGCTATCGGTTGATTTGGATTGGGTGGGCATTTTGATTTTGGTTGTTTGGTTGGATGGTTGCACAGTTGTGTTGGTGCAGATGTATCTTGGAAGTATCTTGTATCAGGTCAAGTAACCGAAGTAGGTATTGTATAAGAAGATCTTTGTGTGATGAACAAAACAAACTCCATCGTGTAACATCCCATCCTTATATACATACACCACCTCCCATATCATAGCCACGAGATGCAAACTCGCATAGCAAGTATGGCCTGACAGTATGAACCAAACCATGTCTGTTCCGAGAGGCTGGATCGCGGGACGTGGCCGTTAGCCGTTTCTGGGGCATGGTCTTGGTAGCATGATGTATATCTCGGATTGATTTTATCCGGGTTGGATTATTGGGTCAGATACTACTGGGTGTGGTGGTTGGATTCGTGACGTCGGATATGGTGCGATTACATTGTGCGGGTTTCTCCGTTTCTGTTTCTGTTTTTGGGGTTAGTACAGGTGGAGAATGAATCCTGCTTATCTTGTTGTTGCCGATTATTATTCGAGATCAGATGATTGGGGGATTGGTGGTGGTACTTTCGGTGTGCGTGGTGGCATGATCGGGTGGCACGGTGATGGTCAGATTCGATCTGCGGCAGAAAATAAGAACAACAATTGGAAAAGTTCTACTTTGGATTTTATTTAATGAGGCTCAGGATAGCTTGGAGCTGTTGTGTTACATTCTGATTTTGTGCGACAGTCTTCACTGGATATTTTGGAAGCACATGCAAGCGTGTTGCATTGTACAATCCAGCGGGTTCAACTTCGAAACTTGCATGGGATATATTTAGAGCACCTCACTCTAAACTTCAAGATTCGACACAACAAAAATGTTATATTTTCTCTACCGTCACCGCTGATTCCTCCACTATGCATTGATGCCCCTTCCGGGCTTGTCAGAGCGAGGCGACACTGCTCCACGTTGCGAGTCAATCATACAGCACACAAACAAGGGCATCCGCCCCAGGCAGGCCGCTGCACATAAATACAGTGGTTGGACACATTTTTGCGTGTTAATCCATGAAGCCGTCAGTCTATACTAGTCCAACAAACTCATCTCCCTAGATCTAACCACTGTTTACTATTCCATTCCCGCGTCGCCTTGTACCTCGACGTTTATATTCTCATACGAAATTGTTCCACACCCCCACAAAGTCGACATATATATCAAAGACGAGGTAGGTAATATGTAGTCTTGACACAAGTGACACTCATCTGAGAATCACAATGTAGAACCGTGATACACGATGATTATCCAGCCGTCGGGCTTGCAGCTGACGTGCCGCTTCGTTCGTATCCTCCGTTCGCATCTAGCATGAGACATAGAACACGAAAATTATGGGAAAGCACGTCGGATATTGCTGAACGAGTCGGAGAGTTGTTTGTCTGATCCGTTCAGGAACAAGGATATTGAACCGGAGTTCATTACTTGTTTGACATTTCTTGATGAGTTCTGATATATATATATATATACTGTGAGGCCGGTATATATTGTTCAATTACTTCTAAATTGCAAGTAAAGAGAAAGATGGAATCGAAAATATCTTTTTCTTCTTACATTAGTCGGATCCAACCTGGAACCAGATTTCCCTTGTACCATACGAGAGATACCTAATTTCAAAATTGATTGTTAAGAGGGAATTGGCATGATATAAGAAGAGCCTACGACTTTGAGCCCTTAGGGAGATTAATCCGTAACTCAATAATAGTATACATTACGGAGTACTCATAGCTGAAAAGCGAGCGATATCTCAAATAATGAAAATGTAATTATTGATGAGAAATCGAGATGAAGCGAGGAGGCATCCGAAGATCGAGGCATACATTCCACGGAGATTCTCCATATGGCCAGTGTGATACAGATCTCTCCCGAATATCTGAGATGTGGAATGCCAGCGTAAATTAACCCTAATTTGACATGTCCAAAAAAACAGTCATAGTCATATGCAGGGAAAACCGGTCAGGCTGCAGAAATTTCCCCGGAACATAAACCCACACACCGTTAGACTTTGGGAATCTTTTATACACGATGAAACAAAGAAAAAAACATTTGAACCCCCAATAGCAAGGCTGATAGAAAATCGCCACAATAGGCTCTGCACGAATAGAACTGATTTCCCAGATCCCAAATCCACAAGGCCACACGCAGACCCCTGGAAGCCCCTGAATAACCTCAAAAAGGGTGTTGCCAAGCCTTGACCTAAATGCCAACTAAGCCCAGATCCGCTATTATCCTTGGCCTTTTGATCCATTGGAATTGTCAGATTGGCCAAGAGTATTTCGGCGGTCTGGATCGTTGAGTTGTCTTTGACTTGGGCAGTTCCTTTGTGTATGGGAGTTATTTATTTTGGAGGTTACATTTACACACGAATCAAAACCATGAACGTCGGTGGTTCATTATTAGTCGGACTGAACCTCAATACACAATTCCATCACATTCTATCACATTCCACCCAAACTCTTTGACCACCATATATGTATTGGAGTCAATACTCCAACCAATCCCTGGGGTAATTATCGACCTCAATCAGACCAGACTAGCGAGTGCAAAACAACTGCAAAACGGATAATACATAATTCAGGAGTCAGACGCTAGTCATGGTAGTTCCATAAAATAATACATAGCGGTAATCTCCACAAGACACACACACACCCTCGGCTGTGCCCCAGCATCCGCCGGGATCTACCCCATGAACAAGTTTTGATCGCCAGTCGAAGAGTTCCAGACTTCGTCCTCATTGTGATCAGCACTCAGTGCATGGAATAGCAGAGGATCTGTTCGCTACATACTTGCTGCTTCCATTGCTTGTACGCTGTAGATCTCGCAAACACCGCTCCCAGCGTAAGAGTCGGTTGTATCCGGTAGCCAGGCTACAGTGTTATCTTTTTTTATTATTTCTGGAAACAACCACACTAGGAAAATGGCTATACTCTGAGTAGAAGGTGGCTCGTAGACCACGCGGTCCTTCCTATTCCACACGATTAATTAGTTGAACCAGTTCAAGCTTCCTGCCCCGTTTAATAATTCTTTTTGACTTTGATTAGGCCGGGTGATCGGCCAGTCCATGAGTGCGTGTACCTATATGGCTGGCTCGATGGAGATCGTCAGGGGAGGGCAGAAAACAGCGCATAGTTAACAGCGGACAAGTGTTATGTGTTGTTTCCATTGAGCAGGGCAATGTATGTTGATATAAGTGAAAAATTGGGTTCGGGCGAACATATGGGGACTCGAGAAACGTGTTGTGATGCTCTCTTGGCGTTTGTTGATTGTGCTCCGTGGTAATCCGAGACACTGCCCAGGTGGTATTGAAGGAAAGTAATAATAAACAGAACTCCCCGTATATCGTAGGTAATCCATAAGATTGAATGATACCCGTATTGTGATTTTATAATAATGATCGGCAGGGCGGAGATTAGAGACTGCATCTCAACTAATCAGGAGTTGGGCTATACACAAATTCAGCTACCACCTTTCCATTTCGGGACTGGCCGAGTACGCTATGATATCCCGCCCCACATGGTGCGGGAAGAGAATTTCCTGTTTTGTTTTGTTTTTGACTTTGGACTCTTTGATCGGGGATTTCTCTGTCTGACTCTGCACTGAGACATTGAGATTAAAGCAGTCTGCTCCACCAATTCTCTGGATCTTTGCTTTGGAGACGTTTTTCTGGGCTGGGTAACCGGGAACCGAGGATTGAACGGGGGCAGGCTTGCCACCGAATAAGCCACAGAGGGGCTGCAGTGGTGCCTTACATGGTATGACAGGATGTATGAAACGTTGGCTTCGTTTTCGTACAATGTGGCTTTTCAAGCGGTTAGGAGTTGGGAAACCGGAAGTTGGACGACCCTCACAGCGGTAAGGGGAAAGACTATTCTGGGTGTGAGACAGGATAACTATTTTCGACGCTGGGGCCGAAGGCTGAGAAGAATAGGAGAGAAGCCAGTCGACGATCCGTGCGGGCAGTGTATTGATAATAATAGTATTCGGATACGGAGGATGGACGATGGAGGATGGAGTATGGAGTATGGAGTACACAGTATTGGTTCTTATTGTGAAATGACCGTTGGGCGAGAATATAACTTTGTAAACCTGCACATGAGTGCTCCCTATTATGATATGACTCCCAGACACTGTACCTGCATTGTGCCTGATATGAAATCTTACTCCGTACTCAAATTGCAAACTGTACAAATACCAATTACACCAATTACACCATGCAGTCTCCACTCTTGCCCGAGCCGTGTGGGCCAACCACAAGCAGCCAAAACTCGGGTGTCGAATAAACAGCCAATCAGATTGATATTGTCCCTGAAAACACATCTAGACTCGTCCAGGGGTAATTTTAGGGTAAATTAAATTCATAGAAATTCACGATCGGTGGACCTGTATCGATGCAGGCTAACACACTAAAGCCCTTTTTTAGGTCTTTTTTCTCCTTTTCTCTTTTTTCCCCCTAACGCCCCCCCGGTAACCATTTCTCCAACAAAAGGCCTTGCGTGCCCCCGATTACTCTCCTTTTACCTTCTCATCCCACGTTCCTTCGATTCTATACCACCGCTTCACTCGTTCAGCGGGCATTCATTCTTTTGCGTGGATATTATCTTTTCATAATGAAGGGAGCTATTTTCGCCGCCGCCGCTTTGGTCGGCTCTGCCATGGCCGATGGTGTTCACCGTCGCCATGACGCTTTCCACCAGCGTCGCGAGGCTTCAGCCAGCGTCTGGTCCTCCGCCGTCCCTACCCCCGAGGAGACCTGCGGCTGCACCACCAAAGTCATCACCTACTACGGCTCCGCTACCCTGGTCCCCGTTGAGACTGTTGCTCCTCCCTCTTCTACTTCCACTTCCACCCCCACCTCTACTCCCACCCCCGAGTCCACCAGCACTCTCACCAGCACTGTGCGCTCTACCAGCACCAGCACTCTGACCGTGACTGTCTCGCCTTCATCCTCCAAGGCCCCGGTTGCCTCTAGCACCGCCGTTGCTAGCACTCCCGCCGTGCAGCTGCCCACCCCCGGTGTTAGCACTTACTCCACCACCGGTGTCTACACCATCCCGGCCACCACCATCACCGTCCACGACACCACCACTGTCTGCGGTGCCACCTCCACTGAAGTTCCCAGCGGCACCCACACCTACGGTGGTGTCACCACCATTGTCGAGACTGCCACCACTGTCGTCTGCCCCTACGCCACTGTCAAGCCCTCCGGCAGCACCGTGACCAGCGTCATTGAGACCACCACCTACGTCTGCCCCTCGGCTGGTACCTACACTGTTGTGCCTCCTACCACCACCACTGTGCCCACCAGCACCGTTCTGGTCTACCCCACCCCCCAGACCATTGTCCCCGGTACCTACACCCAGGACGAGTCCGTCGTCACTGTGACCCGCACCGACTACACCTACATCTGCCCTGCTCCTACCAACACCCTGGCCTCGACCACCGCCCCCGCTGTGCCCACCACTGTTGCTGCCACCACCACTGCCGCTGCTACCACCACTGCCGCTCCCGTTGTCAGCACCACCAGCTCCAGCTCCAGCGCCGCCAGCACCTCCTCCACCAGCAAGCCCACCTCTGTCCCTACCGTCCTCGGTGAGGGCCAGTACGGTATGACTTACTCTCCCTACACCTCAGGTGGTGCGTGCAAGACCAAGCAGGAGGTTCTCAAGGACCTTACTGTCATCAAGGGCAAGGGCTTCAACCTGATCCGTGTCTACTCCACTGACTGCAGCGGTCTCGAGTTCATCGGTGACGCCTGCAAGGAGCTCAGCCTCAACATCATCATGGGTGTCTACATCGACGGCTCCGGTACCTCCGGTGCCCAGGAGCAGGTCACCGAGATCGCCAAGTGGGCCGAGTGGGACATGGTCGAGCTGATCGTTGTCGGTAACGAGGCCATCCAGTCTGGCTTTGTCGACGCCTCTACCCTGACCTCCTTCATCAAGTCCGCCTCCGAGAGCTTCAAGTCCGCTGGTTACACCGGTCTGATTACCACCACCGAGCCCATCAATGTCTGGCAGCAGCACGGCGCTGGTGTTCTTTGCAGCGCTGTTGACGTCGTCGGTGCCAACATCCACCCCTTCTTCAACGCCGATGTCACCCCCGAGAAGGCCGGTGAGTTCACCAAGGGCGAGTTCGAAGAGCTCGAGAAGATCTGTGGTGGAAAGGACGTCATCAACCTCGAGACTGGCTGGCCCAACGCCGGTAGCTCCAACGGTGCTGCTGTCCCTGGTACCGCTGAGCAGGCCACTGCCATCAAGTCCATCGCCAAGGCCGTTGGCTCCAAGTCCATCTTCTTCTCCTACTCCGATGACACCTGGAAGAACCCCGGTGAGTTCAACGTTGAGCAGCACTGGGGTTGCTCTGGAGTCTTCTAAGCGCCACGTCTCTTGATGGATTTTTGAATATTTTTTTGGTTAGTTCTGCAAATGCAAAACTTGTACAGGAGGACTAGGAGTTTTACCTTTCTCTGGCTTGGTGGTGTGTCTACGGACGCCGATCGGCCCTTTCTTCCCTTCTTGGATTCTATTTTAAACTTGACTCCTGTGGTAGATACACCTTTTATTTGACGTTGTCTACTGACCTGGTTGCACCTTTTGATCTCTTTCCTGTTATTAGTCGTTTGTATATTTGCTCATTTATGCCTTCTTACGAGTTTTGATACCGGTAGTCTTTCCTCTGTACGATGTAGTATGTAGTCAGCTCTGTAATTTGAGCTCAGAGGATCCTTGTCCTTCAATCTGTCTTAGTTATGCTGCCCCTCTTTCTACATATGTTGGCCCCCGTTGCCTACGACTGACATCATGCAACCTGCGCCCGACGAAATGGGGCAGTGCATACGGCCCAAAACCGAGGCTCCGCACAAGACTTGAGATCAAACCAGAGTGTTCATTCTACTAGCTTTCAAGCTAAGATTTTCGAACCCTCAAGACAAAATTGTGCCAAAGAACAAGCAAGGCACTTTCTTTCCAGTCAACAAAACCAAAACCAGGCCCAGAACCCAGAACCCAGAGCCTAGACCAAATCCAAATCCGAATCCAACTACATCAACTCCCTTAATCTCCCACCATGGCATACCGTTTTCCATTCGAATGCGAGCCCTTCTACATGCGCCCCCTCTTGATGACCAAGTCTATTTTCGGTGCATTCTTCACAATTTTGATCTACTTCGTGATCCCAATAGCTGTGGCACTGGTCATAATATTAGCCATTGCGTTCGTGTTATTCGCGATACTTGCCGTGTTGTTTGGCTGGGGTCCGAGTCTTGATGAGATTAAAGCGAAGAGAGAGAAAGAAAAGAGCGAGCGAGAACAGAAAGAGCGTGATCAGGAAGCAAACCAGGGTGATCAGAAGGACAATCAGGGTGATCAGAAGGGTAATCAGGGTGATGAGAAGGAAAAGCAGGCAATCCCAGATGCATACCGGTTTACCGCTCCTCTGCCCGCAACTGCGAGTGGCTTCGGTGGTACATACGACCTGACAAGGCGTCTTGAGATTGAGCTTGAACTTCTTGGTGAGATGGTAGTTGCCAGGAAGGAGAGGTTGGCGGCTTTGAAGATGACGCATTCTGGGGATGATTCTTCGTATTTGGAGGTCTTGGAGAAGCTTGAATAAGACTAGTAGTAGTACCTATATACCTTCCAAGGTTGTTAAGTACATATACATAACGAAAAGCTATACTTCCCAGATAGGAAAAGTAGCTATCTGACTTTCCCCAGACCAAGGTTCATCTCAACCTTGAGCAGACTACAAAGCTCGAGGCACTGACGTGACTTCTACGACTACCATCCATCCATCCTCTTCTCTCCAAACCCCAGCTGTTACCAACATACTCCTATCACCTGTATCTCGAACCGAGTCAACCAAATCCGAACCGAATCAACCAAATTCCACTTTGAACCCTCTCCTCTGCTCATCTATATACCCCTCGACATGGAGGAATTTGCGGATGAATTATTCGGAGACGGGTTCGGGGAATATCCTCTCCTTCTCCGTCCGTTGATTGGAACTATGATCGTGGTTAAAGCGGGCGCTAAGTTCCTCTTCTACTTTGGGTTGCCTATTGTCCTCGGTTTCATCTTCCTAGGCGGAGCTATTGCACTGATAATCGTTTCGATCGGATGTCTCTCCGACAAATTGTCAAAGAAGGACGAGAATGGGACATGGAAGAAAAGCGATGATGAGAGCAGGAATCGGGGCAGTGTCGAACATCGTCTAGAGGCTGGCGAGATCAAATTTTGAGATCGTTGTTGATATCGCAAGGGAGATTCCAAGATATTTTTTTCATGATTTGTCGCTGGAGGATATGGGTACGAGACGATGGCCGAAGGACGGGTTACTTTTGCTCTTTTCTTTTGCTAGAAGTCGTCCATCTATGGGATGTTTGTTCAGGGAGTTTGTTGGGTATTTCATTTGAAGAGGTGTTACTGGGCCATCTTTTCGAGTGATCAGCCATCTTTCAAGGTCAAGCTGAATCATACGGAAAGAGGAACGTTATACTATGGGATATGTTTTGTAATAGCTGCATCAGGCCAAAGCTTTGATTGCTATTTTATATTCTTAGGTGAACTAGAAAGTATGACAGAAATACAAGGATTGAGAATTCGTGATATTCCAGAATTATATACCAATAACAAGATAGATAAGTACAAGTGAAGGCATTGAGCATAGGGCCAGGGATGGTGTTCCCATGTCCATGTTGTATTCTGCCAACTCAAAAAGGCATCATGGTTGATCGGGTAGGCCCATCCCTCCTTTTATCATATTGTAACTCCAGACAAAACTTCTTATAGCGGCGTGCAAGTCTGTTATCCTCATTAGCATCTTGAATCAAACAAATCCCGCTTAGTAGAGATCGTGTTGCGGTCCCTAGGTACTTACACCATTGGATGCGCAAGTAAGCCCCTCACAGCAGCATCCCTCGTAGGCACAGTTAGCAGCCGTGCAAGCCATGGTGTCCTAGTAACATCGTTAGAAATTGTCTCCCTCGCATTTCCCAATATTGTAGCTATCAAGCGGACTCACAGACTGGCACGCGACTGCGGCCTTAGGGTATGCTTCGGGGAGAGCGACGGTGAGTGTGGCGAGGAAGCCGAGGATGATGACGGAGGCGCGCATTTTGAATTGGCGGAAAAGGGAAAGACTTGGAAATGGGGTATCTAGAATTAAGACAAGGACCAAATCAGCGACCGAATCAAGTATAATAATAGACGATACGGTGAAAACACCACAATAAGCGAGTTTGGACTGCATGCAAGGGCAGGGAAACGGTGTAAAACAAACATACGTTGAGAAATAGGAATAGTCAAGCAAAAAAGTGAAATTCAACCACGGGGTATTTAATATCGAAACCAGAAAGTAAAGACAAACGCATATCAGGCTCCATCAAAGTCTTATAGCTTGCAGGCGTGGAGTGCCGCAATGACACAAGCCACGCACCAGCGCGAAGATCTATCATTGTCTCGCCTGAAACAGGGCCACTGGGGGATCTACAGGGGCAGCTGTGGGATCGGTCGGCACTGATTGGATGATGGCTGGGTCTGTCTTGTCGTCCTCGCGGGCGGCTGCCCTATAGCGGGGATTGCTCGCGTCGATAAATGCAGCCTCCGAATACACACGATGTTGCTTGATCCTGTTTGATTAAGGAAGATTTAATTTAGAAGGGGGGGGTTGGTTTTGCCTCCTGTGAGAGTGGGAAATGGTGTGTAGAACAAAACCATCCACAAGGCTACCCACTGACTTCACTAAGGAGAATATGAAGTCATTGATAATGGCGGATAAAGAAGTCGTTGTGCAACTTGCCCTCTGTCAATGATCTATCGCCGGCGCTGTGTTCAGGACTCGAATGACACAAGCATCCTGCGCCCTGTGATTTAAATGGGGCTATTATATTAGCAACGCGGCTGCCGATGTCACCAGCCTCTTGGCATCGTAATTGTAAGGGGTCCACGGTGGTGCAGCCCTGAGGTTTGTGTTCTTGTAGGCTTGGCGGTGACACACGGAGCTTGCGTGGGCTCCCTAGATGGGAAGGGATATACCGCGTGGTGGGTCGTAGTAGCTAAGGTGCTGGGGCCAAGACACTGGTACTTTGTACTGTGCTGGGGTCTTTACGAGATATGATTTGAGGGAGATGGATATGAATTTGAAATTGGCGAGACAACATAAGCAACGAGCAAACTTAGAATTGATATAATAAATGTGATACATCAATGGCATGGAAGCTACCTAGACACGTTGGGGCTCAGGAATTAAAGTGACATGTAACCGGAACATCATTACCCCGGGTTAAGCGTCCAAAATAGGAATTATACACCATTTTACATAGATGGGATAAACGCATACTCCCTCTCAATAGCTACATGTATGCTCTAAGCTACAACTCTCTGATAGAGGGTACCTAGTAGCCGTGGAGTATTGGTTGTCTATCACAAAGTCAACGAGCACGACCTTCGTACCTATGGTCAGAGCCCATGGACAACTTACTATGTACAATCGGATTGTCTTACAGAATACCATGAGTCTAAAAGTATTTGGCTACTATTATATATTTGAATTACAGTCAAGCTAAATTACCAGCATCTATAAGGAGAGCCTCCCACTTAACTCTGAGTTTTTAACGATTTCATCATCATAATTCAATTTTGCCAAAACGAACACCCCCAGCCGACCAGTCTTCTGGAGGGTAACCATAGCTACAGTTGTAGTTCATTCAAAGAGACCCTTCCTCACTTTGTTTGGGGATATTGTGCGACTTGTCGCACACAAAGGCTTAGACTTGTTGGAAAGAGCACTCTGTTTAGAGCTTTTTGACTCGCCCGCTGATGGGATCATATATAAACAACTTGACACACAGAGATATCACAACGTAACAAACTGTTATAGCTTGTCTCGATCTCCATTTAGAGTATTTGGTCATTCCGATCTTTGGGTCAATTGAAACTTTGGCTATAGTTGAATCAAACGTTCTCTCAACCCATTAGGTCCGTCACAAGCTCAATACAAATGCAATGAGCCTTTTTCAGGTTATAGTTACCGATAACATGCTGCATGTCAGTCACATTCATTGTAGGGCTAGACCGGGATTTACCGAGAAATTCCCGTTCCAAGGTTAAAGGTTTTTCTCGTAGCCCATTTGACGGAACAGCATTGCCCCGACCAGCATAGCGGCTCGGGAAGCGGGTACTAGCGGGAACGAGACCTGGTGGGTCTATATCCGGCTTATTATTGGTTCATGGTCCGCATATGCTCCATGACCACAAAGCTTGGCAGAGCCTGGAAATAATGGCATCGTCTTTTATACAAAAATACAGCTTCAAAGGAAGCACTAACATGCCTTTTAAGGGGAATTTTGTCAAATTCCAGTCCAAATGTCTCCGACGTCGTTTGCAATCTGATTTCAAATCACCTTGCAAAAATTTCCAATCATTATCAATGGTTTATATCAATTTCCCTTCATCTTTTCAACGCCATCGCCGCTGGATGCTTAAATCTAACCATTCCCCCAGACTTATTTTGACGGCAACTTCGAGATTCCATGTTTCTTCGGAATATTCTCAATTAAAAAAAATCCTCAAAACATGTCAACCACAGAAAAAACCAGCAATTCCTTTCGGATACCTCTATACCAGCTAGTTCTGTCCCAAGACATCATCACCGACGATGTTCTCAACCACGAATGGGAGGGAAATGGCACGGCAGAAGATCCTTACTTGGTCGACTGGCTTCACGAAGATGCTCGCGATCCCCATCAAATGCAGGATTGGCTGAAATGGTCAATCACACTTCTACAAGCTGCTTCCTTTTTGTCCATTACTTTTGCTTCGTCTGCTCTTTCAGCAGCCAACCCCCAGATCCAGCAACGCTTTGGTACCAGCACTGAGCTAATTGTTGCCGACACCTCACTTTTTGTTCTCGCCTTCGCCATCGGGCCAGCTATCTGGGCTCCGCTTTCCGAGCTTTGGGGTCGTCAGATCATCTACTTCATCACGTACGGGTTGACTACACTATTTGCTGGGGCAACCATTGCAAGCCCGAATATTGCGACACTGCTAGTCTTACGATTCCTCGCAGGTGCGTTTGGTTCTTCGGCAATTTCAAATGCTGGAGGTGTGGTTTCAGACATGTATACAGCCCGGGATAGAGGGTTGGCTACGATCGCCTTTATTGGAGCCCCTTTCCTAGGTCCTAGTCTCGGACCAATCACTTGCGACTTTTTGGCCGTGTCAAAAGGCTGGGAGTGGGTTCAGGGACTTATAACTATCTTCAATGGAGTGGTGTTCCTGGTTGGGATCGCTTTTATCCCCGAGACTTACACCCCAGTCCTACTGCAGAAGCGCGCTGCCAAGCTCAGTAAACTGACTGGAGCTGTGTACAAGAGTCGTCTAGATGTTGGCAACGCAAATCGGACTGCTGGTCAGATCTTCACCAAGACCATGGTCCGACCCTGGATCTTGCTGTTTATGGAGCCGATTGTGTTGCTTTTGTCTATCTACATGGCTATCAGTAAGTCTTATCACTTTCCAATGTTGTTCTTTAGGAACTAATACAATTTTCAACAGTTTACGGAACGATGTATATGGAGTTCGCTGCCTTCCCGATTGTCTTCGAAGAAAATCTCAAGTGGCCCCAGAGCACCTCCGGCCTGTCCTTCCTTGGGATGATGATCGGGCAGATTCTCGGATGCGCATATTCAATCCTCGATGACGGCCGGTATAAGAAAGTCGCCGATCGCACAGCCTATGGCCGCCCACCTCCCGAAGCTCGGCTCATTCCGGCGATGGTCGGAGCAGTTACCCTTCCTATAGGACTATTTTGGTTCGCCTGGACCAACTTCCCACGCATCCATTGGATTGTCTGCGAGATTGGAACTGTACTTTTCGGGTTTTCTCACGTGTCAATCTTCCTGAGTGTGGTGAACTACCTGGTCGATGGGTATACTATTTACGCGGCATCGGCGTTAGCAGGTAATGCTGTCATACGGGCCCTTTTCGGCGCGGCATTGTATGTCTTCACCTTTTCTGATCACGATCAAAGCCCTAGCAGCAAACTAACATGATATCTACATAGCCCGCTCTTCACCACGCCAATGTATCAGAACCTTGGCATTCACTGGGCATCCTCAATCTCGGCTTTCCTCGCTCTAGCTTGTCTACCATTCCCATGGATTTTCTACAAATATGGGCCAGCAATTCGCCGCCATTGTCAATACGCTTCTGGGTCTGCTCGACAGTTGGATGAAATGACCGACCGGATGCGTGCACAGGCTGAGCAGAGAGCAGCCAAGCAGAAACCCGAGAGTCGGACAGATTTTGGTCCGGGCTCAACTGCTACTCCTGCAGCAAAAGAAATGAGCTAGCGTTAAGCAAATTTGGCGTTTTACAATTCTACATTGGCGCATTTTGTATGGCGACTATGCTCGGAAATCGGCCAATCGGGCTCGATTTCATATACTTGGTTTATTTGTTCAAAGATTCGAAGACAGCTGTCTTCAAAGGTGTCATGTATTTCGGAATTCTTGTGCTGGATCCATTGGAAAGTCTTTCTGGAGGCATTTAGAACATCACTTATTTAATTATCTTTCTTCGAATAATTTCTTCGAACAGTAGGGGTTGATTAATCGTATCATTGTAGAATTCTTGTATGTACCCCTTATCCGGGCTAGGAGTATAGTACAAAAGGTATTGCAAGACACATCAGTCACGCTGAATGAGGTGGGGTGAAGCGCCAGGTTCAGTAAGGCGGTTGGAAACTGGATCAGTAGACACTCAAAGAGGGACAGTTCATTGCCATCCTGGTCCTGAGCGAACTGGGTGATGTCACCGGTGGCTGGCTGCGTTGGTATAACGGCTTCGACATCCGAGTTAGACGCGATTGTTATAATCGAAACGCCCCTACTGGTGTGGCGATGACCGTGAGCTGCGCGTAAAGCGCGGGCGGTGGAAGCGGTGACTGCAGCGAAGTTGGGCTATATGGTCGACGGCGTTTGAGAACGGGACACCATCAACAGTGCACTTTAACCATCAACATTTCACTCAAACCATCTAGTTGGTCACCTGAGTGGGTCGACGAAACCTTCGCCAAACCAAACACGTCCCACTCGGTCGTCGTATGAGCTTCGGCATATTCTAGTGAGGGTGAGCGGGTATCCCGCGACGAAGACTAAGGTGACGCCATTGGTTCAAGTGTAATGTTGATGATTTAAGCGAAATGTTGACCGAGAAGTCATGGTGGTTGGATTATTACTATGCCGGTAGTGATACGGGTAGCGAGCTGGGCACTGGTTGCTTGGCACAGCTCGTCCCATTCGGGGTCGTTCACAGTTGGTGTTTCCCTATGACCATTCGCGACCCAGTCATAGACTGCCTTTTTTTGCTCCGCCGTGGACCGTCAACTCTCGCAGTAAAACCCGGCGGCGTACTCTCATTTCCCGACGATTTCCCGAAGCATTTTCCAATGACTTAAAGAATATATGAAGTTTACCTAGGTGCCTAGGTATATATAGTATATCGATATATATGGAAACGTTGCTCAATACGCGAGGCCACTGATCGTTTGTGATGAGTGTCGATGATGGAAAGCACTATCACTGCCATGAAGCCAACTATATAGTTTCATGGGGACAAAGGAAAAAAATGACAGAGGTCTGGCAAACTGCCTGAGCAAGCAATGCCTCAGCACAGCAGTTTGCCTCGGTTCTAGCCAGATAGTCATTGGATACTTTCAACGGTAAAGAATAATCAGGATAGAGCCTACTGGAAATGTACTTTTCTTTGGAGATAACTTTCACAGAGAATGAGGGGAAGGGCTTCCAGCTGGTAGCTGGCCAACTATCATACTTGGACCAGTGCTACTGTATACACTGGCGAGAGGGAATTGTTGCACTCGTTTTGTCGAAACATTCCGAACTCGCTCCAAAAAGAAGTCATTCTGCGCCTCAAGGGATATATTCGAATCTTGCTCCAAAAAGGGTTGAACTTCACGGAGTTGTAGGCTTGGTTTCCATGCTTTTTATCTAATGGAGAAAGCGAAATGGGAGTGGATACATGTGGGTTTTATCACAATGAAATTCCACAACGTACGAGAAATATACATGACGTTTTGGGTTTGCTGGCGGACCTTCCTATTCCGGAAAGTACCGCTCCGTTACTGATTAGGAAACTTTCTCAACTCTCGCTCGATGAAAAGCCAGATGATGTCCGCGAACAACGCTTTTATAGCCTGTTTAGATAAATACTATAAAGCTCTTTGGTTACCTCTCTGGTTTGTGTTTTTAACTGTTCAGTTTCTGGCTCTTGAGTTTTTCAGTTGATTTAACAGCACAACCATGTCTATTGGAGTGCAAGATAGTTCACACAACCCGATCTATGAAAGTCAAACCCTCCAGCATGGAAATCAGCCTTCACCGTCATCTGAGTCGTCTTCCCAAAACACCGAAGAAAAATGGAACCACCCACGATCTAATATCGCAAAGACACTGGCAACATTCTGGAGCTTCCTAATAATGGGAGCAAACGACTCCGCATACGGTGTAAGATCCCACGTCGATGTATATCTATAACGCTTGAATCTTATACTAACCTAATACCATCGCCCAGCCACTCCTCCCATATGTACATTAACCCCCAAGCCTCAACCCCCTCCTCTTCTAACACAATCCCAGCTCGAAACCTACTATAACCTCTCCTACACAATCGTCTCCCTCGTCTTCCTCTCTCCACTAATCGGCTACGCCACCGCCGCAATCGTGAACGAGCGAGCACACTGTGCTATCGGCCGACGAGGCGTGGCCTTCATCTCATCTTTGTGCCACCTAATAGCCTATATCTTGAACTGTGTGCATCCACCATTCCCCGTCCTCGTTGTATCATTCATATTCGCAGGGTTGGGAAATGGCCTCGCGGACTCGGCATGGAATGCCTGGATTGGAAACCTCAATAATGCGAATCAATTACTCGGTCTGCTTCATGGGTCTTATGGTGCAGGTGCTGTTATCAGCCCTCTCATTGCATCACTGCTTGTTGCGGATGCTGGTTTGCCATGGTATTATTTTTATTACATCATGGTACGTGGTATTGGGTCCAGTTACTTTTCTGGCATGAGTCTGGCTCATGGTGACTGATTTTCCTAGATTGGAGGCGCTACAATTGAGGTTTTCGTCTGCGTTTCGTGTTTCTGGGATTCCACAGGAGCGTCGTTCCAACTCGCTAAGAAACAACAGCCCGGCGATACATCCGAGGAAGCAGGCTTGCGCAGAGTCTTATCCACAATGCCCTCTGCGCGAATTACTTGGACCTGCTCGATCTTCTTACTTGGATATGTTGGCGTCGAAGTAGCGCTAGGAGGGTGGGTTGTGACATTCATGAAGGAAGTGCGACATGCCGCACCGTTCTCTAGCAGCATGACGTCTACAGGATTTTGGCTCGGGATAACCCTTGGACGGGTTGTTCTTGGATTCGTGACGCCTTTGATTGGTGAGAAGATTGCCATCTCGGTAGGTCCTCCCAGTATATCTTTTACCTTCAAGTTATACCACAAGCTCACTCTTTGATAGGTCTATATCTCTCTCGAGATAGCATTTTGCCTCGTTTTATACCTTGTTCCGAACTTCTACGCTGGCGCAGTCGCTATATCACTGCAGGGTTTCTTTCTGGGTCCGTTATTCCCGGCGGTTGTGATTGTTACCACGAAACTCTTGCCAAGGCACTTGCATGTGAGCGCGATTGGGTTTGCGGCAGCCTTTGGTGGTGGTGGCGCAGCTGTTCTTCCGTTTATTGTTGGTGTACTTGCGCAGGCTAAGGGCGTAGAGGTTTTGATGCCGTTTATCATAGCGCTTTCGGGGGCGATGTTGCTTCTTTGGAATTTTCTTCCGAGAATTCCAAGAGATAGCAGTGCATCGTCTAACAATAACCGTGGGGCTTGCTAGGCATATTTGGCGTATCACATCAGGAACTGCAAGCCTAGGAGGATGGGAATGGTGGAGCCAGATGTGACGTGAAGGATGCTAGTAAATAATTGTGCAGGGGCAATCCCAAGCTGTAAATATTGAACTTCAGCCATATACAGGGATTTGAGTAGCATGCGGAATTAGAGGTGAAGAAGATCGAGATCCTGAGGAACACTTTGACTTATGAATTCATACCGCATTAACGTATAATATACTGGTGAATGGGAAATGATTAAAACTACCAAGGTTGGGTGTCGATCTTTCCGAGTTCTAAGCGACCAACAATATAGAGATCTGTACCGTGGGGATAGCTTTAATTTGATCTAATTTTTTATTAAATATGGACATTTATATAGTGGGAATTGTTTGAAGACTGTAAACAACCTTAAAATCTGGTGATCTTTAGATTTGTACTATATGAAAAGCTTCATTTTCTCGGTTCTTAAGCTCGGGAGAACTTAAATACTTACTTATTAAGGTCTCTGTCATAGTAATTCGGGTATTTTAACTTTCTACCAGCTCAAAATCAGGCATATTAGGGCATATTTAGGCACCATGCAAAATCAGGCATTGCTTTGGCCGCAATGCCCCTTCGCAGATATCGTACGTGCTAGCACCCCCTCTGACTCGGCTAATCTCCGGCAACCCATAGCATACGAAGAATACAAATCTACACTTAACCGAAAGTCGGACAATTGTCTCGGAGCTAAGCCGACAGCTAGCGCCGTTAAGTCCAGGTCCACTTCTCCGCAAATCCCCAGAATATCCTGAAAAGATACTCCTTATGGGAAGTCGGGATGCCGGAAAAGAGAGAGACGGATTGATCTCCGGAATTTCATGAAGCCAGACAGGGCGAGATACACTTGGCAATACCCTCCTCGCTTCTTTTCCTGATGGGGAAATAAACCCCATCATGGAAGACAAGCCCACCGCAAGAGTTGTCACGGGACTCACTTCGGTATAAACAAGCCTATCCATTCCATCAAATAACCAATATAAAACCAACTAACGACCCAATCCCAGGCCAAACCATGGTGGAAAACCACCCACCTCATCCACCTGAACCTCCTGATAGCAAGCCTAATCCTCTTCTCCAGCACATTTGGCTATGACCTGTCCCTGATGAATAGCCTCCAATCCCTACCACAATGGCAAACATTCATGGGCTACCCAGTAGGAATAAAACTCGGCTTCATAAACGCCCTGCAAAACATAGGAAGCATTATCTTCCTACCAATCCAAGCATGGTCCGCCAACCGCTTCGGCCGAAAACCCACAATCCTAGTCGGGTACATCTTCCTCGTCCTCGGCGTGGGACTCCAAGCTGCCGCCCCAGACGCCAATACATTCATATACTCCCGGCTGCTGGTCGGTATCGCCAGCGCCTGGTTCCAGTGCGCCGTCATCCTCGTCACGGAAATCGCGTATCCGTCACATCGCTCGCTCGTCACTGCCATCTACATGTGCCAGTACTATGCAGGGTCCTCGCTGTCGGCGTGGGTTTCCTTCGGGATGAGGAATGTGCAGAGTAGCTGGGCTTGGCGCGTGCCTGTGCTTATGCAGATTGTGTTGCCGCTTCTTGCTTTGCCTGGGACGCTGTGTGTACCAAAGTCGCCGCGTTGGCTGATTAGCTGTGGGCGGGTTGAGGAGGCGAGGAGTATGCTGGTTAGGTTCCATGCTGGTGGGGATGAGGGGTCCCAGTTGGTGGCTTTTGAGATAGAGGAGATTAGCCAGGGTCTGGCGGCGGAGCGGAAGGCTCGACGGGAGGCACGCTGGGTTGATTGTGTTAGGACTCCTGGGAATCGGTATCGGCTTTTCTTGAGTGTTTCTTTGGGTGTTTTTGCTCAGTGGAATGGAGGGTAAGTGTGCACTTGGGCTTTACTTATTGTTGGCTAGGTAGAATGGGTGGAGAGGTCCGTTGCTGACGGGATATCTGCTCTAGAGGTGTGGTGTCATATTATCTAACCCTTATCCTCGATACAATCGGTATAACCTCGTCCACAGACCAAACCCTTATAAACGGCTTTCTCCAGCTCTGGAACCTGATAATGAGTGTGGTAGGCGCGTGTCTTGTCGACCGTGCTGGCCGCCGTCCGCTCTTCATCACATCGACTATGATAATGCTTATCAGCTATATCTTCATCACCGCGCTATCGGGAAGCTTCACGACGACGGGTACCAGCGCCGTAGGAACAGCTGTGATCCCGTTCTTGTTCATCTACTATGCGGGCTACGATATCGCTTTCACGCCGCTGCTCTTGGCGTACCCGGCTGAGATCTGGACGACCTCGCTGCGTGCTAAGGGTGTTGCTATCTCCATGATCTCGAATTATATAGCGCTGGTTTTCAATCAGCTTATTAACCCTATTGCATTTGAGAGGATTTCTTGGAAATATTATTTTGTGTTTTTGGTCGTGCTGCTTGTTGTGTTGGTTGTTGTTTGGAAGACTTATCCTGAAACCAGAGGGAGGTCGCTTGAAGACATTGCTTTTATTTTTGATGGGGAGGAGGCACGTGTTACTGGTGGTGATGCTAGTATGATCGCGGAGAAAAGGCGTACTGAGAAAATTGGACATCGAGAGCTGTGATATGGAATATAGAGGACATCGATCATGACTTTTGATGTGACACGTAGGAAAAGTTAAGAAACATCGAGTAATGAGACCGTGAAATACATCAATCGTAGAATATAGGTGATAATTACTACCTCCGTCGTAGTAAAGAGGTAATGACTGCTAGCTTTGTTGAGCGAGCAGATCACTTCGGGTTGTACTTCTCTTTCCAGATCCTATAGTATCCCATTAGATTCAAACTCCAATTCTCAGTCTGTTGAACATACCATGAATTCCCAAGAGTAGGGCACCCATTCTCCTCAGCAAGTCTATAATACTTGGCCGCTTTGAACTATAGCCACATTGAGTCAGAATAGGCACAGAATATACACATAAGCGGAGGGCACACGTACCTTGTCTTTCTTACCACCAAATCCCTCAAGGTAACACCATCCTACCTCATTCATGGCATCAGTGTCACCCAAGTTCGCAGCAGTCTCGTAATACTGTCTGGCAGCAGCAGGATCCTTTGCTATACCCCACCCATGGCGGAAGCAATTGGCCAATTCGAACATAGCCAAAACAAGCTCGCCTTTTGCAACTCCACCTTTCTTGACCCCAGCACGGAGGGCCTCCGCCTCAACCACGGCGGAATTGGACGCTGCGGCGGAGAGGTAAGTCACAGCACGTGCAGGATCTACAGGACAGCCCCATCCGTGTCTGAACATTTATTAGCATCTAGAAAATTTAGAAATACTCGGGCGTATTATTACCGTAGTGCGAGGCCATAAAGAACCTGACTCAGAGGATTATTTGCGCCATTTGGATCAGCAAGTTGCCCGAACATGCGAGTTGATCGCTCAAGATCTATATTCAATGTTAATCAACGTATATCTTCAGCCGGATATAAAAAAACAACTCACCACCAGATTCATGCAGTCGAATCGCCTCTTGAATATTAATCTATAATCCGTTAGTCCCACATTCCAACCACAACCACAACCCCACGCAGATATAAAAGCAGTAACCACTTACATCTTCATTCGGATCCACACCAACCCGACTCTGGCTCGAGCTCCTCGACCTAGCCTGCTCCAGACCCAGTCCCAACCCTAGCGACGCTTCTCCCTCACCCTGCCGCCCAGGCAACGACGAGCCGGAATGCGCAAACTGCGGATTCTGCTGTACTAGCACAGTAGCCCTCTTCTCCCACAGCGCCTCGCGCTCCTGCTTACTCGCGCCGCGATCATCGTCGATCTGCGGCAGATCAGCGGGGATGTTAGCGGAGGAGTCACGCGAGTTACTGCGACTGCGATGGTCGAGATGAAGGAGGTTTGAGAGGCGGCGCTCGCGACGGGGCGGAGATTGCGAGGACGCAGAGCCGCGTCTGGGGGAGCGGTTGAAGAGCTGGAAGCTCCGGCGCGGAGATGTGGGCTCGTCTTGAGTTGGTGATGATAGGTATGGGAATGGGTCGTTTGGATTAGATGGCGGGGTGATTATCTCTTGGGTGTGTGTGTCTGTGCGGATGAGCTTGAACTCGGGTGCTGGGGGTGTTGCTGGTGCATTTTGGGGTGTTTGGGTGGTGCTGAGGTCGTCGCGTTTGTGGAGGATGTTGCGTAGTGAGGGCATGATGCGCATCTACTTATCGGATGGCGGCGGGAGTGGGCCGTGTGTGATAGTCGGGTGTAAGGTTAGGTAGGTGTGAGGGAGGTATTGTCAGAATACTTGTAGGGCTGAGGATGAATATGACATTTAAAAATAACCACAGAGAACCTTGGAATAAACAGTGGCTGTGTAGGGCGGCTTACACGGGCTGATGACGGGGGTCCGGGGTCTTGGCCAGCGGCTGGTATCCCGCATGCACACAATGGAATATATTAAATACTTGAAATACTTGAAATATTTGGATATCTCCGGGACATATGTATGCAATGAGATATAATTCCCCAGACAGATGAAACCTTAGTATAGATCTTATCGCATTCTCCACGGCCCCGGGGGTGGCGTGCTGCATTAGACCCTGCATATCATAGGGCGCCTTGGGTGCCGCATGGACTCGGTTCTTTGCCCCAATTATTGACCCAGTCAAATAAAATAGCCAGTGTTTACTTAGTACTACATAGCTCTAGAGTGGTACCAGTTAAATACAATCAAATGGGCACTCTTGAGGATCTCTTTGTATCATATTCTATTCAGAGTGTGCTACGATGAAACTGGCCCAAACAGATTCATATGCCAGACATCAACCGGAGGGCATTCCCAAACCCAACTCGCTTGAGAACATGTCTTGAAACCATGTGTGTCCGAATATAGAGTAAGAATCAAAATGGTATTGCAAGGTCTAACTCGGCAGATGCAAATAGCCCTTATAGTTTTGTACACAATGCCGAATGCAGTGAGCAACGGAGCCCATTTACAGGGCCTTGGACGCCATGATGCCTGGGAATCGTTAGCACTATTCTATGCAAAGTTCAGTTGGTGGATAACTCACGCTCAACATCAGCAACGCTCTGCTGGAGGATCTGCTGGAGAACCTTGGGGCTCTCAAGCTCCTTCTGGATCTTGGCAATGACGGACTCGGCAAGCTCACGCTGCTGGCGCTGCTTGACCTGGTTCTCGTAACGCACCCACGAGTCGAGGACCTGCTTGGCCTCGGCAGCGAGGGCAGTGCGCTGCTGGAGCTCGTAGGCCTGGGACTCGAGCTGGGCGGTTTCCTGAAACGGACTGTCAACGACCGACCCAAGTATCAACGTACGCGACCGAGTATTCCTACCTTGGAAACAGCGAAAAGCTGCTTGGTAACCTCAACAACGCCAGACATCTGGGATACGTTGTCGATACGTTGCTGAACAGCGTTGGTGTGGTCGGCACGGGCAGCGTTCAGGATGTCCTTGTGCTTCTGGACCTGACCCTCGGCCCACTCGCGGTAGGCGGGACCACCGTACTTGCCAACAGCGGTGAAGACAGACAGCAGACAGAAAGCAGCGACGGTCTCCTCGTTCATGACGTACAGCTCGTTGCTGATGGCGGCGATGGACAGACCGGCGGCGGCAGACAGGGTAGCGGTCTTGGTGACCAGGGAGTTGCCGGGGATGGCGTTCAGGATCGACTGCGCCTTCTTGGAGGGCTCCTCGGCGGGAACGTTGGAGGCCTGACGAGAGGTGGTCAGGTTGGCAGTGACGGCAGGGACACCACGGGCGGGAAGGGCCGGCCGAAGTCGGGATGCGCCTAGGGTGTGTTAGTAACTGAAGGCATCCAGTCGATCAGACGGTCGAGGTTCGTAAAAAGCGTACCAATGGCGCTCTTAGCAAGACGCGAAGCCATTGTTGCAGATGGAAGAATCTTGGTCAATGGGGTGGGTGAACGGAATTGAGGAGACTTGAGGTTCGGGATGGCTAGGAGGTGAAGACGCTAGCCGCTTCGGGCGGTGGTTCCGTTCTTCGGAAAAACCAGCTTCCGAGATGGTCCAAACGATAAAAAAAAGTTGCAGATAAACTGTTCACGGTACATTACAAGACGCCTGCCCAAAATGCCTGCACTTGTTACGGATTCAAGCTCTAAGAAGCGCAAGAGCGGTAAGAATGCCAGCGGCCCGTCCTCCAAGCGCCGCGCTGTCGCCGAGGACAATTTCGCCGAGAAACTGTCTACTATTCAAGAGCTAGAGAATCAAATTGCGGAGTCGCGGAAGGGCTACAACAATATTGCGACCCTGCTCTCCATGCTCAATGTCGAGAAGTCGGCCGAGAAACCTGAGATGGCTGTGGCCGTCTCTCTTTGCCGTGTGTTCAGCCGATTGATCGCCGGAGGAAATTTGACCGAGTCCAGCCGCGCCGCTGAGAACGAGAAAATCGTTGTGGCATGGCTGAAGGAGCGTTGCCTTGATTATCAGAATGCTCTTGTGGCTATCATGCGTGAGGCAGATGCTTCCTCTCAGGTATGTGTGCTCTGATCTGGCGGGGGTTACTATTACTGACGATCTCTAGATTGCTGCTCTGACGCTGAGCATGCGCATTGTCAAGGAACGTCTTGCCCATATCCCAGGTGCCGAGAATAATGTTTGGTCAACGGGTTTCTTCAAAGACATCTTCGCGGCCATCATCGAGGCCCACAACGGCGAAGATCTGCAATCCGAAGCCGTCACCAAGTTTGTGAAGGAGTATGAGGATGTGAGATATCACACTTTCACACAGATGGCGTATGTATATCTTTCTTCCTGCTATTGGGTCTTGTGGCTAACTTGTATCAGTGATTATGCCTCTACGAAACGATCCCCCGAAGTCCTTGAAACCCTGATTAAGATCCTTCAGACCTGCGATGAGGTACCTGGAGCGGAACACAAGTTCGAAAACTTCTACGCGAAACGAGACACCAAGAATAAGCGCTTAGTTTCCGCGAACTCCCACAGGAAGCAGGCACAGGAGGCATGGCTGGCCATTCTACGAAACAACCTCTCGCAATCGCAGCGCAAAAACCTGCTGCGTATGATGGTGCATAACATCGAGCCGTGGTTCAACCGACCGGAACTGCTGATGGACTTCTTGACGGACTCATACAATGTCGGTGGTGCAACATCTCTCCTCGCACTGTCTGGTCTCTTCTACCTGATCCAGGAAAAGAACCTGGACTACCCTCAATTTTACGCCAAGCTGTACTCTCTCCTAGATTCCGAGCTGCTGCACTCAAAGCACAGATCACGATTCTTCCGACTGCTGAACACCTTCTTGTCCTCAACCCATCTTCCGTCCACATTGGTGGCCAGTTTCATCAAGCGTCTCGCTCGTCTTGCACTGAATGCCCCTCCCTCCGCCATTGTGGTGCTCGTTCCGTTCATGTACAACTTTTTCAAGAATCACCCCACAACTACATTCATGATGCACCGATCTATTCGGGATAAGGATCAACTCGCGCAAGTGGAAAAGGAAGGCATGGACGATCCATTCGATCCAAACGAGTCTGACCCCAACATGACCAACGCCATTGAGAGCAGTCTTTGGGAGATCGAGACCCTTCAGTCTCACTTCCACCCTAACGTTGCGGCCATTGCGCGGATCATCTCCGAGCAGTTCACAAAGCAAGCATACAGCCTGGAAGATTTCCTTGATCACACATATGCGGGCATGGTAACTGCAGATCTTGGAGTGGAAGAGAGAAATCTCAAGAAGATTCCTGTGGTCGAGTACCAGATTCCCAAGCGTATCTTCACAGATCGTCTACTAGAGGAAGATGGTGGCGTGGACTCTGGTCCAGGGTGTTTCATGCGGGATTTGTGGGAGTTCTGAGGGGTTCATATATCAGCGTATACCAATTCAATTTGTTTGACAATGAAGTCTCCTCGAGGGTTTAGATATTGCGAGGTATAATCGTAGTTCCCTGCCTAGAAGAGCAATGGCCCTCTACCAACAGATCCCTTACTGCAAGTCTAACCCTAGAAGTCCCAACGCTGAAAGTGAACAATAGATGTCACATGGTGCTCGCAGCAATGGTCAAAAGACAACCCTAACTAGCACTCAAAGAAAGCACAACGCACTTGACATATTTTGGGACTCATTATCGCTCTATAACCACCATAGGTGAAGCTATAGTGGCATTGAAACCAATCTAGTCCCTGCTTACGTTGTACGGATCAACGTTGGGGATATATATTCTTTAATCCCGCAGCACTCGGTCGTATACATTCTTTCAACTCGATTCAACCTACTCCGCATCAATATTGCTGTTGCGAATATTATTTCTTGTCCACACAAATTCATGGTCTTGAACTCTATTGATGTAACCAGACCATTGAGTTGGAAGGCTGAAGAAATATTCGGTATTCCTCATGCCCTATGGATGGCGATCAAGCCACCCCAACCTCCAGACCACAGTATTGAACTATATGGCACCCCTTGGTATGAGATCGATGGTATAACAAGGCTCGGGAAATGCTTTATGGGCAGCAAGAAATGATCTTGGTGTTCGCCATAGCCCTATAGACCGACCCCACCAAAACAAACCGGAAAGGGATGGCATTCCAGCATGCCCCGGCGAGTCGTGTTATTGGGCCATCATACTTCAGTCTTCTCATCGATGAGTTCTGGGTCCTTCGTTGAATGGCACGAACCATTTTCGTGGGCTTTCAGCCTATCAGAAAAATGAAGTCATGCCGCAGCCACCAAGTCAGTACGATCAAGGATACTGAATGGCAGCATGACCTCCCATACTTTTGCCATGAAAACTGTTAAAGCTCTCCCAGGCGAACTGTTGAATTAACTTTGTCTCGAGAATTTTCAATACTTGCTAGCAGGAATTCCCCAGCCAGGGTAGACGACATGCTTTCTTAGGCAACATGTTGATGCTTCACTATTAGGGCTATCGGAATGCAACATTCTCCCCAAACACCCTTGTGTCTCAGCGTTAGAATACCAACAGGCGACTTCCAAGCTTAGTTCTGTGGGGCTGGGAGAGATCCAGGCAATTATTGCCGTCAGTTAAGAGTCGCGATGCGCCACCAAATTTCTTGAAGTTGTATCGCGTTATCTGTCAAGCTCACCCAGTTCGCAAACACTACATACTTTTTCTGATATCACCTTACTGTTTTTAAAATCCCGCCGTCTATTGACTTTCTCTCCTCACAATGCATTTTTCCAAGAGTGTTATCGCCGTCACGGCTTCCCTTGTGTCCGTTGGTCTCGCCGCCGACCCTCTATCCTTCACTTCATGGCCCAAGGAGCCCCTTGAAGCTGGCAAGCCGGTCACCCTTACATGGACTGGTGCCACTGCTGATGTGGTAATACGCATCTCCTCTGATGTTGGATCATAACAAAACTGACCCCGTTTAGCCTGTGACTATCCTCCTCCGCCAAGGTTCCTCTGGTAACCTGCAAGATGTCAAGCCGATCACTGGCGATGCCAAGGGCGGCAGCTTCACCTGGACTCCTGATAGCGATATCAAGAACGGCAATACCTACGCCTTCCAGATCAGGCAGAAGGACCAGACTAACTATACCGCTCTGTTGAAGTCGGCCGGCAAGCCCGGCGCTGAAATCCCCGAAGTTAAGGATGCCACCTCCGAGACTAGCAGTGGTACTACTACTGCTGCTAGAACAGGTACCACCACCGGCACTACCCACACTACTGCTGCCCATCACACCCATACCACTGGTGGTACCACCGAGGCAACCCAAGGGACCCAGACCACAATGACCAGCACTGCCAGCAAGGCCCTCATCAGCTCTGCTGCCGGCCCATCTGGTAGCCCTTCTAGCTCTGCCGCTGCCAGCTCAACAGATAAGCCGATGTTTACTAGCACTGAGATTGTCAAGGGCAAGAAAGCATCCTCCACCGCAAGCGCGCAGACTGGCGCAGCTTCTATCCCGCAATACTCCGTACAATTGGTCATGGGTATTGCAGGTCTCTTGGCCTACCTTGTCTAGTTCATTCATCTGTTTTGGCGTTGTCGGTCTCATATTTGGATTCGGTGTTTTGGAGTTATGGAAAAATGGTACCGAGTATAACTTCCTGTATATAGAATACCCCTGAATATCGTTGATATATAGGTGGCCTGAGGCATTGAGGAAGTAATCAATTACATTTGGCATATTCAATGCATCAGACATGTGAAACGGACCAAAACACCAAGAAAAACCAAAGGAAGAAAACAAGACCTGTCGTTCTCCGCTAGCGCCGTAGCGTTCCCGACGAACGCGGAGTTGGGAACCCAAAGAACCATTGATCGACTGATCTTGAACTTCACCACCTTTCTTACCGCTAATTCATTGTTTTGGAATATTCTGATCATTTTGTTTTTTAGTGATCTTTGATCTTTGATGATCTCATGAGACAGCGCCTTTATTGATCAAAGGCCTCCCTTGCGATGTCTAGATGAATAAGCAAAACCATAAGACAACGACCTCACATCTAGCTCAATTGCCTTCTAATACTGGTATGAGCCTTTCCCTTCACAGGTCTACTGGTTTTTGCTCCCATATTGCTCTTCCCATCCATCCGGTTCCTCATGACAGGCGCGGGCGGTCACCATGGGGGGCTTCAAACTGGTCATGAAGCGTCTCAGCCCTAGCAAAAATCTTATACCGATTGCTGCTGACCCCCCTATCCGTGCAGAAGCGCCACAAGTCAATCTCCCGCATGTGGACACGCAATTGAACATGCACCAGCATAACGGATTCCTCGACGAACTAGCCCCCGAAGGCCAAAATGGTTGGTGATTCCGATTCCACTCCCTCTACCCCTCAAGCTTACAATCCCCACCTTCCAGGTGACTACAATCAAGCCTCCTCGTCTCCTTCGAACCCTCCGAACCCTTCCGCGACCCCCGCCGACACGAGCAATGGCGATGCCCCCACATCTGAATGGTCAGCAGTCGGCCACGCAGCAGCGACAGGGAAATCAGGACGTGTTATCCACAATCTCCAGGAGGAAATAGCACGTTTAACGCGTGAATGCACACTCTACAAGTCCCGCGCGGAGGAATACCAAAGAACCAACGAGGCCTACAAGATCCAGCAACAAAACATGAACGAGCGCCTACGGAACCTTGAGCAAGTCAACGAGACTAACCTCAATTCAATTGCACGGAAAGACCGGAAGCTGGAGGAACTAAGAACGGAGCTCCAGCACGAGCGTAGCAAGCGGCATGACGCGGAAAAGGACGCAAACCACACCAACCAGACGATGCGCGAGGAGCGCGAGAACCACAATCGCGAACAAGCCCGGTTACTAGAGATCGCCAAGCACCACGAGACACAGTACGAAGTGCTGTCCAGCGCGACGAAACGCGACAAGGCGGAGTTTGCAAAACGAATCAACGCCATCTGGGCCGAGTTCACCACTATCGCCAACGCGCAGAAAACACATATACACTCCACCGAGCGGCTAGAGGTTCTCGCAGATCAGAAGAATAGGGAATTCGACACCCTCAAGGAATCTTATGAGAAGCTGCTCTCCCAGCACTCCGCGTATAAGGAACTGAAGGATAACGACTTCCGGGAAACGATTGAATCGGCAAAATCCAACAACGACATGATTGCCGGGGTTCTTGCTCAGCTCAAAGAGACTGAAACAGAAATGAGGTGGGCGATCCGGCTCAATGAAAGTCGACAAAGCACTGAATAATTTGAGTGCTGTCTCTTGTTTGTGTCAAACCTCAACCTCAATCATGCGAATTGTCTATCACCAACCTCTTCCTTCAAGACCTACCACCAAATTGACGCCAGACCGCCCAATTACATTCTTCCGTCCCGATTTCACCTTTCCACTCGATCCCATCCATGTCTTGACAACCCATACCCTACCTACCACTCCTCTTCATTTCTCATAGACCATTCTTGGCCGGTGCATGGCGTTTCGTTTCCCTTTGCAGCAGATACCCGTGGCAGAGTTCAATTCGGTCGTGTACCCTTCGAATTTTGTATTCCTGTTTCTATTCTTACATTCACCTGCATTTTCACCTCCTTTCCCTGTTGTACTGTTAAACCCCTGTTAGATATGACGTTTGACGACCTGCATATTTTTACCCGGATATGATTACACCGTGATGAACATGATGGCAAGTCTTGTTTCTTGCTTGTATTCAAGAGATCATTAAAGAGTGGCTACATATTTCCTTTCTGCCTGCATGCCATAGGCGCGTTATTTTGCTTAACTCGGAAATTTATACTCTTTTGACTTTTGCTTGATTTATTCTATATATACTTCGCATATCCCATGAATTGTTGTAATCCAATCTCATCGTCCTAGATATAAGATAGCACCGCGCGTTCACCTTGCCCATCGCTTACTGCTGACTTCCAGAGTTGATAAACGCGAGAGACCCCGGTTGTTCCTTCCATTCGCAAAGGCTTCAACATCGTCGCTGCCATAATAAGAATCATATCTCATTTGACTCTAACTTCACCTCTTCTTCCTCTATCTTCGTCTCTTTCCCTCGGCCTTTCTCAGCCATCTTCATCTCCTATGCACCGTTAAGCACGGCGTGCTCTATCAAATCGATTGTCTAGGTGCTGTTCACCTAGTCCTTCTGTGGGTAATCGATTTGCCTTCACCTACCTCTTACTTAATCGTTTGTCTCTTTCCCGGGGCCAATCGAACTACACACCTCTTGCTGAATTGCTTCTTCGTCCATCTTTCAAACCAATCCACGTCTTCAAATCGATTGAAGGCCCAAAAAAATCTATCTCCAATTTATCTGTATCCGTCCGACTAACGTCGGTCTCCAATCGATTCGCGTCTATCCGATTGAAGTCTGACTCCAATTCATTCGTGTCCGTCCCACTTCAAGTCCGCATCGATTCACGCCTGTCCACTCATAGCTCTCAAAGAAACAATCATTCAAGATGGCCAATAGCCGGACGCTTTATTTGTCTTCAATGTGGTCACTGGAGGACCGAGGGGTAAGTCGATACTTTAACATCCGCGTGCTCATCATTTTGCATGGCCAGGACTGACCAGACTCGATATAGATCTCAGAACTCCGAGACAGGCTCAAGTACGGCATTACTTATGTATATTTGTCTTGATCAAAACTGACTCTTTCGTAGGGCATTGAATCCCGGTGCTTCGATCAAAGTCGAATATCTACGTGATAAACATGTGGGTTTTTGTATACTATTCACAATGGTGGCTCTGCTAATCCTACCCAGATCTTGGTTGTCACTGGTCAGTTCGATGAGGAATTCGATGTCGAAATCACATCACTGCTTGCAACTTATATCGAAGAGCATCGCAACCTTGATGATCTATTTGACGTATGTCTCGATGCCTCCCCAGCACCCAAGTTATATTGTCCTAATGTCTGCTCTATTCAAGATGCCGAGAGTTCGTCAACTTCCGATCTCGACCTACTTCGATCCCAATCCCTTTCCTGGCTACGGAAACGATGCGCAGCCAGAGATGGAAACCCTAGTGGAAGATATTATGCCGACACAACCCACTAGCGATGGACCCGTTGTCAAGTTCTGGTATCCCTCGCAGGTGGGAATGGGTCCCGTCTCTCATGACTCGGGCCCTCTCCTACTTCGCATTTCCAAAATGACGGAAACACAAATTACAGTGCAAGGAGCCCGAGGGCTCCGTATCTCTGCACAACACATGGCCAACATCGATGAGGCAATGGATATACTCGACTCCCTTGAAGAATGCTTGGTATAGTACTGAGTCTTCTTTTTCTAAGTCTTGTATGTTAATATCTTCTAGGATCTCATTGAGAACCCAAACCGAGGGGTGGGTATCTTTACTCCAAAACGGGAAAACGCTACCTTTCGCATCATGACATATGCACAGATCAGCTCCATGGCCTTGTGGCGCATTTTAATCGACCGAAATGCGTCTCTTCATCTCCCAAAAATAATGACTCTGGTGGTTTGTGAATTCGACGAGCTTGCTAACGAATTTCGTCCACTTCGCAAACTTCGGCAGCCGCCGCAAGTGGCCCTGAAGGAAGCGAGCATTACTCGAGACTGGGAAGACTATCATTTTCCAGAGATCGGTCCGAGAAACGATCCCCTTCTAGGGGAGATTGATCAGCATCTCGCGCCTAAAATTGAGACCTCTCATGAGAAGAGTGATATCCAGCACCCGTATCTTTCTACTGGAAAGGCAAAAGATGTCGACTTATGGATCTCTCGGGGTGTCACTAAACGGCCTTTGGCAACCGACAGTCATACAAAAAGAACACTGGAAGATGATCCCACCTCCCCTAAGCTTGTTGCTTCCAAGCCTCCACCTGAGTCTATCTTTCCCGTGCCAAGGGATCAAAGGCAGTCTGGTCACTTCAAGCCCAATCCTGCAGGCGTCAAAGCACGCGTGATTATGCTACCAGATGGAACTGTAGCACCCTCTAGCCAGTCTCGACAAGAAAAGCCAATAGACACCCCTCATGGCCCAAATACATCCTTGTTTGGCCGACTCAGCTATAGGGAGAGAAAGAGGGAGCAAGACGTAGCCGGTTCGTCTGTCTCGGTCCCTCAACAAAAGAGACTCGTTAGTATCGTATGTAGCGTGGCTGACTCCACTGCTCCAGATGCAGCTTCCAAATTACCGGAAACAATGTCCGAGGCAACCGATCCTGTGGCTTCTACCTACTCTACCTCTACCCAGGAACCAAAGTCAATTGCCGCCCCTCGTCGCCCAGTTCTATCCACTCATCCGGGTGCAGCACTCAAACAGCCGGGAGAAACGAGACATGCAGCTGATTTGGCTACCTCTCCCGCTAACCAAGAAGAGAAGCTGACTAGCACTCTGCGACAACAAATTCGCTCTGGTTCTCCAAGAGTCGAAACGGCCAAGCCTTTCGGCATACTCAAGGCAGTGAATTCCCAGGTGAATACAAAGCCTCAAGGACGAAGTGTTGATTCGGTGATGGGGGAGATAAGGCTAATGATTGAGACGGTCAAGACCACGAGGGAAACCGGAATAGATGATGTGTCCAGCAAGCCAAAGATAAGGGACCAAAAACAGCCACGCACCACATCCACTGGGCGAGATCGCACAGAGGAAACAGAGAACCTTAGCCCCCTCATTGATCTTGATTGCGAAGTGAGAACTCTCAATAGTGGCTTACAACACATTGTTGCATTCGATCCGCCAGCCACAGCCCCATCAAGCGGTCCAAAGCAGTCTACAGATGCTCAACATGACCAATTCCAGCATGGCGAGACTTGCACTTTTACTGAAACTGGTGATATTCTTGATATGCCCAATATCGATGATACATCTGTGCAACCTCAGCTAACTCAGAGCATCTCTCCTTATCCTGAGCCAACCCAAGATCCGATGATCCTCCGTCCGAAGACTCCAGCCTGTGTTACTAGCGAGCCTACCCAACCAGGGCTCGCTACATCTGGGCCATTGCCTGATTTGGAAGTTGTTGGCTCTTGTCATGAGAGCGACGTATTGGACCACGAACAGAAACAGGAACAGTCTCCTGAATACCGCAGCAAGGCCGATGAGGTAGCACTGGAATATCTACTCCGGCAGATCAAGGACAATCCTGCCCCAGAAGTTCCCAGCATTGAGGAGATTGCGCTACCTCTTGATGCTAGCCTTTGTGATCCTGCAACTCGAGTTCTGTCTTCTAGCTCGCGTGACAGCGCTCCGCGAGGTGGTATTCAGCAACGTCAACGCCCTGGTCAGGGGAGTGAGAGAGTGCCCTTTCTTCATCCAGATCTCATTGATATCTCACCTCGGATGCTTTCTCCTCGCTTGAGGCGCGTCCCTTTGCAACAATCCGACTCCAAAGGTGATGAGCAAGATGCGGAACCAAAAGACGGCGAAAGGCTGGCTGTCTCAGAGGAAACTCAGACAAGAGAATTCCACGAGACAATGTTCCATCAGCGGCCTCCCGACAAGGCTTTTCAATGGATAGATGGAGTAACCAAGGCAGTGAGAAGGGCAAAAATTGAGATCCACACTGCTAATACCTGGCAGCGAGGGGAAAACAATGAGGCCAATGCGGAGAACAAGGAAAAGGTTCAAGCTCCCATTGCTAATTTCTGGCAGCGAAGAATAGAATTCAAACCAACAGAAGCGCAGCCAGGAAAAAGCACTGCCTTGCCCACAAAGGCGGTTGTGAAATCATCAAGAGAAAAGAAGCACAGTTATGAATCCACAGAGACTCTGTTTCGCTTCCTTCAACCAATTCTTGATGCAGTTCGCAGCTTTCCCGGAACCTTGAGCCTTCAAATTCAGTTCGGTCTTATGTTCATGCCCAGCTTGCCAGCTTCAACCAAAGAGAAGGAGATGAGCTACAGGGAGGTTCACCAGCTGTTCTTCTCTGAGAATAACTTGACACCACCTCCAATCTCATTATTCCAGCGCTTGACTTCATCTCCTGCGGACATTGATTACCTCATTGATTTGGAAGTCAACCAATGTCGCTTGTTCGACCAAAAGTACAGCCACCGCGGCGTAAAGTACGAGTTCTGGTGCCGCGATGGTCCGAACAGAACCATTGTTATTTCAGTCAATGAATATGGACATGCTATGATTCGCTATCCTGAGGTCTCCCTAGGCACGGTGAACTTGAGTTTCCCTTCCCAAGTCTGGGATGCAGCTGCTATGGTACAAGGTTTTATCGAATACATTACGGGGGCTGACCCGGAGCTTGACGAAACTGCACGGATGATGGCAAAAAGCATCCGGATAGAGCCAAACAATAAACACCTCCGTATGCTGGTCCGTCTTCCCCTGGCTTCAAAGATCAGAATCGAGAAGGTGTTCATGGAACGGTGGAGCCGTCACCAATACCGCTCGGGGAAGAGCAAGGACTTGTTTCTCCAAATCAGTGAAATCCAAGAACTCCTTGGAACTCCCTCTGTCCTGGATCCGGGTATCATGGTATTGCAGAACGCCCCGCTTGAGAAAATGGTCAAGCACGGAAAGCAGTGGTGGGAGGCCTCTATTGTCAGCAGCAAAGTGGACGATATCATGAAATCAAATTCCTTCCTTGAGCCCGGTGACCGCAACGAGTCCTGGTGTGCGACAGATCTCCTCGGTGCAGATATCACGAATGTCGTTCGCTCTACTGCGAAGCAGGAGCTGAGTACCCTCGGAGCCGAAGTAGGTCATTCCGGAATTGGAGCAATGTTCCAACTTGCCAAAACTGTCGTGCAGAAAATCGATGCTGTCGGGTACTGGAACAGAGGTCCTGCCAGTCTTGACCGGCGCACTAATACGTCGAACGATCGCAGCCAGGGTGGTACAGGTACGGTTAAGGAGCCGTCCACTTCCTTGGGGAAACAATTGGTGCCCTGGGCTCCGCCAGCTGGCCTCAAGGAAAAGCACAAGTGGTGATGAGATTGGGAGGATGAAGATGGATCTCGGGAGTTGGAGTGGAAACGGGACAGATGTATTCTTGTCATTGTCGTTTGATTCTTAGGATCTTTATGGGTCATATGTGTACCTGGACGACTTGAAATTGCATTTAAGATAGCACAAGAATAAAAAAGATTTGTTTCATATTTCAATAATTGTCCTGTAGTTGGTTGATGGATCCGTGTAGTTTAGCTATAGTAAACATAGATATCTTTAGCTTTATTCATTGTTGACTATTCCAGTCCGTTTTATAGAAGATAAACTGGGGTTTAAGCCTAGATGGAGCTGCTATAAAACATGAAGTTATAGTTACACCATGGCCATGTGTATTGAGGGAACAGTAGGACTGTTATAAAATCACCGCGATGCAGTCAAATTGCATCAGTAATATAGTAAGGTAGTCCTGTGTTAGAATATGACAGGAATTGGTTGTAACTACTATCTAGTAGTACATGTAGTATTATATGGATACCAGAATAGTAATATCAAGCTCTCTCTGTCTTTCAATTCAACCCTCAAATATGCAATATGGATCCCCCATTCCTGACACTCATTTCTTACATTTTTGCTTATTTGTATTCTGGCAGCTAGTCGATGGCTTTATTCTTATTCCATTCGAACTACTAGTAAATTTGACAAGTCTCTAGCTAAGCCCGCTGTGCGTTATGAACGATTTCACGAGGTCTCAACTCAAATGGCCACAACACGCTCAACGAATCGACTACTGACTATGCTCTCGCTAGTGTCGAGAAACTCACGAGCTCTACGTAATTGTTGAGGCAGCCTTACTGCCTAAGGCGGGTAGGATCTCTACTCCTCACTTAGTTAATCTTCCACTCTCCCCAGTCAACAGCTCAATTCAACACAGGGTTTCTTTCCCACCCTGCCTTCTCTACAGTAATCAAACATCTAAATGCAAAATTCCGCACCGAGATATTGGTCAGTGAAACTATGGCGTGAAATTATACTAAGTGGAAAATAGACGTTGCATTGCATGAACGAATTACTGTCAATGTACAAAATTATCCCCTCGTGCCAGGCATTTCAATGTCTCCACCATGCCAAGGCGCCGGCCTCCTGTCGGTTTGACCATGCTATCTAGCAGGGACCTTGCCATTAGCTTTTGCTTCGCAATGCCTGCACCACCTCAGTGCGGCCTCTTTCTATCGCCGCTTTGAAAGCTGTTTGGCCAGAACCTTTAGCGTCAATATCTGCTTTCGCTTTCGCTACTAGTAGTACCTGCACCACGTCAAGGTGACCTTCTTTTTCTGCCGCTTGAAGAGCTGTTCGGCCATATTCAGTAGGAAATGCGTTGACATCAGCTTTTGCTGCTAGTAGTGCCTGCACCACGTCAAGGTGGCCTCCTTCTGCGGCCGCTTGAAGAGCTGTTTGGCCATCATGTTCAGCAGGAGGTGCATTGACGTCTGCTTTTGCTGCTAGAAGTGTTTGCACCACTCCAATGTGACCTTCTTCTGCTGCCGCTTGAAGAGCTGTTCGGCCATCATATTTAGCAGGAAATGCGTTAACGTTTGCTTTTACTACTAGAAGTGTCTGCACCACGTCAACGTGACCTCCTCCTGCTGCCGCTTGAAGAGCTGTTCGGCCACCATATTTAGCAGGAAATGCGTTGACGTCAGCTTTTGCTGCTAGTAGTGCCTGCACCACGTCAAGGTGGCCTCCTTCTGCGGCCGCTTGAAGAGCTGTTTGGTCATCATGTTCAGCAGGAGGTGCATTGACGTCTGCTTTTGCTGCTAGAAGTGTCTGCACCACGTCAAGGTGACCTCCTCCTGCTGCCGCTTGAAGAGCTGTTTGGTCATCATGTTCAGCAGGAAATGCGTTGACGTCAGCTTTTGCTGCTAGTAGTGCCTGCACCACGTCAAGGTGGCCTCCTTCTGCGGCCGCTTGAAGAGCTGTTTGGTCATCATGTTCAGCAGGAGGTGCATTGACGTCTGCTTTTGCTGCTAGAAGTGTCTGCACCACGTCAAGGTGACCTCCTCCTGCTGCCGCTTGAAGAGCTGTTCGGCCACCATATTTAGCAGGAAATGCGTTGACGTCAGCTTTTGCTGCTAGTAGTGCCTGCACCACGTCAAGGTGGCCTCCTTCTGCGGCCGCTTGAAGAGCTGTTTGGCCATCATGTTCAGCAGGAGGTGCATTGACGTCTGCTTTTGCTGCTAGAAGTGTCTGCACCACGTCAAGGTGACCTCCTCCTGCTGCCGCTTGAAGAGCTGTTCGGCCACCATATTTAGCAGGAAATGCGTTGACGTCTGCTTTTGCTGCTAGAAGCGTTTGCACCACCTTAAGGTGACCTTCTTCTGCGGCCGCTTGAAGAGCTGTCCGGCCATCACGTTCAATAGGAAATGCGTTGACGTCAACTTTTGCTGCTAGTAGTGCCTGCACCACGTCAAGGTGACCTCCTTCTGCTGCCGCTTGGATAGCTGTCCGGCCACCACCATATTGGCCATCATGTTCAACAGGAGGTGAATTGACGTCTGCTTTTGCTGCTAGAAGTGTCTGAACAACTTTAAGGTGACCTCCGTCTGCTGCCGCTTGAAGAGCTGTCCGGCCACTATTGCTAGGAGATGGGTTGACGTCTGCTGTCGCTGCTAGTAGTGCCTGCACCACGTCAAGGTGACCTCCTCCTGCGGCCGCTTGGATAGCTGTCTCACCATATCCAGCAGAAATTGCGTTGACCTCTGCTTTTGCTGCTAGCAGTGTCTGCACCACTTCAAGGTGACCTGCTCCTGCTGCCGCTTGGAGGGCTGTTCGAACACCATAGCCAGCAGGAATTGCGTTGACGTCTGCTTTTGCTGCTAGAAGCATTTGCACCACCTTAAGGTGACCTTTTCCTGCGGCTGTTTGGAGAGCTGTTCTGCCTTTTACTTCAGCATTGACATCAGCCCCTGCTTGGAGCAACATTCCCAGGGAACGAGTGCATCCATCTAGCACAGCATATGATAATCCATTATTCAAGATGTTGCTAGTATTATCAAGTCGGACGAGCACCTCAGTGTATCGATAACGAGTGTGGATGTCAGCGCTCTGAAGGATTTTATCCTTCACATTCTCCGTCAAATGGTGAGACTGATGTCTTGCGTAGTATGAAAGTAATGCAAAATTTCCATAGGCCAATAACCATTGCATAGCATCTGATATATCCTTTCTCTTGTTGTGTGTCTGCTGCTCCGACTCCCATGGTCTGCATTCAGGAACATCATCGCCTTCTATGCACCGGCAAAACAATTCCCACATACTACTGTTCATATCCGGAGTAAGATCAGTCAGATGGCTGAGCCAGTAGGCCCTGGCATAATTGAGAAACTGAAACCCTTGCTTTTGGAGTTCCAGCTCTAGCTGGAAAGAACTCCCATCTTCAAGTATTGCTTGCGCCGTCCTCTCTACCTCTCGAGTGGTGAAATGTTGTAGCTGGTGATGACGAGAAAGAAGCCTACGGGCCATCTGACTAGTAACTCTCCTAGAAGAGCGGGTGGACAGAGTACTAGTACTGAGCAGAAGGGGCTTGATAGGAGTAACGGAGCCATTCTGAACTTTCGCTAACTGACGCTTGAAGTTGGTGAAATCGAGATATGTCATGCAAAGGAACCCAAAATTCCGGTCAACGCTTGCCATGTCGAATTGTGCTATGTGTGGACCGTTCGGGATAAAAAGACATTCTCTCACACTACCATGAACATAGTGTATAGTGTCTTCCTCTTCATCGACGAATGTTAATCCGCAACAGCCATTGATGATCCTATCCATGTCGTTGGGGACCTTTCCGTGGTCAAAGGTCTTCTGTTCGAGGGAAAGACTAAGGGCTTCTCGATATTCCGTGACTGTCAATGGCCGTTTCACTGCCCCGCAGTATTGTAGCAGTTTCATTGCCTGCCCGGCCGCTCTTCCCTCTCGAACACGACCAAGTTTTCGATCGTAGAGCTCAGCCAAGCTGTGTGGAAGATGTTTCAGTGCTTCCAGGATGTCGTGATCACAATTCTGTGCGCAAAGCTCTTCAATACAAAGACTTGCCCAAAGGAACCTATGTTTTTTGTTTATGTTAGCAATGCATTTAGGATTGCGTAGTCATATAGCCTAATCTTGACACGTGTCTTCGATTCGGCGGTGTTGACACTTACATTCCGCCAGCTTTGTCCCTTAAGGTGTTGTATATCTCTGTGATGATTGTCGGATCCCCAAGTGTCAAAACCTCATCTTCCAGACACTTTTCCAAAGTCTTGGTAATATAGTGATCCATGTCCGACTTGACCTTTTCCTCATTCACCATGATCCTATACTGCGGTGCAGTCAATTTGAACCGTTTTTCAAGACCAGGTCGGCCTGCGCAGAGGATTTTGAAACCAATACATTTGCTGCAGAGCTCAACCATAGCCTGTGCCACCGCTTGAACCTGATTGCCATCACATTCGTCTAATCCGTCGAGGATAACATAGTACTTCTTTCCCTCACCAGCCTCCAGACGATATACCAAGAACTGAATGAGCTCAGTCGTGCTAAGATTTCGGGTGGCCTCCTGTAAGTGGAGTAGAGTTTCATATTTGCCTTGTTCAATCTGAGTATCGAGGATTTGACGAGCAAGACTTCCAAGAATGCTCCTCGCAGATAAAGATGCCTCATTGTCGACGCAACAGAAGTAGTAGCATACGATCTCATTGCTCTTACGGGCCGTATGTAACCGTAGCTGATCCACCACATTAGACATGAGCACTGTCTTGCCCATGCCTATAGTGCCTAAACACCAGAGAATCGCGGTTTGCGGATCGTCTCTCCACTCATCAAAGACCATCTCTTTCTGAAGCCACTCGGCCGTGGTGGGAACCCGTTGCTTCATTATCTGCCTCAAAGGACGGTCATGGTCGATAGGAGAAAGGTTGTTTCGAATGCTTGTCTTTAATTTCGCCATTTCCCTTTTTTTCAATTTCATTCGCCACTCGCTTTCATCGGCTTGTTGTTTCAGTGATTTCTTATAGAAACCTAGCGCTTTCGGTCGGAATTTTGAATTCTGTTGGCTTTCATATTCTAGCAGCTTTTTCGCTTCCTGGTCTGCTTGCTTTGATGCGAGTAATACCTCCAGGCTGATCTCACGTGTAGCTTCATTTAGTTGATCTAGGAACAGCTTAAACTCAGATTCAAAGGGACTTAGTATCGACGAAAGAGTTTGCTTGAGGGCGGTTCGACGGGAGACCTCGATGATCTTGACACATAGATTAATGACGATGGCGTAGAAATCACAAAGCGCACGTTGGAGACCGATACAGCAGGGGTAGAGTTGGCCAAATTGTTGATATGTCGGAGAAGATTTGCCGATTCTCATGATCATGCTCGTGACTTTGTCAAAGTAAGAGGCCACATTGCTCGCTGTCAATATAGCAGTCTTTACACCTCCCCAGACGAGGGCAGCGATTATCGGATTGGAGCTGACGAATGTGTCCACAACACCGGTGAACTGTTGCGTTGCCTCTAAGAAGGTACATAGCCGTGGAGCCACGCACCTCCTCGTCGTGCTGCTATTTCTAGCATCGATTTCTGCGACAAACTCTATGACGCTGGCAATATCTGGTGTTGTGGTACTATTTTGAAATTCCCGTTTTTGCTCCTCTGTCAAGGTCTTCTGAAAATTCTCCAATGCTGTATTGAGGGATTGTGTAGGGTCTTCCCCCTGCGCTCCTACTCTCGGGGACAGTTGAAGGGCCATAAGTCGAACGTATTTCACAACAGTTCATGGGCATTCCCATAGATTTTGTCGTTGCAGACTCTCTGTGAAGGATAATGGGCGGGGTTAATGTACTTTTGACAGAAGCTGAGCCTCCTCGCTCACCGTCATATAGACCAATTAGGGTCAGCCTACGAAGACCCATGTCAGCCACACCAGTGAACACATCACGTGTCTAGTAAGCCCTGGAGTACACTCATTCTATACTGATGCTGAAGTTATCCTCAATCTAGAAATACCCCGTAGAGTGCATGCTGGAGAATTTATACTCTATGATCAATGTGTGATAATAAACAACCTCTAAACTTAATGCGAGTATATTCTTCCCTTTAACCCAAGAATAATCATTCCTCCTCTTCCGGCGCATCATCCACATTACGCAGCCAAGCGGCTCTAGCATCAACCGCCGCCTTCCGCACATCACGCTTAGGATCATCAAGAACCGCCCGCAAGGACCTCAGAACCTGAGTCTTGACAGGCAAGAGAGGCGAGATACCCGGCGGCGCACGCGCGTTAGCCGCAGCGCCGGGCACCTGGTGCGTAGCGAGGAGATTGAGACATCTCAAAGCATCCGCGCGGAGACGGGGGCTGTTAACAGCGCCAGGGCCGATGTTTGTAGCTGTTGTTTTAAGGAGTCTCGTGACAAGACTCTGGACATGGCCGCACTGGTCGATGACGACGACGCCGTTATCACGGATAATTACGGCGAGGGTATCGAGCGTTGCTGTGCGGACGGCGACGGAGTCGGCGGTCTGGAGGTCGAGGGATTGCAGGAGGAGGGGGAGCAGAGTGGGGAGTTCTGGCATGACCAGGGCCGTGGGGATTGTGGAGAGGATACCCGCGAGGGCGGTTAGGTGGGCTGGTTTGATGTGGTCGGGGGCTGGCGCTTTTAGGGCGGCGGCGGAGTCATCTGTGCCGGCGATGTTCACTTCGCGGATGCGAGATGAGATCAGGGGGATGACTGTTGTGAAGAGGCGCTGTCTGCAGAGCAGGCGGATTGTGGCGCCATTAGTTGCGGAGAGGATGTCGTCTTCGCCGAGGATTATGGAGAAGCCTTGTGCTGCTGTCGCGCTGGTTTGCTGGTCTTGGGAGGAGAGGAGGGCGAGGAGGGAGGTCAGGATGTGGGTGGTTGAGGGGGCTATGCGAAGGATCAAGGCTTTGGATAGCCAGAAGATAGTGCGGATGGTTGCAGGGTTGAGGCTCTGTGATTCTGAGTCCTGGCCTTGGAGGAGAGAATCGAAGAGTTTCTCAGCGATTGTCACATCCTGCTTCGACAGGAACTTGTTGACGAGCAAGGCCAGGTGACGCAGGTATGCTTGGTGTGTTGCTGGCTCCGTGCTCGAGACTGCACGATTGACCAGATCCAACAGCAAACCTGACATGTCTGGGTTGGTGTGCGGGATTTTGTTACCGAAGTCCTTGGATATTCCCGCAAGCAAGTATGTCGAGATAATGATCGTACGTTCTTGGTCCTCACTTGTAGTCTGAGTGAACGGAATAGGCACGAAATCTTCAGCTGCAGAGAAGAGGCTGTAGACATTTTCGGCAACTTGTTCCTGCTTCTGAATAGAAACAGACCGTACAAGGAGATTGCAAAGTCGACCCAAAGTGTCAAGCACGGTAGGATCGTTGAGAATCCGGTTCTTTGCCTTGCCAGAAGCCGACGCTGCGACATCGCGGCAAAGCCCAACCACAACCTTGTCAAAGTACAAATCCACACTCTGGTCTTGTTCCATGTTTCTCTGTTGCATAACATAAAGCAAAGTGACGAGAATCGCGCGTGGGTAAGCAACTGACCCGGGTCGCTCCTTTTGCAGAAGAATAGACAGTTTGCTAAACAGACGACGGAAAAGTGTCTCGAAAATGTCCCTCTCGACGCTGATCTGAGCAAGGGTCTCGAGCGTCGGCAGATACAGGGCATCCGAACCTTCGTCTTCCTCTGGCAGAGTTGCCACAAACGCAGGGAAAGTGATATCCACAATCAGGCGGGGCTTGTGCTTGGAAATCTCAGCAAGAGCAGCAATTGCTTCTTTCTTGAGATCATTCCGGCCCACAGATTCCTCCTTGAGAAGGATTTCGTCAAGATATTGCACGAAAAGCCCAATCTCATTCTCCTGGAAGAAATGACGCAAGGTAGACAGACGCAAGAAGCCCTTCAAGGCAGTCACCCGGAAGGAAACCTCTTCCTTAGCTGCACCCATCAATGCCTGGCCAAAGAGGTCCGAAAATTGGTCTTTGAATTCAAGTAGTGGGTTTTCGATAGCGGCCTCACCACCTCGGGTGGTCCATTGTCCAAATACGGTTGTAGCAGCTTCGAACAAGACATTCAAAGTTTCCAGAAGTGCCCTTTGTTTGACGATTCCGTCTGCTTCTTGGTAAAGTGTGAAAATCGGAGGTACAACTGTTTGTACAACAAGGACAAAGGAAATGGGCGAAGCAGCAGACACACAGCTGAGGATCGATTGGGCCGGCTTAGCCTGCTTGTTTTGAGGCTCCTGAAGTTGCTCATTGCACTCCTTGGTGATTGGCTGAAGGTACTTTGCGAGAGGCAATTCTGGTGACACTTCGGTAACTCCTTCAGATAGCCGTTGGGCGATTGCTTGCAGGGCCTCGAGGGAGTTCTCAGATAAAAACTCCTCTTGGGCATTAAGAATCTCAAACTTGAGGACTTCCCATATGGTAATGGAAAACTTAGACACTGTGTCGGGGTCGTATGAATGGATACATGCGATCAATGTACTAAGTGCATCTTTCTATAGATCTATTAGATGACTTCAATATCATAGTGTGTTGAGCAATCTTACCTTTACATTGGGAGAAGTAGAATCAAGCTTGTCCAATAAGGCGGGGATAGCGTGGGGTGCAAAATGCCTTGTCGAAGAGATACATTCTTGAAGACGGCCCTTCAGATCCTGTGCAGTGATTCCATAGGGGTCGTTGGGCGGGGGTCGGAATGTGATTGGGAAGTAGTTATATACCGAGTCGAAGAGGGTCTGTCTAGTGTTAGCGGAATCGACGAGCTTGGAAAATTACACATACCTCAACGTGGTTCGAGATGTCCCATTCCACCATGACCACTTTCAGGATCGAGAAAACAATCATCAAATTTCTCGGGTCTTTCTCTCCCGTCATAATATCAACAACGCCCAGAAGCGAGATCTCTCCCATATCACGCATAGCTCCGCGGTGGTTTGACATCAAATCATTGAGCAATTGATAGACATGGAACCGTTGTGTTTGAGACCGAGACTGGAGGTCTTGGAAGTTGGAAAAAAGTCTATATCAATAAATCAGCACTGGGTCATCATTGAGTTAAGCTTAATCCCGGCGAACACAGGGATGTCGCATGCAACCAAAAAGTATAGCACCTACGCTTGTGCTACTTGGGTAGCCAAAAACTTGTTAAACCGGTCCAGACCCTGCAGGGCCTGCAACCCATCAACGGCACCTCCATCCTCAATTCTATCACAGAAGAATGTAGTCAAGACTTGGATCTGTTGTCTCGAGAGGTATTTCGGTGAGAGGGCTTGGATAATAGCCGTAAGGTAGGAAATCGCTTTTCCACGTAAAATCGGGTCTTCGTCGTTAATGTATTCGCCGAGAGATTGGACGGTATCAATCAGAGTCGCCTTTTTAGTCTCAACATCTTTAATCACTTCCGTTAGTAATGCAACGATTTGAAGTGGTCTCGAGTGCGGGGCGAATTGACATACCTTGCGCGATTCCCTCGGCAATGCGCTTTGCTTCTTCTTTATCGTGGTCCACGACCAGCATAAAGCTCTGCAGAGCCGACATGATACCAATGGATCAATTAGGAGAGCCAAACGTGTAGATTGCGGGGGCAAGATCAAGCTCGCATCGGCCAATTTCTTGTGGCCGGATGCCCTTATCGATAAGGGTCAGGTGATTATGTTATCTCTCTACTCCGTACGTCACGTGCCAAGGCCGGTTGCGTCATGGCTGTAGTGAGACCTGCTTCTCTGTCCGGTGTCATTGGCAGCAAGATGGCTCCAACCCGCAGCATGGGATCGTATCGACTAACAACATCCATTTTATTTACATTTCTTCTCGCTAGTTCAGCATCTGCACTCTGGGGACTATCATATCCCTTCCCTTCACGTCAACAGCACCTAGCTCTCGAGCACAAAGAGCATCACTCGATAATGGATAAGATTTTCCCTGGTATTGTGCAGCCGCAGAAGACGGCTCCAGACGAGGATGTGAGCTCAAAAGACAGCGGTAGCCCTATTATCTCAGATGTCCTACCCAAGACTAAGGGCATCAATATCTTTGCGCGGTTGACCCGTGACTTTGAACCAGTCGCCAATCGCCTCAACGATGCATCCAAGAACATTACAGTTCTAGCACCACGCAACAGTGCAATTCAGGCTCTTCCGCGGAAGCCCTGGGAGAACCCAGAGGACTACAAGAAATTCGGAGAGGTAAATGCATACGAGGGGCAGGATGGCCAAGACCGGGCAAAGCGGAATTTACAGCGATTCGTGGAGGCCCATCTCATCCCTACTAGTCCCTGGAGAGTTGGGGAAGAGGTCGAGACGCTTGCAGGGGAGAAGTTGAAATGGACGAAGGAGGGTGATAAGATCTTTGTAGGTTTTGTCCTTTGTTGGTCGTTCGTATGGCAACTGACTGTCTATAGATCCAACCTGGCAATATTGAAGTTGATTCAATTGCGGAGAAGGTCCATAATGGGGAAGTCTGGGTCCTGAATGATGTTATCAATTACCGTCAAGGGTGATTGGTTATGAGTTATTACGAGTTATGGATATTGTGCAATATGAATCATTCAAGAACACTCGAGTGAATTATGTAGATCCACAAGATTGCGGCTTATTTAAAAACATGGCACATTCTATTCTTTATGCTATCCAAAGCCAGCGATGACCTCAGGACAGGTATATACACCAACACTAGACATCACATGCAACGTCAAAGGGAGATTAAATCCCCGCAGGAGCAAAGTTTTGCAAGATTCTCTCTTCCACTCCTTCGAGAATGCAGAAGTGCTCCATCACTTCCAAGTTCTCTACTTCGCTCAGATACAGCTTGTCGGGATCTTGGCCGGGCTGGAGCGGGTTGACCATTGCGGCGGGGTTAGCCATACCCATCTGCTGGGCCATTTGGTTGGCAGCTATAGATTATTAGCAACAGTTGTTATTGGCAATGGTCGGGGTAGATGCATACAATTATCACTGCCGAGGATGAATCCAAAAACGGACTGAAGGCCCATCAAGTTGAGGAAGTACCACGAAAGACTGGAGACCCATTGCACATCAAGGTCGCGAGTCATGACACCAGACTGCAGCATCGACTTGAACCGGATAGTAAGCGGGAAAGGCAATTTCACTGCGGAATCTGTAAGCTCGTTGATCATCTCCATTTATATCAAAATGCAACATACAGATGACAAAACCAGAGAAGAAGGCATTGATCCAGCTCATGATCAAGGTTTGCGGGATCATCATCATCATGTTTCCCTTAAGCATTCCCATCATAGCTTCCATGCCCGCAGGGTCGGTCATGGGGTTCGCGGGCGGTTGGCCACGGTTGTTGGGGTCCTTCAGAAATGCGCCGTTGCGGAATCCAGTAACCATGTAGTTCTTGCGCATCTCGAAGGACTCGCGGTCAAGCACGGAGCAGGCATTGTTGCGGAGATTCACGCCGCGGAGAAGAGCAAGGCGCTCACGAGACTCGGCAAGAGTGGATGGCTGTTTCGGGGCCGTGTTCATCAGGACCGTGGCATAGTGGCGAAGGATTCCGGTCAGGATCTATTCAAGAAGAGGGGTTAGTTTTAGTCTCGGAGGCATCACGGATATTTAAGCTTCAAGCGCTGGGTGCAGATCATACCATAACAATTGAAATGGGAAAGAGAATCCAATAGCTAGAAGCAAATGGTCAGTCGAAGTTCCGCTTGATCGAATCATGTTCTCTCACAATAGCGCCGGATCCCTAAGGATGGTCTGCTCAGCCCCTTGAATTGCCATATTGAGGCAGAATAAGAATCAAAGAAGTGCCTCCTTTGAACCCAAACAATGAATCAGTGGTGGCTGCAGGTGGGGGATGGAAAGTTGAAGGGGCCGCAAAGGAGAGGTTGCCAGGCGGAGAGGGATGTCATTGGCCCGCGTTAGCTCCAGCTTTCTCCAAAGGGCCACGCCGCATCTTTGTCCTGCGATAAACAACAGTCCTGTCTTGACCACTGAATGCTAAACCACACTCGATCTCTTGGTTTTTAAAAAGCTCTCTACTCATATCTATTCTCAAATCTGTCATGGCTTCCAACAAGGTGCCGGTCTACTCGACCAATGGTCCGTAATCTCGATCTACTCTATACAGCAACAATACTAACAGTGTGAGCAACAGATCTCAAGTCCACGAGTGACGATGCTCTCCTTCCTTACCTCACCAATCTTCCCGCTCCATACGCTTTCACGCCAAACTACTCGAAGACAAACATTCGCTTCCTGCTTGGATATAGCGCTGTCGCAATCGCAGGGTTTACTTTCTACGCAGACCGCACGCTTGGCTGGGAAGCAACTAGCTCGCCCTGGATTATCGCGGCAGTAGGGACCTACTTTGTCTTGAACAGCATTCTGACATATTGGATTTGGGCCGTCGAGGCTGGCGAAGTATACTCCGGGAAGAGGAAGACTGGGGAGACGGTATGTCAATTGATCTTCGACTCTTTCGAGGTTCTATTTTTTGGCAGGTTACTAACAGTCTTATTCATAGATATCGGTCTCATCATCCGCCCAAAAGTTCTCCAAACTCTACAAGCTGCATGTCACTTATAAGTCTGCCTCTGGGAAGGTCCTCCAGGACAAGCGGTGCGAGGCGCCCTTCACAACTTGGTTTTCAGCAGATGGTGTATTCCACCCCGAGCCTTTCCATCGCTGGGTGGCCAGCGAGATTGATGTTTTGAGATTGGCGGCGAAGGAGAATGAAAAGAAGTCTGGCTAAAAGGGAAGGTTACCTATCAATTACTATCAGAGGTTCTGTTTTCGGGGCTATTGCAAAATGCAAAGCTATTTCATTATCTAAAAGAGATTAAGAAGAGTGCATTGGTATTATATGTTCAAATGAACAAGGAAGAGATCGGTTTTCTGTGTTTTACTTTTCATTGGGCATAGTTAATCAGACGCATTCCAACAGTGTACGTGACTTTTTTCAGGGTTGACCGGCAGTGAAATCAATTTCGTATGCAACACCTCCACCTCACTCGATATGTGAGCAAACCTGCTCTAAGGAGGGGCGTCTTAGCTTGACTTGTCAGAATATGATGTCCTGCCTAGAGCTATTGGGCTCACGTGGATCTCTACTATTCTGGAAGGAGCACTGGAGCTCTACTGCACTTTCCAAACTTGAACAGCTTCAGAGTTCAGAGCCTCAGGGCACAACAGCCTTGGAGGCTTGAACTTGGGACAACTTTGCCTATGATCTGCTTCCATCACATATCACCTTACTACTTAATTGCTCTTAAAGTATATGGTTTTACTCTCAGTCAACTTTAAGTTATCAAGACCCTTTACAGCTCCTTCCCGCAGTCTTGAAGACCTCCATCATGGGTTGTATAGCATCTGCCCTCCTTCGACCTCGGGGTACGTTCTCATCCCACAGAAACCCGATGTATGAGGAGTGGGTGAACTAACGATCAGACGATTTCAGTTCTCCCTGAAATAACAGTAGCCCTTGTCTGGGCTTCCCACGAGGAGATTGTATCCCTCGTCAATGCCACCGAAACTCTTGAGGTCAAGTTTCAGGAGCCGGGCATGACATTCACTGCGACGCCAACGACCGGTGCAGCGACCACACCGTCCACTGATCAGTCTGAGGAAAAGCAAACCGAGCCTGTTGCTGAGCAAACCCAACAGGGTCAAATTTACTACATTCAAACAAAAAACCTCAACCGGCCGGTGAACTATATCAGTCATGTACGCCTCATACTTCTGCCACCTGGGCTCCAATTAATAGCGGGCGGCATTCAAACCCTAGCACCCGGTGTGCGAGTCGTGATCCCTCATGCCACGACCATTGCCATACCTCTCACGCCTGTGCTCCCTCGAGGACTTCTCCGGAAGATCATCATCAGTGAAAACAGCCCAATGTCGGCGACTCAGTCACTGGGGCATGTGTTGGCTGAGATAGACCAGTTTGCTGGTTGGGAGAGTAGCTGCTGGGAGCTCTTTATCTGGTGGCTGCTTTTATTGAGACCATACTGGTGCTCAATTGCGTGCGTTCTGGTGCTTGTCCCTTTGCTCATCCTAGTGATTGCCTTGCCTTGATAGGCTTGTCCTTTTTTGACATTAGCTGGTTCGCTGGACTTTTTCAGCGTGGTATGCTTTGATTTCATTGCATTGACGTATGGTAGCTTGGAGGTGTGGAAATGCCTGATGTGGTAGTTTCCAGCTGCTGAGATGTTGGGCCTGGTCGTCTATCAGCGGTGCTTTTCTTCATGTCAAGGTGGACTAAATGGTACTTCGCACGTTATAGCAGTTTAACTGTTCTTGGGACAATTCGTTACTATATCAATATTATCCTTCGAACCCGGCCGGGAGGTTTTCTATTAGAGTATTGTGCAAGGTCAGATTGCGTAAATAACAAGCTGTGATAGTAACAAGAAACTGTGTTTATAAAAGAATAGACAAAGTCAACCAAGCCAATCTCTGTAACTTCCAAACATGGAATACGACTGGGAGATATCTAAGCACAGGAAACAAAAGACGAAACATAAAGTTTCAGTATAATCGAAATGGCTAATAACAAACAGAATATCTATAATTTTTTACGGAATGGCCAGCTCAAGGCATGACCATCGAGAATGAAAGGTCAATTAGTGGCGAACGACCTACGATGACGCCTCAAGGGTGCCAGGCCGTTCTGTGGCTTCGGCGGGCTTGATATCGTCCAGTCGCTTGTTCTGAATGAGTCTCTGTAATTTGTGACATTAGATGATGTTGCAAAGTACCACTGAGCATGTGGATGAAGAATAAGGATAAAACATACCAGCAGGTTCCGCAACAGGACAACAATGGTAACCTTTCCAATAGAGGGAACGAAGAGCGAGGCCTTGTCTCGGACCTCGTGGGGGAAGTTCTATATCAGAACGGTCAGCAATCACAACCTTTAACCAGGCTCAAAAGCGCAAAAGAAAACATACCCTCTCACTAGAGAAGTTGACACAAACAGCACCCTCACGCAGAAGGCTCGTATCAAACTTGTACTTATCACTGGGCACACCAGTAATAACCACATCACAAAGCGGCACAACATCATTGATAGTCTTCCCCTCAAGATCAACAACCTCATGCGTCTTCTTCTGCAATCCCGCGCCTCGAGTAAACTTCTGCACACCAGTAATATCAACCGAGTAAACACAAGCGCCATCATTAGCCAGCAGAGCAGCAAGTGGGCGACCCACGACCTCAGAGCGATTGACAACACAAATCGTGTGTCCGAAGAGACGGTTTCCGTAAGGCAGGATGATGTTGTAGATGTTGAGGTACTCGAGGATCTTGATGTTGGCCAGCGGGGTGCAGGGCAGGATGGACTTCTGGCGCTTGACCTCTCCATCCAGGAAGCGGATGTTCTGGTACATGTTGAAGATGTAGCGGTGGCTCAGGCCCTCGACGTCTTTGGTCACGTCGACGATCTGCTGCAGGTACTGGTCCTGGCGGGTGCCGAAGATCGGGTAGTAGACGATTATGCCGTCGACGTTGTTGTCGGTGTTTGCGTTCAGGATGGCTTGTTCGATGTCATCGCGGGACACTTCGCGCATGGTGTACTTGAAGCCGCTGGGGAAGACATTGCGTTAGTGGGTTGTTTCAATTGATTGTTGGTTGTGCTTTTGGGCTCGTTTGATTGGCTTTCTTTATTCTTTTGTATTTTTTTTGGCCGAGGGGTATGTATGAATCATACTAAGTGCCCCCACCATTTATCCCACCAAAGAAGCCACTGGAGCTATTGAAGCCGGATAATCAGAATAGTGTAGAGACTCACTTCTCCTCGCAGGTCTTCTGCGTCATCTGCGCGTACATAAGCGCGGCGGGGTCATTATTGGCCAGCAGGCCGATCAGGTGAGGCGGCTTCTCGAGTGTCTTGAGGCCCTCGTGGACTTCGGTGAGGAGGTGGGTGGCAACGTTCTTGCTCAACATCACCTTGCAGGAGGAGGGGGGTTTCTCGGTGGGCGCAGACATGGCGGCAATAGGACGGTAATAACAATATACTCAGTCACAGAGAGGAAAGTGAAGTTCCTTGCACGCGGGGGACTTGGTGATCTCCGGGAAAATCTTGATCGCTTATCGATAACAGATCGGCTGCCGGTTTCGGCCTCTACTGCCGGGTCGTCGTGTATTTTGAATGATATGTCGAGGTGTATAGAATATCAAGCATGAGAATCTAGATGGAACTAAGGCTTATAGTCATTGCTGTCAGTCGATTGGTGTTTATATAGATTCAAGTTGTTGTGTTCAAGCATACTCCCAACCCATCTTCGTCCGATATAAGCGAATTCTTTCCTTAGTCTTGGAAAAACAAAGCTACAGTCTACAATTACAGTATAAACGATTGAACAAATGAAAATAATTGAGGTCCAACATAGAGAGCATAAGGAGACCAGACGGAATTAGAACGGTCGTCCACCCATCTCGCGCCCCCGATGCGCGGATAAAATCTAAACGTACAGGATATAATCACATTTTGGCAGACCAAAGTTATTTGAGTTCTCGCTCGAACAGCACTACGGGAAATCCTTGGTCCGCCCCCCAGGATCATGCAGATAATTACATCGCTACATCCAGGGGCAGACTGGGATCTCCTGCCAGGCACCGGCACCAAGAAGAACAGAAAAACAATGGGCTCAAAATTGTACAGGCTATCTTGTCTATACACATAGAGTCAAGAAAACAAAGCCGACCACGAAGGATCATCCGAGTTATTTCTTCACTTATGCGTTGAAGGTGGAGTTGAAGGCAGAGATGACCTTCTTGAGGGTGGCCTCAGACTCCTTGGAGACCTGGCCCTCCTTCTCGATGGTGGCCTGGATCTCGGGGTGGGAGCTCTTGAGGTGAGAAAGGAGGTCAGTCTCCCAAGTGAGGATCTTGTCGACGGGGATGGTGTCGAGGAGACCGTTAACACCGGCGAAGATCAGGGGAACCATGTCGGTAACGGCCATGGGGGAGTACTGCTTCTGCTTGAGGAGCTCGGTCAGACGCTCACCACGGGCAAGGGTCTGCTTGGTGGAGGCATCAAGATCGGAACCGAACTGGGCGAAGGCAGCGACCTCACGGTACTGAGCCAAGAACAGCTTGAGGGAACCGGCGACCTGCTTCATGGCCTTGACCTGGGCGGCGGAACCGACACGGGACACGGACAGACCGACGTTAATGGCGGGACGGATACCCTTGTAGAACAGCTCGGACTCCAAGAAGATCTGACCGTCAGTGATGGAAATGACGTTGGTGGGAATGTAAGCGGACACATCACCACCCTGGGTCTCAATGATGGGCAGGGCAGTCAGGGAACCAGCACCGTGGGTCTTGTTCATCTTGGCGGCACGCTCGAGGAGACGAGAGTGCAGGTAGAAAACGTCACCGGGGTAGGCCTCACGTCCGGGGGGACGACGGAGGAGCAGAGACATCTGACGGTAGGCAACGGCCTGCTTGGACAGATCATCGTAGATGATGACGGCGTGGCGGGCGTTGTCACGGAACCACTCACCCATGGCGCAGCCAGTGAAGGGAGCAATGTACTGCAGGGGAGCGGCCTCGGAGGCAGTGGCAGCGACAATGACGGAGTACTTCATGGCGTCCTGCTCCTCAAGGGTCTTGACGAGCTGAGCGACAGTGGAACGCTTCTGACCAACGGCAACGTAGATACAGTAGAGCTTCTCCTCCTCGGTGGCGGTCTTGCTGTTGTTCCAACGCTTCTGGTTGAGCATGGTGTCGAGAGCGACAGCGGTCTTACCGGTCTGACGATCACCAATGATCAACTCACGCTGACCACGGCCAATGGGGACCATGGAGTCGACACACTTCATACCAGTCTGCACTGGCTGGTTGACGGACTGACGGGGCAGAATACCGGGAGCCTTGAGCTGGGCACGGCGCTTCTCCTTGGTGTTAAGGGGACCCTTTCCATCAATGGGGTTACCGAGAGCATCGACGACACGGCCGAGCAGCTCGGGGCCGACGGGGACCTCGACCTAGGGGTAGTGTTAGAAATGTTGCCAAGGGGTTGATAGATTCAGGGTCCAATATCAGAATGAACCAAGGGGTTGGGTTGAAGTGCTTACAATCTCGCCGGTACGCTTGACGGTCTCACCCTCCTTGACGAGACGGTCGGAACCGAAAAGCACGACACCGACCTGGCCGGCCTCGAGGTTCATGCACATACCCTTAACGCCGGAGGCGAACCTGGAGAGGAGTTAGTTTTCAGGTCTGGGTAATGCCAAGACTTTGGGGTTTCACGTACTCGACCAGCTCCTCAGCCTGGACGTTGGTCATGCCGTGGACACGGGCGATACCATCACTATTTAAAGCTCAATTAGTTTCTATATCGGTATTTTGTCGAATGTTGATAAATAATGGCGGATTCGATGGAATTGTAGCCGGGGACCGAATTTTTTTCGCGCCCCCAGCCGCCTAGGGAGAATTGACGTACCCGACCGACAGAACACGACCGGTCTCGGCGAGACCAGCCTCCTCAGAGACACCACGAATGCGCTGCTCAAGGATGGAGGAGACCTCAGTAGGGGTAGCCTTGGCCTCGGAAGCGTACGAGCGAACGCCGTTAAGAGGACCGGCAGCAGCCGCGCGGACCTGTAATGGACGAAAAACCTGTTAATGACCATCCCAGAGAAGGACAATGTGTCCAAGGCATCGTTGAAGTATCGTTGTCGAGGTATGATGAGGTATGAGCATCGATCGAGCTCAAGATTGAGATGAAGGATGTCGAACTGGCGATGGACGAAGGCGGCTGGGATGGGATGGACTCACCGAGGCGATGCGGCCAGTGGCCGAAACAGCCGCAACGGAGCGGCTGGACGACCGCAGAGCGTTTCTGAACATTGTGAAAGGGGGTTCAGAGGATGGGAGGATGAATTCTCTGAGGGAGAGATGTAATTGGGGAGAGAGAACGGGAGAGGAGAGAGGATTGTGGACGGGAGGGAGAGCTTTGTCGTCGGGGGGAGGATTGGATTCTCAGGACTCGCGCTAAACCGTTTCGGACGCTGGGCCCTCCGAGGTGGCCCTAGTGTGAGGCCACGGTGTATCTTGTACGCTTTTATTATTACTACAATGTTATATGATTTTTTTTCTTATATATTTTGATTTCTATAAATTCTCCAAATTTTTCAAAAAATTATACAAGCTCAGAATGAGTTACTTCTATTTGCATTGCCGACCGGAAGAGTGTGCCACGGGCCACTGTCCTTCCGTTTTTTTCTCTTCTCGGATCGGCGGAATTCCTGGTCAGGTGAATCGCTTATGTCATGGCTTTCGTCACGGCAACCGAAGACGGGTGCTTCTAGTTATGCTTTGCTTTGGTTATGTTATGATTTCTTTATTTCCCTATTTCCCTATTTCCAAGTCTATAAACTTGGTATTATGATACTGCCATACAATAAAATCATACATTGGCCAACAAAACAGCAACGCCCACTCCATGGGAAAGGGATAAGAATATACCAAATTGACCAAAAGACAGTGCAGAATAACACTCGCAAAAGGATAAAAAAGAAGATACAAGCAATCGCTTTGCTAATAACAAACATATGAATCAACGCGCTCATGAAACCACTGGAGCTTTCAACATCAACCAAGACAACCCGAGAACATATAGCCCTCGGTCTTGGCAAGCAAGATCTCCCCTTACTTTGTACTGAATGCTGCACGCACAAGCCACAACATTTACTGCTCCGCCTTGCCCTTGCCCTTGCCATTGCCATTACCATTCTCATTCCCCTGCTTCCGGAAGTTCAGAATCTCCAGCTCCACGCCCTTCTCAAAGCGCTCCTTGAGCTCCGGGCGATATCCGAAGAAGAACAGAACCTCCATCCAGACGAATAGCGGCGCAAGCAGCAAAGCCTGAACAAGATTATCCAGCAAGGCGGGGGCACGCTTCTCAAACACGCCATGTCCGACAAACTGGGCCAGCCATGACACAACATGGATGCCACCGGCCCAGTAGTTCACGGTGCTGCCGTGCGTGCTGAGGAAGTAGTTTCCGTAGTATGCAGTTGCGATCACAGCGGGTGCTAGTAGGCCGCCGGCTATCGGCTCCAGGAGGACATAAAATGTGGCGTAGATAAGGGCGCCAATTGTGCCAGCGTTGGCGGGCAGGTATTCGATTTGGAGGATGTCCGGGAGGGTGAAGAGGGGCGGGCAGTTGCAAGCCTTGTAGTTACTGTTAGTACTTTTGTACACTGGGGATATCTTGTTTGGTTGGAAAATGCCGAGGTGTACGTACGAGGACGATGCCGGTAAACAGTAGGATCGGAACGCAGGTGATGTGGATTGCAACGTTGACCTACAACATACGCTGTTAGTGATCGTTGTACATTATTAGCGATGGGAGTTGGGCCGATGTACGGGATTGCTATGGTAGGCTCCGTACTAGATCACAGTCAGCTATAGTCCCGAGGTCGTTCTGGGAGTTAGATGTTGATGCTTACGAAGAGCAACTGTTTCTCAAGATTAAGTGCCATCTTGCCGGTTTGGGAACGAAAGGATGGGGAATTCTGGGGAAAGAGTTTTGCGGGGTGATGGGATCAGGCAAGTGGCATCATTTTTATCGGAAAGCGTTGAGTGGTGCAATTGATATTCAAGGCCCTGGCCCTGGCGTCATGTGCTCAGGCCGAGGAAGAGGTTTGGTCTTGGCAACGTAACGGTATACATAGGCCCCAGGCATGGCAGCCTGCCATGTACAGGCCTATCAGATCATCTACATTATCTTTTTACTAGGATATTCTGCATTGCAGGTAATGGATTATATAGTTATGATTGGAGTTCTCTCCCGTGTCTCACGCAACTGAGCGTTAACTATATAATACTGTAATGTTAATATTCCGGTGAGGCTTTGGATATTTTCCTCCAAGTTTAGGTGTTTTTCTTTCGATATTTTTAGAGTTATGGGATGGAGATCTGGTGGGAAGTTCAAATGTGTCAATTTAGAGTTCGGCTGTAACATAAATATTGAAATTAAAGATGCCTACATAGGTATCCAAAGAGGATATATATAGCGTACGGTATGCATCCAAGCTGATTTTGAAACGCAATACTACCCAGTCAAAGTCGACCAACAAGGCTACACATAGCATAAAATATCATTAGAAGTTGGACCGGAGGCGCAAAGTCAGAAAAGTTGGTTATTTACTCCTGTACATGTTGTCAAACATCAATGGTCTGCTATAGATCATCCAATACTTCTTCATATAAGAAGCAATCCCCCACCCGGTCAAGGGTAAATTATCGTCGAGCGCACTACTGACTACCTATTTCAGATAGCAACGTATCAAATGCAAAATGAAGTTTCAATGACTTTAAACGTGCAAATACCAAGTCAACTTCCCACCATTCAAGAATCGTACCACGTGACTCCACTCACCCAAACTTGGCCCACCAGACCGGAGATGCTCTTACGAAGGGAAAGCTTGCGCCTGCAGCAACTGTATCTGCCTCCTCGTTCAAGATCCAAGGCAGATACAATTTCTGCCACTCCCACGGCTACTCGGATCTCATTTCGCTCATTTCTGGCAGCCACATCTTGTTTGTGCTTCACCGTTGCAGGTCATGAGCGCGTGGTCGAAAACGCCGTCCCTCGACCTCGATTGACAGCATCACTGTCCCGAAAGCGACTTGATTATTTCCACTCCGCACTTCGATATTAGCGCATTTTTATCCAACCACAACCGCGACGATGTTCTTCCTCAAAGAAGAGACCAAGGTGATCTCGATGCACCCGTCCTATTTCGGACCCAACATGCGAGAGTACCTCATCGGTCGACTCAACGAGGAGGAAGAGGGACGGTGCACAGGTGATCACTTTGTGATCTGTGTCATGGACATGGTTGATATTGGCGAGGGGCGCGTGATGCCTGGAATCGGACAGGCGGAATACACTATCAGATATCGTGCGATCATCTGGAAGCCGTTCCGTGGCGAGACGGTATGCGCTTGGGATCCCAGGTTGTTACGTTCGAATTCCTGCTGACTGAGCTTAGGTCGATGCCATTGTTACTTCTGTTAAGCCCACGGGTATCTTTACCCTGGCGGGCCCATTGTCTGTCTTCATTGCACGAAAGGTATGTTTTTGTTTGCTCTGACCTCGGATCTCTGAGTTTCCTGCTGACAGCCCATCAGAACATCCCCTCCGATATCAAGTGGGAGCCGAACACCGTGCCGCCGCAATACACTGATCATGCCGATCAAGTGATTGAGAAAGGAACCAGTCTGCGGTTGAAGATCCTCGGTGTCAAGCCCGACGTGGCTGCTATCAATGCTATTGGCACCATCAAGGAGGATTATCTTGGGTAAGTCGTTCGAACCGCGCCCATCGCATATGACCTTTCTAACGCGGTTTTCTTTAACAGACCTTTGTAATGAGACACGATTGCAACACATACCCACCTTTTTCACCAATACGATAATTTACCATACGATCTATCGTCCCTCGAAGATACGGCAAGTGCTTGGGATGGCTTTACTGCCTAACAGGAAAAAAAGAATTGGCCGGTCAGGAGCTGGAGTTTGACAAGTCCCTGCTCGGTACACATGCCATACTTTTGACTTGAATGGCTATACTTCAATGAAAGACCGATCATGTCTTCTACTTGAGAGTGTCTGATTTGATCGGCATTGCAGACTGAAATGACTTCTGACTCGCTAGAGATCGTGTCAACCCCTGAGGTGCATTTCCAGTACTGAAATGTACAATGTACATTATGTTGCATGTCTAACCCTGTGCAATCCATACCCCTGTAGAGGCTGAAGCCTTTAAAGTGTATTCTCCAGATTCTCCAGTTGCCGGAGAGACGCGGTAGAGCCAAGCCCCACGCCTGGGCCCCGTATGGTGAAACACTGGCGTGTTTTCATATGATTTCAGGGATTTCAACGCGTTTTCTATTTGCATTTTCATTTTATTTTACATTTGCATATATTTTGTATGCAAGGTACCGAGTACTAACTGGATCTAGCGTTTCCCCTGTATATTATTTTGTGTTGGACTCCCGCACTTGGGCCTCGTAGAACAACCATCGCTTCCTTCTCCTTCTCTCCTTCTTTTCTCTTCTTAATTGAAAAATAGTTTCTTTGTAACTTCAATCTCGTCTAGCTTACGTCTAGAGCATTCTAGAGTAGCTGTCTTCTCTGGAATATCTTCCTCCTTGCAAAAAACCCCTGTCTCTATACGGTTGTTGACAATGTCCTACTTCAAGACCGAATACCAGCGGTTCCTGGATAACCCCAGGACTGCTAAATTGGCCGACGATGTGTCCATGATCTATGTTCCTACCACGACGAAGTTCGAGCAGGCCGACAATGTCATCACTCATGTGTTGAAGAACGCAAAGGTGGTCAAGACGAAATCGAACCAGGTCATCAGCGCCATTGAAGGCTCAGACTCGCTATGTCTAGACATGGAGACCACCCTCGAATTCACTGAGGGTGGTGGGGTTTATCTCCCCTCGCTCGACGATAATTTCCTGGCCGACCGTGTCGCGACTTTCCCCACGGTAAATTCCCCGACGCGCGTCGCGTTATCGAAAGCTAATGCATCATCCTGCAGGTTCACATCGTCCACTTCGACGCCAATCAACTGATCAAGCAGATCCGAATTTACTGGGATCAGGCCTCATTGCTGAAGCAAGTCGAGGTTATTGGAGCGCGCGGACGCCAATGGCCCGTTCGTGATGGAAAAGACCAACTCCGTCTCCTCAGAGCCGCCGAGACGGCGCGTGCGGCACCCTCGCAGCCTTCTTCTCAGAAAACAGAGACCAAACTCCCCCACCGCCCCTCGTCCCCGGGGAAGCGCCGCATCAAAGATCCCTACTCAGCCGGCTCCCTGACTGAGCTTCTCTCGCCGAGCAAGGAGATCGCTGAGCTCGAAAGTCGCGCGGAACCCCCCAGACCTACATCCTCCAGCACTCCCAGCAAGAGATATACCCAAGACCCCTACGGAGCGGGTTCCTTGAATGAACTTCTGTCCCCCACCAAGAAGGTTCCTGCCCATGTGGCTCCCTTTGCGCCCTCGTCTGCGCGACCTGCGCAGCGCAACTTCAGCGATATCTTCGTGAAGGATGACGATGTGCCCGACTCGCCATCGAAGTCCAAGCGCAGGGCTCCCCGGGTCGAGGAAGAGGACGAAAAGGCCCGCACAGGACCTGTCGACGAAGACCGCCATTTCTACAAATCCGCCCCTGGAAAATACAACCACTTCGAGCTCGGCGGCGATAACTCGGAGCGCGAGGTCAAGGCAGAAGTCAGACAGGCCAACACCAAACACGCAACCCACTGGGACTTCGATGACGTCGAGACCCCCGTGAAGAGCTCGCGCGCCGCACGCGGACAAGAAGTGCGCCACTTTGGCTTCGGCGATAACGAAGAAGGCACCGGATCCCCCCAAACCAAGCTGAACGTGACCAAGCCCCGTCGCGATGCAGACCGCCACTTCGAGTTGACGGATGAAGAAACCGAGGACGAGGGACGGATCATCAGCTCATTCGGGGGCCGCGGCAAGCGCCTCTACGAGAACCGCCTCTTCGACGACAATGACGGGCCCCAGCTCTCCGAGCGCGAGCAGAAGAGCGAGCCCCTGTCAACAGGCGCCAACGTTGCCAACCGCAAGAAGAACTTCGTTTCGCAATTCGAGATGGCGGACGAGCCCGCTGCCAAGGAGAACAAGCCTACCCAGAAGCATGAAGCGCACAATAAGATGATGGAGTCCCACTGGGATAACTACGACGAACAGTCCCCCCTGCCTACCCAAAAGCATACCGCGCACAATAAGGCAATGGAGTCACACTGGGGTAACTACGACGAACAGTCCCCCCTGCCTACCCAAAAGCATACCGCGCACAATAAGGCAATGGAGTCACACTGGGGTAACTATGACGAACCGTCCCCCGAGCCTACCCAGAAACATACCGCGCACAATAAGATGATGGAGTCCCACTGGGATAACTACGATGACCAGTCCCCCGAGCCGGTTAGGCGGAATGCCACTGCGCAGCACAACCCTCTCGGTCACAACCAGCCCAGCTGGAACCATGGAAACAACTAAGTGAGCCAGCACCGGTCTAGGGCTTAGCTTGATACTGCATATGTATCCCTTGTCAACGGAGAAGTCGTCTCAGCTCCGTCTTCCTGTTATACGATAAGCAACGGCCGACTCTTTCTGATCACGAGCTATGTATCGATACCCGCATGAATTTTGGACATTGTCCTTGAAACTGCAAAAATACCAAAAAAAAAGAGGCCGAACGCTTCCCCTTTACTTTGCGCTTGGAACTTGCAGTTGGAGTCGAGTGTGGAATGCCTGGCCTGCGTGTACTACCCTCAACCCCTTTGCCTTCTTGTCTATCTTCCTTTTGCTTTTTCTTTTTACCTTTCTGTACCTTGTCTCGAAATGTTACTAGTGTACAAGTTTATTTCCACGAGAGCGGGATTCGTTTATCTGTTAATTTTATGGTTTTTTTACTTTGATTCTTCCAGCTGATTCGTAAAAGCTCTCCTACATTAGGTAGCGTAGAACACTATAGTACACGCCTACCAAGGGATCATAGATGTTATCGTTTGAAGATTCAATTGAGTCTCACAGCTAAGTTGTTGTCCAAAATAGTAAAGTAGATGTGAATCTCGTTCAGTCTCCGATGTCCAAGTATCGAAGCAGCCCGAGACGAATATCACAAACGATATTTTCCAAAGACCGAGGATGAGCGAGCGAATGTAAGTAGGTATTCCAGGTCCAAAACATGATATCCTTCATTCCTCCACCAAATTGTTTCAATTCCAATTCCAATTCCACCACCATCAAATCCATTCAAGTCAAGTCATGTAGATTCCAAAAGATACGCAACACGCATGATAGATATCAAATAGATGACAAACCACAGCTTCAACCAAATCACCAACTTAGATGTAGAACATAGTCTCGGCAATATTAGGATGGATCTTAACATCACGCGTTTCGATATCCGCCACGCCGTCCGTGCCACTGGTACTACCACCAGAAGCATCAACGGGCATAGGATCGAACAGATCACTCAAGAAGCAGCGAGCACGTGTACAAACCAGATCGGCATAGTACGCCGGCGGACAGACACTAACCGCCTTCGTCGCACGACCGAACATGTAGCACATCTTGTGCGTGAGGTCCTGGAGGACATCAGCCGCGCCGGGGCCGGAGCTGTTAGCCGGGTAGCGGGGGTAGAAGATCTCGTCCCAGACGGTGAAGTAGTGAGCAGGACGGGCAGTGCCCTGGAGGGCGGAGTGAGCTTGCAAGAAGAAGTCCCAGTCACGGGCCTCGGAGACGCCGCGGTCGACGACTGTGCCGGGGATTGGGTTCTCGCGGTTCGAGTCCTGCTCTGTAGTTGGATAGAAGCGGGTGTTGTGGCGCTTTCCGACGACGACGATGGCCAGGCGCGGGAGGCCTTTCTTTGTCTGGTCTGCTGGGTAGGTTTTCTTGCATGCTTCTTGGAGAAGCGGGAGTTCCTCGTCGATGACCTTGTTGTATTGGCCTTCTGAGACGCCGTCGCGGTAGACGATGATGTTCTCCGGGAGAGATTTGTTTAGTTTGCGCCAGTGCTGGAGACGCGAGGCGAGGAGGGTTTCTAGGTCGGCGACCATTTCTTGGCGGGCGCCTTGGACGCGGATCTCGGCGGGCCACTGCGCGAGCGTTGCGTCGACCGAGGCGACGATGCCTGCCACACTGGGGGCTGTGCTGGCGGACCCTGGCGACGGGTGGGTTACGTCGATGCCGACTAGCATTGTTTTGCCTTCGGCGATTATGCCGAGGTCCTTGTTGCGGAGGGCTTGGTTGGCACCGCCTAATTTGAGGTTGATTTTCAGGCCCACATTGGCATTGTACTGGTCGTTGGAGTTGGCGAGCTTCTCTGCGAGGACATTCACGTTGCGGACTCCGCAGCGAACGTCGCAGACTTGCTTGACGCAGTTGTATATGCCAGTGTCTTTAGTGTAGAGTATACCCAGAATGAAGATTGGGTTGTGCTGGTTTTGTAGATCGAGGACGGCTTGCTCGAGCTCGTAGGCGTCGTTCTTGCCGGTCAGGACAACACGTTTGCCTTCCTTGTGGGGGGCCACAACCATTCCCATATCCGTGAGAGTCTTTCTGAGTCCTACCAGAGACGCATTGAGCTGATCTGGGCTTTGGAAAACTGGCCGGGAGCCCTCTTGATCAATATAGAGATAAGTCCAGGATTCCATGGTTGCCGCCTTGGAGAACTGGATCTGGCGCATGTTCCAGCTGCCAAATTGAGTCCTGATTTCCTTGATCCTGTTTCCGTCTTTATAGGTGACATTTGGGGCGGGGAGAACGCGTCCAGGAACCGTGATCAGCTCAGTGGAAGAGTTAACACCGAAAGCAGACTGTAAAGGGAAGGTTAGATACTTGGCAAATCTTTGGAGCAAGGGAATGCTTACTAGTGTGGCATTCAAAGGCTCGCCTAGCCCCAGCACACCCACGCCCTTGATGACAATCGACTGGGCGTTCTGACCCGGCTTTCGACCCATAACGGCGAAGCGGAGCATACTGGCCGTCTGATCGCCAGAAAGCTTGGATTTGGCTGGTTGGCCAGGCTCGACTTCGCAGACCTCAACGGGGAGATAGACAGGTCTGTCACGAGACCCGACATTCACCACTGGGAGGTTTGCATTCAGCGCCATGTTGTACTCTAAGAGGGAAGGAAGTCAGCATAACGCGAGGAGGAAGGGAGTCGAAGGAAAAATGAAGGAAAAGTGAAGATCGACGGACCCTTTTTGAAGAAGTCCGCAACGGTGATGTAGCGACCGGCTTCCGCAGGACCGGCCCTGGGCGCTTTCTTTCCCTTCTTAGCCTTGGGCTCGGGCCCATTAGGCACGGCGACAGGCTGAGGGGTAGATTCAGCCAGGAAGAATTGCACATCTTGGGGACCAGCGCCGTGGCGGGGAACCTTTGGTGCGTTGGGCGAAGAGCCACCATCACCGCGGTTGGCCAGGCCATAGATAGGCTTGATGCGGGGCCGGGGCTGGCCGCGACTGTTTTTGCGGGTGATATGGGTGATGCGAACGCGGAGGCTCTTGAGGAACTTTTCCAAACGATAAGTGTTCCTATTGCCATAGCCTTGGATCACGTTCACCAAAGGTCCTTCGTTGTAACAGGCCAAATATTTGACCTGGACGTTCAAGAGCACACGAGCAGTCGCGGCACGCACACTGACAAAGAATCCACGCAGGACGGATAGACCACCGCCAAGATTGAACGATTCCATGGTATCCTGACGCAGACTGTAGTGTCTGTTGGCTCCGACAGAGACGACCTGGTCGTCCGTCTTGGGGTGGTGACCCATGATCATGTTGAGAGCAGCCACAATCTCAGACTTGGATTCAAGCATGGCACCGGCGTTGGTGGAGGTCAGGTAGTTGACCAAGTCAGCAGGATTGACCTCACCAGTATACTGGCAGGTAACCTGGTGCACCCGGGGAGGATCCAGGTAGTCATCATCCATGTGCTCCTTGTATCGCACATCGAATTTACCCTCGGTCAATTTGACGCACGAGACTAGGGTAGACCGGAAGTCCGACGCAATGCTGTTCTTCTGTTGTGGGAAATGCTCCTCCAACAGCAGACGCACAATGTGTCGGGCCTTCTTGCCCACAGGGGCAGCTCGGCCTGCAGAGTCGGCTGCAATGGCAATATGGTAGCGGAACAGCTGCTTGCTAGGCAGGGTGAGCGGCAGGTAGTTCGCATACAAAGTCACCGCTCTGCCAGCTGTGCCGTAACCAGGACGCTCGGGATATTTTGCCTGCCTGGGGGTCTTCTGGCCGCTCACAGCAAGAGCTTTGGCGAGGTCATTTTCGGTCTTGGTAACGGTGGCATTAGGTGGTGGGATAGCTTCGCCCTGTCTATAGCCGAAGGATTAGATTTGTTTAAAAAGCAGCGAGGAGTGAGAGGCAAACCTGAAGATAGGCGGGCCAAAGTTTGTACCACCTCCACGCCCTCCACCACGGCCGCCGCGGAAATCACCCCTACCACGAAAATCACCGCGGCCGCGGAAATCACCACCACCTCTGCCACGACCTCCACGATCACCTCCTCGAAAGTCGCCTCCACGACCCCTGTCACCACCTCGGCCTCTGAAATCACCTCGGAAGTCTCCACGATTTCCATCGCCTCTACCTGCGGGGCGGAAGGCTAAATCACCGCGACTTTCGCCGCGACCGCGACCTCGATCGGCACCGCGACCTCGATCACCACGGCCACGATCACCTCCACGATCACCTCGTCCACGTCCCCGATTGTCACTCATAATAAGATAAACTCAGATAAAGATGGCTATACGGGTTTGAAGATGTCAAAATAAAAAAAAGGAAAGATAGCGGGGAATGGCGGAATGGGGGATAGACGGCCTATTAAGTATTTGGAGTGATGTATCGTTTGTTCATCACCAGGATTTTTGTTTGCTGTGCCCCAGGTAACAAGGGTATATAGTGTGACTGTAATGACTAGGGTGCCAATTGGGTAGTACTACACTTATATACATCGATTTAAGTAGTTGTACAAGCTTCTAGCTGTGAATGATGTGACTGACACTTCGTCACCTTTACCCGTTGTGATTCTACTATCATTACCATCACCTAGTACACATTTATAGGTAGTACAATGTGAGAAGGATGTGCCATGTATATACATAGTTATTGATATAGGAATAGGATCATTTTTCACATCTTTTCTACCGGCTTTTTTTTTTAAAAAAAAAACACACGAGCTTTAGTATTGTTACTGTTTGTAGTTCCTGCGGTCGACCGGTAGATACATGTAGGGATAGGACAGCGGCAGTCTATTTTTGTGATAGAAAACGTAATATGTTTTACTAGTATATATTTCCGTTGGCTGCTGTAGCTCTACGTGTACATTCGAGTATCCGTATATGTGAAGACGCTATAAGTTCCAGGATTTCTTGTGCAAGGATACCCAATAATTTCATCCGCCTCGCCATAACGGAGCCACTGGATAGCGTTGGTTCATGTTGCAGCCTAAACGTTCATAGATGTTGGCGTTGGTTGGTTGATTGGTTGGTTGGTGTTGGTTTTGGACGTGTATTTTTCTTTTCTTTTCTTGTTCCTTATTTTTCTATATCCTGTACGAGAGAACATCAACTATCTAATATATGTACATTCCAGTATCACCCCAGGATGTATCTTTTTAAAGCTGACAATCCTTCAGATAGCAGGATGTCTGCCGTTGAGATTCATGAGAATTGCATTTGTTAATATGACAGTATATAATGATTTCCGCTTTCAATATCTAAGATAGAAATGACCGATGGCATTTATACTATAATCTCTTTCGGGGTGAAAATCGTCTTGAAGTTGTGTTGACGTACAAACCATGCATTCCACAGTTTCCATTCTTGCTCAGGATGTGCCAGTTGTACCTATCAAAGTAACTCAGTATCACTAGTATCTGCTCATGCAGAAAAAAGAAAACATACCTCAAACCTCCGCAAAAAGCTAGGTATAATTTTATAAATCTCCATTAGAGAGATATTCTTCCCAATGCAGGTCCTCGAACCGGCACCAAACTGGAGCATCATTCCATCCATAACCTTTAATTGATCCCGCGGACTAGTAATCCATCTATCGGGGTTGTATATGTCGGCATCTGGACCAAAGATGTCTGTCCGGCGATGAATAACCCAAGGGCTGCAGCCAACGATTGTTCCGCCGCGAATGAAATGTCCCGAGATCTCCACCCCCGACGCAGGAACAACACGTTCCAGAGGAAGTCCTGCAGCGGGATGCATACGGAAAGCTTCCTTTATGCAGGCATCGAGATAAGGCAGCTGCCGCGACTCTGCCCATGAGACAAGTCCTGTTGGGCGGTTCACGATCGTCCCGTTGTCCACGGCAGCATCCAGCTCTTGCCTAATCTGTATTAGGCACTCTGGGTTCTTGAGCAAATAGTAGAACACAGCTGCAATGCTGATGGCGGTTGTTTCAGACCCGGCAAAGGCCATAGAGACGGCCATGGTAAGGATTCGTTTGTTCGTCATGAAATCTGGACGGGCTTCACCCGCCTTGAGGAACATGGTGAGAAGATCATCCTTTGATCCCGGCCCTGTTACAGCAACTTTTGCTGACATGCGTTCTTCCATGCGGTGCTTTGCGAAGATGGCCACAGGATGCGAATTATCTGATAAACCCAATTTTTGAAGGAGATCAAATATTGGATTCTTCCAAAATAGCTTATCTAGCCATGGCATCTGACCAACAGGGGCAGAATAATCGAAGATATTTGCCAGCGAACTGACGATGCCATCAATGTCTTCGTTTTTTTCGATAAACCCGTGGCGTTTGCTATACGTGATGCTTCCAATAACATCAAAGGCAAAGAATTGCAGCCATCGTGCGAAATCGCACACTGTGGCTCCATCAGCAAAGAGTCGGTCCGTTTGATCGAGGAAAATTTCCGTTGTCTCATCGACCATTGGTTCATACTGTACCAACGAACTCATTGAGAACGCATGGTTGACAGAACGGCGGAGATTCGCATGGAAGCTCTCATCCAGAGTAGAGAACAGCGATGGCAATGGCTCGCCTTTAGAAACGGTCATTTGTACTGGGTAAAACTCGGACTATCCTCTCAATTAAAATCTGTAAATCTTTCTGGGGTCGGCATATCACTACCTTGGTGAATCCTTTGTTTAGACCGTAGATCACCTTCGTTGCCTTTGGGCCCGCGAAGGACAAAGTGCGTGGCCCAAGGCGCACGATATCGCCATACTTGCGATGCAAAGCTATGTGTGTAAGCTCAGGACGTCGACCCTTGACATCAATATATCGCCAAATATCGGTCAGGTGTGCCCAGAAAGGGCCAGGAAAGGTGTGTAGCGAATTGTAGAAATAATTGAGTGAAAGGTAAAGTAGGAGCAGAGGAGGAACTGCATAGACAACATAGTAAAGTGCAGCATTAGGGAAAGCCGATATGATGATAGCCATAATTGTGTCCGATTGCTTAGATCTAGTTCAAAGTAGGAGCCATGAGGAGGGCACGTTCTATATAGGACCACATCACACAATATATATAATCTTCCCCGCTAGAAGAAGCCCATTATCTCAAGATGCTTTGACGCACACAAAGAATTTCGATCGGCAGTTGTGCATGTCAGGATCCGATGAACTATGGTCGTTGGGTAGGCATGTGAGATATCTCGACCAGAAAGCATTACTCTGTACAAGTCTTCCATTCGTCAAACCCCGCAATACGAGTCCGTTAGAACGTAATAAGGCTATGTCCCCATATTTAGCGCATGCAAAGTATATACACCGTCTTGGATTGCAGCCCGTGCGTCGGCATCTGGAACGACATTCAACAACCGAGGACCCTTTTCGCAGCGCAACAGGGTTAAATTTGTATTTCAATACCGCAAATCTAGAGAAATACTTGGTACTTTGAATTCTCATAAACAAGTCACAAGACGTACATTGCCTAGAAATTATCTAAGGAACACTGTGTGTGCTAACGGCGTCATTTGCTAGACACGCTCCGAAGTTCTTAATATTCATAGGCTACATACAACAAAAGCCAAGTATAGAAGCTCAACAATTCAAAAGCTAGCACAAGTCTCTGAAAGGGGAAAGAAAGCTGGTAAGATGTCCTTGGGGGCAGAGACGATCGATCAAGATAATGGATCCTTTGTCCGACCCACCTGTTCCTAGCGACACGAGAGGACGAAAAAGCGATGAAGAGGAGCCTGGAACCGCTGGATTTAACTGCACTAGCCCAACTACAGCTCACGATATGCCATTTGGAGGGTACAAGTGCAGTGGACTCGGCCGGGAGGGATGGGTTGTCAGCTTTAAAAACGTCCTTAAGGGAAAGCCCATTGTTGAAAAGGTTGACATGGCCTGAATTGTGGTGTTAGAAAGCTGGGTTTACTGGTAGAGGTGGTTTTCTATATTACTAGCACTGCATTCTGCAGGGACGCCTTCTCTTTCATAAACAAATGCATGCTAGTTATCCGGATTTGGGATTGGAAATGTCAATTAGATGAAAACAATGGGGTCGTGAATATGAACGGGTGTATTCATCTTCGTGGATGGATTTGGGGTGAATTTTGGAAGAATATGTATTCGACATCGCAAAGTTCCAAGGTTACTTACAAAGAGAATTACCTAAAGAATGAATAGCGATAAGACGAGAAGAGAAGTAAGCCTAAAACATCTAAAACATTTTTTTAAGCTTAAACCTAGAATACCCACCCTCTATAAACAAGCACTAATATTGAAGCTAGATGATCGGGGGAGATATGTAAGTGACGGACTATATAAAGTATAATAGATGGTATACCAGACTGTACCCATACTGTCATACTAGTTGGGGAGCAGCACCTGGATATATACATGCTATGTCTAGTTTGACTCTGACTTCTATGTTGTAGATATCTCTCTCTTGTTTAACACCATGTCTCTTACACGGGCGGAGTAGATCCGAGGCGCAAGGGGTTGGATAGATCAGCTTGCTAGAATTCGAGACATAGTTATGTTGTTTGCATGTTTAATTGAATTTGGCCTATGAGTCACTGATCGTCGTATAGCTAGCCAATCGGCATCAAGTCTAGGGGGAAAAAAAGCCTAATAGCAAAAATGAGAATGAACCGAAATGGTATCGGAGTTAAGAGCATCGACTGGATCAGCCTTCACAAGAGGGAAGAAAGTATCGGTGTATCGAATAGAAGCCAATAGACCATTTCATAACATGAAGATATATATTTTCCGCTTCCTACGTATTGGTGTTAATTTGGGATGGATGGATACGTGCCCAAGTGAGATCATCTGGGGATCCATGGATAAGCAAAAATCGGAGATAACGGATTAATCATCATTTCGTCGGGGCCTCCACCTGGTGTCGAGCTTCATTTTCTCATCATCTCGTTGTTGCTATTGATTCGAAAAGGAACCCTGATACCCTGATCGCGACACTTGGATCAAAATATCTCTATATTCTTCCGAGTCTGATTTTGGCCCCCCGACCACGCTAATCCACCCACGCGGCATCCACCCCTCCTTCCGCCATCGCACATCGCAAGCTTCGACAACGCACATCCGTACATCGCATTGCCCCACAATTTGTCTAGTGATATTGTGCGGCCTATATCACACCCCCCGACCGCTCACATTACTCGCGAACACCATCAACCACATCTCAAATTCTAGGTCTGGCGCGGTTGCCTAACGACACGAGCCAAATCCTCTGGCATTGACGTTGCGCCAAACTGTGCATACGTTGCTACGACTAGGGAAGGAAACAGTATTGCTTTCGGAACCCCGCGCAGATATTCAGGAGTGGGCTTGCAACCAGAACGAGAAGGTTGTTTGAATGAGCTCGCAGTACAACCGAGTGGCACATTTGATTCGGTCTTAGGGCTGTGCGGACTGTGACAGCGTGTTTGAGAACCCCGCCCGGCTGGTCCCTGACTTGACGTGCACTGCATCATCTGTGCCTGCAGTTACCGACGACTTTGCAACAATTTGATTACCGATAATGCCATTCTCCACCAAAATGACCCCGACACCTCCTTCTACAAACTCCTCGAGTGCTGGCCACTCTCCAGATTACAGAGTCGTCCGGAAACGAAACCGGGTACCTTTGTCATGTGGGCCTTGTCGGCACAGAAAGTAAGCATTCAAGACATGGCTGAAATCCCTTCTTTTTCTAACGGTTCCAGGCTGAAATGCAATCGTACGAATCCTTGCGAAAACTGCATCAAACGAGGAGATGCTGCTTCATGTAATTACGCGCAGCCCAACTCGCGCAAAAAGAACTCATCTCAGCAGTCGTCCAATACACCGGATGATATGCAAAACCGCATCGATCGGTTAGAAGGCTTGGTTCTTTCGTTAATGACAAACGGCTCTCAGTCTGCGGGTCCGGCTGCTGCAATGGCGGCGCTCTCCGGGGAAAGTAGTGGGGGTTCGACTCGGTTCTCCCATGACCTCGATATCGAAGAGGAGGGTATGGAGGGCGCTGAAGAGAGTGAAACGGACCAGGTGACGAAGTCATTTGGTATCATGAAGATGGACAATAACAAGTCTTATTACATCAGTGACGCTCATTGGGCGTCTGTATTGAATGATGTAAGTTTTGGAGATTTGATCAAATCCGAGTCTTTCTAACCTGGCGAATAGATCTCCGAGGTGCGAAGTTTCTTCACAACGCACAAGAAGCAAATAGATGAGCAACTTGAGAAAGTCAAAGCGGCCCGACCAGTTACTGATACACCAGGCTCGACTATGTTGTTTGGTATCAATAAACCGATGAGCCGTTCCGAGATCATGACTGGCTTGCCTTCTAAGTATACAACCGACATTCTTATTGCTCGCTATTTCAATTGCTATGACCCTGCAACCCGTGAGTATTTGCCGTTCCCATAGGCCGTGATTTTCATACTGACTTTATAGATGTTCTTCATGGGCCCACCTTCCAAGCACAGGTAAGCTCCCGGAGAAGAAGTTCATTGTGAGCCCAGACTCTGACTCTGTTAGTATAATAAACATTGGGAGGATCCTGCCGCGACCGAGCTCGTTTGGATTGCCATGCTCTTTGCAATGATGAGATTGGCAATGCTATCTTACCACCGCGAAGGCGATGAGCCACCTGAATTCCGGGGCAAGTCCATGGACATGGCTGGGGGATTCCGAAATTCTGTAGCACAGTGCTTGACATTGGCTGACTACACGAAACCTCACCCCTTTTTGATTGAAGCGCTTGTGTTTCATTTGCATGGCGATTACTCTCAGACCCGAGAGGCGGACATCTCGATCTGGGTCATGACTGGCGTTGTTGTTCGCCTAGCAATGCGATCGGGATACCACCGTGACTCCAAAATGTTCCCAAACATCACACCTTTCCAGGGTGAGATGCGACGGCGAGTGTGGACCTTTGTGCGCCAAGCCGACCTTCTATTCTCATACCAGGTCGGGTTGCCGGGCATGATCCGGGGTACAGATAGCGATACCGAGCTACCACGGAATTTGTACGATGATGATTTCGATGAAGACTGCAAGGAGCTTCCGCCCCCCGTCAATTGAACGAGCCAACACCGATATCGTATTTGATTGCTAAGGCGCGCCTGTCGTATGCATTCGGTCGTGTGGTTGAACAAAACTCTGCTGTCTCGTCGGCGCCATACGAAAAGGTGATGGAAATCGACGCGGAACTCCGACAGGCAAGGGACTTGATCCCTGAGCACTTGCATATTCGGCCTATGGAGGAGTGCCAGTTGGATCCTATTAATATTATCATGTCGCGATTTGACGTAAGTTGCCTGAAAGCGGCCGCAATTTGCATCTATACTAACCGTTTGTACAGGTAATGGCCGTATACAACAAAGCTCAGTGTGTGCTTCATCGCCCGTATCTGGTTCGCGCTCGAGAAAATCCTCGTTTCACCTATTCTCGAAGGACATGTATCGACTCAGCAATGGAGTTATTGCAAGTCCAGGCGATCCTGCACGCGGAAACGCGCAACGGACGCCTCCGCAGTCGCCAGAGCCGAGTAACTTCCCTCAGTTCAGCCGACTTCTTGCTAGCAGCCACCATTGTTAGTCTCGACCTATACCATGGCCTGTCATTGCAGGTGAGCGGCCGGCCATCGGGAGACACGTACACATGGGGCCGAGAGCGGCGCGATGAAATGACTGCCGCGATCCAACTCTCGAAAGAAATTTGGGATGAGTCGTGTGATGAGAGCATGGAAGCATGGAAAGCATCCAGCGTTCTGGGTGTGATGCTCAGCAAGCTGCAAATGTCGGTCCCAGGCCATGAAAATAGCGCTGGAGCTGCTTTTGAGCCTCAAGATGAGAAGCAGAATGCGGCAATGACCCTCGGACTGCTGAGCAGCGGAATGAGCCCGATGAACCCGGGCCCTCCACCATTTGCTGATCCCATGTTCAAGATGGGAGATTCGCCAATGGGAACAGGAGCAGGTGGCGCGGGCGCCTCGGCCGAAATGCCGGGTGTGCTTTCACCCTTTAGCAGCATGTTCGGGCAGATGCCAGACATGCAGGTTAATCTGGATTGGGTAAGTCTTTTTCTTCTTTGGGACTTGGGTTTCAGTGCTAACATGTTGATATCAGGATGCTTGGGACACATACATCCAAAACCCAACCCTCGACACAACCAATCAATTCTGGCCTATGATTGATGCACAGCGCCAAGCAACCCCACAGTCTGGAGGCATGTCACAGCCTTCAGTATCTAGTTCTCTGACCTCAGGGCGGGTGCCATCAATTAGTGGTCTTCCACGGCAACCGACAATGTACTCAGCATCCTCCAACAGTCCCGATAGTGGAGGTGTACCATTAACAGGATACGGCATGACGCCAATGCCTCAACAAAACGATGGCCGGGGCCAAGGTCCCCAATGAACGAGATGTATTGGTATTCTACATGATTTATTCTCTCCTGTTTTTGCCAGAAAAATGCTTTGCGCTGGGCGTCTTTGATACCTGGAAATGTTTTATTGGTTCCTTGATCGGATGACTTGAAGTAACAAAGTAAGTTCTACTTCTTCTTTACTGGATGGATAGGTATACGTGCTAGCGACTATGATCGCCATTTTGGTGGAGGATTTCAGGCGATCTGAGAAAATATGTTGTCTTTTGATGGATTCTGTTGGTGTTGGGATTGTTTAATGTATCATACCATGAGGCTACTGTCATTTATTTCCACTCTGAGCAATCAAATCTCACCTTTAATTCGTGTTTCATCTGCAAACCCTGAATATACTCTATATAAAGTCTAGTCCAATGCTTTTGATTGCTTTGATCTATTTTGTTATAATTGGCGCTATATCAGTCACGTGTCGGGACTTATCTGCCCGGGAAAAAGTTATCTGGCTTCGCGCAATTCTTCTCCAATCAACATATTATTTCTAATACAAGATCAACACATCTTGTGTTATTTTAATTCTCAAGATGTGAGTCATATTGAATGCAGAATCCGAGTCCGAACCCGAGACCCTATATCTCATGTTCTCTCGATCTCTGCTGCAACATTTGAAGATTGCCAGTTGCTAAACAACTCATTTTCAGGCATTGCTTCCGCCGGGCCGTTTCTCGGCTTCAATTGTCCCCAGTCGCTTCTCGCTCATCAATCACCGCCTCTAGCGCAGTGCTGCGCTCAACAGGTTCCACTCCGATACTCGCCGCTCGGTTCGCCTACCCAACCATCACACAGACACGGTTAAACTCGACCAATGAAAGCGGTCCACGAATTCCGATTAGATATGTTGAGTCTGTCACACCCGAGGCATCCAGTCCGGACCAAGCCCGCCTAGAGAAGAAAAAGAACGCCGACGTCAGTATATGAGCGATGGCCCCGTACCGAAGACCACCCTGTACATCGGCAACCTCTTCTTCGACGTGACCGCGGAGGACCTGCGCAAGCAATTTGAGAAATTTGGTGCCGTTGAGAACGCGCTGATCGTGCACGATGCCCGTGGACTGAGCAAAGGGTGAGTTTCCAAGACCGACGATTGACAGCAGCAGCAATGCAGCCGAAAACCCACCAGACACTGACCCAGTCTCCCTTACAGTTTCGGCTACGTTACCTTCAGCACCGTTGAGGAAGCCACAGAAGCAATCACGCAACAGCACGGAGGCATTATGGAAGGCCGCGAGGTGGTTGTGCAGTTCTCCAACACAACGTACAGATCCATGGCCGAGGCCAAGCCCAGCAAGACCCTCTACATCGGCAACGTCCCCTACGAATTGACGGACCAGGACCTGCAGGATTTGTTCGAAGATATTCACGGTATCACCGATGTCCGCATCCCCGTCGACCGTCGCACAGGCTTGCCCCGTGGATTCGGACACATCGACTTTGCCGATCAGAGCAACGCTACCCATGCCAAGGAAGTTCTCTCTCGCAAGGCGCCTTACGGCCGCAAGCTGGTTGTCAGCTTTGCTAAGCGCAAGGTCTTGAGCCCTGAGGACCACCAGCGTCACCAGCAGAAGAAGTTGGAGAGGAAGAACTCCTACAATCAACGCCAGGGCGCTGAGCGTAATGTCGAGTCGATCGGGGGTATGAGGGAGTTCCGCGGAGTGCGGGAGGTGAATGATATTGGCGAGGCTACTGAAGTGAACGAGGCTGCGCAGGTATCAGAGAAGACTGAGACTGAGCAGAAGCAGTAGAGAGGGTTATGTGTGTGTTATACAAATGTACAATAGTGTCCCAAAATGGCAGTCGGAAGCGTTTTTCAATTGCGATGTATATTAAGCAGAAATGATCATATCTACATGTACTATTGTTTTATACTTCATAATTTTCAATATATCCAAATGACATATTAAAATCCTCATGCCATACGCACTCGTTTTAGCGATTGCTGCCGCAGTTCCTCAGAGGGCCTTCTACTAGATCCTGGGTGCTTGTTCTTCAGCCGACGACTCAACCTCGACCGATGAAAGTCAATGAACAACACTCGCTGCAACTCGACATTCCATAGTAAATTAGGCAGGCGGATATCATTATGCACAACACCGAGCGAATGAATCTCTTTCCCGGACCTCCGAATCTGTCTCTGTAAGTCCGGAGGCTGCTCCATTTTTTCGAGCACCCCATGCCATGATCAGCATATGTGGTCCATGAGAGAAGGGTGCGTGTTGGAGAAACGAGACATACTAATTTATGTACAGTGCACTCTGCGTTTTGCCCACTAAAGGTCTAATATGAGATCTCCTACTTTTCCTTAGACATATGTTAATTTTCTTTCACTTCTTATTCAAATCCGATCTTGGTGTGCCTTAAGCCATCGAAACCGGTGAAGCGTGCGGAGTTGAACTCGGCACAATGAACCCTTTGCTAGATTCTTTATCATGTACCCCTTCGCTGCGTTCAGTTCTTTAAGAGATGGTTTTTAGAAAATGCAGTATACTGGCTGTGCTTCTGCTTCAATAGTGATATAGTGATCAACACCTGGTCGCTAGGGAGGAAGTTCATCTGATCTCTTCTTTGAAAACGCTGCGAGAAGCGTTCTCTTGACATCATCGATTTCTTGGTCTTTGATGATAAATCAAGTTGTGACGGTAATGAATTGAATAAATCTGGTATTCAAGTGGCTTTTCGTGCGAGGAAGCGTTTGTCCCCTGTTCAAAATGGCGAATCTCTCCTGCTGCTCTTTCGGCAGCCGAGTTTCGACGAAATGTGCCTTCTGTTCGGTGATATATTCATTGATGTTAACATCAGACCGGGGAAGGTGGGTCGTTGAGAGCACGGGTCGTTGAGGAAGAATTGAAGGAGAAGAAGGTTCTCAATCCTAAACAACAACTCGAGGATAGCTGACATGGCTAGTTGCGGTCTGAAAACCAAGCCATGAGAGAGAAAATGATGAGCTCGGTAGACCGAGTTGCTCCGAAGCCATGAGGGCCATTAATCAACTTCCTCCTCCACTCTCCAGTATGCTGAAACCCAGGCAAGGGTGGAAGGAGCATGTGACATATCTGGATTTGAGTTGAGAGACTGGTCGATTGGGTTGCGTGGTTGAAGGGGAGAAGATTCTGTCCCATAGAGAGAGTCATATATACATGGACCTGAGAATGTGAGATGACATGTTTGATCATAGTTTTACAAACACGGTCTACGCCTTGATGAAATCAAGTCAGGCGGTATAACACTATAAGATCAAGTTAAAAATGACCTACTCCGCCGCGTATCTAGTCATGGCCAATGCCGTTAGATACACCTACTATCACTGCCCTCTCGAAAGGTGCACTGTCACTGTTTATATTTTGGCGTTTTCAATTGGGCATATACTTTCTGGATATATACAAGAGCTCGATTCCCACCCTCCACTCAAAAAACACAAAAGCTCATTCAATAAGGGAATTCACCCTCAGTTCCGTCCACAAGTCCCCGCTCCTTCTGCAACCGATCCTGCTCATCTAGATACGGCATTAAGATCTTATCCCAACTAGACTTGCCTTTATAGTAAGAAACAGTCTCATCCCAATTCCGAATAGCCTCCAACAATCGACCAGGAATATAAGGCTCCTGAGCCAATTTCGTCACCGGCTCGAAATACGTACGAATCGTAAACAAAATTGCCCCCGAGCGTGGCAGCCGACGTAGTGTCTGTCTCTCTGAGCGGAAATGGATCTCGTCGATGGTCAGACCTTTGCCGTTGGCAGTGGCCCATGCTGGTGATTAATATCGTTAGTTTTTGCTTTATCCATTGAGGTAGGGAATGGGGAACGAACAGGCAACTTCTGTTCCTTGTTGATCGCCCATGCGGTGGGACCAGTGGAGTCCGTCATCGAGTTGAATGAAGAACTGTGGCTTTTGTTAGAACTATATGTTCTTCGATTAATGGGGCAGGAGGAGAGTTAAACATACATTATTTCTCTCCACTGGCTTGTCCGGAGTAAGCTTCAACATGAACTTATTCATGGCTTTTTGTAACTTTGCAGCATAATGAGGAACGCCGGCCTCGAAGTGAAGCGTATCTAGGGACATGCGGAATTTCTCCTTGAGGCGCCAGAAGCCGGGGAGGCAGACGGCGGCTGCGTCGAGGTGGTATTCTCCGTCTGTATTGTGTTAGGATTGGACATTTCGAATATCTCAAGCGAAGAAAACATACCATCATTCTTTATCATCAGCACTAGATCATCCTGAACCAGCAGAGCTGATGTTGCAAGAGCCTCGTCGGGGGTTGCTATGTTTGAAAGTCAGCCGAAATCCCTTTTGCAGGAGCGATCAGAATTGAGCGTACCTGCTGGGAATAAAAACGCCTCTCCAGTAAGGCTATTATGCACTTTCCCTCCTTCCAATCGGAAGGTTTTGGGATAGCGATGTGTGAGATGACGGACCAATTCCTCATTGAGCTCGAAACAAGCATCTCTCGTGACTGCATTATCGACATATTTGACGTGTTCCTTGAAATCCTTCTTCAATTCCGCTGCTTTCATATCGTGGTATCGAAGAAAGTAGGAATCCATTTCGATCCAGTTGTCCCAGTGCAGTTTGCGAATTCCCATCGTAATGAAGTTGGGTCCATGCCGGAACGGACGATACAATTTGGGATCGTTTGAAGTCGGATCATCAGGATGAGGGCTAGGAAGTGGTTTGATGAATGGCTCTTTCTCCGGTTGTTGTACATGAGGAGTACTGGATTTACGGTGAATTGGCCATTTCACTATTAGCCATGTGAGGATGGACATGAGTAGCCCTAGGAAGGGAAGGGCGCCCGATGGAAGGGCGAGATTGGCAGGAATCATTGTTTCGTCCAATGTTGAAGTTTGTCGACGGTAACACTTGTAGTATACCTGATGGCGAGCAGGTGCTCTTAAATAAAGTGTGTATACCTGCCATGTTGTATGTCCTAGACCGGCACTCTAGATAGAGTATGCTAAACCCACTAAGCCCATTTAGGCAAATATTTTGGCCACACACGACCTGCCTGACCAGACAGTTTAAGCGTCCGCCTGTTTAGGTATAGTATCTACCGATAAGAGGCTTACATTGTGGAAATCCCCGCTTGGGTACTGTGGGTGGGGCTGCATTTCGCGCCCTATCATTGGATGTGGCTTCCCCGCAATTCGGGAACTCTCGTATCTTGCTCTTTCTCCTTGGTCTTCCCAATGTGGTGAACCGTTGGAGATACATCATATGCTCGGCCCACCAGTGTAGGGTTGAAGCGTGGTCTGGTCCGTAGATGCCAATCGTAGCTTCGGCAAGATTGTCGAAAAGCGGCTCCAATTGCCGAACATTTGGATTGTAATATAAATTTGTTGATTACGTTGAGAGTAGTGCTAGAAATATAATTCTTAAGGGTATGTCAACATAAATAACAAACAAGCTATATAAATTCAATTCCAAGTTAAGAGTGCTCAGCTTCCTCTAGAGGGCCTTTGAAATCTGTATCCAAGTTAGTACTTCATCCTCGAGTTAAGGGAAGGTGAATTCTTACATCTCCGCCCATAGAGCATATACCAGCCCATACTTAAAGCAACACAACCCACAAACACAACCGACGCATAGGTCATGGTTTCACTAGTGACGGGCAGTGTGACAGGCATGCTGAACAGAATAACCTGGAAAGCAATCCACAACAGCGCAAGAACATTCGCCGTCTTTCCAATGAGAGGATTCAGCTTCCAGCGCGACTGACTAATTTCCACGCGGCGATCAACAAACAAGCTGATCGCGATGGGAATCGCATACGCTACAGCCAACGCAATCACACCCACAGATGCAAAAGCCGTGAATGCACTGCTGCTTCCGAGGTAGGTGAGTCCCAGTAGCATCTCAACAGCCGTAACCAAGCATAGCGCTGCCAGTGGGCTGTCCCTGACAGTGGATGACCAAAGGTGTGAGAATGGGATTGCATTGTCACGCGAGAAGGCCCAGGTACATCTCCCGGCGGTGGTTGTGATGCTGATGGAGCAGAAAAGGGCGACGAATAAAACGAGCATCATGAGGACGATTGACGCCGCAGGTGAGCCTGTCACCACATGGATGATATATGGCAGGGCTTGGCCGTATGGGGCGGCAATGATGTCCACTAGCGGTGGAAGCGTGAAGCAAATTGGTACAGTGAATACTAGCGCCGCAGCACCGGCGACCACGGGTACCAGGCTGATAGCTGTGGGAATTTGAACTTCTGGGTCTGTGCATTCTTCTGCCATGGAGGTCACCATTCCCAGTGCGGAGAATGCGTAGGCTGGAGGCAGTAGGCCGATGAAAAAGGTGAAATGCTCCTCCCAACCGGAATAGCTGGGGTCATACCCAACAAAGCCTGTGTAGGCATCGTGACGACCGTTTTTTGCAAGGACGAGGAGGGTTATGGCGAGTGTGATGCATGTAACGACTGAAAACGCTGCGGAGAGTGTGTCGATGAGAGGAAGGAGGTGGTCGGCGAAAAAGCATATCATGAACACTACGAGACAGATAGCGTAGAAGATGAGAAGGAGTTGCCAGTCGGAGGCCGTCCAGGCAGGATAGAAGATGGACACAGTTGCAACGATGAGAGAAGCGATCCCGAAGTTCACAGAAAGCGATATGGTCCAGTTTCCGATGAGCCAGATCCAGCCTGTGACAAACGAGACCAGCTTTCTGCTCCCACTGGTCTTCAGGAGCCGGAATGACCAGTGGTAAATACCAGATGAGGTAGGATATCTTGAAGCGAGTTCTGAAAGAGACAGTGCCACACAGGTATCCAGTGCCAACACCACCAGAAGTCCAATAAAGAGTGAGAGTTGGCCGCCGCCATATACGGCGTTGATGAGGGCGCTGCCGATACCATAGGGAATAGAGGCAATTGACAGGGACATGAACAGCATGCTCGACAGCTTGCGCGTGCGGCGCAGCTGAGGCTTGTACCCCAATTGGTATAGCTGTTCATCCTGGTATGTGCCGAGCCCATGATTTTCGAGTTTGTCGCACGAGCCTATGCTGAGGCCTTGCTTCTCCATGCTTTTCTCCATTGATTGCCCCGATTTGGAATCGAGAAAACTGAGCAGTTTGTAGATTCATTCTATGGGTATGCAACATTGGTCTTTATACCGTTTCCCCACTACATGCACCTGGAGAAGAAGCTTTGTTCTAGTCCAGCAAGGGAAATCATTTGGGCCATTTATCTTTTTGCCCCGGCTTAATGAGGAAGCCATTAGATGGGGGTCACGGTATCTACGATTTGCTCCAGGGCTGTTAGCATGGTCCTCGTGGCCAAGCTTGGAACCAGCCTTAATATTTACCGGCTAGACGATTGCGGGGTAGGGACATCTGGCCCATGGGAATGGTTTAGCTGGGCTTATAAGGTATACTTTGTCGTTGTCCAGTGGGTCGAAGGAATTTGCCGTCGAACTTGCCCAAAAACTTTCCCAATTGGGTTTAACTCGGTGTACCAAGGCGATTTACAAAGTATGCATCTGTCAGATATGCGCCTATATACGTAAAAGTAGGATATTGGCTGCCACCGCGAAGGTGCTCACCTGGGCAAGCTCAGGATCACGTCAGCATTATGCTCAGACCTCGGGACCTCGGGACCTCCGGGACTCAGTGGCTCCAGTCCAGTCACGTGAGTACCGACTGATCCAGTTGATTATGGATCGGCCCCCTTGGGGCCATCAAGGGGGCCATCCATGGATATTTGTACAGTACGGCCTCGTCTCGAATCGGCCAAGTACGACCTGGCTGTTTCTGCTTCCCACAGTCGCAATTGCTCATTGAACTTCACTTGACACCAAAACATCGAAAAATCTCCACGGCACAGATTTGTTAACAAAGTAACTAAGAAGTGTTGTTAGTCATCGTTTAGACATTAACCGAATATACCTGTACCATTGGTCCAACTAAATGCCTAGTCCGTACAGCCTGACAGAAATACTAGTTATAGCCCCCAAATAGCGACATTGGCCCTAATGTTTCATTGGCCCTTGTATTAAGAACAAACTAGATTGCTTATAGTACCAAGCTAATTTAGCCTTCTACAGTAGAATTTATATTGTATCAAAAGCATGCAGGCAATGAAAGATAAGGAATAGCGAATAAGAGGTGGTGTGTGAAGCATGAATACAAGACAGTGTGGGCTAGTGCGATCTATGATTGAGACCACTTAATAAATTCAAGCATACACGAGCTTAGGACAAGCATCAATCAGGTAATTTCGCCATCGGACAGAAGAACGCGCAATCTGCAGTCATCACGCCACGTGCCCACGATGTAACATTGCACAGACTAGACACATCAGTAATTAACATATACACAACACTAACTTGCCCATCACTTACAGCCTCACAACGAAGGAAATGAAAAGAAAGACATCTTTCCCCAAGAGCCTTTCCCACCACTGAATGTTCCCAAATGCAGAAAAGCATACATTTGCCCACAAATTCATTGGGAATAGGGATGTGGCTCACTGGCCAGAAAAGTCGATATCAACCTGCATTCGAATGATTTGGTCTTTACTATTTTCGGGAGATGGACCCTTGTCTAGCGGGGGATATAGTGCCTGCTAGCCTAGATCCTGCAAGAGACTTGCAATTGTAGAATGACTGAGCAGCGAATGCAACAGACTAGGAGGGGTGAGAGTTACCTTCTCCTTGGTCTCCGCATGTAGAGTTACCTTCTCCTTGGTCTCCGCATGTAGAGTTACCTTCTCCTTGGTCTCCGCATGTAGACCCCTTATCAACCCCGCTTATACACACTTTCGACCTGACAAGACTGGAATTTGGAGATGGATCCAATTGAGCCTGCTACTAGTGAGTGACGAGCGAAGAAATGATCAACAATCCGGTACTGACGTCTAAGAACTACCGGGTATGCGGAGCACCAACGGCTGCTGGACTTGTCGTCTCAGACGCAAGAAATGCGACGAGGTGCAACCGTCCTGTAAAACGTGTACAGATCTCCGTATCATCTGTCGAGGGTACGGACCGCGCCCCATCTGGATGGACCGGGGTGTACTGGAACGGGAGGAAGCCCAGAAGATCAAAACAGCCATTGCTCGAGGGGGGCAGAGACGAAAAGGAGCAAGTCTGCGAGACAAATCATTGCCATCATCAATCTCTAAACCTATCCCAAGCCATGTCTCTATACAAAGCAAGGCAACATCAAAGATTAACTCCTCAAAAACGGCAACACCAGCGCATCTTGAAACTGAGCTCGGGAAGGAGAAGACCCAGCAAGTGAGCTTGAGAGCCCCAGCAATTGACCTTCCATGGGATGCAAGACTCAGTGAGCTTGACTTTTCACAACCTCAAGAGGAGGTCCTGCTTAGCAGCCCCATAGTCTGGGACAGCCAAATGCCATACAACGTTCAGGATATAGACTGGGATGTTTCCATGTCTGTGTTCGAAAGCTTCGTGACCAATGAATTACCTGAGATCCAGTGCACTATAGCGGACCACACGATCCCATCGCAGGATATCCTTTTAGTCGATGGAATGTCGAGTAAACGTGGAAGCCCAATACCCCAAACGTTTCCGCCAGGTTTAATAACCAGTCCGAAGGATCAGACGAACTTCAACCTCAAGGCTACGATGCCTGACTTTGACGAAGAAAAGAAGCAATCTTGGCAAACGACACCTTGTCCTGGACGTGAGACTCATTTTGAATCCCACCGTCGGGGATTGGAGGGTTCACACGTAGGCCACTCCAGCTTCCCCTACCCTGCCAAGGATCATCAAGGCACTGCAATCCCAGGAAGACTCACACCTGATATGGCTCTTCTTCTTTCCCATTATATCGAAAGAGTGATTCCGGCGCAATTCCCGTTCAGCTGCAACATCGGCCCAGGGAGCATGCAGTGGCTTCAATTTTTACTGTTTTCCTCAACATATGTGTTGGAAATATCAATGATATTCAGCTCAGCGCACCATGATCTTGAGACACAAGTAAACAACGAAAGGCGCTTCGACTGGCTCGAAGAAAGAAAGACGCAACCTAGCAGAGTTTCAGCAATACTTCGGGCAGTCACAGCCAATATGTCTCTGCTCGATGAGGACTTGAATATAAGTAAAGCTCTCGTTGTTTGCACCGTTGTCATCCAAGCAGTTCACTTCGAGGTAAGCAAGTTCCCTAAAACCCGTCAGCCCAAAAGGTATTCATGATTGACTGGAGGAATACTCCCAGATGTTCCTCGGTAAATCTCATCAGTGGAAATGGTTTCTCAAACAAGTGGCACCATATTTGCAACCTCTCATCAAGCTGGTTACCCAGGAGCCAAGAAGTTCATGTTGCAGCGTAGCCCTGTCCGGTGCATCTATAGCAAGGAGCAACTCAGTGGCTATCTCTCGAATGCAGTTGAAGACGGCGAAGGCACTTGTAGGCCATCTCCTATGGCTTGATATTGTAGCGACGATTTCGACGAGCGTGGAGGGCCCACTACTTGGATTCAGCGACAGCCAACTTCTGGAATCCAACATCATCGATATGAGAGAAATTAGCGGCTGCGATAACGACGTGGCGAAGGCAATCTGCGACATAACCGAACTTCGGAAATGGAAGGCCCACGCAGAACGCCACCGGAGGCTGAGCATCATAGAGCTGGGGGCACGCGGGGGCAGCATACTAGAGACTTTGACCAAGCGCATCCTTCAATTGGCTGACGGTCAGCCTCAACCCCTTTCTCCGTCTACATTCTGTCTTAATTCTGATAGAATGTGTTCAGATCGTTCGAGTGCTGATCAACTCGAACGGGACGGACAACTGGATATTCGCCTTGTGTTCGCTCGCACAGCTATCCTATACCTTCATACAGTCATGTCCGGGCCAAACCCGTACCTGGGAGAGATACAAAAGGAAATCGCAGAGCTAATGAAGCTTTTCAAGATCCTCGCCAGTAAGGGCATGGTGCGGCATGTACCGTGGCCATTGTGTGTGACTGCTTGCTTTGCAGACAAAGAGCAAAAATCATTCCTTCAGGACAGTCTGACCTCCGATATTGAGTGCAAATCTCGGAGGAGATATTTTAAAGCTGGTGATGAGGCGTTGAGAGTCGCGGAAGAGTGCCACAGGATTAGGGATGAAGAAGGAAGGGATTGCGATTGGATGTTGGCAATGGACAGTTTAAATGAGTGCATTTTGCTTGGGTGAAAGCAGAGGACCATTGTTTTGCTTTTACGTAGGATCATCAAAAATAAATGAGATGTTTGATGTTAGAAATAGAATACAAGAACCGAGGTACATACATGTGGTCCTTTATTCAGTGTCCACAATAACCAATCCCTGGAAAAGTACACATTGTTTCAACCAGGGTGTGTATTAGTTGGATTTGAGCTTCACAGCACTTATTTGGGATGAAGTGAAGATATCATCTTCGTTATCACCAGAATCCGCACCGGCAAAATATTAGGCGATCATGCAGATTTTACTTGCAGTTCAGTTGACAAATACAGAGAACACATTATTGCTATCACATTTCAATAAAGAAAGTTTTAACTTGATTTCTCCGCTATGCCTGCCGCCGGTCTTTTCCAAGAATGTAATTACCGGAGCTATAGAATCTCGCAGTCGGGATACTTGACACGAATCCTTGTGTTGATCGCGTCGAATGCAATGCCCTGACCTCCAAGAAGCATATGCTCGCAATGCTTTGTGTGCTCATAAGAACTAATATAGGAATCAATCCCACGAGCACCCGATTCCCCCATCATTGTGCGATGCATTTTCTTCCACATAGCTGTGCAGTGGCGAAGATGGTATTCCCAATTCACATACAGGCCGGTGTGTTCACCCGTCATAATCTGGTCATGGGTGAGCGGCTGTGTTCGGTTCGGATCCAGAAACCACTCCAAAGCATTGATTTGGTCGAATTCTATCGAGAGATCGGCGTCGTAACATTCCGTAGGCAGCCAGTTGAATGAAATGACGTCAAAGTGGCATCCGTTTGTTCGCGCTTCGTTGGGGGTACTACCGCATGGGCTGACCATGACTCTCCCGGAGGATGTTTGCGATGCATTACCACTCGTTATCATTGAAATTGAATGGTCGTTGTTCAATTGATGGATGCCGAGTGAGATGGCTAGTCCAAGCAAGATGGATGTGCTGACTAGCGATATGATGCTGGGAAGTGACATTACTAAGAGACGACTTGACGTGCCTTTGGAATAGTAATTGTCTATTCCACTGGTCTCTTCATCGGCCCTTTCATCGATGAGTGGCTCCGTTTGCTCATTATGGCGGGTTAATGGCGACGTGGGACGTTGATTTACTGCAAGTCTTCGAATGACGAATGCGCCGGAGAGGTCTCTCCAGAGGCGATCCATGGCTATCAGCCTGAATTGTAAAATGAAGCCAGGATAGATATTAACGAAGTAAAGCAAAGCAGGACAACTTGAAGGGTCATTACCGAGCCGTTCCTCATGGTACCATGTAGAAACGTAATATTCGTAATATTCATTCCTAGTATGATGATCGGCGAGACGCTGTACCAAACGCAGGGGCTGAGCGTAATTTAACATGCGCGGCAAAGTAGTTTTTTTAAGGCGCTAACTGTATCCTCCATGGCGTCAAGGTCTAATACTACTGTGTTAACGTAGCATTCATGGATGTGTATGGTTTAACAAGCACTTGCCTGTATATCCAAATCACCATGCGGCGATAACCAACTGTGGAAGTAAATAGGAAACTGCATATGATGTAGAAAGGCTGCAAAGCTTAAAATTGTACACTCTTCAAGCTTTATATGTATTAAGATTTTGAAACAGTAAATTGGCCCGCCGTACCAAGATATATATGTGCTATGTAGGAATTAACATTCGCGCCATCAAAAGACCCATCAAGCATATTTCTCAGCGTACTTCCAAATTGCATCCCAGTTCTTGCATTCGTGTGGATATTTTAGCCCATCAACAACTGACAAAGCAGGGGTCTTTGCCAGGAACTCCAGAGAAAGATCTGCTGAGCACATCACGCCTTGCCGAAGATAGTCAAAACAGTGGGCAAAGTGCCAGGGACCATGGATGGCTTCATTATAGGTCGGTGCATTTTCATCACTTGGCCACATTTGCAAATACTTTTCTGTGTCAACTCTGCCTTCTACCAGGTCCCACATAAGGTGCCTCAGAGCCGCCTGATTACAAAGTTAGTCCCAGAAATTCAAGCGAGCAAGTATATGAGACAAAATAAACCAAAGAAATAGCAATTAGACTGCTTTCAAAATTCTTACCAGACAGTGGAGTTGGTGAAATACGGAAAGCCCGGCTTTCGTATCAGGGTAGCCAAACCCATTGTCAGGGTCTAGGTTAATGAACCCGCGGCCGTTGGCTTGGTTTCTAGATCAGTATTCAAAGTCAAACAATCCAACTGCTCTGAGCTAGACTTACGACCAGTCAGGTTCTCCCAAGCCAAGTTACTTTCGTTTGTAGGGAGAGACAGGTAGAGAGGGTCAAGCTCGAATGTTCTGATCTCAGTGGGAACTGTAGTTTTATCTTAGCACCAGGAGCAAGATACACACAGGAAATAAAAAAGATGAACGAACATTGAGGGACTGGTGATTCCAACAGTCGTTTATGCCGTGGATGTACGAAATTCCCAGAATACAATATCACAAGGGCTATGAAGAAAGCTCCATTGAAGATAAGTGAAACCATGAATGTCTTCCGTAAGTGTAGTTGTCGATTGAGCTTCGCAGAGTCACCACTGATCAAGCCATCATCGGAGCCGGGTGAAGCTTCATGTTCCTCTTGCTTAAGGGAAGAATAGGACGTCGAGGGTTGGCTCTGCTTCGATTTTGACCAGGGAAACGTAGGCATCATAGCGGAGGATTGCATGCAATTTGCATTATCCTAAGATGAACATTTCGTTTGACGAGAAAATGTAGAAGGTCAACTGAGAGACATAGTAAGAAATGTGTATAATCTTTGTGTCTGCGGTAATATCAACCGCCGGCAAATATCACGACATCGGCGCCACCAAAAGCCAGCGTGACGCCGATGCAGGGGTTCATAAGTACCACCAATTTCAGGCGTCTCGTCAAGGATCCATTGATCTATTCCCGGAATAATTTAGCGCGACACGATTTGATCCAGGTGATTAGACGAGGACGGCAGATACCAGGCATCGTATGCGCCTCGCCCATAGACGTGGGGGCCAATCCCGACGGCCAAAGCACTTTCCATTCGCAATACGTGAAGGTAGCCTAAATTTACCCCCTGGAACAGAGTTATTGGTCGGCAAAGTGAGAACACACATGTTCAACCCTTTCTTGATGCTGTAGAACGGCATTGTTCGCTAGTACAACTCTCAGTAACCGATATCATTCACTACACAGAAGATTATGAACCACTTTACCGGAACACGTCTTAAAGATCTCTGGCCATTGGGGCAGGACGGATTTATGACAAATTATTTCTTTGCCCCCACGTACAAAGAATACGAGGAGGGAAAAACGCAGAAGGACACGGAGGCACAAGAGGCTCTGCTTGGAAGCGAAGATGACCCCCAGCGACACAGTTCGAGTCCATTTCTCAAAAGAGCTTTCCAGGCTTCAATAATTACAGCCAAGGCACTGTTAGTAGTATCCTACGTTTTGTTAGCATATTATGCTTGGACGCTACGAAAGCAGACGTGTATCCTTGGCAACGAAAGTAAGTTGTGAAATGATCTATTGTGCATTTACTGTAAGGATCACGGGCTCTAACAAAGTCGCAGGAATATTCAACGACATACCGATAGTATATGAGAGCACTCGCTTCCAACGTGCTGGCTTCCACGACTCGCACCACAGCTCTCTTAATGCCTATGAAGGTGCACCAAATGAACAGAACAATGAGGCATGGAAGGGACTCCTTGATGGTCAGATGCTCTTCTTGCCACCATGAATCCTAAAACCGAACAGATGACTGACTATTGTCTATTCAGTCGGTGTTGTACTCATCTCGGACGAAGAAAACTCGCGGATTACGAATGGAAGTGCAACTACGAGATCAGACATGCACAAACACATTGTTGAGCTCGAAATGTTTCATCAACTACACTGCTTGGTGAGTCTCACAGCCATTTATTCTCTATACTTGAATATCCATAATTGTGACTGATCTGTCTTCGTGTCTCAGAAATGGCTTCGGGATCAATTTTGGGAACTTGATTCCGCGATTAGCACAGCCAAACCTCTCATTGAGATACCACAGCGGCAGAATCACACAGGTATGTCAGAACTTCTGTACCTTTTCCTTCTTTGACCTATGAAGCAAAGTCTAAATGTATAAACACCTGTCTCTAGATCACTGTATTGATTACTTACGACAAGCCATCATTTGCCATGGCGATGTAACTCCCATCACATTCGAGTGGATCCCAGAAATCACAGGCTATATTGCCCATCATACCACGGAGCATCAGTGTCGCAACTTCGACGCCATACACGAATGGGCTGAGCAGAGGGGCGCGCCTGGATTCCGTGCTGACGGGAAACATAAGAATGTCGAGCTCAAGCATCCTGAAATGTCTGATTAGATACTATGACCCATTCACTAGAATACTTGAAGATTTGTTCAATATCTGCGATGTTCTGTAACGTATACTAGATTTCTCCCATTTTATTCTATATATCATCCTTTTGGTAGGCGATTTGTCCGAGTCGACCTCGAATATTTAGGATCTGTGAAAAGAACAGACTGTGTAGATAGTACCAGTGCTATTTACATTTTATCAAACTTTGCTTTTGGATTCAATGGAGCTACCTAGCCGTAGCCTTTCACGCACAGTAAAATGCAATACTCGTGTCGCCGGTGCGCCACGGCCCCTCTCAATTCGAGATATACTCCATTACCAGACACAATTCATCTAAATTTTAGCTTGATCATAAGCCAATAAGCTCAAGCAGTGCTAAAGGCCACGTCGGTTGGCATTCAACTTCCGCGGGCGTTGAATTCGTGGGGCGTATCGACGGGCGTGTCGCCCCAAACTCCGCTGTGAGGAACCTTGCAAGCCCTTGAGCCCCGAGATCTCTCGGCGTCATGACAGACGCTTGGGTTGAGCGCGCGTCAAGAAAGCAAGCAACACCAGATAGCAGAACTATTAAGGCCTCATTATACGACCTCCATTAGCTGATTTACTTCTCAAGGAACCTAAACACAGCCTCCAGACAGCTCCATCCTCTTTCAAAACAAAAGCTCCAACTTCTCTTGACAATATGCATCTTCTTAAGACCATTCTTCTCCTGGCTGTCGCCGCTTATGCAGCCCCCGTCCCAGAGGCGGCCCCCGGCAGTGCGATCCTCGAAAAGCATGAGCCCGAAGTGCAGGCAAGAAATTGTTACAACTGGATCAAGCGCGGTGAAGAAGCAACTGAGGGAAATAGTTGCTAAGTTCGGTGAGCATTTCCTGTTCCCTCCAAAATTTGGAATAGGCTGACTCAAGGAACTACGGCCTTTACAGAACATACGACGACTTTGACGATCACGAGGAGCCCTCAGTGAAGACATTGAAAATAGTCCTACCTGGATGATCTTGTAGAGATCATATTCTATAAGAGAGCTATTGAAGGTTATATCGAGTGGTCAATCTGGAAGAACTCTAAGGGCTCTGTTTGCTTGAATATCTGCTGAATGAAACAACCTTTGCTGTATTTACTCTTTCCAGCAAGATCAAATCCTTTGTTGAATGAAGGCTTTCAAGTTGCGGGTCTCTATTCTGTTCAAAGACATTTCTAGTTGTTCATTATAGACTCCGTATACTAATGTGCATCTCAGTCTATTCAAAGTTTAGTAAAATAATAATATATTCTTTTACCCAGTCTAAGGTCTCGAGGGTCAGACCTCGGCATATGCGGCTCCTTTCGGCTCGCTCCAATTTCCACCTCAGTGTAAATACGATTACAACAATTATTCAACTAATGACCTTTGTAGGGATAGAAGCTTTCATTTGCAAGATATATACACGGATTCATCACATGATAAAGCCCGAAAAACAAAGCCAGTTAATAAGGGCAATGAGCCTCAACCTCAATTTCAATCACCATTCCCTCAATTCCAAGCTTTCCAATCTCCACACAAGTCCAAATGGGTCGATGACTAGGAAGAACCCTCTTGAAATTGCCGGTGACCATATCAAACGTCTGATCAACATTGATATGATAGCTTCGCACTGCATAAACATTTTCCCACGACAGACGCGAGTCAACGCTCTTCAGGGCCTTTTCGACATTCTCAAAAGCGATAGCCACTTGTTGCTCGACGTCAGTGTGGACATTACCACTCTCGTCCCAGCCACCTTGGCCTGAGGTTTTGATAGTATTCCCGATGCGGACGGCTTGCGAGTAGTGGAAGGATTCCGAGTTTGCCCCGGTGCCGGCGTAGTTGAAGAATTGCATCTTTGCTTTATTGGTGGATTTGGAGGATGGATGCGATAGATAGGAATGAAGCAGATAGAGAGGGAATAGGGAGTTTAGATAGTGACGAAACGAAATGGAAGTAGCTAAACTATTTAAACCACCATTCAAAGCATACATACCCCTTGGGGAATGTACAGAAAAATTGGCCACTTCAGATATGGTAACTATTCTGACCATGCCCTTCAAACTACTCAAAAAACATATCTACGCAATCTTCTATCGGTTGTGGATGTTTGAAGGAATAGCCGATATTTTAGCTTTTGAATTATTGACCCGAGGCAGGGTAGATGGGTTTGGTACTTGCCTTAGAGGGCATGTTTCTCGACGTCTTGCACGATAATGCCTTAAATGGGAAAGTATTCGGACCAAGTGATCTTCGGGACGTCAAAGTACCTCCATCCTCGGGGACTGCCGAATCACGCGTCCCCTCATCTATGGGGCTCCGCATTTCCCAAATAGGCAAAAAGATAGGCCACCAAACCAATTTTTGCTTGGCTTTTTCCTGGAAAACATTGCTCTTTGTCACGAAATGAGATAAATGTTGTAATTCTACATGAGGGTTCTAATATAAAGCCTCCAGGTCTGGGATTTTAAACACCCCAGAAACTCCAATCTACATTTCACAATGGCTCAACCTATTCAATTAACGGCTCCTAATCAGACCACTTATTTACAACCTACTGGTAAGCAATCAATTCCTCGGAAGCCTAAGTTCAGTAACTAATGTTTTGAAAAAGGACTGTTCATCAACAATGAATTCGTTTCCTCTATCTCGGGCCAGACTCTCTCAACTGTCAATCCCTATGATGAATCCGTGATCGCCAGCGTCGCATCCGCTGACCCAGAGGACATTGACCTCGCCGTAGCCTCTGCTCGAAATGCCTTCAAGTCAGAAGAATGGCAATCACTGGCCGGGTATGACCGAGGCCTCCTATTGACACGCCTCGCGGACCTCTGTGACCGCGATAAGCACATTCTCGCTACAATCGACGCATGGGATAACGGCAAGCCATATGAACAAGCATTGGGTGAGGACCTTGCCGAGGTTATATCTGTCTTCCGTTACTACGGCGGCTGGGCAGACAAAATCCACGGGCAGACTATTCCGACTAGCGAGGCCAAGTTGGCCTACACCAGACACGAGCCTATTGGAGTGTGTGGACAGATCATTCCTTGGAACTATCCTGTTATGGTATGTCACACAAAGCATTCCTTCACCAAAGCCGTTGAGGCAACGCTAATGCTAAGTAGATGGCGGCATGGAAACTTGGACCTGCTCTTGCGTGCGGTAATACCGTTGTCATCAAAGCTGCCGAACAAACCCCGCTCTCAATCCTCTATCTCGCTTCCTTGATCAAGGAAGCTGGCTTCCCCGCTGGAGTCGTAAACGTTGTCAATGGCCCCGGTGCCACTGCCGGCGCCGCTATGGCATCGCACCTGGACGTGGATAAGGTTGCCTTCACCGGCAGCACCAACACCGGAAAAGCCATTATGAAAGCGGCTGCTTCGAATCTGAAGGCGATTACACTCGAGACAGGCGGCAAGAGCCCCTTGCTCGTCTTCGAGGACGCCAACCTCGATCAAGCGGTGAAGTGGTCGCACGTCGGCATCATGAGCAATATGGGTCAGATCTGTACATCCACCTCGCGCATCTATGTGCAGGAGAGCATCTACGAGACTTTCGTCGAGAAGTTCAAGCAGTACACTATTGAGAACTCCATTGTCGGCAGCCAATTCGATCCCCAAGTGAACCACGGACCTCAAGTGTCCGCTGCGCAGAAAAGTCGCATTCTGGGGTATCTTGAGACTGCCAAGCGCGAAGGTGCACAGCTAGTTCTTGGAGATGATCAACCTTCCCCGGATGCGAAGGGTTATTTCGTCAAGCCCATTATCTTCAAGGATACCAATCGCGATATGACTCCCGTGCGGGAGGAAGTCTTTGGTCCCTTCGTCGTTATCCAGTCTTTCAAGGACCAGAAGGATGCGGTCGAGAAGGCCAACGATACTGAGTATGGACTTGGTGCCGCCCTATTCACGGAGAACATTACCCGTGCTCATAATGTCGCTGCTGCTATTCAGGCTGGCATGGTTTGGGTATGTACTCGCTGATATAATCGTTTATGACATATGCTGACTTTCAACAGATTAACAGCTCGCAAGACTCCCATTTTGCGATTCCGTTCGGTGGATACAAGCAGAGTGGCATTGGGAGGGAATTGGGCGAATATGCCCTTTCGGCCTACACTCAAGTTAAAGCGATTCATGGTCAGTATCTTTCTCACAAGATTTGCGACCGGCATACTGATACTGTTCTAGTAAACCTGGGGACTTGGCTGTGAATATACTAACTCCGACCGACGTGACGTTTTAGCAAACGCCACTGCGTATAGATAGTACATGTTTAACAAATAAATGAGCCCAGAGAATCAACAATTCAATTATCGCATATCCTAGTAAATTTAGTAAATTTTCCCATATGATCCATGGATGTACGTGGTACCTCGTGAATCTCGTGACTCTTAAACTGCCGCCGGGGAACCTCGGCTGAGGAGGCGGAAAGGTCTTGAACCCCACGTCAGAGGATATCCGGGGGAAATACACCTTTTGCCTTTACCTTTACATTGCCTTTGCTTCTCTCCGTTCATTTTTGCATTTAAACCCTACCTTATTACCTCAACTTTATCCCGTCACATTCCCACCATGTCGTTCCTGGGTGGCGCAGAATGCTCTACCGCGGGGAACCCTCTCTCACAATTCACAAAGCACGTCCAGGATGATAAATCACTACAGCGCGACCGGCTGGTCGGCCGGGGACCAGGGATGCAAGAAGGCATGCGCTCACACAATATGATGGGCGGACAAGACCAGGTGAGCCATGCAGCCTACAACGAGCCCCCCGCAAATAAAAACAGTAACAGAAACTAACCTCGGCGTCGGGAAACTCCTTATTAGATGATGGACGATTTCATGCAACAACCAGGACAACAACTAAACGGGCCCTCGCCACAGCCATTCGCAATGGAGCACATGCGCCGCGAGCTGGATAACTTCCAGACGGGGCAGCCCCGCACAGGGTCGCCAGGGTGGGCAGGGGAGTTCGACTCGGGCGAACAAGCCCGCATGGAAGCCGCATTTCCCGGCCAGATGAATAACGGATCTGGGTTCAACCCTGCCGAGTTCGCACGCTTCCAACAGCAGAACCGTATGGGCATGCCGCAGACATCCAGCCCTGCTGCCGCGAACGCCTCACCTATGATGGCGGGGTACCAACGGCCGATGGCCATGGGCGGTGGTTATATGGGTGGTATGGGTGGTATGGGGATGATGCAGCCTATGATGGGTGGACAGATGGGGATGCAGCAGGGGCCTATGGAGGGGCAAACACAGGATAAGGGGAAGGGGCGGATGGTGGAGCTCGACGATGAGAACTGGGAGGCGCAGTTTGCTGAGATGGAGACTGCGACGGTTGGCAATGAGGCCCGGACGGATGAAGAGGCTAATGCGGCCATGGAGGCGGAACTGAATGATTTGGACAGGTCAGTGCCCTCCAATGACGCGTTTGAGTCTGTATGGCAACGGGTCCAGGCTGAGACCGCAACGAGTAGGAAACTTGCCGAGGAAGATAACTTTGAAGTCACCGATGACGTGCATGTTGGTGATCTCGGTGACTGGGATGGCTTTGACAGTCTCAACTCTCGTTTCCGGGATCCCCAACTCGGCGACTATATGTTCGAGGAGGATAATGTCTACCAGGCTGTGGGCAATCCCTTCGAGGAGGGAATGAAGATTATGCGTGAGGGTGGTAATCTGTCGCTGGCAGCGCTGGCCTTCGAGGCTGCGGTTCAAAAAGACCCGCAGCACGTGCACGCTTGGACGATGTTGGGCTCTGCGCAGGCGCAGAACGAAAAGGAGTTGCCCGCTATCCGTGCATTGGAACAAGCCCTGAAGGTCGACCCCGGGAATTTAGATGCATTGATGGGCTTGGCTGTCTCGTACACAAACGAGGGCTACGACTCAACCGCCTACCGCACACTCGAACGTTGGCTGTCCCACAAGTACCCAACAATCATCGACCCGAAGGAAGTATCCGGCGATTCAGACCTCGGGTTCACAGACCGACAACTCCTGCACGATCGCGTAACAGAACTATTTATCCAAGCTGCCCAGCTCTCCCCCTCAGGCGCGCAGATGGACCCCGACGTACAAGTCGGACTGGGCGTTCTTTTCTACTGCGCCGAGGAATACGAGAAGGCCGTCGACTGTTTCTCCGCTGCCCTAGCCTCCACCGAATCCGGTAGCACCAACCAACAAGAGCAGCTCCACCTCCTCTGGAACCGACTCGGCGCGACCCTCGCCAACTCCGGCCGCTCCGAAGAAGCCATCGAAGCCTATGAACAAGCCCTCAACATTAACCCCAATTTCGTGCGCGCCCGCTACAACCTAGGCGTATCCTGCATCAACATCGGCTGCTACCCTGAAGCCGCACAGCACCTGCTAGGCGCGTTATCCATGCATCGTGTCGTGGAACAGGAGGGCCGCGAGCGTGCACGCGAGATCATTAGCGACGGCGTGCATCCGGATGGCCTGGACGACGAGCGCCTCGAGCGTATGTTGCACATTAGCCAGAACCAGAGCACGAATCTGTACGACACGCTGCGTCGTGTGTTCAGCCAGATGGGACGTCGTGACTTGGCTGACCAGGTTGTCGCCGGCATGGATGTTAACATCTTCCGCAAGGAGTTCGAATTCTAGGTTATTGTTATTGATTTGTTGGTTGCGTACATGGAAAGGTATGGGATATATCTTTCGGATTTCTGGCTGGCAAGGCCCGGCTGCATTGTATCTACTTTTTATCATTGGCTGCTTAGATGGGATCTACAAGCCCGAGAGGAAAAAGCATTTCCTCATATATATGTTACCGCATGTACTGTAGAAGTGTTCACACTAACTTCAAATTGTTTATCCGCAATTCCGTGTACCCGTTTCTCCAGAACACACTGGACCTCCGCACACGCCAAGGCAGCATTGTGTTTCATGTCTTATCATCGCAAGTGCATATACCCCCGCTAGGTGGAGAACAATAGACTCTAAAAAGGTACTAAATTTTCTTGCCTGGCTATATTTAACATCCTTTATAGCATATTAAGCCATATAAACCACATTAAACCCCTAGTCGTTAAACACGGAGGCCGTGTACGCGGCCGACTATGCACTCTGAGGTGTCAGTTAATTTCCAAACATAAATTGGCACTACATAAAAGGTTAATCCCCAAAAGTATGTGCATAAATCTGCAATGCATAAAAGACGCGGAAGACAGTGCCGACGATCAACGGGCCCAATAATATGTACTAAGATAGGATAGTTTAAACTGGTCAACGTTGGGAGCATAGGATAACGTGTTATGCAATGTACGCAATATACATATGTAAAATGCCTCAAAGCCTCCAAATATTTATGGGATAACTACCGTATAACTACCGTGTGAAGAAGGTGTAAAGGTTACTATACCACGGAAAGCTTCTTCCATTTTTTTAGACAATCATATTTTTCTGCTTTTCACCATTGGCAACATCATGCTACAGAATGAAGTCGGTTCAGGCCTGCTAGTGCATGCGCTGCAACATGCGTGGAGTTGGATTGCAAGTGTTCTCGTGGGTGGACTTATCATTCTAATTCTACGCCGCCGCTATTTCCATCCATTGCGCAATATCCCTGGTCCGTTCTTGGCCTCTCTATCTTCCTTGTGGATGGCAAAACAAGCCTACGGGGACTCATTCCACCGGACCAACATTGCCCTCCATGAAAAGCATGGGAAACTGGTTCGAACTGGACCGAATGAGGTGTAGGTGAAACCAAATGAAGGGTGGTTAGGGAGTTTTTAGCTGATCAAGTTATTCCCATCTCAGGAGTGTCGCCGATCTTGGGTTGGTGAAAAAGATCTTTGGTGCGTCAATACTGACAATAAAAAAACAATCATTTCGCTTCTTGTATTAACTAATTCTGCATAGCTGCTGGGAACAAATACCAGAAGGGGCCATTCTATATTTCATGGAAAGGAAATCGCAAGTTCGATCTCTTCGGTGAACGAGATGAAAAGGTCCATAGCTCCATGAGACGTCTTGTTAGCCGTGTGTACTCGATGGATTCCATGCGAGACCTGGAATTGTACGCGGAAAAGACAGTGGCTCGATTTGTGATGCGTCTGGAGGAGCTTCAAGGCCAAAAAGTTGACATGGGATCATGGTTTCAGTTATTTGCATTCGGTAGGACTTCTTTTTATCTGCCTATGCGCACTGTCAGGTTTCTCTGACTTATTCCTAGATACTATCGGTGAACTCAGTTACTCTCATCCATACGGGTTCTTGGATATGGGCCAAGACGATGGCACACTAGAGTCGATCACACAGGCGCTGTGGTCGTTAGCATGGACCTCCTACGCACAATGGGTCATAAAAGTCAATCAATGGATACCACCTGTCTTTGGTGTCCAGCTTTCGATGCATATCAGGAACGGCAAGTTTGCCGAATTTGCGGCACGAGAGATTAAAGAACGGGGAAAGAGAGAAAACAATCACAGAGATATGTTGGCAAAGCTCTTTGAAACCCAAGAGGCCAAACCAGAGTTGGATAATACGGCAATAAACGGCATCCTCAATTCAAACGTCTTTGCAGGCTCAGACACAACAGCCATTGCACTCCGAGCGATCTTTTACAATATTCTGACCCATCCACGCGTGAAGAATAGATTTTTGGACGAACTGCTGCGCCGACGAAACAGTGGACAGCTCAGCGATCCCATCAAGCTCCAAGAGACGGAGAAATGGCCCTACCTGCAAGCGTTGATCTATGAGGCCCTTCGATTGCATCCCGCTTCCGGCATGGGCTTTACGCGAATCGTGCCGGAACCTGGGGTGGAAGCCGATGGCCATTTCTTACCACCAGGGGTATGTATCATCTTCCACAATGCAGGCTACATTTTTGGCTTATTGAGAAATCTATTTAGACAATTGTGGCGCCCAACGGATGGGTAATCCATCGGAATAAAGAAGTATTTGGTGACGACGTTGAGGAATATCGACCCGAACGGTGGCTTGACGAATCCAGGAAAGGCGACATGCGTACGTAACGCACTGCGATAACCCTTTTGTTAACCTTTGCTCATATCCTCGACAGAAAGGTATTTCCTAGCCTTTGGGGGTGGCACTAGAACGTGCATTGGCAGAAGTAAGTGGTTTGTGTTTTTCGTATTCAGAGCAATAACTGACATGTCTGCTCTTACAGATATTAGCTGGATGGAGATATCCAAGGTGAAGAAACGTTACCTTAGGTCTCTGACCGCGCTAATCTCTTTCTCAGGTCATTCCGACTTTATTCTTGCATTTCGATTTTGACCTTGTCTCTCCGGAACTCCCTCTAAAGGAGAAGTGCGCGTAAGAAACAGTGATGCTCGGACATGATTGAACCCTGATACTAATGGAATGAATACAGAAGCCTCGTGTCACAAAGCGGCCTTTACACGACTCATCGGAAAAGGACCGAAAAACCTTGATCAAACTAGGATGTTTGCAATGGGTATGGTCCATCCAGTGCATTGGGTCGGTTAACCCGCGCTTTTGTCAGTGGAGTTTGACTAAAAAAACTTGATAGGGAGCGAGGTTACGCAGAAGACATGAAAATTAAGGAAAAATACAAGACGCTCACTTTTCAAATGGAAATTGACTGGCTTCATGGAAGTTGACGGATTATGCATCAAACTGAGACGGTATAAATGCATAAGAATCCATAGAATTCTTGAGTTAGCTTCTGACGCAGTCCAGCCAATTATTTATATGATGGGCCAGTTTTCCTAGTCCATAGGGGTTTCAGCACCTGTTTCAGTCGTATTATCTTGCCATTACGATATGCACTTTCCATGCATCAAATTGGCCATCGACCCACAAAGTACTAGCGAGTACAGAATTTTATAGAAAGCTTTAGTACTGAACAGAAAAGAAACACTAGCAGGACTTGAAACACCTGTACATATTCTTCTCGGGGCTGGCAATTTGTGATGATCCCTTTCAAGTGAGTTAAATTAGATTTGGGAAATGATCAGTGAGGTTTCGGACTACACAATCAAAGTACATAAGTTGTTTCACAATTTATGCTTGATCTTATCTTAGTACCAGACTAATTTTAGAAGAACACGGCCTGGGTTGTAAGCTCGTGAGACATGTGGAGAATAAAGGAATTATCTTGAAGATCTGTGTCACGGCAGTAGAGTACATAGGTATTGCCGAGACATCACTCAGAGGACCAGCTCGATAGCTCTACCTTTCCCTCTAGAGATATCTCTCTTTGCACTGTTTTATTCATGGGCTGGGACTGCGCAAGCGTTTAATTGGCATTCCTTGCCAGTCTCGAGGGGTCAGAGCCCCTCCAGCTTATACTTGGATAATCATAGCGGCGAAATGGGCCAAGCGGTTGGACTGAAAGAAATCAATATTCGCTATAGGCGACTGCGGAGAATATCCGTGCACGTCGCTCTATCATATGGGTTTTCTGCCATACTCTGTCCGGCTTAGGAGGTTAGTAATATTGATCCCTGTTGTGTGCCACTAACGACTCGCAATATAGGGTAGTAGCTGATTTTCTATAGGCCACCTATACCCCGACCTACCAGAGGAGAAACCGCAGCCTTCAGTAGATTGGTAACGCGATGCAGCATTCACGAATAGCCCATCACATATCCTGGGTTTGATGCTGAACGAAGAGCGCGTAATGGACATATTCATCGGCATCAGAACGTTTAGATCTAGTTTCTCGTTATTGAGGAGGACACAAATAATCGGTATATTTTCTTTCCGCATGGGTAGGGCTACTTGGTAAGGACCGGGTATATGTCTCATGAACGTCTGTCTTGCTATCTCGAATTTGCCCTAGTAAGGTGGTTGTCTCTACCGACTTTATGGATGGAAGGGAGTCGGATTCATTAACTCATCAACGACCTTCCCAACTGCCACGGCCCTTTCCTCTCCAAATCGACCCCCAACAATCTGCACACAGATCGGCATCCCGTGCACAAGGTCGATATCATCTAATAAGAAGGAAAACAAAGTCAGTATTAACCCACGTAACAAACAACAACACTCAAAAGACAATAAACAAAGACCACTCACACTGCAAATAATTAAAAGCATCCGACTCATTCCTAATAGAATGTCCCTCCCACTCAGCACCAACCCCACCACTAACAGAATCAAGGCTCCGATCCGCCCTCGCAACAGGAACGGTAACAGCCGCGTAGTCTAACAGATTCCACATAGCCGTATAGCCTACCCACTGCTTGCTCTTAACCCATGTCTTGGGCTTATAGCCTACCCACGGGATGACGGGCATGATGAGGGCGTCTATTTCCGATGAAACCCACTGCTTCAGGAAGGCAGTTTGGAGGGTGACTTTAGTTGCTTCGAACTAGTGTAGTGGTGTTAGAATCTTAGATGAATTTTGATTTGTGTTTAGGGTATTGGGAAGGGGAAAGAGGGCTTTATAGATGTGATTGTTGTGAGTAGTGCCTTATCTCTTACCTGCTCTCGCTCCTCGTGTGAAAGAAGATCAGACTCCTTGCCGACAATCATGCCTTCAATCAAGGGCTCGTTGACTATCTGACAGAGCGCACGGCAGTGCTGGCCGCCGTCGGCGAGAACGCCTTTTGTCCAGAGATTGGTGATGGCGATGTGGAGGGATGTGTCCCATTCGATTACTTTGACAGGTTAGTATGGCACTTTTTCGACCATCCAGGGAAAGAGAATAAATATTTAAAAGTAATGAGGGCGTGTATATACCTTCATGGCCAGCAGCTCGCAATGCATCTACCGTCTGGCGCATTGCCCTCGCAACCGGCGGCTGCGGCTTAACGACACCGTCATCAAACACAACGCCTAGTCTAAACTTACGATTCGCCGACGGTGTCGCAAGCTCTTTTCGCCATGGGATAGGAACTGCGGTTGGATCTATACTCCACGGACTAGACGCAAGAAGACTCTCCATGAAGTACTCTGTTGTAGCGAGTGATGTGGCCATTGGACCGGCAACGGGTGGGATGAGGAAGCGCTGGTGGAAGCTATCAAGGTACATCAGTACTGACCATACTTCCAGTATACCGACAAGGAAAAGAAAATGAATGACCTACAAAGAACAGTCCCACGGTACTCGCCCCGTCGTCGGACATATAGAGTACAGACCCTGTAGATTAGCAGGTACTCGGATCGAGCCGCCGATGTCGGTACCAATTCCTAAGACGCTGCCTCCAGAGCCAATAAGGGCGCCTTCGCCACCGGAGCTACCGCCTGAGATTAGGGCGTGGTTGAAGGCGTTTACGGATTGGCCGAATACATGGTTGTAAGAGTCGGACATCTATTCAGGTTGATTAGTGAGTACGCCATTCTCGAGAACGCACATGGAAAACGAAAGAGAGGGAAGTTACCATTAGAGATTGTGGCACATTGGTCTTGACATACAGCACTGCACCCATCGACTCGAGTAGTTGCACGATTGAACTATTGGATTGTGCTGGTTTATTGGTCAGGCCCACCCAACCTATACATATATTAGCAACAATCCAACAGACATTGTCGACCAGAGACGGAAAAATAAACGAAGAAAACACACCAACAGTCGTATCAACCCCCTCAACATCAAAACGATCCTTCACAGAAACCGGAACTCCATGCAGAGGCCCGACAACCTCACCCGTACGAAGCAGATGGTCATCAAGCTCCCTCGCACGTTCAAGAGCCTTATCGAAAAAGATCTCCGTCAAGCACTTAGTAACCTGCTGTGAGATAGCAGCACGTTTACAAAACGCCGTTGTCAGCAACTCGCTCGTCACGCGGCGGGACTTGACCAGCTCGACCAGGTCGCGAATATCTGCTGTCTCGGTCCATGCTATCTCGTCGGTGGAGAGGATGCCGCTTGCGCGGATGGTGTCTACGCTTGATGCTGGTGGGTTTTTAAGGAGGGGCGCTGGAAGGCGCCAAGCAGAGGGGATCAGGGTTAGCTGGGTTGCGCGCTTTTCGAGGACGCGGTTCTTCCAGAGGGGTGATTCTTGTGGGGATGTCTCGGTGGTCATGGTGGATACAGTAGTTAGGAAGAGAGTGCTGGATGGGTAGAGGTTGGGTTTGGAGATGTAAATAACTAGACCGAGGTGTGAACTTGAAGTTTTTATCCCCTCATTTCGGTAATGTTGCAGTGGGGGGTCGGATTAAGGGGTTCACATCTGATAGGTACATTCGAAATTGATTGTGAATATGCAAGGGGAGATACAACCTGCTAAATCTAGATGAAGTCCTTGCTCTTTCTTTGTATGCATTTTGAAACAAATATATCGGATTATTTCCGCGAAAGCATAGGGCGAAATGGCTACATGTAATCAAAAAGATGAAGCTATCTACATCTTCGTGCACATCCTTATGTACCTCGACCTACTCCACCGAGTTTGTCACTTGTACCCCGATTACCACCTCAGGTACAACAACGACGTCAACCTGCACCACCTCGACTGAGATCAGCACAGCCACTGGATATGGTCTCATGAGAGTAGGCATGTGGGAAAAAAAGATTTTGATGGCTTGAACGTAGGGAGAAAATAAAAAGCAAGGGAATTATGAGAGGACGCCGACCAGATTGACGACAGTTCCACAAGCGGAAGACCGCGTCACAGACCTGGTGTGTCTGACAGAAGAACTTCCTGGGGATTCCATGACGAACATGGAGACTATTCCGCAGGGATCACTGGGGATCGGATTGTCGGACAATTAAGATTACTAGCCGAAACATTCGTCGGATTTGTTGACCTGGGTCGGATCATGCAACGAGTGTCAATTCTTCGCAAAGAAACCACCGGCGGGACCCTCGAGGAGAATCCAAGACCCATGGTAACGACACGAGTTGAGGCGGATGCCACCGTGTCGATGATGCCCTCGTCAGAGCGTATCAGCAGTATGTTACTGATCTGCAATGATTGCCGTATCGTGGGGGGTCAAAGTGAAGTCGGTCTCGTTCTCCCGTTTGGGCCTAAGGTGTATCTCTTCAAATGGGAGGCGCATTCTCGCTTCGGCCTTTTCACATTTTGGTGCCGGATGTTTCATAATCTCAATCTTTTGTGTAGGGAAGGGCCTTTCATGAGTACCCATCTTCCATTGTTTGATGAAGATCCTGCCGCGTTGATGTACTTTGGCGGTAAGCACAATGTTGACCTGTTCCAAAGATTGGAAAATTGGGTCAACCCCAAAACCTGACGTTGTTATGAAAGAAATATAATATGGGGGCCACAGGCCAAAAGGATATTCATTGGTAAATATGTAGGATAGTGGATAGTTGTCAGAGGAAGGATATTGACTGAGTGGTACCTTCTATAGACAAACCGAAGACCGCCTTCCAGACTCGTAACAACGTACATACAGAGAACACCATCTACACATACTACTAGTACACAGCGGAAGGGAACATGACCTCATCCTGTATGCAGCGCTGGGCCAATCCGGTTGTGTGGCCATGTATACATACGATAACGATGAGTATGGTTTTGGCATGTGGTATGGCTGGACGGCAGATCAAGGCTGTGTAAATTAATGCCTCCAATAAATTTCCCTGGACTCGCTCTGACAATTTTACTAGTGTTGAGTACATGAAGGAAATTGACGTCCGTTTGAGCTGTTCTGGTGATAAGTCGCATGTCACATTTCCATCTTCCCTTCCCAGCATCATGGTTAGCCGCGTGGCTGCCTAGTTGGACGCGGCCACAACGATGATGACACCATGATCCTTTTTACCACACGCTGTTACCTAGGTACTGACAGTACGCTATATTAGTTGCACTGTTAGCTGATCATGATTTCGGACTATCTGAAAAAGACTACTCAAAAGACTACTCGAAAGACTACTCAAAAGACTACACAAAAAGACCATCAAAAACAGACATAACACGCCGTATAAGCCGACTATTTGCAAAGAGTGGTGAGACAGGCGGTAATGAGCTGCCGGGTGTTAGTTGATCATTTCCGTATTTCGACTCTACCTCTCTCTGATATGGATCGACGCAATCAAGTTAGCTTTGAGCTTACGAACAGATTATCCGCCCTACTTGATGCTGCACGAAATGAAGAGCTTACCTCAGAGTTGCAACTTCTTTCCACCGAACCACGTGAAGTCTTGAGCCGGATTCTATCGCCAACCTCCGTTATCTCTACAGCTTCCTCATCCGCACTCAACACCACACAGCAGACGGCTTCTGTTGGGTTTCGTAGTATTGGCTTTGGCCAATGTGGAATGGTTTTCGAACGGCCTGGCCATGCGTACGCAATCAAAATCGCCCGCCCATCATTCGAAAATGCCCTTTGGGCAGATTTCCAAGCCCACTTCGCGGTCTACCAGGCGTTTACAACCCAGCAGTTCGTCGAAGTACGTATTCCCCGAATCTTCTCATACGTGCCAAAAACAAACCATGAATGGTGGGACTCCCATGTGAATCTTTTTCATGGAACACACCCCTCTTTCCCTCTGCCTGCAATGGCCTTGATCACCGAAAGAATACCTCCCATACCCAAGCTGGCTCGGCAGGCCCTCATCGATGTCTATTGTCCCGCGCCGTCACAACTTGCTGTAAGCTCTCACGACACTAACCGTGATTGTCTTGCCCGCATCTATCTCGGCCGCCGACGTGGTGCGAATGATCCACCACCACGCAACTTCACATTGAGAAACTTCAACTTGTGTCTTGATCAGATGATCGAGCTAAACCTACCTATCCAGCATTACGCAAGAGATATTGGGCAGGCTTTGGCGATCATGCATTGGTCCGCAAACGTGGATGGCTACGATGTTGAATTTGTGCTAGGCAGTGAAGGGGAGACAATATACACCCAGGATATTTCTCGCTCGTTGGGACTCAGCGCAGAACGGATTACGAAGATGGCCCCTCACACAGACGTGGACAGCATGATACGTGCCAAAGTTCAACGCCGAACTACTCGTGTCTGGGTTCTGGATTTCAATTTGTGCAGTATATGGGAAGAACGAATGGGAATTGAAAGGCCGGATGACTTGATAGCTCATCTCGTGAGTGCATTTTTTGAAAACGACCCTTATTACCCTCGTGCAACCCCAGACCTTGAACTTGAAAAGGCTCTCTGGTCTACGTTCAGCTCGGCATACCGTGATGTAGCAGCGAGTCTACTGTCAGTCCCAGGAAAAAATCCGGGACTTGCGGTACTTCCACAGAAGTTTCTTGATGCTTGTGTGTTACAACAATCAGAAAACTCAGCTTCGGGAAATTGATATCTCGATGAGAGCGGTACCTATCGTGTTGAAAGGGGTTTGCTGTATCATTATCTTGCTTGCTATGAGCCTGTTGAATGATCCAACTCTGATGTAGCTAAATGAATCGAGCCGCGTCATATTATCGCAGAGAACTCTCAACTTGACATTCAATTCACGTTACTTGCATATAAATTTCTTGTTGCTTGTATGTTACGAGAATCAGATAATTCTGTTTAGAGTAACGATGTCTGGATGAGCGTATCACGTATTCATAGGCTCTGCTGAGATCCGAGTTGCAGGTCATTGAGTTATTTACTAGATTTCTTTCATATTAGGTTTTCCCTTTACTTCCTTCTTCTCACTCACCTTGAGGGTGGGAGCCTTCCCGTCTAGCTTGAAGTCTATCATGTGATGGAGTTGTTCCTTCCTCGTTGGGGCTGCTCAAGTACACTTACTCCGTCGTCGACTTTCTCCTCTTTCTTTTGTTTCTCTCTCCTCCAGTGCAGTCACAATGGAACCCACGTGAGTAAAGTGCATTCAAGCTCACACTCAAGGCCATTTGCTAATGAGGGAATCTCCAGGACTGCGAAAAAGCGTGCCAGAGTTGATGAAGCTGATGACCAGAACGACTACCCCCCGCGGTACAGGCCGCCCCCCTTCTGTCAGCATTGTGGAGCGAGATCGCACCCTGGAACATGCCGCTTCCCCTGTCCTCGCTGCGACAAAAGGCATATTGGGGTATGCACGGCGTTCTGCAGGAAGTGCGCAGATATCGGCCATTCGTGGCGCCATTGCCGGCTGTTCGTGCCAGACCAGATATGGCGAAAGCACCGTCATGGCACGCACACGACGATTGAAAATGTGAACATAACTTTGCCCGTGATAAAACCTGCATCGGTACTCACACCAACCTCCCTCAACGCAGCTATTCTGTCTCAGCTGGATGTAGCCCTCGGGCGACTCCATCGGAAAGCAGGCCTTCCCATGCATGCACGTGTCATGATGAACAATGTCAACATAACAACAAGTATCCTCGCTCCTGAACGAGCGTCCCCTCTTGCTCCGGACACCTCACTGCTGGAGAGAGTCAAACCAATTCCGACTGGACCTGGATCCAACATCCCGAATAATCGGCCAACTACTATGAAGCCTACCTTCGCCCAGTCATCCTTCGCTCGTTCGGCCTTTTCCCAGCCTATGTTTAGCCAGCCTGTGTTTGGCCAACCTGCATTCTCCCAGCCGACCTTTATACAGAACAACTCTGTGGAAATGACTCCAACCTACAGCCGATCTTTTGCTGATTTGAAATGCTGAGTTTCTCGCTTCTGTCAAGGAAGTTCAATTGAAAGGAATGAAAGGAACAACACCAGGGAGGGTTATCAAAATGAGATGTATGTCTATTGTTTTGTATCACCACCATCCTGCTATCTGCGGGCTTGAATGAATCGATGTTTGATTTACTTTCCTGGCTTGGGTTAATTGAAGATATCGAAGTCTTTTCAGAATTATCAGTTTGAAGTTCTGGTCTATTCAACATATGCCGATGCTTCATACATACTACTTACTGTCTTGCAGGACGGCTCGTGACATCATACTGTCACCAGTTAGGGTCGTGTAGATCGACGATAACACCCCTTCCTTCGATCGGGCGATGTCCGCTATCAGAGGCTTTCACCCCTCAACACCCTCCTAGGCCCAACTCACGCACGAGAAAGCATGTCTCCCATCTCCATCGGACTCCCAAAAGTCTATGCTAGTGCAGGATCCAATTGCGTGCCACCAAACGACTTCATAATCGGGACATGGCACGTAACCCACTCCAGCCTCCCCCAGTGGAAAGGCAAGCGCAACGTCAACATCACCTACAAGCAACTTCCGGCAGACTCTGCCGGGGTCCAAAAGTTCGAAGACCTGATACAATACCAGTCTATTGACTCTGAGAAAATCAAATCCGTTCATGGCGTGGAAACCCCAACGCCAGGTAATCCCGGCGCCTGGGATTGGTGTGGTACAGGCTGGCTGATGATGGCGAGCGCGCACTGGGAATGTCTCGGGTTCGGTCGTACCGATGATGATAACCAGTGGATTGTCAGGTACTTTGATAAAACGCTCTTCACGCCTGCTGGCATTGATGTCTGCTCCCGGAATAAGGGGGGCATTCCGCAGACTACCGTCGAGCAGATACTCGATGCTGTTAAGAGGCTTGGGGTCAAGGGTATTACAGACCTCGCTGATAGCGTGTTTCAGATTCCTCAGAACTGAAAGGGAAAGCTAGAGGATAGGATGTCGTTCATGTGTTTTCAGAGTTTGTCGAAAGCAGAGGGCTCAGTTTGTTCAGACAATTTCGGGGACGTTGACATCTCCAACTTAGAGCTGTGGATCACCAAACTGGTCAAATTGGTGTTTCTGGACCTTCGATTCATGTTCATCGACCTTGGGGAAGCCGCTGAACATCACTGTCTCCAGGTCCGGAAGCGTCTCACAATTTGTCCCAATTACCTTGCAGACAAACATTCACACTCCGCATGAGAGTCCTTTTGCCACGAAGTCTGGAGGCTCTCACCGTCCCAGATCAGGTTTCGCATGTAAATTCTTTGAATCTTCAGGCCCGCTGCTAGCGGGGGACTCCTGTGATGGCCCCGGCGCATCATCCGGACGATTATTCCACGCCTGAAGCCTGTATAGTGACAATGTGCAATGGGACTCAGACTTTCATAGAGGCATTTTGTGAGTTGGGAGTTCCTTTTTTTCGGGATTAGATCATTATTTAATAAAACGTGCTGTTGAGGCAAAATTAAATTCCAGCGCAAAAAAAGCAGCCCGTGCGGCAAGCAAAGCATACAAGGCGTGGTTGAATAATATTGACATCGAGATACTATCTACACAGTCATCAACATGCTAGCATTCTTATACCAGCTCAGCAGCGGATTCTCCCCATTCCGCGTCTCCGTATCCTCAATATAAGCCCAACGGTGCACAAACTCTTCATGGCTTGTGACCTGCGTCAGCTTCCCCGTAACAGCGCGGTACATATCCTCGACGACATTAAAATCCGTCGGGAAGAAGATGTCGAAGTAGCCTTGGTGGACCTGCAAAGGAAGATTAGCCATATTCAAAGTTAACATCGTAGGAAATATCCACATACAAAAGGAGTCGACACCGGCACTGTCTGCCGCTGATAGCGAGTCTGTACGACCGGCGCGTTGACCCCGGGCACGGCATCTGGCAAGGAATTGAAGTCACTGGAGACGAGACGGTGGGCAGGGAAGTATTGGTTCAAAACATCGAAGAACTGCATCAGTCGGGTGGGGATGTACTCCGGCAATGAGTATTCCTTTTGGAAGGGCGCGGCGGAGCGGAGGCCGCGGAGGAGTGGTGGGCCCAAGGGACTCGGGAAAGGGCGGCGGGCAGCGGCTTGGCGCACGCGCAGGAAGCGAGCTGCGACTGGGTCGAGCTGGTTGTTGTAATACTCGTGGAACTCGCCGTCAGAATCGATCAGCACACCACCCTGCTGTGGGGTTTCGGTGCCTTGCTTGTAGCGGATGGTGTCGTGGGCGAAGTTATCGAAAACCTCTAGGGCCAGGAAGAAACACGGGGAATGAACGTATGTGTCCCAGTCGAAGATTGACCGATTTACAATCTCGACCTTGTCCCGGTGTCCCTTCGCAGTGAGCTTGTCGGTCAAATTCTTGTACTGTAGATCTGCCAGCGCGGGCGAAATCTCAATGATCTTGAACTTGGTGCGCTGATACACCTCGTAATCGGTGTCGCGGATAAAGTCCAAAATGTTTAACATCATCGTACCGTTTCCTGCGCCCATTTCGTAAATGATCAGGTCGTGGTACGGGTATAGGGTCAGCTTGTAGTTTGACACCAAATACCGCGCAATCGTCTCGCCATAGTATGGTCGGAAGAGCTCGGTCGGTGTGTGCCACAGTTGCCGCGCGATGTCTGGGTTCGTCGCATCAAGCTTGTCTTCAAACTCCGTGTACCGTTGACCAAGGAGTTTGTGGAACGTGGGCCCGTCTTCGATGTTGTTGAAGTCAAACGGCTCTCCGGGGCTGAAAATTGTCGCGTGTTTGGAAAAGTATCCGTAATGTGGGTTGTAGAGGCTGTCTAAAGGCGAAATGTCAGAACTAGTCTCGCTGCACTTAGCCGCCGAACTTACCGTCGATGAACTCGCGCGTCAGCATCTTGACCTGCCGCGGCCGTTCGCGGCGGTTGCGTAGCTCCTTCGCTGTCACTGTCGGGTATGTCCTGTACTCCTCATCGATATTCTTGGGGTAGTCCCCTCGTTTTGTCCAGAGCTGGATATCATCTTGATCGTGCGGTTTGCGCTTCACGTTGACAGGTGTGCGCCGCGTGAGAAATGATCGGGACTGTGGTCGAGCAAGAATGGAAGGTGATCGCCTTAGTGATCGACATGCTGGATGGCGGAAGAGCTGTCGGAACAGCTGGGTGAGGACTGGCGAATCCATTGTGATTGCAGAGCTAAGCTCAAGTTGGTTCCGGGGAGAAGAACGGTGTTTCTGGATAACCTTTCTGGCCTCAGGCAGGAAACCACGTGCCTCAGGCAAAACGCATCACCTCCAATTTCTTCGACACTGGGAATTACAAGCTTCTTGGAGCCGAACACAAGTTGGATGCAAGGAGAACTCTTTGAATTGGCTGTCAATATTCTTGTTCATCGACGAAGTACAGGCTGATTCCTATCTTCCACCAAAAAAGCCCGATGGTCCGAGCTTCATATCTCCCGTCTATGCGCATAACCTCGATCTTCAAGACATAAAACGGCATTGGAAGATGCCAGATCATTCGGCGGCGTATTTAGGCACGGCCTTCGTGACCGGTGTCTGCCTGGCATTTGCATATCAAGAACTCTCACGTCCAAAGCATGAGGATAATGTGACAGCACAAATATCTCCAACAAATGGCCTCATCGCCCGAGCTGGCCCGCCCACTATTGTGGAAGGCATTGAAGGCTGCATTGGAAACACCCCTCTATTCCGGATCAAATCACTATCAGACGAGACGGGATGTGAGATTCTAGGCAAGGCAGAGGTATGTAGCCTTGGTACTTCGTATCCCAACCACCTCGAAAAAGAGCTAACAATGCGCTAACAATGCCCGCAGTTTTTGAATGGCGCTGGCCAGAGCTCAAAAGACCGAGTCGCGCTAAGCATGATTGAGATTGTATGCTAAAATACACAAAAAAAAAAGATTCCCTGCACTAGACCAGCATCACTGACTCCAACCAGGCAGAAGAACAAGGTATCCTGACACCCCATTCAGGCGACACAATCTACGAAGGTACATCGGGATCAACCGGCATCTCACTAGCAACACTAGCCCGGGCAAAAGGCTACCTAGCACACATGTACGGATACGCCACCCTCGTTGTCTCACCCAATAGCACAAAACACTACTAATGCGCATGCAACCCAGCTGCCTGCCCTCGGACCAGGCAATTGAAAAATCCAACTTGCTGCTTAAACTCGGGGCAATCGTGGACCGGGTTCCGCCAGCCCCAATAGTGGAGAAGGACAACTTCGTCAATCGCGCACGAGCACTAGCAAAGACGCACACAGCCTCATCGGGCATCCCCTCTGCGTCAGCGGAAGAGCAATCCGATCTCCCCGCGGCAAACGAGCGCATGACCCGTGGCCGGGGCTTTTTCGCCGACCAATTCGAGAACGAAGCTAACTGGCGCGCCCACTACGAAGGGACAGGCCCAGAGCTGTACGCCCAGTGCGGGGGCCACATTGATGCGTTTGTAGCGGGCGCCGGCACTGGTGGGACGATTTCCGGCGTCGCGAGGTTCTTGAAGCCCTTGCTGCCTAAACTTACCGTTGTGCTGGCTGATCCGCAGGGGAGTGGGCTTTTTAATCGAGTGGTCTATGGTGTTATGTTTGATGTTAAGGAGAGGGAGGGCACGCGAAGGCGTCGTCAGGTTGATACTATCGTTGAGGGGATTGGGATTAACCGTGTCACGGCGAATTTCGAGGCTGGGAAGGAGATGATTGATGATGCGGTGCGTGTCACTGATGCCCAGGCTTTGGCTATGGCTCGCTGGCTTGTTGAGAAGGATGGGATCTTTATTGGGAGTAGTAGTGCAGTGAACTGTGGGTTTATTAACTCTTTGCCTAGTGCATCTGATATGTTTTACTAATGGTGGATTCTAGGTATCGCCGCTGTCAAGACAGCGAGGAAGCTTGGCCCTGGTCATCGGATTGTCACGGTACTTTCGGACTCTGGCTCACGGCATCTATCTCGATTCTGGGCCAAGGCTGGAGATGTTGGTGGGGCTGTTGATACGAAGCTTGAGGATGTTATGAATGCACGGGACGAAGACTTCCAATAGATAGATTAATTGAATGTGGTATGGTAGTCATGGTTATGATATGGATGTAGATAGATTTATCGATCGTCGATCACTAGCCCCCTATTAGTATAATTCGGTTGCATCCAATCGCCATTTTTCAGGAGTTTACAAAAATGCCCAAGAAGCTGCCGGGAGCAGACACCTTACTGTCAGTTGTCTTGGTCATTTCATGAATGCCGAGCTGCTCATGCTCTTCCTGAGCATCTTCGGACGCAGCATTGCTATCTCCTGCCTCATCTTTGACTTCCTCCACGGCTGCTTCAGATTCTGACTCATCCTTTATCTCGTCGTCCTGTTTCTCTTCGTCGTGTTGCTGCTCTTCCGACTCCGCCTGTTCCTCCGTGTTCCCTAACATTGCAGAAGTAAAGCCCTCACCAACGAAAGCACGTAGCAGCTCGAACTCAACCTCATGTCGCGATCGGCCCTTGAACTGACTTTGTATCTGACCCCAGGTAAGATCTGATTGGGTGCTGAGTCGGGCCAGAGCTGCCAGCTCAGGCTGCGACCAGGCGGCGGAAAGGGAAGGCGGATTGGCGAGGCGGCGGGTCCAGTGATTGTAGAACCAATGCCAAACTGTCTGGTACTCGCGACCTGGCAACATGTGCATCACGTCGCTGGCCTTCTTTTCTTGTTTGTACATCATGCAAACGATTAACTTTGCTTCGTCGGGTGTTATGGGCCACCTTTTGCTTGGGGTGCTTTCCATGGGCTGCGGGGATGGGGCGTACGTGCTAGCCGTGACCTTGGGGGTTGAATCGCCTTGTACCACAGAACCAAAAGGCAGTTCGTTTTTGTATTCTGCTTCAGGCGCTTTGATTTCTTGATCATTTGGTCCGCAGCCTCCTTGGGGTTGTTCTTCGGGTACTCCGTCTTCTTGGTGGCTCGGTTCGCAGCCCTCCTCTTCAGGGCATGCTTCAAGCACCTCTTTTACCTGATTGCTCGATTCGCAGTCCCCTTCTTCAAGGTGTGTGTCAGGCACTTCATCGTCATGGTCGCTTGGTTCAGAGCCTCCTTCTTGGCCATCGCCTTGATCGTCACCTTGATCATCGACTTCGATGACAACAGTCGGCTGCTTCGAAGGAGTAGATGGACCATCGTTCTCTTTCGTCGGAAGGTGGCGCTTCCCGCGAATAATTTTCATTTTCGATGGTGTCGGTGATGGCTCATAGTCCTGCAAAGGGTCATCTGACTCATTTCCATCTGGTACTGCCGCAAAAGACCAGTCGTGCGTCACAGGGCTGGAATGATATTTGCGCTTCGCGGCTGGTCGGCGCTTACTCGGCGTGGCCTTGGGTTTCGTTTCTGTGCGTGGCTTACGGGGTCTGCGCAGAGCCCAGACGGAGCCGCTCCCTGGCGGGGACGAAGACCTAGGAGGTGGAGAGAAGCCCACGTTTGATTTGCGGGTCTCAGTGGTGGGTGTTGAAAAGGATAGGGGCAAGTCTGGGACTGCCCAGATTGGATCTTGCGGTTTAGAAGCTGGGATATGGTTGGTGGGATGGGAGACATGTTCCTCCTTGGTCATAGGACTGAGGCCTGCAGTCCCAGATGCTTTGAAAGTAAACACGAAATCCAAAGAGGTATCCATGTCTGTCTGTAGCTGTTTCGATGGCGACGATTCACGTGGAGCATTTGGTGAGCGACGACTGGGAGAGGATGCCATAGAAAAGAATTCATCCTCCTCTCCCTTCGTGCTTTTGTCATCGTCTGCATCGGATTCTTCCGGCCTATCTAGGTCACTCTGGGGGAGCCATGATCGCGGCTGGTCCCCAGCGTCGTTCTCGCCCCGCATCCCCAGAAGATGCCCATTATCTACCACTATGTCCCCGGTCTGCAGGTCGATCTCATCACCGACGTCGGTGAAGTCCTGGCTATATTTCGCAAAAATGCCTTCGAAGAGAGACTTCAGTCGCGAGTCGTTCTGTGCGCGCGCAGCTGGAAGATCAAATTCCGCGGGGACCTCTTCGTCGTCGTCCGGGGTATATGATAGACATGGTCTCTTCGCTGGTCGTTCCGTATTGTCCTGCATGGAGTGGTCCATGCTGATGTCCGGGTCGTTCATGGTCGCGGATAAGAATCGATAGGCGCGTGCCTTAGAAGTGATCGAACGTTGAGCGCGTAGTAAAATAACGCATAATTAAATTCGGCACCTATTGATTGTAAGAGTAAAGTGAGGTGTGCAGGCGCAAGCGCGAGCAAATATGCGGCAGACAAAAACAAACCAAAATGACGTTTCCCCCGAAGCTTCCTTGGAGCTCCCCGACTTCCTCTCTTCCCCACACCCCCCGGGATGAATTAACAACCATGTATTGCCAGAAGTGTCGCACGCCACTGAAGCTGGATGGCTCAGTAGAGTCATTAAACCCAGCTGCTTTTGACTTGCTATCCAGTAAGTTCACACACAGGGCGATCGTTCCGATCCCGCTAATTAAGCTGCGGTCTAGACTCTACAGGCAAGACGCTGTCAGATACAGGAGCTGTCTCCTCATCAGCGCGATCATCCTATCCACGCGAACACCGCGACAAGTATGACCAGTCCTCTAAACATGCTACGCCGCCGGTTTACAGACGGTCTATCCCCGCCCCGCGTGCAGGAGGCCAGCACAACCCACCGGCAATACCCCGAGCCGATAGCGGCAATATGTCATTTGTGATGCTCACTGACTCTCAAGTCGCGCCACCCCCGGTCACTGAGAATAATTCTGCTGCCCGAAGCAAGCGAAACCATACGCAAGCCCAACTGCGTGGCCCGGAGGATGGCTCATTCGTTGACCAAGTGGAGAAGACAACGCGGCTGTTTGAGATAGTCTCGGCGCGCTCCGATATCGACCATCCTATTTGCGTGGAATGCACTGAGCTGCTTGTGGAAGGATTGCAAAAACGCTTGGCTGGATCTACGAAGGAGCGAGATGCCTACATCTCATTTCTTAGGAACCTAAATGGGTCAATCCCGACCGAGGAGGAGCTGCAGGCGGCACAGAAATCGTTGGATGAGAGCCTCGAAGCGGAACGGACCTCATTCGCAGAGCTGCAGGCCTTTGAAAAAGAAAAGGCTGCCTTAGATGCAGAGATTGCGACCTTGGAAATTGAATCGCGACGCTTAGATGCGGACGAGGAGAGCTTTTGGCGGTCTCGCAATGCGTTTGCCTTGACGCTGACCGAGTTTCAAAACGAACGGGATGCGCTCAATATGCGTTATGATCATGACTCCCAGCAGCTTGAGAGACTGCAAAGGACAAATGTCTACAATGACGCGTTCTGCATTGGTCATGACGGATATTTCGGTACTATCAATGGACTACGGCTGGGCCGGCTAGCCAATCCCTCTGTTGACTGGCCTGAAATAAATGCTGCATGGGGACAAACAGCCTTACTCCTGGCCACAATGGCGGAGAAACTCGGATTCCACTTCCAGGGGTACCGTCTCAAACCGCTAGGATCTAACTCGCGGATCGACAAGATTGAATATCCCATGCAGCCATCCGGTCAGCCGGTGGAGGGAGCTGCACCTAAAGTGACCCAACTAGACCTGTTTTCGTCCGGCGATCTCCCGCTCAACCTTCCTTGGCTTCACCGTCGGTTTGACTCGGGTATGGTGGCGTTCCTTGAGTGTCTGCGCCAGCTGGGGAAGTTCGTTGAAAAGACCCCGGCGCCCGTTATATCCCCCCGCCGAGGCCAGACCGGCGCCACAGCACCGGGGTTGAAACTGCCCTATGATATCAAGCGGGATCGTATTGGCGATGCCAGCATCAAGTTGGGCTTCAACCAGAATGATGAGACATGGACTCGAGCCTGCAAGTACACGCTCACTTGCTGCAAGTTTCTCCTTGCGCATGCCAGCAATCTAGCTAGCACGGGGTCTAGCAATTCAGCTGCTGTCGCGGCTGCAGCCGTAGCAGCCGCAGAAGAAGCCCGACAGGCAACGGCCAGCCCGAAGAATAAACCATGACCACATGAAACACACCCAAGCCCAGGATATTTTCTAAAACAGCAAAAGGTGAGGCTGCAGCACAGGATTGAAATGCGAGTCATGTGGCCGAAAAATCGCGCAGATGGATGAGATTAAAGACCTGCACGGCGCATCACTTTCGTACTTTGTCGATAAGGTCTAATGTACGGAGTACGATGTACATCGAAGTACATTATAGGGGGATGGCAATGACGTGCCACCGCACTGAATGTTTCAACCAAGGCTAAACCCCCGCGCCTCATTGGCCTGTCACAACACTACTGGAATGACGAGGCGGCCCAACCAATCCCCTGACATATCTCGGCTGAGTGCAGCCCTGGCGCGTGGGCCGGTAACAGACCTCCCCACTTCTCTCAATAACTCCCACCATTTCCTCCTCGTATGAGCGCAGGAGAGAGAAGACGCCTCCGATATGCATTTGTACGCCATTCAATCCAGTCTGCGCGCTACATCCTAGTACCTGCATGCGATCCGAGCCGGTGAACGATGGTCCGTGGACCTATGAGCGTGTCGGCGGCGGATATCTCCGTATACAGGCGGCTCGAGTGGAGGGGCTCCACGCGGGATGGCCGTTGTGTTCCCACTGTCCACATTCCAAGGAAAGCGCGGTTATTGTTTTGTGTGGATTTAGGTTGTTTCATATTGCTCTGTTATGTCTGTATTCGTAACTAGAGCAAAAGCAGTACACCCCGCAATTTTGCGACCGATCATGTCCATTCGAGGATTAGTTATTTGGAGCCTGGATACCCCGGGGCTAATTCGGGAGAAGTGTTATTTACGCACTTGTTTTTCGTTTTTCATTTTTCGTTTTTTGCTTTTTCAAGTGTCTTGGAACTTATTGTTCTTCCACCCCCTTTACTATTAAATATGATTGTACTCCCGTACATATGTACTTTGCCTCAGCTATTCATTCGGATATAATCCAAGCTCAAAGCAAAGATACCTTTTATCCCTCTCGGGGACCAGGATTCTTGCTCCCCGAAAGACAAAACAAAAAACCCTGTAGATCAGTGCAGCGCCCATCTTTCAACCTATTATTCCCAGCTGACCACACTAGTTCCTGGGTTTTGCGCTGGGAGTTCTAGCCCTTAGGATATGGGCCACGCGTGCAGGTGATAACGGGGGCATGTGCACCGTTGTATATGAGAGTAGGATTGAGTCGAGAGTCGAGTCAGAGGAGGTAAATCTACCCAAGCCGAGGGTATCACTATAAGTATACATAAACTCCATTGTACTACCTATTCAACCCCGAGGGGATACAGCATAAAATATACAGATTATACGAAGTACTTCTGACGGGTCGCTAGGAAGGACTCCGTAAAAGAAATAAAAAAATAAAAAAGGTAAAGGTAGCACGGACCTTGCATCGTACGTTTCAATAAGTCTCGGCCGGAAATGGATTATAACTAACAAGTTACCCTATAAATACTCACCAAGAGGGAAATTGGGGAAATTGGTCTGACAGGGTAACCTTGTCTAGAGCCCAAAGCGCATGCCCCCTTGAGGATCGTGGGTTGTGGATTTGGTTTTAACGGGCTTAACGGCTTTACTCCTTGCTGGGGTTGACAGTTGAGATCTGGCACGTTATGGCAGGTGTCATATACAACATACTCTATAGTACATATAGATCTACTCCGTACTAGATCTACATATGATTCATGAGTCATGATACATGTAATCCGTACCATCCATGGATATGACGTGGCTTTATTGATCCACGGAACTAGGATTTTAGGGATTTTAGCCTCGGGGAAAGACAAAGACCTGTCAGGGAAGATTCGGCCCGCTCCCGGTGGTTTTTTTGTTCTGATCTGCAGGTTATATTTGGTTAGTTATATTTGGTTATATTTGATTATCTATTAGATTAATATAGTACCTAGGGTAATATAAGTATAACAGCCCTGGAGTACGGAGTACTCCGTACTCTGTATATTATTATCTATCTACTATCTCCGTATTAAAAAGAAAAAGGCAACGGAAAATGCATCCAATTTGCGGCCAGTGCACTGCATGTAATAGTTCGCTTAGGCTGTAAAAGCCAAAAGTACCTTCTCCACTTGCTAACGGTAGAAATAATAAAAAAATAATAAGTTTTTAATAGGAAATATAAAAATGTATTAAAAAAAAGCAAAAAAATAAACACTAAAATAACGAAATAACAAAATACAAAAAAATCACAAGAAAGCCCATATCAAGAGGCTCCTACCACAAAAAGACCAAAGCCCGAACGGAGATATTCTCCCTTATACACGTCGATCGTGACAAGTTGCCTGTGGCCATGGCCATGGAGCCCAGTCGACAAGCTGATTTGTCCGGGGAAGCAGGGGGTCGTGCGTCCGCGTGCACGTCGCCGCAAAGAGAAGAGAGAGAATTCCTTGGCCCCCTCATCTCTTGCCTCTTTGCTATTTTATTTATTTTATTATTTTATTTTCTAGAACATATTATGATTTGCATTCCTTAAAAGAATTTATTATGGACCACCGGAACCTCTGTTTTGCATACTAATATCTGATGAGACCAGTATGATATGAGAAACCAACTTTATCTCACCCTCGATCTCATACTTTTTTTAATCATGGAGAATAATTACTCAACTCCCATCTCCCCTCAATCGCCTAACGTCTTTCGACCCCGCCGATCGGATGACTGGCACGAATACCGTGAAATCATCGAACAACTCTACCGCAACGACCAGTTGAAACTACGCGATGTGAAACGCATCATGGAAAGGGATTATAAGTTCTTTGCATCGTACTACTATCCTTTTCTTCTTTCTATTCTTCATCATCTTCCTCATCTGCCTGTTTGAATATGCCTGTTGCGTATTCATCCCATATAGTTCCCCTTCTTACTCGGCAGGATCACCCTAACTCCAGTCCATTAGAGAAAAACAATACAAAGATCGTCTTGCTGCATGGCATGTTCGAAAGAACATCAAAGCCAAAGAAGTCCATCTCATGCTCCGCAAGCAACAGAAGCGCGCCGCCCAAGGCAAACAGACAGCCTTCCGGGTAAATGGCCAAAATGTCGATCCAAAACGTATCGCCCGCTTCGTGCGTCGTTATGGGACATCATGGGATACCAACCGAGGCAAAGAACCAGAGACTGAGCCACAAAGCCCCGAACCTCGTGAGTTGACATCAACATCCCAAATTGATATAGAACCGGGGATGGATATATCAAACCCCAAACTACAAACTACAAACACACGTAACTAACAACCCAACAGAAACACCCTCCGACATGACCTGCTATACACCAGAACCAACAGACGAACACAGCGTCACAACGCCCATCTCACCACTACCCGACATGCAATCGCCAACCCGAGAGATGCCACCCTACCCACTCGGCTCATACGGTAAATCCATGGCCGTTCCGGTGAGTGTGAGTGTACCGAATGATATTGATGGAAGATATCTCGCTCTAGACCCAAACCACCTCGAAAACCTTCCCGATCTGGAACTGGAAGAAAGCCCCGCCATTCCGCTATCTATGCACCCAAACCAACCCCGCCATATCCAGTCCTACCACCATTCAATAGGCAACCACCTCTCACATGGTGCACATGCCTCTCACAGCTCCCATGGTTCGCATGGTGTACACGGTACTCACTCTGCTCATACTGCTCACCCTGTTCATACTCCTCACACTGCGCATGGTCACCCTGGACCGGCACCGCGGGATCTAGAGGATGCTCCTAGTGAAGCCGATACCCATCCGCCTGACTGGAATACGGTTGAGTCGTTCCAGACGAGGTTGCAGGATTTGGATTTCACGCTTACGCAGTCGATGTCGAAGTGGGCTAGGGATCAGGATCCTAACCATGAGCCTCCTCATCATGAGGGATTGGGGATGTGATTTTGATGGTTTTGGTTTTGATTGAGACTCTTGTTTCTTTTTTTTTTCTTTTCTCTCGATTGCTTCATTTGCTTTCTATCATATCTTGATTTCCCCCCTTTCCCATCAGCGTGTTAGCCTGTTTTCTTTCTCTTCTCTCGTCTGTTTCTCTATGTATATGGTTCCCGTGCTCTGTTCCCATCCTCATCTCCCCTCCAAACATAGCCCAGGGGAGGAAGACTCATAGCAAGGGCGTTCTTATTATGGATTCTTCGCGTTTTAGATTGGTGATCTATGCATTATGGCATTTGACTTTCTGTATATCTTGCAAGTGTGCTGGCTATCAAGTATGGGTAGCACGAGAAGGGGGGACACGTCTCAGCTCCACAACAACGATACATTTCCATCCGCTCGACCGACATTATCCTCCTCGAACCAACACCCCGGCTCCAGTCCTAGTCTCAGCTATGTCTCACCCGACACAACATTTCTCAGGCACAACCCTGGAAACTACTGTTCTGCAACCCTCCTCTCGAATCTCTGCCCAACTCTTCTACCACACAACCCCAGCCCTGTCGGCTATTACCCCGACCAACCCCGGCCAATTCACCGTTCGATCCCACAATCATACTTCACTTCACCCCGCCAGAGAAAATCGAGGGTGTACCAGCCCCACGGCCCCGCCTCTCCCTCCAGGATACCCCATGCACAACGTATACCAGATGGACACGACCAAGACCCGCAAACCACGTTTGAACGGAGTATCTCAGACAGCTGCCAGGTCATCGTTGGAACTTATCGTAAAACACTTCTACTCTATCTACTCTATTATACCTACTCGCTGTGTATGTATAGCCCTAGAACACACCCAGATCAAACCCACAGGATAACGTACATGTACACGTATGTAGCGATACGTGACACAACTCGGGCAGAAGGAAGCGTGGAAAGCGTAGTGCAGAAAGCACTGAAATGAATTGATGGAGATCTGTTATCTACGATGTATTCCAAGTAAACTAATTCAGAGCCATCTAAGCGTTTAAGCAGACTGTACTCCGTACTCTGTAGACCTACGACGAAAGTACCATGACAACGGTACATCTAGCACAACCTTGGAATACATCTGGATCATCCCATCCCAGGGGTGGATTAGTGTGTAAATGCACATAGAGTAGTACCACACAATTAGCAGCGAAAACCGGCACAGCCTTCGGCCCCTTACTCCATTACCTTAGTGCATTGTACATTATACATCATCAACCATAAATAGTACAAATACAACCACCTAATCTCGTCAAAAAGCTAAAACAGCCCTGGCAAGCCTCAAATTAAAACCTTCTAACACTTACCCAACCGGGTATCAAAGCCGGATTCCGAATTATCAGCCAAGCACTGGATTCGCCTCACCAGCCCCAAGCCCAATCCAAAAGCAAGAATGAAAATCCGACCGGGAGGGACTAGTCCGCGCTAGCCCGCACTAGCCCGCGCTGGAGGCAAAAGCTGCAGGAAGCCGGATCCAGGCGTGGGAAAGTCGAACTCGAAGTGAAACTGGAACTCGAATGGGGATGCGAGCTGGGGACAAGGGGGGGTGTAAGCGAGGTGACGTGCGCGGGTATGTGCACCTGCATGGAAGGGATGATTTGGATTTGGATTTAGATTTAGATTTAAATTTAGGGGTCAGGGCTTTGGGGATTTGCATAATGGTTCAGGTCTACACTACATACAGTACGTACTAGGTATGCACTCCGGGTACGGCGCATGTTGTACGGATATACGATTTTGGATAGCGGGGGGATCTTTGGATGTTGTGAATGTAGGGTACAACAATATTGGCCAGATGGGTATTAAACTACATGATGTAGATATGTAGACAAACAACAAACTCGATTGATATTCGATGTATCGAGTGTCAAAGTCAAGTGGTGGGGACGGATATGGATATGTGCCGGGAGCGGACGGGACGGGTATGGGATGGCCCACTGTGGGCCACACGAGGATAGTCCACGAGGGATGGGGAGTACTCCGTATTGAATGGGAGTATTGGATAGGGGTTGTGGTACTTTTGTGGTTACGGAAGGGGGCAGGAGGGGGCTTTTTGTTTCGAACTAGAACTAGTGGGAGAGTTTTGCGGTGTGTATGTGTGCATTGCACTAATAAGTACTAAATACATAAGCCAAAAGGGATCGGGGAGACCGTCGCTAAAATGAATCCAATCCGATGGGACGACAGAAGGAGAAGGAGAAGTCGAAATGGAAAAAGAGAGGGAGAAGAGGTGGGAGACGGGGGAGAGACTACCCAGGTCATACTGAGGGTTGATATCATCAGCCCTGGGTAGGGAGGAAATAACCACTGGCATCACAGCTAGGCTGCTGCCTGCACAGTAGATCACAGGTCATAAGGAGAATCGAGAAGAACCGAAGGCACGCTCGGGGGATATATAGGAATGAGCACAAAGCTCGAAGGGATGAGGGCTTTTTGCGGGTTAACGTCACTATCAGAAAATCATACCCTGCTCCAAATTGTCTAGCATTCCAAAAGCAAAGACAAAGACAAAAACACAAAGACAGATAGAAGAAGCAAGCCCAAACAAAGCACCGGGCAAAGTCTGTATGGCATGGGTCATGCATGGCTCATGAGTAGAAAGTGCTCTTCTGGAAGCTCTCAGGCGAGATATCACCAATCTTGCTGGTAAGCTCGGGCTTTCCCAGAGATGACAGGCTCTGTGTGCGACCTTCGGCCACAGGGTCGCCCTTCAATGAAGAGGTGCGAGTAGCAGGCTCGCTGCCTGCTGTGATAGCCTGCTGATTGGGCCGGCGCTGGATAGTCTCCAGGTATGGACCGGGGAGATATCCGACACGGCCGTCGCGGGCACGGCAACGCCACCACTCGGAGGCATTGCCCATAGGATCAGACTTGCTGAGGACGGCGACAATGTCGCCCTTCTTCACAGCCAGGTCAATGCCGTTGCTCTCCTGGGTCTCGGGAGTGTAGTCGTAGAGGAGACGGCAGAAGTCCAGCTTGGCCGGATCGAGCGATGCTGAGCCCGGCTCGCCGTTGGGGCCGACGAGCTGTCGGCGCTTCGCCTCTTCCTCCTGGGATCGGGCCATGGTCTTGATGAGCTTGCCCATCAAGTAGGGGAGGCCGAAGAGGGCAATCAGGAACATGAAGAAGGGCTTCTTGGATGGCTTGGCGGGAGCTGGTGAGCCATCGGGGAGTGTAGCAGCGGCACGGCCGCCCATGAAAGCTGCAAAGGCAGCGCGGGGTCAAAGACGTCGCATCAGCTGGCGGAGGACGTCCTGTGAGCTTAGCGATTAATGTGCGGAACCACCGGATGAGGGTGAAAATGCCCAAGGCTGAGCCCAGGGTGGTGCGCAGATTTCCAAATTGTTCTGCGACCGAGACCATTGCTATAAAAATGAGTCAGCGAGTGTCCATGATATTATTTTTTCTGATGAGGAAGACCAACCAAAGAATGAACTGTGCGTAGCCATGTACGTGCTCTCGAGCATCTGAGCAAAGCCACCAAACGCACCGACGATACTCTCAATCATGTGGAAAGTGGCCTGGGTGCTTTGCCCAAACGAGTTCGTCAGGCTGTTCGGATCATTGGGATCTTGTCCCGGCATGCCGCCGTACATCCCTCCCATTCCTCCCATACCGCCCATGCCACCGTACATGCCACCTCCGTAGCCTCCATAACCGCCACCGCCGTACATGGAGCCCATACCGCCCATGGAGCCGAAGCGGGAGTAAGGCGAGCCCATGCCACCCATGCCACCCATGCCGCCGTAGCTGGATCCGTACGCGCCTGTTCCAAGGCGCGAGGCTCCATACGGCGAATAGTTGGAGGCGGTGTTGTTGACTACAGAGTTGAGAGCGCTGGGGCGGGAGGGAAGGTCGGGGGCGGTGGACGTTGAGACTGCGGGGTTGGTTGTGGATGTCATCGCGGTTGAGGCAGCAGGGCTACCGGCGATAGGTGCTGATGATAATGCGTTTCCTGGAGAGAAGAAGAGGGGATGTTAGTCGGGGTGGGCACTTGTGGATTGCGCTGTTGTGGCGCTAGGATATCGGCAATCGAGAGATAGACACTTACCAGCTGCACCTGCTCTCTCCCACGGTTTTGGTGGCGAAGGCGTCGCCATGGAGTTTGATATTAGCGGAATCGCATGGAGACACGATGTAAGTTATGTTCAGATAGATTTGTCGCGAGACTGAAAGGGTGATGGGAGAAGAGAGAAGAAAAGGACGCATGTGGCCGGGAGTGGAGATGCCGAGGTCGGGGTTTGCCGAAGAAATACGGGGTATCTCTGCTTAGTACACACAGAGGCATAAATTGTAGATGGATTGTAAATTTTTATTAAGATAATCTAATTGTCTTGGTAATATCTAATTAGCAGATTCATCTTGTTCTGTTCAACCTGTTCGCCCTGCTTTGTTCGCTCTCTTCCATCTCTTCGGAGAAATCTCTTCGGTGGCAAATGCATGTACCTGGGAGGGCGACCGAGGTAATCTGAGATTACGATGAACAAAGTAGATCAAAGAATTAGTGGAGTCATCATATATAGGATGTACAACATATTTTATACATACTAGCGGGCATATTCAAATTTATGACCTACTCTAGCCCCCAATGTGTAACTCGACCGCATTTCCCTCTACAAGGGACATCACACAGACCTACACGGAAACACCTCCCTACAGTAAAATCCAAGCTAAAGAATCATGAAGGAATATAGATTCACCAAAATACTCCGAAAAAACGAAACCAGTCCAGACAAAGTCTATCAACGCCATAGCAGAGCCATATATGTACAGATGCCAATGCAAAGATGAAATACAGGGAACTCATAACTCGTCACGATTAGCATAGGCAGCAGGTTGAGTATGCGGACGCGGCTGGGGCGTCTTCAACTTCCACATGCGCGGAGGCACCGGCAATCCGAGCCAGAAATTGTACAATCGGACTAATTCCGACGCGCCGATTTGGAAACTGCAAGTCGGTCAGCATCAGTCTATCCAAATAAAGCAAATCCAAGCCCAAACTTACATTGTATGTGGGAGGTCCATCCAAGACTGCCAGATATACCCAACCGTACCCCAGACCATATCCCACTCGGACTTCAAATCCTCCCAGAAGCCATCGTCCGGGTTAGGCGGTTTGCGCTCCCAGGGGTACCGCTCTGGCGCCTCGCCTCGGCCGTAGACATACTCGTCGTCGTTTCCTTCGCCTTCGAAGTAGAAGTTGTTATTTCCATCCCTGAACACGCGCCTGTTGGTGCCGAGGGCGTTGGCATGGTGAGAGGAGGGAACAGCGCCGTGGACGGGGAACATGTGAGTGGTGTCGGTCAACAGGGCTCGCTGCATACTGCGCGAAGCAGCGATACTGTGCGAGATGCGGCCGAGGGTATTGATGAGGGCGACTAGCTCGGTGCGGCGTAGGGGCGGGTTCTCGCCGTTCTTGGTTTCGTCGTAGTCGAACAGCACCTTGAGCGCGGTCCCGTACCCGTTTACTTGGAGCTTGCCCCAGAGGCGGCACTTGTCGCAGCCGACGCAGTCCATCAGGCGACTGACGTTGCGGAAGCGGTTGCGGAAGTCCTCTTTCAGGCCGAGGGCGTAGGGGTCTTGGAACATGATATTCTCGTCGAAGATTTGAGGGAGTTCCGTTAAGGTAGATGTTAGCTTGTTGACGCGCCTTTTGGTCTCGCGGTCTTGCGCTGGGTCGCTGGAGCAGTATGTGTACCCGTCCAGGTGCTTGCGAAGTTTTGCCACGGCGCGCGATACTAGCGCGTAGTTGAAGTACATGTTTGAGATGCGCTCCGGGTGGTCGAGGAGTCGTTCCTTGAAGCATTGCACGTTAGGGTGCCACTGGCCTGTGGTTTGGTTGAGGTAGTCCCAGCACAGATGTGTGGAGATGGAAGCATGCATGCCGCTCAGGAGCCGGTGGAAGACCCGCTTCTCTAAGCACTCGTTATCCAGAGGCAGGCCTTCAACTCGCTGCGACTCCTTGTGGAGCACGTTGCGGAAGTCAGAGGCTGCCTGGAGGCCACCCAGCGGGACGTTCACCGACTGCTCCTCCAGCTCATCAGCCACGGGCTTCAAGAAGCAGTTTTCGCTGTAGATGGCATTCCACACTTGGTTTGCCCCTGGTCCAGAGTATCCCGTAAACCGCTCCGGGTTATCTACCAAGCTGACATAGTCTCCCTTTCCGGCGGAACCCTCGTCCTCGGGGACACAGTAGTCTCGTTCGTCACATTCGTCATCGTATTCCACCACACAGCTCTCGCCAACGTCGTCACCCAGCTCACCCTGAAGTGGGCGTTCTTTCGGACGCTCGGCTTGGATATTGCGGGATGGGTGGTTTGCCTTCGGGCCTTCTAGTTTGCTGAGTTCTTCCGCCCGCCATGTCACCGGAATATCCTCCTCTGAGTCAATGGTGTTCACGGCACAGGCGATGTTGCCGCACATGCTATTAGCATCGTTCCAGAACGGACACTCTTTATTGAACAGGTTGAGACGGTAGTAGGAGAAGAAGTCCGTTTCTTGTGTGAGGGAGTTGACTGTGGTGAAAATTAGGTCGTTCATGCCGTTGATCTCGCCATATGAGACACATGCATCCGATACCATGGTTGAATGTTCAAGCTGAAGCAAAATGGGCTGTCAGTCATCTGTATCTAGTATCCTGGGTCCTTGACAAGACTTACAGCACACTTGGTTGGGTCCAGTGAAGGATTATGAACGCTGGCATGGCTCAAGCCAGCAAGTGCGAACACTGCTGCATAGAGCAGCCCCGCTGCAGACCGCATCTTGGTCTCCGACTTGTGGTATATGTAGATCAAGCGTGCAGAGTCGCCGGTTGTTGTATATGCAAGCGGCGCGAAGGCCAGAAATTTAACGGAAGGGTCTGTTCGGTGGAAGTAAGTCGTGGGGTCTGCGCCGTGATGATTTAAAAGGAAAAAGAAACAATCTTAACAAGATAACAGAAAAAACAACAGAATCATGTCAGGGTCTGCGAAGTGGACAAGCTGGCCTGGAAATGCGCGGAAGATCGGCCGATCGCCAAGAAATGATAATGGCCTGATTAATGTTGGCCTCTGATTGGCTGGCTTATTGAGGTTCAACAGATTTGGAAAGTGGCAAGATGGAAGCCCATGGACTAATATGGTGCCATATATAGTACAATTATATTATAACCGTATAGTACATTGCAGGGTTATATAGTACAGCATATACCTAGTACAGCTCATCTACAGTCATTATCTCGCCCAACATGCCACTTTGCAAATATATATCAAACAACTATCAACTTCTGACTACGCAAGTAGACTGCCAAGGTGGTTATTGAGGGATGGATATATTTTCTGAATAAGAATATACAAGCCATCCAGATCCCTGTATAACCCACCTATCTAACCATATCCGAAATGGCGTCCACAGTTTCTTTTGTCTTTGCACTAAGGAAGCCTTCAGCTACGATGATCGTGCCACTTATTATTGGTGGGTAAATGTTACACAGGTATATATATATCAGAAGAAATGTATAGTACCTAAAGGCAATAATAAAGCTATATTTGCTCAATAGCCCGAATAACCCCGACATGTTGCCTCATCGGTGTTGTTCTACCCTAACACCTACCTCGTATTGGGAGTTACAAACATATCTATCAGTCGTTTCTTGACTGGAATGAGATACAATTGACTAATAAGCGGTCGACGATTTAGTGAATATCTACTATGACTTTTACGAAGCTCAAGGATCCCAACCTTAGATGTATATAGCCGAAAGTTATCCAAAGAACATACATATGTATCTGGAGGGCTATGGCGACTAAATCTACGGTACTAGGTAATACATAGTAGTTCCTTGTGTGTACAAAACATGTTCATTCAATACTGCCAGTCAAATGTCATTTTTTTTTCCAGAAAAAGAAGGACAGATACACAGTCTATAAAAACAAAAGCGAATATAAAAATCTAGCAATCCAAAGTCAGCGTAAGCAATAACCACCAAGACAACCAGCATTCTTAAACTCGTCGATAGTAAATACCAGATCATGCATAGTTATTATCTGGGTCTAATACTGGGTTCCTTATGCTGTTTCGGTTGCCTGATATTCTGTGGACTCTGAGGATCTGGATGGCGAGCGCCGGGGTCCTGACGGGACTGGTTTCTATTCAGAACGTTCCCGAAATTGGCATTCAAAACAGATACAGCATCACCAGTGTTAGGGGCTGGGACATTAGACGGGACTTGCGTACCACGTGGGGGTGGCCCAGACGCAATCGGTATACCGGGAAGAACACGTCCACCGGGGAGGGTGTGTGGGGTGAAAAGGGACTGAACACCTGGAAGAACCGGCGCCAGAAGATGGGCAGCATCGCCATTGTTCATGATATTAGGGAGTGGAAGGGCCATATTAGGCACCCGCGGTGTTAGTCTAGCATTCCCACGACGTCTCGGGCGAACACCCCGTTCAGGGTATGGTGCAGCGCGATGGCGTGTTTGCCGTGCCACACCGTAAATAGTATCGGTTGGAGCGGGCAGAGTAATATTGACACGTGGGTGGGTGCGGACTGGCCCAGCAGTTCTTGCTGCCTTGGTGCGTGGTTCAGCTCCGCCTGGTGTATAGAATGGCGGGCCATCAATATGTACGATATTGGCGGGCTGCTGGACGGGATTGACCGTAGGGAGCTGGCGGGGGAAGACTCTCATCTCGGTCAATTGCCAACTCGTTAGCAACATTTCCAACTGGTCGGCTACGCGGGTGTGGTCTCTCTGGTGGAGAAGGTCTGCAATGGCGTAGCCCAGCTGGGCTTGCGTATACCAGCAGGAGTACCCGAACTCGGTGCCGTAGTAGTTCTGATGGCGTTGAGCGCGGGCAGTGAAGTACTGAGGTGGAGCATCGCGGACGATGTCGCTGGGTGGATAACTCAAACCCATCGTTTCTCCCGCTCGTCGAAGGGTCGAGAGCTGGAGATTGACCTGGCCCATTCGGCCAATGATCTCGTCTTGGTTTGCTGGGTAGTTGTTCCGAAGACCATGGATGATCTGCTGCATGAGGGTCCAGAAATTAGCATGCTCCTCGCGGAACTCATCAGACGGTCTGCGTCCTGACATGGCTGTGGTTTAATAGATAGATTAGTGGGATGGTAGTGGATAGAGATGGGGCTAGCCTCGTGAATTCGAGGTTGTGGAAGTGATTGTTTGAAGTAAAAGGCAATCAAGATGCCAACAGTCTGATGAATGTTAGTTGGCAACGCTGTAGAAGAATGAGTAGAGTGTGGTTTGATGACTCGGGATGTTCGGTGACATCGAGATTTATATGCCTTTTGAGGTTGACTTGCTAGGTCGAGTAAACAAGGAACTATTCTTATACACAAAGAATATATAAATGAAAAAGAAACAAAGGAAGTAGAATGCCATTGGTCTTGTTGTTTTGTTGCTTGTCTTTGTTACTCGGACTAAGAATCGTACACTAACATTCCAGTTATAGATTGTGCTTACTATGTGTAATCACAGCCTGGCAGTTGCTTTGTCTTCTCTTTGATGTAGGGCTACTCATGAGCTTGATGTACAATATCGTTTTTGAGCCAATGCCAGGGCAGTGTTGACATGATGGCATAGAAGTCAACCCCTCGATATATATGTGAAGAGTACAAGTCGAACTACGGGTTACGAACCCGTGTAATACTGACTCTGAATCCTTCGCCTCTTTCTTTCGGAACGCCAAAGCCATACTCCCTATGTGTGACGATGTTGTCTGCCGTCACCCCATATAGATCCATATCGAATTTCAGTACCAGCGTGGAAATGACCAGGTACAACTCCGCCGAAGCCAAACTAGATTCTGGGGTAAGTATTGAGAATCCAGGAGAGGAAGGTGAGTATTATCTTACTGGTTGCCTATGCATTGTCTAGAACCCTTGCTGAAGGTGACTATCATATGCTCCAGGCGCTCGCCAGCTGCTTCAGCCCGGATCCAGCGTTCAGGGTCAAAGGCATGCGGATTAGGGAACAAATCAGAGTTTGTATGAACAAAATGAGACGATGTACTCATTAGGGACTGTTGAGGGGCAAGGGTGCGTTAGCGTTGTCGATCTCGGAGAATATGGGAGCTTACGTTCGGTGGAATCGTCCACTGCTTGTATCTCAGTGCTTCATCCGGTGCACGCCGGGGAAGACGAGTTATGACGCCGGAGAGCCGAAGTCCCTCGTTCATCACTCCTCTCTGAAATGACGTTCATTCGTTAGTCTCGTCTATGCATATTGTATATTGAATTGCTTACCATGTAGGGCAGCTTTTCAAGTTCGGCCCATGTGCTAGACGGGGATTGCTCAAGTTCCTCGCGGAGCTTGAGAAGTAAAGTCTTGTCATTGAGCAAGTGGAACATTATGACCTTCAATGTTCCTGTTGTAGTCTCTGTGCCTCCACCAATCAAAGAAAAGCCCTCGTCCTGCAACCGATCCAGTGTTCTTTCTTGCGCAGGCAAGGACGGGTCACAGAGAGCACCAAACATTGTTACTTGACCGTCCACTTTACCTCCATTTTCGAGTGCGACGCTTGCTTGAGCACGAACCAGTTTCTGTAGTCGCAATATGCTGGCTGCTTGGGACCAAAGCTTTTCAAGCACCTCATCAGGTATGAACTTCGAAAGATCCAAAAGGAATGGGAAAAATTTCAACACGTGAACTACAGATGCAAGACTCAATATGGAGTCTGAAACTTCATTATTGAAATTGACATCATCCAAGTAGTCAAGGCTCACACCATGCGCGTACTCCGAGATAATGTCTGCAGTCAGAGCTGAAGATGCAGCATCCAGCTTTACAATTGTGCCTTGGTCACAGGCTATGCTGAGCCGTTTGACAAGCTTTTGCACCTTGCCCTGGATCATGTCTTCTAGGCTTGCGATTGACTTTTTGGAGAAATAGTTGTTCAGGATAGCTCGACGCGAACTGTGCAGGCCATGGTCGACAGTGGCGAACATGGAAGTTGGTTGACCTGCCAGCCGCACAAGTCTTGGGTCTTTGTCACGTCTCCTGGTAGGACCTGCATAGATCTCCGTATAGAAGTTTGGATCTGCCACATGAAGCTCGTGAGGAGTAATGCGCACAATGGGACCTTGAAGATGTTTAGAATTGAGATATGACACAATATCTCGAATAATAGTTTCCTTACCATATTGCTCATGCATTCTCTCTATCTCCCACAAATACCGGCCACCCAGGACCACATTGTAGTAAAATTCATAAAGACTTGTTAGGGCAGCTAGTTTCGGCCCGGGGAACTTGCTTAGAGGGTGGAAATGTAGCCGGTAGATCACCAACCCGCAAACAAAGGAAGATAAACCAAAGCACAGTAGTAGCATGGCGCTGATGTGTTTGATGCTGAAAGTTCAGCAGCCGAAGTTTGAGAGGCAATTTTACCAACCGCAAGGGGTTATGTTCATGTATAAATCCCAATTGAGAAATTGACCAATTGCTCGAGTTGGTATTGGTTACCGAGTACGAAGCACAAAACCTAATGATTGCTACGTAACATTCATAATCCCCACTAGTTTAGCCACGGAATGGTAATTTTGTTCGGATACCAGGTCAATGTGCTCCGGCGCTACTTTTCTGCAAGGTTTCGAGCGGCTTGACCGACCGCTACCTAGGTATGTGGATATCCGTGGTTACAGGGGTTCGCCCGGGGGATTTTCCACATGGAAATTATTAATATATTTCTGGAACAATCCGAGACATTGCAGATTGCTGAGCACGAGCTTCAATTCAACCTTGGAAGATGCTTTTGCCGGGTTCCTGGACATGTTTAGTTAGTTTCGAAGTGACGTAGAGCAATGAAATACAGCACATATGCATATCGGATTGGCACTGAGCCGATATTGAGGTATAAGAGTATAAGACTGAGAGGCTTTTATTTTCACACAGACCTGTCGAGATGCATATACACTAAGGCAGGTTGTGCATGTATCGGGTAATGACTCGCCCTCCCTGCTGGGGCCTTTCCATTTTAGTACTCACTTCTTGCCGCTTTTTGACCACCGAGTAAAACTGAGCACGCCCCACTTGGGCGGGAACGTACCTGCTGACGGAACTACTCACGGGCCCGCCCGCGGGCTGTGGCTAGATATCCACCCGAGGGCTCCAGTCACACCTCATTAATTTGTAAACCGTTGTAACCTCGAAGCACCAGCTCTCCGGCAATCCCTCCAAGTCCGTTAGTTGTGTCTGTATGCTTCCGAACTTGAATGGCCTACCAGTTCCGAGAAGATCAATGCGCGCGCGTTGCGCAGGAAACGAAGATCTATTTACGGCGTACTAAATATATATTTCCTTTCACTGTTACAGATGCATCAGGTGGAAAGATAAATAGAAGCTGATTTAGAGCGGCCTAGTTTGAAGATAAGACAGGTCGGAGGCTTGGTACAGATCATCAAGAGCACTTTATATGACAAGGTATTGGCTAGAACAAAGACGCAAGCGATTGATATAGAGAGAGGGAGTTGAGTATTTCTGGCTCGCTTTCATCCGGCGTCAAGTTTAGCTCCTCCCATATCGCTTGTCCATGTACTGAATCTGGATCTTGCATCGCACGCTGTGCATCGCCAGGCCCACGGCTATCCGCCGACCATCTGACTGAATCTGCTGTTGGTAGGCTACCGCGTAGACCTTCTGCGGGTTTGCCCGCCCTGGAGACCAGCTCCTTGACTTCCTCGGCCGAGATGAGATGCATGGCTTCCATCAAAATATCGACACTCTGTCGGGATAAGGGACTACCCGAGCCTGCCACTTCGAGGGACTTGATTAGACGGGCCAACCCTTGCTTACATTCAGACAGTCGCGGGGAGGACAGTTCAGACAAGGCCAGCATCGCCAGCACCACACCCGCTGTGAAGCACTGGAAACACAGTTGAGTGGCAGATGTGGTGTTCCCAAGAATAAATAAAATATTTTGCCATTGACAGATACTCGACATGCGTAAGGCAGAAGTGAACAATTGGTCACGGATCGTGGTATCCGATCCATCTTGCGATTCGATCGGACCATCATGTAATCGGATACTGAGGTATTTCCTACTGAGAAGGAAAGGGCGAAACAATATCAGGTGTTTGTAGTCATAGCTCACCTGGAGCGTTAGTGCCTGCAAGGAAAAAACACGCAGAGCAGCGTCGTTAATCATGCTCTGATCTTCCGAAAAGCTGCTAAGCTTGAGCTCTCGCGGGATGGTTTTCTCCCAATCCAGGAGACGGGCATAGGTGCGCTTTATATGAGGCAGACGTATACTATGCGCCGTTGGGTCGGCAATTGAGTACAGTTGTGCTTTGTAGCGATTGTACGAGAAGATCGTCACAGGCTTGAACGTGCCATCTGCTCGTACCTCGTATGATCCGATCCCTGGGCAGGTGGCCATCGTATCATCTAGGTCTTCTGGCTCTGAAACGTTGAGCTGCACGTTCGGGAGAATCGATGGTTTCCCGTTCGCTTGTGCGGTGTACCTAGAACAGCTTGTTAGGTTCTTTTTCCGCATGTGTGTACGTATGGGGGCGAAACTCACACATCGACCATGTAGATGGACCACCAGACTCGTCGGCGCACCTGTATCTCAATGGAATCTAGTGGTCCCCATGTGGCCTCGTCATGAATGCCCATCGCCTGCGCCGCTCGTGATCCCAGTCCGGACATGGTGAAGGACAGCTGCGTCTTGCGTTCTAGGAGGTATACAATGGACATCAGAACGGCACAGGCGACTGATTCTAGCGTGGCTTCTTGTAGGATCAAGAATATATGTCTTTCCACAGCCTCGATCCATATTGCCCTGAACTGCTGAGGATTAAATTGGGGATCCAGGGAACGTAGAGTTTCGTGATTGGAAAAACGGGCTCCAATGATTAATACTGCCAGCAACAACAATAAGAATGACTTCTCAGAGGAGAGAATACCCTCTGTCTGAAGGATGGTGACTAGACGCGCTCGGAAGCTCGGCTCATGGAACAAGGAAAGGTACCAATGATTCGCTTCGAGGTATGCATCGAATAAGGCCAGAGTAACCGGAGCTGATGGAAGCTGTATCCCAGTTAGTTCTATGATTGGGGTTCTCGACCCCTGGACCTGGGGCAGCTTGTTTGCTGGGGTTCCATCAGGAATGGCATCGGAGTCCCGTATGGTGGTCATATGATTGCGAAAGAGCTGGTGGGGTTAGAGCCGTAGAATAGGGGGTTGACAGTAGGGAATATTACCTCTTGAACATGATGAAAGGTTGAGTGGGCTCGTTCTCGCTGGCTGGTGACCAGATCAGTAGCATGGCTACCACCCGACGCAATCTGTGAATGTAGACTGGGGCTGGGATCGTGCAAAGGAGCCTTTTCTGTAAGCTGTGGACCATGCTCAGGGCGTTTCCTGCTTTGTGACTGCTGAGCTCCGATATTTTGTCTATCGTTTTTTAGATATATAATAACATAAAATGGTCCCATCCCACTCACCTTCGTCGCTTGTTTATAACATCGGTACATTCTGCCTCAGAGCGAACGCACAACTGGCAGGGTCGGGTATCATCACACTGGAACTAGTGAGTAGTATCCGCAATGTATGGCAAGAAAAAAATACCTTGAGTTTCTGCCGTCGACACCTGGCGCAAGCGGATCGGACCCTGGAGGGCGCCATACTAGCGGAATGTAAGGGGAGAATATTGGGAGGGATTCCACATCCGGTGGAAGTCGGATGTTTACGTCATAGTGGAGACGATCCATGGATCCATCCATGGATGGATTGGATTGCTGAGGATCTACTCTTTACACGATAGTTCTAAGGTTGGTTGATCGATCAGATCTACTCATGTCAATCGGCAATTGAATATCTATTGATGTGTCTCTGAAAGGCCGAAAGGGCGATTTGTTTATCTATTGAGGCACGTGATGGACATCCATTTTCAGGCAGGCTGGTGACATTGATGAACTTCTCTAGGGTTATTATTTATATAATATACAAGGCCAACTCCATGGCCCGCCTTCATAGCTTCGCCTTCACTTCCATTGCAGCCGCTCGCCCCAATTTCTTCCGAAGGATTTGCCTGTCGCACTTTTGGGAATCTGAGGCACGAAGATGATACCACCCCTCAACTGCTTATGCGACGCGAGGTTAACTTTCACGATGCTTTTGATGGCCTCTTCTGCAATTCTGCTCTTATCAGCATCCACATACGCACAGGGAAGCTTATTTCGTGCCATGTTGGCATCCGGTACTCCAATGACAGCTACATCCTGAATCAACGAATGCGACAGCAAAAGACTTTCCAACTCTGCTGGTGCGACTTGGAGACCCTTGTATTTGATCATGCTCCTTCTCGTGGCCATCTCGAAGACTTTTCTGTTCACGTGAACTCTCCAGAACCAGCACCCTATCCGGTGGGATTCCACATTCAGCCGCAGCTTTTGGTGTGACTTTTATGCAGTCCTTGCTAGTAACAATGAGCCGACATTCTCCGTGTTTTATTTGTCAGGCCAGCCCTCCGGTCGTGAAGCTCGAGCTAGCCGCACTGTACACTCCGCCCGCGGCAATGACGCCGTAGAAAAGCGCGGGGAGAAGGATTGACCGGTCGAGATACAGGCAACAGTATCGACTCCTGCATCTCGGACACCAATCGCAAACTTCTTGCGTAGAATGTGGGCAATTTGCATGGTATATTCACGGCATTGCAACTTGGTGACATTGTTGCTGCTGTCTGCACCTTCCACATGGAGGATGGTATCATATTTTGCTAATACATCGGGGTGATCTATCCGTAGCCAGGATCTGTATGTCTCAATATATGTAGCCCTTTACTCACCAAAGACGAGGGACTGGAGGTCTGTATTGGGTAGAGTATAGTCTTTCACGGGGCTATAGATAGTGCAAGAAGAAATTAGTGCGTATTGAGGGGAGGCGAAAGTAAAACAGGTATCTGGCACATCATGCATACAAAGAAAATGACCTACCTTCTATGTTCTATGTGGAACAACTCTTGAATTACCAGCTGGATTATATCCGGTGGAAGATATATATAAGATATCCCAATGTGGATAAAAAGCACCTCATTGACCAATAGGACTTACGATACATCCGGTGGAAGCCAGACAACCGGTGGAACTGGGGTATCAAAAACGGGTACCATATGGGGAACCTCGGTTGTGATCGACGCTATGCTATGCGGTGCTTATATAGTGTGCACACAAGCATGGAGAAAATCCGAATCCCTCAACTTCATCTCTACACATACAAACTGAACAGACAAGATGGTACACTCGACCAGCAAAAAGCCCTCATCGTCCACAGATGGCTTCTTCCAATCCATCCCCACTGTTCCCCCGGCATATACCTTCGTCAACGATGGGTCCTCAAACTCCAGCTCCCTGGCCGCTTCGGATGATATAGCCCTCGCGAGGATTCTCGATCTCTACCTGCCACGTGAATCCTCTGCTGGTGTCTCAGTCCACAACCTATCGCGTCGTGCACTGGATCCGGTTACCCTGAACTTGGCCACCGATGCTGAGGTGAACCAACCGATCATCCGGCCACTTGGTACCTTCGGCATCAAGAATCATGTTGACCCATTGGTTACCGGAGAAGGATGGAGAACGTTGAAGACCATCGGCCAAGAGGAAGGTTTAGTTACAGTCGCCTACAATAAGAGCAATGAACAATGGAATCGACGCGTCCATCAGTTTGCACTTAATCATGTCTGGTCGCCCAGTGCTGCGATGACAGGGTGCCCTGCCTCGATGACGGACGGAGCGGCAAAATTGTTAGCGACACGACTGGACGACGTGGACGGTGATCAGCCCGGTCGCCGCGCGGTGCTCGAAGAAGTATACAGACGTCTTGTATCGGATGACCCCAAGGAGGCGTGGACGACGGGACAATGGATGACGGAGAGAACGGGCGGCAGTGATGTCCGGGAGACAGAAACACTGGCGTGGCGTTTGACGACGGAAGAGACTGCGCAAGATGTCGAACAGGGACGAGATGTCGATGCTCATGGAATGCAACTGGGCCCGTGGCGCATCGATGGTTTCAAGTGGTTTAGCAGTGCCACCGACTCCGACATGGCCATGCTACTTGCGCAGACTAACAAGGGTCTCAGCCTCTTCTTTGTCCCAATGCGGCGTCGCTCCGAAAAGCACAGTAACGCGAGCGAGCTGAACGGCATTCGAATCCAGCGTTTGAAGAACAAGCTGGGAACCAAGTCTTTACCCACTGCAGAGTTGGAGTTGAAGGGGGTTCGTGGGTGGTTGGTGGGAGAGGAAGGCAAGGGTATAAATGCCATCTCGACCGTGCTCAACATCACCCGACTCTATTGTGCGAGTGGATCGGCAGCTGGTTGGGGCCGTGGACTATCCATTTGCCGGGCGTACACTCGCGTCCGCAAGACGCGCGGAGCGCTTCTTCAGGAAAATGTGCAGCATGTGCGGTGGATGGCGGACGAGATGGTGAATTACTCTGCGGCAATGCACTTCACATTCTTCGGGGTCGCACTGCAGGGTACCATTGAGCAGAACTGGGACTCCATGGTCGGCAGTACCAATGCTGCTGGACTTATCCCACAGGATCCTGCCAAGGCCGCCACTCTCCTGCGTCTGATTACACCCGCTTTGAAGGCCACTGTTAGTGTGAACTCGGTTCATGGACTTCGTGCCTGTATGGAATGCCTGGGCGGGGTTGGTTACTGCGAGAATAATGAAGATGGTGGTATTCTGAACATCGCCAAGATATACCGAGACACAACCGTCAATGCCATTTGGGAGGGGACAGTCAGTGTGATGGCGGAGGATATTATCCGAGTTCTTACCGACAGCCGGTTGCAGGGTGAGAAGTCTGCGGGCTCGATTTTGGTTGAATGGGCAAATCATATTTTGAAGAGCTGCCAATCGAAGTTTGCCCAGGAGTGCGCAACTGTGGAAAGAAAGCTAAGCGCTTTGCTCGAGATCACACAGAATATTAGTAGGGAGGAACTCCTGTGGCGCGGGAGGGATATCCTGCAACATATTGCGGGCATAGTGTCCTCATGTCTGCTCATTTATGATGCATCTACCGATGGCAATGAGCGTGCGACACAGATAGCCTCCAGGTGGGTGCGCTCGCAAGCACCCACAGGTGCTGACAGTGCCTCCAAGTTCTCTTGGCAACATGAGTCTGCCACTGATCAATTGATATTTTTGGGCGAAGCCACGCCGGTCTCCAGGTCGGCGAGGATCTGATTACTACGTGCTGATAATTTCATGAACATCATTTGACGGATTTCAGACCTTTCGTCAACATGCCTTTTAGCTTGCCGATTAGATCAAATCATTATGTCAAGCCACATATCAAAGACGTTGTGTTTTATGGGGGTTGTCAACATATGTAGGTACATATTATTGAATGAGCATAATTTGATACTAGCAAAGATCGTATTGATTTGACCAAGTGAACACCTTGGGTAATCTAGTCGGCTATAAGCCGGTCTTTTTCGGTCACGCTCGGGCTCGGCGGTTAACCTGACTAGCGAAGCGACTGGAGCTCAATCTTTGCTCTACTTCTACTTTCTAAGTCCATCAGCATCCACTATCAAAACCCAATTACCCCGCATTTGATATCTCTCTCTTTTAGTTTCTCGATGACCCGGAACTTTTCTTGGTGACGCGCGAGGGGTGGGGTGGGCGCTGTATATAAATATCAATCGACAGACCATCATATATTTTCTATTTCCCGCCGTAAGGCACATTTGCCAATATCTTTTGCCATGTCCTCATCAAAACCATCCAGTGTGAGAGAGGTAGAGGATTCCTTCCCCGATAAAAGTTTGGAGGCAACTCCCAGTCTCGAGCAAGCATATATTGAAGCCGGGTTGAGCATCGAGGACGCGGATTTCCTTGCCAACTTCTCAGATGAAAGGAGGAAAAGATGTGTTCGAAAGGTCAGCATAACTTCTACTCTTTATTCAGTTCCTTGAGACATAACCAACACTAAATTTAGGTTGATTGGCGTCTTTGCTCCGTTTTGATGGTTCTTTATCTTTGTTCCTACATTGACCGAGCAAATATTGGTGATTTGTCATTTTCCCTACATCTGAGGCTTTTCTCTTGCTAAGTGACTGGATGGTATCACAGGAAATGCCAAAATTGAAGGCCTACTACCGGATTTGAATATGTCTGGCACCCAGTATAACATTGCTCTAGCAATCTTCTTTATCCCTTATGTATTGTGCGGTAAGGGGACTCCAATATAAACCCACTCATTGGCTCTGCCGATATTGACTCAATTGCAAGAGGTTCCTAGCAACATTCTACTTGGAAAATTCAAGAAGCCATCGGTTTATTTGGGGATCTTGACATTTGCCTGGGGCACCGTTATCACGCTTACGGGGCTCGTCCAAAACTTTTCCGCCCTTTGTGCAATGCGTTTCCTCCTAGGTGTTTTTGAGTAAGAGCATTTACTACTTCCTATCTCAGACTGATTAAGAAACTGATCTATTGTGCATCGTCTTGATAGAGCTGGATTCTTCCCGGGAGCTATCTGGCTGATTTCTCGATGGTATTTACAGCATGAAACCCAAACCAGAATAGCACTTTTCTATACTGCAAGCTCATTATCTGGTGCATTCTCTGGGCTCCTCGCATTTGGTCTCACCAAGATGGATGGCATTGGTGGCTATGCTGGATGGAGATGGATCTTCATTATTGAAGGAGCGGCATCTGTGCTCCTGGCATTTCTCTGTTACTTCTGTCTCGTTGACTCGCCCGAGCTCTCCACCAGGTGGCTAGAACCTGAAGAGATTCGGTATTTGTTACTGCGGAAACAAGCCGAGAGAGGACGTGTTGTGGTCGATGAAAATCCGGGCAAATTTGACTGGAAAGCCTTGTTCAGTGTTTTTAAGGATTCACACCTATATCTGCAAGTTCTCAATATCTGGTCCAACACGGTTCCCAACTATGGCCTGAAGTTTTCGCTTCCACAAATTATCACGAACATGGGATATACCTCTGCGAATGCTCAGCTGCTCTCGGTGCCGCCGTATGTCGCTGGTGCGATATCCGCCTATCTATTTGCACTCCTTGCGGACAAAATGAGATGGCGTATGCCGGTCATTGTTACCGGTCAACTCTTGGTGATCATTGCATTTGCGGTCCTCTTTTCACTAGCCGAAGATATCAAGAACAACATTGCGGCTTGCTATTTCTCAGTTGTTCTCGCTTGCATTGGCCTATACCCAATCCCACCCGGAACGACGGCGTGGACATCCAACAATCTTGCCGGGCCAACGAAGCAAGGCATGGGCATCGCGTTCATGATGAGTCTTGGCAATACAGGCGGCCTGGTGGGTTCCTTCATCTACATTGAGCGTGAAGCCCCCATGTACCCCACCGGGTTTGGAAGCTCATTTGCGTTTGCCGCGGCAGGCGTGGCGGCAAGTATCATCCTGGAAGTCAAGCTTTGGTATACCAATAAACGGAACGCGGAGATGTCCAGAGAGGAGATTTACGAGAAATATAGCGACGAAGAGCTACAGCGGATGGGTGATCGGTCGCCGCTGTTCAAGTATACACTTTGAGTTAGGATTTTATTTTTCTCTGTCCTTGTCTACCAAATGGTGGGAATGGAGATTGGGCCCGATCCTGGCAATCCGAGCAATCGGTGGGGTAAATGAGAGCGCAATAACAAAAGCTGGTGTATTTCTGTCATGAACATCCATCCGTCGATGGATGTGATCATTTTTTAGTCATTGGGCACTGTCATTGATAGAGGGAAGAGGTAATATGATTGCAAAGAAGATCTTGCCAGCTGTACGCCTAAGAAAATGAAAAGAAAGGGTAATTGAATGTACTTGTATGACTATATCTTTTCTGATATATCACCGCGCCATTGCTGAAAAACAATCTTTTTTTTTTTTGTAGCATCCTATCATTGCACGACTGGCCATGGATATATTTATAACTCACACCTTCTATACTATAATGAAAGGCGATCCATTTGTCGGAAATATGACGTCGGTATTCGACATCTCACATTAAAGTGTAGATACCTATATTACCCTTAGACAGCATTTCCTATAGAACCGGAAGCTTCACGGTTCTTATTTAGACAGTTTAAGAGATTCCAAGGGTATTTATCCCATAGTTAGAAAGGCCCACGCCATGACAATAAGACCAGAGGGGAAGAAAATATTTTATAAGACTTCGAGGATGACACGATCGAGCCAGGCTCTAAAAACACCCATCTTGTCCCCGTTAAATAGATGCCGAACGAGCTCGCTGACGTTAGTCGTTTCCCCAGATGGAAGTAACCGTAGTATAACCGCAGTATCACGGTAGAGGTGCGAAATGTTGAACTCGGGTTCTTCTGACTCGTCCATATACCCGACTCCGCACATTGCTTCTTGGCATTGCTGAATCCAAGCAACGGAGACCCCGCAGAGACATTGTAGCTGAATTGTTGAGAATTGGTGAGATAAACAGGCCATATATTTTAGTATAGGGAAATGATGACCTTTGGGATTGGATGTGAATGGTTATGAAATTTAACGGGAAGTTCACGACATTAATTTCTACATGAGACATTACATATCGTGCACGTAACATTGCCAAAAACAAAAGCCGAAAAGGGCTGAAGTGTGTATTCCATCTAGCATGGCCAGATCCTTTTGGATATCATAGTTTCCCTTGCTTTGTCTGCTAGTTCCCCCTGATTTGGAAATCATATCCCGAGACTCAAGCTCCAGGAATACATGCGAGATTGACAACTAATGCATTGCTCGCCATAGTCTGAGACGTTCACTGGCAATAGGCTGATTGTAGGCTACCGGATTCGATGTAAAAAGTTGGTTTGACCCGTAGACCACAAGCCAGCCAAATTCTTTCCACAATTACCTTAGCCTTTACCAAGTAATAGGCCCCGTACTCGAGTAGCTGGGCTGGACTGGAAGCCCGATGAGACCAGTTCTTAGCGACCCAACGAGCCACACAAATATGGACATTGACGAATTGATGAGTCGGTTTCGTTCAAAAATGCAGAGAGCAAGCACTGTAAGTGCCACCGTAAGTGATTGAGTAGTGTCGGGTTTCATCTTTCTTTTTCTCTCCACCTCTTACGACCAGTGGGCTATTGACAGTCAGCCTTGCATCATATAGAACTAGGGCGAAACATCGAATAAAGCCGCACCTCACTAGTGAGATGCAACAAGAGCACCACATTATGTGGTTGAGAACCCTTGGGCAACGAAGGGGAGGAGAAGGAAGAGAAGGAAAACTGCTGCACTTAATTCATAGACAAACTGGGTCTTTATAGGCCACAAACGAGGTTCGCTCTCAGATAAAATGCGAAAGGAACTAGTCAATTGAATAGGAATAATGACCCTGTGCGTACCTAGCTTCTCCTTACATGCCACTAATGCAACGAAGGCAACATCGATGTGCATATGAGCGCTAATCCATTATGGGTATAGTCTGTGGTCAGCATCGTTCGATTTCCACGTGATCTTCCATTTCCTTCCAAGCCCGTGCTGACATCTGCCCTGTGATCCTCCAGGACCTCGGGAGGTTGTAAAAGCGGCGGCAGCTCAAATAGGAGAGTCCAAAGAAGATCCTGTATGGCTGCATATGCATGACCCCGTGCTCCATCTAGGCTATTCATGGAATCCTTCCCGAACTCACTAATCTCCACCATATCCACATTTCCCGCCCAGCTGCAACTCACCAAATTAGAACATACACGCGCGGGCCAAGTCGTCTCCCGTTTCACAAATGTCCTTCCGAGCCTGCCGGTTGTAATTACGCTAGATAACGAGGAAGATACTCCATGATGCACTAACGCGCTTGTTTCTTATTGGCGCTGGCCGTTTGCGCGAGTGAAGTGCACTAGACTGTAACGGCTTGCAAGCGAAATTGGTGACTTTCAATGCTCCTATCTATCAGCGAAGTCTAGTTTTTACTTTCCTCGCAGGACTTGGCCACACTTAGATGTGGATATTGCGCTTGGCATGATCCTCATTTATTACCACGGTGTGCTGTTTCTTTGTCTTCCACTTAAATAGGCAAGAGCTAACGTACTAGGTATATGATCGTCACTCAATTTTCTGCGCGAGTCCATATCTATTGGCAGACACGCGATAGAAGCGAGATGTATGCAATTGGATTAAAACGTACTTTAGATTGACTTCTATGGGTGGAAGCCATATGGATTGTCTCACTTATTATGTGTTAATAGCGCGGCCAATAACGTTCATTGGTTGTATGACACGTTAATTGTTGTGGGGCTTGCCGGATGTAAGGTGGTAGCCCTAGTCTGAATGTTCCTTGCGCGCATCCTAGTATCTTACGAAACGAGGAAACCGGCATCAGATGAGGACGTCTATAGTATTGGTCTAAACTAGCGCAGCCGTCTGTCTCATATATTCTAATTTTCTAATTCGATTATTTATACCACGCGGGTCCCCTCAGCTGTTACATGTGCACTGTGCAGCTCGCTCTTTTCTCGAATCCAAATAACAGCTGCAAATGACCATGGGAGACAAAATAGCCGACGAATATGCGGAGAGCATTGATCCAGAGATCTACGCCAACAATCCCGCATACTTCTCTCTCTTTAACCCATATATTCACAAACAAACCATAATCGCCGATCATGTCTCAGTACAGTGCCACATAGACCTCAATGGAATTGATGCCGTTGGGTCGAAGATCGGCAATGTCAATGCACATGCAGGTAATTTTACTTCACTGTGTGCGCCAAACTGCCTACCGGAAAGACTTGCGCTGGTCGCGTACACTGTGGAATATGCATTCCTCCATGATGGTACGTGAATAGGTCGCTACTGCATCTTCCACAACTAACACCGAGCGACAGATGAAACCGATAATGCTGCTGATCAAGAGGCTGTATGACTACCAATCCTTTTTTCTGTGTGTGCGGATCAACAAGCTTACGCGCTATTTAGTTATTGCTGGAAAACAAGATGCTCCACCAGGCTCTTAATCAGAGCAGTATGACTTCTGTATCGACCAGAGTTTCAGATAAAGCACAACGCAAAGCTGAGGTCCAGGCCAAGATCGCGGCCGAGTACCTGCGTCTTGATCCCGTGTTCGGCGAATGGTTCATTAAAGCGTGGCAAACATTCACTGCGTCCGTACAGGACGTGAGAAGTCTTGAATTTCCCAGTCTGGATGACTACCTGGGGTTCAGAATTGTTGATGCAGCAGCAGAGTATGTCAACCCATTCCCAATTCGAGAACTCAATCTGACCATTCCAAAGCTGGACACTCTATAATTTCCGATGGGGATCAGGCATCACGCTCACCCCCGAGGAAGAAAAAATCGCCGACCCTATGAGCTACGTGGCATATGCAGAGTTATGCCTGGTAAATGACTTGTTCTCTTGGGACAAGGAGTACGCATCTCATATCAAAAACAATGGCGACGTGCCCTTAGTCAATGCAGTGCATGTTGTCGCGGTTACACAGGGTCTGACGCACTGTGCAGCGAAGGCGGTTGTCCAGGCCGAGATCCGAGCACACGAAGAGCGATTTTGTTTCTTGAAAGAACAATACGAGGCGACGACTAGCCCATCAGATTCAGTTCTCAGCTGGTTAAAGCTGCTCGAGCACTCAATGGCTGGAAATTGGGTTTGGAGTCTTTGTACTCCTCGTTACTTCAAGGCTGACCGGAACCCCTATAAAGATCACCTCGAAAAGTTCGGCAGCAACACAGTGCGAGTTCTCACACCCCGAGAGCAGCTTCGTAACACAAAACAAGAGATCAAAGACACCAAGGAGAGTGCGCTCAAAGATCTCAGCCCAAGTAAGTATAAAACGCTATCCCAGCTGATTTCACGCAAATCTTGATCCAGAACAAATGAGACTCACGATATCTCAGACACAGCAGCAGCGAGTGATGTTCTGGCCAAGTACTCACCTGGGTATCCCGCAATTGACGAGGCAAGTTTATACCCCCAAGAGTCGCTGTAAGGACACTTGAGTGCTGACTAGAAATCGACAGCCCGTGTTAAATCCCTACACCTATATTAACTCCCTGCCATCTAAGAACGTGAGACAGACATTGATATCGGCTCTGAATTCATGGTACAAGGTGCCCGTGAAGTCCCTCCTAATTATAGAGGGCGCAGTCAACTTCCTGCACAACTCATCATTATTGTAACCGAACCCTACTCCACCTGATATTGGTTCTCCTCACTGACCTCCAAATAGGCTCGATGACATCCAGGATGGAAGTGTCCTCAGACGCGGAAAGCCTGTGGCACATCATATATTTGGCGTCGGCCAAACCATCAATACTGCGACATATCTGATGAATGAAGCCTTGTGTCTCATACATATGCTTTCGCCATCTGCGGTATCAGTTTATATAGGTACTATTACCCCTGCATATTTCCTTACGAAAGTCTTTGGACTGACAGTACCAGATGAAATGCGTAACCTCCAGCTTGGACAGGGACGCGATCTCCACTGGAGCTACCATACGCATGTACCGACCCCTGCACAGTATATCAGCATGGTCGACGGCAGTATGTATTGGCCGATCTATTCTTATGCACCAACTTACTGATAATATCATAGAAACAGGTGGCCTGTTTCGTCTCATCAGCCGTTTGATGAGATCAGAGGCGACGGCGAATGGGTATTTCAACCCTCATCACACAACAAGTCGAGATCTAGGTTAACAAATTCTAGAAACCTTGATATAAGTCAGTTTGCGACCTTGCTTGGAAGACACTTCCAAATACGAGATGACTACCAGAACCTTCAAAGCGAAGATGTAACAAATCCCTATCCTGTTTTTTTTGAGCCCGAATCCTAGCTAACATATTGTTTTAGTACACAAAGAACAAGGGCTTTTGTGACGATCTAGACGAAGGGAAATTATCTTTCCCGGTCATCCTATCAATGCAATCGCCCGGCTTCTCCAACACAGCGTTGTCAAGCGTATTCAAGGGTTCCCAAAAAGGCGAAATACTATCACCCGAAATGAAGCAGTACATACTAGAGGAGATAACTGCTCGGGGGGCTTTCTCCAAAACAAAGTCCGTGTTGAGGAAATTGCATATCGAACTCCTACGTCTACTTATGGAGACCGAAAAGAAGGCTGGTGGCATAGAGAACTGGGCGCTCCGGTTGTTGATTATGAAGCTGGACCTTGGCGATGAAAATAAAAAGGTGGCACATAAGAGTGATTCTGCTTGGAAGGTCAACCAGCGACGAGCGTGGAAAGGAAGTCAGACAAACGGGCGGCCTATTGATAAGGCTTGCTTTTTGAGGGCTATGGAAGAGGCGTCTCAGAAATGAGTCTCGGTTACGGACCTATCTTAAATAGAGTAGAGGTACACGAAGATACGAAATATGTAAATATTACAGGCGTTTTCGAATCCAATTACTCTTTTCTTCATACTGTACATCTTTTGCGGGCAACTTCAGGGCTGTGCACAACGAACCTTGAAACCACCCTTATCCGAATCGGGTTACTTCAGAAACAGCCCCTCAACAACCACACATTTTCTTACAATCTCCAATTACCTAGGTAGACTTCAACTATACAACACTCTTGTTGCCTAACCATACTCCCTACCATGTCATTGATTACCAAACCGACCATCATTCTCGTGCATGGCGCATGGCATGGCTCGTGGTGCTGGAAATTTCAAATCCCCGCACTTGAGGCTCTCGGCTATACTGTAGAGGCCGTGGACTTACCATGCGTCAGCGGGGTAGCCAGTACGACGCAGTTCGACGATGCAGCCCACGTACGGTCCGTTGTGGAAGCACAGACGTCTATGGGTAAGCGCGTCGTTGTGCTAGCGCATTCCTACGGAGGACCGATTGCGAGCGCTGCCATCAAGGGACTGTCCGAAAAAGGCGTGCTGGGGATGATCGCTCTATGTGCCTTTATCTTCCCTGGGGGCATGGACCAAGGCGCGGCGATTCGTGCCATTGGCAGCCTGAGCTACGTGATGTGGGACGTGCCGAGTGAAGGTCTTTTTCAAGCGAAAGAACCCCGCGGCTTGTTCTTTCCTCCAGATGTGCCGGAGGATCGAGTCGACTGGGCAGTATCGCAGCTTCGCCCTCAGAGCATGGCAGCCAATCTGGGAATTGTGCCCCCTCAGGCCTGGCAGGACGAGTCTTATAATGGGAGATTAGGCTATATCAGGTGCACAGCTGATGCCGTCATTCCAATTGAACGGCAGGACGGCATGGTAGCAGGCGCAGGTGGCCAGGAAAAATGGGTAGTTCGCACTCTCGAAGGATCCGGCCACAGTCCCTTCCTTTCGCGACCACATGAAGTAGCTGCTGCACTGCAGGAGATCGTGGATGTTTTTGAAGCCAACGTCTGACGGGAGCAAGGAGGTATAGCTTCGTTATCGAGATGATCCTTTTGTGCTAGTCTACGGAGGCGAGCGTTCTGGGAATATTCGAAGTCATAGCTGGGTCATGGCCGATAGAGAAGTAAACAATGTCAACTCAATGCATTATTAAGGGCCGGTGGTGACTCACATGGAGAAATTTAGCATTCTAGAGACGCGCGAATGTGTGCCCAAAGTCAGTATGATGTAAAAGCACCAGAAGCTGGAGAAAGACGAAGACAATTATAAAACGATCGTGATACGTGTATCCGTACTTCTACCTTGCTGCTGCTAAACCTATAGTTTTCACCATGCTAGAATATGCAGATAGCGAAGGGTACTATAAGGCTAGCTACTGGTACACCTTCTGCGCAACAACTACAACCCGCGGCATCGATAAAGCCACACCATAAACCGCCTCTACGACAAGATCCTTCAGCAGCTGCCGTAAAATCTCCGCATCATACACCATGTCCTTCCTCTCCAAAGAGAGTGGAAACCCCTCCATAGTAGCCAGATGCTGCTCTCCATTCGCGGTAGCAAGTTCCACGCGATCCAGAAAATAGTCCAGGTGCGGCCTCTCAAACCCAATATCTTCCAGCAGCGTAGGCAACTTCAACACCCAGTCATGGCGGCCATTTGAATAGATCAATACGAGCAGACGACCAACCGCCGGCGTTGCCAGCGCGGGGTCTGCCCTTGCCACATACATTCTGGGTAATTCATATCGTCCCATTGGATGTATCCCCCGGTCTGAGCAGACGGGTGACGTTCCGGATGGCGGGGACGGGATCACTGGTCTGCACGACAAGGATAAAGAGGCGATGGTGGACGATGTCGTAATTGCCCACCAGGGGCTCTGGGATGGGATTGAAGAGGTTCAAGTGGTGGAGGGTGAGGCGCTTGGGCAGCCATTGCGTTGGAGGGGTATTGGAGAGGTCAATGTCCTAGCCGTCAAGGTCGCACTAGGGAGTGAGTGGGCGACATCGAGCAGCCAGATTGCGGTTCCATTGCCGATGGCTGCGATGACGGGGTTGAGGAAAATGAGAATAGAGGGTTGATGTCGACTTGGAGGAATTCCAAAGATAGAATTTGAGGTTGACGCGACAAGGGGGGACATGGCCTCTGCCAAGCATGTAGCCTTTGCTTTCCGCGTTGAATCGGGGTTTAATGGTTGCCGATATGGCGGAGAGGAAGCCCGATTAGGAAAAAGGTCAAGAAAATAGACGCAGGGCGTGTTTGGCAAAGTATGAGCAATTCTCTCCCGACCGCCTCCCTGTTTTATGCTGAAGCCAATCTGAGACAATCCCGTACTCTCGTATCAAGCAGCCCCCCAAGCCTTTGGCTGTTCAATCTGCCAATCGGAGGAGTATCTGCTGCCATCTCGTACTGTGACTAGTCCACGGGACAGCGCCTCCAGCAGCGTCCCCTCAGGGGTGGGGCGCCCAGGTGGATACCACCTTCGTATCCAGGCAATGGGTATACAAAATTGGACCTATAGCCATATGGGCAATGGCACTGGCCCTGAATTACTGGCCATATTTGAGAAGGTCATCGTCGCCCTCGCAGCACCATACAACGTGGAAGTCCAATTCGTCATGTCTCCGCGAATATCCCATTGCTATTCATCACTCATGGCCATCAATGACACTGACGCGGTGATTAGTGAGACCCTCACGAATGCGGACCACTATAAAGCCCTTTGTCACCAAGTAGTCAGTCTTGGAGCATACACGATATTTCGAACGTCCATCAGCGAACAGGCGCTTTATATGGTTCGAGACCGACTACACGCTGTGAAGGTGGAGCATTTAAACTGAGCTCGTCTACATCAATCCTGCTAGTGCGGGATCAGGCACATGGATTCTACTCCGGTTTGCACAATATTGACTCAATCCATGAGACGGTTTCACGACCATCATATTTCAGCAAAAAGGTATTCAAGGAGATCATCACCTTCTCACTTGCACCCTCCCACGAGACTTGGGGCTCTGAAACTCACATCACGACCGTCACGCTAGTGTACAAGTTCCATCTCTTCGACCGACTATTCAACTTGTCGGCGCGGAAGTGGCGGAAATCATACTGCGCGGGTATCCATTACGCGAGAATCGTGAGTGTTTCAACGTCGTTGACCATTCGTCTACATATACAGGCAATCTAACACGCTTTGTATAGTTGTTGGATTTGTCGTCGAAACTCGGTGATCTGCACAAAAACCCCTAGCGACTTCAACATCTCTTCTGCGCAAGGTCAAAGTCTGGGTGATTTGCTATTTATAGAAGTTGGTCAATGATCTCCCGGGTCAGTCCCACTGTTTCATCGATCCGATTAAGGAATGGCGCGCAGTGACTGGATCCCAGTTCCTTGACGATCCACGCCTTCTGCGTGGAGGCCATCATGCCAAACTGCGCCTCCTTTGGCACCGCACGATCCTCGGTGGTGACGATAAACGCCAACCTCCCTTGAAACGTCTTATCTGCCCAGGCCGGATGGGGCTGGGGCGTGGTGAAAGATAAAGTCGAATGCGGTTTGAGTTCTGCGGTCAGGGACTGGACCAAGGCCAGATCGACATCGGCAGCAAAGTTGTTGATAGTGTCATCCGCGACATTGAGATTTGCCGAGGGCTGCAACAGGTCAGCATGTTGATTGCCTTAAATATAGTGGGGGCGAAGAGGTATTTCTACCTGATTGACCAAAATCCAAGGGGGCAGGTTTCCGCCCTGAAGGCCAGCACAACTGAGGCCTTCGGGCACAAGGAAGGCCCCCAGGAACAGCAGTCCAATAACGCCACCTGCTTTGCCCTCTTGCGCCCGCTGCGATTTGGCTAGCCCGGTAGCCGCCGCGGCACCGGGTATGCCACCATATGAGTGCATAAAGAGCACAACGTCTTTCCCCTCATCCTCCACCAGGGACCGGAGAATGACAGTAATAGCATCCGTGGAGATCTGTACCTCCTCCGAATGATCTTACGGTGGTCATATAGTCCCAGAACTGCATTTGGGGGTGGGGGGAAGATGATCATAATGCTTTGTTGCGATAGAAGTGGTAAAATGATATTAAAACCAATAGTTAAGAGGAACCTATTTACTAACTAGGTCTATCTGATGAGAATTATTACAGAAAATAAAAGGACGGAAGAGAAGATAGCCATTCGTAGCAATCAGTGTCTTTGAGAAGATGCACCACACTTAAGCTAGAGGAAAATTTAGTTGACCAGGCTGTAGCCCTGCAGACAAAGTTCATTGTCCAGCTAGACAAGAGTGGTCCGACATAGACATGGGTTAAACTTGAGCTCCAGCTTCACCGTTCGGCTCCATAGTTGTTTCTCGATTGGCAGTTGACGGTCCCTTTGTAGGACTCACTCGCGGACCCCCTGATCCAGGGCCGCCCAGGCCAGCCGGCTTTCCCATGCTATCCTTTTCAGTCTTTATGTTCTTCCACTCCATAAGAATAGAAGCCATAACACATGCGCAAGAAGCCGCCAAAGCCACGCGAAACACGTCCATTATCGCCCTATTGTATCCAGTCAAAAACCGTGGCAGGTCTTGATGGCTCACATGATCTTGAATACTCGTTACTCCGCTAGCAGTCACACTGGCGATATCACCAATGTTGGCTGATAGTTTGTTGCTGTATATGGCCTGGTCCACAGCGAGGAATACAGAACCGCCCAACGACTGCGCGAAAATCATCAAGGAGATCCCAATCGGAGCATCTGGATGCGGGAGGACGGCTTGAGCAGCCAAAGACGCTTGTTGCATGCCTAGGATGTATGTTAGAAGTGTTTCGAACAAAGGTGAAGGCATGGAAAACATACTCATTCCACATGCAGCCGCCCAAAGGATTTGGTAGCCGATCCATTTGCCTTCGTTCATATGCGGGGTGAAGGTTGTCATAAGACCGGCCCCAATAGACATAAGCACTGATCCGCCGATCATGAACGGCGTGTAGTGGCCAATACGATTGATTAGGAAACCTGATATGAGACTGGCAGCTGCAGACGAGGTGACTGTGGGTAACATCATGGTACCTGAGTGGACTGGAGATGCAGACTTGATGGCTTGAAACCAAATTGGCAGGTAGTAGTTGAAAGTCATCATCGCTCCAGTGACCATTAGGGTAAAGACAACTCCGGCGGCAATACTGCGCTGCTTCATGATCCGGGGTGGAATGGTGGCGGTGTCCGGAAGCCAGATCTGAATTCCAATGAAGGCCAGCAGCAACACTCCTGCCAGAACTAAAAGAGCAATAATGCGTCCACTATTCCAGCGATAGGTCTCCCCGCCCCATTGCAGAGCAAGCATTAGACACACTACCCCCGGCATCAGGCATAGATTTCCCAGCGGGTCCATCTGCAAAACTTGCTCGCGTATAGGGGTTCCGGTCTTGCGCGCCGGAGGCATCTTGAGCACCAGCATGATCACCACTATGGCTACTGCGCCAACGGGCAGGTTGAGGTAGAAGCACCAGCGCCAGGTAACATGTTCCGTGAAACCACCACCAATCAATGGGCCAGTGACGGATGCCAGGGCAATTACGACGCTGACAATGCCTGAGAAGATGGGCCGTAGGTGTAATGGGACAGTGAAGAAGGTGATGATCACACTACCAGCGAAGATCCCAGATGCTCCCAGACCCGCGATCGCTCGACCAATGATCAGGGCTGTCGAATTGGGCGCGGCACCGCAGATAGCAGACCCGATTTCGAAGATGACCACGGCGCTCACAAATACCCATTTTGGATTATAGAAAGAGTAAATCTTCCCAAAGAGTAGTTGAAAGGCGCAAAAGGTCAACAAATATGCATTACCGTACCAGCCAATATCACCGATGGAGTTGAATTGATTCGTGATACTAGGAATGGCGTTCACGATGATGGTGCGATCCTATCGCGCCACAGCAAGTCAGTGATCAAGCACGCGAAGTGAAAAAGACTCTAGAGGAGAAAATAACCTACCAGCGCGGTAAGAAAGGCTGTAAAGTAAAGAGGAACGATGATCGAGTAGAGCTTGAGACCCTTTGGATACTCAACCGGGGGACCCATACCACCATCACCTGGACCCGCTGGGCCCTCTGGAGGACCTGGAGGACCTGGTTTGACCTCGGTTTTGGATTCAACGAGATTTTGAGATTTTCCCGACTGATGATCTGATGATAGTGTCGGTGGTGGTGTCTGCTTCTCCTGTTGCGCTTCTAGGGAATTTTCCGCCATAGTGCCTGTCGTGTTCGACGTTTCGTCGAGAAAACATAAATCGCAAAATAAGAGCGGGCCAAGTTTTCGGATACAAAGCAGAGCAAGAGAGGACAAACTTGAACAATATCCCCAAAGGGCTCACGTAGAAAAGGAAAAATGCATAGTGTTACCCTCTGGCTTACATGACCCCCAGCGTGGTCAGCTGACGCCAGGCCCGGCCCTCAAAGTAGCTGGAGACACTTAATCCAATGAAGTATCTTCCTCCATCTTAGCTTTATATACTAGTTCGGAAGTGAAAAAGGTCCGGAGCGGATAACATTAGAAATCGCTCAGGGTAAAACCGTGGAAGAGTCGAGGCTTAGATGGTTTTGGCGTTTTTCAACGAATCGTTTAAACAGGCCATCCGCGGCTAAACTACATAGCGGCTCCACTAGGGGTATTTCTTGGCATTGCTTGGTATTGCTTGTTCCTCCGCACGCCCAAAGTGTCTCGGCTACAGTCGCTGCCATTTACCAACCAACACAATGAGACCCACTTGATTTACAAATACTATTACACCATTCTAGTTATTAAGAAATTTATGTTTTACATGACAAGGGCTTTTGAGGGGTTAATGTCTGGTCATGTGATGTGGTAATTTAAAAAGTCGCTAAATGCCTTTTTCTCCTGCTTCTCTTCCTCTTCCTCTTTCTATTCCACTTCCGATTTCAACCCATTCACTTGCCTATTACTAATTCCATGTTCTTCGAACACCGCAAATAGCGAAACGCTTCTCCTGATATGACCTCCCATTGAAATGCTGCTCTTCATACCTCGAGTCATTAATTCGTTCCGCCGTCAGCCATATCAAACCATCCGCAAAATGTCAACCACGGGACCATCAGGACAGGATATCCCACTTGAAGGGATCCGCATGTCACGATTAGGAGATTTTGAGAAGAAACCAAATCTCCCATGGGGCTTTTGCATTTATCTATGCTCGTTTAAAGACGATGCTGCGTGGCATAAAATTCTCCAGCTCCTTCAGCGGCGCGTGCAAAAGTCCGTGGAACTTTCCCTACCACCTGGAGAGGAAAGAATAGAGCTCCTAGAGGCCCATGATCTCGTGATTCATGCTGAGCTGGAGAAGTTCAACGGCGCGACTTCGCATGAGGTGCGCGATCATTTTAATGATTGGGTGGCAGAACAACTACCAAAAGTGGTTAAGACACCCGAAACACTACAAAAGCTAGTCGGAGAGCATTTGAAGGAGAAAAATCATATTCCTGGACCTGAATACATTCTTGGAGCACGGCTTAACTTCGCCCTATTTGTTGATGATATTTGTTTGGAGTCTTTGGTCCATATGGATCAGCCCGTAGTTAAAGTTTTGTATAAGCAATGGGGCAATTTGAGTCCCGAGGAGAGAAATTACAAAATTGACCCCGACTGGCATGATGGGACAACGGAAGAAGAGGAGGAGGATGTTGGATGGATGTACATGTCTGTCAGCGACTACGTTGATACGTATGACCAATTTGAGTGGGCACACGTGGCTGTCTGGCATGCTTCATATCTTCGGCCTCCTCAGATGCTTGACTATTTTGGTGATGAGGAGAGCCAACCGGGCTTCTGGCGGAAGTAGTCATGTATCGAAGAAATTGACGGATGGTATTAGAGAGGTGGGTGCGCAATATTGAAGTCTTTTTGTCTCGTTTCAACTTGGATTACCATCCAGTCTTTCCACATGCATGCATGGCTACTGATCAAAAGTGAGTACCTAGCCACACTCAGCCCTTGTCCGTCCTACTTGCGACCGTTGGGATACTTCGGACAAATCCACTGCAAATTTCTTGGGTGAGAGAAACATCCTTTTTCTGCGATGTCGAGCTCGATTATCAGACCGTGTCGTGTAACTCGTGATAGGAGAAGAAGTTGCGACATCCCTGTCAATGGTCTTTGACAGCCTGTCTTCTGGTTGGGCTCGTAGAGCTCGCCGAGGAGCCAGAGCGACTTGTTATCCGAGCTCAGCTCCGTCTTTACCAGAGCAAGAGGACTTCGCCGTCGATTTTCCCGCAAGCTGTCCGTAGTCAATAAGATCGCAAAGCTTATGAGCTGTTCATGATGATATTACAATATGTCTATAATAAAATAGCTGAGTTGTGCAAACTGACAGCGGCGAGTGACGGGTTCGGCCTCTGGTATGTATCGAAGCCTTTGAAACGGATATAAGCTAGTTGCAAGCACACTTCATCCACTACCGGACTTGTTTTGCATTTATCGTGTCGACTGCCATATGAAGACCTTCTTAAGACCGTCGAGTACGAGCATATATTGCTCCTTTCCGTTAAGTGTTAATAGTCAGCGTTTAGGGATTATAGCTTTCATTATCCGCCGATATACGGCACGGTTCTTATAGCACCGGATCCCGACTATAAGCCAAGTATCGCTCCTACGGCTTTTACTACGGGCTAGCGCGCGAAGTTCAAGTCTCACCCGCGTCTCTTAGTCGCCGCCCCCTTAGAGAGAAGCGATAATAATTGTCCATTTGAATACGAAGAACTCCTACGCAATAGGGAAGGCCACCTAACGACTAACGAGCTATATCACGAGCCCTAAGATAATAGTGGCTAGGCTATAGGGTCTCCCGCCCGGTATATGCCCGCTATGCCCCGTGTCGGTGATTGGCAGCATAGCAGTTCCAATACGTCTATCGCGTTGGTTGGTACGAATATCAAAAAGTACATGCCTAGGCACTAGATCAAAACCCGTGAGCTAAGTCGTTGCAGTTTAGACATCCAAATGCGTTACAGTATAGACATCCAAATGCAGTTAGTACTGCATCTACTCTAGCAGACTCCACATCCATCCATTCTAACCACGTTGTCTAGAGATATGGAGAGCCGGTTCAAGTGAGAGGACCTCTGGAATCAGAACATGCAGCGGCGCGTAGAAATCGCCGTGGCCAGTCGTCGGAGAATCCAAGTTCTGGAAGAGATGGTGGACGTCAGGCTGGTTGATCTATGTGGCGACAAAGGAGACGCCAATCAGCAGCGCAAAACAGGACGCCCCCGCCGGCAGACTTTGGGACATGGGCGTTGACAATAAAGGTACAAGCACATGAGATATCAGGGGTTGCCGATGGTATAATATAGTACCATCTCCGTCCAAGCCATGAGCGGAAGAATCTCTACTACCTTGTCCGTCAAATCCACCTGCCCAACTAGGCAGCTCAATAGGTTCTATGTTAGTACTCTTCTAGCCATAACGCGGTCAATCCCTATGATCTCCCTCGGCCCGTGTTCCCATAGCCCAGGCCTATTGTGGCATGAATGATCCTCGATGGCCTTCGCGGTCTAGTCCGTACAGCTACCGTGGAAATCGTGCTCGTCTGGGGCTGCGGGCCCATAGCAAACTTAATAAGCGAAGCGGATTGGGACGAAGCTGCGCTAGTATCTCCAGACTTAGTTGAGAAACAAACCCACAGCGGGAGATCGGGATACCTCGTCCGGAAGGCCATCATGGTCCGGCCCGCCCGTGCCCCTGAGTGTCGCCCCAGGATCCATGGTTCGCATCCATTAAGCCGCAACCTGATCCTGTCGATCAGCTGCCATCCTTTGTTACCTTCAGCTGCGATTTGGAAGGAAGCTGTAAATATTAGGCCTACGAGGTGATAGACGGCGCCATGTACCTATTATGCGCAGTAATTCCGCAGCAGTATCATTTCCAATCCAAGATGGGCAGCAATTCTTCCCAATACCACACTTCCATTATTTTGAGAGCTCGTCACGTTCGACCGTTTGTCGGATATCATCCGCATTGTACCCCACAACGCCGTGGCCCATTGGCCAAAGCGCACCGGTCCAGGTATTCCAAATTCCTGTGGTGACCGTCACGAGCCTCCGGGGGCGGAGAATGGGTCTGGTCGGGTCAATCCATATCGAAGCCATTCCAAGGTAGGAAGGTTATTAGCGATCGTCAAGTCCTAACCGTAGATGAGCGGACGGCCGGCTCTTGCTGGTCGGCACTTGGTTGGCCGACTTTTGGTTGACGTGCTCTTAAGTTTGTACACACGGTTTTGGGTAAGGAAGCATGTCTCTTTGGTGGAGCTCCAAGCTACTACACATCCCTCCTATACAAGGCTCACAAAACATGTCTCCTCCACCTCCCCCACCTCCCCCACCTCCCCCACTGCTCTTTGAAGATCCCTGGAAGACATGGACAATAAGGCTGGATGGAGATGACAGTCATCTCATTGGAAAGGTGAATCCAGTAGACAAGAGACGGCCTTGTTTGGAGCTTGTCGAGGAGCAGGTTGTGTCTTTGATGGGATGGAACGTCAAAACGACACCGGCATTGTCTTACCTGGGCCGTATGAGTGATCATGATCCCGGTCGAAGGAATTCGGATCTCGCGTATGAGCCAGGCAGGTCTTTCGGTTTGTGACAGGACCGGAAGTATTGTCGGGGCACTCTTCTACATCGGGCAAAGATCGGAGATCTCGCAAAGGTCACACGAAACGGCCAGCTTGGCGAAGCGCCCTGGTGGGTCGGCTCATTTCAGGAACTGTCGAACGGAGGGAGTGGTCAAATATCACTAAGACCATTTTTGGCCAATTCCCCGGTACGAGTGTGGTATTTGGGTTAGACTCGGGAGTAACACCAAGACGAACCCTCGGGGGTGTTCAACCACTCCCATCAATAATCAATCAACCATCAGATTCTATTGGACATCTTCAGTACTAGCCAGTACATCGATTTCTCATCCTGACACAAAAGAGTAGAGGGTACCATTATACTCAGAATAGGCCAAAGAATCCAGAGAAATGGAAATCACTATTTACCCTGTATTCCCTATATAGAGTCTAATCTGAGAATTTTCGACTACAACACTAACCTGTCTGGGAGTTTTCGACCACATGGATATACGCTAATACTTTTTGGGAATTTCGGACCATAAGGACGACAATCTTCAAAGTTGAATATCTTCGTCAGGAGGTAAGATAAAAATAGTCATTAGAGTACTCTCTTCTTCCTCTATCTTCTATGAAAAGAAAGGGCTAGAATAATAGGTTTTGAACGATACCTAACAATCCCAATTTGCCTTATAGAATCTTGAGTAAGTCGAAGCCCACCCCAACGTCTTGTATCCATTGCTTCCGTCACCACCGCCCGAGCCGTCGAAGTATGCCTGTTGACTACTGAACCTAGGGAAGAGCTGATTGTTGAGGCTGACTGGCATCATGGCTGATGACTGCGAAATGCTAATGGTATGGCGTCCGTGGAACGTTCGTCGGTTGCTGCCTGGATTCTTGCTGCCGCTCATGTCCGCACGATGCACATTGTTGAGGATTTTGACGTGGCTCATTCGAGTCTCTGATAGACGTCAGTTGATAATTCTCGACTTGACCATAGTGTCTTGGGAGTACCGACTTACTGAAGAAGCTTCTTCGCGACGAAGTAGCCAACAGTGCCGAACAGACCGATCTTGAGAAGCGCCATCCCTCTTCTGGGTCCGTATGCTCGCAACGGAAAGTTGGCTCGAGCAAAGACTTGTCTGGCATGAAATCGACTGAATCGGCGAGTAGGATAGTCCATGATTTGTTGTTGAATGATTCCTTAAAACCTCGCAGGTGGACGGCGAATGTTTATAGGTAAAAACATCCAAGCCGAGTCCGGAACTCCGAGGCCGATCGGGGTCGGCTTTCCTTTTGAATAGCTCGGCCGCGGACTCGGCCTCGGGTGTGCAGCAGCGCCTTTGCGTACATCACCAACGAACAGCATCGGACGTCCGATCTTTTACTCGACGTCGGGCATTGCTAGCGACAGCATGTATGTCCGACCTCCTTTAATACGCAGAACTTGGCCTCGTGCCAGAGGTATATAGCACTGGCCATATTCTTTAGAATCGGACTCGTTATTCAAATCGACGTCACAAGCACAACTATCTTTTGCGCGCCCTATCAAGCACCCCACAGCAACTATGCACGACGACCGCACCGCTGAGCTCGAGAAGGGCAGTCCAACCTCTTCAAGACCATCGAGTCCAGCGGAGCCCAAGCCTCAAGCATCTGGCCCACCAGCAGCACCTGAAGGAGGCACAAAAGCCTTCCTATCGTTACTCGGAGGCTCCTTGGGTCTTTTCATCTCATTTGGATGGGTCAATTGCATTGCTCTGTTCCAAGCTGAATATCAGACCAACCAGTTGAAGACCTATAGCAGCTCGGAGGTGTCCTGGATCACTTCGTCCGAATGTGAGAGCCTTCTTCCCCAACCGGCCGTGAAACAACAAGCTCATTTCAATCTAGTTTTCTTCATGCTGTTCATGTCACCGTTGTCTGGATATCTATTCGACAACTATGGACCACGATTGCCGATCTGTATCGGTGGATTGATGCATGTGTTTGGCCTCATGATGACCAGCTTGTCAAGCAAATACTACCAATTCTACTTGGCACAGTCGATTTGCTCAGGAATCGGCACATCGCTCATTTTCACTCCGGCAATGACTTCGGTTTGTGTGATCACTCTTGGAACTTATCGCGCATTTTCTGACAAGCTTCACAGCCTATGACTTACTTCAGAAAGCGCCGCGCTTTGGCAGGAGGATTGACCGTTGCAGGCTCGAGTCTGGGTGGTGTAATCTTTCCCCTCATGGTCAACAACCTCCTTTCGGAGGTCGGCTTTGCATGGACGATGCGAATCTGCGCTTTCTTGATCCTTGGGCTCTGGGCTATTGCCATGCTCACCATCTCCTCCAACTTGCCTCACACTCGCAAGGAGTTCAACCTTGCGAACTACCTTCGGCCTTTCACGGATTTCAACTTCTTGATCTTGCTGACGTTCTGCTTTTTCCTTTATTGTGAGCCGCCTATCATTATGTTTCATCGCAACACAGCTAACCAGGGTTTAGGGGGATTGTTTGTCCCTTTCGACTACCTTGTCCTGTCTGCTATGCATAACGGAATGTCAATGACTATGGCCTACAATCTGATTCCCATCATGAACGGAGCGAGCTTTTTTGGACGTACGATTCCCAATGGCCTTGCCGACAAGTACGGCCGTTTCAATGTGCTTATCATCATGCTCCTTTTCACTGGTGTCATCACTCTGGCCTTGTGGTTGCCTGGTCGCAGTAACGCGGCCAACATTGTCTTCGCCGCTTTGTTTGGTATCGGATCTGGCACCACCATTGGCTTGACACCGCCCCTTGTGATGACTCTCTACCCACCTCAGGAGATCGGGTTTCGAATCGGGTTGGCTCTTGCTATCGCAGGCATTGGTACCCTTACGAGCCCTCCGATTGCTGGTGCAATTGCAGAGACAGATGGAGGCTCTTTCCGCTTTGCGGCCTTGTTCAGTGGCGTGAACTTCATGGTCGCGACAATCTTTTTGGTGTGGCTGAGGGGTAGAGTTTCTGGTTGGAATCCCCTCACAAAAGCTTGATGCCTAGGCAAGGGCACTGAGCGTAGCAGCCTGCTGCAATTACAACATCTGGTGAAGAAGAGGAGACTGGCGTGGAGGCAGAGAAACATAAATCGGCACACGCGTGACATGAACACGATCTTGCGGTGGCATGGCAGAATCCCTTCTGTGTAAATACAGAGATTTTAGTCTTACATTTGGATCAATCTCTGTAGACGAACAGACGATATGTATAGATTTAGAGAGTCCGGAAATTGATTTCATGACCATTAAGATCATTACCTCTTCAATATATGCTTGTTAAAATAATTCATGGATCATCTCTATATATATTAAATACTTAAAGACACCTTATAATTTGATCTAGCTGATTCTCTCTAGTTATTAGTAAGAATAAGACAGTAAATATATAAGACGCTAATCGTACCAAGTAGAATATATAGATATCTACAATACCTATATAGGTAATACTATAATCAGAATTAATATAGTTATATAATATTAACAATAAAACCTTATTGTTAGTATATCATAAATACTACATAGATACAGTTATTCATCCGAGCAACCCGATAGATATTACATTCAGCTATGGTTGCGTTAAGGTCCCGAATTTAAGTCCGAGATTCGAGAGTGGAGTATCGGGGATAATATTTGACCATGAGTACCTCACGGAGCTGCACTCACTTCATCGAAATAGACCTCCGAGTCTTCTAACGAGGTCTTTTGCGCCTCTATGCTTTAAATGCGTCTCGGTTCATCGCATCAAAGATGTGGAATTCATTCCTCAAAAGTTGCTGGCGACAGTTTTTATCATTAACAAACCTGCCCACACGATGATAAACGTCGACAACCTTTGGTCTCTGGCCGTCGCCTCTGGGTTACTGGCCATATTTCTCAATATACTGTGGGGGCGATTCAAAGAATACCAAGGACGCAAAGCCCATGGCTGCGGCGTTATCCCATCCTATCCTCAATGGGATCGCATTTTCGGCCTCGATCTCGCCTTGAGCCAAATGAAGGCCCTCCCTGGAGACACTTTTATCCCATGGCTGGCAGCTATGCATGAAGGCCAACCGAGCACATTCAAGGTCCGTTTCCTCGGAAAACGCCAAATCTACACCACCGAGACTGAGAACCTTAAGGTTATGACAGCGATCAACTGGAAGGATTTTGGCATCAGTCCTCTCCGACGCAGTACGAAAGCTTTCCACCCGTTCGCAGACAAAGGTGTCAACACCGTTGACGGGGACGACTGGGTGTTCAGCCGTTTCCTCATCAAGCCGTTCTTCAATCGCGATGTGTATACGAACACTGATCGGATCAGGCCGTATGTGGACTCGTTATTGTCTCTACTGCCGCCGGATGGAGAGACATTCAACATCCAGCCCCTGCTCCAGCGATGGGTAAGTCGCGCTTGCAAAAAAGCAATTTGAACGTTTCATTACAATGCTCATACGAACATAGTTCCTGGATTTGACCACTGATTTCATCCTTGGCGAGCCTATGGGGGCCCTCAATCATCCAGCCAAGGCCAAAATCACATGGGCCATGCTGGATGTTCTTCGTGGCAGTCGCCAGCGTATGCAGGTCGTTCGCATGATCAAGTGGTTCAACTGGGACTGGTGGCTCAAGGCAGTATACGAGGTTCATGCCTTTGTCGACACACATATCACAGCGACTTACAAAGAAATCGAAACCCGCAAGCCACGCATCGCTGCTGGAGAGAAAGTTGGCCCTGAGCGGGAAGACCTTCTATGGTACATGGCATCACACGACTCCGACTACGAAGACCTGCGGTCTAAATTGGCCCTGCTGCTGGTCCCGAACAACGACACAACTTCGATCTTCATCAGTAATGCCCTCTGGCACTTGGCTCGTCACCCGGATGCGTGGGCAAGATGTCGTGAGGAGGTACTGACATCAGTTCAAGGGGGTGAGGACGAAGCGGTTGGTCAACTCAGCTTCTCCACTCTCAGAGGCATGAAGTTTCTCAATGCTTGTCTTGATGAGACTCTGCGACTAAACCCAACCAACGTCACCCAAGTCCGTATCTGCATGAACGACACGACCCTCCCACGTGGCGGAGGCAAAGACGGCCAGTACCCCATCTTCGTCCGCAAAGGTGACATGGTCCAAGTCACCAAGACAGTACAGCAGCGCAATCGGGAATACTGGGGTGAAGACGCAGACGATTTTCGTCGATTTTCGTCCTGAGCGCTTCCTTGAGCTGAAGCCCTTCTGGGAGTTCGTGCCTTTCAGCGGTGGTCCTAGAAGGTGCCCAGCACAGATGATGGTCATGACGGAGGCTGCATACCTGGTAATGCGCTACGAGCGAATCGATTCCAGAGATGCGAATCCATATCATGCTATTATGCGGATTGGACCAAGTAACAAGACTGGTGTTTTGGTTGCCCTCCACAAAGCACGCGAAGGAAATTAGTATCGATGAACGACAGTCGACATGAGAATTACGTTAGCTGAAACTTTAGAACATTAGCTTGACTGTTAGATGCCAAACTGATCCATGCCTTGCAACTCTTTATTGTTCATATATCCGCGTTTCACTCGTTTCTAAACTCCTGCAACGGACCAGCACAACTTGGAAATCGAACGAAGAAGGAGACGATGCATTGACGCCTAGGAGCGAAGGCTATGTCCGACGATCGAAAGCGACGACATTGTGTCATCAATGATCGGCAAGGGATTCGTAGCCTAGCTGTTGACACCAATAAGGGCTGTATGAAAATACCTGTACTGAGGTTGAATTGGTCGGTGGGGCTTTATGTCCGAGCCCCGAGCCCGGACTCGGGCCCGAGTCCGGACCCGGGCCCGAGTCCGAGAGCAAGATGGAACAGCACCTCACTTCAGCAGCTTGCCGACCCCGAGCTTTCCCTCCGACCTTTCCAGCATCATTGATGTCCGTTGACCGCGCATTCAATACCTGCAATTTGGACTGTCGTCAAGATGGCTGAGGACCAGAGCTTTGGCAGTACCCGGTCAGCATCTTCACCCGCTCGTCGGAGCCGCCGACCTGTGCAATCCTGCGACCCGTGCCGCCGCCGAAAAGTACGTTGCGATCTCAAATCGCCATGTTCAGCCTGTCAAGTCTCCAGAAACTCGGTGACGTGCACATATCAAGGAGATCAGCAGCAACCCAGTCTCGCCCTGGAAGACCGTGGAAGCGAGGGCAATACTGTCCAACAACAAGTTCCTCGCTCGCTCAGCATTGCCCCAAACAACAACATCGATCACCCTGCAAAGAGGCAACGAACAACGAATGAATCGGAGCGAATTCGGAGCGTAGAGCGACGTGTACAGCAGCTTGAGCACTCGGTTGTACCAGAAGTCGATCCCCAGCAGCACAGCCTCAGCAGCAGCAGCAACAATCATCTCACGCTGCTGGCATTGTCTGATCGCCTCCAACACGTCGAGCAGCGGCTTGCTGAGCTGTCCCAAGCTCGTCCTGCGCCTTCAGCTGTCACGGGCGATAAGTCTCTAACAATTCCGTCTGTCATCCCTCGACTTCGTCACAACCAGAAGAAGGTAAAACTGTTTCCTTCAAGCCACTGGCTGCACACTGCTGAGAAGGTATCGTTGAAGCTCCTTTCTAATGAACACCTTGACTGATTGAACATTGGCTGACGTGTCAATAGTTCAGAGTCAGCCATGTTGGAGACAGTGACGTTGAATTGACCTTCGTGGATACCAAGGCCGAGCTGGCCGATTCGGTGAATGAGATACGCAACTTGCGACTCACGATGAAAAATGAGCAGGCACCGCAGATGGATGACCCCGTTCCTCAACTTCTGAGTACAATGCCTGCTCGTTCCATCTGTGACCGACTAGTGAATCACTACATGCGGACTTTCGAGTTGATCTATCGTTGTTTTCACATTCCCACATTCTGGGCAGAATACGAACAATACTTCAGCCAGCCGCAACCTGTAGTTACAAACTTTGCAATCAAGTTGGGTTTGGTGTTGGCCATTGGAAGCGTCTTCAGCAACGACGACGACAAAGTTCTACAGCGCTCGCGGCGTACTTGGATACAAGCTGCTCAATACTGGATGGTTGGACCGTCAGAGAAAACTACCAACAATCTTGATGGAATTCAAATTTTCTGTCTTCTATTGGTTTCGCGGCAGATAACATTAGTCGGCCGTTCACCGTGGCTGTCGGAAAGTGGTCTACTTCGGGTGGCTATGGCTATGGGCCTGCACCGAGATCCACAACTGTTTTCTCTGTCTCCTTTTCAAGCCGGGATACGAAGCAGGCTTTGGACAACAGTCCTAGAGCTCGTAATCCATGGTTCCATGGACTGTTCCATCCCTTTGCTTCTTTCTTCAAACGACTTTGACGATCATATGCCTCTTAATGTCAGCGATGCTGATTTAGATTCAGCCAGCAAACAGTCTCCATCTCCACAACCGTTGACAAGCTATACGGAATCGTCGATACAAATTTTCATGCGTCAGTCCCTGCCGATACGACTTGAAGTTGTCAGGGCGGTCCAAAACGAGCGATTAGAGCACTCATACGAAATGGCCATTGAGCTAGCTACGAAACTTCAGTCAGTTTGCCGTACTCTTGCAAGCTATTGTCGGTCGCATTGGTCGCAATTCCTAAGCATGCATCACGCTTTCCTTGATATGCAGATTCGTCGGTATATTCTGGTTCTGCATCGGCCTTTCATGCTACAAGCGCAAAAGGATCCCCGCTTCTATTTTTCCCGGAGGGTTTGTCAGGAGTCTGCAATGATTATCGCCACTTATGCCGAGCGACTTCGGCTACCTGCAGACTCTCTTGACGATCTGTCCAAGTTGATGGTGATGAGCACAGGGTCATTTCGCGGACCTTTGAGCCTGGACGTAATTTCAGTCTTGGGCTTAGAGGTTGTGTCTCAGCTGGAGGAAACGGGTTCCGGTCCGTCATCTGCTTCGATTGGTCTCAACCACACATTGGTCCTTGATCCTCTCGCTGAGCTGGCGCGCGGCCAGCGAGCGCCCATCATTCGACTTTTGGAACACATCAACGAACAATTACTGCAGATCGTAAAGTTGGGCCATCCTACGTTGAAACGCTACATCTTTCTTGCTGGCATTCTTTCCCAGATATACGCCATGGAACGCGGCCAACCCATTTTGTCTGCCGTGCTGAACACTGCAAAAGACAGCCTGAAGGAGTGTTACGATGTACTACAGTCCTACAGGGCCGCCAACACTCCCCGAGAAGTGTCGCAAGACGTGATCGATAATGGGCTTCTTGACGGCCTGGATTTTGGCGCAATGGTGAGTACAAATTACCAAATATGCGCCTCTTACATAGCACTACTGACTGAAGTCAGGACTCCAACTACCTGGACTTTTCGGCCTTTTTGGTTCCAACTATTTGATAGAGCAAGTTCACAGGACGATTTACGTTGCGAAATGAAGATCGTGATTAATTGAGGTTAATTCTTTCCATTCTGTTCTATGTTCGATCGTCTCTGTCTCGGAAGGGTTTGCTTACAAAGGTGAGGTATGACCTGCTGCTTGAAGCAACACTTGTGATGCATTGTGCACCTTGTCCAGACTATCTGAGCGCCACGCTGAAAATCCATCAGGCTGCACGAGGACAAGACAAGCATCCCAAATTCGGAACGCATGAGTCTCATTCATCAAACAAAGGCTCTTTAAAGGAATACTGTGCTGGCGTGCTGCTTCTTCAAAACTGGCCAGTGCGATGGGCACCTGAAATTGGTCTCCGGCTGCTACTGCTTCTTTCTGCAGAAACGCGACCATGGTGAAGCCTTTCCCGAATCCATCGGAAATGGCGCTGCCGTCCGACAAAGCCACGTGCGGTACCCGCGAACCAGGAAAGGTAGTTGGGATGTAGTTGCGTGAGTCGAACTGTGGTGCTGCCTTTTCAACATCCACCTGCTCGTTCAGTACTGCCAGACTCGACTCGTAGCGGTGACCCATTTCAACGCCGAAGCTCTGGTTATGGTCATCGTTTTGCTGAATGTACTGATCGATTTCCTCACTCAGGGCTATGCCGCGCTCATCCATGGATTCGATGACGACCGGATCCAATTTCACAGCTGTTGAAAGCCCCATGAGTTTCATCATGTGGATTTTGCTCCAGTGTTGCATCAGCGCTGCCACAGGACGACGTTCCTGTTCGTATGTCTTCATCAAGTGAGTGCCACCCCAGCCTTGAACAGTGGCTGCGAGCTTCCAGCCAAGATCCCAAGCATCAGCAAGGCCCATATTCATTCCGTAGCCGCCCGAAGGAATTGTCTGATGACAAGCATCTCCGGCAAGGAAGACGCGCTGATGATTTCCGCTCCACGTTTCGGCGAGAGCTACTGTCGGCGTGAAGATGGAGGTTGCAGTGACTTCATCAATAGAAATCGGGTAGGGTGAGCCCACTGTCCAGGTCTCCTTTCCGTCTTGCGCGATGATGGCGCCGCCGACAGAGCCGTTATTGGTTGTAGGGTCCGTGGGAAAAAAGGTATGCCAAAATCGGCCCTGGCGATGGAGTCGCTCGAGATCCTTTGACTTGAAATGGGTCAAGGCAACGGCTCGATGCCTATCGTTGTTGGAGTTAGCTTTCAAGGAGTCTTATTGTCTCTTTGAGCACATGGGCCACCGGAATACATAGCAGAACTCACATAGGCCCGCCTTCTAGCTCCGCGCCCACCGAGACAACTAAATAGTTTAATCACTGGCTGCATATTTTCTCTTGCCCGTTGGCCCTCATGCCTTCTCCATTTCATTTAAATTTCGGCTATGTTTTGAGTATTTCCCCTATCATCTTCCAAAACTGGTTGATTTCACATAGATAAAAGCTCTATCTCTCAATCGAAATTGGTACAGACATGGTGTTCCATATCCATTAAGAAGCTTTGCACGTTTCCCCACCTCCCAGAAACGCACTACTGGAGTGCCAAGGGCATTGGATCATTATTGGCGTTTGAGAAACAAGTCATTCAAGTTACACTGCATAAGCGGCTTGCAGTACGTCGTACAATCGCCATAATAGTACATATCTTGATTCGAAGGTTATTTTCGACAGCAGGATATTGATCAGCCAGATATATTCCGAAGTTCCGATTACACCCCCATTCTAAATCGATTCTTTCTCCATCACCAAGGACCCCCATCTCTGAAAATGGGCTAGATATCATGCAGGAGGTATATAAGAGCATATAATGTTAATTCTATACAATCAAAATAAGTAGGACTAATGCTAAGTATGCAGTGAATTCTTGATGGGATCTTGGTTCGATCTAAGATTCAGGAGCACCATCCCCGACCTGGCTTCCGGTGGTATAGTTACCAAAGCATGCCTTCTGGAATTGCGCCTTGTCCTTCAGAGTCGGCACGCCACGCAAGAACTTATCGAGGCGGCAGAAACCGTTGCTGGAATCCTCGCAACCGACAAGTCCATCTTGCGGGAGAGGAGAATTGTTGAGCACAAAACGAATGTATTTCGCGGTGTTGGCAGTCGACTTGATGCTAGGGTTGGTGTAGAGAACAGGGTCCAAATGATCGAATGACACGTCACGAGGGCAAGTCCAGATCTCGGACATGAACCGGGCACCAAAGGGTGTCATCTGGCTGAGAGAGAAGTTGCGCTCAGGCGCATGGTCAATGTCAACGGGCAAACCCTTGGGACCGTACTTGAAGTAGTCGAGACCAAGGGCGTTAATGACGGACAAGATGATATCATCGTGAGACATATCCATATAGAAGGGCTGGCCAAATGGAAACTGGGCTTTGTTATTGGTGTAGGTGTAGTTGATGCTGGTATCGCTTGAGGTGATGAGCTTTTGCTCGAGGCGAGCGGCGAGCTCTAGAACGTAGCCGATGCCCTGGGCGCGACCGCTGGGCGAGCCGTAGGCGTAGTCTCCATAGTACTGCACGTCGATGTTGTATTCGAAGTCCTTCCATTCTTGCTCGGTGAAAAGAGAGCAGAATGATGAGCCGCCAAGACTGGTGTACTCGTATACACAGAGGTTCTGCATGGCGAGCACGTCCATGGTGGTCAGGTTGAAGTTGGGAGGGAAGTAGGAGGATAAACGGGTGCGAGCATTCTTTGTGTATCGAGAAATGAAGATCTCAGCAGCGTTGTCGCTGTGATTTTTGTTAATACGGTTTCATGATTAGGCATCTATTGTTGGAGGACTTTTTGCTCACCCTTCAGAATAATCAAACGTGCACGTTTCGTAAGAAGCGAGAGTGTTGTTGAAATCAGCATGCTCGGGAATCACGACAAGATTATACTGGTCGTAAGAGCTGTTGGCTCCACTGTTGCCAAAGAAGCCGCCTAGTCGAAGAGGTTAGCTGGTTATCCGGGAGAGATGAATGATATGAGAGTTCCACTCACTGAGCCACCAACGTGCGCTTTCCAAAATACGTCCCTGGGAGGTAGTGCGAAACACCGGCGTCGGGCGGTCTGTGCCGTTGGCGTAAACGTTAAGAGATGAGCTCCAAGCAGCCACATTTTCACGTCCGGCACGGTACAACAGTCTTCCGTACTTGATCCAAAAGTTGGCACCGGATGTAGCCTCAGTGGCAGCACCGTTCGCCATAAGAGTATCCTCACCAAGAACATAGTCCCAGTTGTTCAGGAACTTCAAAGGACCGACAGCCACGGTCTTGTGTCGGTTAGCCTTGCTGTAATTGGTCAACTTAGCTGCGAAGTTGGACATTCCCTCGCCATCCAACGGGTAATCCGTGGGGAATCGCTGCGCATGGCGATGCAGAACATGCACTTGAGACAGTTCACATCCTTGTGGCACACCACTAGGAACGCCGAAGCTATCTGCGTCCTTATAGGGGCTGAGATTGGCCCAACTCTTGGTCATGTCAAAACCAGATGCATAGCTAGATCCAGTTGGGCCCGGTGCAGGAGCAGGCGTGCTAGTAGCAGTCGCCGTAGCTGTAACAGCAGCTGTCGCCAGCGTGGCTCCGATGAAGTTCTTCATGGTTGATTGGAACCTCTGGGTTTCTTGTGGGGTAGTGGCTCCACGGTTCACTTAAATCTCTCGTCCTCCGTCGTCTGCGTTTGGTGATACCCAATTGCGACTGTCCAGGTGATCCTTAGAGCGTAAGTAAGTACAGTAGATGTGATGCAACTGAACTGTTGGCTTGTTTATCGAAATGAATTCTCCAATTAACTTTCGGGGGATCGTTGTTCCACAAAACCTGGGAGCCCCTGATTGGCGTTATCTCCTTCTTAGCTGGGTGGCCTGTGCGGTCCCGAGGATTCTCACCCGCTTCTCACTTTCATTCTCACCTTCATTTTCACATGTGTCTATAGTGCACTCACCCTTCTCACCGCGCGACGCTGAAGCGGCTCTCGCCCATTTCTCACCAGGGCGACACCTACTCCTGGCCGCACATATGAACCTGTGATGTAATTCTCATCTTTTGGTACATTAATCAGATTTGGACAGGCAGGTTGGTTCACAGTACAGTCATTTTCGCACAAAGGAGCTACGAGGTACAGAATTGCTATGCATCTGTGCTATTGATAGAGTAATATCTATGAAATGATAGAATCTAGACTCCGAAGCGGAACTCCCGCACCTTCTTCTGATAGTAGAAAGATGCCAACAACCCAGTGACACCGAGAGCCAGTGGCATAGCAGCCCTAGCCTTTGTCTTAATGATCCGAGGGATTGCAGAGCCCAGAAGAAGGATGCTATTTCCAAGGGCGAGCTCAGTGCCGTAGTCCTTGTTCTCCTTGATCAAATAACCTAGCAACGTGGTCAGTTTCCGAATATCCTAGCACGCCCACGGCCGAGGTACTTACCGGAATAGGCATATGATATACCGAGTCCAACACCGGCAATCAAGGAAGGCGTTGATCGGGTTCGCAGAAACCCAATGGTACCTCCCACAGGGACTGGTTATGGTCAGAAACGTTGAGCAACCTATCTTGTTGCGCGCAGGACTTACGAAGAGCGGCAAGGGTAAAAGAAGGATGTTCAGCCATGATGACTTTTAAGCACTTGAAATATTCCAAGGGTCTGAAGCTTTAGAATTTAGGAACCTCTCAAGTGCCAGGGGCGAGATCCGGGGCCTCCCGGGGCCGAGTTCTTATTAGTCAGCGGAATGCAGGGCCTCGGGATCGGGGCCTCGGAATCCGAGCACCGAACTGGTTAGAGCCGAAGCCATCGTATGATATGACAATCATTTAGACAGCCACCTAGGAACTTCAGCAGGCGAGTTTGCAGCAGGGCTTAATTGATGAGCTGGTCTAGCGTGACACTGGGCTCTCTAATCGCCTGTAGCTTGAGTGAGGACCTTGGAGGACATGCAGAAAATCGCGACAGAGGCGACAGAAGCTCCCTCTATCTCGGAAGGTATCACTGATGACTTCGAAATCAACCTGAACCTGGGCGATGACGGCGAAGGAATCCGCGATGCCGACATTTAAGTTTCGTGGAGATGCATCACTACATGACTTTAGGTTTTCTGTTTTGTTTTGTTTTTTCTTTTCAATGGCCTAACAATTTAATCAACCGATTAACTGTCTACTTGATCATTAGTTACCTCTATTTTTGCATATCGAGACAGCCCAGCGGATTTAAGCAATTAACGATTGAACTTCTTTAGCTCCAGCCATCGCAGTCCCGGATATGCCAACATGGCCCACGACGAACCAACCCAAATGCCGAGATCCGAGCCACTGTCGCCAACCATCTTGGCAATTGGACCGGCGAAGTATACCTCGTTCATGGAAATAATTGAACCAGCCCAACCGATCAAAAAGGCTGCCATTGCAGCGAGACCAAGAGGTAATTTCGAGCGATCGGCCCAAGCCTCCCAATCAAAGCCTCTCGATGGACGGAAGATAAAATGTTCCTCCAGAGCAATTACAAGGTAGATGCAAACCCAGTAGCCCATTAGAGCGAGCCAATTCTCAAAAATGTCGGATAGGTTATTCCGACCAGCCAACGCGCAGACAAAGTAGATGATGACGCCGACGCAGGTCCAGACCCACCGGGGAAGCTTGGCCGGGTAGCGGCCCAACATCTGGAATCCCAAGGAGGCGGAGTAAGTTCCCGCGACGTTGTTGGCGATCTGACCCAGGGAAACTAGGACGCCCAGGAACTTGCCGAAGCCGCCGAGTCCGTTGTAGCCGGCGAGGATCAAAGAACCTGAGGAGACGCTGTCGGCGGCTTCCCAATCGGGATGAGTCGCCACGCCCGAGCCGAGGCCGACACCAATCAAGTTGGCAAAGGTCAAGGCCAGCCCAACACCGAGGAAGGTCATAATGAAAGTTTTCCACTTCTTCGTGTTGGGGGGAAGTAGACATAGAAGTCCGCACCGGCGGGAGCCCAGGCGACGGACGAGGATAGGCAGAGCGAGAAGAAGGAGAGGCGATTTCCGGCGACTGTTTGCGGCGAACCCGTAGATACGGTTGAGGTGTCAAACTTGGGGCCAGCGCTACCAATAAGGACAAAGGCGGCGATGAGCTGAGGGATCCAGGCCCATCTATCAACGTTTAGGTTAGTATCTCGGTTGGGCTAGATCAAGGAATGATGAAGAGAAAATATGTACCGCTCGTAGATATGGAATAGCCGCATGCCAAACAGGACCACGATCCAAGTGACTATCACGATGATAACCACGCCTACAGACACGGTCATGTGGTTTCCAGCCACGGCGGACAGGACTTGTCCACCCACGATGCTGTCGACCATACCGTATCCCAGCATGATGACAATGTTTAACAGAGCGCATATCTTGCTGGGGTAGTATCCCATGAAATACCGAGCCACAACCTGATTGCAGTAGTCCATCAGTATACTGGTCGATACGTGCGCAATTGGATCAAAGTCATACCATAGTTCTGTTCCCACTAGCTGGGCCAAACGTCCCCATATAAGCAACACCTGCTGCACCCAACAGAGCGCCGAACGTGGCACAAAGAGCCGAGTCGACAAATCCCAGCCCGTAGTTCGACGGACCGAGCATACCGACGGCCATATTGTTCGCCGTAATGTTAACACTGAACCACATCAGAGCCATCTGCATATAGTCCGCCGACGTAACCCTGGGCTTGCGTTCATCGAGCGGGACACGCTCGATACCGCGCGACTCGAAGAAATCCAGCTGGCCTAGGCGGGCATTGAACCGCTCGAAGGCATTTTTCGACGGGTGCAACGGCGGGGTTGGCACCGGCGATAACGATTTAATTACCGTCGCAGGCTGAGTATTCTTCTCCTCGTCTTCCACAGATCGCTCCATAATGCTTTGAGGAGAGCGGAAGTGAGTACGCAGACCAGGGCGATCGGATATAGGATTGGAAAAACTCCAATGGGGCCTTTAAAAGTGCAGAAAGAGAATTCTGCAAGGAGCTGATCCCTGTCGATGCCGAGGGAAATAAATCAGTGAAGCTCTCAGCCGGATGTAACGACGGCCCGAGATGGTGTGGATGGTGGGAGATGGTGTTACGCTTGTACAGTGGCATACCATTAGTACTTTATCTTTGCACCCCAGTACATCCCTGACCGCTCATTTTATCTTACCTATTCCCACCACTACAGGCTAGTGGTGTTGTGCAAATACTAACTACAAGTAGGTAATGATAAGTGACTGTACGGATACTTCCGGCTGGGCACGTCCCTTGGCCCCCACCACATACCATGCTTAGCAGCGCCACTAGGCTTGTATTATAGTTCACGAATGGCCAGACGTGGTCCAAAGTTAATTTACGCTTTGTAGTTGGATATTTGGCCCCCACCTCTGGTGCCCCTCACAGCCACTGGGATGTACCTAGGTATGTATGTACTTTGTACATATCCAGGGATGTATATCTCTTCACGCACAACATTCGGCCGGAATACCTTTCTATTCGTCGGCCCACCGGGCTAATAGATCTTTTCTCCACTCTCGATGCGGCTTTATTAGAGATGGGCAAACCAATCTATACGGCGAGAGACCGGCAGCTAATCCAAACACGCTCGCTACTCAAGTTGGGGGCCAAAGCTGAAAAGCTTACGCTAGAATCCTGCCCCTGAACATCAAACCAATCCCCGACCCCCTAAAATTCGGAGCATCATCAGCGAATCAATGGAATGGAATGTGATATCGACACTTGCTCATTGGCAACGTTACCCCCAGTCCTCCTCGTTGGTGGGTTTGATTGCTTAGACCGGCGGCCCCCGGGTAATATGAGGCCACTGCTTATTATTCAGTGGGTCGCAACCACCATACAAGATATATGTTGTAATAATCGTAACAATCACGATCGCTCGGCTCAAGTGGACAAGGTTCGTGCTAACCCCTTTATTCCATAAGCCTAAAAAGGTCTGCTACACGGCCCTGGTTAGCCCATTCATCCTCACTGGCCCCTTAAGATGCCCACGTAGCTCGGCCAGGGGAGGGTCACCACCCCATACACACAACATGTCAAGCCAAGGTGGTGGTTCGATACATGACTTGATTGTCGAGTCATGGATTATGTACGGTGTGGGAATCTTATTCTTCATCGTGCGACTGTCGGTGCATTCTTCGGACTCGGTTGCTGCTGAATTTACCGCTGACTCGATCGCAGTTATGCTCGGTACAAGCGTCTGAAGTTCCACTTCCAGGTTGAGGATTATTTGATGTTTTTGGCAATAGTACGGATTGAGGGTCTCCAAGTCCACCCTCGTGCCCGTATGAGGCTAACCATCCCATGTAGATCTTCTACACTGCGTTTGTAGTCACGAATATCGAGATCACCAAGTACGGGAGCACCTTGTACGAACCAGGTCAATTCGAGACATTCACTGCCGATGACATCAAACAACGGGTCTTAGGCTCGAAGATTGAATTTGCCTCAGAGCATGTGAGTCGTCCTAGAAAGGCTGCAAAAACCGCCTCTAACTTACTTTTTCAGTGCCAAGTATGCACCATCTATTGTCTGAAGGCCTGCATGCTGTTGGTATATTTTCGAATTACGTGAGTTAAGATCAAGCAATCCGTACACTCAAAACTGATACATTATAGATCAAACCTTAAGCAACATCGATGGGTCAAGCTATCCGCCCTCTATACCGCCCTTGGATGGCTGGCCACCGAATTGACCTTGTTTTTGAACTGCCACCCCATATCCGGATACTGGACATTGCCGCCGCCTCAGCGCGAATGCGCCACTTACTTCCACTTCGAAATTATACAGGCAGTCTTCAACGTCAGCTCGGATATTGCGATTCTGTTGGTGGTTCTGCCGATGCTGTTTCGAGCGCGTATGCCATGGCGGACTAAGCTTCCGATCGTGGTAGTATTCTCAATGGGTATTGTGGTAGTAAGTTGTCTATACTTTCTCATCCCAATCACAAAACCGCTGGGCAGTGCTAATGGATGACAGATTCTCTGCGCCATCATTTCCAAAATATTCACGTTCCGCAACATTTATGACACGAGCTACCAATTCTGGTACCTGCGCGAAGCTTCGATCGGCGTCTGGGTAACCAATGCCCCCTTCGTATGGTCCTTGGCCCGCTCGACCCTCAGCTTCCTAAAGTCAACAACCAACCCAACGAAAACCACACCCCAGTATACTTTAAGTGCGCCTGGGGCATCAGCCATTCGGGCCCGGTCCGGGACAGAAACCAGATCGTCCCGTGCGCTAACTAGAATGTATGACATGGATCCTATCGGTGGAAGCGAAGAGAGTATGATTGAGATGGGTGAAAGGAATAAAGCCCCATATATATCAAGCGCGTCGATCGACGACAGTGTACCCTCAGCCTCAGAATGGGGCGAACGGTCACACCGGAGCAGCTCTCCCGGGGAGCAGAAAGGCCATATTTGGAAAACAACCGAGATTACTATCGAGAAGAGCTAGACAACACACTTGAATGATTCCGGGATGTTTTCTTTTGGGCCATCATGACCATTTGGCGACGTACTATTTTCGGCCTGAACTCTCCCAGGCCATATGAATATCTGAAAGGAAACGCACAGGTGCACTTAACTACTAAAAACAAAGAAACGGTATCAAAAGAAGTGGTATCAACGGATTATTCTCGGAGTCTAAAACAAGGAAGAGAGAGCAATATAATATATTAGTACTATCTGTCTGACTGACTCGGAGGAAAGCAGGAGAAGGGAACTAAGCAGAGCTATCTACACCGGTCTTCCACACGACCTAGTACTAAGTCTGGGGCCCTAAATCGGGTTACAAACTATGCAATATCCTAATTATGTGTATTTTATGAGGATTGTTGTTCTATCAGAACAATCACTCACTCCAGATGTTTGGTTTTAGACATAGAAAAGCCCTGAGGGGCGAGCGCGATACAATACATTTCGATTACCGTCACCCTTCACCTAGGCAGTCTCCGATAGGGAGTCTAGTACCCCGTGAGTGGAGCTTATATTGTTGCTTCCATTGAGTATGTACTTATTACATATACGATAGCCATGACAAACATATTATATAGTGGGGTGTAATCCCTTGTAACTGTAGTCACGAAAGCCATCTTCCTTCTTAGTACGGGATACGATATGTTGTTGGCCACTGCCAGAATGCCGCCAAACCTATCCCCTTCAACGCGTGCGCTTATCCAAAATTTCCCAGGGCCCAGGCCCGGAATGTTGAAATTTATGGAATCCGGTTATTATTAACAAGGACCTGTTCGTGTTTGTTGCCTGACCTGCTCTAACCTCCCTGTTGGAAATTTTACCTCCAGCAGGATCACAATGCATCCAACAAGCGCTCCCTTAACGGACGTGGATCTCTCCAGAATCAATATTAGTAGGGAGATTTCGCGGTCTGATGCCTCTTCAATGTTCGAAGTAGATCTGGATGGACAAAAGTATGCATTTAAAGCTTTTCCACGGCAACGGCGACCCTGGATATACCGAGGATGGTCGTGATCTCAACCGATTTCGCTGCGAATTTAATGCATATAAGAAGCTCCTCGCTTCTGGTGTCTGTGGGCGCGGCTTCGTTCCAAAATTCTACAGCTATATTAATCGAGTGAATCTAGCTGCTTCTGTTTTCCAACATTTCGCTTATGACAAGCTAAACCCGAGCGCAATTTTGCTAGAATTCCTCCTAAATGCGGAGTGCTTGAACTGCATGAACTATTCGGATGCGCTCCATTCCCAGGTAACTGAGGGCATGAAGCAGATACATAGGGCGGATGTCCACCACCGAGACATCTACCCTAGAAATATGCTTCTTGTTCGTGGAAACCCAGATAGGCTGGTATGGATTGACTTTGATGTGGCAACGACCTTCACCGACTTTGGACCTAAACAGCTGGCCCACTCTGACCACGAAATTTCGCTTGTGAAGTGACTTGGGGAATTATTAGTACGGCCTCCGTGGCTATCATCGTTGAAATCATTTGGTATGCTAACTGGCCAATATAGAGAGATGACCAGGCCGAGGGACTCCCCCCGAATACAAAATTGTATTGAAGGTTTCAAAGACTTTCAATGGTCCTGATAATCAGTGGCGGTTATGCGGTCTTGTCAGAGAGATGGGTTGGGCAGAGCCTCGAGCAACAGCTGTTTCACTTCATTACAAGCAATGCACACTTTCATTACGGCACTAAATGCCTCCAGCCTTAATCTATTTCTAGTACTACATCTACACTCTACATCAATCGGCTCCTTCTTAACAACTCCGAACTTGAACCCGTCCAAGTCCTCTGTCTCTCGTTTGTCCTGAATCCTTAGTGTTCTGGCTGGATTCAAATGATCTTGATATTCGCGACTTCGCTATGGATCCACCTTCGCTGGCTATAGCCGCCATTGGAACTTTAGTTCTATGTGTCAAGTAAGCATTCACATCCACTGCTCCCTTTTCTCTTGGATCTTTCTTATAGTGCTCTTAGAGACGGTAGCAAAGTGATTGAATTCTGCCAAGAGCGATGCCGGATGCGCACCAACGTTGGAGAGCCTGCGTTGATTATAGAGAGGTTTGGGTAGAGACAAAGTTTTGGCTCGAGTGATAAGAACCACGAGACGCGAATCTCTCGAAACTTGGGCGAAGCGTGTTCTATGAGCTAGAAAAGTAAAGAAACCCTCTGTCGTGACTGGGGTCCCCTAAAACTTTTGGTACTTTTGTGCACTACTGTCAGGCCGCATATACAGATCAATAAATTCCACGGAGTATGGAGTACTGTTAACTCATTCTAGCCACTTAGCACCCGCCGAACCTTGCAAGGTTATTTATCCACCTAAATAATATCCGATGATCCAAGGAAGGCTCACTACGGAGGACTCGAGGTTGAGTATAGCCGTTAGGTACACCAGTGGGACGGAATGTGGGCCCGCACCCAACCCCCAAACAGGATTTCGTCCGAAGGGTGCAGTGTCTACTGGATAGATCCTAAAGGTTGGAATGAGCTAGTTATCTTATTAGCTGTATACATGTATACATATTAGTCCGTTTCTGTCCTAAGCTATAGAGTGGCGAGTCCGGCGACGGTGCCAAGGAGCTGCGAGCGACTAGCGGGCAGAGTAACTACTAAGGAATCTACGGAGTAGTAACAGCCGACGAAAGATAACTACGAGAAGCTAGGGCTAGTCGAAAAGCCGAGACCATCTACCGAGTACATTGGAGTTCTGCGCAAGGCCATACTTAGGTCGGATTTTAACGGCCCCCCTTTCATGGGGTGGGGTACTCCATGATGCGCGGGTGATTGGAGCTAGCCCTTAGCGCTCCTTGTCGGTTTCAGACCTAGACTTTTCGAAAAAAACAAGAAAAAATCAGGAAAGCAACTGGCTGTATACCTAGAATCAATATCTAATGACAAGATGGTGCTCACTAGCATTGTGTCTGGCTCGTACACTAGGTCATAGTACTGAATTAGCGGTACAATTCCTCACCTGGACCGGGATGTGCTTGCAACCCCGTACCATGCATCTGAGCAGATCAATCGTCTTCCGAACCCCACTCGCGCACGTTCACGGGATCGGTCCGTCTCACTATGTTGTAAACACAAATTTTCACTGTAGACAAACCCCACTAAGTATCCTTTGTATGGCACAACCTAACTATACAAAAGGTACATACATATGTTATTTCAATACTCTGAATTTTCTTTACTCTCGACCCGGTTCGGAATATATATATATATCTCGCGGTAAAGGAAGTTTGTTTCATTTTATGTATTCAAATTGGGAAATATCAAATGTAATAAAAGTCAGAGACCATTGGTGTCTCTACATACAGAACGCAAGGGGGCTGGGAAGACGGCCTCGGGATTCGTATGTATTCCCCACTTTTTATTGAATGGTCTTCGGAATGTGCAAGATAAAGGGTTTTTTTACAGCGATATATATTATTGCTACAATTCAGAGACTTGAAGAAACGAGATAGTCCGCGGCACTTCAGGTCACTAGCTCTTGCCAAATCCTCTCATGGCGTCGCTCAATCAAGATACAAATCAGTTCAAGGTACTCATAGCTGGTGGGAGTCTCGTGGGTCTTGGCCTAGCACTCGCTTTTGAGCGTGCCGGAATTGAATACGAGCTTTTTGAAAAGGGAGAATTTGCAACGGATCTGGGCGCCTCTATAGGAATCCACCCGCATACCATAAGAATTCTAGAGCAGCTAGGAGTATGGAAAGATATTGAGCAACAGGTTATACCTCTGCAGGGTCGAAACCATTATGACGGAAATGGCCATTGCTTTGAAGAGTCGAATGTGCTAGTCCATATCAATGAAATGTACGTCTATATATAATGAACTATTTGTCTACAGATGAAATGGGTGTGCTAATGTAATTATTTTCTTGGGAGAATTGGATAGTCTTCAACGCCCCATCATCTTCATGGAGCGATGCAAAGCTTTGGAAGCACTACACAGCCACGTGCAAGACAAATTGAAGCTGCATGCTCGAACCGCTGTCGTTGGATATGAAGAAACCCAACAAGGGGTTATTGTCACCACTGAAGATGGCGAGCATCACCATGGCCACATCCTGATCGGCGCAGACGGGATCCATAGCAAAGTGAGGAAGCTGATGGCCGACAAAATCAGCGTGACGAATCAGCCTCTCGCTAATGAACTCAACGAGGGTTTGTCCCACCTCTCTGTTTTGCTAGCTTCAAACTCCTTACAACTAACATTCCGACCTACAGCGTTTAAAAGCGAGTACAACTGCATCTTTGCGGTATCTCGGAACGACCCCGAGAAGCAGTTTTTACCTAATGCGATGGTTCACAACGTGTACTACGACAAGTACTCTGCGGTTGCAGCTGCTGGTGTGCATGGGCTTGTGTTTTGGTTTCTTTTCGTCAAGGGTTCCAAATTCACAAGAACCCCCAACTGCCCGCGGTTCACGGATGAGGATGAAGAGGCGACTGTCCAGAAGTATGGAAACTCGCTAGTCGGCCCCGGATATACCGTGAAGGATCTATGGGATGCTCGAGTCAAAGGTACAATGGTACCATTGGAAGAAGGTGTCATCAAACGGTGGAGTCATAACCGGGTAGTTTTGATGGGTGACTCAGTTCATAAGGTTCGGGTCTCCTACTTAACTGCAATGAGATTTAACTAACTTTCTTCATCACGCAGGCTACAATCAACCCTGGATTAGGTGGTAATCTGGCCTATGAGGGAATCGCTCGTTTGACCAACGGTCTCGTGCCTTTACTGAAAGAGAGCCCGATGCCATCCCTTGAGCAGTTGACTGAGGTTTTCAATCAGTATATTAGTGGTCAAAAACCTCGAGCAAAAACAGTTGTTGATCTTTCCGGTCAGATTACGCGCTATGAAGCCCAAGATACCTGGGTACTCAAATTTGCAGCCCGTCACATTGTTCCCTGGGTTAGTGACAGACTCAAGGCCAAACTTTATGCCAGTTTCTCGAGAGGCGGCCCTTATTTGGAATATCTCCCACTCCCTTCAATGGATGTGGATCTGAGGAAGCCTGCTAAGAAGCCTAGTAGTCGTGGCATTTTCCCAGGGTTGATTACAGTCATGATCATAGGCGGCACTGCTGCTATCTTCTGGCACATGCGTAACCAGAACCGCTTGTTGTTAACATTATCTGCATTCATAACACAGTGGAAGTATTGTTAGGCCGTGGCCATGGTTGTTGTTATCCTATTTAGCTACCATCGGGTTGTTTGTAGAGCATGACAAATTTCTTCTTCTTCTCCTCTCTTGTCAAGATAAAATCAACCCAACAAAGCAGCTATTTCAAGGTTTAGTTTTGGTCTAGTGATAAGGCTACGCCAATCGGCAATATTGATCGTTGAAGGGATTACTAGCGACGCGGAAGTGTCATTGAAGGAAACTACTATGTGTTAGAGATCGCGAGCAAGTGAAAAACAGCAGGATCTATTCATAAGACCGCCACGGGTGCTTTGACTCCATGCAAACAGTAAGTGCCCCTGTGGTCCCAATAACCAAAAAGTGCGCCACGGCCAGGGCACAGACCAGAATTGATGGCCAGTCAGCCCTAATTTTGTCAACAAGGATATTATAGGTATCAGCCAGATATGGGTAATAGCATATCAGCGGCACTTTCCGTAACAATCATTCCCTAGACACTGGGCTGAACCAATCTACCACCAGTTTATATGCAGCATTCCCAGACTGTCAGTTTCATTTTAAATTAGCTCATTTCTATCCCCTACAGGGCATTTTCATCTTATTTTTCATATAGTAGTAGTTATATAGTGGTATATTAGTTAGTTATATAAGAAGAAAGTAGTAAAATACTAGTAAGTGAGTGGTAAGAGGGAAGTGGGTTAATGCCTAAAGGTGGTAAGGTAATAAAAGGCAAGGCGTAAGGCAAACATAAATTTTTAGTGGGTGCCTAAGGCTAGTAACCCTAGTGAGAGGTCAGCGGGGCCACCCTGATGTGTAGTCACATTATATAATGTAACCAAGGGATAACTAGAGAATGGGCTCCTCGATGTACATAGCGGACACGCCAATTGGGGGCAGCAGCTTGATTTAGAGGTAAAAGGTCAAATGGGAAAAATGCTTATACTAGGCAAGTTTTTTCTCATCATCTACTGCGAAATAGTTCACTCATCTCAAAATCAGTGTGTGTGCAGGCTGAAATTCGGCATGATATCAGGAACGTGGTTAGGTCACGCGTATATAAGAACATCGAGTTATTCGAACCTGAATCTCAGCCTCGGGTTCAAACTGGAAGCTTGCGCGCCTTCCTCAAGCCGTGAGACAGAACGAAGCCAATCTCAGGTGTTGAGGACCAGGTTAGTAGAAAATATCAGGCATTGCAGAATCACAAAGAAAGATTAATAGGACCATGTTGTAAATTTAGAAGATATAGATTCAAGCTCAATGAAACTATAACGCATTAAAAGATGCCTGCCAAGACTACCTGGCTTAGCTGGTGGTTAACTCTCGGTGACAGGCCAGGCCGGGAGTAAGTCAATAAATGCGCCATCGGGTTTCTTGTTTCAGCCCAGCCCGTCCCGCAGATCACACACACCTTTGAACTCCACATCCCGTGTTCCCCGTGGTAGCGGAAACTGTACAGCAAGCACCATTCCACCCAATGAATGCATGTGAAATTGCTCGCTTAGTACCCGGAGAACATATGTGGGTGGCACGCTATTTAAATACAAGAGATCACCGGGCTGCTAGAGTTGGGGGCCGGACAATCCATCAGGCACTCTCGTTACCAACAGTTTTCAACCAGACATCCCTAGATTCCTCAGCATGTACTCGAGTTCCCGCTGAGATGTTTATGTCACGTGGTAAAGGCCTTACTGTGTCCTTTCGAAAAGATATTATTTGAGCACTAAGAGCCCCAGCTTTCGACCCACAAAGATTGAAAGACCTTGTCATAGACATCAGAGATTCAAGATGACAACTCCAGCTGTTCAAATGGGATGGAGCCTCACCGAAAGTTCCCAATCGGTTTTTTCTGTCTTCAGAGGTGTTTTAGCCGCTGCTACAAGTGACAATGTTCAAGTCCTCGCGATCATGGCTTGCGAAAATTTCGGTACTACGATTGCTATGAGCAGCCAGACAACAGCTAAGGTCTTGTCTGCCATCGTCCCATCACCAGAACCGGCTTCCATTAGCTTCTTGAAGAGTCATGTAGGCTTCTTCAAAGGCGACTGCGCAAGTCAGCTTGGCAAGAGTTTGGCTGGCACCCATTTCCTAGGATTAGCGGCTGCTCTTGTGACCACAATCGGCCCCTTCAATGGTGCAAGTGCTCTCGACATCATGCTTAGGCATTCTGCAACGGACCTGACGCTTCTTCCGACAGTCAGGCACCTGAACGATCTATTAGTGAGCCTTGAGGCTAGGTCATACCGGTGTGGCTTTGCCGATTCCGTTTTGGGGTGGCAAATTCTCCTTCAGAAAGAGGTGCTGCCTCGTATTGGTTCAGAAGAAGCTCGTCAACAGCTAGTTCAGGGATTCATGCGAGTACCTTCTTCGGAGATAATAGCCGGCATTGTTGATGCTTTTCGTCAGGTGGCAAGAATGGGATCTTCTACCATATCCGGGGTGACCATCAAAGTTCACGAGGCAGCGGCTTGGATCTTAGCCTTCGCACAATGGTGTCTTGAGCTTCCTCCTTCTGTATACTTGGAGGGAATCCCAGAGGCTGTTTGCGAGCAACCCCGGTCACAAGTCCAGATCATCATTATGACCAAAGAACCAAAACGGTCATTTGAATTGACCATCCACCACAGGTCAGAGAACATAACCCATCTCATAGAGCCTGGTTCTCAGGAATTCATCAGCGGGATGGTCACTATTGAATCTTATTATCCGTGGCTGTTTCGACGGATTGGTTTCGAGACTGAAGACATGATCCGATTGCTTCGTCTAGCCCTCGAACACGCAATTCCTCAAGTCCTATCATCGATGCAGTGTAAGAGATTCTCTTGCCTTGGTAAAACTACCAGTTCTGAACATTTTCTTGGTTCTGTCAGCAACTCAATAGATAGTTGCTGCCTTACTCCGCTTCCCGAACTCAGAACTATTCGCGAAACCTATGCAAAAGCTCTAGCCGTAGATGGGCGAGTTAACTTTGCCACTCTCGATAAGGGCATGCTTGTGGGTGATCTTCCAAAAGTTTCTCTTCACCTTCAATCTTTGGCGATGAAATGTCCATGTCAACATTGCTGTACGTGCACACAACGATACCACAATCCGCTTTCGAACAACGACTTCTGCTACAAAGAAGATTTCTTCCGATCACTAGGTTTTATAACCACGGAGATACTTGTTCTTTCTCTTTTCCAGTCCTCAGAACCGATTTTGGTCAAGGCATCTCTCGAACGAAGAGGAGGCTCGCCAAGGCTTGATAGCACTATCTCCAAGGTGATTAAAACTGGAGAAACCTGTGAGTTTGATGATATGGACCTTTTGGATTGGGCAAGAAGCATGGTTGGCCATGATTTTGACGACGAGGATCGAAGTTTGACTTTGACCTCAGGAAAAGGCCAGGTCATTCATCCTATCGTTTTCAGCACATTCAACATCGAGAAGCATGGATATCTGAAGCTTTCTTGCTTATCGGGAATACTGAGATATGGAAACGACACGTTCAATGTCGTATCAACGCCTGAAGATGTTGGCTATGCATTGACTCGCGATCTGGATCTACCCACTTGGCCGGAAGTCTTTCAACCTGTCAATCTCTTCAGAGATTTTAAATTATCTTGGGATTTAACTGTTCAAGATAACAGAGAGCTCCACGTGAGATTGATTTTGATCGGCACAAACGGCCGTGTTGTTGCTCAAATCGACCCTTTGAACATCCTTCTTGCTTTGAGAGATTCACTTTTGCTCGAAAGATGTCCCCATGATTGCCGGACTCCACTCAAAGATACAGACAGATTTGCATCATATACTACTCCCTGGTGCGAGGTCGGAGAGGACTCGGACTCAGACACGCAAGATAGTATAGCTTCACATCCTAGCTTACAGATTAGTGTACGTGCTGTGGATGGCGCAGATGATCTTCGTTGCTTTGCACTGGCATCTTGTGGAGAGGCGAGTGTCCTGCGGAGAAGCTCTTGTCTTCAGTGCTGTCTTGACTTGTGTAGAAACGCTGATATCCAAAGTCTTATTCTGTGAAAATTCTCTTTTACAAGAACCAGATAGTGAACATGATCACGGGAATGAGAATTCTATTACAACATCAACCAGCTTCCTATATTCTTTGACGTGCCTGTAATGCCTTTTGGCACAGGACACCAGAGCCCATACTTTCTTTACTCCTTACGCAGTCCGCTATCGTTGCAACCGAATGAGTAACCCAGCGTGGAATACGTATTCATACCACTCAAGGCGGTTCAGTGACCAACAGGAGCACTTTGGTAGTGTCGTCGCGGCATTTATGTGAATATTTTGTCTTGCCAGTGGTTTTCAAATGTGAGGTAGCTCTTTTCACATTTCAAGTTTAGGGTTTAGTACAGGAGTGTCAGAGGCGATTTGTTATGTATTCTTTTGAATGTTCATTTATTTAGATTTATTCACAGTTGCTTGTACTCCATTTGTAGTGGACGGGTCATATAGGTAAAGGTGTTTTCCAGTCAAAAATAGCAGCGACTTTATATTCATCATTATCAAAGGCGGGAACGCCTACTTATTAGCTGCAGCTTATACTACTTGACATGCCATGGTATAAATTATCTTCTCTGTCATGGCTGCCCAATCCTATTTACTCATTGTGCATCCTCTTTGGCAAAGTACCTCTATGCCTGCTCACCGATTCTTGCCCAAGCAAATATCCAGTCGGTCGGTTACTAGACTCGCCAGGTTCCTCGAGAGCGAGACATTTGATATGTCGACATTGCCAGGAAGCTTGCACCGATCAGCGCAGATACAGCAGCAAAGATCTCCAGACCAGCGAAGTTCTTCCCACCCTCCTGTTTCAAGATGGCGCCCATGGTAGGGAGTCCAGTAAGACATCTAAAAGCGAATGAGCGACAAAAGGTTTCACAGAAAAGCAGAAAGATTATCCAGCAACATACCCGAGAGCGACCACCATTTGGAAAGTTCCGAATCTGACACCCAATGCTTCCAGTTTTCCTGACTTGGCAACGCAGGGCATGAGTAGCGAGACAACAGCGCCTGTCACGAACCCATAAACCAGCGCAAAAATAATCAGCCCCGCATGGGAGGAGTGATAGTGGAAGGGCAACCAAAGACAGAGCATTGAGATTGCCGTCGCAAATGCGCAGGTGGTGAGCACATTGAAATGGCCGATATGATCTGCAATATGCGGAGGGATAATGCGACCGGGAATTGAGGTAGCACTTCGCCACTAGTCAGCATCAGGACGTTTGAAAGGACGAAGATACTGACTTGATAATCGAGATCAAATACAAAGCTAGGTCGGGAGAGAAATTTGCCTCTTCTTGGGCCATGCTAGGGAGATAATCGAACGGACCCCAGAGTCCCCACCTGGTCAACGGTCAGCAATAAATCTCGACGAATGCGTGCGAAACGAACATCACAAAAAATGCGCCTAAGCAGTACAGAGCGAATTGCTTCTCTTTAAACAGTGACAAATCAAGCCATGGCGCATCTTTGTTCCATGCCTTACGAGGCAATCTCGATCGGACCATGAAACAAGACCCAGCAAGCAGGATACCAATGAACAACGCAGTATACCGGATCGCGCCGTTAAAGCCCACATCCCCGACCATTTTGTTCAAGAAAATGGGGAAGATGACGCCACCGGTACTCGACCCACACGCCGCAATACCGAGAGCAAGTCCTCGTCTCTTGACAAACCATTGGCCAACACAGACCATCGCGGCTGTAAAGACTCCTCCGGCACCGATTCCAAAGCCAAGACCTTGTGCGAGGAAGATTTGATAGTACTCTTCTGCCAAGCTGGTCATGCACAAAGCAAACACACATAGCAGACTGCACGGGTATAGCACTGGGGCAGGCCCGAAGGTATCGAGGAGACGTCCGTAGAGCGGGCCCAGAGCCCACATCATGCATAGTTGAACGGCGAAGATCCATGAGATATCGGAGGAGCTATAATCGCGGAGGGAATTCTGTTCATAATGTGTCTGGAAGACACCAATCCTGTTTGTTCTTATCGTTAGATTTGGGAACCGTGATTTTGATACGTTTGGAAGCACTCACGCATTCAGAAACCCGAAAGTGCAGAATAGGCAAATGAAAGCACCAACCACACAAATCCATCCTCGAACACCTCCCTCTGTAGGAAGATCTGGCTCAGTGGCTATGGGCACGCTCTCTTTGGCGGCTTCGATACTTGAGCTGCTTAAGTTACTCGACGACGACATCATTAAGTGAATACTGAGAATATGGGAAGTTGAATGTATCTCCTAAAAGGTCTCTGCTCTTGCATTTTTATATCCAACTTCACATTTTATTTTGTAAACTGTATTACTCTGATGGCGCAGCGGCCGCCGTGTGGATCGGAAAGGACCAACGATCAAGGCGGCCGATCCCGCCAGATCCACAGATTCGGGATCAGGGAGCCACACGCGGCCGACGCGATTACCCACTTATCGGCGCCGCTATCGCCTTTTTGGACAGACCTAAAACGTGGTTATGTAATCTCATGGCGTCCATCCGAGGACGGCATGGATAACGTGACTGGAGTTAATCCGTTGGTACCTACTCATCCGTTGTTCACTTGTAGGGGGCCAGGGTGCTCGCTCATGCCTCTACCCCGCACTGCACCTTTTGAATCTGGTCAGTACTTTCGAGCTGCCTTGGATGTATTTCGGAGTTACTGCCATGGCCTCCGCCCAGGCACCGAATTTTGTTTGTGTGAACTGTAAGCTCCGCAAGAAGAAGTGTGACAAAGAGCGGCCGCGATGTGGATATTGCACTGGGTACTTTTTCTCTCTGGCTAGTGGCGATGACAACACCCTAACTGCGACCGTAGGAAGAACTTGAACTGTCAATACCCATCTGTGGATACCAAGTACCTAGCAGTCAGGCCCCTCTTGGCGGTTCCTAACCCGATAATCCGCTCATCCATGCTTCTGTCGGACACTCTGTCGGATGTTCTGCAGTCTGACCCGACAAACATCAACTCCACATTGTATCTGCAGATCATTCGGATCATTCGGTTGGCCGATCGATCTGTGGACGACATCAGCATGCGCTACTTTCGGGGAATTCATACTTTCATCCCTGTAATCTCGCCCTGCCGTTTCCATGAAGAGCTGCTCCACTCGAGCGCATTTCCTTCCGCAAGATTCTCGCTATTGCTGTTGTCCATGTGCCTCATTACATATCATCCTGGGCTAGTAGCCCGAAATTCATCTCCCGTTGACCAAGCCACTCTCTATTTAACTACAAAAACTCTTTACGCCCAGATCCAGAGTTATTTCCCACATTCATTACATCTCATACAAGCAGGCATAATTATCGCCAGCTATGAATATGCGACTAAGAAAGTCAACGATGCTTTTGCTTCTATAGGGGTCTGTGCAAGGATGGGCTATGCTGCTCGTTTGCACCTTGCCAGCCCCGTAGAAGGGTCGGACCCAATACAGTATTCGCAGGCTGAAGAAGAACTTCGCACGTGGTGGGGCATTGTTATTGCTGAAAGGTAAGATACCGAATAACAAGACTTACATAAGATTTACTGTCTCATATCAGATAAGGACCATCTACTGCGAAGTGGACACCATTCACCAGCCTCTCATGTCCAGATGTCCAAATACAGACGCTCAACTACCCAAAACTAGGTTGCAAAAATGGAACCCAGATTGTTCCCCAGAAGTTCTCACCCTAGATGGCAAGTCCCCAGGTTCATCACTTGTTGACTGTGGTGGATACACAAGTGTGACCCAAGCTGCGCGTCTTCTAGACGAAGTCTTCAAAAGCTTAGAGCAAGACATCGATGGCCAATTAGTCCAGCTCGATAGACTTGACCATGCTCTTCAGACATCTCTAGCCCTTACGATGGAACAATCTCAAGGGCGATGGGGACTGTTCTGCACAGCGAACGCCATCCTCATCAGGTAAGCCTTCATACCGCTAGAAAGTTCCCAAGACCCGATCACTAAATAGGAAGCTCCACAGGGCTCTCTATATATTACATCGACACGTCATAGAGCACATAGCGGGAATGACTCCTTCCCAAGAAAAGACCCCAGACCAATGGCGCAAGAACTCTTATATCGCACTCGAGACAGTCACCCAAATGATGCGGGATATCGCAGCTACTCAAAATGATATGTCCCTTGAAGAGATGGATGCGCTACCACCTAGTCGTGCCTTCGTTATTATGGCAGCGCTGCGGTATCTCGATGACACCGAGGTTAAGTGCAATCGATGGGATGCTGCTCGAAGACAACTTAAAGCATCGCTGAGAATGTTTGATGAACGGTGGAATGTGAGGAGCTGAGCATAATACATATGGAAACATAGACATTCAGGCAAAGGGAAGTGTATGTAGATCGAGCTTTCAAATTCTATTTATTCTGTGATATATACTTCATACAAAAATACTCATCCCCTTGATCACATAACTCCATTGCCGGGGTCAGTCAGCGCGTGGATCATGGAATCTAGTCTCTCCCAATCTCCATCCTCCCTTTCTTCCATCAGTAAACGTATTCTCAGATACTTTGGAATTTGCCACATATCCTATCCATTCTTGGAAGAGTTGTCTTATTTGCCGCGCGCAAATACTGATACCTCCGAATACTGCGAAATGACTTCTTGAAGGGGACTCGGCGATGCTTGACGAAGCCCAAACCCCAAAAAAGCAACAACGGTTCGGTGAACAATTTCGAATGCCTTGAACCCATCCAAAGTTCCCACCATGGCTTGAATGGCCGGGACCTTTTCAACAGGCAGACCCAGGAGCTTCAATAGGAACGGCAAGTCGGAGAATGTGTAATGTTGAGCCTTGGCCAGTTCCAGCTCCAATCTCCACCCCCGCAGGTTTGACCAAAACTCTGCCCACGTGGGGTCTGTCGCCTGGGTCTTATTTTCATGTCCGAACAAAAGGAATGGTCCGTGAAGCCCGTGTTGAACCACTGATCCGAACAGTGACCCGTCCAAATTCGCTCCCGCAATAATGCGACGGTCCAAATGCATGGCTTCCGCGGCGGCCGCACCGCCAACCGAGTGACCGTACATCGCGACTCGCCGAGTCCTCAAACCCGCGGCGCCTGTTCCAGGGAGTAGAGCTGCCACACCGGCCTTTGTGCTCAGCTGATCCAGGACGAATGACACATCTTTCGCTCGAGTCTCGACATCCAGTGGAACCTGATCGTCAGTGATGTTTGCAGCAGTCACCACGCTTCCATCCGGGAACTCCAGGAACTCGGTATCGTAGGGATGGTCAATAGACACCACGATGTACCCGGCGCTAGCCACAGCCTGTGCAATGGCATTGTAGAACAGCCGGGTCGTACCAAGAGCAGGGGAGAAGAGGACCACTGGAAACTGGAGTTGGTGCTCCTTCGGCGGCTCAGGGCACGCCTGGAAAGAGATGGATTGAAGAGTCCCGTTCGGAAGTCCGTATGCACTGTATAACTCGGAGTAATATGTACCTGTTGCGGGGGGCAGGTAATCTATCTTCTTGAGACCGACTTTACAGTTGGTGGGGGCGAATATCGAGGTCATCACTGCACGCGGGCCGTGCTTGGGATCAAAGGGATCGACTCTGGTCTTTTCAACCATTTTTGCCGTGCTGTAAAACACATCGTATTCTCCGGGTGGGCTGGGGATCACCACTGCAGAGACAGACATAGCCACAATGGGCAGCAGATGAAGACTGAAAAGCATCATCAACCAATAGAGGAGGCAGTCCAAGATGAAAGTAGGGTAAGAATGGTATCTTTGAAATCTTGCAGAAGTAGATGATGGGATTCCAACCACAATAGTCAGAGGACTGCCCTGACCTTTATACATCTGGTGGGGGAAGGGGTGGAGTGGTAAACCAGCATTCTGACTGCTAGAAAAGCACCCGTAGCAACATTTCTCTGGACCAAATAAAAATGTTTCCCAAATAGGAATTTATAGGGCGTTAGTTGATCTTGATACAGATCAGTCGCCAAGAACAACCAACCTTAGCCTTCCAAGATTGGAAGTGTTGTTCAAGTACTGTGGGTCTTTCCACGATTGTCTCGCGACATTACTTCCCAATTAGGTTAGCGCCATCGGGCACGTCGGAGCCTGCTTGGCGTAGCAGGCAGGTCTCGCTCGAATATATCCATTTTCATCGTAGTGCTCATCGGGGATACGCGCCATTTATGTGTTTGTCAGAGATTTGCTCGAGATCATGTCCGCATCAACAACGTTGCAGGGGAGAATGGTCGGCCCCCTGGACAAGCGCAGGCGGATGACGCGCTGCCTCGGCTGCGCGAAACGACGCATCAAGGTCTGGGATGTGAAACTCCAATTTTTGGGGTCAGTGCAGCTAATTCTTAGTAGTGTGAAGGAGGATTTCCATGTGCTCATTGCATTCGACAAAACACGATGTGCGTTGCCCAGCAGCAATCGGGACATGGTATGACTACCTTTGTCAACAAAACCCAGCAAGATGGCTTTCGTCGAGACCATCGAAGATCTGATCAGCAGTGCATGGCTATTCCAAATAATCACAGCTCCGGGGCTCAGCCACTTTCTTTCATCGGCAGGGATAAGGGTACCCGCCTTCTTGATTATTTTGCCTCCTTTATTCAGCAGAATATGTTCACAATGAGCTTCTCATCAATAGTTCCAGAGCTGCTTCCTCTAATTTCAACTTCTCCGGCCCTATACCATGCAGTAATCGCGGTTGGTGCATTGGATGCCAACCGACATACTGGCGGACGCGCATTAGAGGGAGAGAAATCCCCCTATGTGGATGCCATGACCTCTTACCATAAGTCAATGGGTATGCTGCGCTCGTCTCTCGGAAAAAGTGATGTGATGCAAAGAGAGGACATTCTTTGGGCCACATTTTTCCTAGGGCTGTTTGAGGTATGCTTCTTATCAGGAGTGGTATCCGCTATCGGATGCATTAAACTCGTGTGGCTGACATCAATAAACCTAGTTACTGTCAGACGACTCGGGTGAAGGCTGGGTCAAGCACATGCTCTATGGGACATCAAAAATGCTCCAGCTTGCAGGACCAAGCGATTGCATGTCATCGGCTCGAAGGATATTCTACGACCTGTTTCGTGTCCTCGAAGCCAGCCGAGCATTACTCTTTAATGAAGAAACAATACTTTCTCAGGAATGCTGGCTTCGACTCCACAAATCTCTTTCGAGCAATTCCACTGGATGGGATCCCATGGAAGAGATTATATCCCTCATGATTGAGACATCCGCGTTCAGCCTACGGTAAGTCGGCACTGACAAATGGATGAAAGTTCTGTTTTAATAGTCCGAATGACAGAGCCGGTGCTATAATTGAGATGATTCCTGAAGCAAAACGGTTCACAGATCCATCAGTTGCTCTGATTGCGGCTGAAGGACTCAATTTCCAAGAAACTATCTATAACTGGCACACGAAGACGTTGCTGCAGCTGGTCCAGGATGGTCCTAATCAATATTCGAACTTGGCTTTGCTGTATTATCACGCTCTGCTAATTTTCCTCTCTGGCAACTATGACTATTTCCCATACTGGGACAATATCCCAGCCCCGGTGCTATCCCCTGCTGAAATTTCCGAACACCTGACTACTATCCTGTATCTCTCGGGCGAGGTGTTGTGCCACTCCAAGATTCCGGGAGTGATGCTGTTGTTCCCAGTAACTGTTGCAGGGGCTCGAGCTCGGAGTGTTGATCAACAATCTGAAATACTGAACCTGCTCGACCTGGTCTTCCACAAAGGATTTGTGGTCGCAAACAGGATACGGGATAATTTGCTAGAACGGTGGGGCCAGAGGGATCGGGAAGAGACAATGCATCTGGTCACATGAAATAATTACCTGGCCTCAGTCTCTTTACAGTTGTCCTAGTTGGACGAAAAGGAAAAAGCAATTCCAGTGGACAGACCTTATAGTTCTTTCCAAAAGTTTTATTCAGTGCCAGGTACTTCAGTAGAAATGCAACAAACCCAAATCTACTCATCCATTTGGCCACCTAACTCCATTCAGTCTGAGTCATGCTCGAAATGTTGTCGACCCAGCTCTTCCGTCTCCATAGTCAATTCTTCCACAAATAGGGAACTCAAGAATCCCAATGCTCCAAACGCTGCCAGTTCATACCAGATTGTGTGCATGGCGTCCTTGTATGCGTCTCGAATGAGGTCCCGCAGAGCAGGGGAGATGTCGGCTGTTCGTAGATAGGGAATAAAGCTCACGGCCTCACTGGGATCTTTCAACAATGCCAAAGAAGCAGGCAATACGATGCCGTCAATCCTGTTGGCGAAGACACTGCTGAATGTAGTGGCACCAACTGCAAGACCGATAAGGGCCCCAAATAGTCTGAATGCGACCATTATTCCCATTGCAAGACCTTGGTCATCGGATGCAGCACTGGCTTGCATTGGGATTGGAGGGACGCTGAATATTGTCCCAATCCCAATCCCTGCAATAACCTGGAAACCTGCAGTCATGGCTGTTGAGGAGGATTGATGCCACACTGCGAAAATACCACAGCCAACGGCGAGAAATACCCATCCAGTCCAGATTTCCCACATGTATTTCCGGAAAAAATCAACGGCGAAGGCGGCAATTCCTGTAAAAACGAAGACCACACAGCAGAATGGGAGGATCGAGATCGAGGATTTGAGCGGTGTTTCGAGATAGACCGCTTGGAAAAAGAGTGGAAGATATTGCAGAAGAGTATAAAGCACGAAGCCATGGATGAAGCTTCCAAGCAGACTCATTTGTGCAGTTCTCGAGCGGAAAATACGGTAAGGGAACACGGCATCAGGCTGATAACCCTCGTAAAATGAAAATCCTACCAAGATCAAAACACCAATGATTAGAGGGACTATGGTTCGCCACGAGCCCCAAGGATACATATTCCCCGCCCAACTGAGCGGTAGGGCGAGAAGAATACAACCGGCCGAGAAGAGTAGCATTCCAAGCCAAAGTCTATACGGCCGAGCTGGGAGCGGAGGGACTGGTCAATGGGCCTCAGACGCATGAAGAAGATAGCCAGAAAGAGGGCAATGCCAATGATAGGCAGATTAATCCAGCCGATCCATCGCCACGTAACAAACTCACTGAAGACTGCACCGAGAATAGGACCCGCGATGCATCCTGCAGCCATTGGAAGGGATAGTAATCCAATATACACAGCCCTCTCTTGCAGAGTAGTGATATCGGCGACAATGACCTCACTCAGGACGTCGAGTCCGCCTCCGCCCAGTCCTTGTAGCACACGTCCTACAATCAGAACTGCCATGCTGTGCGCGACAGCAAAGACGATTGATTCAATACCGAAGAGGGCAAAGAGGGATCTTACGGCCAAAGATGTCTGAGAAACTGGTATAAATAGGCTGAATGACCACGACTGCTACTGTAAAGGATATATTGGCCCAAAACGCGGTCAAAGTCGTCCCAGAAAGTTCATCGGTGATGGCCTATGGAAAGAGAAGAAATAGGTGAGCTCAATGGTGGAAGCCTTGGAATGAAGGACTGTTTATAGGATTACCGGAATCGCAACGGCCAATGTGGTGGCATCCAAGGACACCAAGAAGACCATTAATAGCAGAGATATAAATGCAAGATAGAATGACAGAGGTTTTCTCTTCCGGCTCCGTTGTCCTGCTTCAGGGTCGAGCGGTGCTAACACGCACGATGCATCCTTTTTCTCCGTACAGTCGCATTCAGATTGGGATTGAGATTGTGGTTGACAATGGGACTCAGACGGAGTGTTGAGATCTCCTAAAGATGAGTCGTGGGAACATTCTTTCGTGTTCGGTGGTGCGGTTTCTATCGGTAAAGACATTCCTTGGGTATATTGGAACGAATGGAAGGTTGACACTCGAATTTCCTCCAAGGAGGAGGAAGATGGCTACAAAACGGCCATAACTTAGGGCTCCAGGGCTCCAGGGCTGTTTGAAATGATTAGTAATGAGGTGGATTGGTAATCGTCTCCAGGGCTTGGGGTGTGTCCTGTGGTTGCATTCCCAAGTCAGGGCGATAAAATTGGAAGAAATGGCGTGATGTAGGTAATCCTTGCTATTGTGACCTGATCCTCTGGGCACCCACTCATTTCAACAGATTGCTTTAGTGACTTCCTATGGCAAAGTAATCTGATAGTAAGACTGTAAGAGAACATGGTCAAAAATAAACTTGATGCTTTGAATAAATAGTAGAGGAATTTTTCCATTTGCAGTTCTGTTCCTGATTTGGACCACTATATATAACAACATGTTGGTTCCATTCAAGAGTTGATATAAACAAGCTGCACTTGAACGCCGAATATTTGGCACATACAAAAACCTTGAAGGTTATATAAATATATATTTATATCTATATCTACATATATCGTAGCAAATGTATTCTATTGTAGTAGGGAGTTATTTGGGACCAACTGTGAGAATGGCTTCATTTCATTTGTAGCTCCAGGCGATCCTGGGCCATGTTATTTCTGACAATCGAATGCTGTTTTCCCCTATTCTAGACTCACAATTTCTCGGGAAGGGAATGTACCAAGGTGGAATAAGAGAATCAGGAAATCGACGGTATCTCCGAGTGCGAGGATTGACCTCTGGGCTCAGGGGATATATGGTCATTTGATAGGGCTGTTGAAGTGGAGAAGAAAAAACTAATCGGGCTAATTGGCTGAGCTATTAGGTTTAGCGGGTGGAGTCATTAAAGATGTGATTGGTCGAAGCGGTTTCTCCTGGATCCTATTTTCGGGGTATCTCGGCAGATCAACCTATAAGACATTTCCCTTGGCCATTGCTAGGATCCTCCAGGGCTGAGCCTTGATTTCTTGTTCAAAACAGTAAAACATCATACATCGTTGCCGCCTTCAATCAAAAACCTGTTCACATTCTTTCACTCTCCAAACACACCTCCGCGCACAACCTTTTGAACATCAACAATTGCAAAAAGACCACCCAAAATGACATACCTCAAAACCCTTCTCCTGGCTACAACGCTATCTATCGCTTCAAGGGCCGCCGACACCAGCTGCCCTGTAGGCTGGCTCCCAAACACCTTCCACACCACAAAATGCTGCTCCGGCGGCATGGTCATCGACGAACAAGGCGCATACTGTTGCGTCAACGACATGAGGGCTTACAAAGAAATGCTCACCAACACAGCACTGCTATACGCTACCGAAACGACGACGGAGGAGACTAACTGGTCCACGGTGGACAACTCTTGCGTCGCGACGGTCCGGTTCACAGCCACCGACTACTCGGCCCAGGTCTCGTCGGCATCGAGCAAAGCTGAGGCTACTCCCACTGATTCAACGAGCAAGGTCACCTCCACCAGTACTACGACTTCTGGGACTAGCTCTGGTACCAGCTCGCAAACTTCGAGTTCGACTCCTACTCCCACTTCGAACGCGGCTATGTCGCTTGCTACAGCTCAGGAGTTTGTGCTTGGTGGTGCGGCATTTGTTGCTGCTCTTTTCATGTTGTGATTGAAAGTCACGTCCTTGGAATTTTGGCCCCCATTTCAGTTTCGGGTTTGGAACACGCCAAGCACTTACCATATAGGAGAACTCATTCTACCCCCTACTGTATTTTAACATGCGCTTTCGAAATGAATGTAATCGCGGATATACACCCAACATTTTTCTAACTAAACTATTAAAACCATACATTTGATTCATTGAGGAGAGAGATATCCGTAGAATTATAAAAGAGGTACAAAGAAGTAAAAAGAGAAGGTGTGCAGGCGCCAAGTCTTTAACGCCTTGGCGGGGGCCGACCCAGACCACCAGGGGCCAACCGCAGGATCCTGGGCTAAGCACTAGCACCGAACTAGCATTTTGGCATGACTCGTGACTATTATGTAGCATCTTATGGGGCCAGAAGGCAAGTTTGTGAGCAGCTCCACTTTTGGACTTCATTTCACTTCTCTCTTCCCCACCAGAGGAAACCACCATTCCAGGAGAAAACTTTACACCTCATGGGCTAGGCTTTAGGATTATAGTCCACAATGCAAAATGTGGTCTCACTCTTCATTATCACAATCTTTCCAGTTGCCTTCAATCGCTCTCCCGTTAGCAGCATCCAAACAATCATTGTCAGCTTTTGGGCGAGAAGCATTACTGTTGACATACCTTCAAACTAAAACCCAGATATTGCTATAGATAGGAGTTGATAATGACCACTTCGATGGCTATTAAGGGTCAAGTGGTTGGCTCAGTATATCCGCAATTATATACCGCCATTCGAGTAGTGAACCTATCTTAGAACCTTCCTCCCCTGACATCCACCTCTGTAGTGCTTGTTAGTAAACTCCTTACGAGGACTATACTGATATACCATATGCAGAGTTTGTTAATAAAAGGCACTTTCCTACGATGCTTCACCCCGAGGGCCGTTTAGGGAATTCTTAATATGCTGAGATGCAGATCCCGAACTATAGGATTGCGGTATAAAAAGCTAGATTTTGGTAGTTTAGCATTAACGACTATAGCACAACGTATAACCTATTAATAAAATCGGGCCGACTAACGGCGAATTCGTCATTACGTTAATTAAATAAAATAAGCTATAAAGTACTAATTATGCTGGAACTTGGCGAGTACGTGTGTTAGTCCGCGATTCTCGTCTGCGAATTAATACGCCCCCCTAGCGGGAAGTTCACTAGCTCTGAGAATAACCCCGAGATGGCATTTACGGCCTATTGGCTGGTCGAACTAGATAGACCTTATCGGACATCTACGATCTCCGTGAAGTCCTTGCCAGGTTAAAGAGTAAGGTAGGCTTACAACCTCTAAAGAAGACCGGACCAGAGCATCGCTAATGCGAGTAGTATGATGGAAGATGGGATGAGCTTCAAAGTAAGGAGTGGGTGGACCTACTCTGGGAAGAGACCGAAGTCGAAGTGCGAGAAGCAGATACAACGGCGGATGCAATGGCAGAAGCAACGGCAGAAGCAGCGGCAGAAGCATGGGCAGAAGCATGGGCAGAAGCGATGGCATAGGCAAAGGTGGACCAATATGAGGACTCTAGTCAGCAGGCCTGCGAAGAGCACACGAGATTGAAATGTGCGATTATCATTTTTACCACCATTCCAGCAGGGCGCCAGCATAGGTGTAGCGGGTGTAGACAAATTAGGCATAAGATCAATCCAAGTAAAAATAGTTATATATGAATTTAATAAGCCCGCTTTGATGTGATATAACGGTCTACATCGGAGATCATGCGGAAAGTATCCAACAAGTTGTATTTGGTAATTTTGTACTTTTTTGGTCCTGATTGAATAGTAGTATGGTCTAGGAGAGGCGAGGGGGGATCTAGCACTGCTTGATAACGGATGCAATTGTGCCAGTAAAGGTGTGCCTATCGTGCGACTGAAACAGAGAGCGGATGCTATGTGGCGGATCTCCCAGTACAAGGCATGTCACGTCTCTCCCCTAGTCATAATTGCAAAGATCAAATGTTGAGTCAATGGAATTCCAAGAGCTTTTCGTACGAAGTGTGTAATTTACGTAGCTTTGTACGGTAGCAAGCAAAGCACACTTTGCTGCACCCCCAATTTAATGCGGTCCTGCTCAATAATTGATCTGCGCTAAGGCCTTGGCGATGGGGCCAGAAAAGGGTTTCTCAGTGGTGTGTACTCCGTAATGGTCAAGCCGATTTCGAGAATGACCGTAGTGCTCATTCATCAGTGGGATATTAAAATAGTTAGCTACTCTATCTGAAAGCTAATAAATTTCCATAACATTAACAGTACTCTTCTCTGACTGAAAGTACCTTTTCCACTCCCCTCATACTTCATGTTTTAAGCTCAACCGTAGGAAAGCCTATATTTCTTAAAAGATCTGGATTTATTTTTCCAGCGTTGATTGTCTGCTGTTTCGGCCGAGCGAACCTTGACAATGATCGGACTATGCACTTTGTCACACAAAAGGAGAAGAATGCGGGGCCGCCACTGAGGACAACCCCTGCTCAACGGCTAGCATCCCGCTGTAAGCCCACCCATCCCACCTTCAAGTATGCAACTTTTAACTGCCTAGACCACGTGAGCCTATGTTACTGAAATCTTACCCGCGGATCATTTCCTAATTCGCTCTGGCTCGCATCCACCCCAGCCCTACGTAGCACAGACGGGAGCTGCCTTAGAGCTTGGCTGTATCACAGTATCACATAGATACATACATAGTGCCTTTGCCTTTTCGACCTATAAGCATCCGCCATATCCTCTACCTTCTCATATACCAACATTTTGGATTTGGAGATCATTTCCTATTGAAACAACTCTATCAAATGCAATGCAGCCATCTTTCTTTGCAGATCCGAGTGACCGAGTCAGCGTGTCAGCGTGTCAGCAGTTCTCTCTGCTTTTTAGGAAATGATTACCACTAGGTAAGCCCAAAAAGGACTTCCTGGTAAAGAATTAGTGCACCTTACCCCGGAGGCTGAAGCAGGTAAGGGACTTTGGAGAGACACCACCCGTAAGAATATACCAGCCAAGAGGCCCAGTATCCTCAAGTATGTGAGGCATTAATGTCATTGGGGAAGTCATGCAATCCATAAGCTGCCACCCCCAAGATGACTGCATTGGACCTGAGCATTGTATGTGTCACCTTTCATACAGAGCTCAAGATCTGGTCTATAAAAGACGGCTTCATGACCCTCAATTCCATATAGTATCACTCCCATCAACAGCACTTCGATATCTTCAACCACTTTAACCTTCCCCGGAAGATCATCATTTCAAGCCCTTCACTATGCAAATCACCACAGTTGCCCTTTTTCTCTTCGCTGCAATGGGCGCGGTAGCCACCCCCATTGAGTCTGTATCAAACGGCCTGGATGCCAGGGCTGAGGCCGGCATCCTAGCCAAATACACCGGAGTGAGTAAACATCAACATGCTATATATTAAGTACTCACTTAGGAATCGCGACTAACGACTGGGAACCACAACTCAGAAATGCACCAAATCTAAGAACGAATGCAAATACAAGAACGATGCTGGAAAGGACACCTTTATCAAGTGCCCCAAGTTTGATAACAAGAAGGTAGGATTTCAATCATTCGGAAGTAGCCAACTGAATCGAATTCGTGCTAATCTCGCTCTTTTTTCCAGTGCACCAAGGACGGTAACAAATGTACCGTCGACACCTACAACAACGCTGTCGATTGTGACTAGATGATCTCTACGATTATGAGGGCATTTAATGGTTTTTGGTTCCCTTCTTATTGGTGATATGCGAGATGCCCTATGACTCTCGACGCTTACTACCATACATCCACAAGGACTCGACCCAAGGACTCGACCCAAGGACTGCTCGGTGGGTGATACATATACACACAGTATCTATCCAGCTTCAATTTTCGGCGAATTTTGTTTCTTTTTTCATGAAGACACTCGTTTAGTATCTAGCTAGATATTTTTGCTCATCAAAGAAATGGTTGTTGATTATCGAATATATCCAGCATCCTTTGGTCGTAGCCGGAAGTGAAATGGAGTACTATGATACGACACATGTACATTGTAAGCAGAAATAGGCTAGAGTGATAACTATCAAACTGCTGCTGCAGCGCTACTCTTGCTTCTGTGCGGGGTCAGAATTGTTTGCGAGCCGGAATGCCAAATCAGGGTCTGGGTAACCCCCGGGGGCCGATTCCCTGTTATGCGGTAAGAATTAACTGGGGTTCTCAAAATGTTTCACACAGCCACTTCGTTATTCCTTATACCTGCCAAAATCCCGCAATTTAATTCCTTAGTACACCCGTTATACATCTATCGTTGATAAGGTTTTATCATAAGTACAATAGCTTTTATTATAGGCACAGTCCAATGCTTAATGCAATATCCTAAACATGCGTACTTTGATGGATAATTATGAAAATGTATTTGGCTGTTCTTTTGCTTTTAATATGAAACACCGAGCGGGCTTGGTGTTGAATTTCATAAGTAATAGGGGTAGAGGCGAGCGAATTGTGTCCGAGGACTATGAAACCCGAGAAATAAACGGGAGAGAAGGAGGGAGACTCAGTTGTCCTTTTTGTTCCCCTCTGGCACATTGCTTTCTTCTAGTTTTTCGTTCTCCTCTGGCTTTTCGCTCTCCTCGCCATCTTCGTTCTCCAGGAAAAAGGGGTCTTCGCCCTCCACAATCCTTTTAAGAGATAGTAAATGTTTATCTTCGTATATGAGACCACCAGCATTTTTGAAAACCCTCAGAATGTCAGAGTTTCGTTCCTCCACATCCGTGAGCATCCTGGAAATGGTCTCGGCGGCACACTCCTTGAGACGTTTCTCACCAGCGTCCTTTGCCGCCTCCTGAATTTCGTGGAGTCGCTTGAGCCAGTACATCCATCTCCATGGTGTGAACCCAGTGGGCGAACAACGCTTCCCGAACTCCGACTCGATGAAACAGGGGCCACCCTGGCCAATCGTGCTGGGGCAATCGTTCCATGAGACCTCTGAGAGTTGCAAGAGATTGTAACCCGCCTCGCCGAACCACGCCTGGACAGCTGGCAATAAGTGCATAAGCTCGAGGGATCCCATGCTCCGGTTCGGGTCTTCATTATCCTGATCCTCGCTGGTGCGAAGCTCTTGTATCTCCTCAAATGCACAGCGGAAGAGGACAAGGGCGACCTGGCACATTCTGTCCTTGCAGACGCGGGTTGACGCCAGCTTGGCCAAGAAAGAGGCAAAGTTTAGACGCTGAGTGCCCGACATTGGTCCGCAGTTGTTGATCCACAAGTCCGTCATGTCAGTAACCAAAAACGGCAGGTCATTCCACAGTGTGCCTTCGGTCAGTCGTGCGATATCGATCCCGAAATTCCCCTTCACAGGTCTGGTTAACGGCCCCTTTCCTTGGATTCGTAGGATATCGAGGACCAGGCGATCATGTTCGGGATTTTCATGCGACGTATGTAGGCTGAGCTGGTAGTACGTATACCATATCTCACGAACGTAGCCTTCGAGGGAATCCACCCCATCTCCAACATTGCAGTATCTGTCGGTGACGATCCAGGTTCGATTGAATAAGGCTGCTCCCCGAACCTCCTTCAATTCACCCCGAGCGAGACTTTGCCGCACATCCTGCTGACTATGGGAGACGGTGTCTGCCTCGCCGATGACGGGGAAGCCTTTTGGCGAAGGGCTCAGCAGGGAGTCACGGAGGCGATGCATCTTGAAATGGGGAACGTGTTTTTTGATGGATCAGTCAGAGTGTGGTAATGGGTAGGAGAGAGGGAGTAAGGCAAGGAAGTCACCTGTGTGATGAACCCCACCGGGGTTTAAACCGCGGAAGGGGGCGTTCAGGGGGCGCCTCTGATTCTAATTTTTAGGTCACGCTGTAGGCAGCAGGATAGTAGTTACAAGGTTCTCACAGCCGACGAATAATATGATCATAACTGGATCCTTTTGGATCCTTCTGGATCCTGTACTCCGCATGCGTAAGGTTGTGGTTTGGTTTGTTGTTGTCGATCTCCCGAATCCCCGGACCCACTCCGATGCATCGGTCAACTCCGTAGCTTTAATACAGCAACTGCTAGCACTAACAGAACGATACAAGATCAATTGAAGAGCTTGGACAGTTATTTCAGGTTATTTTATTTACGAGAGCTGTAATAGTGCAGTTAGTAAGTTCAATGGTATTTTATGTTGGCCTAGATCTTCAGACGTCCATCTATACAAGTGCAGTAACGTGTGGTATGCATCTGCTCGGTATATTTCGCAGGCTTGGCGCCCGTAAATCAAGATCAGGGGTGAAAATATTTCCAGCACTGACGTTGATCCTGGTGGATAGTCTCTCCGACAAACAAGGTCGCGTCCATCCTTTGCTTCTTTCAAGAATATTGCATCCAGCAACTTGACCTCTCTGAAAGCACCACCCTCGAGCTCAGCAATGATATATGCGATATGTGTGAGGGCTTGCTTGACGAGCTCCTATTTCGACAAGGCATGTTGCCTAACAAACTGGAAATCTATCTCCAATTCCGCGGTAGGACAATGGGAATTCATCCATTTTTCACTCTGATTCGCACACTGCACAAATCAATCGACGGACAATATCTCTCCGACCTCCGAGATCTCCAGAAGCGGGTTAGTTTGGTCCTAGGGCTGCAGAACGACCTTGTTGGCCTGGAGAAAGATCGCCAAAATGGCGAGACCATGAATGCAGTCTTGGTATCCCTAAAGGAACAAGCGGGGATGGATGTGGATCACATGAATATGATATTGCCAAGGACGATTCAAGAGGTGTGTGGTATCCACAATCTTTGTCTCTCCGATGCAGTGGAGATGCAGGAAGGACTCCACGGTTCACTGAGTGGGGATGCCCATGACTCGATTCTCGAGACTACCACTCTGGCCTTTGCCGACACTCATCTGAAATGGTGCGCATCGTCAAAAAGATACCAGGCGAAGGTAGAATAGGTCACTTATTAGTTGGGGTAGTTTAATTGGGCTCAATATAAACATGGCGTTTAAAGTATGGATTGGGTTGTCTCCACTTCGGCTATCACCCTGCAGGCGCCACGATGTGATAGGCAGGAGCACATGCAGTGTGTAGTGTAATAAAAGGTCAAGCCGGATTTTGGACTTCGGAGGCTCGTGCGATGTGACAAGCCACATTCGACCTGTATATTTATCACAGAAAAGTGCCGGTAAGAGATCCATGGATGTGGCGATGGAGTCGTGATTGGACGGTGGTTCGTTATCCGCAGGTACCTTCCAGGTTAGTCAATTCAACCACCCACCATGCCACCAATACGCTCCCGAAACTCTAGAAATTCAACAGAGCAAGAGGGTAGGATCTTTAATATATGTATATACTATTCTAGTTTTTTGACGCCATGGTACGATTGCTATGCATGAAAATAAATCGCGAAATGAACATTCAAAATAAAATCTCAAACCCGTCTCTCTAATCAGCCATCCTCAACCCTCTAGACATTAGTACATAATTGGAAGTTAGTCCCTGCCCTCCTTCCTATCTCTAAACCCTCGTATCAATCGGCCGCAGCCCCTTTCCCATTCGTTCAATCTGCTCTCCATAGTACGTGCTCTCGGCTCCAGCCCTCAGCGATTTGATTGGCACCGTCCTCATCGGCCAGCCCATCTCCAAGCGCTTGAGCCGGATCGTTGCATCCGCATCAAGGATCTCCTTGTTGAGTAGCACAAGCTTCGGCAACTTCGGCACCACCGCCGCAGGTCGCCCGATCCCGATGATGTCGCATGCGCCGCTCTCAAGCGCCGCTTCCATGCCAGCACGACTACGGAAGCCACCAGTCACCATTAGAGGAATCTTGGGGTAGTGTTCCCGTACGATTTTGGCGAATTCGAGGAAGAACGCCTCTCGCGCCATTGTGCCTGCCTTTGGTATGAGTGCTGGGGCCATAGGTGCGGCCGTGGATCCGATAACCGGTGCAGTTCGGTCCACCGGAAACATGGAGGGGTCCTCGAATGAGCCGCCACTGATCTCGATGAAGTCAACGCCCGCGTCAATGATGAGGCCCATCTGCTCAAGGCCGGCCTGGAGACCGCCGTCACCCTGCTCGCTGACATCGACGCTGTTCATCTTGATGCCGACACAGAACTGCGGGCTGGTGACTGCACGGATACCCTTAATGATGCGCAGGACCATCTCGGCGCGCTTAGCGGGGTTCCCGCCGAACTCGTCGGTGCGCAGGTTCGTCTTAGGGGACAGGAACTGGGAAATCAGGAAGCCGTGCGCGCCGTGTAACTCAATGCCCTTGAAGCCCGCAAGGTGAGCTTGCTTGCCGCCGTCGATGAACTGCTGGATAGCCTCGGTGACCTCGGCACGCGTCATTTCGCGGGGACTCCCGAACATCACGCGTGCAGCAATGCGAGCAACGAAGCCAGATCCCAAATTTAGGGCAACACTGGAGGGAGCGAGATTCTTGGTTAGGAAAGAGCGCCTCCCAGCGCCTGGTGGGGATTGGCGGCCAGGGTGGGAGAGCTGCACGAGAGCTGGCGTTCCGCTTCGTTGGATTGTTGTGGCCCAATCGCGCCAAGCCTCCTGGAGGCCTGGTGTGGCTGCATTTGGGGGGAGGATGGCAACATCTCCGGGAGAATTAAGATACGTTTGGGACACCTGGACATTGCCTATGGACGGGGGGAGATATTAGAATGCCAGCAGAACGTAAGGTGTTGTCCGTGAAACTGAGCACAGAAGTCAGATGATGCTGAGCATGGCTAACCTGTGAGAATGAGACCCCAGCCTCCGTTAGCCCATTCCGAGTATGCCCGTGGGAATTTATCATCCGGGTTTTGTTCGGGTGCCATTTTCTCTGCCATTGCCGCCTGCGACAATAATCAGTACCCATGCTACGTTATAAAAACGATGTAAAAACAGACAACAAAAGGAGACAGAAAGAAACAGATTGCCTATTGAAGCTTACCTTTGTGAGCCTGTTGGGAAGTTCCAGGCCGCACTGCAATGTTAGGGGACTAGATAATAACGACATTGTATCGAGAAAAACAGACTATTGAACAAAAAATACCAATATCGAGTCCTCTGCCACTTATATCTTATTCTTATGGCTCTAGCTAAAGCTCGCCCCTAAAAAGGAACCTCGGCGTGCGGAAACGGGTTAGTTATCGACATTTCTCCCGGATAGATTGATCTCCCCGTCTGCCGATACGCTATAGCATTGTGTCAGAGATTCTGGTCTTTGACAAAGTGGGCTTGCTACTCGCAATTATCTGTGAGCTTGATAGTAGTTTGCGTGGCCACATATTGTGGAGTCTTATGCCATCGAGGTGCTCCACTTTCCTGAAGAGTTTCTGTGGGTCTGGAAGTCGGGGAGTTAGGTTCATCCGTTTGCCACATGTGATGTTCTGAGTTGATGGACCCTGGATTGGCCTGTTATATTTGTCAAATTATGGAGATGAGTATTTTAGTTCTGTAGATCTTGGAAGGGAAGATGCTGCGGTCAGGAGAAATCGTGCTTGTGTACGTTGTTTGACAAACAGTCATAGATCTGGACCGACACGTATCAACGGTCAAAGTAGACGGACGTCGAGGTCATACAACAACTCGTGTGGGTTGGTTGTAACTGCAAGACCTTGTCCGCCTTCGTGCGCGATGCGATCGTTGTTGCGAGGGTAACCTATGTGGAAAGACTTTTTGAGGAACCGACTGGTCTTATTTAGATGAATTTAACAATTTTCATACAAAGTAGTAATTTACAGCCGAGAGGCAAGGCGTTAATTTCACAGGTAAACAAAGCAAGGCGACAGTTCGATGAACATGAGCTCCAAAAAGCACAAAACGGTCTCATGAATGATTAAGGGATAATCTTCGAGATTTTCATCAATTCAAAAGTGTTCAAATAACCGTCCACTGTATCCCTTGTCTCTCTAAACCCGATTCCTTGCGCCTTACCCAGATCGTATTGTCGTCCAAACACCGCCATTCCCAACATTATCGTCAAGAACGTGAAATCTGTCCCTTCAATCACACCTTTCTTTAATTTGTACTTAGCCTCCCACGCCGCCCATTCCGCACGGTGTGTTTGCATGTATTTGTCGATATTATGAGCTTCCTGGTGGTTGTCAGTAATGGGCCCAGTCCCCACAAGGCCGAAATACGCGCTGATACGTGGCCACAGAGCTGCCCACGTCACTCCAGCCGGTTCATCACCGATATTGAAAGCTTGGTGGGCAGTGGCATCTGGGTGGAGAGAAGCGTAGATGTGGAAACGTGCGAGGAGAGATTGTGAGACATCGGTGTGAGGGGCCGTGTAGGCGGATTGCGGACCGGGATAGATCACCGTCGCACCGGGGCCTTCGCGGGAGGCGAAGAAACTGAAAAACAAACCAAGCGCCTGAGCAAGGTTCATAGCATTGTTATGAGGAACAAAACCGGACTATCGCGGGTGGCGTTAGATCCCTAAAGGACTTCGCAGGGAGTGGAATTTGACTGACAATGCCATCTGGTCGAACTTCAGCAAATGACCAGCTTTTATCTTTAGAGAGCATTTCAAGCACATCATACTGTGCGTAGTACATAATGCTTGATGCATAGGGTTCTGGGATCCGGGGGTTGGACTCCTTGATTGGCGTTTCCGGGACCCCGATCTTGTCAGCAAATTCAAAACCATAGGACTAGAGGTGCCCTGGTTAGTTATGTGATTTCAAAAAAAAGCAAAAAGACTGTAAGACTGCTTTACCTTTCCACCTGTTTGGAATGTCCAAAATTGTAAATTCGGACAGAGATTCTCAACGGCTTGAATGGCGTTTTCCAGAATTTCAACGTTCGATTTCAGGATTCCTTCATAGCCCGTTCCATGTCCGGTGTAAGCTTTGAAAGGCAGAATAAGCGGATATACAAAGCTATATTGTCGTCAGGAATTACCAGTAAAGTAAACATGCGTCACGTCCTGAATCCCACTGATTCGTTCCAACTCCGCTTTGACCGAAGGCACGCCGCTACTGAGATTAACGCCGCTGTACAACTCAAGCCTTTTGTCATCAGGAAACAAGGCTTCTGATTTTGTCAAGGGCCTGTTTGTAAGTCCAATGACTCTATCGAAGGTGTCCGGGCTAGGATACTTCAGCGCTTCTTGGACAATCGCCCATCCGGTAATGCCGGAGGCACCGAAAACCAAAGCGCAACAAGTGCAGTTTGAGGAAGGCATGGAGAAATTGTTGTACGGCTATAAAAAGAAGTGTTTTATGACTGCCAGCGACAGAAATTCAACTGGCCTTTTATATAAATGTCGCTTAGAATGCTGTCCGTTCCAGATTCACAACCCGATTACATCATTCGGTCTAAGATCTATGGTCAAAAAGAAAGCTTCCCTACACAAAAATGAAAAAGAGATCGATTCAGCGGATACTTAAGAGGTGGAATAATGTTATGTTTGTCTAGTGGCTTAAGGTCGTGACATCAATATTACGACGAGATAGAACTACGCCTTCTGTTGCCTTTGGTTCTGTTTTTCCTTCTTGGTATGAACCGCGTATTCTATAACAAAACAGTAGTTACCAAGGTTACAACCCCTATCACGCCCCGGGTGAGAATTGTCACCCCGTTCTCACCTCTCTCACAGTGGTCTCCTGACTTCTCACCCATATCACCCGCACCCCAATCTTGAGTGCAGCTTTGGTGCTGATGGCGCATTGAATATTGGCCGTGCAAAATAAACGGCTTAAACGCGGCCAGTAGTTCGGTGGGTGTCGCCCTGGTGAGAAATGGGTGAGCGCCGCTTTAGCGTCGCGCGACCGGGCCACCCGGCAGAGGAAATATGCTACGTATAGCTACCTAGGTATGGTTGTGGCTATAATCAGGGGCATATTCCCACCGACTGTGGTATTGTGTGATTGCAGATAGAACTAAAAGCCCACCATGGCTAAATATTAAATCTCAGATTCGAAGGACAGCGTAATGGGGCATCATTCGACGCTACTAGACTGCGCCAAAACCCGCAGACCCGCAAATGGGTTGGGTTTCGGGTAGACTTTTATAACCCGCAATGGGTTCGCGGGTTACCCATACGGGTTACTAAATAGTGCAAATATAGGAAGAGTCCAAGCTGTATAAATTATCCAGTTTTCGATTGTATTTTATTGTATTTCCTTTTCATATAGTATGCTTCAAATGGCTTTAAGTGTTATATTATGAATAACACCCTACTAAAATATATATCTCTAAAATATATCTCTACAACTTTGCAAGTATTTTTCAGCTTATACTACCAGAAATATTGTTTACTGTGATATATATTATATCAAACCTATTATAATAGCATATAACCTATATTATAAAAGTAATACATAACGTCTTTTCGAACGAATTCATAAGCATTGTAGCCGAAGTACTATATCTTAATATTATAAACTGAAACAACTATAGAATACTGTATTTTATTAGGATAGGTAAGCAGCTTTATACAGCTAGGCATGTCTCCATTGGGAAAATTATATAGCCGCGGGTTTTTATGGGAACCCGCGCGGATTGCCTATACGGGTTTGAATCTCTTACCCATTCGCGGGTTTTGGCGCAGACTAGACGCTACTGCAGATGTCCTATTAGGATTCGTGATGTGGTACACATGGTGAGGTGTGTATGCGGAATCCTGCGCGGGGCTGTCGGCAAAATCCACTATTGAAAAGCACATCAGCACACATATATAAATGGTCCTAGAGACTGGTTACTCTAGGCCCAGATACTATTCAGCTAGGAAGTAAGGGAGGATTGCGGAAACCTGCCAAGCTTTGGGCGTGGTATAACAAAGAAATCTCGACACTGGTGTTTCCTCTTTCGGTTCCAAACTTCTTTTCTCTTGATGTATGTACGCGTCCAGTTTGGGATAGTTTGAACAGCAGAGCGGCACCCTCCAGAGCTGTGTGTTGGCCCAATAAGAGACATGCTCTCCCTCTAGAACGGATCTTGTCTCCAAGTCTGTCACTTTCCTTAGTTCATGGTCTTTCCTATTTTCCCACGACACCACCTGGGTATGAAGATTTCCTTTCTGATTAGATGTTCTCCCCAGCACTGAAATTTCTTAAACGCGAATCTACTGTCGCATCAACCATATAATTGTACGTCTCTATCTGTCTCTAAGACTTTTCTGCCAATTTAACTCCACTAAAGGTGGAGTCACTGAGGTTTACCCGTTAAGAATTACAAAAGGAAACTAGGGATTGCGACGATTCAAACCGCTCCAACTCGAGAATGACAACAACGGAAAGACCAAGCTCGGGTTGCATGCAAAGGAAAAAGCTACACCGTAAGGTAGTGGTCAACTGCGCCTGAATATCGAAGAACTAGAACAGGAGAATCGGAATCTCAAGAGAATGATCCGGACTTTGGAGGTCGAAATGTCAGCCACCAAGAGCCCGGAATGCTCACCCCGGTCGTGTACAGAGCCTCCGGAAAACGGTGTCCCCGCCTACACTAGTCGGATTATTTTCAAGCCAAGACGGCGAAGATAGTTTCGGCTCGGGCTAGACAAATTCCATATTGTTCCTATCACTTAGTTATGTACGTACTTTGTACATGTCCGAGTGCACGGCCCCCTGAGCAGCCCCAGGGAGAGAAAGTGGGGTTAAAAAGGTGACTCATCAGATATAAGCTCCAGGGCTACCTAGTCACGACACCTACATAGGCAGTTCACAAAACAATATCCAGGAACCGCCTATAACTAAAACGCACAGCTAGGCTACGTCGAAGGCGCGCCAAAAGGAGAAACTACGAGCTCCCCTTATTCGTCATTAGAGTGGATTAAGATCCCAACCAGAAAGAATGGCAAGTCGCATTGATAGGAGCAGGACAAAATCAGCAATGAACAAAGTCATAGATATTCCAGAAATTCTGGAAATGATCCTGGCTCAGATGGATATGCGCACGCTTCTCACATCTGCTCACCGAGTCTGTCGCAACTGGGCGAACCTAATCAGCAAGTCACCGTCAATCCAAAAGGCCCTTTTCTTCACTCCGATCAAGGACTCCGAATGGGGAAAAGAAGAAAATATACCTAACCCGCTATTAACGGAGACTTTTCCTTCTTTCTTTACCGCCAAGGACAGACCGGATCGCTACCAGTTCGACTTTTCTAACTTGCCCATGACTAAAGACGCCTTAAGCATGGCTCGATTTGTACGAGAAGACGCAAGCTGGCGCAAGATGCTAGTCCAACAGCCTCCTCTCTTGGATATTGGACTTTTCCATATTTGCCATGCAAGGGGCAATCATAATGCCGAAAGCTCTAGTATCCCGGTCAGTTTGCAACCCATACCACAATCTGATTTCAAAGTCTCTGGTGACTGATATATGGGATGTAGGCGGATAAAAAGATACAGCAATCCGGACATGATGGTCTTCGGATGGAAAGGCTCTTCGAGCTTTTGCTCTTCAGTGACGAGGTTAAATTCTTGAGTTACACTCAAGCACGGGTGTATTGGTCTACTGAAGAACCAATCCTATTTGACGAGAGCTTCCAGAAGATCAACGATGAGTTCCATCGGATGATGAGCAAGTTTGGCTTGGTTCTTTGTACACGCGAACTGAAACAATACCCTATGCGCACGGGTCCTTCAAGTCCCGAGGAACCTATCAGGGAGGATATTATCACAGCATACACAGAACATGGTTTTGATGTTGATCTCAAGAAAAAGGAAATCCAAGAATCGACCGTTGAAGGAAGTGACCTATGTTGTTGTTCTTGTTGTATTTAACGTCAGGCGGAATATAGGCTTCGCCTATATTCCTATAACCTCCTAGGGGGTATATGGACGTGCTAAGCTATAGAGTTATATACAAATTATATAGGTATAGAAGGCATTTCTAACTAAGGGTGATAATAATATTATTAGTTAGCTACCCGTCCTTCTCCGCCAGTTAAGATAGATATAGTAGTATTGGTGATAGGGTTCCTATCTATTCCTCGCCCCCTAGGCGAGGAGAAGTTGCCGGTTAGGTTAACCAACTTTTTAGGGGAGAGGGTCCTCTCCTAGTCGGTCGAGGCTAGAGGCCTATAAAGTAAGGATAATATACAGATAGAGAGTATAATAAAAAACACTAGGTAGAGAGAGGGGAGAGCTACTATAACAAAGGAGGGCCTCTAGATATAACCAGATATCCTAATATTTCCAGGTATGGTGGTGTTGGGCCCATGGCACGGTTAATGCACTGCCTTGCGCAAAGCCCCTGACTGCGCCTAGGCGATATCCGACTGTCAGCCGGAGGCTCTCTGCTTCATTGATTTAACTACCCTAAGACTGTGGCTGGAATTCTACCAACATTTTGAGTCCCATTCCATGGTACGATGTCTGGGCCCGAGATCGTTGGGATAGTCGCTAGCACAGTTCAAATCACAGACCTCGGTGCCAAAATATCTGTCAAGCTCTGCTCTTTTTACCGCACCGTCAAAAAAGCGAATGACTATGCGAGGTCTCTCCAGTAACATGTGTCTCACTTGTAGTGTTCTACACGAACTTGGTAACGCCCTCGAGCGGGATAGCCAGACGAAAATTTGCTCGTCCGGAGCTTTTAGCACTACCCAGGATGTCTTACATGGCAGTGTTTGAAAAGATTGATAGCGAAATTGACAAGCGTGACCAAGAAAAAGGAACAAATGGACTTCTTCGTGGAGCTCAAAAGATCACATTAACTTTCCAAGGCCCAGATCTGGATCTGGAGAAGAGTAACCTGGAGAGGCTGAAGTACACCATGTTGTTGATGCTAAATGTCCTGGTGTACGCGGGGCAACTTCGCAAGTATACTAAGTCTGGTTGGGGATTGCGTATATATATTAACCGACATTAGGGGAGACTTGAAATCCACGCTCGCCAATCAGCGAAATCTAATCCTATAACTTCTCGAAGAAAAGAACGCGAACGACACTATATTTCATCAATTAAATCAATATGCACCTACCGTTCCCATGAAAGCAAACGAACCCCTTCAAAAATCTACCAGAGCTCTAAGTATAGACCCGGAGCCTTCCTCTCCAAAACTGCATCGTTATTCTCTAACGGAAGTCGAAGAGTATTCTCCTCTCGTCCGAAGGCTGTTCAGCGAGGTCGATGCGTGCCACCAGGGCCTAGAAGAGAGCCGAGTCCTCAGAATCAGGAATGGTGTCCCAAATGTGCACTCGGTGGAAGTTCCTCTTTTCCAACACACCCATGGGCAGTCTGCAACTCGGGTTCTTCATGATCCTTTCTTCGAATTCAGGGAATCCTGTCTTCCTAGGCTCGATCGGCCTATTCAACACCGCCCAAATTCGCCTTCTCCCTTTGATGTCGCAGAACCAAATGCTGCAGAACTAGACGAAGGCCGTTCGTCAAGCAGGGCTGAAAGACTTATGCGGAAGATCAGTATTAAAGATGATGAAAGTTTAATTGACACCGCACCGCTACGCCACCGTCGTACTACTCATTCACCCAACCACCCAAGGCGTCGAGTTGTGCGGTATTTCAATGCAGTGAATACTTTTTCCAATATCAAACGACACGAGCAACTCGAAAAGAGCGGATCCAACCATCATGAGAGAGCATCTTACCCCGAAACCCCTGGCGAGATATATCGGCATAGAAACCTCAAAGCAGCTAGAGACCGTTACAGAAGACTGGGAAAGGATAGCCAGAATATGGAGACTACCAAAAAATACGAGGAAACTAGGTCAGAGTACACAAACTCGATCATTGACTCATCCCCGTCTTTATCTAATTTCAAAACAGTGGATCAGGAACTGGAATACTTGATCCTACAATGGACAACACTGACGCGAGAAGAGATGGAAAGTGACATGGAAGAGGAAGTGGACGAGAACAGGTCATAATTGATATGACCTGATAACTTTTGTTTTGGTTATATAGTGTTCTTGTTTAACAACTCTTAATTTGATTGACTTCAAAACATGCATATATTGTATGTGTTGATCCTATCCGATTTGGGTAATACTGAACGGTGGCGAATACCACCAAAGTCTTACTCAGCGATGGGAAGAGACACTGATCGATCTCCATCGGAAGGTCTACATTGTTATGGATTAATTTCGAGATTGAAAGAGCAAATATTAATATTATCTATATTTCGCAAGGTTCATCTAGGCAAATATAAAAAAAGGGTAGGGTGCCAGGCTTGGCAAGGAGTAACTTATATCAAGCAATACATATATCCAAGGTCCCTGCTATATTATATGATCCCAGTGCGATATCATCATACATTATAGAGCCGATCGATCCAAAAAAAGAAAAAAGCACAGACGCCAAGACGTAGCGGAGGCAAATCTTGATTTCGGAGGTTAATGACCGGAGAATTTCCACCGTGTAGCCGTTGCACGACCTACAATATACTACATACATATGTAGGAATGGTAACTAAATTACTCTATATAGTCTACCGTTGAATAATATGATGTTCAGCTCAATATTCCTTGAATTTGGACGATGAGATCAGCCAATGACTTGTGTGGCTGAACTCTCCACCCAAATAGATTAAAATGATCTCATACCTCCCTCTACGCTCACACCTCTAACATGGACCTACCCCGACCGTGATCCGGTTTTGCTTGTTATTACTGATGTTTCTGGATTCTGAATAGACAGACTATACAACTTACGAATAGGCGCACAAATATCGTAGTTGGTTCGTGAAAATCGTCATTAGTTGAACAAGATGTCTATAGTGGGTAAATGATTTCCTATATTGTTTATTTACTGTTCACGTGGAGAAGCATTGAGTTTCCGGAGTGTTGCACTGTTCAAGAGTTTTCATATAACATCTGATGTAATGATGATTCGGCGTGCATTGTAGCTGGGCGAACCGGAGTTTTTCTTTTTGATTTTTCTCTCAAACAGGGACAGGGACAGGACGTGACAGAAAGTGACAGGTAGTGGGGGCGAATTATATAGTGGGCACCGTATGTGGCCTCTCTGATAGATCTCTCTGATTTGTTCGCCCACACTTTTCCACGTTTACCATAGCGTGGCTCCGGGGAGCATCCATGGAAATGTCCTGACTTTAACCAATCACGTTGCTTCTTGTATTTCAATTGTCCGGATAGTCTAGAACCTTGGGACTTGACGTACTTTAGGTCAGGAACATGACATAGGTGAATTGAATATCGCAGCTCTGCTCGGGAGAGATTCCATGTCGTGCAACGAATGAAACATCTATACTCCCATGCCGAAGCAGCACAGAGCTCCACCTCCACCCTCCTTCTACAGCCCGATTTAGCCATACTCCCCCCATATCCCAGTCCTGGCCCTCTGATTCGTGCGCCACCCTGCAAAACTGTATGGATCAACCATTTCCCAGACTTGGCATGTCATCTAATCGCCCCACTCCATGATGCCGATGATGCTACTAACGGCCCTACCGCGCTCTAGCCGTACGTTGTATAGATTAACTCTATGACGATCGCCCGAACAGGGATTTCAAGCAAAAATGATAACAAAAAGCCGTTATGATATCAACGGTTTATGACGTAGTAGGCTCTGCAGGTATCGGGCATGGTTACAGTGTCTATATTGACAGCTATGATGGTGAACCCATTCGATGATATCAGAATCACTGAACTCTCTATATAAACACCTGAACCCGTTCCTGAAATTATTCTTTTCATTATTCAACCTGTTCTATTTCTATCCATCTAGAAACTACCACCTACATACCTTACTCCCGAACTATACCCTGTTCTCGGGATTTGTACATTATCATTCCACCCGCATACGTTTTTACGAAGTATACCTCACGCCTTTGACGGACACAACTGCATTACGTTCAATTTGCAATTACCCAACTGGATTTGATTCTATATACAACACACCCATCTCATCACCAAAACACCCAAAACCAAACAAAAACAACGATGTCTTCCCCCGCCGTGAGCAAAGCACCCCCCAAGTTGGGCTCTAAGGCCGGAACCCCCGCCAAAGGCCGCAAAGCCTCCGGCTCCAGCGCAGCGAGCAAACCCAGCACTGCCGCCGCCGCAAGCCCCAAACCCGCGAAGAAGACAACCACACCGCGAAAACTCTCCCAAAAAGCCCCCGAACCAGTCGACGACGACATCGAAGAGCAATCTATCCCAGAAACTCCCTCCCCGAAGTCGAAGAAGCGCACCGAGCAGCGCCGCCCCATCTCCCCACACGACGACGCCGCCTCCCAAGCCCCTTCCGCCTCCAGCTCCGCAGCCCCACATGGTCGCGCCACCTCCGGCTTAACTGGCAAGGCTAAGGGCCTCGCTGGTAAGACGAAGGACACAGCTGAGCAACCTTCCGAGAGCGTTCAGAATGGCGCCAAAGATGCCACACAGACTGCCACCGATAACCTGCCTGTGCCGTTTGACCTTTCTGCATTGAAGGGTCTTGAGGTCGCCGAGGGTGGGAATATCCTTGGACAGGATGGAAACCCCATTGGCAAGGTTGTCGAGGGGGATGCTGAGGATCTTGTCGGAGAGACTGTTGGCGATGACGGGGAGATTGTCGATGAGGAGGGCGATCTGATTGGTCGCGTTGATATCCTGCACGAGGTCGCGGACCAGGCTAAGAATGCCGCCGATGACGCTCAGGACAACGTTGGCGAGGTTGACCTCGAGAATGTTGTTACGGATCTCGCTCAGCTTGAAGGTCTTCCTGTTTCTGATGGCGGTGTTATCAAGAACGCTGCTGGTCAGATCGTCGGCCGCATTGTTGAAGGTGACCCAGAAGATCTTATTGGGTATACCCTCAATGAAGATGGTGAGATTGTCGATGAAGAGGGCGATGCCATTGGCCGTGTTGATCTGATTCCTGTTGAGGAGCAGAAGAAGGCCATTGAAGAAGCTGCCGGTGATGCCACTGACAAGGTCGGTGGCGCCGAGGACGATCTTGAGGATCAATACGAAGATGCTCAGGGTGGTCTCTCCACCGAACAGGCCAAGAGTGCTGTTGATGGCGTCGCCGATGAGGTAGACGACGATGCCAAGGACACCGCCGAAGATGGCAAGATCGACCTTGAAGACAATGTCGAAGACGCCAAAGATACCGCCGAAGACGCTGGTGAAGACGCCACTGATACCCTCGATGAGAAGGTTGAAGGTGCCAAAGACACTGCCGAAGACACCGCAGAGGAGGCCAAGGACACCGCCGAAGACGCGGCTGAAGATGCCAAGGAGACTGCCGAGGACGCTGCCGAAGATGTCGAGCAACAGATCCCCGGCCTCGAGACCCTCGAAGGCTTGGTCTGCAACAAGCTCGGCTACATCATCGATGAAGCCACCGGCAAGCCTGTTGGTCAACTTACCGAAGGCGACCCCAAGAAACTGTCTAAGCTCGGCGCAACACTCGACGACAAGGGCCAGTTCTGGGACAACCGCGGAAACGTGATCGGCCAAGCCAAGGCGCTCCCGATCGAGGAGGACGAAGGCGAAGAAGGCCCCTTCTCCGGTCTTGAAGGCCTCGTCGTCGGCGAAGACGGCTTTGTCGAAGATGAGAACTCGACTCGCGTTGGCCGCTTAATCGAAGGCGACGCGAAGAAGCTGAGCGGCCGTGGCGTTGACGAGGATGGTGAAATCCTCGACCGTAAGGGTAACGTTATTGGGCGCGCTGAGCGCCTCGAACCCGAGGAGGAGCCTGAGGAAGAGGCTGGACCTGATTTCTCTGCTGTCAATGGCCTCACCTGTAATAAGGCTGGCTATGTTATCGGACCCGACGGGTACCCGATTGCCCGTGTTGTCGAGGGTAACCCTAAGGAGCTTGCCGGTAAGAAGATCGAGGATGGCGAGATCTACGACGGAAAGAAGGTCGTCGGTCGTGTTGAGCTTATTCCTGAGGATGAGCTCGAGAGCAAGCCGGAGGGTCCCTTCGCTGGTATGGAGAGCCTCTTTGTGACTAAGGATGGATTCGTCGAGGATGATGAGGGATCTATTGTTGGTAAGCTTATCGAAGGTGACGCTAAGAAGCTTCGTGGTCGTGCTGTCGACGAGGACGGCGAGATCACCGATAAGTACGGCAATGTTAAGGGTCGTGCTGAGCCCTACGAGGCTCCCGAGGAGGAGGCCCCTGCTGAGGAAGACCTATCTATCCTCGAGGGTAAGGTTGTCAATAAGTCTGGCAACGTTGTTGACCCCGCCACCGGTGCTGTCGTTGGACGTATTGTCGAAGGTGACAAGCGCCTCGCTGGATGTAAGGTCGACGGCCTAGGCCAGATCTGGGGCGATAACGGCAAGGTTGTTGGACGCGCCGAGCTTATTCCCGGTGCTGAACAGCATAAGGCCGAAGGATCATTCTACGGTTTCGATAACGCTGTCGTCGGCAAGGACGGAGTCGTTCAGGACGGCGAGAAGATCATCGGACGTCTGATCGAAGGCGACGCTAAGCGCCTTCTCGGCCGTAAGGTTGACGAGGAGGGTGATGTTCTCGATAAGAACGGCAACACGATCGGTAAGGCCGAGCGCTGGGAGCCCGAGGAGAAGAAGCGTGATGTCAACCCCATGTCTGGGCGCAAGATCAATAAGGAGGGTGAAGTCCGCGATGCGGACGGCAACCTCATTGGAAAGCTGACTTCGGGTAACCTCGCCACGCTGGTCGGCAAGGCTATTGATGATAACGGCTATGTTGTTGACAATGATGGCAACAAGATTGGTGAATGCACCTTGCTCGAGAACATCCCCGAGCCCGAGGAGGAGGAAGAGGAAGGCCTAACAGCCGAAGAGCAGGAGGTTGCGGCGAAAGCCGAGTCCGACCGCCAGCTCGCCGAAAAGATGATCTCCATCCTCAGCCAGACTCTTGATCGAGTCAAGCCTGTCTGCAAGCAGATCACAGAGGCCTGCGAGAAAGCCGACCGCACCTCGAAGGAGGAGCTTGATGAGGAGAAGCTTGTTCAAACCGTCAAGCCGCTCCTCGAAGAAGGCGGCCGCATTCTGCAAGAGTGCAACGGAGCCATCCGCGCACTCGACCCCGATGGACGCATTGCTGCTACCGCAAAAGCGCGCGCTGCTTCCCGCGATGCCACTCCCGAGGAGTATCAACTTGCCGACATGATCAAGGAGCTCACTGAGACGGTTATCAAGACTATTGACAACGGCAAGAAACGCATCTCTGATATGCCTCACGCCAAGAAGAAGCTGAACCCCCTCTGGGGTTTGCTCTCTGAGCCCTTGTTCCAGATCATCGCTGCCGTTGGCTTGTTGCTTACCGGTGTCCTTGGGCTGGTTGGTCGTCTGCTTGATGGTCTTGGTCTTGGTGGACTGTTGAATGGTATCCTTGGCAGTCTTGGATTGGACAAGTTGATTAATGGACTTGGTCTGGGAGGTTTGACTGATTCTCTTGGACTTGGTGGAAAGAAATGAAAAGTTGCAACGAATTTGGGTTGAACCTTTTTGTTGACGGTGCTTTTGTTATTTTGTGATACTGTCTTTTTTCCTGTTTTTGCCAGCGTTGATTGCTTTGGTTTTTTGTGTACACTTTTAATTCCCTGTATGTACTATGAATTCTCAAGATTAATGAACTTGGACTTGATTTTGATTTTGATTCATTTTGATCTATTCACAAATATTAATAGTCTCGTAATACAGATGTGCAGAATAACAGCGTACAATTTCCCCTGGTTTCATCAAAATCCACCCCTCTGGGATTTGTTATCTCTCATCAGATCAAGATAATAACGCATATGTAGAAGGAATGGACATGTTCATAATTACAATGAGGTTGAACATCTAAACAATGCACCACACAGGGCGCTTTTGTGGCAATTCCAAAGGGGAAACTACCCAATTGAACTAGTATCGATCATCGATTCTTCCATAGAAAATGGCGTGGCGCATACTAAGTTAATGTGTCTTGGATGTGTCAGTCGAAGCGCGAGACTGATCTATGTGGGACGATTCACCGAGGTTGCGATAGGCTCTGTCTCTCGCAGCAGCCTTATCCTTTCGGATAGTAAGGCAGTTGATGCCGAGGAAAGTGGTGATGCGGTTGATGACAAGGACCGCCCAGTGCATGTAGATAACCAGGGCGAAGACGAGGTACACCCAGAGATACAGCAGCTCCAGCCACGGAGCAATGGCCGGGAAGCCGATCATGGGCAGGTTGATGAGGACCGCGCCAGCGATGAGGGGAGCCTGCATAACCGTCCACAAGGGGAAGGGCTGTCTCAGAAGATGGGCCAAGATGATCATGGTGGTCATGCGTCCGAAGACGAATGCGATAATCCAGCAGAACAAAACGAGGTGGTTACCGGACAGAATAGTCGAATAAGGTGAGAACAGCCAGGCAATGTTGCAGACGGTGAAGGCGATCATAGGCACCCACTCCTTAAGCAACGGAGTGAACGGCAGGCCCTGCTTCTTGCGGGCCTCAGCGACATTCATAACACATCCGGGGAGATGTCCGAGGAAGAAGCCACCCAGGAGAATTGGGACCCAGAGGTCCTTGATGGAGCTGTTGCCGAAGATTTGGGGGAAGTTAAGGAATCCAACGATCGGTTGAGACCACATTCCAGGGCCCCAGATTCCGGAGGCAACCATGATTCCACAGGCGATGATGAGGCCCTCGGTCGGGCCATTGAAGTAGCCGAGGTACAGTGTGTGGGTGTGGAAGGTCTCCCATGTCGAGAAATACATAGCCAAGCAAGGCACAAGTGCGGTCCAAGCACCAAGATGCGAGGCTCCAAAGCCCATTGCGGCTGTCGAAAGCAGACTGGCCAGAGTGCAGTTCAAAGAGTCGATACCGTGACTGGACCCGATTAGTGATCCATCCATGGCTTTTCGGAGAGTGGTACAAACTCAAAAAGTTCTCCAAGTCCGCTGGACGTCCCGGTTCGGCGTGCCTGTTTACCATCCACATTGTCGAGGGTAGAATACCTAGTTCGTGTGAGTTGGAATCGGATAGATGGAGGGATAGCCGGTCACTCACATCCACATGCCAAGAGCGAAGCTGTAGTAAATCCAAGCGGGGCCCTGAAATATCCGATTAACTCGCCACTTCCGATAAAATACCGAGTAAGGAACAGGAACAGGAACACTCACGGGTCCCACCATATCTGGCACGAAAATTTGAATGATAAAGATATTGGCCACGATCCACATGAACCCAAGAAGGGTCACCATGTTCGGGGCCATCCACATCGGCACAAGTTCGACGAAGGCATTCCACTAAGCAGGGGAAAAGTCAATTGGTAATTCCGAAGTAACGTAACTCGTGCAAGGTTACAAGGTTGTCATACGTAGTGCTTCAAGATATACCGAGAAATGAACGACTTGTCGACACTCGAATACTTGTAGGACTTAAGGGGTAGGAGGGCATCGTCGGAGAGGGAATCTTGGGTCTCTGTATAGGTTGAACGTTGGAATTAGCAAATGAGCCGTATTAAATACGGTGACCACAGTGTTTAAATCACCAACCTTGGACCATTCGATTGATCGCGTCCATTTTGGAAGATTGGGCCGTGTCACGCGCGGAGTTGTAGTATAGTCGGGGGATAAACACCAGCACCTCAGTTCATAGCGAGGTCGGCAAACAAGTGGGTAAAATGGACAAATGCACAGCAAATCAAATCATGCCTTTAAATACAAATGTCGACTCTCAAGAATGCGTGGAGAAAGGGAGAAGTGGGAATTGTTCCAAGACGGATTTTCAGGTCGGAATCACGTGCCTTGCTCCGCATCGGGAACGCGAACAAGGGAAGCTCGACTTGACCGAGACCACACGGGATTTGCGAGTGCATTGTTCGGACTTGAGTCGCATTGTCGCAGCTAATAGTGCCCTCGAACTCATTAATTGCGCCTTACTTGAGTCTCCTCTCAACCTACGATCTACCTCAGCGCCGCGCGATACTTCACCGTGCACCATAATCGCGTAATCGCCCATCTCGCATTTCACCGTCATCTAAAGCTCGAATCTGCGCCACGCGAACTGCTCTTCGATTTTTTCCGCCCTTGACGCTACAATCACATATCAAGTCTGGTTGGATATGACGGTGGATGGTCTTCAAAGCGCTCCCCGCGCATCTCGTCACTGAGGAATCTTCACGATGCCGGGTGTTGTCGAACTCCCCGTTGGTGCCGCGGCACGCCAATTTGATCTGGGATTCAGTGTGGGACATCAGAAAGTCGAACTTGAGATTGATCTAGCATCCAAAAGCCTCAAAGGAAGGACGGAAATCACAATTCACCCTCGCCGCAGAGATCTAGGGACAATTTGGTTGAATTTTCGACAAGGCGAGGTCAAGCACCTGAGTGTTAACGGCAAGCCTGCAACAACAAAATACACCGATCAATACGAGTCGCTACAACTCTACGGCGTACACTATCACGAGCGGTTGACACCAAAAATCCACAGCCTCTTACAAACTCCCCCAAGACCCACCCTACCTATCACGATTCCAAAGGGCGTCCGCATCGATGAACTGGATCCGTCTTCAGCCGAAGCACAGGATCAAATCGCGCTACAATCTACCGTCGAAAATGTGGATGGCCCTTCGAGTGCCAGGGCGCCAGAGGCAAACCTTCCGCGATTCACGGCTCTGACCGTGAACATCGAATTTGTTATTGATAATATTCGGGATGGCTTACAATTCGTCGGTGTCGAAAATGGAGATCGCCGGTATCCTCATGCCTACACCACCAACTCACTCGAGTCTGGTATCGGCTGTCCCTTGTTCCCATGTGTGGATGATATGTCCTCGCGATGTACCTGGGAGGTTTCCATAACATGTCCTAGCTCTCTTGGTGATGTTTTCGACCGGAAGAGCCAAGATGCGTCCGGTGCAGCAACCATATCCCGCTCGAAGGCGCCGAACCGCCAACTTTCTGCGGACGATGAGGGCCTTGATATGTCCGTGGTGTGCTCCGGCGACTTGACTGATGACATTGTCGATCCCAAAGACCATACCCGCAAAACAGTTTCGTTTGCGTCATATTCACCATTGGGAGCCTTGCAAATTGGGTTCGCCATTGGTCCATTCGAGTATGTCAACCTTGCCGACTTCCGCGAAAGTGACCAGGATGAACAACTTGGCCAAAATGCTATTCCTTTGCACGCATTCTGCCTCCCAGGTAGAGCGGACGAAGTTCAAAACAGCAGTTTTCCCATGGCTCAGGCAATTGACTTCTTCTCTTTGTCGTACGGCTCGTATCCATTCGGCAGTTACAAAATTTGTTTTGTCGATGATCTCCCAACTGATAGTCTTCCCACTGCGTGCATGTCAATCTGCAGCAGCCATCTGCTCTTCCCAGCCGAGATGATCGACCCAATGTATGACTCTACTCGGGCTCAGGTGCACGGTCTGGCATGTCAGTGGACTGGAATCAACATCATTCCTGCTGAGCCCTCGGACACATGGGTGACAGTTGGTGTAGCATGGTACATTACAGATACGTTCATGAGAAAGCTTTGCGGAAACAACGAATACCGTTTCAGACTAAAGCAGATGTCTGATCAAGTCTGCGACTTGGATTTCGAGCGCCCCTCGATATACGACATGGGTAACATTCTCAAGGTTGATCCTTCCGAATACCGCTTTGTTGCATTGAAAGCGCCTTTAGTCTTGTTCATTCTAGATCGCCGACTGACCAAGGCCAGTGGTAAAGCCACGATGTCTCGCATTATTTCTCGACTTTTCCTGAACTCTCGCATGGGTGATATACCCAATGGAGCTGTCACCACGTCCCTGTTCCAAAAGACCTGTGAGCGACTGGGTCACGCAAAATTAGACGTCTTCTTCCAACAATGGGTATACGGCGCGGGATGTCCACGATTCCAAGCAACCCAACGATTCAACAAGAAGAAACTCGTTGTTGAAATGATGATCAGACAGGTCCAATCTGAACCACAACCTCCTCGCGATCTTGACAAGGATTCCTTCTTGCGAGACGTGAAGGAAGAGGTCCGGCACGTCTACGCGGGCGCAGTTCAGCCGGTCTTCACAGGGTCGATGACCCTTCGGATTCACGAAGCGGATGGAACTCCTTACGAGCACATTGTTGAAATCAAGGAGGGGGTGACGAAGTTCGACATTCCATACAACACGAAGTACAAAAGGCTCAAACGCAACAAAAAGCAGAGAGAAAGAGCCGTCGCTTCGGGCGATACTGAAGTTCAAGAAGAGGTTCTACTTTACTGCCTGGGGGATGTGCTTCAAACCGAAGAAGAGACACAGGCTTGGCGTTTGGCTGACTGGACGAAAGAGGATGAGGAGCGAATGGGACAGGAATCGTATGAATGGATCCGAATGGATGCAGACTTTGAGTGGGTCTGTAAACTGTCTCTCGGTATGCCAGGGTACATGTATCTCTCGCAGCTTCAGCAAGATCGAGATGTTGTGGCCCAGCTCGAGGTGAGTTATATTTCTATTTTCCACGAATGAAAGCACGATGCTAACATTCTCAGTCGTTACAATACATGACTGCTCAACGAGAGCATCCTCTGATTTCCACGATCTTTGTTCGCACACTCATGGATAGTCGATACTTCCATGGCATACGTACAACGGCTGCGCGTGCCTTGGTAAAACATGCCAAGGATGAGATTGATTGGGTTGGACTACATCATCTTGAGAAGGCGTTCCAGGAGCTTTTCTGTCTCCCGGGATCGCCCATGACTCGCTCCAATGACTTCTCCGACCGAGCGGCCTACATCCTCCAACAAGTCATCCCTGACTCAATTTCTAAAGTCCGTGACAACAGTGGCAAAACTCCATTAAGGGTGAAGCGATTTCTTTTCGATAAACTCAAGTTCAATGACAACTCGAACAATGAGTACTCAGACAACTTCTATGTTGCCTCCTTGATGAAGTCCCTATGCCATGCGATGCTCGGTAAGAGCGAGGCGCGGACGGATGAAGAATTAGATCATTTTGATATGGAACGTGTTCTTGAGGCTCAGGCGGAGGAACAACTGGACAAGGATGCCATCGCCGAATTTGACCGCTACCGACGAATGGACGAATGGTCCAGCTCTTTCCAAAACCTCTACTCCCGGGCTGCACTTCAATGCCAAGCGCAATTGATGCAAGCGAAGATGATGGACCTGGATTTGATGCGTTTCATCCCATATACGCGGGCAGGAACCTATGATCTTCTACGGATGCAAGCCTTCCAATGTTTGGTCGACCTGGATATTTCCCAGAGCCCGGAGCTTCTTCGATGGCTCATGTTCACATTGTCAGTCGATTCCTCGGCCTGGATACGCCACCAATCTTTACGTTTGCTCGGTCAGACCCTAGCACAGATTGCTTTTGGTCGTCCTCACCAAACCGAAGCCTTACAAAATGATGCTTTGATTATCGAACAAGAATCCTCCACCCAAATCCGCCGGGAGGACATAGCGAGACGCCAGACCATCCCCGGCGCTATCGAAGCCCTTAAACGAGAGCTTGCTCCCGACACATCTATGAAGGAGTGTATGTGGGCAGCATGCAATTCACCATGCATGGGCCTCTTGGAGCTCTCGGAGCTCACTGACCTTTGCCGTACGCTGTACGACCCACTCACATCCAAGCTCGTGCGGTTGAAACTTCCTCGATATTGGAGTGTGCAACATCAAGGTCATGGCAAGTTACGTTTCTATCGGTCTACCAAAGCCCGCATGGGTCCGTCTTCCAAGCGCAAGCGCGAGGATCAGGGCATGCACGCACCCTCATCAACCCGGATTACGTTCAAGCAGTCCAAGACTGGCCTGGCTCCAGGAACTCCCACCCCCAATCATCTCCCAAAAATGCACATTCCAAGACCCTCGCCTGCGCAAAGCGCAACTCCCAAAGCCCCTGCCACGGCTACACCCAAGCTAAAGCTCAAGTTTGGTGGTCGACCAACATGAATATCCAACGTTGTTTCTTCGAAGATCACATGTATTTTATTATTAACCTTTTATTATTTCTGCACTCTGCCTTTGTCTCAGGCGGGAGGATGGAACCCAAGCATGCTCCCAGGTGCGATGTCGATTTAGCTTTATCTTCCGGTTTCAATACCAGCTAGATGTGCCCTATGTTCATCTCCCTAAATTTCCAGTGTAGGTGTAGCCAAAAAGTCATTGGGATAGCCAGAGTAGTCTAAAATGCGCCCTGGCAAACGAGCAGAAAAAAATAGAACAGAAAAAAGGTTTTGATTGTTCCCATAAGAGAAACCGACCCAGAAACTCCCAGTAGCATTAGATCTTTTCCCAGCACTCGGTGATCGAGTGGTGCCTATGTGCGTGCCCCTTCAATCAAAAGAAACGTCATTGATCGTGTGTGTAGATGTGTGGCTTATTTATCGGTAATGCGCTCGAGAGCCTCGAGCATCACGACGGAGTTACCACGAATGACCTGATAACGAGTATCCGTTAGCGGGGTTATCGATACCTCTCGATAGTGATTGGACGTACGATCATTCCAATGGAAACCTTCTCTCCGCCATCCTTCTCCTCGAATGCCTCATCTAGAACAATGTTCATGAAGACCTACGCAAAAGCATCGTTAGTTATGCCGCGCTTGATCGGTACCGTCATCGTCCAGTCTTTCACAGCGAGCCAGGGATCGCCCCGACATAACGAAGACCGGGTCAAGGGTGTGGACATACATCGTAGCCTCGAAGGATACCAATGACTTTGCGGTTGCCGTTCAATTGGCAGAAGACCCGCTTCTCCATGTACTGCAGAAAAGATACGACGTTAGCTGGCATCTCGGGGGAAAAGAGCATATATAGTAGGAGGAGCACTAACCTTCTTCAATTCAGGCTGGGCTTGAGGCATATTGGGCGAGTTGGTTGGGTATCTTGGGGTTTGGCAAGATTCAAGTCACCGTGGTGGCTTTGGGAGTTTGGTGCAAGCTGTGTCGGAGAAATGATGTTCCGGATATGAGATATGCGATAAGAGCTGCCAGCTCTCACCCGACGCTCACACGCCACTAACTTGCATCGCATTGTTTTCACCTTACCTGATTTCTTAATACATCGTTCCAAATATGAGCTCCAAATTTGCCAATCGGAGAAAGCCCCGCAAGGTCGGCGGGGATGATGAGGAGGACGATGGAGGCGCTGCGCCAGGTATGTGGGCTAAGATTACTTTTTTTTCTACCCTTGATATTCGTCTACCAAGATCGAAGCTGACATGGAGATTTACAGAGCCAGTCGTTAAGCGCCCAACTGCCTTTAGGCCGAAGCAAAAATCTAAATTACAGTTATCCTTTGGCCCCGAGACGTCAATGAACGATGGAGACGAAGAGAGCGAAGTAATCCTACCGAAACGCCATGGTCTGGGCCGCAAGACAATGGAAAAAAGCGCTGGTCCAATCCCTTCAGTATTGTCGGAGAAACTTTCTGCGCGAGTCGGCCAGGACCAAGACCGGCCTACCTACAGCCATGACTACTTAAAGGAACTTCGCGATTCCACGCCCTCAACGCCGAAGACAACTACTACCGACGACGAAACCAGCAAGGCTGTGGATGTTGCAGCTAAGTTTGGGGAGATTATGACTGTCCCCGGACAGGCACACATCCCCAGCGAAGCCGAGATTCGGGAGAAAAAGGCCCGACGCGCACGTCTGGCTATGGAACACGGTGCAGATGAGGACGAATTTATTTCATTGGACGTTAACAACGCAGCCAACGTTGATGACTGGGATGCGGTTGTACGAGGAGAGAAAGAAGTTGAAGAAAATACGAGACTGGTTCGGGACGATGAGGACTTTGCGGAAGGATTCGAGGAGTTCACGATGGAGGATGGCAAGATGGCGCTCGGGCGAAAGGCAGAGCGCGAGAAGAAGCGGAAGGACCGTGAAGCAATGCGTGACCTCATTGAGGATGCCGAGGGTATCTCTGATGAAGACGATTCTGACTTAGAGGAAAAGGCTGCCTATGAAGCCGCTCAAGTTCATGCGGCCATGGGTCGTGGCAAGTCAGCTGGTATTGATCGTCCGAAGACTCCTCCCAAGGTAACATCTCTTCCACGACTGGCTAGTAGTTTTGAACGATTGCGCACGTCTCTGGCATCCATGGAAGTCTCGAAAACACGGATGATCAGCCGGATGGAGGACTTGAGAAAGGAGAAGGCAGATATCGCAATTCGTGAGGTTGAGATCCAGGCGATGATCAAAGAGGCTGGCGACAACTACGAGCGACTCAAGAAGGAAGCTGGTGATGTTCGGAATGCAAAGCTCGATCCTTCCAGTGGAGCTTTGGAAAAGTCTCGAGGATTGGAAAGTATCGGTACACCTGTGGCTGTGCCGATAAGGGATTCCTCAATGTCGGATTCCTCGGATTCCAGCTTCGAGGATTCTTCATAGTGCTTTCCTGGTTGCATCTCTACCTACTTGCCAGGCGGCTTGGATGCTCAACTTCACCTCGGTCATTACTGGATTCCCTTGCATCGCCTTCGTGGAGTCTTTCCTGTTTCTTTTGATACCCAATGAACGAGTTCTGTATTATATTTCTATTATATTTCCATTTTCATTTCCCTCCTTTTGGGTTCGTTACGTTTTTTTAGAGCGAGCTACAAATTAGATTCTTCGACCACCCTCAAAGTGCTACTTAACCTACACTATTACAAGATGACCCAGCACTATCCAGCAACTGGTTGAACACCTTACTGACTGACATGGCCAAGTGTCTCGCGCGAATGCAAATCGACTTGGTCGGGAGAAGAGTGGGCCTGACAGTATTGCTTCACTCCCAGAATGCCGACCAGGGTTAGCCAACATCATCATCGGACCATGCTAGACTTTTTCTCGCTTTGAGGTTGCTCTCTCGTACAGGACCACGTATACCACACTCCAACAGATAAGCTCGGCGTACCAATCAATGGCTAGAATTTTGATGCGACACTGGCCAGCTATCCACCTCATATAACTATTGGTTATTAGAGGGCCTTCAGTGATGCTAATCCTATCGAAAATGCCGCAAGCTTGGAACGGATTTCCCACTCCAGGAGGCATTCTACGGTATCCCAACATATCTGCCACCTCTAGCAGCTGTCCAGGTCAAGTTGCATCAACGGGAACCCGCCTCAGCACACAATCCTCACGTGCAAGTTTTTAACCCTTGAAGTCACTCGCCTTGATACTTTGTGGGAAGAGGGTATTGCTGGCTGTTCAGGACACAATCAATGTGGCTTTCAGCCTCCCCCGAATCAATCCAAATGCACATGGTGTTCCTCAGAAGCTACGGATGTCTAGAAAGCGACTTCTTACACGTTTTACTCGTTGAGTACATCTGATCTCTACTGATCTGGCCAAGATTAAGCTCGTTGGGCACTCATGCGATCTGACCGTTATATGTCTCTTGCCGCTCTGGGGGGCACGACCAATGCTGTTACCAAAGATGACTTTGCTACAGCAATTGGTGTCATTGTATCTCGGATCGCTTCTTGTGGACTGCTTACACTTGACTTTCTACTTCTTATGCCAGACCGATCACTGTTAACGAACATCGCACCTTGATATATCACCCTCCAGCCAGTCAGCTCCTCTCGCAAGGCGTCTAGCGTGTTCATTCTGAAGTTCAGATGCGGACGGCTAAAGGGGGTTCTTGCATTTCCTAGGAATTGGATTCCACGGCACCGGCTTCAACGTCCCGTGGACCCTATGCTAATCATCATTGGAGAAATAGTGTCAGTTCGGGCACTTGAATTGTCAACAAGACGGTGCGGCCGGCCGGGTGGACCATCTAGTCGTTTGCCTATGGTTTTCTCCTATTATTTACTTACAGAGTCTCTACCTTACATACCTACGTATCTTTCACACATCGTTCTCACAGAAACGCCAACCTCCCTTTCCAACAGTGTTCACCTACATGTACATATAAGAGAGGTTTAGGCGTTATATCGTAAACACCGGATAAAGTAACAAGCCGGGGTGTTTTCTTATCACATGCCCTAGTAGTCTTCCGTCCGGCAGTTGCCAGCTCGGTGCCCCGCATCCACCTAATACCCCTGGAAATCGGTTTCTCCCTTGCTTTAAACTCCAAAAAAGGTAATTGAAAAGCAAGAGAATTTTTGAGCGCTGTCTCCCCAATGGAGGTACAATCTCTGGACGGTTCAATTTCCCGACCACATCTCACACTTCCACTCTATCCACTGGCAGGACTTATCACATCTCGGATAAGCACCAAACTGGCCGCGGGACCGCGAGGAGCCATGCTTCATCTATTAAAGGAGGCAACAGGCGTTGCAGTTTGTATTGGAGGTTTATACGAATGCATTTCCGAATAGTCCGCAGGTTACCATTGAGATGGTTCCGATGGCTCCTCATTGTATCGATTTAAGCCTCCAGAGCAAAGAAAGCCTGGTACATGAAGTGTGCTCTTTTTCCTTGCAATGCGCTATTTGGGATGGTTTGCGGCCGGGTTTGCCCTCTATGCCTTTTTAAATGGACAAGGAGGAAATGGACTCAGAGAGCGCCCCACCTCAGGTTAGTATTACCACCCTTGTCTATGCAACAACGCGATATGAGGAGTAGGGACCTTCATAGAACCGAGTGTCGCATTATGTGCATGTAAATGCAATGTTCTATCCATTTGTGTATATATGTTTTACCTTTGTATCCTCTCTTCAAAACTACATGCACTTTCTTTCTGGTTTATGAACACGGATGATTGGGAGCACTGGAAGGATTAAGTCCACGTTGACCACTCCTAGATCAGGTGGTTCCCATCAAGTCTGGTATCTACCAGGATTGGTTAGTTCTCAGTCTCAGGAACATGCTGGCCAATAAAACCAAAAATAAAATAAAAGCCTGAACGAGAAACAGGCTACCAAGTAGTATCTCTTCGATTTTGTTGATATATATATATGACAAGATCACAAATATGATAGACGATTTCCAAGCCGCTTCCTGCTCCAGCTTGAAGATCAAAGGGATCAAACGAAGGGAGAGATCACTGTGCTTAACATCCACCAGCTTCTAGATATATATTAAGCTTGTTGGGTTTCTATATATATATATATTGTTTATTTGCATATCCAGCTGTTGTATATCCTTCTTTCAGTCTCTACTAATATATTGGCAACCTAAATGTAGTCTGCGCACCACTTCACATTATACTCTCTATTGTCTCAATGTCTCATTGCCTTTCCCGGGCATTTTCCAGCTGCCTACTCTGTGCTCCGCAGTCTTTCATGACTTCCCCGACAATATTGTATGCCTTAGTTGTGAGACTGCGAACTGGATATTCATTAGCTTACCCATAATCTAGTTTCATTAGCACTACTCCTTGTTGACCGACTCTTCGACTGGTTGATATCCCGGGACGACGCAGCTGGCCGACGGAAGCGGGAACGCGACGCAGAGTTCAAACGTCTGGCCTCTGCGCCGGGGATGGAGGCCACTGACTCCTTCTCTATAGCATTTCCTATAAGAAAATAGTATAGCTATGAGCTCGATACAGGTGCTTGATCTGGTAGGTATACATCATGCTATTCTATTGCCTCGATATCGTTATGTGATGTTTCCCCTTGCTTTGCACTCTATCAAGATGCTGTGGCTATGGGTTTATATTTTGTTCTCCTTATCAAAGTCAATAGTAAAACAACCATTTTCCTGATTGAGACCAGAAACAAATAATCTTATCCACCGCTCAAGTTCCGATCCATGAGTAACATCTCCCCGGCACCCCATGGAATACTAGACAAATATTACCAGCTCTAAGCGCTATAATTCAAAATCTCCGACCTTAAGAATGCCGCATATCTCCCGAAACCTTCGGTGGGAGGTAAATATTGTGAAACAAAACCCAACATTGTGTCACAATATGTCTTTTTAACTGGGAGATGTTAGCGCACTAACCGCCACCGTGCATATCTACATGCCAGCAAGCCATGACCTGGATGGAATGTAGTAGACTGGATGTTCCTCCCACCTCTGAATTGGGTCTTATGTCTCATGTCTCATCTAGAACCCCAGATTACTGGTCTGCGACAAGTAATGTCTGTCTCTGTTAGGAAGGAGCCGAGTCTCCATTTGTGGGCGAAGAAGATTCCCCCAGCTTCTATGTCTCAAACCCCGAACTATCGCAATCTTTGTGTTTCTGTTTTTAGCCAAACAGCTAATGCAGTTCATTTTGTTGATCTACTTGGCGCATTTTAGTGCCCAAAATCAGAAATAAACTAAACTAAGCACACACTAAAGTACCTACCCACAACCCCGGTATCCGGGATCCACGAGCCCTAATTCAACCAATCAATAATCAACAGACAACCAACGGACAACCAACAGGCTGCCGGGAGACTCCTTTCAAATTAGCCAACACCAACCTGTTTTTGCTTTTTGGGCAGGTTCTTCCCAGCTTGTTTTAGTTCTCCACTGATCATCCCTAGGTCCACTGTTCGTATCAACACCAACTCACCGTCCTGTCTGTTTCCATCCCGCCCCTTCCCCAGATTTGTTTCAGATTTTAACTAGGTCTTGATGCTGCCTGAAATATAGGACACATCATTGGGTAGTGGTATCCATGGAATAATAAATAATAATATGACCCACAAATATGATCTGCATATGCGGAAAATGAAGCCTAGCGGTCGATCGAGCACCTGGAACCTGGAAAAAGGCAAATCCCAAACCCACTAAGGCGGCAACTCCGCATATATGTAACACCAACAGGACGTTGCTTCAAAGAAACGAAATTCCCTCGGGGCTTTCCCACAGGATCAGGAGCTGAGGTTCTCCCCTCTAGCTAGGGGGCCGGACGGAATCCTTGCGCGTTCGTGCTGCTGCAGGCCCGTTTTTGATCTTTCCGGTTTCAACGACACCTAGCCCATCCAAGAGGCCGCTAAAGAAGCTTCTTTTGAATAGGCCCGTTTTTAGAACGGTGGAGATCCGGGGAAAAGGGGCTCGGAGGTTTTTCTGTTCAGTTCGCGATGTTTATTTATATTTCTTTCGGCAGTTGTCGACGGTAGTGGCCCATTTTGTTTTAAGCGTCCGATTTACTCAAATATAATTTTACTCTATCCTAAGAATTACCCAACAGAAAACATCCTGGCTAGGATTGTGTCGATCTTCAACCCTTAATCTCATAGGGCTTTGATGAACTCCTGTGTTGGACGCTAGAGCCTCAAAAGACTAGATAGGTCACGTCCATCGGCAATGTCTTCTCGAACCAGCCTCCAACCAGCAAATTGCATCTACCGCTATCCTATCTACTTTGCTTTTTCTCAAGGAGGTTGGATTGGCCCTTGGTCTGATTGGCCCGGATGCCACTGAGCTTTCCACAAAAGCTCTCTGTAGCTACCCGATCAGGATGGAACATTCCAAAACTGTCCAAGCCACCGCCAAGTCATGGAGCTTTAGACGGTTTGTCAATCAGGTAGACCCGCAGACAGATGCATAGCCTTACTCAGGGTTGTACATGGTGGGGACCAGCGATGCCCGCGGCATACTATGCTAGCGCTGTTCGGGGATGCAGTTCCGGGGCCAATTCACCCAGCCCTTGGGATGGGATATAATGTAGATATAGAGGGCAAAAAAAAAAACATTGAACGGAGATATATTGACTTGGGCCTAACGGCCGGGAGTGAAGATCTTCTTCAGGAAGCCGTCGAGAATACAACCCGGCCACTACTCGCTCCCGTTTCACATATTTCCTAGACATACATTCGCCTCCCACAGGATCGAGGCTAAATCAAGACATGATGCTAGACAATAGAGAAAAGATCTGAAACGCTCGGCAAGTGGATCATGGGCATACGACCGGGGTCCAGCTGATTTCTAGACCTGGGATTTCTGACCTGGCTATGGTTCAGAAACCCTTGAGTACCAACCCATGTCTATATTTCTCTATTTCTCTTTGTTTCTCCCTGTCTCCTCTGGACGCCCAGAACAGGCCGAGATTTTTCTTGCTCATCTAGCAATGGCACGGGCCTCGATTGAGATTAAACGGGCCGAGAAGTTGAAATGAGCTGGCGGAATGATAGACATGGTTCATATGCCACTGGTTCGATCAATTCATGTTGTCTATTAAAAGACCCGGACGATATCCCTCCCTAGCCTCGCTGTGTTTTCTAGTACATTGATATAAACTTGATACGATTCCATCCCCTATCCTCGACGTCCAACTTTTATACTGTCTCTCAAACAATTTCTCCGTGTTGGCAACCTGCAACCTGGGATATCGACCTTACAGCAATCTAGAGCTTCACCTCCTTTCTCCTAACGGTTAAATTGCTGAAAGATCTGAGACCGCATTGCATTCAACGGCTCAACTTACAGCCCAATCCCCATCAAGATCGATCTTTTAAAAGCCGTACATTCGTGCTATTTCGAAGAATATCTGCTACTTGAGAGTCACTTGGTTCTTGTGTCTACTAATTACAGTTATCCAAAGTGGCTTTTCCCCTGCTCATCACTTGTGGCATCGCTTTCTGGCAATCAACTGTGTGTTATTATATGCATACGGTAAGTGATATCCAATCAGTTCTCCCCGTTCTGGTGAAACCTCTCCATATATAACAAAGCGCTAACTTCTCATAACGGTCAGGCCTTCAGGTCTCCTCGAATTCTCCACACTATATCCAGTGTGTACTGGACGACAAAGAGGAATCATCCAGGATAGCGGTCGTCCACACCCAGCGACAACCCGCGTACGACATTCGCCAGCAATTGCGGTGAAGCGTGGAAGACAATAACCCGTCTAACGCTGCTCAATATTCTTTTTAATATTCCTATTTTTATTTTGTTTCCATCGGTCGATATGGCGGACGTGCTGGCTATCCCTGGGGTGCCGAAGCCATGGATGGCCCATCCGAAGGAGTACTCTCATGCGTCGCGCGATTTTATATCCGCTTACTCGTCGGGCTTCCTTGGGAGTTCAAATAATTTTGATAAACAGCTTTCCTCTTCCCCCACCGATTGGTATTCAGTCTTCTACCCCTCCACCTCAGATTCCCCTTTGGACTTCCATTTGCTGCATCACCCTTCCCCAACATTCCAAACACAACGGCGTCCTCGAAAGCCTGCTAGAGCCATGATGAACCGACATCGTTTGTCGGGACATCCCATGCCTATTATGGAGGACCGGCGGCACTACGTGCCCCTCCGAGTGGAAGATCTTCGCGCGGCGTATTCGCAGAGCGTGTCTCCATTCACAACACGCCTTGGCATCAACAGCGCTCTTTCAAGCAACGGAAGCACTTATTGTGAATCTGATCTTGAGTCGCTTGAGCACTTTGACGAGCCTTTCACCACTCGCGTCGCGGAAACACACGCTGGGCTTGTTCATCCAACACCACGGAGCAACATGTTCACGGTGGCGAGCAATTCATTCCTTTTAGACTCTGAGGAAATGCCTTCTCTTTCATCCTTTGGCGTGTCAGATGTCCCACGGGATGAGCAGGCCTTTTCCGACACTTCTCAGTTCAATGTTCCGAACCCAAACCCTAACCACGCTATGGGCACACACCTCAACCCTCCCTCACACAACCCACATCTCGCGGCACCCATCAGCCCTCCGCATACAAAGCCTGTGGATTTTGGCGGGGATAACCCATGGTCTGCCTGTCAATCAGCCAACACGACTGATATCTGGTATCCTACTCGTTACCCCACCGGCTCATCAGAAGACAGCGGCTGGCACAACCACAATGGTTACATTGCACCTTGGCCCGTCTCCAATGCATTCAACTACCCAAACGAATGCAATCCACCTATGAGCCATGTCTATGAGCCTAGCAATGGACTACCCATGCCCTTCTTCGGACCTCTGCCTTCGGTCCCACCCGGGCCCTCAGGTCCCATGAGCCACATTTCCCATTTGCCAGCTTCTGGAACCTACGAGCCATCCATTGTGGCACCTCAGTATGAACCCACTCTGCACCCAATGTACGTTGCAAGCTCGCAGCCACTTTCCTCCGACACAGAATTTGGTTCCCCGGACCAGAAACACACAAGTAGCCCCAGTCCATCCATCTCCACCTCGACCAACGAAGAGGAGCGATCCCCACAACAGAGCGGAGAAGAACAGGGCGGCATTGAAGCTGGCGTGCATTACAGCGACGAGCGGAACACATTCCTCATCAACTGCAAGCGCCGCGGGCTATCATACAAGGATATCAAGCGAGTTGGTGGGTTCAAGGAGGCGGAGTCTACACTACGAGGTCGATACCGCACTCTCACCAAGTCGAAAGACCAGCGAGTGCGAAAGCCCAAATGGCAAGATAAGGATGTGAGTTACAGAACTGTTCTTCCATTGCTCCTAAGACAGCCAGACTAACATGATCCCATTATTACAGATCCGACTCCTTTGCCAAGCCGTCACCATTCACTCTGAAAGCCACGACGCTTACAGCTCGTTGCCCAATGCCAGCATGAATATGAACGAGCCGCCGAAGGTATCGTGGAAGAAGGTTGCCGAACATATTTGGGCGAATGGGGGATCTTACCATTTCGGCAATGCTACGTGCAAGAAGAAGTGGTGCGAGATTCACAACATCACCATTTGATCTGATCATTGGATCAATATCCTTGAGGCTAAAGATGGATTTGTTTCTTTTTATCCTATTTTCTTTTTCTTTTAATATGCAACGTATCTTGGGGAATATGCCTGGGTTTTTGACTTTTTAACGTTTTGTTTGTATTCAGCTGGTCTGAGTATGTTGTAGCGTTGTCTGTATAATTTTCCTCTTGGTTGCCTTTTTGAATATTGGAGTACAATGTTTTACATTTTATCTACATATATTTGAGATTACGTTACCATGTACTGGTTGATATCTAATGTGATAAACACATAAATCCATAATTTCATTAGGATCTATCTGCTTGCAATCTGTTCCGTCGAACCTCTGTCTGTCATTTTTCACTTTGCTCCTAGTTTTGTAAAGTTGATATGAAGAAGCACCTCACTGTCCCATCGACGACACTTTTACACACATGTCGCGCAATTCCAACTTTCCCGTACCACCGAGCACAATTCCAATCTCGCCGCCGCCGCGCATTCGTTTTGACCGACAAGCCGACGAACTAACCGTCAAAACTCTCACCTTCGAAAGCCCGAGTGGTTGAAACCACTTGAAACCCTCGTTGACCCCTTCGAAACCCCTCGTGCACATACGACACAAAACAATTCCGAATTTCCTACACAACCGAAATATTCAGTTGTAGATCGACAGCTTACCCCACAACCTTACGAGATCGCAGTGCAGTAATGTGGGGATCTACAACCCCACGACGGCATGAAAACACGGGTGATATGGCAGGAGGCGCAACACTTCAGGAGTTAGTGGACGAATTTCATAGCTTAGTAGCATGGGTTCATTTTACATGGTTCAATTTCCATAGCTTAGCTAGTTATTGGGGACGAAATAAATCCGGTCCTATGCCGGCATGTTGAGGCTCTGCTTCAGGTAGATAGCTTGCTCCTCCAGGATAATTTCTCTTCTTTTCTCTCTCCAGCTAGCTCAATTTATGGTTTCTCCCTCCCTTTCGCTTTCTTTGGATGATTTCATTTAGAAAATCCCGATAAAAGGGCTGGTACTCCTCCAGTCATCTTTCTTTTTCCTGGCTTGCCCTTTGCATTACACAGGCCGACAACATAGGGTAAATAGCTCCTAGGAGCTCATCTCCTTTAAAGAAAATACTATGCACCCTCTTATTTGATATTTTGTCTGGTAGACTTAACATTCGCATAATTAAATCGGTGGTTGACGTCTCGGATTTCAATAACCGGTGCATCGATACCCGGGCGGTCGCTCAATAGCCGTGGCATATCAAATGCAATAGCCGCAATGAACATCGACAAGAGAGTCGGAAAAGTAATATTTAACTGTTTTCGCCTTGCCAGCTTAGAAATAAAATTATCCCAACAAGTTCTACAATTTTTCTTATACTAGTTGCCCGTTGACCGTGATCAAATACCCCAAAACCCTATTCCAACTACCGATCCGATCTATACAACCCACAGTCCATCCAAAATGGCAAAACCAATTGTCCTCCAACTCGGCGATGATATCCGCTGGAATCATGACCAACACAGCAAGTTCCAGGATGTCTTCGAGATCCGCCGGTCCTACAGTATGTCTCGGCCGGAGTTTATCCGAGCCCTGAAAGACCGTCAATTCGGCGATTTCTTTGCCATTTACCGCCCATTTTGGAATACCGGAGGAGAGATGGGAAACTGGGATGAGGAGCTTATCTCGCTACTGCCAGATTCCTGCAAGGTATATGCCAGTGCCGGTGCTGGATTTGATTGGGTTGATACTGCAGCTTTGGCAAAGAAGGGTATGTATACAACGTCACGGAACAATGAGAAAACTTAAGTCACGGAGAAAGTAGCTAACATTTTTCAATCTACCCAGGAGTTATTTACTGCAATGCTGCAGCAGCATGCACAGAATCCGTCGCCGACGCCGCAATCTGGCTCATAATCTCAACATTCCGCCTATTCTCTTGGTCACACATTGCCGCACGTGCCCTTGATGCCGATGCATTTGTTGATGCAAACCGCAATCTGGCAATGGTATCACACAACCCCAACGGGCACACACTTGGAATCATTGGATTTGGCCAGATTGGACGGCGCACTGCCGAGAAAGCCTTTTTAGCCATGAACATGAAGATTCACTATCATGACATCGTGCAGATGCCCGCACACCTGGAAGCCGTCTCGAAGGCAACATACCACAAAAGCATGGACAGCCTTCTCGCTGTTTCAGACTGCGTGATGGTTGCTACGCCGTTTAGCGGGGAGACACTTCTCAATGCATCTCTACTGGCAAAGATGAAGACCGGCTCGCGACTCATTAACATCGCTCGTGGCAAGTTGCTTGACGAGAATGCCCTTGTTGATGCTCTGAAGAGTGGTAAGCTCGCTGCTGCTGGGTTGGATGTGCACTACGATGAGCCACGTGTTAGCCCTGAGCTTGCAGGTATGAAGAACGTTGAGATGATGGCACACAATGCGGGTGCTTCGGTGGACTCACATATCGGTTTTGAGAGGTTGGGTATGGAGAATATTCTTTCTTTTTATCAGACTGGAAAGGCTGTCACTCCCGTTAATGCACACCTAGTCGCTAAAGCGACAGGGTCAAAGCTATAGACAGTATAATGGAATCATTATCATTGTTAACCTTGGTTCTCGGACGTCCTACTCGACGCCCACCCTTGTAGAGAATCGGCTGCAGGCAATGGGGGTGTATAAATTGCTTCACGGTCTTGTAACGATCTTTCCTTCTTACCTCCGTGTACCGTCCATCCTACCACCTTTCATCCGCTCAATCAGTTGCTTCTTCAAGCGTGCCAACTTATCATCCAGCCTCATCAAGCGTGTTGCAGTATACTACTCCACGCCCACCCTCATACCTCATACCTCTCTCCTCCCCGGTGTCTGTCCCGCCGCAAGGTATGTAAATAAACCAATTGAGACACGTGCCTTCCGGCAATCTCGTCTTATACATGAACCAACTTGACAGTATGCTAACCTGCTTTGATAACTAGCATGAACGGACAGGCTGCCGCAGCCCCGGCTTTGACCCCCACCATGACCTGGGTCACCCTCCGCCTGGCCTTCGAGGCGGGAATTGTCAATCTTAAGGCCAGCATCGACCGACGTGCGGCCATGGCAAGCAGCCCCCCTTCGACGTCGACGAGTTCGAGGCTCTCAGCAAGCACATCTGGGAGACCAAGGTCGAGCTCGCCAAGCGAATCCGCCGCTTCGGCGACCCCGTTGGCGCCGCCATCCTCCGCGGCAAGTACCGCCAATTGATCGGGACCATGCCCGATGATGATGGAGTCATCCCCTGAGCGGGGCATGTTCTTATGTTTCGAACCCTGGCCCATGTAAGTGGGCTGGTCCCCTTGCATAGGTCAGGGTTCATGAATGAAATTCAAATGCTTCGTCACAACTTCATCTTTCATTAATAATAGTAAAGTAATGTAAATCTCAGAGTATTCAAAGGTATCAAGCGGACCAGTACACCTAGCATATATCATTCACTCCTTGGAACATTGTAGATCGTCACCCTAGTTCTTCATAACGGCCTCTGGTGGTTGAATACGGCCCGGTGCTTGAATAATTGCGCCGGGGGAGTCAGGTCCAAATTGCTGGACCGGCCCTTCATGTGGATGAATAGCTACTTGCACGCCGCAGTTTGTACAGAAGTGGTGCGAGTCGTGACACATCTCCATACAGAATGGTAGGAATGCACAGCAAATTCCGCCGAAGAGACAGCAGCACACAGCGGCCATCCTACAAAGGCGAGAGATTAGAATCATCAGAAGTAAAACCGAGCGAACGGTGAGGTGAGGATATATCAATACTTACGATGTAGCGCTGGTGCTTTCCTTGTTCACCCTGGTCTGAACCTCGTGGAAGCAAAACGGACAACAGATTCGTCCGGGCTCTTCACCAAGATTGGCCAGTGGAACGACTCTCTGGGCAACAGGAACTTGTGGACCGAGTGGTGCACCTTTCTCGTTGGTCTGGGGTAATGTAACTGCCGGTGCAGGGGTTGTGATTGCGTCTTTCTCGTGCCTGATTGTGTTAGCTTGGACGGTTTTCTTTGGACCGGGAAGCATACTCATCGTATTGTGGGGGAGGTCCACTCTCCGCGGGAATGATCGCCATTGGGTCGTCGGATACTGGCAATGATCTTGTTGTGGCTGTAGTTGGCTCCAGCGTCGGTGATACTTCAGGTGCTATGGGCGACGCCGGGGGCAATGCTGTGGGTAACTCTGCGGGCGATGTTGTTCCATCTACTGGCGCTGTTTTTGGTACAGTCGCTGTCCCTACTGCAGAATCTGTAATTGATTCTGCGGCCATGGCCGGTGCAATGGGCACTGTTAAGTCTTTGTTGTTTTCCATGGTGGGCAGTCCGTCTGTAGCTCGGTAGGAAAAATAAATCGAAGATCAATTTGTGCAAGGCCGTCTTCCTTAAATGTCAATGGAGCCAAATGTGGGGTCCAAAATCAATACGACAAAGTCAAGGGCAATTTGAGGCTTAAACGCAATAAACGGCACAGCAAAAGGGGCCACGGAAATTAGAACGACGATCTTGGCCAATCATGGCGAATTTGTATAGATCACATGGTTTGGCCCCCGTGTATGTGCCTAGGTCAGTGCTCGCCACAGCCCCCTAGGGTCTAGCGAGCTTCCTTGGCTTGAAAAGATGAAAAGAAATGAGCCTTGCAAGGCTCGTGTGTAATGACTCATCAGCCATCCGGTCTATTATTACAGTGCCAGACATCTTGGTAGTGAAATATCTCGCTTGCATGTCTGGGCAATTATCGGCTTTGTTTAATTTTCTGTTATGGAGTACGACTGAAAATGAACATATAAATTGGAGTTTCACCGCTGGTACTACCAGTCAGTCGCACTCAATAAACTGGATCTATCAGAAGTAAACATGGAAGGCTGGCAGATAATATCAACTCAGTCCATGGAGTACAAACATCTACCATGTGAAAATACGGGCTTTTATGGATTAGGCCTAGTGAGTATGTATAACATTTCTATGAGTAGATCGTGGACCGATTGTACAAGGTAGTTACCGGATACCGTCGCCCCCAGTGATGGCGATATTAAGGGCGATTCACTACTATACATCTAGCGCGACTCACATATTCACTCCCTCTTTCCACAGAAAATCGTTTCTACAAGACTTGCTTTCTACCCAAGTTCATTCTCGCTACCCCAGAAGCCCGTACTATTATATCCACCTCGTTTACGCCCCGACGGCCAAGATTAACAGAACCGCCAATGAAACCGACGCCTCCTCCCACGATGCACGATACCAGCCCAACAGCTTGACGAGTATCACTGCGGCCATCAGATTGCAGAATATGAGTGAGATACTGAACTTCCACAACAAGGTATAGCGCCGTACCGCCAAGGCAAACTACCTCTGTCATGATATCAAGTGGTATGATGGCATTTCGATCAGATCTACCTCGGAAAGACCTTCGGAAAAAGCTATGTCTGCTAGGCTGAGAAGTCGAATATCAGGCTTACTTATAGCAGTGCCCGCTGGCTCGTTTTCAGAACTTTTATCCGCCGCTCTATAACCAAATTGACAGAGGCAATTGGGGTTTATGGAGTCACGTGCGACTCTTCCAGCGCCTTCCTATCTAGGCAGGTGTTCGTTCTTCTACGGTGTCTTCTGTTCCGCCTCAAACTTCCGCCCGGCTTTTTCACTCCGCTTCTTCTCGTTGCCCGTGGCTCGTGGCTCGTGACTAGCCTCGCTTGCAGTTCACGCTATTCAAAAAGGCCATAGCTGAGAAGACTACAAACCATCACCGTTCCGTTTTTACTACACCAGTCTGGACCAAGGCTCTACATTTTTGATGATCGCTTTCCGTCTGTCTGGTGCTTTTGCTGTTGGTCTATCTCTGGCCCTTGAAGACTCGCGATGGACGAATAGGACAGATATATCTAGTCAAAGGAAATATCCGTGGATGTCTCTGGCGATGTTGTAGTATGGTGGCTTTGGCTTCGGTTAGCTTCGGTGCTATTCGCCTTCCCCGTGATGGCAATTGGGGTTGCTTGGCCATCGACTCTCTTCCAAGTCTCGATAAATGAATGGGAGAAACATCTTAAAAGAGCATATCATCTCTGTCGCTAACATGGTTGTCCCCAGCACCTTTATGATTCCTTTATACCTGCATATCCGCGCAGCCATTGCTGATATCCCAAGGAAAACTTCAGCAGGCTACCAGATGCTTCATATATTATGCGGGCAGTGGCGCAGGATATTGTCCGTGCTACATATTCAGAATCCAGATTCTTCCGTCTTCTGATGTTCATTGATGTGATACGCATATAAACACAAGGTATATTTTCAATTAGGAAATCATGATAGAATTCTTTTCAATATGTTGCAGATAGGAGAAATACAGGTAGGTACATATGTATTCAATTTATACACCTCCAGCAATTCCATTCCGGGTATTTGATTCTGGCATGCAAGCAGTCTACCACATGCACCACGTAGCTGTACAACAACCCCAAACAACTATTCACAGCGAAGGCCCACGAGAATCCGTACGAGGATACCCAATCGTAGCAAGGACCTGTGTCAAATGCTCCGGATTTTCACGCAAAGCATCCCACTCGCCCTCAGCCTTAACCATCAGCGTCGCAGCTAGAATAGTGCCATTCAGCGAGAGCACGCCGTGGTCAGCAATATCACGCGCCGCCGCGCTGTCGACGGGGACAAGAGCGGTCTCCTGTCTGCGCGGGCAGATCATCATCGTCGAGCAGGTCATGGCTAGGTTGTAGCTTATAGACGCTGGTCCTTGTGTGGGGAGGGACTCGGTGTCCTGGCTTGGTGTTCGTCCGCGCGTCGCTGCAGCTGCGGCCTTGTAGATGGCTATGTAGATGGCGTGCAGGGTTTCGGCAGAGGGGTTTGGTGGGATTGGGAGGGCAAAGTGGGCAAAGGGGAGACCTGGCAGGTGCTGGAATTTGGGTGTTGGGGAGGGGGAGGTTGGTTGGGAGGTGAGGAGGTCGATCAGTGGGTGCCAGGACTCAGAGCCCGGCTGACGCATTGCTTCGACGGGGAGGAATTGGAGATGGCGGTGGGGTTGGCTTGCGCCGCTGTCGTCGCCGGAGTTGAAGAAGGCGAAGAGGCTCTTTGGAGACGAGCCGTTTGTGGGTCGCGATCCATCGTCGTCGGTGTTCCAGGCTTTTAGACACTGGTATGTAGCCTCTAGGTCTGCCTTGTCGAGTATATCTGTCTGCGCCTGCCAGTCTTTTGTCACGAGGAGGAAGTGGTTCGGGATGACGGGGAATTTGTTGAGGATGAGGTTGAAAGCGGGGTTTTCGGGCGGAAACTGGGCGATCAGAAGATCCGGAGATGGATTCTCGAAGGGATCGGGCTTTGGGGTTTTCGGGCCATTAGAGGGCTTCAAATTGGAGGGTTTCTTTGCGAGGGCTGGGCAGTAGCGAAGTTGGTACTGGATTTGCAGGTTAGAACTGCCGTGGTCGGAGTCTTAGCGTCACTCACCGATATCCCTGCGGCATTGATGATGGACAGATGGGTTGAGGAGAACACGAGATGGCCGGCATCTCGAGCAGCTGTGAAGTGTCTTGCGACCAGAGTGGGGAGGTTTTCTGGGAGTCCTAATTGCATCGTGGAGGTTGAATGGAGTTAAGACCGGGGAAGATGGCAGAACACGGGGGTGGAGATCGGCAGATGGTTAGGTACGGAGTAGTCTTTTCTACTTTACAACATAGACTACACTGTTCTTGGCCAAGGAATTAAAATGTGGAATTGTTTTTTTTTTCTTTTATGTTTTCAATTAGACACTCATTTTAAGTCTCCAATTAATAGTGTCCTGGTACAGATCCCGACCAGCAGGATCTGGCATACAGCCATAGAAGACCAGGAGAGAAAACAGAAAACAAAAACACAAAGGTCATTCAAACGTATCAGTCCCAAGGTATCATCCATAATCCGTATTCAGACAAATCGCTCGTCAAGACGCCACTGCTGTACGGAAACATGAAACATGAAAAGAAATAGACACGAATGGGCTTCCAAAGGTAAGGGAGGAGGGGGATAGTGAGTAGGGAGTAAAGGGGGAAAAAGACAAAAGGAAGTCGTTTAAGCCATTAATTCATTGATGGAAATCTCATCATCATGGGACAGTTCTGGCAATAGCATCGCCGGCTGACCCATAATATGAGGCGAAGGACCGTTCAACCAAGGACCACGTTCCTCCTCAGTGGCATTCAGCACACCCTCAGCGCGCTTCAACGTCTCGACATCCAGATCGGTAACGTAGGCATCGCGGTGGGTGCCATCGCCTGCGCCACCGGGGAGTCTCAGACGAACCTCGAACTCATTATTGAGCATCATTTCATCTTTCCACAGACGGCGCGGGCCGTCAAAGACACATAGCACGCGCTTCTTGGTCTTCATGCTGCTGCTGGGGCAGCCCCAGGACTGGGGGTAGTTGCCGCGGTTATTGCGGCGGCGGGTTGCGACAGCACGAGGCTTGGAGGAATTCTTGGAGATGGCATTGCCGGAGCCGATAATAGGGCGAGAGGTGGGGATGTTGCCCTTTGAGGATCTGGGTTTGGTCTTCAAGCCGCGCCAGTTAGAGGGGTCGTGAGTATCGTCGTCGTCTTGGTCTTCGTAATCGTCGAATTGGTCGACTGGGCCAGCCACGTCGAGTAGTTGGTGCTTCTCCATGGTCTTTTTGACCTCCTCGTCTGAAGCGACCTCTGCCAGACGCTGCTGGTTGATCGCCTCTGAGGGCTCTTCTTGCTGCACGACGCGGAGAACGCAGTCGTCCAGATGCTCGTAGAAGTCCTGCGCGTTGCTGAAGGTCGATGAGCAGGTTGAGCACTTTCCTGTCGCGTCGGGGCTATAGTTTGTGCCCTTCTTGGCTATTCCGGGGCTGCGCTTCCGGCAGTTTGGTGGGGTTTGTTCCACGCCGTGGACGGAGGTCAGGTGGCGCTTGAAGACGTCGGCGCGGTTGAAGCTCTTTTCCGCGGGGGAGCCGGACCCGGGGCAGAAACCGCATACCATTGTTCCTTTGTAGTGGGTCAGGGTGTGGCGGTTCTTGTCATACTTGCGGGCGAAGCCCTTGATGTGGTACTCGCAGTTCAGGATCGGGCACTTCTCTGGTCGCTCTGACTGGTGAGTCAACATGTGGGCTTTCAGATCTTTGAAGACTCGACCACAATCGGGGTGTGGGCAGCGCCCTTTTTCTTTGGTGTCTTCGTCTGGTTCAATGCTGCTCAGCGCCGGGCTGTGTTGCGAGCGTCGGGAATGAATTGAGGAAATAGACGATCGCCGATCATAGATCGAGAGCGGTCGTGAATGCGACCTGTGTGGGACCATGAGGGGAGATGGCCCAGTGTGTTGTAGTGGGTGTGAGCCGGGCGAGGTGTGATGATCTGCGATGTCATTATATGGGAGAGGTGATGGGGCGGGAGAGTGGGAGATGTAATTGGGTGGCACGTTTGAGTAGGAAGAGGTGGGTTGGTCGGGATATGAGATAGTCGGGGTAATTCCAGGCCCTTGTT